ATATAATAGTTTTAGCTAGAATAGGCTTAGTAAGCAGCTTATAAAAATTAATATATAATTTTACTATATAAATATAGCTTTTAAGTTAATTAAAGTAAAGCTATATAATATTATTAATTTAGTATATTTATATATAGCTTAGTTAGCCAGCGTATAAATCTAAAAATAATTTTATAATATAATAAATTTTATTATAGCTTTATTTAAAAACTTTTAAAAATTATAAAAATATTTTTATATTTTTATAAAAAGTTTTAGCATTTTAGCTATTTTATTTTAGCTTTAAAACTATTTATTTACTATTTTTAGTAATATTATTTATATATTAAATATTTAAGTAACTAGGCCTAATTAGGCAATTTTTAGTAGGCTATTTAATAGAAAATATTATATAGTATTATATATAATTTTTTTATAATTTTTTATTTATAGAATTAGTTTTTTACTTAGCTAAGTAGCCCTAGTAGCTTAAGTAGCTAAAAATTCGCTAAAATTCGCCAGTTTTGCTAGTTTTGCAGGATTTTCGCAGCTTTTCGCAGCTTTTCAGTTTGAATTTTCCTGACGCGAAGGAATAGAATTTACAATAGAGAAGCGATTGCGCACAGCCAAGGACCAAGAACTCCCGTACAGCGCAATATCTACCTCGTCCTATTAAGCTAGAATTTACTTAATCCTGTAGAGCCGCTCTTATAAGCATTAAGCCAGGCTTGTTTAGATTTGACATTTCCGTAAGTCTGGAAGAACTTGGTGAGTTTCTCATTCAGATCTGAAGCCATTAAGTTTTAGTCAGTTTCTAAAATCGTTACTTATAATCCTTACCTGAAATATGCATGTCTCTAGCAGGCTGCAGCGAGTAATGTTCTTTGAATTCATGGACAAGGATGAGGTCGTCAGGCAGTTTAGTACCTATTCAAACTTAATAATTAAGGTCGAGATTTTAATAATCCTAAATAAAACTGACCGGCTGGAACAGAGTAGACAACTACATCTAGACCTCTCCTGTTGTTGATCAGGTCTATGTTTCTTTGGGAATTGGGTCGCATGGAGGCTCCGTTCGGAGCTGCATTTAGATTTAATTTGAATATAAATCGCGATTTTGATAGAAGGAGACTTACGAGCGTAGCTTGTGGGATCCATCGCTTTTGCTTTGACGTAGCCATTTTGGGTGTGAATATCGTATACAGGTCGTTGGCCAGTCCACTCTCGAAGTCGAACGTAGTGCCCATTGTTAACGCGGAATAGCTCAATCGGAAAGATCTGGAAAGACTTTATAAATTTTGACATGGCGGCTTCAAAGTGAGGTAAGTCGTGTAGTGTTTGTCATGGACTGGAGGATTTTGAAATTTTTTCAGAGTGGAGAACCATGTCGCTAATATTTCCGGTCTTAGTCTAGCGTGATCAAAATCTACAATAGAACACCAATTTATGTGGATACTGCTGTTTTAACTACGAATTTCGGAATGGATGTTATCTTTGTTAATAGAATATATGTTTTATGTAGGAGACAGCTATAGAGAGTTATTTAACCTTCTTCTACATATATACTAGAATGAGCTGTAGGTGGCCATTATCTTGTTGGCGAGAATCCCCTAAGCTTATAATTCTAATAACTTATGTATAACTAAAGAGCTGTACGAGACGGCAAGATCGGCTAAAAGAACACTAAAAGGAACGACTACAAGGAAACAATAGTGTGAAACAAAGGGAACCCACATCGCAGTACTGGACAGACTTGTGGCCAAATGATGTTGAATCATTCAATTCCCTCAAGCCTTAAGAGAAGAATTCGACCTAGCCCCTGGGCCCATATGCACGCCTACTCATGCCAAATCCATTGATTTCCGTCCCAGCGTCTGTACTTTCGGTAATTTTCGTCCCATTCCCAAGGAGACGAAGTGCTAGCTGCTGTAGAACTAGAAGAAGTTGCAGAAGCCTGTGCATTGTTGGAACTGCTTGGAGCAGAAGCGTGAGGATAGGCTTGAAACCACCCTTCCTTCGACCTCACATTTCCCTGAGCCTCCAAGAAGGTAGTGATCTTCTGGTTTAGCTCTGCAGTCAGTTAGCATAGTTTGATACTAGCATAGAGAGAAGAATGTTACCAGAGAGAGGCATATCTCGAGCTGCCTGGAGTGAGTAGTGGTCGCCAAATTCGTGAATCAGAACAAGGTCATCAGGCAGTTGGGTTCCTGTTCGAGATTAGGTATTGGCCTGCAAATTTTGCTTTAAACTTCTGACCAGCTGGAATCGAATAGACCACAACTTGTGAGCCCTTATAGTCACCGATAAGGTTGCGCTGGAATTGGGTGTTCGGTCGCATGGAGGCGCCGTTTGGAGCTGTATTCGACGTCAGCTCAGAATACTCGACTTGAAAAGGGGAAAGCTTGCCTTCGTAAGTCGTGGGATGGAGTGACTTTGCCTTTGCCATCCCACCATCAGTTACTATATCGAAGGATCTCTGGCCAGTATATTGCCGAAGGTTGATCATGCGTCCATTGTTCACGCGGAATAGCTCCACGGGAAAAGCTTTCAAGGCTTGGATGTACTTAGCCATAGCTGTGGGAGGTTTCAATGGATTCAGAGAGGATTGTAGAACTTGAGAGAAAAGATGAGAATTGGGTCGACGGTCTGTTAACGCTTGAAGGATATCGTGATTGCTTTGACTCTGATATGGTAGGAGAATTCGCTGCCTTTATATACAACATGCAAGACTCAGGTGATCAAAGAGTATGGTCGCCTGAACTATCAATTGTAGCCTAATAAAACACCTTTCCAGGCGCTGTTTCACGCTTAAATGCGGCTGTCTACCTTCAACCACTCCTATCGCTCTCTAGGCGCTTTTGCCTTGTGTCTGCAACAGAAAGTTACTCTGTTAGAAGATTCATTGGTGATGAGGGCTTTAATTCGGAGTTTGTAGCTCCCAAACTGTGCCGTACGCTAGTTAAGGTCGGCGGTTGCGCGGCGGTGATCACAAAATGCACAGCCCAATTTTGGTTCGGGCTGCGGCGTAGCTGTTGGAACCTCCAATAATAGTACGCAGGATCAAAATTTGATTGATGGGAAGATGCTAAGGCCTGAGAGGAACATCTCGCCCCGATTTCCCGCTTTTTGAGCCAGCCATTCCAATCAGACTTCCTGGTAATTCTAGCCACGGCTATGTCTGATGCTGCATTTCGACTCGACCATTTCAAACAAAGCATCGGCATCAGTAGGCGCCTAGTAGTAAATTTAGGTGCTATGGCCTCATATTAGCGCTCGGCAATGGTCTCAAAACGTGAACAATAATGAACCCATTTTCCGGTAGCGGTTCAGATCAGCCCAGGGACATAATTATGTATCACAATAGCAGTTTTCATAAGCGCGCGCGTTAATCTTAGAATTCTGCCTTGCATGGTCCGAAGGGACGCTGCAGTATTGGCACGATTAGTCATGTGCTCATTGGATTCATACAAGTCACAGGTGTCATCGTTCAAAATGATCTGGCACATTCTGAGTCTTTATTCCATCTCCTTCCAATCTACTATCATTCTCTTATTCGCGGACTAACTGAGTCTTATCCGTAGTCATGGCAATCGCTCAGAGAATGCGTGAGTCTTACATGTCAAATCTTCAACAATGACATCTAACGATCTTACAGAAAACATCAATTATCGCCTTTTGAGCTACACTCTTTCTATATGTGCATTGTTGTTCTACGGTAAGGATGACCCTTCCCACACTCGAAAGAACTTTGTTAACATCGATTCAGCACTCGCGCTTACTGGATGTATCTCACAATCTCCAGGAGTTCCAAACATCTTCTTGTTAGAGATTAAAGGCATACGGGGTGGGAATTCCACTGCTGCGGAAGTACGTGTAGGATATTATGGTAACAGAAATCTTCTCGTACATGGGGTTGAAATGACTAATACTTCAGCAGGAATCTGTATACAGATGTCAAACCAAACCACCTGCCAAGTAAGCTCCGGCAAAACGACAGACGCCATTTTGCAATTCAAAAACACACCTCCACCGTCCAGTACAACCGAATCCAACGGTCTAGCAAGCATAATATCTCTTACGCTTGCTATCCAATCAAAAATTATCCCTGCTCTGATCGCTGGAGCTGGGGTTTTATTCACTATTAGCCTATTCGTTGTTGTCCTATTAAACAGGGACTTTAAACAAATAGGTAAAAGCAACCCAACTAGAGCCAAACGCAGGCAAGTTCTTAGAAAAGCACTTTTCGCTACCTTGTGGCCGTCAGTTGCCTTTTCGCTAGCGTCAGCTATGTCTGTGCATCAAACAACGAGCGCTCTGGCTTACATTACTCGAGCGGAAGCGTCTACCATCGAAATCACGGCTGGCACGACGCTAAATGTTCTACAATGGCTTGCATTTGCATCTTCGGCATTGTTTGCAGTAGCTACATTGGGCATATCCAGTACTCAACATCAGACGATTCCGTCGGCCGGATCAACTACCCCGGGTGACCCAGGTCTTCCACCTCCACCTCCACCATTCCCGGTACAACAATAAGATGCAAGGAAAGGACAGGTACTCCTGGCACAAAATCTACGCAAGTTTTGATGAACTACGTCAAAATCATCAAGCTAACTAATTCTGTGCTTGTGTGCTTGTGTCTCACGCTGAGGAGTATCGGTGGTCTACAAAGATAGCGTTGATAGGGGTTGGAATGGAATCAAGCCCTCACTTGTGTACAACGGGCGCCGAAACGAGAGATATTCGAGTTGGTAGGATAAGTTGTACGGCTTTCCTAGTAGTCGCAAACTCGAAGAAAAGGATAGCTAGGAACTCGGTATGATGTTGATGTAAGATTAAATCTTGAGTGTAGATTTCCGCAAAGGCGAAATAAGGTAGCAATCCCATCCAATTTCTTTTTTACGTTTCCAAACATCTGCTGGATAGGTAACATCCCTATTACTACATGAAGGTGATAGGCCAAGCCTAAAGACTATGTAGCCATCCATCCATTTTCGTTCTCAGGTGCAATTGCATCTGCATACTCATGATTTGTGAGCCATTCATCCAAATCTTGCTTTATCGCATGCTTTGAATAGAAACATTTCAGGATATTCTCCAGATCTAGATACATACTCAGCGCATGGTCTTTTCATAGACTTGTATTATTACCTTCAGAGGAGGTGGGCTCAGAAGGCTGTATGGAAAACTGGTACAAGCCCTCTCTTCTGAGTACTAATCTTGCTGGAAGAGCTATACCTGCTCATGCCTTAGTATGCTTTGTTTTGAAGGTACCAGGCTTACCTTTTGGTATGGTAAAAATGAACGGTCGTTCACCAGATACGCCATTTTCCAGATCATCAGCGTAATAGTCGCCCATCGTCCGAACAATCTCCTGCATCGGGAAGGTATTCGGCATAAGCCTTACCCATTCCAAATCTATGTTAAGAATTAATAAAAGTATATCCATTAGTGGCTCGACATGCCTAGGTAACGAGTCCAAGATTCGGCACTCTGGTGGTTTGCTTGTGATTGTACAGGTTCGATAACGGTAATTTGTTCCTTGCTCTGGATCGGACGCTCGCAATAGAAGGACTTATACGCAGGACCAGCATTGAGGCGCATTAAAGTGGCTGGGAAGCTAGAGTGAGTAGCAGTGACAGAGTAGCCCCGTGAGTGGAGCTCTATCATCATAGAACGGAGCCTAGAGTTCTTAGATACCCCAACATGTGAAAAAATCCTGCTAAGCATCGTGGAGGGCCGTTGTGGGAAATAATTGGGCAGTTCTGTTTTGTATAGAAGAGAATTCCTTGAGCTAGAAAAGCTCGTGCGTGTGCGTTGCTTACGTAAGTTACCGTAAGCGACGCAGAAATAGCCGCTGCTTCGCACCCTCTGCACGAACTCTGCTACCCAGCGTCAGGTAATGTTAAGTATTAAACATATTGTTATTCTAAATAGAGCGTGTTGTAGATCCAGCGCAAGCGGTCGTATAAGTTAAAGAGCAGCTAGCAACTCACTACTAATAGCTTGTCCTTTAGGCTTAAGTGGGCAGCTATAGGGCAGTATAAAGAAGTAGAGAGGTTAAGATATTTGTTAAAAATTATAAGAGAAATCTATTAGCTTAATCTTTATTATAGCTATAGCTATAGCTACGCTTAAAATAGCAATTACTCTTTATAATAGTTAGCTGTCCTATTAAAGCTAGACGTGCAATTAGGCTGGTAAATAAGTCTGAGGTACCTAGTACTAAGTATATATTTAGTTATAATTACACAAACTTTAAGTTAAAAGTTAGTAAAAGTAATAAAAGCTTAGGGTATAAGTTAAGTTAAAGTAATAAAAGCTTAAATTAAAGTTAAATTAAAGTTACTATTTTAATTAAAGTTAATTATATTATACTATAATAATTAGCTGTAATAAAGCTATATTATTTTTATATATATTAGGTACTTTTAGTTTTACTTTAACTTAACCCTAATTATATAAAACTTAACTTTAATTTAATTTTTAATTATATAAGACTTTAACCTTACTTATACCCTAATTATATAAGACCTAACCCTAACCTAGCCTATACCTATTTACCAGCCTACGTGCGATGTTCTGATGATGTTCTGGAACGAGATTTAGCCGAGTCCGCGGACCTTTTCATTTCTCGCTCGGTCATGCGTCTTTCATCCACTTGCCTCTCATCTCTCGGTCCAAGACCTCCCAAGCAAAATAACGACAGAAAATGACCTACGCAGCGCGGACATGTATTATTGAGGCCTTGGCGCCTAGTGCCCCTACTCTGAAAAGGTTGAAAGACATAGCCCAGCCCGCTGATAGCGTCACGGCATGGGATTGGCGTCTCAGTTCAGTCCCGTCGCGTCTACGTCATCAAACGCTTGACGATTAGCAACGCGGCTTGTGTCGCGTGCACGCTGATTCCTTTAAGAATGGCCCTGATCTACATTGGATTTTGGCTGTATTCCAGAGTGCTGGGTTCACGCTTCATCCATACATCCATCACGATCCCAATTCCAATATCCTGGTACCGGTAGCCGAGAGGTTCATCATGGGTGTCGATTCCTCTGAACTAATTGTGCCGTTTGTGGGCGCTATCCAGGCCTCTTTTTCGGTTCTCATAACCATTATCTTTGGTGTTGTAGCAGCGCAATGCAATTTACTTTCGACAAATGCAGCAAAGGAAGTTTCGAAGCTATGTGTGCGCATGTTTTTGCCCGCGTTGCTAATCTATAAGATTGGTTCGAACTTGCATCAGGACACGGGAGTCCGATATATCCCAATCTTGAGTACACCAACCTTTCTTAAATCCGAGGAATCCTGAGAGGGAATAATACTGATACTTTTTAGTTTGGTCAATATCCTACACGCTCCTGTCCGTCCTCGTTGGCCGTACCCTTACCCGCATCTTCAAGCTGCCTGCCTGGGTAACACCAGCAATCGCTTTCAACAATACGACCAGTCTTCCGCTCCTCCTCATTCAATCGCTCAAACAAACCCAAATCCTCGATGCTATACTCATTGGTGGAGAATCAGCGGCTGATGCCATGGACCGTGCGGAATCATACTTCCTGATCAACGCCATGGTCAGCAATTCGCTTACCTTCGCGTTGGGACCAAGGTTACTAAAACCGGGTGATGAGGATGCGCCCGATAATGAGGATGAAGTAGAGGAGAGCGAGAGCGAAAGCGAAGAAGGCGAGGAAGGTGAAAACGGCGATATTGAACGGGGTCCGGATGGTCTTATCAATGAGCACACGTCTCTCCTCCCTCGGCGAATCGTCCATCCCACAAACCGCGTGGAGAAAAAGGGCTACCTCAAGTCTCGAAATTGGTATAACTCGCTTCCACCCTGGGCCCAGGGAACGCTCGATGTGGCATGGCAGTTCGCGAACGCTCCAATAATGGGTGCGCTTTTTGGTGCTATTATAGGCTTGATACCATCGCTTCACCGACTCTTCTTCAGCCCCAGTAATGAGGGTGGCTATCTCAACGCCTGGTTGACTACGTCGATCAAAAACATCGGCGACCTCTTCGCCTCTACGCAGATTATCGTCGTCGGCGTTAAACTCAGCCAAAGTATGCTCCGCATGAAGCGTGGTGAGGATAGTGGAAATGTTTCCAAGGGAAGTCTAGCACTCGTTACACTCTTCAGGTTCATTATATGGCCATTGTATGTCTCGCTCCTTGACTCCGGTTTGCCTAAACTAATGGTAACTCCAGAATCAGTATTCCTCTGATCTGGGCGATTGCATCAAAGACCGAGCTTCTAAATGGCGACCCTATGCTCTGGTTCTCTATGATGTTGATGCCAACGGGCCCACCAGCAATGATTCTGGTGGCGCTTACGGATGTAACCGGCGCTCCAGAGGCGATGAAGATGACTATCGCGAAATTCCTGACGGTAAGTAATTTTCTAACTATGCGTAAGAACCTGGTCTAATAAAAAATAGATCAGCTACGCTATTACACCGATGATATGTTTCACCGTGGTCGGAGCGTTGAAAGCCACGGAGGCTGCGATTGATAAATGAGTCCAATCATATAGCGATTGCCACCAATTCTAAAAATAGAGACACGCAGTGTTCAAAAGACAGTCCAGTTTTCCATGTATTCAATCCTTTAGTATTTTTCTCTACTTGTAATGGTTCTAAAAATCTTCCCCGCAACTGTGCCCCTCGACATGTACTTTGTTGGGGACATTCGGCCATATAGAGATATGCAGAAGCAAATGTGTAAACTTGATAGGGCAGCTCACTTTCGATGACTACTGTCTCGGCTCTTTCTTATCTTTGATTCGTCGTGTTGTAGGATAAAGGGACTCTTTTGTCGCACTGCTTTGATAGTTTGACGGCTTCGGCTAGGAGGTGCGTGGCCTCATCTTCGTCGTTTTCTAGCCAGAAGTGTGGTTCGCTAGGCGTGGAAGCCATCGCGTCAGTTGTCGAATTTCACGAGGTCTACAAGCGCGGAATGGACTCTTGTATAAAGTGTCTATAGGCGAGGAGCCTTTGCTTGAAGATTAAATCTAATTACTTACTCGTTTATTTCAACATGCCTTAGTCGAGCTTCGACTTAATCATTGCTTATCTTCTTCTCTTCCCAAACGTCGCAGTCGTTATCACAGCGTTTGCTCCTCAGATTCTGCTTCTCTTTCCTTAGACAAGAGGTGTAGTTTTGAAATACCCCTTGGATATCGATTAGAGCTTAAAGTGTTGTTTGTGTATATACTCTACGTTCAGGACAAAGTCACTATTGGGAAAGTGAGATTGCATTGGGACTACTGATAGTAATCTTTGAGGTCTCTTAATTAATGATGGGTCTATTGAGCTAACTATATATTACATCTTAATACTGTGCTAAAGGTACGAGGTTTAGCACACAAACTGTGTTTTATACTAATTTCTCTCACTGAGTTACTTTAATTTTCATACAAATAAAAGATATACTCTGCGTTCTTCATAACCTGATATACTAATGGCTTCATGAGCAGCATATAATCTCCTTCATTCATCACCGGTTTCGGTGTCTGTGCCACCAGTGTGAAGCTTTTCTGCCTCCTGTTGAAGGTGCATTGCCACCAAGTGGCCTCTACATTGGGCGCATTTGGAGCGTCGTACCGTTGATAGTGGTCTTCCTTCAGTATCGCCCCAAAAAGACTATTGTACGCGGACAGATGCATCCAGGTTAATTCTCGGTGTAAAATGAACCTTAGAACTCTGACATTTTTTAAGCGCCGCAAAAGCGTAACCAGTTCGGTCCCATTTGGTGAATCTCTCATTCCAATAGTGAGCTCGTCCAACTTCATACATTCTCTATTGAATGGGAATTCGCGCCAGGATGTAATCAAAGCGCAGTCACACTGAATCGAAAGCTTGCGCACGTTGCGCAAGAGCTCATCTGATTGATCGGCAATGACCTCATCCGGGTCTAAAGCTAGGGTGAACATGGTCTTTTGGAAGGCGAGAGATGTAAAGTCATCTCGGAACTGGCGACACACAAGCCGAATCGTTAAGTTGGGAGCAGCCTTGTAGTTTCGACATAAGCAGAGCCCACGGATCCAAGGCCGTCGAGGCGGAACACGTTGGTTTGTCTTCCCGATGAGTCCAGTATCTGGTGATTGTTCGAGTGCGTAGGCTGCGATTTCCAGCCGGAGTTCGGTTGGAAGAGAGAAGTACGTGGTTCCAGGCGCAACTTCCGTCATGGTGTACTCGTGAAACGACCTGCAGGCACGCGGCAAGACTGGTACAAGACTCGGGGTTATAGGCGCTATATTGATGTTTCTGAATCCCTAAAGTTCGAAGGATAAGGTGAGCGGCAACAGGCCCCGCATTTAGGCGCCGGTCATTCGAGTCGGTCCGTGCACCGCCATCTGATAAGATTTTGCACCTCCGAAAATGGTTCCGAGTTTAGTCCTTTGCACATCTCACTTTGTACTACCATCGTCTACCCATGCGCGGTTATCCATTTATCATCACGCTGTGTGCTTCTATCAATGTAGCATCGGCCCTATACTCAGGCAAATGGTGTCCCCGCGCCTGCGCCACAGCCGTGGACTACGCCACTTTCAATGACACCGATTCATCACTGTCACGGAAGGTGCGAGCATGCCAGAGTGAGCTTCGCATAAACTCGCTTTATCTCTGCTTTGATGAATACTGCGATAGTGATGGAGAAAGAGAAGGATGGATCAGAGACCAAAGGCCTGCGTGTAACAAGCGCACCAATGTCACACTGCCAAGCTATCACGATGTTGTGGACCGGTGGGAGCCGGATGCTAAGCAGGGTGTGAGGAGATTGACAGCGGATGACGCAATGAAGTATCCTGTTCTGAACGAGACCGTGATACCAGATGCGAGCTTTTTCGCGAGATCTTTCACGACAATGGTATGGTTGTTTCCTATATACTTTGTGAATCAGTGGTGATAAAATACTAAGCGAGGTTACAGGACGCTGCCTGGTGGGAATATGATATACATCTTGTCTACGGGTGAGCAGCAATAATCGCTATGCTTGAGGTATAGGTTTGACAAAAGCAGCTGGTACATGTACTATTTCTGGATAGTAGTCATCGCGATCGGAATCGGTACACGCCTCCTGTCGCTCATCCGCAACCTTAACGTCCAAAACCAGAAATATCGGTCGATCCCACACACGGAATCAGAGCCACTGACGAGACCTCGAAGCATCCTTAGCCGCCCACAAGCCTGGCTAAAACAGTACCTCATCGTCCCCGCAGCATTCGGCGACCGCTGCTCTCGCCCGTTGGGCTGGTGTACCATCCCTCCACGGATGCAGTCTCTCACCATCTTCCTCTTCATCTCTTTCAACATTCTACTCTGTAGCTGCTCTTACCGCCTGACAGATGGCAACATCTACTGGCCGCAGAAAACGGCGCAGCTATTGCGCTATGTGTCTGACCGTACAGGCATTATTTCCCTGGCAAACTTCCCGCTGGTATGGCTTTTTGGCATGCGCAATGATTTTCTAATGTGGATCACGGGATGGGGATTTGGAACATACAATGCTTTCCATAAATGGGTGGCCAGAGTGTCTACATTGCAGGCTGTGGTGCATAGTCTGGGATATACACTCATGATAATAGAGAGTGAGCGACCATTCCGTCATCGCGACTGCTTTTTCTCTAGGCTAAACTGACATCATGCAGGCAGTGGCTGGTCATACTTTTGGCAGTATTGGACCGCACATTACTTCTGGAATGGAGAAGTGGTGTGTATCTTCACGACAGCATTCTGGGGCTTAGCTGACAGGCATCTAGGCGACAATAGCAATGTGCGCAATCCTTGCCTTCTCCTTTTACGGTATTCGCCGCGCACACTACGAAATCTTCCTCATTACGCATATTGTGCTCTCTATCGTCGCATTATGGACCATGTACTACCATGTCGCGATATTCGTTGACGGCGAGTGGAACATCTTTATTTGGCCTTGCCTCGGGTTCTGGATCTTGGATCGCCTTTTGCGCCTCGGCCGCATGCTTTCCTTCAACCGGAATCCTTTCAATACCCACGCTACTGTAAGCTATGATCCGAACAGCAACTTGGTCAGGATGGACGTCAACGGAAGTAAGAACTGGATATCCCCCAAGCCGGGAACCTATTATTATATCTATGTGTTAAACGATCTTCTATACGCGTATCAGAGCCATCCTTTTACATTGGCGTACGAATCTTCTGACAACGCCTCACCACCAACTCCACTATCACCACTGGTTCCTCGACCACCGCCACATCGGTCATCTTCGTCTCTTTCCACTGAGTCTACTGAATCCGACGCTCTACTCACTCCGACCACTAAAGCTCAGTCAATATCAAATCTTGTCTTCCTCATCCGGCCCTACGATGGCTTCACCTCGCGCCTCAAATCACATTGCCTCTTGCACCCCAAGAAACTCAGGGTCCTTGTTGAAGGACCATACGGTCATACCGAACCGCTTCACACATTCCAAAATGTTCTTTTTATCGTTGGTGGCACTGGGATCGCAGTCCCACTATCACATCTACACCGGTTGCTGCAAGCAGACTCACTCGTCCAAAGCGTGAAGATAATATGGGCCGTCCGCGAACACGCCTTTCTGGAGTCTGTCCTTCGCGAATTCAAAGGGCAACTCGGTGATGAGAGAATCGAGATGGAAGTCCATGTCACACGGGATGAGGACGCTAAAGATGAGGTGCTAGCGGAGAATTTAAAGAGCGTGAGGATCATGACGCATCGCCCGAACGTGGCTGCTGCGGTTGAGGAGACAGTGAGAGATGCGGGACAAGCGGCGTTGGCAGTTGTGGCGTGTGGGCCTGCGCTAATGGCTGATGAGGCGCGCAGGACTACAGTGGAGATGTTGGGGAGGGGGTTTAGGGCATTGGAGTACTTTGAGGAGAGCTTTAAGTGGTAGAGCACATCGCATTTTCCAGCACAATTAGAGGTCTCGGTATGTTGCATCAACTCTAGACATAATATTTCTAAATGCACATAATTGCAATACATCATCGTAAATATGAATCCTGACTTGTATTCCATCGAAACTATTCTTTCTGAATGTCAGTATATGCAGGATATACAACATTGAATAAGACATCGCTGAGCTCCTCTAATGTACCTTCAGGTAGTTGTCCAGCAAGGATAGATCTCATATCATCCCGGAGAAATGACCTTGTGAGTACCTCGATGTTTTCATCTACACTCCATATCGGATTCATGTATTCTTTATACATTCCCGTGAATCGCAACATGTTAGTTTGGGCTATCGCGGCATCCTGAATGCACCTAATTCCTGACAACTCGGTTAGCATAATACATGTCATGGCTGGTCTACATAGCGACTTACCACAATCGCGGATACTTCCCACTTGGCCTGGGTTAGCATATATGATTAGATTTCAGAGTGGCATGTCTTACCAGGAGCGAAAGTCAGATTTGTGATCATTCGTAGGCGTTGCAGCCCAGTCTCATCAAACTCGAAGTTCGAAGAAGGACCAAGCCCTGGATTCTTCCTGTGTTGTATGTCTTGCATGACCGTGAAATGCAAGAGGAGGCCCAGACACTCCGGGCGCACAACTTGGCTGGCTAGGCGACCATCAGTTAGTGTAGTAGCGTAACTCCGAATCGGATGTGTTACCTTTTACGATGACGTCTTCCGGTCCGTCCATACTTTCATTAGACATGATTTCATCCGGGGATCCGGGTGATCCTAGCGACATTACCCTAAGGGACTTGAGGTATAACCAGAGCCGACGAGCAGGAAGCTGACAGAAGATATCTCTTAGATTTTCGCGCACCTTCTCTCTGATGGCTTCGCGGAAGCCTTGGGTACAAACGTCGATTTTTATCCGTAAGAAACGCATCTTCCCAGCTTGTTCCATATCCGTGAAAAAGGTATCGTGAGTTCCCCCTAAATATGTGAGATCTTTGCGGCATAGGGGAGTCAATGTGGTACTTACCAAGTGTATTGTAGAGCTGCATAAACTCCGTAGGTTGCTCAGGTAAGTGTTTCAACATATCTTCCTGTAGCTGTTTGAGTGTAGAAGCCTTCAACTTTTCCATGTCATCTACGCAGAGAGCCTGTTTGTACACTAAGCTCACAGTGGATCCCAGAGTATTGATGATTGTTTCAAGCTTCTTTATGTAGACTAATCGTGCATCGTTTTTCTGTCGGTGGACCAACTTATAGCCCTGATCAGCCGGAAGTTCAAGATAGTATTGTAGGGATTCCCTCAGGGATGACGCGGAATTGAAGACGATTTCAGATGTGAGATGTGCGTTGTCGAGAAATATGCAGTTGATCCTTTTTATTTGATTGGTGTCTAACTTGAAGAACGGGAAGGTGAACCGATGGTGGGAACGCCGGGACCCATCTTCACCCGGTAGGAACTCAATTCCTTGGGAAGATCTCTGAGAATAGGAGTTCCGTGGTTTCCTAATGGGCAGATCTTCTAATGATGATATGGCGGTAGCGGGATTTGCATGGGAATTGCGACTAGTTTCATATATCTGTCGCCGCCATTCTCTTATACTCTCAGACGCGTCTTCCTCCTCGTTGGGAAGGAGTACACTCCTAAGAATTAGGATCAACTTTGGAGAGATGGGGCTGAATTCATGGTATGAGGTCCAGGAAGTAACTTCCCACTCGTCAGTGGACGGATTCAACGCGGTACTGTTCGGCCCCTCGTGAACATTGTAGCAGTTTTCAGTGAGAACAAACTCGCTACTTGGGTCGCTTGGTGTACAGAAGGCCATGAAATACCACTCTGTGTGCATAATGAACCACATGGCATCATCTGGGTATATGCTGCTAAGCAGTGTTTCCTGCCATTGGCCTTGCAAATCCATCGTCAGGTTTAGAATGGTTTTGATGCTCTTGGACCACACCTCGACTGGGCTTTTATATCCCTGCTCTTGCATATATCTTTCGAACTGATCCGCATCGTCTTCTTTGTATTGGCCCGATTCGTCGCCATGGAAGCGTCGATGAAAGCCCGGCCCCCGGTATTTCATGATGAAAAGGAATTTGCGCAGCATATCTCTTTGCTGGCGGGACATGGAGAAACCGCTTTTCCCGGATTCAGAGGCTTTCCTGATATCGGCAATAAGTGAGCTAACCCTAGACTCAAGCTTCCCAATCTCTTTCTCCAAGAAGTTGTGATCAGCCGTGTTGGTAATGTCTTGATACATATCCATAAGTCCGAAAGTGCGTTTGACTGGTGACTCGGATAGTTGTGGTATTTCGTGTTTGAGGTCTATAACATGTAATGCTGGCTCGCCTGGATGGAGTTGATTCTTTTTATTTCTTTTCCTACTCCCGGAAGTAGTCTTGGAGTTGCGCGAAGAATGGTAATATTTATGGGAAAAGTTCCTGAGAATGAACTGTGGTACGAAATGATGATATTCTGTTGGGGGGACTTTGATTGAGGCCATAATGGTGCTTGTGAGCAGGAGTAGAAGCGCTTAAACAGGCGTATGATAGGAGCCTTGAAATGTCTATCCGATCCCGATTTCGTGAAGATAAGATGTTGAAGAGCGAATAGTATAAGTATAGGTGCTGGCTGTTTAGATCGGAAAGGGTGTTATCGCCGTGATCAAATTTACATGGCGGCGTTTCCTAGTCCCTGTTCATTGGCTATGAACGCTGCGAGATGACATGTTCGGCGCTTATTGCACAAGAGGCCGCCCACGTACTAGGGCGCACTATAGGCAAAAACGTACTGATTCTTTGCTACGTTGCGGTTGTACATACCAAAATTTAATAGCGTCCGCCCTATTGCTAGAAACTGGCGAGAACTCGCGCTTAGTCTCTCCAAAATCAGCCATTATGAACAGGGCATGACCATGATGCATAGCTATTGCTAGGTCTGTGCATTAAATGCGCCCTTTTCAGACAGTCATGACGTAGCTTACATCGTGCCGTGGGAAGGAAGTAGGCATTTCCAGCACAATTAACGGCAGTCTAGCGCAAGCACTTAGCCCTTATTTCCACTATGATCATGCTCGTCGCTCAACATCTGAAGTAAATTTTCTTTGCGCTTCAGGCCAACATACCACTGCGCTACTTCCTTTACGCTCTCTTCCAGTCCCCTAATATTCTCCCCGCCGAGTAATGTATTCTCTGTCAGCCTTGAGTCGATGCGGTACGGCATGTTGATCGGCACTTTAGTTCTTCCCACTGTGAACACTCCCTCTTCCACCTCCCCTTTGAACACTCTTTCAATCATATCCGCTGCTTTGTTCCACAATCTGGGCCCATCGAACCCCTCCTCGACCGTTGCACCTGCAATGAACCAAGATGGCAAATCCTCACTCTTCACTTTTATCTCATCTAAAGCCTCAATATGTACTCTAGCGCAATCTTGGACGTGCACAAAGCCAAAGGCATATTTTGGCTTCATCTCATCGAATATGAGGGCCTTAGTTTGGCGGTCCATCTGAGAGTATGCTTGTGATGTCGTGGTCGCGAGTTCTGAGGGGCCAATCACGGTGCCTGGGATGATTTGGACAATGGAGAATGGAGTTGTCCTGCTAAGACGCAGACTATTGAGGTAGGTCATGCACTGCGACTTCGAGGCACAGTATGCGTTGTGGGAGGACTTCAGGGGTGGTGTGAAAGACAGTGATACTTGGTTGACTCGAATGTTCTCTGAACTCGTAAGTAGAATGTATGCGGTTTAGAGCCTAGATATTTACCATCTAGTACTTGATTCATCCGGTTGCCCATGCTGTCCCCGTCTTCAGAGTTGACTAGTCCTGCGCCGGCTTGGGTAAACACGAGGCGTTTGACTGTTCCCGACTTCTTAGCAGCTTGGAGTATGTTTTTCATCGAGTTCATAAATGGATAGTATATTTCGTCATCTGGATGCAGATGCTGCAGCTACATCAGCGCCTAGCATGTCGAAAGTAAGATGAACTTGCTGGTAAAGGCCATGCACCCGCGACGTGCACGGCATAATCCACACCAGCTAGAGCTTTATCGTAAGCTCCTTCAATCGCATTGTTTGCCACAACAGCAAACTCGATGCGGTCTATGTATTGTTGAATCGAAGGGCCTGACTTCATGACTGCAATGGCAGCTTCACGCCGCACGACGCAGCGTACGCGGTATCCATTCTGTAGAGCATACACAACGCATGCGTAGCCTATCGTTCCATTTGCGCCGGTAATCTAGATTCTTGTCAGCTTGATCCCGGAAAAGAATGAAAGACTCAATTCGTACAGCAACAAGGCCTCGATGTTCAAGAGCCATTCTCGCAAAGAAAGCCTGATTTAACGATCACCTAGAGGAGAAGGCAGAATTCCATCTGGCCAAAGAAAAGATGTTCACCACTTGATATATAGATTGGTACTAAGCTTACCATATAGGGCGTATGCCTTATGGTGATTGAGCAAGAAAGGTCCCGGGCTTTCCGATCAGCGTTCCGACCACGCCCCACGATCTCGGCTTTGAAACGCATGTCGTCATAGCCCTTTAACGTCGTCAGCTCGCCCCCTATTAATATCGACGCCATTTGGGCGCCAATGGATCAATTACGCTTCATGGTAAACATAAAGATTCCGTCCCTCAAGAGAGCTGTTTTTGACACTGGTTGAAACGTTTGACCATGGCTCAGAGTGATAGGAATCCGCAGTCTGAGGACTTTCCCCATGCAGCGACTGAGAACCTTGAAATTATAATCGTAAGCACCGTGCATACATACAACTTCTGACCCGATTCATGTGATGCTGATCTACCGCCTAGGTCGGAGCCTCCCTAGGCGGCTTAGCAACCGCTCTTGCTCTCAAACGCCTGCCGCCTCCCCACGCGCACACGATCACCCTTCTTGAGCGCAACCCTACACCCCTTCTTCATAACCAAGGTGCCGGCATTGTTGCAGGTGGGGATACGCTTGCCTTCTTCAAGCGCTATGACAAATGTGGACGAGATCTTGCTGCAGGTTCTATCAGACGACAGTACCTGGACAAAGATGGAGACATCATACACAAGGAGGATATGCGTCAAAACATGACAAGCTGGGACTTGGTATACCATATCCTCAGAGCGAATGTTGATGGTGTGAAGAGTGACTACTGTGACGTACCCGAGGAAGATTCCAGGGAGGCCAAGGTTACCCACCTGCATGGACACAAGGTCACTAGCGTGGAAGAGAAAGGAGACAGGGTGACGGTCAGATGTGAGACAAATGAGGGGAAGGAGAGGGATATGGTAGCTGATTTGGTCATCGGTGCCGACGGGCCAAGCTCGACGATCCGGTCTATTCTCACGCCGGATGTTGAGCGCACGTATGCAGGCTATGTCGCTTTACGAGGCACCGTACCAGAAGGTGAAGTCAGCCCAAAGACACGCGAAGCATTTAGTGAACGCTTCACATTCTTCCACGCCAAGGGAGTTCAGATTCTCGCCTATCTGATTCCTGGAAAGAACGGCACACTAAAACCTGGCCAACGTCTCATCAATTTCGTGTACTACACTAACCTCCCATCGCCCTCCCTAATCAACCCGTCGCCCGAGTTCCGCGAACTGATGACCGACGTCGACGGTCAATACCATCGCATCACAATGCCTCCGGGTAAAACCGATCCGAAAGCATGGGAAAAGCAACGTCAGATTGCGAAAGAGAAGCTACCACCACAGTTTTCCGAGATTGTATGCGGAACCAAGAAGCCCTTCGTCCAAGCAGTCACCGATGTAATCTCGCCCACGAACGATTTTTTTAACGGACGCGTAATCCTTATCGGGGATGCATTGGCTGGCTTCCGACCGCATACGGTAGCTAGTACCAGCCAGGCGTGCTTCGATGCTATGATCTTGGCAGACATGATCGCAGGTGGGGTCAGTAGGAAAGAGTGGAAGAAGCAGACCCTTGGGTATGCACGGACGGTTCAGAAGAGGGGTGTGGATATGGGGGAGAGAAGCCAGCATCAAGACCTACCACTGAAGGAGCATATACACGATCGCAACCTTGCGAGTAAACCTAGAGAAGAGGAGGTTTGGCCAGAGTGGGCGATAAGCGACGTGTTGTGATAAAGCCGCTTCCGTAGTTTGAGTGCAACAAATCCAATCATGCTCAAATGGGGTTTACTGCCTGGCTATAGGTGGTGAAAGTGTCTTCCCCAAACATTGACTACGAAATTTACCCTGAGACAAAGAGAGAGCGGACGTGCGCCTTCACTGTTAGGTTGCGAATGACGGTGCACGGGATGCTTTGGATATCCGCTGGCCGGTCTTAATTTGTTTGATAGTTTGTGATTTTGAAGTGTCTCATAAGCGCAAAACAAAGTTTATCAGTATGAAGGAACGTACGTAGTAGGTCTCTGCATATAAAAGCGCCGTGCTCTCCCTCAATCCTAATCACACACAATCTACCGTCAGATTCTAGCTCCATATTAACAGGCTTCCATAATATTGACATTCATCTCAGTAGTCATTTACACCCTTCGGTCGAAATTACAGCAGCCTGTTTTCGTCTCTCGGTAGTTCGCTGTACAAGACATCGCTATGGGTAAGATTCTCCAACATACTCTAAATATGTCGTAGCAATAAGAACTGACTAGAACCTAATCAGCTATCCTCGTAGTCGCAATCATCGCCTTTTTTCTAGGATTCATATTTTCGTCTTACGCAACTCGTAGGCGGGCAGGCCGCTTAGCTCAGCTACGAGATCTGAACACTGAGACGAACGGTAGCATCAAATCAGGCCAGAGAGAGACCGACAACATCTCAAGTTCGCCGCAAGATATCGAGATCGCTCCTATCTCTAGCACCACTGAAGCCAACAATGACCAAAACTCTAGCCATGACCAAGATAATTCAGGCACCGATAATGGTTCTTTGATTCGACATGAGAGCAGCTCTGACCTTACGCTCGATGTGCTCCATCACAAGCCAGCTTCACGGCTACGCATTCCTAAATCCAAATCATACGAGGACATCTCTGAGGTTACGCGAAGTTTTGGAACGACCAACGACACGACGAAGTCTCCTCCTCCCCAAGTGACGTTTCTGGATTGGGTGGATAAGACAGCATAAACAGGAATTGAAAGATGCTATGCTCATGGGCGAGTTCGATTTGGGGCATAGGACTGGTATGTCTGCGGTTCAAGCAGAGGACGCAGAGACAGATCATGCGAACACGGCAGACGGAAACATAGAAGATGAGAAGACAGCAAAAGATGAGAGAAACCCGGTGCAGCTTTCAGCAACAGATCAAGGCACACCACGCCTTACTGGCGATCCTGTCTTCCAGCAAATCGTTAAAGCAAAATACCAGCCGTATGTCCACAACACGTCCGAATCAAATGCAGAGTAGAGACGCCTCTTTGCTACATTTGGGACAAGAAGAGGTCTAGGTATGCCTTGGGAAGGTGCAGGGGAAATTTACCAGTAATGATGACAAGACGAGAGAGAGAACAGAATATGATTGCTACGTCGAGGACATGGTGGGATTGTAGTACTGGGTTCAGTGTCTTTTATTACACTCGTTTGAGGGTTTTGTTTTGTGTACTTCATTTCTTATTTCTTTGGCGGTGGGATGTTTGGGGTCAGTTGGGAAAGGAAAGTAAAGAGTGGATGAGCGGAACAAAAAAAGTGGAGGGGTGAAGTCGACAAAATTGAAGGGAAGTGTTGGTGTTGTCGGTGAATTAAACTCTAGATTTGGAAATTCTTAGACGCGTTAGAATGAGATGGAGCACTCTGGCTACAATGTATACTTGATTTATAGGAGTAACGCTCAATATGAGGCTTGTGACTACGTTGGCGCTGCGATGTGTACATAGTTGCGGGATCATACTCTGGAATTAGGTCTTCTGAAACACGAATAAAAGATGAAGTTCCTTCGAGGCACAGAAAGAATGAAAGAACTTTCAAACTCCGCCATGACCAGTCACATAGACGCATTAAATGAGTTGGTTTCACGAACATTGGTAGGAAAATGGTGATAGTGCGGAGAATGTTGACATTCGGTTCTCGCGTTCTTTAGATATCGAGATCGATACCTTCCTAGCCCCAATTTTGGTGTCTATCGTAGTGTCCATAGCGCATATCTACGCGCTGATAAAGTCCCATGCCGACTTGACAGACATCAAGACCATCACGTGATGCGCCAACATCCAGAGCGCACCATAGTACCTGCCCTTACCACCCTCGCTGCCACTGTTGGTGTATCCGATCGCATAAACGACCCTGTTCACACTCCACACCGCGCCCAACACAGCAGCCGTGGTGGGGTACTTCAATCCGGTTATCAGCATGGCTGCAAGTGCGGTAGGGTGGTTCTCGTTAAAGTTCTGGTGCGCGCGTTGGGCCGCGTTGAAGGCGAGCATGAGGTTCGCGTTAGTGGGCGAGGCGGTCTGGACTTGCTCGTAGGAAGCGTATTCGTAGGGGTAGGGGATCTTGGCTGCCTTGCGGAAACCGCCGACGCGCATGCCGTGCCAGGTGCCTACGAAGAAGGTGGATACGGCTGCGAGCAGGACGTAGCTGGTTGAGTGTTAGTCAATGGTATTAGAAGTTTGTGGGCGCTACGGAAGGCTCGCTGAAAGTACGCAAATAGTGTAATTTGGGCAATTGGGGGACTGTAGAGTACAATGGGGAACTATACGTACCCATACTCATTGGGAATATCAACAATCGCCATTTTGTCGTTGTCTTCTTCGGTTTCAAAGGTCGCTCGTTTGTTTACTCGAAATGGTTGTTGGAGTTCAAGTTTAGCTCAATCGTTGTTCTGGATGCTCTGTTGAAATCAGGAAATTGCTTGGCTCTTATACGCTTTTTCTGTATCGCAATGGAAGCTGATGGTAACGTAGGGAGCCAATTCCAAGCTGGTCGGACGCTGTGACGCGGACGAGTTTCATCGGAGGGCGGGCAGTCGGCTCAACATCTCGCCGGCGGTGCTTTGCGCGACGTTGCGCGGTAGAACTCGAGACATCGTTGATTGCATACTACGGACTAAATTTCATACGAGCATGCGTATGCGATCGTAGCTATTGGTTGCCCAGTGAAGGTTTGAGGGTATACGAAAGAGTGAGGTTGTACTGCATGTAAGACTGGTGGGGCGTAAGCCGTGGTAAGCCTAGCATCAGAGATCAAAGGGTGTATGTTAAAGGAAACAGAAAATTTAAGATATAAAGGCGGCGGTACGGGAACATTTTGAATATGTATTGTTCCTCCTACGAGCTCGTCATTTCTCCTTCGGATGACGACGGATGTTCCCATGCATAGACTCCTGTCCGATGCTCGATGTACGAATCATGACACGCCAGCCTTGGCTACCTATGTCAAAGACCTTCACAAGTGGTACGAACATCTTTGCAAACTAGCATGGATTGGAACGACCCTGGATGCATAGCTGCGTCGCTAGTTGTCTTGTTCTGGAGCGCATCGCAATTAGACTAAGGTCATCTTCAGGCCACATCGACCAATCGTCTAGCCTTCGTGGCCAACATTACGAGAGTACCGCATTATGGCGATGCACTCAGAACAGCCATCATAGTAGTCTTTCACGGACGTATGCGGTTTCTTCTCCTGATAGGATCCGTAGTCGTCGCATTGTGTGTCGTCCGAAATAAGCAAGTGGTCCATGTCGCTCACTTCTCCCCGTTGATCAACGCGTGTGACCCATCTACATTCTCCTTCCCACCAACTGGCTGCGTCTTTGCCAGAGCCTCGATCATCTCTGCAACTGCCAGCGCCTTTGTCCGGTTCGCCTCCTCGTCTGCAGGATTCGAGAGCGTGTCGAGGCCCCCAAAGAGCCAGAGTTCCTGAAGATCTCGTATGAGGGTTGATATGTCCTGAGCAGTTTTGATGAGACCTGCAGCCTGCTCCTTGACTACCAGCTCTTTATGCGCAGAAGTCGCGTAGTCGTACGCGCCGTTGAGACTTGTTTGCCCGGCCGGGGCGTAGTCGCTCGTCTCCTCCATTCTGATAGTTCGCAGGATAGTGGAGAGGTAACCGTCGCCGCCCCAGGGGTCGGCATTCCTGTTGTCCGCGATCGAATTGCAGAGTTGCTCGGTCTTTGCTGTGAATGTATTAGCAGATGCTCAATGGAATGCATACGCTAAAGTAGTGTAGGTATTGAGCTTCTCTAAAGGGTAAAAGAGGACCATATAATTAATAACAGTTGATCTACTCACCAAGCAAAGCTTCTTTGGTACGTTCTGCAGGATTCATGGCTGATGTCTAGGTCGAGTGTAGAATGTCCGTGAAACACCTCCGCGGTGGAGAGCTTATCGATAGCTGTAAATCCTGGGTCCGTGCTTCGGTGAAGTTACACCGAGAAGAACATTCGAACTAAATCACGGAGAGATGTGTGGAGCTGAAAATTTCTCTTCGACTCCTGTCAGAGAGGTCAAACTGTCTACCTAGATCTAACGGTCAAGGGCGGCCTCCTCAGACCAACACTATGTACCGCGGTCCTTCGCACATTATGGATCGTGTCTTGGTGTAATGTAACGGGTTCTACAAGAATGACACAGGTGGGATTATGACCCGCTAAGCTCCTGTGATGAGACGGTCATGGGGTTCGACTTTCGTTGGTTCACAACATGTAGTGAAGTTGTACAGGTGAGTTAATTGCCGGCGCGACTATCATCGCGGAACGCCTAATGAAGGAGATAGTCCTTCGTTATGCAGCTATTCCAAAGTAGGACCGGAACAAACATTAGATTTAGATTAAGGTTTAAGTCCATCGCGCAATGAAACAACCGCTTCAACGGCTGATCGTCAGGAACCACAGCCCGTCCCAGCCAGCACAGGCCCGCTCGCTACCCACGATGTCATCTCGATCTGGATGAAAACGGGCCGGACATCAACATACTTCGCGTAGATCTTCCTCTTCTATAGTTTCAACTCTTCATTGGAGAGATTTAGACATGCCGGTTTTGAGAGGAAAGCGTGCTACGAGACGTTACGTTACCGTCTTACAGCTAACGGCTAGTACCCACGGCTGGGAGGACGTCTGATACCCATTCCCCATACCTGCTAGATTCTGATAGGGCCCGTCGTCTCCTTCATTAGCCATTTCTACTTGTGGCCAGCTGGTTGTGTAAGATTGGAGTAGTCTAGAAGATTACCTCGCTGGTTAAACGTTGTAATTTGCTAATCTCATGAGGGTCCCTGGAGGCGCCCTGGTGACTAACTGAGAGTTGATTTCAGAGCGCAATGGGGAGAGTATCGTCCGACTGAAGATGCATGCTCAACGTATCTCTTGCAGCACTGAGCGGACCAATGACTTTGCACAGAAGTCGGCAGCCAGTTGTTGAAGTTTCGGTTGCGTGCCATGTATCAACATGGTAGTGACGGGTGTCGCATGGGCCGTAGAGACAAACCCCATGCGCGTAGGTAGCAGCAAAGCAGTGATGATATTGAGATTATATAGATAGATCAGCAGAAGCGTTAAACATGTGCCATGTAGTCGTCGTTGTCGTGTGGACGGGGTCAGATACGCGCCGTGTTTCGTGAGGACTTGCGGATCGTCGCCAAGCGTTATTGCGTCAGGCTTGGAAGGAAGGAGCGTCACCCCGAGGCGAAAGCTGTTCCAATTCATCTTCACTGCGTCGGTGGCATCCCCCAGCACTACGCAATATCCTTAGAGCGTACTCCACACAGCCCGGCAACACTCAGGGTTCACCGGCGGTGTTGCGGCTCTGCCTGTTGCGATCCAGGCTTTGGCTGCCAAGCACTAGCTCATCACCACACGTCGAGACCGCCCACCCAACTCCTCCGAAGCGATCCATCCACCACGCCCATTTCTAGCGAGTTTGCTCTCACCTCTGCGCGTCCCGGGGTGTTGTAGTACATCGGACGCCTGCCGCCGCATCGTAGTCGCTACGAGGAGCCCGCTCTCTCCATCCATACACGCGCGCGCGACCCGAACCACTTCGCCTCCACACGCTCCAAGTTTTCGCACCGGCCTCGACTCGTCGTCTATTCGATACTGCGCACATAGTCGCCATCGCGCGCCCGTGTGCTGGACTGGGGACTACAAATCCAGCGAGCGTGTGAATTATGGCTCTGGCGCCAGGCGATCGTAAGCGCGTCAAAGTCTATGAGCTCAAGAACAATGATTGGTTCGATCGGGGCACGGGTTTCTGCAGAGGGGTCGTAACAAGCGTAGGTCACATCCTCTGTCTATATGCTGCATTGCAAATTCTGCGCCGTAAGGCGGGCATCAGGGTCCGCACGCGCTGCACTGTTCTAGGCTGACTTGTGCGACCATAGCAGGAGGAAGCGAGGATCCTTGTTCTCTCCGAGGACGACCAGACGCGACAGTTACTGGAGACGCGGATCTCAAAAGACGATGGTTACCAAAAGCAGCAGGGTACGAGCGCGCCCATACATAGAAACACCAAGGCAGCGGCTAAACGTGCACAGATACGCTTATAGTATGGACCGAGCAAAATGGTACCGACATGGCCCTCAGCTTTCAGGAGCCAGAGGGCTGCGCCAGTATATGGTGTGTACCTAGAACCTTTCTTGGACGCGGTCATTGTATTAATGCTGGACAGGGATTTTGTGAACGAAGTGCAATCGCGGTTGCAAGCGCTCGCGCAGGGTATGTCATGTCTAGTGCGCATAAATCTTTTCACTCTAACTAAGACGTAGACGATGGCCTCTCAGACGACATCGACCACATTAGCCCCATACTGCTTCCTAATCCTGACCTCGGCAACCTGCACGAGATCGAGAACCATATGCGCGCAGCAAACTCCACGCCCGGTGGTCGCGAAGCCCTAGCAAAGTTCATTCTCGCCCAGAACTACATTCCCAAGTTGATACCTTTGGTAGAGATGGCCGAGGATCTTGAGAGCGTGTCAGATTTACATCGACTATGTAGCATCATGAAGATGCTCATCTTGCTCAACGACACCTCCATCATCGAATACGTGGTCACAGATTCGGTGGTACTGGGTGTAGTCGGGGCCCTGGAGTGTGAGTAGCAACAAATTGTGATATGACGGCACATGTGCTGACGTTTGATAGATGACCCAGATTTCCCATTGCACAAGGCTAATCACCGCCAGTATCTCGGCGACGAGTCCAAGTTCAAAGAGGTGGTCAAGATAGAGGATGACAGCATCAAGAGAAAGATCCACTACACATACCGACTACAATATCTGAAGGACGTCGTACTCGCGCGCATTCTCGACGATCCTACATTCTCTGTCCTCAATTCGCTCATATTCTTCCACCAAGTCGATATTGTTCAGCATCTACAAGCGAATGGACCATTTCTCAAGGAGCTTTTCGGCATCGTTGGACCCAAAGAGCAAAGTCTGGCGCGAAAGAAGGACGCGGTGCTTTTCATTCAGCAGTGTTGCACCATTGCGAAGAGCCTGCAGGCTAATAGCCGGGCACAACTATACCAGAACTTCATCAGCAATGGTTTGCTGGAAGTGATACAATTTGCGCTTAAGCATCAGGATGCCTCCATACGCTTGGCCGGGATTGACACACTAATTTCCCTCATCGACCACGATGCCCTGATGGTGCGGAGCTATATTTTTAAGGCGATCCAGGAGAAGTCGAAACCACTGACTGATACCATCATCGAGTTGCTCTTGATTGAAGTAGACCTGGGAGTTAAGGCGCAGATGGCGGATGCCATCAAGGTCCTACTCGATCCCAACGCCAACTCGGCATCAATAGAAGCGCTCGGGCGGACGAACAGCGACTTCCTGGCGAAGATGAGGGGCCAATTACCATCCATACCTCAAACGGACTCCTTCATACAGAACTTTTACGATGAGTCCGCACGGAAACTGTTCCAGCCTCTTAAGGACCTCGAAGGCCGACAGTCAAGTAAGCTTGCTAATCCTATCTTGGACATACTCATGGCTAACAAGCACTAGTGGACGATCTTACCATGCAGGAAGTGTCATTATACGCTCATCTGGTAGAAGTTCTTTGCTTCTTCATCAGACAGCATGCCTACCGCAGTAAATATTTCGTCCTGTCGGAAGGCCTGGGGGCACGGGTCGCTCAGCTCATGGATTGCCCAGAGAAACATCTAAAGCTGAGTAAGTTATCGTACGGCTTCTCCTAGTTCATCACTGACAGATTTTAGCTGCACTCAAGTACTTCCGTACTGTGATTGGATTCCATGACGAGACACACAACCGTCAGATTATCCAGCACCAATTGTTCGAACCGATCTTGAAGATTTTGTTCGACACAATGCCACGCGACAACCTCCTAAACTCAGCATGTTTAGAACTGTTCGAATTCATCAAGCGTGAGAACATCAAAATGATTGTCCAACATCTCGTCGAAACCTACCGAGAGAAGCTACAGGGGATAACTTATGTCGACACTTTCCAAAACCTCATACTGCGATACGATCAGATGCACGAACCAGTGACTACCCAAGAGCTGGACCACTCGTTTACTAGTGTAGACAGCGATACACCCGCTCGGCACGTTGGAGCTGTCAACGGTGGAAAGTGGGGCCAAGGTCTTAAAGACGTAGATGCAGACGAAGAGGCCTACTTCAATGCGTCAGACGACGAAGACGAGAACATTTCTGGTACCGGAAAGCCTGTTCTCAACGGAGCTTCGCCCGTGCGACCTCTCGTCAACTACCCTGACGATGATGTCGACGAAGATGACATGGACATCCTCGCAGCAGACGTACCCATCTTAGTCCACAAGATGTCAGCGGCAACGCAGACTCCAGAAAAGACTACGTCACCTGTATCGGCATCCGCTGGATCACCACCTGAACGCATCTCGGAGAAGCGACGCAGAGAAGAGGATGAGGAGGACGAGCTCCTTGCAAACATTTCTACGACTACTGGGCCCAAGCGCCGCGCTTCGACATCTAGCAACACAAGTACAGGCAGCTTACGGAGCCTCCGTCGAAAATCACCAAACATCAACTCCGGCAAAGACGGCGGTGGAGGACCGAAAAAGATATCATTGTCTATACCAGTAAAGAGCGGTGGTGAGGGCGGGGAGGGTGAATAATACTGCACCCCGAGACGAGGAATGGAGTATGTGGAGGCCTTACCATGTCTGCTGCACAGCACGCCTTTTACTACTTACAGGATACCCATTGGAAATTCGGATCACGCGATCGAACTATGTATGAGCTGTGCTTTATAGGATCTTGCTTCTTGACACAAATGAATCGTACGGGAGCGGCATTGGAAGGTGTATTTATTGGCGTTCGGTATGTCCAAATTCGGCGAGAGATATGGGCTGGTATGATGGGATGATGTAGGCAAGCGAGCGTTTGGAGCCTTGTGCAGGTGTTGGATTCTTCAGTGCGCATCAGAGGGTCCAAGGCCCGTGTATTATACCTTTAGCCGTCTTCCTACGGGAACGTGAAAGTGGAGTAAACCTACAATCAATGTTGTGCAGATTTGTGAGTGATGTACATCATTAGTAGGCCACGTTGGGAAGCCCCCATTCCTGCTCTATCTACACTTGTTTATATTTACTTCGCTAGGCACTGTTTTAGGCTAACTTTCCGGAGCAAAGCGAGCCATGGTATGTGAGTAGCGCTACCCGGCCGTTATGCAGGGTCATGTCACGTTTCTTCGTGTCGCGACTTAGCGTGTTTCTCCTCTTGCACGTCATCTAATTTCTAAACGATACCCCTCCGTTTATCCTCCCAACCAAGTATACCCACCCTAGCAACCGTACAGTCTACTTCGACGCAACAAATTGGTGTCCCTCGAAGCCAACGGCGCAATGTTCAATCCCCCCTCGCTACCCGCCGCACAATCAGAACAAGCAAATTCGAGCCAGTCGACATCTGCTGCCAGCAACGACGCGTCCACAATGCCTCCAACACCATCCCTTACGCTCATACTCGCCGCAACACCTAGTCTCGGCATAGGGAAAGGAGGGGGTCTACCATGGCCGCAATTGAGGAAAGAAATGGGGTACTTTGCTAGGGTGACGAAGCGCGTTTCGCCCTCGTCATCAACATCACCATCGTCATCGCCAGCGAATCACAGTGTGCGACGAATCAACGCAGTGCTCATGGGCCGCAAAACATGGGCCTCAATTCCGGCATCGTTTAGACCGCTGAGAGACCGGGTGAACATCGTCATTACACGGCAGCCCGAGGCGTTTCAAGCCCAACTGGGCAAGGACAATGGAGGTGTAGAAGGCCCGCTAGTGTGCTCAGGCATCGTTGATGCGCTGTCGCGACTTGAACAGCTGCGCAGGATAAACGATGAGAATGTACATGTTGAGCGCATTTTCGTGATTGGTGGCGCGAGCGTGTATCAGAGTGCGCTGGAATTGCCGCAGACGAAGCGCGTGCTGCTTACCAGAATACAAAGCGAGTATGAGTGCGATACATTTTTCCCGGTGGATGTGGAGTCGAGTAGTGTGTGGAGAAAGGTGGGGAGGGATGGGTTGAAGGAGTTTACGGGCGAGGATGTGCAGGATGAGGGGGTGGAGGAGAAGGGTGTGAAGTTTGAGTTTTGTCTGTACGAAAGGGATTGACGAGGGGTGTAGAGGGGCGCATTGATGAATAAATGACATGTGCGACGCATTTCTTTCTTACATATTTGCTTACCCTCTGTTCTCCCATGGTGTCTTTCCCTTCCCTGCGGTTCAGTAGGTAGACGGGAGACGATATATCATAATGAATAGACTACGAATTAGCACAAAATGGCATACACTGGCACAATATTCTGAAAGCATTCGTACAGTCTGATTATATTTGGACAAGGTATGTAGAATGCCCGGATAAAACGATATATATATATGTGTGCGCAAGCGGCATAAGACCAGCCCGCAGTCTCAGTCTTGACACCTAAACATAACACCACCCTGTAACAAAAGTTAAAAGAAATGGGGTATCTAAAATATAACCAGCACTCGTGTCGTCCATCGACTCATACAACTCACCACTGCCTCGCCGTAACAGCCCTCACAGCAATGCCCTCGATCCGCCGCCGATAAACTCTCATCTGATGCTTCAACGGATCTCCATAGACTACTTTCTTCAACATTTCATCATCGACCGTCACAGCCTCGACGTCTTCTTCGCCTCGTTTACTCCCAATTCTTTGTCGCAGAACGACGAGACGGCCAGCGGGCGAAAGACTGCACAGTGGGATGGGCCAAGCGGGGAGCGTGCAGGGAGGAGGGTTGGTAGACGTAGCAGCGGAAGAGGATAGAGTATTATTGGTTTGCAGAGACGATTTGGAAGGGCGGGTAAGGCGATGCGGGAGGGAGATTTTGAGTTTAGATTTGGGCGGTGCGGAACATGACGGTTGCGAGAGGTTGATTTTCGACATGGACGTTATGGTTGAGGCGAGTGTGGATGCAGCGGGCGCGGGACTGGCGTAGAGTTTCAGTAGGCTTTTGACTACGCCTTTGTCTGCGCGCGGGACGGGATCGCCTTCGTTGATGAAAGCGTAGAAGAGGCTCTTGCGATGGCGCTTATCAGTAGGTTTGGCCAGGGGTCGCAGAGTAACGGGCGGCGCGCCAAACGTAATGCAGTGCACGCGCTTGAAGAAGCTGGTAAGGTAGTTGAGCTCCGACTCGATCTTCGTGCTCATCATGTGCGCATACAGCAGCGCTGCGACCGCTCCGCCAGCAGAGTGGCCAGTGATGAGCAAGCTGCAGTTTGACCGGGCGGGATTTTCCTGCAGGAGCACTTTCAGGCGGTCGGCCACGGGCTTAACCATCTTCTTCGCTACGTAGAGAAAGCCCGCGTGGCATAGATTGGAAGGATCGTCGAGGAAGTTTTCAGGGCTGTTGGGCGCAGAATTGTAGTTGACGGCCCAGTCCATGAATGTCTGGCTGCCGCGGATGGCAAAAACAATCGTGTTCAGGTCCTCTACTGGCACGGACTTTAGCACCATGGCTTTCGTGCCGCTGCGCCAGTCGGCGGGGATGTGCGTTTCCGACTCGCTGGACTTGGAGCCTGGAGGTGTGTATACGCGCTCAGAGTACGTCGCTGCTAGGCAGAGCAGAGGGTAGGTAGGCATGTACACTTTGAAAGGCGGTAGGTGCGGTGGTAATCGCGAGTTAGAGTAAAGCCAGACTTTTGAGAAATGGTTTGATCCTTTATCGCCACCTAGCATTGGATAGACATCGTTGGGTGCCTGCCCCCTAGAACTAGCCTCACCCAGAGGCACGCCTGAACCCGAGGATTCTTGTGACTGATTGTTGTAGATCATGAGATCCTGCTCTTTCCCGCTAAACCGCTCATCATCGATACTAGTCATGACCGAGTCGAACTTTGTGCTGATGATATCGCAAAGCGCTGCTCCACGGCATAGAGTTTGCATGCTCTTCATCGCAACCGCGTGGGTCGGCCTCTCGATATAATTCGATGTCAGTTTCGTCACGCTCTTCCCGGCGCCCTCTCGCAGATCAGCGTACGATCTGGCAGCCATGCGATCGATCCTGTCCCAGTGTTCTTTAAAGGGTCCTTCTTCGCGAGGCTTCTGGGGCGGAGGTGACGTGAACCGTACTGCTGATTGGCTAGCGTAGGGCGAAACAATCTGTACAGGCGGCGATCCGTATTGGGCGGGATATTGAGGCATCTGGCCATACACTGGATGCCGAGGAGGACTTGTGGAATAGCTATGGTGACCTGGCGGTGGCCTAAGCGTATTCTGCACATACGGGTCTACAAAGTGGGTCGGAACCGTCTGAGCCGCGGGCGTATAGCCCTGAGTATATAAATTTGGCACTGACGGCGAAGCATGCGGCTTTCTGGTTGTTGATCGGGACTTTGGCGCCTTAGAAGATGTATGCGAATGCTTCTTCCTACTCCGTCGCTCGGGTTCGCTTGGGTGTTGCGCCATGGTTAGAACTCCTTGGTCAGAATGCAGCAGGAGCCGGGAAAGTAAACCCTAATTCCTAAAATGCGTGAGTCGATTCAAAGTCCGTTCAGCGTGCTACTCGTCGTCTTCGTCCTGTTCGTGTCGCATGCAGGAACCCAGTCATAGCCGTGATCGCGCAACCGAGGCTCGCATAGGTAGAAGCTTCAAGACGTCCCTCTGTCACAGTAACCCTTCGCACTTGTGAACAAACCAAAGAGACCGTGAAACAACAACAAAGGGTATCAGGAAGGCGTGGAAGCTGAAAGACGTCGAAGTTCCAACGGCGAGGCCCGGCCCTTAAAGATGTTTCGCTGCATGGGTGCATGCACGCGTGTGACAAGCCTCGCATAGCCACCGCGCGAGCCTTCCCACTGGATCGGTTGCACCACCCTGCTTAGAACATGAAAAGGCAAACCAGCGATCTTCCTCCTTGATTGGGTGGCTCGTTGCTGGGCGATTGTTTCGAGGATGCTAAGTGGACAGCGGTCAGATGTGCGCGTGAACCGGATTCAACCTTGGAAGATGGGTGTTCACCGCTTCGAATCATGCTTTCTAAGGCCAGTCTAAGAGGTGCCAATATCTTTCGTCCTACGAAGAGAGGGATACAAGGTCGAGAACAAACAGTGAGATTATGAAAGAAATGACCGGTTTCAAGGCTCCTGTTCTATTCCTGTCCTTGGCTTCCTTGATCTGATCCAGGAACGCGAATCCTTTCCCCATCTTAATTCCACCGATATGACCGATCAACATGAAAACTTGCCACAACCAAGCATCATCCTCGCAAGATGACGGATACGCACAGATCCGCCTAGGGATCACCACCGGCTTCCCCGTGCAGGAACGCATCAAAATCGACATAATAATGTATTGTAGCAGCTTATAAACATGCCGCACCGAGTCAAAATCGAATGAGGCGTTAGTCTACGTTATTCAAAATACAACAACTATGCGAAGCGCGGCAAATCTCCAACTACACAACTCATCTCTCCCTCGCGCTTATAAAGCGGTCCTGTTCCTCCTCCCTCTCCAACAAGCCGCGTTCCTCACTCTCTTCATCGACCCCATCCCTCTCCTCTCGCAGTCCCCCTCTCCCAACACCCAAGCCCGCGCCGCCCTCTGCTCGTTCCTCTTCCACCTGTTCCTCCATGCCATTCATCACATACCAGACATCCTTCTTGGTAAGTAAGCCCCTGAGCGTACCGCGGTCGGTGAACAGGACATAGCGCAGCCCCAGTTTCTGGAACATGCTGACTGTGAGTTGGAAACTTGCTTTGGCGTTTAGTGTGATGGGCGTTTGATCCATCCACGGCCGTAGATCAAGAGACATGGTTGGGTCGGAGAGTGGTTGGTGGGAGAAATATGCGTCTGTCTCATCTGAGAGATTTCGGGGCGGTGTGAGGGCTGCTTGAAGCGCGTATTGAAGCTCCGTGCGGGAAATGTAGCCGAGGAGAAGAGCGTCGCGGGAGTTGTCAATGACGGGGAAGCCACGGAAGCGGTGTTTGGTAAGCATTTTGCGGAGAGAATCAATCGTGTGGCCCGTTGCAGTGATGGCGGTCAGGTCTTCGATACGTGTCATCACGTGCGCGGCGGACACGTCAGGAATACTCGAGCCGTTATCGTCACGGTTGTCGAGGAAGGGGTACCCTTTGAAATGGATCCAGGATTCGTAGATGCCACGCGGAGAGATTGCATCGCCAATCCATTTGCTAATCATAACAGCAATCATAATGGGCAGCACATAGGTAAGTGCTCCTGTGAGCTCGAACATGATGACAACGATGGAGACGGTCATGCGTGTTGTTCCTGCGAGTGCGGATGCAGCGCCCACAATGGCGTATGTCCCTGGTGTCACGCAAGGTACGTCGGGCGCGCAAGAACCGAAGATGAAGAGAGACGGCCAGGCTTGCTGGAAGACTGAGACGCTGAGCCCAACGGCGCGACCGAAGAGGCCGCCAATAGCCATGGAGGGGAGAATGATACCAGCGGGTATCTGCAATCCAAATGTGAAGCTTGCCAGAAGAATGCCTAAACCTGCCGAGATGAGAAGCAGTGCTACTACGCCGGTGTTCGCCTTTCCGGACTTGCAAAGGCCAAGCGTATCTTCCGTCAGGTCTGCACACTCTGCGAAGAGTATATGCACAAGCTCGGAAGCTTGCGCGCGCATGAACTTGATTGGAAAGTTGATCAAGGCCGTGACGAAAGACACAATGACGACTTCAGTCACTGGTCCTTTGAGATACTGCCGATGTTTTCGCCATTCGGCAACGCTCATGTTGAGCTTGATGAACAGGCCTCCAAATAGACCTCCCAATACGCCCAAAAAGGCAAAGGGCACAAGTTCAAAGTCGTGCCATACACTGTGGTAGGTAACCTGATATAAGACAAGTTTGCCAGTGTGGAATGGGTTGCAAGCTTGCAGCGTGACGGCTGCGACCATGGCGCAGACGAAGCTACTCCACATCGTCTTGTCGGGGAAGTAGTAGGACAGTTGCTCGAGGGAGAAGAGTACGCCACCGACGGGTGCACCGAAGGCGACTGAGATACCAGCAGCGGCTGCTGCAGAGAGAACCTCGCGTTTCCGCGCTAGAAAAGTTTTAGCGAGGCTGTCGAGAATAATTGAATAGTTAGCTAACCTTCATTGTTATTCACGTTACTGAAGAGTTTCATGAAGAGGTTAGCCGAACAGCATGCCACGTGCACTAGAGGGCCTTCTTTGCCTAGCCATAGGCCTGATGCGACCGCAAGACACTGTAGTAATGAGCATTAAGATCATAGAGTTGAGAGCAGCAACGTACCAAGCCGAGAGTTTTCGTGACCAATGTCCAGCCTCCTAAGAAATGCCGTATAACAAACCCTCCCAATACCGTCTTGATCTCAGGGATACCGCTGTGCATCGCGTACGGAGAGAACTCTCGAATCAAAAGGCTGGCGCATGCAGCGAACAGCACCTACTGTTGTAAGCACTTCCATATCAAATCACAGAGAGGACCCACTCACCGAAAACAGGATGAAGAAGATATACTCGACGATCCATTTCCCACCCACACTGCCAATCCCCATTGCTTCACCCCAGGAATTCCAATCGTGACACTCTTGCATTTCGGCGATTCCCCAGCAGCAAAACCCCTTGCTCAGATAGAATCGCCCATCGCCATCAACATTACTGCAGTACCCCGTCTTCTGGTCTGCCAACCAATCGCTCGCTATATCAATGAAGGCCGCGATGCCTCCGCTGAGTATACCCGCAGCGACTAGAATAATCCAGACTTGGCTTGCATCTGCAAGCTGCTTCAAGTGCCCCAGTACCCCGGTTGCGCCAGAATACAGGTACCGCAACCGCTGTCGTTCTTTGGCGTACTCGAAGATCCAGTCAATCGCCGTGAGGTCGTCGTAGCCCACGCGCCGGCCCGGGCCCTCGACATACCAGTCTAGCCCGGTTGCATCTTTCGTGTCCTGGAGGTGTTCGCCCGCGTTACCCGGCGTGTCGAGGTAGTTGAGGATCAACTCGGTGTCGCTGTTTGCGCGCGGCGTGTTGCGAAGCTGTTGGATGCGGGAATTCGACGAGCCGGGGAGAGGAGAGTGGCGAGCACTAGGAGTTCCGACGGGGGACGACGAGGAGAAGAATCGGGGTAGGCCAAAGGACGAGGACGATGCGGTGGGCTTCTGTTTGCGCTTGAAGGAGATTCTGGGCAGCGCATTAGCATCTTGGCATGTGTAATGTAATGAACAGATGGAGTGTGCGTACTGCTCAGGGAGGTCGCGCTCTAGCGGATCGTCTGCCAACAGCGCCTCCTCATCGCTGTGGTCGTCGTCGACCGCGGGCTGCTTTCCATTTGATGTGCGGCTCGACGAAGCTTCAGTGTGTCCGAGCGGAGACCGGCTGGGTGACGACCTGGACATGCCCTCGACATATACTCTGGGATAAGCTAGGGCGCATTCTCAAGCCCTTGTTTCGTGACGTGACAAGACGGCGAGTTATCTGCTGGTATTCAGATGCGTAGGGCTGAGGTCCGATAAGACAAACACGACAAACACAAGATGGCTCGTGTACGGTCGGCGAAACTCAAGGCATTGCGACCGTGCCTAGGCACATCCAGCGTAAACGCACATCATGTCTCAAAATGTACGCATGATATTCATCAATCAGACTATAATACAGGTCGGCGCTTCCTGCCATCCTACACGTCTCGTTTGTGCCAAATTCCCGGTTTACTCCTGGTTGAAGTCTACCACAGCCCGTCCAGCAATCTCACCCCGCCTCAGCTTCTGCACCGCTTCATCAAACTTGCTCAGCGGGTACACCGTGTAGATGGGCTTCAGCAGTCCTCGCTTGGCAAATTCCAGAGTCTTGTCGACATCGGCCATGCTGCTGACAAGTGTGCCCTGAACGCTTTGTTTCTTGAAGCACATCTGATTCGGATCGACGTCCATGTGGTAACTACCCACTGGTGGCAGACCAATGCACATTACTTTTCCGCCGACACGGCCGCCAAGATAGGATATAGAGGATGGGTAGGTCTGAACCGCCGTTACGAACACTCCATGTGCGCCCACACCATCGCAGATGCGGACCACTTCGTCAGCAACGCTTTCTACCTTCTTGAAGTCGATGAAATGCTCTGCGCCCGCGGTGTCGATACAGAGCTTCTGCTTGTCGTCACCAGTGTCAACAGCTACTGCGCGGAGACCCATGGCTTTTGCAAGCTGGACTCCCTGCATGCCCACGCCACCACCGGCTCCTGGGAAGACGGCCCAGTCACCTGGCTTCAGCCCGGATTCCTTGATCGAGGTGTAGATTGTCGAAGCAGAGCACATGATGGGGCCAGCAATATAGTCATTTACGCCATCGGGGATGAGCGTCGTGTATCGCTCGGGTGAGACGACGTACTGCTTGTACGAGCCGTCACACATGAGGCCGGTCAAGACTGCCTTTGTGCAGTAGCACTCGTCGCCGTCTCGACAGAGCGCGCAGACACCGCAGGTATCTTGAATGGGCTTTGAACCGTCAACGCCTGTTTCCTTCCGTCGGTACCCTGAGGACATTCAGCCTACCTTGAACCCAGCCCGCATACCAGGCTTCAGCGTCTTCACTTGATCGCCGACTTTGACAATGACTCCAGCCCCCTCGTGGCCTGCGCACTTTGTTCCGAATACTGACATCTTCGGTATCGCCCAGTCGTTCAACATGAAGTGGAGATCTGAATGGCAGATGCCGGTTGCATTGAGCTTGATTAGAACATCAGTGGGCCCTTCAGCACCGTCAGCTATTGCCGTTTGTAGTTTGGAGGAGTCGTCGAATACGTACCAGGCTCTGGCACTGGCACATCTTGAACCTCTACGTGAAAATCGGGGCCTTCATTAACCACTACGCCTGCTTTGCATGTCTTTGGGATGTCAAAGGTCTGTGCCTTCTCTTCTGATTCTGCCATTATGATGTTTCAAACGACTGTTGAGGGGGGTTTGGCAGGACTCGGGTAAGGCAGTGTGACGTTTGATGAAGCGATATAATGGCAAGTGAATTGAGTGGAAGCTGGCGTACATGTACCCCTCGTCCTACCTCTACCCCTCATTGGAGAGGGAAGCTACGCAACCCAAAGTACGGCAAGCACTGTGCACATTGTCATTGAGTTTGTCTTCCGCGCCAATGGGCAAAGGCAGAGTGCCGAAGCGTCGACGTAGTCTCTACCATCGCCCACACAAGGGACGTCATGGCAGAAAAGTTAATGCAGCGCTCACGAATCATATAGAAAGAGTCGAGCGCGGCAGCTTTCCGCATCCTCTGGCCTTGCATGTTGAATTGAATGGGTCTTGGCTATAGGACGAATCCCCCAGGTTGGAGAAGCATGCGGGGTGATGTACATGGGGAAGGCCGGCCGGTCAAGCCGGCACGACAGCACGTGCCGGATGGATTCATCAGTCTATTCACGCTGACACAATCTTCGACGTCTAGGTCCCTCGAATGTGTCAGGACCGCCAGCTTGCGCCAACACAGGTCCCGTTCCTGTTCTGCCCGCAAGCCAGGCGGACCTCGGCGTATGCTACGATCACGTGCACGCGTGTGGCGATCGATTCCTTGGTGGTTACCCACAGCTGGCCAATCACAGCGAGGAGGTTTGATCAAGGATTTCGTTTTACGAGCGGTTCCGCGAGGGGGGCGGGGTCTTTTGGAGGGCCCACTTGCTGCGCTTCCTTTGCTGGCATGGCATGTTCGAGACAAAAGGAAGGAAATGGAATGACAGACAGACAGTCTAGAGAGACAGTCTTGGAGCGCACAAGGCGCTGCACGAATGAGACATTCGGGAAGTGTCAACACGCCCACCTCCTGTCGAGCCTCCGGGCAGAAGACGCAATAGTGGGGGGCACCTGCCGGCACCCTAGGCGCAATTTAGCTAACGGATGCGGAGCACCTTGCAGCTGTGGGAGGGGCAAACAGCGAGTGGATGGCCAGATGATGATGCTTATGAATGGAAAAGCCCCACTACTTATATACACCACTCGCGGCTCTACACGCCCCATTGCAGCTTGTTTGCTTAACATCTCCTCTCACAACCACACACGACACAAGCATCCATCATGTCTAAAGGCGAGTGTCCCATGAAGGACGCCAATGTCGCCGGCGGCGGCACCAGGAACCAAGACTGGTGGCCAAATGAGCTCAAGATCAACATTCTCCGCCAGCACGACCCCCGGCAGAATCCGCTGGGTGCCGACTTCAACTATGCCGAAGAGTTCAAGAAGCTGGACTACGAGGCGCTGAAGAAGGACCTCACGGCCCTGATGACAGACTCGCAGGATTGGTGGCCTGCGGATTTCGGTCACTATGGTGGTCTCTTGTGAGTGGAGCCTCTTCATCCCAGTGACAATTGGCAGGCTGACGTCTTTTGGTAGCATCCGAATGGCATGGCACTCTGCAGGAACCTACCGTGTCACGGACGGCCGTGGTGGCGGTGGTGATGGCCAGCAACGCTTTGCTCCCCTCAACGCCTGGCCCGACAACGTCTCCCTCGACAAGGCTCGCCGCCTGCTCTGGCCCATCAAGCAAAAGTACGGCAACAAGATCTCCTGGGCCGATCTGATGCTCCTGACCGGCAACGTCGCTCTCGAGTCCATGGGCTGCGAGACGTTCGGTTTCGCAGGTGGCCGTGCCGACACCTTCCAGTCTGACGAGTCTGTATACTGGGGTGGCGAGACCGAGTGGCTAGGCAACGAGGTCCGCTACGCACGCGGCCACAAGGGTGTTGGGGGCGAGGGTGTCGTTGATGGCGACGAGCACAAGGTTGACCACAAGGACATCCACTCGCGAGACCTTGAGAAGCCATTGGCTGCCGCCCACATGGGTCTCATCTATGTCAACCCTGAAGGTGAGTTTGTCTCGTTCACATCTGGAACCCCGCAGTGTCTGACTACTTCTAGGTCCCGACGGTGTTCCGGACCCTCTTGCCGCCGCGCGAGACATCCGCACAACCTTTAGCCGTATGGCCATGAACGACGAGGAGACTGCCGCTCTTATCATCGGTGGCCATTCCTTCGGCAAGACGCACGGTGCTGCTCCTTCAGAGAATACGGGACCCGACCCCAACAGCGAAGACCTCGCAACACAAGGCTTCGGCTGGGTCAACAAGCACGGTCGTGGCAATGGCCCAGATACCATCACTAGCGGTCTGGAGGTCACCTGGACCGGCACTCCCACCAAATGGAGCAACAAGTACCTCGAGTACCTGTACAAGTACGAGTGGGAACTTGAGAAGAGCCCGGCTGGTGCCAACCAGTATGTCGCCAAGACCACTGACGAGATCATTCCCGACGCCTACGACCAGAACAAGAAGCACAAGCCAAGGATGTTGACCACTGATTTGTCCATGCGCATGGACCCTGGCTTCGAGAAGATCACTCGTCGCTGGCTAGACCACCCAGAGGAGCTTCACGACGCGTTTAGCCGCGCCTGGTTCAAGCTGCTTCACCGTGACATGGGCCCGCGATCGAGGTGGCTCGGTCCTGAAATTCCCAAAGAGGTCCTTATCTGGGAAGACCCTGTGCCTGCCGTCGAGGGTGAGGTCATTGGCGAAGCTGACATCTCCAGCCTGAAGAAGGCGATTCTCAGTGCTGGCATTGAGCCTGCGAAGCTCATCCGCACTGCATGGGCGTCAGCAGCTTCCTTCCGCGGTAGCGACAAGCGTGGCGGTGCCAACGGTGCCCGCATCCGTCTCGCTCCTCAAAAGGATTGGGAAGTCAACAACCCCAAGGAGCTCGCCGAGGTCCTCAAGGCCCTCGAGGGTGTCAAGTCCAAGTCCAGCAAGAAGGTCTCGTTGGCTGATCTGATTGTCTTGGCTGGTGTCGCCGCGCTCGAGAAGGCTGCTGGTGTCTCCGTTCCGTTCACACCTGGACGTACCGATGCCACACAGGAGCAGACCGACGCTGAGTCATTCGAGCACCTCGAGCCCGTCACCGACGGCTTCCGTAACTACGGCAAGGGCACCGACCGTGTCCGCACCGAGCAGTTGGACGTGGACAAGGCTCACCTCCTCCGCCTCACTGCACCCGAGTTGGTCGTCCTTACCGGCGGTATGCGTGCCCTGAACGCCAACTGGGACGGTTCATCCCACGGCGTTTTGACCAAGCGCCCCGGCCAGCTCACCAACGACTTCTTCGTCAACCTGCTCGACGTCAACACGGAGTGGAAGCCTGCCAGCTCTGGCAACCCTCCTGAGCTGTACGAGGGCAGCGACCGCAAGTCACGCCAGAAGAAGTGGACTGCCACACGCCACGACCTGATCTTTGGCTCGCATCCCGAGCTTCGGTCTATTGCTGAGCTCTACGCGCAGTCGGACAACACGGACAAGTTTGTCAAGGACTTTGTGGCCGCTTGGGACAAGATCATGAATAACGACCGGTTCGATGTGAAAACCAAGTCGGTGAGTGGTAAATTGAGTGCGCTGACCAAGCCTCGTCTTTAGAGTGCGATTCGTTTGCATTTGCGTTTCGCTCGTTTCGCTCTGAGACGAGGCACTCCGCTCGTGTCCGTTGACTGACGAGTTATGATAGACATGAATCCTTTACATAGAGCGTCAAAAGATACCTAGGTAGCGTAGTGTAGGATCAAATAGGCAGATAGGCAGATAGGATAGGATAGGTTATGAAATGGAATGATATGAAAGTATACAAACTGATTAATTGACACAACCATCATCTGCAACAAGATGTTGTTCCTCTTTGCTTGGTTATCTTTTATGGTTGAGGTCTAATAGGTAGCCTAGGCAAGAGTTGTGAAACCATCGAGAAGTCACAAGCTGCGTGCCGTTATGGCCAGCACTAGACTCGGACACTCTAACGCCCGTAGTGCGAGGCCCACCCATTGGTGTCGCATCTCAAGGGATAGTGAATATCTGGGGATGGCTGGGGAAAGCATGTGAAGAGCTGTGAGGATCCCCGCGGAAGACGCTGTATTGAGCCTACGGCATGGCGGAGGTGCCGTTGTACCGGTTCAGGTTGCGAACCTAGCGCCACTGCACTCACGTCACCCCTCTCAAAGTCCATCCAGAGCCCATGCAACCCCCGCAAAAGCAATGGAAGAGGCGGCAGAGGGCGCACGCACAGCCCTGCAGACAAAAGTGTGGGGACCGCCGTGCAACGCCCAACGGATCCTGTTACAAAGAAATCAATACGCTTGCTTCAACGGACCACGGTTCGGTGCGCCTCCAAGCTTTCACCCACCACTCCCCATCTCAACGCGCGAAACAGGGAAGCTGCGTTTGAATGGCCGAGGCGCCTCGCTCCTACCCTGTCTACTGCCTACTCCCTCTGCCTCTCCTTCTCTCTCCCCATCTCCATCTCATATCTCCCTTTCCACTGTCGTATCGAGGCGGGCAGTAGCGGGCTGCGTGTGTGAGAAAGGTACGTCTCTGTTGGGACTGCCGCTTCCAAGAATCTTTCCTCTCGTCGCCTGGCCTGGCCTGGCTACGCTGTAAGTTGCCTCTTCTCTGTCCCAACGACACCCATAAAACCCCTCCTCTGTGACACCTATTCCTCTTGTCTCTCCCCTCTCCTCGTTTCATGACCAAGCGCCCCCATCGTCAGCGTTTACGGGCTATCTGGCCCAGCTATCGACGACGACCATCATCCTCAACCACTGACGACATTCCTCCCCCAACAGACCTTTACGCCCACGACACCCACCCACGGCTGACCAGACACGCAACCGACCCTACCTCGACTAGCAGTCGCCTGCCTCCACTCTCAGTCTTCTCGTCGTCGTCAGGCAATCTACCATATGCCAATATGACGAGCAAGGCGACCATCACCTTCTCCCAGGCGGGCGTGCAGCCGCCCGTCTATGTCGTCACGTCTCTCGACGACTGGATGACACTCGAAATGGACGTGGAAGAGGAGCATACAGCATCTGGAGACGTTGTGTTCACAAAAGAGTTCAGCAATGTCGCAGAAGGCAGCTACCAGTACAAGATCCGGATTGGAGAGGGCCATTGGGTTGTGGACGAGTCCAAAGAGAGCGGTATGTCCATGCCTCTTATGTCATAGGTCTGCACTGACATCCCGCAGCTACGGACGAGCACGGTAACCGCAACAACGTCGTACACGTCAAGCCCGCGAGCCATGTCAAATCGACAGCCTCCACAGCCGACGCCCCAACAACGAAGGAAGTGACCTCGGATGTTGCACAACAGAACACGCCCCCAGAGCCACTTGAAGATCAACTGCCTAGTATCCCTGTCCCATTCGTAGTCGTGGAAAAGGTTGCGGATGAGGACCAGCCAGAATATGGCGATGCAGAACCCGAGAGTCTGCCCTTGGACGCAGCTAAGCGCACAGCTGATGCCGAGCCGGACTTTGAAGAGGTCAAGGTGGATCCTCCAGTCAACATCGACCCACCAAAATCGCCTGAAATCCCTCTCCTCGTCGTGGAGAAAACAGACGACAAGCCTGCTTACGGAGATGACTTTGGCGAGAATGCTACATCGTCCCAAAGGGCAGCGCATGACATGAGGTCTGCCGACGCATCACCAGATCGACTCGTTATTTCGTCTGACAACCACATGGAGCTAGAGTCGGACCAAGACGAACCTGCTCCCCTATTTCCACATGAATCACTTCAAACAGACGATCCACCGCCAGCATCCCCAATGGAAACCATCGATGAGGAGTCCTTACAATCTTCGGCTGACCGAACAAGCTCCAGCGAGGTTATCAATACGCCATCAGATCCAGACGAGTCGGACGACGGCAACGAGCTCGACCAAAGCCCACTTCTACCCCACGAAACCGGACTCGGCGATAGGAATGGCATACTCGACAACGGCCCGCTTCTCTCGCATGAAATTGGTCCCGACGACGACAGCGGGATAGCTAGCGACGAAGAAGACGAGTTCGACAGGGCCCCGCTGCTATCACATGAAACGGGTTTCTCGGATCATAGAGGAAGTGAGGTTACCACTAACAGTGGCTTCTTGGAAGATGATTATGACATGGAGCCGCAACACTATGCTCCTTACCGCGACGAGGATGAAGGCGTGGAGACCAGGACTTTCGAGCATCATCACGCACCGACGTTCTCCTCGCACGGTGATCAGGACGAGACACCTCTCCTTCCCCACGAACGCGACTCGGCTGTTGCTAGTAGCGCTGGCTCTGAACTGTCTGCAGATGATGCTCACTACCTGCAGCATGGACAACCCACGTTCGGATACGAAGGTGACAACGCTAACGACTTGTATGGAGGAGGTCGACGGTCCAATGTCTTTAGGGCGAGGACAAACAGTAGCACACTTCCACACAAGTTGCCGCGGTCCGATGCGGAAGATGAGAACTTGAATGATCCATCGCTCGAGCGCTTCCCAACCAGTCGTGAGCAGATCCTCGAGCGTGTGGCATCCATCGGTCATCACCTCCCCGAGGACGAAACGATCGAGGATGATTTGCACTCGCCCCAGCTGTCTGTTTTGTCGCAGGCATGTTCTTCGGTTGAGCTCATGCCGGTTAAATCTTACACTTCGTTAGCGTCTGTTCCCGAAGCCGACGATAGTGACGATGAAGATCAGGATGTGGAGAGTCTGCCTTCGCCAATAACCTTCAGTAGCGCGCGCCAAGTTCTAGGGTACGCTCGAGACGCGCTGGCAACGCCTGTACCTGACGATCGCAAACAGCTTGGACTCGTTGAAGAGAAAGTTCAAGTGCCGAGCGCTCGTACTACAGAGTCCAGCGAAGCCGACAATATCGACAAGCATGATGGAGCGAAGGATAGCGCGGGCATCTTGAGCACGATGCGCGAAGCCATTAACACACCCACGAAAGTCTCCGATCCTATCACACCACCACTGACGCCAGAGAGGAAGAGCACTACAAGCGGGCCAGACGAGTCCGCGACTGCACCCGAATCGGAACTTCGACAGCGTCGCGAGCTGAAAGATGACTCCACGCCAACATCGCAAACCCCGACGATTGCCTCTAAAGACACTGGCGATAGTGACAAGATCACCCGCAGCCTGCCAAGGCTATCATTATCCGTCAGCACAACAGTCCTTGTCGCTGGTATTGCTGTTGCAGCGTATTACTCCCTTGCTTTGGCATCATAGTAGTAGTACACAGGTGACGGGAGATGAAAAAGCGTGTTAACTTTGGGGGAGCAGGGATGAGCGCACTGTACGATTAGACTGGGATATGGCATTGGCATTGGCATTTGGCATACTAAACGAGAGCATGGAATACCGATGGGTCACGATTATGACAGCATGGATGACGAGGCTTGACTAGAGGCCTCGGAACGATGCATCAGCGCTGATGGGCTTGAGCGGGGTGAGATGATCGCGTCCTTTCCTTTCACACTTGATATTTTACATGGATGGACGGCAGGTAGGAGACGAATGCCTTAGTTTCATAATCAACTCTACTTCACACTGTCAAACTGACCTGGTTACGTGAGTGATATGGCAGTATGGGTCTTTGTCTTTCTTGCTCGTTTAATGACCGCTGTTGGTGGTATTGGCGGCGTCGTGGTCGGTGTTGTTGCTGTACCTAGCCTGCCCATAAATCCACTCTACGAGTCTTCTACCTCCCCTTCATATCACTGATCCTTGCCCCTGGAACTCGAAGCTTCTATGGACCACATACCTTTTGCAGACAAAGGTCTTCCCCTAAGCGTTATGTTCTGCCGAGCACCTACATCGTGTACCGCATCCTGCATAACTGACATGGTCATCCGTTCTAGCCTCCGCCCACTAATCGATGAACCACCCAGCGGTGATACTTGCCCTACTATTCTGCGCTCTTTGGGTGTATCGGGGAGTTATTCGATCCTGCGAGACGAGCCTGGGTGGGCGATGATACTGAGGGCTGTGGTACCTCAAGTCGCTTTGAATTCAAGTTTCTCTAGTCTGGGATCCATATAACATTCACTCCCACGATAGTTTAGCTCAGTGGAACCTTATGAATACATGAATCAGACCCCGTACATCTCACAGCTTATCAGGAAGCCCACCCAGAAATGCAGTGGAAAGGTCAGTAGAAAGGTCATCGGGTGAGGTTATCTGGAGGGTTATCTAGAATCACTATCATAGGCCAGTAAGGTAGGTTTATAGGGGAAGTATTATGACTCTAAGAAACTATTTATACGACGTCTATGCTGACTGTATGGGGGCATCCTATCCACAATTAAGTAGACTTTCATGTTCGACCCCACTGCGGACTTGCTTTCCTACTTCAACTCCCATTAAAGTTGATTAGCATGCTTAATTTGGAAAGGTTTGTGGCTACGCGTTACATTTTTTGGTCTTTCTTCTCTCTAAGCATGTTCACAGCGGTATTCCTCCTTCCTCATCGGAGTCTTCCAGGAAGCTCTCAAAGACTACTTCTGACCGCTCACTGTGCACAGCTTCACTACCTGAGCTCATTTCCTCCCCGCTGGATGATGATGTTATAGGAACACTGTGATCTATAGCTTCCAAAATTTCTGTATGTCTAACCAGTAGCTCACTCGGAAACAGAGATTTAGCTTCCTCCGAAGCGCGAAGCTTTTGCTCAAGCACAGCAGATTCAGTAATGCCAGTAAGCGAATCCGGGTGCCACGCTGTTGGAGCAGCCTTCTCATGAATCTGTCGCAGAGCCTCCTTGCGAATATCCCGGACCATCAAGTTCAGAATGTCCCTCTGATGGTTTTCGTCAATCCTGTCGTTTTTTGTGTCGGGAGTCGGTGGTCGCCAGTTCAGATAAATCTTCTGGTGTGAGTTCGGCTCCACATATTGCGCAGGATGGTGTCGGAAATATAGCTGGCAGCAGTAGCAAGCAGGCTTGCTGCATGCAACGAACGGATCGTTATCTGCAAATAGTAGATTGCGAGCATAGAAGTGCTCTAGGATCTTGATCTCGGCGTGGACGCGCGGCTTCAAATTGGGGCTTTCGTAATTCTCTTTGAAGCGACGAGACAATTGGTATTTGAAATCCATCTCCGTAAGAGCTCGCTGGTATTTGTGTAGTTCGATAGACTTGGCTGGTAACATGCGGACGATCATGTTCTCTAGCGTTGTCATTCCATCTGCCGGAGGTATTGCAGATTTCAGTGTAGTTGGAACACTACGAACTTCGAAGTCGTGGAGAACATCATGAAGGCTTGATGCGCCATGATGCAACACTTCAGCTGCTCGAAAATGGTGCCCAAGCCGTCCTATGTAGTGTCTTACCAATCTGAAGGCTTGATGAATCGCATCTCTGTTGGTTTTGTAACTCGGTTCTTTACTCAGTCTCCCAAGGGTGCGCATGAAGTCTGAGTTTCGCTCTTGATAAGCCAAGCGACACAAGTCTGCGGGACCTCGATCACAGTTCCAGCTCTCAAGCCATTCTGGAAGTCCAGGTTCTGTGCAAAATTAAGGACTAATATTAGCATTCTGAATAGATGTAAGGATGGATCAGTAATGTAATAATTGGACTCACCATCTTCTTGTCTTGCACCGTTAAGATATTCCAGACAGCGTCGCAATACCGGCTTGAGATGACTTCTGTACTTCTTGATTCTCGGAATTGCAAAGTTGATATACTGTTCAGCTATACCATTTGCCCCTTCTGACGTTGGCAGGCTCTGTTGCGAAGCCGTCCAGCTCAACTTGGCGAGGAGGGAGTTCAGAAATTGCACAACCTTCGTGTTCGATTCCATATTTGAAGCTATCCAGAAGATGTGTTTTTGGGGTGTGAACTCCAACCCAATGGCTGCGACTGTGTCACCACCCTTGTCGTAGTCGCACATGTAAGCTAACTCCCTGAGAAATGTCCGTCTCAACTCTCTAAAGGACAGATGAGACAAGTTTTCTTTAGCAGAAGTTATATCACACGAGTGCTCGCCCCTAGTGCTCCCTAGAGTATAGAGTAGGACGAGCGGCTCGAAGAATCGACTGAGCTGACGCTCCTGCTGGCCAAAGCGAGGTGGCTTTGTCGAGATTGGTTTCTTATGTTTGGCCATTGTTGCAAGTGCAAGGCGAGGGTGATGGTAAGCATGGAGGACCTCAGGGGATTACCGGTTCAAATACACTAGATTAAGTTCAAGATAATTTAGATTCGAGGCGGTGCACCAGGCTGAAGAAATGCATTCAAACCATGATTCGATGTCCAAGGCTATGGCTTGCTGCAGCTAAGGCCTAGGAATAACATATAGAGAGATATGATTGCTCGGTTGTTCAAACCAGTTATCAGAAGAGCATAGGACTCCAATCACAACCCAGTCTTTGCATGTAGCCCTTCCTACATTGTTGTCATTGGCTATTCCGACTCAAGGGGTGTTGATCGAGCACGCGACTAGATGGTAATGTCGAATCCTACTGGGAGGCTTTGTTCATGGAATTGATTGTTATTGTGCTTTAGATTTGGGCTCGGCAGCAAAGGAGGTATAGAGTAGGGAATGCATGCGATCCATGCCTCATCGAATAATCGCGCCGGAGTAGCCCGCATGGCGTTCATCCCATTTATCCATCACAGAGCCTTGAAATAGGCAGCGATAACTATTACGGTCTTCGCTCTCGGCCCGATTCCAACTTGTCCCCGCCGCCCCCGCCGGGGTGACTCTTGGTTAGTACGTATGAGAATGCCATCGTAACGCTAGTTCCGGTCCGTTCTATAAAACGTCTTTAGAAGCATATAACTATACTGGAGTTATGTGAGTGTCTTGGAAGTAACTTCTTCTTGATTTTCCAAACCTTATGTTGCTTTCACAGATCTCGTACCCTCTTGAAACGTCACACAATCAAGGAGGACACAGGTACGTTTCTTCGTCGATGGCGTGCAGATCACATTTTCAGACCACCATCGCTTGCATCGCGCAGAAGCGACCGCCAAAGACACCGCAACGTAACGAGGCTGTGCCCCAATCGATAAAGGCTTTCCGGTGAATCCATAGTGTTGGATACGGTACCCGCCATTAGTGACTCGCGATTTGTCCGAATATATGCGCTGTGAAATCTGTACAACCATTAACAACTGCGCTAGGATCTCTTGCATGCGATTATGACGAAGCTACTTAGCGCCTGAGGGTGCTGCCGCACGTAATAGGCGCGCGTGCCCAGGGTGAATGGAAACAATCGAATCGATCATTTGATAGCATGTAGGCGTTTTATGCTTAGCTAGCTAGACCCATGTACACGCCCCGCGCCTACGTGGCGAGCTTAATGGATGTCCTCCGTTTCGCACTGCCCTGTCACTCTCATATCCTTATGCATGAATTTCCAAAGTCAACACCACATATTATTTGCTATGTATCACTTCAGCCTCATAATTACATCTACTTTCAACGAACGCACATGCTTCTGCCAGTCTACTAATCACTCATCGAAGAACTAATAGCTTTGCGTGGAAACCACATCGCAGACATAGTCGTGTAAACAGAAGGCTTGGAGGGCTGACACTATTTGCTGTAGGAACAAGCAGTCACGCATACCCAGGCAGATGCATCTCGACTACCCCGCATTTACCGCCAATGGTTGCTGGAAATGTGGACCCAGAACCAGCAAGGCATGCAAATAAGTAGCACAGGGAGTATATCTAGCGTGGGGGCAAGAATGTCGCAATTACGCAGCGCATGAAATCCCGAGGCGTACTAATATGTGAGTTGTGAGGTCAATCACAGCCTCTCCGAACCGTCATGAATCTCCGATCTTTCATTGCAAGCTATTGGAGCACGTCAAACTATAACACCTACCTTTAATCTTTGCGCATTTGCAAAATGGCACAGGTGCCAGAACCCTCGCCCCCGCACGAGCCTGATGCGGCTACTCAGGCCCTCGCACGATATGCTGAATCTGTCCAAGACTTCTTAAGATATCAGCATATCTATGCTGGAGGAGCACAGTCGAATAAAACGGTGTCAATTCTGCAAGCTGAAATCAAGGAGAAGGATGAAAAGATCAAACAATTGGATACAGCCATCTCTGTTTGGACTGTTGGAGGTAACAAAGAAGTGTCTCGGATGAAAGTAGAGAATGCGGAGATCAGAGCGGAAATGTCTGGTCTGAAGAATCAACTCCAACAGGAAAGCAAAGACAAAGGTCAATTTGAAGCGCAGTTGAAGCATGCTAGCCACCTCTTAGGTGAGCAGGAAAAACAATCTACTAAGTTACGCAGGGAAATAGAGACATTGAAGGCTGAAAACGATGTATTAAAAACAAGACTGCAGGAAGGCAAGGCTGCAAGAGATCAACTGAATAGTCAGCTAGATTTGACTCGAGGGGAACTTGACACTTTTACAGGCTATAAGGCAAATCTCGTGAATCTGGACTTGACCAAATTGTAAGAACTCATCCTTCATGGTAATGCAGACTATTGTGCTCACAACCCATATCTCTAGCTGCGAAGGTTTAACGAAAATATGGGAGCGTACAAACGGTTTAGTGAAGAAGTACTTCTCACTTGATATCTCAACTGAGTCACTCGAAGTGAGTCAAAAACAGCGTATTGTTTCACGGCTAGCTAATGGTGCTCGCTATGTTAGGAACACGATAATTGGACCCAGCAAGCATGCCGTTTTCTGCGTCCTCCTTCCGGATCTATACTGATACCGCCGACAAACAGTCCTGCAGCTAAGCATGCACGAAAGATTGTGATGTTGACTGTTTTTGCGCGTGTGTTTGTGCAGTATATATTCACGGCAACGGCATTACGATTCTCTCAAGCTGGCCTGGATTTGGTCTTGTCGGAACTATCGCACCAAGATGATGAAAAAGAGCAACTGTGCAGAGCGTTGCTTTTTTCGGTACCAAGTGGAAGCCTGCCCGATGAGAAGGATATACAGCAAGTTGTGAAATGGATTATGGATTCTTTCGGAACAATTATACCTCCAACAAGTCGTACGGAGCTGAAATCGAGCATTAGAGGTTTGATGGAAGATGCTACCAAATACTGGTCTGAATCACGACGAAGTCGTCAAAAGCTTATCTCCACGATGGAATACGAACCATATCCGGAGTCATGGAGGACTTACCCTATCCCAAGGAATGATCGCCAGAAGCACACCAAGTACGTCGAAGCTTCGGATCCTGAGGATGAAGATGAAATAACTTTCGTTGCGTTTCCGGCGATTATGTCAATGAGCGGTGACGGACCAAAAACAGTTTATCACGGTTGGGTAATTCGTTATTCTCATCTGATTGAGGCAGAGGGAGAGTGGCACAAAGAACAGAAGAGAAGACGGTTTTCTCGCCCAGGCATTCCTAATAATGTAATACGGTTGTCATTCTCTGAAACTGGTAGAGGCCGACTAATTCGTCTCTTAGATCGAATTTGGTAGCGCTACGGTTACCCGATAAGTTCAGCATTGGCGACCTAAATACTATGCCCATCTTTAGCAAAGTACTGTGGAGACATCTTTTTTGCTTGTGAGATGGAAGGTAATACTATAAACGAGATGAGTTGCAAACAGGGCACATTATTACAAGGATTATGCGGGATGAGGTGGATGAGGAGTTGGCTTAGATCATATTGAAGAACCACATTGTCCATTTTGGTGTAGCCACCACTGTCTAGAGCTGAGAGACATTAAGGATACTGAACTTGGAAACTCTGGACGAAGGCCATTGCTTAACAAGATGATCAATCAGGACACTAGGATTTGAAATCGCTGTTACAGGCCAGGATTGAGAGTGCGAAGTATCAACAGTAACGACACCTCATGTTTCGACTCTTTCTAGAAAAGTGTTGATATTACACTATATCTTTACTTCAGCTTTGCTTAGGGTAGAGGCGTGAAAAATGGGGTTTCTTGGAGGCCCCGACTAGCATCTCCTCCACTCCAACTTCCAAGAGGCATGCTTGAAGTCATAGTATCCATATTCTCCTTGTATGACCGGCCTGAAGTTGACGTTTAAGATGCCCGGGTTTCCATCTGCACTTGTGCACTTTGACCATTTGAGGTCTGCCGTACTGCTTCGCACGGTGACGTAGTCCCTGATTTCTGGGCCAGAACAAGTTAGACCACCTGTTAGGACGCCCTATTTCAATGTTAGCTAGTCCCCAAACGCTGCAAGGCCAGACATTCAATGGAAACTCACTGTATTTCCCGCATTCTCACTCCAAAACACCTGCGTGAAGGTATCTAGCTCGCTTGCTCCTTTTAACACAACGTTGCCCTCGTAGGTGATTTCCTTGACAGCTACCTGCCACCCCTGACTGCCACCTGTCGATTGGATATGTACTGCGCAGTTGTCTGTTGATTCGCCACGAAGCTGGTTGAAAGAAACGGCTGCGTTGTCACCGAGGTAGGCGGTGTCGGACTTTACCGAACCTGAATTATTGGGGCAACCGCTGCCGGAGAAGACGAGGGATGTGATTCTTGGGGAAGACGGTGGGGCGGCAAGGATCAGAGCTGGAAGGGAGAGGAGGAAGAAGGATCGCATGATTGTTGTAAAGATAAATGTGATGAGGTAGTTATTGGGACAAGTCTACGGCCGATGGTTCTCTCGATATAGTTTACTGCGATATATAGTTTCGATAACCCTTTGTTTTGAGGATGACTCTCCTTTTATATATTTTTATATACTGGGGTCTATATTAATCTGTAGCTCTAGTGACATTGCGAATTTGCGTCCTCGAAGGAAGTCTTTTGTTGCCACCGTATAGCGCTTTGACGTCGAATTAGACGTTAATATCTAATAAGTTTTGTTTCCTTTGATTAAAACTATCGTTCGCTCGAGACCTCATTTACCCAGATTAAGCGAGCCATAACCCGGGTTCAACGGCTGGTATGTCAATCCTTCCTTCAATGCGCACCTATTATTAGCTCCCCCGCAATATCGGAAATATAGAAGGATCGGGTTCTAGAAGTCGAAATCTGCTGCACAGGTGATTTGAAAGTGCAGCTTTCTGGTTTCCGCCATTTCTTGCAGATCTCAAATTCCAGAGACATTCACATAAAGGTCTTCATTCGTATTTTCAATATCTAGTCCATCTCGCCATCCAAGTGGCCGCAGTTCGTTTTCTTTTGCTCGGGTCGGTTCGCGTCCTCAGGCTAGAGATCGTACCCGTGGCGAAATCGGCCGTCCCTACACTTTTTCAAATCGCCAGATTTCGTCATTGTGCATTTTCTGAGGGAAGAGACAGGATCTCCCACAAGTTTTGAGTTTGAAATGAGATTCGCACTCCCTCTCAGTTGGTGTTCGATCCTTATCTTTAAAGATACTTTTCTCGCTCCCCTTCTAGAGTACAATAGGACATTGGACTAGGCTTGTAGCTTTATGTCTTGACCGATGGTGTGTAAAAGCCCATGCAAATCATACCTCATTCTTAAAAATAGGACAACTGCTTTTCGCGATTTTTTGAGTGCTCTAAGCGAGCTTTAAATCTCTACTTTTTTCGGATAGCGGCCGTGGCACTTTGGGTCGACGTCGAGACCGAAGTCCACCTCAATTCTCAAGCCTATTTCGACGACTAAACCACGAAGCTAATCAAGACTGAACTGAGAAAAGTTCCAGTGTCAACTACTAGAGCGCTTCCGGATCAAGATGCGTCGTCTGAGTCTCGAAGCGCTATCAAGAAGGGGAGGATGCGAAGCCAGAGTCGAAGTCACATCCTGGGCCTCGTCCATGCAATTGAACAACTCCCGCGAAAACGCCAGTAGAATCGCAAATGACTATCTCAAGCGTCGTGGTATGAAGCTTTCCAGTGCTACGCCCTGGTATGCTGGGGCCAGTGATTATTCGGCATATCTGCAAGGAACCCGCGACAGCAAGAGATCGATATTCATCGGAAGAAGATAGTGGCATGAGTCGAAATTGCTGGACAGCAGATCTCACATATCCAAGGTGCCATTTGCTTGGAGGCTATCTGGTGAACCCTACACTACCTCTAGATTTTCAGAAAACTCGCACCTTTCGGAGCAGGCCCATCTCTTCTCTCATTCCTTTGCCCTCCCCAGTGCCTTCTGCTAGAAACATGTACAGTTGGAAGCAGAGAAAAGCACGGCACTAGTGCAAACGTGCGCAAGAAATTCAATCAATACTACAAGAGGCTTTCACAAGTTGAATTCCCTCATCACGGCTAGTATTCAACGCCTCCAAGTCTCTTAGAGCCTATATAGTAAGAACAGTCACTCATCCAATTGAGAACCTTTCAACGCCTCATACGAGCTTGATTGTACGCTAATTCCAAAGTGCGTTCTTATTTGGGTCGAGACATGCGGATAAAATACTCTGTCCCCACCCTTGTCCCAGTGGCCTTGCACGATCAAATACGCCGATAATCCGACATCCAATTGAGCCCACCGGTTCAACAAGGAGAAAAATGGTCCGCGAGAAGTGAGGGCCCGGCAGAATGCCCGCTAGGACTGCTGTCAATTTCCTGTTCACCATACGTGCATCGAGGTGGAGATGCACATCTATCAAGTTGGATGATAAACCAGGTAATGAAATGCGCCTTCCATCATCAGACAAGTGGCCTTCAATAGTCATACTCTCAACGAGTATATGGGATTGGGATCTGGTGTAGTCGTCAGGATGGTCGATAGGCGGGCAGGTTCATCTCGATACCAGACTGATGCGTGACGCGGATGCGAATCTCGTTATTGAAGGGCATTGTGCAGATCTGAAAATACTTTTTGGGCTCGTGTAAGTCAGGCTGATAGTCAAAAGTGAGTCGGTCTGGATCACTTGTAGGATGCTGCGCTTTAAATGATGCCCACTGGGGTACACTCCACGATGGGAGATGGTCCCACAGGACTCGACCTGTTTTGACCGACGTTCGTCAATCCATTGTTTAAGAACCCCGAAGTCAAGTATTGTTGGTCGAAATGAACGAGCAAGTGGAACCCATTTACGGGTGCTGATCTCATGTTGGTCAAAGAGGGTTTCCTGGACGAACAAAGCGTGTATGGGAAAAACATGCTTCGTGATTGATAGAGGGATAAAATAGGGAGAAGTACAATGACTTCCACCCTCTGACTTGGAGTTCTTGCAGCCGAAGTTCGAACATGTCTGGCAGACCATTCTCGCTCACTTTCATTCCCACAAACTAGTACAAAAGTCTCAGAAGCTGAACACAGAGGCCGCAGCTGCTGCTGAGCGAGTCGTGACGGATGGCAACTGTTGGGAGATTTCCCGGCCCCGTCGTCCAAGTCGTTGACCATAGCACATCCGACCATGGCGCGTGGCTCTTCGACCCGGAAGCGGCCTAGTGTCCTTGGGTCCTCAATGAAACGTAGGAGGTCTAATGACGTGCAACGTTGGTAAAGCTTCTGAAGTACTGAAAATGAATTCGGTGAGCATGGGACTGATTCCAGGGAGTTTGCCGATTGCTGTACTGTAGAGTCATGGAAAGATAGGCCTTGTTCTAACGGTGTCGGCAAATAAGCCAGCGATGGATCTAGCGATGCGATATAAGCTCATAGGTCAGCAAAACATGCGATATTTACTGGGGATCGAGTAACATTTCATGAGCTCTCATCAGGCTGAAGCTGTGCTATCAGGCGGCAGGGGTATTAGCCAGGCTGCAGGACTTGCCAGTGGCAACGGACACAAAAGCAAACGCGCTTAAGCCGCCGAATAGTTACATGCGTGTGGTTGACTGTGTAATGTACGATTTACAACCTCTTCGGATTTGTTGGCCTCAATAATCGTTGATGTCCAACCATGGAGGCCCATTCCATACCTACGTAGCACTAGCTATCAACCAGGCTCGAGAGAAGAATTGTATATTACAACGAGAAACGTAGCGTGAAACCCATTTCGAGCATGTCAAAGAGAAGTTGGTGTGACCTGCAAACAGCAGCGATGCCTTGCCTACGGTCTTGGCATTCCCGCGGAGTTACATGGGCCTCATGCTCATCCTCGACAGTCAACCCCACCAGCGTCGCCATGTATCGAACACGACCATCATTCCGGACCTTTCAGAAACCTCTCCGAACCCCCCAAACGTCCTTCCAACCTTTCCGCAACCATGCCCAGCACCGCTTCTACCAGCAGCGCCCCTTCGGTCGCGGACCACAATACAAGCGCTTCGGTTCGCCACCCGGCGGCATATCAGGCCTCTTCTTCCGCTGGGCTGCGCGCCCAACCTTCTACCGAGACATAGGCCTAATCACAGCAGGAACAGGGGGCATTTACGTGTACAACCTCGAGCAAGTGCCCGTCTCCGGCCGACGGCGGTTCAACATCATCTCTCCGGGGATGGAAGAGATGATGGGCAAAGCGTCCGTAGACCAAGTGAGAGAAGAATATAAGGGACAGATATTGCCAGATCATGATCCGAGGACCAGGCAGGTGAAGAAGGTGCTGGAGAGACTGTTGCCGTACGCGGAAGGTGAGGGCCTGAAGAACTTGGAGTGGGAGGTCGCCGTCATCGACTCGCCCGAGCAGAATGCCTTTGTAGCGCCTGGGGGAAAGGTGTTTGTTTTCACGGGGATTTTGCCGTTGTGTCGAGATGAGGACGGTATAGCGGCTGTGTTGGGCCATGAGATTGCACATGTCGTTGCGCATCATACTGCGTACGTCGTCTCCACATCCTACTACCTATCCTTGGGTTTACTGACCGAGAGAACAGTGAACGCATGTCCCAAGCCCCGCTGATACTTCTCGGCGTCATCGCTCTGTCCATGTTCGATGTCTCGTTTTACTCTGGCAAGATGCTCCTCGATCTGTTCCTCAGTATGCCGGCGAGCAGGAAGCACGAGGCGGAGGCAGACTATATTGGCCTCATGATGATGGCGCAAGGGTGTTACAGGCCCGAAGCCGCCATGGACTTTTGGGCAAGGATGGAGCAGACGGGTCAACGTGGACCACCTCAGATCCTGTCGACACATCCATCCAACCACAACAGGGAAGAGAAGATTCGTGAGTGGCTGCCCGAGGCGCAGGAGAAGGCCGAGACGTCAGATTGTCATATGACGAGTCAATATGGTAAGTCGGCACGTGAGATAGTGATAGGATGACAATGAATGCTAATGAAGTGTACAGCGAACCAATTCGGTTCTGCATTGGGCGGCTTCGGTCGTTGGTAGTCATTGCCGTGTGTAATATGAGCTGTCATTTGTACCAACAACTGTATTATTATAATTGCTAAGGTCAACGAATTACGAATATAATGAACTACTACTACGCTAAACGTCTTCTGCCAATGGCACTGCACCTGCTTGGAATATGAGTTGCATGCTAAATGCTTCTATAAAGCTTTAAAAACACACACTGGCCTATATGGACGGTTTCAGTTACAGACATCGAGTAATTAACAGAGCAGATGGAGTGGGAGGTGCTGTACATTCTGTAATGTTCATGCATACGGAGATTCCAACGCCGAGCAATGCATATCTATACAGAGTATGAACACTATAATCATCTCAATCGTACATTTACATTTATACATTTACCATGCTGATCTTGGTAATCACACTCTCCTAGATCAACGCTTCACCCCTGAACATGGCTTCTCTGACCTCTCTAACAACATCAGCTCTGTCACCTGGTCCTAACAGGACAATACCCCTTCCTCTCCTACCCATACGACCCGTTCGTCCCAGACGATGAATAAAGTCAATAGTCGTATGCGGGACATCGTACAGAACGACGTGACGTACGGAAACAGTGTCGATACCTCTTGAACCCAAGTCCGTAGTAACAATAACCTTGGTATTGGGAAGTGTACGCTTGCTCGGCGGTTCCGAGGAACGTGATTTCGGGGCGTCAGAAGCATTGGAAGCGATTTTCTCATCCGAGATGCCGGTGAAGGAAGCCAGAGTCTTGGCCTGTCGAGAAGGGTCCGTGTCGCGGTGGAAAGCGAGAGCATCGATGCCCTTCTTCATCAAGTACTGTGCGACTTCCTCTGTGTCCTCGCGCTCGTTGACGAAGACTAGGATGCGTTTTGTTGGAACGGCCTCTTTGCCCTCGGCTGGATCATAGTCGCCAGATGCTTTGCCAATCTGCCATATCGTGTCCGCGCAGGCGAGCATCTTGTTGCCGTGGTAAGGATCCTTGTTCACGTCTACGACACCAAGTTGCACTCTTCGCGGGATAGCGTGAAGGTTCGGGGTAACGAGGCGGTGCATGTCTGGGAACTTGTCCGCGAGATACTTGTCCAAGTACTTTGGAATAGTCGCAGAGCAGAGAATAATCTTCTTCAATGAAGGAGTCGCTCGGTCGATGATCTCAGTGGTGCTGGGCTTGAAAGAACGGTCGAAGAGCGAGTCCGCCTCGTCGCAGATAAGATGTGTGACTCGTGCGAGGATATTTGGGTTGCTTTCGGCGATGCTGGCAAGTAGTGGGGGTGTGCTGATTACCACGTCGACGCCATTTACGTTGAACAGCTGGTTTCGAATGACAGTAGCTGACATTTTTGCTGAGATGGGGGCGGCGCGGAATTTGATGGTGTGTGAGAGCGACTTGGCGACAGCACCGACTTGGGCGACTAGTTCGGCGGACGGGACGAGAATGATGGCTCGGGGTCGCGCTGGATCGACAGCTTTGTTGATGTCTGGCTCTTCTGCAGCGAACATGTCGGTTCTCTGGTCGTGTGCCTTGGTCTCTGCTTCCTCTGCATCCTTGCGTGCTTGTTCCTCGGCCTCGTCTTTCTCCTGAAGCTCTTCTTGCTTGATAGCATCCAGAGTAGGGAGCAGATATGCCAATGTTTTCCCTGATCCCGTCTCCGCAGCCAGCAAGAAAGCCTCCGGGCCAGACTTTTTCGATTTCACTTTCGTACGAGTCGTCTTTTGTATACCGAGTAGAGCAGGTATAGCGACGGCCTGCGCAGGCGTGGGGTTTCGGTATTCGAGGTTGGGTAGCGCATCGTTTACGGCGCGCAGGATTGGTTCCAGGAGCGGAAACTTGTCAAAGGAATCGTACTGTTCCAGCTTGCGCTTGATGGCGGTTCGGTTGCTTTGTGGTACCTGGTGGAGAGAGCTCTGCATCTTCAAGGCGTGAAAAGGGTCAGACGGTCTCGATCTCCGCTTCCCATCATCTCTGCCCGTTGCAGGTCTACTTCCCCTCGTTTCTCTCTGCTCGCGTATCCTTTCTAGGCCCCGTGGCGCCTCTGTCCGGTTTAGATGGCCAAATGCATCTGGCTTCTTCCTGGCAGGCCGTTCGTCTGATGGAGGTGTTCGCGCTACCGTGTCTGAGAGCACCATGCGCGCTGGGCGGGGGTTGTCGCGCCCTCTTGAGGGTCTTGAGAACCCAGATCCGGGTCTTGAAGACTGTGTGCCATGGCGTTCACCTCTTTCGCGCTGTACTTGGGTATAAAGTCGGATTTGCTGGAGTTGCGGTTGCAGGCTTCGAGAAGGATGACCGAGGAGCGACCGCACTTCGCAGAAGGGACAGGAGCGGGCGACTTGGCGCAGCATGACGATGAAATCGAGAACAACAACAACAATAGGACTAGCAGAAGACGATGCGCATGTTTCAAGGCGGACGGTATCTGATCTCCAACGGCCGGCAGAGAAAGCTGCTGCACTGACGATCGGCTAACTTCCAAAGTTTTGGCGCCACGGGCTAGCACGCGGGAAGAGTGGTGCGCGCTAGCCGCCTTCAGAATAGCGGCAGGTGTTACTGGAGCAACACATCTACAAGGGGACATCCCAGCAATCAACACTTGATACCGCCCGCAGCCCCAACATATCAGCTGCGCATCCACCTCTCCTCCGCTTCTCCATCGCACATCAGCGCCTGCGCTCGGTAGATGACCTTCACTTCGCCTTTCAATCTTTAATCTGCGCGCATCCGCTATCAAATTCAACTGTGCATACTCCTCGAGGGAGCTCCGGGCCCATTCTTCGCATACACATTCCTCGACAAGGCAGCTAGCCGCACTGCATTCGACAACAACCACTGCGAGCGCATAGCCATAGATATGTCGCGCAACGAAGCGGTAAGCATATTAATCATTCCTTCCACGCTCTGCGACGGGCCGCATACTCATCGTCATGACTGCAGGTGTCGCCGCTGCGCATAAACAAGACGCCGACTGCCTCTCCTACCAAGGGCAGCGGCCGTCCGCTCTCCGAGATTGGATCAACAGAGCACAGGAGGAACTCTCCAAGCTTCAACCAGGCAACAAAGGTAATTCGTCCTCATTACATTCCTCCTGTGCGTGGCAGCTAACGTGGCCAAGAAGCCCTTCCTGAAGGAGCACTCTCCCTTTCGGGATTCCTCGCCATTCACAAACAGCCCACGTTTGTTTTGGAAGGAGCAGACTGTGTCGCCCAAAAGCCGCTTCGAGTCGTCTGAGAACGAGTACGAGGGCAGCTCGCCAGCACTGTCACCCAAGCGCAACTCGATCGAGAACCTGAAGAAGCAGTCGCGCGTCAAGAACAGCAGCATGTTCGCCCGCGAGCAAAAACACGAGTATGATCCCACCGCTGTTCAATCACTTGATCGCCCCCTCGCCGCCGGACGAGCCTTGAACACCGCAGTGCAGGGCAATGCCTACGGTGGCGACGGCCTGGCCGGGTTGCGCAAAGAGAATGACAGCTTCAAAGGCCACCGCCGCGGCGAGAGCCAAACCAAGATTCCCACCCTGAGCCCGTTCAAGCCATCGCCTACCAAGCAATTCACACAGCCCTGGGCCACGTCTCCCTCAAAGGACAATGAGGGCCGCACTTCTCCGACCAAGTCATCCCTCGTCAGCAATGGGCGCTTCAACTCGCCACAGTACAATGCCGACTCAAGCATAATGTCGGAAGACGAGGAAATGACGCATCAGACGCCCCGCCCATTGCGCCGTCATGCTAAGAGTGTGACCTTCGACACTGCTCCACCTACAATCACCGAGTATGAGATGGTCACACCTGATCCTTCGGCGGCATCTGGTTCGCGCGAGGGAAGCTACGAGTCTGAAGAGGACGAAGAGATGAGCTTTGATCTCGACGACAGTTTCGATGCTTCTCTAGAGGACACCGACAAGACGCCCGTCGTGTTGCCTGAGGACTGGCGTCACATGAGCCCAGAGGCCGCGAACACTTCGCTCACCGATCTCTACGATGATGTTTTCGACGGACGCGAAGAGAGCCCTATGCCAAATAGTGCAACAAACGGTTCCCGCTTAGGGTCAGTCAACTCGGATGGCGAGTCAAGGCCACTTCCCCCGCTTCCTGGCAATCAAATGCAAGACGACAGCCGACGACGCGACTCCAGCGTTGGCCTCTCAGCTGCCGCGGAGCGAGCTGGCGATGTACGACGCTCTCTTCCTCAACCTCCTCAGGCTGCGGGCATTTCCAAGTCTGATTTGCTCAACATGCGCGAGAGCTCCATGTCCCTTGAGGACAGGCTACGTCTAATGAACTTCGATGATGATCGCGACATAAGCACTCCAACGCAAGAGAGCCATGATAAGAAGGTCGAAGAGGTTGTGCAGGTGCAGGTGCAAGTGCAGGTTGCAGAAGTCGAGGTGACAGAGTCGGAGCTCACGCTTGACGAGCCGCAAGCGCCGCGCATCTCCCGCGAGTCGATCCTCCGAAGGGTCAAGAGTGCCAACTTTGACGACTATGAGGACAGCTACAACTACGACCTTGAGTCCAGCCCCGAGCGCAGCTATGGCGACCTGGCAGACCTGGATCCTGATGTTCCTATTCCTTCCCGCGAATGTTCTTCCAACTTCGATGAGAACCCGTGCCAGCTTTCTACTGTCGCTGAGAGCGAAGCGGACAGTGTCATCGATGCGTATAGTTTTGCTGAGATGACTGAAGCCGACGTCTCGCAGTTTGACGACCAGGAGCGCGAGGGCTCTATTATCCGACATCCAGTAAACAATGAGCCCGAGCAGGATGATGACGCTAGCGAGTACTCCCTGCAACCTGAAGAGCAGCCAACTTCCCAGAGCACTATCGACTCTTCTGGCCCGCCAACGCCTACAGCTTTGGCCTCTCCGTCTGCTGAAGAAAAGCAAGCGCGGCAAGATGAGCTGTTCGCTTCGTTCGAAGGCAAGGAGATGGACCTAAGTCTTGATCCTCTCAAAGCATCGTTGGCTATTGCACCAAGCCCATTGGATACCGCTCCAAAACTGGATGCGATGCGTGAGTTCCTACGGAGGCCCGCTACTCCTGAGGGTAATGAGCAGGAGGAGGCCGAATCAGATGAGCCTGGGACGCCTGACTCCGTGATTCGACATCCTATTGTTGTTTCACGACCAGAGCCAGACTCGTCCCCAGAAATCCCTGAGCGTGAAGCTACCATTCGAGGTGCCGGTGGGAAGCTCAAGACGCGGCCTTCCCTAATTCCAGACGAGATTGACATGGCCGCCACACGACGACATGTCAGCGGTGAGCATCCTCCACCGGTCCCTGAACGCAGTTCGAAGCGTCAGTCTCTCCTCCTTGAGGTAGGTCACGTTGATGATGAGGACTCTCAATTCAGCATCTCAAACAAAGAGAACCGGATGCTCGACCTCAACATCGGCGATGAGTCCAATGATCTCAGCTTTGGGCTAGACAAGGAGTTTGATCACATTATCGAGGCACAAAAGGTACACAATCTTTTTCCTTTACCGACTTTCGCCAAATTTCCGACATCTACGGCTGCCGCGCAAAGTGCAGCGAGCTATATGTCTGGTGAAGGCTTTGTTTATACGAACAGCACAGCTAATGCGTACGCCCGTGAACAGAAAGGATACCTGATGCGCGAGAACACCAAGGTCGTTGTGGCCAGCAGCCGGCAGTTCAGCGATGAGAAACCACCTTCAGACGCCGAGGTCCCTGATGAGAAGTCTGCCAAGGCTAGCCCTCGCAAGACGAGTGCGGAGCGGAAACCTGCGTGGACAAAAGAACCCTGGAACGGCAAGTCACGACGAAGGAGCATTCGAACAACATCTGGTCGTAGAGTTCCTACTTCTAGCGGCCCTGCTCCGCCTCTTCCAGGTCAAGAGTCTGCCGTCACTGGTGGATTAGACTCTGTCGCTGAGCAAGGCGACGAAGAGTTCGAAGACGGCGAAGAGCGAGGACGAGTGTTTGTCAAAGTCGTCGGTGTCAAAGACCTAGATCTGCCTTTACCAAAGAGTGAGTCTTCTTTTTCGACTTCACATCAGCATGACTAACAGATATTTTAGCGGAACGCTCGTGGTTTCAACTCACGCTGGACAATGGTTTGCACTGTGTGACCACTTCATGGCTGGAGTTGAGTCAGTCTGCGCCCATTGGGCAGGAGTTCGAGCTTGTCGTTCTCGATGACCTTGAGTTCCAGCTGACGCTTCAGACCAAGCTCGAGCCTCCTGCCGCACCACAGGTTGTTGCTGCTCCAGCGAAGTCAATCAACCACAAGAAGTCGCACTCAGCCTTCCGCAACCTTCTTTCATCTCCCAAAAAGCGTAAAGAGCAGGAGAGGAAAGCCCAAGAGGAAGCTGATCGCCTAGCGCTTCAACAGCAACAGGAAGCGCAAGCGGCGGCTAAGCGCAACCACCAAGCGACTGCTTGGGATCTCCTCCATGACCTCGTCGGCCCTGATGGTTCCTTCGCCCGTGCATACGTTTGCCTAAACACCCACGAAGACCAAGCCTACGGTCGCCCTTATTTAGTCGACATCCCATGTTTCAACGAGTGGGCTGTCGATACCACAGGCGTAAGCAGTGTCAAGAGCAAGCGTGGTGGTGTTGTGCGTCGCCCACCTTATCGTGTCGGTAAGCTCACTCTGCAGCTGCTATACGTTCCCAAGCCGAAAGGTGCGAAAGATGAGGACATGCCGAAGAGCATGAATGCTTGTATTCGCGAGCTCAAGGAAGCCGAGCAGGTCAAGGATGTTTCCTGGGAGGGTACTCTCAGCCAACAGGGTGGCGATTGTCCTGTAAGTTCACCTACGTATGCATTGTGTTGTTGAAACAATACTAATAGCCACACTAGTACTGGCGTCGCCGCTTCTTCCGATTGGAAGGCACCAAGCTCACAGCATACCACGAGTCTACCCGACAACCGCGTGCTACGATCAACTTGGCAAAGGCAAGCAGACTTGTTGACGACAAGAGCGCTCTTCAACAACCATCTTCGACCAAGGCCGGTGGTCGACGCAAGTCTGGCTTTGCCGAGGATGAGGAAGGCTACATGTTCGTCGAAGAAGGGTTCCGAATCCGCTTTGCCAACGGCGAGGTCATTGACTTCTACGCCGACAGTCGCGAGCAGAAGGAAGCCTGGATGAAGGTTCTCGCTGAGACCGTAGGGAAAGACCTCGCTACGAACAAAGGCTGGGCCGCTATGGTGCTGGAAAAGGAGCGCAAAGAAAAGGCCGCGCGATCACAAGCTGGCGTTCCTCAACAGAAGTCGAAGCCTCTCCAAGAAAACGTCAATGCAAACCGACCGCATCACCAGCGCACGCAGTCTCACGATACGTACGGCCAGTCCAGCAAGTCCGTCCCGTCAAGTCCTGTCAAACGCCATTCCCGGACACAATCAGACGCTCCTCCGCCGCCGATGAAGGATGTACGTCTCTCGCAAGCACCTCCTCCTAGGCCGCGAACCCAGGACAGTGGGCAGGTGGGACGTAGGGATCAGGTTCGATCAATGATTTTCTAGGCCTTTTCTTTGCCCCCATAGTATTGATATGGGCACACACACACACTACATGTTCGCTTTCTTGGACATTGACTTACTTGGCTTTTCTTTGCGGTTTTAGATTCGCCAGCTCTCTTTTCTCCCGCATCGACTCAGATTGGGGTTTTGGAGGCGGCGGAAAACGAGTAGTAGGAGAAAGGATGCTGTGCATCCGTCGTAGCAGCGCTTGCGCCCCTCTTGCTTATCGAAAGCAGTTCGTTTTGTACAGTCTCGCGCTGGTTGGATAGGAGTAAGCCGAGAGGCGGAAAAGCAGAAGTCAGTGGTGGAGGACGTTGCTTTCATTTCTTGTTCTTTTTCATCTCTTCCAGGATCGGTCGGCATTGGCTTGCTTCGGCGTTCTTTCTCTTATGTTCAGCTTAGCGGTTATGACCTCTTGCGTAATGATTGATTGGAGATGATACACGAGCAGAGGGGTGGATAGGAGAGTTGAGAATATACATGAACTTCAAACATCTTCGAGACAGATTGGACATAGTGGCATCGGAACTGAGACTCCTCAATTATGTATGTGTTGTGCGTGGGATAGTGCTTGTGACGGAACAAATGGCAGAGTCGCACGTTCGCAAAGAACCCTTTCTTGCGTTAAACACCACATCTCCACCACTAAACATACAGTATCTCTAATATCACTAAAAAAAGATGTATCCGCCTTGCTGAATAAGCAGAACTGCGCTTTAGTACAGTCTACTGGCGTTGCTGCAGCGCCATGAATTTATTGGTGTTTTACGTGGTTGTTTTTACGCGTAAACATCGCAACCACAACTTTGACTAGCCACTTCCTTGGCGACACGATGATAGTACTTCAAGTTCCTGTATCTAACTTTGTGTAAGTGTAATTGATATTAATAAGATAGGATAGTATAGTATTTAGCGTATTCTCTTTATGTATCTTTCCCTTGCAACCTTAGACTAGAGATTACATGTCTCTATCCACGTGCATGAAAGCAGAAACACAACCTCTCGTGTCACTACGCTACACCGTACTACCATACCCCAGACAAATGTCCAATTCTATCTCCGCCAACAAAATCGCACTCGCTCACCGTTCAAGCGCATCAGAACCAAACTTCACCTACTTGCTTGCTTGCTCACTAGGCTACTCCAAGCTAATCTCGTACCTCGCTAACCTTCTACGTTCTCGTTTTCCGATCTCGTCCTCGTTCCAGGTTAAGGTTCTAGGTCCCGGGTTCGTGTAACCTTCTCTCTTCGTCCTTTGTGTTGCCAATTTTGAATCAAGCAAACAAATTGATCCATGTCAGCACGTGAGTAGAAGCAATCAAGGCAGCAAGCAGGTGAGTAAGCGAGTGTTCAAAACAAAAGCCGACTCTTCTCTTGTGCGAAGGGACCGTTCTCTCATCCTGCTCTTGTTGCCAGTTTGGTTCGCGGCACTACTTTCCCCAGTGTCGATTCGTTGTCGATGTTATTGTTGTAGAAAGGTCAGGTGTGATGCAATAGACGGCTTTTTGGGCGTGACTATCTCGTTGTTGTCGTACCGATACGCATGCCTGAGGAGAAGAAACGTCCAGAAAATATACACCGTCTACGATCCATCAAACCTGGCATATCTCACCGCCCAAACGCATCGGATCCAAAAGCTGCAGGACGCCTCCCCCTTCCGTATATCCAGCAAACACATACCATGGGCGCAGGGCACTCGACGCCCCCACCACTCGTCCAAGTCTCCGCTCCAAGAGGAAAAGTCTTCGTCCCACCAGGTGTGTATGCCCTCCTCCGTGATCTTCCCTTCCATTCTCTTTGCTCAAGTAACAGCGCTGATGAAGACTAGGAACCGCGTTCACAGTCCATCCCCCTTCCTACTCACGCTCACGCAGCGATCCATACACGCAACGGGGCCCGGTATACGTCCCTTCTCCAACAGGTGGCAGCCCTCGGTATCCTCCATACGGACACACAGGCCGCCGACCGCGTCCACGGCGCCCACGACGACCAAGGGCGGATTTAAGTGTTGATCTTGAAATTGAAGAGGAGAGTGGAGAGGGAGAAGATAGTGAGAGCAGCACGGTGGCGGATAGGATGGAGGGTATGAGTCCACGTGGCATGCGTAGACAGGGTTCTATGGGGTATCCTGGGGGTATGATGGGTGGGATGGGGAGAAGAGGTGGGGCGGGTGGACATGCGTTTGGGGGTGCAGATATGAGGCCTAGATCTGCGCCCGAGATGCCGTTTGGTGCGTATCCTGGGATGGGAACAATGGGCGGTATGGGTGGAATGGGTATGGGTATGCCGAGTCCCGGGATGGGCGGGATGGGTATGAATGGCATGGGTGGCATGGGACCAGGCGCTATGGGAGGTATGGGAGGACTGGGAGGTATGGGTATGCCGCCAGAATACACGTCAAACCCCTCCATGCCTCGCTACAGCGGCGGATTAGGAGCAGGAGGAGGAGGGGACATGCCCGGCGCTGGCATGCATGCCTTCACGCCGTACGCACGCCCACCACCAAGTGAGCCATCAAGCGATGGTCGCGCCCCTCCGCCACAGCCTCCACGCCGTGCATCAGGTCGGCCTTCAAACCAGCATGCGCGCGTCCCCATGGGCGCATACGCAGCAGAGTCGTCTTCTCCACGTCGACCCTCACGAACGCATGACGATCCGCCAATCTCCGCACTGCTCAACCGCGGTCAGCCCGCTGGCAAGAGAGTCGGACCCTCAGGTAACGCCTGGCTCGATGAAAACTCATGGCTCGACGCTTGCGTATGCACGACGAACTGCAAGTGTCGCAAAAGTCACCGTGTTGTGTATCGCGGGCAGGAGAACCGCGGTAGAGGGGGAGACGACGATGAAGATGAGCAGCAGTACATTGCCGGCGAGATACGCTATGTTCTCAAAGACGACCTAGGAAAAGATTGCGGTGACCACTCTGGATGCAAGAAGAGCGGAGCAGAAAGTGAAAAGGAAGAAAAGAGTAAAAAAAGCAAAGGCAAGAAAGAAGAAGCCAAAGAGCGAAAGGAACAGTTTGAAGGCTTCAAAGAAGAGTTACTTGAAGCACTCGATGAGCGGTTCCAAGACATGCGGAAAGAAAACCAGCAGCGGGGGAAACATGGCAGTAACTCACCATCACCTTTTGGCAGACCCAGCCCTTTCACCATGAATGACGCGGGCATGGATCCTCGGATGGCTCAGCAGATGAACATGGCAATGGGCGGCGATCCCTATGGTATGGGCATGCCCGATATGGGCCGAATGCCCCCAAGCATGATGGACCCGATGGGCAAGCGCCCAATGCGCGCTCCAGGGATGCCAATGGGACACATGGCGGCGGGGGGCATGGCCTTTGGAGATGAAATGAGCATGGCAGATATGGATGGTATGGGTATGGGAAACCCATACGCAGGCACGAAGCCCATGCGGCCAGACTTCATGCCCCCTCGAAAAGCCAGAGGGGGTGCAAAGTTTGGAGGTATGGACATGGATATGGATCCTATGACACTCTACGGTAGAGCTTCAGGTATGAGAGCCCGCGGAGGCATGGTAGGAGGTCGACGTCCAGGACGCGGCGGTCGTCCCGATTTGAGCTCCGAAGACTTCGACATGGGGCCCTCAAGACGTCCAGGCATGGGTAGGCGTAGGAACGACGAAGATGAAGCCGGCTTTGGGAATATGGCGGGTCAGTGACACCTCCTCGCCCCCAAACGAGAGTCCGGTTTTGGTTCCACTAACAGCTGCGTAGGAGGCGGTGGCTTACGAGACGAGGACGAAGAGGATTTCCCACCAACTCGCAGGCGCGCAACAACTTCTCCCAACAAGAGACCTGGTGGTGGTGGGCGGTCGAGTCGCGATCGCGATAGGCAACCGCGCGCTGACACGGATGACGACGATGCGTATTAAAAGCAAGACATTTGACCGTCATAGTAAAGCACAGGTCATAACCCCCTGGACGGATCAGGAATGTCACTTTTCCGAGTTGGATGTGAAAAATAGCTCTATTTGGACCAATGACATTGCGAGGGCCCTCGCATTTCCTGCCCGTTCCTTTTTCGCGTGTAATCTGAGCAATCTAATTGCTCGCTTACAACAAAGTTTCAGCCGCTTAACAGCACAAGGGATAAGATCCGCGGGCGCGGACACGTCTGCCCCCTGCTGCGTTGAGAGCTGAAATGCTGCATGTTGTGTGTGTGGCGCAGCAGGGTTGAGTACGGTGCAGGATCGGGCTCCTGGATCGACGGATGGATAATGGGTGCTGTCAGTTGACCTTGTTCTTGTGCAACCGCATTACTGGTGTTGACATCGGTGAGGCCCAACGTCAAAAACGCTTGTCAGCTTGGGCTAATGATAGTATTCTGCCTATAGCAATGGCTTGAAAGCTGATAGACACAAGAGTAGATGGGTGGCCTTAAACAAGACGGTATGCATAATCATGTGACAAGACAGTGCGAATTTGATCATGAATTCGCTATCCCGACGGGCCATGCCGTCAAAGATGGTCTGCTATGGCAGTAGAAAATGTGACACTAGGAAAACAGTATAGACTTCCACATGCTAGTGGCCATACATGAGAGCGCATTCCTTTCGAGTCGTCGATCCCGACCGGGCGGGCGTATAGAGATTCTATCATAGACACCAGTCGAGCCCAAATGTAAATCCAGTTAACCCCAATCTCTCATGCAGATGCTCCATCGCTGTACATGCCGACCAACTCCTCGCTAAAAGCAATGAAACAGGGAAAGGAGTCCATGAATTCAGAAAAAGGAAAAGGAAAAGGAAAAGCGGTTCCTTGAGGCAGCACCAGATAGCTATGTTGTGGCAATGGAAATCATCCCATGTCCGATATCTGGTGCGCTCGGTGAACCATTTGAAGAGTGGGTCAAGGAAACCAGCCTCAATAACCACTACGGCTGCCAGCCCATGCCCGTGTTGGGAAGGCCATGGGCAGTTGCGAGACTCTTGCCCTTCTCGTTGAGGCTCAGAACGATGCACTTTTTCTCAGCCCACCAGTTCTCAAAGGCGTTGACATCATCTGCGGCCAGGGATCCAGTGCGCTTGGTCTCATACCACTCCGTGTCCACCTTGTGACACTTGTGACGGAGACGGGGAAGGGCTTCAGTACGCAGGTGCGAAAGCTCGGTCACGTAGTAGGCGTCGTGCGGCTCAAGCGGTATGGAGAAGGAGCGGTCACGAGAGGGCTTACGCTTGTCCGAAAGCTCAGGGGGGCCTAGGGAGATGGGCGACGCGGGGCACATGGGCTGTGACAGCGTGAAGCCAGTTGACGTTACGGGAGAAGTGCAGCCTGACTGTGAACCCGAAGAGCCAGCAGTGAATGGGGAGGAGAAGTCTGATTGGAAGAGGCTGCTGGCATTGCTGATGGTGCGGAGTTTGGGGAGCGGAAGATCGTCAAGGTGCACCAACAGCTCATCTACCTTGTGATCCAGATGGTCGCTGTCAAGGTCCTCCGTGTGCTTGTCCAGACGCCCGAAGCCTGATGGCAGTTAGCATATGATCAATCATATAGGCAGACGTGGCAGTTGGAAAAAATTATATCGCGCAACGACGAGCCAATTGGAAAAGGCAAGCAGGCAGCACGGGTGAGATTGCGACTTACCAGTCAGAACAGCTGCTCCAGAGTGCTGCACAGCGGCCAGGGTCGACTGGAGTTGAGCCGGAAGACGGTGCCAGAGCTCCTGCGGGAGATACCAAATGCGAAGATGGGCGGGGTCGTAGCTGAAGGCATCGCCGTCCTTGGGGCAAGCAGTGCGGGGGGAGTCGAGTTGAGAGGAAGACCTGGAGAGCGTCGAAGCAAAGCTTTTTCGGCTAGAGCTGCGGCGACTGCGGGTCTGGGTGGGGTCGTGATATATGGGGTTGACAGATGGTGGGGTAGCCATGACGGCCGTGAGGGATGTCGATTAGCTATGTGCGGTGGAGAATGCTCGAAGGAGTGTCGAGGTTGGAGTGAGCTGGTGAGTCCAAGGCGTGTTGCTGAGTCGACCTTGTTGCGTCAAAGGAGGGTGAGGGGGCGGGCTATTTGTAGAGAGCGAGGCGCGTATCTGGAGAGCAGGGTGAGAGAGAATGTGTGGGTGTGGGTGTGTGGTGGGTGAATGGTAGTGCTCGAGCCCGAGACGCTGAAGCGGAGTAAATAGGAAGGGGTGTGTGGAGCGAGCCAGTAGGCAGGGGTGAAGGCGGCGGATACGAGTAGTTATCTACTCATGGGATGATGGGATGATGGGAATTAGAGGGGTTTCCCATGCCTGACGTAGATATTTGCCTTGTCATGTAATTCTCTACAGGGAAGTGGAGGCCTGTCCTTGGTTAGAGATATTGAGTACAGCTTGGACCAAGAAGCGTCGAGACAGGAAGGAAGGAACGAAGGAAGGAAGGTTTGCGTGCGCGGACAATGATGATTGCAGGACAGGGGTGGAAGCCCAATAACACGGTTCCGCTGCCCAGTTCCGCTGCACCGCCCAATTTCTTGCAGTACGGCACCTGGCCCGTTATAGGAATGCAAGTTTGTATCCAAGTGTTCAGGCCACCCTGCGCGCAAACGTAAACCCAAACGCAGATGCAACAAGCAAAAGCACGCACCGCACGCACATACGTACCTGCTGCCTGCTACGTCACACAATCGTCGTTGCTCAGCCCGGGATTAGCCGGAGCGGGTTGGGGAAGGCGCACTCTGCAGATGGCCGAAAGCGGCTAGATGTGCCGTTGCTCGCGGGACGTGTGCTATTTTCTTTGGTATGGCTCTACAGTAAAGTGAGTGAGTGAGTGAGTAGATAGAACCCCATCCTCGCCTGCATCCGACTCGAGCCGACTGCCGCTCAGAGCTTCCAGGGCTCCATGCCTGTGCACTCACCTGATGATGACCGCCGGGGTCTGCTGTAGGTGTGGGTGGTGTGGTAGCCAAGGGTCTTAATCTACCAAAGAGCGCAGACACATTGACGTAAAAATGAACAAAGCTGGCTGCAGCCCGTTGCGATTCGTGGAATGCACCGTGGACAAGACGCCCGCCGCCTCATGCGCGAGGGCGAGGGCGAGGGCGACCTCTTCATGCCAGGCAGTCCTGTGGTTCCGTCTTGCGACCGTCTCTCACAAACCCAAGGCGGCTACGATAGCATGTCGTTTGCGGCCACACTCGCTCCATCATCATCATCATGCCGCTCAAATCATCACCTCGACGAACAGCATGCAAACAGACAAACAGCAAGCCAAACATGAACTACACGTTTTGATTGCGTTGCTGCTGCTAAGAGCCGTACTGTGTACATGTCCTCGACTAGCGGCGCATAGCCTACCCTCGATCGTCGTGGTTGAGCACTTTTTCTCCTTTGGTCGGGGCGCCACTGTCCCAGCAAAACCTCTCCAATAATCGACCTTCTTTGTCCCAACAACTCCCTTATTCTTAACATACACATCGCTTTCATTCACTCACGCCCCAAGCATGCTGTTGAGGTCCCGTGGCAAAACACGCACATCATACGCTACACTACTCCAACCTGGGTTCCACTTTGTTAGCTTCATATCGAGGCGTGCGAGTGTCTGCCCAACCTTTGAATCAAGTGAATCCCCGATGCCGTCTCGACTATGCCGCTCACTTCGCCCTTCTTGAGCGCGAAAGCAGCCAGCTCGAATTCCTTCTGCATGTCGCCCTTACCAAAGAAGCCCCTGCTGAATGTCAGTGCCACTATGAGTACCCCCATGCTACCAGCACTCACAGATCACCTCCTTTCCGTGCGCTACTGCAATCTGACTCGGTCGTGGCGAGTTCCGAGAGCGAGCTAGCATTGTCTCCCGCGCCTTCCTCGTACGCTCGAATCTGTGCTTGATATCCCTCAATCAAGTCGCGCGCCTCCTCCTGCGAGCGCGTGATCTTGGGTTCCCTCCAACTGGCCGGGCGCCTGCTGTCACGGTGCTTGACGAGGAGATGGGCGCATCGAATCTTGCCCTCGGTGGGTGCAAAGGGGGCGGGCACAACGCCCTTTGAGCTATGGTGGGATGCCATGTAATTCTTCAACGTCTCTGAATCTGTGCCCGCCGGTGGCTCCCAGCGCGAGTCTTTTGTTTGAGCATGGAAGTAATATGGCAGGTTCTTCGTATTGGAGCGGCGCACCTCCCAGCCTTCGGGAAGACCAGTTTCGCCTGAGGACTATGTGGAGTGTAAGTCGCACTCGAACAAAGCAGACAAGAATCGTAGTAGCTTACCATGACTGCGATTTGGATTTTCGGGGGCTCAATGGACACTGTGAGGTTGATGTGATGAGTGCGCGCTGGTGGGGGTGTTGTCAGAGAATTTAACAGCGAGAGTTGAGGTTGCAGCGACGTCGTGGGCGGCGGCTGATCGACCATGCTTGAGGCGGGGAAACAAAGGCTCTTGGCGACAACCGCCGTTGCGGCATGCAGGGGCCCGTGTGTCTTTCACGCAAGCTTTCAATACCCTTTTCCATACCACACTTCAACGCGCCATCACCGTCCACCACTCCAGCACGCCGCGAAGACCCATACTGCCTCAAAACTCACAGCCTCTGCGCAACCACAGCACCATGTCGTCTCCAGCCGCGCAGATGGGCGGTAATAGGCAAGGAGGGAAGGAGCCGATTCTGTTCCGTTTCTGCTCAGAATGGTAAGCAGCCTCCCTGTTTGGAAGTGAAACTGTTAACCACAAGCAGCTCCAACCTTCTGTTCCCCCGCGAGGACAAGTCCGAGAACAAGCTGCTGTTCGCATGCCGAACATGCGCCTTCACAGAGGAAGCGCCCTCATCCTGCGTCATGCGCCATGAAATCGCCTCGACAGTCGGAGCTACAGCTGGTGTTACAGCAGAGGTAGCACAAGATCCCACGGTTGGTCTCTCCCACTCCAGTTCGCAGACATCTCTTTCCGAGGAGATTTGCTGCACCATGTGTGGCATGCCCATCATGTGCGTCGAGTGCGGTGAAGACTCGGCTCCTGGCTTCGTGCTGGAGACTGAAGACGAACCACCCCAGCCGTCCACGGATCCTCAGGAGGAAGAGTATGAGGACTTTGATGAGGACATGGAAGACGAATACTCGCCATAGTCCTGATTTGCATTTTTGTACTGTTGCTTGCTTGCTCTTGAGCGTGCTCGCTGACTGTGCCTGCGTCTAGTTACCTCGTGTGCAGAAGCAGTGTACAGAATGCGGCGAGAACGAGGCCGTCTTCTTCCAGTCTCAGCAGCGGACTGCCGACACGGGAATGGTGAGTTCACAACGAGCATGCTGGCGACCGGGCCTGACATATTACTAGGCACTCTACTATGTCTGCTGCGGATGCGGTCATGTCTCGCGTCCCGGAGACTTGAAAGATGATTGAGAGACGACGATATGACATTGCATTGGGCAGGCGTTAATCTCCGGATCCTTATCGGGAGGAGTTCAAAAACATCTTCTGATACCCATGGGTATTGTACAGTGGCATACACATATTCTACAATATCCCTGCGCTCCATAGACTCCTGAAAATGCATCATTTATTTCTTTTCCATTCCAACTCTTAGACATGCATCGGGGCCAGTGATAATATCTTGGACCACTGCTTCTGCTTCAGCTCTGCTGCCACAACGCCGCTGACTCTCGACCCGATGGGCTCCCCAGCCTTGTTGACCAGAACACAAGCATTGTCATCGAACTTGACTACGCTTCCATCTGGCCGCTGCCATTTTTTCGCCGTCCGTACTACCACGGCATGTCGTACATCGCCTCGTCGGACCTTGTTCGCTGCGCTGATGGATACGCTGTTGCCGGTTTCAGGGCCGAAGTTACGCTGCTTCTTCACAACGACTACTATGCGATCGCCTGCAATTGTCAACCCAAGTCGCCCACTCTTCCCTCACTCCCTGCACATACCAACTTTTGCGGGTCGCTTCGATCGCAGGACGTTGACACACTCGACTATGGCGGCGCCGGAATTGTCGATACAATTGACGAGGGTCTAGAATGCGCTGTATGAGTGCTTGTCTCGTCCCACGTAATCGTCTCATTGCATACCTTTAGCTGAATCATTGTGTGCGCCTGGGTCCAATCTTCCAGAAACTATCTCCCTCTCCCGGTGACGCGCTGTTTGCTGGGATCGATGCGCTGTTCGTTGTATGTGAAGACAAGTTTGCAGAGTGGATGTCGTCGGGGCAATCCGGCGCTTCCTCCGTGCCATCCATGACCTAGCGCGCTCTCGCTAGCCAGCGCGCTGCATTCACTCGCTCCCTGTCAGGCCCTCCGATCCATCGGCAGGGGGCCGCAACGCCCATTATTTGCGACCAACTCAGCCCAGCCCTGTCTCCCTCCGCTGACCGCGACGTGTGCGCTATTTCACTATCTTTCGTCTTCGCTGCCTTCGTGCGGCTCCGCTCCTTGCTTGCTTCTGCTTCGCGTCCTATTGTCCCTCATTCTTTCCTTTTTTGCGCCGCTATTGTTACTGTATTCACTTACTAGTGAAACCTGCATAGTCGCTCTCTCCAAGCCTCGAATACGTCACCCCAGCCACCCCTTTAATCGGCAACGACTCTCACCTACCTGCAAACACGCGACATACGATCAATTGCGGAATAACACACAGCTGCGACCGCTCCAACCATTCGCGCAGTCATGGCGCCTTCGAACGCGGAGAAAAAGGGTGGTCTGACACTGGAAAAGCTGGCATCGTACGACGATATCATCACGGATGCGCTGGTTGACAAGGTAGGCTGAACCGCTGTGTACATGCGATAACACAGTCGCCAATATTTGAGGAGCAACCGGACTGATCAGTGCGCAATTCAGGTGTACTACTGGACCATCATTCGCAAGAACCGTGGTGGACGCTCCACGGCATCTCGAGGCCTGCACGAGGAAGACATTGCCGACATCATCCGCGAATATGCAATATGGGAGAAAGAGCCTGCCGAGGCGGTTCAGAAGCTACTGCAATTGCCGGGGCTGCGCAAATTCATGGCTAGCCTAAAGGAGGAGAGAGACCAAGAGCAATTCAAGCGGCACCTTCGGAGATACGTCAACATATACATGCCAGACTGTCCATTTGAGGTCACGACGACGAACCGCTATACGATTACGGACCACGAAGCATCCATCACTGCGCGGCGCGACATCAACCCGCGCGAGGAGATCAAGTATCTGACTGGAGTTCAGGTGGCTATGACTGAGGAGCAGGAAAAGACACTGGAACTCGCACGCAAAGATTTCAGTCTTGTCATTTCGAGCAGGAAGAAGACGCGCTCGCTATTTCTCGGGCCTGCGCGCTTCGCCAACCACGACTGTGATGCGAATGCAAAGCTTTCAACAAAAGGCTACGATGGAATGCAGATCGTTGCAGTAAAGCCTATCAATGAAGGAGACGAGATCACGGTATCCTACGGTGACGATTATTTCGGCGATGATAATGAAGAGTGTCTCTGTCACACATGCGAAGATAGACAGCAGAATGGTTGGGCGCCCATGAAGCGAGTAGAAGATACCGACGACGACGATGAGGAGGAAGAGGACGACTCCGACACGATTCACATTATAACAGAACAAAGTAATTCCAAGGACGCACGATCATCGAGAAAGCGACAACGAGACGTCTCGGCAGAAGAAGATGCCTCGCGCGTCGCGACGCCTTCTTCCAAGCGGGTCAAAATTGAGCAAAAGACCTCCCCAATTAGACGACGTATTTCGAACCTTTTGCACAAAGCGACTCTGAAGAAGGCGCATAGCACATCCTCCCTTCGACAAGAAGTCCCAGTATCTAGCATTGAGGATCCATCCACCAATATCGCCACATCAGAGCAGCTATCTCGCGAGCTCCGCAATCAGCAGCGGGATGGCCATCTCATAGTGAACCTGAACGAAACCAGCTCATCACGGGAGACTACTCCCCAGTCGCCGCTGACGGCAGCGTCACCAAAGTCCTCACAATCTACAGATGCCACATCTATCGATGAAGATTATTGCATACCCAACGTTGCGAAGATCAAGGTCGATCCCGAAACTCTTCACAATAAAAAGCCTACTTTAGGAGTGGCCACAGTGAAGGAAGAAGTGACGACGACTACGGTAAACGCCCCGTGGCCCTCCCCACCAGCCGAAGACGACTACATGTCCGAACTCAGCGAACTTTCTGAGAGCTACGAATTTGACAGTGAGAACGAACAGATCGTCAAGCGCAAGCCCCGCCCAACACTCCGTACAACACGTTCAAAATCAAAGTTTGAAATACACAATCGCATCGGTACGCCCCTCCCTACCGACGTTGAAGACGCAGAATATGTCGCGAACAAGCGGAAGCCAGGTGACTATATGACGAGCACCTCGCTCCTGAGCGCAAAATACAGCAAGTGGGTCGAATGCCAGACATGTGAAGTCGAATTTGTGCAACAGGACGGCTACAACACACGCAAAGATTGTCCGCGATGCGAACGGCACTCGAAGCTGTACGGCTTCCCGTGGCCCAAGACCGAAAGAGAGGGCAAACACGATAAAGAAAAGCGCATCCTCGATCACCGAACAGTCCATCGCTTCGTAGACCCGGATGAGGAGCGCCAATTGAAGCGCGATAAGACGAAGAAGGTTATGAAACAACATATCCGGGAACGCTTCTCGACGCCTCGCAGCGTCAGGGATAGCATGAGTGCGAGTGTCGAGGTCGATAGTGGACGGCGCACCCGCAGGACTCGAAAGACGATGTAGCACGTTGATCTATCGAGCAGCAAGACGAACAAGAGGAGGGAACCGAAGCAAACAGGCGGCAGTTTACACTTATTTGAGCACATGGGCGTCCAACATTCTACGGCGCTGGGGGTTTGGGAATCCCTCAACCCTTCGGGGAATTTATGGCATGTTTTTTACTTAGCATTGGCGCAGCATCTCGACATTTACTCTGGTGCATATTACATATATAGCATATCCACACGGACATTGCGGTGGGTCATTGTACGATACGACGAGAGACACGAGGCATGATAGAAGACGCACAAGGGCCTACTTTTTTTTTTCAAAGGCCAACCAAATTCAAGAATTCATGCGTTCAATCATTCACCCATTTCCTCGCACACTTTCTAAACTAACCCCACCCCCAACACTATCATAGAATTCCTTGTCCCCCTCCATATTCTCATACACCACCTCCGTCCCCTCAAACCTCTCCCTCCTCAAATAAACACTCCTAAACTTCCCAACACGCTCCTGGTCCTCTGCCTTGAAAACTAACTCCCCCGGCTCGTGGATCTCAATCTTCTGGTCGACGTGCATGCCCTGGTCCACAGCGTGCACGTTGATTAACCCGGGGATAGCCATGGTGTGCGTCATGCGCTCGCGCACCGTTGCGCTATCGGGTGAGTGGAAGATGAAGTCGAGAAGGCGTGTAGTGGGGTGGCGGTAAAATGTGAAACTCGGTTTAGTGGTGGGCAGGAGAGGGGGGAGGGCTGTGGGCGGGATGTTTTTGTGGGCGAAGGTTAGGGTGAGGGTTTCCGTGGTGAGGGACTGTGGTTAGTTAGTGTGTTGGTTAGTTGGTAAGTTGGTAGATTTGATGGAGGAAATAGAGATTGGGGGGGGTTCATACTATTTGTACAGTTGCGCCGGACTGATCGAGTGTTTCGAGGGCTTGTAAAGCGTCGGGGGAGATTTCGTTCTTCATGCGGCGGTCGCAGAGGCGGCATTTGTTCTTCATGTAGCCCATGTCCTTCACACCTCCTTCTAATGTACTTTGTGCTCCGCGTTCATCTGCTTGCTCCGACGCTTCGTTCACGGTACCTCCACCAGGCCCATCTCTCTCGTCCCAAGATCGAGCATCGGTGATTTCGCCAATCTCTTTGCAAATCAACGACGTGCTGAAGTGCTTCTCGCCTAGCTGCCCTACGAGCTCGTGTCTGTGGGCAAGAAACAAGGCGCGTTGGTCTTCCTTGGCCAGATACGGGACGTACGTGATGACGACTAGAGATTCATTGCGGCGCAGAAGAAGATAAAGTGGGACTCGAGGGTTGAGCACATTGTCCAGCTCATTCAGCGCGGCTTGGAACGAGAGAGCAGCATCTTTTGATCGTACGGGTGCCAGTGGTTGGAGCTCGTTGCGGATGAGTGTAAGTGGTAAGGCGAAAGTGGATTTGTCTTCATTGAAGGTTCTGAATGCTCCATGTACAGCTGTAGATAGTTCTGGGAAACGATTATCAGCGATGAGCTTTGGTGTAGGAAGATCTGACTTACCAAGCTTGGCTGAATTCATTGCTAACGAGTATTTATCATGTCCTGATATTTCGTGTCAGGTTGATATGTAAGGATACAGCCTAAAAGAGGCAGCCTTGAGGACATTGGAGTAAGCGTGGACTTCTTGCATGATCACGTTCCGCAAATGCCTGGCGCGGAATTCCGCACTATTGCGGAGTTGTCATACTGCGGAAAGCAGGCCCCTGTGAAGGAATCTTTGTTACTTACCGAACGTGAGAAATGCATACTAGTACAAGGCAGAGGTCCACTTGATACTGTTTAATACATTGGTTGTGACTGAATGGGAAGTGAGGTCGACGTCCTAACCCCAGCTCGCTTAATGAATACTCCATACTACTCTCCTATAGATATGTGTAGTACTTCCAGGACGTCATTTTGTGTAGAAAGAGAGAAGCGGTATAGCAACCCCTTTCAAGTAGAAGCCTTGCTTGACTCCCAAGCAATATAAGCTCAAGACAGACCGCTGAATATCTAAGTAATGGAAAGGGCCTCGCCCTCGGCCAATGCAGAGGTGGGAAGGGATATGTACAACCAAGGTTACAGATCATCACCTGCCCCATTTTTACCGATTCTCCGCACATTTTGCCCCTGATATGCTATCAATAGCGCCTCACTAATTCCTCGGTCCACACACTCTAACCTCCTCCACAACCAATTCGAACCTGTCACCGCCCATGCCACAGGCATTGAATTCGCTCTTCCAGTATCCCTCGCCACCACCCATGGAGGGATCTAGAGCATGCACTTTGTCGTTCAACTTCTTCAGGTCTCCTTTCTGCCACTTTGTGGTATTCTCGTTTTTAGGATGCTTCTCGTGGCTGAGCTCAACCTGAAGGCTACGAGCCGCACGATTTGCTGCATCAAGCGTCGTGTAGACCTCACTGCATGGGACTTTGTGGTACGCCCGAATCAGAGGCTGACTGTTGCTTATCGTTTCGGTGTTGGTATCATCTGACCCGGAAATCAACCTGAAGAGGCGAAGGGTGTAGGCAGTCTTCGATATCAACGGGGTGAACTTCCCAGCTCCTGGAGTTTGATTTGCATACTTTGACACAGAGTCACGCTGTACCCATATTCTGATGTAAGACTTCTTACTTGGGTAGTCGATGGGAGAGAAGGCTCCCACTAGTGCTAAACAATCATCGTGGTTGCGCTTGCTGCTCCACTCGGAAAACTGAACAGGGAGATGCTGGCTGTATTGCTCTCGTATATACTGAAACAGCTTTTCAGCCTGAGCATTGGCCTCATCAACGTCAGTGTAAGGGCGTGATATAATCTCGGCGGCCGTTATATCATCCTCGTTTTGCTCGCTAAACCATCCCTTCTGGAATACAGAGTATTCAAAGTACGGCTGTGCATTATCCGAAATCGTAAGGGGAGAGAGTATGATGCCAGTGGCTGACTGCTCTAGTGTAAACAATGCTTGTTCTGAGGGAGCCATGGCTGTAGTAGAGGGGTCATTTACATATGCACAAGCAGGCGCTTCAGGTCTGCTCTGTGGTTTTTGCGGCGAGTTGAGAGACGCAGGTCGAGAGAATGGTGACTTATGGCCAGAATTCGGCGTACTCACCGTTGGAGCCCCACCAAGGTTACCAGCTGATGCAATGGCCTGTCGTGGTGTATTTAGAGATGGTTGAGTATTGGTCATAGGTTGATTTGAAGATTGATTGACAACGCTTGTTTCAGCCCTTCTGACAAGTGCCGATAGACTATATTTATCTGGTATGGCTGGCTCACATCTTGGTGCTGCAGTAGATACCTTCAGTTGTTGACCCCGAGGATGGTTGACCGCCATTGACGATAGCTTGTTGGTTGTATTCGCTGGTGTCCCACTGCTAGTGAATCGCGATCCTGGTAGAGATATCACTGGCGGTGGGACAAGTGCAAGAGACTGTTCAGAAGTTATGACTGGCTTCTTGAGGTGCGCGATGTTGCCAATAGGTCCACCCGCGATATCTTCAGACTTTCGCTTCTGAGTCAGTTGCATACTAGACGCGTGTCCGGGCTTCGCCGTCCCACCAACCGTCTGGTTCTTCGATAGTAGTCCTCCAGGAGCTAACCCCGAAATCTGTTTCTTGTATTGAGGGCTGACTGGATTAGGTCTCGAACCATGAGAGCTAGCCGACGTCTGAAAAGAACTTGGCAGCTGCCTCGCTGAAGGTTGTGCTGGCTGTCTGAAAAAGGGATTATGTAGAAGTTGACCCTCCGCCTTAGCAGACCCATTTCGAGATTCGATCAGCAATGAAGGTCCAGTTCCGTTCTTCTGGGTCGTTCGCGATAGCAATGTTGACGGCATGCTAATATTATCGATTTGCTTGTCTCTGATGGTACCGAGAGGTGAAGCTAAGTAAGGCGAGGGCCCTACATTCATCATAGTTTTCCCGGCAGCCGGGTCTGGATTCATGGGTGCATTAGCTTGTGGTCTGGTAACAGTCACTGTTCGACTCTCAGGCCGCTGCTTAAGGAGAGAGCTGACATCCTTGCTGCGGCCGAGAAGGGTGTTCAGGCGAGACTTGTTGAGCAGTTTGGTTGGTACAGAGGCTCCGTTGGACTTCGTGTTACGACCATCTAATGTTAGCCGTTGATTTGGCGGCTGTGTCGCTGGGATTGAGTCGTTGTCTTCTCCATCATAGTCATGATCTTCAGCCCCGCTCTCATCGCTGTCTAAGACGAAACCTCCCTTCAGCTTTGGTCGCTTTCTGTCTCGCTCTGGAGCTGTTGGTGACATGGGCCGTTTATTTACTGGTGGCCCGCCTGTTCTGATGGGTTTGCCAACCCCAAATGTAGGGTTTGGCTTCATTCTTGTTGATGAAAGGCTGTCCGGAAGCTTCAACGATAGTGATAGAGTTCTGGACGTGGGCTTGCGGTTTCAGGTGATGTGAGTGCTGACCTCCTCAAGCGCTGTGAGGACTTTGCTCGGGATGATCGTTTAAACTGTCGCTGAAGATCCTAAGTTCTAACTCGCGCGTACTGGCTAGGTTTACCAATCTTACGTGCCGAGCAAGTCGGCTTTACGAGGTCTGCGATTTCTAGCCGAGTCCCTCTGCCGAGCGTAAGGGCACTCGTTCTCAGCTTCTTCTTTGCCAATTTTAGAGTAAGTTCATCGCTGAGAAGATTTAGGTGAACTATTAGCAATCGCAGCCTGTATATTCTTCATCGAATCCGAAGTCGTCAGATGAGATTTGCTGGTTCAATCACCTAGGACGTGAATACGCGCTAACCTCAGCACCCGTCGAGATGATCGATGAACGAAGTGAGAGAAGCTTCTACGGGAGCACTTCTAGGATTCTAGGCCTTATAACTTTAGCCACATTTCGCTGTCGCTTATACTGCGTTTGCAGTCATCTCTTACAACGCCTAATCCCTTATGCCAAGGCAAGTCAATATTACAAGCGGTACTCGCAGTGGAGATCTGTCCGGCAAAAGCTGTTATTATGGAGTTAATAACAGTAAAATAGTGAGTAGGAAAAGAGAAGGCTTTGCAATATTCGGTTCATGGTCGTCGCGCGCTATGGGAGCGATGAGATGCTGCATCGTTCCGCTATGCTGGTGATGGTTTCTGGCCAGGGTTGGGACCATAAGTAGAGATCCGGAAGTTTTTCCAGCGCGAAAGCTATTTTCTGAAATATTCTCCTACATCTTTGGGAGTCAGCAGAATTGTGTTGACCTGATGTCGAAGAAATGTAGTCGACGTTGGGGGTATTCTGCTTAGTAATCATGTGACCCACATTCCCTTTCCTCACCTCAAATTTTGGGGTCCACATGCTGTCAACCTAACCACTGAAGAGCCGATCCTAAGCTATGGCGGAAAATCTACTTACCTCAAGTGCACCGGTTCCAGATAAAGTACTGCGGGATCTGGCCAGAAATGTCGCGAAGGCTCTCCCTAACTTCGTAGAAAGAGACCCCACCAGTGGTGTGAAGTAAGGATGCAAAGTCCGTGAATTTTAGGTTGAGGTATTGGACATTGCTGACGCTAAGTTAGAGAATTACACGCGATTATTTCTCCCGTATTGGAAACGGCAGATTTACCAGATTTAGAATCTAGCCATCGGGCAGCTGCGTCGAACGCGCTGTGTGCGATTATTGAGAAATGTCAAGCAACCGGCATTGATTACGTCCATAATGCTCTCTTAGACGATTCTATTTGGTTTCGATTGTTCAACATTTACCTTCAGAGATCCGACGATGCCAAAGGCAAGTCCATGAGGCAGTTGCTCTTAGTTCTCGCGACTGTCGTGGCGAAAGATCAGAGCAATCGTGCATTCCAGCTTCGGAAACAGGCTACAATCACGTTTCTAGATATTATTTGTCAGCGGCAAGACCGTCTCAAAGTCAAACCAGCTCTTCAAGGTCTCGCGCACTTCCTCCTCCGAGATGTGGTCTCCATTGCGCAACTCGTCGAATTGTTCGGCGATTTACAACAGCGTTATTCGATCGAGAAAACGAATGTTGCAACCCCAAAAAGTATTTTCAGGGCCTTTTTGGCATGGATAGTTCATCACGATACCGCGCTTTCAGCAGGCCATCTGATAAGGAACTTCCTTCTTCAAGCTCGTCGCCTACCTACAGCTGGGCCGCAAAGCCATGACACCGCCTTCTTACCGTTGTGGATTGAGCCAGTTGTGCAGACTCTACAAAAATGGCCCGATCGGATACAGGAGTTCAAGACACACGTGTTTCCTCATTGCTTTCTTCCCAATATCGACGAGTACATACATTTCCTATCTTATTTGCATTTTGATAAGCATGTACAACCGAAAGGCACGCTACCTGATCAACTAAGCGCGTCGAATCCTCTTCCGAGTGGACTCAATGAACCTGAAGAGTTCAATATCCTGCTGGCAGCATTCGAAACCGGGAAAGAGTTAAGCATAATACGGGATATCGGTAAGTTTACAGACGCACAGGGTTCTTGCAATAGCTCAACAAACTTACTTTATATAGACCATCGAACGTGCGAAAATGTCGAAATCCACGACGGGGCTGTTCATATACCGGACATCGTTTTTGGTGGATGGATGTCACACCCCGAACCCGAAGTCCGACTCGCGGGAATGTTCCTTTCAGTATACTCAGCGTCTGTGACAAGACCCTTCACCGGCGGGGTTTTCAAGTCATTACAGCGCAACCTCGTTCATATGCACACGGACACAGACGCCAACTTTCGTCGAGGAGTCCACGGGTGTACACAGAAACTCTTCGATCGCTTGAGAGCCAGTACGGCCACTCTCGCTAAGGGAACATCTAAGCGTAGCACTTCGATTGAGAGCCGACTTCCTTTCCCCAAGAACTACTCCAGTTATGGAACGCTGTCCAGAAAGAACTCGCGACAAGATCCGCTCACCGAGGCTTTAGCTTTTGTAGTTTGGTACATGCGATTTCTGGAATGGGAAATGCGGTCAACTGCGTCTTATCAAAGGCGTGTTACTGCATTACGAACACTGACCATCGTACTGCGTTCCGGGGTGGACTCTGGAGTGCCGCAAACTCACCTTTCCAAGTCAGCACAGGGGCAACTAAACTGGGCGCATAGTCTTCAGATCGCAAACCCAAAATTGATTCGGGTCCTGTTCGATCTCATCTTAGATCCTTTCGACGACATCAGGGATTCAGCCATATCAGTCCTGCAACTGTGTTTGATTGCTCTACCGCAGGCTCAAAAGGATGCGGTGTTGGCAACAATTCCTCGCTTCATGTCTAGAGCGGAGACCGCCATGCTCCGCACCGGCCGAGCTGATCAGGCAGATGGAGTCGCTCGAGCCTACGGCTTGATTTTCTCATTAGCCGGCGAAGGCCGGATGGACTTGCACGGCACACAGCTTTCTTCCAAGCTGGCAGTTTTTGAGCATCTGAAAAGACAGCTGGATAGCACCCTCGATATAGCTCACAACAATCTGTCTGAGGCTGTTAACGGTCGTCCTGTCCATGGCATCTATGCTGCATTCAGGTACATCGTTGACCAACACGACTTCTACGCAGGCTTGTCAAGCGCCCCTACAGAAACGCTTGAAATGTGGAAGCAGTTACATAAAGATGTTTTGGGGAGTATCGAGTTGCTCTGGTCTTATGTTTACCATGTCCTCTGTGCCGACGCGCCAGAGGGCCTAATTCCGGACGAAATGGAGGATGAGACTAGTCTCGATACTAAGGAGATCTTGAGCTATTCGTGGAGAGGTCTCAAGGAAGCGAGGTACGGTATTCTTGCTCATCCGTGAAAGCCATGCTCATCATCGTAGTACACTTCTCCGGACTGTCATTACCACAGGGCCAATAGGTCATGACGACGGCAGTATCATCACTCCTGAGCTATTTGAGAAGCTTGGTCGACTTTGTTTCGTTCAACTACTGGAGCTTCGCCATCGCGGTGCGTTCTCGACTGTCTCTCAAACATTTGCAGCGTTTTGCCGCCGTTGCGTGTCGTCAAATATCCCTCTACTTCGTGCTCTACCAGAAACATGGTATCAGGTACGAAAATCTAACATTATTAATGTCGCATAACTAAACGGCTTAGGAAACTCTTGAGTCTATTCAAGAAAAGGCAGGCGCTATCACTCGGAGATCTGCAGGCATCCCGGCGCTCATGTCGGGCATTTTGGCTGCGGAACCTCAAGTGGGAAGCAAGCTCTTCCCCCGCGCCATGAGGGACCTCGTCACCGAAGCTTCGGTTGAAGCAAAGAGTGAAAATATTGAGGAAAGCCGTCTGCCTCAAGTTCATGCCCTCAACTGCATCAAAGAAATCTTTACAACCTCGAAACTTAGTGTGGCTTCGGAGCCATACATCGGACAGGCCCTTGAACTTGCCGCAAAGACCCTCAACTCGAATATGTGAGCAAGCAAATATACAACTGTATAGGAGACACACTAACTCTATCTGGAGATGGCCTATCCGAAATTGTAGCTTGATGCTCTTCAAAGCATTGATCGAGAGACTGCTTGGTAGTGACGAAGCGCAAGACTGGAAAGAAAATGAACGAACAAAGACGTCACGCTTCTCATTCGACAACTACCCGAGCCTAGTAAATATCCTATCTGATCTTCTAGATCCAAGTGGGCCTCTGAAGCAGTCAATTGAAAGCACGCCCGACAGCAGTTCGCCGCTTGATCTACACGGAGCCGAAGGAGTCTTTCCAGCCCTCCAGATCCTACGACAAGCACGACCCCCGGAAGCTAATCTTGGTTCGATTCTAGCATCTGTAGAAAAGATTCTCGAAAGCCCACATTGGCATCTACGAGATATGGCAGCAAGGACAGTCGTATCTTTGAAGTCTATACCTGAGCTGTACAGCGCTGGATTGTCGTTGCTTGGTAACCTGCCGAAGTCACACAATAACCAACATGGAAGGCTACTTGCGGTTAAATTCATGTTCAGGAAGCTATTGCAGGATCCTGCTCAACTCGGTAAGTACATTGCACATTTCTTATACCAATCAATGCCGTCCACTGACTACTCGTAGCCTTGAAGGATTTTGCCACCTTAATGGAGGAGCTGAGTAACTTTGCCCATCAATGGTTCGTCGTGAGCAATTGTCCTTTCATCAGATCTACCTTTCTCGATATTGTAGGTCTCTGTGGAAAGACCATGCTCCAAAGGAAAGACACCCTCTCAATATTGCATGCTTGGGAGGGGCTCACAGCGTCTATTTCTATAGGCCCACAATACGCGCTCGGCTCCAGTCGCAAGAACGGCGAGGCGTTATTCAGGGCGTCGTTGGCACAAGTGTTCTTCATCGATCGCATCATCGTCCGGGACCACTTCCTCAGCTTCATGGTATCAAAGGAACATCAAAGCATTGGCAACGCGCTGATACTGCTCGCAACTGAGGACCCTGATACCTGCTGCGCGGCTCTGGAGACTCTTGGAGCTGCCATTCAGATACGGCCTTCCAACGAGCTAACGTTACCGTGCACGCTCATATTAGCTCACATACATCGAATTGTTCTGGACGCTACAGATCTAGAGGTGATCTCCAAAGCGCAAGCCGTGCTGACAGGCGGCATCGCTGATAATCATATGAAGAGAGACTTTTTCTCCTTAGTCACCAAAGAGCAAGTCCTCATCACCCTCGACAAACTGGAGATCCAGTGCCTAGACGGGCCACCATCCAACGCGCAGAGCGCCTTATATCTTTTGAGTTTCTTCCTCGACTTTGCCTTCCACGCCTACCAAGATCAACGACGGCTAGTCCTCAAGTCTACCGCACGCTACATCCGCCTTCTCCGCATGACAATTATAGACACGAACCCTTTCGACACGCGATTCGCAGCCGTGCAGTCCATTCGCGCACTCGAGCACATCTGGACCGCAAGCACGGCATCCAAGTCCACTGGGCCACTCCTCCTCGGTCTGAGCTTTGTCTTATACGACATGCTCAACGACGACGACGACGAAATAAGAGACGTTGCCGCCGTCGCCGTAACGGACCTCCTCCGTGCCCAGGGCTCCCCACAAGCTAAACACACGGTACCCATCCTCACCACGCATCGTCTCGCTACCTTCCTATCTTCCACCCAATTCACTACATGCCGCATACCCCTCATCACCCAATCTCTCCACCGCTTAACCTGTCCATCCTCTTCCTTTTCTTCACAGAATCCCCTTTTCTCTACTCCCTTCGCAGAACTCTTCGCCCAACACAGCAAACAAGACACATCCCTCTTCGCAACAGAGAAGCAAAACCTCTACAAAGACGACGCCCTCGACGCGCTCTTCTGGACCCGCGTTCTGCGCTCCTTACCCTCGTTCCACGCTACCGCTGTTCCGCTCGCCCTGCACCAAGGCCTAGCAACCTGGGTCCTCGACGGTATCGCGGTACTAACTCAGACTACAAAGGAGACGGAACGCGATGGCGCGTTGGGATGGGCGAGTAAAGCCGAAGTGTTCACGTTGGGCATTCAGGTGATCTGCGCGAGTGAGATACTGTTGGCTTGGAGTGGTAGTATTGATTTGGAAGGGAAAGAGAGTGGGATGGTGAGACGAGAGATTTTGACGGCGCTGAGGGCATTTGCGGATATGGGGGCTGTAGCGGAAGTGCATGGCTTGTGGATCGAGAGGATTGAGCGGGTGTTGGAGAAGGAGGTCCTGGACGCGTTGCGGAGGGTGAAAGGGAGCTTGTTGACGGTGTAGGGTGAGGGGTTGCTGGTACTCAGTTTGGCTTTGTTGGCGCGAGGACAGGATTACGAAAATGTAGGTGACGAGAGCATGTCAGTAGGATTCCGCAACAGTATGGTCTGCTGGGCTGCTTATCAATTGTTGAAATTAGAGTAATCACACATCTATAAGCGCGCTTAGTTGTACAACGCAGTTCCCTCAATCCATCGACTCTCATCTTCGGAGGAACAAGTGCATGGCAGGACTTTCCTGAAACTGTTTACTTACGCTTCCATACTTTGCCTGCCACGCAAAGAAGTACAACAGTGCCGCCAATGGCTGTCCAACAAGGCAAAAACTAATCCAAAAGATCATGTTTCCTGCAACCTTGCCTTGTATCCACTTGACCTTCTGAATCACATCGGTGAGCGCGATCATTGGTATCTGGAACATCATGCCCGCAAAGGCAACGCCAATAATGTTATGTGTTGGCACACCGACAAGAAGCTCATGCAGGATGCCAGAGAAGAAGAATACGAAGATCTGGGCCAGAGCAGGTGGCCAGCCACGGCCGACAAGTGGGCTGTATATGTGTCGCCGCATAAAGTTTGTAACTGGCTTGTTCCAGGTGGTCCAGTAGGTGCGGATACTGCTCACATTCCACCAGTCGCCGTAGAACTCTCGATCGCCAAAACGCATAACCTCGGCAAGAGCGTTGAGGGCAGACTGGAACAGGGCGAAGAAGCCACAGAGCCAGCAGAAGACGGAGATGGTGGACAGCTTCATAACGCGCTCCACGATGGATGTGAAGTTGAGCGTGAGAATCTTGTCCAACGAATTCTGGAGCAATGGCGCAGCATATTGGGCGGAGGCAATCCAGATGACGATGCTGAGACCTGCGAGCTCGGCTAGACGCTTGAAGACAAAGCCCCACCGTATCGTATCGGTACGCGGGTAGACGGGCTGGTAGACTAGTGTCGGTGCCCACCAGAAGTAGCACAAGTTCTTCATGTTGATGTTCTGCGGGTATGGGCAGGTCTTGTACAATGCAGGGAGTGGGTCAGCCTGCTTCGGATGCAGGTAGGCGTGACGAAGGTCGCGGTTCGTCAGGGCGTACGAGGCGCACTTGAGGAAGACGATGACGGCGTGGAACTCGCATAGCGTACCGATACCCGGGTGGTAGATGTCGTAGTAGACGTACTTGGTTGCAATGTAGAGATTGGCAACGGCATTGACGCTGTGGAAGAAAGCGACAATGTACCAGGTCGAGTTGAAGCTTCGCAGTGCAGCCGCATATGCAGCGGGTGTGTCCTCATCCCTCTGCTTTGATATGCGCGTGTATGCTCTGTCTGCTTGCCATGCTGCGGCCAGCTCGATCAAGTACGTGACGAACAAATGGGCGGGAACGAGGAGGTAGAGCAGCAGGCCGGTGATGACGTCGGAGCGTCGATAGTCGTGGCAACTGATGCATATCAACACGCCATACTAGTCGTGTTAGCATTGGAAGTGCGAGCGAATGAAGTCAGGAGAAGTTACCTTTTGCAAGTTGACAATCATCAATCGCAAATTGGATACAACTGCTCTCATTAGCCTCGTGCGGGCGTAGCCGGTAGCGAGGAATGCGTACTGAGCACCAGGATCATGAGATTCCTAAAGCCCACAAAACTGGGGGAGCTCTCTGCATCGTGGCTCAGGCAAGAGGTGCGGGTGACCGAGTGTGTGGCAAAGACATGTCGGTATTTGGTATCTCGAATGCGCTTGGTGGTGCCGTTGACTTTCTGCTCCGTTGTGGTGCCTCGGTATCGAGAGAGGCCAGCCTGTGGGACGTCAAATGCAGTGCCGGTCGCCATTTGGGTGATTGTTGCCATGGTTAGGCGTAGAGACAAGGCCGAGGTCCTCGATGCACTGTACAGCGCTCAATTGGGCCTGGGAAGCTATATGTAGGGCCTTGAGACGGTGGTTGTGGAGGAGGAATCGCTTGACACTCGAAAGCGGCGACGGGGGGACGGAAGCAGCTACGGATACTCGGCCATCCCCTCTGGGCGGAAGAGGAGCATATGCAATAGGGCCATGCTGTCGTCCTGCTACTGCAACTTGTTGGGAGATACGAGGGCTTTCCGCTTTCTGTTGAATCGCCCCCTCGAGCGGGGGTCAGCGAGTGCTGCAGCTGTTCATGCATGCACCCGTCGTTGGGTGAAGTGTGGCGTCAACATGCAATGCTGTGGCTGGAAGACGCTCGGGCCCTACCCTTGATGGGTGTTGCGAGTGTGTTGCGACAAAGCAACTTGCATTCACGATAGCTTCGCCATCACGTACGTCCCCAGTGTTGCGCCCTACTAGACGGTCGACTGTGCTGCTCGTCCATGCCAGTAACTTGAACGACGCGTCTGGCAGGAGCCGTCCATCATGGAGCGCGAATACCACCAACGGGACTTTGACGGCCCTCCGCGCCCTCGACCAAAGCGTAGGATAGCTACTCTCTGTATATCTACTATTCTAACCCTCATGTTTAGGCGCGGTAACCGACTATGGCGCGACAACGGTACAATGGATGCGCAATCGGCGCCCGCGATACAAGAACCTCGCCATGCCCGAGGTCGAAAGGCCAAGTGCCAGCTACATTGTGGACATGGAGCCACCCGCAGCGCGACTCGCCAGCGCTGCCGAATCCATACCCGCAAAAGCCGTGCACTCTTCTCTCAACAAAGTCAAGCATCCCATAAATGTTGTCAAGTGGACTCCAGAGGGTCGACGGCTGCTCACCGGCTCAACGAGCGGCGAGTTCACGCTATGGAATGGCATGGGCTTCAACTTTGAGACCATCATGCAGGCACACGAGGCGGCTATCCGCGCTGTCGAGTACACATCGACCGACGATTGGCTGCTTTCGGCCGACCAGACGGGCGTAGTCAAGTACTGGCAGACAAACTTCAACAATGTCAAGGAGATACAGGCGCACACTGAAGCAGTACGAGGCCTCGCTATAGCCCCGACAGACTCCAAATTCGTCACATGCGCCGACGACACCACACTCAAGATCTGGGACTTTGCGTCGAGCACCGAAGAGTCAACGCTGACTGGACACGGCTGGGAGGTAAAGTCGGTCGATTGGCACCCTCACAAAGGACTGCTGGTGTCAGGGTCAAAGGATCACCAAGTCAAGTTTTGGGACCCGCGCACAGGCCGATGTCTCACCACACTTCATGGACATAAGAACCCAATATCAAAAACAATGTTCGAGCCTGTCCAAGGAAACATGCTAGCCACATGCGCCCGTGACCACACAGCACGCATCTTTGATCTCCGAATGATGCGCGACGTTCTCCTGCTTAAGGGGCATGAGAAGGACATCATCACCATGGCCTGGCATCCCATGCATAAGAACCTACTTTCCACGGGTGGCGTTGATGGTAGCATACACCACTACCTCCTCGACGAACAAAACCCACCCGCTGGCGTCCCACCCTCGATATCACCGTACGACGCCGCAGACTCGCAAAACGCCCCAGCTCAAACTATATACCCCGCCCACAGCATGCAATACGCCCACGACTTCACCGTCTGGACGATGGACTGGCACCCACTCGGCCACATCCTTGCATCGGGTTCTAACGACCGCGTCACCCGCTTCTGGACGCGTCCAAGGCCAGGCGACACCAACTACGTCAACGACCGCTATCACATTGGCCAAGCAGCTGCCGAAGCACAGGGAACATACGACCGCGGCCAGGGCAGGCGGCAGAAGATGGAGGAAGAAGAGCAAGAAGCGGAAGACGAAGCGGAGGGGCTCGTGGACCAGAAGCTGCCGTCGAGGCATCCCGGTGCCCCATCTTTCCTGCCACCAGGTCTCTCATTACCAGGCCTCAACGCTGCACCAGATGGCACGTCGAGCGCTTTACCTGGTATCGGCGGTGTACCACATCCGCCTCTACCTCCACCACCAGCAGGATTACCGTTCCACCCACAACTAGGTGCAGGTGGCGGACCCCCCATGCCCTTTTCCGGCATGGATCCCTCGCGGCTCGCGCAACTCATACAGTCAGGCGCTCTACCACCACCTCCTATCCCCCAGGGCCCTCCGCCTCCAAACGCGAACGGAGCACTGCCTTTCCCGCCACCAAACTTCGCTTTCCCACCGCCAGGCATGCCCCCTATGCCCGGGATGCCAGGAATGCCCTCTATACCTGGGATGCCGCCTTTACCACCCGGTATGCCTCCCCCTGGCTTCCCTGGGTTTCCCCCACCGCCTGGAGGGATGACGGGACCGCCGCCGGGTTGGACTCCTCCTCAGCCACAGCAAGTCTTTGGGAATGAGCAGGGCGGGCCTGTTGGTGGAGCAGGTGGTATTAGGAAGAGGATACCACTACCTGACCAACAGGACGCGTTGAAGATGGAGATGAATCAGGGGCGGTATCGGAAGCCGAGATAGTGACTCTGTCTTCGAAGTACCGTTTCAAAATGGGGTGGAAGACTGTAAGATTTGGCGCAGCCAGGTATCGGCGTTGGCAGGTGGGTCAAGCTTGCAGTGTGTGTGTGTGAGTGAGTGTAATATCTGTCAATGAATACCCCATTTCTGTTCATCAGACCAAGTCAAGTTATGTGCATGTTCTTACAGCTCCTTCAACAGCCCAGCATCCACCACGTCCTTTATACACTGCACCTTTGCCACACCAGTCCAATCCTCCTTGCCCTCCCCAACAGCCACACTTACATTATACAACTCATCAAGGAAAGCCGGCACAAACGTCCCCGGGCCCTTGACATCCCCTCTGACCGCCGCCATTTCCGCCGCAATCTCATAATGCAGCACACCCGCGACAGCAGCAAGTAATTTATCCCCCGGACTCGCAGCAATGTAGGCGGAAATGGTAGTCCCCAATGTACACCCACTCCCTGTTATCAACCCGAGATACGCATGCCCGTTGGAAAGCGCATATGTACGCGTCCCGTCGCTGATGAAGTCCGTTGCGCCCGTCATGAGGACTACATTGCGTTCGCGGCGCGCGAGGAGGGAGACTACGTATGCTTTTTCGGGGAGGGAGAAGAGTGCTTTTCCGCTGTCTACGCCGCGCTGTTGACTACTACCAGAACCTTCAGATTGCAGCGTAAGTCCGCTTGCGCGCGCAACTTGCAGGATCTCGCGCTCGTTGCCTTTGATTACGTCGAAGTAGCTCGTCGCCATCAACGATTGCAGTGCATCTCTCCGCACGCTCGTCGCGCCTGCGCCGACGGGATCAAGCACGATGGGACCACCCGCAGCATTGTACGCGGCGATGGCTTGCTTGTAATTCAGCAGACCGTCGGGCGTCACGGTGCCCATGTTTATTACGAGGGCGCCGCCTAGTTTAGACAGGTCCGGTGCTTCGGCGCCGTAGTTTGCCATGATGGGCGATGCGCCGATGGCGAGGGCGACGTTTGCGGCGAAGTTTTGCACGACTAGATTCGTCATGTTGTGGGATAGGGGACTCTTGTCTCGCACGGCTTTTGTGGCCTTGATGGCTTCGGCGAGTAGGTGCGTGACTTCATCTTCGTCCTTTTCGAGCCAGAAGTGTGGTTCGTTGGACGTGGCTTTGAATGGCGGCGGGGATACGAGGAGTTGGAAGAGGTGCTTGGATGCTTCTTTAGGATTTGGCGCGCCGACGATGGCAGATACGATTGCGACGCCATCGATCGTCTTTGGTTTTGAGGCAGTTGGAGAAGGGGCAGAGAGTTGGTAGATGATGCGCTGGAGGTTGGATGCGTTGACGCCGCCTATGCATACTGTCTTTACGGCTTTGGACGCTTCGTCTGCGGTGTCGAGGAATCGTAGGATCTTCCGGATCCCATTGATGCCTATGATGTCTTTTGTGTTCTTCTTCGTGTTTGTGGCGTAGAGAGTTCCAATACCTAGGTAGTCTGCACCCCGCACAACCGCAACTCGGGCTTCCTCGATGGACGATACTGTTGCACCGATGATCTTGTCCTCCCCCAGAATGCGGCGTGCTTCGCTGATGTTCATGTCATCTTGGCCGAGATGCACGCCTTCGCAGCCCACGGCGAGGGCGACGTCGACTCTGTCGTTGATGAGGAGGGGGATGTTGTGTTGTTTGCACTTCTCATGGAGCTTCTTTGCTGTTGAGATGAGGATGCCAGTGTCTGAAGATTTGTCTCTGTATTGGACGATTGTCACGCCTGGGAAGAAGGGCAGTCAGCACCAGAAGTCATTGTTCATCATGAAGTGCAGCATGTGACATCAATTAGATGGGGAGTCATGGATGGGACAACCGACCTCCAAGCAAGGCCTGTTCAACAACCTCGACAAGATCTCTCGAGCCCAGGATGGCTTCTGTCGAGTCAGTCACGAGGTAAAGCGAGTAGTTGACCTGGTCCTTCATGCTGCGATTAGATTGACAAGGTGGTGTACTCGTGAAATGCCTGATGTCATGCTGTGTAGAGATGTTGGCTGTCAAACGAGGCTACCCCACACTTCGAGGCGTCTACTCTTACGACACATTGCAAAACTAGTCGAGCATTGGACACATTTCAGCTACACATGATGCATAGTGGCCAAACGAGAATATACAACCAGGGCTGGCTGCATGGTTCTGGAGTTGGAGACTCCCGCCCAAAATAGAAAATATTCGCTGAACTGTTTCGTAGCACACGCTACAGCAAATCGGCTGGTCCGGCAAGCAGCATCCATGAATGCAATCTCCCTCAAGCATCAGATGATGGTCTAGTAGGCAGGCGTTTGCCTAGGCTAGAAATCTCTTTGACGATCGTCGCGGGCGCAAACTGAAGCGGGCTTCCTTGCCAGTGACCGACCGTGGCAAGAGATGTTGAATCACACGGAAGTTGAAAGAGAAAAAAGAGAACACAGCTACAATCAATCAAGCAATCAATCCCAGCGGCCAGGCTCTGAGGCAATGACACGCAGCGGGGCCGTCATGGGTGTGTGTGGTTTTGGTTGCCTGGACTGCGTGGTGCCGTGGTTCGGTCGCAGTGGCTCGGCAGACTGATTTTTGATCTCCGGGCTGTGGCTACCCTCCACATATAATAATACTCATTGCCCGCAACCTCTTCCTCCTCCCACACACCACCACCCTCGCACAACCCAAACCCATCAGACAAACCCATCCCGCCCACCTTCTCGTGACCGCCACGGGGAACTGCCACAAACAGCCTACACGACGCGCAAATAGCCTGCCCAGTCGCACGCCCGCGACCTACTTAAACCGCCGCCACCTCCGCCCTTAGGCCGCAAGCACCAAACCGTAACCCAGAGTCGTCAACGACAAGTGCGGTATATGTATTCGCGCCAACGTAACGCCTTCCGAGTCGAACCTCCCCCCAAACTGCAAAGATTTCGCTGTACGCGGATACTTAGCAGAACCCACCACCACACCAACGGCTAATACACTGCCCCTCTGACCCCGAGTCACCTATACACACTCCACACAACCCCAGACACTGCCTCTACTGCATGTCTCTTTCGGCCCTCGTCAATATTCTCCATCTCACCTTGCCTGTCCGTCCGCCGCATCAAAAGTAAAAAGAACATTCCAACCTCGCAAATCCAAATACAACCGTCATCATGGCTACCGTCAACATCCGCCGCGACAACCCTGACCCCTTCTATCGCTACAAGATGGAGCGTATCCAGTCTAAGATAGAAGGCAAGGGCAACGGCATCAAGACTGTCATTGTCAACCTGAGCAGCGTCGCTCAGTCCCTCGCCCGCCCACCTGCTCACGTCATCAAGTACTTCGGCTTCGAGCTTGGAGCCCAGACCAACACCAATCCCAATGACGATCGCTGGATCATCAACGGCGCTCATGATGCCAGCAAGCTCCAGGACTACCTCGACGGCTTCATCTCCAAGTTTGTTCTCTGCAAGAAGTGCAAGAACCCCGAGACCGAGGTCCACATCAAAGATGGCCATATCACGCTCGACTGCAAAGCCTGCGGCAAAATCTCTGACGTCGATGCTCGCCTGAAGCTCAGCTCCTTCATCTTGAAGAATGAGCCCAAGAAGGGCAAGAAGGACAAGTCCAGCAAGAAGGCTGAACGCCGTGCTCGCAAGGAGGCCGAAGCCAGGGGCGAGGTTGGCTCGCCCGATGGTGGCAGCCCTGGTGACAGCGCAGATGATAACGGTGACGACGACGGCGCACTCGAGGCTGGAAGTGATGACGAGCTCACTCGCCAGATCCACGACGGCGCCAAGGAGATTGAGGAAGAGGAGGCCAAGGAGGTCGAGTGGTCCATTGACACTTCTGAGGAGGCTATCCGAGCCCGTGCCCAGGAGCTTCCAGAAGACCTCAAGCGTGCTCTTGTGATCGAGGACGATGAGGATGGTGAGGGCGGTTCCAACTACGATGTTTTCGGCAAGTGGATCATCGACACTGCCGCGGAGAAGGGCGGCGTCGACAATCTTGACAATGTCGACATCTACATCAAGGCCAAGGAGCTCAGTATCGAGACGAAGCATCGCACCCTTACCGTCATTCCCCAGACGCTCTTCACTGAGAAGATTGTCAAGCAAATCGATGGCCGTGCTCCCATGCTGAAGAAGCTGATCACGTCGGAGAAGCACGAGAAGGCTTTCCTCGGCGGCACTGAGCGCTTCGTCGGCAACGACAAGCCTGAGCTTGTCGGGCAGATCTCCGCCATCTTGCTCAAGTACTACGAGAACGACCTTGTTTCTGAGGAAGTTCTCAAGTCGTGGTGCGCCCGGGCCAGCAAGAAGTACGTCGATATCAAGACGAGCAAGAGCGTTCGCAAGTCGGCCGAGAAGTTCAAGGAGTGGCTTGAGAACGCCGAGAGCGACGAGGAGGACTCCGAGTAGGCATCTCACAGTATGCCAATGATTGGCTTCGAGTGGGGACTGCTCCAAAAGTTCGCGACTGACCGCCTGTTGAATGCTCCCTATGCTCACTCTGCTTCTTGGCTTTGGTTTTGCTCCTTGATGGCGTGTGGACACCTCTACTCTTGCCTTTACATTCCTGGGACCGAGATAGAAGATGGATGCGTATTCTTCTCTCCACTCTACATAGCCAATAAACTCTGCTCTTATACTATTGCTTGCCGTTCTCTAACATGTTACCATCAAATTAATGTAGCCTATTCATCAATGCTATGCTTCTAGGCTCGTAACCGCGCAGCCCGAGATGCGAAGACATTATGCGTCGCAAACGTGGCGACAAGGCTAGACGCTCCTCCCCATCAAATAGCATCAACAACAATCAGCCCTCCCCCACCCCAAGATGCATCAAAAAGCAAACTCGGGACTCGCCTAGTCTACTCGCTTGGACGTTCCAGAGCATGGGACAGTGACATAGACTTACCTTGGAGGGGTAAGAGGCCGGCGACCCAAGCGGGACCATGTGGAGCCCCAGCACCCTCGCAAACGCCAAAAGGGCCAAGCTAACATTTTTTTTTCTTGCGACCAGGTGGGTGGTGAACGAATCACAATTGTCGAGCGCAGGAGATGCACATGCAGGTCGCAGGCATATAAAAGTTCGCGGGCTGCCCTCCCGCCCCGCAAGGTTTCATTAATTCTTTCGCAACCAGAATTTACTTTTTTTGTCTGTTAAAACAGACAATCACCGTGGGCGACTTGAGGAGTTTTGCGCTCACGTTTGTATACGAAAAGCTCCTGTTTAGCGATTGGGGAAACTGATACTGTTTACCGTGTTATCGTCGAGGTCAACGCCGTCGTCGTTATTCCACCCCGGTTTTAGCCTTTACTGTTGTTTCGAGAAATCGACGACTGCCCGACAACATCATGAGCGCCTATCCCGCCCACGGCGACGCTCCTAGTAATGGCGACCATCTGGGTGCGCCCGCTCAGACTGTGGACAATAAGACGGGCACAGGCACGTATGTGCACTCTGGAAACGAGTTGCACAACGGCGAGCTTGGGAGCGTGATTTTGGAACAGGACGCGCAGACCAAGGGACGCTGGTTCCAGTTTATCAAGACGAAGCAGTTCTGGATTACCTTGTTGTTAGGCCAGGGTACGTTTAGACTTCGTCTTTCTTCGTTCGAAAGCGGGAAAGAATGCTGATATAGAAGTATAGTCCTCGCCATCTGTCAGACATCTACGAACACGCTTACCTCGCTCCTTAATATGCAAGGGACTTCGATTCCGGCTTTCCAGTCCTTGTTCGCTTATATTCTGTTGAACCTGGTTTATACGAGCTATACAATCTACAAGTATGGGTTCAAGAAGTGGCTTCGCCTAGTCATCTTTGACGGATGGCGCTTCTTCATTCTTGCCTTTTTCGATGTCCAAGGGAACTACTTCGTCGTGCTAGCATATCGCTACGTAAGTCCCTCTTTTTTTCATGGGAAAACCCAACCCGTGCTACGCGGCGCGAGATGGAGCTAACAGTAACTGTAGACGACGATTCTAAGCGCTCAGCTAATTGGCTTCTGGGCCATCGCCGTCGTGGTAATCATCTCCTTCCTGCTCCTCAAAGTGCGGTACCACTGGACGCAAATCTTCGGCATCCTGCTCTGCATCGGCGGCGTAGGCATCATCTTCGGCTCGGACCACATCACGGGCAAATCCGCGTCCAGCGCCACCGACGCCGTAAAAGGCGACTTATTCGCTCTCCTCGCTGCGACATGCTATGGCCTCACCAACGTGGCCGAGGAGTGGCTTGTGTCAGAACGCCCCTTGTACGAAGTCGTAGGCCAACTGTCTTTCTGGGGCATGTTCATCATGGGCACGCAAGCGGGCATCTTCGACCGCGCGGCTTTCCGCAGCGCAACCTGGAACGCGAAAGTTGGCGGGTATCTCACGGGCTACACGCTTATTCTCGCCCTCTTCTACTCGCTTGCGCCTGTCCTGTTCCGCATGTCTAGCGCTGCTTTCTTCAACATCTCGCTCATGACGGGAAGCTTCTGGGGTGTTGCGATTGGTGTCAAGGTCCTCCATTTGAGTATTCATTGGATGTACCCGATTGCTTTTGTGCTCATCCTTGTTGGCCAGATCATTTATTTCATGCGCCATAGTCGGGTTGGTGAGGCGCTGAAGCCGTGGCTGGGTGCACGGCAGGAACGTGGACACGCTGGGCTTGGCACGGCGAAGAGGAGGGTGTTGAAGCCTGAGGTCATTGTATAAACGCATTGACTTGTTACTAGTACTGAGTAGTGGCGGTGAAGCTGGAATATTGCTTCGCTCCGCTGCTGGCCAATGGCGTAGGCGGTTATGGGATTTTGGGGGCTGCAACTTGTTGGCGGCTCAGTGCGCCGGACGGGGGATAACATACAGGCCCAATACATTAATACTTCATATTTCGGCGCGACAAAACAAATCGTATATGCGACGTTCGAAGCTATATATTGCCTATCGCTTGCCATTCTTGTAGTTAAAGAGCGTGATTAATATGTCCATTCCTCCCTCCCTCCACCAACGACCACAGTATCCAGAGTTGAAGTGTTCCGAGAGATGCCCTGAGCTAAAACGAGTTCATCGTTCTGTGTCTCTCCCTTCCCGCTTCATCTCCACTCCCCCTAGTAATAGTTGCACCGGGGACTGTACGCCGGGGGAGCAACCCCGTTCGGCTCAGCAATAAAGATGACATCGGCGTAATTGCTTCGGTGGCTGTTTTCGTATCCCCTCTCGTCAGCAAAAGTACACCTTCCATCCGACCCCTCCAACAAAATTATGCAAAAAAAGGTTCGTAACTTACATCCATCCCGTCTCGAACTCGCAAAAGTCCTGGATTTGGCGCACGTAATACTGCGTAAACGTGTTAGTTGAGTCGCCTCCTGCATGTAAAGCGTTCATTCCTGAGAGGAGGAGTGGGGGCAAGGATACATACCGCATGTGTAGAGTACAGAACCGTATTCCCATAACAGCTGTCCTGGTTACGAACCGTGAGCTTGGCTTTCTTGTTGCCGACACTCCAGTTTACAGTGCTGAGAGGAGGATAACTATTCGCAACAAGGAACTCATCAGCTTGCATCCTTCTCGGAAGTGGCCAAAAGCTATTGAGCAGCGAAAAATGAAGAAACGTACTAGTAATTCCCCGAAGCTTCATTCTGGAACCCCTGATACAACTGCTGCAGATTCGCCTTGTAAGCAGCCAGTGTAATGCCGAGTCCATATGTAAATTGCCAGCACTGATCGGGCCTTTGGCTACGCTTGTCCAGAGCAGTTGCACTAGTGATGTTTGTGCCGAAATCAGACGTCTCGTCGATGCCTTCGTTGAAGGTCATCTCCCAGTGTAGCTCGCCGATAGTGCCAGACTGGACGCCATCTCGTGTCGTCTTGCTGGGCACGAGATAGGTTGGGGGAGGAAGTGCATCGCTGCTCTGTTCGGTCGGAAACGCAGAGATGGTTTGACTTGCTACGAAGAGCAGAAGTATAGAGAGAAGAGAGCGGGCCATTTTTGAAATTGGAAATCTGATCAAGGGACTAGTTCTCTTGGAAGAATGTTTGCTTTGTCTGTGTGGACTTGGAAACTTCAGCTTCATACCTCTTTTATATTGTAGAATCGCAGCTAGTAGAACATGTATAGTAAACAGACGGAAAAGGGAAACTTCCTCTCTCGCTCAACATCATCAGCACTTTGCGATGCAAACGCCTTGTCCAGGAAGTTTCCCCAGGGGCATCATATCGCACTTGCATGGGTAGGTGCTTCCGTCATCAAGTGCTGATGACCCGGACAAAAGAGTGCTTCGAAAGATCCAGTAGGCATCGTGCAGTTATTGTCACAAGTTCCTCTACTTCTGAAAAGGAATACGCTTGCTAGGAACGTGGTCGCGGAGTGTCAGCTTACGGCTCAGTTTGGCTAGTCTCGGGCTTGTTAGCAAAATTCATAAGCCACATCTAAATGGTGGCTACCTGATCACTCCACATGCACTAATCTAGGCTGGATGAATGGTACGCGTTGGAGTAGGCCGGAACCTCATCCACACATGTGGTTGATTGCAGCGCGGGGCTTCCCGTCGAGCTGAAATTGTTCTTCATAATATATCTGATCACATAACGGGTGCTCTACCCTAATCTCAACTCCATGCGTAAAAGGCCAAATCCCATGGTATCATATCCGTCTTTCCGTATAACACCCAGATTTCGCCGAGATGAAGTGTGCAGTCATGGGTAGGGAAGAACGCTGGAACGCCAGTTGAAAACATTACATGGAACGGGATGAGCGATAGTATGCTACGACGACGACGAAGCGGAATCCTCGGTAGTGGGAGACAGAGCTACCGCGCCATTAGCCCGTAGGGATCTTACGGCGGTCTCTACCTCGCCACTCGCCATCTGTTGCCATTTCTCTCTTGTACCTTGATCTGCTAGCGCATCTGCGCCAGCATCACCAACCTTCTCATACAGTAGGCGTGAGACGTCGCGATTGATATCGGTATATTCTTCTTTCGTAACTTCTTTCTTCAGGTATAACGGCTTGAGAACAGCGGTGACCATACGTTGCAGTTCGGCCTTGGTCGAGTATGAAAGTGCGGGACTGGACGGTGACGAGTCCTTGGAGCGAGGCGGGCTACTGAGACCAGCCGAGCGATGCGCGAGTCTGCGACGACCGACTCGGTCATCATCAGCCGGCGAGTAAGGTGAATACGTGGGTGAAAGTTGCTCGTCTTTTAGAGCAGGCGACGTTAAACGACCAAGGTTGAGTGGCGGTGGAGTGGTCATGCCAAGAGGCTTTTGGTAAACAGGCGATAGCCCAGGCGACGAATTCTGAGGAGAGCATGCGCGCTCGACGATGATCCGTCTGGGCTGTGGAGCCGCAATTTCCTTGTCCCGTTCTGCAAAACGATCGACCTCAACTTCTTGAAGGAGGGATTGGAGGAAGCCAGGTGCAGTAGATGAGTCGCCAGTTGGCGCCGCTGGTGGCGATGTAGCTAATGCGACTGGGGTGTTGTTGTGACTGAGAGTGTTGCGACGAGCTCCGGCTGAGGATGATTCACCATTGTCTATATGTAGGCGCGTCCGAGGACGCTTCAGCTTGCGCTCCGGCTGCGGTTCGTGGGGCTCGGATTCGACTGGTGACGAATCGACCGACTTCCGCTTGCGTCCTCGACGACTACTAGTAGTACTAGGTGCGTTGGTCGCAGGTTGTGCATCTATCTGTGCAAGTTGCTCCCTGGCCTTCTCGAATTGGTTCCAAGCACGGAGCTCTTCCTGCGACTCGGGGTCTTTGGGCGTCCTTGGAGGTTCGCGGTGCAGTGTACGATTGGCCGGCCGTGAAGATCGGTTGGAGCCGCGGCGTCGAGCGTGCACGTTGTCGGCGGCAGCGCGAAAGCGAGTGCCCGCTCCCACCTGCTGCGCGAGCGCAAAACGTCGCTCCCATATATGATTCTCACGTCTTAGAACGTCAGACGGATTCTCAGATTGCTCGTCATCCTCGAAGGGAAACTCGATGTCGAACTGGAGACGGTCCCAGACACTCTGCCACACACCAACCCACTCGTCTGGCGCCCGGTTGTGGCGAGGCACTCGGCTTCGTCCGTTCACCCAGGCAGCAGGGCCTCGAGCGGCCGGTCGTCGACGGGAAGCTGCTTCCAGTAGGCCAGGGTTCTCGACGCAGCCATGGCAGTACCAGGGACCACGCGATGGCATGCGGTCAAGGCCAGCACAGAAGACGTGACAGAGTTGCTCACAGCTGTGGCAATACATGAGCTGTGACGCATCGCCAAACTCGTCGCAGACCATGCATGCGTCATAGCTTCCATCGTCTTCTTCAAGTGTGTAGTCGTCCTCGATGATCATCGACGGGTCGATCTCGGCGACTTGTTGTTTGTCTTGCACGGTATATTCGGATAGCTTCGGGCCTAGACGGTGGTTAGCGACTGTCCTCCGGCGAGTTCACCACTTGGTATGACACCATAGTGGCGTTGGACTATGCAGAGGTTAAGCTGAGCTCGACTGACCATTTAGCCAGTAGCTGGGCCATTACCAGGCAACAACAGCAACATCGCAACTGCAGCACTCGACGACATCCTGGATTGACATACCTCCAACACGCGCGCTAAGCTCGACCATATTAAAACTGGCTCGACATATCGGACAACTATTTGCCCTTTCAACCCAAGGCTTGAGGCAGTCGTTGTGTAAATCGTGGCCACAGGGTAGCAGATGGGCGACCAGTTCGTCATCCTTGGGGCCCTCGGAAGCTATCTCTTTGCTTTTGTCGTGTAGTTGGCAGTCGACATCAGCCCCATCCTCAAGCGAAATGGTCGCAAGCGATGATTCGGTGACAGCAGGACCTTCGTCGTGGGGGGCGAGGTCGCCGAGGCAGACTATACAAGTCTCGGCCATTGGAGTGGTGTGTTGAGAAGAAGGGACGAAGGTACGGGTCGGCGCGATTCATAGGTTGAAGTGATGGTCATGGCGAAAGAGGGTCCGGGAGGGGTTTAAGTAGCTAAGCTAACCCGGCCGCTAGCGGCTTGGCTGGCGGATCATTCACGACCCTGTAGCCACACCGCGTAGGCAGAAGCTACTGTACACCCTGGGAAGTTTGTGATGAATATAGGAAAGGGAGACAGGCCATGTGGATACCGTTACTTTGGCGGATTGAGATAGTCCGGATACGGAGTGGTTCGTGACGCTACTACCTTCAGCACATCGTATATCTCCAGGCTTACCTCACCACGTGTCAAGGGCTCCCTGAGCGGACGGCCCGTATGACTTGCCAGATCACCAAGTTGGTTGCTCGGAATGCAAACAGTGTTTCAGCTTTCCCTAGTGGCCCGCTCCCGGGCAGCTTTCGGTTTGTACTGCTATTCCGGTACCGATGTCTCAAGTCTCGAGGCGTACACCCCTCATACGGCAAAGATTCTTCGAAAGATTAAAGATAGATGGTCGTGCATATAGCAAGCGAGGTGGACCAGACCATGAGACTCATACCTTTGCGGTCTTCTCATGTGCGTGTGACAAACAGGTACCTAGATCTTGCTGTCCTATGGCCAGAGCCACACATGACCGATTGAACCGCACTCTAGTCTCTCCGTCTCTCGGAGCGCATTATCTCAAGAGGAAACTCGAGTCAGATATAGGAGACAACGAGCGAGGCCGATCCAGCGGTGCGAAACCGAGCCAGGCGGTGGCATGTTGATTCACTGTGGCTCTTCTCATGCATTCGCAGCGCGACTCGACAGCTTAGGTTGCCCAGGAAACCAGAAACGGAAGTGTATGGTTCTTGTATTTCTACGTCTAAAGTCTCGCGGCGTTGTAAGCGCTGGACGAGGCTACCGCTCGAGGCGGGCGGTTCGCGCTCGCACGCGTGTGCGAATCACCGCATGGGCATGTCTGTGGATGCGAGACAATCCATTCTGTGTGATTGAGAAGTTGGTCTTCGAGGGGTCGCCAACGCTGTTCGGGATGCAGACGTTGTTGAAGCTGACCAGCCAAAAGCAAAGTCTCGCTCTTTCCTACAGATTCTCTCGCTCTTTATATCTACACTAGATGACGTCGTCAGCGGCCCGGCGAGCGAGTTTTCCCTACGCGATCGAGCAGCGTTGTTCTGACCAGGTAGATGCGTGTGGTGGCGGTGAGAAAATCTGTTGTTGCAGAGTGGCATCCTGAAGATTAGCCAGGTGGGTGAGGGCTGCCGAATGCCGCCAAGAGCCGCCCATCTAGCCCTATTTGCCGTAGCTTAATTTGACCAGTCTGACCTCAAATTCCTCTTTTCAGTATGCTGGGGCTTTGATTCAATTGTCTCCCTTATAAATCACTTGGGGATCATGTTTTGACAACAGGTGAAAATTGGACACGAAGTATGGCGTGGCAACTGCAGGCACTCGTAGTGTCGCAATGCAACAAGTTACACCGCCGCTGGTAGCTGCCTCGGTATGACCTCAATCCACCGAATGCAGGCCTTTGCCCGACTCGTGAATCTCGAGTTTTCATCCGTCCCATGTCTTGCATCTCTTCTTAAAGCTTCCTCCAGCTGCACATTAATTCTTTCCATCAAAGAAGGTCGACAAAATGGTTCAAGACCCACGACAGTATGAGCTCATCCTACTCGGTGCGACTGGATACACTGGGAAGCTGGTCGCAGAATGGATCAGCACCCACCTACCAGAGGATCTGAAGTGGGCAATTGCTGGAAGAAATGCGAAGAAATTGCAGCATGTTGTTAACGAGCTGACGAAGCTGAGCCCGGATCGCAAGCAGCCTGGTAATCATGGCAATCCTGCGCTCTAAACATGTGACAGGGCAGATGATCTGAGCAAAGCTAACGATTGCCACAGATGTCGAGACATGCGAGCTTGAGAAAGACCAACTTGATAAACTGGTCAAGAAGGCGAAACTCGTGATCACGACCGTAGGTCCCTTCATGTACTACGGCGAAGCTGTCCTTGCAGCCTGCGCCAATCACGGCACGCATTACCTGGACTGCACTGGGGAAGTCCCTTGGATCTACGACATGGTCGCCAAGTATGATGGCCTGGCGAAGAAAAACCACAGCATCATTATCCCAGAATGCGGCCTTGACTCTGTCCCCGCCGACATCATGGCGTACGTCTTGGCGAGAGAGGTTCGCAAGCGATATAACGAAGCATGCGAAAGAGCCATAATGACGCTATACGATTTCAAGAGTGGTATCAGTGGAGGAACGGCGCTGACTCTGCTGGAGCTGCTCAACAATTACCCTCTCAGCCATTTGGCGAAGTCAATGCATCCGTACTCTCTGTCTCCTGTCAAGGCAGACAACGTCGTGGGCTCACCGAAAGGAAGTCTTTTGTACCGCCCTTTCGGTCTCATCTCCGTTCCTGAGCTTGGTGGAGTTCAAACAACAGGCCTAATGGCAGGTGTCGATACATGCATTGCGCATCGCTCATGGGGTCTTTACCAGTCCTCTGGCAACCCTTATGGACCCAAGTTCCGCTTCAACGAGTACATGCGATCGAGTAACATCCTTACAGGGTTTGCTTTCAAGCTCGTACTCGGTCTCGCCGGTCTTTTCCTCGCTATACCGCCCACCCGCTGGCTCCTCGCGCCACTCATCAAGAAGTTCGTCATTCCCAGCCCGGGTGAAGGCCCGACGCGAGAGAGCATGAAGAATGACTTCATGTCTTATCGTGGTCTTGGTATCGCAGAGGATGGAAAGAAGGTGACGGCAAAGCTGGACATTGCGCACGGCGGGTATGCGGCGACTGCGATCACTTTGAGTGCGGCTGCGCAAGTGATTCTTCGGGGACGACTAGAAAATACGGAAGCGGGAAGGTTGGGAGGTGGTATCTTGACGCCGGCAACACTAGGAGATCAGTATGTCGAGACGCTGAATGACTTTGGTATAAAGATCAGTGTCGATTAGTAGGTGTACAGGTTCACGGGTTCTTGTCTACTTAGTGGAAACCTATAGTACAAGGATACACTGTTTATATGAGCCGCTTAATCACAAGTCCGGGGCATGCTTGGCGGGCGCCTTCAGCTACACCGTTATCTCTAGCAACGTGCCTCAATACTCATCGATATGTTTCCAACAATCCACGAAACGTCCGAGGCGCAAGGAGAACTCGACAGTATTGAAACACAAACTTCATCCGAGGAACTATATCAAGCACCAATTAAAAATATAGCGATGGCAAATACGGCAAGATCATTCCAGGAGAATACCTCGTTACCTTGCGCCTTGGTTATTCATGACTGACCATTTCTTGGCTATTGGTACCAACATAGATAACTATGTGAAAACCCTCCCAAAAATGCAAGTCCAGATCGCGTGTTTTACTTTTGTACGGGTGTGAATGACAAGCTTCTCACGCGAGTGCGAGCGGATAATTGTGGTGAACATATAGAGTGCAACTACCAAAACCGTATAAGATTAGAGTAACTGTTCGGGCGATAACAACAGTTTTTTTAACTTACAGTATTTGAACTCCTTCAACTTCTGAATGTCCTAGGCATCTCTGACGTCCAATGGTGAGTACAACTCGCAATGCGAAGCTGGTAGGGTTTCTGTTCTGGCAATCACGATACAATAGAGACATGGACGCATATCCACCTTGTGCTACGGCGTTTTCGAAGTCTGCGAGAGAGAAGGCAGGACATGGCTGCTGGCTTGAGTATGCATTGTGAGAAGAGATCAGAGCGGTAAAAAGCTGCAGACCAGGCTTGTCAAGAGCTCTTTAAGCAACTACAAGAAGTGTTGGGAGAAAAGCATCCAGACATGCTGGCGAGCATGGACAATCAGGTCTGTTTTCACGTGGACAGATTTAAGCTAAGTGGGGGGATTATTATGATTAACTCTGAACGAATTTGTTGCTGCCTAATGATTGTAATCTTGGTTCAGTTATTCCTAACTAGGTCCTGCTCTCTTTAAGTCACGTGAACCTATTTTTTAATATCATTTACCTGCACACCTAAATCATTTCTCGAGTCTTTAGTTGTCAGAGTTGGAATTTTCATGATCATGAAGGGTTTACTTACCAACTCTCAGACCATCATGGGTGTCTTTGCCTGCTTGATCTGAGACAGCGACATATCGTCCAACAGCTTCGTCGAGCTGTTGAAGCGAAGTCAACGAATTCATAGATCCTTGGTTAGAGGATGGACGCCCGAAATTTGGTGGGCGTACACCCTCACTGAGACGGCGAGCCCAATCTTCTACGTGTTCCTCCATCTCAGGGATAGTATTGTCTCTATCTGTGCTCTTGTGAAGACCACCTTGTTGACCGCGCTTGACACTTTCATCACTCACGCGACGTAAGGATTGTTTAGCTCGAAGACTCTGACGTTTACTTGCTATTGCTGGCGGTGTAGGCAATGGTGTTGAGGGTGGAGAGGCTAAGACAGTCAGTTGGTTCGGCGAAAGAAAGTGGAACGACTTACTTGGCCTCTTCAAAGGCTCATCATCGGCCAAACTGCGGGGAAATCCACTTATCGGAAATCCATTTCGTAGCTCGGGCTTCATCGCATCATCTGTGAGATGAAGATCGATGCTGACTAGCGCGGATTCCGATGTTACTGGTATCGTGATAGTATCCATACGAAAGTCGAGAACTTCAATCATATCTTCCAATATATCGTGACCAAGCTGGATATCCTGAGCATTTTCGTCATGCGTCACCTCATGCACACGGAAGAAAGGCTGGAAGTTACGTCTTTTGAACTTGGTCTTGATATTGGCGCCAAGATGCCGCAAGTTCTCGGACTCTGTCGCAAATCTGCATTTAATCGTACCTGGTGAAGGTTAGACATCCATCCTTTTTTGGAAAATTCTGCACAAACCTTCTATGGCCATAGATCCGAGATATTCTTTGGCTGTCCCAGTTTTGTCAAAGTAGAACGAGCTCGAGATGAGACGGTGCGCAACCTTCTCGACTAAGACTTGCATCTCCGTTGTGTTGAGTTCATTCTTGACTTGAGTTTGCAGCGTCCCGGACGATTTAACATCGTCCATCTTCGGTACCGAGATCGCCAACTTGGGATTCAAGCGGACATAACGTTGAGCTGCGATGGGGGACGATGTACTCATGACGTCGTTAAGGAAGGTGTTCCATGTCAGCTCTGCATCAAGGAAGTTCTTGACGTGCCTCTTGAAGATTGTGTACCATGCTCTAGGCTCACTGTAAGGCTTGTGCGTTGCGTTATTCTTTTTGTCTTCAGGGCGTGGCTCATTGAAAGCGGTCCCAATGGACAGCAAAATATCGGGATGACGTCCTTCTGCAGTGGGCCAGAGCAACATGCTCTCGTAGTTCGCTATACGAACTGGATTGTTATAGTGTATAGCTCCGTCTAAGAACGCCTCTTTTGTTCGTGAGTTGACAAAGGGTTTAAAATATGTCGGTGCAGCGGATGTTGCTCGTGCGCTTGATTAAGGTCAGATGTCGTGTTTGGGTTCACGAGATTTCAATTCTACTTACGCCTCGCGAATCCTAAGACCATATGCGGGATCATCGTGCTGGACGAGCCTGTATCTAACTTCTCACTGTCAATGTATCTGCCATAGGTAGCCTGTTCTTCTTACCTTCTGAATCGCTTTTCCGATTGTAATTTGCGAAGATCACAGCTTTCTCGCCCGTTTCTGTTGCAGCAGTGACTGCAACTTTTCGTAAACAACCATGGGCACTGTCCGACGGCACACCAGCAAACATGGTTTCTTCCCCAAAGGTCTCCGCTAGGCAAGCATCTAGAGGCTTTGTTTCATACTTACTTTTTCCCAATCTACGGGGAAATCGTTGGGTGAATGCACTGAGCATAAGCGTTTTGAAAGACTTGATACAATGCGCGATGGGCCAGCCTTTGATACCAAGAGCAAGCGCTACGATACCTCCAGTGCTAATGCAAGTATCATTAACTTGTTCTCACTTCTCCCTTGAAGAAATTTGAGAGAGAGTAAATGCTTACCTTGTGCCGATAATAAGGTCAAAGAAGTCTTGTATGGGTATTTGGTTCCCAAGCTCTTGCTGAATCCTCGACAAAACTTCCAGAATCACGACACCCCTCACCCCTCCCCTACGTAGGTAAGTACAGATTTATTTTGCGTTATAGACCATGACTTACCCATCGAGTGACAATATCCTCACGCCGGCAAGAGGCGGTTTGAAGAACACTGGCCAATGAACGGGAAAGACAGTGTCAGCTTGGTGGAGCGGACATGAGGCCATAGCATATGAATAGGACAGATTTGCATCCGGCTTCCCATAGCTCTTGATGCATGGCGTGCACAAGACGTGTCCACAAGGAAGAGGGTGTTCTGCAAGCTCTCGAAGGCAAGAAAAGCAGGTTTGATGACTGACAAACCTCTGCGCGCCGCCCAAACGTTGATAGAACATGTCGATGTTGGCACGATGAAGCTTGGTAACTATTTCCAGCTCATCTGTTGATGGTGGTTGCATCAATTGTGTATTGAGCTCCGTTTGCATCTTGGCGAGGTGTTGGTTTAGGAACTGAAGCCATGGCTCACCAAAATCCTCAAATGTGAAGTCAGACATGTAGGAACCTTCGCGCATGATCCTTCCCCTTGCATTCTGGTGACCTTTACTATGACTTCCTTCGACGTTGACGCAACGATCCCCGTACCTGCCCTGGTATGTGCATGGCCAGTAGCCTGCACAGAAGTTTTCCAGAGCTTTATAGCAGTGGACAAGGTAGTGGTTCTCAAAAATCTGTTGTGGGGGACCTAAAGAACAATAAACGTCAGCGATCTTATAACCTTGCCCCGGTTTTTGTACTCATAGACAGAACTTGAGAATATTTTACAGCATACCTCTGAGATTTTGTCGAACGCAATCTAGCAAGATACATGAGGCTACCATGAAGCTTAGCTCCTCAAATATCGTCCAAGGACTACTGAACCAGGGCATCATGGCTACTGCAAGCTTGAGTATATTCCCGCCAAGGTCTAATGGAATTGGATTGATTTGAAAGGAAACATCCATAAAGTTGAACGGTGTGTCCAAGTCGTTTGAAAAGTGATCAAAGGCAGACTGAAGATAGATGTTGAGATTTTCAGAGGTTGAAAGCATTCTTGACCTCCTTTTCGCGTTGAAGGATTCCTTGCATCGTCTAGATAGCGTGTCGTGGAGGGTCTGAACCTGAGTGTTGATCATCATGTAACGGCCATCTCCTGGAATTCGCACAACTGTGATGGATGAATAGTAACACTCTAATAGATCCTGCATAGTCGCAATAGTCTTGCCTCGTGCGACCCAAAAGGTCTTCAGCTCTTTGTAATTGGGATCTCGATCAACAGCCCCCGCCACGTCAGCCATTAAAGACCTTGTTGCGTGCTCTGGATCCCATGCCTGTTCGTCAATCCGTGTGTCCGTGACGTTGAGTGCAATGACCACATGAGGCAATGTGGGCTGGTTGAGCGATTTTTCTATTGATGACCTCGCCCAGTTGAGCATCGTGGACAGTACCGTCGACTCGAAAGTTCTGTTGTGCTAATCAGCCAACATTCAAGACATTTCTTAATAGAAATCGGAGCAAATAGAGTAAAGAAAGCGCTCTTTGTGAGATCCGTTCGGTGTCAACAAAAGAGTCCTTGTTTGGCCAGCAAGGACCTAACCTAATCCTTAACGATTGCCACGAGGACATTGATACCCGTCATATAGTGAAAATTAGTAGTAAGGTTATTAAGACGACATACTTTGGATTGCGAAGCACAAAGACGATAACGTCTGAGAACGTGTATAGTAACCGTGGGTAGAGCTCAGTTACTGCGTATTGACGTTTCTTCTTCTCTGGACAAGTTGCCCATTTGAGTTCTCGACGGCTCGAGTTTATCCCTCTAGATATGAATGTCTTTGGCTTCGAATCTTTGTCCTTTAGCTTTGAATCTTTATCCTTTGCCTTCTTTTCCGTAACCGTTGATGAGCTTTCTCGGTACTGTGCACTGATGGGGATGTTTTCACCCCCCTCTAGGCCCTCACAATCGGCTAGGAGTATGGGGTACTCAGATGAGTACGTGCTTGGATCACTATATAGATGCACATCTCCAGATGTTGGCACATTGCCATGTGCAAGTGAACCTACAACAGGTGAGGGAAACTTCCAACCACGCGCCCTTTGTATGGTTTCCTGCTGTTCGATGAGCATCCGGATGAGGGTGCTCTTTCCGGCACCAGTTTGACCAATAAAGGATACAAGCTGGGGATATCTTGACTGGTAGTCACCAGTGTAGCTTTCCGCCATGATAGCTGTATAGCGGCCATAATCTTGTAATATCGCTTTGTTGTCCTTGTCTCTTGCTAAACCGAACCAGGTTGTGTCCTCGTCTTCTCTATGCAATGCTTCTTGTGTAAGATGTTCTTTTGGTGGCGTTAGGATGTCCCTAAACCTTCGCACAATGGATGGATTAGCCTTCTCGTGTGGCAATCCATCCGGAGCAGTTCTTCCACGCTTGTGTGGACCCTGCTTACCCCAACAGGGGTCGCAGAAATTCATTCCGCAATATGAACAGTTCCAGATTGGTGATGTATGTTCCTCGCATGATTCACAGGTCTTTGGTGATTGATCTTCGAGCTCGGTTTCCGGCCTCCCGTGCGGGAAAGAGTGAATCGCCTTCATGAGGGATTTAGGAGGATCTCGTGAGGTTACACGGTTCATTGTCTCTTTCGAACTTCTGCTGACCGGTATATCAGGCGCTAAAGAGGCTGCAAGAGTTGAAGCTTTTGCGTCTAGTGACTTTCTTGTGGTGTAGCTGGACATTGAGATGAGAATTGGGGTGAGGTAGGGCAAAATTGGACCCAAGTGTATATAGGGTGAACTTCAATAATACGCTTGTGAATTTGAGGAAGTAAAGATCACCGAGAAAAGGACTCGCAGGAACCAGGCTGAACTTTATATCATCACCTGGCAGCATTCAGCCGAGTTAAAGCTGAAAAGGTTAGGCCTGTATAATAGTAAGTATAAGCATTGTGATTGGTTGGAACGGAGTAATCTATTGCCTGCAGTAGATATGAGGATGTCCAATCGATTTTGTAAATTTACGCCATCTCAGACTTGGCCCTCGTATGATGGTGTGAAGGACAAGGCTGAATCTCAGATAGCACGGTCAACCCTTCTTCTATGCCATCTAAATCTCCAAGAAAGAGTGACAAGTGAAGCGATCTTCGTGTCAATGCATTTGATTTTATAAATGATGTTACTGTCCTGCGAGACTCTTTACACCAGAAGGCAAAAGTAGACTAGTGACTGAAGAAGTTCAATGGGCCGAGTGAATTTCGTACGCGGCTACGAGTTGCAAGGGATAGGCCGTATTCATGTCGGATTTGATTGGTATTTGAGAGTAGCGTGACTGGCCGTGCTGCTGCCACGTACGGCTGATGAAATCGGTTGGAAATACCTCTAATTACGTTAGGAACCTTGGACTTGGCCTGATTCATTACCATAAATTAACAGATCATGATACTGTAAGTCACTGGATGCGTTCGTAAATACCAACGGAAGTGCTCTCCCCGTAACGAAATGGTTTATCATCTAAGAACAGCCTGGCCAATCACTTTACTAGTCTGAGATACAGTGTTGCTGCTCACATTGCATCAAACGCCATCAATATTTGGGCAATCTTAGCGCTTACATGGCGCATCTACTTCCCAACCGGTGGCGATGCCAAGTTCTGATAAATGGTCCCGGACTCGTTCTACCCTAATACCCGAAGCCGGTATCATAATCAGGCTCGCGTCACTGAATAGGCATATGTAAAACCAGTGTACTAGAGCATTACTAATTAGGTGGGAGGTCACCAACAAATAGTTGCTGGGACAAAATATTTGCGGTACCGTACCGCTCATTATGTTGCAACACCGCTTTTACGATGTACAGAGCGCTCTATGAGATTTATAACTTTTTCTTCTCTCCCTCTCATTCCTAACTGGCTACATTCTCGTTATATGCATATCTATCTTGTTGTATCAATAGCTGAACAAGAATTTGAGAGGAATGATTGCTGTTCGAAAACCACTAAGGTAGATTGGACTTCACTATCCAGAAATTATGGATGCTAATATTGGTAATTTCTATCTAGGAAGAAATTCATGAGAAACAACAACGTTCAGCTCGTCAATAAGTCTATCCTAATTTAATAAGAAATCTCAGACGACAATTATCTCCTGATACTGGTCGCAGTGCAGAACTATCTTCATAGAAAATCCATTATGGAGCATGAGTCCAGCTCGTGATCAGACCACGCCCGTGAGCAAGTGATCACGCACGCTATAGCAAGCACTATCATTATTCGCTTACATATCTCTCAGATCACTATCTTCTTCCCATAAACACTGCTTTCAACTTTCCATATCTCACCATGAGCTCTCCCCCCAATTTCGGGCTGAAGAAAAGTTTCGGATCCAGCGTACAGCCGCTGCAGTATGTTTGGGTCGTTCACACGAATACTGATTACGACAGTTCAGACAATCCAACCTTCACGACACTGGTCTATCGCAACGCGACGATCATAACCGTGACGGCGGAAGTAGCCCGGGAAAACATCATTGCAGTAGCTAATGTGATTGCAAACGAAAACGGGTGGTACCGAAACGAGCCCAGAGACACTGGAGCGGGAATCTTTGGTGAAGGGGATTTGTGCTGTGATGTTGGAGATAATGGGACAGAAGATGGCCACATAATTCTGAGAGCGAGAGTTTCCGCGTGGAAGATCACAATTACGCGGTAGATATGATGCTCGGAAGATTGAAAAACTGTCCGCCTTAAAAATATGCAAAAGCCCATACAGATAATAATGAGAAGAAGGGGTTTAAGTTGGCCAGATTCTCGGTTACTCTCGAAAGCCATATTTGCAAACCAAAACACTGTTACTGATTCATTTGTACCGAAAGTTCATGTAGATGATAGATGATTTAGCGAGTGATCATCAGGGGTCAGGCTCTCTTATGTCACGAGCTATTGAGCAAACAGGTCTCGTAGGAAATAGTTCACTCGACACTACTTATAGTCCTCCATTTTCTAATATCTGTGTACATCAATCTATATCTACAAGCCGCACTCTGTCATCCGTGAGCTCCCATAAACCCTAACAGAAGTCCAGAAGCACCGCTCCAACCAGAACCCGAAAGCCTACCTAACCCCCATGTACTGACTACATTCCAAACTAGGAGTTATTCATGAAGTTCGATTAGAGATTTGCTTGTGTTGCACCACCGAAGGGAGCAGCGAGTAGCTGTGTCAATCACAAGGCTTACTTCATATCAAAATCGGCTAATTGGGAGATACAAACCATCCAGCATGACATTAGCAGGGATTGGATGAGGCTCGATATATCCGGGGAAGGGGAAGATGATATTTTGACCGTGAGAGCAAGGGCTTATGCGTGGAAGGTGAACACGGGGCAAAGAGCTTCAGCGGATTGTTTGGGCTACTACAGAGATGAGATATCTGGGACATATTTGGACTTGGCGATGGTAGATGATAATTTCTTGGTGCGGCTTGTGTAATATTGGCAAAACCAGAGCATTCTTTGACGTACTTCGTAGGAGTCCGTAGATATTTTCAGGACTTCAATAATCAGCAATGAAGATATAGAGCATAAGTCTATATCTATAGCTTGTATAAAAGAGAGCACCTCCAGGTAGTGTACTACTGGAGCTTGAATACCATTTCCTTTGTTGGGCATCCCTTTTTTTGTCTCGTTCCTCCAGCACGCATATGTGGTAACAAGCATCGAGGTGGCAGCTCTCAAATTCGGTGTTTGCCCTGGATCGGAAATCTCGTGTGACCCTTTCCAAACGTATAACTTCAATAGCTCCTTCAAATCAACTTATAAAACAGAAATACATGCTAAATGGGCCAATAGTAATTTTACAATTAACCATGGTGGTATTTAGATGCACCGAGTTGTAGGATCTGGCGAGATGAAGTAAGAACAACGGCTATCTAGAGACACCATGCGTAGTGATGGCGGCGTATTGTAGGAAGACTTTTAGCTAAGTTTTCTAATAGAACACGTGGTATAGCTTGCTGAAGGAGGTCGAATGACGATCGGAACTTAACGTTCGTAGATGATTGATATCGCTCATTTCAAAACTAAAGACATTATGACCCTGTTCCATGCTCTTGATCAAGATTTCGGTCTCTTTTTCTGCCATATTGCTCTCTATAGTTGCATTGTCATGCCACAATCTTCTCTTTGTAACGCGATCGGGTATCAAGCATTGCCTTGGATCTGCATCGCTAGAGAAAACGAATTGGGATTAGAGCAATGTGTAATGAGGTTGATAGACTAAAAAACGAAGCCGTTAAGTATATATTATAGCGGCGACTTTCAAACGGTTGAGAAGTAGGCAACACCGAGACGGTTTGATGTCTACAGTGAGAAGGTCGAATCGTGGATAAGTGGATAGAGCACAACACTCATAAAAATCCTGAGGGGAGAAACAAACCTTGAAGTACTTCAAATCAGCAATAAGCTTAAAAGAGAGAGAAGATCGTCTCAAATTCTAGTTTGCGAGTTGCAAGTTGTCTGTCTCAGGGTTCTTCCTCATCGTGAGTCCAAAGTACCACAGCTTTCAAAGTCGCCGTTCCTCGGCGCTTTAGTCATGGACGGAGAATCCTCTAGCCAATAACGCTCACTGAAGCGTAAGGAGGTCACAAAGTTAGGATGAGGGAGCAAGACATCCCGGGATTAAGATATACCGAGGCTTATTAGCTAATAAGCTACTCTACCCGATAAGCTACTTTAATATTAAAATAAACTAAACACAACTTTTTTAAACTGCAATATATCTACTACTAATAATTTAATTTTAAATATAATTATAGTAATTAATTTATAAAATTTTAAAAAATAATTTTTATACCGCGCAACTGCAAAAATATTTAATATTAATTAAACTACTTTAGCGCGCTAATACTAAAGGAAAATATAATTAAATATAAAAAAGGCTTAATAATAAATATATTTTAACTTATAATAAAAATTAGAATTTATATAATATATATAAAGTTTATTTAAATGCAGGCTTGCACTTATAAAAATTATAATAAAAAATTTTGCCTTTAAAATTTTAAAATAAAAAATTTTTAATATATAAATTTTGTAATTTTTAGAAAAATATTATAATATTTTTATTTTTAAATATACTACTAAAATTAATTATAAATAGCTCTTTACTAATACTAAGCATAGCTATAAGTTATATTTTAATTTTTTTTATTTAAAAATTTAAAAGTATAATATTAATACGCGCTATATTTATAATATAAATAAAAAAAAATTTTTTATTAGCATTACTTTATGCTTTAAATAAGTTTTTTTAAAGCAATTTTAAAAGCAAAAATAAATTATAGCAGCCTTATAAAATAGTAACTAAAAGTAAATAATAATTTTAGTATATATTTGTGCAAATAAGAGCGCAGTAAATTTAAGTATAATTTTTAAAAAAAAAAAAAAAATTTGCAATACTTAATTATACAATATAAAAATTAAAAAATATTAAATTTTTTTTATAATAAGTCTTTTTAAATAGTCTAATAATAATATTAGTTTAGCCTAGCTTAAATAAGTTTTTAATTAGCATATAAAAAGTAAAGCGTAGGCAAGTTATAAAATTTTTATTTTTAATAGCTATAGTAGCTACTTTACTACTAATTTTATAAACTTTTGCAATACTAATAAAAATTTTTTAATAATATTTTTTTTTTATTTAATTTATAGTTTATAATTTTTAAATATAGTATTTTTTTTATTTTTTTTAACTGCTTATTTAACTAAGCTCGCGCATTACTTTTATTATAGCTAAAATTTTATTTTTATAAATAAAAATAATTTTTTTTTATTATTTTAAACTACTTATAATACTATATTTATTTTTATAAATATATAAAAAGTATTTAAAGCTATAAGTATTAAGCTACCTAATACTAATATTATACTATAATAATTTAAAATACAACTACAATAGGAAGATTAAAAATTAATAAATAAAAAAAATAATAATAAAAATACTTAAAACTAGCTCCGCAATTTATTTAAAATTACTATAAAAAATAAAATAAAAATTAAAGCTAAATAGTTAGGCTTTGCACTATATTTTTTTTAAGTATAAAATAAGCTTTTCTACTATAAAAATAAAAATTTTTATAATGTGCTTTTAATTAAAAAAAAGTATAAAAGTAAAAGCAAACTTTTAAATTTTTAATAGCATAAAAAGTTTTATAGTACTATAATATTTTAAAATTTAAAAATTATCTAGGAAGCTTACGCGCGTAATATAGTAAAATAATATAAAAATAAAACTAAATAATTTTAAAAAAAAAAAATAAAAGAGCTAAAAGTAGTAATAATATTATATAAAAAAAAATTATAAAAAAAGTAAAAGTAGTATAATTATTTGTTAAAAAGCGCGCTATAAAAAAGCGCGTAGTAATAGTTTAAAAATAAGCTACTATACACGCACAAAAATAATAGGAAAAAAAAATTATAATTTTATAAAAATTTTATAATAAAGCAAATAAATATAAGTAAATAATTTTATATTTTGCAAATTTAAATATAGCAAAGTATTATTATATTATAAATACTAAAAGTAGTAGTTTAAATATATTATAACTACTACTGCTTTTGCTTAAAACTACCGCGCGCAGCTGCTAAATTAACTTTTTATAAAAATTTAAATAGTATAAATTAATTGCAAGTTTTTATTTACTAATACTTTAAAAAATTTTATAATAATAATTTTTATTAGTGGCTTTATAACCTTATTTTTGCAAATGGCTAACTTTAGTTAAAGTAGCTTATTGGGTGGAGTGGCTTATCAGCTGATAAGCCTCGGTACCCATACTAGCGTGGTATTAAGCGAGGTCGCCCTGCATCTTCACGTGCGACTGACTCTCACTCCCAACCACGGGAGCTATGCACTTGTACACCACCCCACGATGCGCAAGACGCTCAGAAGGTCGTGCGATGCCTGTGCAAGGTCAAAATTGAGCTGCGATCTTCGTTCGCCACAATGCTCGCGATGCATCAAAAGGAAAACTGCCTGCGTCTACGCGAACCAGCCGCTGACTTCCGCGCCCACCAAAGAGACTGCAACATCTTCCTCTGAACATGATATTGCAGCGTTATGGCTTTCGAAGAGTCCAATGGCGTTGCCCGTCAGTCCCGGCCCTCAATCTTTTGACCCTTTCGATTCATACCCGAAGACAAGGCTTCCACGAGTACACGTTCAACGACTTATCCAGCATTGCAAGTTCCTCCTAGATTACGATATAATTACTTATATCATTTTAGCTGACTAAAAACAGTTCTTTCAAGTATCGCCTTTCAGTACTACCCGCTAGATCTTAACACTGCATCAAACCCATTCGTGGTATCATGGTGGCCTCTAGCCCTCGCAGATCCTGCTCTTTTCCATGTCTCCCTTCAAACTGCATCTCTGGACGTAGATTTACGTGCTCAGAAGGGGTTCACGAACTCGGAAATTCTGATGGCGGATTCCGTGTCATTAGTACGGAAAAGAGTCGAGGATCCAGTGTTAGCATTCCAAAATGAGACTATGGATTCTGTAGTCACACTGGCCGCTATTGAGGTAAGGCTCCTTACCGAGTGGTATCTCCCTTTGGTCTGTGCAATTGGACTGAAGTCACCCATGGCAGTTCGGCAAAGGAAATACGGCTCTCGGCACGATGCACATTGATGGCGTCAAACGCATGGTCCAAATGAGAGGAGGCATATACCAGGTGAAGCTGACGAGTCCTCTTACAGCGAGAATGGTCTCTTGGTGGGTAATTCTCCTTACATATGTGACTTAAGATACCGTGCTAACGACTTACTGAAGGGTGTCTTTGGTCGTCATGCAGTCACCTCAGTTCCCGACACAAGACGAATCAGGTGTTGGAGACGGAATAGCTCCCATCCCACAATGGCAGGAAGCAGTAATAGGCATGCATAATCCCATTCCACCTAACCTTGCCAAGCTCGACCTGGATCCTGCAATCAGCGACGTCTTGGTTCGTCTTCGGAATCTCTTTCACGAGCCCTTACGTTTCGATCTATCGAGCACTGATCTCCATGATTTGGCCTGCTTTGTCCTACACAGACTGCTATCTCGGCCTACACGATCAACGATCAATGATATTTCGCAAGCATCGGCGATATCTGAATGCATTCGCTACGGGTTGGTGCTTTACATGTTTCTCATCCACGGACCGACGTATTTTTCACACGCGCAACTTCAGTATAATGCGACCGTACAGCTAAGAACCTACCTCGAGAACATGATAGCGTCGCTGCTACCCAATTCTGGCTCACTCACTCTTTGGCTACTCTCGATCGGCATAGTGGCCTCTAATGGTACTGCAGAGAGTCACTGGTTCACAACCCAGTCCGCAACAGTTTCAGAAACACCCGGTCTGTCTAACTGGGAAGATGTTCGGATTCATCTTAAGGAGATACTTTGGTTCAATTCGCATCAGGTGGAATACCAATTCCGGCAACGATGGGAGGAGCTTTTCAGGATCACCGCAGTATGACCACAACATAATCTCGTACCCTCCACAGCACATTTGACCCACGGAGTCCCACATTTGAACAGTCATCGGAATAAGATGGCAATTCCACTCATCTGTGGTCTGACACTGGATACAGATTCACTTTTGAACCGAAGAGGACTAGTCTCCGAAACCTCATTCTCGGCTAGCCCAGTAGCAGACCCACCTTTGGCTGTCGGAGACTAGTCTACATTCATCGCAACACTTTCGAAGGTATTGCTATATTTTTAGGAAATACGAGGTCTCCAGTCTGTTTGGCCAGGGCAGTCGATGCTGACCAAGAAACAAACGATTGGATATCGGGGTCTAAACCTCTATCGAACAGTGCCCCCACAAGCTGATCCCTAGTTCTTGGGCATGTACAGTTAACAACATCGAGTGCCTGCCGTGGGTGATGGCTCGAGCCTCAGGATGACCCGTTTCACGAAGAGAACTCGCGCAAGGAAGAGCAGCAGGCGTCTAGCCAGGATGTGGACAGATTCATTCAACGGAGCCCTACCGGATGAGATGCTACAATTGGATAAAACAAGTAATTCATGGCCGGTGATCAGATAGCTGGCGAAGTGAGCCTGCTATAAGAGAACCTGAGGCCTCCATTTACTAAACAGTTCGGTTTGTATCGTTCTATAATGGCGACCATCACCAACGCCAGCATCAATGTCCCGGAGGAACATTTGTCACAGGCTGTACGGAATAGGACCTCAAGCCAGACGAATGGCGCCCTCTCAGACGTGCTCCTTAGCTGGCTCGACTGGAAAACCCTTTTCACAACCTTGCTTGTCTTGATAACATACGACCAAGGTGCGACAGACGAACTACATTGGGAGGTTTCCGGACATGCTGACACTATTCAAAGTCATGTACATTAAGCGAAAGGGTTCAATTGCGGGGCCTCCGTTCAAGATCCCGTTCATGGGACCTTTTCTCCAAGCACTACACCCCAAATTCGAGTCGTATCTTGCTCAATGGGCCAGCGGTCCCCTCAGCTGCGTATCCGTATTCCACAAGCAAGTTTATCTCTGATCCTAGATTGAATGCACAGTTGCTAACGCTTTCTCTGTTTAGGTTCGTCGTGTTAGCTTCCGATCGCGATCTCGCGCATAAAGTCTTCAAATCGCCGGGGCACGTTAAGCCATGCATCGTACCAATAGCGGAGGACATAATGGGCTCACGGGCTTGGATCTTTTTGCAAGGAAAATCCCATGCCGAGTACCGCAGAGGCCTAGCTGGACTATTTACGCCAAAGGCACTGAGCACATATCTACCCGTTCAGGAGAAGGTTTACAGCGACTACTTCGACAAATTTGTGGATATTACTCAGGCTAACGGCGGAAACCCAACACAATTCATGGGCTGCTTCCGAGAGATCAACTGTGCCTTATCCTGTCGCACTTTCTTCGGAGACTACATTTCTCAAGAAGCGGTTAAGAAAATCGCAAACGACTTTTATCTTGTCACAGCTGCTTTGGAACTCGTCAACATACCGCTATCGATGTACATCCCGTTCACAAAGCCTTGGTTGGGAAAGCGGACAGCAGATGCAGTGCAAGTTGAATTTGCAAAGTGCGCGGCAGCGTGCAAAGCAAATATGGCTTCTGGCGCCAAGCCAACATGTATCGTTGACCAGTGGGTACTACACATGATGGATTCCAAGAGTTATTACGAACAGGTGGCTGCCGGCGAAACGAACGTCACGAAACCAACAAGCCTCATCCGCGAATTTACAAACCTAGAAATTGCCCAAACGCTGTTCACGTTCCTGTTCGCTTCACAAGACGCCTCGAGTAGCGCGACGACTTGGCTTTTTCAAGTTCTCGCTCAAAGGCCGGACGTCTTGGGTCGCCTTCGGGAAGAAAACCTTTCCGTTCGCGGTGGTGACCGAAATCGGCCGTTCGACCTGAACATGTATGAATCCCTTCCTTACACCAACGCAGTCATCAAGGAACTTCTCCGTCATCGGCCACCAGTGATCTTCGTCCCGTACATTGCCACAAAGAATTTTCCTATAACGCCAAACTATACCGTTCCTAAAGGCGCCATAGTCGTGCCTTCATGCTATCCAGCTCTACACGATCCCGTGGCCTACCCCAATCCTGAAGTTTTCGACCCGGAGCGCTGGATCACAGGAGATGCAGAGTCGAAAACAAAGAACTGGCTCGTGTTTGGTGCTGGCGCGCATGACTGCTTGGCGAGAAAGTATGTGCCTTTGATCATGGCACATATGATTGGGAAGGCTGCACTGGAGCTTGATTGGAAGCATCATGCTACGGAAAGGTCGGAGGAGATACGGGTCTTCGCTACCTTGTTCCCTATGGTAAGTCTCCGATGGATTGAGGGCATCTTGTGGATATCGTTAACTCGGGGTGTAGGATGGGTGTCCACTCACATTTACGGAGCGGTCTTGAAGGTGATTATATTCGCCGAACGAGAGAAACTTTCATGATCGCCACCCAATAATGGAATTACCGTCGGTCTTTTCGACAAGAGGGAGATTTATTGAGTTGATATCAACAACGCGTCTGAGGCACTGCTATTATGGGCCTGCTAGCACGCATTTACTGGCCGTTAGCATCCTTAGTAACAAATAATAAGCACTTTTACCTTCGCCGCCTTTTCTTTTTTCTGTCAAATACCTCGTGTCATACATCTCCAGCACGTTGCTACCATCAGTATGATAGATTTTACTTTGGCCCGTCCTGACGAGGAAAGCATCTACCCGGACAGAGAGAGAATAAAAAAAGATTGTAAAGCTAAGAGAGCTCTCTGCAAATCGTAAAGGCGGTGTTGCAACACAATGAACGGTACGCTACCTCAACGCAAAAATCTGGTCGCAGAACCATGGAACTAACTCGGACAGATGACTAATTATTTTAAACTTTCATGGTCATCTCTTACCTTGCGATCACTTCCTGACAGACATGAATTTTCACTGTCGATAGACTAGAATATACTGTTCGTGAATACGATGCGGAGGATTCCAACACATCAGCTATTTTTTCCCACGTCACCGCAGAATGCAAGATGACCACTGCTAAGAGAATCATGCACATCTGGATCCGACACAATGGTGGGTAAGCCACAATGAGGTCCGACACCGAGTGGAACGAGCTCAAAAGCCACTAGGGTATGACTGAGGAATCGGCAATTCTAATCTCTCTGAAGGAACTTGATGACTAGGCTAGGACTGATGAATGGATGAGGGTATCATAAGCACTCACTCTACAAGGCCGTCTTCAGGTCCAGTAATCAAGCTTCATCCCATCCGTATGACTTACTTCAGGTTCTATATCCGAAGGTCAGGGGGACATTCTCTGCAAAACCTGCCTCTAGTTCACTATCGAAGCTTTCTGGTTTAGGCGATGACTATGAACCTTGTTTATTTCAAATTTGAGTACCGAACTTTCTGCTGCAGGCAGCTTGGCAAGCCAAGTTTGTAAGCGTCTAGATACAAGTGCTTAAGTTTTGGTCCCTAGGTACACTGTTGCAAGCTCATCTGCAGATCTGATCGCTACGAGCCGACCTGAAGGCCATTGTTTAAGCTATGAGAGTGGGGATTATGAGTGGTAAGGCCCGAGTCACGAGGCATGAGACATTCTCTAGTCATCGATATCCATGTTCATCATAATCTGAGATTCATTCTTTACGCACTGTTTGATTGAATCACTGCACGACTCACAGTTTCTGGTATAAATTGTACTTTTGCTCTTCTATACTGCTTTCTTCATGTACGAACATTTTTTTGAGTATTAACTGTAGGCTTTCTATGATCGGCGAACAATCAGACATCTTCTCCGACATCTCGACATAAGCTCCTTTATTGGCACCGAACGCGACTACTACCATGTGCAGGCTGTTCGTCAACACCTCCTACTATTGTACCGAGGATTGCAAGTACATCGCCCATCCAGTTTGGAGTACGCATTGTCCAATCACGCATAGAGATGGCCCATGTGAGGAAACAGAAAAGAATTGTAAAGGATTTATAGAAGATAAAACCTACATAAAGTTGAACAAAGAAGGTCCAGACGCTCGATGCCCAGACCATAACGATGTTAGAGACCTGAACAAGGCTACCGAAGCTGTGAGAAGGGACGGGAGCCATCTTTGGGTTTACACGGGTAATCAAGCAACATTGTCCAAATCCCATGAGAGAGTACAGCTCGAAATATCGAAAATACTCGTTCTGGAAAACCCACATCGATATGAGAATGATATGCCTGTAAGTTCCTCGGGTCGCGTATGGGAAAAATACTATAAGGAGACGTACAATGCCCGCGCAGATGCTGGCTGGGGACAACTGTACAAATCCGACCCACTCCCCTGGGGTGAAGCTCGTGATAAGGAAATAAAGAGACTCCAGGGAAATTTGTCTCCCGATATACCTTCAGGCACGGAGGGTGATTACCAAAATCGTTCTCGCAGTATAGATGGTAGAGGGAGTGATAACCTTCCTTCTGCTCAAACTCTCACATATGATCCGACGAACCAGAATGTAGGGCAGGCTACTGGTCCTGTTGATCCCTTTTATGTGGACGCTTGCTTTATGTATTACTATATGGACGACGTTGCAGGCTCTCCCTCAAACTTTGCTACCAACCAGGCTGGTGGAAGCGGCCAGAACGACGGGATTGGATCCACATATCCTGCTTCGCACCCGGTCCTTGGACAAGCCTCCACATACCTACCTCCTAATCCGGCTATAGGAGGGTTCGCTATTAATGCTCCTCCTGACCAGGCTGCTTGGGACGGTCTCGCATATTTTCCGCAGGGTGGCATGCTTCCTCCGCAGCCACAACCTCCGTACCATGCTGTAGCAGATATTCCTACAAATCCTCCTCCCGACAATGCTGGTTGGAACGATTACATATTCTTTCCGCCCACATATCAAAGTGACGGCCGAACCTCTAGGTCGGGTTACGAAGCCTTCTAACGGAGGCCTTGCTAAGGGTTCGGCTCTCAAGCAAGTATTGGGCAAAGGAATCTAGGAGAAGAAGAGAAAGGCTAATAGGAAGTTCTCGGGTAGCAGTGCTTCTCGAGATATCTGGTGCCTTGAATGAAGTTGGGTGTGGAGTTACGTAGGAGAGAGACATGTATACGGAGGTGTAGGTGATGATCATGCTGGCATGAATTAGTAGTCCTATTATAATGTACCATTTTGCTTTCTATCTTCTTACTTGAAAAACATCGGGCAGTAAGATGACATGAAAGTACTAACACCGTGATGCTGTTGAAACAAATCATTCTTCTACTTCGAGAGTGGGGATACTAACGAAGATGCTGCTCTCGCGTACCAAGTCAAACGGAGAGAACGCAGAGTAAACGCCAGAGATGAGTACCTTCGTAGCTCTGTAACTAAGCAGATGGTCTGTAAATGCTAAACGCACGATCTACTAATAAATGTAGACGCGATTGATCACAACGCATATCTAAGGTTAAGCGCTGCTGACGTAATCAGTCACTCAACTGTAAGGTACGAGCACGATGCATGAACTTTGCGAGAACGCTCAGGCGAAAAAGTTTGATGTCATAAATCCAATTCCTCAATATCCTACAGTGAATAAAGTTTGGTATCATTCAAGAAAAGTGTTAACCAAAATTGCAGCCTTTGAGCAGCATACAAGATAGACAGCGTGAGTTTTCCAGTTAACGCCGTGATGCGCTAGTTAAATTTAGTGCCCATGCGAGTGAGCGTGACCCATCTGTGAGACGAGCGGTAACAGCATGCCGAACATGACGATGGCGATATCGGTCTTGGACAGACCGTTGCCACCGGGGTAGGCATCCATATAACTATTCGCGATCGGATCCTCGTGAAGGTGAGATGATGTTGCTTCAGACATGGATTGCATCGCCACGTATCTAGTTTAGTTAGTATCTGTCACCCTGAGGTAAGAATCGGTGCACTAGACTCACAAGAAAGTACCGCCAGAGAAGCAGAGGACCCAACCAGTGGTCCAAGTCAACCCGTCGTCTCCGCCTAATCGGTTGCGACCGAACAGGTGTACGATAGCCCATGTTGCAAGAGCGCCTGCTGGGGCTGCTAGACTGAAGAAAGCAAGATGAGTTCGAGCTCTGCGTTTCGAGAGGCCTTGCTTGAGAAGGACGGACGTAAGCCCGAACGCAGCGGGCGCCTTGTGAAGCATGATGGCAAAGAAAATGACCAACGATAAAGACGTCGAGGGCGCAGTTGAGGATGCGCCTAAGGCAATTCCGTCGGCGCAAGCATGAACAATAAGGCCGATAGTTGCTGATGGGGTCTTCTTAGACGAGGAAGGAGGTAGACCTGGGGTTGCCAGGGGCGTGACAGCGTTACTAGCGGCTCCCATTCCATTGAGGCTTAAGGAGGACGAATTATGCGGTCCCCGGGCTAGATTCGAGAGTGAGATGTGCATGGGTTGGTATTTTGGCTTCGCAGAGGATAATGCTTCCGGGAGGTGATCGACAAGGAACATGAGGATGTATCCAAGGATCAATGCGACGCCTATGTACGCATGTGGACCGGGTTTCTCGTCGTATCCGTCTCCTAAATGGCTGTGGCTTTCCTCGTCGTCTTCTGGTGCATGAACGCGAGTGTGTCCTTCTTTGTGGCCCTCTGTCGAGTCGTCGTCGCCGCCCTTTTGCGGATGCGCTTCTTCAGCTTTCTCCTTCTCCTTGTCTTTGGTGTCCTTGGTCTTCTTCACCTGAAGATCGATAATGGCTTTGTCGCCAGGGACATCGCCAGTTGAAGCCTTGACCGCACCGCCATGCAGAAAGGTAGTATCCACTACGTCTGACCTCCTCCAGGTTGGGAACTCAGCAGGGTGCTTGACTCCTGTTTGTGAGCCCGACAGAGAAGGGATAGTAGGTTGTATGACCCTCGCATCCTGCGAACGTGCTTTAGCTCCTGCGCTGTACAGGGTCTCGATTCCCTCCGGTATGATGACGATGAGCGAGGTCCCTACTAGCACGCCGGTGCCCAGGAGTGTGAAGATGCGGAGCTGACGCGGAGAGAGGCTAAAGGAGAGCGGAACAATGCCGGCGAGGAAGGAGCTGTCATTGTTAGTTGAGCTTCACAGGGCTCCTGTAGATGCCCAGTGGGAGGTTTGGAGCGTACGCAATGCCCATAATGGTGCTCAAAGCGAGCAGCATAAAAAGGCCGTCCCACATGTTGAGCCGTCGTGTGTGCCGTGGCTCTTTTAAAGCTGCCAATGAAGAGATGCGCCCGGTATGCAAAACAGAGAAAAAGTAACAAAGCGTCAATCTATGCTGTCCATGCCTCAGCCGTCGAGTGGTCGCGGGTGGGAGCGGTAAAAGTGCGATGCGATGATGTTGACAGGTGGGTGCTAGGGACAAAGCGGTCCTCCGCAACTTTCCCAGAGTCTTAGATCGTTGGGCGGTGCAGGGGCTGCGGTAGGGCTGACCCCCGGGAGCGCTAAAACGCGGTCTGGCGCGCTAGCCACCTTCCTTCACCTCGAAGTGACGCGCGCCGCAAGTGGTGTATCACTCCGACCAACGACGACTATTGCTCAAGACCACGACCCTTCCCGAGGCCAACCAAGCACTGCGCAGCTCCGTCAACTCTGCAGCCATGGAGCTCGATCTCGATGATTGTAAGTCGCCGGCGCAAACCCTGTCTTGCCTCTTTGCGACGCCAACCCCCAGCTGGAAATGATAACCAACGCACTCCTTGAACATTAGCTTGGATATCGCATCTAACAGCCTCTAGGGGTCACCAACTCGAACGAGTGCTTCTTCATCAACCTCTACCGTACCGTCAATGACGCAAACGAGCCTGCTCGCATCCTCCAGGATTCCTTCAACCCCAGCTTCACATACACCGTAATCGACGAACAAGAAACTATCGCCGGCTACAAGAACCCTCGCATAGACCTCGACTTCCGCGCAAACGACCTCAAGCCGCAGCTAAAGATACAGTTCGACCAGGAGCTAGACCTCAAGAAGATCTCTCCCGACCTGACTCAGGTAGATCTTTCGCCCGAGCTGTTTCGCAAGCACCTGCCCGAATCCATCGATGACAATGTAGACGCAACATCAAAGGACTGGAAGCCTCCCGGAGAACGCTTGAATAGCTTCGAGCTTCACGGAAAGCAGTATGAGATATGGAAGGCGTCCATGGCCGATCCTGCTGCTAGGCGCATCTGGACCAACATGAAGATCCTCGTCTTGCTCTTTATCGAAGGCGCCACAACAGAAGGATTAGACTATGAAGACACTTTCGATCGTTGGTCAATCTACCTGCTGTACGAGGTTACACCTCTGCAAGACAACGCGTTCTCTCCCTACACTCTATCCGGATTCTCCACTTCGTATCGTTCTTGGATTTTCCCCACGTTTGACATCATGCGTGCCACGAAACAGCTTCCGTCACCGCCGTCAGAAAAGACCAATGGGGACGCCGGAAAGTACACGCCTCCCCGTCTGACACAGGATCCCGAGACGTTTGTTTTCAACGAGAAGATCAACCGACTTGAAACCACTTCGAGAGAGCGCATATCACAATTCCTAATTCTGCCACCATATCAAGGCCAGTCTCTCGGTTCACGACTGTATGATACTATCTTCCAGGATCTAGTCAGCAAGCCTTTCATCTACGAAATCCCCGTCGAAGATCCAAGCGAGGACTTTGATGCCATGCGAGACTACAGCGACATCACCTACCTGCGCACACTACCCGCTTTTCAGTCACTCTCGGTTGCCTCAACCCTACCTCCAGAGTCACTAAGGAAAGACTCCGCCATTCCGCGAAATCAGATTCTCGGCAACGGCAGCGACTTAGAGGAGCTCCGACACAAAGCCAAGATCGTAACGAGGCAGTTTTATAGAATGGTCGAGCTGCACCTCCTCTCCACGATTCCTCCAAATCACCGCAATAGAGCCCGGATCACACGCAAAGCCAAGGCTAGCAATGAAAACGATCGCAAATACTACTTTTGGCGACTGGCCTTGAAACATCGGATATACAGCCAAAATGCCGATGCCCTAGACCAAATGGAGGACGCCGCCGAGAAGGTCGAGAAGCTAGAATCAGCTGTGGATAGCCAGCAGGAGGAGTTTGAAGAGCGCCTCGAAGGCCTTAAGAAGAGAGCCAACTGGGTAGCAGGCCAAGCCTCGTCAAACGGCGCCAAGAGCCGAAGCAAGCGGAAGCGGGCCATCATTGACGACGACGAGGATGATGAGTGGGAGGATATGGAAAGTGAATCGGTGGCTAGCTCCAAGCGGACGAGGGCATAGATATTGGAGGCAGACATGGCGGGGAGAACTAGAGACGTTAACATACCGACGCTCATGCCGTTCGCTAATTACAAAAGGTCTTTAAGGCTATTCCGGCCATCGTATGTGGGATGGGGCTCTCGGAGGGCCCATAGTACATGTAGTTAATACCCCATAATGATTATTCAAGTACTGTGAAGGTTCCAGCACAGGAAGACCTAGTGCTTAATTCCGACATGGCGGGGTTAATTACCCCACGTCCCAAAATTTTGGACCTCAATGTCAACCAAAGCCTCACGTTTCTTGCCAATCCCCCCAAGCGAATAACCTTTTCCTACTCCGCCCGCCCCCCAGTTCAGATTCCAGCAATGGCAGACCGCCAATTCAACATCGCCGTCCTGATATCCGGCAACGGGTCAAACCTGCAAGCCCTAATCGACGCCTGCGCATCCGGCGCGCTCCCTAACACACGCATCTCACACGTCATATCAAAGTAAAGCCACCCCCAAGCTCCCATCCTACTAAATCAAGATTGAAAATCTAACATTCCCACACAGTCGCAAAGCAGCATACGGCCTCACGCGCGCAGCAAACGCCTCAATACCCACAACATACCACAACCTCGTACCGTACAAGAAAGCCCACCCGACAGACACCCAACGCGCCCGCACAGCCTACGACGTCGACCTCTCGTCTATAATCCTCGCGTTGGACCCGCGGCCCGACCTGATTGTCTGCGCGGGCTGGATGCACATCGTGACGCCGTCGTTCCTCTCGCCCATGGCAGACGCAGGAATCAAGATCATCAATCTGCACCCCGCGCTGCCGGGCGAATTTGCGGGCGCGGGCGCGATTGAGCGCGCGTGGAGGGCGGGGAGGGAAGAGGGGTTGGCGCGCACGGGCGTTATGATTCATGAGGTTATTGCCGAGGTGGATGCGGGCGAGGCGATTGTTACGGCTGAGGTGGCGTTACGGCGCGAGGAGAGCTTGGAGGAGCTCGAGGCGAGGATTCATGAGGTCGAGCATGGGCTTATTGTTGAGGGGACGAGGAGGACGCTTGAGGGGTTGGGGAAGAAGTAAGGTGGATGTGGATAGAGAGAGAAGATGATGATACCCAGGAATACACAAAATGCTACATCTGTGGCCCGTCTAGTTGTGAAGAATCTCAGCACGCTGAGCACGAAGACAAAGCATATCACAAAAAGCTGATCATATGTAGCAGTTTCGTTCAATTCTCCGTTTACACTACTAAACTCGACACAAATCCAACATACCCATCTCACCACCATTGGTATCGTCCCGGATACTCCAAGCCAATCACAACTCCTCGCCCTTCCTCCTGCCCCTACACCCACGAGAGAAACGCCACTTCACAGTCAGTCCCGTCTATAGATACAAAAATGCGCCACCGCCATGATGAAACAAAGCAAAAGAAGGGGGGAAAGAACAGTTGTTTTGGTCCGATTACTACCCTGCCAAAAGCCGCCGCGCCATGCTTGTATGTGTGAAACGTGCGTATATGCTGAAAAGAAAGAAAGCTATGTGAAAGTGTGACAAGGGAACAGGTGGTGGATTTTTCCTTTGTTGCTCGTGTGCGATGCTATGCATGCTGTAAAGTGACTCGCTTTTGAGGTCCCGCAACAATAAAAAACATTAATGACACGAGTTCGTTCAATCATGTCCCAGTTGCTTGCGGGCTGGATGGCAGTGGGTTTAGGTTCGCAATACTAAAACTCGTTTCTTTCTCCTGGGTAGCCGGCTCGGCCGATATTCGTTCCTTCGTCGTCGTCGGTGACTCCTCTTCAATGTCGCTCATTTCAGAAGCACCGTCGTCGTCTGAATGTTGTTCCTTGAGCGACTCACGGTAATTCGAGGGCGTGATGGTTTGCGCAGACACGTGTCGCTGTTTCGAAACTTCGGCAGCAAGTCTTCGCGGCGTATTCTCTTCATTGCCATCAGCACCCGGGCTCATGGATGTACCGTTGCTCACGATACTGTTGCCATCTCTTTCATCAGCAGAAGCGGCACCTTGTGCCTCCTGAAGCTGCTTCTTGGTCTTTAACCGCTCCTCCGCTGTAGTGTTGTGCCAATCGGAGCCAAATTGGATTACAGATGCCTTTTTACCGTGAACCGTGAAGCTCCCATGGCCGCGGGTCAAACGATCGCTTTCTGGGGTATCGTCGCTAACAATCGTGGACGCGGAGTCTCTGCCTTTCTGACTACGGCGGTGAGATGAACTGCCATGAGACTCTCGAAGTGTGCGATGCAAGCTTCGTCTGTGCTTTGCGCGTGATGCAGGCGAACCCGTAAGCGATGCAAAAGTCTGCTCGTTCTCAGACTCGGTAGCTGGATCCCGATGTAAGCCATCCAGAGAAGGTATCTCAGGGGTCTTGGGCTCTATAGAGTCCGACTCAATAGGTGGTGGGGTAGTGTATCTCGAATGATCATCAGAATCGCTGTCTGAGTCCACAGTACCGCCACCCATTGTGGATATAGACGGTCGTTTATCGTGTGGAAATAGCCTAGGAGACTGTGCTGACGAGCTAGCAAACGAACTTCGTCGATCTGATGTATGAGGACTGAAATTCAAGGGAGGAACGTGGAATTGGGCCGATGGATCAGTGGGACTATACTGGCGAGAAGTCTCTGGGGGCGTTTTGAACGCCTCATCCACACCAAAGTCTGAACCCCGGGATGACTTAGTCCCAGGACGAGCTGAGGACGCCCCTGGAGAGAGTGGTGGCTTCTGACCACTGGTGAGCGAACTAGTCTTGGATGTTAATCGCGCCAGTCCGCTAATCTTGGACGCCCGGTGGGATTGTTGTTGTGAAAGTGGAGGCAGCGGGGGTTGTGCTGATTCCGATATTCTATCAATGCGAGCCTGCTTTTCGGCAGCCCCTTGCTTCTCGTCTTCCAGTTCCTGTGCCAATATATCACGATGACACTTCATCCGCCATATCTCGATGCGGGACCATTTGAGCTTAGCGGCTAATCGACCAGCAGCGTGGATGACCAGTTCTCGTGTTTTCGGTTGTATGGGTGCAAGAATCTGAAGGTGTCGCGCGTCCCTAAGGCGGGCCTCCAATTCTCTGATTGCTGTTGCAAGCTTCTCTTCTGACTCGGCTATTCGTACCTGCATCAGCTCCTTCCGTGCATTCATCATTTGTTGTGCGAATTGACTATCAATCCTCCCGCTCTGAATCGTGACCTCGCCGGTTGATGTAGGTATTGATTTGGAAGATTGCGAGGAGTCGAGGCGGCGGATACCCCTGTTCCTTTGTCCTTCATACAAGCCGCCTATCATGCCTCTTGATCGAACACCGAGCGTCTCGAAAGCCGCGGTGTAATTTAGCACGCCCAACCACTCGTTTAGGTCCTTCTCACTATCGGCCAGGAAGGTTTCCTCGCCTGCCTTGGTGAACATGACGAAGGAATGTTTATGTTTCCTATATGTGTTGTCGACGAGGGCGACTGCACCATCCATGGGTATTATATGGTCCTGTTTGAAGTTTTCAAGCGGAGGTTGGAACAGGACAGGCCCAGTTTCACCCCGCTTTAGATGCTGTTCATGCTGGCTCATCAGGTTCCTTGTCCAGCTGGAGTTTCGGAAGAGAGAGAGACCTGAGCGGGTGAGGACAGCACCCCATTCTTGCCACGGAGATCTTGCTTTCTTCCGCTTGGTATCCTTCCTCCATAAGATGCCAACCTTGGTGACTGGCATCTCGACTATACCAACCGATGTCCCCAGTGGGTTCTCCTGGGCAGCTTCCGACATGAAGGCCTCGGGTCTGGACCGTGAGGACACGATTTGGATGACGCCATATCGTGAAAACAACTTGTAAATGTTCTTTGTATCCAGGTTTGCCGCAGTTCCAATATCATTATACGGATCATCCAGGTTCATGACGTCTCGAAGGGTAGGGCGGAGAGCATCCAATTTACCCTCGAATATTAGGGTATACGGATCAATGGGCTCTTTGGCCGCCTTCCTTGCTGGGTCGTTCATCGGTCCCTTGAGCACGGCTGTTCTCTTGCTCTTTTTCGATGAAATGTTCTTCAAGTCGACTTCATCCTCGATGTGTATGAAGGGCGTATAGACAATGTTGTCGTAGAAGCAGCCAAGGACGTCGTCGGAAACACCTTCACAAGAGGAGTTCTTGATGTAGTCTGGTCTCTGCATTTTCCGTTTGTTGTTCTTATTGAAGACATCGGTATGTAGAATGATGATGGAAAAAGAGATGAAATACGCCTTGTCTGTGTTAAGGTAGATGCCCGGGTTGCACTCATGATAACGATCGGCAAACCCTTGAAGTACCCTGTCGATCTGCTGGGTTTCTTTGGGAAGCTCAATCTGCATGAGCAGTTTGCGTATCGCTATGTCGAGTGGGTCACCAAAGAAGGCGAATCTCCGCATATAGCTTCGTAAGACTGAAAGAAGAAATGCATCGTCGGTTTTGCTGAGGAAGCTCGCAATGACGCTCTTATCGACATTGTTCGCCTCGATCCTTTCCAGGTAGCGGCCTGGCGTCTCGCCTTCTTCTCGCTCTGGTAGTACAAGCGTCTCTCGGCTGATGTTAAAGGAGTTTTGATGAGATGACAAGGCCGAGTTCCCTAAGAAACCGTGAGCAGGTGAGCCATATCTGGGTGAATCTGGCCCGGAGTTCTGACGGAATCTTGAGCTCAGGCCAAATAGATTACTGAAGCTACTTCTCCCAGCTGTAGTGGACGTCGAGTTCCTTCCGCTTGGGCCATTGGGCGGAGTGGGTGATGTAGCATCGTCGGAATGGCCGCCCAAAGAGCCCATTGTGGACGAGCGTCCTCGCAAACCAAGACGCATTGGAGCGGCGGCGCGTGGCGAGCGAGCGGAACGTACTGACTTGGGTATCGATTTGGTAGAATCGTTTCGAAAGAGGGCGCCTGCGCCAGCTGATGCGAGATTCAGTGACGTAGCAGCTAGAGCGACTTGCGAAGCAGAGGGCATCGGTGGGGTCTGCGTGCCGGGTTCGCCATGGTTCAGACGGCGTGCGGTCAAAGGAGGGCTCTCGGTGGGGGACTGGGGAGGCGAGCCAGAACTCACACCACCGGTAGAGACGCGAGGCGTAGCGGGCGCTGTGTCCGGAAAGCGGGGAGGGTCGATTTTCATAGGAAGTGGGAATAAAGATGCGCGTGGTTTTCGACGGCCAAAGCCAAAGCGTCCAGAGCCCAGTCTGGGTGGGTGTTGGGGTCGTGCAGTCTGTTCGAAGGAGACATGTCCACCGGAACTTCCGTCTGATCGCGACGACTCTGATGCCCGGGCAAGAGAAGGAGGGGCCAAGGCGGTGGTGCTTTCCACAGACTCTCGTGGCTCAGCAAGCGTCTCAGGCCGCTGCTGGCTCATGGACAGGCGCTCGTTTTCCTCGATCAGATTGCCATGACTTTTCTTGAACCCCAGCGGCCTCCGCTTCTTGTCCATGGACTTGCGCAGCGTGTTTGGTCGGTCGACTATCGAGGGGTCGAAGGAGCGGCGGCGAAGGGTGAATTGCTGCAGCCTACCTCGCTTCTTGGGCGCGGCATTCTCCTGGTTCTCGTCCTGTTCGATGACGGTGGGTGCAGTGGTTATGATTGCAGGGGCTATATGGACACGATACGTCAGCACTGAGGGCATTTGAATAAGCGGATTCGCAGACATACGCTCGGCGTTGGGCATCGCAGGGACGGGCGGGGCTGCATCGCGGGCAGCGTGCTCTTTTGCTTTGGACGACAGCTGCGGGTCAGAGGCATGGCGAAAGCGCATCATGCTGAACCGCCGCGTGTTTGGCGTCGACTCCTGTACGGGCGGAGAGGGCGGGGAGTCGTCATGGCTGGTCGAGGGCCGCGCAACGTCGGTGGAGAGAGGTCGGCCGCCATCTTCAGAGACGGCTATGCGGGTGGCACTGAGATTCTCGCTCGACTTGTCCCTGTCGCCGCGCCTGAAGAAGTTGCCGGGGTCGAGGGTGCTGCGGCGCTTGAGGTCTCGGTCGCTGCGGCCTGGTCGGAGAGCCCTCAGAGGCATTGCTGCTCACGCGGGCTAGCAGCTCATCTACGCAGATAGGGAGTCACAGCGCGGTACATGGCACAGCGGTGGAAGCGGTGCGGCCGACGTGGTCAGGGCAGGGCAGGGCGAGTTCGGATGAGGCACGCCGTAGTAGTAAGGCTGAGGTGGTAGTAGTGCTAGGATGAGTCGGGGAGGTGCTGGGCCAAGAGGGTGATGGTGTGTGTGTGGTATAGTGTTGTGTAGTGTAGTGTAGTGCAGGGCTGGGAATGACGGGCTGCAGACTATTTGGCAAACACTGGCAGGCAATGCTATATAGCTTTGTATGAGAAAGCAGGCGAAAAGGGAGGTCGTCAGCCAGCTTCACCAAGCCCAGCTGTCTTTCAGCGCATTGGTACCCTGGGAGGGATGCTCGGTGGAGAGGTGGCCCGCGACGCTAGGCCCGTGGAGTCGCGCTTGCCTCTGCACCAGCCACAATTCCCACGTTTACGGTCAGGTCCAGCCAGGCATCACTGATAGATAGCCCGCCTACCTTCAGTCCACATCCACATCCCGCCAGCCCTCGCCGGCGACGTCACCCTTTCCTTCTGTTCTCTCCTTCGTTAGATGCTGTTCCAATGCGTCAGGCCTCCTTTTCTGTCCTGAGCCTGCTGCTGCTCTGTCCCTCACTGCTCACTGCCGCCCCGCACGACAATGCGCGCTTCTTCCCCCATGACGCTGCCTCCAACCACAACCACTCGCCGCGGCCCTGGCGGATACTGTCCGATGCTGTAATAAGGAGGATATGGGGACTGCCCGAAGCCCAAAAGAGAGTGGGAAGTGATGGCGAGAAGAATGCGCCAGACAATGCGCCAGGAGACGAGCTCGTGGCACGATATGGCGACGACGTGGTATTGAGGTTTACAATTCGCACAGAGGACGAGGCATCCGCACTGGCAGAGGCAGCCGACATCCTCTTCCTCGACGTCTGGGAGTTCAACCAAGACTGGTGCGACATCAGGATAGCAAAGGACGTCGTGCCTTCCCTCCTCGGCCTCCTCCCTCCTTCGCTCCAAACATCCCACGAACCCCTAATGCAAGACCTCGACCTCGCCCAAGCCATCTTCGACTCGTACCCCTCGCCCTCTGTAACACAATCACACCAAAGCGACCGCTTCTCTCCACAACTCACAACATCTCCCCGCGTCAAGGGCCACCCCTTCTTCCAGGACTACCAGCCACTGTCTGTCATTAGCCCATGGATGCATTTGATGTCCTCCATGTTCACCACGCACGTCCGCCGCATCATTGTCGGCATAAGTTACGAAGGGCGCGACATCCCCGCTCTGCGTGTCGGCGTGCACCCCACCAACAACGACGAGCCCTCAAAACCGAGGAAGACGGTCATCATCACGGGCGGTTCCCATGCGCGCGAGTGGATATCAACAAGCACAGTAAACTACCTCGCCTGGTCTCTCATCAACGCATACGGAAAGGACCACTCTGTCACCCGCCTCCTCGAAGCCTTCGACTTCGTCTTTGTGCCTACACTCAACCCTGATGGTTATGTCTACTCGTGGGAAACAGACAGACTCTGGAGAAAGAACAGGCAACCCACCAGCCTCCGCTTCTGTCGCGGCCTTGATCTCGACCGCAGCTACCCCTTCAAATGGGACGGCGACATCACCCGCACGAATCCGTGCTCCGAATCCTTCGCTGGCGACGCACCCTTTGATGGCGTCGAAGCCCAGAGATTTGCAGCCTGGGCGAAGAACGAGACGGAAAACAACAACGTCGAAATTGTAGGATTCCTAGACCTCCACTCCTACTCGCAACAAATTCTCTATCCATTTTCATACTCCTGCGAAGACGAACCCCCCTCGATCGAAGACCTGGAAGAGCTCGCCCTCGGCCTCGCAAAAGCAATTCGCGTCTCGCGCAAAGGACACGCATACAAAGTCACGAGCGCATGCGAAGGCAACGTTGCTTTATCAACAATCAACAATAACAAGAAGAAGATCATTCTCCCGCGCATCGAAAGTGGCGGCGGCAGCGCGCTGGATTGGTTCTACCATGAGCTCAGAGTCAGGTACTCGTACCAGGTTAAACTACGCGACACGGGGTCGTACGGGTTTCTCTTACCAAAGGAGAATATCGTGCCCACGGGCGAGGAGATGCTCGATGCGGTGCTTTACTTTGGCCGCTTTATGCTCGGTGAGGTGGGCTTGAGCAGCGATGCTAATGACAAGATGCAGGGTGAGAGGGGGCGGACTGAGCAGACCAAGGAAGCGGAAGGCATGGAGAAGTTATGGGAGGAACACCAAAGTCCAGGTATCGTGGACGAAGGCGACTTTCAGCCTGTTGAGGCTGAGTCTATAGAGTTGTAATGAATATACCTTTTTCTTTCTCTTCAACAATGACGCTTTGCGGGTGTGTGTGATGTGGTGCTTTTAGCTTAACAGCATCTCTTGATTATCAGTCATGGCCTGCTCCTGTGCCTCCACAGAAGATAACCTCCAAACACGCCCGCCAGCGCCAAACCCGCCACAGCTGGTCAACTCCCCTGCATCCTCTTAAACCGCTCTTCCGCCGCCCTGGCCCTCCTCTCCCTCTCTATCCGCGCTCTAGCCTCTGGCGTCAACCCCCTCGCCTCTTCTTCCCTCAGCTCCGCACCAGTCTTCACCGGCAGCACGCCCAGCGCCTTCCCCTTGCCGAGCCTTTGCTCCCGCCTCTTCACCTCCTCGGCCTCGCTCTCCTTCCTCAACCGCTCAGCTTCAGCTTTCCTGCGCTCAGACTCGGCTTTGCTCTCAGCGGCTTTCTCGCTCTTATCCTGCGCGTCCCGCTTCTCGGCTTCGGCTTTTGATAGCGCGGCGGGGACATCAGCTTTCTCCCAATTCCATGCGCTTTCGCCGAGTTCGGAGCGTGCGACGCGGAAGGCATCGCGTGTCGTGCGGTCGCCGGCAAGAGTGAAGGGAGTTCGGGCATCGTCGTTCATGATTGTGGGATCTGCGCCTCCTTTTGTGAGAAGTGCGAGAACGATTGGTGCTGAGTTGAGGGATGCAGCGAGGTGGAGAGGCGTTGGTGTATGGTGGGTTTCAGGGTAGAACGTAAATGTTGACGGGATGCTATTTGTCTTCAGGTAGTTGAGAAGCGCAGGAACCTTTGACCGTTTGATGAGGGGTATAATTTGAGAGGTGTGGAGAGCTGCGGCCTCTTCCTCCTTAGTTGGTTTTGGAGGCTTGGGCTTTGCTGGCGCTGGTGTCGATGTGGTGCTGTCTGTTTGAGGGGCATTGAGAGCAGCCAGTGTTGCTTCGTCGATAGTGCTCTGCTTGACGCGCGTGAGCTCAACAAAGGCGCGCATGAGCTCCTTTTGCGTTGCCCGCCGTGTGCTGAATGGAAAACCTCGATTCCGTGCATCGTTGTTTCGAAGCACCTGTCCCTCGTATGGTCCAAACAATGTCCTTCGATTCGTGCTACCAGTCGCTCGGACAAAAATCAATTCTGCTGTATCAATCATGCTCTTCCAGCTCAACAGCAACTCTCGAACTTCATTTGTAAGTGCAACTTCGTTGTACCGACGTATCGAAGAACCAGCCGAGTGCGCATTCCCCTTGGCATTGTCGTTTGCCGATTGAGACCCTCCCTGTTTCCGACGGGTTGTGTACCTGTGGAAGGTCTTGTGCGCGATGACAGTTGCGGACCGCTCATCCGCGCCTGTGTGCTTCTTTCCCGTCTTTGGTGCTAATGCAATAACCATCGCTGCGAAATGACCACCCCCGATCATGCAGAGGAAGTAGTGGGGTCCGAGGTCTGTTCCAGGCAACGGGACGCCGCCTTCGTTCGCCTTGACTTTGGGAGCCTGCTTCGGCGAGAGCTGCTTCTTCCGTAAAGTATCCATGATGTGTGCCTCCTCCTCTTGCTCTGCAACCGAAAAGAGTGCACGGTATACCCCTAGCGACATGTTATCCGGTATTGTCGGTGACGAGAACCAAAGTAACGGAGGCTTTCCCGGTCCACGTTGTCTCTTCCGTGATTCAAACTCGTCAAACTCGGGATTCGAAATCTTCGCCTGTTTCTTCAAAAGTGCGCTCAGGGTGGACTCCTTCGGCTTGCTTCCATCCTCTTCATCCTCGTCGTCCTCGGATTCCGAGGACTCGGAGCCTGATAGACTCTCGTCAAGATCTCCAATGAGCCTCTCAAAGTCTGCCTCGCCAACTGGCTTCGCGCCTTTTATCTTCTGCTTGAGGTTGTACCCATGGAGGTCGGATCGAACGTGGCTGCGTTGTTCAGCTACTGATCCGAAGCTGAGTGCGCAAAGGTTGCAGGATGTTGCCTTTGTTGGGCCATCTTCCACATCTATCGACTCGGGTATCGGGCTATCCACTTGAGGCGGCGCGTCCTGGATAGGGCGTGCGGTCTGGTCCTTAAGCGTGAGTGTGGCCAAGAGCTCTTCCGGGAGATCAAAAACTACATATATTAGTAGCTGTTGGCAGATCGAACCTAGGGGTTTGCCTACCATACAGTGGTCGCTGTAGCAGATGCTCTCCTTTCTGGGCCATTTTGTGCGATCTAACGGTGTAGCTGTGAGAAGATGGAGAGGATTGTGTATTCGGAGGCTACCACTTTGCGCTGGTGGGGCGTCGAACATGACGTGCATCCGCCCTTTACACGAGTCATAGCCCCGCCAAGTCACTGCGCGTCCACTTTCACTTTGTCCAGCTACCACCCGAACCCCGTAACATTCGTTCAGTTACCAAGGATTTTCTTTGGTGTCCATAGTCTAACTTTTAACCCCTATGGACCCACGTTCTACAATTTTCCCTCTTTCACTGCCATTCATAAAATCAAACACAAACATATAACTCCTTCAGAAACCGGTTGGCCTCACTAATAAGGTATACAACTCCAGCCATAGCTTGCAAAGGGTTAAAAAATGCTTCAACTTATCGAGACTAGCCATCAATCTTTCGGTTTCCCACAGTCAACCAATATGGAAACTCTGCCCGATGAATTGGTCCTCGAGATCCTCGGCTACCTAGTAGCCCAAGAGCTGGATCGCAATCGGTGCTTTATATGGGCTCTCAGTTTGGTGAACAAGCGGTTCTATCGTCTACTCAAGAGTCACCTATATGGAACGTATGCATTTCGTCTCGGACATCCTGAATCATTCCTTCGCACCATATCGTCTTCCTCTGAACTCGCACAATGTGTCAAGCATATCACTTGGGGCTATCAAGACTCCAGCTATCCCTTCCAGTTCTTTGACTTGCTATCAATCGCAGAGAAGGAACGTATTGCAGCCAACATTCGAGCTTTCGGAACTGTTTCTGCGAACGAACTCGCCGATGCGTTTCCTGATCTGACAATCGGAGCACACTCACATACCGCGGACGAACAGGCATATTTAAGCGCGTTGCTCATGTTCACGCCGAACATAAAGGTACTCGACATTGCTGGGTTCGGAGTTCACTCCTGGAAAGGTTCTACGCACTGGTTGAAGCCAGTAGCAGACCACGCGCACTTGTTCGCCAACCTGGTGGAGGTGAAGGTAGCTGGCCCAATGCGCATCCGACACGTTCTCCCACTCTTCACGATTCCCTCACTGCAGACACTAAAGCTCGATTACTTAACAACCAATCGTGAGCCGGCACCGTTAAACACAGAATTGCCGTGGGGAGTTGATAGCGAGTCGTCTCAAATTTTGCGAGAGAAAGGATCCTTCCTCAAGCACTTCCATGTGGCACATTGCTATACAGGTACAGCTGATATTATACCACTGCTCAAAGCATTTCGATGCCTCAAAACGTTTGATTTTGAGAATGTCGAGGGCAGTGAGGATAAGAAGTTCCAATCGCTATTGATCAGCATCGTACAACATTGTAGTTCGCTCGAGGCCCTTCGCCTTAGAGACTGGAGTACGGTACCCGATATAGGCGTTCTCAAGGTGCTGAGGGACCTCAAGGATCTGCATTCCCTAGACCTTGATGTCTACTGCTTCTTCCCGCGCCACGAACAGACGACTGATCCGGAGGCCCTAACAGCCTTTCTGCGATATCTTCCCCGCAATGTCCAGCATCTCGCCCTTCAAGCCAACAATGATGACGACGACGACGACGACGTCCCATCCAATACATTCGCCCATACTCTTCAAACCCTAGCACCGACGATACGCACGTCTCTCCCTGCCTTGAGGAAATTAGCAATAGTAGACTGGGACCCTCTGAGGTGTATATTCCCCTGCCAAATACAGCTAAAAGACCTCCAAAATGCTTTTGCAGGGGCTGGCGTCGAATTCACATCTCGATCTGGCGACACTTTGGGAGATGATCTCGTTTCATTGGACTACGTGGAACCAGGATGGGTCTGGGTACAATCCGTTTCGGGGGAGAATGGTACTTGGTTAAAAGATCTTGAAAACGACGAGTATATGCTATCATGTAAGACTTGGGGTTGGGAAGAAGAGGATGAATGGGTTTGGATTTACGTTGACGAACTGCCTCGTCTGGAACCCGAGATGGCTATGAGCCAGTATCTTGCTGAGCAGCCGATTTGGTATTGGGGGGAACTTCAGAACGGGCATACCTAGGTACTTAAGGATCATGTACGTCATATCAATCTTGTACGAAGGTCGGCCTCGCCCATCACTTGCTGCCCAATGGGTGGGGTAATAGCCAAGCCACTAATAACGTAGCCGCTTCCCGTCCCATGTCCCCGCTTTATTCACTAGTATAAAACAACCCCCCATTACCCAAATCTGTTTCGTTCTTCCTAGCTTGTATTTTCCTACATTATTTAGTTCCGCGCGTATTCAGTTGACCCTCTTTGTCGTTGCGAAATCTACTTCTTCGACCCGATAGCTCCCTGAACAGTCGAACCCAATATGGAAACAACATTCCTGCCCTGTCATAGTCTGGGTACGCTTCCTTATGAACTAGTACTACTGATACTAGATCAATTCGACGACGATGATTTGCCGGCTATCCACGCCCTAAACATGACAAATTGGCATTTCCACCATATAACACTTGGTCATATGTATCGCAGATTCCCAGGTCGCGCCCCCGAGAAGTTCCTACGCACTATAGCTCTAACACCCCCACGTGGATGTCCAACAATCGCGGAATATGTTAAGGAAGTGGTCTGGTACCAAGACTATTGGCTTCCGGAATCTTTACATCGTATGGTGGATCCAGCAACTAGACGTCAACTGGCAAGGGGGCTGGGGGCTCGCGCCTACCCCAGAGTTCCTGAACTCTCATCACGTTTCACGGCCTTCCCTCACAGTCCAGAACTTCACTGGTGGTATCTCGAGTTTTTCCTGTTTTTTGTACCGAAGGTCGAGAGGTTAATTGTGCATGAGGTTGACCTCTGGGACAGAAGCACCTCCTGGTTTGAAAACATCGCCGCCCACCCAACACAATTCGAACATCTTCAATCCATCACCCTGGACGGTACGCTACGACTTGAGAATATCGTACCGCTCTTGACGCTGCCTTCCCTGCGGAGCCTCAGTATCGAGTCCGTCATTGAGACGGACGAGGTTAGAACATATGCATGGTACGATCAATCAGTCGCAGAGAGATTAGCTGCCGGATCCTCAGTCGAACACCTCAAGATCGGAATATCCTACATGGGCTTATCCAGCTTCATTCCACTCTTCCAAGTCCTCAACTCGCTCAAGTCCTTCTCATACTCTCAATGTCCGGACGACGTTGACGGTCATTATTACGATTTCAACTACGATGCGCTCGCACAATGTCTCTTGCATCAACACGCATCCCTCGAGCATCTTACTTTGAACGATCCGTTCTTAGGTTATTGGAGAGCCTCGTCTCTCCTGTCCGCTCTGCAATGTGTAACGCGTTTGCGCACGTTGAGCATTAGCCCGCCCGATTTACGAGCCCATGTTGCATCGAATAGCAGCTCGGGCATCGTAGAAGCTGCGACAGAATTCGCACAAAGACTGCCATCGACGGTCGAACTGCTCCAGTTCCATTTGGTGTGGACAGTAGAAGAGGATATACCTCGTGGTCTCGCCGACGCACTGGAACCCTTCCTCCACTCACTTGCGTCCGTGGTAAAGTCGGCACTACCTAGACTACAGAAATTAATCTTGAAGGGTTGGCCGCCACAGCTCGGCATATTCCCTCCAGGCGTGATAGAGGTGAAGCAAGCCTTTGCTAATGTGGGTGTGCGATTTACGTCCATATCAGAGAAACTTTATGGGCCGGGACCATTTGAGATATTGGAAGACCAGGAACCGGGTTGGATGGTGGTGCAGCAAAGGGCTCTTTCGGAGGAAAGTTCACGGTCGATGTCGCCCAGCTAGGCGGTCGTCTCACACGTATCACTTTCATACCAGGTGTTGAAAGAGTCTGCGCGTTTTCTTTGGTAGTTGTGGTAGTGGAGGGTCCTGGGTTCATTGTACATTTGTTGGACAAACCACCCTGAATATCATCCGTATCAAAATTGATTTTTTCTTATATCCGCATTATCAAATTGTAGCAATAATCACCACGTCTCCTGCCTATACCGACCACCCTTCTCCATCCCTGCTAAATACTGCTCTGCTTCATCTCTGCTCAAAGAACCATGTTCTTGGAACCCTTCAATGAGGGCTTCGCGTATCGCTTGAGGCATTTTGCCCGAGGAGCCGCATATATAGATGATTCCGTTCTTCTTAGAAAGGGCGTCGTAGATGAGTGAGCTTTCTTGGCGGATGAGGTCTTGGACGTAGACTTTTTGCCGCTGTTAGGACGTCAGCATGTGTACCTTGAAGGGAGCTGATAAATGGAGATGCAGAGGACATACCTGATCTCGCGAGAACGCAGCGAAGACATCTAGCGGCACATGCTCTTTCTTCAACGCTGCCCACTCGTCTTTGAAGAAGTAATCTGCCTCGGCGTTCCTACATCCAAAGAAGAGTAGATCTTTTACTTGCGCGGCATCGCTGGCTGCTGCATCTCCACGAGCTTCTTCCCGCCACTGCTTTCGTTGGTAGATTAACGCCCGCATAGGCGCGACGCCCGTGCCCGGGCCAACCATGACGACCGGCCTATCTACCTCTTTTGCACTGACGCCCAGCCCGCCTTTACTTAGTGTAACAGTTATGTCTTGCCCAGACGCAAGCGAGGCAATATACCGCGTCGCAACACCCTGCCTAATCCGCTTGATAACCGTCTTATACTTGACAATGGCAATCAGCAACTCAATCTCCGTTTTGCCATGTATCGCAGCAGAGGCATTCAGCGCACTTGCAATACTGAACTGGCGGCCGCGCAGTGCGGGGATGATGCTGCATATGCGTTGCCAGGGGATCTTGACGGATTCGAATTCTTGTAAGACTTCGAGGATGCTGCGGCGCGGGCGGGTCGTGTAGTCGTACAGTTCGTCAATGTATTCTGGGTTCGTGAATTCGAGGAGGCGATCGCGGTGGAAGGGGTCGGTTGTGTAGTGTGCTAGTTGGGCGAAGAAGGAGCGGCGGGGGATGGCGATGATATCCAGATGGTTTGTTAACAGCCTTCTTAGCGTGATAGTAGCGCTGTGGGAAACGTGTGGAATTGGTAGTGTCGCTGTTGGTGATACTGAGGGTGCGGAGGGAACGAAGTGTAGGGGTACGTCAGCGATGGGTGTCCAGTCCATGAGCGAGATGAAGTTCGATACGTCCGAGGGGAAGTTCTTGGGGTAGAGAGTGAGTACATCGCCGGGCACGTAGGGATGGGTGCCTGCGAGTGATAGTTTGAGGTGTCGGACATCTTGGAAGTGCGTGGTGGGTGTGATGCGCTCATTGGAAGTGACTTGTGCGGTGATGCCATTGGGGATGTTGAGGAGGTCTAGAGGGGGTGTGTCTACGGTGTCGCCATTTGTTGTTGCCTCTGGGACTAATTCAAGTGTTTGGGGGGCTGCTGAGCTATTGTCTACAAAGGCGAGCACCCATTTTGGGTCTAGGAGAACGTCGTCTGGTATTGGATGAACACCTTTTGGCAAGGGGTATTCTTCAAGGAGGCGGTGGCGCAGGTTTGTCGACCACGGGAGAAACGAGCCGTCGATTCTTGGAGATGTTAGACAAGGGGAGAAGTTTGGTGGTGCGTGAGATGTAGACAGCTAATGGAAGGTTGAATCTCTGGAAGAGAAAGTGCAAACTCGAGTGAATCACAAGTTGGTAGGTACTTTGGGGGCAAGTGCCAACTCTTAATGAGAATGGCAAATGTAATACAAGCAGGCCACGAAGCAGGAGGCATTATAATCACTGTGGGAAGTACCTACCCTTCTGGATGCTGCTCGTCAGACTCGCCCCGATCGCAAACCGGCTGGGCTCCCAGCTGTATGAGGCGATTGTAGAGTTTACGGTGCGCCCAGTTGAACTTGGGGTACGAAGTGTCTCCCAGACCAAAAGAAGCAAACCTCATGTGGTGCAGACATCCGGGCCTGAGTCTTGCACTTCGCAGGGCTCTCCAGAAGGTCTGGCTGTTCGCTGGTAGTTCACCCTGGCCTGTGGTGGATATGGAGATCAAAACGACGCTGTGCTGCAGCAGTTGCTTCTGCACAGAGAGTCAAACGAAAGTCTAGATGGAGTATACATGGTCGTCGACATACAAGACTGACAGCGTTCAACTCCGCCACCTCTGTGGTAAAGCGCAGACGCTCAGCGACCCGTCCCATCTCCTCGGCCACATCCTGAGCAGATCCCGTCTCGGAGCCATAGAGGACCAGGGCGCGGCGCGGGTGGTGGGTAGTGGCCATCAAGTGCTTCTAGGGTTGTGCGCCTCGAAAGCGCGGTGAGGCTAGGCGGAAAAGAGGCCTGGGCGAGAAAGAGACTTTCGGCTGGCGCGCGGTGAGAAAGAGCGGTGCGCTAGCGGACACGTCGTCAACGGCTGGCGGCTGGCGGGTCTTGGGGGCTTCATGGTGCGGTGCTTGAGGTTCTTTTTTAGCGGCTCTGTGGGGCGGCTCTTTGGGGTGATGAAGCTGCTCGCTCCAAGGCTCAAGCCTTGAGGCTGGGCTGGGCTGGTTGGTGTGGCGCCATGGATGGAGAGCATCTGCAGCTCGCTTGGGAGTAAATCTTCAATCGTACAGTAGGTACATACCATACATTACATACCTCGGGAAAATACTCATGAATAAGGTATCGTTATAATCAATTCACTCCCTCTACTCTTATCGCCAATTACTAGGTACCGTCCGTCTCTCACCGCGGTTGCCTACTAGTACATAGAGCGACTGCCCATTCCATGGCCCCCCCGGTCGTCGCTTCCGCTGCTCAATCGGGACTAGCCCCAAAGTGTGCCGTGCGCCATCTCCTCTTTATTTTTGAAGCCTGCTCCGCTCCCTTTTCTCCTCCTCAAGATCAACACCAGAGACACCCAACGCACCCACATCAACCCATCCCTCTCTCAACTTCTCCGGGCTCGTAGCTACCCATCCCCACCCCCCTCGTCAATAGTTCCACCTCCAGGCGGTTCGACAATCCATCTCCCAAACACCACCAACTACTGTTCAAGGTTACCTTTACCGGTCTACCAGGACTCCAAGTTTCCTCAACTTCTTTGCACAGTCTTCTACTCGTGCTCGTCAACCCCCACAAACTTCAGCAAAAATGTCCGCCCCCATCGACAGTGTCACCGCCCAGATGGCCACCACCTCCCTTGACAACGCTCCCACCACCGAGAGCACCGGCGCCCAGCAGTCCACCGCAGCCGACGATGAGGCTGTGCGTGCGAGCGCCGCCGAGGGCAGGCGACTTTACATTGGAAACCTCGCGTATGCGACCACCGAGGGGGAGTTGAAGGACTTCTTCAAGGACTACCTGGTGTACGTAGACACATCCCTGACCATATGACGCATGTCTGAGCTAACATGTCGCACAGCGAGTCCACGACCATTCCCACCAACCCGCGCACCTCGCGCCCCGTCGGATACGCCTTTGTCGCCCTTTCGACGCCCTCCGAGGCCGAGCGTGCCATTGCCGAGCTCAACGGCAAGGCCATCCTCGACCGCAAGGTTTCCATCCAGCTTGCCCGCACCCCTGAGGCCCACGCCGAGGGCACTGGCAGCGGTGCCGAAGGTGCCAGCTCTGAGCACCGTCGCCGTAACTCCACCCGTGGACGTGGACGCGGACGTGGCCGTGGTGGTCGCGCTGGACGTGGTGGACGTGCTGTAAGCATGCCTTGCAACCACTCTACATGGTGAAATACATGCTAATGATATTGACCAACCAGGCTGATGGCGCTGAGGGTGCCGAGAACGTCGAGGCCACTGATGCCGCCCCTGCGGACTCTACCCCTACAAATGTACGTGGCCAAGTTGCTCCCCTGACCAAGACTGCGAATGAAGCGCTAACCGCTAAGCAGGGCACCGACGACAAGAAGTCCGCTGCTCCCCGTGAGCCGCGTGAGCCCCGCGAGCGCAAGCAGCGCGGTCCCCCCGAGGATGGCGTTCCCTCCAAGACCAAGGTCATGGTTGCCAACCTTCCCTACGACCTCAAGGAGGACAAGGTACGCTCAACTGTGCGAATGCTCTTTCCATGCACACATTTACTAACATTGTCCAGCTCCTCGAGATCTTCCAGGACTACTCCCCCACCCAGGCCAAGATCGCCCTCCGCCCCATCCCCCGTTTCATGGTCAAGAAGTTGCAGGCTCGCGGTGAGCCCCGCAAGGGCCGTGGCTTCGGTTTCGTGACGCTTGGTTCCGAGGAGCTCCAGCAGAAGGCTTGCAGCGAGATGAACGGCAAGGAGATCGAGGGCCGTGAGATCGCCGTTAAGGTCGCGATTGACTCCCCCGGCAAGGAAGACGACCATGAGGGCGCCGAGGGCGAGGCCACCACCGAGGGTGCCACCACCGAGTCTGCCGAGAAGGCCGCCGAGGCGCCCGCTGCCACCACCACCGCTTAGGTAGCGGCCACTGCCTAGGCGCGCCCCACCCCCAGCGAGCACGCTTCGACATTGCATTGCGCTGCGGGATTTGTGTAACGAAGTTTCTGGCCTATCGACATCTACCACTACCATGATAGAAATATAGGCTACGGCTATTATCATAGTTTGTTCGAGTTAACGGGTCATTCAATCGAAAAAGTGGAATCGGAGTCTATCGGACGGTGTCTATGGTGGACTATTTCCCAACTTTACGGTTACGGAAAACTTGTTTTAACTAGTCGAGCGATGAATATCACAAAAGAACCTTGCCCCTGGTCCAACTTTGGATCCATGAAGGCTACGACAGAAAGCTTATCTTGTGCTTGTTTGATAAGTGATGATATAGTTATGATGAATTTATGTCTTTTTCTGAGTTCTTTGGACGGGATATATACTGCCATTTCCATTCCTTCTGTGAAATTAACTATACCCAGGTGTTTGGCTTGTAACAGTCAAGGGTATGTTGTTGGTCAAACTCCAACCCTATTCAACTCTCTCACCCACTTAGCTACCAGCTCAAGTCAACTTCGCAGCCAAAGCAACCACCTGATCGAGCAGCGCCTTGCTCTCCTTGGCCCCGTTCTTCGTAACCTTATCCCTCAAATGATCCACCTGCAGCCCCGCGGCCGTAGGCGGGTTTCCCTGCGCCGTCTGAATGCGACTAACCTGCATCTCCAAAAAGAACTTGGGCACCTTAATCGCCAGACTGCCTCCCTCACTCCTTATTCCCGCCTCAGTCGCCTGATACACATCCAGACTATCCTGGAACTTCTTCAAATCCGTGCTCGCCAGTGGGTCCGCAGTAGCAAATTTATCCAGTGCGAATGCGAGCGGAGTCTGGCCGTTACCTGCTTTGCTGAAGTCGATGGAAGAGAAGGTCACGGCGCCAGAGGTTACGTCGGGGACGTTTGAGATTGTTTTCTTGGCCGCGGAGCAAGTTACGCTGTTGGAGAGGGCGGTGGCTATGTTTGCTACTTCTGCGGGGAGGGCTTTGGTGCCGGTTACGAAGCACGCGGCGTTTTGGCGGGGGGTGAGGTATATGTATGGGGTGGTGCTGGTTTCGACGTTGGCGGCTGTTGGTAGGGCGGCTGAGAGGGAGAGGAAGAGGTTGAGGAGGGCCAGGCTGGTGAGGTTGGGGGTATGCATTTTGTTTTTTGTTGGTGTTTCGGGTTGTTATTGGTGATATGTGGTGGCCGTATGTATGAAGGGGATATGTATATACAAGTAGATAGTTGAATGCAAGACTGTAATAGGGATTGATTGAAGCGAAGAAACAAAAGATCCCTAACCGGAGGGAGGTAGAAATGCAAAGAATGAAAGCGACAGACAGTGTAATGCGATGATCGGAAAAGTAATGCAAAGCGACATCATGCTACTCTTATTCACATTCCCTATCGCTATTACAGGATCAGGGACTCAGGCGCGTACGATACATCAGGCACGTACCATAGGTGTTGTTGTGTCACTAACGCTGTTGTAACACTTTTCAGCAGGGCTGTCATGGTCGTTTGAGACTGTGACGTTTTGTCCCCCGACGTCTCGGGTTTGAGATATCGCCCAGCATGAACAAAACTACACCTAAGGCAGCTTCCAAACTCCGAGGTGTGCCTGTTTTCGCCTAATGGGAAATTCGGGAGTTTGAGTGGTGTTGTTTTCAGGGACGTGGTTCATGTTTTGGTGCCTGCGCTTTTGGCACTTGATGGTGGGTGATGGAACGTGATCCTGGTAGCGTTTTGCTGGCGATGAATGCTTGTTCGCGAAGTTAAAACTTGCTCAGAAGATTTTGAATGATTAGAGCCGTGCTACAAATCAGCGACGTTTTGTAGGCGTTGTAGTAAGAAGAAAGTAGATATTGTACAAGGCGGCGTCGCATCGCTGCGGAGTAACCGAGAGCACTCACCATCTTACAGGCCATCGATTTAGTCATATATTTGACATTACCATCGTAAGTTTTGGTCAAACGAGAACTGAACTCGCTTGTGAGAGGCAGTGGGTGTGCGATCGCGAAGTTCAACCAGCCAAGGGGGTGATACACCAATGTAGCACGTTAGCGTCGCTTCGTACCGAGAAACACATCCCTCAACCGAACATTAATAGCTATGATAGCTATACAACATCACATATATCTTTCTCTTACACTAGTACAGTCGACAGCCTTGACGAAATTCAACGTTCGAAACTTGAAACTTGGAGTTAATTCGGAGTTGTCGGTGCGTAAATAGTTCAGAGCCCTTGTAGCACATAACTGCCGAGCTGGGACATACACCCGTCACCATCGAGCTCGACCCAACTGTTCACCAGGCTAGGTTCGAGCCACATCGACCTGTCAGCTATTTCTTTTCATTGCCATCTTACAGCTTACTCTCCCCACCCTCCCCAATCTTCCCCCTCCATCCTGTCAAAGTAGCACCTCCGTCAATCTCAATAGCATTTCCCGTCATATGCGCACTACCCGAGCTACTCAAGAATAGCACAAGTCCTCCAAAATCACTCGGCTTGCCTACCCTGCCCGTTGGTTGCCCTGATATCAAGGCGTCGGCGTACTTTTCGAGACCGAAGTTTGTCATTCGCGACGGGAAGACGCCAGGGCAGATGACGTTTACCATGATATTCTTGGGGGCGAGCTTGGAGGCTTGCATTTTGGTGAGGTGGATGCATGCTGCCTTTGCCGGGCCGTCTGTAGATTTAATCAGTTAATTCAACTCAAGCTTCTTTGTCATCACGTGGAAGAAGAAAGGGATATAAGTGTAGACTCACAAGAGAATGTGCCTTGCCCCGGCTTCGACAGTCCACCAGCCTCCCCCGTCGTGACATCAACTGTGGTGATACCAGCCATGCTCGCAATATTGATAACCCGACTAGGAGTATGCGGGGTCGCTCCTTTAAGTAGTAATGGTTCCATCCCAACGGTCATGTAGAAGATATTCTTCACATTCAAACTGTACAACTTATCCCACGCATGCTCAGGGTAGTCATAGTAGTCATCGCCCCAACTCGCGCCGGTATTATTCACCAGCACCGTCAATCGATCCGTCCGCTTCTTTACTTCGGCGCAGAGGCCGAGGCAGCCCGCTTTGTCCTTCAGGTCTGCAACGATGTACTCGCATTTTCCTGGCCCGAGTTTGTTCAAGCGGTCGGTCGTGGACTTGAGTTCCTTCTCTTTGCGCGAGGCGATGAAGACGCGTGCACCGTTTTGGACGAAAGCTTGCGCGGCCATCTCGCCGAGGCCAGTGGCTCCGCCAGTTACAAGAGCGACATGGTTGGAGAAGTCGAAGAGGGTGCTGACGCGCAGGTCGTCTTTCGAAGCGGCGTGTGTCATTGTGGAAGCTGGTCGATAGTCCACAATAGCTATTAATGTGCGTAGAGGAGACGGGATGATAGTAGGATTCGATTTGGGTGAGGGGTTATGTTTTAGGGAGGCTTTCCCGCTGTAGGTAAGTGTTGCAAAGGTGAGTATAGATGGATGAATGTGCGATAGTGCATGATCATAGCCAAAGTCATGACTCTAGTTGTCCGCAGAGCTGTCTGGAAAGAACCTCGGCATCTTTATGCGGGGTGTTAGCGTGGCCAAGGGTCTACGGGTACTTAGTAATGTGAACTTTGAGCCGCTACATATCAGAACCCAACAACTCAACTACTAGAGCAGTTCTCTCAAGTATTCTTGAAGGGATTCCCGAGGGCTAGCGGGTGTTAATATGAGAGAGAAAGCAACGCCCCACACTATATCGCTTTCGCGAAGTGAACAGGCGGCACAGATAAGCTTATAGGTTTCTAGATCCAACCGGCGTGATGACAAGAGTATGGTTGAACATGACGTGGATATGATAGAAATATGTGTGCAGTTGTTATGACTCTCCAGCGACCGCATGGTCTGTCGTCGCGGGCTCATATGGATCGAATGCATATGCGTGCTACGGTATGTATGAGAAATGCGGTAGCAGCATTGTTAGCCCCGTTGACTTCCATATAACGTGCACTTCTATCATATTAGTCCTAGTATCTCTCTTCCTTAACGCAATCTGACATAGCTTCCCGTTACCGGTCTAGTCTGCTACCGCAAATTCAATAGACCTGGTTGTTTTAGACCATTCTTTTTTGCCAAAGATTAGGTAGATGCAACGACTTAGGCGCGAGGACTTAATCACATACTAGGGTTAATGAGGGGGTCACAGGCCCGCTTAGCTAATATACTAATTAATTGTGTGCTTCGGACTAAGCTCTAGGTGCCTCGTCGACCATTTGGAAGACCACGTACGTAGTGGATATATTTGTGAAGGTAATGGTATGTTGATACTGCAACATGGTTGCTTGGACCTGCGTGGTTACACAGCTTAGTATATATTTACACTTAGGATGCTACGCTTCGTTCGATGTTGGCTCGGTAAATGCTGCAAGTTTTTCGAACATTTCGTCTCCTAGCACCGACTAGATACTTCCCTATCCTCGTGATATCGACGATAAGTTCCCCACACATCGAGACATCTATAATAGCATGTTACTTTTGTACCGCCTGCGGCCTGCGCAGCGGGTGTGCCTCCGTATTACTGTTCACCATTAGTCTTGTTCTACATATGGCGGTTTTCTCTCCTAACCCCCCTGACATAGGTACTTACAATACATATTCATCTAGGCTCACAAGCCCCGGTTCACTAAATATCAGATAAAAGTACTTCAACGTCTCCGCCACCCAGAAGCTCTCGCATTGGTCCAACTTTTTTGTCTCCTTCCCCTGTGGAAGTGTGACGTCAGCAATGGCCGAGTGCGCAATTTCGGTCATGGTGGCGTTGTTGATGGCTTCGAACATGCGCCAGGCGGTATCTTGTAGAGTAGAGTCACCTGTTATGCGGTAGAGGACGAAGATGGATTCAATGGCTTCAGGACTACACAAATGTTAGTCTGCAACCCCGTTAGTAAAGAAGGGGTGGGGTGAGAGATCTACCGTAGTAAGTATCGCGGGTCCCCAATCTTGGCGAACCCAGGTTGCAGACCATCTGCTTCGATGATATCGGGGACGTCCCATTGTAGCGTGTTGTAGTCAGCTGAGTATGCATCCTTGACCGCCGTGTGCCACTTCTTGATGTCCCACGCGCAATCCTCATCGCTGTAGCACGGAATCGTTTTGAACGTCTCCGGCATAATGCCCATGGGCATAGAATCGTACGCCCAAATGCAACCGTCGACAAGTTTGCGAGCGACGTCCAGCTCATCCGTACGATTGAAAACCTTTGCAGCAAGAGCGACCATACCGCCAGCAAAGCAAGTCAAATGTTGGCCGTCCGGTTCTATTTTGGCTGATCCAGCGGAACTGATTCGTGCGTCGCCAGATATGAGGATGTTCTGGTCCTGGGGGATTAATGGGCGGAAAAACAAGTGTTGTTTGGCAGCCTCAATGGCATTGTCGTAAAGATTCCGGTACTGTTCTGAGAGCCCACCAAGGAGCAGATACTGCTTGGGAAAGTATTCGTACAGCGAATCAGACATACCGCCCATGGTGAAGGTTTCGCCGACGTCAAACTCCTCACGGAGAGGACTAACAAGAACAGGAAACAGTCCAGGTATCTTGGTTCGCTGTTGATGTTTCTCCAGTAGGTCGGAGATCCTCTGCACGGCATCAAAATATTTCGGGTCTCCAGTGAGCTGCGAAAGACGGGTGAATTCAAGAGTCAATGACCCTAACTCAGCGACGAGCGCTTGTGGATCAGCGGCTTGGTGGCTTCCTAAGGCAGCACTGAGTTCTGTTAGTACATGCTGGTTTTACGGCGGACAAAACGTACGCTTCCCAGTCCCAACGTGTGATCGGCATTCGGTTTGTCGTATCAAAAGCTGCGTATAGCATATCTCCTAGCTCGGTGGCTTTGTGCAACAACACATGATGTTTTGCGTTACTCAAGTCGTATGTGCTCAAAAGGCCCCCAAGATATCTGATCGTCGTCTCAAACACGTTCAAACGAGTGACTCCCGCAGTCGTAAAATCAATCTTCTTGAGAGCTTTGAGAGCCTCCTCAAATTCTTCTTCTAATCCCATGATGATAAGTGTATCCAAGGCATCTACCAACGTAGCGCCGCGTTGCCCAAAGCCGTTCTTGAAGCCTCCTGTTACCGGAGTGACCTCGTCTTGTAGCCAGGCATATTGCTTATACCCTTTCCAGGTATGTAAGAATGCCTCCTTCACAGCAGCCTGTCTGTGTAGCCTCTCTGCCTTATTGTTCTCCGTCTCAATGCCGAACTCGTGTTGTAGTCGCGGTATTGAAATAGGTTTGCCCGTGGGTAACGAGATCATCGACGCGACAGGATGGCGTAGCGGAATGTCCTTCCATTTTAACGGATGCTCAATTCGACTGGATGATGTGGAGGAGGGCGATGGAAGCTCAATTCGGGCATTGAGCTGGCGGAATGCGAGGAAGAGAAACGTAGCGGATACGCAGAGCACAACGATGCGGCGGACGGGGGGTATCATAGCGGCAGAAATGAGCATCTGTGCGTAGGAAAATATCTGTAACGTCTAAAGAAATCTATATACTGTCTAAACGCGCAAAGTAAACGTGTCAATGAAGGGATGAGGATCGGTCTAACAAGGGCAGAATATGTGGAGAAGGACTGAAACGAGCGAAAGAGTGCAAGTAATGATTTGCCCCAATATTAAGACATAAATTCAAGTAACAAACAAGGAAACCAGAAGGGCGGATCGGAGTGAGATAATGGGTGTAAAGACGCGGATTGAGAGCGCAGCCTCAGATGATGCATGCCTAGGCTAAGGCTTCCGAGAGCCATGGGGAAAGCCGACGCGTGGTGCATGGTTAACGGAAAGCTAGCAGGGCCATCCCTGCGCCGATCGCAACCGTCCCATCATCCATCAGCATGAGTGCTACTCTCCACCATCAATTGAGCTTTGCTTCGCGGTGTCACGCCCATAACCCTGGTTAGGAAAATCACCCCCTTTAATAGATGTCCTCTACTTGAAAGACATCATCCACTGCTGGCGTTCAGTCGCAAGGCGCAGATACATGAGCCCAAAAGCGTCCCTAATTCTCTTTCAACATGAAGTATAGCGGGTAAGTACTTTTGCACTCCCCATACCCAGATTGCAAACCTCTTGGAAGCTACCTAGTACTAATCTTCCACCACAGGCTCTACTTCATCCCCAACCCCACCACCAACCTCGACACATCGCTAAACACCGTAAGCACGCTCGTCCAAAGCATAGAAACAAACTTCCAAAACGCTTCCCGCGAAGCACAATGGACACTCTCCTACCGAGTCTTCCGCGACACCACCCCGAGAGATCACACCGCGCCCAATGACGCGGACGGCAAGCCAAAGCCCTTCGCGCACACCTACCAACACATACTCCACCACTCGGTCTACGGCCAGAACCGCACATATCTCTACACGCAGCCGCCCGGGGACCAAGGCAAGGGTAAAGGCATAGTCGCATCGATACCCTCTCGCCAACAGGATGCGTATGCAACACTAGTGCGATATCAGCAGGCAGCGCTATGGACACCGCGGCATATTTTAAGCGTACAAGCTGGGACTGCGTATACGAGTGGCCTGTGTACCATTTACATTGGAGAACTGCGCGCGACGCGTGAAGGGCCACAGAGCGGCGGTGTATCCTCGCCCGCCGTTGTCGTGTGTATTAGCACGGGTGTTGGTGCCGCGGATACTGTTGAAGATAGCCAGGACTCGGGGTATCAGTCGGTGGAGAACGGTGCGGATGGGGATGGAGATGAAGGGCTGGATGTCGAGTATGCGCAGAGTGTCATTCGGGATTGTTGGAGTAAGATCACAGAGGGGCGGGATCTAGGGCGCTCGGAGATTAGAGAGGTCATGATGGCTCTGGAAGATGTGAATAGTGTCCAGGAAAGGGACGCCGCTGTAAGGATGTGGTGTGAGGTTTTGCGCATGAGAGGATGAGTCTTCTGCAGAGTAGTAAATTTAGCACGACATCTACAATGACTTGCGCTGATGTTGAAGAAGTACATATTGGCACTGTCCTGGGCGTCATATTGCAAATACGCTGACGGTCAATGACCCTATTTATTTAAAGTTGGATCTAGGTCTGTCTACAACCCACTCTGGAAACCAGTCACCTGGCAACACGCTTGTTGCACTTGAGGCCCCAAAAACGCGAGCAAGGCCTTCTACTACTTAGCCAGCGCTCAAAGTCCGACGCCGTTAGGCTGCGTCTTGATCTACTGAAGCCGTTTGAATAGAGCGCGGCCACATCAGGTGTATGGTATGACGATTAGCGAGAGAGGGGGACTTCAAATTATATGAAAAATGTTCAGTGTCAACAGCATGTTATTCTCTACATCTTCACGTGTCCTTGTCCGTCCACGCCGCGAATATAGCCATCACGTCCATTGAGCCATACAGTCCCTTCCTACCGTCCTCCCATAGTCGACACAGGTATCTAAAACTACAACAGGCAAATTTTTTCCACACAATTCAACTGACCAAAAGAAAGCGGGTAAAGGTCAAGTATTAGGGCAAAGGTAGTAGCGAAACAATCCAAAACAAGAAGGAGTTCAGACTACAACAACATATAGAGTATCCAAGAGATTTGTGTGAAATACGCCCAGAACCACGCCCTAGACCCAAGTAAATGCAAAAAAGAAACGAATGAAATGGAGAACGAAGGTAGAGGCCGACAACTAAATGTGGTAAGTGGGGAAGTATCGCACAGAGAAAGGGATCCAGAACATTTGACGCGCGCAATATTGTTTACTGAGCACCAACCTCCTCCTCGGCCCAACCAGGGAGCCCGCCGTCACCCTGAATGGCAAGGCCATAACCGCCATTGCCGCTACCGAAACCACCAATGCCAGAGCTCAGGCTGCCGAACGAACTTTGTTGCGGTGCTTGAGTCTGCTGGATAGAATTGAACGGACCCTGTGTGAAAGCCGGGAGGCTGACAGCGCGGGAGTGCTGCGCACGAGCGTTCAAGTTTGAAGGAGCAAGGAGGCCGCCGACAGTAGTCGCACCGGAGCCATTGCCGCTGGAAGACCCGTTGATGAGGCTGAAGCTCGAGGTACTGTTATGCGACGTATGCGAGTGGTGCGGTTGTGGAGTGGGGTTCAGATCAGCACCGTAAAAAGCAGCTTGCGAGGACTGGAAAGACTGTTGTTGCTGCTGTTGGCTCTGCTGTTGTTGCTGTTGCATACCCGCCTCGACCTGTTGCTGCTGCTGTTGCTGTTGAGCTTGGAGATATAGCATCAACGGGTTGTTGTTTCCACTGTTGAGAATGTTGGTTGGGGCAGGTGCTTGTACAGGAGGAAATTGCCCATTGTTGCTAGCACCCGAGCCAGGAGCACCGGATCCTGTCGGTGAGACGGATTGTCCGGCACGGTTGGGATGCAGTCCATTGATGGGCGAGGGTGAGTGCACTCCATCGCTACCATTCTGCTGAGCTTGAGCTTGCTGGGAGTTCATCTGACGGGGAGGGTTGCCACAACGATCCTTGCCAAAGTTGACCTTGAATCTCTTGTACTCGTCACGGCTACGGATAGCTTCGATAGCCTTGATAGCATTGGCAATGTTGGTGAAGTTGACGAATGCGCAGCTCTTCTCACGCAGCGTGTTGACCAACTCAATCTCGCCATACTCTGAGAAATCCTGCCTCAGACGGTCCTCGGTCCATGACTCGTCCAAGTTACCGATGTACACGTTTCGGGAAGCTCCACCGCTCACAGCCAGAGCGATAGCAGGAGGGAGGGCACCGGAGTGCTTGCCCCAGCCAATCTTCAAGCGGCGGTTGTGGATCATCAAACCTTGGAGGTTGCTGAGGGCATAGAAGGATGCAGCAGAGGTAGGATCGATGAAGGTAACGAAGCAGATATGCTTATCAGGAATGTATCTGATGTGGTGAAGAAGCCCACCACGAACAACATTGCAAATCTCCTCGATGGTAGTCTCGGGGTGAATGTTTCCGAGGTAAACAGTTCGGTTGCCAAGGTTATTCACACCTCCAGCTGAGGTTGCGACGGCCGCAGCAGCAACGGACTGCTGGGCAAGGGCATTGGAAATCATGTCCCGGTCAGCACCGTTCAAGACGTGGGCGTATCCGGGCGCAATGCCGAGGTACTGCGCAGCATTCTGCTGCTGAGTCTTGGAGACGTATGCGCATCGATCCTTGCCGTAGTAAACACGCCTGGGAGCCTGCCACTTGGGTTCCTGAGGAAGCTGGGCAACAGCTTTGATGGCATTGCCAATGGACAAGAAATGTACGAAGCCGATAGCCTTTTCCCGAACAATCTTGACAGTATCAATGGGACCAAACTTGCTGAGATCCTCGCGAAGCTCATCCTCGCCAACGTCTTCAGGCAGGTTGCCAAGATAGACGTTACGGGAAGCCCCAGACTGCTGCACCGCCAGGGCAACCGACGTGGGAACCTGCGATGGCTTTCCCCAACCAATCTTAATGTCCTGACCCCGGATCGCCAACTTTTTCAAGATTGCGTCGGAGTGGAAATGGGTGGCCGAGCTGCTGTCCAAAAAGGAGATGAAAGCGCAGTTCTTGTCAGGGAGCAGCCTGACTGACTCAATCTGGCCACTTCTTACGTGGCCGAGAATCTCCTCCGCGGAGGTCTCAGGGGGTATATTGCCCAGGTACACGGTCCTGCTCGTTCCAGAAACTAGACCCGGTGCAATAGGCATCGAGGATCCAAGCCCACCCATGCCCTGCGCGCCGTAACCAGGGAACCCTCCCGTGGGCGATTGTGGTCCACCAAAGAAACCAGGACCGTTCATGCTCGTAGGAGAAACGAGGCTCTGATATAGCTGGGGAGAGAGAGGCTGTTGCAAGGGGCTGCCAATGTGGCCTTGCTGATGGTTTTGTTGCTGCGATTGGTTTTGACCCGCAAAGCTCGCAAAGTTCTGGAACTGTGGGGAAGTAAATGCCGAAGGTGAACCTGGTTGGAAGGGGCTCCCGAGAAGCAGCTGCGAAGGCAGAAGAGGAGTGAAGTTCATGTCGAACCCGGTTCCTGGCGTCTGCAAGTCGGCACCGTTCTGGTTGCCCGGATTGAGCCTGCCAGTATTGATGGACATGTTGTTGGACCTCTCAGGGTGCCTGTCGGCGTAGCCTGGTTGATTGGTCGCGAAAGCACCATGGGAGAAGCCATGGTGACCTCCGTTTATCTGGCGCTGAAAGCTCGTCTGCAGACGGGGCCCGCTGGGGGCGTTTGGGGCGCCGTCGTGTTGTTGTTGCTGCTGCTGCATGCCGAGTAGATGCGGGGGCAGGCTAAAGCTGTCCCGCGGGTTTTGAGATAGAACCGCCGTGGTGACGTTGTATTACTGCGTCCAGGACTCGGAGGACCGGACGGCGAAATATGTAGGGTTGAAGGCGAAGATGCAACCGGTTGCAGGGGGTCGCGAGCAATGCGAAGGTATGCTACTGTATTAAAATGGGTAGAGCAATCTATGCCGTCTTAGCATCTTCACGTTACGGGCCCCTTTGCACGAGCAGAGGGGAGACTTACATGCAACAGCACAATGGCAAGGTAGCACTCAAGACGGCGTGGGCGGTGCCGAAGGGAAGGTCAAAGAAGCCCGACTGTTGGGTGGCTTGCAGATACAGAGTCAAGACAGAGGCTCGCAGCAACGCAGGAAGCTCGAAGTCGTAGATGCAACAAGTTGAGCTACAAGACTATGGGTACAGGTAGCTGCCACGGGCTCTATGAATGGTCCAAGAGGGCGCGATTAGATGCGGCGGGCTCGAGTGTGCAGAAGAACAAGCTTGGGGTGGCTTGTTTGGAGGATGCGGACACTTAAAGAGCGAACAATAAGAATGAAAGGGGCCAGAGACAAGCTTTCTCTAGGGCCTCTGTGCAGGGAGAAAGTTAGGTAATGAGCGAACGGATCGAACAGGAGGATGGCAAGCGTGATGTCGATGTGGGAGAGGAGAGAGGTTGTGAGAAATGCTAGCAGCAGGGCAAGACAGGAGGCAGGCGCAAATGAAGCAGCCGAAAGGGGACTGGCGCGCCTGCTTATTTTAAACGTGCATGCCTCACCTGAATCGCACAGAGCTTCCAATCCCTTCACCCACCTGCAGCCGTCTGCAACGATTTACGCCTATATGCACTGTGGCGCCGCATTACGTGCAGCAACAGGTTCTGGTGCCTGACGGACGCTGCTGGTGGTGCTGGTGGTGCTGATGCTGGTGTTGGTACTGGTACTGGTGTTGGTGCGGGCGGGTAATGGCAGCAAGCAGCGCAGACAGTCCGGACTTCGTCCCTGACTAGTAGTAGATAGATAGTCCCGCATGCTCGTCTTCTTTGGAGCAAGCTGCAAGCACCATGCGTCCTTTTTTGCCTTGTAGTTTTCTGCTTATGATTAGGCGAACTCTCGACGACGGGGTCCAGCTGCGGCTCCGGTTCCATGTGCGTAAGGATTGTTTTGGCCTACTAGCGAATAGATCCCATCCCTAGTAGGGCGTAGGACGTAGGACGCGTTGTTTCAAAGACGGCAGAGGAACGCTCTCACGTGTCGGCCGTCCCCCCTCTCTTCCCAGTCTTCCCAGCAGCTCCACTGCGCTTCGATTGGACAAGCCTCACCGCCCCCAGCGGACATGGACATGGACTTGAGCGCAGTGTCATCGTTGTATTAGTCTAGTGTGCGCAGCGCTAGAAAGCCACCGTTCCATCTGCGTTGCTTCTTCTGTCGTTCGACGCGTTCCGTCTGCATAGGCCGACTCGCTTAAGCACGTGATCTCCAACTTCCAGCGTTGCTGCCAATGCACGCTTTCGACCGATTGTGCATCCACCCGCCCTCAGTGTCCCCATGTCAGAACTGTATCCATCAATCGCCCAGTGTGCCATTGTGGCCACGGCATTGAAGGTGCTGCTCTTCCCGGCCTAGTATGTCTGGCACGAAATCATGTACATTTGACATCGTCCTGCATGCTGATACTTCACCCAGCAAGTCCACGGATTTCGAGGTTCACCGCAACTGGCTAGCTCTGACCCATTCCCTACCCATCAAAGAGTGGTACTACGAAGTGAGCCCGCCTTTGTTAACTGGCCAAATGCTGAAATCCCAGTTAACGCAATGCGCAGAAAACGTCGGAATGGACACTGGACTATCCCCCCTTCTTCGCATACTTTGAGTGGCTCCTTTCCCAAGCCGCAGCTCATGTCGACCCTGGCCTACTGAATGTAAAGGACCTGGGCTACGACAGCTGGCAAACAATCTACTTTCAACGAGCCACTGTCATCCTCACCGAGCTAGTCTTGGTCTATGCCTTGCACCTGTAACTGCAGTCTACATCTTGAAATGGGCTCGGACTGACCGTGCTACAGCTATGTGAAGACTTCAAAGTCCAAGACGACTGCACATGCCGCCGCCCTTTCCATCTTGCTCTCACCAGGCTTGTTCATCATTGACCATATCCATTTCCAGTACAATGGCTTCCTGTACGGCATCCTCGTACTATCAATGGTCCTTGCCCGCAACAAGTCGACCCTACTTTTGTCTGGTGTCCTCTTTGCTGCCTTGCTCTGCCTCAAGCACATCTACCTGTACCTGGCGCCCGCCTACTTCGTTTACCTGCTCCGTGCATACTGCTTAGGACATCAAACAAGCTTCCCCTACTTCAACATTCGCTTCTTCAACTGCGTCAAGTTGGGTCTTGGCATCGTCACCGTGTTTGCTGGCGCGTTTGGACCTTTCGCTCTGTGGGGTCAGCTTGAGCAAGTCTTCCGTCGTCTGTTCCCCTTTTCCCGGGGCCTTTGTCATGCTTACTGGGCGCCGAATGTCTGGGCTCTGTATTCCTTCTTGGATCGGGTATTGATCTACTGTAAGCTTTCCGCCCCCCTTGTTGATATCTTTCCTAAATAGTGAAGTGGCACCACGACTTGGACTGCATGTGGATCGCGAGGCTGTGAACAGCGTCACTCGAGGCCTCGTTGGAGATACATCTTTTGCTGTGCTTCCCGACGTTGTTCCACTAGCATGCTTCCTCCTTACCTTGGGTGCACAAATAGTAAGTATACGCATCAAACATTGTCGTTACCAACGTCACTAAGTTCATCCAGCCCGTCCTCCTCCGACTCCTCTACAAGCCAACGTGGGAAACCTTCGTTGGTGCAGTCACCCTTTGCGGCTACGCTTCCTTCCTGTTCGGCTGGCACGTTCATGAGAAGGCCATTCTGCTCGTCATCATTCCCTTCAGCTTGATTGCGCTTCATGACCGCCGATACTTTGGCGCCTTCCGACCTCTAGCCGTAGCTGGTCACGTGTCTCTCTTCCCGCTCCTATTCACAGCAGCCGAATTCCCCATCAAGACAGTGTACACTATTTTCTGGCTCGTACTGTTCCTGCTGGTCTTCGACAGGCTCGCTCCAGCGTAAGTTGGCTACCACGCTCAACGAACTCTGACTAACTCAATATAGTTCACCTCAACAACGCATCTTTTTACTTGATCGCTTCTCCATCCTATACATTGCTCTCTCGATACCGTTGATTGCCTACTGCTCGCTTTTTCATAGCGTTTTCTTCGGCTCTCGTTATGAGTTTCTTCCGCTCATGTTCACGAGTTCGTACTCGGCTATTGGGGTGGTTGGTAGCTGGGTCGGGTTCCTGCTAGTTTACTTCGACTCGTAGATCCTAAGAGCATTGCGTAAATTTGACGAGCATTGTGGTTAATGTTCTCTGAGTTCCTATAGTCCATTGTTCTTCATCAAAGTTTGCGTGAGGTTTCCCTAGGCCATTGCATTCCATGTCATCTCATGTATATTCGCATGAAACCAGCGGGCCCGGTATCGAACGTGGCAATATGCAAGGAACCGAGGAATCTGGATCGACTCTGTTGAGGCCGGACGCTTTGTTAGGCATGTGTTTCCTGTGGTCGTGCTGTAGCATGAGGACAAATATGATGGTGTAGAGGTAGGAGAATCAGGACTATAAATCCCGAGTATTTCTGATACCGCAAAGATATGTGCACCATGATGGAATTTCTATATTTGAAGGTTTACTTCTCATGCGCAGCTCGATGCGGAGTCCTGAAAGGCGTTGTGTTCAGCCAAGTGGGTCAGGCTGTCGAAGGGTCCGCTCGGGGAGACTTGAGGCATGAACACCCTCCCCGTCGACCATCATCTCATCTTGATAATGCACAACATTAATTAGCCGAGATTGAAAGCGATGCACCAGTGTCGCAGCCTGATAGAACCAGTTCTGACGATCAAAACGAGTCCAAATACGCCGATATTGTAATGGTAGCGGCGTGCACAGCATTGAGGTATGAGGAGGAGGGTTGGGGCGTTCTTACCGAATAGAGCATGCTAGCGTGCCAAGTCATGACCGGCAGGCCTACACTACCTTCCGCTCGCTTTTCTTCCCATTGACTCTCTTCTCGTCATTTGTCTGCCTCCTACCGCCCACCTCCTCAACCACCGCGTCCCCAAACCCGACGATACCAGCCATAACTCGCCCAAACGCGCTTTCGGAACTGATAGACGCGTCTCGGAACGCTGTTCGGACCTCCGACGACTGCGACAACTTTTCCCAAGACCCCCTCTGGCACGCGGAGAGCTCTTGTTTGCCTCAACCGCCCACCGGAGGGGTCATTGCCCATACACACCACCGTGAATCTCCTTAGAGTAGAAGCATATAGCGCGAGAACGGCAACGCGACGCTTCCGAAAGTTTGCGACGCGGTAGCAGCTCAGGATATTGGCAAACCTCATACCAGCTTTGGTTCAGGGCAACATGGTACATCATGGGTCGCGCAGTATACAGGAACGTTCACTGAGCAGCATATAGGTGCTCTTCAAGCGCAAACCCGTCAAACTAGAACCTCTCCCAAAGTTCCTCGACGACAACACTGAGGTATGCTATTACCATTTTCAAGGCCTGGAAGACATAGGCTAAGCATGCTGGATAGGTATGGGTCATCGAAGAGACCGGAGAGGTCTTCATCGACTACGAGAAATATCTCAACCGGTACGAAGACTCCATCAAGTGACGTCAGACGAGTGAACATGGCTAATGCATTATAGTTATGACTTTTACCAACAAGCAGGTGCTCCTTATTATATGCTCCCCAATTCAGATTGTCTAACTCACAGTAGAAAACCTTCACATGCGAGTCGACCGGACACTCCAACTACACCTTCTTTGAGGCTAAGGAGAGCGAGGTAGGCGCCACATCAATAATGGTCAAAGGTAGTCAAGAGGTAACAGCCGTACAGACGGAGGCTTCAAAAGAGATCAACAGCATCTTTCCCGATGGCTTACGATCCCCTGTGCTCCACTTTGTTCAGTTCCGAACAACGCCACGCATGGACGACCTTGGTAAGTTGATGTAACTGCTTATCCTCAGGTCACTGCTAATACTTTTTTAGTAAATGAGGTATTTGATGTATGTTCAGATTCTCCGACACTGCTAGAGCAAACCATATTGACGAGCATACAGCACTTCAAAGAACAGTTCATGGTTGGCGATTCCGTCTCCATCGAAGGCGACAATTCGCGGCGCTACGGGACAATCACCGAAATGACTGACAACAGTCGACTACATAGCATGTTCACTGGCCAGGCAATGGATGATTCGGTCCGTTCCTACACCTACGTTATCACCATGGAGGACAATGGCGAATCGATCACAAAATACAAAGCCTCGGAGTTTCAGCGGGACAGAAAAGTTTACTCAAAACTCATTCTCAAGCAGTTCCTCAGAAATGCTGTGAAGAGAGAACCATGGCTTGGTGCACCATGGATGGTCAAGGATAGCTTGGCGAAACGTTTCAATATTCCAACCAAAATCCCCGATAACAAGACCAGAGATGCCATCCTGGCTCAAAAGAAGGCATCAAATGCAAGCCTCTCGAATGGCGCGAGCTCATCTGTCCAGCAGCCATACCCACAGCATGCTCCAAACGGTCACGGACCCCATGTCAATGGGCATAGGCCGCCGCTACCGGCACCCGGACAAGGCCCGCCTACTTTTGTCAACTTCTCGGCCAACCCTCCTCAATATGCTCATCAACATGTGCCACCCCATTTTTCAACAATCAACGGCCCCCCTCGTCCGTATCTCGTCAATGCGCCCCCAATGCCTTACAATAGTGGACCACCGCCTCAGCTTCCGTATACATATCCGCCTCAAATGGGGGTCCCGTTTCCACCGCATCTCGCTCATCTAGTTCAACAAATGCCCCCACCTGGCTCCGGTCCACCTATGAGCTTTCCCTTTCAGACCAGCTTCCCACATCACCAAGGTCCCCGACTATCGCATGTTCCACAACCGCAACAGGCACCCCCGCTGGCGCGATCTTTCGAAACAGTCAAGTTCCCTTGCGAGGATTTGGAAATAAAGCAACCCCGTTTGGTTACTACTCGGCCAACTTTGAAGTTCTTTTCCGATGATGTCCCTGAGGGGGTCGAGGAGCCAGCAGAAGCGAAGAAAACGGGTATACTGATGAAGAGCCTCGGGCCTTTGCTGTGCGCCTGGGAAACTCTCAATGTTCACGACACCATCTACATGCTCGATTCGTTCACATTCGACGACTTCGTTGACGCCATGCGATTTACTTCCGAGGAGACTGATTGCGAGTTGTTTCTGGAGATACATTGTTCTGTGTTGAAGCAGATTGTCAACGACTCCGGAAAAATCCAGGCACCTCTACCCAGGATGGACGAGGCTGACGATTCCGACGAGGAAGACTCTAGCAAAGAGTCCACTCCAACCCCTGAACCAGAGCCGCCAGTTCGCACTACACGCAGCAGCTTGAGAAGGTCCGGGGCGCAGCAAATCGTTAAGCAGCGCACCCCTACGCCTGAACCTCCTAAAGAGATTCATAGAGCTGCAGAGTTCGTTGCCGACTTCAATTGGATCGAACAATGCAAGATCCGAAATTTCCAACAAGGAGGGTGGCAGTCAATAGTCGTTGCGCTTCTGTACCGCTTGTCCTTCGACCCTGTTCAGAAGGATGCATGCGATGAGGTCCTAGCCCAACTCGTTCCTCCCGAGGAGGAGCCCACTGTGGAGAGCATCGCCATCAACTACATCAATCTCGACGTGAATCTGCGCATCTCAGCGCTCGATATTATTCTCAGGTTAACTGTTGTTACTGAAGCATTCCGCGACCAGCTTATTGCCGCGGCTCAAGAGATGACTCGCTTGCGCAAGGAGAAGATCGAGCACCAGAGGAAGCGCAAAGAATTGTAAGTTTGCGAGAAATGTCCGCTGTCTGCTCAAACACTAACCCCAGACTAGGGCCGATGAGCTCTTCAAGTTAGATCTCGAACGGAAGATTCATCTACCTGCAAACACTCCAGCGTCACCGACCGGCACCAAAGAAAATGAAGATATGGACCTCTCGATGACAAGCATCACCGACGTCAAGGAAGCTGCTGATGCAGAAGGGAATGACTCCGAGACAGCAGCCAACCGCAAAACCCGTCATACAAATAAGAATAAACGCAAGGCAGCTGCTGACGAAGCTAGGAAGGAGAAGGCAAAGAAGGCAAAGGCAGCAGCGGAGCAGACAAAAAAGCAGAAGGAGTGGGAAAAGCTCCTTGATGCTATCGAGAAGAAGAAGGAGGAACTCAAGAACTGCGAGGCCAACATTAACGAGCTCGACGACGACCTTCGTGAAACCCTTGTGCATCGTAGTAAGGTGCTCGGGAAGGATCGCTTCCTCAACAAGTATTACTGGTTTGAGCACAATGGCATGCCATTTGGAGGTGTTCCGAATAGCTCTACGGCGCAGTACGGCTACGCCAATGGCCGCATATGGGTGCAAGGTCCCGACGAGTATGAATTCCAGCCGAATCTAGAGGAGCCTGCTCTGTCACAGGATATGCAGCGTTTCGGATTTACGGTCCCACAGCGTAAAGAGAAAGAGGAGGGCTCGACGCATCTTTCCAAGTCTACCGAGTGGGCATACTACGACGACCCTGAGGACATCGACAAATTGTTGTTGTGGCTGGACGAGCGTGGCCTGCGAGAGCGGGTACTTCGTAAGGAGCTGCAGTCATTCCGAGACCGGATTGCCGAGTATATGGATAAGATGAAAAAACATCTCGATGAAGCGAACAGGACGAAGGATGAGGATGAGGATACCACAACTCGTGTGTCAACTCGCAACAAGACGTACATCGACAAGGATACTACACAGAATCGCTGCCTCCGCTGGACTAACAGCATCATGCGAGACGAGTATAAACACATTCACTTCGACGAGTACAAGCCACCGCGGAAGGCGAAGGCTGTCAAGGCGACGAAGGGCAAAGGCAGGCGCTAACGCGGCCTGTGCGGGTCACAAGCGCCCGCAAGAGGCTAAGAAGAGGGATTTCTTTCAGCTTGCTAGTCCCACCGAGGGACAGACCGCCAAGTATAGACAACAAATAGCTCTCTGAGCTGATGAACAGGGTCAATTGCTGGCCTTGTTATGATTTACGAGATGTGTTTAGGCAGTTGTACGGAGTTTTGATACCACGAGCAAGGGCTGCTCGCCGCATGTACATTGTGCCATGCATTTCCTGGAGTTTGGAACAGGTTTTGGGGGACGCATTGCTCATTACTATGCCGCCACCAGAAACGGCACGCAACCTTACACTAGGACTTTTGGGTCTTCACCACTAGGCGGCGTTGTAGCGATAGCCCTCTTTTCCGGAATAGACTATTCAAGCGTATTACTATAACTAAGCAGGAATCTGCTCGCGTCTAACAAATCGTTCATCGCCATCCCAAAGGCTCACGAGAAGTGACCGGTTTCCTACCCACGGAGTCCTCGCATGTTGCACCGTGAAGTTATTAATCAAAGCCACGTCGCCTTCCTGCCACGGAACCAGGAATCCTATCTCGTCCGAGATCTCTAGCAGCCTCTCCAAATACTCCGTTGGGATGGGTGAACCGTCCCCGTACGTTGTCGGTAGGTGGTATTTTCCGTCGTCTCCCTTGTGTGGGGCTTCGAGCGCATGGTTGTCCCTCCCGCGGCCATACACGCCAGCAAGTCCATTGAAGAAGGTTGGTTTAGGTTTGCCGGTTGAGCCAATATATCTGATAGCCGGCAAGCGCTGCAGGACAAGCAGAGAGCCATTTGGTTGCCACTCACCATCTGCTTCGAGTTGGTCTTTCAAAACAGCTTCGACCTTGGCTCTTTGCACCTCCAACGTGTCGTCATCTTTGATGTCCCATCCGTACGAATCTCTCCAGTTCCAACCAATATGCTCCGCCTCAGGGTCCTCCTTGGCGGGGAAGTACTGTCGACCAATAATCCCCCTTTCCTCAAGATGCCTCACGAATTCAGGTAGATCCTCCTTCAATCTATCGTACAGCTCCAGAGAAGAAAGAAGCGGAGTTTGTCCGCCGGATTCTGGCACGATCTGCGAGTAGAAGAAGAGAATTCCAGGGAAATGTGCGCTACGACCGTACTCGGAGTGGTAGTAGAACTTTACGTCTGGAGGCTCTTCGTTTGCTGTCTTGATGTCGGTTGTCACTGTCGTCCGCTTTCCGGCAAGACCAACTTCGCGGTGCGGGTTCTTGAATTTGAACGCGCGCACGAACTTTTGGAAGTCGGTTGCGTTTGTGAGGGGGAAGCCGCGGAAGAGAATCGTCCCATCTACATTTGTGAGTTACTATCGTGCAAGCTTTTTAAGGTGAAGAGCTTCTTACGATTCGTGAGCAAGTCTTTGAATGCGCCTGCTTGCGACAACTCTTCAATTTTTTGAATAGCCGTGTCGATGTCGACAGTATCCTTGCTCTTCAGCTCTAGGCCGAGCGGGAATTTCTCGCCATGCACGATTCGGCTGTTTGGTATATCAAATGCAGTCACGCTGAGTTGACTACTGGAAGGTCGCCCAGCACCTGCCCCAACGCCTTGAGGGGCTGTGACTGTGGATACTGTGGCCATGATTGCGGTTGGTCTTGCTTTGCTACCTAATTTTAATAAAGCCACCGACCAGCTTTCATATAGGATCAAACTTCCAGACCCGACATCGCGCCGCTATATCCGGGATCGATAGACGGTATCAAGGCGTAACATTATCCTATCTCATCGCGAATTTAAAGGCCCGATGTTGCAATCACCTAGACGCTTGCAATGCTATCTCGATCGGCTTTAAAATGGCTTTTTATCAGCAGCGTGAACTAATCAGGACTCAGAGGATTACAAACGTTGGGGGCCTTTGAATGATGAATATCGCAAGGGTGATGTTGCAATAAGCGAACTAGATGACGACGGAGTTAGCGCCAGCACTTTCGGATGCACACCATACAGCTGAATCATGCGGAGCATTTGATCACAGCAGAATGACGGGAAAGATCGGGGATTTGTTGATTCTATAATTGGGTTGAGTCATGTAGGGCAGGAGGAAAGCGCAATTCGGTTCAGCGTTCCGGGCGCCCTAAATGGGAAGTCTTCTATAAAAACGGCCAAGAGCTAGACTCGACCACTTGGACGCTCCCAGGCCCACGGTATCGGATTCAGGCGATATTAACATGGCTTCTAAGACAGCGCCGCTTGAAGAAAACGTAGGAAGGAAAGATCTTGATCATACCGTACCAGCGGGCGTTGTGAACGGCGTCGATGTCTCGGCGGAAAAGCAGTCATGGAGGAGCTATCTGTGGGATTCGTGGGACAAGTCCCCAGAGGTGAGCTTGCATCAATCGTTTGGATATCGACGGATCACTGAACAGGCTTGTGCAGGAACGAAGATTGATCCTCAAGGTAAAGCCATCCATCCCCTATTCTCACTATCTCCGATTCCCGACTAATCCTAACCCCAGCTTGACCTGACATTGATGACATTTGGCTGTCTCGGAACCTTTATCAAATACATCGACCGCTCCAACATCAACTCCGCCTTCGTCTCGGGCATGAAAGAAGATCTCTCCCTCTACGGCAACGAACTCAACTACGCAAACACCGCCTTCAGCATCGCGAACATCATCGGTCTCTGGCCCTGCAACCTACTGCTCACCAAATCGAACCCCAAGTGGTTTATCCCGTTCCTAGAGATAGGGTGGACGATATGCACCTTTGCGCAGGCAGGCATGAAGACGCCGATGCAGATGTACGTGCTGCGGACGCTTGTAGGGCTGTTTGAAACAGGGCATTACTCGGCTGTTGTTTACCTTTGCGGAGGCTGGTATCAGAAGTCGGAGCTGGCTAGGAGACTTGCTATTATCAATGCTGCGACCGCGATTGGGCCCATGTTCAGCTCTTACTTGCAAGCTGCTGCTTACAATGGGTTGAGCGGCGTGCATGGAATGGCGGGTTGGCAATGGTTGTGAGTGAGCTCCTGGACGGACTTCGCTATATTGCGTAGAAAGCACCCTCTCTATCATCTCTTCCACTTTATAAGGCTGCGCTAATTCTGGGTCCTTCGTTAAGGTTCATCATCGACGGAGTCATCTCTATTGGTGTCATCATCCCGCAGTGCTTTCTATACCCAGACGTTCCCGCGCGTCAGAAGCCCGACTTCGTATTCTCTGAGCGGGTACAGTCATCATGTCACTTCTTCCATATAATTGCTAATCAGCACATAGGAGATCGAGCTGGCCCGGGACAGGAATCCCCGTGAAGGGCGTGTCAAGCAAGGGAAATTCACCAAGAAGCAACTCAAGCGCTGGCTCCTCACTCCCGATATCTGGCTCCTCTGGGTAATATCAATCTGCAACTCTATTGGCAACCAGCCTTCAAACTCGATGGCCTTTTGGCTGAAGGCTTGGAACAAGATCCAACCACACTCCTACACAGTCGCGCAAATCAACAACTACACGACGCCCATACAAGCCGTTACCATTGTCGTCACGTTGATCATGGCCTGGTCGAGCGATACGTGGCTCAAAGGCCGGCGCTGGCCTATGCTCGTTCTGGGCGGCACAATCAACGGGATCGTGTGTATCTTGCTGGCAGCCACGCCTGTGTTTCCGCACAACCGCGCTTTCAGATGGTTTTTGTACTATCAGACGGGGTGGGCGCAGGCTAGTAATAGTATGTTCTGGGCGTGGACTCAGGATACGCTCGCTGGTGATCCGGGGACGAGGGCTTGGGCCTCTGCGGGACTGAACGTTTGGGCGTGGACTTTCATTGCTACTGTGTAAGTTGATTGTAGTCGTTATATGACTTCCTGCTAACTGGTGCGTGTACAGGCCTCTCGGGGTGTTCAAAACTACTGACCAACCAGCTGTTGTGGCTGGAAACTGGACTGCAGCGGGTTTCTGCTTTTTGCTTGCTTTTACGGCGGTTGCTTTGGCGTATCTACAACATTCAAGAGCGAAGAATCAAGGGGATTCAACGTATGAGAACGAGGAACTTGAAAGCAGTTCGGATCGTATAGGGTCTAAGGATGGTGTTCCTATTCCGAGTGTGGACGCTACGAAGAGTTCTGGCACTTTTATTACGACTGAGGCTCGCGCTTAGACAGATACATGATCAAAGAGGAGAGGGTTTGACAGGGTAGGGTTTGGAGGATTACAAGGACGGCAACTAGAAGAGCGTAGATACCATATTTGACCCACAAGCATGACACGCAATATCACGCCATATCCAGTAGTTCAACTCTAGTCAGCTATAGTGTGAAAACGGTTATCGTGTTCCACGTCCGAAGTCGGGGCAAAATTATATATATGTGACATGCCGTCCATCAATCCGTCTTCCACCTCTACTCAATACTCACATCACATCCTACGATATGCCAGAACTCGAATATCGTTTCCTCGGTCGCACCGGACTGAAAGTTTCCGTTATTTCTCTTGGAAGCTGGATTACGTATGGAGGTCACGTCGCCGATGGTACGTAAGCTACTTTGCAGCAATGTTTTATCCAGGCGCCATACTATCTTGCCTTATTGCTTCACGTTATTCGCCAAGGGAATTACTGACTCAGTATTTTGCAGAGAGCGCATTTGAGTCGATGAAAGTCGCTTATGATGCTGGCGTAAACTTCTTTGATACGGCGGAAAACTACTCTGCCGGCCAGGCAGAAATCGTACTCGGGAAAGCGATTAAGCATTTTGGTTGGAAGCAGAATGACCTCGTCATTTCGACCAAGGTACGTCACCGTTTCTATTCAACGCCCTACTTACCTCAAGATTCTTCAAGACTCTTTAGGAAGTCCATGTTTGGCTGTCCCAACCGGTGTGGACATGTGACATCTAGTCTACTTATACAGATACTAATCATACATTCGAGTAGATATACTTCGGCCAAAACAACTCGGCTAATCCCTCGCGTCCTCTCAACAACAAAGGCCTCTCTAGGAAACACATCATTGAAGGCCTCGATGCATCGCTCGCCCGTCTCCAACTACCTTACGTCGACGTAGTCTACGCTCACCGACCGGACCGGGACACACCCATCGAAGAGACTGTTCGAGCCTTCAATCACGTCATCTCCACGGGCAAGGCCTTCTACTGGGGCACCTCAGAGTGGAGCGCAGCTGAGATAGCAGATGCATGGCGCGCTGCAGATTCCCTCGGCCTCATCGGTCCCGCAGTCGAGCAGCCACAGTACAACCTACTTGTTCGGGAGAGGGTTGAGAGCGAATTCCGCTGGCTGTATGAGAAATATGGGACGGGACTAACGATCTGGAGTCCTTTGAAGCAAGGCATCCTGACAGGAAAGTACAACGGAGTGGACAAGCCGCCAGCGGACTCAAGGCTGGCGAACGCCACTGACCCGTTCTCGGTGCAGTATAGCAAGACGTTTGGCGATGAAACGTGGAAGGCAGAGCTGGCCCAGGTGGAGAAGTTGAGGCCCATTTCGGAGGAGTTGGGGGTTAGTCTTGCGGCGCTGGCGATTGCGTGGACGGTCAAGAATAAAAATGTTTCGAGCGTTATTATTGGGGCGAGTAGGCCGGAGCAGGTTACGGAGAACATTCAGGCGCTGGATGTGGTGGAGAAACTGACGCCTGAAATCTTGGAGAAGATCGATAGTGCTTTAGGCAACAAGCCAGTGGAGCAGTTTAGGAGATTGTAAAGAAGTATGAAAGGCTTTTTACCTATCCGTATGCTCGAAAATGCGTCGGTCGCTAGATGCCATGCTCTCATGGTAGGCATTAGGGTACTGGTAGTGTCTACATTTGAAATGAGAGGATCGACCGTGTACCTTTAGTCGATTGGGACATTTTCAGAAGAATATTTGCCTCTTGCATCTATGCTTCTATGGTGACTTTTCCAACCCATGCAAAACGCGTCGACTTGGTAAAGGTTATGAGGTGTAGTAAATGCTGGTGACGTATAAGCCGTTTCCGGTTAGTCAGGATGGGCTTGGCAGCTTCAGGCGGAGGCCTGCCATCAATGAGTCCACCACAACCCCTCCATATCTCATCAGCGGGGGCGTGGACGACATCTGCAATACTACCGAACTACTCTAAAAACCCTATATATCCTCACAAAGTACCACCGACGCCCCCCGCAAGCGTCATCACGCCTCGATCATGGCCGCAAATGGGGCCCGTAAAGGTGCGCTCTCTCCGCACCCATGCTCCGCATAATGCTAATATGCCACAGCGCCTCCCTCCGCCTCGCCAAAGTCAGGGCTCCTAGACACAGGCGCAGTTAAAGATTCTATGGGCACAGAGAAAAAGAGGATCACGCTGAAGATCAAGAGACCTGTTCCCAAAGCTACAATTGCTGGCAATTGGAAGGAGAGTGATGTGATCAGTATGTCCACCTCGCACGCACCATGACGACGTGACTACGTTGAGAGTTGGCCAGACTAACATATTACGTAGACGCCGAGAATAAATCTTCCGCTTTAACTACTTCCCCCGTTGTCAACCCTCTCGACGAGAAGACAATCGCCGGCTTCCCTTCTGGCCGTCCCCTCGATGACAAAGTAGATACGGTACAATGCAAGCACTGCCGACGACCAGTGCTGCGCGCTTCTTCCGCAACACATATCCGTGACTGCCTGAATAAGAAGCAAGAGAAACTCAAGAAAAAGAAGGAAGCCAAGGAAGCCAAGGACGCAGCTCTACGCAAAGAGAAAGGCGAAGATGATGACGGCGGTATCAGTGCCAGAAAGTCGGCGGTCAAAGGCGCGGTGATCGATGGCGATGGGGCAAAGAAGGGTAAGAAGAGGAAGCTTGATGTTGATGCAGAGAAGGCGCCTAATGCGAAGAAAAAGAAGAAAGATGAGCCCAAGGCAAAGGGAGCGAAACCCAAGGGACCCGTAGATGTGGAGAGACAGTGCGGTGTTCCGTTGCCAAACGGTGGCTTCTGCGCGAGGAGTCTGACGTGCAAGAGTCATTCTATGGGGTTGAAGAGAGCTGTGCCGGGAAGAAGTCTACCGTACGATATGCTGTTGGCGCAGTATCAGAAGAAGAACCAGGCAAAACAGCAACGTGCAGCTATCGACGCCAACGCCCCCCTCCCAGAAGACCTCGAGCCGTCCGGCGCTGTCGATTCCGACGAAGAAAAGGACAGCATTATGGCTGCTCTCGCGCGCCATCATCCTCGTCCCATGGCTACATACACACACATCTCCCAACGCTCGAAGTACCAATATATTCGCATGAAAGGATTGATACGCTCAGCCCTGGGTGCACCACCCGGTGGTGGTGGGAGTATCTATTCGGGTATGACGCCAGGTGGTGATGGTATGAGTACCGGGCGAGGACTGACGCTGGGTATGATGGGTGCACCAATGAGTGCTACGAATGAGCACTTCCCACAGAGTGCTGGAGGGATGAGCGGATTCGGCGCACCGCTTAGCGCTGGGCTGGATAGTAATGCGGGGAGCAGGCGGCCGAGCACGATTGGCATGTCGGGAGGCCCTCGGCAGATTCTGCCTGGTCAGTTACCTGGACCCAGTCAGCAGAGGAAGGGAAGCATGGCGAGTGTCGGCGTTGGTGCCTCTTAGGAGGGGAAAAAGGATAGTGTAAGACATCTAGGAAGACGCCCGGAAGATCCTGGTGACCCTCAACGAGGGCTCTGTGCACATGACTACTTTATTCGGCGTTGGTTTTGTAATAGCCGTTAGCCACGATCCTGAATGATTCTAGGATGGGGACGGCGGGTTTAGGATGTGTTAGTGATACCCATCTTTATGTACTGAGAAATGCTCAGCTTTTTGCTATTCTTAAATCTGTGGAGCCTTTTAGGCTATACGTGAGTGTCACACTACTGTCGTGAGATGTGTATGCTAGCTCCATGATGGGAAACTCACGAACTCCGTGCGGTGCTTTAACGAGAGTAATAATGAGCAATGCAAAAGGTTTCGATTTGCTGGACGCTGTATTCTATAATGGAGGGGTATCATCGCTCTAGCTTCGGGACATGCAATCGGTCCAAGGAAGACACTAGGTCTTTGGTTCGCCATAGGTGCCCCAGTAGCCCACCCTCTGAGCCTTGGGCACGGTCATTTTGAAGTGCAGATCATCCTCGTCTTCATCACTGCCTATCATGTCATCGTCTTCATCCAGATTAAACTCCTCGTCATCGCTGCCGTGTCTGTACTTCTTCTGATACACGTCCCTCCCAAACTCGTCATCCTCACTCAGCTCGTCTTCAGGGTAGTCATTTGCGTAGTAGTCCTCGGCATTCTCGTCCTCGTCATCCGTGTCGAACTCCTTGTCGCTCTCATCCCCACCGTTCCACCAGTCTTCGTCTTCTTCCTTGATCACTAGGAAGCCGATGGTACCTGAAGGCTCTGGCAGCTTGCCGTCGGCGTCGGGGAGGATCGCTTCGCGGATGTAGGTGTCGTAGACGTATTCGTCGGTATCGATGTCCATGGCGTCGCCATCGTCAACTGGTTCTTGGGGCGCGAGGGCCGCAGCTTGCTCGGGGTGTCTCTCGGCAAAGCGGTGGGCTGGGGCTTTGGGTTTGTGTCTCGAGGGGGACAGTATTGGTATGTGGAGGTTGTCTACTGTTTCTACCTCTTTCGAGAGGGCTTCGAGTTCGCGGACATCCTCCTCGGAGGGCTCGGTGATTTGTGGCTTCTGTTGGGCTGGTCTGCTCGCTGTGCGATGTAGCGCACTTCCTGCACCTGGTCTCTTCCTCGGTCGTGGCGTTGATTCTGGCGTGGCCTCTATAGAAGTGGCTTGTAGTTGCGCATCGACGGCACCATTCCCCTTGTCTGCAACCTGTCTAGCCTCTATAAACACGTGCTTCGAACGTGTTCGTGCTACGGGATCGAGGTGATATCTCCGTTCCGTGGTAGGCGTCGGTGGTACAGAGGATTGCGCGGGGATATCATTCGGCTTGGTCAATCGTCTGTAGGCAAATTTCAGGCTGCTCTTCTGGCGTTTGACGGTATTGTCGAATATCAGCGCATCCACTGGCGGATCATGGCGCTTCCGCTTGACGGAGAGGGTCTGCGGCGGATTCTGCGACATGGCAGTGATAGGAGAAAATGTGGCAGCCAAGTGCGCAACTAATTCTCGCCTCTTCTATTCGGACTCCGGGGTAGTCTAAGGTGCGAGAGGTCGAGGGGTAATGGTGGGGTGTGGGTGACATTGAACTACATCCCGCGCAAGCGGCCGGACCCTCCCGCCAAGGCGGTCTCTGACGCGACATCAGCTGGTACGGCGCCGACACTGTGCCGAGGACATGACCTACGCGACAAGATCATGAGCTCTCCTTAGACTGCAGGCCTTCTGAAACATGTCTTTTACGGCAACTTCCTGTCTTCCTCTTCCCTCACTACAAAGCTTTCCTCACTGTCCTTGAAGGCGTTCTTTCCTTATCGGCACGCACCTGGCTGGCACCCCCGGCACTTCCGCATCACCTCCGATAGCACCTTCACCGCCATAGTAAAGCATCATGGAACGAGTACGGCAGATATTCGAGCGTGAAAACGCGAGGGTGTCCTATGAGCGTCTTGAGGGTGGATCTGAGGATGTAGATGGAGAGCCAATAGAGCAGGCGGAGGGCCAGGCCTTCTCCTGGACTGATTACTCCGTATTCCTCTTGCTAGGAGTTGCTATGCTATGGGCTTGGTAAACAACAATACTCCTCCTACAACACGCACACGTGCTGACTCTTTTCAGGAATATGTTCCTCGCTGCAGCCCCGTACTTCCAACATCGCTTCGAATCCAACGAGAACCTACTCCGCAACTTCCAGTCCGCTATCCTCTCCGTATCGACCGTGGGGAACTTAGGCTCCGTCATAGTCTTGAGCGAACTTCAGGCTAAAGCAAACTACCCAAAACGCATCATCATTGCACTAGGCCTGAACGCCATTGTATTCACCCTGCTCGCAATATCTACCAAGATCTTCCTCAACGTGTCGGCTGGTGTTTACTTTGCCTTCCTCTTGGTCATAGTGCTCAGTGCTAGCTTGGCGACTGGAATGTGCCAGAACGGCATCATGGCTTACGTCGCTGGTTTCGGACGCGAAGAATATACACAGGGGATCATGACTGGTCAGGGAATTGCTGGTGTGTTACCTGCCGTCACTCAGATCATCTCTGTCCTGTCGGTTCCAAAGAAGGAGCCGGCTGATGGCAAGCCTCAAGAGTCGAGTGCTTCTGCATTCACGTACTTTCTTACCGCCACGGTAATTTCTGCTGCTACCTTGATTGCTTTCTTCTACCTACTTTCCAGGGACAGCTCTAAACAGCGTATGAAACGTTATTCAGCCCACGACGAGCTGGATACGGATGGGCTTCACAGCCACCACAAGCGGATACCGTTAACAAGGCTTCTGAAGAAGCTCTTCTGGCTCGCCGGTGCAGTCTTTCTTACCTTCGCCATCACCATGGTCTCTTGCCCAGTCTTCACAGGTCAAATTATCAGCGTTCGAGACCCAGAAACCGCACCGCGTCTCTTTCTACCGGCTACATTCATACCTTTAGGGTTCTTTTTCTGGAACTTGGGTGATCTCATCGGCCGCACCGGTCCAGCTCTTTCAGCATTACGTCTCACACATCGTCCGCGTCTTCTTTTTGCCATGTCCGTTGCACGAATCGTCTTCATACCCATGTACCTTCTCTGTAATGTAGGTGGAAATGGTGCTGCTATCAATTCTGACTTTTTCTACTTGATTGTCGTACAGCTGCTCTTCGGTATGACAAACGGCTACCTCGGAAGTAGCTGCATGATGGGCTTTGTGGAGTGGGTTGATTCGGACGAGGTTGAAGCTGCAGGAGGGTTCATGTCCCTTTGTCTCGTTGGCGGTTTAACGGCGGGAAGCTTTTTGAGCTTCTTCGCCGCTCAGACTTCTTGAGTAGACGTTCTTGATGTAAATGATTCAAACTCTGCTGGGGATAGTCCCATGGCAAATCGTAAGGTTTTATCACTGCACGCCAGGCGCAAGACTTTCTCCCATAGTTTCGATCACGAATTAGAGGAATCACATGCCCAACACCTCCAGTGCTTGCTTTGAGGGACTGTCTACATCCGACGCTTGTACCTGGACATGCTGGACAACATCTACATCATATGAGTAGTGAGCTTCTCGCTTTTCGCTTCTTCGGCGGCCACGACCCGTTAGTCTCGCCTTCTCCAGACGGATATTAGCGACCATGTCAAGCGACACAGCCTTCCTCGTCATCAAGTCCGAAACCTTTGGTAACCCAGTACTCCGCATCAAGGAATCAAGGAAACCCTGGGACTGCTTTTGTAAAGTCTAACCAACTAGACTATTCACGATTATCCGCGAATACCGTAGCACCAACGAACACGCCAATATCCAGGTCAAGAAGACAGGCCATGAGCTTGTTGAGATCGTCGGTTGGGCAGCCGGGAAGCACCGAGCTGGAACGATTCTGAAACAGTCGGTCGATGAGTGTATCGAAGAGTACGGGGTGCAAAGGGATGTACAATTTACAGCTCTTAATAAGAAACGGGAGCAAGACGGGGAGGGGAATTTGGTGACTTGTCATCATGAGCCCAGGGACTGGAGGAAGTACGATGGCCAAGGTGAGATTGTTACGGAAACTGTGTATTTTTGGTGGGACGTTGTAAGAATCACGTTGAGCGACCGGACTCTGACGCGGAGCTGGAATGAACTGTAGGGGGTTCTGGGATTAGGAGTCTCGATGTATTTTGATGATCAATCGATCGTTCTTGTCTCATTCGCTGCGATGAATCCTTTGCGTGTTCATTGAGGGGTTCAGTGAGCTGACGATGTTTAGCGACCTACATGGCTAACTTCAGTGTAGTAAGATGAAAACTGGGGAATTATCGCGCTGTTGCCAATTCCGTCGCACTCCATGTTCACGACAAACAACCACGTCAAAGCTAGCTTAGATGAGACACTTTCATCATTTGCTAGGGTCCTGGCCACTGACCCCTGATAGGTTTGGTAGAAACATGAGAATTTAGGTGCAAAGTTTGTCGTTTGTACATTCCCACGTGTACCTTAACTTAATGCTCGTATTGAGGCGCTCTGTCCACGCTCCTATGCTTTTAACAATTCAAAGAACTTTCGTCTTTCGGAACCCGCATTCAATACCCTCAATCATGGGCCTCGACCCCATCTACCTGATCATAAAATCCTCTATCACCGGCAGGTCCACAAAGCCCTACTTCAGGATCGCCGATACACTACTCCCCGGCTTACCGAAACTATTTCGGTACAGTCACAACACCAACAAATACGACGAACTCACCGTTACAGCAAGCCCAAGCGGAGAGGACTGGATTGTCTTGTTAGAGTACAACAACCAGCCTGGAGAGGAAGTGGAGATTTACGAGTGGTATAAAAGCAAAGAGGAAGCCGAGGCAGGGATTGAGAAGAAGATGGAGAATCTCGTCGACGAGGGAAGGCGTACGGGCCAGGTTTTGAGGCCATCATGGACCCACGATAAGGATACTAAAGAACTTTCCATGTGCTCTTACCACACCATGGAGCCTCAGGATGGAGCGGCGGGCGAGGCGAAAGTGTACTACTGGTGGCAAGTCGTCCAAGTCAACCTTACACTCCGCGAGCAGTACGACATCATTGACCAGAAGCAGCAGAAGGAGAGAGCGGCATATATGGCCAAGGCAGAGAGCGTTGCGTTGGATATGGCGCGGAGGACGAAAGGAGAGCTGAGTTTGCATGAGGAAGAGGATTTGGAAAGGAGGGAGCGAAGTCTGGGCGTTGTAAACTTGACGGATCAGGAGAGATTAGGGATGGATCCTATGGGTGATGAGGAGCGGGAGCGACGCTTCAACGAGCTTCGCAGTAGGGATGAGGAGGACGGAAGTAGTGTTTACCAGGCCAAAACGGCAGGATGGGGTAGAAGGTTTGGTCTATCAAAGGAGCAACAGGAGGATCCGGAAATTATGGGTGTAGAGTAGTGGTTTGAAAGAGGTATAACCAAGTCATCTACCTAGTAAAAGAATGGAAGCTCAGAATTCCTCCACTGAGTTTGGGTCGAAAATTGTTTTTATTAAAAGTGAGAAGTGCTTTATGTGGTTTTCGTCGATGATACAGAAGTTCATGGGCTTAGTGCAAAGTGACGTCACTACGCGACAGAACTCAAAAACATCGAATGTTGAAAACATCTTACTATTATCCAACTCTCCAACCCTATCCATAAGTTCTTGCAGCCATGGCATCAGATTCCCAGGATAAAGCCATAGACGCGCACTCCCGCTCCGCCCTGGCGTCCACAAAGACGAATTTGCGCTACCTGTACGACCCAAAAACCGCACACGGTGTCAACTCACGCCGCACTCGCGCCCTCCTCCGCGTGCTGCGCTCCAGCGTTATATTCATCTTCTGGCGCGTCGTAAGGTACGCGAAATATGTCGCCATTGGGTCACTAGTAGCGACCATAGGAGCTGGCGTCTTTGGTACGTTTGTGTCAGGAGCCGGTTTTGTGCTTGCGCCTACGGGAATACTGGGTACGGTGGTCGCGGGCACAACTTGGGGAATTGGAAGGCTTGCTGTTAGGAGGTTAAGAGGAAGATGGGACAGGGGCCACGGGTATGGGGATGCAGAGCAGCAAAGAGACGAGAGGTTGACGCAGAGGGGACCGGAGGCAATGCCGTGGTAATTTGGACCAGACGCGCAGGTCCTTTGACGAGAGCAGAGGGTTTGAAAACATCGAAAAAGCCGTCAAAATGGGGTGTGTGAGGCCTGGAACCATAGCCAACCTATCTTGTCAGAGGGAGGTTCATCGTATATATCAGACAAAATGATGGATTGCGAAGAAGGCAACACTGATACCCAGGATTTGGGAATCATGTGCATCTCTAGGCTCAGCTCTGAAACTACAACACAACTACATCCCCAAACAATCGTAGGTCATGGGGCCTAGTGTCCGTGCAACAGCTGGGTGAAAGCAATAGCACATGGACTGTCCACGCAGCCCGGCCCCTCTTATAACCCCCACCCCACGCTCGATTATGTTCCCAACACTGCCTTCAATCCGCCAAGATGCCTCAGGTCTATCTCATTGTCCGCTTCGACTCAACAGACCAAACCAAACCACCTTATAGAACGGCCGAGGTCACCTCGATTGATACACTGCCCTCCCCTCAAGGCGACCAGAGTCGTATCGTCAAAACCATCAGATTCACCGACCCCTCAACATTCAACACCTACTCTATCGCCATCGAAGTGGTCAAAAAACCAGGCCGAGATTTCAAAATCATTTACACCACGACTTCGTTGACGGAAGCACAACAGAAGATAGCGAAGATTCCAGATTTTGTTTCAGAGAGCGACACAGACCGCCGGAAGCACTACAGTTACGGGTTTACGAAGGCACAGGTAACACAAGAAAACGAGAACTGTGTGAGGATCAAGCTGAAGAAGACGAGCTTTTGCTGGTTTGAGTTGGTCACGGTGGATTTTGGGGATGCTACCGAAGAGGAAGGGGTTGCGGAGGATGTAGACATTGTGGATAAGGGAAGGGACAAGAAGAAGAGGAAGGTGGAAGTGAAAAATGGAGGAGAGAAGCTAGAAGGTAAGGGTGAGAACATAAAGTTGGAGTGAGTGCGGAAATAGTTTAGGCTGGGTGTTCAGAAACGTGGATTATCTATCAGTCAGTAAATCGCCGTCATCATGAGATTTCTGGTCAAGGATCTAAGTATTGTCGATGGAGGATTCAGACGCCCGCTGTATGTCGATAGCTGACAAGAGTATAGCTTGAAGCCGCTACTGATAGCTTAGAGGTTGAAATACATAGCTGCTCAAGGGTTACACCGGCCTGGAGAATGGATATGTGCTAGAAGCAGAAGGCTGCGTCGCCTCCACCAGAACATAACGCAGTATAAAGCCGGTGCGATCTTCGCCAAAGCGTTACGTATTACGGATTCAATACGAGACTGAAGCTACTCACTCACGCTCGAGTTGACTCTTGTAACATTCGTGACTTTTTGTTTAGACTATGACCAGGACCATTGCTATTATTGGCGTCACAGGCAACCAGGTAACGATACATATCACTGATGACACGCTCGTATAGTATTCGTGCCGCGCTAACGATCAATAGGGTTCATCGACTGCCCGGGTCTTTCTCGATGAGCCAGGATGGATAGTCCGTAGCATTACTCGGGATCCATCTAAGGATTCTGCTAAGAGATGGACATCTCAAGGTGTTGAAATAATTGCTGGTGATCTCGTCGACCTGAATTCCCTCAAGGAGGCCTTTTATGGTGTTAACGTAATGTTGATCGTTTTGTAATATCCACGCTCTCTGAATCTCGAAAATGGAGCAACGGAAGCATTAAGTGGAATTTACGTTTCGATGCAAAGGCTGAAGCGGTGAACTACTTGAGGGTGACCTATCCGGAGCTTTGGGCGAAGACGAGCCTGTTGCAACTAGGCTACTATGCCAATAACTGGATGTCGTTTAGTGGAACACCAAAGAAAGAGGAGGACGGAAGTTTCAAAGTCAGCCTACCTATGAGTGAGGACCGAAGGATTCCCATTGTCGACCCTGTTGCGGATACTGGTTAGGACCTCTTAATTTTCAGGTTGACTTCCCGCTGATTGTTTCAGGATCCTTTGTCAAAACATTGGTTGACCTCCCACCTGGCCAAAACTTGCTCGGAGCTGGATCGTACATGTCCTTCAACGAGTGGTGCACAATCTTTAGCAAGGCTAACAACGTGACATGCTCCTTCGAGCAGATGTCTCGCAACGTTTTCGAGGATGCTATGGGCCCAGTCTTTGGGCTTGAACTCGGGGACAGGTTTGAGTACTTCGATAAATTTGGGTTCAATGGAGAAGAACAAGATCATAGTGGAGTCTTTCCGTGGGAATTAGGTGTCACCGTCAAGTACACTACGATGGAGGAGTACATGGAGGCGGAGGACTGGAATTCGGTTTTGTAGCTTTGAAGGGAGCCGCATCGTCAATACAGTCACGGTCTGGTATCAAGCATCCCCTCGTGGGCACTTGTGAACACAGGCTAGGCAGGGACTGGAGACGCTCATGGTATCTCGGATGAGGTTCGGTGCACGGTCCTGTACAATTGGAACTAGCGTGGGCACGGGGCTGGGGACATGACAAGAATCCTTTGAACGGTGCACACATCCTCGTCCTCATTTTCCTTAAAGACCCTTATCATCTTTCACGATACGATATTACTTCGCGCCATGGTTATTCGAACCTAATGGAGACTACTGGGGCGTTCTTCTGGTTGGATAGCCTCCCCTAATCAGCTTTCGTCACCCGCTGCATACCCCAGTACCGTGTATATGCAGTTCAAAATAGACTTGCCAACGCTTATCTATGGAAGAACTTCCTTACGAGACCGCGGCATCATGTGGTTAAATTGCAGCAACGAACGCGAAGTGGCGCTCGCCGCTACCCCTAAAGACCTCGACATTCCGCGTGTCAGGCCCCGCTTTCGCAGTCTCGAGTAGATGATCGCTCCGAACTGCTCCACGCCTACAACTAGCTCCAAGTAACTACATGCGAAAACGGGATACTATGGGAGTTCTTTACCTCAAGCAGCGCCAGCGCATCGTGGGTGTTGATAACGACAAAGTGCCGTGCCGACCGCGGGGAAGTCTGGAGCCGCCCACGCCGCCACCACTACATGTGCCGGCCATGATGCTTGAACGGCAATCTAGCCCATCCACGGGTTATCGAAGAGCAACGAATTTTGATTGACATCACCTGCGCCAAGAGCATGGGGATTTATATACTGTGTAAGGCAACCGCTAAGCCTGATGGGTTTGAAGCGTCGATCCCAGCGTGATAAACCCCTCCACATCAGCCGTGATGCTGTGCATGCAAGCGTGTGCAGCGGTCCCAACGTCCGCCTTTTGACCACTCTTCACTGGGTTTCGGGGAGGTGAGTTTGTTTAGGGCGGATGCGCTGCGCTGGTTGCTTTACTAGGAAGCCGCATCGTTACTTAATTGGAAGACGCCCCGCGCCGCTGATTGATAAGGTATTTACACTTCCATAACTGCTACAGGCAACGCCGTCGGTCAATTGAAAGGCCCATTTGATCGCTTTGTGATGCTTGAAGGGTTTAAAGACTCATTTCCTTTCCCTCTCCTATTACTGCCCTCTATTCCACTTTACGGTCATACTGCGCCACCTTTTCAGTCCAGCAGCGCGCCTAAGTCGGAAGGCAGGAACCAGTTGTCGTGCAACTGTTTCAACCTCATTTTCAACTCAACTTCTATACCAATCCCTACTCATAATGGCGGACAACATCCTACTACTGCTAGGGGCAGCTTTCATCGCTAGTTCTGTCTTCCTTCTGTTTTTCCGGCGAGGTAGAGGCAACATCATTCTAGAGCGACTCCAGATCAGTCGTCGAAGAGCGTCTGGTGCTAAAACTCCTCCGCGATCTCTATCTCCAGGCAAGAAAAGGCTTCCAGAAGCCGGCTACCCGGACACTTTCCCCCCCTCACGGCGTTTTACCTTGGCTGATACCGATGTACCCTCAAGTCTGGGCAAGACGCCGGAGAAATTGGCTGCATCACAACCAGGTTGGACGAAAAACATGCTACCCCTGGAAGCGTCCTATCTGGATGCAAACGAGTCATTGCACACTCCTTGTGAATTCATGGTCGGGGAGATCAAGGCTCTTGGAGACTTTCCAGACTACGCAACGCTTAGTGGAGTACCCCTCCCGAAGCCGTACCCCGAGTTCCGCATCGAAAAGGCGATGCCAAGACCATATCGACCATTCCGTTGGGCTTACCATCAGACAATGTGTAGGTGATCGCGAACAGCTTCGTTAGGATGATACTCACCTTGTACAGCGCTCACCAAGTTGGAGCCCGATTGGTGGCTAGAGATTGAGAGTACATACGAGCAGCGTATCAAGCAGCGACAAGAGCTATACAAAGAACACGGCGATTCAGTGCTACGAGCGCTTCCTGGGTCCGAGTTAGCCTGTAAAGAACTCATGGAGATGGCCTTGCAATTCGTCTGTGCACGATACCCGCACTACTTCACACTAGACACAAAGAATATGATCTTCTTTAATGGCATCTTGAAGACAGAGACGGACCTCAAGGCCACACAACCCCTCCACGTCTTACTCAACAACATTCCTGAGGATTTCGCTATCACGCTACGCGATGACAAGACGGGATTCTATTCATTCCGGGCCGGCATCGTTTGCAGTGCGTTGGGTTGGAATGTTGGGACAAAGATCGGACTGAGGTTAGATGAAATTCATGCACCTATACCGGACTACAAGGAAAAGATGCAGTTCTCTATGGACAGGTGAGCACGCAACAAAGGCATTGTTCAGTAACATCTTTGACACCAATTTAGGTACTTTGCAAAGAAACCCACCGACAAAGCCATTCAGCGAGGTTCCTGGGGCCTAGAGGTTGACCAGCCACTTTACATGCCCCCAGGCCATCCACATGAAAAACACCGCGAATACCAAATGTCCGACCTCGAACTTGCACGATGTCATCTACGCGTCGACTGGCAAACACTCCGCCGACTACCCCTTTCAGCTGGCATAGTCTTCAATTTCAAAGCTCTGTTCACCCCAGTCGAGGAATTCCGCAACGAAGTATATGTTCCTGGGCTTCTGTTGAAGGTATTAAACAATGGAAAGAAGAACCTCATGGATTACAAAAGTACGTGGCACGTGGAGCATGTTGTCAAGCCGGCCTTGGAGAAATTCCATAAAGAGCAAGTGGAGAAAGGCTTGGTACCCGAGGACTGGGAGCCGCATACACTAGAGGAGAGCCCTTGGTTTCCGGGGTGGGAGGAGAAGTGGCATGGAAAACAAGGTTTCTAAGCTAGTGAGTGCCTAAGCGCGAGTATAAAAATTTTAACAACAATCAAGTAAAATACCTCGTGAACTTCTTCTGGTATCTAACATTCATCTCAGAGCTACTCAGTTTTCTAGGCCTTTATTTGGCACAGAGTTATGGATTTCACGTCGATTGAAGGTAGACGTTGTGCGCATCCTAAATATATTTCTGAACTTGGTCTAAATAAGACCTACGCTCGTATTCCATCTTCTTGGAAAGCTGACTCGCTTATACTGAGGTCAGTGTTGCTGGAACGAGTCAATGGTCTTGACTCAGTGTTGCCCTTGTATCCCCTGAGAAGAGTTATTGGCTATCGGTTCCTCTCCCACGTCTTACCGAAGCTCATCCCTGCAACACGACATTACCCCACAGCCTTCTTTAATGAGTAGAGTTGTGCCCGAATAGGGCGCAATGTTGCACACCCCGGAGTGGTACAATCGGGTATATGATGAGGGGATCCAGGGAGCACGCACCATGATAAGTGCGGTCGTACCATCAGTGCGTTCCTTGCCAGTCCAAAACACTTCGGCTTCAACGTACTTTATCAATGACTAGACTCTGTTACCTCGGGTACTAGACAAACAAGGGCCTATCGCGCATTTCCCATTAAAGGTCCTCATTGCTGGCACTTTTGTTCCATCTGTCCTTTCAAGCGCGTAACCCTCAAAAAGAACTATCCTCGAGCGCGGCTTCCAAGATGGGAGGGTCACAGCCATGGCCACAGGTGCCCGTTGGAAACAAAGATCACACTGATGCTGCGGTAGTCATCATTGGAGCCGGAATCTCTGGTAATACAGCCCTTGAGCCCCAATCATCGAGCTTTGGTTGACCGTTCGCAGGAATGTGTATGGCGATCGATTTAATCAAGCGAAACCAATGCCACAACTTCATAATCGTGGAGAAGAGCTCGAGTGTGGGAGGGACCTGGCATGACAACAAATATCCCGGGTGTTGCTGTGATATCTGGAGCATGCTTTACTCGTACTCGTTTGAGCAGAATCCAGATTGGACAAGAGAGTATCCGGGACAGGAAGAGATATTGGTAGGTCCCACCTTTATCTTGATATATTCGCCAGCTTTACAAGTGACTGTTCGATATCACCGAATGCTCAGCGCTCATTCCTGCTTTAGGACTACCTCCGTAACGTCGCTAGAAAATACAATCTCTACAAATACATCCGCTTTAACACCTCGGTCGAATCTGCGACATGGGACGACTCAAAAAACCGCTGGAAAGTTGACGTCACTATAACCGGCGGAAAGGACGCTGAGTTCAATCCCGCTTATAGCATCGAATGCGATTTCCTAGTCAGCGCTGTTGGACAGTTGAATCAACCGAGGTATCCAGATATCGACGGCTTGAAAGACTTCAAGGGCAAGATCATGCATAGTGCAAGATGGGACTGGAGTTATAAGCTTGATGGAAAGAGGGTGGGGATCATTGGAAATGGTTCGTCTGACTGACGGTAACATCGAGTAAAGAAAGGCGCTGACACTTTGAACTAGGAGCGACGGCTGCCCAGATCATCCCTGAGATCCTACCTTCAACCTCCTCGCTGACAGTCTACCAACGCTCCCCTAACTGGGTCATCCCGCGCGATGACGGCCCCGTCGGGCCCCTCCGGCGCGCAATATACCGTTACTTGCCTCCCGTGCGCTGGCGGATGAGATCTACAAAGATGGATATCCGGGAATCATTTTATGATGCGGTGACGAATGATAAGTCTGATTCCGCAGATGTGATAAGAAGCTCTTGCTTCGACATGATGAAAAAACACATACCAGGCAAACCTGACTTGTGGGAGAAACTCACGCCAGACTACAGCCCAGGCTGCAAGCGCGTCATCATCTCAGACGACTACTATCCAGCCCTTGCGAACCCCAAGACCAACTTGGAGACGACCAAAATCAAGCGTATCACAGAGTTTGGCATCGAGCTCCAAGACGGCACACACCATGATCACGACATTATTGTCCTGGCGACCGGCTTCCGCACAGTCGAGTTCTTGTACCCCATCAAGGTCACAGGAACGCAAGGCCGTTCCTTAGGAGCTATCTGGGAAGGTGGTGCAACCGCGCTGTACGGTACTACAGTCCCTTCACTCCCAAATTTCGGCATGTTCTACGGCCCAAATACAAACCTCGGACACAACTCGATCATATTGATGATCGAAGCACAGTCTCGATACCTCAATACTCTCGTGTCCGCTGTTCTAGATGGTAGGAATCGGGGGAATCGGGTGGGTTTGATGCCGAAGCAACGACGAACCGACGAGTTTAACGATCAGATCCAGGAGATATTGAAGAAGAGCAGTTTTGCGGATCCAGCATGTCAGAGTTGGTATAAGAACAAGGAAGGGAGAATTACGAACAACTGGAGTGGCACAGTGGTGGAGTATCAGGAGATGCTGTCCAAAGTTGACTGGGAAGATTTCGAGACGACTGGATTGCGAAATGAGAATGGAGTAACTGGTGCCGGCACGAACGTGAGTGCTAGTAGAGTTGTGTTCGGGAGTGGGAAGCAGGAGACAAAGATTGGAAGAGTTCATGAAGAGACGTCGGTGAGTAACACAGTGCTGGCTTTGGGTACGTTGAGTGCCGTAGCAGCGGGCGCAGCGTGGGTGTATCGTGGACGTTTCCCGAAGAGGCTGGGACTGGGCTCTTGACGAGGTTTTGAATTTGAGATAAGCTAGTAATGCTGTATAGGATACTTTGATTGGCATATCATGGATTCCGAGCGCCTGTTACTCCGCATGCTTCTGTATTCTCCTGATACCATACTAACGCCGTTGCCAACCCAGTCGCAGCCATAAGTGTAAACAAAACCATACCCAAGTCGAAGCACCTAGGAAAGAGAAGGCTCCGATCAGACACCCATGGTGAAGTCATGTTCTATGCCGGGCGTGACACTGTTGTGTGTTAGCGTTGAGGGTCCATCCCACGATCACTTTTGCTTACCTAGCCATGAACTTCAAGAAGACCACAAGGTACTGATCTACACGGATGGCTACCTCATCATCGCCGCCTTCACTCAGAACTTCCCAGTCATCTTTACCTTCGCCGTCATCCTTGCTCTTGGCCTGCTCCGTGAGCTTCAGTAACCTCGTATCGTCCACCAGTGCTTCCATTCCGCTGTCAAGCTTGCTGACGTCCTTGCCTGCCTTGAGCTTGGCGAGTCGTAATTTCAAAGCGGCGTCTGCGCGGTCGAGCAGCACCTTCATGACGGATGAGTGTTTGCAGGGGTGTACAGAGGCGGTCTTGAGCGCGTGCTCGAAGAAGGGGAAGTCTTCGATTGTGACAGTCTTGTCTTTGTAGTCTCCTACGATATCTTCCATCATTTCTTGGGGCTTTAAAGGGACGGAAGTTGAGCCGTATCCAGAGAGGTATAATCGTGGTGTTCGGTAGTGGGCCGAGTATGTGATGTAGAGTGTGTAGGTTCGTAGTGGACTAGGATTGTGTCAGTCTTCCTCTTCAGGTAGCCGCTGGGCGCAGCGATTCAACAACTTGGGGCGAGGCAGCCGCTGAGCGAGTGGAAAGACGCACGCTTGGGTGTTTGAGCCAGCATGTGGGTCTCTTATGATGGCTTCCTCATCATCTTCATCGTCCTCCATGTCGGGTATCTCGTCATCCTCTTCCGCTGCGCCCAGGTTTCCACTCTCATCCACGGTCCGTACATCGCGAACCTTGGCCTCCTGACTCGCAGCCATGCCGCCCGTTCTCAGCCAGCCATCGTCATCTGTCGCGCCTTCGCCAGCAGCAAAGCCATCTCTCACTATTGTCTCATCCTGGCCAGCTTCTCCCGCAAAGTTGTCGTCGAGCCGGCGGTGGCAGGGCACGCCGCGCGTAACAAGAAACTGCTTTCCGTCGGGGAGGTATGATACGCGTTTTGAGGGAGACGAGGCATCTGCCCACTGCCAGGAAGGGAACTTGAAGACCAGGAAGTCTCCTGCGAGGACGAACTCCTCTGGCGTTATCTGCCCTGTCTCGCGGAATGTCGAGGTATGGCTGATGGCGGCGGTTCGCTCGCGGAAGGTATCTATGTAGGAGCGCACAAAGTTGTATGCCATGTTTGAATAAGTTTGACGTCTATAGGCGTGTGGAGGTGATTGTGAGCCGAGCCGTCAGCTGTGTTTGTACCTTCTTTCAAAGCCGTCGCATTGGAGGGGGCGGGGTTGCAGCAGCTGCCTGCAATGAATCCGCGCTAGTCCGAGCACAAGCCACAGCAGTCACGTCATACTTTTGATTCACCTGTCACCCCTACGCTCCCTCATCACAAGGCAACCAGTCATTCACTCTTTTTCCTTCCGTGTCACGCTTCACTCGTTCAAGCCCCGTTGTCACCTAACATCATGTACGACGGTTTGCCTTATTTCAAACATCTCTAGAGCTGATAAAGCTCTCGAAGCCAGATCATTTGTTAATATGGAATCCGCTCTCTTGACCCACCATGGGTGTGATACTATTGCTATTGCTTCAGTGTCATCTGAGCAATATTGCTCCAGATTTGCCTATATACCTAGAATATGCACGTCTGGCCGAAACGGCGTAAGTCTGCTTTGAAGCACGAGGAAAATGAATGACTGGATTTGGATGGCATAGTGACTTTCGTATCCTGGGGTCAGCCTGGCCAGATAATCCTCCTCCGTGCTCACGATGGTTGTACAGGGTAATGCCACTTGTTTACTCTACATCTTCCACGGCCGCGAGGCAAGACGCCAACGCAACACGAGTCTATTTACGGAACTACCAAGTCGCTTTGTGAAACTGGGTGAAAAAAGGTTGATGCGTCCTCATCTCGTCATTTTTCGGATGTTACTGAGCATATTATGTTTCCGACACTGCATCGAGCTTGTTCGGAAAAATCGACACCTACCTTCTGGTGACAGCACGCATAAGTTGTTGGGCATCACAAAAAGGCAGCAGAGGGCTTCTCCGCGCTATCAGGTCAGTGGAAATGTGGTACCAAGTTTAATGACTTACAAGGATGTCGGGTTTTCCGTGCGTTGCATTTCAGAACATTTGATTGCGACTTTGTCAACGTTTCCAGGACTGAGTTCGAAAATCTTCGCGTCCATTCAATGGACATTGCCTCAATGCACGGGACTGTATAAAGCTTCGCCAGGGATTACGTCTTACCCTAGTGTTTCCGGGTCTCGCTCATACATCGCAAAAATCGTCCGCTATGTACATGTAACGAAATACAGCGGGGCGGTCAGATCCCAGATGAATCACCTGTATCTGGTTCTGGAAAGCCGCAATAAGCTGGTATCTTCAAGTTGCCACTTCCTAATCTGAATTTAAAGTCAAGAAGTGGAGTACTATCTGTCTAAGGGGGTTTCTATCGCCCAGCATCTTACACAAACATGGCAAGCGATTACTATAACGGACGTTTTCTCATTCAGTGTAAGGTAAGGGTAGCATCTTTCGTCTTCACTGACCTTGGTAGTACCCAACTTTACGGCTCTAAATTTTCAGTTCGAGATCCCGGACGCCCTTCTCAAAGAATTCCTAGAACGGTCTAGCTCTCAAGCTGGAGGAACCACACTGTTGTCACATCACAAGTCGAAATTGCAAACTGATCAGGCATCCGCTGTTACCTATCCCGAATTTGGCAGAGCTTGCATTACTCCCAGGAGTAACGGCTTTTAGAAAGCTACAGCATGTATACGACCAGCACAGATTCTCTAAACGAATTAGCCTCAGTGCGTAGCTTCGACTCTATCTAGGAATATCCCCGATGATCGTGACGGATATAGAAGCAAGCATGTTTCAATATATGCAAGTTGCCGATGGAGCTACAGAAATAGGGATTGAATTTGACAGTTGCGACTTCCCATGACCCATGCCAGGAACTGTCGATCTAACGGTCCCCTGTAGTAGATCTCAGGCAGCCCCACATGTTCCCCTCTCTCGTGTCTTCACCAAAGAACGGCTCTTAAAGGCATTAGGATACGTTTGATACACTAGGTCAGGGCAGATTGCGCAAGGTCTACATTCAGCGATGCCTATCATCCATGCTAATTGAAAGCTTAATTGTTGGCAAAGCCCATATTCCCACATACTAAACTAATTAGTGTTTGATTCATCTCGACATACTTTGCCAATCAGCTACTTTTCTTAGCCGCCTAGACTTTCGAGAGGGGTTTCGTGCCACATCTCGAGCGCTACCCCTCTAACGGCTAACGATGTTTTCCTCCCTAATACGGACCTTTACAGCAGTATGCCAACTGTTTGTGACCTCAAGTTTTGAATTTTGCCAATCACCTCGAAGTGACTGTGCCTGCGTTCAGCTTTCCGTGAGGAAATGATCGCGAGCTACCGTCGTGTCCGTAGCCTTGTAACTACAAACAACCTTGGACGTGAAACATCCTCGCGTGGTCGAAAATTCTTGCAATGGGCCAGGATGCTGCCCTGACAGTTCCTCCAGTATCGTATTCCTGGACGCAAATGAGCACAAGGGTTCGACCCACATGCACGACTTCAAAAGCTAATGTAACGTCGGCTATCGAACCGGCAAATCAAAAGTTTCTAGCAATACAGATCTTGCAAAGCTCCTGAATTTCATGACTATGATATGACTTTGTCGAGACGTATTGGCATGAAACTCTGACGATATCTTATTTCTCCTATAAAAGGACTAACTACTGTCAGTAACTGTCCCCCAAGTTTATCATCCAAAAGAAAAAGCCCCCAAAGCGACATTCAAGGTCAGCCAGTTCAAAACTCACGTCTAGTTCAACCATACTATATCTGCCCAAAAGCGCCAGCGAGTCTTGCCAAATCCACCAGTGGGCTACGAAGGTTCAAAATCACTTTGCTGCATTCACATGGCGGGCCCCGATTCAAGCCCTGACGCACCACAACCACGATGTGGAGGACAACGCCCTCTGAATCCGTCCGCCAACCATCAGGTACAAACCATGTCATGCTAGAATGTTATTCTACTGACCTGTCCTATGCTAGAACAGATCTGATCAGCATGTTTCACGAACCCTGGAAACGCTGACTATCACCGCACTGGTCTCAGCTCCATCTGATAACGAATCTTTGCCTTTCGCAATGGTACGCTGGCTGGAGGAAATCAGACAAGATGAGCCCTGGACACCTAACGCTCGTTTCTAGTTCCTGCTTCTTTCTGTGATTGCGGGTTGTTTTAAGTGTTTGAACTTTGCGTAGCATGCGGCATCTGATTTCCCCGACCTATTTGGTTTTTACTTCCTGTCGTTACTCAATGCTGGGCAGGGCTCACACAAGACGCCCTGCCATTGTGCTTCCAGGCCGTCGTCACGGTGCGTATTGGGGTCCCCTCCTTCTTTTATGCAGTAACGACCATTTCTCTTCTTCTCTCATGTGGGCTCTAATTTGCTGTCAACTTTTCTCTTATCATAGCTACTATTAAGCTTAAACTATGCGTGTCGTACAAATGCCATTCGAGTAAGTGACACATCAGGGTCACACGATGAATCATGATGTGTACCACATCCAAATGAACACTGATGACATAACACGCGCCCCGCTTGTGACACCAACGTGCATACACTCGTCAGCACTTCAATGTTGACACAAGTGTATTGAAATGGTGAAAAAACTTATCTGCACGAATAGCATATCTTGGTAATCCTCGAAGCTGAAAGGGTTCGTGCTGTTGTTGCTGATGTAACGGACTTTACGACTCGATAGAACAAAGAAGTGGCATATGACTAAGCTTTGCTATATGACGAAGCGTGCTCGGCTTTCTTTGTTGATGACATCGCACATTGGGTGACAATTTATACTAAACGACATTACACTTCACACTGCACACCTCGCACCTTTCATTATTACGGTTACGCAAGGCAACGTGGCCGACAACATAGAGTACAATTGCCGTGAGCATGATGCAGCAAGAAGACGACCAAGAGCACGGCGTCAATCTTGCTGCATTGCCTTACGCATCACCAACAAATAAATGGGCAACACGGTCTCAATCGAGTCAAACATCCTCCTCTTCCCTTCTCCAGAGCCGTCAAAACGCGTCCACCGGCATTGGACTTCCTCACCAGTCCAGAGGTCCTCCCAGGCCTTAGAGCAGACGTGGACCCCAACGTATCGCCCTGCACCGCCAACTCCGAGTGTAGAGCCGCTTCAGAATTCAGCTCAGAGTGCCAGCTTGACTTGTTACGAAGTCACCAACACAGGGCAAAACTCAATTCTCACGACGCTCAAAAGCCTCTGCGACGACCTCCGCGACCCATCGGACCGCCGCGCTCGAACAACAATTAGTGTCCTACATGAAGGCGGGTGGATGCCACGCGCCATTTTCCACATCAGCGGAGACTTTCAAAACGCACATTCCAATTCATTACTATCTATCCTCCTCATCAAATCTTCTACCCGCTCGGACCCGGATGGCGAACAGGGGTCGACAAGTTCACACAGCTGGCTGCACATTTACGATGCTGTGCACCTTGCGCAGTCTTTCGCCGCAATGCTCAAAGTGTACGCCTATCAACGTTCGCTTAGGAGGCTTGAGCTTGATGCAGAGGCGAATGAAGATATGCTGGGTATGCTGGAGGGGTGCGCGATGGTCGGAGTGAGGTATTGGGTCGAGGGTGGGCAAGCGACGGAGCAGGGCCAGTGTAAGATTATTGCAAAGATGATGAAACAGCTCGAAGGTTTGCTCTGGGGAATATGGCTCGAGGCGGATGATAGTCGGGGAGATGCGAGGAGGGGAGGTGGATGCGTCCCTAGCTGAGTGAGGTACTTGGAAGACTGGAGGAAGAATGCGGCGGCTGCTGGGCAGCATCACATTTGTTGTATGTTAATATAGCTCCACAATTGCTCTGCGCTGCGTTAATAACCTAATATTATTTATTATTGCAAACCGTCTTCAAAGATAGCTATATGTTAGTTGATAACTCGACATCCCTTACATTGGAGAAGCTTGAGGGATCTTGGCAAGCGAAAATGAAATTTACAATGATAAGCCAGTTTTTGGGGGTATCTCTGTGATGGATTGCTATCTAAGTGAGACTTCAGTGACTCAATCTTGCGTTATGTCAGCAGAGCCTCATGATACAAGAGGTGGCAAGATTACCATTCGCAACTCTGTATCGTAATATCGTAGACGACTTTCCCCCGCCCAGACTGTCTCCTCAGGCTGTGACTCCAGAACGCCTTGCTAGTAGCAGATTTTCTGCTGCTCCTTCTCTACTTTACGCTGTGCCCCCTCTCGAAACCCTGAATCTCTTCATCTGCAGCTCAGACATGGCCCCCATCCCCATCTCTTGAATAAATAAATACTGTAGGCCTAGCCTTCCCCATGCATCAATGATTCCTAAAATTCTTCTTCTGATAAAACAGATCGGTCCTACTACTACCCAAATTGATGATCTTCGGACAACCATCACGGTCCTTCTCTAGGCGCGTGCACTCAAAGCAGTAGAAAGCATCTGAGATACCTTCACTACCGCAGACGACGCATTTGTTCTGGTAGTTGCCGAAGGAGCACTCGTCGCAGATGCGCGCTAGGGTTGTCGGGCGCACGTAGGAGTCGCAGACGGGGCATTTGCCATCGCATTTGTCGCATAGGCGGCCGATAGAGATGCCAGCTTGCTTGCGGCACATTACTAAATCGCTAGAAACTGTTAGAGGGCCTGTATCTATAAAAGAGGAGCTGTGAAGGGTGCAGGAGGTGGTGGCGGAGGAGGGAGCTTACGGATGATGGCGAGACATATCGAGTGGTTGTCGATGGCGGAACTGTTGTGACTTTCTGTATATAGATTTTCCTGAGGGCGCAGTAGATTGCTTGTGGCCTTTTGTTGCGCAACGAAGTCGAGGGCGAGGGTGTTGTTGGATGAGCGTGTTGGTGAGAGGAAAGAGCGAAGGTGAGAAGGAACATTTGGAAGTTGCGGACCTCCGAGGCGAACCCCTGGCCCGTGCGTAAGCTTCGACGGCCTTCGACTTATCAGCTCGGCACCCTTCCCATCACTAACACAGAGCGCGGGTAATACGTCCACCGCTGAACTCGCCAATACCAGATTGAGTCCAATAAAAACTTTGCAATTCTCTGCTTCAATATGGATGGCCCCATTGCGTCTGCTGTAGTCCTACCGGATGATCTCTCCGTCCCAGCCTCGCCTGTAAACAGCCACAAGAGGCGACAGTCATCGATATCTGAAGAAAATGCGAAGAGGCCGAGACTCAATGATGATGGCGCGCCTACCGAACGCCGAGGATCGAGCAATGGGACTAAACCAGCTGCTACAGTGCGCCGTGAGAGAGGGAGAGAGCGTAGACTATTCGGCGCTGTCCTAGGTGCACTCTCACAGAATCCTACTACTTCAGCACAGAAACGCCGCTCTGAGATCGAAAAGAGACAACTAGCTCGACGCCAGTTGGAAGCCGAAGAGGGCGAACAGAGGAAGGCAGAGTGTGTGGCCGGGCGCAAAGTGCAACGATGGAAGGAGCAGAAACATTTCGAAAAAGACTCAGTACGACCTTTCACTAAGATGATGTGAATGTGCGCATACTTACTGTGAATAGATGCGGGCACGGCACGAGAACCTTCTTAGCATGGCACACTTCCTCCAGACTGAAGCTGAACCTCACCTGGTAAGACAAGTCTCTTCCTAGACCGAGTCAAGGTATACTCTGCAATGTGCTAATGTCTTTGGCAGTACTACAAGCCCTGGGAGACCAATCCTGACGAAGACGAACGCATTCGAGACCAAATTGCCGAAGCCCACGAGGTTATCGAACGAGAAGTCGAGGAATACGAGGCTCGCCAGCGGCAAGAAGCTCAGCGTGAACGACACGCTTCTGGTAATGAGGAGGTCAGCCGTGATGCAGCAGGTTCCCATACTGGTAAGAACTATAATGCACACGCGCCTCCAGAGCTCCCCACCACCAATGGCGGAACTAATAGCAGCGCCGACTCTCCCAAGGACCGGTACACGAGAGACGATCATACAGAGGATCCCAGGAATGAGGCGGTGAGAGACGCAGCCATTACTGAAGACGTGGTTGATACCGGCATACCAGGCCGTGAGACTACCGCTGACGAGCTTAGCAAGGAGCACGACGATGATAACGGCGAAGATGTTGTCGAGGAAGCGGCGGAGGATACCGTTATTTACTGAAAATCGCTAGGAAATGCGGGTCGCGCCAGTCTATTTGCTCGATTGTTTCGGTCCATAACGGCGCTTCATACCTGTGACGCTTCTTTGCTTTATTTTGATTGGCCGTGTTTACGAAATCTGGGTATATACTTTGCGCACCTCTGAAACTCGTCACACATGGATGATGACTACTCTTCAATACACAACCGGATATCAAGCTCGCACTCGCATACAACAGTGCAGTATAGTACTACTATACCAGAAAAGGAGAATGCTCGTTATCTGCAATTCGGACGCTTCACTTCCGGTGATATATCGTCTTACCTTTCTCCAATATATGCGAGGTACAGTTCGCTTGGGTGCGTCTAGAGCAGCAGTTGTTCTACCAAATCGCTGGGATTATTTCCCTTTAGCGATTGACCGTTTCCAAGCACGGACTTCAGCACCTAGCGCATACGAGCCGGTTATGGGATACATACTATATGTTCATGCGAGATACGAAAGAGCACCCAGGCCGGTGGATCGCCCCACGCAGTGAGTGGGGTGTGGGAGGAATGGCCCAAATCTACCACAGTAGTCCTGCTATAGTGAGGGGCTCTATTGCTGCAGCACTCGCTGGCATCGTTACCGTCATTTCGTCAAGGTCAACCCCTCGAGCGTTGGACTTGACAGTGGATCTTAGATAATAGAGGTGTGCGAGTCTAAGCTTGAGACCCCACCTTTATGTTAGCAAGCCTCGGCACCGAGGTCTGGAAAGAACACATTATAACAACTGTTCACAACTCGCTTGTCCTCCAGCTCACCGCTCCAACTGCACTATACTTCACACGCCGCCTCCGTTTCTTGGTTGATCTTGATTTATTGATCTTGATTTATAGCCGCGAAGCACACCCTGGTATTGCGTCATGGCCATCCAACCAATTGACCCCGTGTCAGACGAGCGCATCGAACACAAGACAACGAAGCTAAATGGATATACATATCACTATCTCTATGCTGTACCAAAGGGTGGGCAGTATACAGAAACGGTATTCCTGGTATGAATTCCTCCTTATCTTAGTATCAGCCGGCGGATATATGCGCTGCTACTACAATGCCCTGTCGGCAGGGAAGTCGCTAGATCTTCCCTGTGACACCAACCACATTTGTATTTAGTTGTGTAGTTATGATAGTTGGGTTGACAGTTCGATCGGTACTAACAGTTGAGTAGATTCACGGATGGCCCGATCTGTCCATGGGGTGGAGGTATCAGATTCCGCTTCTAGTGGATCTGGGCTTTCGAGTCGTGGTGCCTGATATGATGGGCTATGGCGGTACTGTAAGTGGCTCTTCATGTTGGCAGTGGAGCTTGAAAATATACACGAAGCTAAGTCCGAGGACAGGATGCACCAGAAGTTCCCCCCAACTCAATCAGGCTCTACGGTATGAAGAGAGCTTCAGACGATATTGCCGCACTAGCCAAAGAACTGGGCGTTTCAAGGGTCATTCTTGGTGGCCATGACTGGTGCGTTGAGCTTATATCGTCTATCTTATAGTCACGTCTGCTGACACCAGTGTGTCGACTAGGGGAGGTTTCGTCGTGTGGCGAGCAGCACAATGGTACCCAGACCTCGTCTCGCACGTCTTCTCCGTGTGCAGTAGGTCCCGCCATCACCTTCCAATACCTATCAACAGCCACTGAAGATCCTCTAGCCCCTTACTCACCCCCTCACGACGAATACTTCTCCGTCGAAGATCTTGTCAAGGGCCCACTACCTCAGTTCGCGTACCAACTCCACCTCGCATCTGGTGAGGTTGAGAAGACTGTGAAAGATGAGCAATCCATCAGGCAGTTCTTAAAGGCCCTGTATGGTGGGAGGGGCCCGAATGGAGAGTTGGCGTTCGATCCGGAGAAGGGCGTGCTGGCAGAGAACTTGCCGACGATTGGGGAGAGTAGGCTTTTAAACGGGAAGGTACGTGAAGATCTATTTCTCTCGCAACCGGATCTCGTTGGTGGAAAGACATGGAGTGGAAGGATGGGGGAACCAGCTGCTCGGCATCAGCGCTGCTCCATCCGTATGTCCCTGCGTGAAGTAGGGGAGTGGACCCTGAAATGCTCGACATCAGCATTTCCCTGTCTATGGCTCATATCTGGATCGGCAAACTGCGGTTTCAGAAAGAGGATGACTTGCTGACGATGATGCAGGTCCTCGACTACTACGTCAAAGAGTATAGTAAACACGGGATCCACTCTACTCGTAAGCCGTATCCGTTCCCTGGTGCCATTACACAAGACTGACATGGACTTTAGTGAATTGGTACCGCCAAAGAAGGTCAAACTGGGAAGAGGATCAAGCGTAAGTATCGACCATCTCCTGACCAAAATCAACCGCTGAATACTACAGCCTGCTCGACAAGAAAATCATCAAACAGCCCGTCCTATTTATCCAGGCAACGCATGATAGTGTACTGAAGCCCGAGATGTCGAAGAGCATGGGCGCTTTCATCCCCAACTTGACCAGAGGCGAGGTTGCAGCATCGCATTGGGCGTTGACTCAGACCCCCGAGGAGGTGAATGGGATTATCCGCCAATGGTTTGAGGGGCAGGGGTTGGGAAGATCGCAGAGCAGTTTGTAAGGTATGAGTAAGATGATCTTGCGAAGTGTGGTTGCGATTTGACGGATCTTTTCCGCCAATGGAGTGGTAAAAGGCGGTATCGTAGAACCTTGCTAAAAAAAAAAGTCATGATAGAGAGTGGAGACTGGGTTTCAGACTGGGTCTTCCAAGGTTGCTAGTTCAATGGATTTTGCGGCTCTACCCGTTGTGGTCTAGATATGGTCGAGGCTAGCGATATCGGGCACGGCGATTATGATCACGGGAAAGAAGCGAGGATGTGTTCCGTACTCGCCGCTTTGCCTCCGTGACTTTTAGACGTAGGTTTTCAGTCCCGTCGTTCGCTAGGGCTCTGCATTCGAAATTGTTCCTATTCCGGTTGTTGTTGTCGGTAGTCGGTACCGGTCATCGGTCAGCACGTGCGTCCGAGGAGCAGTGTAGATGGCGAAATCTAATAACTCGGTATCCCCGAAGTTACCAACAAGTCTAGAGTCAAGCACCTAGTAGAATACCCAGGGAGGTGGTGGCTCCGTCTTGAATCAAGTTTGGCGCACCAAAGAACTTGTACAGTTGAGACGGCGAAACCTTGCCACGGTACATACCAAGTATCGGCTAGAGACTTGAGATCTTGGTATACTTGCGGATTCACAGCTCGTCGGCTTTCTTGGGTATACTGGATGCAGGTCCTCTCCTCCCATGCATATTCCATTTCTTTGGAACCCGGCCTCAAAGTGTGCGACCAATAAGATCTTCGCGTGAGAACTTGTGGCTCAGCTTGAGGTTCAAGTTAAGCTCAGAATGGCGATCTTGTAATTGCAAATCGGCGCGGAAGGCTACCTCCGTAGCTACTTTCGGACTGGGTGGTTGGGTCAATACCTTAGATCCGGCAGACCGCCTCCGCAACACACATTTCTCAAACCCCAATTTGAACTTGTGTTCGGGCTTGAGTACGCTAAACGATGAAGGATGAGTCTCTGAAGGCTGTATCGCTACCAAGGTGCAATTGTTGTCGAACAGGAATTGCGCATCCAGTGCGCTTTGCGCTTGATAGTACGAAGAGCGCTGATAGTATCTTGTGTTCCAAGACGAGTGGTAAAGAAATGCACTGCTCACCGCCTACTACTTCCAGAGAACTCTGCATAAGTGTCGACCGAGGACGTCGCTTGATGATGCACGCGCTGGTCTAGTTCTTTCGTATGTCCGGCCGCAGACCAAGGCCGTTAGTAGCAGCGCTGATCTAGGCAACGGCATGTATATTGACGGAGTGATATCTGCAATATCAACGTACTAAAATGTTGAATCCAGGTGCCTTATCAGCAAACGTATTATTCGATTGCAGTCGTGGGGAACTGGCGTCGGGGCAGATGCGCACTGGCTGGACGGTGCTCATATTATGTATGTCGTTTGGTGCTAGTCGTTAGGAAACGTTAGTTGCAGACGGAGAGCGTCGTTTTATGTAGAACTTGCTTGGTGGTGTGGCTCAAAAGCACCCAGGTGCTGCCGTGCGATCCGTGTTTGGAGCAATCGGCCTCACTTTTTATGCACCTCGCTCGGCAGATAGCGCGAGCGAAGCATGGTTATTAATTCGTCGAATGAAAGTGCTTGGTGGGCAGTCGGAGAGATAGTCAGGCGTAGATGACTCGTTCTGTGGTACAGCTTACCACAGACATCTCATCTTGCTTGTGGTCGCTCCCCTGTCGGGCTGCACGGTCATGCCAGCTATGCGCCTGCGATCAGCGTCATTTGAGTCGATTCGTAATGACAGATGCTCGACCTCAGAATGAGGTCGATTGCGCAGATCGGAGATGGCATTGCAGCGCGCTATGGGTGCCTTCTCGGCCTGATTGCCTCCTCGCCATAGTCATGCAGAAGACAATCTCAACGGCTCTGAGGTCTTGGAGGGCTGCATCTCAGTCTCGCAGCTATAGCCTATTGCTATCCTATCTTCTGGGCTGATCTGATCATTCGAAGTTGCTCTGATAAGGAAGCCCAGCACTTTGTTTGTCCCGGCAGACTGGTATACTCGAGAGATGTGGTCAACGGCGGGATGGCTGCTCCTCGGTAGCAATGCTGCCGTTGCATGTGCCGGCTGCCAACCACCAACCACCAACCACCAACGTTCAGCCAACAAGCACACCAGTGCTTCAGCAGGATCCCGCTAAAGCACTGCACTACAGATCCAACAACGTGCTCTCCCGGGTGGTCCACTCTATCTCTCCAGAGGCGCGCCGATGAGCGAACTCGCCCCTGGCGAATATATCCGGGTGTTTTATATTGCACATGCAAGTTCCGCATGCCTTCTGGAAAATCAGCCAGATATTCTAGCCAATCAGCGCCGAAATTTCCCGTCCATACCGGCATGGTTCCCAAGCTTGATCGTGGTGCCGGGGTCGTGGATGAGTTATGTGACGGAGCGATGGTGTGCAATGGCGGCGAAGACGTGCTAACGTCGAGACAGGCCGCCTGCATATCAGGCTGATCTTTGCTGCGTCTTTGCCCAGGGATCAATGGGTCCGCGTTCCCCTATTGCAGGGCTACTACTACCGGTTCACTGCAGAAGTCTAACGCACGCTCTGGAGGCGGGCTCCACAACAGCCATGGACTGCCTTATCGCTGTTTCACGGCGCTGGCGCGGCCTTTGATAGACGGCCGCTACACCAAAGGGCTCCACTTCAGACAGCATGTTATGACTACTGCCTCCTGTATCGCACCTTGTGTATGTCCCTCCGGAACTCCAAACCTACTAAACCGATAAAAACGTGCTTAAGAGATGCTTAGGCCAGTGCCTGTCTAGCCCCCGGGCCAATTGCAGGAGCTCCCGGCTGGTATCCACTAAAGATCTTGCCTCATTTATGTACAGAGCGTTAACGGGATAAAGAAAAGGTTACGCGAAGACACGTACCGAATTGCTGTAGTCGCGCATCCCTATCCATGCTCATTGCGCCAGATTGATCCGCCAGCAAATGACGTGGATGCTTTGAATCTTTCCTCATGCGATCCCATTATCTGACCGACGCACCAGCATGAGGCAAGCCCAGCTTGTGCCAGCAGCGTTGATCGAAGGGGTGGTCCCAACATGTATATCAGCCTCCCACGCTCCCGTGGGGAGGCGTTCTACTAAACTATCTCTTCCTCACTTCTTCCCGTTCCATTGCTACCCTACCCCATTATCCCAACATATCTCGTAATGGCTCCCTCAGCGTTGGCAGACATCTATCCAATCCCAGCGAGGCACTACTCCAAGTCGTCGACCGTAGTAGCATCTGTCTTGCATGGGCCAAGGGATTTGCGGCTCGTATGCCTTCCCCTTCCGTTACACATCCCACACTTGCCCACCATTCGTGGGGGTGTTTGATGTGAATGAGCATCTAAGACATGAGGCTAACCATTCGAAACAGGAAACTCGTACCATCTCAGACCCTGGTCCCAATGAACTCCAGATCGCTATCAAAGCTACTGGTATCTGCGGGAGCGATTGTTCCTACTTCAACAAGTTCCGCAATGGTGATCTGTGTGCCGTTGAGCCGCTTTCACTAGGCCACGAGTCCGCTGGGGTTGTAGTCGCCATCGGTCAGAATGTTGCCGGCTACCAGATTGGCGAGCGGGTAGCTTTGGAGGTTGGCGTACCGTGTGACAATTGCAGATCATGTCAACGAGGCCGGTACAATCTGTGCCCGCAGATGAGATTCCGAAGTAGCGCCAAATCTGTGCCTCACTTCCAGGGAACTCTTCAGGAACGCATCAACCATCCCGCAAAATGGTGCCACAAGTATGCATGATCTACCCGCAAAACTCAACATTAGCTGATAACCTTATCTAGACTTCCTTCGCATGTTTCCATGGAGTCTGCTGCCCTTTTGGAGCCGCTTTCCGTCGCCATTCACGCAACAAGAAAAGCCCAGATTGAACAGGGTGACACTGCCCTCGTTTTCGGTGCCGGCACAGTTGGATTATTGACTGCTGCAATGGCCAAGCTCTCTGGTGCCACGACCGTTGTGATCGCAGATATCGACTATGGACGAATAAACTACGCCCTCTCGAATGGCTTCGCGCACAAGGGATATATCGTAACGCCTCGAAAGAACGCCAATGAGACTGCCGAGAAGCTCGCAATTGCGAAAGAATTGGCTGCAGATGTCATGCAAATTGCTTCGTTGAACGATATCGACTTTGAGGGCGTAGATGTGACCTTTGACTGTACCGGAAAGGAGATATGTATGCAGGCTGGACTATACGTAAGTCACTCCACCACCATGCTAGAGTCTCTACCTGACGCTCGGTATAGGCAACAAGACCTGGTGGAAAACTCGTCATGGTCGGCATGGGTACTCCCATTCAGACTCTTCCCATGTCAGCTTCTCACCTGAAGGAGGTCGACATTATTGGGATTTTTCGCTACGCCAACACCTATCCAACAGGGATTAAGATAATTTCCGCTGGTGTCCTACCAAGTCTCGACAATATGATCACGCATCGATTCAAGGGCCTCGCAGCTGTGAAGGAAGCTTTCGAACACGCTGGTAAGACAGTCGACAAAGATGGAAATCTGGTCTTGAAGGTCCTTGTGGAGATGTAAAGGACCTTCCAAATCCTGCGTCACAAAAAGACGACATGTAATACTGTACATCCGCTTTCCCGTGCTCTCATTGAAGCCCAGTAGAACGAAATAGAGGTAGCAGCTGATGTATCAGCGGCAATGGCTTGGCGTTTTAAGACAGCTTTCGTTTTTGGCTTCGGAGTTCATTGTTACACGGAATTGGTCCAAATAGAAGACCCGGGGTTCTTGGTGGAGACAGAGGGCTTAACTGTAACTGAACTGGTAGATTGGGTAATGACGTAGATTATCAGATGTTGAGGTTCGTTACTCATTCACCCTGTTGTGCACTGACCCTATGTCGGGATACACTTAGAGACTTTCTAGCAAGTGTAGAGAAGAGAGGATTTATAGTTCTCGAGACATAGTAGTTTACCACATTTTGGGCGACAAACAACTGACAAAAACTTAATATCTCAAATGGCTTGAATTTTCCCCCTAAGACTCTAGCTATCGGCTAAGCGGGGTATTCATTTTAGCAGGTCCAGAAGGACAAGAAATTTGGAAGGCGCACCAAACTCGAAACATGCTTTTGCATCGAGAAGCCTCTGCAATTTAAGCAGGTGAAGCGCCTTATTGAATGAACGGTACAAATCTATCGCCAACAAAAACCGCCTTCTCCGCCACCCCTAATAAGGCGATCATCTTTCAATCGACTAGCACCACCGAAGATCTCGAGACCAGACGAGATTTACCGCGACCGCACTCCCAAACCAAGCAAGACCCACCCACAATTGGGGAGACGCCCAAGCTCGATGCTAATGCCACCGCTCATACCACCCCCTTCAGATCGATCCATGTCAATGCCCGCATCTGCGCAAGCTCCAGGGTTTCAAAATGCACCAAAACCCCGTGCCTCCAACTTACACATCCCGATGCCTCGGTACCCTTACTAAGGACCCTATTCTCCTCAGGTCTACAACTCACCACAACCGCTATACCTGCCAAACGTAGTCTAGAACAACCCAAACCTACTGCCACACCTTTAGCCGCAGCACTTTGGAATGCCGCAGTCGCCTTTGAGGTAAACACATCTTAACCCACCAAAAGCGAGGTCGAGGTATGAGGACGACTTGACCACGTCTGAATCCGATAGTGGGGAGGATAGGCGGAGCCGAAGATCGAAGTCGCGAAACAGGTATTCTGTGGAGCAGAAGAACAAGAGTCATCACAAAAGTAGGGCTGCAGGGGTGTTGATGGGAGTTGGGGGGTTGACGGCTTTGCTTGATGGTTTGAGCGGGCTGTACCGGTAGGCTTTGTACGTTATTCGATTTAAAATCAAATGCTAATAAAAATACTGTTACAATTAACTGAATATACTTATCTGTTTAAATTGTGGTTTATTGAAGTTAGATAATTGCATGGTGAGTTCCGCGCTCGGTTTATAGGGACTCTGACTAACCGAGAATGTAGTCTACTACTCGGCGTTGACGGCAAAGGTCCTATTTGGGAAATAGCCGTCTGCAGCTTATGCAAGCAAGTGTTATATCCGCGTGGCTGACGACCTTCATCAACACCGCATTACCTTTTGTTTGAAAACAAAGCATGCAATGCGGCCGGACATCTTGGTTTATGTATGAGTTTTTGGAAAGTTAAATGATTGTTTTCCAAATCCCCCTTGGCATCAAATCAAGCGCTCCATCTCAAACTGCACAATGTCCAACTTGGATTGGGGATCCAGTGGAGCGCCGTCTTTCACCAAAATTATCTTCTCCGACGTGTACCCAGCCATTGACCCCAGCAATACCACTCTACCAACCGGATTCTCAGTCTGTATCATCGGGGCATCGCGAGGCATCGGAGCCGGTATAGCCACCAGCTACGCCAAAGCCGGCGCATCCCTCATCATCCTCGCCGGCCGGCGAACAAGCGGTCTAGAGGACGTAGCGCAGCAGTGCAAGCAAACCGGCAAAGCAAAAGACATACAAGTACTAGTGATACGATGCGACCTGACGATCCCATCCGACGTCGAATTCCTCGCGGCCCAAACGCGTGAATCCTACCCTAGCGGCCTCGACGTGCTGGCGCTGAACTCCGGCGTCACCGAATTCGTGGCCAAAATCGTCGATACGCCAACAGACCAGATTATCAACACGACGGCTGTCAACTACGTGGGAACGTTTCTCGTCGCCAAGAACTTCGTGCCGCTGCTGCTGGCCAAGGACAAAGGGGCCAAAATGTTTGCCGTCGTGGGAAGTATGGCGTCGCTACTTGTGCGCGGTCCAATTGCGAATGCGCAGTACTGCGTTAGTAAGACGGCGCAGTTGAGGCTGGCAGAGCTGCTTCATGAGGAATTTCATGTTGCACATGGACTCCGCGTGTTCTGTGCGCATCCGGGAGCTGTTGCTAGTGAGCAGAGCAACGCCAAGTCGCCGGATGAGTTCAAGTCGTATTTGACAGATAGTGCGGAGCTTTGCGGAGCGTTTTTTGTATGGTTGTCGACACGGGGCGAGGAGGTTGCGTGGTTGAGTGGGAGGCTGTTGAGTGCTAAGTGGGATGTGGTTGAGCTTGAGAGGAGGAGGGATGAGATTGTTGCGAATGACTTGCTCAAGTTGAAACTTGTGTTGTGATATACTAGTTTAGGAGTACATGCATCGTCAGGTGGAAAGTCTGGACGTAGTGGCATGAAGTCACTAGAAATGAGTCAGGCTTTGTCTGCCCAGTGCTCACGACTGAATAATTGCTCGAACTGTTTTATGTCCTAAAATAGCCTCTTGGAGGCCATAGAGACAGAATAAGCTCTAGAAATGCGGTGCTGCAACACCTATCGGAGAGAGCCTACTCTATGGGTGGTTGCCTTTCGGCCCATCTTGAAGAAAATATCCGCCATTTGATGGTTCCTTGTGTCCACGACTGATTGATTGGTTGGTTGGTATTATTTTTCGTCCGAAGGACAGTAGCTACCTACCGGCCTAAGGCCTCCCTCAGGGCATTGGGACGTGAATAGAAGTAGAATTATAGTGCTATTATACTACTACTAAGTGCATTTCTTAGTCCCGCAAGGGTTGCCTGTGACTATCTATATATTAGCTCCCCCTCTAGGCAGGGAGACTGTGCTGTTACATTGCTAGGAAGTGTGTCTACGACTGAGGGTACTCGTATGACTCAATATAGACTAGCTGCGTCATTATCAGGTTTTCACAGGTCGCGAATTGAAATAGACTCAATCAAAAAGAGAAAGGAAGGCTCGAGGATCTTGTGTAGATACAAAACAATAATGAAGAAGCAAAACATGTAATAAAATTAAGGTCTTATCCCATCTATAAATTGCTTTCTATGTTCTCTAAAGCTTGCACATAATCTAGAAAGGAAAGAGAAAAAATGAGCTGGCGGTATAATCTAATACTGTACGACTCTCTCCAACAGGTGGTCAAAAATCAATCAAGTTTGAAGCCACCCGGCAGCAACTTCTGAAAGACGGGTTGAGAATCTATCAAATTGTTAGCCGAAAGGAACGACAGGCGAGTGGGGGGGATGGTCATGATCAAAGCGTTTTAAGATTATACATACCATAGCGGTTGCGAATCTGCTTCAATCTTTTCAACGAACTGCCGTCCTTGCCAAACGTCTTGAAAGGCTTCTCGCTAAGGGACGCGTCGTTGATATATACTACCGGGTAGTACAAGCCCTTGGCCTTGCTCTTCTTCACGAGAGTATCGAGGAAGTACTTGCTGTACTTGTAGACCAACTCATCGTCCTCTTCGTGGTCCCAAGCCGATCCAATCAGGTTCACTGTGGGAAAAGAAAAGAAAAGGTTACCAGGTTTAGGGTGACCTTCAATTGAGGGAAAATCTTACTGAGAACGCCTTGATTTCCTGGCTCGAAGTCCATGGGATCTCCACCGGAAGCTCGAGCTGTCTCGAGGAAGTGCTTGCTAAGGAGTTGGGGGCTCATGGTTAGGGTGAGATTCTGGACATTTGCTAACTTGGGCATATCTTTGAGGGTCTTCCAGAACGTCTCGTTAGTCATGCGAACAGAGTCTGGACCGGCTTTGGTCCCGATGGCCATGAATAGTTGTCTGTGTAGAGGCAAACGAAGTTATCAACCTAAACATCTTGTAGTCGCAACATATATAGCACAAGTGAACCTACCTCTGGTTGCGATCACCGGTGGCGATTGTCAAACCCAGCGCCGACGCCAGCGTTTCGTGAATTCCATTCGTCGTCGAGAGGGTAGGGATTCGAGAAAAGTTCGCAAATGCAGCAGGTTTATTTTCCGAGCCAACACGGTATCCAATAAGTAGAGGGTTGATAGCGCCCGTGGCTGGCACAACTTGGATGGATGGAGTGATAGCCGAATCGATGTCGTCGGAGCCACCGCCAACAATCGAGTAACTCGCTGCAGCATCCATGATTGCGGCAAGATGTCGACTCTCATAGGTTGATTGTCCTCCGTAGAGCTGACCCAAGGGGAACGTCTTCACATCGAACCGAGTGACAATACCAAAATTGTTCGATCCACCCTTCAAGGCCCAGAAAAGATCCGGGTTCTCGTTGGCGTTGGCGTTCACAATGGTGCTATTCGCCAACACAACCTCGAGGTTGGCGAGCTGGTTGCTGGCCCAGCCGATTCGGGATCCGAAAAAGCTGATGCCACCACCAAGGAGCAAGCCGGAGACACCAACTGGGGCGAATCGGCCGCCAGCCACGCCCAGGCCGAAGGTGCTAATCCAGTTGTAGACTTCGAGCCATCTCAGCCCTGGATCAAGCTGGGCAACAGTTTGGTTCTGGGTAAGCTGCATCTTGTTAAGGTTGGTCATGGAAAATAGAACACCGTCGTCGATATTGGATGCACCGGGGACCGGCATGTGACCACCACCGCGAACGGCAAACTTGGTCTTGTACTTGACAACGATGGCTAGACCGCCAGCGACGTCCTCCTTGTTTGCCGGCTCAAACACGCAGCCAGGCGAGAGCTGTGCGGCCATAGACCAGTTTTCTGGATTGATCTGTCAGTATGGGCTATAGTGTAGTAGGTGCGAAGATTACTGACCCGCTGCAACCGTTTCACAGTGTTGACTCCTCTTCAGTGCAACTTTGCTGCCATATTTCTGCTGAAGTGCCTGGCAGGTCTTAGCTACAGCCGGGTCTGGCTTTGGATTTCCGGGTAGTCCGAAGGAAGTATCATTGGTATTTGCTTTCTCTATCACCAAAGGAGAAGCAAGTGGAGCAAAGCTAGCAAGTAAGTAAATACTGCTAGAACAGCTCAGCTAGTCCACAAATGACAAAGGCTAGGCTATAATGTACCGAAGGCGTTGGAGGCGTAGATACATGGACGGCGCATCGTTGTATACGCTCGGTCTGTTAGGCGACATTGTTAAGTTGCGAGTCTTAAAAGAGGCGCTTAAGCAGATTACTAGCTTTTTATTCTGCTGCTATAGGCAGCAGCATTGCTATTACATGGCTAGAATTAGTTCTATAGTTCTGCAACTAGGTTTTGCGTCGCAGTACTGTACCGTTTATTTTATTGCAATAGTGCTTTTACAATTTGCAGAAAGCTTTTAAGCTTTACAACTTATTCTTCTCTCTCTCGTAGATACATGAGAAGAAATAAAGCCAATGAGAGGCGAGACTTGGGCTTTTATGGGAACTGGCGCAGTTTTCGCCACTAAATGCTACCCTGAAGGCGATTATGGCGGTGGCTACATAGTTGCATACTGTTGAAGCCGAGTAGACTCAAGGATCGGATTGAATTGTGAGTCTACTGATCAGGTTCATGGTGTTATTATGTAGGCAAGCTTATATTCTGTTTACTCTGTGTGATCGGCCAGGAGCTCCATTTATCCGTCCTGTGTACTGTGATCAAGCATCGGGTGGAATTCAAGCATTAGATCCTGGAGCACATGCATATTGGCAGCTGCAATATTCATAACGGCTGTGTATCAGATAAGAAGCCGTGTCATCACCATGAACTAACCAATCCTGTGATTCTTAGCATAGTAATGTCCGCAAGGAGTGCGTTCCGAGGATGAGTGGCTTATATGCGGGTGGGGGGTAATCCAGCTGCATTTGGTGTATTTGAGCTAAGTATAGGTTTCCTTTTTCATGCACACGTCGGATCAGATTACTGACAAAAGATGACATGTAATTATAGAATCCTATTGAAAGACCAAGGGGAAGCGGCAAATCCGCCTTGGGAGTTCCAGGCCCGTAATAAGTTGCACGAAGCAGGACTAGTGTTGGAACTGCTGGTGCGGAATCCCGGTCAGCGGGATGTCAGCATGTGGGCACGCACGCACGCATGCACCCTTCAAAGCTTTGGAGATATTGGGTAAAGCATGCGCTCCTTATCTTTGAGTCTACCTCAAAATCGAAAGGTAAGCAGCCGTGGAACACGGAAGGATTATGAGATATGTATAGCCGTCGTCACATGGAAGTATTGCCAATATCGGCGACGAAATGTAGGAAATTTGAATTTCGCCCCTGTATATGTCGAACCAGATTCAGAGCGGTCGGTTCCTGACTGCACCACTCTGCCGGGGCTTATTTACTCCTTCCTCTGCCGCCCAGTTGGGCTGCCAGGCATCCCCTGTTGCCGCGTCATGTCATCCTATTTCGGGAAAGATCATTCTACCTTAATTCGGTATAAGAATGAGCTAATGAGCATCGATTCCTATTGCAACATCGATACGATTTGATTTTCAATGACGACTTCAATCCGAATCCTTGGGCTGCACGCGATCAAAAGCTTGTCTACTTCAGGCCGAGGGACGGAGGAGAATCCCACTGCAGGGTACTCGGGACCAAACTGGGGTCGCTCATTGAGAACCCGAGTAGCCCAAGGCCTTTAGGGTACTCATACCAATGGGGGCCGGGTTCGAACAAGAATCACGTGTAAATTCCCACATGAATTACCGGTACTTCACTATCTCACCAAAGGATTGCTTGATGATTGCCGGTTATTGACAGACTTTTCTAGTGGAATCATGATCGTAGAAAACGATTGTAGGTATCGAACAAATGTATTTGCAATCATTCTCAGAAAAGCTCCTGTTCTCATGTATAAGTAGGAAGATACTACATAGAAGAGCGACTAAGAAAGCTGTAGCGTCTTCTGGGTTAGCTCCCAAAGCTTCGTCTCTTTAGCCTCATCGTGCGCGTAGTCCTTGCAACCCGAGAGAGTGGGCATGAAGGTCGCTTCATCTTTGTTCGCTACCGCACAATCCTCTAAGTATTCCCCGCCCTTGCCCTCCCACTCCTTGCCTATGGCAGCAAGGACGGTGGTCGCAGCGCCCTGCTCTCGGCTCTTCACCCACTTGGACAAGACTGGGTGCTGCTTGAAAGCCTCGATCATCTCCGGTGGCGTGTGCTTGGCCAAACCGGTGTCGATGATACCACCCGGCATCAGGCTAAGAGCGTGGAGGCCCTTGGCGCCGAAATTCCGATCGACGTAGTTGGCCTGGTAGATCTGGGCGAGCTTGGACTGGCCGTATGAAACGGAGGGGTCGTAAGACTTCTCCAAGTTGAAGTCGTCCCAGACGATCTCGGATGATTGATGTCCCGAGCTAGAAACGTTCACGAGTCTGGATTGAAACTCGGGCCTCGACGACTTGATCAAGGCGTCCTTGAGCAGCCAGAACAGTAGGAAGTGACCGAGGTAGTTCACGGCGAGCTGCATCTCGAATCCATCCTCGCTCACCTCACGTGTCGGAATGGCCATGACACCAGCGTTGCAGACGAGGACGTTGAGCTTTTTCGACTTCTCTAGAAAAGCGGCAGCACAAGCGCGGACAGATTTGTGGCTAGCCACATCAAGCTCAATCAGCTCAACGCGACCGGGCTCAAGGAATGACTTGCATGCCTCCCCGCCCTTCTTGACGTCGCGGACGGCTAGGAACACATGAGCGCCTGTGGCGGCGAGAGCGCGGCCAGTCTCAATGCCAATGCCCGATGAGGCACCAGTTACGAGGAAGGCCTTGTCACTCAAGGCACCCTCGAGGCCCTCGTCTTTGACGATTTGGAGGGCAGTGGGGCGAGCGTCGCCGGCACCGTTTGATTTGGCGTGGGCTTGTGCGTAGCGAGACATGATGACAAAGTGTGAGGTGTAGATAGGACGGGAAAAGACTGGGACGAGCAAGGATAGTCAGAGGCTAGTACTAGTGATTGTATGAGTCTGTGATATGTGTGTGGCAGATTGATAGTGTCGAGCCTGCGGCAGGGAGAGTCTTAAGAATACTGGAAGGCCGAAGGTTGGATGATGGAAACAGTTGCTCGGGTCGAGAGTTTGTAAGCACGTTGTTGCGGGATGCAATTATTATGCACACATAGTTTGGTGCTATTGGACCAGGCTCTGATATTCCCGGTTGGGCGTTCTTGAGGCGTGTACATGTAACCGGACTCCCGGAGGATGATGTTCCTCAAACCGCCCCTTGGTGCCATCAGGAGATCAAAATCAACGTGACGAATAGGAATAGTCTGATAGTCTCCACAACACGATTGGCCAACAGAGCCGGGATCAAAGATAAGTGGGATTATATACTTCGGATTGATCAAAACCATGTTGGATTTCAGACGGCAAGGGATATCCCTTGCTGAGGCGGATTTGCTAGAATGTAACAGGCCAGGAGATAAGCTCTGCTCTGCGGCTTTAAGAACTAGGCTGTATTTGGCTCGGTCAACGGCTGATTGCAGCTAGCTGTTTCGGGGCAGCGGTGCATGTTACACTGAGGCGGATTCGCTAGATTAGGACAGGCCGGGAGATACGCTTTGTTCTGTGGCTTCAACAAGTAAGCTGTAATTGGCTCGGTCGAAAACTGACTGCAATCAATAGCTGACTGCAGCCAAATGTGCAAATTTTACGAAGTGCACTCTGTTAAATCCACCGCCGAGCCGTCTTTAGAATACGGTGGTAAGATCGGTTATGGTTTCAACTTCAGGCGGAGTGAACATGCATCCGAGAATAGCAAGCGCCGTTGGTACAGATAGGCAGAGAGCCTCCATCCAGCGACAATAGCGAATGGCATGATTACACTTAGAACAGAAAAGGTAAGGCTAGGCTAGATTAAAGATCACAATGGTCCATAGGTTCTACTTCATCGTTTCATTTTCATCTCTTTAGAATTCCGTGAGATGCAGGCTCTTAGTGCTCAAGATCTCCATCATGACTTTACCAAACTCATACCAAATCACACCCTTAGACGAAATCACACCTCCACTTTTCTTTGGAAAAATCTACGCTTTCCCGTGTCACGGCGATCGACGAGAGTTAACTCTCCGTGTCCTCCAACAAGGTTATACCGAGCTACTGCGAACGTGGCCCTATCTCGGATGGGATATAGTCCGCAATCACTGCTCGGCCTCGCGTCCAGGCCAAGCGACTCTAGTTCCTCTAGAAAAAGAAGTTGATACGAAACTATCATGTTTTGATCTTTCGGAACCCTCAAGCGGCTGGAAACATAGTTATGCGGAGGTACTCGAAGCTGGTCTGCCCCCGAGCTGGCTTGACGCCGCCGTATTCGCTTCGTACGCCGCAGGTGTTGCGACTACCACCAAGCCCTTCAAGGTTCAAGTCAACTGGATCCCGGGGGGCTGTCTGTTGACTACTTGTTTCTCACATGCTGTTGTGGACGGTAACGGAATTTCTAATATTATCCAGACCTGGGCTCGACTATGCCGCGAGATCCAGGGAGTGTGCGCAAAGGACAGAAAAACTGTTTGCAAGATGTCAAGATCCAATTCAGATACATGTGTCACTGTCGCAGCAATTTCGAGGTCGGATTCTTCATTGGATGCGTTGAAGACGCGAACGGAACTGTGGAATCTCCTTGGGCTTGATGGCCAGAACAGCTTGAACCCACGCCCAGACGCCCCGAGTACGCCTCTATTCATACCGACAGCCGGTCATCGTTAGCTTTCTTACCTGTGATAATGGCTACCTTGCCATCAAGTCTCGGAAGAGAGGCTCCGTCGATTTTCACATCAGCCATTTTCCGAATGCACTTTTTCTGTAGCCAACTGTGGTTTTCGAAGTAGGTGAGAAAGTTGGCCACAGAGAGACTACATATATAATTTGCATCGAAAGGTTCGCGTCGGGCATTACTCGATTCATTAAAACCCCGCCGAGCACGCCTCTTCAGGAGAAACTACCTATCCCTAGATTACCATCACGTCTGGAAAGGTTCGAAGTGGTACAGGAGCGAAGACGGGACTATTCATTGTGCCTTAAAATCATAGTGATTCTGCTGAGTGGGTGCTTCCTTGCCTCTTGGCTGATAGCTTTTCCGACCTGAGGCAAGCATCAAGCCATTAACACTCACCCACCGACGATCATTGTCCTGATTTTTCAATACTGCAGCCCTAGAAACCCCGTCGTAGCCACCTCCCGGTATTTTCATTGATAACAGTTATTGATTTCTTCGAAATTGGTATCATTATTCGAGTCTCTATCTCGCTTTCGACACAAAAGGCGGAGTCCTGACCGGTTTCACTCGTACATGTAGCTGCGGCTTTGACCACAAAGTGTACATGCGCGAGTCACCATGCCAGTCCGGAACCGGGTCTGCGAATTCCATATCAAATGTCCATAGAATCTTAGCCAAAGTTGTTCGCATTTCCATCCAACCCAGACTGTCGTGATCCAGTTAGCCGAATTGTGCGTACACTACCTAAGAATACATGTTTGATGTGCTTACCTTTTGCCCAGACATCCCCTGGCTCCTAAAGAGAACGGCTGGCTCGCCTCAAGCACGTCTTTCGGTGACTCCGTCAACCACCGTTTTGGTTTAAACGTAAAAGGCTCGCTGAAATTGGCCGGGTCCAGACTAGCTCCCACGGGGCTCGTCGAAACTACCATCTGCGATACTTTTTGTCAGCTCACCAGCTTTATAATGCTAACTTATCCTTAGGAACATCTTACCCCTTCCGGCAAAAGATGCCCATCGACCGAGCCGCCGCCCTCAGGCACCAGCCGCGGCAGCGAGAACGGCAGCGGTGCGTACATGCGCATAGCCTCGAGACACACAGCGTTAAGGTAGCGCAGGGGCCGGGTCGATATGTCCGAGATGGCCGAGTACTCGTCAAAGGTGCTGCGGATCTCGTTCTGCAACTGCGCCATGATGTGTGGGTTCTTGAGCAAGTAGAATGTCATGCATGCCAGCACCGTCGAAGTCGTCTCGCTACCGGCGAGGACGAAATCTGATGCGTGCGCGGCTAGTTCGAGGTCCGACGTTTGTTTTTTCTCGAGGTCGCGGTGCTCGAGAATGCGTGTCATGAAGTCCCGACGTCTTGTGCGGCGGCTGATACGCCTGTTTTTTCGGTTGTTAGTACCGGTACCTTCCTGCGTAATTTAGGCAAAAGTGCTACTCACCGGTTCAACAAATCAATCGCCATATCTTCGTTTCTCTTGGTTCCGTCTGTAAGCTCGGCGATTTTACTACTCAGCACCCACTTGACCACTTTGGCCATGCCCGGAAAGCGCTTCATCGTGTCTGCTAGTGCACCCTGCGTCAGCGCGCCAAGCGTGATCTCGATCCAAGGGTGCGGGTTCTCTGTGGTCGATCAGTCACAATTCCTGAGCCGTAAATTCATCAAGGGGTAACAAAAACCCATACTGTTTCCCAAAGCTTGGAAGGTTTCCCCAAAAGCTAAGTCACCAATGATGTCAAAGGCCATCATCTCGTATGCCTTTCCGATATTGATGGAAGCTCCAGAGTTGGCCCCTTGTTCCCAGACCACCTGCACGAGGCGGTCGACCGTCTTGGCAACAAGCTCCTCCTGCTCCAGAAGCGACGTGTTGGAGAAGGCGTGGGCCAGAAGCCGGCGCATCTGACCGTGCACCGCTGGATCGCGCTCACTCACGATGGAGTGCACACCGCGGGCGGCGAAGCTGCCGCCGTCGTAAAACTCGCTTTTCACGAAGGGCTTGTGGCCCTGGCGGAACCCGTAAATGTCTTTCCATGACTGTGCGGAGTTGAACGAGAGTTCGTTCGGGGCTACTCGTACCACGGGTCCTTTTCTTTTGTGAGTTGTCTCGTCCAAAAGTGTGTAGGGAGACGAGGTGCGCACCATATTTGCGATGCAGGTCAAGCACTTTGTACGGCTGTGAGCCGCCGAGAAACCACCATGAATAGGCAATCTGAAGAAGACCGTCAGCGTCGTGAAGCCGTAAAGACATTCCGTGATATCTGTTGTCTACATACGTGGCTTGCGGCAGCGTGCTTAGGTCCTGGGAACCGGCTTAACGGATGGAAGTATAGATTGTAGATGATGGTGTAAACCCAAGAGATAATGACCTGAAACCCATTGAATTAGACCCGTGTTGGCTGTCTCGATAATTTTGATTGTAACATCATCAAAACTAGCGGAAAGATTTAAAATGGTGCCCTACTACCTTGAGTGCAAGTAGGCCAACGAAGAATGTTGCTGTGATGAGGCGAGACATTATGATGGCTCGGGGATGCACGAGACCCCAACAGCTTTACATGGGATTCGAGCTCTACTCTCCATATTAGATGAGATTCAACGAAGACAATAAGAGTACTGCGTGATAGACCTACTAAACGACCCACGCATGGTATTTCCCAAACCCTAACCCTGATGCCACTCTTTCCCACTTTTCTTTAGCTTATCCCCCCGACGCCCAGATAAGAGTCGGAGAGACCGTGATCGGCGCCTGGCCTGGCAAACGGGAGTTGCAACCTCCTTGGCATTTGGCCGATTGACCGGAAGTCTGTTTACGGCATTCCATCGGTGGAAGGCATTAGAGGAACGCCTCGGTCCTCAAAACACAGGCGAAACAGGCAAGTGCCGGCATTGCCACAACCACATATAGAAATGTGTGTCCCTATCTATACGGCACATGCTTCTGGCCTTTGCTTTAGGGACTCCGGGACTTCGGCCCTTCTCAAAATGCACGTAATAGGTTAGCGTTCAGACTTAAAGTAAGATAAGCTTACAGCGAGCACTTTCTCTCCGCACGAGCGGCTTATCTATCGATGTGCAGATGACCCTAAAGTACGAAAAGCTACTTCTCCAGCTTACGGTACCCGCTTACGGGTTCCACCTTCCGCATTTCACCCGCATATGGGCCCCACTTTCCGCTACGGCGCGCACGCGCCGTGCCGCGCTGCATGGAGGATTTGGCGACCGGTCAATCTGACGTAAGTCCAGAAGGTCTCTATTTCAACATATTTACGGAGGGTTATGGACTCACTTGAGTGGCCATCAAGCGACCAGGTACGGAAAAACGCACGGCCAAGCATCTCATCGTTGATAACGTCTCTGCTTACATGCACCCTGTGTATTTTTATCGACAGCTTCTTCTTTCGCTATCTACCTTCCCATGTTGCGGAGAGTATCTAGACTTCTGGTGACGAATCTACTACATACCGTGAGGCGGTGCGTCAGCGTGTCGGACTGAAAACGCGACGAAACCTGATGCAACCTTTGAGCTACTGTTTGGAGGCGACGTAACTGCACCCCCAATAGGCAGTTTATCAAGACGACGTATTCCTCCGCCGAATCCACCATGTAATCGCCGAGACTGAGCGATGAGGTGGGACCCCTGATAGGAGCATGTACAATGCTATGGCACAGGCGAGCGAGCTTGTCAATCAGCATAGTCAATATTAGCATATTCTCGACCCGTCCTATGCACTCGGTACAGCTGAGCATGTTGGTGCCGTTGGAAAGTGCTTCCTTGTATAGGACCAGCAGTTCGTTGACCGATTTCTCCATCGGACTGTCATCCTCCACGTTGAGCTTATCCATTACCATGAGGACGCGGTAAAGGCACTGGCAAGTTGTGTGCGATCGGAACCCCCCTTCCGCTGATCTAGTCTCGTCCCCCGTCGGGTTGGAGGGCGACCGGACGGGCGGCAAGAAGGTCTGATGCAAGAGCATAGTTGATGATGCTAGATCTAGCACAATGTCGGATGGGTTTTCTCTTGCGCCCAGATCCCCAACAAAGGTGTTTTCATCGTGGAGAATGGGATCTTCTGGCATATCGACATCAGCGAAGAAGTCTATGCTTGGCGGCTGGGCTTCTAATCAGCTCAAATCATCGTGCTCCTGTTGCTGTAACTGCTGCTGTTGTTGAGACTGAGATTGCAATTGTTCTTGTTGTGACACTAGCGGATGCTGTAGCTCCATGCTCGAATGAGAAAGATGATGTCGACACTGCTGTGGAGGACGTTGTCGTCGAAGTGCTGGATGCCTTCTGTGTGTCCGAGTGGTCCATGGACTTAGGGGAGGCGGTTGTGGCGCTTGAATCTCCAGTCCGTTTCCGCCTGACGGTATCGGTGTAATTGCATTCTAGTCCTTGCGTCTTGCAGCGCTGGCAACCGCTTTTGTCTCCGTTGCATCTCAGCTTTTTTACTCGACATAATGAGCATGCCTTTACGCCGGTTGTCCTTCTCGTAACGGGGTCAAAAGGAATTTCCTGGGCGGCAAGGACAACATCCTCGTCTTTGGGATCACATTTCCAGGAGGTAAACATATTAATCTAGCTGTACTGGAAGATTTGTTGTTGTACTTTGGTAATCCTTCAAGTTTGATTCAAGCCTCTATAGGAACCCTTGCTGCTGGTCTCGGGTAGATAAGATCTTCCTACAATCTTCGGATAAACTTTTCGTCAGGACCTTTCGTCTGGACGTTGACTATCTTGCTAACGGTAAAAGGTGCCAATCACTCGTTGACTTATTTATGGGTAGTATCACCTTATATAAGTATTTATGCTCACTGCGTCCTCTTTGCATCTGATAGATTGTCCTTCAGCCTTCTTCTGTATTTGCCATTACTGTGGTACCAGGCAAATGTAGTGTCGGTGGGGTGACATTTACAGGGATTTGAGAGGACAGTCCGCTCGGATTTCAGAAGCACTGTAACGATTAAGATTACATGCTAATCTATACTAATTTGTATAAAACCTAATGCGTTTCTAAGCTTATAGATTTTATTGCCTATATAGCTTACTTACCTATAAGGTACGTTATACTATTTCTAAACTAAAAGTGTATACTTCTAATCATTTCAATCTACCCAGCAAAGAAAGTATGTATTACGCCAAAGTGTGCATCAATGCACACAAGCCTGGTAGCGATAGTAGTTTCCGTTATCTGCAGATCGCTCCCGTTAGCGCATTGTTTTCGTTCCCTTTTCGTCCTATCCATTGGTGAGCCTACCAAGCAACATATGTCTTGGCATGTATGTCAGACTCGGCTGCATATCTTGTTGGTTGCGTGGCTTTTATCCTTAGCGTCGTTTGAAGAGCACCAAAGTCGAGTGATCCGGTAAGTACTGGGTCTCAAACACCAAGCTCAGCGGTCTTGTTTGTCCCTCCTTGAACTTCATGTCGTAGTTCTCCAATAGGAAGACCATGATGGCCTTGATCTCCTGCGCGGCGAAGAAACAGCTATATATGCGGGAGTCATTGGTCAGCCATATGCACTACACTACATCTAACTGGAGGAAATGTAACCCACCCAGGACATGCATAACGGCCGAAACCAAAGGCCATACTATTAGGATTTGATGCCACGTACTGCCCTTTCCCCTCCATGCTGGGGTCTTCCTGTCGAAGCTTGGCGAAACAGAAGCCGTCAAACTTCTCCGGTTTAGGATAGAGTCCCGGATCCATGGTGATTGCATGCGTGGGTATGCCGATCATTGTGTTTGCAGGGATGACAAAGCCGTTGGACAGCGTTAGCTTCTTAAGAGGATTTTCAAAGCGCCTGCGCCCTAGTTAAGCTATCGCTGGTTTCTGTAAAAGTACTTTAAGTGCAAAAGTATTTATAATTATATTAATTTTTCTAAAATAAATTAAAATAATTGCTAACTAACATATTACACAGGCAAGTTAATTGCCTAGTTAAGTTAATTACAATACTAAAATTTTATTAAAATTAGTAGTCTTTTACTATTAAACGCAATGCTTTAATATAATAATATACAATTTTTTTAAAAAAAAAATTAAATATAGCTTGCAGTTTAAGCTTTAAAATATAATGTAAATTTTTTTTAATAAAAAGCTGCGCAAATCTATAGTATTTTTTAAATAATATTTAGTAATTAACTAAAAAAAAAGCTTTTATAATATAATACTAGGCTTAATAAAATAAAGCTTTTTTTAATAAAAAAAAAATAATTATTTAGTATATACTTTACTTTAAAAACTAAAGATTTCTGCCCTAACTAGCTGCTATAAATAATATAGCTAATATTTTACTAGCTAAATATAAATAATTATTTATTAGTAAAAACTAGGCTAGTATATTTATTAAATAATATTTACAGCTTAGTACTAAAACTTTTTAAAAGTATAATTATTAAAAAGCTTTATATAAAAATCTTAAGCTTATATAAAACTAGTTTTAATTTATAAAAAATATAAAAGCTAAGTATAATATTTAAAATAAAAATATATACAATTTTAATAAAACAGGCTTTATAATAGGCTAAATATTATATAAAACTATTATTTTAAGTGCTAATTATTAAAAATAGCTAAAAATAGTATAGTAAAGTAATTAAAAATAAGTAATAGTAATTTAAAGTATTAATATAATAAAATAAATTATTTTATTTTTTATTATTTTTGCAAGCAAAAACTACTTTTTAGTTTAATATAAAAAAAATAGCCTATTTTATAATTAAATTATTGCAGTTTCTAAAAATAGCTAAATAATAAATAAACTTATTTTTAAGTAGTTAAAGCACTTTAATAAGTATACTAAAAAAAAAATTATTAGTACTTATTATTTATTTATTATTAATAGTTATAAAAACTATATATTAGTCTAATTCTAGCAGTACTGCAAAAAATAAAAAATTATTATTTTTTATATATTTTTATATTTGTCGCACCTACTATAACTACTTAATATAAATTATTTTATACTTTTAAAAAAAGCGTATAAGTGCTAAGCTAAAAAGCTAATATATAATAATATTAATTATATTATTAAAATTAAATTTTTACTATACTTTAAACTAGCTTTTAATACTGCTATTATAAAAAGTAATATTTTAAGTAGCTTTAAAAGCGCTAGTCTAGTTTTTTTTAACTTTAATACTATAATATTAAAATTTAATATCTAGTTATATACTCTATTACTACTTACTATTAAAAATAGGTTTTAAAAATTAAAAATACTAAGTAATACTTTAGAATTTAAGTTTTAATTAATGCTAATTAAAATAAAAATTTAAAAATACTTAAATAGTTTTTTTATTTTAATAGTTAAAATTTTTAAAAATTTTTTAAAAAGTACAGCTATAGTTGTGTATAAGCTTATATTAGCGTAAAAAAAAATTACTAAACTTTAAATAATTAATAAAGCTGCTATATAATAAAAATTGCATAAAAAAAAGTAAATATAAAAAAAAAAAACTTTTAACGTATTACACGGGCGAGTTGGTTGCCCGGTTAAGTTAGTTACAATGCTAAAACCCTACTAAAATTAGTAGTCTTCTACTATTAAATGCAATGCTTTAATATAATAATGTGCAATTTTTTTAAAAAAAAAACTAAATATAGCTTATAGTTTAAGTTTTAAAATATAATATAAATTTTTCTTAATAAAAAGCTGCGCAGATCTATAGCATTTTTTAAATAATACTTAGTAATTAACTAAAAAAAAAGTTTTTATAATACAATACTAGGCCTAATAAAATAAAGCTTTTTTTAATAGAAAAAAAAGTAATTGCTTAATATATATTCTACTTTAAAAACTAAAGATTTCTGCCCTAACTAGCTGCTATAAATAATATAGCTAATATTTTACTAGCTAAATATAGGCAACTACTTATTAGTAGGAACTAAACTAGCATATTTATTAGACAATATTTATAGTTTAGTATTAAAACTTTTTAAAAGTATAACTACTAAAAAATTTTATATAAAAATTCTAAGCTTATACAAGGCTAGTTCTAATTTATAGAAAATATAAAAGCTAAGTATAGTATTTAAAACAAAAATATATATAACTTTAATAAAATAAGCTTTATAATAGGCTAAATATTATATAAAACTATTATTTTAAGTACTAATTATTAAGGACGGCTAAAAATAGTGCAGTAAAGTAATTAAAAATAGGTAATAGTAATTTAAAGCATTAATATAATAAAGTAAGTTATTTTATTTTTTATTATTTTTGTAGGTAAGAACTACTTTTTAGCCTAGTACAAAAAAAATAGCCTGCTTTATAATTAAGTTATTGCAGTTTCTAAAAACAGCTAGACAATAAATAAGCTTATTTTTAAGTAGTTAAAGCACTTTAATAAATATATTAAAAGAAAAATTATTAGTACTTATTATTTATTTATTATTAATAGTTATAAAAGCTACGTATTAGTTTAATTCTAATAGTACTATAAAAAATAAAAAATTATTACTTTTTATATGCTTTTGCATTTATTGCACTTACTATAGCTACTTAATATAAATTATTTTGCGCCTTTAAAAAAAGCGTATAAGTGCTAAGCTAAAAAGCTAATGCGTAATAGTATTAACTATATTACTAAAATTAAGTTTTTACTATGCTTTAAACTAGCTTTTAATACTACTATTATAAAAAGTAATATTTTAAGTAGCTTTAAAAGCGCTAGTCTAGTTCCTTTTAATTTTAAAGCTATAATATTAAAGTTTAATATTTAGTTACGTATTTTATTACTACTTACTATTAAAAACAGTCCCTAGGAGTTAAAAACACTAAGTAATACTTTAAAATTTAAGTTTTAATTAATACTAGTTAAAACAAAAATTTAAAAGTACTTAAATAATTTTTTTACTTTAATAATTAAAACTTTTAAAAAATTTTTAAAAAGTGCAGCTATAATCGCGCACAAACTTATATTAGCGCAAAAAAAAATTACTAAGCTTTAAGTAGCTAATAAGGCCGCTATATAATAAAAATTATATAAAAAAAAGCAAGTACAAAAAAAAAAAACTTTTATAGTAAAAAATAGTTTTTAATTAATAATTTTAAAAGAATTTAGGGCGTATAGTAATAAAAAAAAAGCAAAAAAGCAGGCGTATATTAAAGTAGGTAAGCCTTTTTAAAAGTGCTATAAATACTATAGTAAAGCTAGGCATAACGCGCAAATATGTAAGCAAAAAATAGAAATAATTTTTAAATAAATTAACTTATTATAATTTACTACTATAGTTTTTTACAGTACTGTACTATTGTGCATAGTACTAATTTTAGTAAAATTTTAGTATTATAACTAACTTAACCGGGCGACCGACTCGCCTGTGTAATATATTATAGTAAAAAATAATTTTTAACTAATAATTTTAAAAAAGTTTAAGGCGTGTGTTATAGACTAGCCTTAGAATTGTTCTATTCTAAGCGTAAATAATAGTATTATATACTTTAAGGAGGTACAGAGATTTCTAGCTACTTATATAGGGGTTTATTGCTAAGGTTTGCCGAGGTCCTCAGTCCGCAAATGCTAGGGCTTGGGCTAAAGCCCAAGCTATAACAGCGCGTAGTAATAAAAAAAAAGTAAAAAAGTAAGTATATACTAAAGTAGGTAAGCCCTTTTAAAAACATTATAAATATTATAGTAAAACTAAATATAATGCGCAAATATGCAAGCAAAAAATAAAAATAATTTTTAAATAAATTAATTTATTATAATTTACTACTATAGTCTTTTATAGTACTATACTATTATATATAGTACTAATTTTAATAGAGTTTTAGTATTATAACTAATTTAACTAGGCAACTAACTTACCTGTGTAATATATTATAGTTTTAAACTTTATTATTATTCTTTTAATATATTACACAGGCGAGTTAGTTGCCTAGTTAAGTTAGTTATAATACTAAAATTCTACTAAAATTAGTAGTTTTTTACTATTAAACGCGATGCTTTAATATAATAATATATAATTTTTTTAAAAAAAAAACTAAATATAGCTTATAGTTTAAGCTTTAAAATATAATATAAATTTTTTTTAATAAAAAGCTACGCAGATTTATAGCATTTTTTAAATAATATTTAATAATTAATTAAAAAGAAAGCTTTTATAATACAATACTAGGCTTAATAAAATAAAGCTTTTTTTAATAAAAAAAAAAGTAATTGCCTAGTATATATTTTACTTTAAAAATTAAAAATTTCTGCTTTAATTGGCTACTATAAATAATATAGCTAATACTTTACTAGCTAAATATAGGCAACTACTTATTAGTAAAAATTAAGCTAGTATATTTATTAAATAATATTTATAGCTTAGTACTAAAAATTTTTAAAAGTATAATTACTAAAAAGTTTTATATAAAAATTTTAAGCTTATAAAAGGCTAGTTCTAATTTATAAAAAATATAAAAGCTAAGTATAGTATTTAAAATAAAAATATATATAATTTTAATAAAATAGGCTTTATAATAGGCTAAATATTATATAAAACTATTATTAAATAGTTAAAGTATTTTAACAAGTATACTAAAAAAAAAATTATTAGTATTTATTATTTATTTATTATTAATAGTTATAAAAGCTACATATTAGTTTAATTTTAGCAGTACTATAAAAAATAAAAAATTATTACTTTTTATATACTTTTATATTTATTGCACTTACTATAGCTATTTAATATAAATTATTTTATATTTTTAAAAAAAATATATAAGTACTAAGCTAAAAAGCTAATATATAATAGTATTAACTATATTACTAAAATTAAGTTTTTACTATACTTTAAACTAGCTTTTAATACTACTATTATAAAAAGTAATATTTTAAATAGCTTTAAAAGTGCTAGTTTAGTTTTTTTTAACTTTAAAACTATAATATTAAAGCTTAATATTTAATTGTGTACTTTATTACTACTTACTATTAAAAATAGTTTTTAAAAGTTAAAAATATTAAGCAATATTTTAAAATTTAAGTTTTAATTAATACTAATTAAAATAAGAATTTAAAAGTACTTAAATAGTTTTTTTACTTTAATAATTAAAGTTTTTAAAAAAATTTAAAAAAATATAATTATAGTTGCGTATAAATTTATATTAGTATAAAAAAAATTACTAAGCTTTAAGCAGCTAATAAAACTGCTATATAATAAAAATTATATAAAAAAAAACAAGTATAAAAAAAAAAAATTCTTATAATAAAAAATAGTTTTTAATTAATAATTTTAAAAAAATTTAAAGCGCGTAGTAATAGAAAAAAAATAAAAAAGTAGGTATATACTAAAGTAAGTAAGTTTTTTTAAAAGTACTATAAATATTATAGTAAAACTAGGCATAATGCGCAAATATACAAGTAAAAAGTAAAAATAATTTTTAAATAAATTAGCTTATTATAATTTACTACTACAGTTTTTTATAGTACTATACTATTATATATAGTACTAATTTTAGTAAAATTTTAGTATTATAACTAACTTAACTGGGCAACTGACTCGCCTGTGTAATATGTTATAGTACTATATATTAATTTTCTACTTTTTATAACTACTAATAAGTCTAATATAAGTTTTAGTTGTATTTAATAATTTAAGTATAAAAAAAGTTACTTGCTTTTAAAGCCTATATAAAGCTGCTTTACTTTATAATTTCTATTTTTTATTTTTATATAATAGCACAATAAATTCTTTTTTTTTTGCTTATTTTAGTATTAATTTTTTAAACCTACCTTAGCTAGAATTATAAAAAAAAAATTTTAATAATTTTATTATAAAAAAAACTTAGCAATTTATAGAAATAAAAAAGAATATAGCTATAGTATAATTTGCTTTTTTTTATTAAAACTATATAATAAGTAAAAAGCTTTTATTTTTTTATACTTATTTATTAATAATATACTAAAAGCTACGCTAAGTATTAAGCCTACTAAAGTAGCTAAAATAAAAGCTTTTAATTAGTTACTTAAAAGACTAGTTAGCTAAACTAAGTTTATAGCTAATTAAATATATATAACTTTTTTTAAATAGTCTAAAAATATAATAAAAAAATAACTAGTTAGGCTGTATAAACTATAAGCGCTAAAATAATAATAAAAGTTTAAGCAAAAAATTAAATTGCCTTAAGAAAATAAAGAAATTTTAAAATCTAGCAGTATTTAGTTAAATGCAGGAGTAAAAATTAAGTAACTAAAGCTAGCATTATTTTTATTAAAATAGGCTAGTTAAGAAACTATAGTTAAGAGCTATAAACTACTTTAGGCAGAAGAAATTGAACGCGTACGTTGAGGAGACTTTGAGAACTTTGAGAAGCGTTAGCTTCTCTGTAATAATGCGCTCGAAAGTTACTGCAAAGCGTTAGCACTCCGGGACGAGGGCAGCCCGACGCAGTAAGCTCACCGAGGAGCAAAGGATTGAACCGTTGGCTCTCCTTCATAATCGAATCCAGCTTTGGCATTCGAAGGTACCCCTGCTTGCTGATCCTCCCTTCCCTATCAAGGACATTCCGGTACTCCTGCCGAAGTGGCTCGACGTACTCCGGGTATTGGCAGAGGTCGAAAATAAGTTGGCTCGGAGCTGCAGCGCTCGTGTGGATAGCAGCGAAGCTGACCTTGAGCAAAATCGACGCGAGGAATTTGGGGTCCTTTTCCGGGCCGACGGCCTGCTGGTCCATCCAGAAGAGCAGATCGGACGCCCTTTCGCCTGTGCGCCTCCGTTGCTCGATCATGTCCATCGAGGCCTTTTCCGCAGCGCGATAATGGCCGGCGATCTTGGTGATTTCCGGTATGAACCGCGAAGCCACAGGTCGAAATATCTTGGGGATCTTCTTCAGCTTCTGGGCTCCTACGAACCCATCGAGGGCGAAATCGATTGATGCCTGAACCCATTCCGCGTTCTCGCTCAGAGTCGTTCCGCCGAACATGCGGCTCGAGACGCGCGCCACGATTTGCGTGATCCGGTCGACGACCGGCACCTCGGTCCAGTCGTTGCATTTTGGAAAGCTGTCTTGGAATGCGTTCCGAATCTCATCTTGCACGCCGGGCATCACTTCGGGCAGATGCTGATTCAGCTGCGCCTTGACGACGCGGGGATGCAGAGTCGATCGGCTGCCCATGGTTGTGTATTTCCCCTCAAACATCTCGATGAAAGTTCCCACGAAGTCAACCTTGTCGACGGGTGATGTCTTGAGCTCGTCCAGAACCCAGAACGGAACCATCAATCTCTCGCCTAGTGTAGAAGGCACATAGTAGAAATCCCCACCAGATTGGCCGTAGCCTTCCATCAGAATGTCTCTTGAGCCATGAATGAATGCTTTACGGTTCTTGATCCTCTGGCTTTTGCCACCGACGATGAGAATCCCAGGGGCTAGGCGCTGCGACTTACTCCATTTGACCCACAGTGTCCAGAGAAGAGGAATTAGTATCGCTGCTATGCCGAACGTAAACTCTCGGGCTGATTCATGCTGATGTGTTACAAGCTGGGCGACACGCGACGCCATAAAACTTTCGTTCCAGCTGGTGGAATGCATAATGACTCGAAAAACCGTGTTATGATTCTGGCAAGGAGGAGTAAAGGAACAAAATGAAGTCGGAGACCCCAAAATTTCACAGTGATAAAAGCTTATTAGCAGGGCAAATGATGCAGGTAGTGTTCTAGAATCCAGGTGCTCCAGTCCCTTAAAGTGACATCCTACAGCATGCAGGTAAGATTTTGTGCTTGGGTCTCAGTGTGTCGTCGGGGTTTCCCCTTTCGCTTTCCTCCCACCCACTACCGATAGTATCAGGCTCGTCTTATTAGAAGATAGATACTCGAGTACATTCACCCGTTCTCGACTTCCCAACTCAAGGCAAAAAGCTACAAAGAGGGACAGTCTCGACCAGAATACCAATTCTAAAATACTATCATCGTCTTTCAGGTTAATTTTATATATCATGTCTCCCGCGACTATCATGGAGATTCCTAGCGCCCCGAAGCCTCGCTGGAGCGCCATGATTCATCCGCTACATGAGCAGATTGTAAAAGAAGTCGACGGCTATTTCCTCCAACACTGGCCCTTCCCTAACCAGAAGGCCCGCAAGAAGTTCGTCGCTGCCGGTTTCTCTACAGTGACAAGCTTCTACTTTCCCCTAGCTCTCGATGATCGCATTCACTTTGCCTGCCGACTTCTCACGCTCCTTTTCCTGATCGACGGTAAGTCCAACACACATCTTCTCCCTCTGACCCCTTCAACTAGACAGAAACTAAGACTAAATCCCAAACAAAAGATCTCTTGGAGTACATGTCCCTTGAGGATGGCAAAGCTTACAACGAAAAGCTGATGCCCATCACTCGTGGCGAAGTCCTCCCGGACCGAACAAAGCCGGTTGAGTGGATCACATACGACTTGTGGGAGAGCATGCGTGCCCATGACCGCGCTAGGGCGGAAGATATCCAGGAGCCTGTCTTCACATTCATGCGTGCGCAAACCGACAAGAAGCGTCTTGACAACATGGGTCTCGGAGCATACCTTGAATACCGCGAGGCGGACGTAGGCAAGGCGTAAGATAGCCCTCCCCTTTATTTCACTTCACAACAAGTATGATTAATGACCTCCTAATTAGCCTCCTCGGCGCCCTCATGCGCTTTTCCATGGCCCTCAACGTCCCGCAGGAGGACCTAGACTGGATGCGGTCCGCAGATAACGTCTGCTCGAAGCACCTCTCCATCGTCAACGACATCTGGAGTTTCGAGAAGGAAGCCGAGACCGCAAAGCACGGGCACAAGGAAGGTGCCGCGCTGTGCAACGCGGTCGTCATCATGGCCAAGGAGGCCGATATCCCTGTTAAAGCGGCCAAGAACGTTTTATATCACCTCTGTCGCGAGTGGGAGCTGATGTACGACATTCAAAGGGAGCAACTGCTGGCCGAGAAAGATACTCCTGCTATCAGGGCGTATTTGAAGGGGCTAGAGTTCCAGATGAGTGGGAATGAGAAGTGGAGTTCGACGACACTGAGGTACTTGGCCACTAAGGACTAGTAGAAGGATGAGTTTGGGATACTTTACGAATGCAGAATGCAGAAGGTATTGGATAGTAGAGCTAGCCTTTTGGAGTTGAATGGAAGTATGGACAGTGTCCATTTTATCTATAACGGTTTGGGCCACGCCCAGATTCACTCTAGTACAAGTTGGGATAAGCCGTGTACGGCCATCAATATATGTAGCTCCGCCTACTCTAGGTAGTCAATTTAGCATATGTCCTCTCCTCTTTATATCGTTATATTATCGGACAAGAACAAATCATCAGTTCACTTAACTATAGAAAGACATATATGCTCAAAAGACAAATTTAGATTCAAATTTCTCACACAATGCTTCCCAGGTTAGGTCTGGATGCGCTCTTAACCACACAATGCAGATCGACTTTACAGAAGGTGCCACGTGAATGGAGGTTGCCTTCAGTGTATATCAACTTTCCCCGGAGAAACAACATATTGGCTTAACGGGTTCTTATCACTCAAACGGCAAAATCAGTCATCCGGCAGTTCTACTAATGTTCGCTTCGAGCGTTGGTGTGGTGCTGGGAATGTAATAAAAATGGCTTGGTCAAGGTTTTGGTGGGGCTGCCGGATGATTGATAAGACACGTTACATCGTAAGGGCCAAAGTGGGGGATCCAAGCAGTCGGTTGTAGGCAGGAATTTTCCTAGTTTGGCGATACGGTGCGGGACCCACTGTTGAGGTCGGCCCGGTCGGACATGATGAATGGGTTGGCCGTAATGGGCCATCAACTAGTCTCGAAAGGACATCCATGCTAACTGACCCGTTTGGTACATCTCTTACTCTGCGAAAGATGCTCCTTGCTGCGGCTTCTGTAGCCGTCAGACGGCTGACCTACCAAGAAAGTCGTTCCGGAGCTTGCCCTAGAACATGTCACAGTTGGTGATTAGTAGCTTTCGATTACATCAACGTCACTTCTTGAGAGAAGCATTCCTAAGCATATGACACAATGGGATCAATATTGTCAGAGCAGTTCAAAGCGCAATGGGTTGTGGTTCTGGTAGCTTCAGTGAGATATACTTTCCAGCATGCAAACTTGAACCTTGGACTAATTCGTGCAGAAGTTCGTTGTGTACCAAGTAGGTAGCGTCATCTACGATCTCTATTTCCATCCACTCGCGAAGTTCCCGGGTCCATTGTTGGGTCGTGGTACACTGGTAAGTAAATCATCTTTGCCAGGATAATATGACTTCCAAAGATTGACTAACAAAACTTAGTTATGGCGTCTGTGGTCGACTACTAGCGGGCGCCAGCATGAGAGGTTTCGAAAAGAACACAATAAATGGGGTGGGTTCTCAAAATACCTCTCCATGGAAACCTGCGGCCATGATCGTCAATATATTAAAATAGTTCCAGGCCCAGTCTTCCGCGCATCTCCTAACGAACTGAGCTTCGCGTCTCTGCAATCTTACCGTGATATCTACGGGTTTCCCGCCCCCGGAAAAGAGCAATGCATCAAGAGCGACTTCTACGACATCTTTGGCAATGGCTTTGCAACAGGCTGCATCGGATCTGAGCGCAATGCCAAAGTGCACGCTAGAAAGAAGAAGAACTTGCTGGCAGCATTCTCGGCAAAGGCTCTGGCCGCGCAAGAAGACATCATCCAGCGCTGCATTGACGGCTTCGTGTCCAAGATTGGGCCGATCAGTCAGAAGACGGCGGAGGGAATCAATCTGGTCGAGTGGTTTGAGATGAGCTCATTTGATCTTTTGGGCGAAATGGCGTTTGGAGAGAGTTTTGGGTGCATTCGATCAGGTTCGGCTCACTTGATTTTCCCGTTGAGTAATAAGAGGATGGCTGATGAGATATTTCTGTCTAGGAAAGCATCACTTCTGGATCGATCTCGTGCTGCAGCATGTTCGTCAGATCACCATCATGGACAACCTGCGCCGATTTGAAATCCTGTCCGCGCTGTCTAAATGGATTTTACCATCACTCATAATGTCGGTTCGTGGAAAGCACACGGCCTATACCCGGGCCAAAGTTCAAAAGCGTCTTGAGAGCACATCCGCCCGGCAGGACTTTCTCACAAACGTCGTTGAGAAAGTCAAATCAGGTGAGGTTCCGTGGGAGGAAGTGGCGGCGCATTCATCGACATTAATGTAAGAGACCCGCATATATCCATGCTTTTGCTTCTGAGAATCATAATAATCCGACCTGGAACACCAGAATCGCTGGGGGCGAAACGACGGCTACCACGCTCTCTGCAGCCATGTATTACTTGCTCAAGACACCACGCGTGTTGAAGAAGCTTGAAGCCGAGATCCGCAGACGATACACAACCTACAACGCAATTGACTCGACGTCAGCGCTGCAACTTCCATACTTACAGGCCGTCATTAACGAGGCGCTGCGCATCCATCCGTCGGGCGCGCACGGGTTCCCACGCATTTCGCCAGGGATGGATATTGACGGACGCTGGGTGCCCAAGAACACTGAAGTATACACGAGCACCTGGAGCGTGTCGCACAGCGCCGAGTATTTCTCTGACCCAGACACGTTTTATCCTGAGCGGTGGACAGATCTGGATGGGAAAGACATCAAGGAGGCGAGTCAGCCCTTTTCTCTCGGATACCGGGCTTGCATCGGACGGAGGTGAGTAAACGACTCAAGCGACCTTTTAAGCTGAGTACCCGGTTGATCTAATTTGATGGCAGTTTTGCGTATCTCCAAATGTCGCTGGTGCTCGCTAAGATGCTGCACACGTATGACTTTGAACTCTTGGAAAAGAAGATAGACTGGGAGGCTCAGTCAAGACACTACGTCATGTGGTGGAAGGCGCCGAGTAGGGTTCGCGCGACAAAGAGGAGTCCGGATGAGGGTGTAGTGTATGAATACAGTAGTGACTGAAAGAAGACCGCGATCGTTCATATTGGGGTCTAAGGTTCTTTATGCACCATTGTGGCATACATGCTCCTTACAGAGGACACAGGCAGCGACCCGCAATCAGAGGGGAAGGGCGAAGGATTTCGATTAATAATGTGCTGTTGCATGAAGTATTAGCCTTAGTCAGTGCTAATGTGTTGGGGCATAAGAGCTCTCTCCAGATAGAGATGGAGGAGACAAGTTACACACAACACCAGAAAATAGTCAATAGTCAATCAAGAGCACGGTTCACTAATTATTCTCTTTGTTGCAACCAATCTCTCCTGCAACCGCTTACTATCTAGATAGCAACGAAAGCCTACTTACCTCAGCTACTTATCACGCGCCTTCTACTACACTACACCACGTGAAGTCAGCGCCGGAAAGAAATATTTGGCATGATGGAAGAGAAACTGACACGGAGACCATAGACGGGCAATCGAGGGATAGCAAGCTGGGTCGCTGCTGTTTCACACAGGGTGACTATGGACATATATAATATAGTAACGTATACAGGAATAAAAGTGTCCCTCCGTGATCGATTGTGCGATTCCAAAAACTTGCCCAAGTAACACATGCCGCATCATCACCACCATGCCCTCCCAGCCACGCTCTCAAGCCAGCACTCTCTGCCTCAGCTCAATCGGAAAACCCGGCAACGGCGTCAAACTCACAATTTTGCCCGCGCTCTTATTTACAATATCCGACCTCAACCTATCCGCATCCGCGCCATCCTTGAACGTGACGCGGAACCGGCGCAGGATCGTAGCAAAGAACGCCATGAACTCGGCCTGTGCAAACTTGCGTCCCAAACACGCGCGCGCACCGTCTGAGAACGTGAGTAGCGTGCCGCGCATCTGCCGCGTCCGATCGGCCGCTACAACATGCTTTTCTTCGCCGCCCTGGCGCGAGAACTTGTCTGTGAACCAGCGCGTGGGATCGAACTCGTGGGAGTTTTTCCAGTACTTCTCGTGGTAATGGACGCCGGGAGACGATAGGTATACGCGGCACCCGGCGGGCAAGACGTGGGCTTGGGTCTGGTTGGTCCTGTCGTCGTGGAGGTGCATTGTTTGGTCGGAAGTGCACATTTTGGTAATGAGGATCACGCCGGGGTAGAGTCTGGATACTTCGTACTAGCTTTGCTTTAGTGTACGAGGTGGTCTACGGATGAGTGCTTTTGACTCACCATGAAACCAAAGATGTATTCCAATTTGGCAAAATCTTCATTGTAACTAAGCTCATGACGGCCCGCCAGGGCTACCTCTTCGTACACTCGATCAATCTCTTCGATACATTTGGTTTGGACGTTTTGGTGGGCGGCTAGCACTAGTATCCCGTATTGTATGCTGTTTGCTGTTGTCTCGTAACCTTGGTCATGTCAGCGTTATTGCTCATTCCCACCAAAACGAAATCAAATATTTGCCACTGACCTGCAAGCATGTAAATGAACAGGTTACCCATGACCTCATCCTCGTTGAACCTTGTCTTCTTCTTGACGACTCCGGCAGTTTCGGTATCACCACCTTCGGTATCAACTGCATTGACGACCGTGTGTAGTAGGTTGGTCCGGGAAAGGAGCTCCGCCTTCTCATTCACTTCCTTGGCTCTCTCTCGCTTGATCAGCGTCCGGAGATACTTTTCAAGTTGTTGCTTAGCGAGGTTGGCTTCGGCGTACGGTGTTAGATCCAGAAGCCAACCCGGAAATAGCAAGAGAAACAGAATGTTTTGCGTAGTACTTCGAAGTGCAGCCAAGAAGCTGATCTTGTACCCGGGGGGAATATCCTGCTTCTGCTCCTCGACAGACTCAAGCATCTGTCCAAAGCCAGCTAGCGAAATGATAGCAAGGGTCAAAGCATTGATATCCGTATCTAACTCCTTGGGCGTCACGTTGGTCCATCGGTCCATGAGCAGCCCGGTCTGTCTCAATGTCTCCTGCCAAACAAGGTCATTGACCCCGGTGATGTCACCGAATGATGGGGCTACCATGCGCACGTGGAAGCGATACGTGCCGCCTTCCGCGGTCACTACATTTGGGCCGTATGGCTCCAGCATCTCTATGTAGCAAATTAGCTCCCGTCTATGAAGATGAACCAAGGGCAGCAGAGATGCACTTACGGTACTTGTCTCTCGGCTTGATAAAATCGTACCGCCTGTTCATGACGTCGAATGCCATATTGGCATCGGCACAGTAACAAATGATTCCTTGCGGTGATACTGCCAGGAAGACATCCCCGTGGTCTTGAAAAGCGCGGCGCTTGTCTTCCCAGGTCCAATCCTTTATCATAAAACGACACCATCTCGGCCATCCTTCTCCTTTTTCGAGGTGTGTGAGGTAGTAGTTCCGAAGGAGGGGTGTGACTAATTGTGAGAGCACCTCGGTCTCAAGGAAGGGAACAATGACATATGGCAAACCGGTCGACTTTGCAGAGTGCACCAAGCGCTTTAGTTTGAGACAATTATAGGCAACAAAGCTGATGACGAGAATTCCAACTGTGGTTGCCAGATAGCGACCCATGATGAGCAGTTTACGCCGACGTGATGGCTTGATAAGACAATCGCTCTTCAGATGCAATGTCATCATGAAAAGACGCTATAAACATCTTTATATGATTGACCAATTAGATAGCAGTATTTGGCAGGACCGTAAGCAAAGGAATATTGATCGGTCGTAAGGTGAGACTCTGTGGGGATTCGGCGCATCGAGTCTTGGAGCCACCTTTCGGCCATTACCCGATATAACACCCCGAATGCATGCCCGATTAGTGTTAGCACACCGCGACCCCGCTGTTCTCTCCCATAAAAAGACCTCGCTGTAGCGGAAGACCATGGAGGAAAAGAAGCAAAGGTTCGAACAGATCATAGTGTCGCAACGCCCTTTTAGGACAAGGTTTATGTTAAAAGGATTATCACCTAAATTATAGAGAGAACAGCGCAACTTATGTTAGAAATCTCTAGAGAACAGAAGCCCTAGATATAACTTATTTCATTCTACTTATCCGCACTTTCCTACGTTAGCACGCTGCTTACGGTCCTTGAACTGTGAGAGATGAGATGAGGTTGAAAGTTGTCGATCAGTTGCTCTTTCGCTGCATCGCGTGGGCACGTGATCTGACTAGTCGCCTTGCTTGGCAAGGTAATACGAAAGTGGCAGGCACCTTTGCAGCCTAGCAAGCTCCGCGCCTCATCGTAGCTACCTTCAACTCCACCACCGAATCCTCAATTACTGTACCTCTCTCTACTGACCTAGGTTGAGAAGTACAGTTTCCAATCCACCACAAAAATGGCAGGAGCCTCATCAAATCCGCTCATTTCCACAGCCCGCGCCTCAGACACAAGCCCTACTGTACAACTACACCCGCTAGTGCTCCTTACGATATCAGACTGTATTACGCGACATACGCTACGACAGCAGACAGGACCGGTAGTTGGAGCTATACTTGGCGCGCAAGATGGTCAGAACATCACAATGGAGGTTGCTTTCCAAGCAAAGCTAAGGGCAAACGACGATGGAGAGGTGGCTCTCGATGACGAGTGGTTCGGCAAGCGTTTAGAAGACTGTAAGTTTTCCTACAGCCTTTTTGGAACGTGAAGGGTAGTCTATAGACGTTACACGATCCAGAGCTCATAATAAATCTAGTCAAAGACGTGCACAAGCAACCGCAACTAGACATTGTCGGTTGGTTCACCCTCGGCCCCGCCTCAGGTCCAGAACCCCACATCCTGCCCATACACTCGCGCATATCAGATCTCTACACGGAATCACCTCTCCTTGTCCTATTCCACCCCGAAAATGCCTTTTCAGAAGCAACCGCTGCCGGCAAGTTACCCCTCACCCTCTACGAATCTATCTCCGTAAACACCTCGAGCGGTCCAGATGATAAAGCTATGGACATTGATGGTGCAGTACAAGCAAAGTCGACCAAGTTTAGAGAGTTGGTATACTCTATCGAGACTGGTGAGGCGGAGATGATCTCTGTAGACTTTGTTGCCCGCGGAGGTGGCAATGCAACCGCAGTCGAAGGCTCAGCAGATGCAGCAGCGCCGAAAGCCGAGTCTTCGAAAGTTGATGAGGCAGCTAGCAAGAAGGCAATGCGAGGGAAACAGAAAGATAAAGAAAAAGAAAAAGAAAAAGACACTCCTATCGATGAGTCGACCATCTTAACTGTTGAAGATGACGAGAGTAAGTTGGACACCCTTCAGTTCTGAGGCGTCACTAACCACTTCAAGTCCTATCCTCACTCACCGCTAAGATGAATGCTCTCCGCATGCTCAGCCGCCGCATATCCCTTCTCCGCGCATACCTTGACACTCTTCCACCATCATATCTCTCCGACCCGTCGCTCCCACTCAACCCTACCGTAGACGCCCAGCACCCGCTACCACTGAACCACTCGATCCTCCGCAGCATCTCCGCTATGCTGGCCCGTATCAACATCCTGGCCCCACCAGATTCCAAGGCTTTCAACCTCGAATCGCAGCAAGAAGCGTCAGACGTGCAGCTCGTCAGCCTCCTATCATCGATTACGACTTCTGTCTCGGCAGCCAGGGAGCTTGGCCATAAGAGCAGTATAATCGAATTTGGAAAAAATCAGAACAAGAACCGTATGGGTGTGGGTAGTATAGGCGGCTACGGAAGTGGTGATGGAAATTTCTTCGGGACGGTAATGGGTGGGGGAGGTGGGGCAGTCGACAGGTGGTGATCTTTCTGGTGATCTCCACCCGCTTCCATTTCAAGCCTGCCGAAACCGGTGGGTGATGGCGAGCTAGGCCAGGAAAGAGACTCAGCAATGAATTTCCCAAACCAACCATATTTTGGGCCTTGCAACATAGAAGACGAGCTAGATCTCGAGTATGATTCAGAGACCTGATACCTGGCAGTATCGATCCTGGTCATAGGAGAATGCCTTCTCTTTTCTCCGATTACCTTTTCTTTTACTAGGGCTATTGGTATACCGTGCATTCGGCTTACCATTGGGGTGAGGAAGAACTATCGGCTCATGAGGGCGCATGGTCGAAAAGCATGCTCAAAGTTTCAAGAGACCCTATGGGTCAGTGAAGATAGCAAGTGGCCTCAAGTTGCGAATGGCTCATGGAATTAACATGATAGACGCATAGTCACGAACAGCATAGCATGCATAATGAATGGTCAGATCTAGGGCAAGTGGATGAGTCGGAGAATCCTGTTGGGCTTGCTAAAATCGAAATGTGCTCCATTGGGTCAACCTAGATGTTAAATCTCTCATCATTGCTAGTTATCTTCAACAACTCATTACACTGTCTTCCTCCTCGTCACTAGCGAACTCGGATCTGGAACATTTCTCCCCTCCACTCGTTTGGAAGCTTTCATAGCCGAGATGGAGGCAGTGCATAATGAAAGGGTGGTTGGCTTTTGGTTGAAGGCTGAGTTTGGAAAGACTCAGAGGAGCTGTCGGGCTATGGGCGTGGTAGTCGTCGGTGTTGACAGTTCTGGCCGAGTATTGGATTGCGTTGTCGAACTTTTCGATATGTGAAGTGTGTCAAACAGGTAGCTCATCTCGTCTTCCTTTGGAGAAGGAGGACTTTGACATTCCTCTTCACCGCTGACATCGCCGTTGACCACTGCCCAGAAAGCGTTGATAACCTGTTCCACGCGTTCTTTATGAGCATCGTCTTGGCTGCTACGGTTGCTCATGTTGATGTCTACGGTCGATGGTGTAAAGTTTGCTTCAGGTCCCCAAGCAATGAGATCCTCGTCTCCTCCGAAAGGGTTGGTCTTTATCCATCGATCGATGTCGGCGTCACGATTTTCTTCTTCTTTATTCTCCGTGGCCGCTAATGTCGTGGTTTCAGAAGTAATGTCATCTCCCCAGCTCCAGGTGCTCCCGTCAAAGTCGACAGCAACATCCGTTTTGGGTGACTCCAATTCCTCCGGCGATAGATGGTTCAAGATCCAGCTGCCATCGTCGTTGTCTAGCGGGTGGGAGTAGTCTGTGCTGACCGGATGTATTGGATCAGTACTAGCGATATAGTCGCCATCGTAGTCGTTCTCATCCATCTCAGCCCATGTTTTGCCACTGTCGGGCTCAACAACATCCTCTGGGCGCACTTCGTGTAGTAGCGGAGACCGCGCTTTCTTGTATTCGCTGATGCCGACCCGAGTAACGCTGGGCTTCGGTGCTTGGGCGAACATAGTACGTGCATCCCAAGCGGCCGCAATGTACTGATTCTCGAGGTCCTTGACTAGTGTTGCAATCTCTTCAGTCCCTGGCATGTTCTGATCAGACAGCCTGTCCAAGAACGTCTTAGCCCTTTCTAACTTCAGTCTCCATGTGCTCTCCCAACTTTCATGCTGACAGGGACCACAGTCTAATCTTAGTGAGATTGTAAGGAATGACGCAGCATTACATGCGGCCTTGATGCTGGTTTTCGTGACCTTGTGCTTTGTGCCTTTGCAGCGTGACCTCCGTAGTCTAAGCGTGTGTTGGCAAGTGAATTGGAACACGATGACGTTGCACATGGTCAATTCAGTGACGAGGCCCACAAATGCTTGATGATTGGGACTGGAAGGAGCACCAATGAGACGATCCTTCGAATATGGGTTATATCAAAGAATATCAAGAAGTTCAATTCTTGGAAGGCAAACGAGTGGTCGATGGGGAATCAACAAGGATCAAATCGATAACCAAGATGAGAAAGATGCAAAGTATAAAGCCCTGTCTAGCTTCACCGTCAGTGTACAGTCTCATCCTGGCGCTATGAGAACACATATTACATACTTGTCGTAGCAGCCATGTGTGAGAATAGCAGTCAAAATCGATGCCGTTCAAAGGCCTTTCCAAAGATTAGTGTATCGCTTGCCCGGAAGTCGAACGGTGGTGCTGAAAAGTAAGAGAGTCGGGAAGACCTTGAATAGCAGTGCAGTCCCAGTCGGGGTGCCTTCAACAAGCTCTACCCTCAAAATCCAAGTCCTAGATCCAGTTCTAGTCAACAAATGATCGAGCGAAAACCGTAGTGCCAAGGCCATCAACAATGCCGAGGCAGCGGTCGTCACCGTCGCTATCGGCCAAACATCTCACATGCTTCAACCCAGAGGCGATCGCGAAAAAGTGGAGACATCCAGGTAAAGGTGGGCGCTTTTGGTCTAGGAGCTCGTATCTCCAAGAGCGATGTGTTGCTAGGATGTACTTACGAAGCAAGGTACGGCCACGCGCGTCATGGCAAGACGCGTACTCACGTGCACGATCATTGGCGTTGCTCAGGACTTTGACGCATAACAACATGAATGTCAACAAGCATTCTTCAGTGGAAAAGACGGTTCTAGTCTTACAATAGAAGAAAATGGGTGATATGGCCGACTGGAGTGAAGTGGCTTAAGAACCGTTGTAAATATACAAATAAGACGTCGTCACTTCCTATTGCGTCGACTAATTGTTTCATACACAAAGAAAAAACTTGCATCGCTGATGCACCGAAATAATAAAGCCAAAGAGAATGCTGCGGGATATACAAACGCTAAACCTCGAGACAATACACCATTATGCATGATTGTCGTTCCTGGGGGGTATGCAACAGAAGAAGCAGCTGTTCATGTACTTCCATCCGTGCCGGGCCAGCCAAAGGATAGAGAGAGAAAGAGAAAGAGAAAAGAAACATTAGTAGCGCACCACTGGCGCGATGGTTGTGCCGTCTTGCACTAGAACACCTTTTCTTACACCCTCTTTTTCGATTTTATGCATCCAGTCCTCCTTCTTTTCCTTCCGACTCATCCACCCAGTAAACACCTTCTTCAGTCTGGACTTTTGCTCCTCTCTCCCTGGAGTCTTGACTTCGCTCGAACCCGTGCTGCGCGATGGCGTATCCATACTGATAGTCCGCGAAAAGCTCGTTTTGCCATTGGGAGTAGTAGGGGAGGTGAGGGTGTCTCCGCTGCGCTGACGAGTATGAGAACTCGCGCCTGGTTCGAGGCGGTTGTTGAGATTGCTAGTAGGTGCCCGGCCTGCCATGAGGTTGTCGCTCGTGTTCTCGATGCCTGGAGCTGCTCGTGTTGGTTGTGGAGGAGTTTTGAGTTGTTGCTTGCTATGCGAAGACTTTCGAACGGGATACGAGTTCGCGTATTGCGTAGCCAAGTTATCAGAACGGCTCCTCCTATGCGTTCTGCCTCGCTCAGCCGGAGAGCGCTCTTCAGTCGGTTCCTGCGGACGCATCAGACTCGCGATGTGGGCAGCTGATGTTGGCGACTTCGGCGACTTTACCATCTCCTCTTTGGGTTCCTCCGGGTCTTTCCAGGTGTCAAGGCCCGGGAGGGGAGGTAGATCTCTGTTTAGATTAACGACCTTGGGCTCAGGCTTCCTACTCTGCTCTGGCTCGTCGGATTGTCCCCTGGATGTCCCGGGTCTGCTGTTACTACGCGAGCCTGACCGGCGAGGTAGACCCCAGCTTCGCCAGCCCATCGCCGAGCCACTGCGCTGAGGGTCTAGTGACGAATCTTGAGTGTCAGTCGTACGAAGTGACTCGTGAGACTGAGCACGGCTCAAAGCCCGGCTACGTGTACCAGAGAAGACGTCCTTGATGCCGTTCCTGATACTGGTAGAGCGACTTGGCGTTTGGACTGCGGTCGAAGGTCGAGCCTGTGGTTGCGACGCTTCTTCCTTTCTCCTCTTTTCCAGCTCCTCACGCATCCACTCGGCAGCCTGAGCGTCCGCAAGCGCCGCGGGGTTTTCGAAGTGGCGAGACCTCCGATCAGGGCTCCTGCTAGAAGTCAAAGATGCCGAGGTGGGCGCTGTCGAGGCTTGCTTCGAGTAGGCGAGGGTCGAAGTGACGGTGACAGGTGTGGACACTCCCGAGTCCCCGTCGACGTGCATGGCAGCGGACCTAGGTAGGTCGATGGAAGGAGACCTGCCAAACTTCTTGAGGTTCTGCTCCCTCTTGTCGTCCCGGTCGTCGAGCCAGGCGAAATCGGCTCGCTTCCGACTGCTGTTTGCTTGCGTATGCACGTCGCCGTTCGTCCTCGCCCTGATCTCCATGTCGGCCTTGGTCCGCGTTCTCGTCTTTGTGCTGGGCTTCCTCGGCAGAAACGAGGTTGTTAGTTCCGCAGGCGCACCTGTCGGCATCCGGACTTTGACCTCAGCTGGTTGTGGTTTGTGCTCCCTGGGCTCTTTCCGTCTTTGCATGGCACCAAAGTCCAGCTTGGGGTCTGTGTCCTCCATGCCATGGTCGGACGGCTTGAAGTTCTGTAGGATGAGACGACATGCTATTCGTAGGTCCTGCTCTGTATCTGGGTCGAGGACGCGGCGGCTAATATATGTCGATGGGTCAGGTATGCTATCCTTTGAGGCGTGCCTTCGGTGTGAGTGCGACGATGTCTCTGAATGTGAGGGAGTTGGTTCTGGGGCCTGCTTGTCATGGGTGTCTGATTTGGTGGGAATCTTCTACATGCGGGTCAGAAACTATGATGGGATTGGGAAGGTTTGAAGAGTAGGCCAAGAAGGTGTGTTGGAGCACGTACAACAGGCGCCAAGTTGAAGGAGAACTTGCGCTTCATGATGGGCGATTGCTATTGTGTTGCAATGTGCGAATACTCCCGATACGCCAGTTAGCCCCCAATACTGATAGAGACGGATGCGAAGCGTGGTATTTGTGTTGGAAGAGCTGCTGGTCGCAGACAGCTACGACGATCCAACGGGAGCAGGCGTGATGATGTTCGCTGCCGAGGTGCTAGTCCCGCTATGACTACCTATGATGGGGCAGCTAGAGGTGAGACCGACTATTTTTGGGTCGATGGGATAAGAATGGCGATGGTCGAGGGCAAGGCGTGAATGACGACGTTCAGGGTGGCGGTTGGTAGCAGGAGGGAGGATGAGTGGGTTCGTTGTATATACTGCGCTGTCGTCCTCGCCCCGGCAGGAGGTGTTTTGGGTTTCAAATTACGGCTCCCTACCAGGCGACAAGGAATAACCGGCTAACGGGTCTGGACGTGAGGTGCTACGGGGGGGAGGGCCAATAAAGCGACAAGTTGCAGCCGTCGAGGCAGCCCAGCGCCAAGTGGGTGCTGGGTGCTGGGGGAGCCTGCACATGCACCCATGGAGTAGCCAACCCCCCATGTGCACCCACCGTCGACGATCCGCCCATACTTGGGCTTCATCGTCATCAACCCGCCCTACCAGCTAGCCCTACCGTTCAATGAGGAAGGAGAAGCATTCGTGTCGTGTGCCTTTCCTGGACCGAACGACACTATTGGAAATTACATGGCGCTGCGAAGCTGCGAATCAGCGAATCCATGGGCCGCAGCCAACCTCGCATCCCTTGTCCAGTAGTTCCCTATAGTAGCACGCCGATAGCCATCCTCTCTGCCTCTGCCTGCTGCGCATGATGAGCCCGCATACGAGCTGCAGCAAGCCCACCGCCCGCCCGCCCGCCTGCAACTGTCGCGAGCATTGCGACACTCTCTCGCTCACTGGCCCTACGCGGAGTTTCATCGTTTCAGAGTCCATCATACTGCAATCGCCACTCGCTAGAACCCTGCCGCCTCACACCGCTGCGATAACTATCGTCGTCCTGCCCGTCGTCTCCTCCTTTGTGTGTGTGTCCCGTGAAACGCGTCAAAACGGTCGCCTCAAGGTCGCTGCGTCTTTTACCCATTCGCCAGGTCCTTGTTATCTTTGTGGTTCAGTATCCTCCTGCGACTTTGCTCCCTTGTTCACCGCGCTGCTCTTTGATCGCATCTGGCTAAATTTGGATTGATTGACGCGTCCATGCTCGTATCGGATCGCCGTTGTTGTTGTTGAGGGCCACTGTGACGCACGGGTTATCTATCGCATGACTTTCCCACCCTTTGTGTACGCCACGACGCGCAAACTATTGAACAGCCAGTTACGGCGTGTCGGGTGACGGCTTGTCGGGAGACGGTATTGTGCTACAATGCACCAAAAGCAATCATCAACCGCCCAGGAGCACTTCAAGCACAAGCATAGCATGTGCCGCGTGCTTGCAACGTCTAATAAAATCTCACAAGCTTTACAAAGGTTTTTTCATTTCTCTTGTATTCAAGTAAAGTCATGTTAGCTAAGCCAGTAGATTCAGGCTACACAGCAGTTTCATGCATACAAACGCCCAGGAATCGGGAGCTCAACCGGTAAACGAGAGAAACTACAATGACCAACCAGCTCTTCGCCATTTTCATCTCTCTCACCATGAGTTACAGCGCCCCACTGTACGGGTAGCAAACTTGCGCCTGGCTCGTTCGTGTGGCAGGCCGCGCTGATGGCCGCAGAGCAACTGCTCGCCAAGGGCATACCTGCAGGATATCTCCTGTACCCAATGGCCACACCGTAGACTGCGATAAGGCTAGCGACCACGATGGTAAGAATAAGAGCCACAGGAGAGTAGCCACAGGTCGAGATTTGACCAGCGGGTACGCGCTTGCCCTGCTTGTCCGTATTCGTAATCGTGATTCGTACCATGAACAGACTTTGCGCCGTCAACCAGTGGAATACGGCTGATATCATCGTCAGAGGGATCGCGTATCGATAGGGCACGTTGAGCCAATATGTACTCCGCTGCAGGCCTACCGGGGAAGTGACTCGGAGGGGCTTGCGTTCGTGAGCGTAAGCCGACAGCTCGTTCGCAACAAACATATTAGTGTAGAGTGCGTTGAACGCTAAGTATAGGTAGGAAAGCAGGACTTGTGGAGTATTGGCAAGCAAAACGCCCCCGACAAGCGGGAGTTGGACTGTAGACTGTTCCGACCTCGGAGACGTAATGGCTGGTGTACTTGCTAAAGCAATCTGCCGTACTGATGTTCTTGTATTTAGCCATTGTGCTGTTGTCCCTCAGAACTACCATGTCGGTGAGATTGACTCTATATGCATCCATCGCGACTTGTAGCTTCTGGCCTTCGTAGAAGTCTTTGAAGTTGGACGTGTCATACGATCCCCCATCGAGCCAAGTTTGTGTCGTGGGAATGACGGCGTAGTTGTTCGCTTGAAGATTCGTGAAGACTACCGAGTTGAATAGTAGGTGGAGTGGGGCGGAGGATAATAATAACACGATCCAAAGTGTCTTTCGGTCGCTTCCAATATGTTTGAGGTTTCCTAGACTTGGTACGCCGATTTGAAGCCAGAGTCGTTGTGCGTGCGCCCGATTCAGCTCTTCTCGATTCGGTGCGCTGAGAACCTGCATGCAGTAATTGCTAGCACAGAGCAGCAAAGTGCTAAGCAAGTTCACAAGCAAATGAATCCAGACGTTTAATTTCCTTACTCTCCCACAGTTGCCTTCAATCAATGTCCCGATGGATCCTTTGCTAGAGCTCTTCCACACTAAAACGGTGATAACGAGGTTGAATACACCGACTGGCAGGGCACCAATAAGAGATACTAAGGCCCCAGTACGCCATCCTGTGGGCGCTCTGGATTTTGCAAGACGCTGGGGGTGGTTCTTTTCGGGTCTTGTGGCAAGGAGAAAGTCGTTATCATGCGAAATGGACGGAGCACAAGTCGATTTCGTAGCCGTAGTTTCGTGGTCGCTCTCTATGGTGATGCGATCGTCACTTTGCCTTTCATGTCTGCTGTCGAGTTCAGCTAAAATTGACATACGTCATGCAGCCTTACCCATATTGTTGAAGCAGCTGGATGTCGCCTACATCGGCACCTTCCCTATGGTCTGGTTCACCACAAACGATTTGGTACCGGGTAAGAGCTTGATGTTCGGCCATGTTGATGCTGTATCGAGAGTATTCGAACAAGAGACTGATGAGAAACACATATCTTTTGAACAATGAGGCAACCCGCAATCTTTTGGACCCCGCCACCACAAGGCTGTGGTTGTGATCGTTACAGTGCACAGCCTATCTGCATAATGTGCGCCACATACGGTCATTCGTTACACCAACATAGTCTCCCTTGAATAACATCAGTGCGAGTAAAGAGCGAGATTCAAAACCATAGTGAACGAAAGCAGTGTGCTAGTGTTGCAAGCATCATATTGCGCTTTACTCTAATACTCGAGAATGGATATCTCCAGAGGTGGTATGAAGTGCGGGGAGGAGAGGATTTTGTGGCTACACTAGAAGGCAGGCGCAGGCCTAGGCCTGCCAATCACACAGCCAAGATAGCACAACAGCAGGTGCTCGCTCTTGCAGAGAAGTTGCCACTGTATACACAGCCATTAGAGTTATTCTTATTAGGTTGCGCCGAACTAGTCTCTCCCTCGAAGCTGAAAGAGGTTCAATTTTCGTTACTTGCCGTCCCTGAAGCCCTACCTATACCGAGCATCATTGCGAGCGAGGGAGTCAGGTTATTCAGGAGTGTTCACAATGGGATCAAAAACAGGAAAACTGACTGCACACTTTGCGGAAACCTCCACTAAGTAGTGCAGCCCCATATAGTCATTAGAATAACAGCGGTTCTACTAGGTTGTGGTGTCTCAATGGCCATCATTCAGCCCCGTTCAACTAAACATCGATAATATTTCACTCGAGTATCATCATATTATATCCACGGCAGAATTAGTGAGCCAAATAAGAGTCAACGCCAAAAAATGACGAGATTATCAAGCTTGGGCATTCAGGTGCTACCACTCCACTCATATCAACTGACAGAGTCAGAGCCACACGCGGGCTCCAGCTCAAGATGTTACTCCAACTTCCCCATGATACTATCATACCTCTATAAGGATTCCATTTCGGCGACCTCTATTGACATACAACACGATGAAGCCCCGACGAACAGAAACTGCGAAAGCATCGGGCTCTAAACTCAATGTCAACCCAACAAGCGCAGGCACCACTGTCTGGGAATACGCCATTCTTATCTACCTTGCGGCTAGCCACCTCCTCACCGACAATCCACGTCATATTCAGTACCGGGAGTCTGTCAAAGATGCCAAAAAAACTACACAGGATGCAGGAGGCCGAGATGCTTCTGCCCAGGTCAAATCTACACGCTCATCGTCTACGTACGGTGGTAAGAACAAAGACCCTCAACACAAATATCACTCAAATCCCCCGCCCAAGAGGTCCTCCCAGTCACCACCCTATCCTTCCTATCGAAATGACCAAGCAGTCCACCTCCACCCGGTTGAATCACATTCAACATTTGACCCAACACACCCGGTAGAACTATCGAAGGTGCAGATGCGAGATGCATGGGCGCGAATGAGGGCTGTCTCGAGGCTTCGTGTCGAACCAGTCGCCATGGGTTCTTCAAATGATCAAGAAAGGGTCAACGAAAAGGTAAGGAAACATGTGCGATGGGGACCGGTGCAGACTTACGAACACGAACACCAGTACCAGTACCAGGACGATGACGATGACGACGAGGTAGAGAATGATCATGATCACGGAGCGGCATTAGAGAACGCGGAGACAGGGCGTAAATGGCAGGCGAGCGACAAGAGAGTAGTAAAGGGGCAAAATCAGGGGACGAATGATAGAGTGGTAGGGAAGGAGCTGGAGATCTGGGATTCAGCTAACACAGGGGGCGAGCACGAAATCTGGGGACCAACCATTGATAACACATTTTGACTCTAGCCTGTCCCTCTATATGCTGGTCAAGTTGAGTGTCCTGTGAGACACAGATCCACTAAGCAAGCCAAAGAATCTGTTCCTTCTCGACCAGATCCCTTCTCCCAGTCTGTCACATTCTAGTCGCTGCTAATGATAGGATGATAAGTCCCGTTAATTCTTACGACTACCCTGTGCCAGCGCAGTTTCTACCTCCCCCTACTTCACCGCGCACTCATCTCCATATCCTCATCCCAAGCCTTTTTTCTGATCTTTCGCCCATCATATCCACTTTTGAACTTGTCAGTCGACCATATCGACCCAACACCATTTTTAGTGAAGTGATTGCTCGCAAAACTCGCCGCCGGCTCAGGTAAAGTCACCGCACGTTGGGGTCGCATAAAACCTCCCAGCTCTTCACTAACACCCCCAAGCCCACTTCTCTCCGTCCCTGAAAATCCACCATACAACTCCGCCTCGTCCCACCGCGGCGTCGGGTCTTTACCCACACTACCTCGCCACACATCAGCCTGGTCCTGATCCACCTCGACTTTCAGACTCCTATCCAGCTTCTCCACGCCCTTCGCTTTAGCCTCATCTGCCGCGTCCGTAGGATCCCTCCAGTACCCTCTTCCCCCCGGCTTACGCCGCATGTTCTTCTCAAACTTGCCGTATTTCCAGTACTTTCTCGCATAATAGAAACTTGCGACGCCAACGCCGAAGACCGACGACAGTGGCGCGCAGGTAGCTATGTATAGCGTTGTGTAGAAAAGGATGCCGGTTCCTGTGCGCGGATTGTGTTTGTGTTTGTGGTGGGAGTGGGAGTAGGAGTTGGATTTAGACTTGGGGTTGAGCAGCCAGGGAAGGAACAGCATGCTAGACTTTACGAAGATTGTGAATGAGAGGCCGGTTGATATGATGAATAGCGTTAGAGCAGTGATGCGTATCCAGTGCTTTATTACGAGTGCTGGCGCGCGCAACTTCAGGAAGTGTTGCCAACAGTGGGAGAAGTACGAGTATGCCAGAGGATATATAGCGATGGTGGGGATGTGGAGTAGTTTCAGGATCTCCTGTATACTGAATAACAGTAGTAGAAGGAGGCGCCAGATACCGAAGATTGGCAAGGCAAAGAGCGAGACGATCAGGCCCGTGAAGATTCGCAAGACGGTGGTGAGTGTGGTGAGCAGTCTGCCCATGCTTGTGTTGTAGAGTAAGATGTCGAGTCTGTCTGTAGCTTTGTATTACAAGATACTAAGTTGGTACATGATTGCGGTGGAATCGTAAAGGAAGTGTCTGACTGGTGTGAAGCTAATAAATAAGAGTGGTGTGCTGTGATGATGCACTTGAAGCGTGTCGTGAAGAACCATACCGTGAAGCGCATCAGGCCATGCAGACATCAATAAGTAGACCGATACTCTGGTGGTATGTACTCCAATCCCAAACCCTCAAACACTACCCTCTCGGCTTCCTCTGGTGTCCCATCCACACCATCCGGTCCCTCCAGCGATATCGCCTCACCATTACTCCTACTGCGAATGCCACTACTATCAAATTTCCATCCTTTGGTGGCTTTCGCATACCGGCGAAGATCTCGCTGAAACGTCGTGCCGCCACTCCAGCCCATGACCGCGCAGCCCACGGTCCGCCATGGAGCGATAATAATATCGACACGGCGATGAATATTCGGATTCTTCGCTTTCGAGTCCTCTGCGAGATCTCGATCGCGTGTCGGCCAAGTAGGGTCTTGCCACACCACGAGCGCTTTGTCAAGGGTATCAAAGCCTACACCAGCACCCTTCGCAGAACGAAAAGGAAGGACATGCTGCCCACGGTTCGTATTCGTCATGTTCATGGTCAAGGTATGTGTAATCCATTCCACATCCTCGAGAACCTCGACCATCTCCCGCACCAAGCCCGCTGTGGACTCGAGATCAGGATGCGAGACAATCATATCCACATCACCAGATGCTACCTTGCCACGCCGATAACCGCCAACGATTGTGACCGTAATGCGCTCATCGCGAAGACGCACTGCGAATTCTCGGACGACAGATGCTATCTGTTCGACCTCATCGCGGGGGATCGGCACTAGGAATTCGTCATAGTACTTGACACCTATCTGCTGTACTCGATCCAAATCATTCCAGCCAAACTCGACAATATCATCGAGATCAGTCCAATGGTTATTATAGTAGAAGTTTCGGGCGGTCTTCGCACCTACACCCCAGATATCGTAGAATGTGCGCAGAACTTTCATCGCTTCGTCGTTTCCATAGTCTTCGACCGCTTGGATCTTGCCTGTGTTCTTCCACTCGACAAACAGCACGGCAGTTTTCTCGTCGCAGCCTGGCAACTGGGTAATCTCGCGGGGATGACTGAGTTTGTACGGGTATGCAGCAATAGAAGCGATGATTGTTGAGTACGCGCGAACACCAATCTCATCGTCGATAAGCGTCCGGGCCGTACGAATCTTCTTAAGTTGGTCAAGAAAGTCCTCATTAGGCCCGTTCGCAGGCGTGAATCGTTGGCAAGAGTACTTCACGCCCTTCTTTACCCAGTCTGGAGGTTGTGGAATGTCACTGTCTTCGCCCTCGTATTCACTCGTTGTTGCTTGAAGCAAGTGTGCAGCATGCGAGGCATATGACTTGCCGGCAGGCAGGTTAGACGAGGCAAAGCTCTTGCCCACAAAGCGTCGGGAGCCATGGCTTCTAAAGGGTTGGGGCTGGTACGTCGATTTTGATACAGTTGTAGAAACATCCGACTTTGCCCGGTCCAGGATATCTTGCACAGTGTGTGGCCGGGTAGCCAGAAGGGTCTGAGAAGTAGGTGTTGTCTTGGCAACCGCGGAGAAAACAGCTTTGATGGATCTGGTCTTCAATGATTTTGGTCGCTCTGATACCTTAGCTTTGTACACCAGATTGTCCGCTAAGGGAACAAGGTGACCTGCTGACACGCAGGCGTCTATCCAATCCAGTTTGATTACCCAGATGATGTCGTTGTTCGAGCCTTTGTCGAACACCGGTGCTACGCGCACATCTTTCTCGGACTTGAAAGATGATGACGATGGCGCGACCTGGTTCTCAACAGGTGCTTCGTCCTCGGTCTCTGAGACTTCGACGGTCTCGTCCTCGGTAGTGGAATCTCCCTCGTGTACTGCAACATGGCTAGACGTTGTTCGAGAAAGCTTTCTTTTCCTGCTTGGAGGACCAACTGTCTTTATTGGACTTGCCGCCCGCTTCACTGCGACGAGTTCTTGGACTACCAACTTTCGAGACCTCAACTCAAACTCAGCCCGCCTCTTAGTTCCTACCTTGCCAATGAAAACATTTGCTCTTGAGACATCGGTAGTAAGAGGTGCATCGTGCTGGCGTAATGTTTCCTTGAGCTTCGCCTCCTCCTCGTCCTTCAAATGGGCTGACAAAATGGCGATTGGTGGGATGCTGCTGAGATCGAGGCCAGGTAGCGATATTGTAGAGGTGGGTGACAGTGAGGGCGCGCGCATTGTTTGAGAAGAATGATACTTGTCAACCATTTCTGGAAAATATTGCCGTGTTTCAATAAGTCGAAGCAAGGGCGCTGTCAAGAGGTGTCCCGAAAGCGAGTCCTGTGTCTTCGACGGCAGTGGCTAGACGACCAGTAGGCCATTGTACAAATACCCACGATCAATGGGACGTTATGCGGTAGTGGCGTAGAATATAATGTCACGGATCGATAATTCACTGGCCAAAAATGGATGACGTGTAGGTGAGGGAGGGGGAATGGCGCTGGAGTACTAAGCAGTTCTTGGCCATTTTGTTCTGTTTGCCTCTTTAGTCACGTCATTCACCGAGGTCTGTGCCCGTCAACCGCTGCTTAGGTCAGCGGGCCGTTTCAACTTCAATTTATCCGTGACGGGCGTTTCACCAAAATGCTATTCAACTTGTTCCTCCGGAATCATTCTGGCGGGGCTGCGCGGGACTCAGGCTGTAGTAGGTAGGTAGGTCTCTGGATGACGGGCCCCAGACGTCGACGCATGAACAAGGCGCTCTGCCTAGCTATGCATAGCTAGACAGCGTGGAGCCACCTACGCGTTTTGAGGACAACCTGTCTATATCCTCAAGGCGCGCGAAACAACGGTCGAATAGATGGGGTCAGCAGTCCATCTCAGCGTTGTATGCCCTTGCGCCTCAACGGCTGTCAACCATCCCTCCCAACCACAACTGCCAGATTGGGCCAAGCCACCCTCGGTCCCGCACGCACCAAGCATTCCGCGACTGTCATAAGCCGCTCAAGGCGAGGAATTCCACGCCTCCGTCTTGAAGAGGGAAGGCCGAGCATAGTTCTGGTGTCCGAACAATCGGCTCATGATGGCGCCAACGTGGGCAATGTTTCTCCTTGCTGCCGATCCCTTCCTTTCCGTGCCCGGACTTCTGTTTCGCAATTATAGGGAAGGGAGCGTATGAGCGACGCCTCCGCATAGTACTTCCCATGCACGGATATATAGTGGGGTCGGTAGGTGACATGTAAAATGCGAGGCAGCCGCACCGGCTTTTCGTTCGCTACCCTGGTCGTCCTGCAGGTTCTGTACCGGATATAGAGTCCATATTACTCTGGTACAGGTCGCCGCTCTCTCTCTACGGCATATCTTTCGTTCATTATCCTTCTTTCTACACCTTTCGCTTTTTCGAAAAGAGCGCTGGCTTCTATAGGGTTCACTATTGTATACAGACCCACTTCCAACACCTTCAACTACTCCTCGGAGGCTTCGCACCTAGTCTCTTTCGAAGATGCGCTCTCTCATCCTCATGGCCATCGTGGCCATATTTACCTTCGTTTCCGCAATTCCTATCACACCTTCGGCACCGCGACTTCAAAAACGAGTTGAGCAGTTTCGATTAGAAGGACTGAAAGAGGTAAACCGACGTCTGGGTCGTATTACTGTATTATAATGACTAACACAGGTAGTTCGAAATTGCTGAACGCTTATCAAGCTCAACAACAGCTTCCGAACTCGAACCATTCCTCGCTCACCTGAAGAAAAACCTGCTCTTCCATACTCATTTAGCAGACGATGAGAACGACGTTTCTGGCGACATCGCCCCTGGCTCTTTAGAAGCCCCGCAGATCCTCCCTAGCGCCCCGGTATCCGAAGAATGGCCCTGGCTCCAGAGTCTCTGTGCTTTCTTCCACGGCAGGGAAAGCAGCTTCGGCTATGAAGGAAAAGAGCTTGAACTGCGTCGACCGACGGGCATGCGCCACTGGAAACAGAGTTTCGGGGGATTCAGGCGATAAACGATCGAAATTCTTGCCCTTTTTATGCATAACGAGTAAATGTTACAATCTGTGGACGGAGTTTAGCATCTTTCTTTGGCAGGTTCTAAGCAAGGTCATCCTACAAGAGCATGGTTATCCAGCCATTCTCGTTTGAAACACTCCCGCTCTCATTTTATTTGCTCCCATCTCTCGCGAGATCAGGTGATGACTTGGCATCCGAGGGAGGTGCTTGTTGAATACTTAGCCAGCGAGTGGTCAGGTTCCTTGAATCAAGCTTCGATTGCCGTAGTCGTTGTCCTGTACATTACGTTGTTTGACTCAGGATACTACCGTTTTATACTATCAAGCCATACGTCCTCCTCTTTGTGCTAACTGAACCTGTATATTTTATTCGCATCCTTACACCCTTTTAGTTGAGTTGTATGGCGCCATCGGGGGCAGCACTGCGCTTAGTCGTACCTTCGGCCATCCTCATCTCTCATTCCCTGTCATTCTTCTCCGAAAGTTTGTATGGTGCGCGTCCTTCGCTTGACACGAAACGCAAGACTCAATTTAATCGCCTCTCATAGTCTGTCTTCGACTTGTCCCCTATCACTTGTATCCCGAGTCAATCACGGTGATGGCTCGGCCTATTTGGGGGCGAGAATGGCTGCGGATGATGAGGCTTAGATCTGGCCCTCGGAGACCGAGAAGAGATCTGGACTTTTCCGAAGACATCCTCAATGAGTACATTGCAAATGTCACGATCTCTGACTTGTCTCTGAGGACCTAGAAACAGATGATTTTCTTCACTTCAGTGTACCAGAATCACGATCAACCTTTCATTTCTCTCGGCCTTTGAATATGATCCTTCCGTGCTTGCTTGCCTTTGACCTTGTGGTCATACTTGTAGGCATTAGGATGTGGTCGACTGTGCGAAATAGCATTGCTGCTATAGCTTTTGGGTTCTTCCAAATAACGACAGGGACAGTTCAGCACACAAAAGTTGAGGATCTCGCCATTACGTCTTGTTTACAGAATTGCAAATGGAATGCTCATCCTTTATATAAAGGTTAGTTATGGACAGTTGGTAGATTGAGCATGGGTTAGTGTGGCAATCGCTGCTTCCGATACTCTAGATGATACTAGGCTGTTGGGAAAAGGGTGGAGCTCTGCACAGTAAGACATAGCAACGTGATTAGATATATACTGTCAGGTTTGAGCAAAAACAAGGTCCATCACGAGCAAAGCCTAGAGCACGTTCTTGCATAATGTTGGTGCCATTTGGGATGGAGATGAATTGATCGTCGAAGAGTCCATATGCAGCGATGGGATAAGAAATGACGAGGGAATGCACCTTCCTTATGTGCAGATCTACAAAGCACTCGTGTCCCAAACTGGCTTTGATGCTGGCTCTTCTAGATGCCGGGCTACGATCAGACATCATCACAGCTCTTATTGATAAGCCTATGCCAATTGGTATCCCAAGAGGTAAAGCCCGGTGCCCGATAGGTCATGCTCAAAGCCTCGTGTTACCACAAGGAGATGACATAGCAGTAACACGCCAGCTAGAGCTCTGGAGGGAAATCCGATCATTTTCATAGATTCACATAGAATTATCATCATGTTCTCGAACAGCACAGTCGCCCATTTTGTAACTGTAGTTTTCGCCACGCGGAGAATACTCCGTAGACCTGATTTAATGTATCGTTTCTAAGAAAAGACTAGCGACTCAAGTGTAGCAATACCATGGTAAAAAGGGAAGTCCCGTGTGGGACCCGCACATCTACAAAGGAAGGTCGCAAATTCGAGAAACGAATTACGGATCTATGAAAGGCAATGGGGGCTGAGCAACAAGCCTTGAACAAGGGCACTCGCTGAAACGCTTCCCCACGGCCCAATGAAATCGCAGCAAACCCTGGCGGTTAATTTGCAATCGGACCTAAATGGATGGAAACAAATGAACAGCATGCGCAATAGGCGATTTGGCCCCATTTCGGGCCCGGGTAATGCGTGATAGACCCTAGTGCTTACACGCTGGTCACAGCCTGTGATGTTCAGCACTTTCTCGTAGACAGGAACTGATCGAGACCCAAGAGATTGTCGGTTCATGCAAACTAGAGCTGATTCAATATTCTTTGCGTTCAGTTTTCTGCGCATTCTTCAGGGGGGGGTAGATTGCGATTGATCGATCGGTTAAGATATGTTGCGCTGACCTGCCCCGGCTTTCGTTCACCTAAGCTTCAGGCATCCTTCAATCCTTCGCCCGACAAATACACTAGTTCCCGCCTCCTTCGATCCTTCGCCCGACAGATAAACTCCACGCCTACCATGTCTGAGGTCGAGACGCAGTATGTCAAACGTGGGTATTGGAACAACATCGAGCATGGTTCTATTCTAGGTGGAGTAATTACCACCGATGTTCGCACTGGTTCCGTTACAATCGCCCTGCTCGCTATCTTGGTGACAATCGCAACGGCACATCTCTGGAATTTGGTCGTCTTTGTTCTACACATGTTACGTGCAGACGGAAGACCAGCTGACGGGTTGTTTCAACAGCAGCAAGCTCTTCTTCGCACTGCTGCGGCACCAACTTCGATGCTAGCCGATTGGGTGAAGCTTTGGTGGATCTGGAGAAAGCGAACGACAAAGGCTCTGGCGCGATCTGTCCTAATATTCATTCTCACCTCACTCTTCGCGGCGGCTACCATCGTGGCCGGAGTGTTCTCATCTTACGTCGTGGACACATCGAATTTGCATGTCCTTGTGGACAGTCCGGCTTGCGGACCACTGCGTCCCAATGATGGGAATACTTTCTCAGCCAACAATCTCGCATTCCTGGATTATAATGGCAAATTACAAGCCCTGAGTGTACCATATGCCCAGGAGTGCTATCAGGAAGGAACGTCGCTCCCAGCACGATGTCATATTTTCGTGCAGCCAAATATTCCACTGGTCCCGGAGCGCCACGATTGCCCTTTCGCAGACACAATCTGTAAGCCGTTCGACAAACCCGGCGTCACCGTAGACTCTGGTCTTGTCGATGCAAACGATATATTTGGTTGGAATCTCCAGGCACACCAACGACTCAAATACCGCAGGAAGACCACTTGCGGAGTCCTCAAAACGCAAGAGTACCAGACAGTCTTCGAAGCGAAGGACTATCCATTCAATACGCGGCCTTTACTGCCTGGCGAGCAAAACCTAGCAGCTCATTATGGTCTTCGGCGTTCTACGGGTGAGTGGGCAAATCTTACTATGGCCCAGAGTCTTGTCCTGGCGAATGTAACGCGAGGATACACAGTGAACACCGTCATGCGCTGGGGCGCGCCGGAACGAGACATCAGTAGCATTTTCGATCCCATTCCAGAGCTGGCGACTGAAAATGCCGACTTGACGTTGATCATGGTGACGCTGAACCAAGTGCGATATTCCGCGCCTGTTGAGGATCCGTTCTTCTCTGCGCATAAGCCGTTCAATTGGATTGCTTCCACAACTGATAACATGACCGTCTACTTTTCTGATTGGCCTAATGCCATGCTGGGATGCAAACAAAAGGTATCATTTGCGCCTTGCTCGAATCTTCAGGAAGTTGACATGTTATAGCACCAACTCTGCCATGCGCGCAAAGGCGAGGAAGACTTCTGCACAGATCTATCTTTCCTTCCCGATGCCGTAAATTCAACAAGTTTCCCCAACGCCAGCGAGCTCCAAATTGCAGGCTTGCAACTCATTCTCGATGCAAGCTCTTCTTCCACTAGCTACGATGCTGCTCTGAAAGGTCTCAACGCAACGGCCAAGTTCGCCAGCAACAACGGATTTGTAACTAAGGACTTCCCAGCCGATCAATGGGTCACCGAAGTTGTTGGATGGGAGAAGTATATATGGGCGACTTTCCAGGCGTATATCGCTGATTATGCCATGGGTTTCAGCGCCCGAGTCCCTGCACTAAAGGAGTATATACAGACAAATCTTACCAAAGGTGAGAAGGAGCTCTGCGGTATTCAGCGAATGGTGAAGCCTAGTGGAGTCATGTAAGCATATTGAATCATGTGCTTTTCAGAAAGATAGGCTTACATTCTATGATAGGAATATCTCTGTTGTTGGCCTTGCTATTGTCGTAGCGCTCGCGGCATTTTTTACACTGTTCGACTTGATCGTACTCAAATTCATCATCTTCCTCGGGCGCTCTCGCAAAGCGCTTGCTCCGCGCATCGATAGATGGATCCAGTATGGAGTTTTTCAACTGCAGCGACGTGTTTACGAGGCCAATGAAGAGGGAATTTGGGTGCGTCAGGATACAGAAGTGCCTGCTACGATTGATGGTCAGCCGTTGTGCGAACTATCAGTTGAGACGCCTCGGCATTGCTGCACACACACTTGCACGAAGAAGAATGGCGATGTAGTTATCCCAAGGGTGGGTATAAAGCGAGGTATAACGGTGATGAGCGATGCAACGACAGTATATGATCAGACAGATAATGAGGCGTCCTCGAAGAGTAGTTCGATAAAGAAGGGGACAATGTATCCTGCGGGCAAGTAGCTATTATAGTTTAGGGCCTGATTTGGAAGCTGAGGAGCGCTTGCACCTCTAGTCGGCGCGCCGTACATACTTTTTTGATTTTTAAGTATAGACACACCAAGGTACTCATCTCCACTAAGGACCCATCCTTACCGTGTATTTTTGACTTATTCCCTATTGCTTGTGTCCCGAGTCAAATACGGTGATGGGACAGCCGGTTTGGGGGCGAGAATGGCTTCGGGTGATGAGGCTTAGATCTAGCCCGCGTCTATGCAGGCGGGCGCGACCGAGCAGCTGAGCTACAGCCTCGTGCGTCCCGAGGGTTTTTCACCTTCAGGACACGATCCGGACGTCCAACGACGCCTTCAACAATGAGGCGGGATGGCAGACCCTCTGTCCATCACAGCCAGCGTGCTAACGCTCATCCAAGTTTCTGTGCAGGTAACCGTCCTTCTAAAGCAGTTTCGCGAAGAGGTTAGCGTCGTGGATGCGACACTCTTGGGCCTTCTCAGCGATGTGGGTGGATTTCAGCAGGTCCTCGAGTCCATGATAGAGACCTTCGAACAAGACGACATCAAATCGAACCTACAGGTGACGGGACATGTTGGGAGCCATTGGAAGAACCTGGCGCGATCGCTTGATGATTGCGCAAGCACTTTGCGACAACTGCACACGCTTCTGGACGGCACCAACAAGAAGACATCGATTCTAGACGCGCCGAGGAAGCAGCTTAGGTTCAAGAGTGCTATCGAACAGATTGCGACTTATCGGGAGCAGATCCAATCTTATCGTGCAGCCCTTCAATTGTCTCTGAGTACCATTATTCTGTGAGTTAGCATTCCTTCAATCTGTAACACCAGTCTCAGCCTGCTCCAGCATCGCGCACTAGAGCACTGGTTTATGTTTAACACCAAAAAGAAACGTACACATAACGGGTCTCACACTTTAGTCTACGCGCTACACCTTTCTTGGTCTATTACTGATATCTCCTTCAGTTGGAACCAGGTAACTTTCCAAAAGTCGACTGAAAAAATCCCGGAGAAGATTGTCCCGACCCTGGACAAAATCTACGATGAATTCCGTACCTTTGGTGCACTTTTGAACGCGAAAATTGAGAAACTTCAAAGCGCTGTGTTGAATCAGAGCGAAGATCAAGATGAGGTTGAACTCAAAAACATGAACAACCTGAGGGAGTGCGTCCGCTCAGCGGCAGACGTCGTTTCCACAGCATCTACAACATTGAACGCAGAAGTTAGTGACAAAGTTTCTGTCAGACAGGGGTCTGATTTTGGAGACGTATTTGTCAGGGATGCCAACGAGCCCATGCTCCGCTGGATGTCATCAAACACAGTGTACGAATATGAGGACATGGAAGTATCCTTTCCCGACCCTTCGGAGGCTAGCACGGGCGACACGCCCACTGAGTACCACTCTGACAGCGATTCCGACATCGAAAACGAGATGATCAGATCGCTATTCAACGAAGGCAAGAAACGCAAGGATCAAGGCGATTTGGCGGGTGCGGTTCGACATTTTCGCAATTGCGTAACCAGATTCTCATCAAACGCCAGCTACGCTTCCCTCACGTCACTCCAGAGTGTATCAACTTGTGGGGTGTCCAAGGCAGAACTTCTCGAACAGCTTACGGATTCCTATTGTCTATTGGGATCCTGGAGCAAAGCGAAATCGACAATGGCAGAGAAACTCTCCATCACCGAACGTCAAGTGGGCAAGAAAGATGAACTGTACTTGTGGGACACGATGAAATTGGCCGAACTCATGATGAAGAACAAGGAGTACATGGAAGCGCATTTACAAGGGCGAAGGTCTCTACGGGGCTTTAAGAAGCTTGGGCAGCCTGGATACAAGGGCTACGAAAAATGCCTCTCCTTCCTGATTCAGTTGTGCAATGATGAGGGGAAAGCGGACGAAGAAGACGCTTATGCAGCTTTGCTTGGCAGTCATGAGAGGAAATTACGACGGTCGCTGTCGGAATCCAAATCGACTCGTTCACCACGGGATACCTCCCAGTCCGAATCGATGACCACCCCTTCGTCCAAACACCGTGCTGGGGTTCCTCCAGACGCACCTAAGGAAACAAGAGACGCGTTTAATGATATTGAGAAGACAGTAGATGAGCCATCCGTGCAGAACGAGACGTACATTGAAAAGGGGCATAGGCGGTCGAATACAGTTTCCGAGACTCTTGGGCGTGTGACATCCATGTTCTCAGGGCGTCAACCTTCCTATGCCTCACCTCTATCTGCGCAAGAAGAATCAAATATCGCCAAACCAGAAATTACCGAGCCTTCTGTGTCAATCTCGGACGGTGTTGAGAGCGAGCCACTCGATCTTGTAGTAGAAGGAGATATGACCTCCTTACAAGAGACGTCAAGTTCAATTGGACCTCTGACGCCTGCCACCGAAACGTCAACTACTTCCATCGAAAGTGAAGCTACGTCAGTTGCCGAGGGGGACGCTCTCGCCCCTGGAAATCAAACGCCTAAGTCAACGCCTGCGCATGCACACGATTCTCGTAGCCTAAAAGAAGGCGCCCTGCTAGTGGGTCCATCTTCATTCTACAAGGAGCGGTTAGAATTCAGGAAAAACAATTCCCTAGCCATCGCCCCAATGCCGTTGACTGTAGTTGGATACCTCGACCTACTGTACCACGCATCAGCTGAGGATTTCGCTGAGAGAAAGAAAACGACAAGTCGGAGAAGAGACATTGATTTTCTTACAACATACTGCAAACATTTCCATGGCCGCACACCTTACTTTTCCACTACTTCGCTCTTTGACGGATACACCTGCATGGTCAAGATCAACAGAACACAAGGGTGTACGGTCTCCGGTCATAGCAACGAGCAGCAGGCTAGAGATGCTGCTGCAGCTCAAGCCTGTGAGATGTTCATCTCTGCTACTGACGAAGATTTTCTCCTGGACAATGCAAAGCGACGCGACCCCAGCTCCGACAAAGAGGTATATACACCAAAGATCGATAGAGAAGAGTTCAAAGAAGTAGTCCCATCGGCGGATGCAATGACTACTCCATATAGTCCTACTTTGGCCCGTGCTGCATCTAGTTCTCTAGCCCAGATGCCTCACATCACAATATCGGTCGACAATGACGGGACTATGGTCCCTATACAAGATGCAGAAGCAGCGACTCATGTACTCCAGAAACATGCATCAGGTTCGAGTGTGCGGCGCAGTGCTTCCGATTCACATATTGACCAGATTATCAATACCGGAATGAAGCATCGACGGGGTGTCTTAAGTCTCTCCAGTGCGCCAGTAGACGAACGCGAGGCGGAATGGATGCCTGGTGACGACCAGTCATTTGAGGTGTCGCCCGCGGAAAACATCATTTGTCCACACTGTTCTGTAGACTTGTCAAAGGTACCTGAGGGTGTGGCTTGGAGACACCTGCATAGTAGATGTGCACTAGATCAACCAACAGGCGAGGGTACGGTAGTTGACCACGAACCTTCGTGCCCCATGTGCAACGAATCTCTATCAGGACTGTCAGAAGAGGCTGCCTCAATTCATGTCAACGGATGCATAGATGCGGCCCCAAGTCCAGTCGAAGAAGAGAATCGAAATAATGCAGTACAGGCCATAAACGCTCTACCTGCCTCAGAGATCAGCTGGTCTGAATTCCTTGAAAATATTGAGTCATTCAAGGGGATATGGGCATGTAACGCCTGCAAGTCAGACACACTACAGCCTATTAGTGACAAGACATGTAATTCATGTGGCTTGGAAAGAGACTATCGTTGTCCGAGTTCAAAAAACGACTTTCAGCGTCAGCCATTCGACCGCTACTGGACACTTCTGACATCGTTAAACCTGAGCATTCTAGACATTCCCGACGGTAGTGTAGTGCGGCGAAAGATACTGTTGCTAGGTGATACATTGTGTGGGAAGACATTTCTTGCTAGTGCCTGGAGTCAGGATAAAACGCCAGTTGGGGACACACCGCTTGTCAATAACTTCGTCAAGAAGATGACAAATCAAGGCCGTCAAGTTGAACTCGCCATCTGGGATAATACCGGTATGGATGGGTATGAGAGACTACGTCGTCTTTCGTATGAGGATGTACATGTTGTATTGATCTGTTTCGACATCGCGGAGCCTGATTCTCTTGAGAACATAGAACATATGGTAAGCCTTGCTGCCCTAAACCATCTACAGCTGAAGCTGCTAATCAATCATAGTGGAACATTGAAGCCGACAGCCACCTCAAAGATGTGCGCAAGATACTTGTGGGTTGCAAGAAAGATCTTCGTCATGATGAAGCAACTCTCGCCAGGTTGCACCAACATCAGGCAATGCCGATATCGCCATACGCTGTGTGTAATACTACAATCGCAATCCGAAACGATACTGACAATCTATGTAGGCCGACAAACTCGCCATCAAGATCCACGCGCTTGCGTATTTTGAGACATCGGCCGTTGAGAGGAAAGGCATCACAGATCTGTTCGACTACGTTGCAGAAGCCGCTCTAAGCAGGCCTCATAAAACTAAAACCAGCGGACTCAGGAGGTTCCTATCGAGGGGCGATATTAAGTTGCCATCGCTAAGCGGGCATACGGTAGCATCTTCGTGAATCACTATTGACCTAAAGATACGTCCTCGGCAGTAATTTGTAATGTTATGCTGTAGAGCTTTATTGAAGAGGCGAGCTCGGTCAAAATTGGCTGTACAACATGGGACCATATGGGAACGAATTTTGATATCAATTCAACAATAACACAGAAGGCATCTTGCGCGCGCGCATAGATGCAAGGAAATAGAGCACTGAATAATGATAGTGTCTACTGCTCAACTTGCTGTCCAAAACCCTTCTCCTCTCTCTTGACTCTGCCTTTCTCAGCCATCTTTTCGTTGTTCATCATATGCCCTGCCTTCTCCATTACTTTGCCTAGCGTCGAATCGCTGCTCTCGCTGAAGCTACCCGTCTTATTGCCAAAGCCTGCGCCGCCTGTCGAACCGCTGCCGTGTGGTGTGGCGTTAGAGTAAGGCGCAGTATCTTTGTGCAAGCCAAACCGGAACTCTTCCTCGTCTACGGGCGCATTGGAGTCGGATTTTGTGACGGACGACCGCTTATTGCCTAGATTGCTGGTCAGCGACGCCATCCAATCTATATCAAAGTCATAAGGCCATGAGACTGTAGGGACCAAGTACGTACCAAATCCAGCTCCACCGGTAGTGCCAGAGCCATGATGCTGTGCGTTGGAGTAAGCGGCATTGGAGTCCGTAAGGCCGAGGCGCGTGTTCGTGTGTTCTTCTTGAAGGTTTTCGGCAACGTAGTCGGGCGCTGTGCGGTTACCGTAGCCTGCCATTGTGTGGAGTGTAGATAGTGAAGATATTCGAAGAAGAGATGGAAAGTGTGAGATTCTGGTGGAGTGGATAATTGCTTTGATCGTAGTAAATCTTATAATCTTCAGTGAGCAACAAGGATTTGTTATATTATGAACTCAAACCCCATCCGCCTGCCAGCTACTAAGTCTCTCTATAATGGATAAGCATTGAGTTTAGACTCCTCAAGCCATATGAGGTCATTCTGCATAGAGGGCGTATGGCTCCCATGTAGATCGGAGTCTGGAGAGGCCCTATAAGAGGACAGAAGGCTTAGCCAAGCTATGCTTAGTATCTCTCCCGAAAGCACTAGGATTCTAGATTGTGGGTCGAAGAACGTCCCGGGTGCAAGGACTATCTACTGTTGCGATCGGTAAGTTGACAAACCCAAATGTTTGGAAATTTTGAGAGAAATTAGAAAGCTGAGCACCGGAACTCCGAGAACATAAAGGTCGTTTGTAAACGCCCTTCGAATACTTGTCCATTATTGAAACCCTAGAAGTTCTCTTGGATCGATGATGGAGATAGCTGAGGGGAAAGATAGCTAACATCCGAATTCGGCAGTCGATACTGCTGATCGAGATAAGGGTCCTATAGCGTGAGGACCCCACGCCTGACAAGCAACCTGATATTCCGTCCTAGACCTGTGTCGCGTCTACGCGAAAGGTTGAGTAGTTCTAAATAATCGTGCGCCAAGATCCACCTACGCCAGCAATGCATGAAGATTCGCTCTACGATAAAAGGGAAAAAAGCGTAATGACCTCATCGGATGTATTTTGACTGTCGCTTGGTGTCAGCCTCTATGCAGTCAAAACTGGTAACGTGAAGGATGCACTTACCATGAACTTTTTGTGGAAGTCAGAACGCAGCATGTCGTTGATGAATTCCTTCTTCTTGTTCTTGTCTTCGGTGCCTCGTGCTTGGTTCTTGAACACAACATCGTCATCCCACCTGCGCTTCATGGCAAAGTCGCGCGCATTAAGTAATGGATTGCCTCTAGCGACATCAATCTCGCGTTGCTCTTCTTCCTCTGCTGCATGTTCTGCCTCCTCTTTCGCTTTGGCCGCAGCGCGCTCCTTCTTGATTTTTTCCAGTTCGCGCATGAGGGCTGCGGTCTCGTCTTCTTCGTCTTCGTCACTTTGTAACAGTCAGCAATGCCATTTATTCAATATGAACATGTGCAACTCACTCATCGTCGCTACTCTCACTTTCATCACTACTGTCGTCTGCGTCTATCTCCCTGAATTTTTCTAGCATCTCTATCCGCCGCCGCTTCTGATCTGCTTGATCCTCCTCGCTTTCGTCTGCGGCTGAAACCGCATCAAGTTGTCGCTTCGGCGCATTACTAGGCTCGGTCGCCGACTCTGATTCGACATAGGTGCCGTTCTTCTTTGCAAAGTGGCGTGCCTCGGCCTCTAGAAGTTCTGCGCGGAGATCGCGCTTGACATATTCGGCATCTCCGCCTTGTCCTGGCTGCCTATGCTTGAGAGTAGTGTGTGCTGGCAGTAGGCGCTGGTGGTAGGCGGGCCCTCGCTGGGCTTCTTTGCCGCGTGCGGGATCGAACGTTGGTCTATGGGCAGTCGTCATCGTGTCTGTCGATTATATAGTGACCGAGATTGGGTTTGATGCAACTTTCGGAAGTCTTGCGCGTTGTTGACGTACGTTGTTCTGCTGAGGATAGGATGTAAAAGTTGGGAGACACTCCAGCTTGAGAATCGCGCTAAGAGCGCGGCCATCACTTTTCTCCGGCCCCGCATTTTCAGTGAAGTTCAACGACCATAACTTCTGCACAACAAGCACGCACCCTGAATCTGTAGAGGCGAGATGCCTCGAGAAGCTGAGATATCGCTCAATGAGCGGGAGTTTATCAAGCAAGCGCTGCAGGAGCAAATTCGGCTCGATGGGCGCGCTTTCGACGCATTTCGTCCGCTTGAGCTCACATTTGGAGACGAGTATGGCGTCGCGGACGTGCAATTAGGCAAAACAAGGTAGTGGTGCCAGTCGTTGTATACTTGGTATATTCTAACATCTTCCAGGGTCATTGCTCGAATATCAGTAGATGTTACGACACCATTGCCCGAGCGCAAGTTTGACGGCATATTCCAAATAGTCACCGAGTTCTCACCCATGGCTTCTCCAGCATTCGAAGTTGGTCGGTATGTTGCATACATCTTATCGTGTCCTTGCGCTCAAGTAACTAATTGGGTATTTAGACCTACAGACGCAGAGGTTATCCTCTCCCGGATACTGGAGAAGTCGATTCGTCGCTCGAACGCCCTGGACACGGAATCGCTCTGCATCATCGCTGGCCTTAAATGCTTTGCTCTTCGCGCCGATGTACATATTATCGATCATGATGGGGGGTTGATAGATGCTGCGTGCATTGCCGTCATGGCCGCATTGCAACACTTCCGACGACCAGACGTACTTGTAGAGGGAGAGAAGGCGACAATTCTCAGCGTCCGCGAGCGCGAACCTATACCTTTGTCGATCCTACACCAGCCACTTTGTGTAACTTTCTCATACTTCGAAGACGAAGTGTTCTTGGTAGACGCGAACTTGGCCGAAGAGCAGGTTCGCCAGGGAGAGGTGATTCTCACGATGAATAAGCATGGTGAGGTATGCCAGATTGCCAAGTATGGAGGAGCGACGATAAATCCACTGGCCTTGTTAAATTGCACCAACGTCGCGTTACAAAAGGTCAAGGAGATGACCACGTTCATTCAGAAAAGACTTGAGAAGGATGCCAAGAAGAGGGATGCAGGAGGGTTGCTGGCGGAGCTGAGTGCTGAGAATGCGAGATGAGCATTTGCAAGGAGTACAACGACCTTACGATAGACAGCGAGTCTGGACCTACACGACCGTCCGCGATGCTCCGCGTTGGCTACATGCATCCCGCAAAGCGTCGTCCGCGAGGCTAAGCAACCCGATAAGGAAAGCTTAGCAAATAACGGAGTACCCATATGGTGCGTCAACAGCCGGACCATTAGCTTGCGAAGAGCTACGACCAGGGCGGAGGCCTCAGCCAGTTGGGAAATGCAAATACCTGCTGCATTCAACAGTATCTATGCAGGAGCGCAGGACGTAGTGAGAATTTAGGCGGTGCGCAATAGTGGCTTGGATGAATAATCACGAATAATAGACATGATCTTCCAATATTTGTGTTCACACCGTTTGCGTCCGTAAAGGCGTCCACACCTAACTCAAATTCTCGACCTGGAATGGTGACGTAGCTGACAAAGCGCGCCATGACACGCCTCGGCCCACTGTCCCTTGCAACTTCATTTGAGCGACAAGAACCCACTGAAACAGTATCTCCGCATGCGAGAGTCTGGCTCTAAACATTCGCTGCTTATCAGACCTTCGGCCGAGGAACTTACATGAATACATATATATCAATGCTAACGGCTCGAAATTGCTAATTCACTACTTCAACCTCACTACCCATCAATCTCGCATATTGCGTCATACGCACGTCCGGAACGTCTTCCACCCCGAATATATAAGTCTTTGGATATTGTCACCGCTTCCACAGCTACCAAACTTCGCATTCCTCTCACAACCTTCAACATGGCTTCGAAACTAGTACCCTCGAACCCGGAGAAGGTCATGGTCATTCGCGATCTTGTACCCAGGACCATCACTACTCTCTCTGTCCCGTTCTTTCGGTTTGGCAAGATAAAGATCGGTGGACGAGGGACAATCGGTACGAAATACTGTATTAGGCTTGATGCTCTCTTTGCTAACGATGAGATACAGTGCGTCTACAGTCTGGATCTCTTGCCGTCTTCTCCCCAGTCGCATTGACCGACGAAGTTAAACGCAAGGTCGCCGAGCTAGGAGAAGTAAAATATATCGCAGCTCTCGACGCTGAGGTACGTTTTCCTTCCCATCTACTGCCACTCTTCCGCCTTCTCACAAACTTCCCAGCATCACATCTTCCTTGGGCCATGGTCTCAAGCCTACCCCAACGCCCAGGTCCTAGGCCCCGAAACCCTCCCTGAGAAGCGCGCAAAACAGAAGAATGAAGACGTGCCTTTCGCATTCGTTTTCAGTAAATCCAAGCCCATAACCACCATCTCGCCCGAATTCGATGAAGAGTTTGACTGGGAATACGTCCCCGCACACATCAACAAAGAACTCGTGTTCCACCACAAGCCCACTCGATCCCTTATAACCGCTGATCTACTGTTTAATCTGCCGGCGACGGAGCAGTTCAGCAAGACCGGCGTGGATGCGAATAGTGGTATATTGACGAAGATCTTTGGCGCGCTACAGAATACTAGGGGGACGGCGATTTGGCAGCAGCGCACGATCTGGTATGGAACGAGTTCGAGCGACAGGCCGGGATTCGCTCAGTCGATGGCCCGCATCAACAAGTGGGACTTTGAGCGTATCATCTTTTGTCACGGCGATGTGATTGAGAGCAACGGCAAGAGCGTTTTCGAGAAGGTGTTCAAATGGCATTTGGATCTGGCCAAATCGGATGCCACGAAGAGGTCATAAACCTCCTACAGCAGAGTTTCATGATATACTGAAGGCCACACCTAGCTTAGCTGCGACGTTGGGCATAGCCCGAACATAAGCTCGCAAAGCTGAACAAGCGTAGCTGGTAAGTTTGCTACATAAGAGTTTAATTATGGCACGATGTAAATGATGTTCCGATTTGTGGGATGGAATTGCAATACTTGTGTCTAGATAATGTAACTTTCATTATACAATTGATACTGAAATTTTGTACAAAAAAACGCTTAGTGAATAATGTGTGACGCGGTAGTAAACATCGAATCGACTATAGTAATCATAGGGGGTATACTATCAATTTAGATTCATAACTTGCTAACACGAGAGTACGTAGCTATTACACCTACGAGAGAACCCCCGAGTTAGCTGGAATAAAGACCCATGACGTTCCTGTTAAATAGTGCGATCATCCAAAAAATAGCTATGTATCTTGTAACGGGGAAGATGAACAGAAGAGTGTCATTTGTCTGTGTGTGTAGCCAAAAATACGCCGGCTAAAAAGGAGAAGTGAGGAGGGGGGTGAAGTATTGCGCAAAAGGAAACCCAGCATGACTGATACTTCAAGGTGTTTCCCTAGCACTGGCGCGTGCAGTTATGTCTAGGAGGGCTTGTCTCTTGGACCAGTGAGATGAAGATATAGTATCGTACCTATGGAAAAGAATTTGGAGAAAGAGCACGTTTGGTTGTCGAGCGAGTACCATGGAGAGCGTGGATTTAAGGTTCCCAAACTGAATTCACTAATCTCAACCAGTAAATTGAGCGACATAGAAGCACATCACCGTTCAAAGCAGCAAGATGAGCTATGATATCCATTCCTCGAGCTTAAAAGAGTGTCCTGATCCTTCCATAGCCACACACTGATTCGTAGAGACATCTAGCCGCATATGCTCACTTCGCAGACACCCAACCTCACCACTCCATCCCGAGATTTGCAAATCTGACTACGATTGCAGGCTCTTATACCCGCCTAGTTGTAGCACAGATAGCTCGAGATGATATCATCGAAATTGTACGTCCTCAGATCAGGGATAAAGTTCCCGCCAGGAACAGTGAGCCTGTAGTCACCAACTCCGCAGCCATTATTGCGGTAGAAGATGCATCCAAACCCGTTGGGCACTCTGAGGGAAGTAATCTGGTCATTCCATCCATTGCCCAGGTTGTAACACCTTTGGGCTATTTCTCTATTAGCCTTGACCGTATTCAAGCTATTGTAGCAGATTTTGATGGGGAAATACGTACTATCCGTATAGAGTCCCTCGTGTCTCCCAGCCCCATTCAAATCATAATACACATCCACGACCAGAGTAGCACGCTTGGACAAGCTCTTGTTAGAAATAGCAATGCCGGTGTCGCGCTTAGAGGCTGTGCCACTCGTGAAGGCTGATTTACCCTCGACAACGGGTGGTGTGTCGGGAATGTTCTGCTCTGGGGCGAGGAAGTTGGAGGCACTTTGGTGGACAGCATCAGCGGGCAAGGCTGAGACTGCACCAATGAGAGCTGCGGTGAGGGCGAAGAAGCGCATTTTGAAAGCTTGGTGAGAATGAGGATAAGATGAGATGGATGTTGAGTGTAGTGGTGAGGTAGCATTGGAGAGGTGATTGAGGGAGTATTTATACACTTCACTCTTGTCCAGACTCCCCGTTTAGTCAATCCGGCGTAGAGGCCTTCACTTTCAATCATCATTCGATCATAGTTGCCATGAGTGGCTCTGGTTCCGCTCTTGCCGTGTTGGTAACTGAAGCGAACTGTGGTCCTCGTGTTTAAGCGAAATAGATGAAGACTGCTTAGCACTGCATGCGTGTAAGACACTCATAGGAATATGAAAACCCGGTCTCTCTCCACCCTATACAGATTCGGTGGTGCTTGCTTACTTTGGCGAGGAATTACAAGGTCGTGATGTACCTTAATTGTAGTTCAGCCCCCAACCCAACCTTGTCCAATATTCCAAGTTTCATAGTCGCTAATGCACATAATCTTACCAAGGCTGCCTCGGTGTTGGAATGACACGACTCCAAAAGAACTTTGCTTAATGTGATATGGAAGGAATGAGCAGGGTGCCGTTTTTTGATACTGTTCGCTGAGAAACCCGAATTTCCTCTCACTGCCTACCAAGTATGTACTGGAAGGACCGAATGCGGTGAGGTTATAGGTAAAGGCACTATGCCTTGGTATTCTTGTATGGCTGATATGAAGAAACGAGCATGCAAAGTAGCTGTGCCATTCGGAGATGACTAGGTTGTTGAGAAAGGTCCGATTAAGTTCAGTTAAGCGACAGGCGTTTCCCGATACCGCAGGGACCGGAGTGGTCGAAATGATGTATCTACTGAGGGTGTTCAGAAGCGCTAGACACGGTTAGCCGAAGTCAAACTACTATTGTTGTGCATGATTTGTGGGCGTTCTCCACTGCATGTACCCGTAGTCGCCGACGTGCCCATATTGAACCGCATACGCTAGTCGACTTCGCATCGTATAATCGTACTAGTACACTTTATCCCTGTCTAACTTCTGACATTGACTTGGAGGTCTAGTCCACTCCCCGCGCTCTTACTTGTCTTTGTAGTATGCAGCGCTACATAGCAACTACGAGAGAACGCCGCAAGCGACAGAGGTACACAAGAATAAGATACCGGAGAGGCCTCTCTCTGAGGCACTGAGCAGTGAAAAGATCGGTTTGAGTGACACTCCTGGTCTTGCTAGTTTTCCCATACCGATATGAAGTAGTGAGATCGACTTTCCCGACAATAGTTACAGGTGTTTATGATAAGAAATGAGGATAAATACTGAGTCCGATTAAAAGGTGTATAGCGTTAGGATCTAGTTGCTAAGGGAAAAAGACATTGATATACAGTTTCTGATTTGCTTGGAACCATACACCATCAGGTAGAGAATCTTGCACAGAAGGACCAAGCTGTACTGTCACATGTCAGCCAGAAAGCCTGGCGTGGCTCGGAACTGTGACACAAGAACGTCTCTCCAGCTGGTGCACCAGAATAACTGTAGTTCCCTAGGTTACAAGTAGTCAAGTCAGGTCGTACAGGGTCCAAGATGATAAAAAGATGGCTGGTGACGGTGGTGCAGACGGAGCGCTACCACGTGGGGCCATGGTCCGAGCTTTTGATATTCCTGGTCAACGTCATTTCGAAGTCTCGGAGACAAGCAACACCTTGCGCACCTATCACCACCGCATCAACCCACGCCAATTCGTGGCACTGCCAAGTTCCGGCATCGGCAATCGTGTCATGTACTGTTTCTATTAAAGCTTTCTAGTCGGTAAAAGAATCGTCGCAATTGGTGGAAGTAGGCCCATCGATCCATCATGGCCTCAAGCTCTACCGAGACGACTCCCCTAATCTCATCCATGTCAGGCGGAAGCCGCATGATGCCACCCAAGCCCCAGCGAACTGTCACTTTCAACCCCACCGTGTCCTCGGCCAGTCCGAAACAGCCGTCCCGGACGCTGTCGTATGGGCCTTCGTCTTCGGGCTATATGCCCACCACCCAAGGCGGCCAGCCAATGCTGTCCACGCTAAACAGTAAACTGCGAAGGAGAAACAGCTCAGGCGCACCCGCAAGACCACCATCTGCGCCCGCACCGAAGATCGGCCCGCAGAGGACGACGAGAACCGCACAGAAGTTAAAGCTCCTTCCCGATCCGGCCGCAGAAGAGGGGGAAGACGAGGAGAGTGGACGAGATGTATACGTACAGTACACAAGAATAAAAGACCCTACGGCTAGAAGAGATGCAGCTCGATTGGGAAAGGCAGACCGGGAGCGGTTGCCGCGAGTAACGGCATACTGTACAGCAGCCTCTTACAAACTGGACGACTTGATGCGCTATCTAAAAGGCAAACAAAAGGCGCGAGGTGCCATGCCTAAGCGCTTCGACGAGTGCATATACTCTCCCTACAACTACGGAACGAAAGGACCCGAAGACGTCGCAAGTACTGCTGTACTTGACGGCGTCCCCGAGGAGAGACAAAGAAGATTTTCAGATAGCGCCATCGAGGTGGAGCATGAAAACGAGAGAAGGAGACAAGATCTAATCGACCTGCACGATGAGGGCGATGCACCTAATATTGGGAATGAAGAAGCAATCGACGATAGACCCCGGCGGCCATCAATTACACATGCCGATTCGGATCCTCAGGTCGACACGCCAGATTTCGACACCCAGGTCCATACACCAGAAGTCTTCCTGTTTGAGTATGGCACTGTTGTGCTATGGGGCATGACTCTCCAGGAAGAGAAACGATTCCTGAAAGAAATCGCCAAGTTCGAAACTGACAAACTTGGTAAAGACGAAGTAGAGACGGAAGAGTTCAACTTCTACTACACGCGCGAGTACCAAGCACGCATCTACAACGACTTCATCAGTCTGCGGGACAAGAAGAACTACATGATCAAGCTTGCCATCAGCCACGGCCTTTCTCAGAGCGTCAAGACGTCTCTCTTCGAGGACCTGGTCGACAACACCATCGACGACACCAAAGACATTCCCGCGCAGATTGCGAGTTCCGGGACGATCAATCTAAGCAAGAAGCAGATCAACATGCAGATTGGTGAATTGTTCATCCTGCGCATTAGCATCCATCTCCAGGGCTCGGTGCTCGACGCGCCCGAGCTGATGTGGGCCGAGCCACAGCTAGACCCCGTCTACCAAGCTGTAAGAAGCTATCTCGAGATGGACCAAAGAGTCAGCCTATTGACAGAGAGATTGAATGTGATTGGAGATCTTTTGGCGGTCCTGAAAGACCAACTGACAGTGACCCATGTGAGTATTCTGTACGACTACCAACCAGAGTCTTTTTGCTAATTAGTTACAGGGTGAATTGCTCGAGTGGATCGTCATTATACTGGTCTTCGCCGAAGTCGTTGTTGCCGCCATCAATATCTTCGTCGACTTGCATGCCGCAGACTAAGAGTCGCCGCGGTTATACATTGTATATAGTATTGTTATTTTCGTCTTCTTTTGTACGATACTTCGGCAGTACGAAAGCTTGGAGGTCATGTTTAAAAGGGGATTTTGAGGTTCGCGGGCGTTGATATTCCGATTAGCGTTGTTCTCATACATGTACGGAGCAGCTACTCGTCAAGGAGCTGTGAATAGGCGGCTAGTTTGTAATTAATTGGCACGAGGGGGCGAAAATGCCCGGAAGAATGCAAGAGAATACCAGGCCACTGTAGCATTATTTAGTTTGTGTACTCTGCATTTGTTGTCACGTCGTGGATGAGGAGGGTGTGGATGAGGGCGGACCTTGGCGTATCCACTCCGCTGAACCCTGGCCTGCCCCATTTCAACATGCCGCCCCGATGAGCATTCAGACTTCTCGCACATGCCCTCCTCACCCCGTTGCTGCGCCCCAATGAGCCGTCCCAGATGAGTTGGAATCTGCTAGAGCGCTTCATAGAATCGGACCACTTCAACACCGACCCGTCGCTGGCTGTGGCCTACCTTGCGTGAGTTGCCGTTCTGTCTTGATTCGAAGCCACGGTTGCCCGCTGTCGGGTGCACCGCCGCACACCTTCACCGACACGTCCGCATCGGGACAATTTTGGGACCTTGGCTGACAGGTCGCGAATCCAACAGGCGGTATGCAGACCATGTCGGCATCCACTATGTGCTCTGTTCCAAGCTGCGCCAGTTTGCCTACGAGGAGCTCGAGTTCTTCCTCCCGCAGTACGTCGCCGTGACCCAATTGCCGACCCCACGAACAGCTAGCTTACACAGGCGGGCAACAGGCTATGTCACCTCCTTATAAGCATCGACAATGAGTCCATGGCCCTGGAGGAGTTCATAATAGACTTGTGCGAGGAATCTGTCAACGGCGCGCTTCTGGTGGGTACCAGGACATGACCTTGTCCTTCACCAGCCCGTGCACCTACTAACATATGGCTTGTAGACGTTCTGGCTATTCCAAACCTACCTCCACGACCTTGCGAGCGCCCCGAGCTCAATCGCCTTCCAGACGTGTCGGAGGATATACAATCGTGTGCAGCGCATCGTCTTTGGCTCTGCCGAGCCCCAACGGAGAGAAAAGATCAAGGAGAACGTCTTGCCTGTCACCCTACTCTCAAGTTTAGTCCTAGCGAGCATTGCAGCGCCATTCTTGCCCGTGCATGCTGGACCGTTGGCCATTGCCCAGGCGCGGAAACCGAGGCCCATCGAGGACATCATCTCGGACAATGTACAGACGGCGAAAGTGGGGAGGAGCAATACAGTGGCGTCAGCATCACCACGACTGAAACAGAGGAGGACTGGAAAGGGATATTCAGACCCAGAAGATGGCCGGTCGTCCAAGCCTTCTTCGCCCCGACCCAAGGAGGCGCGAGACTCTAAAGACGTGAGGAAACCGGCTGCACGACCGCCAAATACCCCACGAGCGCCTTCGATGCAACATCGGCCATCGCTGCTGTCAGTCGCACACGACGCCCGTCTAAGCTCGTCATCCTTACCAGACTTTCGAGATTCCCGGACGTCTCCACTACCTACACCTCCTGCAACTGCTGGGTTAGGACCAAAGCCAGACCACTTCGGCCCTCGCAGGCTTATATCACAGCCATCAAGACCTCTCACACCGACTGCATTTTCTCGTTCGCAAAAGGTGCGACTGCTGCGATCGAACTATTTCCGGAACGAGACCCAGTTTCTAAGTGCTCTTGAAGATATTTCCAATCGCCTAGTCGTTGTCCCGAAACCCGCTCGTCTGAGCGCTTTAAGGGCGGAGCTCGCTCTGATTGCCCAGGATCTGCCAACTGAAGTTGACATACCCACCCTTTCTCCCCCGACTCTCAAGGACGGAATTGCTTCGCAGAGTCAACATCATCGGATAGTGCGAATCAACCCAGCCGAAGCTACCAGTCTCAACAGTGCAGAGCGAGTGCCCTATCTACTGATGGTAGAAGTCTTGCAGGAGGACTTTGACTTTGACCCAGATACAGAGCAAAATCAACAACTTTTAGAGAAGCTCATGTTGGAGAAGGGGACATCACGACGACGCCTTTTCGACATCACCAGCGCCGAATACCTCGCGCTTGATAGAACACCGCCGAATGGAGTTGACAGTGTCTTTGAACCTGCTAATGGTGACCTCGGTAGCACCTCGCTCATCAAGGATCTGGATGGAGATGATATTGCCTCTGGATTAGCACGAGTTACACTACCGAGTACAAGCGCCAACGGAAAAGCCACGGCACCCAGATCATCAAGTAGAGCTAATACTTCATCTTCGATGGCCACTTTATCTACTCCACGAACGTCAGATTCGGCGATCAGCAGGTCCAACAGCCCTGTACCTCTGCACAGGAGAATGACAATTGCCAGCAGTAGCAATCGAGGAATCCAGAGTGTCGACCAGACGGACTTCTCCGCCCTTGCAACGCACATGCGAACAGCTGCGCAAATGCTCGCACAGCTTGAAGCGAGCAGTGCGAAACGGCCAAAGACCGAAGTTGCAGCCATCAAAGCCAAGATTATCGCAAGCATGCAGAGTTTAGAAGAGCAGAACTTTCTTCTGGAGGACCAGGGTCCAACATTTGACACAATCTTGGCAGAGTCAGATCCGACAGCCATTACAGCAGAGCCGGAAGATCTTGAAGGGGGAATGGTGGACACAACTAACTCTGGGGCAGGTGCAGCCCGTATGGAAAATGACCTCAAGACTGGTGGAATGCGAAGAAAAGGCGACCGAGACGATCCCAGCGCCGCGACTTTTGGTGAAGAGTGGAGTGCGAAGCGGGAGCGCGTACGACGATCCTCACCCTACGGTCACATGAAAAACTGGGATCTCATCAGTGTTATCGTTAAGACGGGCGCAGATCTGCGCCAGGAGGCATTCGCCTGTCAGCTCATTGAAGTATGCGCAAAGATCTGGGAAGAAGCCAACGTACCCGTTTGGACAAAGCGAATGCGCATCCTTGTTACAGGGGAATCATCTGGCCTCATCGAAACAATTACCAACGGCGTCTCCCTCCACTCCCTCAAACGCAGTTTAACACTAGCCAGCATAGCAGCTGGGACCAACCCCCGCAAACGCATCGCCACTCTCAAAGACCACTGGCTCAAGACTTTTGGCGAGCCAGAGTCGGAGTCTTACATCGCCGGTGTAGATGCGTTTACGCGCTCTTTAGCTGCATATAGCATGATATGCTACGTCCTTCAACTCAAAGATCGGCACAATGGAAACCTCCTCATCGACAATATGGGCCACATCATCCACATTGATTTCGGCTTCATGCTGTCGAATTCCCCAGGATCTATGGGTTTCGAAGCTGCGCCCTTCAAGTTGACACAAGACTACGTCGATGTTCTCGGTGGCGTCACTAGTCCTGCGTTTGAAGAGTTCAAAGCCTTGTCTAAGAGAGCATTCCAGGCTCTCAGGAAGGACGCGGAGAGACTGATCATGCTTGTCGATCTGATGAGCAAGCAGAGTAAGATGGATTGTTTCAAAGCGGGAGCAGCGAGCGTCACAAATTCGCTGAGGGCGAGACTCATGCTACACTTGAGCCGTGAAGAGGCAGAGACTTTTGTCGATGAGTTGATTGCGAAAAGTGTGGGGAGTTATTATACCCGGCTGTAAGTCCTTCAAAACTCGCTTCAAATGATGTCGATCTAGGTTTACTAACAAGTACTGCAGTTACGATACTTTCCAGTACCGCACGCAAGGCATATACTAGTGGTGTTTTTGCAGCACCTTATCCTATCCTGATACGTATTCTAGCTCTTGGCCTGTTACCTGCATTTCCCCGGCGTCATCTCGCGAGTCTCGTAGAAAGTTTGGGTAGAAGAACAATTGCAGTAGCAGTTCAGCCAAAAAAATTCAATCTTATATCTTGGAGAGACACCACGCTCTCTTCCTGCAGCTAGATCTGCGTGCATATCTGTATCTTATCAGACGAGAAACATAATCAGAGTGCTCTGCTCCAAACATCAATTTACGAGGCAACGATATACTTGTGCTGAAACTCCACCTTCTCCTCAGCAGTGCTTAGAACAGGCGTTCCATCGCAGATCCACCCGGGGTGAATGATGCGACCTCCTTCAAGAAGAAGACGGTTAAGCGTCTGTGGCGTTACTGAGAGCTGTCACTGCTTCCGCGTCTGAAAGAATTGTCTTGGAGCGAGTGTTTATCCTGGACCACGGGACGGACCTTGGCACTTGAAAGGCAACACTGTAAGAGGTCGCTATCAAAAAAAGAATGGAAGCGCAAACAGAAACGATTTGTGCTCGGTGCAAGACATGGTGTGCTTGACGACAAGGGGCCTGAGGTTCGCAAGAAGGGTCAGAGGGTATCTCCTTTGCTGCGACTGGGGCCAGGCTGGGGTCTGGGGTGAGTGTAAGCATGCCACGTAGAAATTCATTATCCATGTTGAATCGAGGTTTAAGCTACTCCGACTAATTGAACATATGCTCCCAAATTGGCGAGCATACTCCTTATAGCATACCTCATGGGCTTCCGAAACTCGGTAATATATCACTTTTCACCATGTGCTAGAGGGGCCATAGCATGAACGTGTTGATGTGCAAGCTTGACATGAATCTAGCTATGGTACCCAATGGAAGAAACCCGAGGGAAATACGAATGCTCAAACTCCAATGTGTCCGAGGGCGACCAAATGACCGGTGCCAGTCCCTGTCCCAGATCATGCCGTCCGAGCTACGCCCAAGCACCTTCGCTATGCCGTCAGAATCATGATCTCGAGTAATCTAGAAAAATACCAGTAATGACGGTAGAGGCCGTGAGAGGAAGCCAAAGCCGTCAAACGCCGTGATTCGTGATACGCCAGAAATAAGCCGTCTCCCGTTGTGCATCTGCTCATACGATGCATGTGAATAGCACATCCCTTTCTCGAAAACGCCATGTAAAACCAAAACAAAGGAAAATCAGCTCGCCCGTACTTCGCCGTGCGTTTCTTCAGAAGTTGATGGAAATGTCAGGCTTCGACACCGAGGTGTCAGGCTGCTTCTTGCTCGGCAGATACTCGTCCTTTGGGTAGAGTGCGATATTTGGATCAAGACTATCGTCTGCGCTGGAGAACAGAGGCGGCTCAGGACTTGCAACAGGAGGCGATGATCCTATAGCTTGCATTCTGTCAACACGAGCCTCTCATTGAATATCAAGCAGCGCGTCCGCATCATCGGACTCACTACCATAATCACTCTGGCCATCAAAGCCCCCACCCTCACTACCCTCTGCTCCGTCGTCCACTGGCCACATGCGTAGTCGAGGTTCAACTTCCGTCTGGTATTGATAAACCAGAGCGGTATCGTTCGGATCCTTGTACTGCTGCATCTCCTCGTCCTCGTTCTGACTGAGGAACCATAAGAGTTGCACGAGTGCTTGGCATGTCGCAATAAGCGGATTGAGGTGACTCCGCAACATGCCAGCATCCTGTTCGTAGACAATGCGGTTATTCATATCGGCCACGAGGTCGCGCATAGTTTTCCACTTGAGTGCCACGGTTTCTTCGGGCATTTCGGCGGGATTGCCGTAGAGTTCGCGAAGGAGGACGTGTGTGCCTTTTCGGACGCTCTCGAGGTTATGCATGAGTAGTGGCATTGCGTATAATCGGCTCTTGTTCATGAGGTAGTGGTGAAAGGCGAAAGTGTTACCTTTGTGTTCGAACAAGACTTCGTTCTCGGCCTTGAAGAGCCCGACGTAGAAGTCGAGGACAGCTTCACCACCGGGTACGCGTTCTTCTTCTGCTCGGCTTGTGGACGAAATAGCTTTGGACACTGCGGCAATCACTTTGGTGATGTTTTCGACAATCGGACAAGCTTGGCAGAATGCTAGACCAGCTCGGATGTAAGCATCGCAGTAGGAAGGATCGAGCATGATGCCTTCGACGATAGTTCTGGTCAGGTTCGTTTGTATCTGTGACTCTTCCGATTCGAGCATCCACTTGACTATGTCGCCAGGATAAAAATAGTCAACCTTGGTTTGGTCGAACAGCTCCAATATCTTGTCTAGAATGACGATGGCTTTGAGCTCATCCGACCAGAAGAGCAAGATCTGCTTCTCGCGTTGGGTTAGTGGAAACCTCGTCCTTTCGCGGTCAAGCGTGGCTTGGCGATCTTCTGCCTGGTTTGCTGAGATGACGGGTAGGCGTATATCCGTACGCAAGAGCAGCGCGGATAAAAAGCCGATCAGTCTGTTGGTAATGCCTTTTCTCTTTTCCATAATTCGCGATAAGTCATAGTGCTCATCCCTGAAGCTCGTGTGCATGTGCATAGAGAACAGCTTCAAGCAGAACTCTAGTATGCCGTGACTGAGTAGGACTGCTGTTTCCACGTGACCCATCTCTACCACTTGAGTAAGGGTCAAATAGTAGTCGTCCCAACCTCGAGTGCTCATGTATGTTTCGTCCGCGGTAACTCGTAATCGCTTGACCACAGTTGCGAGTACTCCCTCCATTGGAGCAGTAGAGTCTAACTCCATGTCGCCGTCTGTGCCTTCTATACCATATAGAGCCGGTTCTTGTTCGCGGAAAAACTTCAGACAGTCGACGATGAAAGTGCGCGTCTGTGCCCTAATCTTAGGATGCATGTTCCGTAGAAGTAGGTTGAGTAGCGCGAATTCGTCTGCGGAGAGTGCTTTTAACACGACGTTACAGCACATCGAACATGTTAGAACGGTTCGACGGAGTTGTGATAAGGTTTCAGCGAAGATGTCAGGTGTTTGCTGACGCCAGACGATTTGGCTTAGATGCGACAAGACAATGTGTAGGGCACGAGTCTCCTATATCTTTTGTTAGTACTTCTAAAAAAGGACTGTCTCGACCTTTGGGGAGATGGAAGTAGTGCATACCTGTTCATGGTCTTCCGAGCAAGTCCCGTGATTGATCGTCCGGGACGTTGCATGAAGTTGACGCACGAATCTCGAGTGACTGGAGTCGAATCGGCAGTACTCTCGAATGAAGAGCTCATTGTTAACGTCTACCTCTTTCCGAAGAGGCTGCGGCACCGGAACTTTTAGCGCTTGTTCTCTCGTGGTAGTGACCCACTGGCGCTGATCCTCCTCTACTGCAGTCCTGCGTTGGTAGAACAACATGTAGGCAGAGTAGTTTTTCATTGTCCGACCGTAAACCTCTTCCATTGTTCCACCAAAGGCCTTCTGCGCAATGTCCGCGGGATCAAAAGAGCCAACATTGCTATCGTCGAATTCCACCCAGGTCGGTGTCGCGCCTTCAGCTGGGCAGGGTCGCTCGCGAATATAAGAATAGTAATGACCGTTCTCGCAGTTGCCGGTGTGTACAAGGACACCAACCAAGTCGAACATGTCTTCTTTGCGCGGCTTGGATGGATCACTGAGGTGGTCGACGTGGTATACGCTGATATCAATAGATGGTGGAAACTCGAAGTGGTCGTAGATCTTCCTTCGGCTGAAATCATTCAGGTCAAACTCGAATCGCTTGAGGTGAAATATCAGGTTGTCGGGCACATCTTTGAGACAAGTCCGCTTTACAGCATCGACGAATTTACCGCCGCATGACTCGCACTTGTACTTATTGTCGCCTTCCATGACATCACCGCGAACAAAGGCTTGAAGACTCTCGTGGAGGTTGGCTTTGCCCTGAACGTCGCACTGCACGGCGAAGAAAGGCTCCGCTCGCTCAGACACATGCTCGCATTCTTTCGACTTGATTTGGTTGAGGGTTTGCCCGCCGTAGAATGAGCGAAACTGTTGCTTGTGTTCCTCTTTGACGAGCTGAGCCTCCCATTGATCGAAAAGCAAGTTGTAGAATTCGTCTGCATCCATTTGGATACTGATGTCAATCGGCGCTTGTTCGAGATTCCTTACGCAGGCTGCAAAACTACGTGGATCCGTCGATCTCCTGAATGAATGCTGCATCTGCGTGAAAAGCCTTTGTGTTTCGAATAGAAGTTTCTGGGCACCACTAGCCTCTTGCACCTCCAAGCTAAGCATGAACTTTCGGAAGTTCAGATTCATGAAAAGCTGGGTCAGCAGCGAATTCATGTAGCATATCGCACGTGGATTGTATAGGCCGACATAGCCTGTGCTCGAACGAACTTCCATAGAGCGATCCACGGAAATAGTTGCTAGCACTGGCTCGTACTCATCATTCTCTACCCCCCCTGCTAAATGGAGTAGGGCACTATAGGTGTTGCGGTCCTCGGCCAATGCAAGCATAAGATTATACAGTTCTTGTCTTGTGTGGCTCTCTAGTACCGGGAGAATAGTGCGGCTGGCGGGCTCGGTATCCGTTGGGGAGACAATTGTTTGACTGATGTATACTGTTAGTAAGTGAAGCAAGAATTGATGACGTCTTTGCGTAATGTATTGCGCAATCGTGCCAATATCCAAGTAAGATTAAATGAACGAGAGGCTTGCGTGACATACCTTGGGACAAAGATATACTTCCTGAAAATCCGCTCCATCAGCGTGCCAGCATTCACGGGCTTCTTGAAGGACTTGAGGGAAAATATGCAACACAGAAGAAGCTTTGTGAAGCCGAGTACGACATGGTCAGTCTCCTCGCGCCCTACGAATCCCATATGCTCATGTTTCAAAAGGAGGTTGCTCCATTGTGTCAAGGATAATCGTAGTGAATTCTCGTTGCGATCGTATTCGTCATTGGCGCGAAAAACGTGCTCGGCAATCTCGAGCAATTGTTGCGACTGCTCAGGATGAAGTACGGCCTCAGGAAGAATTGCCCATATTGTGGACCAAAAGCGAGCAGCGACTTCCCCTTTGGTTAGTGGACACGTTGACGGAAGATCTCCTCCACAGACAGAGGCGATTTTCATTGCGATATGCATTCGAACAGGTTGCCTTGGGTCAGTCAAAAGCAGAATTTGGTGTAAGCGTGTCGAATCCGAGTTGTTGATGAAAGCCTCCCACACAGCTCGGGAATGCAGTGACGCTTCCAGGAGAACAGCATACGAGTCTTGAACGACGGCAGCGTCGTCGTTTGTTCCAAGTGCCACCGACAATATTTTCACGAGGCGATCCGCAAGGAGAGACCCATCGGAGAAGTAACCGGCTGACATGTCTGGAGAAGGACGCTCTGCTTCGATTATGAGATTGGTCATCGGGCTGGTTTGTTTATAGCGCAACATACCTCTGAGAAATTCCAGGAGGACATTTATCAGTACAGCTGCCAGCTCGAGTTCCTGGAAACTGGATATTGGGTCGCTAATCAGCTTTGAGTTGAGAAGTGCCTCATCTAAGCGTCGGATGGCGTTGGCCAAAAATTTCTCATTCAACGATGACTGACCACGTTAGTACATGAACAAGGGTTGCTCTCCCTTTCAAACCTACACTGCGTATATGTTCCCTCAACCGTGACTGAAGCGCTTGAGCCGAGTATCTTGCCTGAAAGAACTTTCCAGGTGGGAACAGGCTCTCAGACGAGGCAACATTGGTGATGACACTATCTGCGAAAGTGTTACGAGCGGGAAAGAAGCTCAAGAATTCGTAGATCTGGTAGAGATTAGCACTGCTACTCACCGTCTGCGTTATGTTCTTACTAGTCGGCTAATCGTGTCATCCGAGTCCATCAAAGCGAAAAGCTCGTCGAAATACGTCAAAAGGGTGGTTTCAAAGATCGAAGAGCCTGAAACGGGTCCGGATAACGGACGTGTGACTTCAGCCCCTTCGGCTCGTTGTACGAGCAGCTGGCCCCCAAAATCGGTCTCTGATATCTTATGGGCTGCCTTCTCGGTGATATTCAGCCGTTGACCCTTGGCAAAAAGATTAATCTTAGTGAAACCAGTGGCATGGCATAACCTCCTATAGAGGTCCTCCAGTGTATGGTCGGACGCCATCGTGACAACCTGTCGGTCGTTGCCACATTGGTACTTGATCTTGATAGCATCTCCACAAGGGACATCCGTTTCGTCAATCTTTGAATCCATTCTTCGGCTACGGTTCAACTCTGGTTTCTGCCGAACGTATTCGAGCAATAGCTTTTGAAACAACAGTACTCTCCCGAAGCGAACCTCGTTCTCTTGCTGTGTCTCATCGGACAAAGTTATGTCCATTGCTGGGGATGTCTGATCTAGTGTCTTCGTCCGTAAAGTCTTAGATGCAGACCGCATTTCTTGCATGCATTTCTCCACAAGGGCGACATGAGCGGCCTCGACTTCTGGCAAAGTTACCCCTTCCGTGTCGTTGACCTGTACATAGCGGGCAGCAAGGAGGCGAGCTGCGCGGTCTTCAATAGTACCTTTTGGTGAAAACAAGACCATGGACCATAGCATATCGGCACCAGGAATTTGTAACACAGAGGTTTCCCCTTGCTCTGTGGTGATCAGCTGCCGAGTGGTGGGAAAGTTGTAGTTGGCAACAAATTCGAACAAGCCGGAGGTGTAGAACTGCGGGTCCAAAGTGGACAGATACGAAAAGACAAGCTGCTCGCAGAATGTATTGTCGGAAGAGACTTTGAGTGTCTGGGAGAGCTGCAACCAGGCCATATTGCGAGCATCATTTGACAACGCGTACTTGCCAATGACATAATCCCAGAGATCTTGGTAAAGATCGGTTGGTATAGCGGGTCCAGCCCGGCTGATCATGAGTGCAAGAAGCTCCACCCGGTACTGCAGAACTAGCATCTGATAAGGATAGGGCTCAACTTTGCTCTCCATTTTGACGAAAGCAGGTATCTCGTCGAGAATTTGGCGCGCCAAGTCCTTGTTTTGCTGGAAGAAAAATCCATCGCCTGAATGAGGCGGCGACGCGAGCATGAAGATGACTCTGACACTGCCGGTAGCTTCTTTTGTTCTGTTCGCAATATGCCGTGTACATTCGCGATATATAGCATGTCGCTCATTCGGAGGAACAATGTTGGTCAGCACGCGAAGTTGTTCGTTGGCTTCGCTGTGCAGATCCAATATGTTCTTGTCTGCGTCTCTGCTTGGCGCAGTATCGCGTATCATACGAATACAGACATTCCAGGGCCTGGCATTAGATTCCCCGGTGCTATAATCAACTGGCGGCGACCTCTCTATGAGTTTTCCAGTCAAGTCTCGCAGAAATCGCAAGATGTCTAGCGTATATCTCTCAATAGGCAATTCGTGCAGCTTCATGCAGAGATACAGATGATCTGGAGAAGCCATAAGGCTAATAATGCCTCGGAGCATAGTCATCGTTGCTGCGACTACTCGAGGATCGGGGTTGGTAGAAACGGTTTTCCAGATGGCGTCAGCTTGGCTGTCCGACCAACGATGAGTGACGACGAGGAATCCAACAATGTTCCCGCTGCGAGATATGAGCTGCGGGTGGGAGTCGACACTAATGATGTAATCCACGACCTGTCCGTGGAGAAGAAAGTCTGCCAGGTGCTGCATGACAGGATGTTTGCAGGTTGTGTCGATACTACTATACTCCCGCCATATTTCGACCAAGGCGGCGTCCATGGTAGCAATGCTCATGACGCGTAGATCCATTTTGCCCTTGACAACGTACTTGCGAAGTAGTTTGAATTTCCAAGCGTTCGATACCAACGCGGGGAAGGACACAGGGTCCCTGCGGTAATCAACGTGAGAAGTGCTAGCTGCATCTTTTGCGGATGAAGACATGGTCGGAGATTCCGGGTCCCTGAAATCCAAGAAGGTATCGGCCAGCTCCGCGGCGATATCCTTGTCCCAAAGACAAAGATCGGACAGAAGGTTGGAGAAGAATAGTATGAGATCTCGAGCAATGCCAGCATCTGTTGTTCTGCTGAGATCGTAAAGATCACCGCTGTATTTGTGGAAGAATAGCAGCGTGCCGCGATAGTACTCGGAGCGGTTTTGGTGGCTACTCGCGCTTGGAAACTCATGTATCGACCATCCCAGTACAGTGAGAAGCTGTGAAACGTATGTCGCAATAAAGTTCTGCGTGTTTATCGGTACTTGATGAAACGCTTCATCAGAAAACCGGAGAAGATTCTGAGCACCGTTGGCGGCGAGGAAATCCTTGTGGAGACGAATGCTCAACTCGCGGGTATCTGCGGCGTACTCTTTGTGTAACAGGTGGAAAAGCGGAGACTTCTCGGCGCGAAGAATGGTGTGGAGATGTCGGAGGTGCTTGTGGCTGAGAAGAGCCAAAGGATAGATTTCCTCGGGGCGCGGCCGGGAAAGGAGATGGACGTCTGCCAGCAGTAGGTAGGAGCACACCCTCACATAGGCAGCTAGGAAGCGGTAGAACATGGCGTCTACCTGGATGTCATCGAACTCGTCGCCAAATGGAAATCTGCTCACATTATTATTATTATGCCCAGCACCAAAAGCAGTGAACCATTGGTACCTCCGAAGTAGCAATTTATTCACCAGGCTAGCGAAGTCGTCCCAGAACATGGCCTTGTTCACATAGAAGCCTTGTAGATCTGCGGAAGGGTCGGGGATTCCTTCCAGCCATTCCGAGATGGTGGGGATTAGGTTGGCGTAGACGTTGGTAGCTGTAGCATGTGAGCGTGAGTCTTGGCTGGTGGGAGTGGACAGAGAGGGAGGGCTAGGATAGAAGGGACGTACCTGTGTTGACATGATGGGTAAGCTCTCGAACCATCTGGGAGTAGTTGCCCGAGCGTGCGAATGGGAACTGGCGGAAGTGGTCTTCTGCATCCAGCTGTACGGTGAAGGCTGGAGAGTCGTCATCGTCGTCGATGAGCATGATAGGCGGGCTTCCGGATTCTTGCTCTGGGCTGGCTATGACTATTGGCAGGTCGTCCTGGGCAGGAAGCGTGTCCTCGAGGAAGCCGTTAGTATTGCTATCATCCTCATCTCCAGCATGCACGGGGGACGAGGGCGGGTGCGAGCGTATGGTCATCTCTACCTGCTTCTCGTGGGGCAACGCGGCCGCGTTGTCTGGCGTCTGCGGATCGGTGGACATGGCGCGGAGACTGTTGCTGCCGCTGTCTAGGCGGGGGCGTTTGCGGGTGAAGCTTGCGTCTGCGTCTTCGACGGGATCACGGCGCGGCGGCGAGGCGGGGAGGATGATTGCTGGCTCGTCTGCAGCGACAGACTGCACTAAGTCATGGTCCCGCGAGCTCATGACGGCGTGCAAGCCCTGGGATTTGTTTGCGTAGGAACTAGGCGTGGTTGGCGGCAGAGAGTACGCGTACGGGCAGGTGAAGCCAGGCAGAGGGCAAGCAGCGCTCGCGGGTTGCAGGCAACAGCAACACGGCCAGCCTTACTGGCCCAAAAGGCCGGGCAGAGGCAATGAGAGGGCGGTCGAGAGGGGCACCATAAGCTGCAGCGACTGCGCGAGAAATGGGGATGGTGGAATTGGGGCGAGTTGAGCGTAGATGGCGGATTGCAGAGCTGTTGACGCGTTTGCCCGATTCACTATATGGATGTGTTTCCAGAGATTCCCCCCCACCAGACCCTTTGAGCGCGGACGGACGTCATGACCTCATTGGCTCCCGACACTCGTTCGCGCTAGTCGTCCACTAGCGTCCTCGTCGCCGCAGGGGTTCTTCAAGTTTGCCCGGTACCCCATATATATCGTTTCCCCATCACACACACACACACTGTATGAGCATTGCCTTGTGACGCAATCGGGAAACCCCAAACCACTCGAATTCCTTCTAGAAACAGACACGGCCAGCATTCTTCGTGGGGCCCAGTGCAAGGATCGCTGCACAGCCGCCATCCCGTTCTTGGTCACAGAGCGTGCAGCATCCAATATCAGCGATACCGTGTGCATGTAACCATGGCACCAACGGCAAAACAGAGTGCAAAGGCCATGTTCAAGACTTCTTCGCCTTTCACAGACACACAATGGTCAGTCTGCAGTCTGCTCGACCAGTTGCGTTGCCTACCTATGCTGACTAATCAAGGCCTCAGATATCGCAGCAGGATCAAGACATCCTACTCGACCTGATTTGCAAGTAGGTGAGTCTAAAGACTGGTTCGCCTACTTCACATGTTGACAGTATCCAGTCTCATCACACCTCTCGGCGACCATCGCCGGAATCACATACACCCTTCCAAGGGCAAAAAGCGGAAAAGACCCTGTAAAGCTGCCCAGAATGACACGACCATGGGCGAGGCTCCACCACCTCCACCAGAAATAGGCAAGCACATGCTCATCGGGCTCAATAGCGTGACACGACACCTTGAGGCTCTGGCTGCGAGGAATGGCCCATCAACGTCGCCATTTGCAACCCTGAAGAGCGATGAGAAAGAGACTGGAGCGAAGAAAGCGGGCAGACAAGATGTGGAGAGTGGCGAGGACTCGAGGCCTCTGAGCATGGTCATACTAACCCACCCCAAGCCCTCTCTCTCACCCGCTCACGCCCACCTGCCTACACTGGTCCACCTCTCCACCCTGTCTCCACCCTCCACACCACAGTCACCAACTGCAACAACCCGACTTATCCCCCTGGCCACCTCCACCGACGGCCGACTAGCGTCCAAGCTGCATATCCCCCGCGTTGGCGCACTAGGCATCTTCCAAGACGCCCCTGGAGCCAAGGCATTAGAAGACTTTGTCAGAGAGAATATTGGGCTGACGGAGTGTGTGTGGATCGACGAGGCTATGAAAGCAGATTGGAGGGGTGTAAACGTCAAGACTGAGGCTTCTGGGTCACACAAGTAACATTCGTAGGCATGAGGCTGACTTTTAACGTGACAACTGAGGTACACGGAACGCAGTACGGGGTATAAAAAATAGAGAACATGCAGCAACGAGAAAATCCGTCCTGAAATCGAGTGCCAAAACATGCGCTGCGTGTAATTGTGCCGAGCATAAAACCAAACTCCATAATACTTACGCCCCAGTGATGCTCTGCGCCATAATAATGCACGGTTATGCCCAGAACGAAAAGGCCAGATATGAAATTAGAACGGACTAAAGCCCAGAAGCCTTTGCGACCCCAAATCAGATCCATGGTTATCCTCCAGCCTCCCGCTCCCGGTTCATACTCTCCACTCTCCAACGCTTGAAACCCCGAGCCGACAAATTCTCCTCAAACATGCGGTCAATTTCCGCCACGCTTCTGCCCTTCATCTCCGGAATGATATACCACGACACCGCCGCTCCGACCAGACACGTAGCCGCGTAGGTAAAGCCCGTTTTCCCCCTAAGATTTCCTTGGTCTGGGTTGAAAACGTATGGCAGCGCAACACCGGCCACCGTGGTCGAGAGGGCAGAGATGAACCAGCCGATACCCTGCGTTCTGGCGCGCAGTTGGAGGGATGAGGTCTCGGCGGAGATGGCGAAGGAGGCGGGCCAGACACCCACGCCACAGATGGTGATTGTCAGCATCATTGATGCTGCTGTCCACCTGTTCATTTCGTTAGATTTGACTCTCTTACAGATTTGATTCGTTGGGAGACATACCAGGTAACAGCAGGCACAATCTTGGTGCAATTCGCGATACCCATTGATAACCAAAGCGCAGCCGCAATGAGTAGGGTACTGATTACTAAAGGTCGTCGTTCAACGCGCGCCATGACCAAGATCGAAATAACGTTCCCTATCAGGCCGAGAACAATGCCTAGAACCAGGAAGATGATAGATGTCCCGGCTTTCATGTTGATAAGTTGCAGGAAGTATGACGCTTTGGCGAGGAGTTGAAGACCGAAAACGGAGGGAAGAGCATTAGCCCACATAACGATGAAAGTCCGTCGGAGGTTCCTTTTGTGGAAGCACTCCAATAACGTCGCTCTATTGGAAAGTTCCTCGTGCTCTATGTCTGCAAGAATCTTGTCCACGATCGTCTGCGTATTGGCTCCTGGAGGATCAAGACGCGCCTGCGCTTGGAATGCCTTATCCAATCTGCGCTTACGTACATACCAAACCGGAGACTCTGGGATCAGGAAGGCGACGACAATAGGGACGAAGGAAAATGGCCACTGGGAGCCAAACGCGATGGAGTAGCCCTTGGGGCGATTCAGAGCACCATATATGACCAGCGCCCCAGTCAGTTGGCCCAATAGTGTGAAAGCCGGGAAGAACGCCATGCCTGAGCCTCGCAGAACAGGAGGAAGGATCTCGGACATGTACGTCTGGCACGCTGCCATAACTGCGCCGACTGCGCCGCCCTGGAAGAACTTGCCCATGAGGAAAGCGACGCGGCGGCCGGTGATGTCTGTGGGGAGGTATGAGATGTACATTATGGCGACACCAATGGCGGAAAGGAAGGAGCATGATCCCATTGTGAGGCGGCGTCCTATCCTGTCTTGCAACCAACCCCCGAACAGAGCACCGAGCATTGCACCAATGGGAGAAGCGACGTTCCAGAGTGCGAGCCATGTAGACGGTACGATCCATTTGCCTTCGTAGAAGATGCCAAAGTCCTTCCTACACCTCAATCAGCATGTAAATTCGTTATGAGGATTCGATAGGGCCTAGACCTACTGGAAGACTGGCATGGCCGCGACTGTACCAACAACAACATTATCGTAGCCGTAGAGAAGAATGGCAGAAGCAAGTCCGAGTGTGACGTAAGTGACTTTACGATACTTCTTGACGTTCTGCCAAAGCGTGCGCTGCTCGTCGCTAACCTGGCTACTGGATGTGGAATAGACCTCCGAGATCTGCTCCGCTGTGAAGTCGTCGTCCTTGTTGTCTGTACTTGTAGTGGTGGTGCTCATGTCATGCTGCGCCATGGTGCTGTTATCATTATCAAAAGTCGCATCACCCCCGCGACGAGACCAAGGAGATGAAACACAAACAGTCGAAATTCGCGGCATGGGTAACGGTCTCATATCAACTTCAGCCAGCCAAGCACCCAACTACGGGGCGTGTGGCCAGGTCGCACACTTATCTTTGAAGAGCTAATCAGAGCTTCCATCACCGACTATGCAGGCCCCCCCCTATTTGGAGTCAATAAAAAGACTACTGGGATGCATGGTAGCACCCTGTAAACAACTAGTAACGGTCGCGAAGGCATAAAAGGAGCGAATAGCAGCAAAAGGAGCAGCCCAACCCTGTCTTCATGGGCTATTATTTTCCTCCTCAGACCAGCGCTATCTACAAGCGTCACTAATTTTGGGGAAACGGCACCATTGCGCCTCTCCCGCGCCGACTTCTTGCAAACCCCACAGTTCAGCCACGTGCGCCGTACGATCGGACTCGGGGACTTAAGGCTCTTGTGCGACTAGTTGTACGTCCTCTACTGTATTAGAGCTCTGTGTGCCCCACCTGGATAACCATGATGCCTCCTGATACCGACGGTGCTGCAGTGTCAGCATGCTAGGTCTCACATGCTGCGGCACAGCATAGGACTAGGTGTGCTTTTGTTGATTCGAATAGAGTTGTGTTTCTAACTGCCCCGCACGACGCCTCGCAATGCAAACGCTTTAAACCTTGGAATGGAGGCTAGACTACTCCCTGTGCGGCCGTTAATATACAGAGAAAACACCAAAAGCCACTTCTTAGCCGAGAAAGTTCTTGACGGCGCCGCCGACATGCTGGAGATCAAGAAGGAACGTGTCATGGCCGAACAAGCTCTTCTCTTCACCCAACTCAATGTGCGTAACGTTCTTGTTTCCCGTGCGCTTAAGCGTAGTCGCGATTTCACGCTGCTGCCAGGCCGGGAATAGAATGTCGCTTGCCACGCCTAGGACCAATGCCGGGGTGTTTGCTAGAGGCTTCAGCCCAGCCACTAGGTCGGCTGGGGGCTCGCTCCCGTCAGCCAGCGCAGCCAGCGCGTCTGCATCGATATCTGCAGCTTGTTCTTTTTCTTCGTATGGCTTATCCGGCAGAGTCAAACTGCAGATGTCACTGCTGATATCAGTCTCAATGGCACTTCCGTCGAGATATGCCTGTAGTTTGCCACTGTTGGCCTTTCGCACTTCGTTGATGCGGTTGCGGTGCTCTTGCCCGAGGTCGAAGAGATCCATAGCCTTGGAGACGTAGAGCAAGCTGTTTGGATCGTACTCCAGACACCACTTCTCCCCCGCGTGATCCAGATATGTCTCAATGAGAAAGTCCGGACAAAGAGCGGGTGGCCGTGACGGGTCCGCGCGTCTTCGACCAAATCGCTGTTCCCATTCTGGACCACTTCGGTACGTAACGGTCGCAATCTCACGAGCTAGTTTCATGCCGCCGTGTGGAGGGATGCCATCATAGTAAAACCCCCGAGCCCAGTTCGGATCCATCATAAGTACTGTAATCTCGTCAGCGAATGCGTATACTACCATAAGAAACCTCGTGTAGCTCACCTTGTCGTTGCGTATGTCTCATGGCGATGCTATATGGGTGGCTGCGAGCACAGCCGCTGATACTGACGACGCGGCCTACGCGTTCTGGAAAAAGGGTTCCTGCCGCCAGACTCTGCATTCCACCCATACTTGACCCCACACTTGCGTATAGCTTCCGAATGTCCAAGTTGTCCAGCAGTCGAAACTGTGCGCGCACCATATCCTCCATGGTAAGAATCGGGAATCGTGTCGCATATCGCTCGCCATTCGCAGGATCGACTGAGGAAGGTCCCGTCGAACCATAGCATCCTCCAATTACATTTGTGCAGATGACAAAGTACTTGTCTGTATCCAAAGGCTTGCCGGGGCCGATAAACTTCTCCCACCACCCCGGTTTCGTATTTGTCTCTGTGCTGTGTGCATGGCTTGACGCCGAAAGTCCCGTGTGCAGCAATATTGCGTTGCTCTTATCTTGATTCAAGCTCCCCCAAGTTTCGTATGCAATGTTGAACTCGGGCAGTATGCCACCCCAATCGAGCAATATGGGTTGCCGTGAATGGAAGTTCAGCGTGTGTCCTGAGGTATACGAGGGCTCGGGGCCTGCGAGTGAACGTTTTGAAAGGGAAGCGGATCGAGATTCATGGGCGTCGAGGCATGGGAACGATAGGGCTGGATTTGTCGATTCGGATTCCTGGGCGGCTGCTGCTCCATGCTGAGCTTTACGTGGTGCTTGCTGGTGTATCCTTCTCGTAGCTTGGTTCGACTGCTGTCTTGCGAACAGTACTGAAGGCTGCGACGACTTGGTTGCGTGAGAGTGTATGGTCGATGAGGTTCGTGATGCTCGCGCAACTGCGAACAGTCTACGGGGGACGCTCATAGCTGACTATTGTGCACGCAGCACTCGCGACACGAGTGTGGAGATTTGCGAAAGTGGAGACAACATGTAGGAGTTTCCATGTTGCTACATTAGTAACGGGCTGGACCCGACCTCGGATGTCGAAGGTGAGGAAATGTAACTAAGCCAGATCCAATGACGTCGCAAGGAGATTGCGTGCTTTCCTCCCGATTTGCCATGCCATTTTAGGTAAAGCAGACCATGCCCAGCACTAGTAACACAGCATTATCAACACGACATGATGCTATGTTGTTTTGTCCAACAGCATGGCCATGTAGAGTCTCATCTGGATGGTGTGTCCATAGTTGCGGCGCTCAAGTAGCTTCGACAGCACCATTGACTACTAAATCACTATCGACACGACATGATGCTACGTTGTTTTATCTGATCGAAGACTACTACCAACGCATGTAGCAAGGCCCAACGTAGCTAGTCCTCTCTCACGTAAAATTACGGCTGAAGTAGTGTTCAGCGATGAGGAACTACCTAAGGCTATTACCATAGGACTTCTATTCAAAGCCATCGTTCGAAAGAAGGCATCATCTCAGCTATTGGGTCAATCAAGGGTAGGACATTACAGCATTGTGCGCTTACTAGACTGTGAAGAATTACCTTTGGTGATTGCTTGGGAACGTGATATATAGGTAGTCAAAATTGATCGACTTTGTGAGAAGGGTTAAAGACAGGCTGCGAACAGCCATGGACGTAAAAACGTCCAACGGAAATGATCATTCAAGGCCTAAACCTCGGAGCGGCCATGAGGCGACGGCATTGTGCTACAGAACGGTCAAGAAGCTTGATAGTCCATGTAGACTAATCGAATTGCAGTTCAGTTGTGCAACATGATGGTTAGGTGACCAAGACACTCCAGTGAAGCCTGCACGCCAAGATGCATGTATCCGTCAAGAGGCTTGCTTTGACAGAAGTATCCAAGCCAAGCCATCACTCAGTGTCGCCCAAGATGGTAATCCTATAGCCTCATATCGTGAACCATTCTTACTTGGTCTGCGCATTGGACGTGTACGCTGCTAAGCTCCGTGGTACCGCCAGAAAAGCCTGTGAGACACGACTGATCCCCTGACCAAGAGGCGGGCGTTTGAGCGAAGAGCAGCTAAATTTGGCACGTCAGCGCATGCTTCCCTTCACAGCTGCTGGAAGAAAGTTTGTCATGCAGGCTAGACTCAGCTCGTCTCATGTATGCCATGGCAAAAAAGCAGGCGAGCTGCAGGGACCAAACATTGTAGTCACGTACGTGTTGCGCAACAGGCTTAGGAGGAGGTCGAGGCGTTCATCAGGGCGCGACGCTCGGGGCATCCCATCTCACCTCCGTGGTCCCAGTTCCTGACCCGCGTCACCACTCTGCGACATTCACGCCTGTCCTTGCCTGTGCTGCGTTTGCGCGTGATACCCCCAGTCCGTCCTGAATTCTAGTGCCGCGTCGACTTGCTCCGTTTCCCCCTGGCTCTTCATCTTCGACGAGCGTGCCTGTCGAGCGTTGAGCGCCCTCGAAACGCTTCCGGCCCCCTCTCCGCAACAACCTCTCTCCTTACTCGATCCGCCTTTCCAGTACATGTCCCTACCGTCGCGGACCGCATACAATCCCTTGCCCTTGCCTGCGTCCTTTGGCGCGGTTCACAAGGTGCGCGATTCCACACCCGAAGCCTGAATGAGCGGCCAGTCCCCTCCAGCCGCCATGGATCACGACGACTACTTCAGTCCTCAGCGCGATGACCAGCACACTTCGAGTGCACACATTGAGGATTCAGATACCGACATGGCCGCATCGGCAACCGCCTCGTCGTCCCGAGCCGCCATGTTCAACTCGCCAGCCGCCCATGCTCGAAAGCCAAGTAGGATGTCGCGGTCAGGAGCTCCACGGCCTATAATCACTCCTACTAGTCCTCTGTCCTCGACCATACCGCACAATCTTCTCCCTTCAGCGCCCGCATCGCCACCGACTCCTGCGCCGAGTCCCACACCCACTCAGCGAGTACCCGACTGGAGCACGGCAGCCGAACATGAGGACTCACATATCAAAAATATACGGTCACACTTCAGTGATATGAACAGGGCAGAGCGCTTGCGACTACTTGGAGAACTGCTCAATCTGTGCGACAGCCAGGAGTTGAGCTTTGTGGCTGAATTTGTCAGCCCGAGGCTAAAGAAAGATCCATTCATGGTACTTCCTACAGAATTGTGTCTACGGGTAGGTTTTGATCAGAACTGGTTTTCAAGTCAGATGACGTAAGGCTGACACGTCACCTAGATCCTTGAATGTGTGGACGACCCGACTACTCTTGCTCGAGCATCGCAAGTCTCGAAAAAGTGGCGCGAATTAGTCAACGACGACAGTGCTTGGAGGTTGTTGTGCCAGAAATACTCATTTAGGGCGCTACCAAAAGAGGAGAAGAGCGAAGAAGAAGACAACGACGACCGAGGCGACGAAATGGAGGACGCTGAGCCCAAGCCCTGGTGGCAGAACGAAGACCGCACATCAAGAACAGACGATGTGACAGCAAGGGAGCACCTCGAAGTAGTTTCGTCAAGTGGCGGGACAGAGGGCTTACGGACACAGAGCCTTGATCGCGAAGCCAAGAGGAAGTCATCACAGCGTAGACCAGCAACCTCCTACCGGTCACATTTCAAGCAGCGCTACATGGTCGAGACCGCGTGGCGCAACGGAGGTGTATGCGATGCACGACAAATCACACCAGATCAAGGCGTAGTAACGAGTTTACATCTGACTAAAAAGTACATTGTTGTAGCGCTTGACAATGCAAAGATCCACGTTTTCGACACAGTGGGAGATCACCAGAAGACCCTTCAGGGACACGTTATGGGCGTCTGGGCCATGGTACCATGGGGCGATCTCCTGGTGAGTGGTGGATGCGACCGCGATGTGCGTGTGTGGAATCTTGCAACTGGGTACGTCTGCCCCGAACTCACTTTCTATATGTGCTAATGCCATCTACAGCTTCCCCCAATTCACACTCCGCGGCCACACTTCGACAGTCCGGTGTCTGAAGATGTCCGATGCGAATACAGCAATATCCGGCTCAAGAGATACCACCCTCCGAATATGGGATCTGAAAAAAGGACTTTGCAAGCACGTTCTTATTGGTCATCAAGCTAGCGTCCGGTGCCTCGAGATACACGGTGATATCGTCGTGTCTGGTAGCTACGATACGACGGCTAAGATTTGGAGTATATCCGAGGGCAAGTGCTTGCGCACTCTTACAGGACACTTTAGCCAAATTTACGCCATCGCATTCGATGGGAAGAAGATCGCAACAGGCAGTTTGGATACAAGTGTCCGTATATGGGATCCCAATGACGGGTTAGTTATTTGTGCACCCCGAGGTTATTCAACGCTAATCCTTGCGTGCAGAAAATGCCTAGCCGTGCTACAAGGTCACACCTCCCTTGTTGGGCAGCTCCAAATGCGTGAAGACATTCTCGTGACAGGTGGATCAGACGGCTCAGTGCGCGTCTGGAGTCTCGCGAATTACCAGGCTATTCATCGATTAGCTGCGCATGACAATAGTGTTACCAGCCTCCAGTTCGACAACACCCGGATAGTTAGTGGCGGTAGTGATGGTCGTGTCAAAGTCTGGGATGTGAAGAACGGTACGCTTGTCAGAGAGCTCAGCAGTCCTGCGGAAGCCGTGTGGAGGGTTGTATTCGAAGAAGAAAAGGCGGTCATTATGGCCAGCCGGGGTGGTCGAACAATCATGGAGGCAAGTCAAATTGATTTTGGAAAACCTTTCCGCATAATGCTAACAATAGCTAGGTTTGGGACTTTTCCCCACCAGCAGAAGATGAAATCGACTCGCGTTCCGCCAGTCCTGCCAGTATGCCAGACCATCTGGATGTAGAATATAACCGCCCGCGCTCCGCCATATTACCAACAGTGTCGCCTCTAGTAGTTCGGGAAGACGCCACAGGTGACATCACCATGGGCGATGCTGCAGAGTCATAGCGTTTGACAGCGGCAAACAATAAGGAACATTTACAGACGAGTTTTTTGGATCGTATGACAGTTGTTTTGAAAATAAGCGGCCTGGGCCGACTGAGCGTAGCTGCGCTTGCATATTCTTATACCCACTTTGGCGCGCAACATCAGCCATGGCCACGACAAGAAAAGGGGGCGCACATGGCAAAAGAGAGCGACTATGTTGTTGATACTACCTACCAGCGGAGAGAGCGTTCGACAATTTGCATTTTGAGGCGTCTATTGCATATATCACTAAGGGGTGGCTTCGGCTCTCATCATTATGAATGGATTTGGTTGGGATAGTTTGGGATATAGGCTTACATCTATGAATGTCCATAAGGCGGGTGTTGGTATAGGACTAGGTATTGGAGTTCAGTGTGAATAAAACAACGCTATTTTCCTCTTCAGTTGCTCTCGTATCTATGCTGAACATGAGAGTGTTTCAGTATAACCTACCAAGAAGCACGAGCAGTAGCGCTAATGGGTAAGAAATGGTCCCGTACTCAAGTGTAAATAAAATAAGCTCCCCGCCCGAGACACGTCCAGGTCCCGATCATCTCAAGTTTACGAGATATTTCCCCCGACGGAGGTATCTGAGAGATAAAACTACTTCATGAATTGACGTTATTATAAGTTGCCATGACTAAAAGTATGCTCTGCTCCAGAACGCCGTGCGATATCTTTCCGCGACTCGTCGATACATGTACATGTATTTCGTCTACGAGGATGTGTCTCTTCTAACGGTGATCCTAAAAAAACCTTATGTTGTACTCAACAATAATATGCCGTGTCTTAGTGACCTCCAGTAGTGGGCAACTGCGGAATCAGTCAGTTGCAAATCTATAAACGAATACCATAGTACAAGACTTACGCCGAGGTAGACCTTGAAAGAGTCGTAGATGAGCCATTGGAAGGCTGTCAAAGTACCGATCATAAAGATACGGACAGGCAGTCCGTTCCACAGACCTCCGAACCCGATCTTACCGTAGATCCTGCCAATGGCCTGACCAGCGCCTTCACCAGCCTTGCGGTCGCTGTTCAGTTTTGAAACCATAACATCTGTTCATGTGCATTAGCCTTGACTCTTTACGAGACACAACTCTCGTATCACGTCAACATACCTGCGGGGTGCGAAACAACAGCGCATCCGATACCAGCAATGTATCCACCCAAAAAGCTCACTCCGGTCTGTTGTAGGCCGCTGAACTGGTCCTTCGGCTTGCCAAGAAAGTTGTAGATCTGCGTGACCGTCTCTTCAAACGTCGCAAACTTCACCATGGTATACGGAATCTGCCTCGCCCACAGCGGATACAGTCCCTTGTACAACCCGCCCACACCTTCCTCCCTGATGACTTTCGCCCAACCTTCCCTCAGTGTATGCGCAAATGGCGGCACCGTAGTCTGCATGCGCACCTTGATCGCTTCCATCGGGCACAGCGCAAGATCCGCGAGGAACTCGGCGGAAGCTGACGCAGCAAGGTACACAACCTGTTTTGGCAGCCCAGGTGCGAGCTTGTCGCCGTAGAGGTACTTGAAGCCCTCGTAGAAGCCGTATTTGCCTGCACCTTGCATCGAGTAGCCGACAAAGGTGGGTGTCCAGCCAAAGAACACGCCGCGCAGCCCTTCTTTGGAGTAGATCATCTTCCAGGCTTGTGTGTTGGATTTGTAGAGGGAGGAATCGACTTGGCGGCGGCATTTTACCTGAACGAATGCGTTAGCAGCTATATCTCTACGTGTAGCTGATAGAGCACCCAGTTTTGAAGAGAGATGATTAAATGAACGTACCAAGTCAAGAGGTGTGACCATGGTATGTGTAGGCCCGCATGCAATGATACCGCCAACCGTGCACGCAGCAAAGTAGCTCCCAGAGAAGAGCTCAATCTTCTTCTGGGGCTTCATCGCGTCTAGTTTGTTCGCCATTTCGCCGTATGTCAAGCTTTAATTGCTCTTATCGCCGCAAGTCTTTGTGTGGATCCAACACGAGGCGCGTCGCGAGGTTGATTTAGTATGAGCTGCTCCCCGAGCGCTTTCAAACAAAGAAAAGAAATAGGGTATCAATTGCAGGCCGATGAGCAAAGAGAGGATATTGGGAGAAAGGACTTGAAAGAGCTTTACAGAGTTTATTGAAGCGGTGTTAGCGGAACCATGTCCGCAACATCCGTACATATGACGTCGATCGCTGAGCGGGACACGCTAATGTGCTGACGAGAGCTTGATTTTGCTTATCGACAAGCTCTTATCCGGGCACCCTTCAGACCTTCCAATAATTATCTATCGTGGTCTCGTGCGATTTAATAGTTCCCACTTCGAGAATATCTTGTTGTTCTGTTTCAGGGGAGGGGGCGACAAAATCTCGTATCGCTAGGGGTTCCAAGATTGTCCGCCCAATTCTGGACACAAATAATTCATATGATACCTACTTTCCGTATAAAACGCAAAAGAACCCAAAGTAGTCAATTGAGTTAAATTAGATGCCTCGAAACAGCCTTTAAAATCTCGTTGGAAGTCAATAATAAGAAGCAGTCATATCTACGATTTGTAGCTTTACGCCGAATACTTGTCGAATATTTCTAGTAATGTTTAAATTGATTCTATACTATAGTCTTGGGATCTTTACTTGGTCCGATGCTATGCTTAGAGGAGTTGTAAAGGGAAATTATTTTAGACTGCGCTTGAAGCTCGCATTCTTTAAGAAAAACCAAATGTGGTGCGAGGAAAAGATTGGATAAGTTTTACATTCTTCTATACTTGGGAGATTTGAACAATGGTGTCTTGAAATCAAGCTAGTTTAAGAGTATTAAACAATGAATACTGTCTGAGTGGTTCTAGTCCTCCCAAAAAAGTCTGTATACAAGACCGCCTACAACAAACATTGCCGCTGAAGCCTACTACTACGATGTGCAAAATTGTACCTTGTAAAGGTATGATGAGACCCAACCACGGGCAAAGAATAGTTCTCATTCTTGAGCTTATCCTTACTAAAAACTACGAGGATTTTAGCGAGTACCAAGAAACAAGATTTTCAGTTACACTGACTTGATCGTAGGGCTCAACGTAATATCGGGCAGCTCTATTTCAGGATTGAAAGTGGCGCTGTTGCTGTTGCTGTTGCCATTTCCTACAGAGTGTCCATTACCGCTATTACTGCTGCTGCCATCGTGGACGTTGCTTTCCCTAGCTGAGAGGCTCGAGATGGAGCCCAAGGGGTCGTCAAGCTGTGGTGTCGGCGCTGCGAGAACTGATGCAAAGACGATAGAGAGGGCGAGGATGATATAGATTGAAGTGTGCATTGCGTCTGATGATATCTATGTGTATATAAGAGAAAGGAATAAGGGCAGTAAAGTAGCAGTAAATTGGGGAAAAACTTGAAAGAAGGGCTTGGATCTGGACTAGTAAGATCCTCACGCTTCGTCGACCTGTTTATATACATTTCAATCACTGCCTCGATCTCCAGACTTTCGCTTTTACCCATGGTATATGCTTTGTTGATCATTATTGCTCAAGAGTAGTAGTCGCTGCCAAGGATCCTAATTGGGGCTCTTTAGGTCTTAGAACCAGTAGTAACCTCGCGGACTCACCTGGGCAATACAAAGGAGCTCCAGAACCAGTTGAATTAGGGCCAACCCCTATAGAATACGAGCTCCTTCGTACACGCGACTCACGACAATATTTTTTGATGCTTCTCTAATGAATCCCAGCTGGTAGGCTTCCGACTAGAAACTTGGCCTTGATGTACACTTGCTACGCCACTTATTGATTCGGTCACGTTAGGACTGATGGAAAGGTGCTGTTACCGAAGAGAGACAAGCCCTTCTTTGACCGATGTCGAGCTGTGTGAAGGGTATATTAGCAGTTAAATATAAGGCTGAAGTTCATAGGAACCTAGCAACTCCCCTGACGTTCGTATTTTGACATAATATGGGCTTGGAAATGTCGATCTTCAGCTCGGGGAAATCGGATACCGAGCCATTGACAAGCCGCAATTGGCGATAGAAAGAGCTAAGCTAGAAATGGTGCGCCTAGAATACAGCTAATATTGCCCGCCGTACATCCGCTCCACCACACAACCAACGCCGTCGCTATTGCTGTTGATGCTGAAATGTGCGGAAGGAGATTCAAGTCTCTCTTTGACGAACCCGAATATTACAAGGAAAAATAAGGGAACAGAGGTGCACACTATGCGTCCTGCTCATCTGTGAGACTCTGGCCTGTGGCACGCTTGTCATCGTCGTCGATGTACACTGCCTCTGAGTCAGCCTTCGGGATCCACGTCAAGGACTCATCATACTTACCATGCGGTCGAACAAACCAACTACACAAGAATGCCACGCCGAATGTCGCTGTGAGACATACGAAGACTGTCTGTCTATAGCTACCCACGGTTGCACTATAAATGCCATTGAAGATCGTCGGACCCACCACCCTCGCAGCGGCATGCAGCAAGCCCATCGCACCAAGCAACTGGCCAATCTTATCCTGTGGCACATGTTTTGTCAAAGCCGCCCCAAGGGCAGGAGAGCCTATGCCGCCAACTGCCGCCAAAGCACCGGATAATGCGAAGAACTCGCCCTTGCGGACGAGCGCGAAGCCGAGGTATCCGAGAGTATCGAAGAAAATGGCCGCACGGATGATGGAGAGGTCGAAGAGGTCGGAGCCAGATTTGGGCAAACGAGATGTACTAGTTTTGCCACGGAAGAGGCGCGTAATGAGCGGCATAATGATGAGCAGGGCGAAGACGCGGCAGCTGTTCACTATGGTGACGAAGCGACCGGACTCCAGCTCCTGCCAACCGAACTGGCGACGCGTATAGACGAGGACGACGCTCGTTGCACCCATTGCGACACCAAACATAATGGTGTCTGTGGCAGCAAGGAGCAGTAGGTTCCAGCGGATCGCGGATGAAGAGCCTGGTCCAGTAGGCCAAAGTATTTTGAGAGGTCGTAACAGGTCGATGGAGCGTAATTGATTGATCCAGTCTGACGCCGGGCCCAGCCTTTGCATCTCTTCTCCGTGCTTTTCTCGTGCGGCTTCCTGGCGCGACTTGCTGAGCGATTCGGGAATACAGAAAGTGATGAATGCCATGAAGAAGACGTGAGCGCCCAATGCCACGTAAAAGATGAGTAACACCGCATCCGTCTTGCCAACATACTTCTTACGTGCGTCGATAATGTAGCCGGCCAGGGCGGGCCCGATCGCGATACCCGTGAACAGACAGGCATGGAAGTACGAGAACGCGACATTTCGTCGTTGTGGCGGGACACAGTCGGATGCATATGAGTGGGCTAGCGCCATACCGACGATGAATGAGCCCGTTACGCCTTCTAGACAATAGCCAACCAGGATCCAGTTAACGTGCACGGTCTCGGGGTACTTGGCTGCCAGTATAGTGAGCACTTCGCCGAAGAACGCACCCAACGTGTTCAATACCATGAATCTTTTTCGTCCGAATCGATCCGAGAGTGAGCCAATTTTTGGGCTGGTGATGGCTGCTAGTAAGCCAGAGCACAAGCTGCCATAGAGAAGGAAGAGTGAAGAGCGGGACGAGACAGCGTCATTCTGGCATCGGTCTTGTCCCGGATCCATGGGGCCTGATATCGGGTCTGTCTCTAGAGACGCGTAGTATTCTTCACACACTAAATCCATGATCAAATTGATTTTCGGAACTACGATGCCACCGAAAGCTATCGTGAAAATCAGGAATGGTGGGAGTAGCCAGTATATCTAGATATGTTAGATACCTCCTTTATCCAGTACCATGTCTTTGCATGCCTACCGAAGGTCGTTTCCACCAGGGAAGGCCCTTGAAGTCTGCCTCTTCAAACCAGTCATCATCTCCACCATCACTGCCGTCGACATCCACGCTTCCGTCGTCATCCCTTGACGCACGCAGAAGTGGCGCCTCTTCGTTGTCGCTCTCGGTTGCAATGGAAGTAGTCCCTGACTTGTTCGGCGTGTGGCGGGGTACCTTTGACTTCGATTTGGAGGCATTTGGTCGCGTTCGCGATCGGATTTCTTGGTCTATGTCGACGTCCTCGACGAAGGTTGCTTCAGTATTGGAAGCCATGGCGAGCTTGTTGTCTCTCAATTACGGCTGAGGAAAAAAGTGCTCTTCGGTGCTTGTGGAGACCCGAGAGGGCTCGAGGAGGATTTCGGGTTATGTTCGCGTGCGCATGGTTTAGGTTTTGCTGCTGCTCCAGTCAGAGGATTCCCAAGAGATGCGTCGCGACACGGCAAGCTGGAGTAGGCCGCGCGCATTTTTATCAATCTCGATGTCGGAGCAGGGCTGAGCTTCGACTTACCAAGTACAGGTCGCCTCACGGCTAGTCACAATACCTACTGTGTAGGTTGGAGACAAAGAGTGGCAAGATGGAGGAACAAGAGTATTCAGGGTCTGGTCCGCGACATTTGGTCCGCTGTCCCTCCAAGAGCGCTGACAGATTGTCAGATAAGTCAAACGTTCCTTGGTTCGTTGAAGGAACAACTCATGACGTTGTTATCTGTCGCAGATCTGATCGGGCATCGGGCGGCCGCGTTCTCCCGCGGATGCACTAGTGCGGATGCGACCAGGCACGCCCCTGAACGACTTCATGCTTTGCTTCCATATTTGGACCTTGAACTTCTATCGCCTAGAGATTTCGTGAACGTATTTCTTTTTGGGGGGAGCCGTGTCCTACCGTACAGTGCTTACGTTTCCAATTGTGGTTTTGGTGATACACCGTAGCATCAAGCGGCTAACGTTATTCCAATCCTCGGTTTGTATAGAAGGAGAATATATGCTGTTCTGATGCGAGCGCTCGAAAGACGGATAACAGACGCAGAGGTATTCGTAACGAGTGCAGATAACGCGCCCGCTCTAGCCCTGTGGCTCACGAGGGACTGCTGCTTGTAAACAGAGCTGGCCGAATATCACTTATTTGCGGACATTCGCGCTCGCATATTCGGATAATCTCCATAGTTACCGAGCCATGGCCAAATTCGTCCTTGGTTAAACATTCTTCCCTTCTCGCACTGCCACTTGATAAAAGCTCGCTCCGAAGAGGCACCGACATAGCCCTGGGTTCGTCATCGCATACGAGTATACGATTTCCCAGCCTCGCAACTTCCTCGAACTTCCGTCAGAGGCCTAGAGATCTAATTAGAGCCACAGCGGTACACGCAATCAATTGCCTTATGACCGGTGATCCGAACAAACCAAAGGGACGTCAGCGACCTCAGCCCCCAATTATCTTACTCGGAAGTCGTACCGCAGTCCTCGCTCAAGTCCGGTGAAGTCTTACGATCCCACACCTTTTTCAATATTCTTGCGACGAGCATTCGCACGGTTGTATGCCTTCTCGCTTACTCGGACAAACCTTCTACATATCTGAGTCACGCCTAAGATGGGAGTAGATCTTCCTAGTATGCAGCTGCTTCGAATGTCCTCCTTGTTGTCTTACTATGCTTTTTTGTGACCCTCACAATACTAGCGTTGTCGAACAGCGAAGAAGGCATCCCTCAGTTTACTATTGGTGGAGGTTCCGCTGCGCGTTGCTTTCAGGCGTTCATAAAGGATGGAGATTTTATGGATACGATCCTTGTTGGGTTATCAAATGATCGTAGACAGACTGGCACATACGATGCTGAAGTCTGACTCAAAATTAAAGGCGGTAACATCTGTTGAAAAACGAAATCTTGTTGATCAAGGCTCAGTGAACGAGGGAAAATCGACCCACCCATTTCGGCGTCGAAGTCGACGACAGGAAGGCTGAAAGGAAGCATGGAGGTCAATTCAGGTAACTTGGTCTTAGCGAATTTCCCAGTGCAAAGGCAGGAGGACTTGTCCGATATCATCTAGTAATGAAGAGCAAGTGGTGGAGGACTCATTACCACGTGTATTCGGCACGAACTGAACCTTGCTTATTGAAGACCGGTGAGTGTGAGCTAATTAGGCCTTCCACGTCCTTTGACCCGGAATAAAGGCCCCAAAGCAGTAACCGATAGTTCACATAGTATGCGCTATCGAAAATAATGAATTGTGCAAATGTAGCCATTGCTAAAACTTACCGCTCTATCGTCCCTGCTGCCTTGCCTTCATTCTACCCGCCCACTCTATTTATTAAATCTCTTCTTTCCCCATATCCAGAGTTAGTTCGAACACATGGATTTCAAACAGGCGTATTTCGTAGCTTCAACTCTTGTTCCATGGATGACATATCATGCGGTTGGTTGACTGGCGTTCATATACTCGATGAAAACATAGTGAGTTTCGGATTGCGCAAGAAAAGTTTAGCTGCAGCATGGACCAGCGCATATCCAGGCAACCATCCATGAAGGACTTCAGCCTTATGCCTCAATACGCGCTTGGAACAGCCACCGGCCCCCAAATAATCTCGCTTATCGGTATCTGGTGCATCCGTAGTCCTCCAGGAATCTAGTAGTGCTATTTTGCAGCTTCGTTGTCGTTGCCCTTTTACATCTCACTTATGCACTCAAAATGCCGCCATGTCACGTTTCAGCTTCACTTCGGCGACTGCTTTCACCAAATTATTCTCTCATTCGTCAGCCTTGTACAGCTCCTTGTTGGTGTAATAGTTGGGCAATATAGCATCGCCGGAAATGGAAACGCCACCAAACCCCACCTCAATGGTCCTCCAAATCCGTTATCGCAATTAAATTGTAAACAAATGAGTGCCGGAATCTTGGTTTGCGTTCCGAAGGAACTTGGAGGACCTTGAAGCGGGGACCACCAGGCAACCAAACCCGCTAGGTGTGATACGTGTAGTCCTTATTAAACGATTTTATCTTCTCTATATCCCAGAACCGAGGTTTGAAGAAATCATCGTTGCTTTTACTAGTGCTGACATTACCATCGTCTCCACGTGCGTGTTTCTCGTCTGGGACAAACCCACATACTTGGAGTGGGGATTGTAAGCAACGATGATTGGCCGCCGTAGACTCATGGCTCCTCTCAGTAGTTTGGCTCGATCAGTCGAGCACGAGTCGCTCCAGCAGCCGACCTTCATCAGGTCGTAGTACTGATCCGACTTTCTGGAACTGTGTCGATCTGTGAAACCTGGAGGATGCCTACAGACCGGAGAATTTGAAAAGCCAACCAAGTGTAATACCATCTCGATCTCGTGCTAAAGTTCAAGTGTCTTAGATGACTACTTGATCTTACCGGGACCGAGCAGGTGGTACAAAAGTGATAGCACGAGTCGTATAGTTCATGTGCTTCTATCACCAAGGAATGTGTCTTGTATTTGCCTTCTTGAGGGTACACATGTTACCGACAAATGCAGTCGCACCGAATTGTAACCACACTTGCTTCGTGGTTGGTGGGTATAAACTTGCCGTGCCATGATAATACTGCGGGGGTGATAGCTGCTTGTAAAGAGCAAGATCAGTAGGTTAAAAGAATTTAAATTGTCATCCATACGGAAAGCTCGATTTACCCATTCGACCCCCTCCCGGTGATGGCTTATCAGGACTGCAGTATTATAGTGGTAGGAATGACGCACGGCATGGTGTCCGGAGTCATAACGACGCCTTCAACTACTTGGATGTCAGTACCTCGACCTAGATATGAGCACACTATGAATATCGATAGGTAGTAATATATACTCTACGACAAACCCCAAGCTTGGAACAGTCCACGGTTCGCTCTTTGTTCCGGTCAATCGCAGTGGACCATGCACTAAGATTGTTATCACCCGAGCCATGCGCGACATTCGCAATAGAGTGCTTACAGCATGGGCCTCTTTTCGCGTGCCTAGTATATTATTAGATGAAAATGTTCCCAGTTCCAGGCTATAGGGCTAACGACAGCAGACTACACGTAAGCTCAACCGTTAGATGACCTTCTGAGTTGGAAACATGTTCGGTTTCATGTTGAAATGGCTCGAGGCTTAATGCCAACAATCAGCTACGTAACTGGACCAATTACCAAGTCTCTTCAAGCTTGATCCTAGGGGACTTCGCTTCCTTTTGTGACAACGAATATGGATTTGTTGGTTGTTCCCTACGAATACCCGTCGTCCCACCGGTTACCCCACCATTCGCGAGGCTAGAAGGGCGTTCAAATATCTCACACGGCGTATCATTGCTTGTTGTACCGACAAGGTGGTACTTGCCGACGTAGCAAGCCGTAGTGGTACGCTCGTATGCTGCGAAACCTACTTGCAGGGCATAATAGTGGGTGCAGTTCGTGGAGACTGCGCTTATGGACTACTGGAGCAGTCCATGGTGGGACGAAGCCACATGGTACACTTTCATTAGCTCCATGTCATCATACGATTTGCGCATATCGTGTGTCTCGTCATGGCCTCGTGCTGTTGCGGGATTGGTATACATACCAAAGTAGGTTTGAAGGACCATGTAGTTAGAGCGTTCTACACCCCAGGGAAATGACTCGCATGTGCTAGCTGTACGCTCGGGACGTTTGACCATGATAATAGCATGTTATGACCCTTTCAAAGGAGCACAGCGTCACCCCGAAAGCGATGGCGATGCAGACGTGCACAGATTCCGCGCCTCTTCAGGCAGCCTCTGCTTTCTACATTTAGAACAACGCCATCTGGGACAACGAGGACCTCCCATGGTACTATGGTGCCGTTTGAGGGTTTGTTCCCGACGCGCGTGCCGCATGGGCTGTGTGCTCTGGAGCATATCTATCCTCTGGTGCAACACGGTCGTTTGCATAGGCTGAAACAGTCACGCGCGGTTGCAGGCTAGAGGACGATGGCTGTCAATGACATTGAAGGGCGCAAGCTGAACCGGAGATGAGTGACGTAAGGGTCGTGATGGTTTAATTCAGCTGAGGGAGTTGATTCGTAAATGGCGGTAAGGATGGTAGCATCGTATACTGCAAAGACTAGAGAGAGTTGCCTGAAAAGTGGCGGCCTGCCGCGCTGCATTATTGACGGAGCCTCTCTAACAGACAACATAAAAACGAGGCCATCGTCCGCCCACAGCGTCGCCCGGCTGCGCGGTTTGGAAGAAGGCAAAGCTGATGAATCAGAAGCAAAGTGCCCGCTGAGGGCGGCCTCTGCCAAGCATTTGCCTTCTTTTGCCTGTTGCCTTGTTGGCGTACCGTTGCAGAGCCTCCTCCATCATAACAACTAGATATCCCCCCACTCAGGGCATCCTGAACAGCGGCATTTCAGCCTTTGAATAACCATCCACGCGTCAAACAGCGTATTTTTTCTACTTGGCGATTCCTATCGCGCGCGAGACCGCTGTCCCTATCGTCTACAAGCCCTATCTGGCGTAATCTGCACCGGAACCCGCTCCTTCACAACGCCCACCTTCAGCCCCCAAACAGCACACAATTCTTGTCGGACCCATGTGCGATTTTGCCTGATACTAGCGTAAACCAGCCAATCGCATGCAAATCAGGATCGAAGAGATTCCCAATTCACGCCCGATCACGTGCAGTCGCACCCTTGGGCCAATGTTAGTCCGGACAACGTCGTACGGTTCAAACTTCCTGGAAACGTGCCGAATACGACGGCCAGAATTCGCGAGAAATACCTGCACTTGAGTCGAATAGTCACAGAATGAATCCCGGAGACGTCGTTCAATCTCGCTTTGTTAATGCGCTACGAACTCAAGGAAAAGCAGAATATCCGCTTGCCAATGCTCTCCCTTGCCCGTATCCCGGCCACCATGGAAGAATATTTCAAAGCGTCGACCAGCTCTTCGACCACGCCAAGGCTGAGCACAATGCCGAAATCGGGAGTCTGGAGCCGCGGCAAGCACGCGCGCAGTTGAGAGAGGCCGCCCTAAAGCTCAGGTGAGACCACGCCATGTGTGACTGTATGCATGTCAGGTAGCATTCTGACGCCATTAGGAGATCTGATCAGTCATCAGATGCCACAGTAGGGGACCGGTCAACGCCTGACATGACCAGATTGTCTTTGGAGCCAGGCAAAGAACCACGTCAGTCGTCACCTCCATTTGGCAAAAAGCGACGGGCCGACGACGAATTCCAAGGTCGTCGAGGAAAGACTCCCTCTCACGTGGAAGTTGCGGACACGGAATATTCAAGACAGATACCTTACACCATCGCATCAGACCGGACAAGGCCCAAGACGCAAGATCCCCGCCTCTTTGACCCAAAACAGGTTGTTAAAGGTACCTCGTCCCCCTATCAATCCACGCCGGAGCCCTCAAGTGATTGGTCAGTCGAGGGAACCAAAAGTAGCCAGTTCCAGCCTTCGCAGCCTCAGTCTCCTGCGCGCCAACTACCTCAGCGGACTGATCCTAAGCTACAGCATCCTCCGCGTCAACCCGGCCTCATCGAGTTGCAAAAATTTGATCCTCGCTATCCTGGATTGTTACTTCAGCCTGATAGCCGTCCGATATCCCAGGAGCAGCTTGCATCTGAAGTGAAGTCCATATACGCCGGCTTAACTATGGTCGAGACCAAGTGTATACATGTTGACCGTGCCCAAGCTGCTGCTGCCCAAGACAACTCTGACACCAAGCTAGCTTCTGATCATTGGCAGGCACTAATTGCTCTTCATCGTACTTTGCTCCATGAACACCATGACTTCTTCTTGGCTAGTCAACACCCCTCTGCCTCTCCGGCACTTCGCCGGCTCGCAGCTAAGTATTCAATGCCAGCACGCATGTGGAAGCATGGCATTCACTCTTTTTTGGAGCTTCTTCGCCGCCGTCTTCCTGATAGTATCGACTATATGCTGGCATTCATCTACTTGGCTTACCAGATGATGGCTCTACTTTACGAAACCGTGCCGGCGTTTGAGGACACATGGATCGAATGTCTTGGCGACCTTGGGCGGTACCGAATGGCCATTGAGGATGAAGACATCCGAGATCGAGAGACTTGGGCAGGTGTGGCGCGTTCTTGGTATACCAAAGCAGCCGACAAGAACCCTACCGTTGGTCGTCTTTACCACCACCTAGCGATTCTGGCACGCCCTAATGCCTTGCAGCAGTTATACTACTATTCTAGATCGCTGACTTGTGTTAAACCATTTCCTAGTGCTCGCGAGTCCATACTTACTCTTCTGGATCCGATTCTTGGTCGTGCTATTGCAACTTATTCGCACGCGTTGCCGATCGATACCAATTTTATAAAGGCGCACGCCTTACTCTTCGAGAAGCTCTCTTTGGAAGAGTTTGAGAAGAGCATGCGGGACTTTACCAACAATCTAGACAACCATATTGGTCGCGTGACGGCAAAGTGGAAAGAGCAAGGTGTCTATATCGCCGTCACTAATGTTGCTGGCTGGTTCGATTACGGAGTCGATGATAACGCGCTTCGTCAAGTCTTTCTCACACAACTTTACGAAAAGTCTAAGAACTCGCCTCCTAGTAATCCTGACGAGATCCGCACCGCATCACCTGCTGATCAACAGGATCCGATGCCACCATCGATTACCGAATCTGAAATCCCTTCAAAGGTCAACACTCTTTCCTCACAACCCACATTTGTCAACGCCCAGTCTATTACCCACGATACTTTCGCCCTTGTACTCCGGCGAATCGGCGACAAGAACGTGCTTCCTCACGTACACATCATGCTCTCTTTCCTTACCACTTTCGCTACCAGTAAATACGTTTCCCATCTCCTGGCCGACTCTCCTTGGGCCGAACTAGTTGCCTTTTTGAATACGTTAGTCAAGACCGAAAACCAAATTCATGTGCAATCGCAAAGTCGGAGTCAGGCACAAGACCTCAACACGTTACTTTCTGCCGACGTGTTCCCCGGAGATGGCGAGCGAGCTGATGAGCTGCCGCTACCTGAGGATTATCTTGTAAGGGGATTAATATGGGCGCAAGACTATTTCCCAAAGAAGTGGTTTGAGAGAGAGCATGATGAGGAAGAACGGTACTTGGAGTTGGCGAGCACGGTGAAGAGCCGTATGGAGAGGGTGCTCAGGCTTGGTTATCAACTTTCTACTGTAAGTGCTGTAATTTTGCTGCCTCATGAGTGTTCTAATCCTCGTCAACAGTATAATCGCTGGATATCATACGATAAAAACAACCATACGTTTTCGGTCATCGGCTCTCAGTCTACCGGAAGTCTTGCATGACCACAAACGTCCCAAATTTAAAAGATTTTGCTTCTCATTCTAGTGCAGTATATGGGATCTCGTTGTATGTCTCAGGGCTCTTGCGTGCCGCCCCTGTCTTGTTACAGCCTCACTGGCTTGCATGTTGGGGGCTCAAGTGCAGCAGAGCAAATCAGATATATGGTCCTTTGGTTGTGTGTTTCTAGGGAGGCCGTCAGAGGGAAAGGGATACAAATTGACATACCCGCAGCCTCTGGTCAATCTAGTTGACGTGTCGCGGTCACGGTGAGCATGACGAGTGTACGCAGATATATGAAGTGGGGAGATTTGAAAGGAGGTCAAAGCAAGTATACGTTTCAACTCAATTTATACCAGGCAGCCCAGCACGAGAACGACATTTCAACAAGAACGTAGATGCTCGTTGGGCTGCCGCAAAAACATTCAATATATACGTCAAACAATCTATCAACGTTACAACCCCGCCAACTTGTCAATCTCTCTTCCTCGGCGTTTAGGATTTGACAAAGTGCGTGACCATATGGACACCCATTTTAGATGCGCGACCTGACCAATCCTAGAGGATCGTCAAAGGGCTGTGCAGCTCGATGAAGGGCACGACGACATTTTACGAGATCCCATACTGAACAGCTCTCAAACACAGTCATGTTATGGTCCGTAGAGAATACTCTGTTCAACAAGATGAAGGGAGCTACATTGACACGACCGAGACTTCAGGATCGACAATTCACCATGATCGATAGTTATGAGGCCATCGCGTGCCCCCTCTCTCTGATTCTCATATCACGTTTTAGACCTGATGTAGAAAATAGCACTCGTGCTCAGTTAACTACTTCTATGAATATCAATATACTTCGGATATTTCCACTTAAGTATTGTTCTACTGATATGCATGTAGATTTGTGATCCATTCAGAGACCTTTCCCTTCAAGGTATTCCTGCACCCTTTCCAGCAGATCGGCCTTCTTCCCACTCGTAGCCTGCCCCCTTTGGCTCAAGTACTCCTTCAACACAGCAACTGTCTGTTTACTTATCTGCCCCTTGTTATTTAGATCAGCCATGTGCTGATCCGTCAAGCCCCCATCATTCCCATCTCCATGCTCATCCTTGACTGTCGGTTCCTTCTTTACCCGCTTCGCTGGCTTCTCGTCTGCATCGGCAATTCCAGTGCGCTTTTTTGCAGTAGGTTTGGCTCGGTGAGCCAAAGAAGACTTTTGCTGCTGTGCGAACGCTTCTTCAAATTCTTTACCGTAGCCTTCAATGTACTCGCCACAACGCTTGTCGATTTGTTTGAATCGAGGGATTGTCTTGTCGTCTGGCTGATCGGGCAGCTCTTCCTCCAGTGCCATAGCTTGGAGAATACGGTAAAACCATTGCAGGTCAGGGTTCGGGTACTTGCCTGGATCATAGACGCCCTTGGGGAGCTGCAACTGCTCGATGATGAGGCGCATTTTATCGGTCAAGGCATCAGTAGTTTTGAGCGGGCTTTCGGCCTGTTCGGGAAACTGGCGAAGGTCATCTGCGAAGGGAAGAGGGATGAGCCACAAGCCTGGCGGCATTGACTGTTCGCCGTCGTCATTGGTCCTCTCTTCCGCGGGGACAAGAGCGCAGAGTGTGGGCGAGGCGTTACGGCGGGCGATGAACCATACGAGGCCCATCTTTTTCGATTTGAGGAGCTTCTGTTGTAGCGCCGAAAATACGCGTGTTGAGCCTATGAAGTCGGCCTCTGAGGGGTAGATGAAGGTGGCTTTGTTTGTGTTGGCCCATATTGGTACACAGGACAAGGGTTTGAAGCCTATGATTCGAATGACGGGGTCTCCAAAGCACTGCCGTATCCGTGTGATTTCGTCGGGCGTGAAGGTGATTGCATCTCCTCCAAACTTGTATGCCTTCCTCAGCTCTGTCTTCTCCACAACGCGCGCTGTATCGTCGGCCATGTGCGATGTTGAAGATGTAACGATCTGTGGCTTCTCGCCGCCGACCCAGACATAGCATGATTTGACATGTTCCTGACGCTTAATCAGGATATAACCTTTCACACCTATGCGTAGGTCAGGACCGAGTTCAAGTGGTAAGGTGAAGAGGGCGCGACGAGGTGTGGCCTTTGAGTTAATGGAGGAGACGAGCTGCTTGAGGAGGCTTATGCCTTCGCCACTCTTTGCAATTTTGGTAGTAGAGGATATAGCCGCTGGGGCGTCAGGATCAGAAGGGGACGTAGGATATACGAGATCATCGTAGAAGCGCGATCGGTCAAAGCTGTGGTCTGGTTGTGATATTGGGAATAGGTCGATTATGCAACCCAGGTCGTACAAATCTCGCGCACGAGTGACTGCCGTGTCCTTGTCGGCCTTGACCTTGACTGGGTAGTCGTTGTCTGTTACTAAGAATAAACGTCTCGACGAGAAGTTTGGCGCCTTGGTGGTGAAGATCTGGTTCGCACAGAAGAGCACTGTTGATAAGCTCGCGCCAGTCTTGGCAGGCTTCAAGATGGGCTCCGCCTCGTCCTCATTTTCCACCAGATCCCTTAGCCGCTTCACGTCGTGGGCTGAGGGTACGTCTAGATCGGCGAGCAGATAGCAGTGCTGAAATGTGCTGTCGCCGTCCTTTAGGTCCGTCTTTTCCGTTCCGAACAGCAATATGCCCATCATGTCGTTTGGATTGGAGATGATGCGCTGCTGCATCAATTGGTATGCGCACTTCAGGGCAGCAGAGGTTGGCGAGTCGCGATCCGCCTTCTTGTCGTCTGACTTGGGTGGTCGGGTGAGCATGGAGGGACTGACGTCGATTGCGAAGAGGACGGCATCTTTGATAGTCTTGTAGCTGGCTTCATCGATTTCCTCGTCGTCGTCCTCTTCCTCGCCCGGACGATTGTCCTGTGGCTCTGCCATACTTACACGTTGTCACGTGTCGTGTGCTGTATAACACTGCTGAACTGAATGTGTTTGTTTTGTAATGGCCCAAAGGATCACAAACAATCAATCAGGTGAGCTGGTTAACATGTGCTGGGCAGTGAGGGGCAGCGGGATCATGATATAGAAAGGGAGGAGTAGAGCGACTAGTAATTGCGGCACGACATGTCTAGACAAGCGGAAGGCAGCAGCAGTGGGACGCGCCTGGCCAAAACGCGCCTTCACGTGTGCCGTGCCTGCCTGCTTGCCCTAGCGCGGCTCCTTCCGTCTCGACCGTCATCACTTTCAACTGCCCGGCCGTCATTGGTCGAAGCGTTCACTCCGCCTGATATTCCGGGACCTTCTTCATTTATTATCTACAATTCCCCCGCCGCCAGACTGCAACCTCTTCCGCATCCTGTCGCCCACAATGGCTCTGCGCGCACCTCTTACGCGCGCTGCGAAGCGTACAACGTCGATAACACCCGCCACATCCGTCCTGTCGCCGTACACCTCGCAGTGGAGAAGAGGCAATGCCACAGTCGTCGCCCCACAAGCAACGCCCGGCTCCAAGGGACCTACTGCCATGGTCTTTATGAACATGGGAGGGCCCGCGACCACAGATGAAGTCCATGGCTTCCTAAGCATGTTGTTCGTATGTATCTCCACGTCGAACAGGAGAGTTCCGGGGTTGACAGTCCTAGGCCGACAAAGACCTCATTCCTCTCGGCCCTTTCCAGAACTACATCGGACCGTATATTGCACGGAGGCGAACACCCAAGATCCAGAAACAGTACGCAGAGATTGGTGGCGGATCGCCAATCAGGAAGTGGTCAGAATATCAAGCGGCAGAAATGTGTAAAATATTGGACAAGACGTCGCCAGAAACTGCGCCCCACAAGCCATACGTCGCTTTCCGCTATGCGAATCCCCTCACCGAGGACACCTACAAACAATTGCTGGCAGATGGGTTTGGCGGTGGCAACGGTGGCAGAGCGGTGGCTTTCACACAATATCCTCAGTATTCGTGCTCTACGACCGGCTCCTCGCTTAATGAGCTTTGGAAATGGCGGACAAGGTTAGAAGGCAAGAGAAGCACCGGAGAAATCGAGCCAGAAGGATCGATCAAGTGGAGCGTGATCGATCGATGGCCGGCACACGCTGGACTCGTCGAGGCATTTGCACAGCACATCGAGAAGAAGCTGGCAGAATACCCGCCAGAGCGAAGAGATAACGTTATCTTACTATTCTCCGCGCACAGCTTACCCATGACCGTTGTCAACCGCGGCGATCCCTATCCCTCCGAAGTCGCAGCTACCGTTTACGCCGTGATGCAGCGTCTAGCTATGAAATACAAGTACCGCCTCGTCTGGCAATCGCAAGTAGGACCACAGCCCTGGCTCGGAGCGCAGACGTCCGATACGGTCAAGGAGTACATGAAGAAGGGGCAGACGGACATGCTCCTGATTCCAATCGCTTTCACCAGTGACCACATCGAGACGTTGTACGAGCTGGACAAAGAAGTCATCGGTGAGGACGCTGAAGGTCACGAGGGCGTGAGGCGCGTGGACAGCCTAAACGGCAGCCCGGTCTTCATTAAAGCGCTTGCAGACATAGCCAAAACGCACCTGCAAAGCGGAAAAGCATGCAGTCACCAGATGACCCTGCGTTGTCCGAAATGTACTAGCGAGAGGTGTCTGGCACAGAAGGAGTTTTTTGCTGGCCAGTCGCAGCAATTGGAGGCTGCCGCATAGTCTGAAGAAGGCAGTAATGTAGCGTGCGTATGTGTACCTGTATGAGTAGTGTACGGCGTTTTCAGCAAAATGTACAATCCATGTAGCTAGAAAGCATATTATTTACGAAGAATCATCTGATCTGTTTTCGATAATATCAAGTGATTGTAAGGCAGCAGGTCTCCGAAACCCGTTGCTTTCCGGAACGCGACTTCGGTGATTTTGCAGTGGAAGTGGGTAGTTTTGGATGGAGTCTGTTAAAGATTGGGCGCTACAACAGTTCGTACGCGGCGATGGACCCAAAAACATGGCTCTAGATGGCTTCAAATCACCTTGTTGATATTCATTGGGATGTTGAGATAACCTGAAGTCATCTCGACTCCCTTATCCGGCAGCATCTGTGGCGTTGTTGAGGGATGGGCATGTGGCCCAAGCTTCCCGAGCAACTTTTCGATTCCCGTCTCAGCCGTCTAACCCTCCACCACCACTCTCCGGACGACCTCTCCTCCTCCGTACCTCTATCACCATGCTGTCCAGGACAATCAGGAGGAGCATTGTCTCCCCCTTCCGGCGCAATGCCATCGCTCCGGCTGCGCGACCCGCGTTCCGGTTCGTAACCACGGATGCGGCTTCATCGCATACGGACCCGGAGAATGTGCCAGAGGTAAGAGAAGCGCCGGTCGTGTTGATTGATAGCATGGCGGGTTAGAATAGACGGCTAACGACACGTAGGAGGATGACAAGCCCTTCGAAGTCCGCCTCTCCGACGAGGCCTTCGAGACATACGAGCTCGACCCGCCGCCATACACCCTCGATGTCACCAAGAATGAGCTGAAGAAGATGTATTACGATATGGTCGCCATACGGTATGATAGATCCGCTACATAGTGGCAATTGGCAATGTTCACCAGCTGATACGAGCATACAGACGTATGGAAATGGCCGCCGACAGGCTCTACAAGGAGAAGAAGATCCGTGGTTTCTGCCATTTGTCCACCGGCCAGGAAGCTGTCGCCGTTGGCATTGAGCACGCTATTGACCGCCAGGACCATCTCATCACCTCCTACCGCTGCCACGGTTTCGCTCTCATGCGCGGAGGCTCCGTCAAGTCCATCATCGGTGAATTGCTCGGCAGGAGAGAGGGCATCGCCTACGGAAAGGGTGGATCCATGCACATGTTCGCGCCTGGCTTCTACGGTGGAAATGGTATCGTCGGCGCCCAGGTCCCCGTTGGCGCTGGAATTGCCTTCGCTTGCCAGTACCAGAACAAGAAGAATGTCACGCTTGCGCTGTACGGAGATGGTGCTTCCAACCAGGGTCAGGTCTTTGAGGCGTACAACATGGCCAAGCTGTGGAATCTGCCTGTCATCTTCGCCTGCGAGAGTAAGCATCCTAACTCAGATGCCGTGACAACTTTGCTAATCTTCTGCAGACAACAAGTACGGTATGGGTACTGCCGCTAACCGCTCCTCCGCCCTCACCGACTACTACAAGCGCGGCCAGTACATCCCTGGTCTGAAGATCAACGGCATGGACGTTCTCGCCGTCAAGGCCGCCGTCAAGTACGGAAAGGAGTACGCCGCCGCTGGCAAGGGCCCTCTCGTTTACGAATACGTCACATATCGCTATGGAGGCCACTCCATGTCCGATCCCGGCACCACTTACCGAGTAAGTTTATTCAACACCTGTTCGCACCATTAGAATAGAAGCTGATACTTATGACAACAGACTCGTGAAGAAATTCAACGCATGCGCAGCACCAACGACCCCATCGCCGGCCTCAAGCAGAAGCTCCTTGACTGGGGCATCACCACGGAAGAGGACCTCAAGAGCATCGATAAGCAGGCCCGCGCCGACGTTGACGCCGAGGTCGCCGAGGCAGAGAAGATGGAGGCCCCTGACGCGACGGCCAAGGTCCTGTACGAGGACATCTACGTGAGAGGTTCGGAGCCAGAGTTCTTGAGGGGACGCATCCCAGAAGAGAACTTTTATTACACTGAGCATGACATGGGTGAGCAGAAGGCGCCTGTTGCCAGGACGGCATAGGTGAACTGAACTCGATGCAAGGTGGGGATGGACGGGATTAGCGAACGATAGAGGTCGGGTCCCCATTGTGGACAGAGGGTGTACTTCTAGGCTCTAGGCTACTGCTTGCGTGTATAGCTAAGCAGTGGTCTTGTATTCATCTGCATGATTCAAACTTCACACATGGTAATTTTGAGAAAGCGGCATGTACGTGTGTATATTTTCACAGGCCTTCGTATTGAAGACTAGATTGTTTCGATGACTGATTGGGGCGAAGTGTTGGTTCCTGAGTGGCGCGTAATAGTGTGTTGAGCCGACTCGACAGTAAACGTCCAAGTGTGACGGCTCGAGGCCGCATTACTCGGCGTATGCCTAGGTTCAGACATCCTCTTACCCCAGTTTAGCCAATACAATCAATTGATTCACAGAAGATTATACATTCAGGCCAAGAGGGGTTTGAATCAACCTTCTCCACCGCTCGCATTTTCATCTTCAGAGTCTTCTTCGAACTTCTGTTGCGTGGACTTTGTCTCGCGGGCCCGCTTGGTCGCTCCGATACCGCCGGACGTCAGGTAGAGAAACTGTGAATCCTTGTAGTTATCCAGATGCGTGAAGAACGTGTTAAACCTGAGCAGGGTTAGTCTATGGTCGACGTCATAACGGCGTTTAGTATCACTCACTGGTTCCCTTGCGCTTCCTCCCTGAAGATCCTCTGATAAATCTCGCGCTCCTTGAACTCCTCAATCTCCTTGTTAAACCTGTTAAAATCAATCTTCTCCCTACCATGCTGCGAGGCCTGCTTCTCGTTGTACGAATCAAATACCGGCCTTTCCAGTAATAAACCAAGCCCAGGAGCCTTCGGAATCCGCACAACCACGTTCCCAAAGCTTTCTTCCATGATTTTCGGGTCGGTGCCACACCTGACTGTCAGGGCAGCCATGCCCACCATCTTTCTGATTTGATGCATCATGAAGCTTTGCCCGTGCACCTTCAAGCTCAACCACTCAGTATCATTTATGATGATTGGCTGCGGGGCGACTTTGAAGCTTTTGATGTACCGCTGAGCGGACTTGTCGTTGAACTTCTTGTGCACAGTGTAGTTGTGGTACTTGCGCGTTCCAAGGTAGTTGTCAAGGGCGGTTTGGACGCGGGCTTGCCGTTCGGGGGAGATGCGGTACGCTTTTTTGGCGTCGAGGTACGCTTTTTTGAGGGTTTTGATGGCTTCTTCCAAGGCGGGCTGATTGACGGTACCGTCAGGTAGGGCTCTAGTGCCGTCGCCGTCCGTGTCGAGTGTGAGGTTGGGTTCGTTCTTTTTAATAGTGTCAATAGTCTCTTTGACTTCGTCTTCAGCAGCTTCCTTGTTACTCTTGTCGTCAATCGACGCCTCAATGAGTACGTCTTCCCCTGGAGGCGCATCGACAGCTTCGACGTTATACAGGGCCTCTTGCACAAGCGGTCGTATCGAGTCATCCAGCGCCTCGAAGATCGGCTTGATATACTTCTCTTCGACGTCAGGCCAGAAATTGGCCACTTCTGCTTGTCGGTTGCGATATCCTTGCATGTCATTCTCCTTCTCTGCGTATTCTTCCAGCTTCTTCCCTATGAAGCTCGACGGGTGTGGCGGTAGAAACGAGTGCGTGGGAATGAGGTACTCGTACCATCGCGAGTCGCAGGCCTGGTAGCAGCTGAAGGAGCCAATGGTTCGTTGTATGCCCCAAACCCTAATCTGCTCGGAAAGATGGCTGTTGATCTTTTCCACTATGTCGTCCTCCTCGATGATTAATTTGAGGGAAACCACATTTCCAGCAGCGTGGACACCCTTGTCTGTGCGTGCACAGCGGACGAGCGACGACTTTTTGGGGTCGGAGGCGTTCGCTTTGGAAATGGCACCCGCGGCAACAAATGCATTGAACAAGTCGCCTTCAATCGTCTTCTGCTTGTTGTCGATCTGCATACCCTTGTACCCGGTGCCTGAGTAGCCGATCATGACAGCCACTTTGCGCTTCGGCCTGCGCTCCTCTGCCTCGACTTCTTCCGGTGGGAATGCTGCTGGTAGCGCTGGGCGCTCATTCTCGCCCTTTTCTTCTTGTTGCTTGATCTTGGCCTGTTGGGTTTCATTGCGGCCTCGTCTGTCTAGTTGGGAGGAGCTTGCTTAGTTAGACACGAGATGCGAGACGCGCATTGCACGGGAGCAACGACTCACTTATGTTCCGTACGCCCAGTATTTCTTTTCTTGCTCTGACGGCTGCCATTTTGAACGCGTCCACCTCCCCTCGATGCGTTTCTACGGTCGCGGTCGGCCCATTTGCGCTTCCGGTCGTGATTCGGCGAGTCGTTGTCGCCGCGGCGAGAGCTCTCGTTGTCGGCCATGGGCGGAGCAGAAGGCTTGTCGGCAGCTTGCTCCATGGTGAGAAGCAAGTGGACATGAGGTGGTGAAAGCACAATGGGAACGGAAAGGTGCAGCTACAGGGAACATGTGGGGTGGGAGCTTTCGAACCGTTTTTCTCGAGCTGCGAGGCTTGGCGCGGCAGGTACGCCTCACCGCCTGCGCCACCGCCTGCTTTAGCCTCTAAGATGTTAACAAAGCTCGCGCGCGACTCTCCATGGATATACCCTTTGACTCCCCCGCTGACCTCGACTGTCAGGTCAACTTGCTCGAGGACAGGTCCACTAAGATAGAGAGGGGAGGACCGCCCCATCTACTCGTCCGGTCAAGATGAAGGACCCTGTAGAGACGGCGAAGCAGCTTATCCGCACCGTCGTGCGCATGTTCTACGAGACGGAGCACATTGTAGTCATTGATGCGCTCTGCTACCACGTCGCCCTACCCATGTCTGACCTCGTCCTCATCCTCGAAGCGGGCAAGAACTCGAAGCATGTTGGCAGGATTGCGGGTAAGCTCAAGGAAGCGGGCTTGTGTTCATCGTAGGCATCACACTCAAAGGCACGTCGAGTGGATAGCGCTAACTCACGTAGCTACTCGCTGGCCGTCATGCGCGAAGGTGCTACCAAGCAGACGAGCCGTGAATACTTCTACATTGACTGGCGCCGCGCTATTGATGCTTGCAAGTACAAAATCCACAAGATCGACGAGACGGTCAAGAAGGACGCAAAACCCACGGCCGAGAAGGCGGAGCTCAAATGCGCGCGGTGCAAATCACAGTACACGATGATGCAAGCCCTCGACCACCCAGATCCCGATCCCGGCCCAGACGATAGTGGCTTCTTGTGCGCGAGGTGTGGATTTCGCCTGGACGAGATTGACGCAGGCAACCAGGCCGACGACATGGACGACACTCCTGCCAAGTTCAACAAGATGTTCGGTCCGCTTCTCACCCTCATGGAGGAAATCGACAAGATGAAGATTCCAGCCGTCGAAGGCAAAGATGCCATCGACGCAAAGATCGAACTACCGCGCGACAAGGACATTGATCCCGGTACCAAACACGAGGTTGTAGACACTGCCGTCTCGCGGCCAACCGCCGTCAAGGGCTTGGATACAGGCCCGGAGAAGATCAGCATTCAGATCGGCTCGAGTGCTGAGCAGAACGAGAAGCAGCGAGCTGCAGATAAAGCCCGCCAGGAGAAGATCACTATGCAAAATCAGCTCCCGACGTGGCACACCCAGTCTACCGTCATCAAGGATGCTTCTGGTAACACGACGACAGTCAAGCAGGAGACTAATGGCACGGATACACCCATCAAGACCGAGTCATCCGACACAAAGGGCGCAAATCAGAATCTCGACGCTGTCTTCGCGCAAATCGAGGCTGAGCGACGGAAGAAAGAGGAGGACGAGGAAGAAGAGGACGATGACGAAGATGACGACGAGGACGAGTTTGAGGATGTGACGGTCGGCACCCCGAATGCTCTTCCAGATGCGAAGCGCGTAAAGGTGGAGTCGTCGGCCGCTCCAACACCGTCCAACGCCGCAACCCCAGCGCCATCAAACGGTGGTGAGGATAGCGAGGAGGATGAGTTCGAGGATGTCAATTAAGCATCTGCATAGCGTCGGCGTTTTGGGTTAGATTTGGCGTTTTATACCTAGGGCTGGGAGGGACAATATCGAAAAGTTTTATGCTCAAGGCTATCCAAGCGTGGTACTTGGTCATGTATGGGATGACAATATTAGTGACATCTCAGTCAGGGAACCGAGTTGTAGATAACGGAGCAATATCAAATACACGTAGTTATTTTCTTCATTTTGTGGATGAGAAAACTGTAACCAGCAGAGGACTGAATCAGTCAGCTCTCTTTTACATGAGCGGAGTGAAGCTCCAAATTCTTGCGTATCTTGATGTTGGCCAATTCAGCCCTATGGGTCCTGCGCCCCGGGAGCTTAGGCGAGCCTCCAACATCCCACTTGATCATTCCCCGCGTGGCTTCAATCAACACCTCCGCAATTGTTCCGTCAAAGCCACTCAACACCTATTGGGCCTCAGCTTCACTCTCCAATGGACGATAGCTAGGCAAACGATTGAACATGGCCTCCTCAACCAAATCTCTCTCCGCGCTCCTTGCGCAGACGTCCCTCGACGACCACGATGAAATCCTCAAAGCCGCCAATGCAACAATCAAGAAGTCCAAGGCCGACCTACATACACAGCACGTGAAGGCGGTAGCGCTGCTACACCTGGATCGCTACGAAGATGCCCTGAAAGTCTTCGAGGATGTCAAAGGATTGCAAGAGAAGGCGCAATTCGAATACGCCTATGCGCTATACAAAACGGGCAATGCAGCAAAGGCGGTTGAGGCAGCAGAAGCAGGGCAGAATGCGGATCGAGGGACAAAGCACATGCTTGCCCAGGCTGTACGTACAGGACGAGGCCTACGCCCGCCCAGATAAAGCTAATTTCGTCAGGCATACCGGTCCGAGGACTTTGCGCAAGCCGCAAAAGTATACAAAGAACTTGCGAATCAGCCCGTCGAAAACGAGGAATACGATATACGCATCAACTCAGGAGCCGTGGACGCACAACTGGAATGGACGGGACAGGGCGAGCTAGCGCAGAAGAAGAAACCTACTCGAGAAGACCTCGAGGTCTTTGAGACGGCCTTTAACGCAGCATGTGGAAGTATAGCACGCGGCGAGCTTGGGCAGGGCGAAGTGTGTCTAAGACGGGCAAAAGACTTATGCAATGCGCTCTCGGACCTCAGTGATGCGGAGAAGCAGGCTGAACTTCTGCCCATTACCGTACAACAGGTTTACGTCCTAACTCAGCTGGGCAAGATAGAAGATGCAGAGAAGCTGGCTAGTAGCATTCCATTCGCCGAGTAAGAGGTTTTCCTCAATATAGCATGCTGCAATTTGCTAACAGTAACAGCATCAAAGAATTGTCGACCCGCTACATTGCTCAGGTGAACAGCATCGCCGCCTCGAAGCAGCACTCGAATCCATATCTGTCGCATCGGCTTTTCCACTCATCACCGAAGCCCCCAGTGACCGACCAGCATTTCTCGTTGCAGTCTAATATCCTGCGTCAAGATGAATACGTCATCTCGTTACTTTCACAAAAGGTTGCTGGAGTCGCATCTTCGACCGAAAAGGTCATCTCGGCAACTCCGGCTCCTTCATTATCTCCGGCTGTCAATATGGCAGCAGTATTGAACGCCGCGGCTCATGCACGAAACGCCGAAACTGAAAAGGCTGCACTGAAGGAGATTGTACCATTACTCGAGAAGAGACCAAACGATGTGGGTTTATTACTCGCAATCGCGCACCTCTACGTGATTACCAACAACTATGCCGCTGCAACCCATCTTCTAGAGTCCTTCTTCAAGCGCCTCGAACACAGCGGGTCTGCATCAGATCTTGACGTGCGATTCGCCCCGGGCCTGATTGCCGCGCTTGTCTCGCTCTACGCACAACAAGGCCGTCCAGGGGCATCGAAATCTGAGTTGGCGAAGGCAGCAGAATACTGGCGAAAACCGCACAAGTCAAAAACAGAAGCTCCATCAAAAGCACTCATGGTCGCTGCCGGAACCGCGTTGTTAGATACACACAACCCCGAAAACGTCAAAGCTGCGGGAGAGATCTTCAAAAGTCTATATGATTTAGACAATGAGGATCGAGCAGCTATCGCTGGTCTTGTTGCTGCATATAGCATCACTGATCCATCTTCCATACCCGAGGACCTCCTTTCGTACCTACCAGAAGCAAATCGCTTAGTCTCTGACATCGATGCGGTGGCACTTGAAGGAACAGGCGTACCGCTTGGCACACTCTCCACAACCGACATCGCATCCGAAGCGCGGAAACGTAGCATCGCGCCCACTAGATCAGTGCCCTCAAGGACGAAGCGGTTACGCAAGGCTCGCATGCCGAAAGAATTCATCGAAGGCAAGAAGGTAGATCCTGAGCGATGGCTGCCAATGCGCGATCGTAGCTACTATCGCCCGAAGGGCAGGAAGGGCAAGAAGAAGTTGGAAGGGCTCACACAGGGCGGTGTTGTGGCAGAAGATAAGGGGACGCCTGTTGCTCAGGAGAAGAAAGGTGGTGCTGACAAGGCGAAGAACAAGAAGAAGGGAAAGGGTGGGAAGTGGTAGAATGTGAGAGATGCCATTGGCGACCAAACACATTCTCGAGTGCAGTATACCATTTCTCAGAACTTCCTAGACGTCTTAGTAGATGGTATGCCATGAGCACAATGCTAGCTAGGATTTAGAGAACAGTTCGCTCAATGTGACATGGATGCTATTGAGAGACCTTGATGCCTGCGAAGTACGAGTCATGTAGCCTGGTAGTACCCCACACCATGAGACTCCATACATGAGCAAGCTACCCCTCCATCTTGTTCGTTCCGTCCATCCAATAAGTCAACGGCGAGCTCGACTCGACTCGCTCTAGTCAGTGACTAAAGTTGGACGACGCGGCCCATTAACAGCACAAGGTCGAGCAAACAACCTATCGAGTGAGTTCTGACATTACATGTCAGAAACCCCTGATTGCCTGACACCCTGAGTCGGACAAACGGCGGACCATCAGACTTAGAGCGCCGATTCAGGCAACCTACGAAGAAGCCACGGGCACTTGCCTACAACTAAGGATTCTAATTAACCTTATCGGGAACTGACGTGGACGAACTGTTTCAAGCTTCCTAGCTATAGAAAGGGTCAGCCATTCCACATCCACCTCTCATTACCGGTACAGACCAAGTCCTTCCCCCCAACACTGCTCATACAGATTCAAGGTTTTAACAACGCCTAATCACCGCCAACATGTCAGGCCAAAAAACACGCCAATGGAAATTGTCCAACCCTCCCCAGGAAAATGCAGTACTCGAGGGCGAAAATACCACCTTCGCACTTGAGACGACAACGTTGCCCTCTCCCGGCCCCGAGCAACTTCTTGTCAAAACTCTCTTCTTATCCAACGACCCCGCACAACGAGGCTGGATCCAGAAAGACGTAGACGCAGAGCGTCTCTACACCAAGCCCGTTGTAAAGGGTGAAGTGATGCGCGCTCATGGCATTGCCGAGGTGGTAGAATCGAACGTCGACAGCCTAAAGAAGGGACAGCTGGTCATGGGTAGCCTTGGTTGGACAGAATATGCCGTTGTAGGCGCCAAGGAAGTCCGACCCATCCAAGCTGATGAGAGCGCAGGTATCCGACCAACACACTTCATCGGCGCGCTTGGTGGCCCCGGTCTGACTGCTTATTACGGTCTAATTGACGTTGTGCGCGCCACGGCGTCCGACACGGTGGTAGTCTCCGGCGCTGCAGGAGCAACCGGCAGCATGGTCGTTCAGATAGCGAAACACATTGTTGGGTGCAAGAGAATCATCGGCATCGCCGGCGGCGACAAGAAATGTCGTTGGGTCGAAAGCTTGGGCGCAGATGTATGCATCGATTACAAAGCCCCATCTTGGAAGGAGGATCTAAAGAAAGCCACCGAGGGCTTCGTCGAAGTCTACTTCGACAATGTTGGCGGTGAGATACTCGATCTCATGCTAACCCGCATCAAACGCCACGGCAGAATCGCTGCTTGTGGCGCTGTTGCAACATACAATTCCAGGGGTGACTTTGGCGTCAAGAACTGGACTGAAATCGTCACCAATAGGATCGAAGTTAGAGGTTTCATCGTCTTCGATGCCATTGATGCTGGAAAGGCAGGGCCATATATCCAGGAGTTGATCAAAAAGGTCAAGGAGGGCAAGATTCAAATTGGGCCCGAGACAGAGACTGTGGTACCCACTAAATTTGAGGATGTACCCAAGACGTGGACGTTGTTGTTCAATGGCGGGAATACCGGCAAGCTGGTTACACAAATCAAAGCATAAGAACATGGACCCAAAAACCCACGATGTAAATTCTGGGAAGGATATATAGTGGTCCAAACTTAAGAAAGCCTTACAGTAGATATACACCAGGCATGATTGTCACATATACCAAACTCCATACTTGATTCCAACACATGCCAGTACTCCAACAGCCCCTTCTAACTCATCAGACACTACTCTCTCCAGACATACTAACAAAACACTCGCTACCTACTTAGGTAGCTCAATCCCACTGACATCCACCTTCCCATTCTCCCGCTCATAATCAAGAATCGCCAGTTCCACTATTAAAATCACACATTAGCACCATCTCACAATCCCTTGCCCCCCTACCAAATCAAGTGTAATTCTTAACAATACACTCACCGAATCTCGTAACCCACCGGCCACTCCTATGTGGGGGAAACATTGTCCCCCCATCCTTATTCCTCTGCTCGCGAAAGTTCTTCGGGTCGAAATTAGGGTCGCCTACTTCGACGTTCCAGCCCGGCACGCCCTGGACGCGGCTTAGAGCGAGTGCTTTCTTGGCCGTGTCTTCGATGCTGGTGAAGCCGTATTTGTTGGTTGGATACATGATGATGTAGTAGCTGACCATTGCTGGTGGCGTGGCGGCTGGCTTTCGAGGTGGAAGTATGTGGATACCTGTGTAAAAGTTGAGGGTATCTAGTGCTTTAGGCTATTTGTTGAGGTAGAATGTCTGTCAGTCTGTCTTTTTTCTGGGATTTGAAGAATGCAACATTTAGTAGAGAGAACGAACACTCTTCGGAAGATATATACTCCCTCCACAGTTGAGTCAGACCCTTCGAGGTGACGAGTGCATGACAAGACTGTGATGAGCACCATGAATATAAGTACGCGGAGAACACTCAAATACGGGAAGTGTGTGACTGAGGGTGCAAAGTGCGCTTGAGAGTCTGAGGGCGGTAGTACGAGGATGGTGGTGCTCCTGGGTTCGAGAGTTCTTACTACTGGTTGGTTGACCGCTGGTAACACGAATAGAATTACCACAATGCGCTATTGGCAATATGAACTTGCTGTGTGTGTGACGGTTAGTGACTCGCTCTTTCATTGTAGCAAAGTCCGTCTCTCAGTGTCAGGCTGTGACTTGTATACAGTAACTTGTCAACATTTCGGCCAGGGAAGCATACCCACTAGCTCACTTGCAATTAAACTTGGAAGACTAAGTAGTTACTGTAGACGTTAATTTCTTGCAAATTACGACCCCTATATCGATTGCATTTTAGTACGAGTTTCTACACCTATTCATCATATGAACCGAGCATTATCCTTGACAGTTTTCTTGACCTCCTTCAAAGGCTCCAGCGGGACAGGCGATTGATACAAACCCGGTACTCTCGCCCCCATATACACGTTCTCACACCACTCGGACTCTTTCTTAGCACCCTTTGCTTCATAGTACTTTCTCGCAACCACAAGAGGAGTCAAACAGCCAAACTTCGCTGTATATCCAGCACTGGGTCGGCAGTTGTACGGTATGCTACGACAAATACTGTCTGCATAACCCCCGAGTTGGCGATCCCACATCATCAGCTGCTTCATTTCAAGCTGCCGATGCTGTCTTAATAGCCTGAATGTGTTACCTTGCATGATCAACATGCTCATCCAGTAGATCATGTAGCAAATGCCAGCACCAAAGTAGTGAAAGTCGAAGACGGGATCGAAGACGCGGTCGGCGCAGAGGTCCAAAAAGCCATCCATCAGTTCGATGTCGACTCTATCATAACGTGGCCCCAACCTCTCAAAGATGGAGATCCACTCGAATCCACGGTCAGCAAGATTATTCGAATCGTCTATAAGCTCGTCGATATCAGTCTGTGAACCGCCGTCTCTAGCTAGTCTGTCGGTGCGCTCGAGCAGTCGTGGTATACATATGCATATGTCCTGCAACGCTACGTATGGGTCCACCTTCGCGGCTCTGACTGTCACTGCCAGCCACTCGGGGCTGTCTAACATTGAGGCCTTGCGCATGTGGTACCCAATGCTTAACTGGAGATGGATCAGCGAAGCTTGGTGTATACAAACATGAGTCCTACTGAATTGTATCGTATTGCATGGAAGACCTGCAAGCTCAATCTGCTCTGGAAAGATGAGGGCCCCCGCTGCCTTAGTAGATGTAGAAGTCCTTGCACATGGTAGAAGAAGCCATGGCCCTGTGTCACTCCCACAAATACCTGTTCAGGTGTTAATCAGTGCTGAATCCAGTAATGTCAGGGGTCCATCATCATACCTCATACAAAGTAAGCAGGTAGGTCGATAGCAGTGTTTCGTCTTTCAGGGCTGTTACTGGGTCCTGGATCGCCCGCAGCATAAGGCTCAGAGCAGTCCCGTATAAAGATCGGGAGCGGTTAATCAGGGGATTATTCCTGTTGTTGACGGCGAGTTGCGCTGCAGATAGAGCGTCTACTGCTGCTAGAAGCACCTGGCTATTCGCAGGCATCGTGGGTAGTCCCAACATCAATGCTGAAGGAGGAGGTAACGCTGGGCCATCGGCTCTTGGTAGATAGAGGGCGATAAAAGTGCCCAAATGTTGAATGCGATCAGCAGCAACGGAGCTTACCTGCTTCGGTAACGGTTCGTCCACAGGTCTTGCTTCTGAACCTGGAAGGCGAGCGACTGCACGGGCTGGCGAACTCCCTGAAATGACCGAGTCCTTTGGGCTTTGATTCGCATATTTGTAGCGGGATTCGTCTTCTTTGATGAGCGCCGGTCTCTCAGTCTGCTGATCAAATTTGTGAAGTATGAATGATTGCGGCGGCCTGAAACCTGGACATTTTGTCCCTCGCCGGAGACAAACGTTGCACTCTGGCTTGGCTTCGTCGCAGCGGACTTTTCTCTAATCACAGAGTACTCAATTGCTGGGCCTGTGAAGAGAGAATTTGTCGGCCTTGCTTACCTTTCTGCACTCAAAGCAGCCCGTGGATCGCTTCGGCATCGTCACACAACGTGCGGGGCGGTTGCGTCATGAAATCTGGAGAAGAAGCGATGGAAAAGGTATAAGTGGTATATATACTCGTTACTCTCCAGGTAGCAAGCGTGAGATGGGAAGCATGCATTTCTTGGTTTGCAGGCAACGAGAAATGAGGAGAACAGCAAAATAGATGCGGGCACGGCCGCTAGACGTGACAGGGGCCAAGTAATGCGTCGTATTCAACGGCCGCCAATCGGCACTGACGTTATCTTGAACCGTTAGTTCCAGGTTTTACAACCTGCATGTGCCCGTGGGGGGATAGAAAGTCCCGAGGTTGGTGGTAGTGAGGGGTTTGTGATACTGATTGCAAACACAATCACAATGAAACGGGCGCCAAACATTGCACTCTTTCGGATCCAGCCTCGTATCATTCCAGCTCTTTTTTCCCCAAAAAAGGTGATGATCTGGACCTTCCCAAGATCATTGTTGCTTCCCGGATGGGACATTTTCCAGACGGATAGACTGGCAGAATTGATGTATTTCCTGGGTAGGAGCGAGGAGCTGGTCCATCTTGTGAGTACCGGACAAGGCGCATCGAGAGCTTGAAAAATGCAGGAAAGCAAACAGGCAGAAATAGATGATGGATTGTACAGGGCTATTTCATAAAGCAGTATAGATGTCGGAATGGAGTGTTAGCCGCTTAATGATGCGTGACGGTGACGTTGGACATGTGTGACAGAAGCGACCTCGACGCGGAAATCTACCTCGAAGAGAAAGAGGCCTCGAAAGGTTCACGAGGCGAAAGGCGATGGTTTTCATCTTATACATGTGCACCAATACGCCCGAGATGTCTAGTAAGATGCCAAAAGCACGTGTGGAGGCCCTTTTTGGCAACAAGCCGCGAGTACGGGTCCCACTTATTCGCACTTTTTGGGAAGCGTCTGCGAACATGGTACACGCATGTCCCACCCATTGGATCCTTCGTGAGCTCTGTCCTAGCGAGACACCATGTTGGGCTTATGCAGAGCGTATGCCTGTCTGGACGGGGCATGTTGGCTCGCTTGTACTCCCTGCGTCTTGGAAATGATAGGCACTTGAAAAGGTGCATACATTACAATACAACACCAAGGCATCGTCAAAGACAGACTGGACTGAGCGCAGTCTACGGAATAGTCATACAGGATAGCTTACTTTTCCTGCCCATCTCAGCTGCCATCCCTTAGGGTTTCCCACGAGTTCATCTAGTTTCTCCCAGTTGATGATTATGTTTTGTAATCGTGTATACTTGAAGGGATGTCTTGAATGAGGCTCGTCGGCTAGCACGGTCCAAGCTCCAACACGACCGCGCGCGTTTGCCCTTATGCTCAACAGGGCTGTCAAGCTCGACTACACCCTCTTACCGTCGACTCTCTCGCAATCCATCCTCTGTCTCTGAACTTCTGTCTCCATTGGCCTAGAAGAATAGTGTTGCACGCAAGGATGCCACAACCACGTACGTAGCCCTCGACCTGCAACCACCGCGCGTTCCCCATGCGCCTTTATATCTACTAGAATCCGAGGCTGACCCACGACCAGCAGCGCGAGCGCTGTCGCAAAAAGACCTCCCGCCCTCGGTAGAGAGCGCATACTACAGAAAATGCATCGATCTCCGCCGTCGCATCAACGACATCGAAGAGAACAACGACGGCACACGCTTGCGCATCACGCGGCTGAACCGTGGAATCCAAAAGATGCGCTTGGAGCGCGCTTTCCTCCTCGAGCAACTCCACAAGCACATGGAGTACAACGTCGATGACAGCGATCGGAGTAGCAGTCCGCCGCCCACGCCGACGGACAAGCCGCTGAGGAGCAAACGCAGTCACAACAGGAAGGCAACACCGACCGCTGGTGGACAGGTGGGTGGAATGCCCGGGGGTCAGCAGCATCAGAGCCCAGGGAGCACACACCACCAGAGCTTGCTGCACCAGATGAATCCCATGTCTTCTGCGCAGAGCACGCCTGATCCCAGCCGGCAACCCAACTCCTACTTCAGTGCCATGGGCGGCGCGACGGCCACTTCGCCACACGGTGTCAACGGAGCCCCCGTACTGCCGCCCCTACATGCCTTACCGCCGCTTCAGCCCCAGCAACAAGCCCCGCCGCGCGCCGCATACTTTGACCCAGCGTACGACGAGCAGCGCCCTACCCCAGCGGAGAACGATGGAGAAGGGGAGAGGCGTCGAGCGTACTCGGGCGCTCAGCAGCCAACTACCGAATCTGCGCCCCCACAGAATGGAGATACGGAGATGACGGATGCTGGGTTTACGGCTGTCAACCGGTAGATTTGGTACGACTAGCTAGGCCGGGTCATCGTTTCTTTTCTAACTCGAAATCCTCTGTCTTTTGGCGATGCCGAATTCATTGCGCAATCAGGAATTAGCTGGTAGCAAGGCGTTTGGGATGGAGCGCCTCTATAGTCTATAGGGTAATGGCATGTATGAAGTAGCACATTACAATGGTTAGACATGGTGCAAGCCTGTATTAGTATTCTCAAGAGGTCAGCACTCCCCAGAAGCCTTCACGGTGTAATGCCATGCTTCGACTGTCGAGATATATATGACTTGATTTCATATCCATGGTCTGGTTGGGCTAAATAAGGGGAACAGACTGCTGAAGCGACAAGCCAAGAGAAAGCTTATGTGCACAGCCATAAAGCCCTGCATGTGCAGCCACCAAATTGTCTCAATAGCTCGACCACATGGTATCAAGTGTGTCGACGTCATCACGAGGGAGCAACGCACGCACAGAAGCGTATTGAGGGCACGGGAGGAATGGATTGAGGATATATAGAGGCGTCTCCCAGAGACGTTGGTACGGGAGCTGGTAAAAAACTTGCAAGTAATCGAACCGCTACGCCAACAAGTCAAAACCGCACCCTTGCTTGTTGCATTTGATTCTCAGCCGTGTCTCCGTCATGATGTGCATAATCATCCAAGTACCAAGCTCCAAGCTCTACTTCTGCATCATCAGCTGCACGAACTCGTTGTCTAAGGCTGGGTTAGCACATGATGCACGCAAATATATGAGTTGTATGCTGGAGCCTTACAATCGATACGTCCATCACCGTCCTGGTCAGCCTCCCGGATCATCTCGTCAACCTCGTCGTCGGTCAACTTCTCGCCGATGGAGGTCATGACGTGGCGCAGTTCGGCAGCCGAGATGAAGCCGTTGTTATCACGATCGAAGACCTTGAATGCTTCTCGGATCTCCTCTTCGGAGTCCGTGTCCTTCATTTTGCGGGCCATCATGGTGAGGAACTCTGGAAGCGTCGTCAGTCCACAGCCTGGTTATCGATTTGTGTAGTGAGCTAGTAGTACCTGGGAAGTCAATGGTGCCATTGTTGTCGGCGTCAACTTCGTTGATCATGTCTTGCAGCTCAGACTCGCTGGGGTTCTGGCCCAGGGAGCGCATAACGGTACCCAACTCCTTGGTGGTGATTTGACCTGTGACATGCCATAGTCAGCGCAAGTGTCTTTTGTGGCAGGCTGTGATGCAAGTGCCCAATCGCGTTGAGAGGTAGCCTGGCAGCAAGCCTCGTCTCCAGCTGGACAGGTGCCCATTGTGCCAGCTGCGCGCCGATTCACGACCTTGGAAAAAGGGCATCGCAGGCACATGTCGGGGGAAGAAGGGTACTGACCATCGCCGTCCTTGTCCTAGTTGTAGCAAATTTGGTCAGCGACATGTTGGTCTGGGGCAGGGCCGCGCGCGGAGGCTCCCCGGCGGCCAGGCAGTAGGCAGCGGCACAGCGCAGCCCTGCGAGATTGAGGGCACTTACGAACAGAGAGAAGGCCTCCTTGAACTCGGAGACTTGCTCCTCGGTGAGAGAATCAGCCTGTAAACGTCCTGTTAGCGACGCGCAATCAGGGCGTGGGCGGGCTATCGTCATGTTTTCCAAGGCGGGGTATGTTTGGGGACAAGACGAGGACAGAGCGCGCGGGGCTCACGCACCATGATTGCTGTGAAACTGGGAGTCAAGGGTCGAAGGGTGGGAGGTTGCTCGAGCGTGATCGGCGGGAGTGTGTAGGTAGGTGGTGGTGGTGAGTTGTAGTAGAGAGAAAGGTCGAGCCTAGGAGTGTTTGCGCGGCTGAGACTTAGGTGGACTGTAGTCTGACGGCCAGCTGCCTGTTAGCGGCCGCCTACTGTTGGGAAGGGGGAAATTAGCGGCACTTGGGCCGAACAGGCAAGCGGCTTCACCATTGTGCACGCCCAGGCCGCGACCTGTCCCAAGTAGCCAACGTCACTCAGTCAAGTCAGTCATTCACCACGCTCGCCACAGTCTGCTCCATCTATCATGACATAGCGCCGTTGAAGCCCGCCAGCCCAGCATGTGGCGCGACCGAACGAATCTGTAGGCCAAATGCCCCCTGCGCTGTCCTGTTCCGCGCTGACGTAGCTGCATAGCTTCATTTCCTACCGCCAGTCCTACTCGCACCACCCGCAGAAGAAGACGCGCTATGGCGGACCGGGCTCCAATGGCTTCGGGGACAGCAGGCGCCTGTCTGAGGAGCGCCAGGGCCTCATGTCCACGGGTGCCTACCAAGACGACGGCGACGCTGTCATCGAGATGGACCTGCTGCCTCCGCGATGGCTAGATATACAGGACGAAATCACCGAACACCTTGCCGACATAGCCAAGCAGACACGCAAGCTCGACCAGCTCCATCAGAAGCATATACTGCCCGGCTTCGACGATGAAGACGTCAAGCGGCGAGAAGAGCGCGAGATCGAGCAGCTTACACAGGACATCACCAGGCACTTTCAAAAGTGCCAGCAGGCCATTAAACGGATAGCCACCATGGTGCGCGAAGGCAAGCAGCAGGGCAACATCAAACAGGGCGAGGAGGTCATGGCGCACAATCTCAACATCTCGCTGGCCACGCGCGTTGGCGAAGTGAGCGCCATGTTCCGCAAGAAGCAGGCAGCCTACCTAAAAAGTGAGCAATTTTCCACGCCCCAAAACTCCCTCTTCAACTTGGAGACTGCTGCTGACCTTTCATCCAGAGCTCCGCGATCTCGGGGGCTTTGCCTCGCCGTTCCGTTCCGCCTCACCCGTGCAGAACCCCTACAACGATCCTGCGCTCCAGGAATCCGACGCCGACCGTTCTTTCTCGCAGTCCACGCTTTTACAGACAAAACAGCAGCGACTGCGCCATGATCCCAATGAGGCCCTCATTGCACAGCGCGAACGCGAGATCGAAGACATCGCCCAAGGCATCATCGAGCTGGCCAACATCTTCCAAGAACTGCAGACCATGGTCATCGATCAAGGCAGCATGCTGGACCGCATAGACTACAACGTAGAACGCATGTCAAGAGACGTCAAAGAGGCGGACAAGGAGCTCACAGTAGCCTCCGGTTATCAGAAGAGGTCCATCAAGCGGAAGATTATGTTGCTCCTCGCAATACTAATCGCAGGCGTATTCATCCTACTTTCGCTCAAGCTGAGTCGAAAAGGCGGTAATGGCGCGCCGGTCGTTCCACAGGTCCCAGATGTTCCTCCTGCGGCAGCAATACGACCCAGACGTCAGTCGGTAGCACTGCGGGCAAGTCGCGACTGGCACCGCCGAAAACGACGGTTATGGCAAGAGGCAGCCGACAATCCACCAATGTTCTAGACGTACTTGCTCCTATAGGACATTGTTCAATATAGCACTTTTACTATCAATCATCACGCCTCGTCAGTACGTGCAGCTAATCAGCGAGAACAGAGAGCTCAATGTGCGTCTAAGAAGAAATTGCTCAGCTGCGCACCTTCCTATTTAGCATTGACGTCTGTTGGACACTGTACTACAGTGCAAGACATCGCCTGCTTTAGCTCTGGTCCAGCACAGCCACACCCAAATATATCAGTACCACGTGGTTGGTTCTTTGTATACATTGTCCCGTGGCGTCGCAACGTGGCGCTACAGTAGAATAATGGGTGCCGTGCGAGCTACTAAATAGTCTTGAACGTTACTTCGTATCAACAACTAGGACAGAATTACGATAATCCATATAGTCGACAACAGTTAAGTGGACTGCAGTGGCGTGTTAATTGACTGTAAAAGATATAAATTAGTGAATAGTGTAGTGTTAATTTTGCATAGAATTAGGATCAGAATTTCAGCTCGCTTGACGCAGCGGACCTGCACCCGGGTGGATTGTGAAAATCATCCAGCATGCTAAAGGCGACTTGTGGACCTACCTCCACACTTCTGCAGATCATGATCACCGCCTATCATTAAAGAATTTTAAACCTCCATCGTCAAAGATCTCGACCTCTTCGGTCATTTAGTTGGCGCAGACTTCACCGCGGTGTCAGGAACTAGGACTAATAGACTTCAACGAGCAAAAAGTTTCGACGGCTTAACGCTACTGATAATTACACGCGCTGCTTAGGACATTAGTAGACCAACAGGACGAGTGGCAGATCGTGACAGGGAGGCCGCTAAAAGAGAATGAGGAACGCATTGCTCTGGAGTATGTTCTACGCAGATCAAGCTGGCTAGATCTACCGCATCATCGCGATTGCCTACTTATTCCGACTTTCCTACTAGTAACATTACCCCTCAGCTCAGACGTGCGGGTATATTTTCCACTCGGAAGAATTACGAAAGCGAGTATCAATCCAAGTCATCTGAGCACGTCATGACTATATTTGCGATCCATTGGTGGGATTACAGGCAAACACCCCCAGAAGAGTGACTACCCCTTGACATGGCTTTGCTATCATTCGTTAAATAAAGTCTTCAACGCCTGGAAAGTACACGTAAGGGAATCTGCAAAAATGATACAAACTTGTATTAGCGCTGGAGCGTAGCTTTACATAGGCATAATCCTTCAGGGTTACATCTGATGAGCCGAACGAGGGAATTTTCGCGCGGAAGACTGCAGCACAGACAGATAATTCCATTAGTCACGAAGAAAAGCAGTACTTACCCTCACTTCGGAATGGCGTCTGGATGAGGGGGCAAATACTGTTGTAAAGAAATTTGAACCAGCAGGGCAGAAGATTCCTTCTGCACCTAAATCGAGACATGTATTTGGCCGAAGCTTCTAGTTGCGATGACGGAAGATTAGACCCGTGAGTGCAGACTTGCGAGGACATTGTTTGACACATAGGGGAAGGACCCTTGTATGAGCGTGAAGCGGACGACAGGGGTTAGCATGCAGGTCGGTTTGGGTGCCGAACTTGGGTGCGCATGGCACCCCCAACTCCAAGGCCAAGCACCGAGCAATGGATACAGCCGATGCAGAGGCTCCAGGGCAAGGAGGAACTCGGGATATCAGTAACAAAACAAACTCTGATGAAGACATAATTGAGTTGCGCGAACGAGAAGAACGAGATAGATATCGAGAGTGAGGTATGAGTACGAGGTGTATAAGCGAACATCGAGTCCGACTAAATTCAATATTGACTAGAATGAGAAGAAGAAGTAGATATATACAAGAACAACCAATGCAACCACTACTAGTGCAAGGCTAAGATAAAGCTGAAGAGCTTCAGCATTTACACAACCGGCCATCCGCTGGAGAAGTTGATCTGGTTGATACCAAACTTCTTCTGTCCGTCAGCATAGCCAATGCGAGTATCAACATAATGATAGTAGAGCACCGGGCCAAGCTTGGGATCATAGTAGACACCCTGGCCACCGGGTCCGTAAACGAATCCGTGAGACTCCAGAACGGTGGTTCCGCCGCCCTCGGTGCACTTCTTGCCGGCCTTGTCGACAAATCCACCAGTTGCGCTGGTCGACCTGCAAACCTGGATCTTGTACTCCTGACCCTTGGCGGGCCTGTTCTGGTCGAAGTGGCAGCACTTGCCGAACGAAAAGAATAGATAATGGTAGTTTCCATTCTTAGCGATGAATGCACCTTCCTGCGCATGCTCGCCCTCGGGCTTGAAAGCGATGCCGATGGCTGCGGCACCGGCGGCGGCCTTCACTGGTGGGTTCTGCATGTTGGTCGAGAAGAGATCACCCCAGAACGAGCCAAAGGACATGACGAATTTCGACCCGTCCCAGTACAGGGCAGGATCAATGGCGTTGTAGTTCTTGCCGGCTTTGGAGGCGATGCCAGTAGCGCCGAGGTCCGTCCAGGTATCGAGGTTCGTGCTGGTCGCGACACCTATGGCCGAGTCTTGCGAGCCAAACGACGAAACAGAGTAGTACAGGTAGTACGTGTTGCCGACCTTTGTGACGTCGGGTGCCTGCAGTAACCTTGGTTAGTTCGCGTTCAAGTGGATGAGGAGCATATCATGACTTACCCAAAGATCATCCTTGCCCTTCAGGTTGATCTTGGATCCGTTCGGGATTGCGGCACCCTTGTATGTCCAAGGTCCCGTGATGCTCGGTGCGGTATGGATAGAGATCTTGTTACCGGTAGAGAATCGGTAGTATTTTCCATCGTCGCGGCGGATAAGCGCGGGATCGTGAGCATTTCCGCACTCGCCGCTGCATGCCATGGGGTTGGCGTAGCCATAGACAACAGTAACAGCAGAGAGCAGAGAAGCAATGATAGATGAACGCATCCTGGCGGTTGAGAAATGAACGATTGAGGAAGTCAACCGAGAAATGAATGAATGAATGAACGAGGAAGGGATATAGAACCAAAGAGAGACGACGAGAGTCTATAGATGTATGCGCAGATGCAAAGGACTAAGCTTCAGTTTCTCCCGAGATCTTGCACTGATGGAGAAATGAGATTGGCATCCCCGCTCCATTCTTGAGTCTGAATGGTGGAAACGACTCGTTTGGTGTCCTTAGGTGAACGCTAAACCGGAGAATTCACCTAACATCATCTATCCGTCAGGACCAAGCCAATTTGGACAACCTTGTAATGAGCGAAACATACGAGGGGAGGTCGGCTTGACGAACACTAGTGGTGGCCTGCGTTTGAAACTCGGTGAGATTCCGGATTTGGCCAAGTGAATGGTGGCGTACCAATATGAAACACGTGGACAGCGCCCAGGCCGGCCTCGGTGGCCCAGATATCGTCCCAACTCCCTTTGAAATAGAAACGCGGCAATGATGCAGAAGATGCTTGCGCACATACTGCCCATAGCAATATCCACAGCAAACAAAAGTCGGTAATGACGTCTTGCTTTAACCTCCTCGCCAACGAGTCCTCGCCTCATCTGTCGTGAATCTAGGCCAAGTGAACTGGCCAAGCAGTCCGACCACAACGACCAGGTTGCGGTACCACGACATGGGGTCTGCCCTTATTAAGGCGGAACGTCGGGCTTGTGAGGAGATAATACGGATTGCATTATCCTCGTGGCGGAACTTTTGTGATCTTGAAGCATCGTAGCCGCCCATGGCATGCAGTGCGTCCGCCGTCATGCATGAGGATAAGAGCTCGATCAGTTCATACTATAATTGCGATAGAAGTGGTAGTTGATATTTGAACTGTCAGTGACAATGGAAGTGGTGAGCAAGTAGTACATGAATCGCTCAGAGAACAAAATCACGAGACATCAGAGTTCTGGGCTTCTGTTAGCCTGCGGGGTGGGGTCATTGGCTTGCTTCTTCGTTTTAGAAACGATGAATTGAGATGATAGGGGATTGAAAGCGAGGCCATAAGCCTGGAACCGGGAATGAAAAGCTTAGGGTCGAGCCTAGCCATTCTGGGAAGTGTCTATATACTTACAACAAGGTACGTGACTCGCGGTTAGCAACGCCATCCTGACGTAGCGACGACAGCCATGTAAAAAACGTAAATCATCGTCGAATTCTTCGAGATATGATATTTATTTGGCTTGCTTCCCGGCTATTCCCGCCCTACGACATAATCCCTGGCGCACTAACTTTGTGATTATTACTGCTCCCATTGGTATGAAGTTAATGAATGGGCAATCTGCTCCACGTTACCCTAATTCCTCCTCAATTACAGTTGCGGTTCTTTCTTTAAAACTCGACAATATTTGAGGGCGGTTTCTGATACAGAATAGCTATTAAGCTACCACGTTCCTGTTCATAGCGACTTCGACACAGCCCTGCCAGTCGATATGTTGGATGTAGATGGTTTCAATTAAAGAAACCAGTGCCAGGGCTAAGGCAACACCGGACCAAAGACCTAGCAGATTCCAGCCCAAAACAAAAGCCGTGAAGAGGCTAAAGGGCACGGCAACAACGTAATAGCAAAGCAGTTGAACATAGCAACCGATATTTTGACGACCCACGCCACGTAAAACTCCGTTGCAGCTGGCGGTAAGAGCGTCAAAGAGCTGGAACGCCGCGCACAGTGGCAGTACTTCTGCAACGAGCCCAGCTACTTCCTGGTCTGAAGTGAAGAGCCGAGGAATCTGGAAACGGAAAGATAGCAGCACCACTACGTTTATCAAGCCAACCAAAACTGCTGCAAATTGGCTAACTTGGGCAGCAACTTGGGCAGCGTGTATACGATTGGCGCCAATCAAGTTGCCAATTCGTGTACTTGCAGAAATAGAGAGGGGGAATGGAAGCTGAAAAGCAATGCTGCTGATTGTGACGAGAATGGACTGAGCAGCTAGCAAGGTGGTGCTCAAATACGAGGAAGAAAAAGTCATGATCTCGAAGGCGAGGTATTCAGCCTCAACCATCACCAGGCCTGGAAGGGCAAAGTGAATCATAGGGGCCCAGTTGGCAAAGGCTTCTGTGGTGAGTCCATCCCAGCATTCCATGCCAGCGAAGACGTATACGTAAAGGAATAGTAACAAAGAAAGTAGGTTGTCTGTGATCGCAACAGCGATTGGCGCTCCGACAAATCCCCAGCCTAGTTTCTGTACGTAGTGTTAGTTGGCTGGCGTAATGCTTACGAAAGATAATCACATACCCAAACAAAAAACCAATTCATGAAAGCATTCAGCGGTGCGCATAACAATAGGACGTAAGTAGGCCCCAAAAATAGCCCTTGAGCATTCAGGTAGTGTTTCCCGCACTCGAAGAAAGCGTATCCTGGTGCTCCAAATATCAGAATCCTCAGATACCGGCCTGCAAGCATTGCCACCTCTTTGTCTGGAACAACCATCATCAACAGGCTCCCAGAGAAGAACCAGATCATTGCGATGGGAAGAGTAAGTACTGTAAAAATGGCGACCATTCGTTGGAGATACAGGCCTACTAATCTCTTCTCCCCGGACCCGTAAGCTTGAGAACAAAGCGTGTCGAGGCAGGTAGCTAAACCTTGATAGACCACGTAACCTGTAATGTTGGCGGTCATTGATGCCAAACTGATTCCACCCAGCTCTGTCTTCCCCAAGTGGCCAAGTGTAAAGACACTAGCTACGGTCAAAGAATACTGAAGCAAGAAGGTCACCACGAGGGGTGCCGTTGACTTGGCAATAACAGCAGACTCCTTTCTCCATACATCGTCAGAAATTTCTTCCTTCAGTATCAAAGCATCCTCGTCGGCAGCTCTGTTCGAGTTGGAACCGTAGGCTTTTATAGAGTTCCCAAGGAGAGTCGTAGTCTCAGTGTCGATGCTGAAGCTCGGAGAACGACTCGGGCTGGGGTCGGTTTCGGGCATTATCGGGAGAAACGTAAACGCGAAGTCATTCAAGGTCATAGATCGACGAAAGATTGGAAGAGAATGCTTAGGAGGTTTTAATCTTTAGGCGTCAAGTAGCAAGGCAAACGTGTTCAATTTGTTGTCATAACACAGCCGTGACAGATTTCGAGTGGCGTATGGTAAGCAATTCTACTCGGAAAGGATTCATGAAAATTGAAATGAGATATGTGTACAAAGAGGAGGAGAATAGCCTTGAGAAACACGCCCATTGCCATCGCTATGCCATTACGGCACTCCGCAGTACCTCAGGGTGAATTGTGCATGAGATGATCTCATTTAGGCAGGTCCAACATCAAGCACAAACGCCTCATGGCTCAGTGGGCTTACTCAGGAGACTTAAATGCGGGACACAAGAAATTAGAGGAACGAGTTGAGCAGCGGTTTGCCACCACAATAAACAACCCTGAGAGCAGCTTTGCTGTATGACAACGCCAGGAAAGCCCTGGTACCACAATAAACAAAACACAGGACAAGCAAAAACAGGGCTTCAGGGCCTGTTTACGGCCGGAGGCTTTATTTCTATCTGAAACTCCTAAATTGGCGAAAGGCGCAACAATACATGAAAAGGTAGTGCATACTGCATAGAAAATAATACATTCCTCATCATATACCTTCAATCTAAACCTTCGATGGCTTGTATTCGTATTCCAGAGCTACGCGCTTCCGCATCCAATCACCAGCAGTCATGCTGTCCTCCCATTCAAGCGAACGCCATTTCCCGGCTTTTTCGCAGCCAGGCAATGGCTCTATCATCGTATTATAGTCTGGATGAGCATAAAATGCGATGGCATAACGTTCGACAACAGTGTCCTCGGGCATCGGGAGGTCTCCATATAGGAAAGAAGGAGGAGCGGTCACCTGATGGAGGGCGCTCTTCCACCGTCCATTTGACTGTTTTTCGAGCATGTCGCCAATATGAACGATGACAGTGCCAGGCTTTGGTAAGACTGGCCTAAAGATATTGGCCGAGTCATCGTGAATTTCCAAGCCGCCGATGTTGTCTTGAAAGAGCAAGGTCAGCTGGCCGAAGTCAGTGTGGATGTTAAGACGGCGTGCGTCGCGGCTTCGTAATGGCGATGCCGGCATGGATAGATAGTGTAGCCAGCTCATATGGCTGCGGTTTTTGCCTGGAGTTTGCTGCTTTGATAAAAAGTCCAAGTCCTTCATACCAACTACCTCGCAGAGACAGCGCATTAGCAGCTGTTCCTGATTAATGCATTCATCCCACCACTTCTCGATGAACGTCCGGAAGCCTGGAAAAGTATCATCTGGAGGTAAACGATTAGGATATGGGTTGGCCACGCGGTCGTCGCTCGAGTACGGGTTTCCCATCTCAAGAATTTCTTTCTGTTCCGGTAGAACGGTTTGCCTCATGGCCTCAATCTCTGTCGGATCCCATACTCCTTGGCTGACCAATCCAGCGCCAACCTTTGCCCAGCCTCGGTGATCATCGGCGCTCTGTGGGTGCTCAATGAGCCGCTTCGTCTCAAGAGGCAGCTTGAAGAAACGTTGAGACTACAAGCCAAGGTCAGAAGATAGAAAATGGAGATAGAAATAGGCCACACATACCCAAGTGAATGCCTCGTCCACCAATTCTTGCCGTATGGTATGGTTCGAAAGGTATATGAATCCGAATGACTTGAAAGCGTCATCCATCTGCTGGAGAGAAACCTTACGCTCCTCGGGGTTACCTGAGAGCTTCTCGAAATCCACTACAGGGATTTTAGCAGGCTCAACCGTTCTGGATTGAGAGTTCATGGTGGAGGCAATTATTCAAATAAACAGTGGCTGCTTAGGTAGAGAACAAATAGATGTAATGTCTGCAGGACCTCTAAAGCAGATTTTGCTCTTGAATATATACTATGGTGCTCTTCACTACTTAACTTTGTAGCGAACAAACATCAAGAGAATGCATAGTCGCCGTTACACCACAGGCGTACCGCACTTAGCTAGGAGGTACGATCAGTCACGAGGCAACACCAAAAATGGTGAGTTAACAATCACCTGATGGAGTAGCTATGGCAGTACAGAGGTCACACTATTCTATGCCACCGTGCATTAAAAGGGGTAACATGTATCACTTCATTGACCGCCATCTATTGTGAAATGTTACCATATCGGATCGTGTCGTCCTTTGTATTGCAAAAATATCTATTTTCGATACGAAAAGCCCTCTTCGAGGGCGTACCACATACAGAGCGGCCCACTCGCACGATGTAGCCAGCCTAGCAGTTTTCCCAGCTGTACAGGGTAAAGCTCAGGGTACAGCTAATGCTCAACCCGCATTACAATCACGGACTCATCTTTGACCGCCTTTCATTGCAATACGTCTTAAGCTTTACGCTTACTCGTGTACAAAACCAGCCCGCAGTTATTTTGCTTGCTTAATTGAATTTCTCTGGTTTATGTTGTGTCCAACGTTAGGAGATAAGTCTAAAAAATAGTACCATTGTAACATTGAAAAGGAGTAGAGGAAATTTGAAGACACACACAAGATATTCAATTCAAGTTCACAGTTTAAAAGTAGCCATGAAACTTCACTATTGAGTATACGCTTCATCTCCCATTCCCTCTGCACGTCAAACACTTTTGGTACGATTCGCCTTGGTATTTTAAACCACCCGGAGTCCAGCTGTTGTGGTATTTCAACTTCAACATCGTTCGATATCGCATCTAGACAATGATTGTAGCAAATCTTTTGAAGAACGAGGGACGGAACCCAACCATTCGTTTCGAAGAGATTCAGTCATCTCCTTCATCGCCAGATTCCTTTGCGGATTCGACAGTCGCTTCATACATAATCTGTGCCAGTTCTCACGTTGGAACAATCAATGAAGGCTCTTCAATCCCGCAGACTGCATCGAACAAGGCGTTGTTTAAAGGATGGAGAACTGCTGCCATGCTAGTACGTCTGCTCGGTCACCCCCCGCGCGAGAGCCATTTTCGACATGCCCCATATTACACAGCGGGTAATCCTTGTGTTATCCTTGGGGATGGCATCATTGTCGTCGACGAGTCATTCTCAGACGCACGTAGAACGGACGCGCATAGCTGGAATCTCTTCTTTGCGATAGACTTTCATTTTCCAAATCCTCGTTTTCCCGACCAAGGACTCAAATCCACGCAATACCTGCAGACCTCTTCGCCCACCATCAAGTTTGACGACCGTCTCTCCATAGAGGCTAACTCTGGTACATTCGATAACATCGACATCATATCCGGCGTCTGTTTATTTAACGGGTATCTTTTGAAATCCAGCATTTGTAACCCAGAATCTGGCAAATTCGACGTTGAGATACTCCGACAAGCCAGACCCACCTTTCACGAATTGGAATATATATCTCGTTCCTCGACTGCAATTGCAGATATAGTTGGAGTTCTGGTATCAACGTCTCAAGTCCAAGGAGTTCAGACTCCAGTCAGCATCGGCTTAGATGTTCCCAGCTTCCACTACTACCACTCGGCTATCACTGCCTTCGACAACGGCATTTGCACAGCCGAGGAAGCCCTTCAATGGTGTGAAGCTGTAGATCTTCGTCACGATCAAATTTCACATGTTTTCACCGCTGCCGTTCACCACCAGCTCCGAAGGCGGGGAATTGAAGATTCAAAGTACAGTATTCGCGTTTCAACTAAAGCAACACATATGGCCTTTTCGCTCAAGTCAGCTCTGCGGGATCGGAAAATCGCTTCATTTGACCTTGTTTTAAGGATACTGGATACGGAAGACACGGGTTTTTGGAGGAGCTTTTACCAGCTCATACCCGTCAAAGAAAGGCCAAAGGACCTCAGTGAGCTGGGATATCTGTTCTACGTATTCATGGTTGTTAAGCTGGCTCTCACGGGCCGCTCATCTATTGAATGTAAGTCTCAAAGAGACTTGGTAGTGGATAAAGCAATATCCGCTCCTAAGGTACGCGTTGATTGTTCCAGACAAGCGTCAACGGAGACATCGAAACCAAGACGCTTGATTGTCAGCATAGATGACCCAGCCGAGCGTCGGATTTACTCCAAGTCGCAAGATCTGCTGAGAATATTACGACAGTCATCAGGAAGTCCAACGGACTCCGCACTGGTAGAAGTGTATATGTGCAGAAGATTTTTCGTTAATGGAAACCGTACAAGAGCTCGTTTGTACCATCACGACACCATCCCAGCTCTACCACGACTGTCATACTTTCCCGAGTGCAGCATCTGCCAGAATAAGCAAGTCGAACCACTGGACGTTGTCTGTCAACTCTACGGGGTTGAGTTTGCTAAAAACATCCAATCTTGGTTTTCTGAGGCTGGACTTTAAGCTTAGTTTCTCTTTGAGTTTTGTCGTTGCGCTATAGGATATACAAGTATACTTCAAAATTTGATCATATACAAAGTACTGGCTCTCTCTGGTTGCACAGTAAGCCTATTAAGACCGTAGCACGCAGGGTAACCTTAGTGTTCATCTGATCGAACCGCCTTTGTAAAGTGATTGAATGCATTCTTCCAAGATAGGCAACTACAAAAGCATTGTGAACAACCTGGGACCTTGGCTTTCCAATTTGGTAGGCTGCGTCACCACATGTGATCAATGAAAAAAAGCCACTTACTGCAACAATAATTGTGCGAAGTGGCGTGATGAAGGAACTAAACTATGACTATACTATACGTCTTCGGACGTAGTAGCTGTAATAGGAATCTAGATGTAGGGCAAACCTAAGAATAGGTTAAACAGGCACTACAAATGGCCCAAAGTAAACGAATTGGCGCTATGTTCTAACGCTGTGAATACCTCTAACTGTGTGACAGCTTTGAACTCTGAGATCAAGTAAGGTGGAAGGGACATAGTCGTAACGTCTTAGATAGGCTTGTAACCTACCCAATTGCACCACTTCCAGGGTTGATTCTGAATAAACAATCAGTCGGCACGGGCCTGATTAATTCGAACGTGCTACAACCAGGGTCTTGTATAGCTTCATGGAGCACGCGGTACCACCTGCACGCGTAAATAGGAATCAATCAGCCGACCAGATTGAACGTTCCAATATCTGCTGATTCAAAGTAACCCCGTTAAAATCCACATTCCACTGTATATATTCTCAAAGTAGGATCTGAGTCTTAACATAATTTTGTTGCAACACCGCTTTTACGATTTGCAGAGAGATTCCGAGCTTTACAACTTATCCTTCTCTCTCTTAACATATTTCTGAAGATCTTGATCCTTAACAAAAGAATGAATTCTACAAACCCAAAGATCTCGGTCGACTTGATGAGCGTTGAAGAAGCACGCTCAGAACAAACGACCTACCTCAAGCTACGGTGTGAAAGTATTCCAACAAACTCAGAAGAAGCGTTCAATATCCCAACCATTGACATATCACGCTCATTTTCTGGTCACCTGCCGGACCGTCAGGCTGTAGCTGAAGAGATTCACTCAGCGTCCGCATCATTCGGATTCTTCTACCTTGCATCTCATGGCGTTTCTCCGACATCATGCTCCAAGGTCCTCGAGCAAGCAGAGAAATTCTTCAAGACGCTGCCCTTAGATAAGAAAGAACTCTTACATCTTCGGCAATCCAAATTTGGCTCTGGGTGGGAGCCCCCGCAATACACGAGTTTCTATGGGGATGTGGAGACCAAGGAGGCGTTCAATTTCACGTTCGAAGAGGATTTTGACAAGACTGGTGGTGATGGAAAATGGGTCAATCTTGATGGATCCCCCGACAACGGGAACATGTGGCCGGCTGAAGAGGACTTACCAGGCTTTCGTGGTATCATCAAAGACTACTACAGCGAGGTATGTATCCCCAACAGCAAGTATAATTATTGGGTTGTTCTCAAAACTAATACCGAAATACTAAACACAGCTCTTGGAGCTCTCTCGTCATCTGTTCCGCCTTTTCGCGCTATCCCTCTCTCTACCGGAGGATCAGTTTGACTCCGTAACCACACATCCTGGAACTATGGCTCGCATGGTGTATTATCCTGCAGCGAAGAATCCGAAGCCTCTACATGCAAGTAAAGACGAGGAGATTGGGGTCGGTGCTCATACAGATTTCGAGTGCTTCACTATCCTTCTGTCATCCTCATGCCCCGGCCTAGAGATTCTGAATCCACATGGTCGCTGGGTATCCGTGCCGCCATTGGCGGGAACATTTGTCGTTAATATTGGCGACTTCATGATGCGTTGGACGAATGGCCTCTACAAATCCACGATCCACAGGGTGGTTAACAGGAGTCAGGAGGAGCGCTACAGCGTTCCTTTTTTCACGAGCATCAATTACGATGCAATTGTAGAAGTGAGTCGGAATTTTACTGATGAAGTGATACTAAAGGAAGCGCTAACCTCTAATTAGACTCTTCCCTGTTGCGTTTCGGCCGAAAATCCGACCAAGTATCCACCGGTACGAGCTGGAATATATATCCTGGAGCGCCAGAATGTTACAACAAAGGATGGCAAGGGTTATATGGAGAAATAAAGATAAGCCAGTATAACTTTGGAGGTTCCTTATTTGAAGTCGAAGAATATACGCGGGGGAGGGGGTTGAAGTATCCGGGCCATCGTAAAGGGGTTGAACAAACGTCTCAAGCTATACATATCCTGCAATCTTAATCACAGCCCGTCCAACAAGCCTCCCGGCATTGATGTCTTTACAGAACCTATGAATATCTTCGAGTCCACCTTGCGTAAGAATCGGATGCACAAGACCTCGTGCTGTGAAGTCAAGCGCCTCCTCAACGTCCTTCAGCGTCCCAACTACACTTCCCACAACATTCAACTTCCTCAGACACATCACAATCGGGTGCGCTCCCGCAATGATCGTCGGATCGTTTGGCAGTCCCACGCACACCATGGTTCCATTCGGTCTTAGCAAATGAGGTGCTTGCTCGTACCCTGCCTTAGTGGCCGCGAAGACCAGAACGCCATGGGCACCGTACGTAGTGATCTTCATGATTTCGGTAGTAATGTCAGTTGTGGTTTTGAAGTCGATGTATTTCTCTGCACCTAGTTTAAGGCAGAGATCGCGTTTGGCATCGCCGCCATCGATGGCAATCACGCGCATGCCCATGGCGCGCGCGTATTGGACACCGAAGTGTCCGAGGCCTAGATTATGTTAATTCTCCCAAGCAAAAGAGGCTCAGAGGGATTATAGGGTAAACACGCTCAACTCACCACCGCCGGCGCCAGGAATAACAATCCATTGTCCTGGTTTGACCTGACTTCTCTTGCACGCAACGTAGGCTGTAACACCACCACACATGATTGGGCCCGCTTCCTCATCCTTGACACCATCCGGCAACCTATTCGTGTGATTAGCTCGGCTACAACTCGATCCTATTCTACTTACCTTGTGGCATAGTGTGCATCCGTAAGCGCATACTCCTGGAAAGTCCCCGCAATCGTAAACCCTGAATTCAATTGCTTAGGACAATGACACTCATCTGTGCCATTCGTGCAAAACTCGCATTTCCGGCACACACTCGCAATCCATTTGATGCCTGCGCGATTGCCCACTTGCCATAAATCTTGCACATTGGAGCCCACGGCGACAACAACACCTTATACCAAAGTTAGTTATATATAAAAAATACAGCCTTAAACCCGGTGATGGTATAACTTGCCCGCACCCTCATGGCCCGCTATATAGTTAGTTTGTGGTGCCATCTTGAAATCCCACTCATCATACAACAAGCTCTTGTCGGAAGCACACAACCCACTGTAGTTGATCTTGACGAGAATTTGGTCTGGGCCTGGTAGTTGAACAGGGACATCTTGAATAGCGATAGTGGAGCTATCTCCGGAGCCTCGCTTGATGGCGGCTTTTTGGGTTTTGGGAACGTCCATGGTATATAGATGGTTTTGGTATGAATAGTTCGAGGGCTTTGAAGTGTTCGTGCTTTTAAAGGAGGATTGAGGGTCACGGGATTTGAGATGAACAGCTACGATACTTTGAGCAGATGGATAGTCGGTAGCACTACAGGAGCTGCCTAGATATATACTGACATGTTGACGTATCGCAATATAAGTGCGGGGTCAAAGCTAGTACTCCTACATTCGAGGGCGTTTCTGGCTCGAATAAGTACACCTTATTAGCGCCAGCGTATCATCAGCCCATGGCCTGATCTTCAGCCATTGACTATGCTGTTCCTCATGTTACCTTGCAACGCCACCAAACAATCTGGTGACCTTGCAGCAGTAGCTGTCAGGAGCATCATCGGATAGCCGAATATTGGAATAGCCGATCGCGGAAAGTGTCCGCATTTGCCGCGCTTAAGGGAAGGGTGCATCAGGTGCAGTGAGGAGTGGATGGGAGCTAAAAATGGTAGTGTAATGCGGGGTACTTGCGAGGCTAATCTTGATCAATAGGTCAATGGAGTGCCGACGTAAAGTATCATGTTGCAAACACCGCATGAACGGAGTGGGACTACTTGGCCGACCTGTTGGTTGTGAGGGGTACATCCACCCTTCTGATAGTGACAATCCTGTCGAGAGTTCTGAAATACCAGAAACCTCGATTTGACGTTCTGGGTCCCTGTTTGAAAGATACAATTCGATATATTTACCCAACTTTTCGGTTGTCGACATTGTTATTTTTTGTTGATATGCTGTTGTTGATTGAGGAGTTGAACCTTTGCTCTTGACGTGGCAAGCACACCATAATTGCATAGCTTTCTAAGCGTACGCCGAAAACTGTACGCCGGGCAATGCAAGCCTTTTCCAATCTCATAACGCCACGCTCAATAAACACATACGTTCAGCTTACCATGCAGTGATGTCGTCAACTTCAGCTTCGCCGAACGTACTCGTCTTTGTAGCGGTCATCCCAGAATCAGTGGTGACCGTATCCAAGTTCGGGGTCCTGCTGATGATATCGGGTAGAACAGACTTCAAGAAGCCTGACAGGTGCTCGTTAACTTGCTCAAATTCGAGCAGAAAAGCATCATGGCCGTCGGGGGAGTCGATGGTCTTCAATGTAGCGTTGGGAATATGCGCAGCAAGTTCTTTCTGCTCAGCGAACGTGAACAAACCATCGGACTGTATACCGAGAACCAGTGTTGGTTGTTCTATTAACGAGAGTGCATGGTGAAGAGCTGATACCGGATCCAAAGTCTCAGGATTCGTACCATCAGGATAGCGGTATCGAGAAACGTCGTGGGTGTCCAGCTTCCGCGTGATTGCTATGTAGCAGTTGGCATCAAATCGCTTAATGAACTTCTCCCCTTGATATCGCAAATATGACTGAGCAGAAAAGTAGTGCGGCGTAAGTGGTTTCGTCGATCTCGAAGCCAGAAGACCGCTATTTGGAGATTTAGTATCTTGCACAGGCGGTGTAGGTGGGTTTGATGCGTCATGGAACTCAAGATCAGCTTGCGCTGCAGCCGATATTGGCAATGCAGCACTACTATTGGTCCTCGACACTTGACGTGGTGAGCCAGCGTTCCTGTGTCCGTCGTTGTGGATGGCCCAATGCCCGTGTGATGGATTTGATGGTATGGTAGGCCGGGGGACGGTGTTGATGCTTTGCTTCTTAGAAAGGTCAGGAGTATTACGCCCAAACCTTGATTCAAACGAATCGCGACTACGATACGTAAGGAGCGCAGACATGCGCGCAGCTCCCAAGCCGGTGGATGGTGGATCCTCGTAGGCATAATAGCCATCGTCGTACTTTGGATCGCTGTAGATACTCTGTCGCTGGGCCTCGCCCCAGCTGATACCCCACGCGCTGTAGCGAGCAGATGTTGCGATCGGTATGATGGACTTGACGTAGTCTTTTCCAAAGTACGCAAACTCGAGGACGAGCATGCCGCCCATGGAGCCTCCAATGACTGCAGCGATTTGCTTCACCCCAAGATCGTCTAGAACTAGCTTGAAGATGCTGCTCCAGTCAGCGTTGTCCTTATATAGTTGAGGTAGTTTGCTCGGCTCACTTGACATCGTCTCTCACCGTTGTGAGCGGAAACTCGGGTCCGTACAAGCCCAAAGAGGGGTCGCCGTCCTTTGCTGTAACGGGACTTGCACTACCGTACGGGCTCCCCAGGCTGTTGATGCAAACCACAAAGAATCGTGAAATGTCGAAAGCCTTCCCAGGCCCTCCTAGCAGTGGTCCCCACCAATCGCCCACATCAGAGCTCCCTGTGAGCGCATGACATATCACCATGGCATTGTCTCCGCCTGGCGCTAAGGTGCCATATGTCTTGTACGCGACGGGGACATTGTGTAGGACGCCGCCGGATTCGAGGGTAACTTGTGGGATGATGGCGAACGTTTGGTCTGGGATGAATTTGGCAAACGGGTTTTCGGGCTGTGAAGACACTGTTTCTGCGCAACCGTTAGCCGTTGATTCCAAGGAAGGCGTGGAAGCTCCGTCTCTACCAGATCTAGCTGGGCTCCCAAGCGTATTCGCGCAAACTCGCATCCATGTGGAAAATATGCCAGCCAGGGTTATACAACTTGGTAGTGGTATAAACAGGCAACTTCAAGTGCAACCTTCATCTTGAATTGTTTGCGATGTCATAATGCAAATTTGGTGGACACTCACTATACTGGTGCGTGCTATTGGCAGCTGCGCCATTGACATGTGGGGTACCCATGTCGAAAAGGTTCAAGTGCTCGTTGTTGAAAAGGTGCAGCGCCTGCCCTGCAGGTAGTGGAGTATCTTTTTGACATTGCGGGGGGTCAACTTTTTTTGGGGTTGATTCATCGTAGATTGCCGCTAACGGGGGTTTGAATCTCTTGGCGCCATGACGTGATCGTCACAAGTCCGCCGGTTCACACTGGAAAGCACTTTTGCACCACCAACAAACGTTGACACCTCACAAGCATGTTTGCTCGGATACCATGCATCATCCGCGCGGGTGTCCAAGGCCTTCGTGGTAAAGCGGTACGATTCTATTCAATCGTCTGATGCATTATAGCAACTTGATGATTGCTTCCGAACACTCGAGTGCAAACCTTGACCGAACGCCAAAGATGGTGTTCAATGGTTTGCAATGCTATCCTCTAGAGGCAGATGAGTAGGTTATAAGGACAGTGCGAGGTGATGACAATGGTGATGCATCTCAAAGACGGCCTGACCGAGTTCCGCAGCTATGCAATCCCCCGAAGGCATATCCTACTGTAACCCCAGGACCATCAACCTGCCACATGTTGAAAATCAAAGCACAACCCCAATACACTCCTCACAGGACTCGAACGCGACTACGGCATCTTTCTCAAAGGCACGACAAGCTGCGTTTGCATCGCTCAACTGCGCCAGGTCCATCACAAAAGCTGAAGAACTTGCCTGCCCGAGGAGTCAGCGACCCCCTTTCTCGAGACCTGAGCCACAGTCCTACGAAAACATCCGACTTGCCTTTCCAACTACACGGGAGATTCTAGTGGGCACCGAGGCCTCACCAGAGACACGACAGCTTCGCACACCATCACCAGCATCAAATTGTAATCACTCAGTCGGCACTTGTGCCATGCCGCCAGCAATAAGCCGAGATTCTCGTCGAAAGACAGCTTGGCTCAAATCCCGCGCACAGTATGCACACGACCGCAAGCTCCAGCGTTACTCCACCCCTGAAAGTTGTGAGGTCTTACAAGAGCCAGACCGAAATTGCTCCAACGATTTCGGGCCCATTCGCAAGCAATCTGTCTTTGTTAAGGAAGAAGAGTTGAAGTGCCTGCTTGAAGATCGAGCAGGTACCCCGCATATCAGCGAGCTGCAGCCTGACGACGACATCAATACTCAACTAGATATTGAGGAGCTGGGAATGGGTGACGTGATTGAGGTTTTGGTGGTCCGAAAAGAGCCGCAAAACGAGATGATACCCGAGATTTGCTTTCCACGAGATTAATGAGGCTGTGTCGACCCGCTTTGGACAAGTGTACAGACTTCTATGGTCTTGAATTATAGCATAAAAGTACTTCATTCTTTGGGTCTCGTTCTTTCCTCCCCGTCAATCTCTAGAGCTGCGGTTTTGTGAGATTGATGCCGCCCCAAGCGATGTTGACTTTGGCGTCATGTAAGCGCCTCATTGCGGTCATGGGTAGTTAGCTAGTACTAGACATGTCCGCCCGTTTTGGCAGTCATGGTCCATAGAAGTTTTTGCTTCTTACACTTATACCTACTTTCTTTGAAAACAACAAGCGCCTACGTAAAGCCTTCAAGAGAGAGGCGGCTGTCATATTTATGTGCTAAAGATTGGTCGTCGCTCGAGTCACGCTAATAATTTCGTAGCACGGACCTGCTCGAGCTTTGTCCGTGACCGCGTCCAACATTTCATCATTCTTCATCCCTAAAATGCAATGCGAAGGGTAGTAGTGACTGGCTTAGGGCTTGTGACACCCCTGGGACTAGGTATTATAGCCTGGACCTAATGTCTGCCACGTTCGCTAACACACCTAGGTGTCCGCCGAACATGGACGCGACTCATCGAGGGACAATGCGGTGTCGTATCCATTAAAGACAGAAGTCCTGGCTTCGGACTGTTACCGAGTCAAGTCGCTGCTTTGGTTCCGACTGGTGAGAAGAAAGATGGCATGTGGAATGTGAAAGAGCATCTAAGCCCAGGGGCAAGTCAGCCGTGCTAAATGAATAGCGAGGCCACTAACGATCGCTTAGGATGAACGTCGTATGGCACGTTTCGCTCAATATGCTATGGTCGCATCTGAAGAAGCATTGCATGACGCGAATTGGCTACCAAAGAAGGACGAAGATTTAGAAGTCACGGTATTGAAGCTAGCCAATTGCCTACCCTCGCTCCGCTCACGTTAGTAACAGGGCGTCTACATGGGATCAGGTATCGGTAGCTTAGATGATGTATACGACACCACACTTGCTTATGAAAAGGGAGTGAGTAAACCCCGGAATGCAGTGCGAACGCGGATTGACTGTGGGTAGGGCTACCGAAAGGTATCTCCACTCTTCGTCCCGCGATTGTTAATCAACCTTGCCGCCGGTCACGTCTCGATGCGCTATGGCTTCAAGGTAGCTATTTTTCCCATTCGGATACCTTCCACGTTCTAAGCATCACAGGGACCGAACCATGCGGCAACTACAGCATGCACGACTGGAGCCCACAGTATCGGAGACGCTTCACGGCTGATCCAATTTGGTGACGCGGATGTTATGCTTGCTGGAGGCGCCGAGTCATGCATTCACCCACTAGCTATCTCAGGCTTCGCGAGAGCTAGGAGTCTATCAACGGAGAGGAACGATCGGCCTACAGAGGCGAGCCGACCTTTCGACAGAGATAGAGATGGCTTTGTCATTGGCGAAGGAGCTGGCGTCGTGGTTTTAGAGGTATATAAGATCTCTAAGTTTACACGTCGTTACTGATTAGTTTAGGAACTTGAGCACGCGAAGAAGCGAGGGGCAAAGATTTACGCCGAAGTTGCTGGCTACGGTCTCTCTAGCGACGCATACCACATGACAGCACCTAGAGAAGACGGCCAAGGGCCACGCCTTGCTATGAAGCACGCGTTGCGACATTCTGGCCTCAAGCCAAGTGCTGTTGACTACATCAACGCTCATGCCACCAGTACGCCCCTTGGTGACGCTGCGGAGAATAGAGCGATCAAAGAGCTTCTACTCGGTCAGGAAGGCAAGAACAAGGCGTCTGAGATCAATGTTAGTAGTACCAAAGGTGCGATTGGACATCTCCTAGGCGCTGCAGGCAGCGTTGAGGCGATCTTCTCTGTGCTGGCGATCCACCATGTGAGTAGTACCCTCTGAACAAAGCTTCAAGAATCTGGACTAAAGATCCCAAGAACGTTCTTCCACCAACCCTTAACCTCGACTCTCCGGGCGACCCACCAGAGGACTTTGACTGCAACTATATCGCCAAAGCTGCACAGCAGAAGGAAGTCAGTGTCGCGCTGTCAAACAGTTTCGGGTTCGGGGGCACAAATGCCTCGCTTTGCTTCCGTAGAATGTAAGCCGACGTTAAAATGCCTGTACAAACACTATTGAAGACGCGTTTCCGTTAGGCGTGCGTATTGAGAGAAGGTGCCAATGGCTCGCTGTCATCTATTATCAGGACGCCAAACTACCCCGCTAGAGGTTCGAGATAACAACTGCTAGCCCCACTACGCGCCGGGCATTACATCCCACATAACTTGCGCGTCGGCGAAATCCGCATGACAACTTTTTGCTGCGAAGCTTTCCGGTCCTCTTTTCTGTCTTGACCCTCGTTTCGTTTCGTTCCTTCGCTGTCTCTTTGTTGCGCCCCGGAAGAGCACATGCAGCGTCATGATGAACTTGCAACGCTCGTCTATCGAAGTTGAGCAACGAGAAAACAAATCCTCCTTCTTTCGCAATGTCTCAACGAAAGCGTCAGTGTATCATTCGCGTGTACCATACCTCAAAAGACTCCCCTTTCCGGCAATCGCGATCATCGTGACGCTCATTGCGATCAATTTGCTTGTATGGGCAGCGGTCGGCATCGTCTTGGTAACCATATAACACTGCCTGCCTTGTGCTCCTCACAACTTTATGCTGACCATAACAGCATTGGCACACACCTCTTATATCAACAGCAATCCTCTCCTACACTCTAGGACTCCGACATGCCCTAGATGCAGACCACATCTCCGCCATCGACCTGATGACTCGACGCTTGATTGCCGCAGGTCAACGCCCAGTCACAGTAGGAATGTACGAAAGTCCATATGCGCAACCATGTGGCGCATGCACTAACTTCATGCCTCCGTGTTTCTTAGGTTCTTTTCGCTAGGCCACTCAACAATTGTCATCATTACTTCTTTGGTTGTTGCAGGAACTGCGGCGGCCGTATCGGATAAATTCGACAACTTCGAACGCGTTGGCGGTATCATCGGGACTTCCGTGTCGGCCGCTTTCTTACTACTTCTGGGTGTCATGAACATCTACATCTTATACAAGCTCATTGTCCAGATGAGGAGAATGATCGCCAGCGAGCCAGGAACGGAACTTGAAGAGTTCAAGATACAAGGGGGCGGCTGCCTCTTTCCAATCCTGCAAAAGCTGTTCAAACTAATCGATCGGCCATGGAAAATGTACCCTCTCGGTGTACTATTCGGTCTTGGTTTCGATACTTCTTCAGAGATTGCAATCCTGGGTATCTCATCCATACAAGCTACGAAAGGGACATCCATATGGCTCATCCTGATCTTTCCTCTGTTGTTCACTGCCGGAATGTGCATGCTGGATACCACGGATGGCGCGCTGATGATGAGTTTGTACACAAGCACGCAGCTCGCGCGAGACCCGATTGCCATTTGCTACTACAGCATTGTGCTTACCGTTATTACAGTAATTGTCGCGACAATCATCGGAACGGTGCAATTTCTCAATCTTATATTGAATGTTGCGGAGCCCCATGGTCGATTCTGGGATGGAGTCGAGAAGCTAGGTGACGCCTGGGACATTGTCGGTACGTATCTGCTCGTTCTTGGCCCACGGATAATTTTGACAGCGATTAGGCGGTGCCATATGCGGTACATTCATTGTGTTTGGTGGCCTCAGCGTACTGTTGTATAAGCCATGGAGACGGCGGATTGACCAGATGAGAGTTCGCGGTGCGCACTTTGAGCCACTGTCACGTCACAACAGCGCACTCGTGACTGATAGCGATAATTGAAGGCAATCAATCAGTAGTATAAAATGATAACCTTTGAATCTCGGTAGATTGTGTAGTGATTGTCGAGGTCCCAGAGCGCATGTTGAGATGGCATGGCTTAATAAGCATACCCTTCGGTACAGCTAGGCCGAGAAGTGTAACCAGCAATAGTGGAGCCGCATCGCAACGGCGTGCGTGTTGAAACGGTTGCGCTTACAGGATGTAGTAATTTCCGATCTTTATCCTTCATCTCAGCACCCTCTGCACTCTCTGCACACCACCATGAAGCTCCCACCCATCGCAATCGCCTGCCTCTCCGCCCTCGCAATCGACTCGTGCTCCAACGTCATCGCGCAACGCCTAAAAGCATGGAACGAGTCCAAGCCCTTCGTCTTCGATCGCGTCCTCTTCTTCCAATTTGCGACCATGGTGGTCTTGACCGCACCGATAAACTACCACTGGCAGAACTGGCTCGAGCGTGCCTTCCCTGGTTGGAAGACCGTCAAGCAGACGCGGTTGGCGGATGCTGGAGAAGAGGAGAAGGGCATGATGCTCAAGGAGGATGGCGAGGACAAACGAGTTATTGAAGAGGACATCAGAGTTAGGAATTGGTGGAACATATTCCGGAAGTGGTTTACCGATGTGGGTAGATTGTAGATGTGGGTCGGCCCTTCTTGCTAATGCATGGCAGTGCATAACTATGGGCGCTTTGTTCAACCAGGCTCTGTTCTTGGTCCTGATGGGCATTATGAAGGGTAAGACTGTTGCGCTGATTGTGCAGGACTTCAGGAATGTGAGTGCCCACTCAGGTTTGATGCACCCACGCCATCTAATGTGTTCGCTAGGAACTGTTCGGCCTCATCTTCGACTCGTACAAAGTGTGGCCCATCGCCAACTTCATTTCGACTACATACTGCCCTGTCGAGCGCCGCATCATCTTCCTCAGCTTCTGCGGTTTATTGTGGAACATATATCTCTCGCTCGTTGCTGCTCGGTTATAGATGATTGAATCAATCCAATTCAAAACCAAGTCTAGGTCCTTCTTGGCCCCGTTTTCCACGCCTCCATAACCGCCGTCCAATACTTGGCTTCGTCCTCTCTTACATGCCCACAATGGGCGCTTTTCTCGAAGTGTACCTTTGTGACATCCCAGCCTTTTGCTCTCGCAATATTAGCGTGCTCGTCAGCTTCTTCGAATCCAACCATCGTATCCGCCCGACTATACAAATACACTCTTGGCACGCTCGAGTCGAACACCCTATCGTCATTCAACTCCTCGCATAGCGCTACCATCTTGTTCGGCCGGCGCATTACTACGTTCACAACAAACGTGCTGACGAGAAATAGATGCACCAATGCGCCCCCAAACCACACCCAAAACAGTGTCCTGGGTAAAGACGCAGAAATTGCGGCATGACTTCTCATCCACGGCCCTTTCGTTGGACTGGAATCTAATATCTGCGCTCTCATCGGTAGCAACGTTCCAAACCTGGCTTTCCACGCTTTGGCAAACTCGTTGACTTGATTTCCCCCGCCGTTCGAGAAACTATGCACCAGCACTTCCCCGCCAGCATTCGTGTGCTCGGCTACGAGGTCCATGGCAGGCTTGAGTAATTGCTCATATGAGGATTTTTGGCGGAACATATCTGGAGTAAAACATCGAACAAGTACAATGCGAGATGTAGCGAATAGCCTTTGGTATGAGATTGTGTATTTGGCGATGTGTTTGGCGGCTGCGGCGTTCCAGGCAAACAGTAGGATGAGAGGGGTTTTGCTGGGCGATGTAGCGAGGTAAGACTGCGATGTCCAGAGATACGTGTTATGTCCTATCTTTTGGAAGTCTGAAAGGGGTTTGGCAATGTCGTTGAGTGGTGTAATTGGAGGCTCCATGGTTAGGGTATGTTGCGAGAACCCGAAGGGCGATACTTCTTTATAACTTTGGTGGAACGAGAGGGTCTACGTGCAATAACATGGAATCGAGGTCTGCTTGCTAGTATCCAATTCTGGACATGTAGGTATACCACGTTGGTTACCCCACGTTGATTGACAAGCCTTGGCGGGGGGAACAACCGAGGTATCAATCTAATTGGCCATCAGGTTCGCAAACTCTTCCGTAAATGGGATTCACGGTGCATGTTCATTCTTAGATTCTTGTACGTTCGTCCGACTCCGATTATTGTCTCCCTAAGACCTATGCGCTTTCCTTCCAGGACATGGGCGGGTAGAATCATTTCGCCGTGCTCGTCTGTACGCCTCAATGGATGTCTTGTCTGTTGGATTGCTGCGATGCACGAATAAAATTCATCTATACTTTTCCAACAAACCGATCCTTGTCCTCTAATACGCCCCGCGCCATTTCCAACTGCTCATCGGTCTGTACCACCAATATCTTGTACTTGGTGCCGCTTGCACTGATATCCGTCACAACATCCTTCACCGAGGTACCGTTCTTCTCGTCATCAAGCGCAAAACCAAGACACTTGACACCTTGCACAACTGCCTTCCTCAATTTATCTCCCCTTTCTCCGATCCCGCCAGCAAAAACCAAAGCATCGACCTCGCCGTCCAGCTTGGTGAAATACGGCGCCACATAATTCAAGATGCGATCAACGAAAATGTTGAAAGCCAGTTTGTCCTCCTCGCGATCAGAGGAGCTGATCTTCCCAAAATCAGTGGTACCCGTAAGACTCTTCCAGCCGCTGTTCTTGTTCAAGATCTCCTCGGCCTCTGTGATGTGCATCTTCTCACTCGAGCTCCTGCTTGGTTTCCCTGCGCGGTGCGTGAAGTGGAACATCAGACTTGGATCGATGGAACCTGAGCGTGTGGCGCCAGGCAGACCAGCCAAGGGAGTTAAACCCATGGATGTGTCTAGTGATTTGCCGCCTTTGATGCAGGTCGCAGATGCTCCGGAGCCAAGATGGAGGGCGATGATGTTCACTTGGTTGATGGGCTTCTTAAGGTAGGTAGATACGGCATGTACGATGAAAGAGTAGCTGATGCCGTGGAAACCGTACTTTCGGAGCTTGTTCTTCTTCGCGACTGCTTGATCAATGGGATACGTAGAAATGTAGTCAGGTAGCGTATTGTGAAAGGAGGAGTCGAAGTATGCAATGTTCTTCGCGTGAGGGAGAATATCTGTTACGGCTCGCACGATGCTGAGCGCTGGCGCATTGTGCAGCGGTGCAAGATCGCTGAGCTCTTCAATGTGATGATAAGTTTCCTGGTCGATGACCTGGCTACGAGGGTAGTCCCCGCCGTGCACCACGCGATGGCACGTGAAGTGGATGTCTTCTTTCTGCTCAAGCTCGGGAAGGCCCTTGTCGTTGGTCAAGTGGTTCAAGATGTAGCGGAACCCATCTTCCTGTGATTTGACATGTTCCAGCTCTTTGCCCTTGATTTTCTCGTCACCTCGTTCATACTTGAGGCGTGCCGGGAGTGCGGTTAAGCCCTCTACTGTCGCTTCAGCAAGCAGAGTCGGTACAGGTGAACTATCTTCGGGAGTCTTGTACACGGAGATCTTGACGCTGGAGGAGCCTGCGTTGATGGAGAGGATGATCTCTGGCATCGTGATGAGTAATTGGTGAGCAACGCCTGATTGGCAGGCCTTGAATGTCTCGCGAAAATCGCCTGTCAAAAAGGAACTATCTTTCAATTATTTCGTGAATTTGTTCTTGGTATGTTCTCATATCCGAGAGAGGACCTTGAGTGGTTGGGAGTGCTCTGGGCTTTAAGAGTGTGGATAAATCTACCGGAAATTGAAGATCGAAGACTGGGTGTCCCTTCAGACTTTTATCACAAAGTAATAGAGTAGCTGCTCTAGTCTAGTTGCTTGATGGTGCTGATTCCTTCGGTTGTTGTCAATCTTCTCCCAGGCACGTGCGGAGGTAAGAGGTGGGAGGTGAGAGGTCGAATGATCGAATGATCGATATCGGAAGTCGCGGAGCTCCCCAACAGCCTCCCTTCGGTGTACTACCTACACTCGACTCGCCCGCCGCCCATATCATCATACCACGCTAACCAGAGTCAGATTGTCTTTCAGGACCAAATAAACACGAATCTTGGTGTCAACGCGTCGCGACGTGGTAGCCGTAGAGCAATGACGTCATCTAAGGATTCCAGTGGAGAGAACGCATCTTAATGGCGACTTTAAATCAATGTCTTATACAGCGACCCAATGAAAAGTGACCATTATCTTGCTGCTACATTGTCGAATAATTGAATTACTAATAATATTTAATATTCTCAGTTCTATCTAGATCTATACACGTAATTATTGCCAATGTTTCAATTGCTCAATATACACCTACTCTAGATCTTACAGAGAGTTTGAAGCACGTCTTTGGTGCTTTGCGAATGGTCCTTGACCACCTTGATGATCTGCTTGAATCTGCTAAGCGTCAGTCATGTGTCCTGTCGCCTGCATATGCAAGCTGATGTATGAAGTATACGTACTCAGGTGTCCCAGCGTCTCCAACACATTCATATAAGAAGCTCTCGCTCGTCACCACCGCTGCGCCCTCGTGCCTCAGCCTCGCCAGTGCAATCGGCACCTCCTCCTTATTGCAGCTGCTTACGCCGTCCGCAATGACATATACTTTATGTCCGGCGCTGAGAAGATCGAGGGCGGTTTGGGTGACGCAAATATGGCTCTCGATGCCAACGATGATGCAGGATAGCGGCCCGGAGGCTTTGAGCGAGTCGAGGGTTTTCTTGACTTCGGGTGTTCTGCGCAAAGCTTAGCACAGGCGGGGATACAGTGTCTTGACGTGGCGAAGGTACATCATGGAAAATAGCGTCTTGTCCACGTGGCATAGGGTCTTGATGCCGCCGGGCGCATCTAGAGCCAGCTCTGGACAAGTCTCCCCCAAACGAGCTCTATTCTGCGTGGTAGCGATGACGGGAATGTTCAAGACCTGGCCTGGGAATTCTGATTAGCATATGAGGGAGATAGCGCGAGAGAGGGGATGGCGTGGCAAGTGTAAGATGATTCAACAAGGGATTACGAAGTAGACACAAGGAGGGATAGTAGTTGTTCAAGTTTAGATTCTCGACGCTCAAAGCCCCATTGGCAATACAGCCGGGTTGCATGTGCGTAGCCCGCCACGTTGACATGGTATGACTGTATGACAGATGTGCAGCTTGAGCGAGGGTTGGAGTAACATACTTGCCTTCAGCAGCTTCTGTGCTGTCGCAACCACCTTTGGGAACTCATGGATTGCTGGCCGGAACTTCTCCTGCAGGTCGCAGATACTGGTAGCGTATCAGTCATAGCAAAGGTGCTCGGGGCGTCCATGGCATACAAGAGAGCTGGGTTCGCTACCCGTTTGTGAGCCATTGTTGATGAGATTGCTCTACGAGGAGGGACACCAAGGTAGCTCAGACGTAGTCCTGACTGTGCGATGCGTGGGAAACAAGACTGCAGCATGTTTGTTGGCCGTCAGCAACAGCCCATCCGGGGGAGCGGCCTCGGCAGAAAAAATGAGACAGTTTTAGGAACACCAAAGTTCTTAGCCTTTATTACGCAACAACTAGGAATTGGTTATGTTTCAAACTAGTTCAAGTATAAGACTATATGCTTTGATAAGCCTATATTTAGTTCATTTAATTTATTTAACAGTGTTGTTGTGGTATTATTACAGAATATGAATTTACTCGCTTCAAGGTGGCTGACTTTTATTGAACAGGTGGTGATTGGAGGGGGGTGACATGCATGGTGGCTGCCGCTCGGGCGCAAACCGACATCCGTAGTCAATCTGCACCTCCGCTGCCCCCGCCCCGCCGTAGCCAGGACCCCAAGCCGCGCGGTGATGGTGGGTTAGAAACAAGTCCGCCCGTTAGCGATTCTTTCACAAATTGCCCACAATTTGCGACAGCAGACGTCATTAATGATTGGGCAGCGGAATGAGACGATTCCTCCGGGACTCCTGATGCTACTACCTACGGTGATCGATGCACGCGCGGGTGCCAGTGAATGGCTTGGGCAGGAGGCAATAGTTGAGATGGATGTTGGGGACATGGCCACATTTCAGGCCTCAGAAACATGCTGTTGGTATAGCACAGGCCCGTATATAGTCGATAGTTGGTTCTGTCTGAATACGCTTCCAACAGCCGCTACCATCTCACCCGAGACGGGCATCTCTGCACGGCCGTGTAGTACCCTCCCACGCGGCTGACAAAAAAGAGCCGACACCAAAATCCTTAGCTCACCCTACTACTACCAAATTTTATATTTATTAAAAATTCATGCAGCATTTAAAAACTTAAAAAACTTTTATTTTATAATTTAGGCAATTTAAGTTAAATATATAATGTATTACACAGGCAAGTTGGTCGCCCAGTTAAGTCAGTCACAATGCTAAAACTCTACTAAAATTAGTAGTCTTTTACTATTAAATGTAATGCTTTAATATAACAATATACAATTTTTTTAAAAAAAAAACTAAATATAGCTTGCAGTTTAGGCTTTAAAACGCAATGCAAATTTTTTTTAATAAAAAACTGCGCAGATTTATAGCATTTTTTAAACAATACTTAGTAATTAACTAAAAAAAAAGCTTTTATAATACAATACTAAGCCTAACAAAATAAAACTTTTTTTAACAGAAAAAAAAGTAATTGCTTAGTATATACTTTATTTTAAAAACTAAAAATTTCCGCTCTAACTAGCTGCTATAAATAATATAGCTAATACTTTACTAGCTAAACGTAGGCAACTACTTATTAGTAAAAACTAGGCTAGCACATTTATTAAACAATATCTATAGTTTAGTATTAAAACTTTTTAAAAGTATAATTATTAAAAAATTTTATATAAAAATCCTAAGCTTGTATAAAGCTAGTTCCAACTTATAAAAAATATAAAAGCTAAGTATAGTATCTAAAATAAAAATATATATAATTTTAATAAAATAAGCTTTATAATAAGCTAGATATTATATAAAACTATTATTTTAAGTACTAATTATTAAAAATAGCTGAAAATAGTGCAGCAGAGTAATTAAAAGTAAATAATAGTAATTTAAAGCATTAACGCAATAAAATAAACTATTTTATTTTTTATTATTTTTGCAGGCAAAAACTACCTTTTAGCCTAGTATAAAAAAAATAGCCTACTTTATAATTAAGTTATTGCAGTTTTTAAAAATAGCTAAATAATAAATAAATTTACTTTTAAGTAGTTAAAGCACTTTAATAAATATATTAAAAAAAAAGTTATTAGTACTTATTATTTATTTATTATTAATAGTTATAAAAGCTATATATTAGTCTAATTTTAGTAGTACTGCAAAAAATAAAAAATTATTACTTTTTATATGCCCCTGCATTTATTGCACTTATTATAATTACTTAATATAAATTATTTTGTACTTTTAAAAAAAGTATATAAATACTAAGCTAAAAAGCTAATGCACAATAGTATTAACTATATTATTAAAATTAAGTTTTTACTATATTTTAAACTAGCTTTTAATACTACTATTATAAAAAGCAATATTTTAAGTAATTTTAAAAGCACTAGTCTAGTTTTTTTTAACTTTAAAGCTATAATATTAAAACTTAATATTTAGTTGCGTACTTTATTATTACTTACTATTAAAAATAGTCCCTAAAAGTTAAAAATACTAAGCAATATTTTAAAATTTAAGTTTTAATTAATGCTAATTAAAATAAAAATTTAAAAGTACTTAAATAGTTTCTTTACTTTAATAATTAAAGCTTTTAAAAAAATTTTAAAAAGTGCAGCTATAGTTGCGCATAAGCTTGTATTAGCGCAGAAAAAAATTACTAAATTTTAAGCAACTAATAAAGCTGCTATATAATAAAAATTGCATAAAAAAAAGCAAGTATAAAAAAAAAAAACTTTTATAATAAAAAATAGTTTTTAATTAATAATTCTAAAAGAGTTTAAAGCGCGTAGTAATAGAAAAAAAGTAAAAAAGCAAGCGTATACTAAAGCAAGTAAGCTTTTTTAAAGGCGCTATAAATACTATAGTAAAGCTAGGCATAACGCGCAAATATATAAGCAAAAAATAAAAATAATTTTTAAATAAATTAACTTATTATAATTTACTACTATAGTTTTCTATAGTGCTGTACTGTTGTGCATAGTACTGATTTTAGTAGAGTTTTAGTATTGTGACTGACTTGACCAGGCAACTAACTCGCCTGTGTGATATGTTACGTTGTTTTCTATTAAAAAAACTTAATTTTAGGTTGAATTTGTAGTAGATACAGCTTTTGGTGTAGGCTCTTTTTTGTCAGCCGCGTGCCTCCTCACCTGAAACAAAAGTGACAGGCAGGCCGTTGTGTACCTACTCAGCCCAGCCCTTTTTTACTGCCCTGCTATACTTCGGCCGGACAGTCAGCATTCGTATACATAATAAGGTCAGCGCCTCATGTCCGTAGTCTGACGGTGTGGTTCGCTATATATGCTACAGGCCAGACCGCCACTGCGTAGCAGCCAGTCTCACACAATGTCTTGCCCGTGTGGAGGCTGATGACTGCTGACCGTGTGCAACGAAAAGGGAAGCCAATAGTGGCATCGAGTAGAGAGACGTGGCGCTTGAGGATGCTTTTCCCATTGTCGTTTTTTTTGTTCCGTGTTAGAGCGCGGGGAAGTCGGCCAACCCGTCTTCGGCGTGTCCAAGGCGCGTTTTGAATCGTCTTGTAGGAGAGAAGAGCAGCATTGTCTGCAGCTATGGCTCTACTCTGCCATGAGTCTGGGGGCCCGGGCAGAGAGATTGGGTGCATAGATTGTTTCTGTCAAGAAAGCGCCCCTGGCAGCGTCGAGGTACCTACAGTAGTAGGTAGCGGGCACACGCCCATCCCAAAGGGCTCTAGCCAGCGGCCCTGTGCGTTCATCCCTCCTGTGGCCGCCCATTTGCCAAATCCACATACACATAACCGCTCCTCTACACACAACTCGAGTCCCTCTCCCTCTACCGTTGCGCTGCCCATCTCGTAGCTGTGCCTTGTACCCAGCAGCAACCGCGCCTGCTATTGTCCTAGCGCTGCTTTGGGCGAGCCACACGCACCCCAGCGAATCGTCTCAGGGACCGCTTTCACCGCAGGGGTCGACGCACGTACAAGGCACAAAAGGGCCAATTCCTGCCTGCATTTGATGTGCTAGCAGTCCATTCCTATACCCACCTTCACTTGTCTGGAGAGCGTTGCCACTGGCGAGCACCCCGGCCGGCACCGAGCAGAAGCAGCACCACCAGCACCACCAGCAGTCAGTCTGTCAGTCAGTCAGTAGCCAGCAGCCCCTCGGAGCACCGCAGTATCCTTTGGCCCCAAAAGTTTATGAGCGACCGCCGCCACGACAGCCACTATCTTTACATCCAACATCCTCACACCATTCGTTCCCATCTCCGCCAGACCAAGGAGCGCGTCACGTTGCAGCAGTCGCCCGCCTACTCCCCCCAGCTGTATCAGCACCTACAGTCAGCCCAGGTACCACCGCACCTGTTGCTGCACCCGTTCCTGCAGCTCTCGCGCATCGACGAAGTGCACCAATCCGCCTCGCACACGCCCTTTCCCGCCGTAATTGTGTCTCCCCACTCCCTGAGCCCGCCACCACAGCGGGACTCGGCTTGCCCCGTCTTGAAGAAGCCTCCCGCGAAGGCGGCCCAGGCGCACAAATATACCACCGATGGGAATAAGCATACGCAGCGCAGCGTGCCCACTAGCGCGCCGACGATGACATCAAACAAGGTGCCAATCATGGCAAGCAAACGGGACGAAGCCGTGGTCCACACGCGCATCCAACGCCCGTCCCTCGTCTCACAGCACTCGAATTCGGTTCCTTCGACACCTCTGCAGGTTGCGCGGAGATACGACACGCGCTCACGCTCGCCCTCGCCCAACGGGGGACTGGGCAGCCATTCGCCACGCTCTGTGTCGTCTGAAGCAAACAGCGCTATGCCTACGCTGAGACCAGCGCGCCCATTTCAATGCAAGTTCGAGACCAATGTCGGAATGCTGGGGCGTAGAAGAGTGCCCTATCAATCAGACGAGATACTAGACAAGGCCAAAGAGGAGCCCAAGAAGACGTTAGATCCCCACGAGGACGACAAGCTTAGCGGTGACATGCGCGAGCTGTACGACCGGTTACAGCCGAACCAGCAAGACACAGATATACGGGACAGATTTGTGAAGAAGGTGCTACGCATACTGGGAACGGAATTCCCGGGAAACGAGTTCAAAGTACATGTCTTTGGGTCGTCTGGCAACATGCTATGGACAGCCGGGAGTGATGGTACGGAGCCGCATGGCACTTTGAAGCGCCCAAGCTAATACCCGACACAGTTGATATTTGTATTCAAACACCTATGAAACGGCTCGAGGAGATGCACCCTCTAGCTGAGGCCTTCGACAAACGTATGCAATTGTGCTCATCTTTACATTGCTCATACTGACTAGTACTAGATGGTATGGAACGAGTCGTGTGTATACCGGCTGCCAAGGTTCGGATCGTCAAGATCTGGGACCCTGAGCTGCAGCTTGCGTGCGACATCAATGTCAACAATGTTGCTGCGATCGAGAATACACGCATGATCAAGACGTACATCGAAATTGATGATCGCGTACGGCCGTTGGCCATGATAATCAAGCACTGGACGAAGCGGCGTATCCTGAATGATGCCGGCATTGGTGGCACGATTAGCTCGTACACCTGGATATGCTTGATCTTGAACTTTTTGCAGACGCGCAATGTGCCTGTACTGCCAGTCCTGCACAACCTTCCTGACCGGGCGATAGATGAGACTACGGGTCAGCCCTCACTGGGTGCATTTGCTGATGATGTAGTAAAGTTACGCGGATTTGGCGACAAGAACAAGGAAAGCTTGGGCCAACTGCTTTTCCATTTCTTCCGTTTGTATGGACATGAGGTAGATTACGAGAAGGAGGCCATCTCAGTCCGACAGGGCAAGCGAATAAAGAGAGAAGAGAGGGGTTGGCAACCTGGTGGAGGTCATAAAGAGGGTGTCAATCGCCTATGTGTTGAGGAGCCGTTCAATACCGATCGAAACCTTGGAAACTCGGCAGATGGCTATGCCTGGCGCGGAATCCATCTAGAGCTTCGCCGAGCTTTCGACTTGCTCGCTGACGGCCAGCAGCTCGAGAAGGCGTGCGAGCAATTCGAATACCCGCCTGAGGAAAAGTCGGGTGCCATCTTCAAAAAGCCTCAGTCGCAAAAGGCCACCATCACTTCCAGCGTACCTAATCGCAGCGGACGAGGTGGATCGAATCACCGAGGAGGCAGGGGAGGCTTCAATTTGAAGGGTCAATATGGTAGTAACCGGAGATCATCTGGCAGCTCGTCTTTTGGTCAGGGTCGCCCACCGTTCCTACACAGCCCACCTATCCCTGGGAATGCCGGTTCAGAGTACTTCGCCTTTCCACGTGGGCTCCATGATCAATTGCACGACCAGCTATACCAGCAGTACCAAATGCTCGAGATGCAGTCAAACTCTCTGCGAGCTCAATTAGCTGCCCAACAGCAGGCTCAACAGGCACATCAGGTGCGAGCTGCGCAAATGCATGCCCACGCAGTTGCTCAAGCACAGGCCCAAAGTCGCGGGCCAAACAGTACGAGTGCATCTCCGCAAAAATCACCATACGTCAACGATCGCCATAGCCCTCGTTTAGCCGAGATGGGGATACCGCCAAATGCTGTTCCGCAAGGCTTTCTCTACCATTATCCGGGGTTCTACAATCCATCTCAACCTGATGCATCTTCACAAGATGGGTCACGGACGAATCCTTCTTCTCCTTCCTTGAGCAATAGCGCACCTGGTATACGGAGAGGCGTACATCGAACTTCGAATGCCAGCGAAACGGGCTCTCTTCGTTCCCATTCGCAGCCTCCTCGCGGTGGTGTACAGCAACCTGTCATTGTAGGGTATCCGCCGATGCCTCAACTCTTCGATCCCACGACGTATACTGGTTACCCTATCGCGCGAGCGACTCAAGATACGCCAAATCTGCAGTCGACTTCGGATATCCAATACAGCCCCACTCTAAACCTTCCTGAACCTGCTGCCGTTTCCGAGACCAGTATCCCGAAGGAATATGTTGGATACTACCTTACTGAGCAGCCCCAAGTGCGCTCACTACAAGATTATAAAGTGTCGCAGATTCCGTCGTTCAGCGAACTGGCACAACGCCGCAGGCGTGTGTCACCGGAAATTACACAGCCTCTTCTGAACACTGCATTGCGGCGCGTATCGCGCTCACCCTCACCTCTTGGGGGTCACATGCGAAGCTACTCGACTGGAGTTGCTCCGCCTATCGTCCCTACCGGCGAGCAGCGCAAGACTCGCATCGACTCTGTTCGGCCACCCGTTGATAATGGACCGATGATCGTTAACGGCTCGTTCCCAGCACAAGCCCGTCCCAGATGTGATGATGTCGATGCTGTTGCTCCCGAAATACCGAATATATCCGCTCTTGGGATCTATGCTAACAACCAGGCCATACATCAAATCAACGAATTGCAGGCGCGACAGCAGCTAGTGCTTGAGGAAATGCAAAGGCAGAAGGCAGCAGAGACAGCGAGACCTCCGGTCGCGAATGGGTCAATGAAGGGTAGCCCACCCGTTGAAGTCAATGGCTTGACGCGTGTGCCAAGTGATGGCCAGCAGCCATTCCCCTCGTTACCGGAAGGCTGGATGAATTTCGAGGCTACTAACGGCCAGCAAGACAGTCGTGTGGACGAGGTGTCCCCATTACGTACGCTTCCTCCGCAATGGCGGACACCTGGCTATACCAACGGACTGCCGTCCTTGGATATTGCAAAAGCACCTCGAGCCCACCCACAGGAGGTTCAATCCGCCACTTTACCCTTATTGTCGCCAGTATTCGAAACGCGCACTCCGTCGCCCATCGCCAGCCGATCTTCGGATCTCAGCAAGCTGGTCAACGGCAGTAAAGCCCATGCGAAAGAAAACAATCATCAGCAGCATCGTCGAGCCTCGCATACCTCTACATCAAATCCGAGCAAAGAACATCGGAATGGACAGCAGAAGGGCGTTTCACAAAGCAATGATAGGGGCAGCAAATCGAATGCGGCAAATAACACTTCCAGCTCGTGGCAGCACCCTCCCGGTCGTAGAAAGGGGAAAAACAAGAAATCGAAGGCGCTGGAGCAGAAGGTGACAGGCGAACCGCTGCCTGCTAACGCAGCGGATCGCAAAGGAGGATAGTTGAAGATTTCCTCGCTCGCTTGGGCCTGACGACATCCACCCTGGGTAATCGTCCTAGCCGCTCACGCCAACTCGGTTTTTGGATACCAAAGCTAGGGCACGGGGAGCTGTCATGTTCCATAACGTCCATGGTCGGTCGATAGATCTCATCGCAACCACGAAGGCTCTTCAGCGAAGGCTGTCAACGCCATCCACATTAGATGATCAATCACAACCAACAATGTGAGTCGGAGCTTAAAAATTTCAGCAAGTGGCAAATCGAGCCATTTCGCATCCAAAACAAGAAAGGAAGGTATGGGGGTTCACGAAGATACGGGGAAAGCGAGGTAGGACTACCTCGGGCTGTAGCCTTTTTTTTTACACTCGGCGGCGCGACATGCGCCCGCGCAGAGCTTTTGTGTTTCCAGATTGGCGTTGTCACTGTTTCGCACGCATATTCTGGCATTCCATGGAGTTTACACCCTCATCTGCTATGTTTCTTTGTTTTCAAGGTCCCCGGTACGGTACACAAGCGTTGCAGTTATGGTTGCACTATCACGGGTTGGCTTTCTTTGATGTTATTATGGAACGCGGACGCGGACGGGTTGAACATGTATAGATAAAAGAGCAAGAAGGCGATGGTAGCCTGAGGATCGTGTGATGTCTCGATGAGATAGGTGAAATGAAAAGAGGTAAAATCGAGCGTTGTGTGTCACTTGGTTGTGCCGGAGGTGATGATGGCATGCAGCACATTCTCGCAACGAGCACTTGTTCTCTCACGTGTGCGTGCAGTGAGAAGTCTCAGCTCTTCGAAGACCAGTATCCGGGGTCGCGATATTGTGGTTGATTGCTTCCCACGACCTTGACCTGAGCTGGCTTTGCGCTCGCACTCCCGAAGTCGGCAGTCATATATTAATCGATCGATCCTAGTCTAGTATGGGGAATAGGCTACGGCATAACTGGTCCCTGGTGGCAATCCTATTCTAAGAGCATCATGCGATCAAAGTGCTTCATGTGCTAACCTGGGCAGACATATGAAGCGTGGCAACGATATTGCAAGTGTGGAGCGCAAGGCGGGGCTCTATATTAGCTTAATGACCGCTGGGCGGACATGAGCAGCAGAGCGCGCCTATAGTTATGTCGAGGCCAGGGTATAGTTCACCTGCGCGTGTCATATAATATCTAGCCATGGGACTTTTGGTGAGTCCCCGCTAGCACGGTACATCCGTCTTCTCCTATTCTTCCGCAGCTTTTGTCGCACGTCTTGCAGCATCAGCCAAAATCGAGGTCATGTCAACACTAGGCTGCGCAGCGCTCACCGGCATGATTGCTTCGCCTCTGGTACCCTCCAGCACCGGACAATAGCGGAAATGTGCAAAAACTAATTGCTCGACGTCTTTGATAGAAATGACAATCACCAGGCCAGGCATTTCTCCATGTTGAGAGGCGATCCCCCGCAAAAACGCGCCACAGTAGTATCGGACCGGACACCCTAGGTGCAGCGGGAAGCTTGACTAGGGTCCGCAGTCCTCATCTGACTCCACCGGGTTTGTATCATGGCGAAGCTGCAAGTGTAAAGGTGCAATGACCAAGTCTTGCTGACGCGGCTGAAGGGTCAGACAGTTATCGTGGTGGGCATATGTCGGAAAAGGAGAACCTGGTACCCTTATCGTATTCTTAGTAAGAGGCACCGCAACGGGAGCTCACCTTGGGGAAACTCCACGCGGAAACGGTTTGATGCTTGCCCTAGCCCTCAGTCTAACAGTAAGCGAGCGAGCTGCCAGGTCGTCAGCAGCTCAGTGCGGCCCTGCTCGCCCGGGTAAAGTGCTGGGCCACGCCAACCGTGGTCACACAGCACATGTTTCTCCCAGAAGCGTCTGCGAATAAGAGTGCTGGGGAGTGCGAATTCCACTCGACGCTGTACCTCCATTGGCGAGACTGAGACTGCCAACAGCATTACCTCAATCAGTCTATACCCGCCACCGACTAGGATGCATGCACGCGAACCTTCACTGCCGCGAGCTTGCATGGAAGGCTCGAATGGCGCCTCTCTCGGAGATAATTCTTGCGCAGCACTCATAACCTGATGCAGCCCAAGTCGATGGCTAGCATTTGCTTACTCTAACCTGCCACATGTACCTGCAACCCTTTACTACGACTCGAGCAATCTAATGTGCCTGTCCTCTCTTTGATCTTTCCGGATTTCTACCTCCTCATCCCGGGCCCACTACTGCACGTGAACATAAACTGGGGGGCACCGGCAACAACATGCCGAAGGTGTTCAAGTTCCTGAAAACAGCCCTTGCCCCAAACGTCGGACAAGAAATGGCAAACAGCTACCACGAAAGGACCGATGCTACTCGAAAGTCGTCGCTCACGTCTTCAGCGGCCGAGGACACATGGCTGCCTGATTTCGACCCCCTCACAGTTTCTGCATTCGAGCTCTCTGAACTGCTCAATGCGCGGGCGATAACCAGCGTTCAAATCGTAGAGCTGTACCTGAGAGAAATCGAATTCCACAATAGAAGAGGCCGTCAGCTAAGGGCATTGATCTCGGTGGCGCCAAAACATGAAGTACTAAAGAGAGCGAAGAAGCTTGATGAGGAAAGAGCGAGGGGCAAGGTTAGAGGACCGCTACATGGTATACCAATAGTTCTGAAGGACAACATCATGACGGACGAAACGTTAGGCATGGATACCACCGTCGGTATGTGCAATACAAGCTCCATGGTTGACCCTTGATATCAAAGACTCATGCCTTTGTTCAGGTTCATATGCTTTCGTCGGATGCATCCCTAAGAAAAGCGCTACCATCGTTGAACGACTGATTAAAAGAGGTATGATTATCATCGGAAAAGCCAATTTGACCGAGTTTTGTGGGCTCAAGAATCCCTCCATGCCACCTGGATGGTCGGCTGTTGGAGGCCAATGTCAATCACCGTACGTCTCAAGACATATTGCGAAAAGGAAGCTGCACTGGGAATTGTCGGCTCCGGGAGGGTCCTCTACAGGATCTGCTGTAGCGGTAGCTTCTGGATTTAGCACGCTGGCCATCGGAACAGATACGATTGGATCACTAATCACACCGGCCAACCGTGCAGCATTGTACGCTCTGAAGCCTACAGCTGGGGAAGTACCCATGGATGGTATTTTCAACCTCAGCAAAACTTTCGATGCTGTAGGCGGCATGGTGGGTATAGTCGCGTTTACTTACTTCAAAGTCACTAACTATTGTGACAGGCCAAATCTGCAAGAGACCTCGTTGCCCTAATGGATGCGATGATGGTTCCAACCAATCGAGAAGAACACGCAAGGGCACCCCATCGATCTTTCAAGATCAAACCTGACTTCGGTAACCTCAGGATCGGGATATGCGAGCCAACAATCTGGAAAGCCTGGCGGAAGAGTGGTCGGATTAATGCTGACGCCGAACGATTCATGGTAAGTGAAACCTGGGTTCTGCTTACGTCAGTGCGTCGAGACTGCATGATTTGGAATATCTGGGATCTTTTGGTGGGGGTTGGTATTTTGTTGGGCATGCACAGCTGACATGAGCTTAGGTGCAGAAGTACGACATGGTAGTACAGAGCATGATCGAGATGGGTGTGGATATCGTGTACCCGGTGGAGCTGCCGAATCAATCAACCTTGACCATCGATGGCAAGAATTGCTTCGAACCTGTAGTTTGTAAGCTGCAGTCTTAGGCCAATTGTTTTGTGTATGCTGATCAAACATAGACTCCGAGTTCAAGGACTGTCTAGCAGAGTTTATCCGTGACTTCAAAGTCACCAAGATGCACTCGCTGGCCGAGATCATCAACTTCAACATCGAGCACCCAGAACTCTGCCTTCCGCCAAGTACGATAAACTCATACCAGATCTTTCTCTCGAGCGATAAACTAACTTGTCTTAGCATGTCCGGATCAAAACGACTTAATGGCGGCTCTCCACTCTACCACCAAACGCGAAGAGATCAATGCCGCACGCCAACACCTCCAAACAGCCGGCGGCCCAGAAGGTCTCGACTATCTCTTCACCTCCCAATCCCTCGACATCGTCATCGCCCCCGGCGACGCTCCTCTTTCCTCTCTCGCAGCCGCAGCCGGTTACCCAACTGCCGCTTGTCCCCTCTCCGCCCTAAAACTCAACGGTCAACCTTTTGGTCTCACTCTAGCCTCGCGCCCACACACCGAGCACACCTTGCTCCACTTTCTGACCGCGTACGAGAACATTTTTCCACCGCGAGCGCTGCCGATGCCGCTCTCATCTGTCCCACTACAAGATCCGAATCCGGAGCCGCTGCCTGATCAGCCAATTATTGATTTGATTCTGCATGAGTGGGATACTAGGAGGTTCAGCTGTAGTGCGGATGCGCTAGCAGATTGGCTGAATGCGAGGTGGCGGAAGAGTGGGTACGAATTGAGTGCGGAGACTGTGTGTGAAGTATTAAGGAGTAATGGAAGGATTGCATTCCGGGGATTGGGAGACGATGCCGAGGGGGCATTCTCGAGATGACCGCATGAGTTGACTCGAGTCGCGATCTGCGCATGGAGGAATTTGGTGTACATTCCCGGGTTTGGTATTCAATGTTGGAGGTTATTTCATTTAGCGCGGCGTTCATTGGGTCGGGTCGATGTTGCATTAAGATATCCACTCGTTCTAGGGTTTTCACGATGATGAGTCATAGCAAGCAGAAAATTCACATCCACTCCACACTGTGCCATTGTTCATTAGCAACTTTTGTATGTGCAACTGCAAGTTCAGCCTTGAAGGTGTACGCTGGATTGAATACTACAAGGTTATATAATTTAGAATTATTCAAAATCATATCCAATCAGAAATGGGATTCAAAAGCTGAATGGCGCAGCGGAAGCGCGCCGGGCTCATAACCCGGAGGACGCACGATCGAAACGTGCTTCAGCTAATAATCTTCACTTTCTTTTTTGCGCTTTTTGTACCCTTTGGCTTCACTTTCTGCTATTATGCTGGGTCGACAAGAACGGAACGCTTGCCATATATCAGCTGCGTTTGCAAGTGAATTCTCGGTCCGTTTTTCTCTCAACACGACCGCGTTACGTCCTAGCCCAATGTCGCCGTCATTCTCCTTCTTGATCCCGAAGTCGATCTCTTGACGACGTTAAGGTCAGCTACGATGATAGCTGCCCGATATGATAGTGCCAAGAGACAACGCGCTGCACGGACTTCTCCAACTCTATGTGTTCTACACGATTTGCTGCACTACACCACAGTGCCCACACCACATTATGCCTTGAAGAAGTTTGACATGAGCCGAACAACTGGTCATGTCCAATCTTCAAATTATCAGCCTACGGCTAGCTATCGCATATCGTTCCTGCGTCTATGAGCAGCGCATCTTCATGGGCTGTCTTCTAACTCACCTTGGACGGTTCCTGCATTGGCTCTGGATCCTAGCTTACAGACTGTGCTGCAGAACAGTATGCGTGATATATGACGGTAGACGCCAACTACATCAGCGTTCAGTCACGTCTCTGTCGCCTCACGTCTCGATGCCACTACATATCTTACTTCCTGTCCATGTGACTATCATGTCTTTGCTTACCCTTATAGTCTCGACAGGATCCCAGGCTCGCTCTCATCAATTACGTACATCATCGTGACTGGGGTTAAATCTCGCTCACCTTGAGTAAGATTGCCTCTCTCACCTTGACTTGGACGAGCGCTCTCTCACTTCTTGCTACCTTAGCACTGTTATAGCTGCCTTCGTCTACCTATATGTAGCACTCTTCCACCTGCCTTCCTTCCTTCTACAACTCCAATCGACGCAACCACCCTTCTCTTCAAACGATACGAGTCAGATATCGATACCCCAACAGTAATACCGTTGTACGTTCATTGCTTCAAGCCCGTGACGCTAGTTCTGAAGGGCGGTTCATCAGCGTAAGTAACACTCCCCTCGTTTAAGTTGTTGGCGTCACTCGTTATTCTAACACGGTGTTAACAGAAACCCAAGCAACCTACAGCAGCATAGCAGTCGCTATCACCAAGGATCATGGCTCCCCCGCCAGTCATGACATTAGAGCGCTTCCTTGAGTGGCTGAAGACTCAACCACCTCTCAAACCATACGACGCCGCCACAGAAGATCCACCTGATCACCCATGGTTTCGCCTGCCAAAAGCTACTATCGACGAAGGGCTCAAGGATTTCTCACTTCTTGTAGTGCATTGTCTCAAGGATGCACCTCGGGATGATAAAGAGCTTCAGCATGTTCTCCAGACAGCCAAGTCGCTAGCGCAAGTCCCTCTCGGGCCACCAGTAGCTGTTGCATTCGTTGGCCCTCAAGGCGCAGGCAAAAGTTTGCTACTTTGTGCCATTTTCGACAGTGATGGGTTGTCCCTGACTGGTGCTGACGGTAAGGCCTGTACGAGCTCGGTCATTAGATACGTCAACCACGCAAGAAGCGATGACGGCACACAGAAGTATTTCGGAGAAATTCAATTCCTGGACGCAAAGAGACTAGAGGCTATGTTCGATGAACTATGCCGCCACTACTATTTCTACCACCATGCGGACGACGACTCAGATGACGAAGACCTTGCTCCATCAAATGCTTCGGGACGTAAACAGAACGTGGATGGGCTTAAGGATACAGCAGAAGACATTCTCACGGCCTTATGGGGTTCTAAAGCTAGGTTTGAGGAGAACTGGAGTCCAGAATCCTACAAGAGCGGAGAATTTGTTCGACTCTGCCGGTTGAAGTTCGAGGAGGCGCTCCGGGCGGAGAACACCAGCAACCAAGGCATAGCAACAAAGATGGGAGTTGACCAGCATGAGATTCTTGGTCATCTCAAGCCGTTCATAACGCAGGTCAAGGGGAAGCATTGCTTGTGGCCGCTCGTAGACGATGTCAAGATCAGCTTCCACCATCCTTTGCTTGAGCAGAACCTCGAGATTATTGATCTTCCCGGTACGCATTCGCAGCTTTCGATTTCTTTTATATACTGATACGTTCTAGGATGCGGAGATACGAATGCTCAACGAGCCCGCCATATCGAGGACCTCAGAGATCGCGTCAGTTTCGAAGTCATCATCGCTGACACTGCACGCATCGAGTCTGATCACATGTTCATAGAGCAAGCGCGCGCTGCTATCCACCAACATGGCACACACAACGTTCAGCTGGTGGCGACCAAGATAGATGCGCTGGATGCAAATCAACTTATGCAGTATACCGGCGAGCCATACGACACAATCAAGCGCTACATCAAGGAGATAGACGAGAAAGAAGAACAAGCAATGGATGATGAAGACGTGGAAACCATGATACTGCGCGATCGACTCAGGAAATACAAAGCGTATCTTATGCGGAGTCTGAAACAACACAAGGTAGCGGAGCGTGCCGAAGCAATATCTCAAGGTATCAACGCCAAACTTCAAGGTCGAACGGCAGCAGCACCCTCTCTGTACCACTCATCGGCATTCGAGTACATGGAGTGGACGACCAAACTCAAGATCAATTACTCAAATCAGCCCGCTCTGTCACCGGAGGAGACTGGTATAACTCAGTTGCGAAAGAAGCTCAAATCTCTACCAGCTGAGCAAAATTTGAAGGGATACGACGATCACCTCCACTACGGTCTACAAACCCTCATTAATAAGGCAAAACGGACCGTGCAGCAACAAGATCGCGATGATAGTTTCCGAACCATCGCTGATGCTATCGAGCTTCTGGGAAAGAAATTCCTCGTACGGCTTCTGACAGAACTCAAGACAGCTTTCCAGAAAATCTCTGACAAGAGTATTGCGAAACTCAATCCAGATGTACCGACTTTCAAGAGCAGGGTGGAGGGGAAAATAGAGAATGACTGGTGCAACCTCAAGTTTTTCGCCTTCAACCGCGTTTTGAAAGGACGAGGCATAGTTGCGAAGGGTGTGACTCAAGCCAAGGGGCTTGAACAGGGTCGAAACTGGAATCGAGAGCTCTCCGAAGTACTTGCGCCAGGATTTAGCAAGTGGTACAACGCACATATTGCCTCTATGGAGCCAATGGAAAGCGCTTTGCGCGTGGCTGTAGACCAGCTGCATCAATATACCATAGCGACAATCGATGAGTCGACTGCAAACATCGTCACGATTGATCAGGCCAAGAAGAGATGGGGTCCTTACCGAGAGAAGATCCAGGCTAGGATGATGATACTAATGGCTGAGGTACGAAGGATTGAAAAGCGCACACTCGACTGGGCAACAATGCAATCCGCACAGTACAACAACCTTGTCGGCTCTATCACGGACGCCTGGTACGACGACATCTTTCATGCTGCTCCAGCACTCAAGCCTGCTGTTCCCGGAAAAAAGAAGCAGTACGTGAAGCCAGGAAAGTTTCAATACCAGAAGGACCGCATGGCCACCCATTTTGTCAAATCCAAGGATCCGTTCGTGGATCGAGCTCTCAACCAATTCCAGGGGCAGTTTGACGAAGATATCAAAGAATTGCTCGACAAGCGTTTTGCGGATGTTACCAAGCAACTAGAAGATTTCGCGAACTATCTTAGAGGCAAGGCGCCCTTAGATTACGTGATGACATACGACGGCGTGGCTATTCGGGCACAGTTGGAACAGTTAATTCCTGGATTGGAGGAGAAAGCTAATAACCTCCGGGCACTTCTTCCCCAGCGCGTGAAAGAGGAGGAGCACACAGCGAGATGCGACTCTACTACCGTTATTGACGTCAAAGACGGTACCGCGGAATTCCAAGCTATCTACGAAAATGTGGCCAAGCAGAAGCAGCATGATCAGGCCCGGGGTTCCAAGCGCGGCATCGAGCGCGCACTTGAGTCACGAGCAAAGCGCACCAGATACGAGCGCTCATGATTATCACCCTCATCAACACACTCTTGAGATACGCGCGGTAGCTTGGTCCACCTGGCAACACAACTGCTTCCGCCAACAAACGATGCTACATTGCTACTACGTTATCGCTTTGCCGATAGCCTCGAACTCCTATCGGAGCTGAATCTTCTCCAGATTTTTCTCTTCTCTGCTGCTGCAATCTGATTTAGAGGGCTAAAGGCCTGCTGGACTATGCCATTATGGCTGGACATCAAGAAAGGGGGTTGCAGCATACGAACTTGCATCGCGCTTGCGTGGGGAGCTGATATATTTTCATCATGCTGCATCCATACTGCCCGGGCTAGCTTTTCTGCGTTTCTTATTCAATATTCTTTGATACGTCTTGATCTCCTTGGGAGATATCAGAGACGGTACTCCTGCCACGCAGGCTTCTTAGGGCTCAGGGACGTTCCTGATATGCTCCACATTTAGGAAGCCACTCAATCTTACAATCAATCTTTAGTTGACAACATGTGAAGTCTAATAAAGAAGAGACATGATCCTGGTGACGCTATCTGAGCTGGTAGATTGGCACAAGTCGAAAGAAGATGGAGTTCGCTGATGGATCATCTTGACGAAGGACTGGAAGAAGGTCGAAAGTCATTGAATGGAATAGAAAGCGAAGATATAATTGGTATATGCTGAGGGGAATAAACATCGCTCGCCAACGTCATCATGTACAACATCTCGCAAAGGTAGTAAAAGTATCATCACGATCTGTCTCTACCACGACCATGTCTTCGTATCTGTACACTGCTTAAGCGCCGTCTCCCCAGATGCCGATGAGCTGTATAGTAAAGGCCAGGCCCGCCAGGCCCGTCTTGATCCTTTCCGTGAACTGCTTCCTCTCCACCGCCTGCCTGACCTGCTCCCCATTCACATCATCACCTTGGGCCTCCAAGTCTAGCACCTGCCTCTTCTCGTCGCTGCCTTCCTTCCACGAGACGGCATAGTCGACGCCCGGGCCAGACACAAAGGCAAATATTGACGTGTACAGGAGGTAGGGGTGTCGGAAGCGCCTGGGTGAGAGCAGATAGGCGCTGAATAGCGTGAAGGTTGTGATGTGGCGCAGGTAGGAAGTTAGGTTTGTGGATTTGTAAGATAGGTAGGTGAGGGATGTGCGGGCGTTTACTGCCGTGGGGAGGGCGAGGAGTGCGGGGAGTGCGATGGAGGAGAGGGTCACTGAGACGCCCTAGGTAGATTGTTAGTACTATACGTGACTTGTGTTGCAGCTTGTGTCAGTCTGTCAAGTTGAAGTAGCTCAACAGTACAAGTGGAGAGCTGCCAGCGAAGCCTGGGTGGCGGTTATCGACCTACCGTCAGAAGACCCAAACTAATTGTTCCCACAAACTTGCACACAGAAATGGTCTGCGCCGCCATGTCTTCGACGGCTCAAGCGCACCAAAGGAAGCTCAGGTAGGGTGGTGAAGATTGGAGACGTTACTTGTAGTGCTGATGTAGGCGCTGGCCTGGTTGATTGCGGAGATGCGGCGGGATTGGTTAGGAGCAGGCGCTACGGAGCAGTGGCAGATGCGGAGACAAGCACATGCAAGTCACCATCAACAGGGCGGGGAGCCCTCAGGCCAACCTTTGGGCTTCAACCTCTGCATGCCCAGGTCAATGAAGCTGTAGACTAGTCGGAAATTCCAACAAGATGCATACCCTCCACTACGTCCGCCGTCTCGGCTTCGTCGCTCCCAAGCGAAGACTAATCACTCGGATCGTGCCTCGGCTTGCATCACCGCGATGCTTACTTTCATCCACCGACTCTTTCGGCCGTAGCTTTCATTCTACGTGAGCACTCAACTACTTGTACCTCTCAAAGCCTTATCTATTGCTTCTTCTACGCCGATTGCATATCTTCACAGCTCCTGGCAGTCTCGCAAGCCCTCATCTACTTACTTGTGCCAGCACTGTGCATCTTCAGACCAACGACAGCGAGACCAGCGGTCCGCTTTGGAAATCGCCGCGCACCATGCCTTTGGAGAGGTATGAGTACATGAGCAATGTTTGGAGGGATGGAATCTTTGGTATGTTTCGACGATGTCTTTGTAGTCTACGCGCATGTGGCCAATACATTCAACACGGAAGGCATTCGCCAAAATCACTTCTCATTTCTACTAGAAACCCTAGCTAACATCTAGCCACAGATAATAAGGTCGTGTTCTGCACAGGTGGCGCCGGCTCCATCTGCTCTGCCCAAGTTCGCGCCTTGGTAGCCCTTGGAGCCAACGCCTGCATCATCGGCCGCAACGTCGAGAAAACCGAGACCGTAGCCAAAGACATCGCAACCGTACGACCCGGCGCAAAAGTCCTCGGTATCGGCGCCATCGATGTGCGGAAACCAGAGCTCCTACAGGCAGCTGCAGACAGATGCGCAAAAGAGCTCGGCAGCATCGACTTTGTTATCGCGGGTGCTGCTGGAAACTTTTTGGCGACAATAGATCAGATTAGCCCCAATGCGCTGAAGAGTGTCATTGACATCGATGTGTTGGGGAGTTATAACACGGTTAAAGCAACGCTGCCATATCTTGTCGAGTCAGCGGCAAAGCACAAGACGAATGGCAAGACAGCCCCTCGCAATGGCACCGGCGGTCGCATCATCTTTGTCAGCGCAACGCTACACTATACTGGCACACCTCTACAGAGCCATGTCTCAGTCGCAAAAGCTGGTGTCGATGCTATGGCCACAGCTGTAGCCCTTGAGCAAGGACCCAAGGGCATCACGTCGAATGTCATTGCTCCTGGGCCGATTGCAGACACAGAGGGTGTAGCGCGGCTCTCGAAGAAAGAGACTCGGGACCTATCGTACAAAGCCATTCCTTCACAGCGATATGGAACAGTTAAGGAGATTGCTGATGCTACAATCTACCTCTTCTCAGACTCGGGCAACTTCGTTAACGGGGAGACGCTCGTCGGTAAGTCAGAATCAAGCACGCACAATGAAACGAATGCATGCTAACAGTAGGCTCTAGTCGACGGAGGCCAATGGCACACTGCTGGCTATGGAAACGGCTTCGCTTATCCCGACTTCCTTCTCTCAGGAGAGACCGTGACGGGAGTTGCGGGAGGGAAGAAGTCGAAACTGTAGCCCAATAATGATAGTATGCACCTTTTTTGCGCACAACCCCCTCCTCATGATGTCTTAGTGAGAGTACGCGTGAAGTGCCATATTGATTCACCGTTCGAGCATACTGTGGACAATACAGGCGCGATTAGTAGTCTATCGTGAAGTTGCGTCATAACTCATCCAGGAAACTCTATAGTCGACGCCAGAAAATGTATCGCCTTGGTTGCAATATCTCTGGGAATTCACCAGCAATCGGCGTCTCCTGCAAACATCATCTTAGATCACTTTTGGTGGCGCGAGTCTAGTCCAGACACAGCTTCAGCCACTGGACGCAAGCCAAGAAATCGCGTATCGAGGGAGCTGAACTTCCTTCAAGCGTCCTAACAATAGACACTGACTACGGGACAGTTCGAAGCTATCGTATATGAAAGCAACCGATGAATCACCTTGCCTTGCTTCAACTCTCTCAGGCGATGAGATTTTCGAAACCAATATAGTTGTCTACATGCGCAAATTCGATCATGGGCTGGCTCAAGAAGCTGACCAAGCGCTCGAAACGGCCGGCTGTTAATTCCAACGAGAATGACCAAATATCCTCGGGACGGGACGTAAATCAAAAATCGCTCACAACAGGCAACGTACAACCAACCAACCCCGCCCCAGGGTCGGAGTTGTCCAGATCGCTAAAGGCCTCTGAGAACTCTGGCTCCCTGTTCTCCTACAGACCTCTCACCCAAGCGCGGAACTTCAGGATTCTCCATCTCAAACGCAAACTTCGAGAATCGCAGACAGAGTACAAAGACGTCACACTTCAAGGCAGCATCGTCGAAGCGAGCCTGGACAAAGTTCCAGAATACTTTGCCCTCTCGTACACGTGGGGGAATCCGGAGCTATGTAAGGAGATATCAATTGATGGCAAGACGTTGAAGATTACGCAGAATTGCGCTGATGCTCTACGCCGAATGCTGCGCGGGAAAGCGGAGCGGTTGATATGGGTAGACTCGATATGCATAAACCAGGCGGGCGACCCGGCGGCTTTGGAAGAGCGAGGAAAACAGGTTGCGTTGATGGATGAAATTTATAGGAAGGCGACGCAGGTAAATGTGCATTTGGGCGTCGGGGACGCTGCTAGCGATGTTGCTATCATGGCCATGAGAAGTTTGATACAAGCCTACCTGCCGGCAAAGTTGCCCGGTCCTCAGCAGGCGACGGCACGCGTGACGTACAATGCCCTCGCCGATGATGTTTTAGGTGAGTTTCCAGACGGTAAACTTGTAAAATGAGAGACTGTACTAGACATGGACTGAACCCACCAACAATAGCAACATCCGCCGAATACCCTTACGGCAAACTACACGGGCTTTTCCGCCTCCCATGGTTTCGACGGACTTGGGTTGTACAAGAAGTTGCTCTTGCTCGCAAAGTCATGTTCTACTGCGGAGACTACATGATAGCTTTCGACAACCTCGTTGTCGCAGCCGACTTCACGCGCCTTCCGTATTCTAAGCTTGACATGCAAGCACGCCACTGGAAGTCGTACCTCGATTGGCACCACATGCTCAATGAATTCATCCGGCGATACGAGCAGGGCGAAACAGACGTTACCACAACGGTTGGGTTTGGCCTGTTCGAGCTCCTCGCCGCAACGTTGTTGCTGGAAGCTACAAGAGCCGAGGACAAAGTGTACGGACTGTATGGGTGCGCGAAGACGTTGGGATTCGAGTTGCCAGTCCCAGACTATACAAAGCCCATCGCAGTTGTTTATACGGAAGCAGCGCGAGCTTGCTTGCGCCAGGCTCAGAATCCGCTCAGGCTTCTAGAAATAGTAGAGGGGAGTGCTGGGGAGGAACTTGGACTCCCTTCGTGGGTGCCGAATCTTTCCGGGTGCGTGAGGAAGTGGACGCCAGAGAATCCGCCGAAGACGAGTACAAACTCGAGAAGCAATAAGCTGGTATCGGGAGGGTCACAGAGCGAGTGGAATCTCATGGTCGACGAACGAAGACTGAGGGTGCGTGGAAGGAGAGTCGATCACGTAGCCGCTGTTGGGCAGCCTTGGAAAGTCGACCATAGCACGACGCTATTAGGTGATGCCTGGAGCAACTCGGGACAGTATGTTGGGAGTCTTGTAGACTGCATTTTGACCTGGCTGGATATTGTCCTACAGCGCAACAGAAGTGTCCAAGGCAGTGGAGCAGGCGAAGTGGCAGCTACGCAGGATCTGGCCCGACTTCTGACCAACGGCCATCGCTCCCTCGTCGAGCCACTCGACCGCGTTACCCAGTATCTTTCTGTTCTGATCAAGTGCGCAAAAGCGGACGATACCGTTGTCCGCTCAAGCTTGATCCATGCACAGGACAGCATCTTGGAGATCCGGCAGATTGGGCATTACTTTGTTAGCGAAAACATGCAACGGGTGATTACGCAGATGGGAGACTTTGCGTGGAGAACGGTATTCCGGACTACTCGTGGCTATCTAGGCGTCGGCAGCTACAGCTCGAGACCTGGCGATTTGGTTGTTGTACTCCATGGCATGGCGACGCCGTGTCTGGTACGACCTTCCGCGGAGGGATTTGTATTTGTTGGTGCGGCTTTTGTGAATGAGATTATGAATGGAGAATTCTGGTCCACGGGATCGAGCTCCAATGACGAATGGTTTGTCTTGGTATGACGCTGAATTGGTCTATGTTGTTTCATTTGGCATAACCGCATACATTGAGACGAGAATGGAAGACGATGATGGTAATGCTTTCCAGCAGCAGGAAATTCAAAACACTCTACTACGTAGAGTTTACTTTACGGCCAAGTGCTTCAGATAGGGAGCAGAATGACAGCCTGATAGATTTCGCAATGAAGAATATCAGCTGACATGACACGACACGACAGGATACAGATGCAAATAATGTAGGAATGCCACTGTGCTGTCTCCTGTCGATCCTGCTCTTAAACAGTGGGGGACGCGAGGAACTAATCATGGAGATTGCGTCATACCCTATTCAGGAGAGATGTGCGCGAGCCGTAGCGATATTGCTTTGGGGCAACGCGGCGCCTTGCCAAGGTATCTTGTGCAAACTAGGAATAGGCCAGAGATGAAGGAGGCGATCGGTAGTTTGTTGATGGGCTCCTTGTTGGGCGGCATGCAACTCTTCAGGCTGAAGGGAAAAGGAGATTGGATGGATATGGATATGGATAAGCCAGCGGCTTGGAGGAGAAGCGCATCAGCACAGTGGTCAACGAGCCATGTATAGGTTTATTTATGGCGACGTGTCAGTTGGTTCCCTCCGTCAAGGGCGTGTCGCCGTGCTCGTCCCTTTTCGGCTGCACAGGGCTTCTAATTCGTGACGAGGCGACGAGGCTTGCCGCCACTCGATGTTTTGAAACGGCCCGACATGATCACCGATAGCAACGCAACAATATGTACAACAAAGAAAGTTGGAATGTGGGATGCAGATCTCTTGCCAAGTTCAATGGCTGAAACTGCACCCACCTAGGTAGGACTGTCGTGCAAAGGCCGCGCGGGTACGACGACATGAGGCAGCAGAAGGGGGGGGGGGACTGTCGTGGCCGCCCTTGGTGCCCATGGTTAAGCGCAGAGAAAGCAGGTGTCCGCTGCGAGTGTACAATACAACTATGAAGCATGTGATGAGCTTGTGTAAGATACAGGGTTAGGAAGGGCATTGCTCGTATCCGCGGGGATGAATGGCAGCAATACGAACGACGCGGTGCTAATGTTGCCCGTGCATGGCCAGTAATGACCATCCCAACTGTCCCACACACACTCAATCCCTCGCTCTCCCTACCTCTCACCTTTCCTTTCCCATCCCACCCTCGTTGTCGACTTCGACGCTTCCTTTCGTTTCACTTCCGCCACCGAGTCGTTCGTTTGTAGGTGGTCAGGCACCGCGCTCTTAGCAAACGCTCGCTTCATCGATTGCGCCGTCTCCCTTTCGGATCTTGGCCATCCGATCCGTGGTCCCGCTGGCCAAGGGTAGCACAGCGCAGCGACAGAATCAGGACGGCTCCACACAAGGATTTGCGAATCACAAGCCGCTCTGTGTACACCACCCCTCCTGGGGATTTCTTGCCCTCTTTATCGGAGAGCCGGGGGATTTGCTTGTGGACTCTTCACATGCACGTCATGACCTGATAGAGCTTCCTTCCCTTCCACCCATATCGACCACCACCACCACGACGCACCATCAAGTGACGGCGTAAGCTCTGCAAATTACAAAGACCGCCCACGAACCTACCCACAAGCGTGCCTCCAGGCAGAACCTAGTGATCAGCGGGTGAAGCGGAGACTTGGCCCGGAACAGCATCGCACGCTTGGGCCTCGGACGGGAATTCGTTAGTGTATGCATAGTCTGCTGCTTGCCTGCACCTTTTGTCCTCAACACCAAGCTCGTGCCTCTTCCTCCTCTCCAATCGCCTCTCCAGCCCCCCCAACGACACTCGTCAGACACATTGTTCGCCAGTAGCAATGCTGACACCCATCTGAGTGGATAGGTCCCTATTCTGCACCCTCGCATCGTTGAATTGCTCCGGTTGAGCCTACCCACCGCGAGCCATTGACACGCCCGTGTCACCTCACCACCCCACCTAGCGATACTCGACTATCACAACACCAACACCCTCCCGCCACCTCGTTCATTCACCGCGCCGGAAGCGTTCAATCGCTGTCCTAGTCGTGAAGCCCTCGCCACGACCACGATTCACACAAACTCGACCGAGTCCACCTCCACCTCACACATTCACATTCGCAAACATGGAGCGCAGACCCCGGCCCACCGTTCCAGGCCTTGTCGCCATCCTTGCCTTGTTTCTGTTCAGCATGTCGGCGACGGCAGATTTTACAACGTCGTACTGCTCGAATCAGAACACGGGCAGTACTGACACTTGTAAGTATCGCATCGCCCTCCTCCTTACCTACTTCGCTAACAGCATCAGTCAACTGGACATGGCAATCTAATGGCAAGTGCACCGATCACTGCAATGAACAGGGCACCTTCGCCTTCGCTGTCATCAAGTACACCGACTGCTGGTGTACAAACTACATTCCCGCCCAACAACAAGACACCAGTGGCTGTATGGTCGACTGCCCTGGTTTTCCCGACGAAAAATGCGGCGACAAAGACAAGGACTTGTTCATATACATCAAGCTGAAGGGCTCTCCATCCGGTACCCAAGGAGCTTCCCAGGCAACATCCGCAGCCGCGAGTAGTGCAGCCCCTCCTCCTCCGCCTTCTTCGACTGAAAAGCCGACTTCTGCAGCCAAAACCGTTAGTACCATCCTTTCCTTGTTTTGCAAATATCGCTCGCACTTTAACTCCCCTTTGTCCTTCACTATTCACCTTGCACCCTTATCTTCTTTCCCCTGCAATGGTGTTTGACCTTTTGGCAGCCTACTCCGGCTCCGCCAAGTAAAGTGGTCCCAAGTATTGCTACGTCCCGTCCAGAGTCTGTCATTCGGACGGCTTCTAGCGTGGCGCCGACTAGTACTGTGTACCCTTCTTTGGCTTCTACTTCATCTACGCCTGTATTTCTTCCCTTTTCTTTTGTTACCCTCTCGACTCCGACTCATCGCAAGTGACTAACCTTTTCAACAGACCCCGCAAACTTCAACTACGCTCAAAGCCGTTCCCACGACGGCTGTGGCAGAGCCAATGACAAGTTATTGGGTCGTCACTGAAAGTGGTGCCATTGTTACCAGAACAGTCGTTGTCTCTCCCTCGTCCGTTCCAGCTAGAACAGCTGACAACGGCGGTGGGACAAATGTGGGCGCCATTGTCGGAGGTGTCGTTGGAGGAATTGTAGGCCTCCTGGCTCTCGTCGGCATTGTAATTTTCGCCCTATGGCGGAGAAGAAAACAACAACGAGAGCACCACCAAGGCGAGACTGGTGGCTCATCGGGCATCACCCGAAACACAAGCACCATGAGTAAAGCTGGCCTGCTGGGAAATACTGCAGAGAAAGACATACAGTATCCACCGCAGATTATGACCAACTTCAGTACCCATGGGAGCAGGCATGACGGGGATTCCATCAGTCCAACCACGGGGTCGGAGCGCAGATACAGCCAGCCATTAATGATTGACTCCCGGCTCGATCCGAGGGCTGTCTTGACATTCCACGGCGCCAACATCAGTCGCGAAAGCTTAGCCAGCATTGACGACAGCCGGGATTACGGACGCCAACTAAACGTAAGTAGGGGTCGCGATGCAAATCAGGCTGGTCACTAACGACATGTAGGTTCGAAACCCTGATCCGGACCACCGGGACTAAAACTACAATCATTTACTGCGAGCTCGACGTTGGCACTTCGAGATCGCTTAACGTTAGTAATGGCAGTTGGATGTCAGCAGCTACGTTACGACCTCACGAATACACAAGCATCCACACCTGTACAGGATCTTTATTTTAGCATTGGCGCACGGAGTTTCACTTTGCAGATTGCCATCTTCGACTTCGCTGTCGCCACCTTTACCGGGAAACGGATCGGATCGACTCGACTTCCATGCATACACTATTGGCGCCTTCACTTGTACACCACATTCTTCTTCTTCTCACTAAAACTTCGTTATGCTATCACGTACATATGGATTGAAGGAACATTCGGAAATATTTAGGGATTGGGACAGTTTGGGCCTTGCCAGTAAGCGCCCACTCAAAGCCGATAGCACGAAGGCAGGTAGATAAGTCATCAAATCTCGGATGGGACACCCTGTGATTCCTAAGATGAGTTTGAGTATCATGCGCTTGAAGGCGACGTGGTGCCATCACCTCTCTTCGAATCAAATCAAAAGTTCACCACCATCCGACACAGAATCTTAATCGTAGTGTTTTCTGACTAGGTAGATCTGGAGGGACCATGTGATTCAAGCTACCATTTACAGTATTCTCTTAAATTAGCAATTTAATTGTTCGTCGGAGACTCGCACCAGTGGCCGTATTGCAGTTATACCAAGTCCCATCGAGGTTATAATCGCGTAGGTATCCACACCTTGCTCTACAATGACTTGAAACAATACACAACGAAGGACGTGATGAGAATGGTTCAAAAATAGTTGTAAGGAATGATCGCCCCGTGCTGATGTGAGTTGAGGCTCAACTGCGTATGCGCCACATCCCGCTTGGACCCACCCACTCTGACCTCGACCGCTATCGATTAACAGCCTCGAAACATTACTTGACAATATCCAACCTAGACACCGCCGTTTCTTGTCTCAGTCGCACGTCTCTCTAGTCGTACAAGATGAGTAAAATGTGGGAGGTAGACCCGGAGACGCGGAGTAAGGTACGTTGATCGACTGCTTGCGCTGCTGTCTGTTGTGGGAGGTCCCAAGGGGGAATGGAGGAGCAGCACTGAGAGCGTACGAAGATGTGAATGCCGCGGGCTAATCGATGATATGTATAGCTTCTGGAAATTCAAAAGACGAACGACAACAACAAATGCGTCGACTGCAATGCGCCGAGTCCACAATGGGTACGCAACCCTCTCTCCCCCACCATGCATGCGATCACCAGATCTATATACTAAGTTGCCTTGCACCAGGCCTCGCCCAAGCTCGGCATATTCATGTGTCTCTCCTGCTCCGGCGTTCACCGTGGTCTCGGCGTGCATATCTCCTTCATCCGTAGCATAACCATGGACGCTTTCAAAGGCAGCGAACTCGCGCGCATGGCCGCCGGCGGCAACAAGTCCTTCCAAGACTTCTTCAACACACACTCGTCCAACACCAAAGATGGACGCACATTCGAAGCCTCGAGCATTCAGGAGCGGTACGATTGTGAAGCTGGCGATGAGTGGAAGGAACGGCTGAGCTGCAAGGTGGAAGACCGAGAGTTTGATAAGAGTAACCTGCCAAAGAGGTTACCGAAGAAGGATAATGCATTTGCTGCTGGTGCGGGCGCGCCATTAAGTGGAAGGGCAAGCGCGGCAGCGAGTAGGAGTCAGACACCACTCGGCAAGACGCGAAGTAACGACGCGGGTTTCCAGCGCTCTGGATCCCCTGCCCTCGGAACGAACGCCATGTCCTCACAGAAGTCCAAGAACGAAGCGTACTTTGCGAAGATGGGCCAAGATAATGCAAGTAGGCCAGAGGGCGTTGCACCGAACCAAGGAGGGAAATATGGCGGCTTTGGAAGCGAGCCAGAGGCATGGAAGAAGGACGATGAGCCTGGTGCGCCGCCGGAGCTTTCTGACTTCCAGAAGGACCCCGTTGCGGCACTCACCAAGGGATTTGGGTGGCTGGGCGCAAGTGTGAGCAAGGCGGGTAAGGTTGGGTATGAGGGCTACGTGAAGCCCAGCATGCAAAAGGTCAGTCATATCTTTGTTCTTCAAGTACCGTAGTCAAGGAACAAGACAACGACTAACATCCACCTAGCTCGCCGAAGCAGACATCGCCTCCCAAGCCCGCAACACGGCCGGAACCCTAGGCCAAACTCTCCAATCTGGCGTTGCCAACGCAGGAACCACATTCAACCGCTTTGTCGAAGGCGAAGGCCCCGCCAACAACACTCGCCGAACCAATGCTGAACCCGAACGCAAAGACTTCTGGGAGTCTTTTGGTGAGCCACCAAAAGGGCCGCCCAAGGAGAAGCAAGATTTCTGGGATGAGTTTTCGAATGCGAGCGAGACAAGAGCCAGTACTGCACTGCCAAAGAGCAAACCGTCAGGTATTGGAACGGCGGCTGTGAAGAAGAACACTGGTGGGCCAACTGGGAAGAAGGACGATGGTTGGGGAGAGTGGTAAAACGATTGTCACGTGGATTGTAGGAGTTCTGGAGTTGGAAGGGGGTGTTTGAGGGGTGCGTAGACTCCCCAGGCCAGGTTTTGGTATTGAAATAGATGCGTACACTACCACCCGACCTGTATCTGAATGTTGAGGTAGAAGTTGGTGTATGGCTTTCGAGCAGTTCGTACATGCGAGTTATGAATCAGTAGTCACATACTGGATCGGAGTCCACAAGCAGTGAATCAACAAGTCAGAGGCATTCAATGTCCAATTTCATGTGAAAAATCACACATATCTACTATCCCGAGCACGGAAATGTACTTGTGATATTATGGGACCTACCCACACTTCGGCAAATTCGCAATCACTAAGCTATTAAGCCGGCTGCTTGGGAACCATGAGACAGAGAGCAATTGGTAGCCAACGACTAACTCTGCCCACCACTCCACCTACCCATCTAGGTATATGTCTACTTCTTATCTCGGTCCGCAATATAAGGAATCCATTGAATTCCCAACCGCTCCAGAGCAGCACGATCCAAAACACCCTTGCTTTCTATTCGATGTGCTCGATGGTCCAGGTCCGGAGATTGGTCTTTGCTCTTCTTCGTACTTCTCGTCTCTTGGTGTTCCGGCCATCATCCTGACACTCATCTTGCTGTCCGGCGACTGTGATGTGACGACGCTTCGTCGTCTGCTGGTGCGCCGAGCCCAAGACTGTAGGTCTTTGACAGACCTCCATGACCGAACGACGGGATGAGCCTGTTGTTACACTTTTCCCCACAACATGCTAAGGTCGGCCTCTTGCTCACTTTTCTCCTCTCGCCTTGTTTCTCGCCCTCCTCCTTTCCCGCTCTGCCTTCCTCGCCTGGTTCCAGCTCGGCGACACACCCTCCTCATCCAGCTTGGCCTTCTCCAGGCTAGTCTCCTCAACCTGGTCAAGCAGGAAGCGCCCCATGTTCCCAGTCCTCCATTTCTGAATCATCCACAATGCCGTAGCCTCCGTATCCACTGTCCCGCCTTTACCAAGCCTGCCAGTCTGCTTGGCAATCTCGCTCAGGAGTTCCATGATATCGTTGGTGGCCGGGGCATATTCAGAATAGAGAGTGGGGGACTGGAGATTGAGTTGGTAGAGGAGGTAATCGGCCAGCATGACGGGCGCAATGATGGTGTCTTTTACGCTGCCGCAGAGGGCTAGTTTCATCATGGCCTCGGCGTCTGGTACATACGGGATGAAGACTCCCGGCGTATCAAGCAGATACACACCACCACCCACGCCCTTGAGCTTCTTCTGCATGCTGGAATCCATTGCCTCCATGTCGTCTTCACTTGGAATGATCTTGACGCCACTGCCGACTTTTCGCGTGACGCCCGGTTGTGCACCAGTCGCGGCGACTTTGCCTTTTCCGATGCCGTGGGCGCGGAGGGCGTTGAGCAATGTGGATTTGCCTACGTTGGGCATGCCAACGACCATTACGCGGTGGCCTACTAGCTTCCATGTCGTCTGCGCCTGGGCCCTTAGCACCTCGAGCAGCTTGACAATGCTACTTCGCGCACTACCTTCGCCATCAACCTCCTTTCCATTTCTCACAAACATGGTCGGCGTAGGGTGATGCCACATGCGAATCACATCTTCATTCTTGTTATCCCTCGAACCCCCGCCGAGATCCCTCTTCGTATATACAACCACTCGTTCCTTTCCTTCCAGCGCCGTTTCAAATAAAGGGTTGCGCGAAGTAAGCGGGACACGATAATCGCGGCATTCGATGACGAGGTCAATGGACGAGAGGAGCGACTTCATCTTCTGTAGGCCGGCCTTGTGGTGGCCCAAGAAGTAGGACCTAGGTAGCGACGGGAGCGGTGGGAAGCCATGACGGGGAATGAATGACATTAGTCACATTGGCTGTGTTGCGCGATGGAAACAGAGACTGTTGTATGTGGTATATTCACAATATTCTTGAGGTGCGAGTCACGCAGCTCCCGCATCTTGGCGAGCCTGACTCGCTAGCCGTTCATGGAGCAAGTATCCTGGCCTCGGGCCCAACAACAATGCCAAGTTGAACTATCTACACTAATCATACAACACTTGGTACAAAAGCAAAGTAAACACGCAGAACAAAGCTATCCCGAAACCTCAAATCCTTGTCCCTCCCACAATGACGTGACCCAATAAACGATCAGCCACCATGAACATCTACAGATCCGTATGTGCCGGAACTTGAAATGCCTCCTCGCCCAAGTCAGGCGGGAATGCAAAGACTGTTTGAGTCCCCTTGATTTGGACAATTTCTTTGACCGTCGACGTCTGCCACATGGTGGTAGTGATGGGTTTCAGAAGATCGAGAGACCTGGCCGAGGGCTCGGTGCACTTCTTCAGATCCTCTTTGATGTCCTGGAGGCGGACCTCGGACTTGGACAGGCTGGTTCGCTGCTCCCACTCGGCTTCGGCACACACCTTCTTTCCTGGCCTGTATGGATGATCGAAAGTAACGGGTAGACGCCATGAACCACGTTTCTCAAGCGGTTGGAGTGTGACGGTCTTCACCTCTTGGTCGAGCGTGGCGGTAGTCAGCTCATAAATAGTGGTTGTTGGCCTGTTCTGGTCGGTAACCGTAGTGGTGGATGAGTGTGTGACGGTGAGTCTCTCGCCGTCGAAGGCGATGGGTTTGTCACCACAATCGATCACGTTCTTTGGGCCAGAACGACAATCGAACCTGGAGAAATCATCACTATTCTTCGTGGTGTAGCACTCGTAACATATCACCGATTCGGCCCACGGGTGAAGCATCCACACACCCCTGCTGTTGCCTTTCTTCGCTGGGCCGCGCGCTTCGACACGATTAGCCCACGGTTCTGGCGACTGGGCAGCCAATTTGCCATGTGCGCTCGTGACTGTGTTCGTTCCAAAATACGGGGTTGGCTTCTGATCCGCACCGACGGACCACGATGTGGCTCGCGTAGAGGTGGTGCTATCAACGGCTAGTCAGCGAAGGCTTTTCGGCTGTGAAATGACGAGTTGAGGCGGTAGTTCCATCTACGCTACGGCATTGTACAAGGAAACTATTTAGATTGTACCGTCATGGGATGAGGAGGACTTACGTGACATCGCTCGATCTCGATGCAGACTCGGTTCCGCACCGGAACTTGACCGAGTACACGGTGAGGGGATCACCGGGCTTGCCAGGATGCAGGCATTGATGAAGGCTCTCTGGGACTGAGACAGTTTTGAGCTCTTGTCCATCTAGACAACCAGGGATCTTGTAAGTAATCACGTCACAGAACGTTCCATCATTGTTGATGTCGTCCAACCACTGGTCTCGCTTCGGGTCGAACATGGGCTTGACGCTCCGGGCTCCATTGAGGATATTCTGGCAGTCGTTCTGCTTGATGTCGATGTTGCCACCTGCCGGGGGTCCGTCGCAGTAGTCGCTGGTGAAGGCATAGAGGCGTATCTGAGAATCCTTCGCATGGATAGCCGAGGGGAGTGCAAATATAGCACTCAAGACGAAAGAGACGAGGCGAGTCATGGTGATGGTTTCTAAACGTGTCAGCATGTACATACTCAGTTGGTGGTTGAAAGGTTCGACGGAGCCATATGAAGGAATGTATGTTTCTAGGCCGAGCGAGGCGGGAGAGGAGGGTGGGAAATGTAGATGAGGAATGAACGTACCTAGCTAGAAAAAACAGGGGGTAGCCTGGCTGACGAAGTAACGACGCTGTTGGGTATCAGCACGCGGCTCCGATTAGAGTTCATGACGCGTGGAATGATTGTGCGAGAAGAGGCGGCATTTGCAGGTTAAGAGTGGTCTGTAGCAGGCGGTTTGCAGATGAGACATACCCAAAAAGCAGGATCAGGCAGAAGCTGAGATGGCTGTGAGGTGCCTAGAGTCTCGTTAGCACCCGACATAACAGCCGATGGTGAGGATGACGGCCGAGAGACCGAGCGACGTGGAACCTAGATGTGAGAAGAACTGAGCCAGAGTAACTGAGCCAGAGTAACGTACCAAGTGTCGATGAACGCTGCGTAGGAGAACCAACTGATGTATTGGAGCTGATGCTATGCTGAAGTGGTGTGAAGGAGGAGGGGGAGCAATCGAACGAGGGGACGGATTTTATACCAAAGTGGCACGAGGAACCCTCGGATATTGCCGTAGAAACAGTGATAGAAGGTGGGTTGGGGTGAGAAGAAGGTGTTGCCCCAAGCTCTAGGAAGCGACGAGCGTTTGAGGATATTACGCTCGAGGTATGTAGGCATGAAACTGATGGATCAAGTAATTGAACCCAAGCTAGACATCAAGAGCACGGGTTTGTGGCGGAAGGAGATGGTAAGCACAAGGGAGCATCGAGAAGGAGTCCGATGGAGAATGCAGTCGCTGGAGGACGTCTGCATCCTCTACGACTGCCTACTTTAGATAGCGCATTTTCTCACGCAACGACAGAACGTTTCACGACACCAGTGTTGGAGACTGAGTTTTCGAATTGTGAGGCTCTCGGTTTGGTAATGTTGAAGTCGATTGCTTCTATATGGTAGTGTCAGGAATCAGCTCTTAGGGAAACTCGTCTACCTGCTAGGTGTACTTACATGCGAGAATGATCATGCAAAGTCTTCTAGTTACATGATTATACGATTACATAGCCAACCGCTTGCAAAGGTACAGAGTATTTACAGGTCATATTCTTCCTCTACAAAGCTCCCAGCTCTTTCAACTTGCTGATCATGCCATCTACATCCTCGACCTTGACACCACCCTTCCGTGGTGGTGGCTCTGTGACCTTGACTGTCTTCAACCGCAGTTCGGTATCTAGCCCATAGTCCTTCAACGCCTTTTTCTCCAGCGGCTTCTTCTTTGCCTTCATGATGTTGGGCAAGCTCGCGTACCGGGGCTCGTTGAGGCGCAAATCTGTGGTGATGACCATGGGTAATTTCGCTTTGATCGTCTGCACACCGCCATCGACTTCTTGTATCACCTCAACTGCCTGGTCGGTGATGGACACCTTCGAGGCCTGTGTCGCTTGAGGCCAATTCAACAGCCCAGCGAGCATTTGTCCCGTCTGTCCCGCATCATCATCAATACTCTGTTTTCCCAAGATGACCAGGTTGCTCTTTTGCTCATCCACAACCTTCTTCAACAGTTTCGCCACACCCAGGGGCTCCAGCGCGTCCTTCTCCTCGACCACGACGTGAATGCCTCGGTCGGCGCCCATGGCCATTGCTGTTCGCAAGATGTCCTGGGATTTTGGGGGGCCGGCGCTGAAGGCGACAATGTCTTCGACCTTTGGTGCGCTGGAGTGGTGGCCCTTTTGCTCACGTATGCGGACGGCTTCTTCAATGGAGAGCTCGTCGAAGGGGTTCATGGAATGTTTAACGTTGGCGGTTTCGACGGCGGTTTGGGCGCGGTTCACGCGGGGCTTGACCTACAAAGAACGCTGGTATTAGATCCATGGAGTACGACAGGCCATGATCCTCTAGGTGCCTGGAGTGCTTGGTAGCAGGTGGGAACTGCATGCTTCCACCGGCGCGAGGACTGACTGAGTTACTCACTGCATAGTCAATGACCCGCTTTACGGGTACTAATATCCTGAGGCCTGACATCTCTGTGTTCGTCTCCTACTGTAGTCCTCTTTGGGTGTTAACAAAGAGTGATTTAAGGAAGGCAATTGAAGTAGACGAGCAAAGGGTGGGGGACCATCGGAGCTCGACCTTGCATCTAAACGCTTAGCCGAGGCGTTTTCCGATGCGGCCTTGGCGGACATCACCTCGTCAGACGTCTGCCGCCTACAATTTCTACGTCGTGAACTACCATCACATAATCTTCCTGGGAAGACAACATCTAGACGCTTTCCCGAGAAGAATGAAACAGGAGCGTATGCGAAGTAGACTGAATATGGTAACCGGCTGCAATACGAGCTCCACCATGCATGAAATCGTGCATATCCGGGTCTTCCCTTTCCCTTCTTGCATCTCTGACTCCGCGCCTTTTTCAGTAACAGCTCAATCATACCCCCCACCTACTACAGCGTCTAGCCTACGTACTTTCTAAAGATCTTGGCTATGCCAAACGTCCTTGTTCTCTCCTTTGAGGGGTTCTCCTTCTCCTCTCGCCAGCTCTACGAACATCTATCCCCGAAGCTTCTTTCGCGCGCAGCAGTTCACGAGTCACTCACTGTGGAAGATGCGCTGCACTGGATCCACTCTGGCTGGCCAAATGTCGTTCTTGTCACAGACTCGGTCATAAGCCTAGAGGAGCATCAGAACCTTTTGATAACACTGGTCGATTATACGAAACACGGCTGTATAACAGTACTCGTGGGTCTGTTTGCACCAACCGTAGAACTTGACAGACTGGACGGCCTATTCAACAGCTTTGGTCTTCAATGGCGCGCCGGCAGCATAGCGCAGCATAGAACAAAACTAGTGGGATCAATAGATAAGAATATCATCCGGATCGACAGCTTGGTAGCCTCGTTTGATGCAGAAGCTCTCTTCCTAGCCGACGGGGTGTCCACTGAGCAAGTGCTCTATCAAGCTGCGGGAGTAGATGCCTGGGGCGTATACGCTGCGTTCGGAAGAGTCGGACTAGGCAAGCTGGGTTATGTTGGAGACACTGGATATGGAGAAGAGGCAGAGAGACTGATCCTGTCCATGTGCCACTTGGACCGCCCGGAGGAACGTCTTCAAGCTGGAGTGTTATGATCTACCTACATATCATGCTGGTGGCAGAGACTGGCCTGCAACAAAAAACAGTGGGGTGTGTTCGACCTAAACGGGACGTAGGTAACACCTCCAAGTAAGCGCCGCAGAATACAGAAATCCTGCAATAATAGTAATCCAAGTCCCCCTTCTCCAGTTGCAGCACGATCACCATCGTTATCGTCATACATTGAATTTTCTTGGAGATGCATGGCTGCTTAACGAAGGGTCGTCGCATGAATTGAAGTAACGGCTTGAAATACTTCGCTTAGTAGCTATCGATCTCTGAGTGCAGGGTAGATCGGTTTAGCTCGTAATATGCCAGGGAAGTCATTGACTTCGAATACTAGCCCCTAGTACTGTTGGGCAAATTCGCGACCCGTAGTTCCACAACCATCGCTCAGTTCCTGTTCAGAGCATATGGACCACGTGCAAACTCTTGACTCGGCCTATTTTGTAGCCTACGGTCTAACTCCAGCAAGTCGCTTCTTCGCCAATTGCACAAGCTGCGGCCACTCTTCAACTTGATTGGTCGAGCTCGGAGGTTCTAAGACCTGTCTCAATTGCTCTTTAGCCCTCTCATGCTCTCCTCCAGCTTCATAATACTCCACTAGCTTTAGCATGGAAGGCTTGTGGCCAGAATTCGCAGAAGCTTGGAGCCACTCTCGAGCTAACATTGCCGCACCACCACGTTTCCAGCCTAGCAGCCAGTTGAGCGCCTTTCGCATATTGTTGTCTGCGAGTATGGGCGATTGCTTTGAATTCACTTCCTGGTAGAAGTCTGCGAGGTCGACCATCGCCTGTATATGGCCTGAGGCAGCAGCTTTGCTTGTGTATTGTAGCCATTTCGTGCTTGTTTTGGGCTCAAAGGCCGCAAGCTCATAGTACGATAGTGGATCATCGCCCTCGAGTGCACCTTTCTCAAAGTAGCGTTTCGCTTGTGCTTGGATGCTAGGATCCTTGTCTGTTTTGAGGAGGAAACCGAGCGCATTCCAGGGATCGATAAGAGGTAATTGCATTGGGTGCCTTGAGCCAGGCTCAAACTTGAGATGAGAGCGTAGGATAGCCTCTTCGTAGAAGTCTCTCGCTTTCTGAATCTGGCCGTCTCTTTCCAGAAATAGCCCTTGCAGGGTCAAGACGTCGGGGCCTAACGCTATCGATTTGGCCTCAGAGCCAAGATTCTCCAAGGTTTTCCGGTATTTGACAATCTCGGTTTGCGGAAAAAGAAGTGCAATTTCCCAGGCAGCCGGGTCTGGGCTCGAGCTACTCGAGTAGACCGCTGTCAAGATGTGTACAATTGCGAGAGGGTCTCCAGCCTGGGCACAACCTTGCAGAAGTAGACCAGAGATAGCTTTGTGTTGGCTTGGAGGAAGCATAGCTTTCTTCTCAGGATCGCTAAGGTCTGGGATCTTAAAGGTGGCAATGGCAAGAGAGGTCAGATCATCCAAGTCCACGTGATACTCTACCAAAGTCAGCATTTGTTGACTGATACCATATTAAAACAAAACACACTCTTTGCTAACCGCTGGATATTGCTGCCATGATCCATGTTACTTTTCTGATGAAGAAAATCCGACACGATGCTGTTGGCTTTGTTTGCATCCATCTTGAGAGCGCCTTGGCTGTTACTCAAGGTATAGAAGCCGACTCGGGCGCGCATGTCGACTTGGGCACGCAGTCGCTTTACGTCGAGCCGCTGAGTAGCATAGCTCCGTCTCGAGAGGCCAATACTAGGTGCTTTCGCACGCCAACTTGGTTGTCTTGATAGCTCCGGTGCACCATTGCGATGGATAGATTGGATGACACAATGTGACTGGCAAGCCACAGACGATTCCCAGATCAGAGACCGTCTTGCGGAGAGCGTGACGAGGCGCGAATGGGACATGATGGGCTTGTAGCTCCTGGAGAGCTCAAGAGGTAATGTGTAGTCACCGCGGAGGTCCGCAGTGGGAAGGCCCGAACCGTGCAGCGAAATCTTGGCACGCCAAAAATTTCCCAGCGGCAGAGAAAGAGTATTCAACTATGTTCGCCCGCGTCTTCGATACAGCTAAACGGATTTTAAGTCGCTCCCCTTCGGTGCCGCGACCCTCTAGTGAAGCACAAGATAGCGACACCAGTGCCACAGACCCCAACATCACCATGGTCACGACACGAGGAGGCACAGAGACGCCTGGCGCATCCACGCCGCAGAGCTCTGGCAGGAAGAGGATTGGGAAGCGAGAGTTGGAGGCATTAGAAACGCCGACACAAGTAAAGAGACAGAGAAAGAGTGGGCTGACACCTAAGAAGAAGGTGATAGCAGAGACACCACCAGAGCCCGACACGCCCGAGGAAGAGTCTTCGGACACGATCGCCGTCGCTATACCCTCCCGCGACAGCGCTAAAAAAGCAGACGACTTACAAATTCGCCGTCATACGAGCCCCAAAGTCGTTGTTGCTATGTCAGTGCCTCCTGCGTCTACAGGTCCAGAGAGCCCACAGCAGGCCGGCCTTCATACACCCAAGAAACAGTCTGCATCTGTGTGTACGACACCAGCGTCAACGAGAAAGTCGAGCGGGCGCAAGAAGCAGGTACAGACGGAAGATGGACCGAACACATTGGAAGTGACGCAGACGACATCCAGATTATTAAAGGAAGCCCCATCATCGACGTACAAGAGCGAACAAGCGCCAATTTCTCCTTTGCAGGATGCTACCGCACCTGCATCATCACAGTCAAAGAAAGCACATCTTCGATTCGGAAGCGAAGAGCCCTCAAAGACACACGATGCCGTTGTCAATAACGATGAAGAGCAAAAGCATCACGAAGCGCTAAAACTCCCACAACAGCCCGTTGCGACCGAGGTAGACCAGGCCGATGACGATGCAAGCGACTCAGACGAAGCCCCGGAGATTGTGACAGCCGTCGCAGCAACAACGAAGGCAAAAGCTGCCCAGGCTGAGGCAGACCGTGCTCTTCGCGCCCAACAGCTCGCATCGCAAGCAAAGCGACAGAAACGCGAAGATCGCATCGCCGAAGAGCAATCACAGAAACGGATACGCGAAGAGAAGAAGGCGAAGAAGCTAGCTAGACAGCTAGCCAAAGAGCAAAGAGCAACTGCTCCCGACGACGACGAAGACGAAGCCTTGAGTACCCGCCCAGATGTCCTTCGGAACATAAAAACCATACCCGCTCTTCTACCAGACTCCCTTCTCGAGACGATCGATGACCAGCGCCCGCTCACTCCGCCTCCCCAGCGCCGCGGCAAGACTGAGGAGGAGCTGCGAAAAGAAAAACTTAATCACCACATCAAGTTTCTAGAACGGGGCGAGATGCCCGCCAAGGACGTGAAGAAGGGGAAGCTGAGCGTGGCGGTGCTAGGGCAGCAGAACAGATTACTACCACCCAAGGCTAGCCAGGTTACGAGGAACGTCAGGGAGCATTGGTTGAAGGGAAGGAAAGTAGAGAAGAAGAAGAAAGGTGGGAAAGCAAATATCAAGAATGGCAAGATGGAGAGAAGAGCGCATGGTGGTGGGGGTTTCATGAGAGGCGGGGATGATTAGATTGTAGAAGATGAACGACGAAGAAATATAGATGAATTTTGTGTCAACCACCTTCCGCAGCACCGATTCGCTAGTTATGCTGCCAATGCTCTGAAAAATAAGGCCAATTCAGGACCTGTGCAATATCTATCCAGCGGCTCGTTCTCCTACGAAGCCTTCCTAACAATGTTTTCGGCCAGCTGAACTAACAGCCTGCTTTCTCATCATCCTCTTCGCCCGATTCTAGCCCACTACCGTCGTCCAGGTCTCTTTGGCTTTGCAAAACCCTTGCTTTCCGTAGGCGTTTCCACTTTGAACTCGTCCTTGATGACCTGCTCTGTAACCTCGTCCGGATTCGTCGCTTCCAGCTTCTTCACCACCTTCAAACCTCCCTCATTCTGCGCTAAAGACACTACGTTTCCACGACTAGCAGCGTACAGCATCCTCTCCCTGATCTTCGCAGCGCTCGGGCAGGTAGATATAAAGATGATGGAGGAATTGGCATCATCATGGCGGTAGAATGCGTAGCGAGGTTCTTTCGTATCGATGGAGGTGGAAAGCGTGGACGGTGTAGCACTGGAAGAGGAGACAAGTTGCAGCGTCTCCGTTGCACCGTCCATGCGTAATTGTACAAGGTTATCCGTCCCTCCTTCTCCAAGTGTCCGCAGTGCCTCAGCAATCCCATCATCAGCGCGAACGGCTATCCTGCCGCCCTGTGCGAGACCTTGGCCTCGAGTCCCCCGCGATTCGAGCGCCTCTGCGTCCTTGATATCTTGCAATGATTGTTCCTCGGCCGTGAGAGGGTTCTCGCTCGCTGTATGAAGGACATGCTTCTCCCATCCCGAGCTTGTCAACTCATCCGCCTCGGTTGTGAATATGCTCTCCGCGAAATGTTCGCCGCCCAATTCCCGCACCAGTGTCAACCTCGTCGATGCAAACAACATCTTCTGGCGTACGGGCGCAGCATTGGGCACATAGGTAACCGCTACCAGCGACTTGTCAGGCGAGGAGAGCGAGTCGGAACGGCGGAGGAGGATGTACAGCGCCGCATTGGGTTGAATGTGAGATTGGAGGTTGGCGACGTCGGCGAGGAAAGTTGATGAAGTCGAGGCAATGGTGGCGCCAGGCACAATCGTCTCATTTTGAATAGTTGCTGTGAGGCCTCTTTGCTCGCTTGAGGTTATGAGGCCACCCAGGGCGGATTTGAGCTCTTGGGAGGCTGCGGATAGTGGTTAGAAGGCCGTGGAAAGTTATGGGACGGTTGTGAAGTATACCAGAGATGCCGGACTGCATTTTAATGGCTTTCGAGCTAGATAGCCGTGTCTTTGCAAGAGGTTTGTAGAAAGCTCTAAAGAACGCGTTTAACCTCGAAACATGAGATGTCGAGGGGTGACGCAGTAGTGGGGCTGAAGCGTCCTTGGCAGACCCTGCCTTCCAACTTGTACGGACCGTTCCTGAGCCTCGTCCTCATGCAGCCCGATTGTTGTGGGTAGATAAATTGTGCATATATATTCGAATTGACACATAATCAATGCTATGTAGTGCAAATAGATGCGCTGTGGATATCTACAATGCAAACCCCACCTGCCCTGGAGTGTCCTTATTCCTCGTACTGTCCACCGGGCAGCATTTCTCTATTCTTCTCTAGCACACCCTTCAAGTACTCGTACACGGTGAAAGTGACGGCTTGACCGGGAGCAACACGCATTACACGGGGCGTGATACCCTTGTAGAAACTCCTAACGCCTTCTTGTTTCCACATGTCGCTGTCGTCAAGATTAGAATCCGCAGTTTTCTTGGATTGTTCCGTAGCTCACCTCGCAATAACCGTTATCCTCTGGATAGCACTCTGTCCCGGCTCGGCAGGCATCTTCTGCAACCTCGTCTTAATCGTATCGATAGGCGCATTGCTGAACGGTCCCATAGCACCAGATATCAGGCCGATCAATGAAGTTTCGTAACCAGGTAGATCATTTGTTCCGTGGTACTTTTGGAGAAGAGCTCTTAGCTCGGAATATGCGGTGAAGTTTGCCGCTTGATTTGTTCCCTGGCGCAAGGCTGTGAGTGAGACACCACGCCATAGAGCTCCAGCACCCTCTTCTTTTACCACAGTATACAAGGCATGCGCGGCGTTTCGGTACTTGGGAATATCGAGGGGGTCGGCCATCGAGTGATGTTGCGCTTGTAACCGAATCTTTACGACTTCCATGGGTGTAACGACAAGGACGGCTTCGGTAATACCGGCGGCGAGGCCAGCTAGACTCTGTCAGTGTCTCCATTTACGAGATTGAGGTCGTCCACACCCGTACAAAGAATCGCCCCAATAGTATAGACCGGACAATATAGGTAACTCGTCTCCCGAAAGAAATAGAGGTTTAGACATACCCATGAATGTAGATTTTGAAGTTACGTTCCCTTCCTGGTCCGCCAATAATTGCTTGTACCATTCGTAGCTTGTGAACCGTATAGCCATCTTGGGGACAATGCCTGTGAGCACAGCACCAAGACCCTTGTAGAGTCCCAATGCTGTCTCTCTCTTTACAATTTCAGAGCCAGTCCTGAGAAACCCGCGCTTCGGAGCCTACGTATCCTATATCAGCTATTTTTTTCGCGTATGGAGGTTGAGATTGTGAAGTTGTCTGAATGTGACAGAGCGGGTAATTGACGTACACCGGGGGCGCGAGCTCGCCTTGAGAGCTGCATTCGGACTTTGATAGTATCTATAGAATGTCAAAACTATATAGCCCCCCTAAAGCCATGTTGTTGGTGGGCGTGCTTACCTAGAGGATGACACGCGAGGGCCTCCATCATTCCAGCTGCACCACCAGCTAGGCAGTCAAGTCAGCAACGTCCTATAGCATATTCCTTATACTCTGGTTCTTCGCCTAGGGCGTACCTATCAAGTTGGTGGCCGCTGAGGCAGGTTTCTTGCCGCCAGGCCCTCGTGTTGACTTCGCCGACATGGTGTGATAGGTGAGAGCGTCCAAGCTCAGAAAAGGTGTGACTGCGCAGGCAAGGACCGGATTGCCTTGTGAGAGACGCGAGAGAGATTATGGTGTGCTGGAAGATTGACTGGAGCTGCACCCTGGTTCTGGAGGAGCTCTAGCTAGCTGTCAAGAACCTCGGCTTTTGAGGTATTGGAAGAACAAAGGGAAAGGGGGTGTACTAGAGCACCAAGACTTGGAAGGAAGTTGCAACTGAAGAGAGACTGGAGAAAAGAAAAAGAAGAGAAACGATCTAGAGATCAAGTAAGGTTGTCACAGTCATATTCTAGCCTCACCAGTGAGCTACCCGCGGGTGTGAGGACAACGACAATTTGTCCCCGCAGCCTCGGCCCTTGCGCGTGCCCTGACGGACTAAGTTGTCGCTCTGGGCTCGCGTCAAGCGTAAACTACAGTCAGGGCTGCTTGGCAGCTAACGTTCCTTACCCCAGATCCGCGTTTGGTGGACGAGCGGAAGCTGGGGCCTGTGATGTCGCTCGGCCGGGGATCGGCTGCAAAGGAGTTACGTTACCGAGCTGCTCGATGAGTGTTTAGCTGCCCATCATCGCCGTTCAGAGTATGCCATTGTCAACAGTCGTAAATTGTGGTAATTGCTCAAAGGTCTTGTGATCGGACGTGGACGAAAGGCTTGTCACAAGCATGTGCGAGTGGCTTTGGGAGTCGCTGCGTGCATGTGGGCACCAACATGTGAAAGATGACGTTGAGCTACAGCCGGAAGAGCTCCGCTACAACTTTCCGAAAGCGTCCGACCTAGCACGTGCACGAGGACATTCCGGACCAACTATAAGCGATCATGCTTCCATCCATTATGCCGAGGAAAGGAGAACGAGTAGAGCACAGCAGAGTAAAACACGGGGGTATAATTTCGCTAGATATGCCCATCCCCAGACTGCACCCAATCTCGATTCTCCCGCAATGCAATGCGTCAAACAAACTTGACCTCGTTGAGCAAGCTTGCTCTAACCTGCATCAGCGCAACCAATTCTAACACAAAATCCTGTAGTATAACCACGTTAGTGATTATATGCAACAAGCTGGCTTCACGAATTTCGCCTTTCTCTTCCTCAGTCTCGGCTCCTGTCGCTGCATCATCTGGGTCCTTTGGTGGAGGCTGGTACTTTGAGAGCATGGCCTCGACTGTGTTCGATCCAGCCGATCGACGGAAGCGAATGCGCCTTTTGAAGAACTCAGCATGCTTCAATCCGGCGAAGTTGGCGTCGATATCTGAAAAGAGAGTGGTTTGACGTTTCGCATTGTGTGGCGCTGATAATGGTGATAGGGCTCTTGAAGGTGATCCTACAAGGGTCTGGCCGCCAAACCTGGATGGCGCCGGCGAGGCTGCCGGTGTACCTCTTGACTCCGAAAGAGCCTCCTTCCTTCCTCTAGGAGACTGTGATCTCAAAGGCGTCGTCGAACTTTCCAGTAGATGTTTTGGTATCTGCGGCGTCCAAGATCCTACAGGGGTGTCGGATGACGGTGGCCCCGGCTTTGATTGAAGCGTTGAAATCTTCATGGCCTCACTCATTTCTTCATGAAAGCGGAAAGCATTCTTGCGATTGGCAACATGCTCATCCCAGTCTGGAATGTCTCCACGAAGAGCCTCCACTTGTGCTTGGAGCTGCTGTAGGCATAGCAGCAGCTGTGGAGTGGCTGACGGACTCCATTCTGGAAGCCTTGAAGCCATTTCTGTGTTCCGCATGTCCTCGTTAAGGTATTCTGTAGACTCAATATCGTTGCTTTCGAAATGGTAGTCCGCAGGATCGACAGATAACCAGCCCTCCAGACGAAGTTGTGAGCAGGTGCCAAGACCAATGATCGCTTCAGAGAGGGCGAGATTTGTCTCGACATCATTGGTAAGAAATCTACGCAACAAGTCGAGGATAGACTGGAAAAGTGGGTCTTCGGGTAGTAAGTAGTGCGGGTCGACGTCCCTTGCTGTAGACTCCGCAGAATCGAAATACCCTGGGCTCTTTGGGTGTGTGGGGTGTAACGTGATTGTTTTTAATGTGCAAGGATGGTTCTCCAGGGCGCTCAACGTGTCTTTCAAATAGTTTTCATAGGCCTCGTCGACACCCTCCAACCCAGCAAGACCGACGGCTAGATCCAAGTACTCCTTGAGTTCCTTGTTTAGAGAACCGACTGTTCGGTGGGGCTCTTTGTGATGCAAGTACATAACTTTCACTAATGAGCCAAGTGCATATCCATGGTTTTTGCTGAGTATAATCTTTGTTAGCTTCAACGCTGCGATGACGGTTTGGGGGTTCTCAGAGGCTGTACTGCCTAGAACGAGGTCGACAAGGTTGAATAGCGACGGGTTTAGGCGGTCATCGTCCTTTCCGGGAGCACTGAGCAGCATCAGAGACTGACGTCTTTTGACCGCAGCGGGTGATCGCGGCATCTTGGGCGATGCTGCCGTGTAATCCAGAAGCGCAAGTAGATATTGGAGAATCATATGCACAAGCTCAGGATGATCAAGAGCATCGAGAATGTGGCGGAGGTATGTAAGCACTGCGACAGAAGAGCCGCCGTCCGCATCCGAAGACTCTAATAATGAGGGGTATCTGGCTGAGGTCAGCTCTCGTCACCGTACGGGAAAAGAACCTGGAGAGACGAACAGTAACTGCTGGAGGAACAAAATCTGAAAGTGATCAATCAATGTATGTCTGACATCTGTGGATCGGCAATGCTCGAGCACATCTTGCCAAAATGTAAGGTAGGATAGGAAGGTAACGAGATGATTTTGGAAGTCATCGCCAAAGAAGCTCTCCGCTTGTGGGTTATGTTGCATCTCGGCGTAGTCGGAAAGAGACAGGATCAGAGGCATGTCCGACTCCGGATGCAGGATCGAGAGCTTCCTGGTAGAATGTTAGTCAACTGGTAGATGTGCGCGAACCAGGGAGTTGCACCTGCTCATCTGACTGTACAGCGCTCCTAGGCCAGTGGCCATGAGGGTAGGCAGATCACTGTTCACAATCCACTGCTCCAAGGTAATAGACCTCGATGCAGACTCGAATATGTAGAGCAAGCCGGTTCGGGCAAAGTCTCCAATACGTCCTTCGTGGTGAACGTGGTCGATGAGCTGATAGCACAACGGGAAGTCCTCCTTCTGGGTAACGCCTGCAAAGTCGACCTTCTGGTTCACCAGTCGTCCATTGGAGTCTGCAGATGTGGTGGTAAACCAGACGGGCAGGATCTCTGGCTGTAACCTAATCTTTGCCGCAATGCCGAAAAGCAGCTCCACGATATCGGCCTCGATGTCCTCTCCCACGCCCATGCTCCCGGAGCCGACAGTGCGATTGATGAAATTCATCAGGGATACGGCGAAGACGTCATTCTCGAGGAAGTCCTCTTCTTCGCTGTCGATGAGCGCATTGTAGAATGCGACGGCATCTCGGACCATACCCTCATCGTGTGACGTCGCTGCGATCTTCGAGACGGCTGTGTATATCTGCTGGGCAGCGGCGAACTGGAGGCACATGTGCGGTGCCGGTGAGCGGGATTCGTCGTTGAGTATCGCGGTAAGGGCTTGGAAGGCCCGGCGGATGTTGCCCAGTGCTTCGCGGTCGTTGGCAAGATTCGGCGTCTTCTGCCATGATTGCTGGGGACTGGTAAGCCCGTATGTCTACTATGGTTTCGGTACACGGCGCACCAGGACTTGGTTGTATCGCTGCCGGAAGCGTGCCAGACGCTGTTGCGGATTGTTTGGCGCGGCCTGCTTCTTCTGGGACGACCCGCCAAGTAGCCTCACCCACTTGTTGAATCAGCAAAGCATCATGTCACAGGGAGGAAAACACGAACGAAGTCCATTTGAAAAATCTATTCACCCCGCATCCGGGCACTGTACGTGGGGTTCGAAAGGTTGCAGGAGTGATGTCGACGCGGGTCGCGTTGATTGTGGAGCTCGAAACTAACCGCGTCGCAGCCATTCAGCCCAGGCAGGAACGCCCATCTTCGTGACCTCTCCACGCTTTACAGAAAACGGCCAACGGTCAACTCAATCAACTCCCGGCCCAGTACACTCGAGTCTTCGAGCTTGAAACTAATAGCTACAGAAACCCGGTACGACATGAGAGAGGTCAGGGACTGCCGCGGAACTCGCTAAACTAAAATGCCTGCTTCAGCCATAGCGTGATCTATCTCCCCGAGGTCAATCACCCTGGCTAGGTGTACACTTTAATATGCAGATGGGGAGGCAATATGTCCTTGAATAGCCGAAAGGTCTGTATAACGTCCTTTTCCAAAAATCTAACAAGTCTCTTTCTGCCACTCAACTATCCTCCAGTCGACGCACCTCTACAGACTGAGCACAAGGACGTACGGACGGGGTGACACCGGGGGCGGGCTGTGGATGGAAAGAAGGGGAGACCAATAACATGCTCTTATATTGTATGATACACTCTCGATATTTGTGCTGTTTTGCAGACTCCTTTCTACAGGGTTACGGCTGAGCACTGGGCACTACCAAGAGGAAGCGTGAATGAACCAAGGCTGCGTCAGCCGCACAGGTGGTACCACTAGCGCGAAACACGTCTCCAGCCTCGCAACTGCCACCTCAGCCCTCACCTCTCTAACCACGTCTTCTAGCTGACCAAAAGGAAATCAACCGTTTGACAATTGAGCATCGTTTCTTACCTTTAGTGTGACCGCCAAGACCACCTGCTGTATAATGTAACCGAACCTGACCCGTCTGTACCGCGCGTTTGCTGCACGTAATACAATCACCCATTTCCGACTTTGCTACCCTCCTAAAACTTACAAAAGACTCTCAGTACGTGCCTCCTGCATCAGGCACTACTCTATCGCGCCCGGATCTCCTCAACGTCTCTTCTACTTTTTGGAAAGCAATCACGAAGCCTTCCAACCTCACGCGCCCATGCCTTAGTCAGGGAAATCACTATGGCTGATTTCGAGATTCATAGGCATATCGAAGGAGGTAACGTTAGATTCATTGCTGGATGTGCTCTCTCAGGATTCGACCTCAACCCCAGTATCCGGATTACCAACAGGCTGTCTATCAAATCTGACGCCAACACAATCCTTGTATCCTGGCGGCCTAGTACAGAAATTGGATCTTTGATGATAAAGGGGGTGCTGCAATCGGTTGCAGGCCCACTACGGTTCTGCCATAGGCCACCTCCTGACGTGAGAGGAAGGTGGCACGGGAATACGATCGCCGGCTTCTATCATCCAGAGCACGCGCAAGCAGCCCTGAAACACTTCAGCGGCTCAACTGAGATAGAAGTTCAAGTGGTATACACAGTCTACTTCACCGCTCCTAAAGAACTTTCAGATGTTGTCCTCCTCGATGTAGAGGACATTGCATCTCAGATTCCGGAAGCCAAAATAACCTGGGAAGAGCCTAGAGGCGGTATGGTCACGTTGCGTCTTTCAGGGACAAGGCAAGAGAATATCGTTGACATGAAGAGAATTCTCGAAGCCATCTACGCAGGACGCATCGCTACCAGCAGCCTACAAGCTACCCGCTACGAGATCTGGCACGATTTCTTTGCCACGCCTCCAGGGGAGGTCTGGCTTCAGCACCTTGCGCGAGACACACGCGTCGTCATCATGAGTGACAGGTTGCAGCGGCGTCTACGCATCTATGACCCGGAAGAGGATGACATCCACAAGGGTTATGTGGAGCAGAAACTTGCAGAAAAGGTGGCTGAACTTGACGCCTGGCAGGAAAGTCATGCCATTCAGCTGGATGTGAAAGATTTCAGGAAGCTTATTGCATCTGAAACTGTCGCAAAGGCGCAGAAGAAGCTGGGCAGGGCAAATGTCAGCCTAGATATTCTCAAGAAAACGCTCGTGCTCCGCTGCCCTCGCAAAGCAGCGTACCTCGTCACGTACGAGCTGAACTTACCCCTACCACCGCCAGATATCAGGAGAGCCAAGCGTGAATGCCCCCAATGCGGCGACGCAACGACCGACATCGAGTTCTCTGGCTGTGGCCATGTCGCCTGCAGAGACTGCTTTGATCATCAACTGCGGGTAGCGTCATCTGATCTCACTGGCAACCACTTTCCCCTCGTTTGCTGGCATGAATATTGCGGGCAACCGGTCTCCATTCCGGATCTTCGCAAGTACGCTACGGGCACGGTGGTTGACTCGTTGCTGAAGGCATCTCTGACCTACCATATCCGCTCATCGCCCGACATCTATCGGAACTGCCGTACCCCCGACTGTCAGTCTGTATACCTTCGCAACGGTTCCTACGAGATCTTCACTTGCCCAAACTGCCTAACGCAAACGTGTACCTTGTGTCACACTGAGCCCCACGTTGGCTGGACCTGCGCGGAATTCGATGCACATCTTCGCAAGACGCAAGTCAACGAACACCTACTAGATGGATATAAAGCCCGGGCGGGTACCAAAGACTGCCCAAAGTGCGCCACGCTCATCGAGAAAGTTGATGGTTGCAATCATGTCGAGTGCAGCGGCTGCCATGGGCATATTTGTTGGGTTTGTTTAAAGGTCTTCACGAGAAGCGACGCCATATATCAGCACATGAACGATGCGCACGGAGGAAACGGGCTGGTTGATGACGGAGAAGACGAGGATAGTGAGCTTGATAGTGAGGACGACGACGACGACGACGATGACGAGTGGGAGGATACTGAAGAGGAGTACGAGGGCGAGCATCAAATGCTACACCGGAATTGGTAGCTAGGCATGTCGACCTCGAGCATAACCAGAACTCTCGTTGTAGTGTCGATTATTTGCTTATGCAGCGGTATTAGGGTATCGCCCAATTAGGCCTAGGATATTCCAAGGTTTTCCGATTTGGGTACTGATCTGGCCCGATTTGGACTAGGGCCTAGGGGAAATACGAGCTCCTGCGTAACTTGTCCGTCCAACAGCCCGGAACACGGGGGCTCACCTTCCGCTTACCAACTTCCCGACCCCATCGATTACCAACCTCGCTTTTCTTCGACCCCGGCTCGGTTTCGGTACAATGTTGGGTGTCCCAGGCAGCAAAACGAGGCTCTGGCGCGCCAATTTATACAAATGTGGTTAAAAGCTTATGGTTAGGCGGCCCTTCTAATCCCCCGGGGGAAGAGGATTTCATCCATGACCTTGAAAGAATAAATAATTGTGCGATAAGCTGAAGGTATATGTGTACATAACATCCTCGTCAAGTTCTTCTCTCTTTGCAGTCAGAAAGTCAACAAACCTTCGTTTCAATTCTTCATCATCGCCCCCTTTCAACCTATCCCACCATGGCAGAGCAACGCAACATCGTGATCCTTGGCGCATCTAGTGCCGGCCTCCAATCCTCGCACTACATCCTCAAGTACATACTGCCCGCGTTGAAAGCTAAGAACGACGCGAAATACCATGTTTACAACATCGCACCATCTGCGCACTTCTATTTCAAAATTGCTTCACCTCGAGTCGCGGCGTCAACGACACGCATGGCAGCTGAGGATATCGTGTTCGACCTCCATGAGAACTTCAAGCAATACTCTTCGGATGACTTTACCTTTATCGAAGCTTCTGCTACCGGCCTAGACACCTCAGCAAGAACCATATCTTATCGCAGCCACAAAGGCTCGGAAGATGAGCGCCTCCCTTATCACGCTCTTATCGTTGCCACAGGGAGCAGGACCATACATCAAGCTTTCTCATCAAGCAGTGTCATACAAGACACGCTAGACTCTATCACTTCCACGAACGAGAAGATCCAGTCCGCCAAATCCATCATCATCGTCGGCGGTGGCCCGACAGCAGTCGAATTCGCAGGCGAAGTCGGCGAACACCGCAACGGCAAACCAGGCTGGCTGAGCAAGCCGGAGCGCAAAGTCAACATCACTCTCATCACCGCAGACAAACAACTCCTACCTTCGTTGAGCCCTGCAACTGCAAAGAAAGCAGAGCAGAAACTCAAGGCAGTGCACGTAGACGTTCTCTACAACAGTCGTGTGACTAATACTTCCACCGCAAAGGAAGGCCACACTGTCGTTACGCTCGGAAACGGCGAAAATCTTGAAACGGATTTCTACGTTCCTGCGTATGGCGTTGAGCCCAACTCCTCTTGGTTGCCAAATGAGTTACTCGACGGGAAAGCCAAGCTGATTACCAATAAGGAGACATCGCGTGTCGACACCGCAGGCCCACGCGTCTATGCGCTCGGTGATATAACGTCTTACTCCCGCAACAACGTATGGGATATTCTCGCCGCTTTCCCAGCCCTTGTCGTCAACATTCAGCGCGACCTCCTTTCCTATGACGCCCTCCAACCCGATGCGAAACCCAAAGGCAAAGATAGAATTATCCAGTTGGACGCGCTGGTTAACATGGTTGTGCCTATTGGCAAGAGTGACGGAGTGGGCGAGATTAAGGGGTGGAATTTCCCGAGTTTCCTTGTTTCGGTTCTCAAAGGGAGGGATTTCTTAGTGAATATGAGTGCGAAGCCAATGGCGTCCGGTGTCAAGACGAAAGAAGTCAAGTGGACGGCTGAAGAGAGTGCTATATGAGGAGTTTTCTCGTGATCTGGAGTTGGGGTTGGGTTGTGTCGCATGGTACGCATGGAATTTCGTTCAGGGGCGATTGCTTTCCTGAGCAAACAGCATTGTAACTGTGCCATCCCCAGAGCTATATAATCAAGATGATATTCATTTCTACTACCGACGGCCTACTGGACTCTTCACTTCTAGAAAGCAGCATCTTGGACGTATCTAGACCCAGTATAAGGTAAGGAACGCATCATCTTTTCAAAGCTAAAGAAATATAGGTATAGAGGTTGCGAAGTCAGGCGTGTGGTTCTAGTGGAATGTAAAGATCTGTCGATCGTTTTAAATATGTACTTTGGTAGGAATAAAGTTATGAACAAGAATGTCAAAAGGCCGTCCACATACGGATCACTCAACTTCACAGCGTCGCTCACCTACGCATGTCACTGCTTCTCCTACAACTAGCTTACCAGCCACGCTGGGTCTTCAAGTGCCTCCACCAGTCACGTGCCATCCATGCATCAAACTCGGTGATCTCGGTCGCACTACCAGCGTTCATGACGAAGTTGGTTACACCGGCCGGGGTCCAGTCATAGAAGTCATCGAGCGCGAAGGTGTGGCCAAGCTCGTGGAGGACAATGTGGAGGTTCTCCAAGTCGAGGTTCTCCATGAAATACTCCTGGGCGACGCGCTGACCCCAGTCACCACCTGCACCGCCACCGAGTCCGGGAGTAAGCCAAATAGATTGGTCTGGTGATGTGTATTAGTATCATGATCAAGATGGGTGTAGAGGGCAAGAGGTGAGCGCTTACCATAATGACGAGCAGCACCCTTGGCGCATCCTGCGTAGTTGCCATCTTGGTTGAAGAACCGGCCGCAAGACTCGGCGCACTGAGGGACACCACCATCGTCCTTATCAGTGTAAACATCGATCTTCGAAACATCGCCCTGAAGAATCGAAGCATCGTTGACTGCCCAGCCGACGACGTTTACATCTACAGTCGCATACGGCCATCCCTCGAATCCTGCAAGAACTGCCATCCACTTGTTAAATGCCCGGCGAATCGCAACTTCGACCTTTGTGCGCTGAGCCTCAGTCACTTTCGCATTGCCTTCCCAGCGAACGCAGTAGTTGATCTTGCCCTTGGCCGCAAGGACCTGATCGTATCCGTAGTTCTTAAAGCCCAAGGGGTTGGAGTATGTCTTCATTTCATGGTCCCAAACGGAGTCGAGCGCAGCGGCAATGTTGCTAGGGGGATTCCATGTCTTCACTTTCAAGTCGCGCTTCGAAGTCGCCGGGCTGATGCTGTCCCAGGCACTGCTGTCCTCCTTGAAGGTATGGTTTTCGAAGCTGCAGACGGGCTGGGGATCAGCGGCACGACGCTGGATGTGGTGGTGTGCGTCGGCAGGAATCGTGGCTGCGAAAGCGGATGCTGCAATAGCGGAGAAAGCAAGTGAGTACTTCATTTTGAGGTTGGAGACTGAGGTGGAATCAAAGAATGGGAATGATGTCCAGCACCAAATATAAAAAACCAAAGGGCTCGAAAGCTAGACAGCGGAAGACAACGAAAGAAGGAGTGTAAGTAGCTGGTCTTTACAATTTCGATATTGATTGCATGAAGGGTCTTATATATATAAGCTCTTTCGCCTTGTTACCCCTAGCAGGCTTATTTCCACGTATCAATTCCCTACGCGGCCCATGCTCATCCCATTTGTTTGCTCGTAGTCTGTTTGAAGGGGGACGCTGCCCCTCTAGGGAGTTTCGAAACAGGGCTTGGCGACGGAGAATTGACGCCTCGGTAATCTAGAACGGAGAATTCGAGTGTATGCGAGATGCAGTGGTTGCATTGATGTGGGCCTTCTCCCAACAACTATGCACCCCGCATTCCTACTTAATTATCCAACAACCTTGCGATATATCTGATTTAGCCCTGCTGGATAATTGCTACGGTTCCTTCGATCGGTGGAGTCATCTGAAGCTGTTTGGTGGAGCAGAAGGAAATATACCCTTGCGTCGATCAAACCGTAAAAATACCTACAGGCCCGGAGACCCACCTGTCATCTCCGATATCTCAGAACGTCCGCTCCCGGGCTTCTACCGAGCTTTTGCAAAACGACCTAGAATGACACGATCAATCTCTATATGAGGTTTGAATGAGAATGTCGTGACGCGTAGTGAGCAACTGCTAAATTTAGGTAACAACTCGCTCAATAGCGGAGTGCTGCGCGTTCGGCAGTTTTTTCGTAGGCATAACTTCGAGGGAACAAGAATGCTCGGAATCAAAACGTTCACCATCAAGTGAATGGCCTGATTATAGTATTTAAAGTGTACTAGAAGCCTCGAAGTATTCATACAGGTATCCTTCCAAGGACAATGCCGTGCTTTTACCCTCCTGGAGCAATGATCTTAAGCATACAAGTGTGAAGGGAAAGCCTCCTCTTAAATCCAAGATTGGGAATCAAGCGATACGATCATCCTCTCCAGCCATCGCCTCCTCTTCCTCTATAACCCCCACCTCCTCTCCCTCTCCCTCTGAACCCGCCTCTTCCCCCTCCATACCCCTCACTCCATGGCCCCCTGTCCTCACCAACTTCCACGATCCTATCCTCCCCATCGAAGCTATACTTATACTTCATCTCCGTCTTGATGCCTCGCCCTTTCCTAATTTCACCGGGAGCCCAGTCTCTACTCGTCTCATTGTCTAGCTCCTTCAGCCTTGCAGCTGATATTTCGTCCGATACGGGGAGGTAAAAGAGCTGTGGCTTCGCTTCTGTGGAACGAAAGAGTTCGTCGAGGGTTTTGAAGGACGCTTCAATATCTTGTCTTGAATCTGCAAATGGAGCAGCAGGTGTGGGTGGCTGCTGTGTGGAGAGACGATGCATGTCAACGCTGGCACGGGGACCTCGTGGCGCGTTAGAGGGAGCGCTAGATCCGACTTCCTGGAAGACAGCAGATATGATGCCATCGCCAGACTCTGGGTAAATCACTTCAAAGCGCTTTGGCTGTATTGAGGTACCGCTAGCTCTAGCCTCTTTCTCGGCCACTATTGCATCTTCTTCTTTTTTGATCCAGTCGTCTACTTGATCCTCAGGGACAAAGTCGACCCAAAGTTCTTTCCTATTGCCCTCTGGGGGCCAGATCGAGCCATGTAATGATGCTCGTACCCTAGATGCTGCGGTCGTGGTGGTGAAAGAAACTAGGGCGTGGGTCTTCATCGCGTCGAGAAATAGCGACTTGACAATGGCCGAGTCGGGTGAGCTGGAGGGTGGTGACGCAAGAGATACGAGATGGGCACGAAGTGGCTCGGGACGCAGAGGACGCATGAAGTTGCGAATGTACAAAGCAGATGTGACTGGATGCAGGGCAGGCACGGTTGGCCGATCGTCCGTTATAGCCTCCATGGGTGTCTCGCCCGAGGTGGGTTTGACAAGACTTTTGTATCGAGAGACGTTTTCTTTCTTTTCGCGCTTCATGTCGGACTCCACTGCTAGCGATTCCGTATCGGCTTCCGCGTCATAACCACCATTGGATTCTTCAGCCTTCACTTCTGTTTTCATTGCGGCATACTCAACGGGTTGCCTCTGCTCCATAACGACATCATCGTCTTCTTTGAGCACGACCTCGGGTGCAGCTCCCTGACTCGGCCTGTGCTTCTTCGCTCTGATATCCTGGGACGGCAGTTCTGGTGTGACACTCCTCCTCTTTCGCTTCTTAGAGTCAGCTTCCAACTCCTCCGTGTTGAGTCTCGATGTCTCGGCAGTCGATCGCTCGGGTATGGGAAGTAGCTCCGGCTTCTCTACTGAGGGCTTCTCATTCAGCGCCGGCGATGGTGTGATGTCTTTGCTTGCAGGGTCTATATCTTCTTGGGACTGCGCAGGCACTTGTTGCGCAAAGCGCAGAGCTTCAGCAGCCGGGGCTAGGACCTCTGGTAGTCCACCACCGGCAGTTTCTTCCTTCTTGTCACCGACAGCTTCCTCGTCCGTAGACTCAGTCATGACTGGTCCCACCACATGCTCAGGATCCAGAGGTGGCGCATTAAATGTTGCGACGGGTTGCAGCGCGCCTGCCTCCTCCTTCGCTGTGGTGTTTTCTGTCGGCTGTTCGGTTGCCATGATCTGTTCAGGTGGGGATAGGTCGCTTTCAATATGTGAGACGGTCTCCGGGACAGGAACTGGGAGCGGTTCTGGCTCTATGCTGGTATTAGCCTCTGGAGCACCATGCCGACCAATGTGACACATACCGCCAGCTTCTGCGAGCGCGGGTGCAGGAACATCTGGCTCCTTCGCTTCCTCTTGTCCACCCGCTTCTTGCTCTACTTTCTCCACGGAGTCTGGCGCGTCGATGCTGTCGCTGATAGTTTCTGGCGCCTTTTGGGCCTCTGCGCTAGCTTGGTCCGCTTCTTCCAGCTTCTCAACGATTTGAGCCTTCCTCTGCAATCCCGTACTTGGTATCCCTCGCTCCTTGAGCAGCTGCCGAAGCTGCGCGACCGTCTGCTTGTTGTAGTCTGTCATGGTTGCTTCCTGCGTCGCTCAATTGAAAATAATTTCGTGTATCGATGGTCGCATGTAAAAGCGCACGCTGCTATAGTATTCAGACTCGCAGAAAACAACGTGGATGAAGGAGTGTAAGAAATAGCCAAAGTCTGCTTGGTGCGCGCTGCGTGCGTCAAGCTTCAAAGAAGTTCACACGCGTTGGGAAGGCACGCTAGACGCTTGGCACGCATCAACGGCCGTGCGCTACGTGTGGGGAAGCGTAGCCGGAACCTGATCGGCAGTTTTGCAGCATCGCGTCTCTCATCTTTCCAAGCTCACTCTCCCACACCACAGAGGCTAATATGTCATATACGTGAATGAGGGACGCACGACGTATACCCTCAAGGTCTGTTGAAAGAACCCTATATGCATCTCGCAAAGGATCTCAAATATCGCTCAATTAGTTGTCCAACTACCCTACAATATGTCAGATTCCGCCTCGAGCCATCTTATCTTTCTTCATGCTAGAGAACAGTTGGTCGCAGTGGTACGCAGAAGTGGCAAGCGAGCCTCATAAAGGAGGCTGAGCACTTCATCGCGCTTCCCGCATTTTCAATAGCTCTTGCGTCGCACGGCAAGGTGCTCCAGGCTCCAGGACAGTGCTGAGCTCTCTCATCTCTACCACACCATGGCCAAATGCGAGAACGAGCGCTTTGAGCGCGAACTAATCCTCGAAGACGCGCTCCCAAACGAGACAACTTTCCACCTCCTAGCGCTCAACCTCTGCTGTGGCTTCGCATGTCTTGCCATCGCGCTGTCCGTCTGGCACATCCTCCGGCACGCTCTCCACTACCTGCGGCCCTACGAGCAAAGGCACATCATTCGAATTCTCGCAATGATACCCATCTACGCCTTTACTTCCTTTCTCAGCTATGTTTTCTACCAGAATGCCATCTATTACGAACGTGTCCGCGATTGCTACGAGGCTTATGCGATTGCGAGCTTTTTCACGCTAATGTGTCATTATGTTGCGCCAAATCTGCACGAGCAGAAGGTTTATTTTGGTAATGTGAGGCCGAAGAATTGGGCGTGGCCGCTGAGTTGGCTGCAGAAGCTCACGGGAGGCGAGGATAGAGGCTGGCTGAGGAAGCCCCGGAGCGGGCTAACTTGGTTCAACGTACACTCTATGCCTTTCAGTCCTGACTTGTTATTGATAATGAGCAGATCGTCTACGTTGGTATTTTCCAGTATTGCATCATTCGTCCGCTGTGCATGATCGTGGCTGTCATCTCCCAATCGCAGGGCAAATACTGCCAAAGCTCCACAAGCCCTCGATTCACCTCCCTCTGGGTTGCCGGCTTCGACGCGATTTCTGTGACCATCGCCATGTACTGCCTCGTCCAGTTCTACATCCAACTAAAAGAGGACCTAACGCCGCATCGACCCTTCCTCAAAGTTCTCAGCATCAAGCTCGTCATCTTTCTCTGTTTCTGGCAGAATTGGCTTATTTCGCTTTTGACAGCTGAGAGCGGTCCGCTCAAACCTACCAATTTTGTCGCTGGGCCGGACCTACGAATCGGAATTCCGTGTATCCTCACCTGCGTCGAGATGGCATTCTTTGCGGTTTTGCACCGTTGGGCCTTTCCATGGAAACCCTACGATATCGAACGTGTGCCTAGACACCGTAGGCAGCATTACGCCTGCGGCCCGAACGCAGCTCTACTTGAGGCTATCTACCCTTGGGACTATGCAAAGGCCGCTGCTCGCGGCTTTCGTTGGCTGTTCCACGGTCGACGCTTTCGGAAGGACGACCCATCATACCAGACGGAACCGAACTTTGGGATGAAGCAGGAGCTAGCTGCCAGAACGCGTCCTGGGGCGCGTACTGACCCTGGGCATACCGAAAGCAAGAAGCGCAAGCACATGGAGCGGAAGACGGCTTAGGGGAAACTTTGGACTTGGTTTGGTTGAGAAGGACGGGATGGGGAATTAGTGTGAACTCGAAGTATCGAGCCCTAGGAAAGAATAGTTGAACACCTCGTCACTAGCATAATTACAAAGTAGCATTTGCACAATGTCGAAGACAGTTACCTTCACTTTGGAGCTTGTGCTAGGAGCTCGCGAACCTACTTTGTGATTGCCGTGCTACTTTGAAGGGCATTAGAGTTGTCCAGGCTGACGCAAGACCTTGAAATAGGCTAAACGCTAAGCAACGTGCGGGCGCGGGTGTATACGCAGTAGGTAAGCTGAAGGCACAACATCATTCGTTCTGTTTCACACTGCTGACAGGCACTGTTGGTCTCGTCCGCTCCACAAATATGAACACCTTGCAGATCCTTTCTCTAGGTTACCTTTCTCCACAGTTCTGTTTAACCTTATATTGACGTAGCCACAGACTACCTAGTTGTCACCATGTTTCTCTTAGCAACCTTAGCCGCTCGTAATATCGAAGTCACTTCTTCCTACCGCACAGAATCCATCCCATCACGAGGTGGGGTAATGAACTCGTATAGCTCTATGGGTGAGGTTCAGATATTGTTCACAAATTGCCTTCATACAACTACCTGAGTAGGTACTTCTACGTTGTACTAATGTATAAAGACCAGCACCCTTGCTAGCAAAATGGTATCATCTCATCAACCGATTCTGAGATTTCAGCTTTCCAGCAAGGGATTTTTGAGCATTTCATCTACTATGAAGTCATCGTTCGCAACCTCCTTAGGTCTCCTCGGTCTAGCCACCGCCGTCGCGCTCCCTACCCCCAATGCCGACCCCATCGTCCGCATCCTCCCACCAAACTGGGCCTTCAATATAACCTCGCTCCGTGGCCCCGGTTGCCCCGACTTCGCCGAGCCCTCTACTGGCTTCAAGACACGCCTAACATACGGCCAAAACACCATGGATGGCTCTGAGATCTATTACTGGCATGTCGCATACCCTCATCTGCGTGCTAGTCTTGCCGGTGAAGACCATAGCTGGTGTGAGACGGAGTTGAGCTATTCAGAGTATGCGGATGCAGAGCAGACCAAGAAAGGGGAAAACTATAGGTTGAGACTTCACAAGAATGGCACAAAGGTTCTTGCGACATATGACCTTGACGAGGCCGTTAAGGCGAAATGGCAGGTTACTTATGATACTGAACGTGGTGAAGACGTAAGTCTCTCTACTTTGTCCTGGTAGTCATTGTAGCTGACTCCCTTCTGATAGATCACGGACGAACTCACTATCGCTGGGCCCCATACATCCGGCCAGTATGCCCAGTCTGACAACTCGCCCGTCTCGAAGAACCCAGAACTCTACAAGCTGCCCAAGTGTGGTGCAGGAAAGATCAAGTTCAGGACTGATCTCCACATTGTGGGTGAGAAGGGGAAGAAGGGCGTTGCGGAGAGTGAGAAAACTAAGTCGGCTGATGGTAAGGAGCAGTACTATGGGGCACAGGTGGGGTGGAGCTATGACTGGGAAAAGTGTGTGACTAGTGATGTGTGAGGCCAAATAGGGAGACGGGAGGTGAAAGTTGAATTAATAGCTACCATTCTCCTGGGCACAAACGCTCCCGAAAAGAAACTCCTACACAAGGAGATATATCTGTCCCATGAAAGTCGGTTACAATATTATGAACATTTGTTCTCCGCCTTTCGTAATATTTTTAGCCACTTCACTTGGCCTAAGAACCTAAATGACTTAGTGGCGCTTCTAGCCGCCGCATCCCACGAGATGAAATGGGGGCCATATTATGGCTTTTAGTCAACGGTGTATAGTCGGCGATAAATGTTCGCAAGCGAGGCTTCTGGGAATGCAGTTCAAAATGGGAATAAAGTTATAATAGTGGATTGCAAACCATAGCGTGAATGGTATCATTGTGATACAGTCGCGCAGACGTTGGACGGGCCGCTTAGGTTCAACGGCGTCACACCGGCTTAATACAAGGAGGAACCATGAAGGGCTCTCTTATCATCGTCAAACTTCCTTCTTATTCGACAAAGTCACTGGCCCTTATACTCTGGTTGATGTCATCTACGCTGATTGGACGACAGAATCTAGCGCTTGTGCACTAGGTCACGCAAATATGCACGATATATTGATGCTATGCAGCCAAGCACAATCTCAGCCTTTCTACTCTACCACTATTCGCTTATGCCGGTTGCTTATAGGTTCTTAGTGCGGTTGCCTACACTGTTATGGTAAGTAACTTGATTTATCCCTGCATCTTTGCATGAAGCGTTTTTGCTTTTTTCTAAAAGCATATTTCACTATAAGTAGAGGAGCACGGCAGTTTTTAGCTGCCAACCAACGCCTGAATACCCTATAATCTCCTCCTTGTTTGCACTCCATGTTTTTTCCATATAAAGCGCTTGGATAAGCATTCACTGTCGCAAACGACACACTACCCCTACGTTCTGTCCGAGGTGTTGTGTATTGTTTGCGACGTGTAACTAGGTACATTATCCCAACGTGCCTCTTGTAGTGCTTGTCCCGCTAGGGATGTCGCTGTCATATACCCTGGCTCAATTGCTCACTCTTTTGATAGATACGAGAACACTGCATCACAACCACAAATACCGTGTACATTATATACAACGAGAGTACACTCATGAGAGTACACTCATTCGTTGTGAAATAAATATGATTAGCCATAGAATGGAAACTACGCACGGCAGTAACGGGCCAGGTGTAAGTGAAATTGATGACAGCTTCGACGCAAAGTTCCATTACGAAAGGGACGAACGACTCGATGTAAAACCCATCATCAAGTGCAACAGTGAGTGCTCCGAGTCTGTCGATGAGCGAGGGTTACTTGAGGCAAGCTTGAGTTATGCCGAAAAGCCTCAAAAAGTTGCGCGCAAACGCACAAAATGTAGTAATAGCGTCAAATCTGGCGAGAAATTACGCGTAGGATGTCCTTTCTACAAGAAAGACCCTAAGAAGCACCAGAAGGGGTCGTGCCGTGGAGTTGGATATGCAGAAATGGGGAAACTCAAGTAGGCCGTTCCACTTCCAAACTCTTACAATACCTTTGGCTAAAAGTACACAGGGACCACCTCAAAGACGTTCACCAGCTTCCTAAAAGCATTTATAAGCACAAATTAAATTTCAAGGAACGCAAGTTCACTAGTCTTAGAGGAATAGATCGTAAATGGAAGCTGGTCTTCCAGATTTTATTTCCTGAAGTACATCATGATAAGATTCCTTCACCCTGTAAGAGAGAAAATCACCCTGTATTACATACAGCCATAGTCTCCATCATAAGCTAATACAGCATAGATTCAAACGAAGATATTATTATAACAGCGCCATTAAGCAACGACCTCGAAGTGCTGCGCGACAATCTCAGGAATATATTGTTAGCTCGTTTTAGGGTCGACATCTTGTGCGAAATACCTGATCTAGAGATCGAGTTTGATGTATTGTTTAGTCAAGCTGTCAAAGTCTGGAGAAATGGCGCAGTCATTGCATCGACAAAGCCGTGCGGATATACTGCGGAAAAGGTGGATATTGTTGCTGGAATGGTCGACACGATTACAACAAAGCACTACGATACTCCACCCCTGCTAGAACCAACACAAGCTTCTCCTCAACTAAGCAAAGGGTGTATCCAAGACTTTAGTGGCTTACCAACGGCCCCTGAACTCAAGACTGAAGACCTCTACACACCATTTCCGTATCTGAGAGAGCATATTCATTGGGACCCGCAAGATGATGTTGACACTAAGCCAGCTGTCGACGGACTCTCAAACGACTGCAAAATCGATCCCTGCTCGCCATATTTCGCCACACCTCCTGTTCTGTCAAACGAGCAGCATTTATCGAAGGCAGCTAAGGTGGACATGCCGGGATCATCTTTACAGGTGCTGGATGCGAATTACAGGATGTTATGCGGCTTCGACTTGAACATTCCATTCGATTATAGCGTTCCGTACGTTTTTGGCCAAAACTACCCATTGGCTTTAGATTCGCATCTTGCCTTGGACCACAATGCTGAGCTCACCACGCTAGGAGCATACTTGCCTCCTACTCCGTCTTTGACAGCTGTCAACAACCCATTTATGGGCTCTGATAATTCATTAGAACAAACTTCCGCCCGCTTCTCTGCTCTCAATGCACCAGGAGAAGCATCGCTCCCTAGCATCTGCATGCAAGAAAACGAAGAGGGGGTCAACATCGACGAGTGGCTAAATCTGGAAACTTGTACTCCCTGCAGCGAGTGGTCGGAGCAGCAGAGGCAGGCTTTGGATGAGGAAATGGACAGGCAGTTCGAGCTTCTTTAGTGGATAAGAACAGTCGTCGGATCAGGGTGGCGCTGCCAATGGATCATGATATTCTAGAATGGTTGCAAGTAACAACAACCTGACAGGAGGATACAATAGACTTGTCGGGTGACACATGAAATTGCGCAGTAAAAGTATGGCCTCGGGTACTTTCATCCAGTGTGAATAGTCGTATTCATAATAATATCCTTTCTCAATAGTTTGGATGTATCAAGGCTCTTGGATCCATAATGCTAGATATCTCGTTACTAGAATTGATAGTTGCCCCGCTAAATCTAGGCTGCCAGTACTTGGCGCGAATACAGCAGGCAGCAAGCATGTCCTATACCCAGACGGGATGCCTCTAGTGTTTTGCCGCAAGGATGAGTGTGCACGGACTGCAACTTCGTATAATACAAAAGCATGTCCGCACATGCTTCATTCCTACGAGCTCTCTTCCTCACCAATCTTGAAACATGCTGCAACTCCCAGTCGAGCTCCGACGACAATGCCTCGATTATCTCAAGGACGATACGAAAGCTCTGAGGGCCGTTCGCCTCGCACATAGTCAGCTCAGATCACTAGCAACCGAGATCCTCTTTCGTACGGCAACCCTCAATCACACGGATGAGAGCGCAGAGAAGTTGACATGTCTCGTGCAATCCCCACTACACTCCATGGTTCGATGCGTCGTCATCAACACATCAACTAATCCTAAAATCATGGACGAAGACGACGAAGACGACGATGATGCTAATATTCTCAAGTCGTTTGGGAAGGCGATCGCGATCGTCTGCATTTTGGAAAATTTGGAAGAGGTGGTACTGAATTTTGAAAGAGAATGCACTGCCCCAGAAAGCGATTCATGTTGGGATAACGACGTTAAGCAAGACGCCGATTTCCGCAACGAAGTTTGGGGGCTCTTGCTGACGGCTGTGCGGCAAGTTGAGGTGAAGAGTCTGGTCATCAATAATCTGCAAGACTATATGGACAAGGCCGTATTTGAGTCGGAAGATTTCAAAGCCGTGCGCGACCGTGTGACGCAGCTACATTTGCGGATAACGACGGAAAGCGAGGAAGCATCACCCGCGTCTGACATCGATTTCCCAGCGCTTCATGAGGGATTCGGAAGGGATCTTCCGAATATTTGGCTCCGGCCTTTGACAAACCAACTTACCCATCTAACATTGTACGGCAACGATTATTGGGGACTATGGCCTTTTGTCGATCTCCGCAAAGTACCGCCATTTCCATGCTTGAAGTCCCTGAGTTTAGGAAACTTTACTATTGCACATGACTGGCAGATCGATTGGATCCTTGCGCATGCCTCGACACTTCAAGAGCTCCTGTTGGACGATTGCCCCATCATCGTCGCTCTCAGTTTTGAGCAGGATGCAGCTCACACGATCTTTCCCGATCTGCCTCCCCTAAAAGACGTCTCCCCACACATCACCAATGATCCTGAAAGCTACTTCAAAATCGTTGATCTCCGTTGGCACCACGTTCTCGACCGCTTTTGTGCTCACCTTCCGAAGCTCCAGCACTTTGCGATAGGGAGTGGTGATTGGAATACGGAAAGGGCTTTTGAGGAGCGCTATGAGCTCATTACCAAATCATCGGGACTCGATTACCTTGTATTCGACTACGGTACTGGTCCAAGTTCGTGGCAGGGCCTAAACGATGAATGGTCTTTTTATGTGGGAGGAACCGAGCATTATGAGTTCAAGTTTCTGCGGTACGATGAGGAGGGTGAAAGAGCTTTGGCAAATTTGTTAGAGGCTGTAAAGGTGAGAGCGATCGCAAGGGCCTAGTAAAATTGTGAGGACTTGATATAGCTCGAAGATTGGGGTGGGTGCTGCGGTGGCAAACACTGTACATGGACTGAGTGTGGCCGAGAGTCCTTATTCACATCGAACCAGAAAAGCTGTTATTATTAAGTTTTCCCTTGCTGATAGTGATAATGTGGTCCGAATGTTGGTATAAGACTTTCCTGCGCGCGATATCTACAAGATTCCATACTCAGCAGTGACACAACTTCGCCCGTTATGAGTGATGGCAAATCCGGTCGTGGTTGCACTATTCAAGAATGACTCTACGTGCAACTTTGCTGGAACGACCACAGGTCTCTTGAAATGCACCTCCATCCACGCTGGCGCATTATCCTTTGATTGAATGCTGCGTGTCTCCAAGAGGCTCCGCAACGCTTTTGCAACGACGTGGTTACCGTGCGCAAGCTTTCCAGGAAGACCAAAGAGCCTTGCAGCGATACCAGAAAGGTGGATGAGGTTATAGTCTTTGCAAAGCGCCGCCCATCTCAACGGGTCACTGCTAGAGAATGACATGTGTACAGCTAGTTCCGAGGACTGTCGCTCCTCTACGGATGTCTTCTTATCTCTTGACTGTCCTTCAGCTCTAGAGACTTCCACCTTTCCGAATTCCAACATAGTAAAGACCTGTCGGAATACAGACACGTTGCCTTCCCCATCATCATTGGGAACTAGGATGCTGACTTCGAGATCGTACTCGAGGCCTCGCTTCACAGACCTTGGCTCACTGTGCACTCTCGCGGACAGAATGGCTCGATTCGGGGCTCTAAATGATGATAGGTTGCAGAGATCTGGCCGAAGAAGCTCAAATCTGTTGCGAACGTTGACCGCGCCAAGGGGGCTAATAGGACATATACGGCTGGTAAGGAGAAGCAACATTGCGGGCTCGGTCACAGCTGATAAGAGTATAACCAAATGTATGGGCTCGATGGGGGTCGTAGTCCCGCCATTGAGCCCGATCGCACAGCGATATCGAGCCTCATCCTCTTGAAACAATTGGAATGGCGAGTCCAGAGTCAACTCTTGGCTTGTTCTTTTGGTGGAAGATAGTCCCAGCACCCTGGTGATTGCTCGGAACAGAGATTTCCCTATGATAACCATGATCGCCAGGATCACTTCCTGGGTTCGAAGACAATTTGGAGAAAAGGCGAGGGTGACATGAGTAGTGCCTATCAAGAGCGGAATAAGCCGGTATCCGGACGCTGCGAATATCCCCAGGGCGGTCGTCGCTGCTACGACAGCAATTGTCACAGCCATCTTGCCTGAAAGGTAGAAAAAGGGAGTAAGAAGCAATCGGCAGAGTGTGGGCCGAGCTGTATTGACGGGACGGGCAATACCCACATTTGAGATGACGTCATCGCACACTACAGTCGTGGCAACTCCTTACAGCTTCTTCTGGCACTGAACCCACACAATAGCCGGTTGCTGTATCAGCAACATCCTAAGCTTTAAACTCTCTGATACGAAAGCGATTTTGAGTTTCATGCAGAAGTTTCGCAGATCGAAAACTCACCACAATACATCACAGAGTTGTTGACGTACGGGGGCATTAAGCTTCCGACAATATCAAAGCCCTCGATACAATTTAGAGACCGGCATTCTTTTCCGCATCTTCTTCGAATTGCCACTCTCAAGCCATAGCTCATCCGACTTCACTAACCCCATAGTCCAGCACTTCCTCCAACACTTTCTGTGTCCGCAAGTTGGGCACCGGTTTCCCATATGTGTAACTGACCAAACTCTACAACCTCTTCAGCGTTAGTCTATGCTTGGGTTTAGATTCAATAACATACAACGGTGACAGCGCCAGGTGTATGAGGCGGTATTTTTTGAGTTGCTGAGGCGATTGCCCATGGCATCGAGTAGTGGCTCAGCTCGAGGTAGATGTGCACTTTGCGTAAGCCTCAAAGACACGAGAAGATGAAGAAACAGCCTGAATATACTTACGGACTCTGAAGTGGAGAACCAAGATTTGGAAGATTGATGAAAGAATTGGGGCAAACATTCGAGAATGGAAGTTGACATTGAAGTGAGTAGGCGCCCTTCACTGAGCAGACGATGAGTGCTACGTGGAACCATTCCTGGACACCAATTTCTTATTGCTCTATGCGCTCGTCTCAATCGACTCCATGTAACTCTATTATTTTACACTCATTGTAGCCTCTCCGCCCCCTCCCTTATCCCCTGACCATAATCCCCCGCATTAGGAGTCCTGACAATGGTATGCGTATGATACTTTGCCGGTTCTTTATTGGTCAAGAAAACGCCGGAATGATGATCAAACTCAACCAGAATGACAGGGCTCTGTATCCTAAAGTAAAACGCATCGTTGTCCCCGAATCCGCCGATCCAGCAAAAGTAGGATTCGCTGAAGTGCTGCTTCATCTGCTCTAGCTTCAATTGCCGGGATTTCGTCGGATGGTAGAGGAGGAACTCGTAGCAGATGTCCAGGATGAGCTGCTGTTGTTCAGGTGTGAGAGAAGAGACCAGCACGCCTTCGTACGGAACGATGCGATTGTCGCGAAATGCGCCGCAGCGGTGTCGCTGGTCATCCGGACCCCAGGTGTCGGTGATGAGTTCATCGCGCTTACTCTCGTCGTTATTCGAATTCCCGTAAACCTGCTTCATTCCCTCATCCCTTAAGTTCTTGAACACCCGCGCTTTCTCCTGCTGCTCAGCACTCAGACTCTGCATCAACTTCAATCCTAGATTACCCTCCTTATGCAAAATCTCCGTGCCGTTCCATTCGCCTGCATCAATGATGTTTGGTTCGGCCCCAGTGAATGAGGGCGTAAGGACTACCTGCGACCCCTTGAAGAAACATGCAATGTCGAGGTGGTGGCCGTAGAGAAGCCATCCCCAGGGTGAAGATGGGGAGGTGGAAGGTGTGCCAAAAAGGAGGAAGTTGTAAGAGTACTTGTTCATTATGTTGGGGAGTTGCACGACTTCGCCTAAGAAGTGATTGATGCGCATGGCAGATATGGCTTTTGTGTAACCTTCCGGGGAGAGGGATGCTTCGACTACGCGTAGGATAGATTGTGCCGTTGACTCGGGGACTTCTATATGTTAGCAGGAGTTGAATTGGGTGATGGAGAATGTGCGCCTACCTTCCTCAAGGCGCAGGCCAAACGGCCTCAACACGAACTCAGGATTACTCCACGCACGCCACTCCCTCGCATTGATCGGATATGAGACTTTATTTTTTTGCTCCTCGCTCAAACCAGCGATCAGTTCCTCTGCCTTCTTGACCGCGCCTTCAACATCTGCGTCCTCGTCTTTTGCTTTAAATAAGCCGTCTCTTACGGTGCCATCACTCGTGACGCCTTTGTACGGTTCTTCTAGCAGCTTCTCCCACACCTTGGTCAAGTCATACAACCACGGCGGTGCGCGGTTATCCTGCATGCATTTTGCGTACTCGTATATATTCTGCTTCGCAGCTGTTGTGAAGCGAGGACTGCTGAGATCTGGTAAATGAGCTCGGAAGCCAGCCGACGCTGCGTCGAAAGAATTTCTTCGTGCCATTGGTTTTGAACAGGCGTAAAAGGTCACCTGTTGATGCGCTTTTTAGGAAGTGGTACGCACTAATGGTGTCAGATTTACCCCCGATGCTGACGCGACCTAATCGATCACGCAGATGATGAGTGGTAAAAATGTGACTTCCGGGTCAAGGCTCTTCCCGGCACTGAAGTTCTACAAAGCGTGGCTTCTCCGACGATGCAGTTGACAATTGTAAGGCCAATGTTAACACCGGTCTATCGCAAGCCTTTCCGACAGATGGACGAGATGTATACGCAATCACAATGCAGTGGACGGTGTCGTAGCGGACGTGTTCTGACCCCACAGTCTCAACTTAGCGCGGGGCCGCCGCCCCTCATCGCGCATCCACGGGACGAAGTTCGGCTGGGAGTAGCGGCTGAAGCTCACGCTCATTTTCGCTTTCTCTTCAAACAATCACAGTATTGATTAATAGCTGGAAGGGATGCCTATGGCGATATGCGAGGCATTGAGAGAAGCATTCTTTACAGGCGATATTGTAGCTAGTAACTAGCGACTCCATCTGTGAAGGTGGAAAGAGCCATAATTAGGACTGTTTGTTTCTTATCCAAAGCTCTCATTCTCCAGCATGTCTGATGTGAATCGCCAATTCTATATTCGGTTGGACAAGTCCCTCATTTGGTAAGACATGTAGGTCTCTGCAGACAGTGCGGCAACAGCAGCCAAACATACGCGTACGACCTAGATTGCCTCCAGTCGAGGCTGATCCCATCACAACGAGCAAACACTTACATCAGCTAGTTCTCGACTATACCGCTACAGGTAGAAAGGGGTCCTGACGCAGTTGTTGAGTACTTGCTGGAGGTTGTGCCTGGACTATTGGATGGTATAGTGACATGATGATGTTTAGAACTCATAATACTTGGATGGCTCACGTGCGGCGAGCTCAGACCCAAAGCCCCCTGTTTCACTGTACAGTCACCTTGTATCTCATCCATTCATCGTGCAGAGAAGCATGGATGGTCAATGACGAGATGAAATCCAGTCAACATTCATGGAACGGAACGTGGGAAGATGCAGGAACCGCAAGGCCATGTCAGGGGGCAATGCCGTGGGGCTGCTTCCACCCACGACGCCGCCGTTGCCCCGCCATGGTGGGGTAGCCGGCAATTCAAGTCAACCACGACGCATGCAACGACTTCGATTGATGCTTGACCGTTTCGTGGGCAATTCGTTCCAAACACTATATGGCTGTCGAAGCTTGATCTCACACCTCGGCCTGTCCAATCACAATTGGGCTGTTCAAACTCAGCGATCGTCCCCAGAGCAGTGGCCGGTTAAGGCTTCAGCCGGCACTCGGTGGTATTTCGAGAACCGTGGAAAGCTCCGAATTTGTGGAGAAGTTGGCGATGCAACTGTGAACGGTGGTGGGGATAGCACATAAGAAGAAGCGTCTTTCTACAAGACCGGCCCACCCGCTCGTGTCGATCAGAAGCCGCATCTAAACTTTGGCCTCGAAGTTGCAGCCTCTTCTTGCACCGATCGACACCCATCCCATCCCTGTCTTAGAACCCCGACATAATATGGCTGATACTCTGAGGATAGCAATTGTTGGCGCAGGCAAGTCTCAGCATCACTGCAACACTTGGAAACTCCATCATTAACCGATCCCAGGCATGGGCGGCCTTGCAGCAGCCCTCGCCCTCGCCAAATCTGGCCACAAGAACATCACAATCTATGAAAATGCGACCAACCTCGGCTTCGTGGGTGCTGGTATCCAGCTCGCCCCAAACATGGCCCGGATTCTGGATAAGCTGGGTTGTTGGCAGCAAATCGCTGCCGAGGCTGTGCAGTGCGCAAATACGTCGATAAGAGAAGGAAGCTCGGATAAAGAGCTCGGGTATGTAGACCTGGAGTATGTCAAGGAGAAGTACGGATACCCGCACATGGTGGGGCATCGGGCAAGTTTGGCCGGAGGTCTGTATGACGGGTGTAAAGGAGAAAGTGCCGTCAAGTTTGCTTTGGGAAACACCATCTCAGACATCAGGTTCGGACCCAAGCCGACGTTCAAAGCCACTCCCGCGGACGGTGGGGAGACATACGATGTAGAGTGCGATATCTTACTCGGAGCCGATGGCGTGAAGAGCAGCACACGCGTTGCTATGCTGCAAGAGCTTGGTCTCACTGGCTCAGCAAAAGATTCGGGTCAGGCCGCGTACCGTATCATGTTGACGCGGGAGCAGATCAAAGACGACGCAGAGCTGTTGAAACTCCTCGACTCTGACTCGGTGACACGCTGGATTGGCGAGAAGAAACATATCATCGCATACCCCATCCACAACAAAACAATCTACAACATCAGCACCGCACAGCCCGACATCAACTTTGCGGGCGCGCCAGATGCACAATACACTACTAGGGGATCAAAGTCCGCAATGAAGCAAACCTATGATGACTTTTGCCCGATGATACACCGAATGCTAGATCTGGTACCGGAAGGAGATGTCGTCGAATGGAAGTTGAGAGTTCACGATCCGCTGGATACATGGGTACATGGCAGCACGGCGCTCGTGGGCGATGCGTGCCACCCGACGCTTCCACATATGGCCCAAGGCGCGGCGCAAGCTATTGAAGATGGCGCCGTGCTAGGCGTTGTGCTATCACCGTCTCGCATTTCAGGCAGCAGCCCGGAGACTATCAATCACGCACTCCGGATCTACGAGAAACTGCGGAAACCACGGGCAGAAGCGTTGGTGGAGCTGGCGGCGGAAAGCGGGCGAGCGATGCACTTGGGAGCCGGCAAGGCGAAAGAGGAGAGAGACAAGGCTTTCGCAGCGGCAAGGAGTGGGTTAGGCAAGGTGCCGGATAAGTGGGCGGATGCGGATGTTCAGGCGCAAGTCTATGGGACGGACGTGGTTGCTGAGGCGTTGAAGCTGTGTGAAGAGGAAGGGCTGGTTGCGAAGCTGTAAGTCAACTGGTTTTTGGTATGGGGGTTAGTGTTGACCTGACGCCTGATTAGGAATGCATGAATATGTTTGTATCACAAGTATTTTTAGATATACACAAGATTCCAAAGTCCAGATGACTCCTCTGCTGCCATGCCACTGACAACTCACTCCTTTCACATCCTCGCAGACATGTTCCCTCTCATTCTATCACCTTTCCAATGCGTCACGGCAACCGGAACCAAAGCCGCGATAACAAGTAATCCAGCCACAATACCAGCACTGCCAGCAAGGCCGATGTTGGTGAACATATCCGGGAACCTGTTGATAACAAGTTAGCACACGACTTCCCAGAATGACGACCAAGCGCTTACCAGAAAGGCCCGATAAACCCCCATATCTGCCTAACAAACGTGATGAATACACCAATACTGCCCGCTTCATCCGGATAGCAATCCACCGCGTACGTAATGAGCACCGTTGTGACAATCTGGTTCCCCGCAGCTGCGATACCCGCGCCGATGATGGGCGTAACGTTCCAGTGTCCTTCCGGAGCCTTGTCAATTTGAATGAGAAACACGACCATCCCGCATATCGTGAGCAGGATGCCAAAGTAGCTGAGCCAGAGTCTGAATTCCGGGGCCGGCTTGCGGGGTGCCATCTTCTTGCCCCGCCAGCGCATCCACAAGTCACTAGAGTGTCCGCCGATTTGCTCACCGATAATAGATCCAATTATCAGCCCTAGGAACTGCAGGCCAAGCTGTTGTGAGTTGAAGTGGAACTTCTCCCCGAACAGTTGCGGTATTTCAACGGTGGTGAGGACAGAAGCGAACAGAAAAACCATCGCATACGCCGCCGCTGGGATCATAACGCAGGGATACTTTATCAATCGCAACGGTGAGACGAACTCAATAAGCGTGATAGGCGTAGGGTCGATCCTACGGAATTTCAGATATGACTCCTTGAACGCAGCGAAGCCGGAGAGCGCGTGCTGAACGTTATGCCGAATAAAGCGCGTCTCCGGGCCAAACAGTGTGTATAGAACAAGTTGCACGCCGTTGATGATGACTAGAAGCCAGTAAATCCATCGATATCCCGCGTGGAAGGTCACAAATCCGCAAATGAGCGGCGCAAGCGGGATTCCCACCGTGATCATCACAGTCCAGACACCCATATATCTCGCCCTCTCCCTCTTGAAAAACGTCTCTACAACTACAGCGCTACCAATTGCATTGGGCGGGCTGATGAAGAATGCCTGGAAGGCGCGACAGGTTGCCATTGTAGCGTACGTCTGGCTCCTCGCACAGCCGACGTTGAACAACAGGCTGCCGATCAATGAAATGATAAAGATAGGTCTCCGGCCATAGCGTGTGGATAAAGGGCGCCAGAATAGCGGGGCTCCACCTAGTATAGCGATCTGAAGAGAGGTGAGGTAGGAGGTCTTTTGCAGGCTGACACCGAGGTCTTTGGCGATGCTCTGGTAGGCTGGGATGATGGCGCTGGCGGCGAAAGCGCACATCAAGGCGTGGAAGGCCACGAATATGAGGTTGAGCACTTTCTATAAGCAGCCACAATCAGCATCATCTAGTCATGAGGGAGGGGAGGGAGCCTACCTTCCATGTTGGCCAGTTGTACGGATCTGCGTCTCCCATGGTAGGAAGGGGGTCAAGATCGAGTGTTCCATGCCTTTGGAGTAGATAGTGACGGTGCTCTGCCGAGAGATGGGATGCTTCTTCTGGATCGAGATATGTGCCGTGGGTGGCAGTATGCTCGAGGTCCTCGCTGTGATGAGGCCCTCCTGTAATATCTTCCTTGTCGCTCGACATTGTTATGGAGAACGAGGTGCTCAACTTGCTTCAATCCAACACGCGGAGTGAGACCAGACAGAAAGGCTAACGGGCCCTTGGAGTTCAAGGCAAAACTATCGTTTTTGTACGAATCTCCTCATGCTAGCGGTATATTTATGAGGAAGTTTCCTCGCGGAGACTCCAGGTGGAGACCCCAGAAATCGATGCAGCCCATGGGGAACTAACAGGGATCATGATGGGTCATCGTCACGAAATTGTGATTAGCTTCCGTCATCCGGAGACCTAGAGCCACGGCTCAAGAACGCGGCATTGATACACCTAGCGCATGGTGTTGTTGAACCGCGGCCGTCGACATTGACTGGTTTCAGTGAAACCAAGGAGGGCAAGTGGGTCATTGTCGATAGTGGCAACATGTATCGGCATGTAAAGCGCGGCCGCGTGGCTATATTTGCCGGGGTTCGTAATCTGTTTAGCGGCGTTTACGCAGACTATGCGTCCATTTGTAGAGATCCGCGTGTATTGCATGTTGTTGAGTGCGTAGCTCCAAGCAACGCCAGCCCACACTCAAGCTTTGTGGGAAAGCTTATATCCAGGTGCATACCGCGAAAACGTACTCAACCCCAAACTCGGCGTATGTCATGTACAGAGCCCCGAAAGCCGTAAACTGCATTTACTTCTAAGTATTCGCTTCCTGGCGCCGTCATTAGTCGTAAAAATCGCACGAGTGCTCTCAAATCAACCAGAAACTAGCGCTTTCAATCCGTCCAGCGCGTATGACCATCAGGGATCTGCTATCCATTAGTCTGGCGTTTGACGCGTAAACCGAGGGTCGCAACCACCATCTAAGCTGTGAATTGAGCTATAGTAATGTTACATGTGTGCCAAAAAGGACGGTGATGAAACTTTGACGAAGTACATGTCGGAAAGTGTCATTGACGATGCACAGACTTTCGTTACGTTAGCGGTTATCTCCAACTCATCGCGACGTGCCTGCATCTCCTCGATGCCTTCGGGATGGTATCCGGGTCAGCATTCCAATCCTAGGCTTCTGCAAGTTCTGTGACGCTGGTCTGCGCCAAGTTCATTCAATACACTACTCCATGGGGCGTTGTTAGCATGTCTAGAATATACATTCTGGCCGAGAATGAGACTAGAACTTCGACGAGCGAAGCATCCTGTCTTTATATATGCTCTTCACAACTTGTGGGCTCGTTTCCCAAATATTTCTGGGTCTAACTAGCGAAAAGACCAAAGGTTGACTCACGCTCAGTTGAGAAAAGAGCTAGGGGTAAGCAAAGTCACGCAAGAGTGGAAATATGCCATGGATCGCAGGAAGTGATGTTTAGAGAGTACTTGCTGCAAGCGCTGTTGCAATGCCGATGCCGTCGTGGTATCCTAGTACAAGCACCAAGCTCACAGACTCAGTACAAAACATACAACGTGTACATGCCTCAGGCCTGGCGCGTACTAATCTGCTGCTAGAAGGTCGTAGTAGCCAGCCTGCTTGCGGCGTTCCTCGCATCGATGCGGTCCTCATCCTCCTCGACATCCTTCTGGCTCCCAGTCTTGCTCGTTGCCCGCTTCCTTCCATGAATAGTCTCCTCTTCGTTCTCGTCCTCCTCAGGCAGCGGGCCAACGATACTACCACTGACGCTCCGGTTGAGCCCGTCACCTGGTCGTCTCGGGACGCCGGACCATGCATCGCCCTTTGGCCCTTGCGAGCTTGCGAGCGATGCGCGACGTTGGGCGGGATGCGCTTCTCGGCCTAGTCGAGAGAGACCGCCACTTCCGTCGATAGCGCGGATGTCGGGTCGGACAGATTCTAACGTTGCGAGTGTGCGACGCTCTGCTTCGATTTCTCGAATGACGTATTCTCTGACCGCTTGTCGCATGTCATGTGTAGTCCGACTGAACCACTTCTTTTGTTCCTGGAGCAGGTTCGCCGTCACACGTTGTGCTTTTGATGTCAGGTACTGTTCGTGACTCCTAGCCTCGTCCAATGCAGCGATAGCTTCATCGACCTTGTCTCGCTTCACGCTGGAGCTGGCCTTTAGTCGATCGGCGGCAGATAACTTGGATTTGGTGGCCGTCTGTGCTTGTAGCAATTCGCGTAATAAGATGTGACGGTTCGTGAGCGTCTCTTTCGCGATGAAAGCGTCGCTGCTGTGGTACTGAAGAGGGTCACCCAATGTGGTTGCCTCAGCCGTACCCTGAGCTGCGTGAAAGTCGCCCGTTGCCTGAATGACCTTTCCGAGCTTCTTGTATGCTAGAGAAAGACCCTGATGTGTTTCTTGGACGTGTAATGCTGCGAATTTCGCACCCAGGTCGGATTCGGCTACGCCAAGATCTAGTTTTGTCAGTTTGTGTTGTGTAGAGAAAGTGTAACGTGTGCTCACTCCTCCTATTCTTAACGACTTTCTCGAGCTTTTGTTCTGCTTCCATAGTCCCTAGGTAGAAAGCTTTCACGATGGGTCGAGCTGCAGCGAGCTCAGGCGTGTCGTCCGGTGGCGGCGCAAACTGCTTGATCACTTTGCGGCGCACACCAGTCGCGGGCTGTTTCCTTCGCACCACCGGGCTATATCCAAAATCACTCTCGACGAAGAAGACCATTTCTTCGTCGCGGATCAAGATATCATTGCTGCAAGCAATGTTCAGCCATCGCTGTAGCGACGTCTTGAGGCGCGTTTCGTCTTCATCGGTGCCTGCACCTGCAGAGGTAGTCGCTGGGGGTACCGCAGGCACTATGGCTTCCGGACATGCCGAGATGAGGTGCTCGCCCAACTTGACAAATTCAGAGTGTAACCGTCGGACGTCGCGGAATTGGGTGGTTCGAAACTTGGGGAGATTGGTCTGCACAGAGATCAGCATGAAACAAATGGCTAGAATAGAATGGGCATGTCACGTACATAAACATCGAAGCGCAGTATTGGGTCCTTCTTGCTATTCCTCTCCAGGCCCGTAACCTTGGCCTGGAGCTTGTAATGCTGTTGCGGCCTCTGCTGCCTGGTCCCGTGATATCTTTGCGGCTGATGTCCCTGCTGCGGGGCTTGTTGCTGCCCTTGCTGCTGCTGCTGCTGCTGCTGCTGTTGCGGCGCATCTTGACCTTGCCCGCCAGCGGCTACCTGGCTCTGCTGCCCGTTTTCTCCGTTTTCGCTCGCAGTACCCGGGCGATTCTGCGCATCCTGGTCGCCCATGTACCCGTATTGCTCGGAACCTTCGCGGTACGGGGAGGCCTGGGGCGGCAGCGGGGAGGAGGGGATATCGCTCGTGGGAGGTTGGCCATACGACGTTCGATTAGCTTTTGGTGAAGAGGCCCATGGGTCGCTGCCACCGGGAAGGTCCGGATCGTGGGCGCTGTAATCCATAGTGAGGTAATTGAAGCGCAAGACAGTTACGGGTAGCTAGGAAGCAGTGGCCTTTGGTACTGTTACCGAGAGGTCGCCAAGCCGTAGCCCACTTGTCGAGACTAGGGAAGGCGCAAGCCCAGGGTCACTTTCGCCATCACGTGCAAACCTCCATACTGTCTTCTGCATCAAAACCGCATCGAGCAGCCTTGGGTATGTGGGTTGGATGGGTGTGGTGTGCCCGTCGAGCCGTTCGGCATAATGTGAAGCCTCCACGGAGGCTGCTATCAGTGCAAGCGCAGCCGCAAGCCGATTTACTTTCCAAAGCCACTCGGAACATTGGCATCATTGCTCATATCGATGCGGTAGGTCGATGAAGATGCATCCATGGCACGATGGCTGATACGGTGTAGGGCAAAACCACTACCACGGAGCGTATGCTCTACTACAGCGGGTATACGAGACGAATAGGAGGTAAGCATCATTTCCTAGGTCAGCAAACATCAACCCATGTTCTACGGTGCGGCTCATGCTTCACGATCGGATGGGTCAGTGTCAATGTTATTCACTTGAACGCTGAACCTCATGGTTTTTTCGAGTACTGGGTTAGGATTGAGCACTATAGATGGCTCCAACGCATTTTGCTTATCCTCTTTCATCTTTTATGCTTCCATTATCAAGCGCAATTGGGTAGCACCATAGGATTCGGTCTAATCTCCCTGCAGATGTCGACGAAGGCTCAACAGTAACCGACTTTCTCCCCGCTGAACGAGCGCGTGGAATTACCATTCAGTCTGCGGCCATCACATTCCATTGGCCGCCACTACCTCCAAATGCTCAGACACCTCCTCAGACACCACAACTACCCTCGTCATTTGACACTTCTCTGCGATCTTCGATCCCGCACAATATCAATCTCATCGACACACCTGGCCACGCAGACTTTACGTTCGAAGTGCTCCGCTCTCTCCGTGTTCTTGATGGTGCTGTATGTATTCTCGATGGCGTCGCTGGTGTAGAAGCCCAGACGGAGAAGGTCTGGACACAAGCTGGTCTTTATCATATCCCGAGGATCATTTTTGTGAACAAGCTGGATCGAGTAGGTGCCGCCTTTTCAAGTACTGTGAAAGAAATTGGCGTGAGATTGCATGGCTGGCCAGCTGTCTGTCAGATACCGTGGTGGCAAGGCGGTAATGGAGAGTTCGTTGGGGTTGGCGATGCTGTCAACCTACGTGGCTTGCTGTGGCGGGCCGGCGGCGATGGTAGAGACATCCAAGCATTCGACCTTGCAGCGCTTAGTAAGACTGACCAGAAGTTTGCTGAGGAGATCAAGAAGGCAAGGATAGCGCTTGTCGAGATACTAAGTGAGCACGATGATGGCATGGTCGAATACTTCCTCGAGTACGACGAAGACCATCTAGCGATACCCGGAATCCAGGTTATGCAGTCGCTCCGTCGAGTAGTATTACAAGCACCTCAAGTCATCATCCCTGTCTTCGCAGGCGCCAGCTTCCGTAATATTGGCGCGCAACCCCTTCTAGACGCAGTCGTCGATCTTCTTCCGTCACCATTTGAAAGACCGGACCCAGAGATTAGCATCTCGAATCGGAGTAGCACGTTATCCGCACTTGTCAACTCAGCAGCAACAGCCAAACCCGTCAAGCCATCTCGCAAGCAACAGCAGCCAAAAACTGAACAACTAGCTATTGCCGAGGTCAAGAATCTGACAGCGTGCGCCCTTGCTTTCAAGGTCGTCAATGACCCCAAACGCGGTGTTCTAGTCTACGTTCGTGTGTACTCTGGTTCCATCGACCGAGGCGCTACTCTGTACAATACCAACCTGGCTGTAGCAGAACGTGTACCCCGGCTCCTCAAAATGTACGCCAACGACGCTGTGGAGGTTGACAGCATCACAGCGGGTCAAATCGGCGTGATAACAGGCCTTAAGCACGCAAGAACCGGCGATACACTCATCGTGTATAGAGGCCTGCAGATGAAAGGCACTCCATCAGGCGGTCTGAACACACTGCAGCTGAGGCCGATCAATGTGCCTCCGCCAGTGTTCTTTACAAGTATTGAGCCCCATAGCCTGAGCGAGCAGAAGCACGTACAAGAGAGCTTGGGTATACTGCTTCGCGAGGACCCGAGTCTGCATCTCTCGATCGACGAAGAGTCTGGCCAGACACATCTGGCAGGCATGGGCGACTTGCATCTTGAGATTGCCCGGGACAGGCTGCTGAACGACTTCAAAGCCAAGGCGCGCATCGGCAAGATTGAGATTGGGTATCGCGAGACGATAAATACACCCACGTCGCCATACACACACATTCTCGATAAACCAATCGCCGGAAAACAAGCAAAAGCCAGCGTCACTGCTTCTGTTGAACCAGCTGACGACAGCGCCATTAGCGTGGGTTTGCAAGAAGAAGAAGAGCATATTGAGGATGGCGCGTTCGAAACGACATATAAACTGCCCGACAACAACACGCTCCACATCTCACATCCCAACCTCTCCCGTCACGACTCGGCATCGCACAAACACCACCTCCCACCGCAACTCTCACTGCCGGGCGTTCTCCACTCTATACAAGCCGGTGCATCAGCAGCTCTCGCACGCGGGCCGTTCAACGGCTATCCAGTGGCTAATACACGTGTCAACGTCGACCTGAATGCTCAAACCCACCTGTTGCCCGAGACTACGCCGACTGCGATCTCCATGGCGACTCGAGCGGCCGTGGGAAGCAGCCTCAGAAGCGCAAACGACACTGCTCCATCAGCGCTGCTAGAACCTGTCATGATGGCCACCATTTTCGTTAATGAAGGCTCTCTTGGCGCAGTGGTCCAGGACATCTCCTCCTCCCGCGGCGGTCAAGTTCTCTCCCTCGACGGCTCTAACTCACCAACTTCGTCCAATTCCGACGACGATATGCCACACATCGATCCCAATCTCATCTACACGCCCCCTGATCCCTTTGCTTCTGGTACTGGGGAAGTGGGATCTGGGCTGGCGAACAGTCAGAGACAGATCGTTGCACGAGTCCCATTGAAGGAGATGGTCGGGTATCTGAACCATCTCCGAGCGCTTACAGGCGGCAGAGGAACATTTGTCATGACTGTCGATGGGTTTGAGAAGATGGGGAGCCAGCGGCAGAAGGAGGTGCTGGACGCTATGAGGGACTTTTGACGTCCGAATTGTGAAAATAGACTGTACAGTAGCAATTTGTAGGTGGGCTTATATAAATAAACCACGCAGTGGACTCATTCACTTGAAGGTGTTGCCGAATGCGGTGAAAGTGAGCTGCCCCAGCAAGTCATTTTCGTTGCTTAACCTTTGCAAGTAGCCGAAACACCAATCGTACTCAATTTCACCCGCAACGACAATTAGCACTCTAATATTCAAAGTCAGCGACTCCTCACCTTGCAATTTTACACTCCACTTCCGCTCAACGTGATCGCTCACCATTACTCGACCACGCCCCCTGTAACAACACCTACGTTACACCGGACGCACGATGAAGTACTCTCACATCATCATCCTCACATTCATCCTCGTTCTCGCCTTCTGCGTGCTCTTCGGCTGGTGCCTGTACAAAACCTGCAGTCGCGCCATCGACGCAGAGTTCCATGAACTGGCGTATCAGGCAGATATTGCGGCGGAGGCTGCTGCTGCGGCGGCGGGTAGTGGGAATGGGCGTGGGTCGAAGGTTTGAAGGGTCGAGGAGGAAGACTGAAGGCGAGTGAAATCGAGGGGAGATGAGTGTGATTAAGATTGTGCTAATGAGAGGTAGCTGGCCTTGTGTCCGGAAAGGGTAGTACGACAATTGACACGAGAAGGCGCACAAGTTTGCCTCGAGCATACAAAGCGAAACCTTGGGTAGCACACCTTCGAGACTTTGGTGGTTGGCAAATGGATGTCTGTCCGGTGACCTACGGAAACTATTGCGTGGGGACATGCAGCGTGTCAAAGGTTGGATGCGCAGTTGCACAGCGCTATGGGTGTTTGCTGTATCGTTAGTCCTTGACAAACTTGACAGTGCTGGCATACTCGATCTATCACTCAAATGTAGCCCTATGCCCACCTACTGCTTGATTTCGTACTGTTGATTTTATTCTTCTCCTTTTCATTGCCCTTCTTCTCGAGTTAGGTGTTATGCCGAGTACCAACCTCATCATTGCTTTGATTCTTGCCGCTATCTTCGGCGCTGCGCTGGTATGGCTCACCCTCTACTATGTCCATCGCTATGTCCACCGGCGCTGCCTCGAGCTCGATCACTGGTTCCATCTGAGTGCTTTGCGACAGCCCGAGCCTCAGACCTGCTGTTATGACCAGGAACACGGGCGAAGGAGCCACTCAAAGAGCAGATTACGGTCGGCAAGAATTGATAAAAGAAGGGGACGAAGCCAATATGAGAGATCAAGAAAGCGGTATGAGAGCCGAGAGAGGGAACATGCACAAGGTAGAGAGGTACACACGGAGTGGCCGGGGCAGCAGAATGTGACAAGAGCTAGACCAATGTTGCCGATGAGCGAACCTGTGCAGAATCAGTGGCAAGAACAGCAGTTCTATCCGCCGTTTGGATGGCATGGACAAACACCCGGCGGATTTCAGATGGCATACCCGCAGCCAATGCTGCATCAACAAGTGCGCGGGCAGCCTTTTGCTATGCCAGTAGCAGTACCTCAGCAACCATTCTCACCAAAACCAACAGCGATGCCTGAGTCTACACAGTTCCAGCGCCAGTACCAGCAGCCATGTACCGAGACATGTTCGGACACTGTCAAAGACAGCCACTCAGAGAAGCCGCCTGCTCGACCCAAGCCTCCCCCTAGGTATAGATGCAGTGTGAACGAGGTCGACTATATCCACATATGTGACGAATACCCGCAGATTGTTCTCGAAGCACTGAACAAGGCAGAGGCACCACCTTCGTCTTCAAGTTCAAGTGCCACGTCTAGCACTACACAGGAAGTGCCTCGACCGTCCATACCGCGAGCCGCACCTCGTGCTGCCGACAACGCAGTCTTCGAATTCCCACAGTATCCGCATCTTGCTACCCGCGCCTGGAATGCTCCGACTTCATACCCGAGGCAGTGGATGGACCATCGTGCTGGCGGGGACATGGGGAACGTCAGAATCAGGTACGCACCTTTTGAGGGGCTGAGTGGACCAGCACAGGTGAATGCCAATCCAAGGCGCCAAGCTCCGAGTAATGCTCCTCTTTGATACTACTGCGCACTTGGAATAGCTTGTGCCACTGCCTCTACTTGCTACGTGACGAAAAAGGTGGCTGACGAATGCTGTCAAACAGACTTTGATGCTGCGCAATCGTGGACGAGTCCGAGACGAAGAAAGACTGCACACGATCCACCGCTAGAAAGTCGACAGGAAGAGAAAAGAAGCCGCACGGAAACACGGGCGTGTGAAGGGCACATGGACCAGGCCGAGGCGCCCAGCGGGCGATCAAACCAGGGCGAAAAGAAGGTGCGACAGCCGCTGGATAGGGAGGTAACAGAGCAGTCGCCAGCATCGCAGCAGGTCCCGCTGTACGAGCCGATGCCGGTGCCTGTGGTCGAAGAGCCTCTTACTCCAACATCTGCAGGGCAGCCAAGCCAAAGTGGAGCGCCGCTAGCAGAGGTGCCAGCTACGCTCATGTCGCCTTGGTCGTCGGCGTCCAGTCTTCAGGGAGGTAGAACTGGCCGAGGGCAGAGCAGCGGATGAAGCTCCATGGGATGGAGGTCGTGTGAAAAACGAAGGGCTTGGCAGTAGGAGGCTTACGGGTTACCACTCGATAATCATCATCATCATCATCAGCGCAACCGTTCCTACTAGCTAACAAGTGGAGTCTTTGGTGTTGGTTAGTCTCAGCCTCAGCCGCAGCGCATACGCACCACACTGTACGTACGTACGTAGGGCATTCGCAAACAAAGGCGTATATGGCCGCGACGCTTGGCGGGAGAGGGGAAATGAGCGTCGCTGACGGCAGCAGTGCTTCGCAAAGGGTTTCGCAATGGGCCTAGTTGTAATGCCCGAGCTGACAGCGAAGAAGTCGTCAGCACAGTGTGAGAGCGAGCAGGCCGGCATGCGGGTGTAAGAAGGTCCCAGGCCCGCTTTTCCAGAGCCCCGTTGGGCGCAGGGTTGGGCCAAAGGCAGCTTGGGGGGGTTCCCGTTCCATTATACATAGCGTAGGCCGCCCTACGGTTTTTGCATGGTTCGTTCCCTATCACTCCAGCCTACTGCATCTCGCTATCCCTTCTTCATGTCGGACCTGCGTAACTGGCCCCCTTGCCATTTGTCCTGATGCATAAGTTAACTAGACGCTCCCCGCACGAGTACGAGCTACTGCCGCGCGCATCCTTCGAGGGCGATGCCTTTCCTAACCACCCCCCTCGCGCCCCGTCCACGACCTCGCCGTCATGGTTCCACCGCTGGTCCTTCCGAATACCTGGCGTGGGCAAGCTGTCGGACCGCGCCGTCTACACACACTACGTCACGCCGCGCCGACGCAAGCGATCGGTACTACGTCTGATATACTGGTCCATCTTCTCCGTGCCCTACATTCTGCTTCTCCTCGTCTTGGTCGCGGGCATCTTCTTTCCCAGCTATACCGTGCGCCCCGCCCATTACACCGAGCTGCGCCAGCGAGCATCCGAGACGACAGCTCCTGGCCGAGGGAATCCACACCGCGAAAAGGTCTTCATTGCAGCCGCCCTGTCCGAGGAGAAGGGCCATTTGACGTCGGGAGCATGGGGTAGAGCCGTCCTCCAGCTCGTGGACCTGTTGGGCCCGGAGAATGTCCACTTGAGCATATACGAGGACAACACCGACGCCGAGACGAAATTATCCTTGACCAAGTTCAGGCATGAAGCAACTTGTACGTCTCGTCGTGCGCATATATATATATATATATATATATATAAAAGACCCCACACTAATTGAGCAGGCAATGCGACCATCGTCTTTGAGCAGCTTGATCTTGCCTCCCTACCCCGCATAACCCTCCCCACGGGAGAGACGCGTCTCAAGAGGATCGCATTCCTCGCAGAGGTGCGCAATCGAGCTTTGGCACCCATCGACTCGAATGGCGTCCGATTCGACAGAGTACTCTACCTCAACGACGTCATCTTCGACCCGGTCGAGGCCACTCAGCTCCTTTTCGCAACAAACATCGATTCCAATGGCCGAGCGAATTATGCAGCAGCGTGCGCTGTCGACTTCATCATGCCTTTTAAATTCTACGACCGCTTTGCTACCCGAGACCTTGACGGACACAGCACGGGTCTGCCCTTCTTCCCATGGTTCACCAGCGCTGGTACCGGAACGAGCCGAAGCGAAGTCATTGCAGGCAAAGATGCTGTGCGAGTGCGCAGCTGTTGGGGGGGCATGACTGCCTTTGAAGCCAGGTGGTTTCAAGATCAGGCTTCTGTGGGCCGCGGGCCGGCGACTGGCTCCACAAATACTCACCATGGTTCGCTCAATCCCCAGGTGTCTCCACTGCGGTTTCGCTATGACACGGATACCTTCTGGGAGTCTTCCGAATGCTGTCTCATCAACGCGGATCTGCAGTATCGGCGATCTGGCCAAGGCATGCCTGCTGATTCAGGCATCTATCTAAATCCCTTCGTTCGGGTAGCGTATGACGAGACGACATTGACGTGGCTCTCTATCATCCGTCGTCCAGAAGGCTTATACTCGCTGATTCACGACATCCTGAACTATTTCGTCGGCTTTCCGGATCATCCACAACGCCTCGGCGAAGAGCCGGGCCAGTTTGTGACCGATACCGTCTGGGTGTACGATGACCCTATCAAAGGCTTTGCATCAAACGCAACCCAGGCAGATCTCAAAGGCCATTATATGAACATGACCAGGATCGCCGAGCCTGGCAGCTTCTGTGGATCTCGAAACCTGCTTGTTATCAACGAGAAGCCCGAACACGGTCCGGGCGCCTGGGGCAAGATATGGCCTCCCAGGCCTCCAAACCGACGGTGATGGCTACACACACACAACAACTGTTTGCGACACACTCTCTTTCCACGGTTGTATGGCCATTTCGACTGTACATTTTCTTTGTTCACTTTTTGCATAGCGTTGGCGTTCAATGGAGGTTTCCACTTTTGCATCACGCACTGTTGCCATGTGTATTGGAGCGCTGGGTTGGATAATGAGCAATGGTAGTCCATGCGCTTTCCGCACTATTTCTATTGTAAAAACAGCTATTCCTATCTATAGTATATTCCACAATATGGAACCCAATTTGTAAGGCGGACAAGACGAAGAATAGACTTCGTTTCAATGGTGTTCTTCAGTCCACAATGCTATTCGTGATCAATTCGTCTTCGTTTTGTGAGTTGCCATCGAGTCGTCCAACTCATACCCAATCATCGTGACGTGGTTAATGCAGCCTCAGCGCCAAGGCGCGCTAGGCCAAATCTGCAAAAGGCTAGCCATCAAGGTGCGGCCTTTCAAACCTCGAACCTCGACGCCTCGTCTGACCAGGCTCTCATAGACTTGGAAGCTTCAGTTCATCAAACATCTTTGTCCCATGCTATAAGGTCTATATGGTCTTTAGTGGAAGTTGCACACGTTCAGATTGAGCTGTAGTGTGTGTTCAAGGAAGAACTTCGCCGAGCGACGTCACAAAAAGAAAAAAGCGGCATGGTACTCGACAATGATACACGAGGGTGGCTCCTCGCGGTGGTGAGCGGCATAGGTACGATGGCTACATGCATGAACGTCAGATGATTAATGTGTATGCTAACCGTCGCACAGCGTGCACATTTGGAGGTACAATCTCTTCCTGCCACTTACCTAGGTATATCAGGAGCTTGAATGCTAATCAAGCCTAGCCTCGATAATATGCGTCGACCTCATTGTCCGCCAGCTCCCCGGCAAGAAGAATTTTAAAATAGAGGATAGCAATGTCTTCCTGTCAACAGGCTTAAGCCTTTCCTTTGGCGTTATGGTGTGTATCGCCACTGCTTCTCTCCCTGATGCAGAGTCAGCTGACTTGTGCGACCAGATATTCTCTTCATTATATAGCATGCTGCCATCGGCGAAGAACTACCTAACAAAGGGTGGCATGTCACCAAGAGGAGCGACATTGACCTTGAGCGGATGCTTTCTGGTAGGTGCACTCGTCATATCGGTACTATCGCAGTTTCTGCACAAGTATATCCCACATACTGTTGTGGATTGCGATCATGAGCATGGAGACGAAGAGGAGGGCAAGGTTGATGAAGAGGCGGGCCATTTACATCAACCAATGCACGAGCAGCAACGAGGGCTACCACAGGCTAACGGAGTAGAAGAATTGGACGGACATCACTCTTACGGAACAAACGAGACCAGCAACCCTGGACTATCCGCCCGGAGACCGTCATTGCACACTTCAATTTCGGCAAAAGTGACGCAGTTAGTCACGGGTGCGAAGGAGCATTGCGATGATAATGGGGAGTGCTATGGATATTCGGAAACCTGTGGGACGGAATGCTTTAGAAACGTACTTCATACGCGGCCGCTGCGGTTACATTCGACCAAGTCAACAGGTAATTTGACTGCAAGGCCATCAAGCAGGGGCAGAAATCAAGCAACACAGGGTCAACATGAGCACAGGCCACTTCTCGAGGATGTCGATGAGACAACACCTCTAGTACCTACCCGCTCCATGCCAGCAACGATGGAGAGTTCTGTCGCCAGCCTGCCTTCCGCGAACGGATATATTGGGACCAACCACGAGCCCGAGATTGCTCCGCTGCACAAACACAGCCGATCTTCCTCGACTACTTCTGCCTCCTCGCATGTTTCCCACCACCACAGTTCTAGCCACGGCCACTCTCACGATCATGGGACACCCCAACACCACCACCACGTCCCAACCAACGTCTTCCTCTCCATCGGCCTTCAAACCAGCACCGCCATTGCCCTGCACAAGATTCCCGAAGGCTTCATCACGTACGCGACAAACCACGCAAACCCCAAGCTGGGGCTCTCCATCTTCATTGCCCTCTTCATCCACAACATCACCGAGGGCTTTGCCATGGCGCTGCCGTTGTATTTGGCCATTGGGAGCCGGTGGAAGGCCATGTTCTGGTCAGCCCTCTTAGGTGGCGTGTCGCAGCCCCTCGGTGCTGGCGTTGCTGCTCTGTGGTTCAAAGTAGCCGGCCGTGGGAGAGGCGAAGGAGAAGGCGAGCCTGGCGACCTGGTCTATGGGTGCATGTTTGCCATAACAGCCGGCATCATGGCCATGGTGAGTCTGCAGCTTTTGGGCGAGAGTCTGGATTTGACGCACTCGAGACGGCTGTGCTTCATTAGTGCTTTTGTCGGCATGGGTATATTGGGATTAAGCAGTGCGCTCACGGCGTGATTTTTTCACGGCAGTGTTCATTATCGTGTTATGTACATAGACACCTGATTAGACGTGCGCATTCATGAGTCTCGACAATGCATCATCTTCTACACGATACAAGCGCAGTCCGGTACAAGCGAGCAAATTGCTCAGCGAAGCTTCATTAGTCCTGTTACGCCGTCATTACCACTTCGTGCGGTTACATCTCGCTAGAATTTCTTGGGTAATCCTCGGCATGGTGTTGGATATTCTGCACTTCGGCTTTTGCTTCTTCCCAAGCGGCCTTGTTCCGTTTTGCCCAGTCAACGTGGCATTGTGCAAACTCCATCTGTACGCAATTAGAATCTCATCCCGGTGTCATATGATAAGTAGGGATCACACGTACCATATACCTCCGCAGGTCATTCTCTTTCTCATCTTGGAACCTCCTTAAATCCTTCATCACACCAGCACTTGCATCTTTGGTGTCTTTCTCGGCAACACCTAGCGCTTGCTCGAGCTGCACCAAACTATCCCTAGTCTTGCCAATCTGATCTCTTCTCGTCTTCTCCGGATCCACGTCCGCCATACCCCTGAATGCATGCGTGATGGACCCGAACAGCTTGTTGGTAACAAAGTTTCCACTCGGCGACTTCTTGTGCGGGCTGCCCGGCGGCGAGTGCCCATTGTCCGGTACACCCTGTGCGCTCGAGGGCACCTGATCGCCATGTGTAGGGGGGAAGTCTGAGTCAATAGAAACTCTATCTTCCTCTGGTTGTCGTTGTTCCGAGCCGCTACTCCGTTGCGAGCTATTTGACGTTGCCCGGCTGCGTGCAGGAGGTGCGTGGCCTGTGCCACTAAGGTGCTGTTCCAATCGCTTGGATTCTGCTTCGCTGCGTTCAAGGGATTCGAGCAGATTGCGCTTCTTTTCGAGTTCGTCTTTGGTCATGTCTTCTTGTATCCGCTTGAGCACTCGGTATCTGAGGACGGAACGCACGACACCGGCAAACTGTGCGCTTTCGCGCATTGGCTCGGAGAAGCTTGCGCTAAGAGAGGAGGATAGCTCTGCGGTTGCAATGTAGGTTGAGTCGACCGCCTGCCCAGTCTTTTCTATAGCCGCGGCGAGTGTTTGAGACTGTTCAGAGAGAGAAAAGGCGTTGAAGCGGGCGCCCAGATCTGCCATGTCTTCTCCCCAGTTCCCTAGGTGCATCAGTAAACGCCTGTTGACCTTCTCCATGGGGCCTTGTAGCAAGTTTTCCAGCTCTTTCGATGATGTCTCAAAATGGACAAAGTATGGATCTAGCTCTTCCTCTGACAGTGTCCGTGACTCCGGGGGAAAGCGACCGAAGATCTGTGGCCCTGGGGTCGTATGTGCGGCTACAGAAGGTAATGCATTTGCCGGCGATACAGGCGTACCTGAACTCGAAGTTGGGCCGCCAGACTTCAGCTTGGCAGAGGATGAGGGGACTGGGAGGTAGCTGTGCGCTTGGGTGGGGTGTGCGGTGTCGAGCGGGGGTGCTTTGAGGATCTGTTTTGGGATATCGGTAACCGGGGGGCTGTTGAGTACATCATTCTAACTTGGGTCAGTCGAAAGGTCTTATATATGCATGATGGAGGAATGTCGCACCCAGCTGGTGTATGGGTCGAGGAATCTCCAAAAGACACCATCTTCCAAGACATCCTTCATCTTCCTACAGCGGTTCAGGAACACGGCCAACATGCGCTTCCTCAGCTCTATTATGCCGGCATCCTCTTTCGCCTTGGTTGGTTTTGCGGCGTAGTCTGCCATGGTGTGCTTCTCGGGTATTGGGGGGACTATGAGCGTGGGGTGTAGATTGACCAGGGTCGCGCGCAACGAGGCAAACTCCGAGTACCTACGCTTTACTTCGAGGCCCTGTCCGCGAATTAGCCATATTTTTGGTATTGATACACCTCACATACACCGCAATTAATAGTGTACTGTATGAAGTTCACGCCGTCCTTGCCCGCCATGGTTATGAGTACCAGCTGGTCTGGATGCTCGTATAGCCATTGTTCGACTCGCGCGTCGTAGCCGCCCTTCTTGGGTGCCTTGGCTTCTTCGCCCTCTTGCTCCTCGTTGTAGTCGACATCGCTCATGTCCCGCTGTGCGACATACTCGGGAGATTCTTGTGCGGGGGAGGAAGCCTCGGAAGGCGGCGTAGCGGGACGGTACGGCACTTTGCAGGCAGTTAGCTTGAAGTGCTTGGTTTTGCTTCGTGGAGCATGTGGAATGCCTACGGGCTGAGGGTGAGGCTAGGCCTGGCGTGTCTGAGGCATTGGAGTCATGTCGGGCAAAGGAACCGTAGGGATTGTTGTCTTCGTCGTCCCACATGGCCCTGAGGGAAGATTTGCGAGTAGATAGATGACGGCGAGATATGGACTATGAAGGATAGTCAAAGGAATGGAGCGGCTGCTAGATTAATTGTGTCCTTGTCGGCGTCTTTACGTGTTGAAGCCTTAGCCATGCACGGCAGCAGCGCAGCGGTGACGTTGGGAGGTGGCCCAAGCTCGCGCCGTCCCAGCCACACTTCACCGTCAAACTTCATTCATGTACCGCTCAGTAGCACGGATCGACGACACAGCTTGAAACTGTTTGACACACTACATCTTGCTTACAAACTACCCTCAAGAGCATGCAGCCTCTGCAAGCATGGAATTTGTCAGATCAGCTACTGGCAGGCATGCCACCTGATTGAACTGATGCATCGGGCTCCTCGTTCGGTGGGTATCTGTGGGATACAGCTTACTATCTATTTTTTGTAAGAGCTCTATCAACAGCTATCTGTAGGTCAGATTCGCTGCCTCCTATACATGGCTACATATGTCGTATTCTGTGGGCGTGTGTGCCTTGTGTTGCCATGCTATGGTCTGAGAACCCTCCAACGCTGTCTTTCAAACTTCATCTTCACTTTCTCCATCCTGTGCTCGCTGCACTCTCCTGCTGAACACAATAGGGGCAACCTTAGCTCCTCGAAATCCTACCACTGTCTTCGCATCTTCTGCTGTCTGCCCTCATTATTGCCGTCACTCCAGATCACTCACTTGTTGACCTAACTCTCCATGTCCCATGTCCAGCGAATCCTTATCTGCAGCTCGCCTACGCAACAGCGAGAGCAAACTGTACCAAGTCTGCCTGGATGCGTGCATAGACGGTATTGGCAAGTTGCCGGTTGATACAAGACGTGACGGCCGTTTTGTTTGCAACTCTCGCTCACCTGCTAGGCTCGCATGCCTTCCTGTTGTTGACAGCGAATATTGCCCAGCAACGCCCAAGCCAAGCAACAACACCAGCAACAACCTCAACCTCAACCTCAATCTCGACCTCAACTCTGCCTCTCACCGTGCAGCCCATTCGCCTAATAAACTTGGGCCTGCAACCTCTCTTCCGTCACCACCTCATTCGCCCGTCACCTCCAGCATCCCGCAAACGACGGGCATGCCTCCACATTCGCCTGCATCGACCGCAACCATGAACCGCTCGTTGTTGCATGGCGCTCCGCCGCGGGGCGCCCCTCAGTCTGCATGGAGCGGCCAAGACGCGCGTAGTAGCCTCGCTATTCAGCCTGCAGCCAATGCTGGCAATTTCAAGCTCAAGAAGAATGCTGTCAAGATCGTCGGTGCTGCAAGCCCTAGACCCGCAGTCCCTATGCCAGAACCTGTCAAGGCAAAGGCTAAAGAAACTGACGCGTACGTATTGTGGCTTCATCTCAGATACCTCGAGCCCTGTCATACACATGCTCACACTCATGTTGTTTGACCCATGCTGACAGTTCTTTCATCAGACACGCACTTACGATGCCTAAGTTGACGCCGGCCACTCCTACTCCAGCACCTAGGCCTGCTCCATCCAAGATCGAGGTTTCCGAGCAGAACAGTGCTGAATCAACTCTTGAAAGCATGTTCTCCCGCCTCACAACTCGGAGCCCTGCTACTACATCTCGTGCCACTGAAGGCATCTCGCTAGCTGGACCCGACAAATCCATGTTTTCGTTCGAGGGTTATTCAGACACTGCAGACCGCGGCTATCTGGCTAAACAGCCTGTGTCTCTCGCCAAGCCGACACCTTCAGGAACTTCTAACGCAACTGCGCTTCCAGAGAACAAGACAGAGCCAGCCAAGAAGAAGTACCAAGAGGAAGCTAAGAACACTACGCCCGGGCAGGACATGGCACGAGAGGATCTTGAGCAAGAATATCTGCGCATAGCCAGTGAGTACGTTAGTGCTCTGCCGGCTGGTCAGAATACCACAGTGCAAGCTATCAAGGCTGTATCGAAGAAGCTACGCAGTTCGTACATCCCGGATGTTAAGCTTGACACCAAGAGCAACGAGACTCTCAAGGCACGGTACGTCTTCGCCGTAATCAGCTATGTCAATCGGATTGCCAAGAAGGGGGCAACAGAGCTCACCACGGACTTCGTAAAGGATGTCTTGAAAGGCAATGATGGTTGCTTCCTCGGTTTGTGTGCCATACTGGTGGAGAAGAAGTACATCGCACTTGACAATCTCGACGACGTGGCAGGCTTGTGCAAGACTATTCTTGATATCCTCCCCAAGCCAGACCGTGAGGTTGCGATTATGACTACGACTGTTCCTGCAGTTGAGGCAGCTAGGTCGATTTACAACGATCCCATGGACAAGGTGACAGCATGGCCGACGCAAGAGAAGCGCGAAAATGGTAAGAAGCTTGCCATTTCAGGCAGTACCAGATCGTGAATTAGGTCAGCTAACAGTTGCAGCCGCTAGCTATCGTACATGTATACTCAAGGGTGTCTCCGGTATCACCAGCATCAATCAGCTACAAGCTCTTGTCTGGGGTGGTAGGCTCGAGTCCATCTCCATGCCAGAGACAGGCTCCAACTTTGCCCTTGTCAAGTTTCTTACACCAGATGCATGCCAGAAGTACTTTGAGGCCACCGAGAACGGTATCGAAGTTGCAGGAGACAAGAAGACGGTCATCTTCGTGGAGCGGACGGCTGGCCCCAACTCCATAAACGACGTGATCCGCAACTGCATCGAAGGTGATGCCTCTCGCTGTGTGCGAGCCGTCCTAGGCGTCGGTGACGAGTGGTCCGATACAAAGCTGATGGAGATTGCTTGTGGGAAGGGTCAAAACAAGCGTGAGGTGGATCGCATCAAGCGCGGTAAGACCACACGAGACGTGAGTTTGCCATTGACTCCATGCACCACACGTAGACGCCCACTAATACTTTGCACTAGTACAATTTCGTCGAATTTCGTTTCGCCAGCATCTTCCACGCCCTTAACTTCAAGCGCCAGCTAATGGGGAATGAGGAATTCGAGCACTGCACCATTGGCTACGCTCCAGATCCCTGCGAGACAGCCTGCGGCGTTCACTACAAGGATGAAGATGAGTGAAGTACTGAACTGTGTCGATCTGGGTGACTTTAGTGTGGATATGGAAATGGTGTGGATTTAGTGGATCACAGAGTAACTTGGTCTTAGGAGGGTAGCGTGATACCTTTAGTGACTAAAACTATATGACTACCCACGTCGACGGGCCACGGTAAGACATCTTCCTTCAGTCGCGTCTCATGCGCCTCGACACACTCGTATGTCACATCCCGTCAAATGGCCAGTCTTTACGAAATTCTCCGTCCGGAGCTTTTAATCGCCCCACTTACCTTTGCCCCGGATTTCTACATACCCCAGATCCATGCAACGAAGGTGGTGTGTATTGGTACCCAACCTTGGAACTAACCCTTTTGGCATAATAACGCTGCCAAAGCTGGAACATCTGTTGAGGGGTGCGAGGAGGCACCAATCGGTCCGAGAGGTAGAAGATCATGCCAGAAGTGCAGCAGTCACTTGCATCCAGTCCACCCACATCCACATTGAGCATCACTATTGTAGAATAAAACGCAAGAGCAATATAGTTTAGGGGTGATCGGGCAAACGGGTGCGAAGAGGGTTGAAAAATAAATAGAAGATTAACAGCGGATCTTAATCAAAACGAGGATCTCAATCCCAACAAGCAGGCCCAGGATGTGGACATGCACATGGATGGTGCTTCCAAGCCCGCCGTGTCGGAGTCAATGGCAAGTGGATGCTGATGCTGATGCTGACAGGGCGCCTCACTCACTTGCTGAACTTTGCTCGAACCGGCTCTAACGAACGGCAAGCCACCGAGGCTCCTCCAAAGTTTCTGGTGACAATCGGCAAGCGTGACGACACGGGAGTGTCCGGGCGCAATGAGGATGTGCAAAGAAAAGAGGAGAGAGCAGCCGAGCGTAGCTTGGCCCACAAACGCGTGACAAGCCCAGAGTCTCCACACGATCCGGTTGCCTGCACGCCTTTCTCGTTTCAGACGACTTCCAGACCTCCAGGCTGTGGCAGCCAATAGTCAGTGAAGTGGGGACAAGTCTACTGGCGCCTTGGGGATGATCCGGCAGGAGACGGGGATGGGATCCTACTACACGTGGCTGGGAGGAAGATGAAACCGCGAGCCGGAGATATCAATCAGACTTTTCTCATGCAAACGACATTAGAAGGGGTATGTGCGTGCGGAAACGCTTGTCGACATGCGTGAAGAAGAAAAAAGAAGTTCGAGTAGTACTGCGCACAGCTGCACGACGAACCAGATCGAGACTGTACCTGGCATAGCATCATGTACTGTGCCTGCGATTGCATCACGCCGACGTAACACAGGTTTCTTTTCCCTGCATCACGCCTAAAAAGCCCAAACGTCAACCCACTCTCAACTTTCCACCTTCGCCTAATCAAGGGTGACAAGGGGCTTGACGACGGGGGGGAGGGGGAGGGAGGTTGGTGCGACTACACTGGAATAGCCGTTATATGTCAGTGTTGAATTGGTTCTAGCGGTGGCTGAACCGTCCGAAGGCCCGCTCGCCTCGCCCGCCCTCGAGGAGTCGTTGACAATGCAGATGCGGCCCACCAACAAACGCACGTGCGGTGGGGCGCCCAGAGACTTAAAGGCTGGCATCGTATGGGTGCAGGGCAGCCTGGCGAACGGCGCCCGTGTTCGTGAAGCTGTCGTGAAACAGGACATATCCCGCGATCCAGATTTCGACTCTGATGTGCGTAGCGCGCTAGCCACCAGCACTTGTGGAGAATATGTCTAAGCGATTGAGAAAAAGGAAGGAACAAAAGCAAGCTTATGAAGACATCTGTAAGCTGAAGTAAACTACTGGCCCGTACGTATTTGTTTCATCTTTGCCCAATGTCCTCTACATCGGGCTCGGGCTGCAGTAACGTAAGGCGCAAACGGCGAGTCCATCATTCTGACTTCCACAATCCCTTCATGTTCTAGCCCTGCTTTCCGGCAAGCTGTCTCGGACAACCGGAGGAGGCAGGCGGGCGTGGGAGGATCATGTTTCATATCCCTGTTCGATATGTTTCGTTTTATATGTGCGCTACCAACTCGCCTTGCCCGCATGGGATGTCAGTAACGAGAGCGAACTATTGAGTAGTAGATAATGCACCCATGGTGTTGCATTAGTCTTTCTGTTCTGACGTCAACGGCGAGACTAGTGCGGCTTGAATGTATATGCCATACGATGTACCACCGTCGCACGTCAGGTACTGTGCAAGAGACTGGCTGCTATCGATCCGCTTGAGTATTTCCGCGGAGCCACCAGGTGCTCCATCTGGTATAATGCATATGTTCAGCGGATGTTCCCGTTTGAATCAAACGTACCACTCCAGCTCAATTCGACATTACGCATAGATAAATCGCCGGTGACACAACATGCGCTGATACACGACCAGTGGCTTACCCGGATAGGCGAGCTAATGACCCCAAGTTTTGGACGCCTTCATCCGTACGTCTTCACAGACAACAGGACCATGTGTTACTTTTGCCGGAAGTTTTCCTATTGACGGCAATTGCCGCAGAGTTTGACTGAACTCGCAAATTGTTGAACAGAATCGAATTCCAGATGCGTTCTCCTAAAGACAATAAGCAGTATCCTGAAATGAACGGAGCTGAGGTAAGCGAAGATATTGTCGATTCAGAGTCGCGGGTTCAGCCAAATAAGTCATAGGTATAACAAGGATAAGATATTCATACGTCTAAGTGCGTGTAGTCGATCAGTCGCTATAAGCAGGTGGTATCCTCTAAGAACATAAATATAAGGATGGAGATACACAAGTCCCATTTTTGTAATCCAGGGGAATCCGCAACATAAAGAAATCAACCGTAGTGGTATCGTAAAGTCGAGCAACCAGAACAAAAGAAAGTCGCCGCCCCACCTGGGGATGAACTCAAGTATAGCCGTAATGATCAATCCGGAGGATATTGCGCCCGAACATAGAAACTAGAAATTGCTAGAGTATGATGTGATAATGTACATGTGTACAGAAGAGGATGCGAAGGTCGAAAGGATCATGTAGGATGCTAGTTCTCCTCCATGAGAGCCTCTTGGTCGCCGGATTCACGCCACTCCCGCGAGCGTTCTGACAGGCGTTTGACGCCCGCGATGCGCTCTGCCCAGAGTGACTCGGCAGGTGTTCTAAAAGTATATGCGCGTTGTGAAGAGATGACGCCGATCGCCTGCAGCACCGCCTTGCGCGAATCCCGACCGAAGACTGCAGGGTGATTTATCCACTCGAGGCTAGACTCCAGTTCGGCGTCCAGTGCGCGCATGGTTCTTGCATCGATGCCTGCTGCAGGCGTAAAGGGGCTGTCTGCGTGTGGTGAGGGCGTGCGTGGGCGCATATCCCCGCTGTTACTGTTGGTGGTGGGCGATGAGTCGCCTGTGCTGCCTGTGGCGCTGGACGCGTCATTGCGTCGGTGACCGGGAGGTGGAAGAGGTGGCAGACCACCCTTTCCTAGGCCTTTGAGAATAGTACGCGTCTCCTTGAGTAGGTGGTGTGCTCGTTCGTGTTGGCCGCGCGACACAAGCGTCAATGCGCGGGTCAGCATGTCTGAGGTGAGCAACTCCATACGACGCTGCACGACATGAGGGTGGGGTGGGATGGGAGGTGTCGGAGGTCGCCCATTAGGATTCTTCTTGGATCCAGACGGTAGTAATGTGATGGCAAGTAATGATGGCCTTGGGAGATGCGAGAGCGTGCCTTCCCGGAGAATGTCGCCGTATGTGAGGTCTGCTTGGATCAGAGGCACCTCCTCAACGCTGAGAGTGCGCGAATCATCTTGGTCGAGCGGTCCGCCCAAAGCCTCCAGACCGGAGACAATAGTTTCCCACGGGTCTTGCGGAAGCTGCTCCGGCGAGCCGGAATCAGGAGAGATGGCTAGTTGCACAAGGATATCTAGCTCACGGTTAGTGACTTGTCAGGGCAATGACAACCTCTTCTCAACGTACCTCTTTTGTCGCCGAAGCGCAAGTCGCCCAATGCTGCTTCGGCATCCCGCCCCGCTGCTCGTTTCGTGATTTGCAACGCGCCGCTGATCTTGACAAACTTGGCCGGAGAGCCCTCAGGCAGCCGCAGTTTCAGCTTGACATTCTGATGCGAAGTATTCTGAAGAGAGCCAAGACATCCCGCTACACACTCTCGAAGCATCATCCAGTCCTTGACGTAGGTGTAGGATGCCTTGGTACGTGTGGATAGCTCAATCATGGTGTCGGGTTTGTGCGTCAGTCCAAGACCAAACGAATGAATGGAAACCCTACTTGAGAGATTAGTACAATGACTTGGGGAGATGAATAGCGAAGCTCGGTACTCACTTAGCTGCCTCAGCGCGCGATATCACGAAGTCTACACTCTCGGTATCCGAGGTGGAAGAATCGCTAATGAGGAGGATGCTCGAAAGTGGGTTGCTCGACTTGCGCTGCATGAGTAGGTCCATGGCCACATTAGCACCGTCGACTACGTCAGCACGCAGGCTCTTCTGTCCCACGGGCCGTATCGAATCGAGTACTTTCGGCCAGTCTCTCCAGGCTTTGCTTGTCATGCCAACAATGGGTACTCCTCCACCGCTGGAGCCAAAGGTAACCAAGCCCATGCGATCACGCTCACCGAGGCTGTACACCAGGAATCGGAGCGTGTCGCGTAGTAGGTTGATCTTTAGGCCCTGCATGGATGAAGAGACCGGGATGACAACCACCACATCGATAGGTACGTGTATTGAGGCAGATAGGCGGGGCTCTGGTATGCCGGCGCGGGAACTGGTGTATTCGGTGGGTGCGGTCATGGTCGACCTGGCTGCGCCGTAGGAAGAGTTTACTGATGATACCCGCTTTGGCCTACGATAGTCGTCCTCCTCGTTTCCAGAGTTGTCCAGCTCGTAGTCTGGCATCCTGTTGCTGGTGGGGAAATCCAGACGAATGTCCATAAGGGCTCGTCGCCATAGCTCCAGCTGGCTTCTGTTCTGAAACTGCAAGTGGAATGAAGGTAGCTCTGCCACCGAGAGACTCAGGGTTAGTATCATATCGTCTTGCGAGTGCTCGACCTGGTTGAGGTGCTTCTTGATGAGGATAGAGCCCTTCAGCGTGCACTTGTTCTTCTTCTGGACGGACAGTTCTGAGCCGTCCCACTGTGGCTGCGGTGCCGTCTTCTTCTCTTTCACACAAATGAGCATCTCGGAGAAGAGGTAGCACTCAAGCTCCTGCCACGACTGTCGGTCCTTGCCGACACGGATGTGGCCGTGCAGTCGTAGCTTGCCAAAGCGTGAAAAGTCCAGGCCGTGCCAGTTGTCCACACGGGCGTGCAAATCCTCGGTCATCTCGTCCAAGACCTCTGTCGGTTCGTACTGCGGCTCGAATTGCCTGCTGTTTGGCGGCGACTTCTCGCGTCCAAAGCTCTCCGGGGCGCTGGCAATCGAGGGAAGAGGCGGTGGGCCGCGCATGTCGCTGGGGTCGGCGCGCCATTTTCCTTCCACCACTTCGACTGTGACCAAACAGGTGAGGCTCTGCTGCTGTCGCGATCTACTGAGGGTGGGAAACTCGCTTCGAACGGTCACGGTTGGGGCGGGGATTGGGCTCTTCAAGAGGCCTCGCGGGCTGCTAAGACTGGTCTCCATGGACTGTACGTCGTAGTCGTGCCGCCTACCCTCGTGGGTCGCGGCGTAATCATTCGAAGAGGCGAGACCGGTTGCGCCTGAATCGCTGCGCCCATGCTGCCGTGATATGGAGCCGCCTCTATCTGAGCCGCGGTCTCGACTGTGGCTGCTGTCGCGCTGGCGCGTCTGGGTCGAGTGCAGGTACCGGCCTGAGGCGTCACTCCCGTTGCGAGAGCGGCCGTGGCTTTGCGTGCCATTCTGCGTGTCAGATTGGATTGTCTGGCTGTCCCAGGGAGTGGGCGTATTCGAAGCACTCCGATGGGTGTCGGGCTGGGGGGACGACTCGCTCTGCACCGAGCGCACAATGGTGGACAGCTTCTCTGTTCGCTTGCGTCAGTAGGGTTGGCTTCGCACTCGCTACTACCCAGCAGCTGACTTACCGAGGTCAAAGTTCCCCCCTCTGCTTGTGTCCAGCCCCAGAGTGGCATTGCATGTCGGGCAATGTTGCGATTCGAACTCGCGAATATACTCGTAGAAGCAGGCCTCGTGAGCCACATGTGAGCACGAGAGCTGCAGAACGCGTTCTCCGCGAAGCGTGTAGGACAGGTCCTCCTCACAGACTGCGCACTCGCTGCCGACAAATGTCCTCTCTCTCCGCGTCCTCGTCCTCTCAATGTCCATGACCCCTGCCATGCCTCGGGCAGAGCTGGGAGGGCCTCGTGAGTCGAGCGTCGCGTTAGATCGTTGCGTGTGGGAAGTAAAGGGCTTCGGAGTGCTGGTATGGTGAATTGAATGACTGCTGCGCGAGTTGGGACGGAAAGATCCTAGGAAAGACATGAGCGTGCCTGAGCTCCAAGACAGGTCTCAATGGTTCTTGGGAGAGCAGTACTGTTGCTGTGACCAACACCCGAACTGAATCCGACGGCCTTTGTCGGCTTCTTCTCCTTCTTCTTCTGCTGCTTCTTGTCGCTTAACAGCCCGAGCTCCAACAGGTGTTTTTGAACGGGGTCCTCCTGGCGGTGGTGGGGTGGTTGAGGACGACTGCGGTCAGACAAAGGATACTCAGAGCCGTTCGACATGGAAAGACCGGGGCTGGAGCAGCGGCGCGCTTTTGGATCGCTTCAAGCACGTTTCAGCATCGACGAGCACACGGAGGATCGCTAACGAGTCCGCGGATGGGTGAGACTTTTGGGTTAGAGGCGCAAGGACAGGTACCGGCAAGTTGCAGACGAGCCGGGATTGACGGCTCCGACCGAATCGAGCAGTCTACTAACACGGGCCTGCTGGGAGAAGTTGTGCAAGAGGTTGTACTGCGATGCACCAGCGCAAAAGTGGAAGAGGAATTATGCTTGCGGAGAAAAAATCGGGTAGCCAAGGTGCCTTCGTCTTGATTATATCTGGTGCCCACCACAGCGACCGAGGGCGCACTGCAAGAACCCCGTTTGCAAGGTAGCCTAAAGCAAGCCCTAGGCATGGGCATGGTCATGGTCATGGTCGTGCATGTTGCACAACCCCTGCGACGGGCACGACGCCGCCGGCGGGCCCATGCGACGGCGAGCCGGTTGGTGGACAGAGCAGTGAATAGGGGGAGTTGGCAAAGCATACCTACGCCTGCGCCACTTTGACCCTCATTGGCTGATACTTTACAGGCGATTCGGTCCAGCTTTGGGCTGCCCCAAGATGGCGGGACCGCCGTTCGCACTGCGAATCTGGTTCTGGCGGCCCGTGGCTATGTGGAACCGAGCGAGCTCACTACGTGATGGCAATTGGAGAGGCTGGGCAGAGTCAGGAGACACTCAGACAGGCCCAAAGTCAGGAGAAAGCCCAGCCCGGCTGATGGCCGACTTTCCTCTGTCCGTCGACGATGGGCAATGCCATGGGCACTGGCAAAGTTTCCTAACCACCGGCACGGAAGAGCCCAGTGCTCCTCCTGCGTCTACGGCCGCGCTAGAAGCCTTCTTCGATTGGGGCCCCTTTCGCCCTCCTCCTCACGGTTAAGGTTCAACTTCGGGCTCATGATTCGAGTCACATCCTTCTGAGATAAAGTTTGATACCGCCTTCATGGCAATGCTTCGAAAAGGTTCTACCAGCCTTGGTTAGAAGCGACTTGGGAAGGAATTCCAGAAGATGCGTTTGACCCTCAGGCAGCAATGAGGCGGGCGCCCGATTCGAGAAGGTGTATATAAAGTTTATTTCTCAAAAAGGTAATGTAATGCGGTCACGTATTCGCGCCGCCTTTCAACCGCAACGTGAGTCCTCGAGCCCTCTCTGAAACCATCTATTATGTAACCCCTTTGATTTCGCTAGCTGTGGCCTTCCTCTACAACTTGTACAAGTGGAGCATGGCGCCGTTTTGTTGTTGATTCCTCTCCGGCCCGTACGGGAGGTTTGCGCAGAGGCGGCACGTGGCACACACGTGGATGGTGGGTGAAAATCATGGCGTCATCGCGAGTGTTGACGATGATGGCTAGCAGCTGGTTAGCGAGCAACCGGATCTCCAGATGCTCAACGACGGTCCTGAAAGCTAATCAACACATCTGCCGACCGCGGGGTGGATCATTCATGGCCTTTGAGCCATCTGAGCCAAGTTCTCTTGTCCATGCATGCCCCCTCGATGCAGCGCAGTCACAGTTCGATGAAACTTCTTGTTGCCATCATTCAATGATCCACCGGTCTTTATCCGGCAACAGGCCGGTTTGCTCATTCTCTCGCGTAGCTAATCCATTTGTCCAGTTAAACAGTTGCAAAATGCTACATATTCGCCTGTCAACTTTGGTTACCTCCTTCTGCGACGGATCAGACGTGAATGGGACAACAGGACGTGCCCAACAACGAAGACTAATTACATCAAACCGCAAGCAAGAAACGTTCTACATACTGCGTGTCTAGATTTGGCTCTTATATACTCCTACTTCTAGACTTGAATGTGGTTGGTTCTCATCTGAACAGGCACACCGTTACCATAGCTATTGTTGTCTGCTGATCTCGAGGTTACGCAGCGAGAGTTCTTCTTACGTTTTGTCAACGCTCAGACTAGTCGCCTCACTCTATTTTCGAGCTTGAGCCGGACCTTCTTAGGCTGTGCACCGGATCTACATGTCTTGCAGCGATGTTCTCCGGAAGAGTTCGCTCACCTGCTTGTATCCCCATCCTTTTAGCCGTCAAGACAGCAAGCTTTTGAAGCCTCTTCATAGCGACCTTGTACCAATATTCTTATTACTCGTCGTTATTACTCGCGTCTGAAGAACCATCGTCGATCACTCGCTTGCACCCCTGGGTTCATCTCTCCTAGAGATTACATCCTCGGTACAGTTTCTTTTCAGCTGGTGCAATTACGACTAATGGCTCGCAGTAGCCTCATGACCGGTTTTCGATAGCTTCAAGCTAGCGCCGGCATGTCGACCTTAGAAACAACTAAGCCCGGCATGCCGTCAAAAAAAAACACCAAGCGAAAGCCATCTCGTCAGAGTTGTGTTTCAGGGAACGTGGCACCCCCACTGACTAGAAAATGTGGAAGTCGAACGGGCGTCGATGACGATCGCGCGCCTCCACACTGCTTCTCGAAAGATTCCTTTTTTGGATTTTTCTGGTGTTCTCAACAGATCATTCAACCCCTACAAATGTCACCCCGTAAAGAGACAGGTCGAACAGGAGACAAGGTCGTGACATCGTCCTGGTCACTCTGCTCTCATTTGTGGCTTTTTCGAATTCGTACCGAGGGAGCTAGGATGTCACCACCAAGGCCATACCACACCACTCCAAATTCAAACCGCGGTAATTGTTTTTACTGACGATCCCTTCCCTTCCTGAAGGTTCAACCCGGTGGCGCAATTTTCGCAGATGCGCTGCCTTCGAAGAATGTTTTAAAGATATCGGAGCGCCTCCGATTGAGCATCAATGGCTACGCTCGCACTACCACAAATAGCTTGGACCCTTTCCCCAGATAACACCCGTGGCGTTTGTTACCACAGTGCACATATAGGATCATAGTTGCGAAACGTGAAGGTCAGCTACCGCAAGCTGACCCTGGGAATCCCGCGTCGTTGGTGTTCGGGTCCCCAAACATCGACTGCTAACAACAACAAGCTTCTCGTATAATCAGAAGCTAGCGCCCTTGACCAGGACAACCATGCATTGCGAAACAGCATTGTGGTACTTCTGCCTGACGGCCATCCATGGTTCTGGGTCGAACGTCTCAATTAGAACATGCCGGAGTCGAGTCCGTTCGCTGTAAGGCGTGCACTCAACAGCGGTTTAATGGCCTTCCTCCCGCACATGGTACAAAAGGCGAGGTAGCCTGTCTGCGCCTAGGCTTCGGCATTTACCTAAGTGCACTAATGTTGGGGGACCTACCTCCTCTAGTATATGTGCGGATGAACATGCAAGCTGAAGCTATAATTCACCTTGGATCCCGATGCCTCCTAGTGGCGTGCCAATGCTCTGAGAGCAAATCCAAACGACGGATGGATTGGAGATGAGACTATGCAGCGCACGGTTCACTTTCCGCTTTTAATATGAGCATATTCCTCACCAATGGCCAGGAGGTGTGGGGTCATTGGGGACTTCTTTGCGTACACAATATCATGTCGATTAGTATACTAGCGTTTCCTATGTACTGAGTAACTGTCCTTGGGTGATCAACTCCCTCCGAGAAAGTCGGTCCGAGTAAGTCCACATAGCTAACCGCCGTGTCGATCGCGGAAGAGACGCTCCACCAGTTCTTCCACTTTTCTCGGCGATCGTCCTCGACGAACATCTTGCTAGGCTACTGTATCTTTGCCCCATAGCGATTGAGATCATGCGCAAGAGCTCAGTACTGTGCATGCGTTCGTACCCTATTGAAAGCCTGCATAGGGCTACATATGTTCACCGCAGGCGTGCTTTGAACAGTCATGTTTATAACTTAGTTGACGAGTTACTTACCACCGCACCTAAATGGTACTATCACAGTCTTCTGGGCAAACACGCCTATTCTCCGACTCGAAAACAGATCCTCGGCCGGAGCCGAAGCGGTATACAGAGATGCAGACTACGCGGAGTACATATTCCATTTGCACTCGCATACATGTTTCATGTATACATACAGACTACATACCCTACGCAGATCTTTGCCTATTCCCCATGTCTTTAGGTGCCGATATCTCACTGCGATCAATACCGGTACTCAAGCGACCAGAGAGGAGCAATCTATCTGTCACAAAAAAGCAAACATGAACTGCCGCCACTATACATCGGGCATCGGGCATCGGAACAGATCACAGTTGGCACCTGCATGCTGTACGATTATGCACTCCGCACAATTGATGTTGCGACAGGAAAGGTCGGTCAACGTACGCGTTGCATGTGTGGGTACCTGCGTTGATCTTGACCGTTCCAGTTCGGAGCACCACAGACCGAGCTCGAACCACAATCACATGATTACGATTTTCGCCAAGTTGCCCACATGGAACACACGTGCGATGGGCTATCCACTGGTTTTGTAAGTAGTACGATTTCATGTTTGTCATTCAGAACTTGGCGAAAGGTTTGGGAGCGTGCACAGGTGTTAAGTCACGAACAACAAGAACACAAAGAGACGGGGCGAGATGTATACTCCAGAATATTTTTTTAGTAAGACTACTTCATTCTCACATTGGACAGGCTCCTTTCCCGACAACTAAGTCTCTGGACGACGAGAGATGCTTCCGACATCCAGTAAAAATCTGCAATCTGGCGTTGGAGATTTCTCCAACGCCAGCTAAGTGCTGAGTTGTTTAGTTCCCAGGAAAGACTCCTAAGAGTACAACCAAATAGTCTATAGTTAAGAGAGAGGTCTCTAGAAACTATAAACAAACAGCTTGTATAGTTTCGAGTGGAAATTCCTACAATTATGAACGAATAGTTGATATAGTAAGAGAGAAGTCTCCCTTCACTAGGAGCTGAAGCGGGTCCAGGAGAGTGCCTGAAGTTGACGCCTCCAATCTTACGAGATCAATCCGCAAATGCTCTGAGCTCAAAGGGGGTTTTCTTTTTTAAAAAAAAAGTTCTCGAAACGACTCGTCAGACACGCCGCCCTCTTTCAGTCGAGACTGGCCTCCTCGACCTCGGGCCTTCCTTTCTTCTTGTCGGAATCTTCCATATCGGCAGACCCGTTCTCGGCAGTGGAAGTGAATGGAGCGTCTTGCACTTGCTCTTTGTTCCCTTTCATGGTGTCTTGGAGAGCCGCAAGCTTCGCGATCTAGGCGGCATTACACTCTTTACGCACGCGGTCTGTGGTCCGAGCCCTCTCCTGGAGCATTTGCCTCTGCAGCTCATCTGCAAACTGCTGCTGCATATTTGTCGCCAGCTCCGGCATTTGGCTTGCAGCTGCCTGTCGACGGCAGCTTTGTGCGAAGAGAACTCTTCCAATATCTCGTGCTTCTCTACATCCGCCTCCTTTAGTGCAAGCGCAAGCTGTTGCTGCCGCGTCGTCAGTTTCCCCATGCGGTCCTCGAGTTCCATCGTCAGCCGCATCACGTGCCCGTGTCGACTAACGGGGAAGGAGCGGCTTTACCCCTCAATAGTGAAGTAAAACAACCCATCCTAGTATTAAAGAAAAGAAGATCATGGTGCAGACGTGCGAGATATAAGGTCAAGCATAGAAGTGAAGGCTGTGAAGACTATGAGTATAGAGATATATGCGTTTGAGACTCCAAGATACCATGAACAGCGTCCGCGCTTTGACACATTCAGTAAAGAGGCCACAGCCGTGATAAGTAAGGCAACAGTTTCCTCGCAGCTACATCCTTGACCTCTCGCTGAAGCATTAGGTGCAGTCTTAGGTGACAGGCGGAGTCTTTGTAACGGAAGCTGGCATGGAGTTCAGCATCGAGCTCGTTATCCCGTTTAATTCTCGAGCACATATCTGTATCTCGCCTTTCCGTCCACCATATCTAGCACCGCCTGATTGGCGTCCTTCATCTTGCGCTTCTGGATCCACGGCTTGACTTTCTGGTCCGCAGCAAGCTTCAGCATCTCGTCGATCTCGGCGGGTGACCCAATGGCGGAGCCGCCGACCTTGATTCCGCCTGCAAGGAGCGTAAAGGCGTTGATTTCGGGGAGCTTGCCGCCGTCAGGGGCACTATCAATGCGTTAGTAGAGATCTGTATGCTGGACAAAGGGCTATTACATACCCAACCTGAATGAAGGTCCCCTTGGTCTTCAAGAGAGCCAGATATCCATCCAACGGCATCTGGTGACTCGACACGGTGCAGACAATCAAGTCCAAAGTTTGCGCGTTATATTTCGCCCAGTCCTTATCGCCATCAGTCGCGATGTACTGGTCCGCGCCCAGCTTCAGTACATCATCTTTCTTGTCTGCCTTCCTCGAAATGCCCACAACCTTGTCAGCCCCCAGCGCCTTCGCAAAGAGCACACCAAAGTGGCCAAGCCCACCGACACCGACGATACCGACTGTCTTGCCCGGGCCGCAGTCATTTTGTTTCAGCGGGCTGAACACCGTAACACCACCACACAGCATAGGCGCTGCGTCCGCGGAATCCAGACCCTCTGGGATGTTCAACACAAAGTGACCATTCGTGCGGTTATGCGTCGCGTAGCCACCGTAGCTCTTTCCTTCGTTGCCGGGGTACACGGATCCATACGTGTTGATACTCTCACGGTGACAGTGGTTCTCTAGTCCTTGAGAGCAGTCCGGGCAATCTTTCTGAAGACAAGAGCGTGCCTGTGCGCCGACGCCAACGCGGGAGCCCTCTTTAATATGGGAGACATTTTTACCGACGCGGACGGCTTTGCCGATGATTTCGTGGCCGACGACACATGCTGTCATGTCGTCAGTCACGTGGAGTGTATGACACAAGAACTGACGTCAATGGGAAGGTTTGGAGATATACGTACGGTAGGGCGTAGGAGACCAGCCAGACTTCAAGACATGCAAGTCAGAGCCGCAGATACCGCAGTGGGAGATCTCGATGTCAACGTCGTCTTCAGTCCACCTTTTGGGCTTAAATTGGCCCCATTCCATCTTTCCTTCTACGGACTTCTCGTCCTTTCCGAGCCATCCTTCGAACTTGGTGTCGGCCATTGTGATGTTGGGCTAAGCGTTTACCTGAAACTGGAGGATTACGGGAGTCTTATATCTTGGGGTAGCTTGTTCTGCTACTGTGGAATAGATTTTGAGCATTTATAGATCAAATTCAATTGATAACTCCGCCAACCTCCGAATGACGTTTGCGATGCTCTTCGTCCGGCTTGCTACGCAATGTTCCGTTGGACCCTGGTGTGACCGCATTCGGCCTCGTCCCCATTCCAGCACTGCCGCAGAGTAGTCCGCCGCATTGCATGTTACAAGTGCTATACGTCATTGAATATTCACTACGGTCGGAGCTACTCGGGGATAAAGTTTAGCAGCGGAAGAGAATCTTCTCCCATTGGTTGTATATATGTGCTACGCGCGGACCGATGGGTACTAGAAAGAGTGAAGTGGGAATAGGCATATAGCCGACACCAGGAGTCACGCTATCGTTGATATAATGGCATTGAGTGGAGTGATTGCACGTTACCTAAACCGCTCATACCTCTCCTCCTCCTGCATCATCTTATGGACCCTCTCGATCGTCTCAGCATCATATACTTCCTCCAGCTTCTTATCGCCCTTTAGTATTTCCTTCTCGTGCTTTGCCGCCTCCTCTTTCGTCATGAGAACGAGTTCATTCATCTTCAGCAAGCTGTGCTTTTGGCCTGGTGTATTCTGGTCGACGAAGTTTTGGGTCGGCTTGTTCCAGCGAGCGAGGACAAGGCGCGTTGACAAGCCACTGACGATGCTCCGCCCATTGTACACTTCTTCGACGAGATAGCCAACGTCGTCTTGTGTAATGGGGATCTTGAGGCTTTTTGCGTCGTCAACGTACAGGGCCCGTGCAAGTCGTTCCTCCGCACCTTGCAGAGCGCCTAGAATGCCATCGTACATCTTGTCGCGAGATTTGGAGGGCAAGGGTTCTTGCGGATAGCCAGCAATAGACAGGATGACGAAGTTTGCTACCGCGAGGCCGAAGATGGCTGGCATGGTGCCCACGACAGGGAGGATCCGCACGCGGAAATCTGGAAGGACGCCGAGTTCACCAATGCTGCCTTTTGCAAACTCGTCTTCGGCGAGCGGTTGGAGCTCGGCCTTGCCTGGCCCTGGCCTCTCTGTCGAGAAGACAACCGGTATGCCATCTTTAACGCCCCGTAATCGCAGTTTTCTCCTTGTGGATTTCGATAGGGGGTCATCAGTGCTTGCGGAAATGTCGCCAATGAAGATGCGCGTGGGATCGGACTTGCAGCCGGCGCCCATGGATGAGATGACCTTGATATCGTTATTGTAGCAGTACGCTAGCAGCGCGACCTTGCTATCAATGTTGTCGATAGCATCAATTACAAAGTCCGGTTTCTGCCCATTCAAATCCGCTAGCTGCGCTTGCGCACTCTGCTCGCTGAACAAGTCGTTCCAGCATTCAAAGTGTGTCCAGGGTGCGATTTGCTCGAGGCGTTTCCGTAGACAGTGCACTTTCGGCGTGCCTACATCGGCCAAGGTAGCTACGGCGTGTCGGTTCAAGGATGATAAGGTGAGCTGATCAAAGTCGATGAGGCGGAGTTTGGAGCATCCTGCGCGGGCGAGGGCTGCAGTTGCGTGGGACCCAACGCCGCCACAACCCACGACGACGACGAAGGCTTCGCGCAATTTTGCGAGCCCGGGATCTGTGAGGAAGACGCGGTTTCTAGCAAGTTGTTCGAGTATAAGGGCTGTGGTTTGTTAGATTCTGATCTCTATACAACGTTCATAATTCGCTAGTCGTACCGTCGTCATAGTCGCCTTTCCTTGCTCTTGCTGCTAATTCCACGCTGCGCTCATCTTCCTTGCTGGGGGCGAAGACGTTCGACGCGGCACCGTATTCTGTCAACTGCAGAAAGTCAGTGTGACCGAGCTTGGTCAAAATACCAAGGCAATTGAACACCCTCCCAGTCACGTGCTATAGACTTACTCTTTGAGCATGATGTGCATCGCCCACCTCAGGTATTGAGGCCTTGAGGTCTGCGATCCTAGTCATGCGCCTTGCCTTCTGGAAGCCGAGTATCGCAGTCGCTACTACGAAGCCAGATACAGCGGCCGTAGTGATAAGCTGAGCATTGCGAGACTCGGTCGCCCGTGATATCCACGAGGACATCTTGGCGGTGTGGTGAAAACTTTTCTAAAAAAAATCACTCTCCCAGTCTACGAAAAGAGCGCCATCTATGTACAATGGTATAAGCAGTAGCAAGCCACCGGAACAGGCGAAAGAAATGCAGTTGGTGGTGACCTGATTGTGTGGAGGCTCCCGTCAGAACATGGATTGAAGGTTCGGATGCGACCAATGTGCTAGTCCGAGAGTGGATTAGCGTATCCAGCTCGGGGTCGAGCAAAATGCATGACCTTTGAGCATAGCCGCCAGCGAACCAGACGAGCACAACTGGACGCGTCTGAGACATTTCTCACGCGCCGTGAAGGACTGTGGTCCCGTGAAGATAGCCAGGCGCTCATATACAAGGTCGAAGCCAGCACCCACCCGAATATATCCACTTCTCCTACCCTCCCCGACTCTTGAATCCTCACCATGTCCAAAGTCACCTTCGCCATAATCGCCGCCGGTGGAGCCGCTGCTGGCGCCGCAGCAACAGCAGCCTTCTACTCGACAGGGAGGAAAGAAGGGCAGCCAACACCAGTCTCTACAACCGTTACCACTACAGTAACAGGTCCTCCTCGGCCAGCACCTGTCCCCACTGTCCCCGCCGTTCCTTATCCGTCCGCTGCCGCCAGAAAACCACTCGTAGACCCCAACGGCCTCTTCCAATACGGCTTCCCCGGTCCCGTCAACGACCTCCGACCCGCCGCATCCCTCACATCTTCGTACGACCGCCGCACGCGTAACCCAGCATGGGTGGCCGAGCACATCACCCCCGAGTCGTTAGCGAACAGCAACGCAGACCGGAAACACTCCGTTTTTGTCGAGGACATAACGATCCCTGAGATGTTCCGCGCAAAGCTGAAGGACTACTTCCGCTCAGGCTACGACAGAGGCCACCAAGTGCCGGCTGCGGACGCGAAATGGTCCCAGGAGGCCATGGACGACACGTTCAGTCTGAGTAACATGTGTCCGCAGGTTGGGGACGGGTTTAACCGTGATTACTGGGCTCATTTTGAGGACTTCTGCCGAAGACTCACACATACGTACCCCAGCGTCCGCGTCGTCACTGGCCCTCTCTACCTCCCCAAGCGCGAACAGGATGGGAAGTGGAGAGTCAACTACGAGGTGATTGGCAACCCGCCCAACGTTGCCGTGCCGACACACTTCTACAAGGTCATCTTTGCAGAAGACGGGACGCTTGGGGGAAAGGTTGCCCTGGGTGCTTTCGTCCTGCCAAACGCTGTCATCGCCAACAGCAAGCCGCTCACGGACTTTGAGGTGCCAATCGAGGCAGTAGAGAGAGCGAGCGGATTGGAGTTCGCAACGAAGCTGGACGTCTCCAGGCGGAAAAGATTATGCCAGGAGGTCAACTGTTCGGTCATTGTCAAGGAGTATGCGCAGAGGCAGAAGACGGTTACCAAGAAATGAGAGCATTAGCGAGCGGCGTTGGTTTTAGCATCATATAGCAGGTCATTCAGGTTGGCAATATACCAGACGTGTTTTGTACACGGCGCTTGCTGTTGTTGTACATTGTATGGTACAGTTTCTACTATACATGTCGAATTTCGTGTACCCATTTTGTTCTTCCAGATTTGCCGTTCATGCAAGCCAATCGTACATATGCGAGTACATAAAGATCGTCATCGACATTCGTAAATGCCGTATCCAAAACCAAAATCAAGACTTGTCGTTGTCTTTCCGCTTGCTGGTTCTTCCCACTTCGGCGGCGACTCTTACAAGTTCTGCACCGCACCGCTCTGGGCGCTCTCGCGCTGTATCCTCGCTACATATTGCTTCGACACTGTGTTCCATGCGCTCATGTACTTCTCCATGCAAGATGTAAAGCAAGTCTCTTCGCCCTTGGAGAGTGAGGTGCCGGGTTTCGGGACGCAGCGCTCGAAGCAGTGTTCGTTGAGCTTCTCGACGAGCATACGCGCGTTTTGCATGGCGGCTTCTTGCTGGACTTGACGCATGATTTGCGTTTTACTGGCGGAATGCATATCAGTGGGTGTGGGAGTGGTGTGGATGAGAGTGCACATACGGATCGCCGGGGAAGGCAGATGCGCCTAATGAATCCATATTGATGAATTGGAGAGAGCGCGTGTTGACTGTCGAGTAATTATGGGAATGCGATGTGAGTGTTGGCGGTTGTGGTTACTCTGCGAAAAAAAGGTTGTCGACGTCAATGTCAAGAGCCATCCGACGGTGGTTCCCTCTAGCGCCGATATACCCCTGCATACACGCGGAAAGGCCACTCTATCACCACCGCTCCCAGGTGCAACTTTGAAGTCAGCACGTCCATGTCGCCCATTCGTGTCATTCCCCTCTTCTCATAGCTGCCCTGCACTCACCCGCAGTAATTCTTCTTATCGATTGAAGAAGCCAGTCTTCTTCTTCCATTCTTTCTGCGCACCACAGCTGGGGGATAGCTGGTCTCAGCAAGCGGAGCACGTCGTGCAACCATGTTATTCGCAAGGCCATGGACAAGTTTGTGCCTGCTGGCGGGGAGTCTCACGGGTGCTTTGGCCCGATCTGGTGGACTGATTGAGGATCCTGATATCAAGGCTATCCCGGTGGGTTATCGCGTCTGGAGCTTTTCGGAAAGGTTGCTAATAGACGTTTAGCTACGGACACACAGCATCGAGCCTGTAAGTTGCACGCGTTATACTGAGACACTCGGTGAGGACCAGAGAGAGGGAAGCTTCTGACGTTGTGTCTAGCCATACCTCGACTCGGACATGCAGAGCCGCTGGTGGGACTTCGGCGGAGACACTATTATTCGAACCGACAAATACATCCGACTCGCCTCGGACAAGCCCTCGCGCGATGGCTGGCTATTTTCACGGGTGCCCTTGACGGCTACAAACTGGGAGGTGCGCTTTACCCTCCATACGTTATAGACTCTCTTCCAAGCTCACGCGAGTAGATTAAATTCGAGTTCAAGATCCACGGCCAGGGCAATCTCTATGGCGATGGATTCGCCATGTGGCTCACCAAGCAGCGAGCTCAACCAGGAAACGTCTTCGGCCACGCAGACAAGTTCGAGGGTCTCGGCATCTTCTTCGATACCTACAAGAACAACCGCCCCGGCACCGTGTTCCCCTACATCATGGCTATGAACGGTGATGGGCAGACTGTGTACGACAAGGACAACGATGGTAAGGCCAACGAGGTCGCTGGATGCTCTGTACGTACCCTTTTCATACCTTCTCCGGTGCTAGACTAACATGGTGCCAGGCTCGCGGAATCCGCAATGCCCAAGTGCCTACCAGAGCACGCCTGACCTACTTTCAGGACCAATTCCTGCGCCTGGAACTCCAATACAAGTCGGAAGACGAGTGGACGCAATGCTTCGAAATCCCCAACTTCAAAGTCCCACCGGTCGCGTACTTGGGCTTTTCCGCCGAGACAGGCGAACTCTCCGACCACCACGACATAATCTCCGTCAATAGTCAGAACCTTTACAAGAAGAACCCTGGCTCGAAGCCCTCAAGCCCGAGCGCATCTGGCGGGAAGGCGGCAAGCTTCATGGTTAGGGAGAAGAGTGGGAGCTGGACGTGGTTCATCGTAAAATTTGTGCTGTTTGGTCTGGCGCTGACCGGTGCGTACGTCGGGTACACTGTCTACCGGACACGACAGCGGGATAGGTTCTAGGGGAACGAGACCAAATACCTGCAGTATAATCGTGCGAGCCGTATGCGCCGCGGTTACTCCCGACGAAACGCGCGGCGTGGAGATTCCGAGGATGGAGATGAGCACGACTGGGCGACCTTGTACAAAGTTGGATGACGGAGTTGGAGCGGGGAAAAGTAGCCTGAGAAAGGCTATCCATATTATTGCGCATTGCTTGTTCCTTCCCTAGCGGTTGCTGTCACAACACTCGACTCCTAGCAAATACCATTTGAAAACTACCAAACACGTAAAGCACTTGAGAAAGCATATGAACGTGATGATCTGATGTACACACTTCACAAGGGTAGTCTTCGTAAAGTAAGTTGAAGACCACCTTGATTCTGTGGGCTGGCTTTGCTCTCGCAACCGATTTAGATGACCTTGCGCCATGGAGGTATTTGGCAGCGGTCATGATGTCGAGATGCAGTTGACCACTAGACTCGATCAATGAACGAGGTGTCGAAGGGCGCGACTCTGGCAGCGAAGTATCTCTGCAAATTGAACCGGGTCTGCCGCTGCAAATCAGGATGATGTCTAGTCTAGCAACTTCAGATTACTGTTCGAGCTCGTCGTCGTAGATCCGGAATCTGGACTCGCGACTGTGTTGCAGATACTCCATAGGCTTGTTTGGAGTGGCCGGCGAATGCGGTGGGACTGCGGTGCAGAAAAGCAAACATGCTGCTTTGAGTAAGTTTCACTCAGTGTCGATAGTAGAGGTACAGCCCACATCAGATTACGGCTTACGTACTAGCGCTGCACGTGACGGCGCGCTGCTGCTAAGGATATGAAAGGTTGCGCATCCACCTTCTCTAACCTCACCCACAACCCGAGCTGCGAGTAAGTCCTAACCTGCCCACAGCTATATACGTATAAGCTGCTACACTCCACGTCTTTATATCGGCGTTCGCGAGTAGCAACACTGTCATTGACGAGGACAAGTGCTAACACCTCCAGATCCCAATGAACGACAACCCTTAGTCACAAGGCGGCACCCGGGCCTAATCAACCCAGGCGTCTCACTGCATGACAAACAAGAACGGAAAGCGGAGGGAGTGCGCCATCATACTAGATGTGCCATATCGCCTGTCCTGTCATTGCACGTTGACGGATAGCGATTTCGCGAGCTGCTGGGTCACGCACTCGCCAAGAGACGACGGGGTAACACTCGTTCACCACACCCAACCATCCCCACCGCGCACTGAGGAAAAAGTAAAAGAGTCGAAGCGCCGTGCTGCCTTGCGAAAGCTTGGAGGACGAGCCGCTGCTGACGACGAAAACGTAGTTTTCAATCCTAGCGCCTTTACCTTGGCTCTCCTCTCGAGGAAGCCATTGTACTGTCAGTGTGGGGGTGCGTGGTCATTGTCGTTGGGCTGTGGGCTTGGAGTTGCGTGTACGTGGGTTTCTTTTTACTGAGATCTGACTTTGAACGGCAGATTGAAAGGGTCCAGTGATGATGTTCTGTCCAAGAGACGGGGCATTAAAGCCAAAGTCGAGTTGAGGAGCCCGTGACCTTACTGTTGGTTGGCTGAGAGGCTGACTGATGGGGGTCTGTGGTTCCTTCTGAGGACAGCAGGAGAGCTAATCTGAGGACCAATACTATTCATTCCACTTTTTAAATCTTGTCCAATACTATGCTGACTTGTGATGAGATGTAGAGAGAAGACGTCGAAGTTTAGTGACGCCAAAGACACATGCACAATCGTATATTGTCGCAGTACAGCAACTGGACGTTCCTTGCTGGGCACATGCCCACCATCTACTCATAGATATAACAAAACGGACCCGCAACTGTACTCACCAGCTCCTTGATCTTATAGCTCTTTCCATCCACATTCAGCACCTCCAAATCCACAACATCCTCAAGGCTCTGCGCTCGCCCGCCACCCATCATTGACGTCCCGCCGGCGATGACTTGCTGGCGATTGGCAAAGTCTTGCGCCTGCCAGATGTACCAAGTGCGGTCGATCATGGAGTGATGCAGATAGAAGTAGGGATCACCGGGCGAAGTGTAGAAATCTGATCAGCGTTAGGAGTTGGAGGAGAGGACATAAACGGTGAGGGAAGCATACCAGATCCCGGATCCCCGCTGACAGTGAAATGCCCTGCTATGTGGACGTTCCCCTGATTTTGCATATTATCTTGGAACGGCCCAACCCCTGCGCTGCCCGTAATGAGTGCTGCTATCTTCGCCGGCGTGGCATCGCGCTGTACGAGGTAGCCGCTGATGTCCCGCTTGATGCACCGGGGATTATAGCCGTAGCCGTCTGAGCGCGGGTTCTTGGGGGGTGAGGTGTCACTCATTGCTGCCATGGGGCTGGAAGACGAATCAGCACTGGGAATTCACCATGACAATAAGGGAAGGGGAACTTACCCAAGATTCACCTTCATATCTTTGAAGGGGCCGGACGCGATGCAGCCGCCGCCGTTTCCAGCCGGTTTGATGCCGTTGCTGTTATGCGTGACTTTCTCGCCTTGTCCACTCATACTGGTGTCGCTGCCATCGAAGATGGGCGAGGTTTCGGGGTTGGCCCAGCGTCCCCAGTCCCAGTACGGCTGCGTTCCATTATACCCGCATTCCGTTCTGAGCGCTTGCTCATACGCATACGTGTAATACCTGTGCCAGGACAAGAAATTGCCCGTGCCATGGATGTTGAGCGTGTTCTTCATGTGGATGACCACGAAGTCGTCGTAGCGTGTTTTGGCGCCGGGATAGGTGGTTGGGTTGAGTTTGGAAGGAGCTTTGGTAATGCATTGCACAGCGGCGATGTATGCTTTCTTCTCCGCAGCAGTGATGTCGCCCCTAGTTTTCGTTAACAGTGGGCTGGGAAAGTGGAGGGTGGCCTACCATTCTCGCCTTACACGCAGCTTGTCCTTCGTACATGTCGTTGACTTCGCGATGGCAACATCAACAGCCGCTCGTCCCTTGGTCTGAAGGTCACCGACTGCGTCCGCAGCGCAGAGAACTGACAGAAGAAAAGCAGAAGCTAGCAGAGCGTACAACGCTCTAGGCGAGAAATAGACCGCCATCGTCCAACGCTGTCAGAGACTCTGCACCTTGGCCTTAGAGCTGAGGGGTAAAGCTTTTGGAGAAAAGTCTTCTCCAACTTATACCATCCTTCCCCTGCTTAAACGCGGCAGAGTCAAGCGCGTGGCGTTTGGTCAGGCAGCCGTGTAGGGCATAGTGATCGCGCCAGCGAAGAGCATAAAGTAGGGCTAGATGAGAGAGATGAAACAGTGATCACGAAAGTATAGGGACCACGCGGGCATTGCGTAATGGGAAATGAGAGAAGTATGAGAGGACCGGCAGATGCAGAGGTTAATATGAGTATCCGGACTGTATAAACTTGAGGTAATGAGATCGAGACGTTAAAACTAGGCTTTGTGTTCAACTTCTCAATCAATCTCGAGCTGAAGCTTCGACTGGATACTGTAGGATGCCTGAATCTGTTCAGAGTGATGGCGTCTTTGAAGAGTACAAAGAAGCATAAGTCGCGCTGCAGTGGTTGCGAGAACTCTCTTGCTCAGCACAATGCCAAGCCGGCATCCTGGAGTCGTACCGGTTAGACGAGACGTCGAGGACTATCCAAGATGAAGCTTAATCTGAAGGGTTGTCGCGGGTGATCAGCGCACTACAATCCTTGATATATATGAAGATTCAAAAGGCGGAGCGGCAGAGTACGAACGAAAGTGCGTATAAGCGAGAACATGACCCGAAGTTTTCGAACCTTCGAATTGTGAAATTGCCGGAGATCGTAGTGCGATTCTCTTGGATACTGGTTGGGGTTATGGTTGAGATCGTGAAAACAGAATATCCAGTGAAGACTACCATTGCACTCGAGTGAGGTTAAAAAATGATTAACTCTCGAGCACGACATGGCCCACGTTTCCTGCATGCATGTAGGGATGTTGGAAGAACAGCGCGTTGGCGTTTAGCCGATAGTAGTGTTCATCTCGGAAACTCTCAGCTGTCGGCCTAAATCACTATGAGCCCAGCGAACACGAGGCTAGGGCTAATGTGATTTGGTTTCGAGTTCAATTTCAACTTCGATCGTCTAGATCTTCTGCGGTACTGTTCGGATCTTCGTGCGTAAGATACGCTAATCCAGATCTTCGGTGTCTACTTTCTTCTACGCTTGCCGAGCGGACTTCGGAGCCAACAGCCACAAACGTGAATACTGTGTGTTCGAAATATTTTGAGTCTTCCGCTCATAACAGCCGGTTTCGAGAGACTTTCCTAGCGGGTTGCCCTCACAAAGGCCTTGATAGATGAGGGGCTCACAATGTGGTCATCGGATACCAGTTTCTTGACACAGATCGACACACAGCAAGTATGTCTGATGTATGCCCGTCGGCGTGTAGGCACCGATGTAGACACAAGCTTTTGATAGTGCCGTCGTGTAACCCTTTCATCTACCACGCTGATCTCCTGTACTTAGTGGCACATCCTCCACTTCTCGACGCCCAATGTGGCGCTTCGTATATGATTCATTCATTTTCATTCCTGCCTCGCTTTTCCAAGCCGTCACCTCTCTACCGCCTGGCCCGGCAACTCTGCAGGCCGTTCGTTCTTCGGCGCTTCATATATTCTGCTGTATGGCACCTCTTGCCTGGCCGTACTATAATGGTACATCCCATACCTCGTTAAGAGCGTGTCGTGCGCCTCGATGGGTACGTTTTTGGGTTCAGGTGGTGGGTGTGAATGCACTTGTCGTTGCTTTCGTCTCCGCCAGAGGAAGAGGCCAAGAACAACGAACGCTATGAGCGCAACACCCCCGATAGATGCGCCAGTGGCTGCCTAAAAACCACGGGAGAGGATAGAAAGAGGTAGAGGTGTTTGTGTTGGAGTTTGTGGAGGAAGGAGATGAGGAAGGTGCAGGTCAGGAGAGGTTGCTAGATGTGGCGACTACTGCACCGACCAACTGCTTGAAAGTCAGCATGTCCATATTTCAAATCTCGTCTACCAGGTCAGATTCTTACGTTGATACTCGAGTATTTGTCGTTGTTGATCGCAGTGATGCTTTTGAACCTCCAGCGTTGTCCATTCTGAGGTGCCGTGACGTTTGGACTCATTGACAGGATTCCGCTGTCCTTCTCTAGAGGTACAAAGTCAGTATATGTCTCACCTGTAGTCCGTACACTAACAGTACTTACTATTTAGACGATAGACTGTTCTAATCGCGGCGTTCTACGGGTACTATGTCCTATCGCCCTAAGGACTAAACGTCTAGTACACGCTTGCACCTGCAATATCACCTCTAACCATCATAGGACGCGTCTTTCCCTCTTGAGCCGGAACTAGAGTAGGGGCTCGTTCTCAGTAGAGACTGTCCGACTCCGACATATAGCTGGTACCACATGCTGAATCGATATCGGGCTTCGCCATTTCGATCGTTGCGGCTACTAATGAATAAGAAGATAGAGTTATATAGTAGCACAACAAAGGTAACGCGAGTATGGGAAATATGAGAAAGGAGAATTGAGACAAATGAAAACAACAAAGCGCTCAAAAAGGCAGGAGGGGCCCCTAGAGCTGATTATGACGGGAGAACTTTCTGGCTCTCATTAGGCTTGTGACATGGCGTGAAATAATGTAGGTAGCAGCAGCGAAAGCTGAATTAGTAGTCGACCCAGAAGCCATGCTAGCTAGGCTGCTCAGCCTTGTGTAACTCATGTTATCATGTGTGCTTTTGGGACCTTCGAAGCAGCAAATTTGAAGCTTAGTGAGAGTCCAAGGAAAAGAGTTCGAACTCGATCAGATAGCTGGTTTACTGGTTCTATACTATTCGACTACATTCAGAGAGGAATATCGTGAAGCTGGTTGCGATGGTGCAGAGTAGGGTGTGCCGCCTGCCCAGGAAATAGGGCTGACGAGCTCGGGCTACGTCAGAGCCGCACAGCCGCACCTCCCCAATCTTGCGCCTCACATATCCAAGCAACCACAATGAGAATGTCTTGCCTCCCATTTCGCCTGCTCACCATCCGTTCAGCATCGCTACAACGCCAAAAATAACCCATGCAACAGAAAGACAAATCGAAGCTCTACCACGCCAACACTTCCTTCTGTGCGCCGTTTCCACACGCAATGCCAGCGCATATCTCTTCGTCCTCGTTGCTCACGCCAACATTACCTTCTACTTTTTGTCTCGCGGGCCAGACCTCGCGGCCTTCCTTCTTCTCCCGCTGGAAGTGCTCGGTGATGACTTCCCGTACCGTCTTTTGAAAGAAAAGAGGAGCTTTCTCGTACTTGGGATGTAGCTGCCCGTTCACGAACACTCCTCTGTCGAGGTTCTTCTGGGCGGCGTTGCAGAGCACTTTGTCCTCGCGCATGACGCGCTCGTACATGTCGGCAATGAGGTGAAATTCCTCGCTTGACGAGTTCTTGTTCTTGTAGATTTCATACGTGATGTTCGAGTTATTGGGTCCAGACGGGAGGAATTTCTGGATCATCATAAAGTGTGGAGACGCTGACATGGACACGTTTGGAAAGTAGTATGTGCTGTGGACATCCAGGCCTTTTGCAAGTTGTTCAGGCGTCGAGGTGCAGTGATGCTGGATGTGTCCATCTACAGTGTCGCTATCAAATGAGTCCAAGTTGAGGAACGCTGGGATGTCAGGGTGGGTCGTGGGGCAGTGGTAACATTCGTTGAAGTTATCTGATGCGATTTTCCAGTTGTAGTTGCAATCCAGCTCATAAGTGTGGTCGAGCACATAGTCGTCGAAGTTAAGATGGCTGTACCGGGTCTGGACGTCGACGTTCGCAAAGTGCTCTTCCCATGGGATTTCCGGGTTCTCAGAAGCGTCCATATTGACCCAAACGAAGCCGTTACCGTCGATCTTGGTGTGGATTGCAAAGAGACTATTCTGCTCCTTCTCAAACTCTAGCTCCTGGTATCCTGGCGCTTTGGCTAATCTTCCATTCAGACCATAACTCCAGCCATGATATCTGCAGGCCAGGATCTTCTTGTTGCCGGCGTTCTCCTCTTCTATGACAGGGTACGCTCGATGTCGGCATACGTTGTGGAATGCGTTGATGTTGCCTGCCCTGTCACGGGTGATGATGAAGTCGAATCCTGCAACGTCCTTGAAGCGGAGCCAGTCGCCAGTCTCCTTCAGGCGCGAGCTATGTGTGATGAAGAGCCATCGTTTCGAGAAGATGGCGCGGCGCTCCAACTCGTACATGGCCTGAGAGGTGTACCATGATGCGGGCAAAGCGCGTATGGGGGCCTCCTTAACGGGTGCAGTCTCCTTGGCGGAATTGTTAAATGTAAAGTAGTGGAGAAACGAAGACATGGCTGCTGTTTACTGAAGGTGATGGTACAATCAAGAGTAATTTGGATCACTGCGGCATTCCGGAAAGCGTGGTGGGATACCTTTATATATTCGATACCAATCTTGTCCGGCACATCGATCGCCATGATTGATATGGTCCAGCTGATAACTCTTCCGATAAAGAGACTCCTATCGTAGGAGTTTGCGAGTACCGAGCTCTGTGTTCGGTCCAACCAATCGCGCTTGCGACTTCCGCCGTAAGTAGCCACATCGGGCAAGTGTGAACGAGAGTAAACCTTCTCAAACAGTCCTCGCACCTCGTCGCCGGGTTCTCTCGATCGCGAATATTGGAAGGATGGTAGTCATGTGCCCATCTCTAACCTAGCTCTACGTTTTCTGCTCGTTATTGCGGTTCGCCCCGCTCTTAGGTATCCGTGGCAAACTGAGAACGAAGCACCCAACAGCCAATCGCATGGCGTGAGCCTTGACCAATCGCATCCTTGCGCAACAGCAACATAACCAGTTGCGACTAGGAATCTTGTGAGCATCCACTTGGTGCCGATAGCTGCGGGCGCAAGTCATCTAGACTGTTCTCGGGGACTTGAGGATGCTTGTTGCAAAGTGGAAGTAGAATGTGCAAGCAGAGTGGTAGGAGATAGTAGTGATTTGGTGCAAGAAGATGGTACAGTGCACGAGCGTAATGAAATTTGTGCGTGAAGCGTGTTGTCCGCGAGGTATTATTGACTGCTCGAGAGAGTCGATATCCGAGATTACCTGATCGCCTCCATGACGTTTTTATCAATCCCGCTCACCGCTTCTCTGACCGTAGGACAGAAATGCATCCTCAGTATCTCCCCCTCCCAGACCGTCGCCGCAAATGGATTGCTCCCCTCAATCTCCTGTTTCAGCCCATCAAACACTCCGTCACCCCTCCTCTCTTCCGTATTCCACAACGGCGCAACCTTCTTGCCATGTGTTCTGGTAATCCGGTTCAACAGCCCCAACATAGCCGTGCAGCTCTTCTCCGGTAAGTGTAAAGCGATAGTGATTAGTTGCTTCGCGAAAGCAGCGACGCGGATTGGGGGCACGGCGCGGATTGAGGCAGCAGGCAAGAGAACAGAGGAGAGAGAGCGGATCAGTAGGACAATGGTCGTTTGTACGTTAATCTTTGCCGTGTCGGCGTGCGATTGGGCGGTGTTAGGATCGGAAAGATGCAGGGATTTAGTGCTGAGTTCGATGTCTGGATTGAGAGACACAGGGTGTAGCGTGCGGTAGAGATGCGTGATGAAGAAACTGAGGTCAAGTTTCAGCGTCGATGCGACTTTCGCGGCATCTTGACCTTCGAGGAGGGCGAAGGCGGTGATGACGCAAAGAAGGGATTCACGTGTGAGATTCCGATCTGGGGCTTCGTCGTCGTCGTCTTCGTCTTCTGCGTCAGAGTCCTCCTCGACCGCGGCCGCTGCTGAGACTTCGGCGGTAGAAATGATGTCGCGTAGTGCTTCGAGGATGTCGCCGAAGAAATCTTGATTGATCAAATGTGCGTATCGTGCCAACCCTTCCAGCACCGCACCCATGAGCTTTGGTGAACGTGCCTTCAGTATACGGAAATATGCCACAAACACCATCTTCAGTGTCTCAGCCTGCATTCTGTCTCGTTCTTCGTGGCTGACAGCGGCATCGGCTTCTTTGAACTCCTTTTCTATCGCCTTCTTCTCTTTCAATTCCTTTCGTAGTCTCTTCGTCCGGAACTCGCGCGTCTGCTTCAGCTTCTTGCCGCTCATAGGCTGGCCTTCCGATTTGTCAACGGAGTGGTAGGAAGCTTTGTGAGCAAATTCGGACAGCAGCCGAAGATGCAGGAAGGTATTGAGGACGCTTTCATCGAAATGGTAGTTCTTGCCCTTCATCATCTTGGTCAACATAGTGACCGCTTCTAGCGATGCAGTGCCATCCTCATCACTCTCGAATAGTTTCTCCAGGGCCGTTCTACATTTCACAAAGTCCGGGTCGACACGTCTCGTGCTCAACTTTCCGACCAAAATCTTCAAAAGCTCTCCGCGGAAGTTGAAGTGAGGAACTGCCGCGAGAAGGTTGCACGCGCAACTGACAGCGACCGAAGCCAGGCTTGCAATCTGCTCCTTATCGGAGCCACTGCTCTTCGCCAGTCTCGCTAGATGCTTTACGTATGCCTCGTAACTTGAGACTAGCTTCTGTTCGAACATTCGTAGCTTTTTGACTTCCTTGGAGATCTTTTCCTGCATCTTCTCTTCCGACAGAGGTCGTATCCTGTATCCAGGAATCAAATCTTTGAAAATAGCCACCTGTGTCGCCAACGCCAGCTTCTTGACCGTGATATTCTCTGAGTCTGCGATGGCAGCCAGCGTCTTCAAAGCGCCAATGTGCTCTTCAGGGTCTTCATTGACCAGGGCCGCTATGCGTGCCAGCTCTTCTTTAGCCTCAAATATCTGCTGCCGTGCTGGTATCTTTGGCTGTTCTTCCTCAACCTTTTCTTCCTCCTCAACGTCCTCCTCGGCTTCGCTTCCTGAGCCTAGAAAGCTGTCCGACTCTTCTTCACTCTTCACATCTTCCGCGGCGACTGGATGCGCTACCCATCCTTCTGTTGTCCTAACGGGCAGTTTCTTGTTCTCCTTCTGCTTCTTCAGTTTGCGCGGCCGAGTTTCGTAATCCTGCTCGAGATCCCATTTCGCCGCATTCTTCAGGAAGGTTCCCTTGTGGTCTTGGGCCGTATCGTTCGTACGCTCCCCATCTTCCGGAGGAGAAATCCGGCGCCTCTTTGCAGCCGGTACCCGTGACATCGTAAATCGTGAGAATTGAGTTGTGGTGGTTGCCCGTGTTAGCGCAAAAGTGGTACTGGAAATTTTGGGTGCAGGTCGGGCAGAAAGTTCACCGCTTTTACCGACGCTCCACCTTTTTTTGTTTGCAGACTTGCGCTCGAGTATCTCTGACTTCGCATCGCCTTGAATTACTACACACGCATACAAGATGAGACCACTCACAGAACCAGAAACAAAGACCTTATTCGAGAAGCTCGCGACATACTGCGGAAAGGGCATAGCACACCTCATCGCCGACCCCACTGGCGGCGCAGATCGAAATGTCTTCCGTGTACAGGTACGTTTAACATCACACAACACGTCTACCGTCAGGCACTGACAATTGCATAGGGATCAAGAGTCTACTACGTCCGCGAATCGCTCGCCAATCTTGCCACATCCGTAGCGCGCGACCAGCTCCTCTCGCTCGGCATCTGCTTGGGAAAATTCACAAAGACGGGCAAATTCCGGTTACATATTACTGCGCTGTCGGTGATCACACCACATGCGAGGTATAAGGTGTGGGTCAAGCAGAATGGCGAGATGCCCTTCCTCTACGGCGGAAACGTACTCAAAGCGCATGTCGGAAGGTGGAGCGAGGACTGCCCGGAACACCAGGGTGTGATAGTGTTGAGCATGAACGATACGCCACTGGTAAGCGATTCTGCGGGAACTTCATGTTGAAAATGATACTAACTGGGATCTAGGGCTTTGGTGTAAGCGCACGGTCGACGGCCGAGGCAAGGAAGTTGGACCCAACGGGCGTCGTCACATTCCGGCAAGCAGATATTGGAGAGTATCTGAGAGAAGAAGATACGCTGTTCACGACTTGAGAAACCCCGCAATGGCACACAGCATTATGGATGTATGACGGAAAACCCGCTCCAAGCGCCGACAGTGTAGCATTGCTAGCTTAAGAGACGAAGCACGCAGCCACAGTTCGAAAAGCTTCGTATGTGAGTGCGATAGCATCAGAGGCATGAAAAGAGTGTGAATTGTGCTGGAATAATCAGCTGCAAAGTCAAGACTAAGCATGAATAATCAAAGATACCCCACTATCTTCACTATATACTTGATATCCTGACTTTATGCTGCACACACATCTTTCGCCGCGTCCTCTAGCAAAGTTCCACTTGCTTTTTCGCTAATCATGAACGTAGACACAACTGGGAAGATACCAGGAATCTAGGGGTGTTCGAGTCAATCAAACTGCGCTCGACAGGAGTATGGAGTTACTCACCTTGGGAAACACACTGGCATCTACTACTCGAAGGCCTTTTACACCTCGGACCCTGAACCTTGCATCTAGAACGGCATTCACGTCGCCATCCTTACCGATAGCCGCAGTGCTGGTCGGATGATGACCGAACGTCTGGCCGGTGATCCTGTAAAGTCGTTAATATAGAACAGAAATGCGATAGTTCTACAAAGACTCACCAGTCTTCATCTGCTTGTCCGCAATACCCCTCTGGATCTGGCCCATTTGGACAAGGTGGCTCCTTAGCCTCGACCTTGATCCCTTTGGCACTCGCATATATCTTCCTCGCCCAGGCAATGGTGTCTTTCATGGCACCCATATCCGTCTCCTTGCCCTCTTCATAGAGCATGAAGTTGATTTCTGGTGTATCTTGAGGGTTGGAAGAGAGGAGTTTGACGTAGCCCTTCTTATTCTGCGGATGGTTCTTGACCATCGACATACCGTAAGTGTTTGGACCATCTTGCGGTAAAGCGGTGTTTGTTTGATTGCTGGGCCAAAAACCACGGAACGCGAAAGTGCCTTGCATGATGAACATGTCTCTTTCGCTGTCCGGTGTGTGCTTGGTCGTCATCATTAGGATGGGCTGAGAGAAGCCGCCACTGGTAGTGCCAGAGACCTGGCCGATGATGGGCATTTCTTGGTTGTCTTGCATATTTTGTCCCACTCCAGGCGAGTCGACGAGAACAGGGATATTGAATTGGGAGAGTTGGGCTGCAGGACCGATGCCGCTGAGCATTAGTAGTTGCGGAGTGTTAAATGTGCCGCCTGAAACAATGACCTCTTTGCGTGCAATGGCTGTCTTCAAGACGCCTGTAGAGCCTTCGGCGTACCGCGCGTCGGCTTTGTAGAGGGATTTGCCTTGCAGGAACTCAACACCTGTGGCTCTAGGCTTGCCACCACAGGATGTGGCATTACTGAACAGTACCCTCGTCGCCAAGCTATTTATACTCAGTGTCAATGGAAATTTCTTGTCAATAGTATCCTTGATATAGTCTCTGGAGCTGTAGCGTTCGCCATTAGCTTTGTTATGCATAGGCAGCCCCCATATTCCGGTCTTCCAATCACGCTTGGGATCGAGAAAGTTCGCATCAGAACCCATCTGGGCCGTGATATCTGCTTGGGTGGTGGAGACTGAGAAATTCTCAGCGATCGCTTGAACAATGCCGAGGGCAGGTTGGCCAATTGAGGTCGGCTTGTTCAAATTGGTTTCGAAGTAGCCAGTGTAACCGTGGCCTGCAGTGCCGACTGGGAGGTAGTGGTTCTTCTCGATGCGTTGGAAGATGTTACGCATATTTACGGAGCTTACAGCCGTCAGTTGGGTCACTGTCGACTATCAATGCTTGCACTTACTTCCAAGAACCGTCACCCGTGAGATTCTGGATGTAGTTCCAGTCACTGTCGGATGGAAGCCAACTACAGCATCATCAGTACCCCTTCCAGCAGTGTGCCATCGCCTAAAGGCTCCACTTACGTGCACATGGCATTGATCATACTACTTCCACCAACACTGCTTCCGCGGGGGTAGTACACGCCCAAGAACTTACTATCCTTCGGTGGCGTACTATCACCTGCACCGACCCAATACCTACCTTCGTTCGTCTTCCACACCAGTTTATTGTTCATTTTGTTCCTCCTATCATCCGCATAATGTTTGACGAAGAAGTCCCAAGTAATCTGCGGCGGGTACTGGCCTGAGTTGCCTTGGGTGGACTGGTCGCCTGCTTCGATGAGAAGTACACTATAGTTTGCGCGCGCGAGGTTGGATGCCAAAGGGCCGCCGCCCGGTCCGGAGCCAACTACAATGTAGTCGTAAGTTTCTTGGGTGACAGTGGGAGTGATAAGGCTAGTGCTGGCGAGAAGCCAGAGGGCCTTCGAAAGGAAGCCCATCTTGTCGAATTCGAGGAAGAAAGGTGTCTCTTCAAGATAGTGTTAGAAGTGCGGTAACAGCTCAACAATCTGCTGCTACCCGCCAATCATGATATATAGGCAAAGAGAGTCCATGCTCGATGGATACAAGGTAGCGCAACCCCTCGTATTCATCGTCTTCGTTCAACTGCCGAAGCACAGTTTACTGTATGACTGGCAACTTTGAACCATGATTGTCTAGATACGAAGTAGATAGCCAGGGGTGTTCCTGACATACACTCTCCGCCTCGGCGAGAATAGTCTCTAAACGAATGACTACTCTCTGATGAGTGGATAGAGCGACTATAAATAGTGGAATCATCAGGCCGACGTTCTTGGAACCGCGTGGCCGACGCGTCCCTAATCTTGCGAACAGGTGCATGGCGGTCATGGGTTCTATCTGATCGATCGGAACGGATACGACTAGATTCGAGGGACTCGTACAAGCATCTTACGCTCTTTGAAAGGCTTGACGACGAAGGGGCAAGGACCGCAATAGAGCGGGATAAACTGTTGTCTGTGATAGATTGAGTGAGGGGGAAGGAGCATGTGCAGTCGTCGCTTCCCGGCGGATCTGCCGTTCCTAGCCTAACCGATCCCGGAAAGCACGGCTAGGGTGTTGGATTAGAGTGTGTTCACAAGCTGCTTAAGGGTTCATGTGATATTCTTTTATCTTTACTACTGCTGGGCTGGTAATCTATAGCCGGTAGCATGAATACCTACAATGGCCTTACAGGGCTTGTTCCTGGGTATCGCTTTCCTCCAAATCTAGCATTCATTCTCGTTACCCAAACGCCTTTAATAACCCAATCGCTCTCGGGGCTCCCATGCAAATGCTGTAGTAGAATACGCAGAATCCTTCTTGCGGCCGTGATCGACCGTGCCTCCCCAGAGATGTCCCGAAGCTACTAGCTCCCTTCAGCTTCACTCCGTCTTCGGGGCGCCTGGCCAAGAGGCATGCCGAAATTCAGCGGTGGGTTCTTGAGTCTCACACCGTCAACAACCACGACGTCCTCTGACGACTGGCGGGAATCTGCGGATACCTTTCGGCTGAGTGGCAATGTGTCCGCGGTAGTCTCTGCTGGAGTCGGCTCTGGTGCATCCCGAAGCTTGCTAAACCTCTTTTGCTCTTTCGCAATCTTGGCCAGTTCGTCATCCAACGCGTCCAATGCTATGTGGTCGTCGGCGCCATCCACTGGGTTGGTGGGTAGGACAAGCGGCCCTTTCAAGCCCTGATCGTGCTCTGGCGTAGCTACTCGCTCTTCCACGAATGGCTGCACCTCTACTAGTAGTTCGCTGTCTCCTAGAACGGGAGACAAGGCGCGCGGGATCAAGGGAGTGTGGCCGGCGTGGAGCTTGTTGGCAGCAGGGACAGGCGAGAGGTTGGCTTGAGTTGGGGGTGGTGATGGGAGAATCTCGTCATCGAGTTCTGAGGAGGGTAGAGAGATGCGAGCGACGAGACCCGGACGGTTCGTGCGCCTCTCGAGCAGCGTGGATGCGACGGATGCATCTGTGATGGAGGGGATTCTATCGAGCGTCTGGGCCTTGTCTGTTATCATCTCGTCGGGTGGAGTAGTGGTGTCTGGTGCAGTGAAGAGGATGTCAGGACGAACGAGTTCACGCTTCGCCAGTCCTGCCCAAATGGTCTGGGTGCTTGCGTCGACGTAATTCGCCATAATGGATGCTTTTAAACGCTAGATAGAAGGTGGTTAGCTATGGTCCGGCACTTCCAGAGATGCATGACCAACGTACAGTAGTGCAGGTTTCGGGTTGTTGATGGTGATGGTGCTGGTGATGAATGTTGGAGTGATGAACAATGTCAAGAGGGGAGGTTGGACAGTGTTTGCGGATGGAGCTGTTGGAAGCTAGCCATGGTAACAACACATTGATTGACGAGGCGAGTGGATCTGCGTGCGTTGACAAGGTGAAAGGGAAGTGCGACCTGGATCGACGTGCAACCACGTCATAGGTCGCTGGTACCTGGCGCCCCGCCATACGGTATCCATCGCCCGGCGCGCGCCCGATCTGCATCGCTGCTGTGCCCCGAAACCACGACAGCGGCGGGAACCGTCTCGTATTTTACCTAGGTAGAACCTAACCTTGGAAGACACTCGTATCCCACTCGGTCTTAGTCCTAACGCTCTACCTGCAACCGTATGGTAGGTAAGCCACATGCGTGGGGTAAAGGTGGTGTTGTGGAGTCTGCATGTCATCATCCCCCCGAAAATGGAGGCTGCGATAAGCGGCCTGGGAGGCCCTCTGGTCATGGTCAGAACACACAAGCAACGCTTCAGACTACATTGTATCCCTCCTGGCCTGCCTTTCCTAGGCTGAAGGGCATCTTAATTAGCCCCCCTGTCAGCCATCGGCGACGCCGAATAAGCTGGCGTTGAGAGCTTGTAGTTCCAACACCGCCTGGTTGTCTCTCCCGCCTTGGACAACGTAAGGAGGGGTAATCATCTTGGAAGGCTAGCAATACTCCCCCTAAAGCTACTCCATACACTAGAAGTCGTTGCAGAAGCTAGCCTTTTGCTTCATCTACATCCATCAAGCTTCTGCCTCTGCTTTCTGAAGTTGCCGACGTCTACCGCTTCACTCAATCCAGACAAGAGCAACGAGGCCTGCCACCAGTGCGACTAGTTTCAAAGCCACAATCGATAGGCCTTCAACATAACGCTCTAGACGTCGTACGACATCAGCAATAGTGGGAACAGGGCTACGAGCAAGAGCAGGACTGCCGTCACAATGACTGTGACCCCCAACACCGCCAACTCACCTGGCACGAACAGAGCACAAATGGACCCCATCCTCACCGCCAAAAAGCACACTTCTCACATCCAGAATTTTCCCATCCCCTTTCCAGGCAGCGCAAACGCCTCTGATGAAGACTTACCACCAATTCCAAGCCCTGAGGTGTCTTCTATAACCCTCGACAACAAACCAGGCGCAAGACTCCACTACACATACTATCCCGCCTCGACCTCCAGAAACAACCACCCAAACCCATTCTCCCAAACCCTCATCGTCTTTCTCAATGGTCTTATGCTACCAAGGAGCTCTTGGGATGCCACTATCCGCAGTTTTCTGGAGAAGCGCGTGGCCGGACGACTTCCCTATCCCGCTCTACTGAGTTATGATCGCTACGGCCAAGGCGACTCGGACCACGATCCAGACGATAAAGACCCACCGCCTAGCCATGGCCATGACGCAGTGTCCGCTGTCAAGGCACTGAAGCAGTTCACCCTTGAGATCTGGAGAGAACACCTCGACGTCAATAAGCCTACTCACTATCCCTGTCTCATCTTCGTGTGCAACAGCATTGGCTGCGCACTTGCACGACTGTTTACACAGTTTTACCCTGGGACGGTGTGTGGACTGTTGTTTCTGGACAGTATAATGGCGAACAGCGACTCTCAGACGCTGTGGCCGAATCCAGATGCCCCAAATTTTGATCCGCATACGCTACCACCCGGCGTAAGTGCAGATGATGTCAGGGAGACGAGGGAAAAGTATAGGAAGCTTTTTCATCCCGATGTACCGAATAACGAGGGGCTATCTCGACGCAATCTAGCGAAATTGCTGCCGTACTCGGATGGCCCCAAATTAGAAGGATATCTGGGAAGGGGTCCGTATCTCACCGTGGTGGGCCACGACTGGGAGACTTTTGCTGAGCAATCCTGTACGTGCTCTCATCTCTTTTACATCATCCTTCGCTAACCAACCTGGTACATTAGCTAATTTCCCCTCTACAGACCAAGGCTCTTTACACACGCCTAAAATCCTTACAATGGCCTACGCCAACCCCGCATGGCGAAAATATAACGAAGGTCTAGTGCAGATCACCGACGAAGGGAAAGCCATTGGCCCTATCACAGCTGTTCGATGTGGTCATTTTATTCAACAGGACGACCCAAGATTCGTTAGTGATGAGCTTGTCTCTCTGCTGGACAGAGTAGTAAATCGCGTCGAGCAGGTCAGTGAGCGAGACTGAGCACCAATTTTAGGTCGTGTCACGTGTAGTCTCCCTATAACCCACGTATAGCTCAGGGGTTTCCGGTATCTCAATAATAATAACTTTCTCCTCTTCTTAGCAGACATCAACCGTACTAACCAAGAGGACGTTGGATGGACTAAGGCACAGATTAGGCGATAATTCAACAACATGAGGCTTTGAATAATCAAAAGGTGTGCCTCTAATAAAAGCACCCTATCCAAATGCTAAATTGACAAGAAGCCGCCCATATATACAAGTTCACTCGCCAGTATCTACGCCAGCGTCTGAGACACATGCATGCCTCACCAAAAACCTGCCGAAGCAGGAGCGGCATGTTTCAGTTTAACCTCTCCAGGTCGCAGCCAATAATGGCGACCCAGAAGTGTGGGATCGACAGTGTACCCATATCCAAGATTGCCTGGTCGTACAGCAGACCCACTTCTGTGGGCCTAATTTGATGGCATATCCAATTTTGACAGCTCATGATCCGTTATATGGTCCAAGATCTTCAAAACCCGGCTTGGCTGCTCATATTCTGCTGTCCGCAAAAGTTTGAGTCTTATTAGAAGCCTTCCATGCTTCCTACAATGTCCATATCATCATCCTCCTCTTTGGCACGGCTACCTTTAATGTCCAGCCCAAACTCCTCCTCTTCATTCTGCTCCTGCTGCTCCCGCTGCTCCCTCTGCTCCCTCTCCCTATTCTTCATGACCATTTCCCTCTTCTCTCTCCCCTCCAACCCCGCCTTATCCGCAGCCTGCATCCGCACACTCAACGGCCTCCCTTGCATATAGCTCTCCAGGTAGCTCGCGCCCAGACTACTCGGATACCCATAGCTCCCCGCCTGATCTACGTCATCGACGCCTGAGCCGTGCAGACCGCCTACATATGTGTCCCAGTGTTGCTCGTCAGCGAGTTCGTCGTCCACAAATGAGGAGGGCGGGGCGTAGTCGGACGGGTATATCGGGTCTGGGCTTGCGGATTCTGGTATCGGTGCGGGGTGTTGGGAAGAGGAGTCGAAGGATGTTCTTGTCGCAAACTGCTGAGGCCCGAAGGGGATGCTGGGCGAGGGAAGAGGTGGGGAGTGCGAGGCGTCTGATACGGTCAATGGGGCTCGTGTGTCTACGAGCGGTTTTGTGGGCGAATGGACGGTATTGGAAGCAGGGGGAGGAAGGCTGTGGTGCACCGCCTCGAGGTAGATGGGCGCGTCGAGTCTGGTGAGTCGAGGATCTATCATTTCGTCGAGTGAGGCCGTCGAGTTGGAAGCCGAGGTCGCTTCGCTGCTGGGCGATGTCAAAGGCGGTTCGATTACGGTGTCGGCGGGAAGTACGGTTTGCCCGTCGATGACCAGGCTGACTCTCTTCCGTCGAGTCTTTGGTGTGTTGGTTCCTCGTAGCGACGACTTCTTCATCGGTGAGCGTCTCGGTTTCTTGGCTGGTTCTTGCTGGGTGCCCTTCCCAGGTTCTACACCCTCCATGTCCTTTAATTCTCTCCTAGACTTGTGGCTTTCTCTGCTCTTCTCAGCATCTCTTGCCGGTGTAGTTTGCTCTGTATTTGCCGCAGTGTTTGCGTGCTCGGCTTTGTCTACCTTTGGGTGCTTTTTTTCCTTTTTGATTGGCGACGTATCACGCGCGTCGAGCAGCGGAAGGAATACCGGCGTAACTAATCCATAGAGTTCCTTTTCACGCTTGTGCACGCGTGTGTGCTTTGTTCGTTTGGCCTTTTCTTCGGGCTCTCGCTCCTTGATATTGGGCGGCGATTGCGCAGGCTGCCCAGCGATTGTAGGCGAAGTAGCGATGGTTTCGGCATTGCTTGTAGGAGCCTTCTCCGCAAGCCCTGAATCTGCTCCGCATTCCATCGAACGGTGCTGCGCTACAAGCTAAACCCGAATTAGCTCTCCCAATACTGGCAAACCGACGAAACGGTTAGGGACAAGCGCAAGCGGAAGTGTACCTCTTGTTCATAGTTGCGCAGCTCGTCCTGCTTGCGCTTAATATAGTCCTTGATGTCGTTCTCGAGCTGCTGCCTTCTGAGCTCGACGCTGCAGGCCAAGGCGTCCAATTGTTCTCGAGAGAAGCCTGGGACCTCGGCCAGACTCGGTTCGGAGTGAAGAAGCATGGACTCGCTGGTACTCGAGGACTCAAATCGGGCGGATGACTCGGTCACGGGGGCGCGCGCGGGAGAATTCGCGACGTCAGGTTATTCTGTACGTATTAGATAGATGGTTCGCGGCACCTGGGCGGCGTCAGCCATGCTGGTTGTATGCGCAGTTCAGGCTGCGATTGTTGCCGTCGCGCGTACCTGGCTCTGGGATGTGACGCATTCGGAAATGCAGCGGCGATTGGACCGGGGTGAAGGTCACAGGGCGTGCTCTGCCGTGCGCAGTACCTTGCTAGGTATCTCTCTCACTACGGCGGCTGAGTTCGAGTCCTCTCACGCGGACGGATGGAGGCGGCGCAGGACAGACAATTGCGAGGTGAAGAGGCGCAAGAGGCAGCAAAATCTCTGCTGCCCACAAGTCTAGAGGGGCACGTTTGAGGTGTGGTCAGGACCAGGACCAGTTGCTGGACGGTGTCTTTGCTCTCAGATGCGCCTTCCCTCTTGCAGGCTCGCTTGAGGTGGGGCTGCATATGATCAACGGTTCCAGAAGGCCTTCGCGTCTTCACAAGCTTCACCGCTAACAGCCTATCCACTCCCACTTTACAACTACGCGTCCAAGGCCTCTCTCTTCCTGGACCGCGACTGACTGCGATTGCCCATGCACAGCCCGTCACCCGCTCTCCAGAAGCGACACTACGGGTAAATCTCGAGGCCTTCACATGATGCCGATGGACGAATCGACCAACGCCAATGGACGCCAGGCTTTCCCAATACGGCTATCCGGATAGGCGATATGCACCTATCCGCACCGTTGGTCTATCTGCATCCCGCGGGATGAACAGTCCACCAACTGCATGTCCATTCTGTCAGGTAGTCTGTGGTATTACGTCTTGTGGCTGAACCGTGTTACACGGGAACAGAAGTCTCGGGCACGACATGTCCATTTGCTAGCTATCAGAGACTGTATCTAGCATGACATCGCTCGCACTAAAGATACTGGGCTTCTGCAGTACCTTGTGGACAGCGATGAACCTCTAGGACTCTGACTCGTTGAACGTAACCAACACTTCCCAAATTGAGCAGGCCACTTCTCTAGGACGCCTTCTAGCCTGCGACAAATCTGCGCAGATATGACCTCTCCACGCTGATCCTGAAGCTGTACTCTCCACACTTGATCATTTCTTGCCTCCACTATTGCCCTCCTTCAAGCCTCGTGCGTCAGTGTTCGCTACAGTGTCGTACTTGTGCGGTCTCTGAAGTGGTGAATGGTTGTCTCGTGCATGTAGTGATTCCATCTGCCTTTCAATCGCCGCCCTCCTCTTCCTTCTCCGCCGCTTCGGCTTCTGCCTTCTTCTTATCCTCCCACTTTTGCTTCTTATCTAGCAGCTTTTGTAGGTTCTTCGCGCCGTTGAACACACCGTACGTTTTAGCGCTGCAGGCCGCACAGGTCGGATCTTTCCGATATCGCTTCAACGCGCAAGCTTCGCAGAAGTAATGCCCGCATTTTGTGATGATGGGAGTCTTGTACGGCTTCTTGCATATTATGCAGGCAAACGGTATCTTGTCGAGAATAGCCAGGTCGACGCCATCTTCGTCCTTTTCTTTCTCGTCCCTGTTTGCCGATGCAACAACTGTGCCTCCAGGTTTCTTGCCTTTGGTTGACATCTCCCATTCTCGATCCAGCTTCCAGCCTGCTGCATAGTCCTCACGGGCGTGGAGAAATTTGCAGTTGTCGCCGAAGCCGCAAAACCCCGTCTGCTTATAGTCCTTACATACGTCTGGCGTATAGTCGGTGACGGTTATGGTGCGGATATTCGTTGAGGCCTTCTGTGGCCCGACCTGTCGCGTCGGTGCGTCGGGATTCTTCTCGACGAGTGTTTGTGGTTTCGAGCGCGTGCTACCGAGCAGGTTCTTGGAGCTCAGAGCGTTGTCTGCTTCCTCGTCGTACCAGTTCGATTGCTTCGTGGCATCGGTGCTTGCTTCTATTACGGCCGAGCGGTCGGCTTCGTACGTTGTTGTCCCTTCAAATTTCGAGTTGGCCTTCTGGTCCGCTGTGGACGCCTTCAGGGCATGGTCGTTTATCTTCCGTCGCTTGACTACATGACCATCATCGCCTTCTGCTTCCGAGCCTGACGAGGCGTCGGAATCTGATCGTGGCGGCGGCGGGGCAACTTTGCGAGGGGCAGTTTTGGTGGTCCGCTTCTTGAACTTGACGACTGGGGCTTCCATCGTGTGCTTGATGTGGAGAATTGGTGGTTGTGAAGTATTTAAATGTGGAGACCTACGCGGAAGGTTCGCGTGAAGCTGTGGCTGAGAAATCAACCTTTGGTTGACACGTGACATAGTCCGGGGAAGTGGCGCACACTGTTGTCGATGCACTTCACTGGCTTGGACGCGTTAGAACCTTTTAAAGGTACAATCAGACTTTATTGATATCCCACTGGTGTAGTTTAACTAGTCGCGGGCTTGAATGTTATCAGCCAAATGTATACTTTTCTCAACTGCTTGACTTTGTCACGCTCCCTGGTTTTTGTTACTGAGCACATATCTCAGCTCAAATACCGCGAGAAACCTCATATAATATTTACAGAACATAAGAGTAGACGATAAACACATTGTAGGCCTTGGAAGGTTACTCTTAAGATGAGGAAAGCCATGGCTGGTGCACGGAAGACGTCTATGGCGCAGGGCAAGTAGTTCCCCCCCTCCTCGCCTTGTGCTGATGACTGGAAAAACAACCAAACCTCTGCGTGGATAAGAGTCGACAGAGCGATGAAAAGAAGCTTTCAGAGTCATCATAATGACCCGTTGGGAGAGCAGCTTTTGCCCCTTTTCATGCAGTCAAGGGCATCCTTGAGGTTGTTTATTATTACCAATCGCGCTTGGGTGGGGGGTGTCCACGTCGTGATTCTGCAGGTGTTGATCCAATCGCGTACACAAACAGCTGAAAGGCCCTCCTCGGACTAGCAGAGAGGAGGGGCATGCTGCACGATAGGATGGTCTACGTAGTTCATCCCTAGACGCGCATGAAAGACTACTGCGAACCAATCGAGGGGCACTTTGAAGCTTGTGGATGTTTGGCCGCAGGGTGTGCATGCATTGGAAAAGTAGAGGCCTGAGCGCGGACGGCTTCCCGGGGTCATTTCGTTCTCTGCACAACATCTCCCGCTGTGCTGTCATTCCTCCTCTGTCGCCTTTGTCGCCTGTCTCGCCCGTTCGGTGTTCCTTTTTTTCTCTTTCTCTATCCTTCGTAGGCGCTGCTCGGCGATGAGCATCCTGTTATCGCCCCTTGTGTGACACAGACGCGTTCAAGTGCCAGCAGCCGCTGCCGTGTCGCCATTCCCTCCCGCGCGTCGCTCTCAGCCAAGCCCTTTCGACTTTCCCTTCGATTCTGTGTGCCTTGCGACCTCACCCTAGCCGAGTGAAACGTATAGGCGCTTTTTATCCCTAATTTTACCCCGGAAACCACATCGCCAGCCCTCGCTGACTCCTACCTTTGGCACCGCAACTCGCGCACCTACAACCGATCGCCTCCCGACACGCTCACACGCAGAACTGCACACCTGTCGAAGCAAGCAGCTCAACTCGAGAAAATGGAAAACTAGGTGCTGAACTTCCTGGACTACCAATGGCGACGGCAAATCTCCAGCCAGGCGCGCTGGCGGTGGAGAGTCACAATGGCTCTGACCCCTTCACCACAGCCTCGCAGGACGCCCAGAGGCAGCGATATTCTGCCTTCGACAACTCGCAGTTCTCCTTGTATCTGAACGGATCTCCGATGCAAGCAAAGAGGGCATTGCAGGCACATCTTTCCGAAACAACACGCAGGCTGCAAGAGACATCGCATCTGGGTAATGCGCTTGTCCAACAGCGGAAAGAGTTAGAGGATAAGCTGAAGGAGGTGGAGCACCAGCAACATGACAATGACATCGGACCAGAGCTGCGCTCGAGGCTGGCCGAACTCGAAAAGGAGTTCAATGAGGTGGGGAGGGAGACGGCCCGCGCTTTCCTCCCTAGGTCCCGCGTACCGAGTGGTGAGACCGACACAACAGCTGGCGCTTCAGTATACTCCAGCGAAGCCCACCACTCGCCCACCAAGGTCAGCGTCCCATCTCGGAAACAGCGAAATCAACAGCCTAGCCGTATCAACGATATTGCGTTGGCTACTGAGATCTCCACATCATTACTATCTCAATTGAAGGACCTTCAAGCTGTCTTGCTGGAAAAGGATGAGGCGCTCAAGGCAGCTGACCTGGATAGGTCGCAGCTTGAGATTGAGGTTGAGGGCTTGTCACAGCGCCTGAGGACATTGGACGAAAGCGAGTCACGCCTCAAGGACGTCAACTGGAACTTGGAAACCCAGGTTCGCGAGTCGGAAGCGCAATCAAAGTCGGCAGCAGATAAGGAGCATCGCCTAAATCATGCTCTGAATCTCGCCCGTTCTGAAAAATCGACTTTGGAGCGAGAGCTCGAAGACCTGAAGCAGTTACATGCAAAGCTTAACGATGATCACATCAACAAGACCAAGCAGCACGAGACTGAGCTAGTAGGCCTGCGCCGGAACGTGACTATGGGGGAGGCAGAGAGGGGCGCTATGCAGCGTAAAGTGGAAGAGCTTACGAACCAGAACCAGGAGCTAGCGAGAGCTGTCGCTTATCGCCTGAAGGCCGAGGACTATGTCGCAGCCGAAGATACGTCTCCAGATGACGGTGGCGAAGAGGGTGACAATCAAACCCCCGAACACTCCCCTCCGCCGTCCCCAAACAAAGCGACACCACGGCACGGTATGCTCGAGTCAGAGACTTTGAAGCACTCTCTACAGCACGCCCATCGCATGATTCAGCAGCTCAAGAACAGTATCCACCGGGAGAAGACCGAGAAGGTTGAGCTGAAACGCATGCTTCAAGAGTCTCGCGATGAGCTGGAAACAAATCGCTCTCAAAATGGGCCAAGCAGCGCAAGCAAGCGGAAAAAGAACGACAAGGACATGTTCAAGAAGCCTGCTCGGCCTGACCGTCTGGGGGCCCTTCGATCGGGGACTCAGGAGGTTTTGGTGGATGACGATGAATGGGAAGAACAAGAGGGCATGCCAATGACACCAAGTCGCCAATCTCGGCCCACCCACGTCGTTCCTGGGGCATTTAGTAGTGGCTTTAGTTCTGCTGCCGAGACCAGTGCTAATGAGGGCTTTGAGACAGCCAACGATATCTCGGATGCTGCTTTCGAGACGGCCAACGAACGTGACGGCATGACAACCGAGTCGGATGCGTTCCAGACCGGGGCCGAGACTCTTGATGGCGATAGTAGCGACGATCTAACCGAGACTGAAGCTGGGCCTTCTCTATCCAGTGCACGTCGCGGTAGGTCCAGAGGCGACTCGTACGAAAGCACGGCATCTGTCTCAGGCGATGAATATGATGAGATGGATCTGAGGACGCCCATTCATAGTCAGCAACCTCGATTTAGAATGAAATCTAGACGGGGCAGCTCCCGAAAATCAACACCACGAGGGAGTTTGGACTTTTTTGCTGGGACGCCCCCTGTTTCCAGGGATTCTCCTGCGAGCTTCGTCAGCCATAGCAATGAGGGCACTCCAGCTCAAGGCAAGAGCCTCTTCGCTGAGCTTAACGACTTGAGCGGAGACGATGATGATGGCAGCTTCGCCGAGGGTACGCCAAGTCGTTCCAGCGAATTGCTCTCTCCAGAGTCATCGCCTGACGCCCTTCGGAGGTCTGTTCTTGGTAGATCACATCTCGGGGCAATCGTGTCTAAACCGGCAATGGTCGACTCGGGGACAATGACAGAGCGCGAGATCACAAAGCCTGCGAAGTTGTCCTCAATCTGGAGTCAACATACCCAGCCACAAGCTGCTCGTCCAACTGCGTTGCAAGTGTCATCGCTTTACGCGCAAGACACACGCCCACAAGCTCCACCGCAGCAGGATCTTCGGCTCTCTTCCCTTTCCTCGCAAAATACTCTGCCCAGGGTCGCTTCGCCTCCAACGCTTCGCTTCTCGAGCGTGGCTGGACATGCTACTACTCCTCGGTCCCCCCCTACGCCCTCACTAGCTATATCATCCTTGTCAGCGCAAATAACAGTACCGCAACATCCTCCTACGCCAATGTTCCATATGTCAGCATTGGCTGCCCAGGACACTGCACCGCGAGCTGTACCTACCGTGCCATTGAACATCTCTTCAGTCTCCACTCACACCACAGAGCCTCGACATGCGGCTCATCCGTCTCTTGGTGTATCAATGTTCTCATCTCACGAGACAGAGCCTATTGCGCCGGTATTCGAGAAGGTCGTCCCCCTTCCTCTGGACGTATCGAGTATTGCACATCAAACTACTGAACCGAGGGAAGGCTTCGTTTCCAAGTCATTGGCTCCTGCTGCGTTACTTGAGTCTGCCATATCTGCGCAATCAACAGAGCCCATGGGGCAGTCTCCGACTGCATCATTCGTTCCAGGTTCCAGGGATCTAGTGTCAGAGGAGCCTATTCGTAAGGAAATATCTCAGAGCACAGTATCACAGGTACCACTGCAGATGTCAAATCTGTCTGCTCATGCAACCGAACCCAAGGATGTTCCTCGTCATGCTCTTCCGACGCTTTCCACGATGTCATCGCAAGCAACCGAGCCCAAGGACGTTCCTCGTGGTGTCCTTCCAACATTTTCTACGATGTCATCACAAGCAACAGAGCCACTTGCGCCAAAGCCTGCTGCTCCTCAGCTTTCCATATTGTCGTCTCACGCTACGGAGCCACTCGCGCCGCGAATCCCCCCCTTGCAGTTGTCGATGTTTTCGTCAAAATCAACTCAGCCTGTGGATCTGCCCAAGCCTGCACAATCGCAAATGTCTGCCCTATCATTCCAGGCATCTCAACCAGTCGCGTCCTTGAGACCAGCACCATCGGCGATTTCTACCATGTCTTCGCAGACGACTGAGCCGGTCGAGCTTCCGAGAACGGCGCTTTCGAAATTATCAGTTTTCTCTTCCCAGTCTACTGATCCTGTCCAACCACGCCAAAGGGCGCTGCCTCAGGTATCAGCCATTGAAACACAGCATACTGAGCCTATTGCAGTACCTGCAGCCTCACCACCTCAACATCACTTCTCGAACGTAAGGACTTTACAAGATACTCAGCCCGAGTCCCCGACACTGCCGTCATTCCTCCCCACTCCGACAAGCCGGCCGTCGACGGCGAATCGTATTCGTCTTCCTATTTTGGCACTATCTTCGGTCTTCTCGAAAGAAACCAAGCCATCCAAATCCCAAAGACCAGTCACTGCGCACCGAACAAGTCCAATTCCTCTGTCAACTTCTGCAAGATCTGCGCAGACAGGAGATGTTGAAAACAAAAAATCGAGCACGACGAAGCTTGGATTCTTCGACTCTGTCCTGCCTTGGGGTACAGACAGACAGGTTGAGCCAACATCAACATCCGTCAACGTTAGGGGTGATCGCATGCCCCTCACACCTACTAGTGCCAACACAATTTCGAAGACGCAAAGAACGCCAATGGCTGATGGAGGCACTCAAACCATGGTGTCTGCTGAACAGATTGACAGACTGCTGCTCGCTCGAAGCCAACAACGCTATTCTGGAACTATCGCCACAGCCGGCGTAGAGAAATCCATGTCCCCGCCTCCATCACCCGCCAGGAAGAACTCTAACGAACCTGGTCGAACTCCTAGGCGTCCTGGTAGTTCCGGAAGCATTCGCTCACGAGCTGCAACTCCACCACCACTTCCGCCTGACCACAAGGAGGTTATTGCTGCGGCTGCCCTTAAACCGTTGGTTCCTAGTAGTCCTGGAACCATGGGCCCGCCCATGATGCCAGCGTCAGCCTACAAAAAGCGACCTGAAACACCCTCAATCAAAACAAGCAATACCGGGTTGACTCCGAAGACTGGCGGCACTACTCCGAAGGCTCGCCGTCACTCACAGCGTGGTGATGCTCGAAGTGGCGCATCATCTCCCCTCAGTCGTCGATCATCATTGTCCTCGTTTACTTCTGAAATAGATCAGCGCTTCAATATTCCCGGTGTACCATCATTCGCTCCAACTGGAGTACCGGCTGGTACAACGGACCCCCGCATGATCCAGGCCATCACTCAGACGATGATTGGGGAGTATCTGTGGAAGTACACTCGCAAAACAGGTCGAGAGGGCATGTCTGAGAATCGACATCGCCGTTTCTTCTGGATCCACCCCTACACGAGAACCCTCTATTGGAGTGACCGAGACCCACAGACTGCTGGCAAGGCTGAGCTAAAAGCCAAGAGTGTAGCTATTGAGTCTGTTCAAGAAGTTAATGATGGGAATCCTTTGCCTCCGGGACTTCACCAGAAGAGCTTGCTCATTCTTACACCAGGTCGTGCTATGAAGTTTACTGCGACCACTGGTCAACGCCACGAGACTTGGTACAATGCTCTTAATTACCTTTGTCAACGAGTGGAAGAAGGCGATCAGCCAACGCAACAGCAAGGGCAGAAGCCGGTGGCCACTGACGAAATTCAAGACGAATTCAATGCTGGATACCGAAGCTCATCGCGACAGACTGGTCGTTCCATGGCCTCGTATATCAGTCGGCGCACTTCTTCCCCTCATCATGCTCAGGTACCGACGCTCCGTCAATCAACGGTCACGCAAAGACGTGCACTATCAACTGAGCCCTCCCAGAGTTCTGTCTCTAGCCGTTTCAGCAATATCCTTCGACCTACCTCTGCTGTGCGAGGGTCATTCTCTAGCCGCCGAAGTCGAACTAGCGCGCAAGATTCCACAATGTATGAGGAGCCCAGCAACACTCACATGGATCTTGGCCGCGACATCCACGACCATGTGGAACGTGACCTGGATGCTATGCCCAATGTCCGGGCATGCTGCGATGGTAAGCCTTTATGGAAACTGGCATAATATATACACTAACTGACTGAAGGCAAACACGATGTCGCCCACCTCCACCAGCATTCCACAAAAGGCCGACATGGCAAGAACATACACTCTCGGCCGTCTCTCATTGGCTCTCTGAGCTCACGCGCTCAATCTCGCACCGAGTCTCGTACTGAGTCGCACACCGAGTCTCGAAACGAATCTCGGAATGAGTCACGTAACGAGCGAATCCGCCACCAGACTGAGTTGGAAGCAGCGAACTATGGCGCGGGTGCTTAGCTCTTCCATCTCTTTAGCCTCCACCGCATCATTTCTTCTTACTTGTCCTTGAAACACTTCACCCTTGCATTCACTTGATTTGGCTGACAGCCTGTTTTCCTTAGTCTTACATGACCATCTAGCAAGATGTTTCCGTTCTCCTATGTATCTTGTGGCATTTGGCCATTGTTTTTCGGTTTGGGTTCGAATGGAGATGCACCTGGAGCTAAACTGGGGAATGAAGGTACTCTGGGTATGGCGTTCTACCGTGGAGCACTGCTTGACCGACTTCGCAGCGACCGACTTCGCAGCGACCGTGTCTATCGACGGAGCTGGCATACTGAGACGACCAACTAATGACGCTCTCCTTCGATCCCCGTCCGCTGTATTCGACTTCTCAAGATCTCTTACCAGAACCACCTGTAACTCAACCTTTCCTCATCGGACTCGATTTCCTTACCTGTCTATAGCCTTCTCGATTTTCCGTTAGTATTGTTTGGAGCGAGGTGTCACCTAATATTATTCAGCTGGTGTCAGAGGCTGTGTTGATGGCCAGTGGTCAGATTGATAGCGCAATGAATCAGAAAGAACCTAAATTGCAAACAAGACGCCATATGACCGTGACAACTCCAATAACAATATGGAGCGTGATTCGGCAGAAGGACTTAGTGCATGAATTTCATGCAACCCCCATGCACCCCAGAGAGTCGTTGATAATGCCAAGCCTGTTTTGCCGTGCGTCACCGCCCCACTTGCAACTCCAAACTTTCGCTCTCAGCCAACGCCAACGCGTCCTGCAGCCCATTGTCTCGAACAACACTGCCATCGCCGTGCGCGCCTTCCATTTCCTGTCAACTCTTCCTTTCTGCAACTGCGGGCAGCTTCCTGTTTGTTTACATTATTCCCGAAGCGCGACATACGACGCATAATAATAACCCTTGCCTACTCCTCCCCAGAACGCGACAGAGCACACGACACCCACGCTTACCAACAAACACTACACTCGCACTACAGCGCCTGTCTTGAAACGACACATACTTCTCCGATCAAGGGACGATAAACAAGCACATCCGCAAGCATGGCTCGCAACTCCGAAAAGGCGCATTCCATGCTCTTCCGCTTCCGCGCTGCGCAAGCTGCCGAAGCAGGCATAATCGACATATCGCGCACGCGGCGCCCCAAGATGATTACCTCTGTAACCGCCATACCCGTTTGTGAGAAATGGCGCGGCCAGGTGCTTAAGGAGATCTCTCGAAAAGTCACCAAAATCCAGGACGAAGCGCTCAGCGATTTCCAGATACGGGATCTGAACGATGAGATCAACAAGTTGATGCGCGAGAAGCATATGTGGGAGAGCCAGATTAGGGGGTTAGGAGGGCCGAACTATATGAGGGGCGGGCGGGTGCTAGACGAGGAAGGAAGGGAGGTGCCGGGAGGCGGCAAGGGGTACAGATATTTTGGGCGAGCAAAAGAACTCCCTGGTGTGAAAGAGCTGTTCGAGAGGCAGGTACGACCAGAAGATGATATGGATAAGGGGAGGGAGAAGAGGAGTGAGCTTAGGCAGAAGGTGGACGCGGGCTACTATGGGTACAACCTCGACGAGGAGGACGGCACATTGTTAGCGTACGAGAAGGTGAAAGAGAAAGAGGCGTGGGACAGCTTCTTGGTCTTGGACGATGATATGAACGACAAACCTTCGAAGTTCCAGAAAGAGTGGGTGGAGCTGCCGGGCGATGCTGGAGACGGCGTGCGGTGGCGCGTGCCGACACTGGAGGAAGTGAGCGACGAGCTTGTGGAGCGTAGGAGGAGGAAGCTTCTCGAAAAGCTGGGTTGAGTGGTGGTAGCGGTCACCAAGCAAATATTTCTGCACGGAGTTTTGGCGGCAGAGGTCGTGTGGCGTCTTCACAGGTATTCCGGCTTGACTTTTCATTACGGGAAAATGGGGCAAAGATTGATACCCTTGCCCAATAATTGGCAGCGCAAAAGCTCATATGTACATCACCAGACTACCAGGCAGCAAGAGCAGCTCTGGACTCGAACGGACAACAAACTTTCATAGAAATGTATGACCATTTTATTGTACATGCCTTTCAAGCCATGCATTTCTACCAGCGCCGCTGTACTATGCTATTCAGATATTGTACAGTTTTACTACAAGAAACTCGTACATTTCATGCCCTATTCGGCGCAATGGCTTACGAGATTGCGTGGGTTGTCTCCCATCATCGCTCCGTCAACATGTTCTTAATGCTCCGCCAGTAGCTCCCGTCCACCTCATTCTTCAGCTCATCTTTAGCTAGCCACTTGAAGTCCTGGAGGCCCAGCTTATTCTCCTTTAGATTGACCTGGCCGGCCATGATACGCGCCTTCAAGAAGAAGGTTTTCGCGCCATGCTCGTTGAGCTTCTCCGTGGGCCGAGGCTCTGGGTAGTCGATCTGGTGGTGGCCGATGGGTACGTGGCCAACGAGCCAAGTGTTCATGTTCTCGCCGCCCGTGTGGGTGATGATGCGGTGTGCAGCCTAAACGAAACAGTCATTAGTATTATATTTCCAAGTCTCTGAGAGTGGCAGCGTGGACATACCCCATGGAGATTCTCCTCCCTCAGCTTGTCTTGTGGAAACTCCCATCGCCCCTCCTTGTTCTTGACAAGAAGATACAACGTCCTTTGCAGCGCACGATTCAGACTCTTAGTGTCATTCGTCTCGTCGGCCTCGGTGACCCGCGGCTTCGGCCTGTCAAACAGCTCGCGCTCAACCTTCTTCATGCCAGGCGCGTCCGCAGCACCAGGCTCAGCACCAGACTGCTCAGCATCCTCAAGCAGCTTCTCGACCTGCCACTCAAATTTGCTCTCATTCGCCCCAACTAGTACTTCGTCATTCCATGCCTCCTCTCCATAGCCCTGGTAGCGTCCGATATCTCTAGCTGGCGTAAGGCGTTGTTTCATCTTCCGCTTCCATTCTAGATCTGCGGGCGTGCGCTTCTTAAAGTAAAAGTACCGGGTGAAGGGCAGGGCGAGACGTTCATTGAGACGGCGCTGGTAGAGGAAGAAGGCGGACTCGAAGGGGTGGAGGTCGCGTGTGATTTGCGGGGGACGGGAGAGGACAACCCCGGCGTTGACGCCGTACGAGGTGTTGGGAGAGCTCTGGGTAACCGGGGGGATGTGTTGGGATATTGAGTCTTCTGTCTGAACAGCGGCTGCTGCTGCGCTGGCATAGGTGCGAGAGATGGTGTCTCTACAGGAACGGCATATTGATTGTCCTGCCTTCATCAGCAACGCATTCAATTCAATTGCAGCTGACCAACTCACCCGCTCTCACGGCCAACCGCCTCGTCGTCTGTTGTCCCGCGTTCATGCCTTCTGTCCTGCGTCGCTGTCTAGACGTCGTCTGCCGCCATCTAAGAAAAGTTCGGGGAGCGGAAGTGCATTCGGCATAGCGCCACTGACTAAGCGGCTTGAGCAGCTTCATCAAAATTTCCGCGCCCGACCTCTGCGAATCTTCATCTTCATACGGCACCAACTTATCCCCAGTATGCTCCAATTTTGTGAGATAGTGGTCATTTCACGGTGCCCAGAGGGATTCGAGCAGTCTTTTTCGCTAGCGGTACCTTCACAAATTCTAAGGTGTATGGCTAGATAGATTTTGCTCACATTCTTACGTGCATGCGCGCCTTGGACGCAAGCCTCTCGAGGCCAGAGGGGAAAGGCTTTCCCAGTCAGAAATCCAATCACTTGTATCCATGGCACGCTCTGGCTCTCTATCTAGAGCTCAGAGTCTCGTCTATATACCTGCACGCAGGCAGGCACATTGTGACCTTTTGCAGACAAGCCCAACATGCAGAAACTGGGGTTTTCACCGTATGGTTTTGTAGTGAATACTCTACAATACGTATGCAAATACATTTTTGACAGTGACTTGTAAATCCCCAGCTTGAGCGCTGTTGGAATCTTTCCATCTCGTGTACCTCGTCGGTAAAACTTCCACCGACGTTGCCAAGCCATCGCGGGACGCGTTCTGCTAGGTAAATTTCGTGGTGAGCTGCAACATTGCGAAGACAGCACCGCAGCCCCGACATATTCCTCCCATACCGCCGAAATGTCTCTCACAATACCCAACGCCCCTAATGCTGGCCTCTTCAAGCAGGGCTATCAAAAGTACTTGCCATGTTCGCCCCACTACCGCTGGATATACAAAGCTAACCACCCCACAACAGCTACGACGCCGAAGATGGCGCTGTTATTCGCAATATTGACGCCTGCCGCACGATCGCCCAGACTGTCCAGACTTCTCTGGGCCCCTATGGCCGCAACAAGATCGTCATAAACCACCTCCAGAAGATGATCCTGACCTCAGACGCTGCAACGATACTGCGGGAACTCGAGGTTGTGCACCCCGCGGCAAAGTTGGTCGTCATGGCCAGCCAGCAGCAGGAGGCGGAAATGGGCGATGCGACAAACTTGGTCATCGTCCTCGCGGGCGAACTGCTGAAGAAGGCTGAGGAGCTGATTCGGATGGGTCTTAAGACAAGTGATATTGTCTTGGGCTACGAGAAGGCACAGAACGCTGCCCAGCAGACTCTAGAGGGTATGTGGCACACGTGAAAGGCAGTTTGAGGCATAGGCTAACTATGTAAAAGAACTTGTATGCGACAAGGTCGAAGACATCCGGTCACAAGAAGAGCTCAGCAAGGCAATCCGCACAGTCGTCGCAGCCAAGCAGTCGGGCAGCGAAGACTTCCTCGCTGGCCTCGTCGCCGAAGCCGTCCTCGCCGTCCTCCCCAAGAACCCCACCAACTTCAACGTGGACAACGTCCGTGTAGTCAAGATCATGGGCGGCAGCCTAGAGCAGAGCAAGGTCGTCAAAGGCATGGTTTTCGCAAGACAGCCGGACGGTATCGTCACAAAAGCGACCAAGGCCAAAGTCGGCGTATTCTCCTGTCCAATAGACATCTCACAGACCGAGACCAAGGGCACGGTGCTGCTACACAATGCCAAAGAAATGATGGACTTTACAAAGGGCGAGGAACAGCAGGTCGAGCAGGTCATTAAAGAGCTTCACGACTCCGGGATGAGGGTAGTGGTTGCTGGGTCAACTATTGGAGAGCTGGCACTGCACTACCTCAACCGCTACAACATCCTCGTCATTAAGGTTCTTTCCAAGTTCGAACTCCGCCGGTTATGCCGCGTGGTTGGTGCTACACCGCTCGCTCGTCTCGGAGCACCCATGCCAGATGAGATGGGCACCGTCGACATCGTCGAGACACTAGAGATCGGCGGCGATCGCGTAACGGTATTCAGACAAGAGAACGAGCAGACACGGACAGCGACCCTCGTCCTACGGGGCGCTACCCAGAATCACCTCGATGACGTAGAGCGTGCCATCGATGACGGTGTCAACGTTGTCAAGGCCATCACCCGCGACCCGCGATTAGTACCCGGTGCCGGAGCGACAGAGATGCAGCTCATCGAGAGGATCAAGGCCATCGCAGACAGGACATCTGGACTCGCGCAGTACTCGATCCGCAAATACGCTGAAGCTTTCGAGGTCATCCCAAGAACTCTCGCCGAGTCAGCAGGCCTCGATGCAACAGAAGTACTCGCGAGGTTGTACGTTGCACATGCCGCCCAGAAGGGCCGAAAGGACGATGAGTGGTCTGTTGGTGTTGATATCGAGAATGATGACAACACTGGTACCCTTGATGCCAAGAAGGAGGGCATCTTGGATCTCTGGGTCAGCAAGAGTTGGGCCATAAAACTGGCCACTGAGGCTGCAAGGACGGTTCTTAGCGTCGATCAGATCATTGTTGCAAGGCAAGCCGGTGGGCCGAAGATGCCTGGAAAGGCACAGCAGGGCAACTGGGATCAGGACGACTAAGTGTGCGATACCAGAGACAAGAACGCTGAGTATGTATAATGAATGACATGAAAAAGTCACCATATTAGGGCGAGACCCATGAAACTCCGGTTGATTACCAGAATACCCAGTTATTGAGAATGTATCTCTATGTGACTTTGACTTTATACGTAGATTACAACGCCAGTTTCCTCTCCAGTTCCCTCTCACTTACCTCACCACTCTTTCGGCAGCGTATCCATATGCTGCGTCTTATATAAACTCTGCGTTGGCGCTAGCTGACTGACATCATGCGCACTTGCAGCATCTGACGCTTTCCCATTCTTCTGCAGCTCCATTAAACGCACCTCATCATCTTCCGGACGCGTCTCTTCGATGTGTGTATCAACCGTCTTCAAGATAGTAGTCTGGAACAAACTACCCCCCAGCGTGTCCGCCTTCACCCTCCTCCCGCTCTTCTTGCCACTGCTCAGTCTCGCATTCGGCGTGTCATCGTCGTACTCGCGGTACTTGTATTTTGCGCCCGAGCTACCGAAGGTGGAGCCGAAGCAGTGGGGGAGGAAGCGTGCTACGAAGCGACGGAAGGCGGGCATGCACATGCATATTATTCCTACGTTGAGCTCCAAGGGCGAGAAGATGCCGCTCAGCATATTGTCGTAGATTGGGTTGTTCGAGCTACCATATTGGGCGAGGGCCCAGAGGCGGGCTATGGACACTATGATTGTTCTATGGCGTAGTTGTTAGTAATTCGTCTTAGGATACATGAGAACAGATAGTGTAGCGAAGAAAGTAATAGAAGGAGATATCTTACATTGCACCAGTGCTAAAGATGGCGACGAGCATAAGTTTCTTCCTCAGGCTCAGGTTCAGCTTAAGCAGCTCTGGGATCGGGATCAAAACGATGAAGACATCTACTAGGATGTTGTATCCAGCAGCACAGAACCAGAAGACTGGCTGGTTGATGCAGTGGTCATATGGCGTTTCCCTGTCCCACGATGTCCAGACCGCTATTCACAGGTTAGGTTTGCTGGAAGTGCATTCGTGGGTGTCTTACCAGATATAGGTTTACAAGCGAATGTCATTGGCAGCCCAAAAGCTACAGGAAAAAGCACCGATAGGACGATGCCAGCGTACGCAAAATGTCTAGTCTGTTGTGCTAGGAAGATCCGTAGGAACATGAAGAGAAAGCATAACTTGCTGAAGCTGGCCGAGATGAAGTAACTCAGCTGATTGAAGTACACAATCTGCTACATTAGCGTCAAATGTTTCAACACAGCACGCACATCTCGAGTCTTACTTTCATGATCAAGTATATATTCTCCGGCGGCACAGCCCATGTATCCTTCCCAAACCCCAGTAGCCCACACGCCAACTGTCCAAAGGCAACCGGAGCAGCAAACACGTACGCCACCACAGCGCAGAAGTCGTCGATGCCGAAAATGTGCTGTTGGATGGAGACTAACATACGGATGAGGAGGGCAACGAGAGCGAGGGCGCCAAAGACTGCATTGGTGATTATAAGTTGTGAGGAGCGGTCCTTGATGGGGATATCACACATGGCATTTGAGATATTGACGGCCGCTGAGTCAAGGTCAGGGACGGAATAGGCTGGGAAGGCAAGAACAGCTTACAAAGACTTTCTTTAAGAGTACAGGAGCCCATTACGCAGCCCTGGATGGCTATGTTAAGGGGTTGGTTGCTGCATATGCACTGTACGTCTCCTAGAAGACATGTTGTTTGGTTTGCGACTGCGGATGCAAAGCATGTTGCCTGTTGACAGTCAGTCTCGACGGCCGGTGTTGTGCTCACTACATTGACTCTTCTCCATCCGCGTGGGTGGCTGGGCGGTATCTGTATGAGGAGCTGGCAAAGCGTCTTTGAGATGCTAGTCTAAAATACCAGACCATAAGATGACCTCTTCAGGAGCTAGAGAGCCGTCTCGGTAGCTTGTGATGGGCACAAATCTTGTACCGACTTTCCACTGAAAGACATGACAAGGTTTGGCGAGATGCGTGCCTCATGTCCAACCAGATGGCTTGATGAATCGCCTACCAAACCTGCGAGAGAAACAGCACTCACAGCGCACGTGGGAAGTGAGGTTTGCGCCGCCACTGGAACCACGGAAAAGACCGCAATGCTCAAAGCAAAGATCATACTGCGTTGCATATTCAAAACTGACCTACGTTCAAAGAAAGCAGAAGTTGTAGGGACGTAACACTCCAAGATGCTCAACAAAAATGTCCAGGCCATTATAAGTAAAGAGCCACTTGCTCGAGGATTTCTCGAACGGTGCACGTTGAACGGGCACTTGCTTTCTTTTTTCCTCAACCACCACACGGACCGTGTTCAAATGGAATCAAACGACGTCAAGCGGTACCGACGAGAGGCTTTCCGTCGGGTCAAGATCAACCTCACTACTGCCGGACGCTCAAATCAGCGAAATTGACCAGGGCTGCTCGGCCTCGAATCCCTTCCCCGCAGTGTCCAATGCATACATCTTCACTTTGCTTTTGTCGCTTCGATCCAATGATTGCGGCGCGGACGCTGCAGATGGCCATAGTCGTACGAGGGGCGGAAGGGGGGAAACGGATGATGCCCCGTTTGCATGATGTCCGTTAGTGATGCCTTGGGGGCTTTCAAGCGGCTTTTCGTGATTCGGTCGTATAGAGAGATATCCGCAGCGGCCCCTGTGACAAGCCTGCACCTCGCTCCGTTCAGATTGACACGGCGGCCTAGAGCAAGAGGATTTTCAAAGCGCCTGCGCCCTAGTTAAGCTATCGCTAGTTTCTGTAAAAGTACTTTAAGTGCGGAAATGTTTATAATTACATTAATTTTTCTAGGATAGGTTAAGACAGTTGCTAACTATAGTTTTAAACTTTATTATTGTTTTCTTATAGTACTAAATATTAATTTTCTGCTTTCTATGACTACTAATAAGTCTAATGCGAGTTTTAGTTGTATCTAATAGTTTAAGTATAAGAGGAGTTACTTGCTCTTGAGGCCTGTATAAAGCTGCTCTGCTCCGTAGTCTCTAGCTTCTGTTATACGATGGAAAAACAAATTCCTCTCCTCCTCGCCCACCCTGGCATCAACCTTTCGGACCTGCCTTCGGCCTAGAGCAAACGCCACAAGAGTATGAGGCGCTTGAGACAATTACGGACCGACCATGTGAAGTGGTCTAAAGTCTGACGGGACGGGAGCGTTATGGGTCTTCCGCTCATTGTACGGGGTTCGTGGCTTGAACTAGCTGCTTGCAGCCTCGGGCCAGTCTCAGCGGAGACGGGACGTGGTGCCAATCAACCACCTGCAGAATCGTGCATGCACACTTACATTGCTCTCAACGCCTTCATCCCAGCCAGCACAAAGTCGACAGAGTTTATGGTTTCTCGCGTGTTTGCATGGCTGCGAGACTTTGATATAACCACCCCTCAACCCGTTAAGATCGGTGAGATGTCTCTCAAGCGACCTCAGAGGATACCCACGCCGCAATCCTGCTCTAGAATGACATACGGTCTGGCCTCTTGTAGTAGCAGTACCAGGGTCTCGGTCCATCCCGTGTTTGCTCCAGTGGATGAGCTGATTGCACAAACGGGGTCAGCGATAGGCGATAGGAGCAACATGCAGCTCAATCTCGGCAGTGTCTACCTCTCCGTAGCATACCATGCATGGCATTGGGCCTGAAATTGTTTCTCCCCCAACCTCTCTCTCACTCTCACGACCGTGATTACCTTGTCAGCGCATTATGGCTCTGTTTTTATATCTTCTCCTTGGTGCCGAGGTCACAACCTGGCTCACTGTCATCTTGCCCACTGCGTTTGTTGTATATTGGGGACTGTGGGTTGTCTACGCACGCACTCTGCACCCGCTCGCCAAAATACCTGGTCCATTTTGGCCATCCGTCTCACGGACATGGCTCATGTATCGCGCCTTGGCTGGAGACTTGGAGATTCACCAGCGTGCGCTCCACAAGCAATACGGTCCACTCGTTCGCGTTGCGCCGTGCGTAATTTTACATCCGACACAGTTACGAACAAAAGCTGACTTATAATCCTATCTCAAGGGATGAAGTAGTCTGTGATGACCCAAGGGAGATCCCGATAGTATACCCAATTACGAGGCCGCTGGAAAAGACGGCATGGTACGATGCTTGGCGCCCTGCAGGTATGCACTCCAGGCCGGATATGTACGTCTAAGAAAGCAAGAATTCTCCGAGATCCCCTGAAGATCACCATGCCAACATGGTCCAGGTCGGCTCGAAGCAATGGAGTCTCATAAGTCGCGAAACAATCTACTCCGTAGCCTCCTGAACATCTACTGACTAGTACTATACTTTAGGTTCACAAACCGGTCTGAGAAAGATCATGCTGCCTACCAGAGGACCCTCGGCCATGTATACTCCCTGACCAATGTGCTCAAGAGTGAACCCATGCTGGATGAGACCAGATCCCTCCTACTTCAGAGACTAGATGAATTCGCCGATAGAAATGAAGCATTCGACTTCGGCCTATGGCTCGAGATGTTCTGTTACGACAACATTGGTGTTGTCTTCTTCGGAAAGCAATTTGGGTTCCTGAGGGACAGTGTCGATTATGGAGGCTACATCACTGCCGTCCACCAAGCCCTCCCTTTCCTACATATCCTAGCTTCGGCACCAGCATATATACGCCCCTTCCTCATGGGTGGCGCGGTACTTATTCCAAAGCTTTTAAAGGCTGTGCTTGCGGTAGATGGCATCAAGAGGACTGCTGAGCGGGAGACTTACGAAGCGCAAGCACGGACCGAGGAGGCTACAACGAAACGAGTCGATATGACCTCTGCGATGCTTGGTATTATGCGGGAGAAGGGTGAGAAGAACAACTTTGGACTGAGAGAGATTGTTTCAGAGAATTGGACGGCTGTGTACGCGCCGACCACATATATCCCTGAACCAAGCTGACTTGCTTGCAGTATGGCCGGATCAGACAGCACAGCCATTGGTCTTCGGTCCATCTTCTACTTCATGATGAAGAATCCTGAGACACTCACCAAAGCGAGGGCTGAAGTTGACGCCGCATTCGCCAATGGCACGCTCACATCGCCAGTCCAGTACAATCAGACCGTCAAGCTTCCATACCTCGGCGCGGTTGTCAAAGAAGCCTTCCGCCTCTACGGTCCTTTTGCGGCACCATTACAGCGCTGCACCCCACAACCTGAAGGTGTCGTGCTCGCTGGGACTCATATCCCAGGCGGATGGCGGGTCGGCCTCAACCCCGCAGTTGTGCAACATCACAAAGACGTCTTTGGGGAAGATGCTGCCTCGTTTAGACCGGAGCGTTGGCTTGATAGATCTGCCGTGGAAGCCAAGTTGATGCAGAAGTGTATGATGCACTTTGGAGCAGGGACTCGAACTTGCACAGGACAACATGTGAGTCCATTCTGTGCGTACTTTTTATCCGACTAGGTACTGATTTTGTCAGGTGGCTATGACGGAGATCAACAAGATTGTGCCTGAAATTCTGCGTCGCTTTGAATTCAAGATGTCGCACGACGGGGAGTGGAAGACTCAGAATGCTGCTTTCAATTTCCAGACTGGGGTTACTTGCTACTTCAAGAAGAGGGAATTGCCAAGTGAGTTTTAGGTTCCGACTTCAATACCACACTCGGGAGTTGGTGGTCGCTGTGTAGAGTAGCTGGTACAGGGAAGGAAATAGGCTTGCGATATTAACGACATTTTTCTCGCTGCAACCACCAGTGTGCCTTAAGAGATCCTCGCATCATCTAGATGTTAGGTACTAGGTAGAAGATTCTAGCTACGACTAAAATGAGATCATACGAGAAAAAATTTGGTCTATTGTAACGGGCCGAGCCGCATCCGGTGTTACAACAAAAGTAGCTAAGCCCTATCCTACCTCAGTCGAAGACGTCATCGCGAATGACCAACCAAGTGGGGTCTCCAATCGTCACAATTGCCCAATCGATCGACCATAGGGCCGGCTCCATAGGTAATGACTATCGAGAAAGCTCCGGCGCTGGAGCCGGAAGCGGATGGGGTGGGGTGCTTCTGCCTCGATTCACCGAGGCTCAAGTATAACACGTTTGGGTTCCCGCGTCATTCCTTGAAGACTTTTCTACCCATTGCTCCTCTTTCAACGATCTCTTCAAAATAAATCTACACCGAAAAGCAACTATCAGCCAATATGTCAAACAAAGCAGCTTGGATCACAGAGCCCAAGGGTAGGCCGCTACAGGTCAAGGAAGCTCCATTGCCAAAGGCGGGCAAGGGCCAGGTCGTTATCAAGAATCACGCCGTAGCTGTCAACCCAGTAGACTGTTAGTGACCTCAAAATCCATTGAAAGCCACATTGTTAACTTTTGACAGGGAAAATCCAAGATTACGGTATCTTCCTGCAGACGTACCCCTACATCTGCGGTACCGACGTCGCTGGAGAAATCTACGAAGTTGGTGAGGGTGTTACACATGTGAAGAAGGGTGATCGAGTCCTTGGGTAAGTTTTCCAGGCTCTGTCCTCGTGGTACGACCAATGGTGTGGACTTACTCTGACCACAATTAGACACGCCTTGTCCCTTGTGACCAACAACGCGGAAAATGGCGGCTTCCAGCTCTACACATCCATCGATGCGCTCGTCGTCTCCAAGATTCCCTCAAGCCTGTCATATACCTCAGCCGCAGTGCTACCACTCGCGATTTCCACCGCAGCGACGTGCCTGTTCAAGAAGGAAACGCTCGCCCTCCCAACGCCAACTTCCGCTTCGAAGCCTTCTCCCAGTGGCAAGTCTGTCTTGATCTGGGGCGGCTCAAGCAGTGTTGGCGCAACAGCAATTCAATTGGCCGTCGGCGCAGGAGTCAAGGTCGTCACCGTTGCAGGCAAGCACAATTTGGATAACCTGAAAGCCTTGGGGGCCGCAGCGGCATTCGACTACAAGTCGCCCAAGGTAGCAGACGACATTATTACTGCCCTTGAAGGTACAGAGTTCGCTGGTGTCGTAGACGCCATTGGTACGCCCGAATCTGCCGCAGCCTGGACGCCCGTCTACAAGAAGCTCGGTGGCCGGTACGGATCAGTCATGCCGGGCGCCCAGGGTCTTCCGGAGGGTATTCAGGGCGCAGATATCTTGGGTCCAAGTGTTGCGCTGTCGGATCGAGATATCGGCGAAGCTGTGTGGGCCAAGTGGGTGCCTGCAGCATTGGAGGCAGGTACGCTGAAGGCGGTGCCAGAGGCTATCGTCATCAAGGGTGGCCTTGACTCCGTTCAAAAGGGGTACGATGAGCAGAAGAAGGGCGTTAGCTTTGGGAAGATTGTCGTGGAACTATAGTCAACTTATCTACAAGTATAAACGGCATCTAAATAATGAATAATAAATATCTCCCCTAACTGTCTTGAAAATGGAAACAACTCCACCGTATCTGACAAGAAACACCTACGTGGCTCCAGAGAAACCCCAAAGCGCCTATGTCCTAGGAATTCTTGTAGAGCTATCGCTGATTCTGTGGAAATACTTTGAGTGCGGAAATGTGTGATCACTTTGAATCTTCTGGGATAGGTCGAGCCAACAGTCATCAACCATGGTATTGAACCTCATCATCATCCTCCCATGGTACCAATTATCAACCTTCCGTTCTCGATGACTACTGATGAGTCTGATGCGATCCGGGGTTGTACAGGAGTAGCTTACTAAGGGACTAGACACCGTGCTGTCGGACCCACAAAAAAAGCTTTATAAACTCTGGACCTCCGTCTTCTGCAACCACAACCTTTTTCCTCAGCGTCGCTGTTCAAGCGCATGGTCTGCTCGTGTAATCATCTAGCGACTGTAAGTTCACCCTGTCTCTTCATAATCCTCATCAGCTTCATGATGAAACATTTCCACATTCGCAGTTTCCACGCTAGCCATCAATCGAACCTAAGACCGATGGACAATGAGCGCGAATACCTTCCTTGGATGTCTGACTTGCTTCCCTAATCATCTTGTCATCTCAGCTTGCTTGCTGAGTTTGTGCTGACTATCACAGAACAACGTAGGTGCCGTCAGCCTTTTGTTAGAGATACCCAATGGTCTACCGTCAATGAAATGATAATTTAGCTACGTGCTTGTCTGTAGTATGGACAGTATTATTAGCAAAAACTCATCGCTTTATATCGAGGTCAGGCGGGTCAGATCATCAGCCTACACATTGTTCCAGTCCATCGTCCGATGTTGGATATACGGTTGCACAGAAATTGAGGCAACTTCGATACTAATAGATGCAAGCTGGAGCGTTGACTAGTTTCATTCATTCTCATAGTATAATACACACCAAAGACATACCCCGATTCTCATCCTCAATTTCGTGGCTATTTCTTGTACTCTCACCAGACGGCCCAACCTATGTGCTTCAAACTGTTCGCCATTGAGACCCGTTTCTTCGGCCCCTAGCACCTTCAAGGTATCTTATTTATTCTCTCTCTAACGTAGGCTTAAAGCAAGAAGTATGTGAACAGGCCGGCGAAACCGGCGAAGGCAACGTTGCCAGTGAGTTGCGATGCGGCGCCAGTTGATCGAGCAGGTCCGGAAGCGCTTGACGAAGGTCCACCAGATGTTGAAGAGCTGCTGTTCTCGGCGAGCTTGCCACCAGTACCAGCGGTAGATGAGGGTGAAACGTTGCTAGTAGCAGCCTTGGAGGAGTTCTTGAAAGCAGCCAAAGTCCTCTCACCGGATTGACTAGGGTATGTTAGTCATTCCAGATTCCAATGGTACATATGATTATGGCTACTTACGGTGGGTTGATCACACCAACCATGCCAGCCTGACAGTGCTGTCCTTGCGAGCAGTAGAACCAAATAGGCGCAGAAGCATTCTTGACTTCGTATACGAAGGTCTGGTTGGCGGCGGCCTGTGCATTGGTGGTGGGAACGAAACCAGACCAGAAGCCCCTTTCAAGGGGCTCACAGGGTTTGGCAAAGGCCGCCTGGGCGATAGAGTGGTTCTTGGGCCAGAAGCGGAAAGTGACGGTATCGCCCTGAGCTGCCTTGATGCTATCTGGTTGAAAGACAAGTTCGCCAGTCTTGGTACCGACAGCAACAACATGGTTCTCTGCGAAAGCGGTGCTAGCGAGGGCGGCAGCCGCGAAGATGGTGGAGAAATGCATTATGATTGGGTTGGAAAAGAGTCTAGCTCGTTTAGGTAAAGAAGGTTTGCGGAGAAGAGAATCGAGGTATTAGGTGTTGTATTGGTATGAGAACTGAAGAAAGTGGACCGGCCTAGTGAACAAGACTCTACAGTTGAGAAGGTTTGAGTCCATTATATAGCATAAATATCGAAACAGTTGCCGCCGCGTTGCGTACGTCGGCTTGGGAGATTATGGCGGAACAGCTTCGAGACGCCTGAGGTCGCAAAGGCATGCACAACTCACACCTGCTCCTTGAAACGAAGGCACCGGGAAACAGTGGCGGCTTGTAAATGCTACTGTGATTGGAGGGCTCTGCCACAGGTGCCGACTTCAGCCACTGGCTGTTAGAGCGCCATTCTCTCGTGCCTGAGGTCTTCGCTGTGGCTGTTTGAAAGCCAGGGGCAGCAAGGCGCCAAAGACGCGTCTTTCAGGGTGGTGGTGTTTCTGGCGAAGGGATGAAACCGGGAGGCTGTCGACGATGGAACTCGACATGTCTGGGACAACAGCCGCACGGGCCTCGGCCACGCAAACCTCAAAGTCACGTCGGTGCAACTCGACAATTGTGGCTGTGGACTCTCATCGCTACGGCATCTAGGCTACAGATCTATCGACAAGCCATTGGCGTGTGTTGACTTACGTTTCTACGACTGCATCAATAGCCGCGCAGACAGACCATGACAACAGCAACCGGATATACTTCTTCCAGACCCAATCCCTACCCTTAACGTAACCTCTGGCTTGAGATGGGGCCTGTTAATAACTCTCGAAATAGGAGTTCTAGTGCCATTAGTTGTTCACATAGCCAGTGTCCTGGGACGCGGATAGTCCGGGCTTCCGATGTGGTATCCAGAGGCGGTGTGGACGCTTTAGCATTGCGAGGCAGGTACCTTCTCAATGCGGCCGGGGAAATATTGTTGTAGATAATGTCAACCTTGAAAGGCTAAAGGAAACCAGGGAGACTGAAGGTTCCTAAACGGCCTGCGGTGTAGCCTCAGGTACACGTGATGGCCAAAATCACCCTTACTGACAGTCAGCTCTAAGGATCACGCCCTCGAGGAACAGCTCTCACAACATGATACAAACCTGTAAAGTAGGACCGCAATCATACGACCGAATGGTTCGGCTATCATGCTTCGCTTGTCTTAATGCTTACCGCCACTTCCGGCGCACGATGGATCCTCTCTGCCGTTTCATCTGGAGATGTCTTGAAAGCATCCACGATTATCGACGGACCGCTGCGTTGATTTATTGATCGCTGTCCAAAGCTGCCGTTTAAGGAACGCGATGCCACCGTGCCAGCCACTAGCCTCGGAGTATTCTCTCGCTCGGTCCCAAAGCGGCCCTAATAAACCGGACCCGCTGTTAGCATGCCAAAAATACCAACAACCACCGCATCGACTCTCGTGTCTTCGTATCTTTCCACGCTATGAGCTCATCTACTATATTTTTCTGTCAAGCATAGCCTTTCTGTGATCACCTGCTCTCAAGTTTCTAGCTAAGCTCGTGTATGAGCAGTCTCGATCCGGGATTCTCCTCGTTTACTGCTCATCGTTACCATGTACGATTACTATTATGCCGGAAGAAGTGAAGAGGCTATAAGCTGTTTGCGGAGACGGTGCGCCTATGAGGAGTATAAGTAAAGGTGGTTGCCAGCGCAGGTAAATGAATATCATCACCGACTCAAGCTTCACTCCAACAACGCATACTTATACAACAATCGAAACACGCTTTATCAACTTACCATCAATCTCCACAACCACAACCAAAATGAAGTTCTCCAGTGCTGTATCCGCTGCTGCTCTTGGCTTCGCCAGCCTTTCCTCTGCGATCACCGGTTAGTCACTCGGAAAACCCCCCAGTACGCACCCATCCTGACTTTCTCCAGTTAGCTATGATACCGGATACGACGATGCCGGCCGCTCATTGAACTCGGTCTCCTGCTCAGACGGCTCGAACGGGTTGATCACCAAGCACGGATGGCAAACCCAGGGCAACGTTGCCGGATTTCCTCGCATTGGTGGCTATCAAGGAATCGCCGGCTGGAACAGCCCCCAGGTATGAATTTTTCAGAGTTCTATTGAGATCTATCGCTAACAGAGCTCTTCCAGTGCGGTACTTGCTACGGAATTACGTACAATGGCAAGACTGTCTACGTCCTAGCTGTCGACTATACCGGAAGCGGATTTAACCTCGCGAAGGCAGCCATGGATGATCTCACGAACGGCCAGGCTGCACAGCTCGGACGCATCGAGGCGCAGTTTCAACAGGTCGATGTCAACAGGTGCGGACTTTGAACATTGGCTTCAAAGAAGAAATGAATGAAGAGAGAGAGAGAGAGATATATATGAGAGGGTCTTTCGAAGTAAACGCTGATAATGCGTTGCCCATCCTTTGGTTTGCATAGCGCGGTGTCTTGCATTTGATCACTCCTTAATGAATTAATTCACGATGCATGCTATATCTAGAGTTTTTCCATTGCCTCTTCGACTCCCTTGATTTATGCCCGTTCGGAACTTGGAGATCCTCCCCACTGATGAGACGCAGGACTCGCACACGGTTATCTTTACTTGCCTCTACTCAAAGTTAGCCATTCTATTTGGCCATCAAACTAATAGCTGTAACCTCGCACTGTCGAGCCAATGTCTCGAGCTAACATTTCTACAAACAGCAAAAAGGAATTTTCCGATGTTCACAGCCTTCTGTTCAAAGCTCAGGAATATATGCCTCCGATGTTTGCCAGCACAGGTATCGGATAGATAGGGTAGCGCAGCTGCCGTTGTTGCATCGATAATAAAGACTTTTTACTTCGACAACGATCCTACATTGAAAAAGGAGGAGGAATATCTGATTCGTATTGTCTTGTGCCGCTTGCCGACCCATCACACTCTACGATCGAACGATATCGATAGAATCCGACCCGGATGTGGCTGAAGAACAACGAGGATCGACAGCTTGAGAGAACACACATTAACTGGAGCAGTTGCGGTGCGCTCGCATAAGCAATATTGCCACGCTCGGGCATCGCCTCATTATTAGTAACGAATGGAGTTGCGTTGTTGTGGCCGTGCCTGTTTGAGGGCGCACTGGTACACCGAAAAGGCAAGGTAGGAACAGATCGAAGTAGAAGTCGACATTTGTACTAAGTCACCCTACATACGGCGGAGGCGGTACCGCTATTGATTCCGATTGATGTGCCAATGGTCCCGGGTTGAAGTGTGCATCCCACTCTTGTACCGCCCCTCCTGAATTTAGCTCGTGTGTGCTCGACAAGGTGCCGGCAGCATGCACCGACAGCATAGGATCCAGTTCTTGATATGCCGGCCTCGAGTCTTCCTCGGGGATATCACCATCTTCATGATGCGCAGATGTTGTAGCCCACCCTGAGACTATCTGGACTTGCTCTCTACAGGCAATTCCCTGAAATTCATGTGTTGCACATTCGCCCCATATTTCCACTTGCAACTCGTGCTCCAGACACAGCCCATAGCTAGTGAAGCTTGGGATCACCTTTTCGTGTGCCATTGTTATATTTCCTACTTCTAGAAGATTCAGTTCATTGCGGAGGGGCTCGCCCTCACCTGCATCGAATTTGGTGTCGCAAAGCGTGGTGATATCTTTCACGATATCTACTAATTCCTTGGTGCCATGCCGGGCTGAGGCTGAGTTAGGTACGAATGTGTGGAACGTAGAGAGAAGTTGGACGCGCAGCCTGCGCATGAACAGGTCCGGTGGATTAAGCAGCGTCTTCGAACGGTCTAGGTGTTGAATAGTTACGTTTATAGGAATCGGAGAACCAATCACCAGGATACGGGCAGGCGTTGCAAAGAGGTTGAATCGGGCGAATGGAACCTCACCGACGCTGTTTAGCCCGAAGAGTAGCTGGTTTTCTAGCAGCAAATCCTTCATCTTGCCCAGTTTACTACCTTCCCCATAGCCAGGGAGAAGCTTCCGTGTTCGAATAAACTTGTAGCGGCAGCAATGCTTGGGCAGTTTTAGGCCGAAATTTAGATCTGGCTGAAGAAGCGTAGGGTGATAATCAGGTGCTGGCGGGATGAAACTGACTTCCTGGCGAACTCTCGTATGGGGGCTATCAGGCAGTATGGTCTCCATGTAAGCCTCTAGATAGTACATGATCTTTGGCGACAATGGTCCGTTGACGGATGTGAGCGACGTGCAACTCGGGGGTAATCGAAAGCCGGGAGAATGCTGAAACCGTGGGTGATTATACGAGTCCTTCGAGTACCACCAGTTTCGATTCGGGGGCGGTGCGAGTCTCACATTCTGTGGGAAGGTGAAGCTGAAGGGGAGTTCGACCTTGCCATCATCGGCCGTGCCTCTGCGTAAGATGTCGAAGTTCTCGCCAGCGCCCGTAGATACGAACAGTTCTCGTGAAAATTCGAAGAACTCAGGTTTAATGGCATTGGCACTTGTATCGTAGATGAGGGAAAATCCTTTGAAGCGGATACTAACATGTACAGGTCGTGTTGATGGCTCCACTCTGACGATGCCCTCGAGACGGTCTCCGGACGTATAGAATTGCTGTGTACCTGCAAACAGCTGGATGTAAAGCGGATTTTGTTTTCGATTGGCGAAAGTAGGCCCTGCCGAAGACATGGCTGGCCCAGCTCAATAACGTGCTGGAACGATGACTGAGCTAACTTAAGGGTGCTGAAAGTAGGACACTATAGGAGACACAAGAGGTATTGGCGGGGGTAACATGAGATTGATAGATGCGGAGTTGTTGTTGTGCGGTGAGAGGGCGCCCTACCTTGACCTGTCAATTTCCCCTGTCACGAGGTCACGGGGTGCCGTCTTGGAGTTTCTTGGTCGCCTTCATCTCATTTGTCACGCTAGCTGTAAGCAAAGTTGCATACAACGCTCCCAGTATAGCTTTGCCACCATTTGTTGCGCGTTACCGTAGAGTGAAGATGCACACCAGGCTTTGTAGTGTAGATATCATCTCATTATTCGTGTTGGCGTTTTGCGTTGATGTTCATTGGTGGCTGCGGTGGTGAGGTCATGGATGTTGCGGGTAGGCGCGACTCGCGACTTTTTTTGAACATCAGCAAATGCCGCTTTGTCCACCTTCACTCACAACGATGGCGTCCAACTACACATGCTTGGCCTGCTCGCGGGCACTGTCGAGGTCGTCGTCTTCCCTACTTAAGGTAACAATCCCTCTTCAATGCCGATTTGTCACGACTGACCGCATTAGCCATCGAACAAGACAGCGCTACATAGAGCGCAACGAGCCTTTTCCACGACTGCACCAAGCGCCTATCATGTTTCGCAAAGCCTTCTAGCCGGTGCTAGGCCTGAGGCGACCAAGCAGCCACATCCGAAGATCAAGTCTGGCGTGGAAGGGCTCGCTCAGAAGTTGCGCGAAAAAGCTCCTCTGATGACCGAGACATACGTCGCATACGGTGCAACACGAGAACTCATCAAGGAATGTGTCAGGCCCGGCGAATACAAGATTCCCCAGGCGCTGGAGAAGAGGGGTGAGATACCTACAGACGAGAACGGGGTACACCTGGGAGAGGCCGAAGGATGGTGGTACGAAAGTGAGTGTTCCCACCAAATTGGCAAGTAGAATGCGCTGACCGACTATCTTATAGCCCTCGGTCTGAAGCCGACCTTCTTCAATTGGGCGCAAATCACCTTTATCCACATGTACATGCTCCAGGTCCGCTTCCGAATGTTCCCGCAATCGCACGCTCCGGTCTGGATCCAGCACCTCACAAATCAGGCCTTCTACGCCGCCGAAGACCGTCTCGTTGTATGGCACAAGTTCACTGCCAACTCGCTCCGCCAGAAGCATCTCAAGGACATGTTCTCACAATGGCGGGGTGTGCTTCTATCGTACGACGAGGGTCTCATGAAGGGTGACGCTATGCTTGCGGCTGCTATCTGGAGGAATCTGATGGGTGCTCAGGAGGATGTCGACTTTGAAAAACTGGCGCAGATTGTAGGATACATGAGGAGGGAGCTCAAGAGGTTGGATAACGCAACGGATGATGAGGTTGCGAACGGGCAGTGGAAATTCCGGGGCAACCCAGGAGACGAGACGGGTATCGTTAAGGCTCCTAGTAGGATGATGACCAGTGGAGTTGTCAAGGTTTAGACGAAGATACCACTCGGGCCTCGTGGCAAGACGTCTGTTCGTGTACTTGTTTGAATACTGTATATTACAATGTATCTCGACGCATTATGTTGGAATGTCTCATAGCAATTACGAGCAAATGCCCACTTAGTTTTATATATTTATTGGCTAGCTATGTTATAATATGTAGACTACTAACTAGATCTAAAGAGGATTTCCAAAGCGCCTACGCTCTAATTAAACTATCGCTAGTTCTATAAAAGTACTTTAAGTGAGGAGGCATTTGTAATTATATTAGTTCTTCTTAGATAGGTTAAGACGATCGCTAACCATAGTTCTAAACCTTAATATCGTTCTCCCATGGTACTAAATATCGATTTCGATGACTATTGATGAGTCGGGTGCGAAAGAGTATACCTAGGTAGACAGGGTGTACACTGTATGGTAGCTTGGGAGTTGGAGCATTGAGACCAAAACCAGGACTAGATTTGCCTTACCAGAACATCCGCATTTGTAATGTATGACGGCCGGTGAACGTAGTATCGCTGTGTTATGTAAGCGAACCGCGGTCTTGGCGTAGGCATCTATCAGGGTTCACGAACAAAGCTTCCACGACTCAGCCTCTTAGAGGGCACTCACCCTTCACGCACACTCACATAGCTCTCTGTTCTTCGCCAGCGAATATACCCACCATGCCGGGTACCACCGTGTCACACGCGCCGCCGCAGATACCGGGCTTCCTCATCTCCAGCTACGATGCACAACCTCTCAAAGAAGTTGTCGCGACACTCTTAGAGCGCGACAACTTGCGATTCCCCGGCGCGCAGCCCGTTTCCTTTGCCCGGGAACACATGGCCGAGCTTCAGCGACAGGAATACTTCATGTGCGAGAAGACCGACGGCCTCAGGTGTCTCCTCTTCTTGCACTGGCAGGACGCTGGTGGACCCGAGTGCGAACCAGTGACATTTATGATAGACCGCAAGAACAACTACTACAACATTACGCCTCCATTCGCAATTCCTCACTATATGCACCTGAATGAACAGGGCCGGTTCCTCTTCGACACAATACTAGATGGCGAGCTAGTGCACGATCACTACCCCGGCGAACCGGCGCCTCGACTTAATTACTACATCTTCGACACGCTCGCTGTGGGTGGACAGAATGTAACGAGCAAGACGCTAGATAAGCGTTTGGGGAGACTTCAAGAGTGGGTCATGAAGCCGTACCACGAGATGCTAAAGAAGATCCCCAACATCAAGCCCGACGACTTGAAACCCTTTGCTCTCAAGGACAAGAAAACCTACCCAGCATATTCCCTCCAAGAGATGTTCAACAACGTCCTGCCGACCCTGAAGCACGGCAACGACGGCTTGATCTTCACCTGCAAGTCCACCCGCTACGAGTTCGGAACAGACAGACACATTCTAAAGTGGAAGCCGCCTCAAGAAAACACTATAGACTTCAAGCTCCGACTGGGTGATTTCCCGCTCATTGATCCTGCTGACGGCGAGGAGGGATTGATACCAGACTACGACGCCATGCCCGCGCCTTTCCAACTCCTCGTCCTGCATAACCAGAACAACTACCAGCCCTTCGCAACCCTCTCCGTTACACCCTCTGAATGGGACAAGCTCAAGAGCCTGAACCAGCGTCTCGACGGCCGCATCATAGAATGCTTCCGCACACCCGCTGGGCAATGGAAATACAAATCCGAAGGCGACGGCACGCCGAGGTGGCGCGACGACAAAAAGGACGCCAACCACATTTCGACCGTGAACAGCGTTTTGGAAAGCATAGAGAACCCTGTGACAGAACTGGATCTACTGGAAAACCAAGAAAATATCAAAAAAGCGGACTACGGCAGGAAAGGGAAGCAATATCACCCGCCGCAGGACGGAGGCGAACGCGATGCTAAGAAGCGCAAATTCAGCCAAGCGGAGCTGAATGGCGGACCACATTAGCAGAGTGACCCGTCTGGATTTGGTGGGGGTGGGGATTGTAGGTGGTGGCTTGGAGAGCAACTCGACGATTAGCGGCGCGAATCGTGTGCGTGAAGGGGGGAGAGATTGACGTATTCTTCTTTGATTATTGTTATTACTACTATTGCTTATCGTGTTAGACTGGGTGCGAAAGTCGACATTTGCATACCGGCGCAATGGGGCCTACAAGGCGTTTGTTTCTTTTCCTTATCTCAAGGATAGGATATGATACCCACGCTTCGTTCTGTTTATCATATGGTTAGACGAGAGAAGAGAGTTCGTAGGATAAATGATTGAATAAAGTCAGCCGTCCGCCTATAGGATGGGTCATCTACGCATGCGACACGGTGCTTCAGCTTGTAAACTCTTTCATCACCGTAACTGCTGCAGACACATGGCAAAGCGTACAAAGTACAAACGCGAGTAACAGAAGATGAACCCTCCATTTCTATCTAACCTGCAATCGCACCCCATCACCTTCACCCAACCACATAGAACGAAGATGAAGCCCAATTGCTCCAACATGTCCTAACCATCTTAATCCATATCATGTCGTGCAGTCGACTTTTGTGTCTCATCGCATATACCAGCCATCTCATGTCTTAAGGATTCCCATCCATATCGATGCAGAAGTCCACCACGCCCAACACACCCCCACCGGAAAAGAGTCCTTGTCCAGAAACTCCGACTCAAAGTAAGATACAAGAAGATGAGAAAGTAGCACCGCTCAAACACCCAGCAATGTGCGTTGCAGTAGAAGCGAGTGTAATGTCTTAACGCTAGAGAGCAGGAACTGAGATCGAGGAGATAGAACAGGTCGTAGATAGTGAGATGCAAAGGCAGGCCTGCTCCCTTCTCTCCAGCGCATAGAAGGATATTTGAGGACATAAGAGATGACAATGTGTAGCGCATGGTGTATGCCGCACGCTCGCTAGCCGATAGGTGTATGTGAACGCAAAGATCCGAATCATATACAGGAAGTTAGTGCTGCTCTTTCTCTCTGCAACACCATACATGTGGGCTAAGATGCTGGGACTGGTGGAAAGCTGTCATCGATCTGCTTGCCTATCTCTGCAAGAGATTAGCGTCGACTGCCGGCTGGAGACGCATTTCTGCTTACCCTGCCACGTCGCTGGTTACCTCCAGCTGCTTGCTGCTGCTGCTGTTGCTGCTGAGGCATATACATGCCATACGGATACATCCCCGGTCCCATGCCTTGTCCTGCGAGGTTGGCTGGCTGCATCATTGGCGACCCCGTATAACCGGGAGCTGCAACTGGCGATGCGTTTCGGTACGGGTCCATACCAGGAGCAGCAGGCTGGAAGCCGTTCATCTGCGGGTAATACTGACCCTGGCGGGCTAGAAGCTGTTGGTACTGCAACTGCTGCTGGCCGGTCATAGTCTGCATGTTCGGCATAAACATTTGGGCATTGGCGCCCATGGGATATTGCTCGAAGCCGTTCGAGTCCATACTTGCGGTGCGCTGAAGACCAACGGGATCGAAGCCAGGAGCGGCTCCCTGGTAGAAACCCTGGTTGGCCTGGGGGCCAGCGCTGTCCTTGGATGCAGGGCGAGTTTGGGAATGTTCTCGGTGGCCAGGTCCGCCACGAGTCGAAAGGCCTACTTCGTCCATGAGTCGCTTGTAGCCTTGTTGAGGCTGTGCTTTGATGCGAACAAGCACATTTCGTACATTCTGCACAACTTCTGCGCGAATTTGCTCATCAAAGAAAGGCGTAGTGAGCACTTTGAAGATCAAGGTAGCGCCACAATTCTGGTCGACCAGAATATCCTCCAGGACCTGGTCATTGGGAGAGAAAAATAGCGCCTGTAGGATGGTGTCGCGAGCCTCCGGCTCATTACGTTGATTGATGATCTTGAGGACAGTAAGATAGGCAACCTTGTGGGTGCAGAGGTGGACGATGTGTGGGACCAGACGAGGAGCCAGGACAGTGCGCCTTCTTGGGAAAGTGCAGGTGTCGAGGAACCAGGTCAAAAGCAACGCACCATTAGCATTTGTAGCAAGCTGAACGCTGTGGAGGGCAATTACAGCTGCTACCATGCGCTGTTGATCCTTGGTGGCAAAGTGGCTCTCCAGACAGGCTCGCATGGCACGAGCACCGAATCGACCCTGAGCGAGATCCCAAAGTCGGCCGAGCATGACTTCAAAGATGAAGTTGTTGAAGTTCTGATACTTTAGGCAACCCTGCATAACGTAGTTGCCGAATTGGTCGAGGAAAAGCGCCTTCGCATAGGGCTGTACAGCGTCCACCACCATCTTCTGCATGGCGGGAGATTTAGAGACCTCAATAATTTTCTGAGCGGCCCACGTTCCGTTCTTGTGGACACCGATCTTAGCAAGGTGAGGTGCAATCTCGCGCAGCATTGCTTCCTTGGTAGGCTCCTCGCAGAACTCGAACAGTTTCTGCACGACGGTGTTGCCAAGGTAGTCTGAAGACAGCTCAGCGATTTCAGGGAGCATGCTCATGGCAATCTGTTCAATGTCCTCCTTTGAGCAAGAGCCATTGTCAATGCGTTTGCGAATCTCGCGCAGTCTTGGCGCATCGTGAATCCGAGTATGACTTGGCTCCTCAACAGTAGGGATCTCGTCCACGTAGTTGTTGAACTGAACAGCGGCCTCTACCTGCGACGTTATCCGGGCCTGTTCCTCGTCTGTAGCACCCAATTCTTTTACGATTTGGACAATATCGCTACGGATATCTGTCAACTCAGGAGTGGTCAAAGGTGCATTCGCAGTTGGAGTGCTGTTCGCCTTTGTGCTGGTAGGTACGCCGGTCACACCCTCCGCCTGTGCCTTCGACAATGGGTCCGGGCTGGGCGAGGGGAAGAGGCCATTGTGACCAGGCGTCGCTGCCGCGCTAGGAATTTTAGCGTAACCGATGCGAACTGGTCCAGCACCAGGGAAGATCTCCTTGCCATTCAGGGTTTGTTTCGCTTGAACAGCGCTCTCAAGGTTCTCAAAGTTGACAAAACCGCAGTTTTTGTGGGTCAACACACGGGTCGAGTCGATCGTGCCGTAGGCAGCAAATATGACATTGAGAGACGACACAGTGGTGGATGAAGGGATGTTACCAAGCCACAGTGATCGAGTAGGCCCTTCGAGGGTACCATCATCACCAAGATTCGACCCGGGAAGGTGGAGCTTCTTGACGGCTTCAGTTAGGTTGTACTCGGCATCCTCGGTAAAGTCAGCACCTGTCATGTTGTTGTTATATTGTCCCATGGCGGGCAGATAACTCCGCATCAGCCCTCGTGAAGGCCCATCTAGCACACCAGCAGTCCTAGCTCGAGGACGTGCAGAAGAAGCGAGGTTTGCAAATGCTTGAACCTCGAGGTTGTGTTGACGAACAGCTTCGTGGATGAGGAGCGCGTTGGCCTCGGCAGGCGTAATTTGGCCACTATAGGCGCCAAACTGATCCTCCTCGTCCTCCGCATACTTTTCTTTGGCGTTCACAGAGTAGGAGCGGAATCGGTTAGCACTGCTCGAGTGTTGGCTGTTGGCATTTCGTTGGCTTTCAAGAAGCAACTCGATATCCGAAGGGGCCAGTGTAGCTCGGGTAGGCTGAGGAGTGTCGACGAGCCCAAGGTAGTCGAGAGTCTTGACATCTGTGTCGGCAAGTGAATCGCGTGAGAACGAGGACATGGGCGAGCCAGGTCCATTCGACGGCAGGGAAGCGATGCTTTGAAGGGTGCTGCTGCGATCGCGGTTGCTTGCCCACCCGGTGGAGAAGATGGAGTTGCCAAACGGAGAGGTGGAAGGTGGCAGGAAGCCTGGTCGTTGAGGCATTGAGCCAGCACGAAGGCGGGAAAGTAGTGCAGACTTGGCAGCGGCGTTTGTAGAGCCTAGGGCGTTAAAGGTCGAAGTATCTGTCGGCGTACCTGGGCCCGGCTTGAAAGGGCTAGTCGAAGGTGTAGGGCGAGATGTCTTTGGGAGGAGGGAGGAGGCTGACATGAGCCCAGGAGGAGCAGTAGTGGGGGAGAAGCGCGAAGGAAGAGTACCAGCACGGGCACGGCGACCCGATGTCTGCGCAGCTGACGTGGACTCTGGGGTAGCATTGTTGAAGTCAGGGAAGCTCTCTCCATTGGGAGATTCTGGGATGGTTTCACGCAGGGGCGTGGAATTGCCGCTGGTGGGAGGTCCCCACATTTGCGGTGTCAAGCCCTCCTGGGCTTGGATCTCGCGTGCACTGTCACCCAACGTTAGCCAAAAACCATGACCGTGTTTCAGAGTGCGACCAACCGTTTGGAGAATAGGCGACCGCCATAATCATGCGACGGGGATCCAGCTCCCAGCCTTGCGCCTGCCGCGGCGTTTCCCAGCGGGTTCGACGTGTTCCCAGGGAAGCGGAGAGAGCCGCTGTTGGGGGGCTCGACAGGCGAGGTGGTGCCGGTCGAGGAGCCGGAATGTGGCGGCTGCGAAGACAGCTGGGGGATGTAATTGAGATTGATGTGGTGTTCGGGGCGAGTAGTCGGAGCCATTATGAATTACAGACTCTGGGGTTAACCAAGTGGTATTTTCAATGCTGGGAAAAGTGGTCGTAGTGACTCTCGTTTACCAAAACCAGGGCAACGTTGGACACGCAGGTTGGTGCCGGCCAAATGAACGTGAGGCGGGGAGGATTATTGCCAGCAAGACCGAACTCAGCTCAGTGCAAACGGCCGTGTTATGTGTGTACAGATGGGGCTGGAGACTAATGGCACGCGTTGGATCCAGTCCAGATGATGACGACGGCTGAATTGCGCAATGTGGGGATTCTGGGCTCTGATTCTTCGCGGTGAAGAGGCTCTTTTGAGGGCTGTAGCGAGCAAGAGGCACACGAGACGCGCGTGTTTGCAGGCTGGCAGGCGGCGTCGAGGGACTAGCGAGTCTCGAGGAGCTGCACCGTGCTTTGACGGTGAGGTATGCGGGGGCCCGGAAAGCGATCGATGGCGATAAGGAATGACGGAGGGATCGCAATGAGGAGCGTCGTCGCCGTGGGGTGGTGGTTTGTCGATTATGATACGGCTGGCTGGCGGGCGGAATAGACAGATCACCGAGGTGACTGGAGAACAGAAGAAATGGGATTATACAGATGGCTGATTAAGCACCTAGGCTCATGGGGGAGAGGGCGAAATACAGCGGCAGCAGCAGCATCAACGGAGGGAGGGGGAGAGAGATGGAAGAGGGTGCAGGGTGCGCGGGTGCAGAGGAAACTTGTGAGAGGTGGTGGTGGTGGTGGAAGATGAGCGAGCAGCGAGCACCCAAGCACTGGCCAGGCCCCAGGGACACGCTAGGACGGCGAATCAGTGTGTGCAGCCAGGGCAAAGAGGTTACAGATTACGGGCAGAGCATCTGCGACATGTACAACAAGCTGGTGTGGTTTAATCTTCTCCTTGTTCTGTTCAAGGTGCCCTGTAGCCATGGTGTGATGCTTCTCCCACGGCACTACACTGCCAAAGTGCGATTGCTTTGTATACCGCACTCAGGGGCTCTCCCGTTTGCCTCATGCGAGCGTCGCCCTGAGTGGCTGTCGTTGGCAAAGGGCAGCGAATGCCCGCACTTTTTGAAACACAGAGGCGCGTCGACAAAGTCCGTCACATCCAGCCCAGAATCTGACGTGGACACTCTCTTCAGCTCTGTCCTGTACTGTCCTGTATCACGGCCTGATTGGCTTGTTGCTGCTAAACTCGGCTTCTGGTGCAGTCGGCCCTCCTGCACAGAGAGATGCATGGGCACGCTCCTCTCGTTTTATTACTCTTGCGAACCAAGATCAAACATTCTTTTCCAGCAGTCCCCTAGTACGTACTACCAACCAAAGAGTGTGCCGACTATATATACCCCAGGAGCAAGGGCGCTCTCCACTGTGCGCTGCATGGACACTGTCTCCCAAAAGGAGACGACTGCAGGCAGAGATGATGGGCATATGCTTGATGCCATTACGCCGGTTGTCTGATGTGAAGACTAGATAGGGACTAGCTGTCCGTGCCGTCTGCCTGTCGTCGCTGGCCTCGAAGATGTTGATCATGGTTAATAACTCGCGCTACGTTTCAGGAGTAAGGGGGATGGAGGATGGGATGCCCCCCTCTAGCGCAACCGAAGCCAAGGACCCTTCCGCTGACTTGGCGCCGCTCCCCCGATCACTTGTACGTCGCGTCCTTCTTATTAGGCGCGTGCTTGGAAAACGCACACATCCAGTGGTAGTGACGATTGTGACGGCCCTTACCCCCAGCACAAGGCCCATGAAACACACGAACGCTACTACATGAAACACTGGCAGCACATACCAACTTTAGCATTATCCGCCGTCTAACGGCTTTCCGCCCATTCGGAACGCATAGCCCGTGTCGCATGGAAGCCTTCTGGAAAGCGTCGCGCGACCCTTGACCGCTGCCACCCAACGCTCGCTTTGCCTCAGGGCCTTGCTTGCTCGCCTGCACCTTCCTCGCACTCGCCTTGCCTGTCGTCAAACCTGTCCCTGATCACCATGTCCTCCGAGGAAGCAGAACAGCATGTGCAAGTGGAAGTGGAAGAGGAAGAGGAGGAGGAGGAGGAGGAGGAGGAGGAGGAGGAGATTGCACCGTCTGATCGCCCTGAGGATCACGACTCATCTGACGACGACGATGACGATGAAGATGAAGAGGACAGCGAGCCTGAGGCGCTCGCAGAGCTCATGGTGACAACGAGGGCGCGGAGAACCAATGCAGGCAATCGCATGTCGACGCTGCTCGCCAAATCAGCCGAGGAGGAAGAGTGGGGAGAGGAATGGGAAGATGCTCCAAACGAGGAAGATTTTCAGGGCGACGACACCAATGAGCAAGAGGATTACAACATGGAGTCTTCGTCCTCGGAGGAGGATGAGGATGGCGGAGACGAGGACGAGGCGGGCGAGAAGGAGCTGCGCAAGGCAGAGCGTCAAGAAAGGAACAAGAAGCGCAAAGCAACAACAAACCCATTCGCTGCCCGAGTCGCCGCCGTTACCCGCAAGAAGGTCAAGCTCGATGTATCACTTGCAGAATCACCCGCATCTGCCCCTCCACGGCCAAAGAAGAAGTCGGAACGAGCGTCATGGATACCCACCGAGGAAGATGGGCCCATACGAACTTCTTCACGAAAGCAGACCATAGCAAACAAGGAAACCACCATGGCTAAGCTCAAGGAGAAGGACCGAAGGCGAGACGACACCCTAGCCATGATGAAGGCCGCTGAGGCTCGCAAAGCCAAGTCCAAGGAGAAACCGTTGACGCAGGCAGAGAGACTTGCTGAAGCTGCTCGCAACGAGAGAATCAACAAGAAAACATTACACAGATGGGAAGAGGCCGAAGAGGCACGGGCAGCAGAACGGCAAGCCAAGATCGACGCCCTGAAGAACCGACAGATCGATGGGCCTTTCATTCGATGTTACAGTGGACCTTCCATCTGGGTGGATGACAAGCTCAAGTTCACGGGGAAGGATGCGCCCAGTCTAGAGCATCTTGACGAGAAGCTAAATAAGGAATTCATTGTTGGGGACTCACAGCCTGCTCAGGCTGCTCAGACCGAGCCTACAGAACAGGTTGACGAGCCAATGCCAGAGAAATCACAGGCTAAAGACAACTCCTTGGGCAACGCTCTAGATCCAAGCCAACCTTCCCAAGACATCCTGGATCCTCCCCATACCTCGACAAGTGCATCACCTATGCCATTGCTACCAACCTCGCTACCGCCACAACAGGAAGCTTCACTACCATGGACTGCTGCATCACAGGGAGGGGATGTCTTCATGGGCTCCTACGGCATGTCCTACCCGAGCAGTATCATGTTCGCACCTCCAAGCCAAGACTCGTTCCTCTTCGGCATCGACCAATACGCCCAGAACACACAATCTCAATCCACTCCAACCGACCTTCCACCAAATCCATTTACGCAAGCCTCGCCCTACCAACAACAGTACACAGCCTCACAATCGCCCTTTCCACAGCCGCATCCCTCACTCAATGATCCTCTTCTCACTCAGCACGGCAGCGCCATCGGCCCTCAGGCCTTGTTGTCGCAGTTTCAGAAGCAACCTGCTCCGCCAGCGCCGCCAGCACCTCCACGACGGAAGGTTATCAAGCGCGCCCTCCGCAACTTACTAATCTTATCCAACTTCTCAAACCTCGATACACCGACAACATCGTCCCGCGCCAAGACCACTGCATCTTTGCTCAAAGACAAAGATAAAGCGGCTCTTGTTCAGCTGTCCATGTCACTGTTCAACTGGTCTCAGCCCGACGCTACCCTTTTCGTCAATGCTATGCTGGTTCAGTCCGCGCTCAAGCCTACCAAGAAGAATCTCGCCGCCCTCGAATCTGCCCTCCCTCAACCCAAGAAGCCTCTTTGCGCCGTTACCAATGCCATCGCACGCTACCGCGACCCGGAGACAGGTATAGCGTACCGCGATGCGCGAGCCTTTGGCGTATTGAGAGGTGTCGTGGGAGGCGGCTTTGTGTGGAGTGGTGCGTTGGGGTGTTATGTTGGAGGCAGGGCAAAGCCCCTGGAGAGTATGCAGGGGGGCAAGGGGTTTTTGGGAATGCCGCCAGCTAAGAATGTGCCACGACGTTTCTGGGAGATGACTAAGAAGACGGCTCCTCCGGCGTCGATAGAAGTTCCTCCTCAACCAACCGGGCAGACGCAGACAGTTGTAGGGGCACCGGCGCAGGTACCAGTAGAAGGCTCTATTGCTGCTACTGCGCCACAGGTCGGACAGGAAAGCCCCGCTACAGTCAAAACAGAAGCTGGGAAATAAATGATGGTGTAACAAGAGGTTAGCGTGTAAGATATCATGAATTGAACGCGTTTGCGGGTGCTGACAATGTAACGTCCATCCAACTCGGCAAGAAAGTAATGTGCAACGAATATAATAAGATCAATAGAATACTTTTAACAACAACTAGTACAGCCTCCTGTTTGACCAGTGATGAACTGAAATGACAATACCTAGACTTGTTGGATATTCACCGCGTCTCTTCGATGGTAGTTGTTAAACCTGAACACGAGGCGGGATGGCTATCTATTCACATAGTAAACTGTCACACGGAAAAGTGACTTGGCAGCCCAAGGGTTCGAGTGAACGTGCTATCGATGAAGTGGAGCGGGAGGATACAAGGCATAGAGCATGGCAATGCGATTAGCAGTGAGATCTCGAAAAAGAAATGGTGAGTCGGCGAGTGAACAAGTGGCTGTTGGAGTGCCAGGCATTTTGGAGGATCGTAAGGTCCATGATATGCATTGATGTTTACCAGACAACGAATCTCAAACGCCGTCCGTCTTGTCGTTCCCGTCCGCAAGAGTTTTTCAGGCGCTCGTAGCTATACATGCCGATGCCCACCGAAGCAACTCCGTGTCCACCGTGATGAAGAGCCAGGCAGACCAGTAGTTCCAGAGAAACCGCCACGCGACTCCAGCAGACATGACCTTCATAGTCATCGTCAGTGCGCATCCGCTTATTTCTTGTCCTTCTTTCCACCCTTGGTCTTGGATGTGCCCCGGAACTCCTTCATCCTGTTCTTGCGCTGCTTGCCTGTTGCCGAGTCAGTATGTGTCGTTTCACCAAGCTTCCCATAGCCTCTGCCATAGACATGACAGGGCCTTGGTGGTGATCGCGAGGAACGTACGCTGCTGCCTGCTGGCCTTCTCGACCTTGGTGGCCATGCCGTATCTTACTAGCCTGTAGCGGGGCTCGAACTTCTTCATGGCCTCGTTGCTGTCGTAGATGAGGGCAAAGCCGGTGCTCTTGCCGCCACCGAAGTGTGTCTTGAATCCGAAGACGGAGACATCGTCCTTCTTGGCCTTGTACAGCTCACCAAGCTTGCCACGGAGCTCGTCCTTGGAAACGTTGGCGCGGTTGGGGTGGAGGACATCGCTATACGACCATTGTCAGACCCTGTCCTTCGCAACTGCGTGCGCGGTAAACTGCACTTACACGACCATCTGGCGACGTCCGAGGAGGGGGTTGCGGATGAACTTGCGCGTGCGCAGGGTGACTTGTGAATCGGCCATGTTGAAGGATAGGTTCGACCTGCAACACCGTGTTAGACTGTCGTTTTCGGTGCGTGGAGCGGATGCATGGGCTGGTAGACGTACTGGACAGAGCTCGATCCTGCTGTTGTCGATTCGCTGGTGTTAGTTGGCCGGCACGATGTTGTCGTCAAAATCGGTAGTCGAAATTCGACCGTGTGCGAAGCGAGCGCCTGCCAAGCCGCCCCACTCCGATTAGGTAAGCGCACTGTTCGCCCTTGCCCTCACCACCTCCAACATTGAAAAGTGCAGCCCTGGAGAGTACTCACAACCTTACCAGAACTGGTGTGCACCGGCTGTTAGGCCTCGATATCCTGCAGGCTCATTATCCATCTGCATCTCTGTGTCAACACCTTCCGCCACCATGGACGAATTACAAGTCTTGTCGCAACTGCGCATCTTGCGACACCAGTACTTTCAGCTGGTAGAACCATATCAATTGAGGTGGCCAGACAGTGCTATCCTAAAAGCGCCCGACGTGCAGTCGTGGCTGTTTACCAACTTATTCGACGCGGATGGTATCACCTCGCCACCTCCGCAACGCTATCAACACAGAGTGCTGAAACTACTCATTTCTAAACTTGAAAAGTCGATTGACAACCCTGAAGAGGATGTATGGCCACCCATCTCTTCCCGATGCCATTCCTGGTAGCCTCACGCAGCGTAGCTAACTAAGCTCATTGATTCTATGAATGATTCAGCATGTAGCAGTGCTTCGTTGCAGAGGCGCTGTCTTTTCAATCACCTGCTAACCTGGTTCTTTCCCTGTGAACAGGAAATCTCAAATGATCTCATGTCTGCAATGGGGACTCTCCTCACATCCTGCGTCCCTTCCGAAGCCGATTCTGCTCAACAAAAGGCCTTCGTGACATACTCGTACCCTCTCCACTTAAATAACGGCAGCACGTCGGATGAGCGGACAGTGACGCTTCTTGAGGCTCGTTCCGTCATCTCATCGTCAGGAACCACTGGGCTTCGTACCTGGGAGGCGGCATTGCTTCTCGGGTCCTATCTTGCATCTGAAAGCGGTCGCACAATAATTCGGGGCAAAAGATTGTTCGAACTAGGTGCAGGGACGGGTATGCTCTCCATACTCTGTGCCAAGTATCTTGAAGTTGCTGGTATTGTTGCTACGGACGGCGACGAAGCTGTTGTTGATGCTATCAAGACGAACATGTTCCTGAATGGGCTCGACACGGATGACTCGTCTGGCTGCCAGGTTCGCACTGCGGCTCTCAAGTGGGGATGGCCCATGGACGCGACAACCTTCTCAGAAGACTACGGCATGGAAACACCGGACGTGCTCTTTGGAGCGGACGTCGTAAGCCATCGTCATATGCAATATTCGCGGGACCATGATCTTAACATAGTCGCAGACATACGACAAATCCGTCATTCCACGCTTGGTTTCAACCATGTGGGAATTTTTCGAGCTGAATTCAGCGCTCCAGGTGTTCATTTCTGCCACCATACGCAACGAGCAGACGTTCGAGACTTTTCTGAACGCGTGTAGTGGGTCTATCCGCTTACGACATCGGGCGAGTTGGTTGCTGACTTTTGTGGGGTAGAGCGGAACGGCTTCGGTTTCGAGCAAATTGATTGCCCACCAGTCCCGGAACACGATCAGGTTGGCCCGTTTTATCCAACTTCGACGCCGATTCAAATTTGGCGCATCACTCGAAGCCAGGTCGCCAAGGACCCCTTTGCGATCTGATGGACGGTTAGGTGAAAATTCTTGCCGACCAACACGTGGCGGCCTAGACTGCGGACACATCCTGTAGCAATGGTGGATTGCTGCACGCAGTATGTTTCAAGTCTCAGAGCGCGAGAATTTTCGTGCCGGTGTAGTTGCGAGAGACAGCGAGTGCTCTCGGTGCGATGCATCTATTGGCTCCTTTGTCCAAGCAGCTTGTTTGGAGTAAAGGCTGGGACCCGCACCTCCACCTGCTTCGTCAGTCGGCCAGGCAGAGAAGCTATTGCTTCGCATCGCATCGCGATCCCCAAGCAGGTAACCGGCATGACGGGTCGAGGTTGGCGATGCGACTGGTGAAGTTTGCAGCACGCCGAGCACGATCCTGACATATTCGCTACCGTTGCGTGATTTCCCGATTTTCATTACCTGAGGGCAAGCCTTCGGCATACCGCATGGAGAAGGCTGTGACACGTTCACGCAATAAGGCTTCATTGTACGCAGCAAGCTCGCGATCCAAAGGTGTCATTGTGTTGCAGGCACTGATACGCAGCCGGATGGGGGCGGACAAATGGCACTTTTACTGAGTGGTACCTCAATCGTCACCGAGCTGCCAACCTTATCTATCCGTCCATGTTGGCCAGGAACCAGTCAGTCAGTGTATGATATCCGGCATCCCCGCCGTTGCCGCAGCGGGAGAATCCTGATCAAAAAATCAACGCACCGTGATGGATGGGAGGGGTGGGGGGAAGTGGCTTAAGAGTCAGCCAGCTACTACTCTGGGATGGCGTGCTGGGGGGGTTATCGATGGCTCCATAGTACTCGCCATTGCGAATCATCCCCACACGCGTCACGATAACCTGAACTAAACCGTGTATATAATTTAGAGCCCGTCGTCGTCAACTCAAGTCTAGAACTGCAGTCTCACCATCCATGACGACCAGGGTCTTAATTACTTATTGACGGCTGTCCCCCGATATCTTTCCTCGCGCCCCTCACCGATACAGTGCTTGCTCACCCAGACTGCCGCCAAAAGCCGCCCACGCCCTGGAAACCCTCGGCTCTCCCTACTACACCTAATAAAACCAGTCCAGGCCAACAGGAAGCTTATCGCGCCTGCAGCCTTGCACGCCATCGCCCCCCGGTGCCGGTACTGCACGGCTCCTATCAACGCATATTGGAATCGATCTGTATCCTCCCTTCCGACGTCGCACGGCCCTGATCATTCATGTAAGCTTTGCTGTCTTCCTACATTCCTCATGACATGCGCGGTGAATTCGGTGGCTTCTTATCGTCGGCATCGTTGCCGACCCGTCTTATTCGCACGCCTCTACGCCCTGAGATGTAAACGCCACTACGTGTGCCTGGCTAAATCGTTGGCGCAGCTCTCCAACGCGATAAGGAATCTAAACAAAGCACGACCCTTCCGTCATACCGACAGTATCAGCTCCCAAGTAAATCGACGCTGTGTCACCGCTCTTTTCAGCACTGCTACTTCAGCCTGTGACAGCGATCAATTCGCTCACGGCTGCACCGTGCGCCATTTAATCCCGTGAGGCTTTAAAGTTGACCGACTTCCATACCATGGCGACAGCCACACATCACGTTCGTCACCCGTCGCATCATTCAAGGAAATCGGTGCCAGCGCACGCACGGCCCTCGAAGCCTGGCCCTCCTTCAAAACGTGCACATTCCCACGGTACCAAGGCCAGTTTTAATAAATCCCCTCATTTCACTGAGGCGGAAGGTGAGGACGAGGACGAATCAATGGCCGTGAGCTTTTTGAATTACTGGTACGTTGTTCATCTGCCTTGTCGCCGCCTCGTCTACCACAACATGCTAACCATGTGGCAGCACTCTCTGCGAAAAGCAAATCATCGTTCCAAGTAACTCTGTGCTTTACTGCTCGGAAAGGTATGGCGTTGCCGCTCCTTCTGCAGTGTGCTCTATACTAAGACGCATATAGCTGCCGGAAGAAAGATAGCGAAAAGAGCCTCACGTATTCATACGACAACTACTCACCACCAACAACACCATTCGCCAACTTCTCCTTCGAAGACCTCACCTTCCGTGACATTGTTCCCCAACGATCACCAACTCAACCCGAGTCAAAGCGTTCATCATGTGCCTTCTCAGACATATCCTCGGACGATAACCTATGGTCCAGCGACGATAGGTCGCAACGCTCAGACTCTGAAGCATCACGTTATCTGCGCTATTTCCAGGCTTCACTTTCAAATGCAGCTGAGACGGCCCGACCGTATCGCCCTCGTTACACTCGCGCCTCCACGTCACAAGTCAGCTTCAGCGCCGCTCCGTCACTCTCCCACACACCCGCCTCTTCAGTCAGCTTCTCGTTACCGTATACACCGGCGTATCCACCTCCGACTTCCCGCCCGTTGCCTCCCAGGAACAACCCACACACCTCGTCTTATAGTTCCAAGTCGATAGACCTTGTCACGCCGTTGACGGCCACGGCGAGTGCGAAACAGTACTCACATAAGACGCCGCCGATATCGAGGACCAGTACGAGTACGATTGAGGGTGAGATTGTCTATGCGAAATCACCTGTACCTTCTCTATCAGCGGCCAACGGAAGTTTGAGCCGGTTGATGGCTTCGACGCCCCATTAGGCCGCTTGGCTATATCTTTCTATTCTAGGCGATAGTTTAGCCTACATTAACGAATCTTTTTGTAATATATGATCATGGTGGATAAGTTTGCTATGCTGGGCGTAGCTTTTAGGAGACACGAGCGCTACGATTCGCATCAAAAGTTGAAGAGTTTAAACATACGGATCCATTGCACCATACCACTAGAAAGCAAAATCCAAATTTCATACGAAAGAGCCATTGCAAAGCTCAATAACACGCTATTTTTTCAACTTCTTCCCTCCTGTCTGATACTATTGCAAAGAAAGGAGTCACTTGGTCAGCTAACTTGAAGATGTTTGAATCTCCCGGCTCCATCTCAACACGTCTCAGATCTTGACCCTCAACACATCCGCCAAGTCATCTGCCAGCCGGTCGAGTAAAGCACTCTCGTCTCGTCCCAACTCCATCTTCCCTAGTCCCCTGCTCACCCCATCATCTGTTCTAAACTCCTCCCGCTTCCGCTGAATCATACACGCATGCATGACACCAAACACCAACGCCATCCGACTCCGCGCATGATCCCACCAATCCATCCGCAGCTCCCTCGCCGCATAAAGAATCACCTCAATCAGCAGCACACGCTGCACGTCCTCGCCTTCCCGAATCGGCAGCAGCGGCAACAAATGCTCCACATCTGCACGGAAGTTCAGCGAACCGGGGGGAAACACGTCCATTAGCATGCTGAAGCCCAATTGCAGTGTGGGTACATGGAAAGTAAAGCATAGCGCGTCGGCGTCTTGCGCGGCGTGTTTGGCTAACTCGTGGATCCACCATTCGCTTGGGGCGGAAGGGCCGTCGGCTAGGATGGTTTGTAGGCGCATGTGGATCTCATACAGGGACCATGTGCTACGGGGTCGGGGGCGAGGGCGACTTGGTGCAAGGTCGAGGCGCTCGGATGTGAAAACAATAGGCGTGGACATGACGATATCGGAGGGATTGTCAGGACGAAGGGGCTTTTGGTTAGACATTGTTTTGAGTTGGGTTGTGTAAGGAGCTGGGGATCTTTGGAGCAGGTTGCTTATGAAATAAAAGGGGATAGTTATCAGTGAAGGGCCTTGAGAGGTTTGTTTGGTAATACTGCGGCATTGTGAAAGCATAATGTGCATTGACTCTCTGACCAAGTCGGATCGAGCTTCTGCACTATGTAGGATAAGTATTTCTACTCTGATATAGGATATTATCTTACTAGAAGCTTTCACTCCGTCACGACATTAATAGGCCTAGGGAAATCCAAGATGATAGCCTCATGAAATGATTCGATCCTTAGAACCACGAGATTATGAAGGCGCCAACAGTTTAAATGAATGCTTTTCAATAACTGTTAGGAATGCTACAATATTGTGTATAACGCCGTAGTCTGATTTCTTCTCGGGAATACGTATAGCACTCAACTAAATAAATGTAAAAGCATACCTGTTGTGACGATGGGGTTCCCACCTGGATAGTGCACGACTTACTGAGGAACCAGCTGACTCAACCATGTCCTGTCGGCACAGAGGACACAGCGAACGAGTACCCTCAAGGCACGCTACTAGGCAATCGAACTAATAACATGTCCGCCTGCACGTGGAAATTTGACAGGAACGTTAGAACGGCCTGGATTGACTTCGTCAAAATCGATCTAATAGTGGGGACAACGCTTGTTCGCAGGATCAATAGACGCGACATTGACAGTCGGTTGCGTGCTCACAAAGGCTCCGGCTTGCCCGTGCGTCATCTCACGAGCAGGCTGCTTGGGGACCTCCACTTTGTTCATAGCCTGGCCTGGCTTGACTGGCCGTAGTGGTGGTTTGAGCATAGCATTGAAGCCAGCCAGGCCGAGAATGCCCTCTTTATCGACGCAGTTTACAAGAAACTCCAAAAGGGCCAATCCATGGCACAGCTGATGTTGTTGTCTAGAACGTCCCCTAGGTTGACCTCCTTGAGGGATAGCTCTTGAAGCATAGAGCTCAGAGTGTCACATCCTGGGGAGGATTCGGCGTCTTCGACAATTCCTGCGTCTGCGGCTTCCACAATCTTGATCAAATTCCCCCCTTGCTACGCCCAGCACGAATAGAAACAAGCCAAGAGTGAACGAGAGACCGTACTCCGAATCGGGATAGGCAGGTTTCTCTTCACTCGTCGGTTTCGGAAAAGAGTGCTCAACGAGAGCCTTCCAAGACAGTAGCGAGGACATTCGTAGTGTACGAAGTTGTTGTTTGTAGATAGACTGTGGAGGAAAGATTGGTTTTTCTGCCTGGAAGAAGATGGAAGCATTTTTCTCTGCGAAAGATTGTCGCATAGCGTGAGCACGTCCGATCGTTTTCGCCCATCTTTGCGCAGTGTATGTGAGCCTGGGTTGCACGATGTATCCTCAATGTTTACCTAGCTACATAGCGGCCCGGCTAATGGATGGGTATTCATATCATGACGAAGGGGCACGGCTCAACATATTTGCCCTCGCACAGTATCGTAATTTGCCTTGGTAAAGTTCTCGTCCACATACAGAGCTAATTTCTCCGAGTTCTGTCGTGGTGGATGATTAGCTGGTTTATGAGGTGCAGCCACTAATGTGCAGCACCAATAGTAGGAAGTCAGTACTAATACTTTAATGAAAAACATAACTGCACATTCTCAGATAGCCCTAGCGAGCAGTTGATCCAGGTCTCCGATACATACTTGCTATTGTTTGTTGAACCGCTAGATTTATTCTCTCAGGTTGCGAGCAGATACCTAGGTATTGCCCGGCGCTCTTAGCCTAGCCGCCATGCCAGATTGGCCTACATCTTGGATAAAAGTTCAACCCCGATCGTCAGCGATCAGAAGTATCGCCGGTCGAGTGTATTGTACGCTAACGATTTCGCATGTTGGTTGTTCCGACGGGGCGAGAGGTATTTCGGTCAACGTAGGGATGATAAACGCCTCGGTCGATGTTCTTTCTGTCTTGGTGATCTAGACTGAGTTTGTCTAATAAAGTGGAAGTCGTTCGGGTTAGAAGATTCTCGCGCTGTCGCTATTGGAAAGACGTAGAGGGTGGTGTTGTCGAGAGGATGCTAAGGACATGCTCGCAGGGACTGCTTTAGTACCGTCTGAAACCAGGTGGATCTAATGACGAAACATGGCTCGTGTTCTAAATGTGGCTGTGATGTTTGCGTGGTGTTGTTGACGCAGAAAGCAGGATTGATTCTGGGACGTGGCTTACACGAGCGAATCATTTCCTTTGTCGGAGCCTCGGTCGACAGACACGCAACCCATTCGCTCACCCCACAATCACTCGATTCATCTAACCATAATCCAGCATCAGCTAACCTCCCCTGTCCTACTTCCATACCCCGCCACTCTAATGCGGTAGTGAACTTCGGTGCCTCCCGTTGTTTTCAGCCGAACCTCTTTCAGAGACGTAGCCGCAGCCTTCGCTCCCATGATACATGCGCGGCCGAGAAGACACAGCACAAGAAGGCGCGACGTCAGGGCGTCTCCATGGCCGTCGCGGTGCCTTGGAAATGGCTTGGTTCCGGGGCTGTGACGCGAGAATGAATCGGATTGGGCGGATCAGTCCAATCTGCGACACGGCAGACATGATGTCAAGTGATGGGGTTGGTGGAGTGATACTAGGACGCGGTGGAGAGACTTTGGCACTGCCTACTCGTGACATGCCATTCCCCGCACACGGGCGGAAGTATATCTGTTTCACATATCCCCGCGTCCTAGGGAACGCCTTTTTCGAAATACCAACCAGCACAGCGAGTCTATCCAACACTACTTTACCGTACCAACATCACTGCTCCGGAAGGAATATTTGATCGACTATAAACCAGTAACACATCCAACCAATCCAACACCATGTCTTTTACCCGCCTAACGCCACTCCTCCGCCAGAGGCTCTTCACATCATCCGCACGTGCTCGCCATGTCATCTCAATGGAGGATGCCGCCGCCGCACACCTCACAGCAACAGCCAATGTCGTTCCCCGGCTTGGACGGGTTGCACGATGGTATGTCACCTTCCCTTCTTCTATGCCTGTCGACACTAACAAGACCTAGGTATCTACCAACCATGGCAGCAGTTGCCCTGGGCATGATCTATCTTCCCCAGAACTTCACATCCACAGAGACCAGCCGCCGGACAGCCAGGCTCCCCGCGGCCAATGCCAGCATCGGCTTTGGCATCTCGACTGCCTTGAATGAGGCTAATCGCAACATTCAAATGGGCCTTGAACCTACTCAAGAAGAGAAGAACATGATCTTAATGGATTCGTATGGCGAGCGATCTAGTCTGGAAGACATGGAGAGAGCCATTGCCGGCCTGGAAGCAAAGCCCATGAGCCAGAAGCACAGGAACGTCGCTCTGGCGGAGGCATATGGAGATCGAAGCAGTCTCAAAGACATGGAGAGGGCGATGGAAATGTATGAGGTCCAGTGAGAGCATGCAGGACAGTGCACGATGAATAAACGACTACCAGCTTCGAGCCAAGTCTGCTTCTGGGGAGGAGACTTGAGATGAGAGCAGAGCACGAGGGAAAGAGGACAACATGCGCCCTGGAGGCCGCAAGCCACACCGCCAGGACACAAAACTACCGCCGAGTTTCAAACTCATGTCGTTGAAGTTCGTGATCCTCGAGAAGTGACAGGAGGAGGAAATATGCGATTCGCATCGGACAGGAATTGGGTTCCAAGGTCATATGTTGGGTACAGGACTATGATTTGTGTATCAACAATAACGTCAATATCACTATTCAATATACTATTATCACATGGCAAAAGAGCCCCTGAAGCTCGCTCTCATCCTCATTTCCTGCGACTTCCGCGGTTCGATTCGTCTTGAGACCCGAGCTTTACCGACCTCGTCCGGCGGCCGCGCATCCAACATCAGGGGCATTGTCTAAAGCCAAGGTCTGTGCTTCCGCTGGTTTGTTACTCCACATCTCGACCTGGGCTAGCGACCCCAGACTAAGCTTGGCTGCATACCTAAGTAGAGTGGCTTTCTTGCCCAAACCGATCTCGGCAAGTCCGGAGTCTATTGACCCGGGACATTGGAGTCCGTCGACGGCCTTTGATTTACATACTTGCGCTTCAGCACTACTAATTATCCGCAGCTTACTTCTCCCTTGGTGACTTTGGGTGACATGGCGATGAACATCAATCCTGATCCGTAACAACAAAGCTCCAAATCTCTCTCCAAACTCCGCGTTCTAGCCTCTTCGGCCTCCTTCTCAATATCTGGGCTATCCTCTCCGTCTCCTTCCTCCTAGCATCCTGGGCTTCGATCTCCTCCTGCATGTCTGAACTCATCTCTATGCTGGCGTACATATGCTCCTCTTTAAACGGGCTCTCGGATGTCGCCGTGGGACTCATGTCAGTCTGCGCTTCAAGCTCGTGCGACCCTAGAGGATAGTGAGGCACCGGTGAAGTTGACAACGGGCCTTCAAACTCGATCGTCGATAAGTCTTCTAACACGTAATCCTCGACTGTGATATTGCGGAGATCCACGCAGGACGAACGCGGATGGATGTACTTGTAAGACAGGTAGAGCGAGGCAAACAGGAAAGGCCCGATATAGGCACCCAGGACGTCAAAGGCAAGGCTGATCGTTGGCTTGAGATTTGCCGTTGGCTCAAGACTGCGCTTCGCAATGAGGATGGTCAGTGGAGGAATTCCAGACCAGACGATTACAAAAGTGCATCCGACAATGCCGATGTAAGCGGGGAGGGGCTGCCAGCGGGACTTGAACAGTCGCGAGAGGTAGAGCGGGTCGTTGCGGCTGAATATCTTACGTTTTTCTAGCCGGTCAAGCCCAGCTTTGAACCTTAGGAAGGTTACGCACAGGCAAAGATAAATGCACGTTGCAGAACTCGTGTATAGTTCCGAGAGAGTGATGCGAGGCTGCGCACCGGTTTTGTCGGCTAACCCAATGAGAGATATAAATCCGAGTGCCGAACAGAATAGTATTGCCGCGAGTGGTGTGTGCCCGTTGTTGGTTCGACCGAAGACGTTGGCTATGTTCTGCGGAAGGTACTGCTGCGAGAGCATGAATACGCTACGAGAAGCGGCATAAAGGTCAGTATTTGCTGTGGTGTAAGCTGAAACTATGAAAAACGCGTTCAGGACATTTGGTAATGCATCTAGTGAGGATTCCTCCGCCGCGATCACAAAAGGTGACTTCGTTGCACCACGACTTCTGGCCCAAACCTTTGACAAGCTAGGATCTGCGTAGTTGACATTGGCTCCACCCGCTAGCATTGCGAAAGGGTAGAGACTTAGTGGAACGAGGTAGACGAACGACATCGTGACGGGAATATCCTTCCAGGGGTTCCTCGCTTCTCCTGCAGTCATTGCAACCAGGTCTGCACCAAGACATGAGAATATGGCCAACGTGACGGAGGTAACGAAGGCGAAAAACATCCCGCCGGGCCCGCTTATCCCGAATTCTTTATCCGAAATGCCCGTAAGTGTGAGCGAGGCTGCGGTGGTCTTCTCAAACCCAGTCGGGTTCCATCCAGGGGTAAAGGCATTTGATGTGTAATTCGTAGAGTACCCTCCTTGTCTTGGGCCTCCACCTCCGAGATTTATTACTATCATTAGTACGCAGACGAGGGCAAGTAAGCCTATCTTGAACCACATGATAACTCTCTCGATCTTGCCGTATAGCTGGTGAGAGGTAAGCATGCTGTGCAATTCAATCCGAAACATACTGGCTTACTCTAACACCTAGACAGTGTGTGAGCGTCGTCAAGACAATGAAGGCGAAGTTGATGGCCACTTCAGCGCCAATCGGATGTAGCGCTTTTTCATTTTTCGTCAACAGAGACGTCAACTTCGCCGCATGCGCGGTTAGAGTAGCCATGGCACATATTTTGCCCAAACTAGTGGCTCGTTAATAGTGCAAGTCTCTTGTAGTAATAGTGTGACATACCCATATAAAGCTGCAACAGTGAAGCCGCATGCGGGATCGAGGAAGGTATGAGGCAGATCAATGAGGGCGCCCGTTAGCGGCCGACATGTCACCATCTCAGTAATAGTATAAAGAACACAAGCGACGATACCACCAGCGATGACATAGCTGATTGCTGCCCCTAATGAGCCCGTGGTGGAGATCAATGCCCCGGAGGTGATGAAGATTCCTCCCCCAATACATGCTGAGATTCCAATTCCTATAGAGTCAGGAATGGAGACAGCCATCTGAATATCTTGTGTACTTACCTGCAATTTGAGGCCTATTTAGGACACGGTCAAGATGTTCAGAATGATTGACGTAGTACGGAGAGCGATCCAGTGGTCGCTGCTCGTCATCGACCATGACAGGCTGAGAATTGGTACGAACAAATTGCTGATAGGATCAGAGAATCTGTCTCGTACTTCTTTAGTATACAATATGCTATATATCACGCTTTCCGTATGTTTAGGGCGAGTAACAGTTCTTGTTCTTGAGAAAAGGGTAGGAGTGGAAACTCCCGCGGGACCCGTCTCCTACAAGTCTAAAGTGACTTGCTTAGCTGTTTCATGGACTATTCAACAATTCTGCCTTATTTGTGAGCTCTCTATGTTCCACAGTAACGACTACTAAGAATTCGCGTTGACGCACGCGACCCGATTTGATGTGATTGGATGAGAAACCGCATAGTCGCAAAAATGCGAAAAAGGGCTGTATATGGTCGTACGCGTATATTGATGAAACAACACAATGGGCGCTGCAATCGAGGTTCGCCTCCCTTCATGTGCCCTTCCGGTGAGCATTTCGGGCAAATGACCTAGAGCTGCTGCGTTGATTGGAGAGAAGCTGCGCCGTGAAACCGTCATCAGGACAATTAGGTAGTAAATTCCTCAGACCTTGCGTTGTAGGCGAACCAGATGGTTGGGACTTGGATCTGGCATGCACGAAACCTGCGGCTCTTATCAGTACGGCATGATAAACGCGGCCAGATCTAGACTCCGAACTTGAGATGAGATGTTTAGCTCTATGTAGCCGCAGTGTCGATTATTTGAGTAAACCGAGCTTGCTCAATAAGCTGTCATGGTCGTATTCTTCCAACGGAGCAGCAATGACTTTTCCATTCGAAGCGCATCGAACATGTCCATAACAGGCCAACTATCGCGACCAGCCGAGCGCCAACCTTCAATGGCCACTGATAATTTTAGATCATTCTCAGCCTCTTTGATTACGCAGTCGGAAACACGCCTGCAAAGACCTGGGCAGCTGTTCGCTTCCGCGGCAGGCGACATCGCGACATCGATCTCATCCACCTGGGTGGCCACCTCATCTTCGAAACAGATTCGCGTGTACAACGTGCCTGAAGCGGACAAAAGCCGGGCTATCTCTCCCAAGGCCACCTTATCCATCAAGCTGGTCTCAAAGCATGAAGGGATTCGAGCAATTGCACTATCTGAGGACCTTCTCGCTGTGATTACCCATAGCCATCTTCTAGTATACGAGGGGTACAAAACGGTTGGAGATCTTTCAAGTAGCCTTTTTGACACTAGAAGCGTGGACAATGATCAATGCTGGACTCCCAAATCACTGTCCATCTCGCAAACCGGTACGACGGCTATGAGCGAAGGAGCTTCAGCGAGTATAGCGGTCGGTGGCGAAGGAGAGAACGGGGTCAAGGTGTTCAAGTACGCTTACAACAATGGCTGGAAAGCTCAGAACGACCGACTGATCCTGAAATGCCCAAGAAACAACGGTGCGGTCAAAATTGTCGGCTTCTCCCCTAATCGCAGAAATGCCATGTATGGGCCGATGGCATTTGCTTTGACAACGGGAAACCAACTATACTGTTGGAGCTTGGGTCGAAGCGCAAGAGCTGGAATGCAAAGTATGCAGCCGTCTTGGCACATTGACTGCAATTCGACCAGCAATCAACGCGTAAGCACCATCCCATATCACATTAGTAGAATATACTGACGTATAATAGCCTTATCGAGATGAGATATCGTCTGCAGCACTGATAATTTCCCCAACAGGCAGACCGTATATGTTCTGCACAGTGAACCATAAGCAAGGATCTCATCTGCTGCCGACCTTCATCGTGCCGGTTGATATGCTTGAAAAGGATCCTTGTGTTCTGCGTCATCAGATGAGGCCAATATCGGACACTATAGTCGGTACGAATATCTTGGCCGGGTTTGCATCTTCCAATGGTCATTTCCTGGTGATAATAGAGAAAGGAATGAAGAAAGAAACATTGAAGATATTATCACTTCAAGGTGCGTACGATGGAGGCTTAACATGTGCTGCTCGTGCGCAAGCGTGGGAGGCAAAATTGAGAAGCACGGGCGCAGATACTTCAGCAATCTCCATATCCATCGAGGAACAATATGGCGCTCTGCAAATTAAAGCGGTTGACGGACGCGGCCATGTCCATTCTGCGAGGGTCAGCGTCCCAGATATGCCAGCCTGTGAGCAACCATCACTTGCTGGAAGTGGCAGCACTCTGGAACTCCCACACGGAGCACCGATCGGGGAGCTTTCATCCGACGAAAGTAGCCGTCAGTCCTTTGCAACGCTTGATCAGCTGCCAGAGCGCGCTGAAGCCATACCAGGCTGAGGAGGAAACTCGTCCAGATCACGCTCGTGGGATGACATCGTGGTAAAGCATGTTAGCGTAACCTCATGTCCTTGTCTTTTCCTTGTCTTGAGAAACCCTAGTACTCTCGGAAGGACTGAAATTCAACCGCATAACTATGCATCAGATCTCGGAGCGAGCTAAAGCAGTAGCGGACTGTTGTGCACGCTTGACTTATGTTCTTGGGAAGCAAGTCGTTACAGGAAGACGTCATCCGCTTGAACGAAATACTGGTGACGGCAGTATTTTCATGAGACAATCCGACCACAGGGATATCGAAGCTATGTCGGTGACGACCATCGAGCGATGTAGATCAGATTGCGGGTGAAACAGATGGAGGGGCGGCATGAGGAGGACTACTCTGACGGAAACTGCTCTTGTGGATCCATTGCGAGTGAACCCAGAAAATGGTTTATTAATTAGATGTGTATGAATCACGAATGAGGTTGTCTGTGTACAAGAGTATGGGAAATGATGGGACAACGAAGCATGCTGCTCCTATGACGTCATTTCACCCGATTGAGGCAACTGCAGCGTGCCGTACGAAGGAAGAGGATTTCCACGTCTCCAACACGTTATGGAGCCAGAGTTATATCGCGAGTACAACAACTTACGCCCTAGTTGTTATCTGTTCCTACCATTCATCAAGAAGATCATTGAACGCCCCGAGCTCGCCAAACACGTCCGTCGAGTCGACTTGAGCTATCGCTGGTTCTGTGAAAGTAATTTGAGTGCGGCCGTATGAAGGAAGTTGGTGTCAAGCCAAAAGTTGTCGCCATATTTAGTCATTTTCCACAATCGTCGCCTCATTAACGTCACTTGGAGAACCCGGAAACTTCTATACGCACGCTCTCACTTGGGCCTTCTACAATTGAAAAACTACGCGAAAACATCGCAGTTTTGAAGAAGACATGTAAACGGCGTATGGGTTGGCCTTGTGATTGGGGAGTTGTTTGTTTCAATTTTGGTGGCTGGATTGTCGAGAAACTTTCAGGAAGGTACGGGGGGTTGTTTTGTAACTCGACTCCTTTAAATAATATTCGTGCTTTTCTCAGCAAGAACGTGTCACCTCATCCACCTGAGACTACTGTATGCAATGTTACCTAGGTAGTCACTGTTGCCTTGCAGCCTTGGGCGCGATGCTCTTACCACACGCACTCAAGAAGGCAATAACAGACCTAATGGATTGCTATGGGTTTCGCGTACCCCTACTGCCTGTAGACATCTTACACTCCATCGCCTATAATACAGCACCCCTAGACTGATTAATCACGCCTTCATATTCTATCAATTGCCGCTATCACCTACTACCGTCTCGACCACGCTCACGAACGTCGAATTTGTCAACAAGACTACGTCGGTCAGCTTTGCCCTCGACCAACCACGCGATATCAATACTGGGACTACTTCTTTCAATATCAGTACAGTCCATGTTTATCAGAACCACTCCACTTCTCGCCGCGCTCCTTCTGCCATGCACCCTCGCCTTCCCATATCCACTCCCGAACTCAACAATAGCTCGAAACAGCACAATCTGCAATTCCACTCTCTCCCTCTGCGACGCCAACCTCACCGCCACCGCCGACCCTCCTCCCACCACGCCGGGCAAGTACAAATGCATCGAGATCTGGCCGGCGGACCTTGCCGTGGTGAACTCGCGCTACCCAGACTACGACGTCGGCCGCCTGCACCAAGCCAGACAATTCTTTATGCTGCGTCGCCAACTCCTCGGCGACGGCGAGATAGCCACACGCGTGCAGTTCCAGGGCCTCCCTTCAAATACCTCGAACCTCACCTGCCGGCTCGAGTTCATCCTCCCCAATCTGCAACTGCAGCTCATACACGGACCGAATCCGAGCTTTGACATATATCAAGTTGAGCGCGAATTCGGGTCGATGGCTACGTGGAATACCTACGAAGGTCAAGATAGCACCGAAGTGTTTGGCACTGTAAACGGCGAGCCCGAGGCGCTGGAGAGGACGAGAAGCGTTAGTGGTGTAGCGGCGATTAACGAGACGGCTTGCAATCAAACGCTGAGCTTTCAGATGCGGATGAAGTATGACAGTGTGGATATGCCAAACTACTGGGGGTTCTCAAATGTTGAGCCGCCGGCATGGCCAGAGCAGGGCTTCAGGGTTGTGTATGGTTGTTGATGAGGTTGTTGTTTAGATCAACTGATGGTTGTCTCGAGTACCGATGAGGATCAATACGGGTCCGTGAGTTGATAATCAAAGACATCCTATGAGCGCTTTTTAGCCCATGTTCGTTCGTCCCTAATGTACAACGTGAGATGACAGCTTCCAAGCTTCTAGGGGGACACAATTCGATCTTCTAGCAATTCATTTTCATCCACAAGCTACATGTCAAGTAGGTCAAAGGTTCGTGAATACGCGTAAAAATCACACTCAGTATATAAAGGACTCCGTTTGTGTAAGAAACGACCCTTCTTCTCGAGAACCACAACCCAATTGAAGTCTTTGAGATGCCATCTAAAGAGCACTACCCGCAATGATTCCAAGCAGCCCAAATCTTCATTATTAGTCGTATAATTGCGACTGGATCGTTAGAGGACTTAGAAACCATGAGAAAAGGTGGGCAAAGGTGTGTCCTTGAACTTTGCTGTTGGTTGTATGAAGGCCAAGGTTGAATCCTGGCCGATGTTGGAAATATTGCACAGAGGATATTCGATTTTTTGCAGGAGCTCTAAAAGTAAAGTGATGTAAAGTTGTTTGTGGCGATAATAAGTCTTTCGGGACACAACTGGGTATATGAGAGCCAAGGATTCTGTAGGTGTGGCTTGACAAGAAGAGTTCAATATGCGAGGACCATCACCGGGCAGATGGGTATCGGTTGGAAAAGCGGAGGTGATCATACTTAGGCTGCAGGATCCGGATGCCTGGTGGATGGATTATGAGATGGTTGAAAAGTCCATCATGGAGCCATGCATCTAACGAGATCATTAGGATTGTTGAACGAAACATGATGGTCATATGCAGCCGGAACGACCGAGGTATCATATTCTTACGTCTCCTTGCTGAAGTTTGTCGGACCAATCCGGTCTGAACTTCGTTTTCATATGGGCCATGAGGTCGATGAGCGAAGCAGACAGGGCAGCGGAGCTCGGCCATTTCCAGGAAGACAATTCCAGGACGAGGAGTGCGTTGGAGTATAGTTGAATGAGGTTGCCACCAAAGATGGCGGGGATGTTTTGGATGAGGACTGTTCCTGCTCGATATACCCAGTGTGGCGTCACAAAGACATGGATGCCCCCTAAGCTAACAACAGCTTCGAGGACGTGCCACGCACTTCCCCAACAAGGATTGAGAAGAAGATGCGTCATGTGCAGCACGATGCGAACAATGGGTAGTAATTCGGCCTTCTCATCTAACAGTGGCAAGAGTTTTTTCACGTTTTCTTTGGTGACGTGATCGCCTTTGCGAAAGCGATTTTGCAGGCGAAACAATGAGCACATGTAGTCGGCTGGCTTTGATTTATCGAAACATATTGCTGATTCCTGAACTTGTCAGCGGCGTGGTTTGGACACAGCTAGAATGGAACAGCGCACCGGTTCTGGGAACAGAGCAGGTCTGTCTAGCGTAGACGCAACTTGATTCTCGAGACTGAAAATGGTCATATGCATAGTCCGAAGCGATTCGACATCCTTTGGCTCCAGCTCCTGTAATTCTCTTTTTGACTCCAGATCGAAGGCAAGGCGAGCGGCGAGAGCTACCTGCTGGCCGAAGTTTCCTGACTTGGGATCGAATGAGCTGTTGATGACTAGCAAAAGGACGGATCGGAGTGTGTCTATTGTTGGCTCCACTGTTGCTGCCTCGAGGTGCTCCATGGCCTTTTCGAAATACTGGGTTGCCAGAGCTCGGTATTTGATCGAGTTAGCTTGATGATACGAGAGTCTCCCGGTTGGGTTCCAAATCTGCTCTGCATTTCTCCTCCGGCCCGTGTTGGGAAGGACGTAACACGAGATGGAGTAGATCATGTACAAAGCGAATTGTTCCGTGGGCGTGAGGTCGGACGGTACTTCTCGGCCAAGGTAGCGCAGCGATGGATCCAGGATGGGGTACACGGGTTGGATGGTTTCAAGAAACAGCTCCAGAAGTTCATATTGCTTTGCTGGTGACTCCTTGCTCGACAGTTGCCAGTCATCGTCTTCCTCGCTACTCTCAAACGGCGAACGCCCCTTGGCAGCGTGTAGTCTAGGGGACTTTAGAAGACAGGATTCTGAACCCAAGTAGCGGTAGCTTTCGCCAGCGTAGGCGAAGTGGTGCTCGTAGTAAAGCGTGCTTTCGGAAGCGATGAGGTCGGCCTCGATTTGCGAGGCCAGGGTTGCATCCTGTGTGAGTATTCCTGACGTAGCTGGGGAAGGGTGCATTCGGCCCTCGATCCGCCGCACGTGGTCCACCAAGTCGGATATATAGCTGTGGGCCACGTTAGTCGCGGCTGTGAAACGGATCATGGATGACGTCTTCTTGCCTTCGGGGCAGCAGTTCGTTGCGCCCGTGGTCATAGAACATGCACTCGACGCCCGCTTTGGTGCATTGCCTGTCATGGCTGGGTTAGTCCAACGCCCATGGTGGTACAAGACACCTCGTACCTGCACTTGGGCAACAGCGTGTCGCAGCCGCGACGACAGTCTCGGCAGCGTTTGCACGCAGGAAGGGACTAGAAGACGACGAGTGAGTACACGATCCCAGTTGGGTCTTGGGCAGCCCTGGGGGTACCTGAACTAGGGCATCCAAGTCGAGCCTGGCAGGCATGGTGCTAGCCATGGCCGCCATGCAGAGGATATATTTGCTTGCAGCGCGCAGGGGAGGGGGGGGTTTGGTTCAGCGAGGAGTACAGTTCACAGGGACAGGCATGTTGCACAGCACCGTGTGTCTAGAAGAGAGTCGACTTGGTTGTGGTTGTGGTTGTGGGTATTGTTGTTGTTGTTGTTGTTGTCGACGTCGACGACACAGAGGCTCCGATGCGTGACGAGGCTGTGGCGGCTCCTCCGATGAGGGGCCCATACATAATGGGGGACGATTTTATCTGGCAAGCGCGGTCCCAAGGCGGGAAGTGATGGTCGACGCGGCCGCCTGCAATTCCGCGTGCTATGCCGTCAAGCCCAGAACATCAAACATCATCACCAACAAACGTACGGAGCTGCACAATCACAACAACCCTCTCGCCAGCGCCATGAGGAGCGCGCCTTGGAGCTCCAGACGCGCGACGCCCTCTTTCCACCATGCAGAACCGCACCAAGGTGCGCCGTAGGGTGCTTGCTTGCGCGCGCTGTCGGAAACGGAAGCTCTCGGTGCATACACCCGTCAGGCCCCCCTTGATAGTCGTATACATGTTGACGTCTAGCAGTGCGACGGCAAAGTCCCCGCCTGTACACGATGTGTCGAGTCAGGCATGCAGTGTGTTGGCTTCGATTCATCAACACAGCAGGAGGCGCCTCGAAGCATTGCCGACTTCCTCGAGGCCCGCATTGCCAAGCTCGAGGCTTTGCACAGTCCCTCGTCGCTGCAACCACCACTGGGACGACCAAGTGCTACTATTCCCTCTCCGCCTGATTCTCATGGATCCGAAGCAACACCTGCTCAATGGCGCCCGGAAAAATGCGCTTTCACCGACAGCCTTGTCAACCAGGTCATGGACGACATCACGCCCCCCTTTCTTGGCGTCACCAAAGCCAGGCCGCTGTTGCAGTGTGTGGTCAAAGGAACCCGGCTCCCCTCCAAAAAGGGTCCTGTAATTTCTACCGATCTGAACGAGAATCACCCTAGGTCCATTTTGAATCCCCAGCCGACCAAGGGGCTGTTTCACGACCTGATGCCCGACGAGGTGGGTGCCAACACCCTGCTTCAAATCTACCTGGATCGAGTCATCACCCAATATCCGATATACCACCGGAACGACGTGACGACAGCATTCAACTCCATATACCACAAGACAGCATCGACGCCAGGCGAGGATTCGTTCCGCAATCGCTACATAGTCAGCATCATCATGGCCATCTCGCTGAGTACTAGTGCTCGGCACAAAGTACAAAAGGCCAACGAGACAGCCTATCAGCTCGTCCGACACGCTATGCAATGGATCCCAGAGGTCGCCACGAATGACATACCTGGACTCCAAGCCATTCTTATTCTGACACAATACATCTTCCTCAATCCCCGCATGGCGGACCTGTGGCTCCTGACGGGTTTGATAAGCCAAGCCGTCATTGATCTTGGCCTTCATCAAGAGCTGCCCAACGATAACCGAGTCTCGGCGTTTCAGCGCGATATGCGGCGTCGACTATTCTGGTGCGCATGGGAGATGGAGGTTGGAGTATGCTGCATATTCCTGCGTCCTACAAGCTTGCCCATAAGACGCATCGAGGTCAACTTCCCGCTGGAGATAGATGATACCGCCATCACTCAAGCCAGCATGGAACCCGCAGGACGAGTGTCCAAATTCACCCAACGCATCATTTGTCGCTTCCGACTCATCGAAGCGGACATCATCTCAGTCCTATGGCTTGGTGATCCGCTACCGAAATCATGTACCTCGCTCGAGCAGTGGATAGAGCAATGCATCAGCGCAATGTCAGAATGGCAACAGGAGATATACGCTTCGCGGGACGCCAACAAGGATCGCGGGCTGATACCGAGATGGAACGAAATGTGTCTCTACTCCGACATCGCCTGTCCCTATATACTGGCTACCCTATACCGCTCTTCTCGTCGCATCCCACATCCCACTACAAGTCAGATGATGACTGCTTTGATCAACGCTGTCAAGGTTGCTGATGGTTACTTTCGACAGTCAGAAGCAGAGGCTGGCAAAATCAAATATGTATTCCATCCATGCCATCACGTGTTCAACTGCGCTCTCATATTTCTTCAAGGCCTGCAACGCTGTAAGCAAGAAGTGGCAGACAATTGGTCGTGGCCGCAGGTGGAGGAATGGATGCACGTTTTTGCCAAGTGTTTCTCGTCCATCGCTGAGCGCTGGACTGCAGCGAAGAGATGCCTGGACGAATATGAGCGACTACTAATTCCGATCAAGAAGGAATACATGGAGTTTTTGTCCCAGCAGGCAACTCTCTCACCACTTCCACTTCGCGCGAATGCGTCCATGACTGCTGGTCTCTTTGATTATGCAGCGCCGGCGCCAACGCCAGCTCCCGCGGAAATCGATGAAGCATACCAGTTCTGGAGTGTCTTCAACCCTACTGTAACAACGACCGATACCGAAGCGCTTAGCGCATATGTATTCAATGTACCACCTCGAGATTGGAACACGGAGTTTTCTTTGAATTACGGAACGGAGGCGATGCCGGAGGCGTAACTTTATACGGGGGTCGCAAAGACTACGAATTTGTGCATTATGGAGTTTCCATGTTGCTGACGGTTTTTTCGCTTTATTTACCTTGTTTACGCAACTACAAACATTGACCTGCGACCGCGACCCATCATTTACCTTGCCAACCAAATGCTGCACTTGCACTCGGGATTAACAACGGCCCGGGTTTGTCGCAAACACATCACGTTACCAACCCGATAACGTTCGCCCAGCTCTCGGCGCGTGGGGTTTTCATGCGATACTTTACCAAAGAAGCTTCAAGGTGGGTCTAATTTGTTGCGACTGCATATGACAAACGACGACTAATGCACTCTAGTGTACAGTCATAGAAAATCAATACTTGGCTGCTCATCCTGGACTTTCTCTTGCATGCTGCAAGCGGGGCCTTTTGGTTGCAACAGCTCTCCAAGGCCGGTCGTCACATTCGCCCTTGACGTCTTCTTCATAATTCGGCACAGCTCAAGCATGATTTATATACACGAACGTAGAGCCAAGCCGTATCTGGGAGATTAAATCCGGATGTCTACTATGTTACGAGTTCACCTTCGATTTCCGCTTACAGCTCCAAATTTAGTGTTTCCTCAACTTCAGTCGGTCTTCCCAAGCGCACAACTGCCTTCTTACTCTTCAAATCCATGACAATATTGAACAGTGTCCCACTTCCCGATTCATTCGTTTCGAAGCGACAGATTGAGAAAGGGTGGTTATGCTCGTCCTCGAACAGCGCACTAAAGTCCTCCCAACTAGGCTCCTTGCCTAATTTATTCGCATTCTCGGCCATGGTGGGTACCCGTTGCAACGAGTCTTTGAGCCATACCGTGTCCGTCTCACCAGGATGGTCGAGGAGAAGGTGGTTCGCGTGGACAACGCGGCCCGCAAAATCTGGGAGGCAATCCGCAAATGTGGATTTTGTAAACTCAAGACCAAGGGATGTCGTTGAGTCGGCGATGAGAATGTGTGCTGAAGATGCCATGCCATAGCTTCGAAGTCTCTGCACAGCTTCTTCGACCGAGGCACTCTCAAGCGCCATACGCAGACCAAAATGCACTGGCAGGCGTGTCGAGTCCACGCCATGGACTTTGATCGCGTTCAACAGCGTGCCGACACCGTTCGAGTTGAAACCAATCTTACCAATAATGCCAGCTTCAGTGACTTGAACGATTGTGGGTTTGTTAGCTTGTGTGATCTTGGTTATAATCAAATTCTGTTTCTGTTCGGTCATCCACTGCTCCACATCAGCAACTAGTTTTCGCTTTCATGTTCGTTGTCCCGAAGAGAAGAGATACATACATCCCAATTCTGCGCTAACCACGCCCGCTTCTCCGTGTGCCACGCCAGCGCCGTACATCCATCACTGAATAGGCCGAACGCAATCTCAGACCGCACGTTCAATGCAACTATGTCCAGGAGATCTTTATTGGCCCCCGCCGCTATACCTTGCATTTCAGAGTGGTATGCTGGCCACGTCTCTTTCGCCTGTTGCTCGAACTTGGATGCATTCTCAAGGACTTCTCGCCAATTTTGTTTACTTTTCTTTAGAAAAACCCTCGCGTAGAAGTCGATGCAGCGGCTGATTTGGAGTTTGGCTGCTGTGCCATGCTGATAGCCTATCTAAGGGGTATAGTTTTAGCTGTTGCTATGAAGGTGACGTCACAGATCCTGCTCACCTCGTACGGTGTTCCATTACATTCGACGAATAACATTATGAGCGTCGGTAAAGTCTAAGCAAAGGGAAGTTTGAATCTTGTAAACCGTCGACTCGAATCCTTGGACTGTCAGATGTTTGATATAATATAATTCAAGTACGGACCACAGCCTATCGATCGGTAGTCACACGCATGCCCCTCAGCGCGCAATTCCGCCCCCAGTGATCGCCCCGCTCTGTTTCCCCATTCGGGGATGCGGGACGAGCATACTAGTACGGTATACGGCGTCTAAGGATTTCGTTCACATGTGCAGTGGGTCTGCTGCTGCACCTTGATCATGGTTGGATGTAATACGCCGAAGTTTGCCGTTCCCTGTTTCCCCTGGGCCTTGGATGTATAACAAGGGTAAACGAGCGAACAAGCAGCCTTCGCTTTGAAAAAGCAGCATGTCGTAAATGTCACGTATCAACATATATGCCGGTTGCGGGGCGTACCGAGCTGAGGAGAGGGTGAAATAGCCTGAGTTGCAGCCCAGTTGAAGTCTACTCTACCTCGAATTTGATAAGCCTTAGAAGTTAACCTGCCATCATGCCGAAAAGAGTACTATGCTCGTATGGGATTGACGTGGATTCTGTGAGTGGCTGGTAAGTTAACTCCAAGTACATTCACTCCCTCCAAGCTCAGCCGCTTACAGTGCTTGAGGTTGAACACTCGCGATGGCACTCCCACGAATCCAACCGACATCTCTCGCGGCGTATTTGGTGCTACCGTTGGCATCGACCGCCTCCTCAAGCTCTGGGACAAGTATAACATCAAGACGACCTGGTTCACACCAGCACATTCAGCAGAGTCGTTCCCCACCCAAATAAGGAAGATCGTCGACAAGGGACATGAAATCGGATTGCATGGTTATACGCATGAGTTCGTGTCGACGCTAAACGAACAGCAGCAGAGAGATGTGCTAGAGAAGAGCATACAGGTCTTGACAGATCTTGTGGGTAAGAAACCGAGGGGTTGGACAGCTCCGGCTTGGAGCACGAGTAAGGAGACGATTAAGCTGCTTGAGGAGTTTGGAATTGTACGTTCTGGCGTAGTCCCTGTAGAGAAGAACAATACTGATATGGTAATAGGAGTACGACCACTCTTTCATGCACCACGACTCCCAGCCCTACTACGTCCCTTCTCCGGACCTTAGCACATACACCGAGACTGACGTCTCCAAACCGGCCTCTCACTGGATGACGCCCATGTCCACCCTCAAAACTTCCTCGGTTGTCGAAATCCCCGCAAACTGGCACCTAGATGACTGGCCGCCCTTCCAGCTGTCCCTCTCGCAAGCCAGTACGCATGGCTACGTGGACACGGCTACCATCGAACGCTTATGGAAAGAGCAGTTCGAGTACCTGTATCGGGAATGCCCAGAGGATGGGAGCTTTGTGTTCCCGATCAGCATTCATCCGCAGGTTAGCGGGAAGCCGCAGGTTATATTGTTGCATGAGAGGTTCATTGAATGGATCAATGGACATAAAGGGGTGGAGTGGGTCACCATGGAGCAGATTGTGGATGAATTCAAGAGTGGGAAGTTGGCTGGGGTTTCTGTTGAGGGAGGGGCGGATATCTAACGTAAACTGAAGTATGAGGCGGAGCTCGTGTCGGTGCATCAACAGCCGGTTCACTATGTTCTACAATGCCTAGTTGGCCAAGCTTTTCATTCCTACCTTCCTTTTTCAGCACTGCATGCTTAAAGATGGTAGCTCGGTAATGGTGGCATGAAACCTTTCTAAGTTTCCGTGTGACCTCACCCTGCATATCTGCCATGCTGGCTGGATCCACTTTAGAGGGCCCTTGTCATTCGGAGCAAGGCGCAACACACAGCCCGTCGTCGTAGTCCGACGCAGTTGGATACGAAATATCTCGAATGAGAGTAAAATACGTCAAGGTCTTTTCATCAGAAACTGATACCGCATATGCACACCACACTAGATGCGTCTATCAACTTTTACTAATTACCCATCCTTACACCACCAAGCGTACTCAAGAGGAATCAAAGGGTTCGAACTTGACCTCCATGATGTCCCACTTGACATACCTTCCCCTGATCTGACCCACCAACTTTGCTCCACCAACGATGTCCCCCTCCTGCTCTTCATCGTGAACCGTCCACTCAAACATGCCTCCCTTAGCCTCAGCTTCCTTCTTCTCGTCCTGGAGTTCTTTCTGCATCGCGTCCTCGGCCTCCGTTCGCTCTTTAAACCAGTTAAAGGTAGCTGTCATGCCTTGGTCCTTTTCAAAGCGGAACTTGACGAGAGTGTTGTACTCGGTCGCATCAGGTGTATCGGGGTGCTTGCACTGCTCGATGCGGTAATTGTAGATGCGTCCATCGTCGTCGTGTTTCCATTTAGTGTTCCAGACTTTTGGGTGGATCTCGAGGACTTCGTAGATCGGGGTCTTGGGGCTGGCGATGTGGATCAGGCAGTAGAGAGATGGCATGCTGAGACGATGTGGTTGAGGTAAAGGGTAGGTTGAGAGTCAACGCGACTGGAAGCTTGACTTATATGCGAGCCACAACAAGTTTGTGTTGGCTGATTGCTGCGAGAAGAAGGCGAAAGTGGCACCTTAGGAGGTCATCTTTAGGAAGCAATTGCTTGCTCGCACATCATGCTTGGAACTGTGGAGTGCCCGCAATCGCGCAAGCGGTACACTCTTCTTTACCAGGTGCTATCAATCTCCACGCTCAGCCGCGGCAAAATCGTACTTAATTTTCATGTATCGCGCCTTTCCTTTCTTCCGGTACGCTTCTTCAATCCAATCTCCTCTCTTTTTCCTCCACTCTGGAAGAATGGGTTCCTCTGCTACAGCTCGTATTCAACCACTTCACTAAAGTGTTCCTTGGCTTGAGTTCTTTATGATGAGAGCATATCTTGGCCCCATGGCCATGGCCTGAAATAGGGTGGCGGTGTTTGTTGCGAAGCGGTAAAGGTAAATCCATGATCGGGGAGCTCGGGTAACAAATGAGGTCTGAGAGCCCCGGGGTGCTTTCAAAAATGAAGATAGAATGTATTTGTCTTGACAATTCGGCGCGTCAAAGTGTCAAGCGATTTGCTCCGTGACATGCAAGCGTGACTTCAGATCACACTAGATTAGGTAGGAGTTTCATGTCGAGAGACATGAGGCGATTCTGCCCAGGCCAGAGAGTGCTGACAGTCGCTTCATGGTACTTTACTGTCCCAGATAGTCGCGGTGATCCGAAATAGCTCATAGCCCTCCGTAGATGGCGAAGGATGAAAGTATCAATACTAGAGTGATGATGACAGCCCAGACAAACGGTATCCATGTAGACATCTCAAAATAACCCGTTTGATAGACTCCCCCAAGCCTACACATAGTCAGCACTTGATCTCCAACACCACGTATCCCTTCACTCTACGGGAAATTACTTACAGGCCCCCAATAATCGTCCCGGAAATGAGCGCCTCAATCCCACCCACCAGGACAAACATGACCGGCGCAATCCATACTAGCTTCCAGTTCCGCCACTGTATTATGCACGCCCATAGCGCAGTAATGAGGTGTATGCCGCCAACAAGGAGCAGCGTCCAAAATATGGTGAAGCGCAGGATATCGTCTGGATTGTAAAGGTAGAAAGACCGTGCTGTATTTCGCGGGAGCGGCCAGTAGAGGGAGGGGAAGGGAGGAGTTGTATAGCCAAGAGGCGCTCTGGATTGTGAGCGCTGGATGAAGCTAAAGGTGTTAGTGAGGGTAGGAGGCCGGTGGTAGGGAGAAGCATGGTACCTCATTTGTGCGGCATGGCTGGACGTGCACTCTGTGGAGCCTCGTGGCGTGTTCAACGTGCGTCTGTGGTCTTTCAAAGCTATGTAATATCGAGTGTTGATGTTTGCGACGTTGATAGCGTAGGGTGAATGTCCAACTGCGGGTAAGGCCCGAGCTTGACCTCGGCTTGCGACGTGAATCATGGAGGTCAACACCATCACCGACCCTAACCTCCACACATCGCGCATTCACATGTTCATGCGCGTCTTTGAATGCCTACTACAGGCGCTGAAGGTTCAAGATGCCTGTTGATCGCCTATTATCAACACTCTTGCGATCATTGCAAACCTATACAGACCAACAAGACACGCCTCGGTTTGTAGCACAAGACTTGCATCACCATGGCGCATACTAATAGCTAGCGACAGAATACTCGGAACAGCCTCCTCGCTGTTGACGACTCTCGGAAACCCGCATAATCTCAGCCTCCTGACCTCCCATATTCTCACCGCTCCCGCGTTCTGGGACCGCCCTGATGGCGTCCGAACGCCCCTGCGGTTGCTCTCTGTCTTCCATTCGACCGTTACTACCATCATAAACCACCACAATGATGTGCGGTATAACCATGCACCGAAGCTTCTGCCGGGACAAGTGCCCACGGGTGGGGGACTGTCGCTGGATGACTGGATACGCGCCGTAGTCGCGGGAGCAGACGACCGGAGTCAACGATGGAAGCATCTCATTGTGCTCGGCGGGCTGTTAATCGGGATAGGAGGTCTGGAAGAACAGGGTTTAGATCTATACTGGGCATCTGCGATGAGGAAGAGGGTGGAAAGCGCACTCGTGCGGGCGACCAACTTGGCTTTGATGGAGGTGCGGGAACGCTCTGAGGCGGATGGGTTAGGTGGACAGACCATTACGCTGGTGCTAAATCATGTTTTCGGGTGCCTGGCGGATGCGGAAAAGGCGCAGATTGATTATGATTTGCTCTTACCGGTCTTGATTGGGACGGCGTACTACTCGAACGAGGGATTTCAATCAGCCTACTTCCTTGGGGGCTTGGATTTGGATGTACGGGTCACACAAGATGGGAAGTTGGACTGGAGTGTAAGTCAATGCTACTTCATACCGGCCAAAGTCGACACTGACATTGTGTAGGCACTCTCGAGTTCGTATCGGCAGGTCCAAGGCATCATGAACAGGCCTTTGGTAGCGTCCATGGGTCCTCTATCGCGGCTCATCGCCCATGCCGTAGAGAACGTGAAGAACCCTTGGATTATACAAACTATGATGGACGACCTAGCAAGCTTCTCTCGGGCACTTACCACCCAATGGCGCCAGATCAAATTTTCAGACGTTGACCCTGCCGAAGAGGCGGCACAGTTAGAAGAGGAGGCGCTTCAGAAGACCACACCGCAACTGTGGAACTTGCTCAAGGCTGCTCTTTTTGCCACTACTATCATATTGCGAGGCGTCTTCACTCGAACACTAGGCGACAGAGCACTTGCAGGCGACGCTATAGCTCCTATACTTGCTTCGCAAGCTCTCCAGACCCTACGCCACCTTTACTTCATTACATCACGACTAGGCCCAGCGTCGTTTTCTCAACATACATTCGTGTACTTGACCGCCATCGATATACTGACTGCGTACCCCAACCACGCCGGCAAGTTTCTCAAATCTATCGCTCCGCAACACCTAGGCCAGATCCCACGACACCCTCTAGACCGTATCTTAGACCTCTATTTCCTGAACACAGCCGAGCACTTCACCCTTGTATTACCCCCAGCAGCGAACGAAGATCTCCTCGTAGCATCAGCAGTACCCTACCTTGCAGCCGGCGAGAACAGGCACTTGCTACCTATCTTCGAAGCTGCACACAGCGTCATGCTCGCTGTCCTCTCCGCCCCTCAATCCGCAGAGATCACAGCAAAGCACCTCCCCTTCTACATTGACGCGCTCTTCAGCGTCTTTCCCCACAATCTATCACCGCGACAATTTAGACTGGCGTTCAAAACGCTTATGCGTGTTACAGCGCCTCCGTCGACTCTTTCAGCTTCACATCCTGATTTGCCAACAACGCTGCTGGAGCTTGTTTTTCATAGAGCACTCCATGCACCAACACATGCCCTACCACCAGATGAAGTCTCCCTCGCTCTCCAAGGCTCCGACGCTCCACCACCAGCGCTTTCAGAACAAGCCGTTCTCGCTCTAACACTCATTGATGCGTTACCTTACCTTCCTATCCCACTGCTGGAAGAGTGGATGCCACTTACGGCGGAACTACTAAATCACATCAACGACCATAGTATGCGGGAGAGTGTTAAGGCGAGATATTGGGAAGTATTAGTAAACGGGGAGATGGATGCAGAGCGTAGCGGCGTGGCTGTATTATGGTGGACCACAAAAGGCGGGAGGGAGTTAGTGCTGTTTGGAAGAGAAAGCGTTGATGAGCAGATAGGCATGATGAGTGGGGCGTTGCCGGTTGAGGAGCGGAACGTGAGAGCAAGCAAGCTGTAGGATTCTGATACCCAATGGACGAAATGAGTACGGCCAGCTGCATGTGCCTAGTAGTGACTTGTCGGGCCTGGGTGACAGGGTCATATGCAAACGCCCGGAGGTCAGTGCTCGTCTGCACAGGGACAACCAACAAACAGAAAGCAGAAAACGCCTTTCGATCGCCGACTTGAGCGCTCATCGCACAGTAGAGAAGTGGCAGCTACGATTATCTATACTCTCGATTCAGAAGATACACCCTTGGCGGAATGGACCGCTATATACCTATCCGCAACCGCACAAGCAATCGACGACGGACACGGTCGCCTGAGCTCGATGCTCAACACCCTTCAGCGACCGACAAGACTACGTCACATAGTCGGCGAGACCTTTCTCTGCCCAAGAACTTCAACAAACCCTTGACTTGCTTCTTCTGGCACCAGTACGGAAGGTGCAACAAAAGAGACGTGGATTGCGCGTACGCGCACTGGGATACAGGCTTTTTGGCAGCGGGCCCCATCCATCTACCGGGTAGTAAGCGCTCACTCCTCCTTATTCATCAAAAGACCCCAGCACTCGCCCAGAGACCTAATCAGTCGAAAGCATCGGATAGTATTGCTGGCAAGAATGCGCAAACGTTCACGTCCTTGTCATCACAAGATGAATCCGGCTTTGCCATGAAGCTCGTAGAGATCAAGGAGCGGGAGTATATGTTAAGACTGAGGGAGTTGGACGTAAGGGAGAAGGAGAAGAGCATTGCTAGGCGCGAGCAGGATTTAGCGCAGAGCATACGGCATAGAAACAAGGAACTTGGTCTTAGAGAAAAGAGGGTGGCAAGGATGGAAGAGGCCTCAAGAAGCGCTGGAGAAGGGAAGGCTGGAGGAATCTAGAGTTCGTTGATGGACTCCTGGCGTGGTTGACTGACCGTTTTGGTATCCCTAGTAGTGTCTCGGGCCGTGTGCCGACTACCTCCCTCGCCGAGGTCAAGCCGACAGTGAACAGGAGGGCGAATGCTCATCTCTAGGTTGACGTCACGAACTCTTAATTCCCTTCGACAGGCACGAATAGTTAGTCTACTTAGGTAGTAGTCAACAGCCTGACGACAAAGAAAACCCCGATCGATCTACGGATTGATGTCTAAGACATGAACATCACTACTCCACCCCCAAAAATCTAGTCTGCTCGCCCCACCCCCACGCGCGTTGCTCCTGCTCGTACGATCATGTGCCTTAACTCAGTCACCTCTTATCATACCGTTAGCACCACCTGTCTCAGGACGGCGCTATTCCATGTTGCGCCGAAGCATCAGTAGACAGCATCTAGAAGCTACATGGTATTGCACACTTGCCAGGACCGGAAAGCGACAACGCTCGGCAGAGACACTACTACGAGCAGCAGAGACAGGCGAAACAAGCGCTATACCCGCCGAAGCACTTGTCAAGTGCAGAAGAGACATGATGGCATTAAATTCAGCAAAGTCATGAGTATAAAACGGTTAGACGTAGTGGGAAACTCGCACTTGGAAGCAACATCACAACACCGTTATCGCAGCTGGCATTGAGCAGGCAATACTGATCCCGGATAGAACAAGTCAGCATGAGTGCCCTTGGTCACGTTCGTATCGGGCATAAAGCTCCATATTTTCGCTGCGAGGCAGTCGTTGGTAGCACCATCGAAGGTTCGTCTGCACTCAGCATCTAACCTCCTTGCAAGGATGAACTAATGCCCCAAGTTAGAGGTGTCCCTCAGCACCTATATACACCCTTCTGTTACGGGCTCCACACCAAATCCTGATGCCCCCTGGCTGATCATTCTATTCATTCCCGCTGCCTTTAGTTTCGTCTGTCCCACCGAGGTTCTCGCTTTCCAAAACTGCCATGATGAATTCAAGGACCGGAACTGCAACGTCATCTTCGTTTCCGTTGACACCAAGCATTCGTTATGGCACTGGCAGAACGTGCCGAGGCAGTATGGCGGGCTGGGCAAAATCGATATCCCGTTGCTGAGTGATGCGAATCATCATTTGAGCAGAGACTATGGAGTGTTGATTGAGGACGAGGGTGTGAGCTTGAGGGGCATGTTCATCCTGGATGGTGAAGGCATTGTACAGCAAGTCAGTAAAAGCTCCTGAACTCACCAAGCTTACCACCCGTGTTATCGCAGACTGTGGAAATCTCCGTCGCTAACCTACCCCTAGGTCACACTAAACAACCTCACAGTAGGTCGTAGCGTACTGGAAGCTCTCCGCCTTCTGGAGGCCTTTCAAGCCGTCGCCAAACATGGGGTCTTATGTCCGGTCGACTGGAAGCCCAATAGCAATACCTCGGACACCATCAGTACGATATCCAACACATTAACGGAATCGTATGACGATAGGCTGGCTAATCTCCAGAAGGAGTTCGGGGATATCAAGGTCACTGACCTTGACGCTAAGCACGGCAGCGAACCCAATAGTAGGAAGAGCAGCGAAGAAGCTCCTTCTCCAGGGCCGCCCATCAAAGCTGCCAGTCCGAGTCCGGTGAGATCGAACAGCATCCAAGAAGTAATCTGCGAACGGCCCAATTTTACCAATCCGACCTCCACCTTCAAACAGGGCTATAACCCCCGCGTGATAAGTCCACCACCCTTAACTCCTTCAAGCTCATCCCAGTCCGTAAAGCCTACCTCCGCACCACCCAGCGCAAACCCTACCCCCGTCCCAACCCCCAACACGACTGGCCCTCCTGCACTCGACATGCCTGCGTTAGGTCCCCCGCGTCATACCCGAGGTACGAGTTTCCATTTAAACATGGATCACCGTTACGTCAATACTCTCTTCTCATCTCCTTCCGATGCTCCCTCCATGTTTCAAACCCTCATCAGACACATTTCCTCGCCCACTGACTCGTTGTCAGGTAACTCCACTCCATCGTCTACGCCACTCAACCAAGCCAAATCACCTGCGGCATTCTTTCCGACGCGCTTGGCCAAGCACAATACGTATGAGACGCGCCATGGCAGTCACATTATACTGGAATTTGCGGATCCGACGTCCAGCCCGACAGCGAGTCCAAGCGCGGGGTCTGCACCATCATTATCACCTCCAGTGCATCGCCAGCCGTCCTTCAGTCGAGGTAACTCGCCGGCACTCAGTCGCGCCACGAGTTGGGGGGGAACATCGGTCACCAACGGATGGGCGAGGAAGAGCTCAGATCCTACAAAAGAGACTGCATCAACCCCAGCCCGGGCAAGCAGCCAGACGAGATTGCAGGCTACGTTCGAAACGATCAAGAAGATGAGTGCTGGATTGGCGAGCCCAAGGCTGGAAGCTGTTACCAGGAGGAGTTTTGGAAGGAGGGGACCAGATACTGGGACAGGAGAGGAGGCCAAATCACCAGGTTACTTTGATGTTGTTGTCGAGGCCGTGGAGACATGAAAACAGCTGTTCCCTCTTTTTGGCTGGGCCTGTTGCTTCTAAAGCTTGCTCATCACTACGCTTTGCTGTCTTGCATCATACGACAAAATACGTAATGTTTCTGGTTATTTCATATATCATAATTTTGTACAGTACAGGATACTCTCGCTCTATAATTACTTCATGCTTTCTCATGACCCCATATGGACCTTGAACCTTTGCTTGACCTGCTTTCTACACATCGGACACTTGGTCGGACTCACAGGTAAATGACTATGCCGAACTGGAACCACTACATCCGCGCACCACTGGCACATGACCATATGCCCACACGGCAGTACCACAGTATCTGCAAGCTGCTGGTAGCACACCTGGCACGCCAATGTCTTGGTCATCTCTTCGTCTGTCTTTGGAGGAGGACGATCGGGCTGATTATCCAGAGTGACCGCATTGCCAGCATGGTGGGCGAGTAGGGAGCGCGTAGATTCTTGAAAGCGCAGGTGTAGGTTTTCTATGCCGAGTAGAGGATATGTCCTAGTCATCGAGCCGCTGGGTCCTGCGGTCGTGGAGGGTGTGGTGGTCCGTGGTGCCCCGCCGAAAGAGTAGACCATACTATTTGACCCTGGCGGCCCAGTCGTTGAAGCATTCGAAAGCCCTGTCTCGGTAAGGCTGGCAGAGACGGTACTTGAGAGAGGCCCCGTATTTCTCTGAACGAATGGATAGCCCCAAACATCGAATTCGCTCTCTAACGATTCTGGCATGGCTTGAGACTCACGTATGACACCCCATAGTAACTGTTCTTCAACGTCGCGTCGCTCTTGGGCCGATAGTCCATCTAGCGAAGGCGCACTACTAGTGCCTTCTGCCCGTCGCTCTTCAGCTTGCCGATAGCGATCGTATGCTCTACCATACATTGTTGTGAGGGGTGATTCGTAATCGTCTTGTTGTACATCTTCGCGGCTGCCAAACACACGAGCGAATCGTTCTCGTGTAAGCTGCAATTGGGCAGCTCTCCTAGTCAATGGGCGTGAGGACTCTGATGGCTCGCGATCAAGAGTATCCGATGCTTGTGGCAGAAGATACAACTCCATGCTTGGTATTTCTTCCTCCGCCTCCGCCTCGTTCAGTAGATCGTCCAGAACGTCTTCCAAACTCGGCTGAGGCTGGTCTGGTTGCTCGTCTTCTGACGACAGTCGCCGTCTCCTGACTCGGTTCTCTGGTCTCCGCGCGTCGTTCTCTACGCCGGCTCGTAATTGATCCAGTGTCCGAGGCAGGAAGCCGGGGCTGACTTCCTTGAGCGGCTCGCCTATAACCGACATGCGTTGTTCGTTGCCATCGGAAAGCCTTGCAACCCTATATCCTTGGTAAAATTCCCACCATCGCTCTAGGAACTCGGTCTGATCCGGAATCTCGGGGATGCGTGTTTGCGATATTTCTAGGGGCGGATCGGTGGCGGCGAGGCGGTTGGTCCAGAACTCTGGAGTGATGCGTCAGTTTCATTTCATCCGGGTTTCATCCTGAAATATGTGAGTTGGTGGACAAACCACATACCTTTGCAGAACCAACAGTAGCCCTGCCAGCGCGTACCTCGCTGCACGAAGCCGACGCCATCGATGTATACCCTGTATGTCTGTGAGTGCACCCTCTCGTCGGCGCACGCGCAGCAATTTGGTGTCGATGTAAGCCTACATGAGGTCGCGAGCTTATGTGGACAATGTGAGTCCAGGCGCGGACAGTCTGCCGTCAGTGTACCCATCTAGAAGTCTAGTGGAGAGTGAAGCAAGTGGAGCAATAAGATGAGGTTAGCCAAATACGAAGTAGACAAAGAAGTCTAAAATCATCAGGTAAGGTTTTGGTTGTCAATGTTATGTGAGCAAACAATCATGAGGTTCGCGTGAGTGGCGTGGGCGGTTTATAGGACCATTGGTATGATGTAGGTGTTGGTGGGGCTGGGTTACAGGGGAGGTAAGCGCCGCCATGGTCGCAGAAGGACCGTAGCTCCACCATTCACTCGAGCTCCACCAATAGGGTACTAGTCTCTAAACGCTCAAGGTGTAGCTCCAGGCGGCTACATGTTTGCTTCTTCTCCTTCTTTTCAACTTCTTCAATACTGAATGCAGCCATTCCTCCAACATGTTCGCAGTCGTACATGATGACCATATTCCCGCATCAAGTCTGCGAGGGGCCTCACTAACCCTACAAGAGTACAACGGCGAAGAACTGACTACAGCGATTCCAGTCTACTTGCCACACAACTTCACAGCACAGGAGTTCATTGCCCTCTTCCCACAACCTAGTTCCCCATCTTCCAAACCAGCCTTTACATTTCCGGCTCTTCACAACTGGTTCTCAAGATTACTCAGTAACTTCAAGCTTCAAAATGATGCGCTACATCCATTCCAAAAGCGCCCATACAAGCTTTTCGAGATTGACGTCCAGGCCGTGGATTGGTTTTGGAGAAATCGACCAGGCCAAGAAGATAAGCTGGGCTTCATGAAAATCCAAGCGAAGATCGAGACAGATCCGTATGTGCATGGTGAGGAAGAAAAGGCAAGAGCGGACTGGCTGCCTGGAGCAGTCTTCCTACGAGGTGGAAGCGTTGCTATTCTTGTGAGTTCGCTGACCCCTTTGTGCACCCTCAGATCGAGGGCTGATCGGTGCCTAGATCATCGTTCAGCCAGCAGACGCAAGAGGGGAAGACGAGAAGTACGTTATACTCACAGTCCAGCCTCGAATCGCGGCAGGAGCCCTGGCCTTTACTGAGATTCCGGCGGGCATGTTGGACGGCAACTCATTCAAAGGCACCGCAGCAAGCGAGATTGAGGAGGAAGCAAAGCTCAAGGTTACAGAGAGTGATCTAATCAACATGTCGGAACTTGCACTTGAAGACGTCCCGGTATCAGCAACCACAGCAACCACTTGGGGTGAGGTACATGGAAACGAGACCGAGGCCGCCGAGGCCGCCATGTACCCCAGTCCTGGCGCATGTGATGAGTTTATCCCCCTCTTCCTCTGCCAAAAGCGCCTCACACGACGCCACATGGAATGGCTGAAAGGCAAAGCAACAGGGTTGAGAGATGAGGGCGAGAACATCACGCTCAAGTTGGTGCCCTTGCGCAGGGCCTGGAGAGAAGGTGCAAGGGATGCGAAGACGCTTGCTGCGCTGGCACTGTACGAGAATTTGAAGAGGGAAGGGAAATTTTCGCCCTATATGCCTAGTGACGTTGAGGAGGAGCCCATCGAGGTTCGTGAGCAGCCGCAGTTGTGAGCATTGGGTTCTGGGAATCGTGAATAGGCTGTTAGATTTGAATGTTTGATACCCCTCCAATATATTCATTTTCGAAGTCATTTCTCTTGTTGCTACACTTTTGTGCTCGTAGCCTCTTAGCCTAGCTATAGTGCATGATCTTTTGAATCAAGACACAACTCAAAGACCTCCGCACCACCAAGAGCACCAACCCCCGGGGTGAAGAACGCACGTGGTCACCAATCGTTATCTCATTTTCTATTCAAGCTAGCTATCCAAAGTCAAAGTAGAACCCGCCAACCAACAATAGCAACTTTAGTCCTTTCGTCCCAAGGCCATGCATGCATGAATGGAAAGAGTAGAAACGGGCAGAGAAGAATACAAAGCAATGAAATGCAGCCAATCGAACGGCGTGAAAGGAAGTATAAACGAAAAGAAAAACGAGGAAAACAAAGCGTGGGATATCAAAACAGAGAGCAACGCGATTGAAAGAAAAAAGTGATCGTAGGCAGAATGGAAGGGTCCGACAACACGAAAACGCCAGTTGTCGTTCGTAATCGTATTGCGTCATGTGCTTGTTCATCTTGTGATGGCCGACGCCGGGACTCCTCCTCCAGCAGAAGCGCATACCGAAAGTGATTGAAAAGTGATGAAAAGGGAGCCTCAAGCGAAATGGTAGACTGCTCCATGGAAGCAAGCAAACCCCGAAATTGACCCTGCCGTCCACATTTAGCAAGACAGCTCAATTCCAGCTCTTCACTAACGATCACCTCGAAGGCATCTGCGGCGAATTATCTTCCACAACCTCGTCTTCAGGCCTCTTCTTCAGACCTCCTTCAACCTGGATGCCTTGCTGCACCCATTCCACCTTCTCAATATCTTCTAAGCTCTTCCGCCCACGAGAGACCTTCTTTAATAGTCCCTCGACACACTCTCGTGCACCAGCCCACTCTACGCCCTTCTCGGGATCCCACTCGCCATCCTCATTGCCGAATTTGACCCATACCCAGTCACACCTGGCAATGCGGTGCGCGGCTCTACTACGTGATGCGGCCTTGCCAGGGGGTGGATCGAAAGGTAGACGACCCTCCATTAAAGCGTAAAGTAGAACGCCCAGGGCCCAAGCGTCAGTTGAACGGCCGTCGTAGGGCTGACCCAAGAGGATCTCTGGTGCAGCATAATCTTCACTACCGCATCGGGTGGTTAAGAGGGGTGATTCAGGTGGGGCGGGGATACGTCGGGAGAGGCCCAGGTCTGTGAGTGTCGCTATGGCATGCGGGTGAGCTTGAGGATTCTTCAGTAAGGGTACGGTAGACACCGGGATGTTGAGAAGGATGTCTGGCAGGTATTAGTACGATGCAAAGTTGGATACACGTACCATGCATGGTCTGAGAGTAAGAAATCAGAGGGCAATACTTTCTAGCTTGATGTCGCGGTGCACGATGAATTGACTGTGAAGATATCTTACGGCGCTGACCATCTCGGCGAATACACGTTGAACGATGCTCACAGTTAGTGTGTCTCGATGTCCACTGGCCACATCGAAAAGGTCACCACCAGGACAGTAGGTGAGGACAATGAGAGCTTGATGGTTGTCGTGGTCGAAAGCTTGAAGATGTACGAGAGACGGATGGGAAACTGATCGAAGCATTTCGACCTCACGCTTGAGGCTAAGTTCTACGCGCTCCTCATCCGCCCCGCCAGCAGGACCGTGTTCACAGACTTTAATGGCGACCAACTTGCGAGGATCTAACAAGTCCTCATCAAGCGGATCTGTGGCGGATGTTTTTTCGCATGTTGCCAAGTAGACTTTGCTAAAAGTGCCCTGTCCGAGTTGTCGGACGGGGCGCCAGAGCTTCTTCGTCTTCTGGGGTCCCTGTCGTACGACTATATACTGGGTCTTGTCGTCTTCGGTGACGTCCTCTTCCTCGTTATCAGTCACACTACGATTGCTTGCATTGCTCGCGGGTGGTGTCGGAAGGCCAGCAGGGACTCTTGCAGGTACCAGACCTCTTTGTGTCGCAAGATACTCCTCGCGGTGCAAGTGCTGCACAGCCTCTGCTGCTGTGTTGCCGTGTGTGACATGTCGAGGCCGGATGTTGTGTAATGATTCCGGCACGTATTCGCTAAGGCTCCTATTGCGTTCGCGAGCTGCCTCGTTCTTGTGCTGCGTTATAGAGCTCGCGGCTGCCGCTGCCTCAAGAGCGGCGGTCTTTAACCTCTGGTACCCTTTCTTCTTGAATGAGGGTGATGGGGAGAGAGTGCCCTTGTTGAACATGGCGAACGAGTCATCGCGAGAGGAGGGACGAGGTACAGCTCTTTGCCATGGGCCAGGCGAGTCACTCATTACCAGAGGCGATGGGAGCGGGGTGATGTCACCGAGGGCGTTGAGTGCAGGCGAGGAGAGGGCCGAGGCTGGTGACAAGGAGCCCAAGCTGGCTGTAGACCAGGCAGACCTCAAGTAGCCCTCATGTATCGCAATCGGCGCTGTGGCCGACTGCCGCAGCGGGTCCCCCCCGTTGCCCTCCACCGTGGATGGATTGAGCAGCGTATAGGAGGGCGAGGCGGTTGCGAACGGTGCGAGATCGGTTTCGAGCTTCAAAGCGGTAGACGGAGCGCGGACGTGGTATCGAGGCAGTGAGGCAGGCGTGATAGCTGGTCCGAATGAGAGGTGGGCATTCGCGAGGGTAGCATTCGAATGCGCCGAGGAGTGCAGCGTAGTATCAGACAGCGCATGGGCATGCGATTCGTCTGGTTTTGCAGGTGACGGACAGGCAGTCGGAAGATGGGAGGACGCGAGATCCGTCGAGGATGACTCGGAGTCCTCCATGGTGTTGTAGCGTTTGCGGCGGGACAACGTCTGGCTCACCAGTCCAGTCGTCTGCCGGTAAGACTAAACATGGACGTGCACCTTTCCAGTCTCTCTAGCGCGCCCCTCTGCTCACTACTGCTCACTACTCCGGACAATCGGGTTTCGCAAGCTTGAGAGTGGAGAGCCACCGACAGCCTCGCAGGCCGGAACAAGTAAGGCGCAAGGCTGATGCACGAACGATAGATGGTGAGCTTGGTACTGTACTATCTAGGCCATGTCCGTATAGTCCCGGTTTGCAGTGCTGATATCGCTCGTCGACACCAAGACGGCTTTTCTTCGATCAAGTCTCGTACCGTGGTCAGCAAGAAGGTCCAATAGGGAAACAAAGTACAAGATTGCATTGACAGCTGGCCTATGAGCACTGCGCGTGGGTCCACTACGCTCTGGGTTGGCTAAATTTCTGCGGCTAACCTGGGAAGTTCGGATGCAGCTAAGTGCTAGGTTGCACGCGCATAGGGGTGCTCTCCCTAGCTTCACTAGATACTTGACGTTGCCCTTAGCATAGCGTGGTAGGCTTCAGTCACATATCAGAATGGTGCTACGGAACCGCAATTGCAAAAGAGTCTTATTTTCAATCATTGATTGCATCTGCTCCCTATAGCCGCAGCCCATCCTCGGCAGCTCCGTTGCAGTAACAGAAGAAACTCTCCATGCCTAACGTCCAACTCCCCGAAATCATAATCGTCATGTTCTATGCACTGCATCCTGCCGCGCAAGGCATCCTCAGCCCGAGATCGCATGCAACGCCCGTACAGGGGCCACCTACTTTGTAGGACCCTGGGTGTAGGCGTGGTGTTGATCAGATGAGCTAGGAGAGAAGTTGTAAGACGAGTAACCGCCGGCGTATCCGTTGTTGTACTGTCCGCCGCCGCCGTTGGTATAGTGGTAAGGGTTCGTTCCAGAGTATGGAGAGCGATCCTCTTTGCTATTGCGACCAGAGTAGCCATTACGAGCACCCCACTGCTGTCCGTAGCCGTTGACATAGCCCGCACGGGCGTCATTAGCACCCTCTTGAGGAGTCACCACGCTGCGACTGTCGTGCATCTGTGGCATCTGTGGCATCTGTGGCATCTGTGGCATCTGTGGCATCTGTGGCACCGGCGGCTGACCATCGCGACCTGAATCCGTCGTAGTGCCATAGTAGCCAGCAACCGAGGGCTGAGATCGATGAGCAGGAAGAGGCAACTGATCTGCACTCTTGGGCTCGGACACCTTCTGCTCCATCAACTTCTGTAATGCCAGCACCATTTTCTGTAGCTCCTTGACCTGCGTCTCCATATCTGTTGTCTTCTTGTTCTGGTCTACCAGGGCGTTGACGACGTCCTGCTTAATGAAATCGGCGAGCTTCTCAAGCTTGGTCTGAATGTTGATATTCTGGATCGAAGCCTGATCAGCCTGGTTGTGTATTGTGGTGATCTGCTGCTTGACCTCGTCGATGTGCCTATCAACTAGTCCCACAAGTTGCTCGTGTTTGGTATTGAGCGCTGCCAACTGCTGCTGCTTGAACATCTCAAGCAGATCCCACGTTGTCTTGCCAACAACATCGAGGTGCTCGTTCGTCATGAAGAAATGATCGTCAATGCTCTTTGGGGTGTGAGGCGGTCCCCAAGGCCCGTAGGCGGGAGGGCCGACGAGGCCCGATTGCGACTGTGATTGGGGGGTAGCGGCGGGCATTTTGTTCAGCGGGCTTGGGACAGCGCTGGGACAGTTGGGCTGGAAGTCACCGTTGAACTTGGACCTGCGAGGGCTGACACTGTCCAGCATGTCGGTGAGCCTGGAAGAAGACTGATCAGGCTGGAGATGACCCGAGGTACCGTTTGTATGCGGGCTGGGCTCACGACGGTCGCCAATGCGTAGCTCCTGCATAACTCGAGTTGTGAGGTTGGTAGTGTCGCGCACCTGAGGCGAGAGATTACTCTGGTTAGGGTTGCTCGAAAGCTTATCGGTCGAAGAATGCGGGTCGATGTCGTTGGCGTCACCTTGAAAAATCATTTCAATCGAACCGTTGTTGGAGTCCTCGCGTAAGTGGAGTAGGTTCGCCCTTGAGGGTACTGCAAAGAGAAGGCGGTCAACGTCAGACTGAAGGTGTTGTCAGCTTTATGTAAAGAGGAGAAAGGAAAAAAGCATGGGATCAGGAAGGCAGAAGAGAGTCACTCGAGGTGAAGGTGTGCAAACGCGCTGGCCAGTAAGGAAGGTGCCATGCAAGTGGCCCCGCTGATCAAGTGGATAAGAGACAGGAGCGAGCGCACTTACATTCTTAGATGGAGTTTCGCCTTCTGCAAATAAACGGACTGAGCGATTTGAAGGCGAGTAAAATCGAGGTGGAAGCGGACTCCAGCGACGAGGGTGCTGGTGGCTATGTCGTTGTTCGGCGCTCCCTCGAGGAAGCTGCGGCGCCTCCAAACTGCCAGTGGCTGGTAGAGTACCACGTTTGCTATCCTGCTGACCACTCGAGTCATCTACCTCAGGATAGGGCCATTGTAAAGGCTCACCTCCAATCAGCTTGGTGTAGTCTTCGGCAGTGTATGGGCGGAACTTTGTAGGGCTCATTCCGCCATTGTCAGGAATAGCGTTAATTGAAGGTGAAGGCGAAAGAGCAAATTCGGGAAACTGGAGCTTCATGCCATGGTCCACGTACGCCTCGTAGTTCTCACGTAGATCTTCGGACGGTGGAGCTCGACGAAGCGGACTCGGCGGTAGCGCTGCAGGCTGAATGTTGGGGGGCGTATCTTTCGCTGGGGGTGTCGGTGGAGATGCAGACTCAAAAGGCATGAAGGCTACAGGCACAGGCGGTGTGTTCTCAGCGTCGGAAGATTGCTTACTCCCCGCGCCGGGTGACCTGCGTTCAGCAGTACGAATCCGACGCGATGAAGCGGTATGATGACGCCGCGCATAGTTGTGCGGGTCCATGATTTTCCCGGGTAGCGATTTGGATGTGTCGGAGCGCGGAGCCTTTGTAGGCGTCTTGAAGGGACGCGATGGTTTGATCGGACGTGCCTCAATGAAATGGGGTTTTCGTGCTGCTGTCCCAAGAACTTGTGCTGCCTTGGACGGCATTGCAGGTGTAAGAGTGTTGTTTACCGTCCTGCTAAACGGGTTGAACATTTGTATGTTGCCGAACATCTTCTTCTTGGGGCTCTTGGCCGGTTCGTCACTAGCTCGGTCTTTCTCTCCACTGGTAGCACGGCATTGAGCTCGCAAGTCCTCTGTCCTAATATAGACACCGTCGTCGCTGGGGATTCCTAGGTTGATCAGTATGTTGTAGAGACCTTTGTAATGCTATCAAACAGCACATACCCATGGTAGGCGTAGGTGGTATCTGGCCCGTCATCTTAAACAGCCTGTGCTCGTTCCGCGCCTCAATTTGGCCTCTGGTCGTCTTTTCATCCAGCGCCTCGAACTGAGACTCTACGACAGCACTGCGATAGCTACGCCCGGAGTGTCGGGAAAGGGTCGTCGAAGCATGCTGGCTACCTATTGTAGAGCCTTGATCTGACCTGCGGGGCGAGACACGTGCCTGCTCCACGAGGTTGCTGAACGTGGCCTTGACGGATGTGCGGCTCTTGCTTGCCTGGGATTGTGAACGCGGAAGAAGGCGCGGGGCATCTTGCTCCAGAGGCGATGTCAGAGGTGTACTACCTGTAGAGGGCCCACCCTGTCGCGTCGATTCAGACGTGTTTCTTGCATCCCGCTGCTGCTGGCCGCTGCGGTTCATCTTTGTGGCCTTGGGAGCCTGGGCCGATCGAGCGAGAGGCAGAGCCGGTATGTTGATTGGCGGCGGCCGCTTCTTTTGATCATCGTATGGGGACGACATTTTCGGACGCTATGTATCAACTAGACTGACTGCTGGAGCTGTGAGTGGAGAGTGCTGTCAGGCGCGCAATGTGAGGATATTGCGCGGTGGTTGTTGTCCAAATGGCAAGTGGAACTCGATTTTCAAACCCCAAATCAAGTCGATAGCGAGTTGATATCGTGTGAAAATCACTCTAGGGAATTGTAGAGCTCAATGCCAAAATAAGTGGGGTGTGTAAAAGTGGTGTGGGGAAATGCGTGCGTGGGCCGAAAGGCTTCACTGTTGACAAAACACAAACGCGTGAAAAGTATTGCTACGGGCAACACAACAATAACAACACACTCGGACTTTATCGAGTCCTGAAATAAGAAAGAGCTCCAAAAGTGAAGAGACGATATCGGAAATTAAGAGGATAGATAGATTAGGGAAACATACTACCTTTTACAAGACCTCACCATGGTCCAGCTCTTTTTCACTTTCTTGTACGCCTGCGGTTTGAGCTTCGTGTAGAACACGTCTCGTTGACGTCAATGCGAAAAGGGCGGAGAAACTTATTGATCAATTCAAAGAAAATATCGCTACCCACAGAAGGCGCCTGGTATCCAAAATTCACGCCCGTTGAAAGAAGATGTGCAAATCACGCTCCCCGAGATGCTGTCATGCGCGTACTCGTTTTCAAAGTACGGCGCATTTCCCGCGTTTCTTCCTTTCTCCTTCCTTTCTTGTCGCTGGTGGCTCGAGGGCTGCTACAATCGCCTACAAAAACGGGTTAATGTCATTCTTGCAGCGAATATTGAATTTTAATCACCTCATCAAAGACATCCTTCAGCTTGTACTGAGTCAGCGCCGAGCACTCGACGTACTTGACCGCACCAAGCTCTCGTGCCATACGCTCGCCGTCTTCGCGCTTTACCGGGGCCATTCTCTGCTTTGCCAGCTTATCTTTTACTTGGGTATCCTCCCGAAGATCTACCTGCGTGCCGACAATTAAACAAGGTACCCCAGGGCAGTGGTGGTGGACCTCGGGAAACCACTTCTCGCGTACGTTCTCAAAGGACGCGGGGGAGGTCACAGAGAAGCAGACGAGAAAGACGTCGGTCTGAGGGTAGGATAGCGGTCGGAGGCGGTCGTAATCTTCCTGTCCCGCAGTATCGAAGAGACCTAGGGTATATGGCTCGTCGCCAATCCTTGACCGTTGTGTCAGCAGCTGCTCCGCCAAAAGTTCCGTCCACGATATCCTGCAACCGTATATCCCACTCCCTCCCAAGGCACAGAATCGAGCAAAGAGCAGAGGAGAGCTCACATTACGGTGACGGCGTAGTTGTCGAATACTGTAGGTACATATTCCGAAGGGAACTTATTGGTGGTGTAGCTAATGAGCAGACATGTTTTGCCGACCGCGCCGTCGCCGACGACGACGCACCTGTAGAGAAGCTTGTATTAGAACGCGGTTTGCTAGATAGACGAGAGGCGTGGGGAATGGAATATGGGACTGACTTGATTGTCGCAACTACCATGGCGAGAGGTTGGGGGTCTAAGCGGGAATGGTGCTTGGAGAGTTCGAAGGCGTGGAGGGCGAAGTTTGTTTCGAGGAGCAGCAACAGCGACGAAATAGCAGGGTCGAGTATGGAGACTGGGTAGAAATGCGGAGATAAAGCTGCCGGGCTAGAGCTACTGCTTGGTATCCAAACGAGGGGTAGAAATGAGTGGAGAAGCACCTGGGAACGAGACCAGTCAGTGTTGCGGTTCTTGGGTGCTGTAACAATGACCGAGTCGATGGCACATACCTGTGAGTCCTTGCGCAGATGGGCGGCGGCGCGTGCTACGTCGGCTTGTCGAGGTTGAAACTCGAAACGTTAGACTGGGTCGAGGTTCAGAAGCGGGCGAGTGGGCGAACAATGAAACGAGCGCGCAGGGCGGTGGTAAGGGCCAGAGACAGGAGCGAACAAAGACACGACGGGCACAGCAGCAGCCACCGGAACGCGAGATCACAGGAGAGCGCGGTGACGGAGACTCGGGAGGACGTCGAGTGAGGTTGTTCGGTAGCGGAGGTGCTTGAGCTGGGCTAGCGGTCCTAGGGCTGTTGTCTTAACCCTGCCTGCATTGGCCCCGTTGGTAGCTCGGAAGCGGCGTAGTATTATTTCAGAGGTGCATAACTAGGGCCTGTGCCTTATTTTGCAATGTTTGCTGGCCAGACTCGATTGCGCGACTTGTTTTAGATTGAACCAACGCGTGGCAGGCCCACGCTATGCGGTGCCGAGATATTGGGCCGGGGCCTGCGCCGCACCAGAGGAGAGGAGAGGAGAGGAGAGAAGAAAAGAATAGAGGCACAGCGGTTGTGAATAGGAAGCTTTCTTCTGTGCATTCATTCATTCCCGCACGGCTACTAATGATCTCCAGCAAGCTCAGCAAGCCCCAGGCGTAAGACTATCCGTGCACTTCATACTTAGTGAGCATCCTTTCACTGCCAAACCATAAGCTACTAGCTGGCAGCGCGTGTCCGCCAGTCTACCGTGTCTCGAAGCAACTCGGTTACTAGCCAGTGCAGAGCTTGATTAGCCGGAAGTCTTATTATTATTATCAGGGGAATAGCAGCAGTAGTGGGCCTGAAGCACCATGTACTACTACTGTACGGCAGCATATCGTTATGCCCAGCTGTCAGCCTTCTCGCGGTAATGCAATGCACGAGAGATGCCATTTCTCCGACCCAGGCAGGTTACGTCTCTGCCGTTGGTGCATTGCAACTCGAACAGCCTCAAACTTCTAGAATGCAAGGTGCAGAGCAGGGGGGTCATGCAAGCTGGCCAATCAGTCGTGAGCCCCGGTGACGGCGGAACATTGCTCCCCTAGAGCTCGGGCTGTCCATCTCGAACATCCATTTGCTGTCGCTCGCCAGCTTCACTCTTGCGCCAGCACTTCTTGGTACGAGGAGCACCCTCGATCGCCCGACAGATGTGAAGCGGCTTGAATTTCTCTCGCTATGGAACATCTCCAAGATGAATTAGATCTGCGATTTCATAAAGGGCTGCAGCCAGACGTATACTATCGATGCCCGACAACTGAAGTACAATCTCTCCCACGTCCAAAGGAACGTAGCTAAGACGTGAATGTTATAGTCTCTGCATGGAGCCCTGCGGAACGAACTAGAGAAAAGCGCATCTAGCTTGATCCCTACTGAGATTGTTACCGAGTTCGTCTTCTCGGCAACCTCAACCATCACTATTCCCGTGACCTATCAAACGAATTTGGACATACTCATTGAACCTGCAGACTTCCTGCAGAGCATCGCGGTTGATTATGCCTTGTGTCGCGACATCGATGGCAAAGAGAGGCTCAAGCTGCAGCGAGCAATTGCCAGGTACCTTCTGCACCCTGCAAATATGACCAACGTTCACTGATACGTCCCAGGTCTATCATCGAAGCAATCCAGGATGCTGATGGTTTCAAATATGCCGAGCGACATGCCCAAAATAGAGAGGGGGGCGATGGCACTCGGCTCAAATACGTCTGCCTAGACAGTTTTCAAAATCGGGACCGGAAGAGCAACATGAAGAAAGAAAAGCCACAGGAGAGCGAGGATAGCGAAGGTGCAGGAAAGAAGAAGGGGCCCGCGCCTATACCGACTTACGACTGTGGGGGTGCGATTCACATCAAATGTATGCAACGTCACGTTCCTCGCCTCTCGGGTATCAACTTTACTGACTGTGCTCCAACTCTAGTCTCGATCAAGCGAGAAGCGATCAATGTAGTGTATAAGCATAACCCGATACACACTCGACCAGCAAATGGCGATGATAGCAACCTGCCAGCTCTAGCGATAGGATACCAAGCAGCCCATCAAGCACCCACACCCGATGCAACAAACGGAACGAAAAAGCGAAAGAGGAAAACCAAAAAGGATGAGGTTGAAGTTCAAGTTCAAGTTGACGCATCCAGAGATCATTATCTTGACATGTCGACATCGCCAGAGGCCCCGAGATCGTCAACCAGGAAGAAGCGCACAAAAGAGACAGGGTCAGGTTCTCCAAAGTCTAACCAGAAGTCCACTGCGAAGAAAGGCAAGAAAGCGAAAGAGCCTCTATCACCCTCCAAGTCATTCAAGGTTAACAAACCATCACCGCCACCGAAGCCAATCAAGGGCAGGGCGTGCATACGATGTCGAGAGAAAGGGATCAAGTGTAATGAGAGTAAGCCAACTTGCAATCAGTGTCAGAGAGGCCTGTGGACTTGCCAGTACGACGTTCCCGGTGGCAGTAAACGCTCGAAGAACGGGTGCTTGAACTGCAAGCAAAGGAAACGAAAATGTACAGAAGAAAGGCCATCGTGCGCTCATTGCTTACGACTAGGCGACGACTGCGAATATGCCGATGACCACTGAACGTCCTGCACCATTAGGAACGACGTATATTTAAGCCAGGCAAAATTATTGCTATTCTATGACAGCGACCAAGCTCTAGCATTCGCGGTCAGTCATGCTCAATCGTTGAGCTGTATGAGCAAGGATGGCGGCGTTGTTCCTGTTGCAATACTCAATTAGGTATGTAGGACCACCTGCTGTGCATGTTACAAATACCAACAATGATTCCAGGGTACCGACATAGCCATCATATGAGGAACGTATATACCATCACATGGAACGTTACAATACCTAGACCGAGCCAGGAGAGGAGCTGCTTCATTTTGCGCCCCCGAGGGCTACGACATCTAGCGCACGTAGGAGACTATTTTTATCGAGCGTGCTTTGACATGTAGGAACCCAATTACGTCGCAACAAGAGTACATTAGCCACTGCTATTGTATGTGAACGGTCCTCTACTCTCATACCTGTTCAAGGGCCACTCAGCTGTACCCGAATATCTTCAAAAACCTACATATTCGGTAAACCACCAATGCATTGTACTCACAATGCATTCAGGCTACTCTGTGCGCTACCCCAATTTTTCGGTATACTTGGGATAACCGTGCTGCACCTGATGAGCCTGGTAAGCATTTTCCCAGTGGAATATTAACCTGATGTAGTATGTATGTGAGAGCTGGTGGATGATCACTACTAATGGTCCACCAATCAAACCATTCATCCAATCTGCTACCACACGCCTGAGCCGCGACTTCCCCAGAACTCAGCATTCGTTCCGGAAACATTAACAACACTATTGTATCCCCGACACCCGTCTACTCGTGACGTGATAGCTGGTGATCTGATTCGCCGCGGCCCCTAGTCACCCGGCACTTTACCCTGGGAAAACGGGCCGCCACATACGATGGTCCCTTCGCCTCATTAATTCGAACAATAGTCAATCTACATAACGCGTCATATGTGGCTAGAAATCTTGAACGACGAGATGGGCCAATGCTGGGTACAGCTGGTTCCAAGATGGCCAAGTGGGCAATTTGGAGTAACAATCTGGTCGGTTGATGAGGCTCCGAGATGAGTGATGGGTAGGTACTTAACGTGCGCGTACCCAAGAATGAAGTGTGCGATTGCCTCATTTCTAACGATATAGGGTTTGAGAGCTTCAGTCAGGATGCGAGGGTTCTTACTCCCTTTGCTGGCCACCGCCACAATGTCGCGAGCTTCTGGTACGCTGGCAAACAGTTCGAAATTAGACAGTTTGCTAATGGACGCAGCTATCCCTTCCGACACCTCTTCATCGAAACGAGCAGTGGGTAGTTGGGATGACGCGTACACCAAGGCGACAGCGGCCCTGGCAAAGCTCTCACAGAATGACAAGATTGGCATCGTGACAGGGGTACGTGGGGTTCATGTGCAGATGCATGTATGATAGACGACTGACATCCATCATTAGGTCGGATGGCAGGGTGGTAACTGCGTTGGCAACACAAAGGCTGCGAGCTCGATTGGGTATCCTTCACTCTGTCTGCAGGGTACGTCCTCGACTTTTAAAATACCGAATAAATGTCACATACTCTGGAACATGAACGGACAATAGGAGACGATCGGCAAGCCGTTGATAGTACTGTTTGCTGTATCATCGTCGATTGAATACTGCACTTTTAGAGTATCATTCGCTAACATGTTCCAGACGGGCCATTGGGGGTTCGTTACGTCCAAGGCGTGACTGCGTTCGCTGCAGGGATTCATGCAGCCAGCACATGGGACGTCAACCTCGTTCGCGAGCGTGGCGCCTTTCTCGGCGCTGAATCAAAGCAACTCGGTGTCCATGTCCAGCTAGGCCCATCTGCGGGACCTCTCGGCAAGTTCGCGCAAGGTGGTCGCAACTGGGAGGGGTTTGGGTCGGATCCCTATCTCCAGGGAATCATGATGGCCCAGACGATTGAGGGCATGCAGGAGTCAGGTGTGCAAGCAACAGCTAAGCATTTCATCTTGAACGAACAAGAGCTGAACAGGGAGACAATGAGTGCGGATGTGTGTAGAACTGAAGAAAGGTGATTGTATTAATAATGTTCTATATGTAGGGGGAAGCTATATTTATATACAGAAAAAAGTAAAACTAGAATAAGCTAGTCTATATACAGACTAGCGTATTAAGCACATAATAAATTATATATTAAAAATTTAAACTAATAGCCCTTTTAAATTCTAATACAGGATAAAATATAAAAAAAGAAAGGATAGCAGCTTTATAGTATTATATTATAGTAAAAGTACTTTATATTAGAGTTATAGTTTATACGCTATTTGCTATAGCAAGGCTATATAAAATTATAATTATATACTTTTTTTTTATAATTGTAATAATTATAAATTTTAATATAATTAAACTATACTTTTATATAGTCTTTTATAATACTATAAGTAGTATAAAGCTATTTAAGTTTTAAAATTTAAATATACTTAATATTTTCTTAAGCTTGCTTTTACTATAATATATATATAATAAAATACTGCTCTGCTTTGTAAAGCTTATAATTATAAATAATAATATTATTTATATTTATACTAAATAAGTTAAAAATAGCGCTTATAGCAAGTACTTAATTAATAAAACTAATATTTTAGTAAACTACTTTAAATTTAATAAAGTTTAGAGCTTTTATAAGTATATTAGCAGAATTTTTTTTACTACTAATTTATTTAATTATAATAGAACTTTATTAAACATAATTGTAAAAAAAGTAGTAATAAAAATTAATATATTTACTATATTAGTAAAACTTTAAGTTCTTAGCAAGCTTAATAGCTAATTAATTATTAATATATATAAGTACTATATTAAAGTAAATGCCTATATTAAAATTATTAATAAATAACTTAATTTATATAGCTTTTTTTATAGCTTTGCTAAAAGCTATATATTCTGCCTTATATATAGACTAGGCTACAACTTTCTATATAATAAATAATTATAAAATAAAACTTTTTGCTAGTATAAAAATGTAGCTAGTAGTAGAATATTAAAAATTAGGATATCTAGCTTAGTTAGTATTAATATAGCCTAAAAGCTAAAATTCCTGCTTTTTGTATATAATACTAACTTTATAAATACTATTTATATAAGTATACGCTCTAATTATTGCATTTATATAATATTATATTAGATTGCTATTAAAACGTTTATAAAAAAATATAGTATAGGCTAAATTAACGCGTATTATAACTAGTAGGTAATTAAAAAAACTAAACTTTTAAAAATATTCTTTTTTAAAAGTAAAAATAGTAATATTATTATTATTTTACTTTAACTTAATGTAATAATTATATAAAGTTTTAGTAGCAGCTATATTACTAAAATTGTAGTAATTAAAAAGTTGCTAAATATATTTAGCTTAGTAAATTTTTATTATATTTATGCTTTATTTAATATATATTTTTAAATATAGAGCATTAGAGTTTTCTAATATAATAGTAAAAGTATTAGATAGTTTACTTTTAAATATATTAATACTATTTTAGTATAAAGCATAAATGCAAATATTATTAATATAGACTAAAATAATTAGCTTTTACGCAGTATATATATAGACGCAGCTATTATAAAGTAAAATGCAAAAGCTTATTTGTATAAATTTTACTATAAATATTTTATACTATATGCAAGGCGCTTATACAAGCTTATAAAAAAATTTAAGCAATAGCTATATATAGCTAGAAAGTAGTATTACTAAAAGTAGTAGTATATAGTAAACTGTCTTTTAAAGTATAGTATTAAAAAAAGTAATAGTAATATTAACTTATATACTTATTTATTTAAGTAATATATAAATAGCAAGTAGCGTGCGTATAAATATAGAATAAACTATAAAAAAAAAATTTTTAGTATAATTAATACTAGAATACTATTAGAAACTACAAGCAATAAAGCGTGCTTTAAATTTAGTAATTTTACTAATTAATATAGGCTTAATTTTATAAACTATTTTAGTAAAAATAGTTTTTTTACTTTTAAGTAGAAAAACTACTTTATAAACGCTTTTTTTAAAAAGCAAATTAAGTTTTTTTATTATTATATTGCGCTATATACTTGCTTTAAATATTATTATAGCTTTTTTATAATTGCGTAGTGTGCAAATAGAAAATGCTATAGTAGCTATAAAAGTAAGCTAGTTATATATATTTTAAAAATTTTTATTAAATTATATATTATTTTTTATAATAAGTAGGTCTGCAAGATTACTATTAAAGTAGTTATTAATAGTAATACTTGTATTTAAGACTTATTTAAAGTTATATATAAAAAAAGTAAACTAGTTAGCTTAAAAAAAGTCCTTATTAAGTATATTTTTATTAAATATATTAGTATTATTAGTGTTGTAAAGTTTTATAAGTTAACTGTTTTTTATAAGTACTTAAAATCTAAATTTATATCTTTTATATTCTAGATTGTAAGTAATAATAAATATTATATAACTATAGCTATAACTATTAGGCTTTTTATAGACTATATATGCAGCTTTCTCTTTAGTAGTAAAAATATTATCCTCTATTTTTATTATACACGTCTAATAGCATCTATATATATATAAATATTTTATTATTATATACTATAAGTATAAGTAACTTCCTGCACAGCTTTGTCTAGCAGACTAATAGGCTATATAAACGCTAAATTTAAAGTAATTAAAGTCTCTATTAGGGTAGTAAGCTATTTATATAGTATTATTATTACTATAGCATTTATATAAAATGCTACTATTTATATAATATAAGTAGGGAATAGCTTAGTTATACTTAAAGTTTGTTCTAATATAATAGTTATAAAAATTATTGTTTTTATTAGCAAAAGCTGTATATATATTGCTATTTGCAACATATATATTATATAAATATTAATTATTATATTATAATAGCTTAAGTATTTATTTATACTATTAAAATTGCTTTTTATAGCTTTAATATATAGCGCATTGCTGCTTTTTAAGTAGTATTTATAGTATATATATTTATACTAGTGTATAGTTTAGATATTTATTAGTTATAGTATAGTAGTTATATAAAAATTTTATATATATTAAAGCTTTTATAGTTTTTCTATATTATCTGCAAGAGTTTTAAACACGCTACTACTTTTTTATTAAAAATAGAATATACTTATTCTTTCTTTTAATATACTAATTGCATTTTATATTATTACTTAAAGTTAAGCATTTTTTTTGTTATTTAAAATAGCAGGTATAGATATTATTAATAAGTTTAGTAATTTTAAGTAGCTTAAATAAATTATATTTTTTATTATTATTATTATTTACTAAGCTATAACTGTCTTTGTCTAGGAGTTGTTATAGTTCTAAAAATATTTTTTAAAGTATAAAATTAATAAGTAGTTTATAGCTAGCTATAGCAGTATTACTATTATTAAGCTAAGGCTATAAGTTAGAAATAATATTTTTAGGCAAAGTATTATTACTATTATTAAAAAAGCTAAATAAGCTATTTCTATTACTTTTATTAATAAAATTAATAGTTATATTTTTATCTAAGGAGGTGCTATTATTTTTATTAGTAAAGTTAATAATTATATATATTTATATAAGTGCATTTAATAACTATATAGTACTATTAAAATATTATATAGTTAATTGCAGGTTAGATATAACGTTATAAAGTAGTTAGTCTATAAAGTAATTTTTAAAAGTGTGTATTTTTAAAATTTAAAAAAGCTCTATTTATTTATTTAAAAAATAAAGTTTTATAACTTAAGTAAGTTTAGTATATAAGCTTATACTTAGCAGCTATTTTTTTTTTATTTAAAATTAGGTTGCCTATTAGTAATTAGGCGTATAGAAGTAGGGTAAAATAATAGTAAAAATAAAAAGTAATATATTTAAATATTATTAGTATATTATTTTTTTAAACTATATTAATAGTACTAGTATATATACTAGTAATAAGTTTAGTCCTTTTAAAAAATAATTTTAGCATTACTAGTAGTAATAGTTAGTTTAAGTAATACATGTAAAGTTTTATATATATATTACTTTTTATATTTACTTTATAAAATTTTTATTATTAAAAAATTTATTTATAAAAGTAAATAGTATAAAGGAATAGCTATTAAAAGCAGATATAGTATTATTATTACTATTATTATTATTATTACTGTTTAAGTTAAGTACTATATTTAGTACTTAAATAAGTTTTTATAGTACGCAGTTATTAATATACTAATTATAAAAATAAGTATTATTTATACTAGTTATATTATTAACGCAAGCTATAGAAATGCGCCTAACTTATTTAATATTAAAGTACTAAACTTAGTAAATATTTTTACTATCTGCGTATAGAAAATGTATAATATATTTTTATAAAAAGTAAAATTTTTATTAGCTAATAGTAATATAAAATTTAAAAAATATAGTAATATAAATTTATACTCTTTACGCATTGTCTTTGCTAAAATTAAGCTTTTTACTATAAAAAATTTTATAAAAAGTCTTTTTATCTAGTAGTGCTTTTATAAAAGCTTAGTTCTTTTTATTAATAGTTTTCTAAATAGTATATATTTAGAAACTTTCTAGTAATATAGCACTGCGCAGTATTTCTTTAGTGTAGTTAATAATAAATTTAATTATATTAAAAAAAAGCGTAAAATTTTTAATTATAGCTAAAAAGTATTTATATATAGTTTAATAAAAGCGTTTAATTGCGCTAATTATATAGTAAGTATATAAAATACTAAATTTAATAGTAATACTTTTGCTATTATAAAAGGCCTAAATAAAGTATTATAGAAATTTATTATTATACTATATATAAATAATAAGTTTGCTATATTTTATAAATATATAGGTAATAAGTATAGTAAAAAGCTTTGCAATTTTATCTTTAGTAATAAATAAAATAACTTAAGTAAATTAAGTAGCGTTATTAATAAAAAATAGTATATACTTTTTGCTTTTTAAGCTTAGAACAAAGTATAGTTTTTATATATTTATAGTAATAAGTTGCCTAAACTTTTTATAGTAATAGTAGGCTAAATTATAAAAAATTTTATAAAGTGCGCAAGTAGTATAGCAAATAAAATAAATATTTTTAATTTTAGCTTTAATCTATATATTTATAATTTTAAGTTTTTTACTTACTTTAAGTAGTATTTATATACTATTAAGGCTTAAATAATTAAAACAATAATGTTCTAACTAGACTAAGTTATTAAAATTAATAGTAGTAGCAGTAATAGGAAGCGCAAGTAAGCGCTAAAACTAGAATATATAAATATTTGCCTAGAAGTAAAGCAGAGCATATATAAATTCTATTTTAATATTTTTTTTATATATTTTTATAGCAGCGCCTGTAATTATAATAATAAAGTTTAATTATATAAAAAGTAATAAAAACAGCAGGTTACAGCGTACCTAAAAAGTATATTATATATTATATAATTTAAAAATAGTAGATTTACTATCTATATTAGTAATAATAAACTTAATATTACCTACGCTAGTAATATTAAGTTAAAATTTTTATTTACATTTTCTAATAGTTTTTCTATAAGGCTTAAGCTTAAAAAAAAGAAATAAGTTATTAGTAATATAATAAAAAGCACTACTATTATAAATTTAATAATTAGAAAAAGTTAGTAGTATTAAAACTATATATATAGTTTATATAAATAATTTATTAATTTTATTTAAATTTTATATATTTTAGCTATTGCTATTTGCAATAGCCTTTTTTACACTTATTTCTAGCCTATATCTATAATTCTATTATATATTAAATATAAAAAAGCAGTTAAGAGTAGAATATATATATTTAAAGTTTAAAATATAAAAAAAATTAAAATTAAAATTATTAGTTACTATTGCAATTATACGCTTAAAATAGAAATTATTAATAATAGTAAAATTAAAATTATAATTCTTGCTTACACTTTTAGTATTTTTAGTATTTTTAGTATTTTATTACTTTTTATAATAAGTAGCTTTAATATATTTAAGTTTACTATATCTAGTATACTTAGAAGTATTAGGCTTGCTAATATAGTAATAAGTTTTAATAGTATAACTAGTATAGCTATAGTAACTACATATAAAGCTATTGCTTGTATTATAGTTACTATTTTTATTATTATTATTATTTTTACTTTTTCTATTACTATTGCTCTTGCTATTGCTATTAGTATAAGTATTAGTAGTAGTATTATTAAATTTATTTTTAGTAGTATTTTAAGTATTTTTATAATTATTAGCGTACTTAGTAATAAAGTTCTAGTAGTCTACTTAAGTTTTTTAAGTAATAATTTTTTTTTTAAAGTAAAAAAAGTTTTAAATTTTAATAAAAGTATAGTACTATTATAAAAAAAAAATTTTATTAATTTTATAAATTAAAATAGTGTAAGTAAAAAGGCTTTTAGCAGCATTAATATTTTTATAATAGTACTTAAATTTAGCAAAAAATAGACAGATAGTAGAAAAATTTATAAGTATAAAAGCGTCTAGCTTTACTTTAGTATAGTAAATAATAATTAAATTTAAAGTCTAGTATATTTTAGTAATATTAGCCTAAGCTATATAAAGCTTTTTTTTTTATTTATTATTAAATTTGTTTTAAATATAGTCTTCTATAGCATTTTTAAAAAAATAAAAAGCAGTAAGTAACTTTTTATAATACTTATTATAAAATTAAAGCTTAAGCTTATAAATCTTAAGCTTAGCTTTATATTTAAATTAAACAGTATTATTATTATTGCTAGGCAAAGTAATAATACTAAAAAAAAAATATTAATTTTTAAAAAGCAATATTATAGCTTTAAATATAGTTTTAGTATATAAAAAAATAGGCTTAATAAGCTTAAAGTACTAAATTATAAAGCTATTATAATAATTAAGTAGGCCTTATTAAGCAGTAACTTTTTTAAAAATATACTTTTATTTATAAAAATTATTAGAACTAGTTAATTTAATAAAATTTTTACTAAGCGCTTACTTAGTATTAACTATAAGTAAAAACATATTTAATATTATACTATACTTAATATAGTAGTGCTTTAGTAAGTTAGATAAACGCAGTAGTTTTTAAGTAATATAGTAGTTAAGCAATTTAAGTAAGTTAATATAAATACTATAGTTTTAAAGTTAACTTTATAATTAAAAAGTAACTAATATAGTTGCGTAATAGTAGCGTAGAAAAAATATAATTTATTATAGCTAAACTACGCGTAAGTGCGCAAAAAGGCTTATAATTTATAAAATTAAAAAAAAATAATTATATTAATAATGTTTTATATATAGAAGGAAGCTATATTTATATATAAAAGGGAGTAAAACTAGAGTAAGCTAGTCTGTATGCGGACTAGCGTGTCGGGCATATGATGAATCACGTGTTGGGAATCCAAACCAACAATGTGCCTGATCGGGTACTCAGGGAGCTCTATGTTTGGCCTTTCATGGATGCCATTAAGAGCAACGTTGCAGCTTTCATGTGCAGCTACAACAAGATCAATGGCGCATGGGCTTGTGAGAACGATGGCATCATGAATAAGCTCCTCAAGGATGAGCTAGGGTTCCGTGGCTATATCATGTCTGATTGGAACGGTAAGCCCTGTGCACCTGCTTTCTCTACGTGTCCACTTACATTGTCCCAGCGCAACACACCACGCTTGGCAGCGCGAATGGCGGTCTTGATATGACCATGCCAGGAACAGATTTCGAAAAGAAGAACGTGTACTGGGGTCCGCAGCTCCAGAGCGCTATCAACAATCGTCAAGTACAGCAATCTCGTCTCGATGACATGGTCAAGCGCATCCTAGCCGCCTGGTACCTTCTCGGCCAAGATAAGAACTATCCTACTGCGACTTTCAACTCATGGAAGATCGGAAGCCGCGATGTTGGCGGAAATCACAAGACTAATGCTCGTGCCATGGCCCGGGACGGAATCGTTTTACTGAAGAATACAAACTCTGTGCTGCCTTTCAATAAGCCAAAGAGCATTGCTGTGATCGGAAGCGACAGCATTGTCGCACCAAAGGGAGCAAACGCCTGTGTAGATCGCGGCTGTAACGACGGCACTCTAGCCATGGGCTGGGGGAGTGGTAGCGTAGAATTCCCCTATCTGATCGCTCCCCTAGACGCTATCAAAGCACAGGCTCAGAAGGACTCTACCACGATCACCTCTTCTCCTAATGACAACGCTCAGCAGGGTGCAAGCGCGGCGCAAAATGCAGACATCGCCGTTGTGTGCATCAACAGCGCTGGAGGCGAGGGATACATTACGGTTGAGGGCAATGCTGGCGACAGGAAGAACTTGGATCCATGGCACAATGGAAACGAACTGGTCAAGGCCGTCGCCGCCGTGAACAAGAAGACTGTCGTTGTCGTGCATTCAGTCGGCCCGGTTATCATGGAGCCGTGGATTGACAACCCAAACGTCGTCGCCGTAGTTTGGGCTGGCCTTCCTGGCCAAGAGTCCGGCAATGGCCTCGTCGATATTCTCTATGGAGCAGCGTCTCCCTCAGGGAAATTGCCATATACGATCGCGAAGAGACCAGAGGATTACGGCACAGCCATTGCACGCGGCAACGACGCAGCCTGGGACCTCTTCGTCGACTACCGCCACTTCGATAAGCAGAACATTGCGCCCAGGTTCGAATTCGGCTTCGGCCTCTCGTATACAAATTTCACCTATTCTGATCTCGGTGTTTCCGGTGCGCCAACTGCGGGCCTGGCGACTGGTGCAAAGGGGCCAGGTGGACCGGCGGATCTGTGGGAAACTGTCGCGACTGTTACTGCGAAGGTGGCTAACAGTGGCGGTGTCGCAGGTGCAGAGGTTCCGCAGCTGTATCTGGGATATCCGGCAGCTGCTAGTACGCCGTCGAAGCAGTTGAGGGGATTCGCGAAGCTGAAGCTGGAGGCCGGGGCGAGTGGGACGGCGACATTCAAGCTGCGGAGGAGGGATTTGAGTATTTGGGATGAGAAGACGAAGCAGTGGAGTGTGGTAAGCGGAGAGTACGGTGTCTTTGTTGGCTCGAGTTCGAGGGATGTCAGGTTGACAGGCAAGATTACTGTTTAGCTACATCAGTACTGGGTTTTCCATACTGATGTGCTCCATGGTGCAGAATGCTTCCTGGATCAATGAGGAGAGGCATTGTTGTTAAACGAATAAACATGGATTATGCTACTGAGAAGTACCTCTGAGCCGCTCTTTGATATCACACACATATATACCATTCCGCTCTAGTTGGACATGAATACGCTACAAGGAATTCTGCTCGTTTCGTCGTGTCTAGACAATCACTCACTCACTGACCTCTCGATATGCCACCTGCCTTTCATCATGGCCGATATCGGAGGAGTGGGTCTTTCAAGGAATTGTACCGACGACAAGCGCTCAAGGCCCGTCATTATCATAGCGGGCCCAAGAACGACGGGGCCTCAGTTGATGGGCATGGCCTTCGCCTGCACTACGGGCACATAGATAAGGCAATCCAGATAAGCAGTTTTCGAATGAGGTTTGTCGCGTCACACTACGGCCGCAACTCTGAAGTCATTGGAGCTTCAGCAGGGCACCGTATGGCTCGACGGGACTTGCACAGTGGGGCGGACAGAGATCCGCCTGCTTCCCCGGCCGGGTTTCGATGCAGCTGGTGTTGTAATGAAATTTGATAACTGCGTCATTGGCCACCTGTCTCGGTAAAGTGTCTCTGCCCCAAAGCCACCCCGCCGGCCTCGTTGCGACAAACCTCCTCGACTCATCAAAAACCATCACGGCCGCCTCTGCACACAACACACTGCTCAAAGGGTCCAACGTACCCGCTCTCATCGACTTCGCCTGGCTTCTACTACCGCGCTTATGAGTGCTGCTCCAACACTCTTTACTTCCCAGGTAGGTGCCTTGATGGCTCTCGCTCCGTGCTTCCTTATCTACCCAACGACGCACACACCGTCAATTCATCGCACGCCGGCCTATCTCTCCCCCGTGGCTCGATGCATCCTCTCCTGCGCTGCACAATTCCTCTTGCTATTGATGACCATGGCTAATTGAATGCTGTAGGACTACATCTCAGGTATGCTGCTGCCCGAAGATCGGCGCCTCGCGACGCTCGAACTGACCATGTTGGTAGACCACCTGTGGAAGGCATCAGTAAACTGAAAGCCTACCATCCCGCTACCGAACCCTTACCTTTATCCACCCATCTCCACTCAACATGCTGCCACAAATCATGAAGCCCTCCACCATTCGGTCTGCAAGTGTCCTGGGACAAATCACCAAGAACCGCGTACAGGCACGCTATCTGGCGACTGTGCAGTCAAACACCGCCCGCGATATCCCTAAGCCCCAACGCAAGGCTACCCCAATCTCACATGAGAGGGCGACCTTCACAATCAAGGTGCGTTTGACTCAATACCCATTCTTCGGACACGTCACTCACCGCTTTTAGAATGGTCCCATCTTCACTGGCAAGTCCTTTGGTGCCAAGACCAACATCTCAGGAGAAGCCGTCTTTACCACATCCCTTGTTGGATACCCCGAGTCCATGTCCGATCCTTCCTACCGTGGTCAGATCCTCGTCTTCACCCAACCGCTGATCGGCAACTACGGCGTCCCGTCAGCTGCCCGCGATGAGCATGGGCTGCTCCGATACTTCGAGTCGCCCAACATCCAAGCCTCTGGCATCGTCGTCCAAGACTATGCCCTAAAGCACAGCCACTGGACCGCTGTCGAGTCTCTTGCTGAATGGTGCGCGCGTGAGGGTGTACCCGCCATTTCTGGCGTCGACACCCGTGAGGTTGTGACATATCTCCGTGAGCAGGGCTCTTCGTTGGCCCGCATCACCATTGGTGAAGAGTACGATGCGGATGAGGATGAGGCCTACGTCGACCCGGAGGCTATCAACCTTGTCCGTCGTGTTTCCACCAAGGCTCCGTTCCATGTCAGTTCCTCTCTAGGTGACATGCACGTTGCTCTGCTCGACTGCGGTGTCAAGGAGAACATCCTTCGCAGTCTTGTCACCCGTGGGGCCAGCGTCACCTGCTTCCCCTTCGACTACCCCATCCACAAGGTCGCCCACCACTTTGACGGTGTCTTCATCTCTAACGGCCCCGGTGACCCGACTCACTGCACGTCCACCGTTTACAACCTCCGCAAGCTGTTCGAGACGTCCCAAATCCCTGTCATGGGCATTTGCATGGGTCACCAGCTTATTGCTCTTGCTGCCGGTGCTAAGACCATCAAGCTCAAGTACGGTAATCGTGCCCACAACATTCCGGCTCTCGACCTCACAACCGGAAAGTGCCACATCACGTCGCAGAACCACGGCTATGCGGTCGATCCCACGACCTTGTCTAGCGACTGGAGGGAGTACTTCACCAACCTGAATGACCAGTCCAACGAGGGCCTGATCCACAATTCTCGGCCCATCTTCAGCGCCCAGTTCCATCCTGAGGCCAAGGGCGGCCCTCTCGACTCGGCCTACTTGTTCGACAAGTACATTGAGAATGTTCAGCAGTACAAGGACCATCAGGCGACATTCTCGGACAGGAACAACAAGCCCAGCCCACTTCTAGTCGACTTGCTCAGTAAGGAGCGTGTCGGTGTGCATCCCGATGCGCCTGACGTCGATGGCCACGCAGGGGGGCAGGTTAGGCATGAGGTGGTCATTGATGGCCCAGTCGCACCTCCCTATCAGCCCATTACTCAGAAGCCCGTCGCTGCTGCCGCCTAGGTGTGTAACATCTTGGGAGATCAGACTGATTGAGCAAAGAGAAGTGGCTCTTGGGAGTTTTTCACCAGGGTAGTTTTAGTTTGGCGTTTACTGGCTCAACAAGACTGAAATACGCAAAAGCTTAGGACGGAGAATGAAGTCGTTTTGATGCCTTTACTTTGTACATCTCACTAGTATTATAAATACAACTGTCTTGAAAACATTGTGCGACCCAGCTTACCAGCTCAAGGAACGCTGCGCGAATAAAACTCTTGGTTGGTAAAAGGTAGGTGTAGGGTATAATGCGAAAGTGCGTAGCAAATAATAAAGAAAGGAGGCATTGTCTCTCATGCTTTCCCAAAGTCGGCTTCCTCGCCCTCGAGATTCTCGTCTATATCCCCGGTAGCATCGCCACTCTCGCTGTCCTTTGCGCTCTCCCCAGCCTTGACCTCGGCAACGCGTCGTTCCCGTCGTTCCTGCTCTTTCTTCCTCGCACCCGCTTTTAGTTTCTCCCACTGTTCTCTGTAACGGCCTAGCACCTGGGCATTCTTCTCGTTTTGCTTCGCAAGCTGTTCGTTGTTGCTCATGAGATCACTGACTTTGGCGGTTTGGTTGGCTAGTAGGGCTTGGAGCTCGGCAATCTTCTTTGTCGTCGTCGTCGTCGTCTGTATATCTGTGCCGGGAGAAAGAGGTGGGTGCTGACCAGGCAATGGAGGCGACGGCAGTGCTGGAACGGCATTGGAGCCCTGCGAGAGAGCGTGGGCGAGTGCACTCGGGTCACTTCCTACCCTGCTTGGGCCTCGCGTACGAAAGGACTGTGCGAGTGCGTTGAAGGAGTTTTGAGAGTTGGTTTCCCACATCTGAATTCTCTTGGCCTGCTTGTCCACCAGGGTCTTGAGCGTGTCGTTTTCCAAGGCTAGTTCTTCCATTGTCTTGAGTCCCGCGCCTCTGCCTGCAGGTATGGAGCGCTGTGCGGTTACGCCTGCGCCTGAACTTTCCCGTGAATGCGGACGCCGCGCCTTTGTGGGTGATGGCGGGCCGACATCTTCTCGCGCGTCTACAAACTCCTCGTGGGAGCTGCCTTTCAGCGAGCCGGATTCCTCGGTGATGGGGTTTAGACGTGCGTCTTGGGTTGCTGCGGTTGGTGCATTGGGATCTCGGAGGATGCTGGCGTAGGTGACAGTACCGCCGGATGTGGGCACCAAGTAGAAGGACTCATTAGGACCCAGTGGCGGTGCGCCATCTTCTCGTAGCGCACGAAGAGCAGGCTTGCTGATTAGGGCGGCTAGGTCTGGGATTGAGGACTTGACTGTTCTGGAAGCCTCTGGTGACTGTGTTCTTGGCTTTGTCTTGGAGAGCTTCTCTTCCTTGGCCGACTCTGGCACGGGCGTTGGTGCGGTGGGGTTCAGGGGAAGAGAGGTGAAGGCCAGGGGTGCGGATATGGCGGATATGACACCCCCAAAGGCGGAATAGAATCGTCGGAAGTTGTCTTCGGCGGGTGGAGATGTAGGTCGCGGTGCATGCTGCACATGGTGTTTTGGCGCGTCCTTGGACCTGCCCGACTCGGCTTTCCGTGACTGCTGAACCAGTAGATCTCGTACTGGGGTCGGGGCCTGCTCGCCTCTAGTCGCCAGCGCCCCTGATACGTTTACTGTAGAACTACTTGTTGTCCTTGTTGCATTCGGTATTCCGCGCTTCTCGGCGAGGTTGCTAGCGATGGATGACTGAGGGAGTCTGCGGCGGGACGTGGGAGGTGTCGGCGAGGACGGAGAGGAAGTTGCGGGTGGCGTTGTAGAGACTCTGGATGGAGGCGAGGTAGCAGAGGTGTCGGTGGCGCGGGTGGTAGAGGTGATAGAGATGCTCTTCTTCTCCTTGTTGCGTGGGGCTTCTTTGATCAGGCCGGCGAGCTTGCGGTGGTGGTCCTCGAGGAGGCTGAGGATGCGGAGGGCCTGCTAGAGTGTTAGACTGGGCATTGTACGAGACAGAGCAAGTCTATCCATGGATATACCTCTGCGTTATGCGTATCCTGGGTGGCATCGTGGAAGGCGGCGGCGGCGAGATCATGCTCGTGCCCCGCAGTCGCGATGCTCTTCTCGAAGGTTGCTGTCGCGGCGGTGCGGACGTGGTCGTGCGCTTTGGAGAGATAGGCCGACTCCATGGTATGCTAGTTGCAGCTGGGTGGAGAACATGTTCAGCGAGCTCTCTCTCTGGGGTGGAGGTGGTCACGATGCGTGATGGGGCTGACCTGGCAGGGATGCCGCCAGCCGCATACGCCATGGATGATGACCAGGTAGTTTGTAGACGGACCCGCCACTAAACGGCTGGAAACATCAACACGAGCTACCTGTGGAGGCTGAGTTTCAGCACCCCAGAAGCTGACTTTGCATCTTAATCCTCTCTCGTCGCCGTCGTCGTCCTCCCTCGTCTACCATGCTTCTGGCCCCATCTGCAACCCGGTTGCACAGCTACTAGTACACGGCCGACCCCTACGTAAACTACCACTACTACTACTACCACCACTACCACTACGTAATCGACCATTCCACCCCCGCAAACAAAGTCACCTGCAGCCACCATCGCCGACATGCGATTCTAAGGGAGAAGGGCTGGAATACAGACACAAGATATATATATAAAACTCCGCTGGCTTCTTCGATTCAAGAGGCGACATCTCATTCGACATGGCCTCGGTTGGACGCCGACGGAGCATCCAATCCTCGCGCGACCAGTCGAGTAGGGACAATTCCCTGGCCGCACCTGGCAATCGAGCGACGTCAAAGGGCCCAGCATCATCGACTGTTTCGCTCGCAAGCAGCGACAATCCAAGCGAGGAGTTGCGCAGGTCCACCGACGGCGCAATAGACAGGCTCAAGAGTCGCAACTCGGAAGACGGTCGCAGCGACACATCATCGTCCCATCGCCGGCGCATGTCTAGGCTCTTCAAGGGCAGGAAGAAGCGCACAAAGTCTGGCAGTCCAGATGACGTTTCCCCCTTGGATTCTAATGAACATGTTCCTCCTGTGCCAGACATCAGACTGCCAAGTGGGGACCTGCCAAACCACAGCCAGGAATCGCTGGGATTGGCCAAGAGCGTCACAAGCAGCCTGCTAACAGAGGATTCGGATTCGGAAGCGTAAGTCGCAGATTGCATTTCCCTTCCCTTCGCTTGTTTGATGATACTGTACGTGTGACGGCCAAGCGTCGTGGAAGGTTAGCCATGTGGCTTTGGCGCGCAGTCAGCATGGACGCCTGTGCGAACCAGCGTGCGTTCTGGCCTCACACACTTCCCCACCGCACATACATTCATATGCCTCGTCCTCCTCGTCGTACTCGGTGTATCCCTCCCCCACACCCATTCTTACCCTTTGCTCGTTCTTGTTTCTTTTGCGTCATTCGTGATACCCAGGCACTTCTGTCTTGTCTTGTCTCTTCTTTGTTGGCTTGTGCTTCCCGACTAACCCACAGTTAGCTCACCCATCAAGCGGCCTGGCATATCACCACATCAGTCACATGCAGGACTCTTGACCCTGTCGTCGCCCTTGATAACCTCCGAGACCATCGACTCCGTGGACGCCGCAGATGTCACCCTCGTTAACTCCGTGACCACCGCCGAAGAAGGCCCTGTTCGAGCCGCGAACACGATAGACAGTACTGCGAATAAGCGGGGCGCCTCTCCAGTTGGAAAGCTCAAGGAAGCGTTTGCGCCTACTCGAAGAAACATCTCCCCGAAGAAGCCGGGAGGCGACGCTGACGGTCCAAGGCCCAAGACCAGTGAAAGCAGCCTTGGCGCGCTGTTCGGAGGGAAGAAGCGTGAGACGAGGGCGTTGGAAGAACCCTTTCAGGCTTCACCACCACAGATACACACAGGCCCAGACACACAGTCAAAGACATCGCTAAGATCGACGGCACCAAAGCGCATCATCACCCAGATTCCCGCAACCCCGCCAAATCTACATGACGCACCCACGACTCTGGTGACCCCGCCTACGCCGACCGATGCGAAAGCCACTTCCCCCGCCGACTCGATACGCTCCAAGAACGGCACGAAGCACACTACTTCGCAGTCGAATCCCAACATAGTAGTGTCTCCCTCGGGGAACATGATATCGCATAGACGCGTGCGTTCAACATCCAATGCTCCCAGCAAGCTCTCGCACTCCACAACACTACCCCTGACGCCGCATCTTGAAGAGGCAAAGACCCCTGGTGGGACTGCTGTACACGCTCAGTCTCCGGGCGGGCCTGGCGGATTTTTCGCATCCATATTCTCCGCTGCGCAGAACGCTGCCACCAATTTGACCGACACCATCGCTAACAGCGCGCCTGGGAAGAACACAAAAACCAATCAACAACAACAAAAGGAAGAGGACGAGAGACCGGAAGACGGCGGAGAGGAAGTTATTGGGCCTGAGAACGCAGACTCGACAGAGAACAGTGGCACCGAGAAGCGCAGACCAGCTGTCGAAACACTTGGGTCTGGGAACTTGAGCTTGGCCCAGCTTGGAATTGCTGAGAGCAACGAAGTCAGTCCCATGTCTTCTGTAACAAACGTCACAATGAAGGCGGACGAAGCCTCTGCGAATGTTGAAGACATAGCAGCCGCCCACGCAGTGTCAGCCGCTTATGTAGTGGATAAACCTCCGTCCATAAGCAGTGAACGCCCACGTTCAATCACTGCAAATGCGGGACAGCCAGCAGCAGGTGCAGCCTCTCCTCAAAGACAGAATGAAATCACAGATTCTCCAGCACCATCCTCGGTCCAAAGACAAGGCAGTATTCGCAGTCGTTTAAGCGATAGTAGACGGAGGCGGCATCGGGGCAGCTCCGCTACCACAGGCAATGCAATAGGTGCTGCCATAAGTGCCAGTACAGCGACTTTAGTGCCCAATGCTGCATTGAACGGCAGTCGTCTAAACGGAACTGGGTTTGCGGTTGCGTCCTCGAAGCGAAATCGCGATTTCCACAACTTGTTCAAGAGCGTCCCTGAGGACGACTACTTGATCGAGGACTATAGTGCGGCCCTCCAGAAAGAAATCTTGCTTCATGGGCGTCTCTACGTCTCCGAAGGGCATCTTTGCTTCTCCAGCAACATCTTGGGCTGGGTTACTAATCTCGTCATTAGCTTCGACGAGGTCGTGTCAGTGGAGAAGAAATCGACAGCCATGCTATTCCCAAACGCTATTGTCATTTCGACGCTGCACGCTCGAAACGTCTTCGCATCCTTCCTGACTCGTGACGCCACCTATGACTTGATTATCGGTATCTGGAAGATTTCACATCCCAACCTTAAATCTTCGCTCAACGGTGTCACACTCGATGGATCTGCCACTGGCGACAAGACTGAAAAGGCAGATTCGATTGGTAGTGAGGAAATCTCCGACCAGGACTCGGACGATGAAGTGTACGATGAGGATGCTGAAGAGGATGACGGCATGGGGAGCTTCACTGAAGCTGGCGAAGGCAGCGTTGCTGGTAGCGAGATGGGCTCTTTGCCAGGGGATATCAGAAAGCTCAGCGGTGCGGTAGCACAAGCTGTCGGCGCCGGCAGCGAAACTGTGGAAGCAGCGAAAGCCGCAACGAGCGGTGCTACGACTGGACAGGACTTTCCTGGCTCAACATCACATGCGCCCACAGAATGCGGAGACGCAGATCAGCATTACGATAAGCTCCTCATTGATACCACAATCCCAGCCCCACTAGGAAAGGTTTACAGCTTGATGTTCGGGCCCGCGTCCGGCGTATTCATGCGGAAGTGGCTGGTCGAGGACCAAAAGTCCTCGGATCTCCAAATGGAAGACGATAAGAAAGGACTTGGCGAAGACAGGAAATCTTTCAGCTACTCCTACATCAAGCCGTTGTCTGCCCCAGTCGGACCACGGCAAACAAAATGTAATATTTCTATGGCGCTTGAGCAATTCGATTTGGAGAAGGTGGTCAGCGTACAATGTAGTACCGGTACCCCGGATGTACCCAGCGGCAACATCTTCCTCACAAAGACCAGGTACTGTCTTATGTGGGGTCCAGGGAATAGTACACGGTTGATCATGACGTTCACGGTGGAGTGGAACGGCAAAAGCTGGTTGAGGGGTGAGCTTATTCCTACTCTGTAGGCTTTCGTTGAAGTAACCGTGCTAACATATCATAGTACCAATTGAGAAAGGTGCAAATGACGGTCAGATGTCGTATGCCACAGCCCTCACAGCTGCTCTACGCACCGCCGTGGCCGCCAAAGCCGCACCGCTCCGTGTCCCAGGCAAGGGCGGAAAGTCTAAGAAGCGGTCTAGAGCCAACGTCTTAGACGACGCACCAGCACCGGTCACTGCTCCAACCCCCGCCAGTCAAGTAAAGCAGAGCAACTGGGGTCTCTTAGATCCTCTGCGCAGTCTCTTGGGTCCTGTCGCGGACATTTTGGAGTTGTTGTTCACGCCGCAAATCATCATTACCGTACTTGGAGCACTACTGATATACTCGTGGTTTTTCCGCGGAGCTTCGATAGCCGTGCGACCCAATCAGTTATCGAATGCGCAAAGGCAGGTTGCGTACGAGGAGATCTGGCGCCATGAGGAGACGGAATTGTGGAAATGGCTCGAGGATCGTGTTGCACTAGATAGAGTGCACACCTCCGTCGCAGGAGGGAGACTTGAACCAGACCCGCGTCTACAAAGCAGTCTGTCACCAGAAAACATGAAAGAAAGGCAAATGGACGAGGCGATCAAAGTCACTGAGGAACGCCTGGGGGTCTTGAAGAACGCAGTGAACCGTGAAAGGTCGAAGTCACGGACTAAGAGTCCGAAGGAGGAGCAGACGTAACACGCTGGGGTTGAAACTGGTCCCCAACTGACCTTTGAAGCTACCGCAGGAGGAAGATGACACCCTTTGGTCCTTCCTATAAAATTCTTTTGTACACGTACGCAGGACTTGCATGGCGATGGCGTTTCATATCACTATTATTATTGTTGGGAGTATTAGGTGGTGCATCGCTGGGTAGCATTGCACCCAAGCTATTCTCTGGCGTACGAGCCGTCTTTTTCATAGCTGTTTCAAACTATTATTGTATTAACCATTGAGAAATATCACTCTAATAAGCAAAGTTCTTGATCATCTCCCTTCCCATGTTTGACTACGACTAGCAGGATGCTGCCCACCTCAAATGACTTAAACCAGTCGAATAGCAAGAAATGGAGACGAGTTGTGTATAGTGAATGTAGGACGATGAGGTCAAATTATGGTTAAGGATTTCAGATCAACATCATGAAGAGCACGGAGAACAGTGAGAGTGAAAGGAGGCGGTGATTACAAACTAAGACTTTGAAATAAAATATCTTAACCAAGAGCTTGCAAAACATGAACTATACGTGAGTAGATTTGCCAACCAAACTCCGAGCCGTGACTTTTTCTCTAAACCCGCGTAGTGACATGATATACGTACAAAGTCGAAAATAGTCGAAGCCAAATAGGAAAGATTATGCCGAATCAGTGACGCAGCCCTGGCTGGCGTCCTTGACAAATCTCGCATACTTGAACAGCGTACCCTTGCTATACTTCAGCGGCGGCGCGGTCCAGCTCTTCCTCCGCTCAGCAAGCTCTTGCTCGCTGACGCCAATGTTGAGTTCGTTCGTGTCAGAGTTGATGGTGATCTCGTCGCCATCTTGTACAAGACCGATAGGTCCACCTTCTTGCGCTTCCGGCACAATGTGACCGATCAAGAAGCCGTGGCTGCCACCGCTGAAGCGGCCATCTGTGATGAGCGCGACATCTTTGCCGAGGCCTGCGCCCATGATGGCAGAGCTGGGCTTCAGCATCTCAGGCATACCCGGACCACCCTTGGGACCCTCGTAGCGAATCACAACGACTGTCTTTTCGCCCTTCTTGATCTCACCGCGTTCGAGAGCCTGGATGAATAGATCTTCGGCGTCGTAGCATTTCGCTTTGCCGGTGAATTGTGTGCCTTCTTTGCCGGTGATCTTGCCTACGCAACCGCCGGGAGCGAGGCTGCCGCGCAGGATTTGCAGATGACCAGTCGTCTTCAACGGCTCGTTGAGCGGCCGAATGATCTTCTGCTCTGGTGGGAAATCTCTGACCTTGTCCAAATTCTCCTTGAGCGTCTTGCCGGTGACGGTTAATTGACTGCCATCGAGGAGACCTTCCCTAAGCAGGAACTTGAGCAGGGAGGGAGTACCGCCAATATCATGGATATCGGCCATGACGTACTTGCCGGACGGCTTCAGATCTGCGAGAAGTGGGATGCGGTCGCTGACACTCTGGAAGTCTTCGATGGTGAGCTTGAGACCGACGGAGTCTGCAATCGCGATAAGATGGAGGACGGCATTTGTCGAACCGCCAGTGATGCTGATGACGACCATAGCGTTCTCGAAAGCTTGTCGGGTAAGGATATCACTTGGTCGGATATCCTCTTTCAACAAGTTCTTGATAGCACCTCCCGCGGCTAGGCACTCGAGCATCTTAGCTTGCGAGTTCGCAGGATTCGATGACGATCCTGGAAGCGACATGCCCATAGTCTCAATCGCGGTAGCCATAGTGTTTGCCGTGTACATGCCTCCGCAAGCACCCTGCCCGTTGCAAGCATGCCTGATGATATCAAATCGCTGATCCTCGTTGATCTCGCCCGTTATGAACTGGCCATAGGCCTGGAAGGCGGACACAATATCGATTTGCTGGTTCTCGAGCGTCTTCGCACAACCGGGCTGGATGGTTCCACCGTAGACCATGAGCGAGGGCCTGTTTACACGGCCCATGGCCATGATGACACCAGGCATGTTCTTATCGCATCCGGGAATCGAGATATTCGCATCGTACCACTGGCCGCCCATGACGGTCTCAATCGAGTCTGCAATGATCTCGCGTGACTGCAGCGAGTATCGCATGCCTTTGGTGCCCATGGAGATGCCGTCGCTCACACCAATGGTGTTGAATTGCATGCCCAGCATTCCTGCTCTTTGCACACCCTCCTTGACCTTGTGGTTTAGGTCCATCAAGTGCATGTTGCATGGGTTGCCCGAGTACCAGACGGACGAGATGCCGACCTGGGCCTTGTTCATGTCATCCTCGCTCATACCGGTGGCGTACAGCATGGCCTGCGAGGCGCCCTGCGACTTGGGCTGGGTAATGTGCTTGCTGACCGAATTGAGCTCATTGTCAGCTTTGGCGGAGCGAATTGCTGAGTTGGAGAGGGCTCGTCTATGAGTTGTTAGCCTCAGTAATGGAGTATAGAAGGAAGGCGTGCGCTTCGAAGCGTAATTCTACTTACGCTGCTTGCCATTGCGGCCGCGACGAGCACTTTGCGCGCGAAAGCGCACCTCCCAAACGTGCGAGAGACATTGTGGCAGACTGCACGCTTCCCCAGTGCGTCGCGAACAATTTATGATGCGAGCTCGGAGTTTGCGAGCGGTCATCGCGGCGTCGGCCTTCTTTCCGGTTCACAGCAGCTGACCAATGGGAGGCATTGTGATGATTCACAGGGCAATCGTCATCTCTTTTCAGGAGGCAGGTCATCTGACCATGGGAAATACCTCAGCAAACTATAAAACCTTCCTATTTAAGTAAAATTAATATAAAAAATTTGCGCTTATAATTTAATAAGCTTTTTTTTATAGTTAAGTTAAATAAGCGCTACTTTTTATTAATTAAAACTTATTCTGCACTTTAGCAAGTTATTAATTATATTTTAAATATATTTTAAATAGCTTTTTTATAAAATTACTTAAAGCGGTATATATACTACTTATTATTTATTATAGTATAAAAAATAATAATAAAAAGCTAGACTTTTAGTTTAGTAATAAGTTTATAGTGCTAGTTAAATTAAAAAAAAATGCAAACTAGGTTAATAAACAAATATAGTTTATAAAATATATTTAAAATATATTTTAATTATATTTAAATTATTTATATATAAATTTACTTGTAAAAATAACCTAAGTAAAGTATTAAAAATAATTAAAATAAAAATTATAGCTAATTTTTTAATATATTTTATAAATTATAAAAATGGCTATGCAATAATTATACTTATTATACTAAAATTTAATAAAAAAGTACTTACTATTAAAAATATACTATAGTAGGCTATTTAAATATATAATTTAAAAATATATTTAAAACTTATTTTAAATATATTTAATTTTAGTACTGCAAAAAGGCAAATTATAAAAAATAGCTAACTATATTATTTTACTTTAATTACTAGCCTGCCACCTAGTATAAATACTAATATACTAGTATTAAAAAATATAAATATTTTAATAATAAGTTAGCAATATATTTTTATATAATTATAGATAATATACTATATACTAAGCTTAAAGAACTTTGTTTAGCTATATTAAAATATAATAAAAATATAAAAATAAAAATTATAAAGTATACTAGTACTTTAATATACTATAAATATTTTTAAAATATGTTCTAACTATAAAGCATATATATAAAAGCTATAAAATATTTTAAATATAGTTTATATATAAACTAGAAACTAATTTATTAGCTAATTATATAATTTTTGCAATTATAAGTAAAAATTATACTTAAATATATTTAAAATATAATATTAATATATTTAGCTTTTAGTTAGATTTAAAGGCGCATTTATTGGCTATACTAATTAAGTATATAATATTTAGTATAAAAAGTAATATTTTTCTATTAATATAAAGCCTAATATTAATATAAAATATTTTAGTAGTTTATTTTAAAATAAACTTCTTACTAAAAACTGCTTAAATAAGCGCTGTAAAGTTATAAAAACTTAGTTTTATTAAATTAAAATATATAATAAAAGCAACTAAAATATATTTTAAACTTATTTTTAATATATTTTATAAAAATTAATTACTTTTAAGGCTAGGGCAAGTTATAAAAAACAATATATTTAGTATACTAGTATATTATTATTTTAAATAACCTAAAAGCTGCACTTTATTTTATTTTAATTTTATTTAAAATATATTTATATATTTTTTTACTACTTTAGCTACTAAAGTAGAAAAATATTTAAGCAATTAAAACTATTTTATACTTTATACTTACTTTTAGCATATTTTAATATAAGTTTATATATAAATATACTTTAAATATATTTTTAATATATTTTAGTATAGTTTTTTATATTACTTTAGCTTTAGGCGTATTTTAGCATATATAGCTATTAATTTATTAAAAATTTCTATATTGCTTTTATAAATAAAAATTAAATTTTTTATATTATTAAGCGCGAAAAGCTAATCTGCTTTTTATATTAAAAAAAGCTTAAAAAAGTAGTATTTAAATAAAAAATAAAATATTAAAATTTAAATATAGTACAAATATATTTTAAATATATTTTTCTAGTATACTTATGCTTTTAAGCTTATATTTAAGACATAATAACTTTATTAAATAGTAATATAATTATATATTGCTTTAATAAAGCAGCTAAAATTTTATTTAATTAAAAAATATTTTAAATAGATATATTTTTTAAGCAGTTAAATAAAAAGTAAATAAAAATTCTAATTGCTATTTTCTACTTAGCTTATAAAAAGAGTAAAAATCGTATATATATGCATTTAAAATATATTTCTAATATATTTAGTATTTACTTTTAGGCAGATTATAATAAATATAAAAAAAAAAAATATATATAAACTTGTATATAGTAAATACTTTAAGCTTATAAGTAAGTATATAAAAAAGCTTATATATTAATAATATTTATATAATAAAAGCTAGTATAGTACTACGCTTAATATATGCAGTAAGTAGATAAAAAATAAATAAATTATATAAATATATTAAAAATATATTCTAATTATATTTTACAAAATTTAAAAAATACTTATAAAGTATTAATTTTTAATACTACTATTAAATATAGCAATTTTGTTTATATATTTAATTCTGTAATATCTACTTTACGCGTAGTATTAATAATGCTGTACTAAATTTAAAATATATTATAAATTTATTTTAAAATTATATATAATTACTTTTATAATATAAAACTATAATAAAATATAATTATTTTATTTAGTTATTAGAAGGTAAACATTATTTAAATATATTTAAAACTTATTTTAATATTTTTTAGTAAAAAAGCTAACTGTATAGGCAAGGAACTAAGCTTATTATAAAAAAAATTATATTATAGCAAAAAAACTAATTATGTACTATAATTATATTATAAATAAAATAATTTAAAATATATTAGCATTAAATTTAAATATTGCTAAACAGGCTAGGCAGAAAAAGTATAAAATAGGAAAAAATATGCTACTATTAGGCGCAATTTTAAAATAAGTTAGTAAAATTTAAATAAAATATTTTTTAAATATATTCTAGCAGTATATAAATAAACTTATAAAATATATAAAAATTTAATACTTATAAAAAATATAGTATTTGCTACTTATAGTATAGTACTGCGTTACTAGCACAGCAATATTTTATTAATAAAAATTATAAAGCTAATAAAGCTAGTAAGTTTAAATTAAATATATTTAAAATATATTTAAAATATATTTAGAGCAGAAATAACTAAATTAAAAAAAAAATATAATATTACTATTTTTTTAAATAATAATTTAATACTTAAGTTATTTAACTTATCTAGCTTTATATATATATTAAAATAAGCTAATTTTAAAGCAAAAAATTTTTTTTAAATATAAATATTTTTGTAGTTTTTATTTATTTTAAGTATATAATTTTTACTAGCTTGCTTATTACTTATTATTAAAAATATTTAAATATAAGTTAGTATAATATGTTTTAAAAGTATTTTTAATATATTCTAATTTTAGTTTCTAAATTCTTTTACGCTAGGCTTTACTATTAAGCTAAACTATAAGCTAGGCTATATAAGAAGAATAAAAAAAATTATTGCTAGAAAAAAAGCGCTTAAAATTAGATATAAAAAAATTAGTATTTAAAAAAAAAAAGCTTGCTTTTAAAAAAAAGCAGAATAATAAATAAATATATTTAAAATATATTTCTGCACTTATAAAAAATACTATAAAAAATAGTTTATTAGAATATATTTAAAATATATTTTTAATTTGCCTAGCCCTTTCTACAAAAATGCTTAAAAATTTAAGCTATTAGCTTTATTATTTTATAGTACTTATTTTTTTTTATAGTATAGTTATTCCAAGGCTATTTTATAATATAGAATAGCTTTAGAATAGCCTTAGAATAATTATATAAAGCTAGACTAATAGCGCAGTAAAGTTTTAAAATAAATTAAAAAATATTATTTAAAATATATTTGCAACGCGTTTCTTTCTTAAATTTAATATTAACTAATATAATAAAAATTAGCTTACTAAAGTTAGATATTTTTTTTATTTTTTATTAATTATTAAAAAAATTTTTACTATTAGCGCAATTTATATATTTTAAATATTTTTTTCTGTTTTATTTAAAACATGTTTCTAACACTTTTTTTACTACTATAATAAAAAATAAAAACTTTTTAAAAAAAGTGCAAATTTAAATATATTTTAAATAAATTTTTAATATATTTTAATTTTATATAATTAATATACTAAGAATACGTAGCCTTTAAAGCCCTACTACTAAATATACTAGTTTTTTTATATGCTAATATTAGCTAGTGTATTATACTTATTAGTAAACTATTTTATTATGCCTATTAATAGAATAATAATAAAAATTTTTATAAAGTAAGCTATATAAATAAATATATTTATAATATATTCTAAAACTGTTATAGCAGCAATTTAGCAATAAAAAAGCCTTAGTTTACTATATAAAAATTTATTATAAAAACTATAACTTTTCTGCAGCTAAAACTAGCTGCTTTATATATATTTAAAAATAAAAAGCTTTTTAATTTTACTGCTAAATTTTAGTATTTAAAGATACTTTTACTGCTGCTAAATAGTATTTAAATATATTACTAATGCATTTAGCATTTAATTTAAAAATACTTATAATACTAATTTTTAGTACTGCTAAAGCTATTTTAAATATTATTTAATTAAGTTTAAACGCTCTAAACTAATCTATAGGCATTTTTAAAAAAAAAAAAAAGTTTTATTAGCATTACTAAAAAACCTGCAGCAACTAGCAACTATATTAAAACTATTTTAAAATATACTTTTTTATAAAGTAAATAATTAAAAAAAAGGCTAAGTTAAAAGTATAGTAAGTACTTTTTTAAATATATTTTAAACTTAATCTAAATATATTTAGCTAAATTTTAATAAATATATATATTTTTTTTAAGAATAAAAGCATACTTACTTTTTATAAAATTTATAGTAATTAGGGAAAAAGTAAATATATATTCTAAAAGCAATATATTAGTAAGTATTACTTTTAGTTTATATAGTAAATATATAATAAAAAAAAAAAAATTTATTAATTACTATAAGTAAAATATATTTTAAATAAAATTAAAATATATTTTACTTACTTTTTACACAAACTTTATAAACTAGCTGTAAAATATATTTAAAATATATTTAACTTTAATTAAAAAAGTACTATAAAAAGTAGTTATTTTTTTTATTATTAAAAGTATTAAAGCTATAGGCTAAAATATATTAAGAATATATTTAGAATATATTTTAGTATACTTATAGTAGCAGCTTTTTATATAGTAGTTAATGTAAAAGATATTATACTGTATTTTAGTAACTAATATATTTATTTAAATAAAGTAGAGCTAAAATATATTAAAAATATATTTAAAAAAAAAAAAGCGCATTTAAAATATACTTAAAATATATTTTAATTTTTTTATATTAATAATTATACAAATAGCGCACTAGCGCTAGTAAGTTAGTAGTAGCAGTAGTAATAGTATAAAAGCGCAGGCGCTTTTAGTTAGCAGCTTTATACTATTTAATATACTTATTATAAAAATTTATAATAATTTAGTAGCAGTTTATAAAATATGTTAAAAATATAATTAAAACATATTTAAAAAAAAAAAAAGAAAAAAAAAAAAAAAAAAAAAAAAAAAAAAAAAAAAAAAATAATATTAAATTATTTATTTTAAGTATATTTAGAATATATTTTTATATTTTACTTTAATAATATAAACGCTGCTAAGCTTACTAGTGTTAAGGAAAAGCGCGACTTTTAAGCTATACTGCTTTTTATAGTATATAATAAAAGTACTTTAAAATTAAATAATTAATTAAAATATATTAAAAACATATTTTTATATATATATAAAAATATATTAAAAATAAAATTAAAATATATTTTTATTTTATAAAAAATACTATTACTTAAGCTAACTTTACAGTGGCACTTGCTATAATTAATAATAAATTTACTTTTAGCATTTTTTTTAAACTTAATAATTTTATAAGGCATTTTTTTTAATACTAAATAAGCGCAGTAAACAGGCTAAATATATTTAAAATATATTTTAAATATATTTAAACTATACTTATAAAATTAGCTAGAATACTAGCGCTAAAAAAAAAAATAGCTATAGTAAAAATATATTTAGAACGTGTTTAGAATATAATTAAAGCTATTTAAAATATAGTATAAGTTATTTATAAATAAGTAATAAAGAATATATTAAAAATATATTTAAAATATATTTATATTATTTTTTAAATTTTATTTTTTACTTTAGCAAGAAAAAATTTGCTTTACTTAATTTTTCTATTTTAGCTAGCGTTGCTTTCTAGCCCCCCTATAGTCTGCTGAGGTATTTCCCATAGTCAGATAACATGCCAACACTCATCTTTTTCACCGACTTGACTCCTCTTCTTTACAGCCGGATCATGGCATACGTCGCCGATCTGTTAGCTTGCTTGTCTGCCATTGTATTGCGCATTCTTTGCCACCCTGGGGCTTGCTCATTTACAACGCCTACTAAGGCATCTATTCGAAAGAGCATCCTAGAATCAATCGCTATTTCATCACACACTTTGAGAAGCTCCATGGGGCTTGCAAGCTTGAACTCGAGACCCCCAAACGCTCTCCACGATGATTACCAAGAAAACATCGAGTTTGGTCCTTCAACGTAGACTATGTTTTGTTTGATAGCGCAAGTATCACCGTATCTACTGTATCAATATGTCCCTGTCACTGTCTACTTCTCGTCACACTCCTTGAATGAATAGCACGATCCCATTCAATACTCGTCACAGTCCTTAGCTATAGTCTTCCTCGGTGCCCTCTTGCGCGCTCTTTCATTATACCCACTTTCTCCACCCGAAAAATTCTTCGAGCTGTTCTAGTGACATGACGAAGCTGCACCTCCTTATTCTTCTTGCACCATGGCTTGCGCAGGCAGCGAGCAAAATCTATACAGGCTTCAACTACGGCTCCTTCTGGGGCGTGGAAGCCAACGTCAAGCAGAAAGCCGACTTCCTTGACGGCTTCACTCTAGCCAAGAACCTTAGTGCCCACACCCGTTTCGATAGTGCACGCTTGTTCACGTGTAGGGCAGGCGGTACTTTGAACGAACCTACTGGAGCCTTCGACGCTGCTGTGGAGGCGAAGACGAACCTCCTGCTCGGATTCTGGATTACACCTGGAAACAGAGGCGACGCACCCGATGAGAACGTTAAGAATGAGATGACCGCACTCGAAAAAGGTTTCCAAAAGCATGGCCAGGCCCTTGCTGACCTTGTCATTGGACTTTCCGTGGGAAATGAAGACATATACCGCTGGAAGGACACCGCTGAGTCAGGCGTTGCAGAAGATGTAGTCTCACAAACCATCGACAAGGTCAAGAAAGCTATCGCTGCTTCATCCTTTGCGGCCTACATGAAAGACAAACCGATCGGCCATGTAGATACAGCGAAGCACGCTGTAGTAAAAAATGCAGACTTCATCGGTATGACCGCATATCCATATTGGAACAAGGAAAGCATTGGAGATGCACGAATAAGCTTTCACGGCTCCTTGGAAAATGTGAAACAGCGCGCTGGTAACACTCCTGTCTGGATCGCCGAGATGGGCTGGCCCTTTAACGGTCCTCAAATAGGGGCTGGAGTTGCAAGCGCGGAGAATGTCCAGAAGTTCTGGACGGAGGTCGGGTGTTCTGTCTTCGGTCTGTACACCACGTTCTGGTTCGAGCTTCTGAAAGACTCTACGGCTGATCAACCTGACTGGGGTCTTATCGATGCCGCTTCGCGACAGCCTCGCATCAAGGATTTGAGTTGTCCTGGAGCCTTTCCAGGTGTATCTGCTTCTACACCTGCCAACTCGTACCTACCCCCTACCCCCGCTCCGACAGATCAACCAAGCTCGACTACATTGGCCACGTCTCCGAGTCAAAGTGTGGCGCCCATGCCGCCTTCTTCAAACCAGCCATCGGTGGGGACCCTTATGCCTGATGTCCCGTCAACCGCCAACTCAACCAGCAAAGTAGCTGGTACGACGCACATTACTACTACAGTCTCCATCACAGTACGACCAGCGCCTCCAACACCCATACAATTGTCAGGTGCTGTCGAAATCATGACCGAGATAATCACCGTGACAATTACTAGTACTCACTACAACAAACGCACCCCATCGCCCAGTCAAACACCGATCCCCAACGACCGCCCGTGGTGCGTCACGGTCGTCGATCTTGACAGAAATGGCAACCTCGTAACAGTTGCCGGCGGCCCAGCTGGTTCTGACGGCAAATGCAGCACACCCTCCACATACAATGGGTTTCCGTACATAACGTCTGGTACACCCGTCGAGCCAACCCATGTACCAATTGGCAGCCCATGGTGCGTCACTATGGCCGATGTCGATCGTAATGGTCGCCCTTTGCCTGTGGCTGCAGGCCCAGCCGGAGCCGATAGCAAGTGTCGGACTGCGCCGACGCATACCGGGTGGCCATATGTGGGTTCGCAGACTACGGTCGTGTCGAATATGCCAGAGAAGTCAACCGATGCACCAGCCCTTGCATCATTGCCACCATCGCCAGTACCGCCTGTATCTCCGAGCAGTGAAGCCGTTGTCAGCTCTACCACACTTGCGGTCTCAACCTCTATGCAACCAGAGCAATCATTTTGTAAGTCTTGCGCTTCTTCCTGCCTTCCACTCTTCTGCTAACACTCGTGATAGCTTCCTCGGTACATCCTTACTGCCAGCGTAAATTAAGTGGATCATCACAGTCATCAGCAGCCCTCCCTCCTTCAGTCCCCCCAGCTCATCCACTATTACCAAGCCATACATCGGCCATCGTGCCCACCACGTCTTCAAGAGCGATGAATGATGCAAATCTTCCAGCATTTAGTTTTCCGCGTCCTCCTACGACTCCTAAACAGAGAAGATGGTTGTGGTTTCTCAGAGCCAGGGAGGTGCGGGGTAGAGAGATCTGAGCGTGGTGGTGAGCTTTGTTACTTGCGTTACAGATAATCTGAATAACGAGGGACCAATACACTCAACAGGCTTTTTCAGGTGGAAGGTCAATTTGATGTTGCTAGCGATAGCTGCAGCAAGACCCTTCTTGCAACCCAATATTTACGGATATGAGAATACTTTGGTCACCTCTCCTATGCCCCTGAATTCACACTGGCGCCTACAGTCTGATCTTGAGCTTGGTCACTTCGCTCCCCTCTCACCTCAACAAGACGCAAACTCATTAGAATTATTGTTCACCGTGTCTTAAGGTACCCCTGAAATGTTCTAGATGTGACGTTGTTTGCGCTTGACACAACGAAGATGGTGACACACCTGACGTCATAACGCACGGTACCTACATCAGCACATTCAGATCGCTCGCCCCTACATGCCCTTCAACGGTCGTTGCTCTGCGATTTCTAGCTTCATTAACAACTTGACAAACCTCCGGGAACTACTACGTTCAGAACAACGACTAGTCGCCCGAGAACATCATGGCCGCTGCAGAGATCGCGGCTGGGGCTTACATTGCTTCGGAAGTTGTCGAACACGGCGCGCAATTAGGCTATGCGGCATATCTCGTCTCGAAACCTACATTGCCTTTGAAGGCTACGTTTAAAAGAATAGCTACAACTTCCGGTGACCAGTCGCAGTATGTACCCCCTCCGCCTTAGCAGAGTACTATTCTGAGCATTACAGACGATCTTTGGCTCGCTCCAACCACACTGTTACCGTGATTGGCAACAAAGCTTACATCTTCGGTGGTAATACTGCAACGAATATTCTGGCTAGTAACGATGTGCATGCTATCACGCTCGAGCATTCAGGTGAACCAGAAATGGATTACAGCATGATCCCTGCACTGTCAACTTTTGAAGGCGAGAGAACGCCTGCTGGCAGAGCAAATCATGCAGCTTGCGCTTTCCATGGAAGTATCGCAGTGTACGGCGGCTGCAGCGAGAAGGGTGACCTTATCGACGAGAACTCTTCCATCTGGCTATTCAACCCAGAAAGGAAAGCATGGGATCTACTAGCGCCATCAGACGCCGGCGCTGCACCGGGTGCGCGCCAGAATGCGCAGTTGTTCGCACAAGAAGGATACATTGTTCTCTTTGGTGGTATTGATGGTTCTAGTTCGCATGCGTCAGATCTTTGGCAGTTCGATGTCGCCTCGCGGTCTTGGACACAGCTCCCTACCGCACCGGTCGGAACCTCGAATGCTGCGTTATCGGATGGCCAATTATGGTTGATTTCTGGTTCAGATCCTATGAGCAGCCAGCTGCACCATCTTAGCATCTCCGCCTCGGATGACAAGGATCCTTGGGAATCGTTTACCTTTCCCACCAATCCGTTGGCGCCAGGACCTCGCGCGAGGCACCATGGAGCTCTACTACCCATCAGCACCGGCTGGGGTCGGAACTACTTGATCTACCTTCTTGGTGCTCGGGACGATCAGTCTTCAGCGACATCGCCTACATCACCAGATGATCTGAAACATTCGAAGGAAGCTACACAGTGGAGCGACACTTGGGTTCTCCAGATCCCTTCCAGTGACCTGGAGGCGAAGGCTTCGTTGACACTGAAAAATGCCATAAAGCCTGCAAAGATCAAAGACGCAATACGCTCCGCGATTGGCGCTGATACGGGTCACCTTTCGTGGGCGGAGGCTGTTGTACAAGTGCCGGACAAAGTAACATTAGAGGAGGAGGATGGCAGTCTGCATCCTGGCCCTAGGGCGTTCTTTGGCGCAGATGTGATGCAGAGTGGCAGTAGTGTGGTATTCTGGGGCGGAGTAAACGCGAAGGGTGAAAGAGTTGGTGATGGATGGGTTGTAAAGTTTGAGTGATCAGGAGCAGCATGTCACCGCCTGAGAACCAAATTTCTTTCTGCTTCCCAGCATCCATATGTATTCGGTTTATATAACCGACCAGTTCTAAATCTCAGGTGGAAATCTGAAACATGGCGTCCGTTGTTTCCTCAGGACTTTACGATTTAGCCGGCAATGAATATGTGTTGTTTTACTAGATCATGTAGATATGACGATGTAATTGTCCACAATTTAGATTCTTATGGACTGTTCTCTCGGTAGCGTATAGATTAATACCTTTCAAACCAAAATCTGTTATGTCCCGGTTCAAGGGCGTGTGGCCTTGTGCAACCCGTTTGATGTGTGCATGATCGACAGCCCGGGCCGACAAATCGCCGACTGTAAGGTACGTCAGCTTCCACGTTGCATCTTCAGATGCCAATTGGCTGCTGAGCGACCGTCGCGACATTCAACTCATCACATTCTCCAGTTCTTTGCCTCAATTGCTCTGTTTGGCTGAGGACTGTTTGCTGGCCAAACCAATGTCTGCAGCTTTCCGGTAGCATACGCCTGTATACGCCTGCCCTAGGGCTCTAATCCACCATGTCGAAGGAGAACCGCGCATTCGATACCCAAAGACTGGGGGCAGGTTATGGCTTCGAATCGCATCCAAAACAAGCCGTTGAGCTACCACCGACATGGGCACTCTTTGTCGGCCTAGGCTTTATGTTGTTCGCTTTGGGATTTTGGGTATGCCTAGATGTTTACATGCTGTGATGTGGACGCGCCTGACATGTGTGATTTATAGGTGTACATAGCTCTCAATCTCCTTGCGCCTACCCCTCGTCTTCCACGCCGCTCCGAGAAGCAGTACATCACCATATTGCCCGACGGCTCGCGAAGCAAACCAAACGAACTGTCGTGTTGGCTGGACAAGTGGGCGGCGGAGAAGGAAGCTGCGAAGCAGCAGGCAGCGAAAGAGCCAGGAACCAAGGTTGTAGTACCACCCCAGATGCCAATTGAGCAGGCAGATCTCTTCATGAGCGTTGTTGTACCAGCATATAACGAGGAGGAGCGACTCGAAGGCATGCTGGAAGAGGCTGTCGAGTTTCTAGAGAGCGAATATGGCGGGGCCCACGACGGAGAAAATGGACAGTACAAGCAGAAGGGCTGGGAGATTTTGATTGTGAGCGATGGGAGCACGGATGGAACAGTCGACAAGGCGTTGGAGTTTGCAAAGGAGCACCAGTTGAGCCAGCATCCGGCACCGAAACCTGGTCCCTGGTCAGAGAACGGAAATGCGAAGGCACTCCACTCGACACACATCCCACACGGCAGTATCCGCGTTATTACCCTTGAAGAGAATCGGGGCAAAGGCGGTGCAGTAACTCACGGCATGCGACATGCGCGAGGCCAATATATCGTCTTTGCCGACGCAGACGGCGCCAGTCGCTTCTCCGATCTCGGGAAACTCGTTTCAGGCTGCAAAACCATCGAAGATAAAGACGGTCGCGGTGTCGCAATCGGCAGCCGCGCCCACCTTGTCGGCAGCGAAGCCGTCGTCCAGCGCTCCGCCTTAAGAAACTTCCTGATGCATTCGTTCCATATCCTCCTACGCATCATGACTCCGCCTGCCACCGCCCGCATAAAAGATACCCAGTGCGGCTTTAAACTATTTTCACGGCCTGCATTGCCGTATATTGTGCCGTATATGCATTCTGAGGGTTGGATCTTTGATGTCGAGATGCTTATGCTTGCTGAGAGTGCGGATATTGCCATGATTGAGGTTACCATTGGGTGGAAGGAGGTCTTGGGGAGTAAGCTGAACGTTGTTTGGGATAGTATTGGAATGGCGTGGGGCCTGGCGCTACTGAGAGCTTGTTGGATGTGCGGGATTTATCGGAGGGACTGAACAATGGCTTACTATGAAATCAAACGGTTCTTGTGGTCAATCCATCCAGTCTCAGTTTTGTCATGAACCTGCTCGGCTAATTACCTATCCTGTATGCAGCAATCGAAAAAAACTAATGTATGAGGAGAACACGTGGAGCCGTACCCGATACCTAACTCCTCTGTCAATCTCTCAATGCTTTCCATGTCCGCTTTTCCGCACACTATAGTTTGAGACAAGTCCGCTCTATTGCGATTAGCGGAGTCTTTGATCAACTCAAGATGAACTTGAATTTGAAAGGGTTAGTTGTTAGCCATGTAAATGTCCTTGATTAAAATTACTGTCACGTGCTTACTCCTAAGCAAATTTGTTGTCCTGTTAGTTTCTGGATGTACACCTCGATTATTTAGTCCTTGAGAATAAAAAAGTTATAAAGCTCAGAGACCTCTCTGCAGACCGTCAAAGCGGTGTTGCAACATAATGAACGGTGCGGTACCGCAACGCAAAGATCTGGCCGCAGAACCAAAAAACTATTTCCGGCCACGTTTGGTCCTTGTATGATGTAATATGAGATACATTACCTTGGCTAGGGATAGAAGTGTACAAAGGATTGGAAAGCTCCTTGTAACACTCAGGCATGTCGCAACTTGAAAGATCCGAAGATGTAAATTTGAGAGCAAAACTTTGGCAAATACGAGGATTCAAGCCACTCAGCATCTTCCGTGGTAGTAGGGAACTGATAGGCTAAGACTTTGATGATAGAAAAATCAACGAGCCGAACGTCATCAATCAAATGAAATAGCTGGCTTGGACGTCTTCAAGTCACCAACAAAAATACACCTAAAGGGACTGAAGCTGTTTGAAGTCGAAGAGCATCCAGAGACATTCGGTACCGAAGCGGGTGCCCCACTTGTGTGGGGACAACACGCCAGCAAAAAAAGATGATGGTTACTTCGGTATATACGCGACACCTGTGTGATTCGAACACACGCTCCCGAAGGAACTGGCTGACTTCTGTTCGAATGAACAGCTAGCAGGCCAGCGCGTTAACCACTAATGAGTGAAATATTAGTTAATGTTCTGGATTTGGGAAATGTGATGAACTAACCTCCGCCAAAGTGCCTTTGTGATGTTGATGACAAATCTTAATTTGTAAAATAGATATCTACCTAGATAGCAGCAAACTAGCCTAGCCTGACTCGTTTGTTATTCTTCGAAGAAGAGTTAGAATTTGTGAAAATGCGGCGCGGCGCGAAAACTAGCGACTAACGTTTGTTAGTAGATTGGTAATATATGCGGGGTATTACTAAATAAGCTTACATTATCATTCTTATTTTTAAACTTTAACTTGGGCAAAGTTTCCCTCCACAACACTATTCGGCAAAGACACATGTAACTTATACATATAATTTTTTTTGGGTAGATTATGATGTTTAACGCATCTCTAGCGTAACAAGGTATGGATTACTTCAGTTTTTATAATGCCCGACGTTTAATCATCTTATTTGAATTAGTATCATTGGCACTTTTATACAAAACTGTCCCTTTAAGCGCTAATCTAATATTTATATCCTAATATGTCCACATTCAATCGATTTGTGTTAAAGAGCTAGGAAAGTAGAATACAAGGTGGCAACGTTGGGCTACTTATGATTTGTATGTTGTCCACGGACAGCCACCATCCATTTGTAACTGTCAATCACAATAGTCAGTGGCTCCGCTCTGGAACAGCCGTAATAGCTGTTATCGTGCTGGTTCATACGCCGCTGCAGGCGCCGCCAAGGCATGCCTGGGCGATACAATGTCCAATATCCCCTTGACGGTCCTCACGTGTAGCCGTTGCTAGCTGCACAGGAACGTAGATATGGAGCCGCAGCTAACTAGCATGTACGAATACTACGTATTGCGAGTTAAGTCTTTTTTAGACACTGGTTAGACACTGGTTGTTAGATACAGCCCCTTTGCAGTGTGAATAGGCTGTAGAGGCGAGCTACACCCGTAGTGGCGACACTTCATGAACGCGAAAACCCGGAGCGTGTTCACCACGCTTCGTTTTAGGCTTTCCTTGTTTGATTTCACGCTGGACACCACTCACTGCAAACTACCACCCACGCGTTGCGCTCAAGATGGCAAATCGCGCAGCTCGAAGGAAAGCGCCACAACCCAGGGCTATCCTCTCTTTTTTTCAAACCTCTCCCATTACCAATTGCCCCTCCAGCAAATCAGCTCAATCCCAACCCTGACGCGTCGAGTTTACCCCCAGAGCCAAGTACTCTGTCCACGGACAAGCGTGCTTCGATTCATTTCGAAGATCATACTGTGCAACAGAAACATTATATAGTTTTGATATATCACGAATAGGTATTACATAAAAAGTAAGCTACTCAAAAGCCGGTGCAACAGAAACATGCCGCACGCGACCAACTACAACCAGCGGCCACGTACAGCACCGCCACCGAGAAACACCGCCGGGATCTGTCCACGGACATTGCTGACCATCTATATATTAAACGACTCATTCACCGGCAACGGATCAAAACTGTGCATAGAAAAGCCCACTGATTGTTATACGGTGTACACCAGAGTTCACAGCCTTATATTAATAGCAGAGGAGTAGCATGCCGAGACTATGGCATATATTGGTTCATTGTGAGATATCATGAAGTAATGGGAAAGATCGCACTGCTAGGTTTTTGGGTCCAGTACTATGCTCCTTGAAGATGGCTTGGTATTCAGAGCCACACTGGGGCGTCACTTCCTAATGGTTTTGGCATGGTTTCCCATCCAACCTCTACACCCGCTATCTTCGCCGCATGTCGAATGGCGCTTAGCTCTCCAAATCCAGTTTGCCTCGTTTCCAAATACTCCCGGACATTCTTGAGGTCATTTAAGTTTTTTCTCTCAAACCCAGTCTTCCCATCGTATTGCCCTAGTGACCTAAGATACTTCATCACTCCACTCAATGACACCTTGATCTCATATGCTCCGCCCTCCGTCGCCCGTTTGTACAGTGCCGCGATGATCCCAGTCGCTAGGAGATAGCCCGAACCATGATCGAGCGCTTGACATGGTAGCACGCGGACTGCTTCATTAGCGCCAAAGCGCTGTGCATCTGCGACGTTAATACCTGAGCATGTTTGGACGAGAGAGTCAAAACCACGATTTTGAGACCAGGGACCGTCCGGTCCGTATGCATTCAAGCTTGCTACGATCAAATTTGGGTTTGCTTCGATGAGCTCTTCTGCCGAGAGGCCTTGTGCGGCGAGACTCCCAGGGCGGTAGCTTTGTATGAAGACATCCGCTGTACGAAGTAGCTCAAGTAGTTTAGCTTTATCATTGGGTTTTTTGATATCGAGCTGTACCGTGCGTTTGCCTCGCGAGAGATCAATGTCGAGGTCCGGAAGATTCGGTAGTGTAGGTGATGTGATCCAGATGACATCTGCCCCGTGCACTGCAAGTGTCTTACCAGCAACTGGGGCTGCAACAACTCGACTCATTTCGACTACGCGGATGCCTCTGAGACACTTGTCGTTTTTACTTGATCTCGGGGGTGGTGGCAGATAGGGATTCGTTCCTCTGGTCTGATTTAGCAGGATGGGAAAGTCGGCGATCGCTTTAGCTTGAGGAAGTGCATCCCATTCATTGAAGGAACGTAGCGCAGTAATGACAGCACCATTGTTGAATGCTTTAGTCTCAAGGTCAATAGACCTCTGCCTAATCATCGTACTTGCAACATCTTCCCTTGAAGACTCACTACCCAAGCCGAGGATATTCAGAGCAGTCTCTCGATGGTTCGGGAATGCGTCATGCATTCTTACATACCCGTCAGCTGTCCTATGCAAACCACCAATTGTCCCCCATGACGCAGGTGCAGACTTGCCATTGAGCACGTAGAGGCGCTCCGATATGAACTCGACGGAAGCATGCTCAGCTGGAACAGTGACCTTCGATACGGGGGACTTATGACGAATGGACCAGAAGAGGGCGGCTGCAAGCGCCGAGAGTGCAATTGTCGATTGTGCAATGTGGTCAACTTTAAAAGAAGAGGGGTAGCATTCTGCGTCGAGAGGAAGGTCGAGAGACTCCAATGCTTCTTCTGGAAGACCAAGTGTTCTCCATATGTAGGCAACGGAGTCGAATGGTGCGAAAGATGATCGATTCATTGGGGTCTTCCTGAAGTCAAATGACTAGAGTATGTATTCCAAATACTGGCTGCGTGGATGAGATAGCTGCTTAGAGATTGACGTTTCCACGAAATTATGCATCTGGAGTATAATCGAACAATATAACAGGACTACAGAGGAGACACAGAGTCGGGTTGACGCGAAGATACTACCCGACGGTAGCCGAACCGTTTTGTTATGTAAGCAACTACCGGTACAAGGTTGTTCGCGCGGACATCGGGATCTCCAACGTTTCCTTTCTAAGACCTCACGATAAGGCCCGCCAACAGGTTGACGTAGGCTTCGAGTACCAACCCATTCCCGGATTTTTGTGTAATTATGGGAAGTCCGGTGGGGTACAGGGTGTTTGGACGTCGGCTCGCACCCCTGTAGTTTTCACTCCAACCAGAGGGCATCAATGGTCTGTTCTTAAAGCTCTGATTTGCCCTTCAAATAAGGATGTAGGCCGACATTCAAACACCCGGTAGACCGAGAGCCCGGTATTCGACATCCCGATTCACCGAGTCTCGAACTGACCTCAGCCTCGTGTGAATCACAACCAGATCGCATACGGCTGGAAAAAAAGATAATCTTGTTTAAGAAGCGCCTACACCCTAGGACTACCTGTTTATTACACACTGAAAGTCATTTATCATGTCACACGTTCTAAGCATCATCGTTTTAGGGGTCGTCGCTACTGTGTTTCTCGTACGTCACGCCACCTCTTCTTTAGATACTCTACTATAGCTCAACTAGGGCGCAGGCGCTCTCTTAGATACTCTACTTGCTTCGACACCAAGATATTCCATGAAATATCGTTACTGATAATATAGCAGGTATTCTGCAAGGTAGTCTACAATATCTATTTCCACCCTCTCCGCCATTACCCAGGATCAAAGCTGTGGGCAGCCACACGATTGACTTGGGCAAGCGCCATGCAATCCGGGCATTACCACCATAAGTTGCATGAACTACACACCAAGTACGGTCCTATCGTACGTATTGCTCCTAATGAGTTATCTTTTGTCAGCCCGGACGCCTGGAAGGACATATACGGCAACCGCAACATTCCAAAAAACAACGTTTGGACCAGCCAAGAAGAAGAGCATCATCCGATTAGCATTGTGAGTACGGATGAAGCTACGCATCTGCGTAATCGAAGAGCTTTGACTGGAGCGTTTACGGAGCATGCAATCGCTGAGCATGCATATATTCTGGAAGACCTCGTTGGACTCATGGTCCAGAAATTTGGCGAGGCGGTAGCGCACGGCCAGGGCTGCGCAGTGCTCGACACTTCGAATTGGCTGAACTTCTTGACCTTCGACATTTCCGGTGCTTTTGCTTTTGGTGAGTCGTTCCATAGCGTAGCCAACGGTCGCGCACATCCGTGGGTGGAGATCAGTTGTAACTTCGGCAAGGGCGTCGGACTCATGGCATCAATCAACTTCTTCCACCCTCTAAACAAATTAATGAAGCTTGCAATGCCAAAGAATGTCATGGAGAAGATGAAATACCATAAGAGACTTGTGCACGAGAGCCTCATGCAACGACTCGCAATGGAGAATAAAACGAAGGCGCTAGACTACGTTGGGTCAGTTATGGCATATAATGAAGAGAAGGGCGAAGTCAAGATCCCCAAAGAGGAGATTGAGGCGAATTTGAATATCCTCATCTTTACAGGGAGTGAGACGACCAGCACTGCAATGGCTGCGATAATCCACCAGCTCCTTAACAGCCCAGCAGTTTTGGAAAGGGCTCAGAAAGAGATCCGCTCTACCTTCGATAACGAAGACCAGATCACCGTCTCTAGCACTGCGAAGCTGGATTACCTCTCCGCTGTCATTCTGGAAGGGATGAGGATGAGTCCGCCTGCTGCCGTTGGTCCACCTCGAGTCGTGGAAAGAGAAGGAGAGATGATCTCAGGCCAATATGTACCTCGTGGAGTAAGCGCTTCTAACATACTAACTATGGCTTCCGTACGCATCTGCTAACTTTGTTGTGAAGACGTTGGTCGCAGTAAACCAATATCCCACCTTCCGCTCAGCCTCCAACTTCACGCATCCAGACTCCTTTATACCCGAACGCTTCTTACCCAAGTCACCGTTTTCATCCGATCGACTCGACGCATTCGAACCCTTCCTACTAGGCCGACATAAGTGCATTGGCCAGAGACTAGCATGGGCGGTGCTACGTCTTACGCTATCGAAAATCCTATTCACTTTTGATACAAAGGCGGTGGAGGAGCGGGGTGAATTCAGCGATCAGAAGATTTACATTTTCTGGGAGAAGAAGCCTTTGATGGTCGAGCTTCGGCTGAGTGGCAGTTAACTTGGAATGACTGGGTATAGGATTGGGTAGGTAAGCATTGCGTCTACTATTGTTAGATCGTGTGGAATCTACTGAGAAGTTGTCTTGTACAAACATAACTTCTAAGTGTAGGGCTGTTGCACCCCTTTCTCACTAGTTAGTTCTACTTCCTTTACCTTTACTTTTGACTGTTGGTATCTATCAATTCACCTATTGTCGTAAACCAATAGAGAGCTTTGCAACCTTATCTGGACGGGTCACCCTCGTATCGCGATATAATTATTCCGGTTTACTGCTAGCATTACACATAAGTGTTGAACTGGAGTTGTTATCATGGCTTGGAACGGCAGGTGACATCGATTGCGCTGAATTTTGAACGTCAAAACTACGTGAGTACATACGGTTCAGTGCATTCAACTCCACGGACACCATGTGTTCTTCACTAACTTACATAAGAATCAATGACTATCCCGCAGTCACGGGCAGCGAAGACTTTGATTGTAGCACCTCTAATACAACAAACTCCACTCATCGAAACAAAAAAAGGCCTGTGTCAAGTGTATTATATCAGTGAAAAGATTTCTGATGAGTGGGGGCCGTACTGATTTTGAAGGCAACGCATCAAATGAGCTGTGTTTCGCAATGACATCTCACCTTAATACACCCGAGTGTCTCTTGATGATTTGTAAACTATACTGAAAGAGCAGGCTCTTCGTCAGCTTTCTCTACACAGTTTGCCTACCACTTACAGAATCCCACCTCCATAGCACATTTTAGCGAATCTTCACGTCATATAGGATTATATCTGTGAGGAAAAACCAGGAAGCGCTCTGAGGCATCTCTTACGATCTCTTAACGCTTTAAATGTCGTTGTTGTATCGTGCATTGTGAATAGGAAGTAGTACGCGTCGCGAATCGCCTGCAAGGCTACGGGGTGCAAGCTGAGTAACGTTTGCAATCGCGCCAATCATCTCCGCTATCTTGTATCATGAACCGCGGAGCTTTTAGAACTGAGCCTGGCTGATAAAAAAAAATCGATTCCCCAGGTGCATGCCCAAGATCGTTGTCTCCGCAAGCAAATCCCTGTCAGCGACTGCGAATCCTTTGAATGGTGGCAAGTTCACCCCTGCCCCCCACCCCCTAGCACCAGCATGCGGCCGCCTTACTCTAAACCATCCCTGCTACTGCATCTCACAATCAGGCTGGTCACCACCGAAGCTCTTAGCCTGACAACCGTGCTGTAAGCCCGCTGACAAGGTTGCTGCCCGGCGGGCCCTTGACCCAATCAAGGTATCTCCCTAGCCTGCTAATCCTAGCGTAGTAAGACGCTAGCCTGTTCGGTCAGCTGTCGTCTTGCATGAGGATTGCGACGGTGAGAAACAATGATCGGGACATGAGAGGTAGCGACGCAGTTGTCCAGGAGCGGCAGGGATAACGGATGGGGATTTGGCAAATATAAAACCGCCCCTAAAATCACTGGATGGTTCAGCCTCTCTTTCCTGGCATTCATCGTCCGGATCTTCAACAGATCATTCGCCTTTGTATTACCTCTTACGTTCCGTCTATCTCAGCTTTTGCTTAGAGCCACCTCCAAAAGCTCCAGAGATGTCGTCTCAGACTATGAGTACCCATAATACACAGCTTTCGAACAAAGCTAGCCAATCCAACTCCCCATTACCGTAAGACACGTCTGTGCTATGCTCTATAACATCATCTTATACTTCTTAGTAGCTCGAGCACTGCTACCCACCTGTATGCAGAAGCGTTGGCAGAACAGAACGCCCACCCAAATGCAGTGGACTATCAGTGGGCAATAGAAGAAGAGCGGAGAATCGCACGACTCGAAAGAGCGGCGAGAGAACTTGGCTTCGAACTACCTTCACGGTGTTTTGGGAGATAATGAATACGGCATCTTATCAAGGTATCTTCTCCTTAATAGCTCCAACAATACTATTTAAGCCCGCCAATCTCTCCTCTCTCGTCGCCCCCAGATACAAGCTCGCAACAGGCCATGCATGAATCCCGCCTTGATCCACCCAAGTGTCCACCTCCTTGCCTGTGCTCTTTAGCAGCCCTACTAATTCCATCGTCTCTGATGCCAGTACCTCGTCACTGCCATACAAAAAGTACCAGCCCTTTACCGGACTGGCGTCGGCCCACTTCTTAACGTCTTTGCAATAGCCCGGGGAGACGAGGGGGTCGTTGGCTGCGACTTTGGAGCCGATATATTGGCGGCCGTAGAGTTCAAGGGAGGATCTATTTAGGTAGTCGGAGGCGGTATCGCGGTTGTTTCGGGACACAATCGTTACCCACGGGCTGATCATGATGGCTAATCCCGGTCTCTGGTGTCGAAGTTCGGTATGACCCGTCATGTACAGTAGGAAGCTCAAGATCAGGGTCGCGCCAGCGGAGTCGCCGCCTACAACAATGCGGGTAGATGACTGAGCCAAGGAGAGGACATACTCGTAGCCTGCAAGTGTTTCTTGAAGTTGAGTTGGGTATGTTGCGTCTGGAACTAAGGTGTATTCCAGCGAGAAGAGGGCTGGGTTGCGGTATCCAGCGTCATGTAAAAGTGAAACCCAAGCAAGTAGAAATTCCATGTAGAAGAAACTGCCGCCCATGGAGAAGCCCCCACCATGGCAGTAATATACGATGATGTCTGGTTGTTCTTGCTGGTTGTAAACAATCCAGACACCTCGGAAGTTAGGTCTCTTGATCTCGGTCCACCGTATAGGACTCGTGACGATTCCGTGCCGTAGCATCCGGAATCGTAGGAACGGCAATGAGACAGCTTTTGAGAAGAAAACACGCCCAAGGAAGGCAGGCATATTGGCAAAGGCATAGCGTACAAAGCGAATGACGACGTCCTGGAATGGTGTTGCTTTCTTGACGAATGGCGTGCGGTGCTCATGTGGCACGAAGAATCTTTCTCGGATGAATTGGTAGGGTATGACCAAGGCTTTGCGACTATGAATAAGTGTATTGAGACGCAAGGATGAAAAGCTTACCTAGATGTGGTATCGCTGGAACAAGCCATGTAAGTATTGGTAGTAGGCCAATCTGTATCAATAGTTGCGGTGCGAGGAAGACCAGGAAAGCGATGCAATCCAAATGAGAAATTTGGCTAAGAATCATATTGATCAACGCAACACGAAAGACAGATGCGATAGGCGCAGTACCTCAAGCCATGGGACTATTGAGCTTCTGACCGACGACGATGACAAGGACAGGTTTGGCCAGGAGGGTTTAGCGCTCAATTGACCTGCTGCGAGGTACTAGCAAGGCAATGGAGAGGTATGGGAGCGTTTAAAGAGAGGATGATATATACTCGGGATGTCTTCGCGACGTATTGCAGGGGGTGAATGCAGTCCTGTGAGCGGGCACGTGATCCGGCTCCCCCCGAGCACGGACCCTCACGGAACTTTTCTGGAAGTCGCGACGCCGACCTCAGTTGCCTGCTCTTCTGTCTGTCGCAAACACCAAGGCGCATCTGCAACAAGTACTCGATTGCTTGCGCTTCTGTCGAACGCGTGGCTTACCTGCAGTTTTTTCATAGCCTCTTCTCTTCTAAACCTTCTTTAATGGACTAGCAACCCCGCCGAGGCTGGTCTTACGCGGTTGCCTCACCCGTTCTCGCGAGCTTGCAGAGGCGCAAAATGTCCAACCCCGCAGCAGACCCGAAGTCTGCGCCGCTTGCCGACGACTTGAGGGGCTTTGCCATGTACGCCTCGCATGGTTATATTCGCTTTAGCAATGCTAATAGGCGCAGTTCTCTCCCGGCCACCGTATTCCCCAAGAATTTCTTCTGCGCCCTCTGCAGCCAGCTTGCCGTCGACGCATGGAAGCTGCTCTGCTGTAACAAGGTCATCTGCTCATCATGTGAGTGCATGAAAACCGCCTGTCCTTAAAAGAGCAGATGCTGATGCTATTCACAGGCCAAGCGAATCTTCAATTCCCCACGACATGTCCATCATGCGACCACTCCCCGCTCGAGGCCGACTCGTGCGCGCCGAATAAGGCCCTCCGCAACACGATGCGAGTATGGCTGGAGAAGCGGAAGAAGAAGGAGGAAGCTAAGGCTGCGGCACAAGTAACAACTCCACCAGTGGAGGGGACACCGGCCGCGCCCGAGGTGCAGCCTGCCGGCCCGGTGGCAGACAAGCCTGTCGAGAGCGTAGATGAGGTTTCAACGACAGAGCCTGTTCCTGTTGAACATAGTTCTATCGCTGTGGACAGTGCTGCAGTTGTTACAGAGCGTGCAGTTTCTGCCTCAGCACCACCGAACGATGTAGGCTTGCAGTTCCCCGCTTTTTCCTCCCACATAGGCAAATTGGAGTCCTGCAAGCAGGAGGCAGGAGACGGACGTGCACGTCTTAGAAGAATGAACACGATCAACGTCGCACGTGCTAGTGACTTTGGAGCGCATCTCATCTCGTGTTACACTGTTGCTAATCCTGTCCAGGACATAATCTCTCCTCAAGTTGATTCTGAGCGACGTGGCAGCAATGCATCGCAGAGCGTGGCTAAGAGCATAGAGCCGTCAGCGACAGGTGGTTCTATCGATGAACACACTGCGAACGGAGCAAATGGCGGTATGATGGGTAGCAACCCCATGGCAAATGGCGTGCAAGGCCAGATGGGCTTCGGGTTTCCTAACCAGGCTGGCTTTAATAATGGCATGGGCTGGAATGGCATGAACCAGATGAATGGCATGCCCAACATGATGGCCAACGGCAACTGGAACGGTATGAATCCCATGGGCATGTCACCTTGTTGGCATTTTATACAAAATTTTGAGCTAATGCGCTACTAGATTTCAATAATATGAACGGCATGTCCACCGGCATGTACGGCAACTTCGGTGGAAATATGGGCATGAGCATGAACGACATGTCTGCCATGAACATGATGAATTACAGTGGTGGCTATGGCAATGGGTGGAATGGAATGGGCGGTGGCTATGGAAACTTCAACGGGCACAACCAGATGGGTGGCTATAATCAATCTGGAGCATATCCCGAGATGATGAACCAATTCCCCAAGAATAATTTCCCAAACCAGAACCAGAATCGTTTCCATGCCAATCAAGGAGGAGCATATCCTCAGCGAAACAATAGGAATGGCAGTCAAGGAGGCTTTGGTCCTGGTGTTCAGAACGCGAACAGCCCTCCTGGAAGCCGCAGTGGTCCCGCGCACAACGTACGTCAACTTCATCATCATATTCCGCCGAGACCGTCTCCTTCGGTCGGCAATATTTCGAGTCTAGCAACTGACAAGTGTCTTTCCAAACAGCGTGACGGCCAGTCGCCTGACGGAACCGCTAACACTGCTCCTGAGGTCAAGGCCGAGGGTGAGCAGACGAAGACATCCGCAGAGTCCACTGAGGAAGGTAAGTATCTTATTGATGGTGCGTCGGACTCCGTCGACCCGCAAGCTACGCAGGAGGCTTCGGCTAGTGGTACCGGTGAAAATTCCAATGAAGCTACTACCCAGGCAGGAGTCGACTTGAATGAGACCACGCAGGATGGTGGTCTGAAGAAGATTCAGACTGTCGACTCAGTTGATACGGATTTGGAGGGCTACGACCAGTCGATGATGGGTAATGGCATGCAATCCAATATGCCGTATCCTCAAGGCATGATAAACCATTTTGCCAACCAGCCAATGAACGCATCTTTCGATCCCAGCATGAGCATGAACATGAACATGGGATTTGATCGGAACAACAACTTTGGTCCACGTGGCGGCTTCAACAATGGAGCATATGGGGTTGCTAGGGTCCTGACAGGCCAACCCACTGAACCTATTGGCGTAGGCGTCGCCGGTGCACCAACAGGACCGCGAGCGATGCGGGAAGGCCGACCTAACACTGGCTTTTCAAGTCGGGTGAACAGTGGACGGTATAACCCACCACCCAAGAGTGTTACACCTGCTCAGGATGCTGCGCCGCCTCCCGGTAGTCCACAGCGGAGGGTTCGTTCGTAGGTTCATCCACGACTATTCGATTATTGGATTAACTGATATCTCTGCAGACGATCTCCACAGCGGGACGAAAGCCTACGTGTCAAAGAGAGGTCACCGACACGCTCACGGTCTCGATCGAAATCACGTGGAGGGGAAGACGACAGGGACGAACGTCGAGAGCGATCACAGTCACCAGATCGCGAGTCACGACGCGAAGGTCGTGACCGGTCGCCTACACCACAGGCTGATGATGATTACGAGCGTCGAAAAGAGCGACGGCATCACCGCTCATCTCGCCACGGCGACCGCGATGAAGACTTTGATGATCGTCACCGGGATGATAGGGCGAGTCGAGGTGACCGGACGCGAACTGCATCCGTGGAGTCGAAATATCGCAGTGGCCGTCGTGAGAAGGAAAAGCACCGATCATCACGCTCGCATCGAGACCGCAGCAAAGAGCATCGCCGTCGCCACCGCTCACGTTCTCCTGCAGAAGACAAGTACGAGGATGAAGAAGCCCAAACGAACGGCGAGAAGGACTCAGACGGCAGCTCTCGTCGCAAACATAGGAGCGGCGACAAAGACAAACACCGCGAGCGATCACGAGACCGAGACCGTGAGCGAGATCGAAAAGACCGCAAGGAGCGCGACCGCGAGTACGAATATGAGCGATCAAGAGACAAAGACCGCGATCGCAAACGCCGTCGCGACCGCGAAGCAGACGACGATGAACGCGAGCATGACGACGACAAATACCGCTCCTCCCGCCGCAGCCGCAAAGACCGGGACCGCGAGCGAGACCGGGACCGCGATCATGACGATCGTGAGCGCAAGGAGAAGAAGTCCCAGCTAGACAAAGAGGATGATATCGTAGGCCAAATGATGAAGAAGCGACCCGTTTCACCACCTCTCAATGCACCTACAGGTCCCTCGGCGAACGGCTTTTCTATCAAGGGTCGAAGTAAGAACGTCGTTATGCCGCCGCCGTCTCAACCTCCTACCGGCCCACGGGCGCTTCAGCCGCCCAAGGGCCCAGCCGCGGACCGCAACAAGGAGCGCAGCGATTCTCTTTCCCATCGACGCAAGTCTAGTGTCTCCTCCATTCCTAGCGGGCCAAGTACACCCGCCGCATTGTCCGTCCAAGATCACTATGCCGCAGAACGGGAGAGGAATGCCCGGGAGCGAGACAGCCGCGATAAAGTTGACAAAAGTAATCGTGATGTTCTCACAAAGAGTGTACACTCACGAGCCCACTCTTCATCGCGCCCTTCACTGGCCTCCAAGCGAAGTCGGGACGATATTGAAGACACTGAAGGTAACGAGGTTCCACGCAGCGAAATACCTCGGGGTCCTAAGGCCGACGTGAAGGCGCCCACAGGCCCCGCAAGTCACCGGGACAAGCGGCGCAAGAGCGGTGCGATAGGTGACGATAACATTGCGAATCTCTTCACTGCCGGGCTGCGGAAGAATGCAAAAGCTAGACGGGGTGGTGTGAGAACGGAGGGTGAGGTAGACAGGGAGATGGAGCGTGTGGAGCGGGAGCGGGAGCGGGAAAGAAGATAGGATGTCTTTCTTTCAAGGTGAAAAAGGGTATATGTAATGGCTAAGCGGAAGGCGACAGTGGATGGCATTTTGATCATTTGCATATGCTTGGACATGAATACGGGGCGGATCTTTGGGTGATCTCTACTTCTTGTAATATATCCTTCCACCGATAGGCACCTGTACCTAGCCTAGGCGTAGGCCTAATGAGATATATTTCCAGGGTTCACAGCTTACTTTGGTGCCTAGTTGAGTTCAACGTTCCATTTCGAATTGTAACATTGCTCATTACATCTTTGAATAGAATTTATCGTACTTTGGTCTGCCATGGCGCCGAAGTGGAAAGATAGGCGTCCAACATGAATGCATGCTGGTATTCGCGTCTCAAGGCAACTATCGCCTGTGGTTGACAAATTCCCTAGTCTCCCCACCCAACCTTGACGCAACAACTGTAGCCTCCCTGATCGCTTTCGCCACTGATCCCCTCACCCCATCTTCCTCCAAGCTCATCAGACCGCCAATTGTACAACCTCCAGGCGTGCTAACCTTATCCTTCAGCACAGCCGGGTGCTCTCCATTCAACACCAACCCCGTTGTCCCTCGCATCGTCTGCGCAGCCATGATCTGCGCTTCCGCCCTGGGCAGTCCCATGGCAACAGCACCATCCGCCGCAGCCTCCAGAATGAGGGCGAAGAAAGCAGGACCAGACCCGCACAGCGCGGTGGAGATGTCCATTAAAGCGGGTGGAAGTGACACAACACGGCCAATGGAGCTGAAAACGAAAGAAACGAGCGCATGTTGCGAGTCCGTGAGCGGTGGATCCGAGGTTTGGATGACGGACATGGATTCGCGGACGAAGGAAGCTGTATTGGGCATTACACGCACGACTCGGCATGGATTATCTGCTTTGTCTACGCCCGATGGGTAGAGGAAGGCTTCAATCTGCTGCTGTGTCACGCCTGCCAGTATCGACACCAAAACCTTGCCCTTCAGCGCCTCGAGCATGCCCTCTTCACCCAATATTGTCTTATAGCCATGGGGTTTGCAAGATAATAGGATGATGTCTGCTTGTTGGACACCCGTGAGGTTCTGGTTTGTGAGGGTTTGTAGCGGGAAGTTGTAGTGGCCGAGTGCTTTGCGGACGTTTTCTTCCGCAGGCTTCCACTGATCACAAGCGATGAAGCTGGAGAGGTTGGGCGTGTCTTTGGAGGCAGACGAGGGATCGAGGGTTGCTTGTGTTTTTGCGCTGGCGAGCGAGGACATTACGCCGCCCATGATGGCTATACCCATGGTACCTGGTGGCTGTTAGTGGAGAAGACAGGTAGAAGAGGAGGCGCGGAGGTTGTTGAAGCTTCATTGCCATGATGAAGTAGACAGAATGTGTATGCGACTGATACTTCAGACTAAACAGCCACTGGATGATTTTCCAGCTTCCATGAGACCTCATTGCGTGGGGATGGGCGGGGCAGTTTAAGAAGGGTATGAGAATCACAACGTACCAGAACCGAGGACGGTCAATGTTAGACTCTTAGATTCTTGTGTGTTCGCCATTCTGTCTGCTGGTTTCTGTATATTCGTTTGCAAGGTGTTGTGTGAATGCGAACGAAGTGATTATACCAACACCTCGGAGCGAAGTCGGTGGGGTTTAGTGACCCAAATAAAAGTTGAAGCACGGGCCACTGCCGACGATATGCGCTCCCCTCAAAGCTCATTACTACTGACATAGAACACGCCAAATCCCTGCCCTTCTCCCAATAGGGCGCACCCGCCTTCTATCAACATCCGAATTCTATACCGAAGCTACGCGCGACCAACGTCTGTCTCCACTATGGCCGACCCCTTCGAAGTACGCCAACGCTTCACAACGCTCCTCTCCCACCTCTCCGCGTCGCACACGTCGCTGCAAAAAGCCGCCCTCTATGCGCTCAAGAACCGCGAGATGGATGAGGACCTGCACTCCTGCATCTTGGAACAACTCGAGCGCACAAACATGAACACGCGCGCAAATATCATGTTCTTTATCGAGTGCTTGTGTGAGATGGCTGTCAAGGAAAATGGCGGAGGGGATGGGAGCGCCATGGGCTATGTGAGGATGTTGCAGCGAGACATTCTGGCTGTGGTCGAGTGCGTTGTTGGCGAGGAGGGGGCGAATGTTAGAGTGGTTCGGAAAGTGCTACACACGCTGCAAGCGCTGGGGATACTGCTTCCTGAGACGGTGTCTGAGCTCGATGCCGTGCTCAAATCCCGCGAAGTCGAACACCCCTTTACCACGGACACGTCGCCTGCCCATCGTTCCAATACCCGCAATGGTAGTGCCAAAATGGATAAGCGGCAGGTCGAACATAGGATTGAAGAAGATCGGGAGAGGCACAAGAGACTGAGGGAAAGTATTTGGGCTATTCCGGGTGACGATGAAAAGGAGATGGAGAGGCTCTGGGCAGAGGCGAGCGATATTGGGGAGGACGACTTTGTAGTGGGGAAAGAAGATCGGGAAGAGAGGAGGCAGGCTGTTGCGTTTGGTTGACAGCGGCAAAGGAATTACTCCCGGGAATTGTTTAAACATAGCAAGGCGTTGGCGTTAGGGTAGAGAGATACCACGGGTAGGCAAAAGCGCCCGATCATTGTAGTGTAGTCGTATAGTGTACGCGTATAAAATACACCCAAGAATTTTGACCAATGTCACGAATATCTGTACACGCTACATGCAATGCTATGATACAGTGTTCTCTTACAGCTGGATCGTTCACGCCATCTCCCAGCTGCGTGCCTCCCCTCTCTTCTATCCCTCCACAGTACTGTCCGAGAGGTACTGCCTACTCCATAACAACCGTAGCTCCCAGCGCCTTAAGCGTCTCCACAATCTTTTCTGCTTCCTCCTTAGGGACCCCCTCCTTCATCGTCTTTGGCGCGCTTTCCACAAACTTCTTGCTATCCACCAGACTCAATCCTAACATGGATTTGATCTCCTTGATGACCTTTGGCTTTGCGCCGGCGTCGAATTTCTCGAGCTTCAGGTTGAAGAGCGTCTTTTCTTGGGCGGCGGGTGCAGCCTCCTCTTCCTCAACGGGTGCGGCCGCTGCTGGGCCGGAGCCTGCTGGACCCGCGGCGAATCCACCCATGGGCATGTCAGGGATGTTCAAGCGCGTCTGTAGAGATCTTGTTAGAATGGGAGCTAGTGTACACCTTCAATGGCATGTGCAGTATGCTGGGATGCATTCAAGAGCGCATATTGCCCCGAGAGGAATGAGTGGGGATTCGAGAGTGTCGAAAAGTATGCAGAGCTATTTTACTCGCAAACAAAGCAATATAGTTGTTCAGCTGCGGGTGCCTCCCAGTGCAAGCACCGGTGGCCCTTATATCGGGCCCCGGTATAGAATGTTGTCGTACCTTCAGCGTTGAGACTAGGTCTGCCGTCTCCAAAAGGGTCAATTGACTGATCTGATCCACGATTGTCGCAATCTTCGGGTTCGTAGGAGCTGTCGTAGCGTCGCCTGATGCCCATCTCCGCTGTATCCTTTGCTGTGTTGCTCCCATTGTCGGTCGTACGAAAGTTGTGGACTTTGCATTGCAGACGCAACGCCTCAAGGCGCGAGATACCGGGGCTGACATTGTGTTGGAGGGCGATGGGCGATTCGAATGATGGAGGTGCTGGTTGGTCGTGCCTTCCATCTTGAGATTTTGCGGGCGGCTTTCGATGAATTCGGTTAGTGACGGCTTGGCGGACTAGAGGCCCGCAAAAAAGTTAGAGAACATCTGCAAAAGTTCACTACAACGCCACTACAACACTTACGAGGCATATTAAAGCGTCAAAACTATGGGAAGGCGCCCTAAATACGACATTCACAGTACCCTTCCCACAAATGGAAGGTAATAGCTACCGGAAGGCCGGTGGAGAGGTCAATATCGTATCGCTAGCCACTGCAGCGTTGAATCCTGGATCCACGGACAAGCTTTTCCTTCAATACGGTGGGCTTTTCACAGAGTTCTGTGCGCTATGGATCCAATCTGGCGCGGAGACCGAGGCAAAACTTGCGGCTTTTGGTAGAATTTTACCGCTTGCGCCTCATCTCGCAGAGCACACGGAACGCTTCCTAGCACATATTTCAAAGTCGCCCCTTGCAGGATCAGAGACATCAAAATCCACTGGAAATGTTCTAGCTCTTACCAAGGAATCCGATCTGACTGGAGTGTTGCTGGGAATTTTCCGATTGCTCAGCTACGACTGCAGAAACTTCGCTAGATATGTACGGCCTCTTGCCCTAGAGGCTCTATTCCAGCATTCGAGCCGCGCTTTGCGTTACCTAGCTATCCGGACTTTCTGTTTGTATGTTCACGCAGCCGACCATGCGACGCAGGACATGATCAAGAGATTTGTCGGAGAGGGAGAAATTGAAGGGCCATGGGAGGACCAGACAATCGATTATCGTTTTTTGTCGCTATGGGAGGAGAAGAGGTGGAAGGACCTCCAGGCGAAGACACGCCAAGCACTGGCAGATGCTGGCGAACAGCACCCTGCGTCTGTTTATCGACAGCTGTCACCGTATACAGTCAACGTTAGCGGCATCCTACTACCTCGACTCGATGGTGAACCATCACAAGAAAGGCCCTCCGACCTTATATCAACAGCAACGACAGAAGCGAACCTGAAGCGCATTGCCTATGGACTACTCGGATCTAGTCCGCTCTTGCTCACTGGCCTGGCTGGGTCTGGCAAGACGCTTCTCACGCGTCATTTTGCCTGGCAACTCAACAAGCTCGACAAGATGGTCACTCTTCACCTTAACGAGCAAAGCGATGCCAAGCTTCTGATTGGAATGTACGCGACCGGGGCAAAGCCGGGAACATTCAGCTGGCGGGCTGGTGTGCTTACGACTGCAGTCAGAGAGGGAAGATGGATCTTCATCGAGGACCTGGACCGAGCACCGAATGAGGTCATTAGCACACTTTTGCCGCTCATTGAGCGCGGGGAGCTACTCATACCTAGTCGAGGAGAGACTGTACGAGCAGCGAGAGGCTTCCGAATTATCGCTACCATGCGAAGCTCGCTCAATCTTAAGGGACAGGAGATCGTGCCTCGCCAAAACATGATAGGTCACCGATTTTGGAAGTCTGTTCCTGTTCAGATGCCGCAACTGGAAGAATTTAAACAAATTATAAGCGCTAAGTACCCATTATTACAAAAGCACTTGTCTGGCATAATAGGAGTCTACTCGCGCTTATTGGAGCTATATTCCGATGCGAAGTTCTCATCTGAGAATGGCACATCGATTCGAGCCATGACTCCTCGAGACCTTTTGAAGTGGTGCGATAGGATAGCCATGCTCCTTGCCCATTCCCCAGTTTTTAGTACGGCGCAGAAGGACGATATTTTCATGGAGGCATTCGACTGCTTCGCTGGTAGCCTGCGCAGTGATAACGCACGTTTAACTGTCATGTCATGCGTGGCAGAAGAGCTGCATATCGACCCTCAAAGACGTGACCATCTCCTGAAGAACCGCACAGTCAAACTGTCAATACCATCGAAGACTACAGCCGCTGGAACTATTCAAATTGGACGAGCAAGGCTGTCCAAACACAGATCTTCAAGGCGAACAACATCTGGGCAACCGTTTTCGACTAACGATTACACGCTCCGTCTGCTGGAGAAAGTTGCTGTAGCTGTTGACCGACAAGAGCCACTGCTGCTCGTCGGTGAGACAGGTACTGGAAAGACGACATGCATTCAGTACCTGGCCGAGCAACTCGGTCGAAAGCTAGTTGCGTTCAATTTGTCTCAGCAAAGTGAGAGTGGCGATCTGCTTGGTGGCTTCAAGCCCGTCAATGTCCGCAGCCTCGTGGTCCCGCTCAAGGACGAATTTGATGACCTCTTCGACACGACTTTTTCAAGGAAGAAGAATCTACGTTTCATTGAGATGCTCGGGAAACGCGTTGCGAAGGGCGAGTGGAAGCGCGTCTGTACGCTATGGCGCGAAGCTCTGAAAATGGTGGATGCAGCTCGCAAAGCACACGAATCGCAGACTTCGTCCCCGGATCCAGAAGGAGGCCAGCCAAAGAAGAGACGGAAAATGGATTCCCTACCCGTGAACTTCCCAAAAGCACGGTGGGAGAAGTTTTCGACAGACCTTCACGATCTTGAGGCTCAACTTGCCAGTGGTTCCGAAGCCTTTGCCTTTTCGTTCTTGGAAGGTAACATTGTCAAGGCTGTTAGAAACGGTGATTGGGTATTGCTCGATGAGATTAACCTGGCATCTTCTGATACGTTAGAGGCGCTCACAGATCTTTTGGGTGGTGGGCCAGATGGCAACCCTTCGATTCTGCTTACGGAAACTGGCAATGTTGAGCGGGTGGTAGCTCATCCGAACTTCAGGGTCTTCGCCGCAATGAACCCTGCAACCGATGTAGGAAAGAAGGATTTGTCACCGGGCATTCGATCGAGATTCACGGAGTTGTATGTTGAGAGTCCAGACAGTGACGAAAAGAGTTTGCGCAACATTGTCGAAAAGTATCTAGGTGGCGATAAGGATAGTACGGATCCCGCTATTGTGCGAGTAGCACGCGATGTCACCAGTCTCTATCTCGAAATACAGCAGCTTGCAAAAGCAAACATGCTCGTAGATGGGGCAGATCAGAAGCCACATTTCAGCTTGAGAACACTTACAAGGACCCTTTCATACGCCAAAGACATGGCTCCTCTATGCAGCCTACGAAGAGCGCTATATGAAGGCTTCCACATGAGCTTTATGACGTTCCTCGGCAAGGCTTCTGAGGATCTCGTAGCTCCGCTCATCACCAAGCATCTATTTCCGCAGAAAGCTGCCCTGAAGGCTGAGCTTGGGAAACCTCTCCAGCAACCCTCGGACGGACGGAGCTATGTTGGGCAAGGTCATTACTGGCTTCGACAAGGTGTGCATACTGTGGAGGAGCAGCCACACTATATCATCACGCCCTTCGTTCAGCGGAACATGAACAACCTTATTCGAGCTTCTTCCACACGAAAATACCCCGTGCTCATCCAAGGTCCGACTTCATCTGGTAAAACGAGTATGATCGAGTACCTAGCGAAACGGTCGGGTAACAAATTTGTCCGTATTAACAACCACGAGCACACCGATTTACAAGAGTACCTTGGCTCATACATCTCTGGCACTGATGGCAAACTTGTATTTCAAGAAGGCATTCTTGTTCGAGCTTTGCGAGAGGGTCACTGGATTGTTTTAGACGAACTCAATTTAGCGCCCACAGATGTGTTGGAAGCACTCAATCGTTTGCTCGATGACAACAGAGAGCTTCTTATCCCAGAGACTCAAGAGGTAGTCCGACCTCATGAAGACTTCATGCTATTCGCTACACAGAATCCGGCAGGCCTATATGGTGGGCGAAAAGTGTTATCACGCGCTTTCCGCAACCGCTTCCTAGAGCTCCACTTCGATGATATCCCAGTCGAAGAACTGACCGAGATCTTGCACCGACGAACCATGATCCCTGAAACGTGGTGTAAGCGCATTGTTAAGGTATACAGAGAACTATCCACCCTTCGACAAGAGAATCGCATCTTTGAGCAGAAGAGCTTCGCAACTCTTCGAGACTTGTTCAGGTGGGCACAGCGAAATGCGGATACGGTGCAGGATCTTGCCAACAACGGGTATATGCTCCTCGCGGAGCGTGTTCGGAAAGAAGAAGAGCGTGTTGCAGTCAAGAAGATTTTGGAAACTGTTATGAGCGAGAAAGGTCCCAAAGTCACTATCGATGAAGATCAGCTGTTCAGCATGGATACTTGGTCTAGTATCGAAGGACTGAGCAAGAATGACATGGGCAAAATGGACGACGTTGTATGGACGCGCGCGATGCGAAGACTTTTCGCTCTAGTGGCACATGCACTTCGCAACAACGAGCCCGTACTACTAATCGGAGAAACTGGGTGCGGAAAGACGACTGTCTGTCAGTTGTTGGCGGATCAATTCGAAAACCAACTTCATATTGTCAATGCACATCAAAACACCGAAACGGGTGACTTAATCGGCGCACAACGACCCATCCGAAATCGGGCAGCTATCGAGGAGCTGGTGCGGAACCAGGTCCTCAAAGCCATCGAGGGCATGGAGAACGAGAATATCCAACGTGACCCAGCGACTCTTGATACAGATGATCTGTTGGCCATGTACGACAAGATCGACCATGAAGCTCCAGGCTTAATACCAGTCACGGAACGAGAGATGATCCGCAACAATCGACGTAAAGCTGCAGCGTTGTTCGAATGGGCAGACGGCAGTCTTGTGCATGCGATGAGACAGGGCCATTATTTCCTTCTCGATGAGATTTCTCTTGCTGATGACTCTGTGCTTGAACGTCTAAACAGTGTTCTTGAACCATCGCGTACTCTTCTGCTCGCGGAGAAGGGACCCACAGACTCTTTCATTTCTGCTAGTGATGGCTTCCAATTTCTTGCAACAATGAATCCTGGTGGCGACTACGGAAAGAAAGAGCTCTCGCCTGCGCTGCGCAATCGTTTCACGGAAATCTGGGTTCCCGCAATGTCTGATCTCGAGGATATCCTGCAAATTATACGATCAAAGCTGAGGCCAAATGTAGCGCAGTATGCCGAAGCCATCGTTTCGTTCTCGCAGTGGTTCAACGACAAGTACAATACGTCGGTCGCTTCTTCCATATCCATTCGCGACACACTGTCTTGGATCTCGTTCATCAACAAGTCAACCCACGATGATCCGATCTTTGGCATTGTACATGGTGCGGCAATGGTATTCATTGATACCCTCGGTGCCAACCCAGCTGGGCTACTTGCCATCTCTGCTACTTCCATCGATGATGAGCGGAGAGCGTGTCTGCAGCACCTTAGCGAGCTCCTCGGGCGCGATGTTGCGCCCTTCTGCTTTGGCGATGTCGACATCTCAAGCACAGAGGAAATATTTCAGATAGGGTCGTTCTCCATACCCAAGTTCTCGCTAGCCGCATCGGAAGCAGCCGACTTTTCCCTCGATGCCCCAACCACACGCTCCAATGCAATGCGTATAGCCCGCGCATTGCAACTCGTAAAGCCAATCCTGCTAGAAGGAAATCCCGGTGTCGGAAAAACCACGCTTGTAACAGCTCTTGCGAAAGCTATCGGCAAGCCTCTGACACGCCTCAACCTGTCCGAACAGACAGATCTCATGGACCTATTTGGTTCAGACGTGCCAGTCGAGGGAGGTGCGGCCGGTACATTTGCCTGGCGCGATGCACCCTTTCTGAAGGCGATGAAGAACGGCGATTGGGTCTTGCTCGACGAGATGAACTTGGCATCGCAGTCTGTCTTGGAAGGTCTCAATGCGGTGCTCGATCATCGTGGAGAGGTGTACATATCCGAACTTGACCAGACGTTCCGTAAGCATCAGGATTTTAGGGTTTTTGCTGCGCAGAACCCGCATCATCAAGGCGGTGGACGAAAGGGTCTCCCTGCATCCTTTGTGAACCGATTCACCGTCGTATACGCGGATGTATTCCGCTCTGAAGACTTGACCCTCATATGCAGGAAGGTCTTCCCCGGTATTGATGAACTGGAGGTTACCAGATTGATTCAATTTATCGCTGAACTCGACGATCAGGTGGTCAGTCGCCGTGCATTCGGCACTTTGGGTGCGCCTTGGGAGTTCAATTTGCGCGACACACTGCGCTGGCTCCAACTTCTCGCTTCCAAGGACTTTGCTGGCTCAGCGAGGGACTTCCTAGAGACAATATTCGTTCAACGCTTCCGGGCGGAGAGTGACCGAAGTCGGATTCGCAAGCTCTTCGAGATCCTATACGGTGTCTACGAGCCGCGCATGAGCCTGTTCCACAATTTGAGCACACGGGCCCTACAAGTCGGCCTTGGCCTGCTCTCACGAGATACTGCGGTTACGCGTCCGGATGCTCTTTCACCCCTTAGAGTTGCGCAATTAGGATCTGTGGAAGCAATGCTGATCAGTATCAAGCAGGATTGGCCTGTCATCGTTGTGGGCTCGTCTGGCTCCGGTAAGACGGCCATGATAAACCAACTGGCCAGCCTTGTTGGAGCAGACGTCGTCGCTTTCCCCATGAATGCAGATGTCGATGCTATGGATCTTGTTGGTGGATATGAGCAAGTCGACGCCACACGAGAATTGCATCGAGGCATGGAGAAACTGGAGACTTTTGTTCGACGACGGATTGCATCCATGGAGAAACCGTCGCAGGCCTACATTAAATTACTTGAACAGATCCAACCTGGCTCTACCCTGATCACTAGCACTATCGATCCACTTCTCGAAGCAGTTGCTCGATCTGATCCCGACGCGTCTGGCCTACTTCATAAGTTCCACGACCTGCTCCAATCTTCCAACCAGCAGATCGACGGTGCACGTTTCCAATGGGTTGACGGCATGCTCATTCGCGCTCTGGAGCAAGGCAAATGGATTGTCCTCGATAATGCCAATCTTTGCTCGAGCGCTGTCCTTGATCGGTTGAATTCGCTTCTTGAGCCCAATGGCTACCTTTCCATCAATGAGCACTCCACGGCTGACGGCGAAGCGCGCATCGTGCGGCCACATCCTGACTTCAAAATCTTTATGACTATGGATCCAAGGTTTGGTGAGCTGTCCAGGGCTATGCGGAACAGAGCCGTGGAGATCTGCCTGCTCGATCCGGAACATGATGTTGCTCAAGACGACACGAAGACTTTAGAGTATCCGCTGGACTCGGCCATGTATCGATTCCGATATTTCCAGGAACATACGGATCATATGACTGTGACGATGGAGCAGCGCTTTGAAAACTTGGGTTCCCTCGATAATGACTTCTTGACGAGCTTTACGAAACAAGTGGGCCAAGGGCTCGTATCTTCACTTCTGCAGGTCAATGGTGTCGACAACCAAGATGGAATCAATGACAAGTTCCCGCATTTCGTACAGTTCCTCAAGAATGCATGGGCGCCACATGAGCAGACACTTCATCCGCAAGTCGGCGCACAAGACCTGGCTCAGCTTGTACCGTATCACCCGCTCGGGAGTGAACTCTCACTTAATCAAACTGAAGCAACCAAGTCACTCAGTCTTTGGTCTGCATCGATGTACGGATTTATGCTGGATCTTTACAACATGCAGCAGGTGATTCACAAACTTCCATCTGCACGATTCGAGCGTCGCAAAGAGAAGCAGAAGCTGCCTGCATTCCTGTACGCCTACTGGCAGGGACTTGTAAAAGTAGCGGCAGGAGTCTGGTCGGAATATCGCAACGGCAAACAGCTTGACGTCGCATTTCTCAAGCCATTACGCACATTGTTCTGGGGTTTCTTCGTACTAGCTACTGGAGCGACCTTCGACCGCGCCATGTTCCAGACGTATTTGAAGATGCTAGCCTCCGCCCTTCCCGCCACAAGCTATGAGTCAACGGCTCTGTTGCAGAACATAAGTACGACTCTTTCTAAGCAGATCGCAGTCTTCGGCTCCGATGTTCAACTAACAACTGGGTTGGGCATGGAGCGTGTATGGCGCGCGTTCAAACCCTTCACATCAAAGACTCAAGTCCAGCTAAAAGAAGTTCTCGAGCTAGAAGGTCTAGCGGACAGGCTCGATATTATCATGTGGAAGTCGAATTTGAGGATTGATGAAATGGTACAAATCCGCGAACGGGTTGCAAGCTCTCTAGAGCTTGTACGTAGGGACAAAGTTGATGCCCAGGAGCTGATCATAGGTCTCAACGAAGCTATTTTGGAACTAAACGAAAGCATTGGCGAATTTGATGCTGTATTTACGCCGTACCTGGAGGCAGAGTTTGAGGGTCTCTGCCAGTTTCTTGACGTTGCATTCAACGATCATCCTGTCACTCAGCAACTATACATAACGCCTTCGCCTGCTGTCGTGGCTACAAGAACGAAATCAATTCTACTCGCTCGACGACCAACAAAACTCACGACTGTTGCTGTCGGGAGATCTTACTATCCGACGGATCATTTCGCCAAATTGTATCGCTACCTCGGTCTTACACATCAATCAGGGGGTGCTATGGCTCTGCAGAGCTCATTCCATATTTCTGTTCTCGCCAAGCTGTATGGCGCAGACGACGTTCCACTCGCGCAGCTCGACCACCTCGAGTCAGAATTGGGAGTTTTTTCTCAACAACTCTCACTCGATGCAGACCGCATAACACAGGACCACTCGTCAGCACTTGATAGACTTTATTACGACATCTACAATCAGGTCAACGCATCGCATTGTGCCGATATAATTCAGCATATCGATCGAGGACAGGTTACATTTTATCCCGAGGCGCCTATCACGGATACATACCGCTCAACGCTACAAGAAGGCTTCGAAAAATGCTACCGCCCTACAGGCAGCGTCGATGCGAATGCTTGGATTCAACTGGGTTTGTTCGGTCTCACACTGTATGTTCCAAATTATCCGCATGATCCTGCGCTCAGGCCAATGGTCGAGCGCAAAATGTTCAACGAAGAGAAGCAAACTCTCCTTCAGACGTTGGCGTCGCTAAAGCAATTTCAAATCGACTTCACGGGGCAAGATACAAGCTTCCGTATCCGCCAGATCGAAGAGGCTATTCAGAGCATGGGTGAAGAGCCACCTGTGCCACCCATTGTTCGCCCTGAAAGATCTGAACTCGATGACTTGCAGGGCGAATTCACCAACTTGCTCAGTACTATACAGCCTCTGCTTAATGGTTCAATGTCAGCCGAAGAAGCATCACGCGATATCACGCTGCAGCAGAACGTACTTCGCATCAGTCAACGGTTGACAGAAGGCTACCGGGCGTATGACGACATTACAGATACCGTGGTCGGTTTCCTTGTGTGCTTAGAAATCGGGCTCGTCCTCGGCAAGAAAGAGTTGGAAAATGAGGAACAGGGCTCAGTCAGCAAAAGCCTAGCTCGTGTTTGTCACGACACTCCGTTCTTTGGCCGCCAGAGGTCTGTTGAGAAAGCGGAATGGTTACTACAGGAACTCGAGGAAGGCCTGGAACAACACGACCAAGCTATTGGTCTCAGATGGAATGCGCTACACTCTTTAACGATACTCAAGAGTACTGATCCCGCATCAAGCTCAAGCTCTGCTGCTAGGACCCTGCTGCACGACCTGTTTGTCAGCTTCTATGGAGACTGGAAGAACAAGCTACTCCAGGATCAAGAGAAGCAGGCTAAGGACTCAAGCCTGTATACGTACAGGGGCATGGATGAAGACGACGAGGAAGAAGACCCGACCCTATTCCCAGACTACGAGGCCGAGCAAGAGCAGGAGGAGACCTCCCAGGTGATGGTGTCCAACTCACGAGACCATGCAATCCGTCTGGCGAGTATGCACGCCGAGCTGTTCGTTCAGAGCTGCGACGCATCCGACTCAATAAAGCGACTGCTTCAATGGTGCGCTGCGGAGATGAACCGTGTCTCTGACGGCAAGGGCCACGGTACCAAGCATGAAGACGCTCTACCTACCATATATCTCGCACTAGAGAAGAGGGCAGATACCTTGTCCTCTTCTGGCACTGGAAAGTCATACAATTTTTACTTCGACGCAAATCTCCAAGAAGCCAAACGCCTTATTACCCTGATCTATCGCATACAGATCCGCTATCGACAGATTCATACCGTCTGGCCTGAACACATGACTCTCTCGGACGTCCTGCGTACATGCGACGAAGCACTTGAATTCCGCCATGTGGATCCGGTGGCAAAGCTCATTACCAAGGTAGAGAAGCTCCATGCGTATATGTACGAGTGGCAGAAGGTTGCAAGCAAAGACTACAGCACTGCCAACCTGTACGATGATCTGACAAAGCTGCTAGTTAGCTGGAGACAACTGGAGCTCACAACCTGGGCGAGGTTGTTTGATTTGGAGATTGAAAAAGCTCACGATGACGCAAAGAGTTGGTTCTTCGTTGCCTATGAGACGATCATCGCAGCTTCGGAAAGTATTTCTGACGAGAACAGCATGAAGCTGCATGCTCTGGACTTGGTGAAGACGCTTGAGAGTTTCTTTGACACTACGACGCTAGGGCAGTTCGAGCAGCGCATCAAGCTACTGCAACAGCTCCGCCAACACGCTGCGATGCGAATGCAAGACGCATTATTATTCAAGATCATTTATTCTTCGCTTGACAACTTCATTGCTTACTTCTCGCGTCTTGAGAAGCCGGTGCATGAAGCTCTCGCCAAGGGTCGGCAAAGTTTGGAGAAAGAAGTCAACAACGTGATTAAGCTTGCTAGCTGGAAAGATACGAATATTGAGGCGTTGAAACAGAGTGCGAAAACGAGTCATCGAAAGTTGAGCAAGTGGGTTAGGAAGTTCAGAGCGCTTCTCAACCAGCCTGTCTCTGGGGTCATCAAGACTGGTTTTCCTGAAGAGCTACACCTACTGCAGGATGGTTTGATGGACCAAATCAACACGACCACCGATGCTCTGTCACTTGAACTCTGTGCGCACAGTGTACCAGGGTGGACTGGGCGACCGATTCGCTTCAGGAATCTCGAAGTTACAGTAAACATGATGCGCAGTCTTTCTATGCCGAGGAGCGACGCTGTTGAGAGCGCTGCATTCATCACTGATCTGATCACTGATCTCACGAATTCGATGGTAGAACTTCAAAAAGCCACGCCCGCCAAGCTGACGGAGGAGAACAAGGAGACTGTCCAACACCTCAAGACTCAGAAACGCAAACTCTACGCCGACACGATGAAAACACTGCGACAAATGGGAGTTAACTCTAATCCAAGTGTGGACACCCTGGTGAAGCAAGACACGCTTTCGACGATTCTCACTTCCCTTCCCTTCGCGGCAAGGGCTGATGAAGGTTACGGAAGTGCAGCAGAGTACTATCTGCACAAAGCGCTCAACATCATGCCGCAAGTCAGAGCAGTATACAAGGAGCATTCGGGTGATCTGACACCGAATGATGTGGCAAGAAGCATAGGGTACATTGAAGGCTTGTTGCACATTTCCATTCGACAGCGCGGGGTGTTGATTAAGGCGGCTCACAACCTTCAAAATATTACTGCGCCGATATCGATTATTCAAAACCTCTCACAGTCCACACAAGATCAGCTGTTTTGGGTTTCTCAACAACAGCTTGAAGCGACAGAATTGCTGCAACCCAGCCTAAGATGGCTCGCAGCTATGCTCAAGACGGGCACAGACATCGTCTCAGCGCAAGCGAAGCTAGGAAAAACGAACGAACTCGGTGCTCTGATACGTGATATGCACGGCTGGACGAGTAGGCTACAGACCTTGGCTGATAGTTATGAGCGACTGCCAAAGCTACCCGCCCACGTGAATGGTCAGGCTCATGATGCGTATCGCAAATCTGTAGAGGCCAACATTTCCGAGCTCCAGGCGGCTTTCCAGGACTGGATCGACAACAATAACATCTCAAGGGTTATCCTTAGACAAATTCGACCTTTCCTGTTCAATTACCCTGTGGTCAAAGCTAGCGACTTTTCCGAAGAACAACGGATCACACTTGGACAGCATACCAAGGACATCTTCAGCGCGCTGGATCTGATTCTTGGGTCAATGCAGGATGTTGAGGCAGCGCTGAACGGCGTTCCTGCTTCAACCGAGGATGCGGCATGGCTTGTGAAAGAAGAGCAAGCACTATCCGCTGCGCTTAATGCCCTCCACGCCCCGCAGATTAGCAGAGCGCTACAGGCATTGCTGGACAGGATGCAATATCTCCATGACGAAGTCAACCTGCAAGCCAACGCCGCCCTGTATGCTTCCATTCAACCCATCTTCAATCAGTATGTAGCCTCGCACAAGTATCTTATCCAACGTTTCGATGCCCTCCACGCATCAGCCGCCAACTTACTGCACCGCCTATCCAAATCATTTATCCAGATCGGCACGCAAGGCTTCTGTCAGCCCCCTGAAAAGTCCGCAGATCAACAACAGGGCAAGGACGACAAGCTCGAATCTGGAACTGGACTTGGTGAGGGCGAAGGTGCTGAGGACATTTCAAAGGATATAGAAGATGATGAGGATCTTGAAGATTTGGCACAAGAAGAAAGCGGTGAGCGAGAAGGAAGTATTGAGGAAGAAGATGACGCCGTCGACATGGGCGAGCAGGAAATGGAAGGTGAGACTGAAGAAGTTGGCGAAAAGGAAGACAAGGGTGACGAGTCTGGGGATGAGGGGGATGACGACGTGCAGAGCGAGGTTGGCAGTGTTGATGATCTTGGCCCCAGCGCCGTCGATGAGAAAATGTGGGATGAAGGTGGTAAAGATGATGATGCGAAAGACAAAGAAGGCAAGCAGGATGTTGGGACTGAGGATCAAGAAGAGCAAGTCGCTGCCGAACAAAAAGAGAAAGAGAAAGAGAAAAATGGCGAAGACGAGGAGAAGGAAGACAAGGAAGATGTACAAGAAGATGAGGAAATGGAAGAGGAGGGCGAAGACCAAGAAGAGAATGTTGGTGTAGGTGAGACGGAGAAGATGGACCCACATGCAAAGGAAGAGGAAACACTCGATCTGCCTGAAGATTTGAATATGGATGGCCAGGACGATGAAGGGAAGGAAGATGATGATCTCGGTGATATGGACATGGGCGACGATCTGCCAGAAGACGAGATGGATCCAGAAACCGAACATGGCGCCCCGGATACCGTGGATGAAGACATTGGGCCTGAGCAAGAAGGTGAAGACGAGAAAGATACAACTGGTCATGTCGAAGATGAAGAACAACCAGATGAAGAAAAAGAAGAGGATGGTGATGAACCCATGGACGACGATGCTATTCCTCTACCAGATGAAAAAGCCGTAGACGACGAACCTCGCGACGCCAAAGATACTGATCAGGCCGATCCAAATGCTGATGCAGGCGCCGGTACTGACGCCAACGAGGAAGCGCACCAGAACAAGAACGAAAAGGCTTCCGCCAGCGCTGCAAACCAAGATGAAGGCCAAGAAGGCGAGTCCTCTGAAGACAAGCAAGAAACCGCCGCCGAAGACGGCCAGCTAGGTCAAACAACGCAACCTGATGCCGGTGGCCGCGGTGAACAGCCGGAAGAATCGCGCGAGACACAGTCGTTCAAGAAACTGGGCGATGTACTAGAGAAGTGGTACAACCAGCAGAAGGAAATCTCCGAAGCACGCGAAAAGGAAGAGACTCAAGTACAGCAAATTGACAAAGAGATCGACATGGCTGATGCTGACTTTGAACATCTTGGCGATGAGGAGACACAAGCTGATACGCAGGCACTAGGTACGGCAAATGAAGAGCAGGCCAAGGCATTGGATCATGACATGGCCATGCCAGTCAATGAGGAGGAGGAGAAGATCCCTACTAGACCCGAGGACATTGACGATGACATGGCGGATGCCGATAAGGATGTTGATATGGAGGATGTCAACGTACAAGAGGACCAGATTCAAGAAGAGCTTCAACAGCAATCCAACGCAGAGGAAGGCCAGCCTCAAGCTTTCGTTGGCGAGCAGAAGCCTTTCAACCATGGAGAGGACGAAGATATGGAAGATGCTTCTCTCATTGACGAGGATGTGTCGGAAACTTCCTCTATCCATGACGTTGAGACGCAGCTCGAGCTCACCCACTTGGAAGCCTCGACCATGACACCCGACAGTGCTCGTAGCCTTTGGCTCTCTCACGAGGCCGCGACGCACTCTCTCTCGCAACAGCTCACCGAGCACCTACGACTCATCCTCGCGCCAACTCTTGCGACAAAATTGCGCGGTGATTTCCGTACTGGCAAGCGCCTCAATCTCAAGCGGATCATACCCTACATCGCTTCAGGTTATAAGCGCGACAAGATCTGGCTCCGTAGGAGTCAGCCCAGTAAGAGGAGTTATCAAGTTATGATCGCGCTTGATGACTCGAAAAGTATGGCCGAGAGCGGCGCTAGCAATTTGGCGCTGAAGACACTCACGTTGGTCACGAAGAGCTTGAGTATGCTGGAAGTTGGTGAAGTATCTGTGGTTGGGTTCGGTGACCAAGTTAACGTCGCGCATGATTTCGACAAACCCTTCACGAGCGATGCAGGTGTACGCGTATTCGAGCAATTTGGCTTCGATGCTGCGAAGACCAATGTTAGGGGGTTGGTGGATAGAAGTCTGGAGCTGTTTGCGGAAGCGCGCCGCAAGGGGTCGAGCTCTGCTGGTGAAGACCTGTGGCAGCTTATGCTCGTCGTCAGTGATGGAATATGCGATTCGCACACTGAGATCCAGCGCCTAATCCGTAAGGCGCAAGAAGAGCGCGTCATGATTGTCTTCATCATCATCGATTCATCCGCTACAACCTCAACCGCCGCACCGACGCCCAAACCTTCAAACGATCCTGCGGCACAGACTACATCTCTTGTCGCGCCGGCACAGAAGGAGAAAGACAAGACAAGCATCCTCGATCTGCAGTCGGTGGAGATCACGCCTGAAGGCAAAGTGGTCAGGTGGAAGTACATGGAGCGGTTCCCATTCAGGTATTATCTAGTGGTTAGAGATGTGAGAGAGTTGCCGGGCGTGCTTGCTGGGGCGCTAAGGCAGTGGTTTGGGGAGGTTGCCGGGAGTGCGTAGATTATGTTTATGGGCGTTTTTGGGAGCAGAAATTTCCATTGCACGCAATGGCGTTTTGGGATTTGGTGATATCTAGCGTACTGTAGAAAAGTATGGCCAAAGAGTGTCAATATATATATATGTTAAACGAATAATTGCAGTACAATATGAAAGGTAGCTATAACCACATTGAAAATCAATGTGACCTTCAATATTACCATACATCACGCCTGACATCTCTTATCGACGTAATCAGCATCAACAATATCTATTTTAGCGTGTCCAAAGGGTGACCCGTTATTTGGCGAGTCCTAGGCAACCATAATTATACAGGCGATGGTGCAGTGATAGGAAGAACGCCATTGCCTGCGCGTCAGAGCACTTTATCTCCGAACCGAAAGTGGCAGCCTGATACACAAAACTATAAATATCAGCACGCCTTCGCCAATCTTATGAACATAGCCTACCATTAGATTCCTAATTCTAATGTATTTCAAATATACTTCACTTTGTAAAACAAACAAATCTACATCTACTCGCTTCCCAGCTTAATATCACAATGGCCGTCACGGAAATAGCTTGTATGCGCGTCCAAGCAGGTCTCGATGTCATGAATGAAGACACTACAGAAGGCCAGGTCCTGCATCGAACATGGCAAAACGTTATCTCCCTACCAGATGGCCCATCGCGAGTATACTGGGGTTTGGAAGACGAAGAGCCGAGTAAAATTTGGGCGTTCTTCGACTGGGAGAGTGTGGAGGAGCATGAAGTTTTTGCTACGATGTAAGTGAGTTAATCATATAGTCCGAATAAAAAGGTTTTTGTAGGGGCTAGTTGAAGGTCATGTACGGATTGTGGGGCATGGGGAAGGTGGCGGGCAGGGGCTGATCTCTCGGTATAGGTACGGCGCCGACGCGGTCAAAGACCTACCTAAAGTCCTGGCGAGTGGAGAGTTTACGAAACATGTTAGTCTCACCCCGTTTCCGCCCGTGGCTCTCAGGTCTCCTGTGGCGCTTATTGTACTTACGTACTTTGCCTCGGAGATCTCGGTGGAGGAGAAGGATAGGGCTGGCTCCCGGTTCAAGTTGTTCATCGAGAAAGGTCTACAAGAAAGTCCTGAGGTGGAGGCTGTGAGCTTTGGTTGGGGCGTTGAGACTGATTTTCCAGTCAGGGGAGGGGATGAGGGACAGAGGGGAGCGCTTCTCACGGCGATTGTTGGTTGGTCTGGTAGTGATGCAGGCTTAGGTTTCGAAGAGACAGATGGTTGGAAGGAAAGCGTCGAAGGGATTGAGGGTTTAGAGGGTGTGGTTAAAATGGCGGTGGTGCATATCAGATGTGAAAGCCTTGAGAGCAAAATAGATCGAGCATGAGCTTAGGTATTATGACATAAAGACGACAAGGGTGAACGTTATCACGACCAATGATACGATCCCGATTCCAACGCTCAGCTTCAAAGCAGACTATTCATCGTACTTTTACGCATAATGATTCTTCAACCACGCCTCAAGTCTCGTCACAAGTTCACCCGGCTTGTCATACATCACCCAATGCGCCGCATCAATAAGCTCGGTCTGCTCCAACTTCGGTAACAAGCCCGCCTGGATCGCCGGATACATAGCTTCAGGCCGAAACACGGAATCGTCCTTTCCCCCAATGTACAGCACGGGGAAATCGACCTTGTCCACGCCCTCTGGCAGCTTCGAGTCGCACTGGGTCTGGAAGTTTTGCGCAGTAGCTTTGTACCAGCATTGCGGGCCTTCGAAGCCGTCACGCGCCATGCGTTCAATGAACGCCTGCTTGAACTGCGGATCCTGGGCATACGGGCGAAGCTTAAACTCGGCATTACCAGTAGTAAGATATTCGCGCATCGCGTTGGTGCCCGTGAAGATCTTCTTCAGGGTGTCGGCTCCGCTATGCATGGCGTTGTACATGAGCTCTATGTTTTCTTTCAAAAGGGCCGGTCCGTCGTCTGCGGCGAAGACAGTCCAGTAACTGAAAAGAGGGTAGCCGAAAGCTTGCTCCGTCGCTTTGTTCATTGTGTCGAGATCGAATGGCTCGCGACTTGGTGCCATATACCCGACATTTAAGATGACTAAACCGACGACGCGGTCCGGGTGGTAGTGGTATAAACGCGATGCGGAGGCCGAACCCCAGTCATGGCCGATAGAGATGACTTTGTTAGCCTTTTCGTTGTCCATGATTTCGATGAGGTCTTTGGTCATGACGTCCCACTTATACTCGGCGGGATCGGTGGGCTTGTCGGTCCCAGCGTATCCCAAAAGGTCGGGAATGATGATGGGATGTTTGGTTGAACGGAGAGGGCCTGCTACATCCTTCCACATGGCTGCATGGTCAGGCCATCCATGTTGGAAGAAGAGGGTCGGGAGGGACTTGTCGCCTTCAGCCACGTAGTATGTGTAAGTGTAGCCTCGCGAGGTCTTGAGGGTTTTCTTTTCGAAGGCGTCCATTGCGTTGGTTGTATCGTCGGGTAAGAGTGATGGCTACTGATTACTTTTCAAAGCTATCTGAGGTGTGAGCTTAAGTTCAAGCTCTGGGATGGGCCATGCTATTCGAGGTCGCTGAGTGCAACTGTGCTTATATGCTGTCAGACAAAGGGTTCCATGTCAGAGGAGGGGTCCATCTCAATCAAGAGACGGTATGACGAGTGAGATTCAGCCATGCTGTAAGCATTTAGTGTATATTCTGGCATTAGATGTTGCAGATATAATGTAATGAAACGTATGACTCAACAGTCCATATTTCGACTGTAGGGCTGCCGCTTCAATAACGGCAACTCCAACTTTGCCATCCTGCAGAAGCTCACTGCCATCGTTCAAGTTCTTAAGACCGTATATATTCATCCATCAATGTCATGTCTGGGCATAAGCAGCCAATCTTATTATACCGCCGTAACGTGATTCGCTGGAAACAGTCCTTTCGCCCCGCAGTATACACCCCAATACCAATCCCCATTAATGTCGGCCGCCTCCCTAATCTCTGCCCCTCTAGGAAACGCTAGCTCGTCCTTGACTCCTTCATCAGGCCAGTACCGCCACGCAGCCAGTAATCTCAACCCAACGCCGCCATCGGGCGGATAACGCGGTGACGACGAAGAGGGCGGGATGCGCTGACTATGCGCTGGGTCGTCGTGGTCGTACCACTTCCACCTATCGTCGACCACGCGCGGCGGTATATTCACTTGCGATTGGGTATTAATGTTCATGTCTTCGTCTTCTTTCAAGGCGTATCCGCCCACAAGCTCTCGAACGACTATCCTTCTCTGCCCACCGTCTCGGTCTTGGACGCCTATGATGACCATGCGGTGGCCGCGAAGACACTTGCGCCAACCATTTAGACCGTCCTCTTTGCTAATGCGATTTGACACATTGGCTTTACGGTAACAGCTCATGCAGACGTCGTAGTCACCCGCGTTGCATTTGAGACAGTGATAGCGTGTGTGTGAGGGCGGGATGGGGTACCTGCAAATGTTGCAGAGAGTTGTGAATGTCAAGGGCCGGAAGGTGAGCTTTGCGATGGTGAAGTAGCCCGGCCCGCCAATGATGGATGCGGCTCTTGGTGTCAGGGGAGGTGTTGTAGGACTGGAGTCGTGGTCTGGTGGCGCAAGTCCTGTGTCAGACCGTGTGTTTGAGGGTGCGGATTCTATAGGATCAGTGGTTGACAGTGCTATTTCCGCTGGGTTATGAGCAACGGGGAGGAGGGGATGCGTGCAATGGCGTCCCTGATTGACACAGTCATTGCAAAAGCCCCAATCACCTTCATTACAATAATCACATTTCCAGTAGCATGCATTGGCATAAGCTTTGCAGATGTCGCAGAAAACGCCCGCCTCTAGTCGTTGCTCAGGATTGTCTTCGCTCATGAGGACATGCGGCGGCGTTGTAGATTCGGTAAGCGGCGTCAAAGGCCTACGATAGCGATTTCCGACGAGGATATGTGGATGTTCGTGGTCTGGCGGATACCCTCCTTCCGGCGCCTGTCGCTCGTAAAGCTGCCAGGCTCTCCAGCCAAACCCAAACCAATGCTTACATCCTTTGCCGAGACGATAGCAGCGGCGACAGAGATTGTACTTGCCATCATGGCATCGGGCGCAGTTGTAGTGAAGCTCATACTCGATGTGATCTTTTCCACACTGTTGGCAGGATATGTGTGGCTCTGTAAATGTATATACGGCAGGGACGAGTGGTGCAGTTGCCGAAGTCTGCCTTGCCCGAGGTTCATTTGCAACTGGGTCGGTGATAGAGCGAGGAAAGTTAGGAGATGAAATCGCAGGGGGTGTTCCGCTATTGGAGGAACGTGGCTGTACGGCTCTGGCAGGATCTGTAGTACGGCGCAATGACGGAGGTTGGAAGGGGGTAATTGCGGGTGTTGAGGCTGACTGTGCAGGGCCACCGACTACAGCCAAAGAGCTGGTCGGGCTGTCAATAGTAGGTATGTTGAAGTTTAACGTTCGAGGTGAGTTGGGACTGGACGATGCACTGATTTGGAGACTATTTCGAAACTGCTGTCGTGCGTCGAGCCTGCTTCTTTGCTGATCGTCAGACTGACGGCGTCTCGGTCCAGGTGCACTCTCCGAAGTTGATGGCCGCTCATTGTTAGCATTGCTTTGCGTGGTCGAGGCAACTGAGAGGGCGACAGAACGCTCTGCTCTCCGTGCTGATCGCGAGCTTCCTTGACTCGAAGATCGCTGATGATGGGATCGACCGCCTCGGTTCGCAGCGTCAATGAGACCTGGTCGGGAAATGGGAGGGCCTGCGGCAATCTGAGGCGTTGATGATCCACTTTCCGACTGTCCATGGGCTCTCCTACGAGTAGCTTCTTCGTCACGCGTGGGAGGGCTGCGCACTTGCTGAGGGAGCGATGATGAAGACGAGCTACTCAGTCCCTCTCTTGCTATGCGATCTCGTCTTTCTCGTCTCTCACGTTGTCGCTCTGCGTGTCGCTCAGCCTGGCGTCTTCGCACGGCTTCCGCCAATCTCTCCGTGATGTCGTCTTCTTGCGAGGGACCAATCTGGTTCAGGTCCACGCCCTCAGCAACGAGCTCCTCCAGCACGTGGCGCACAAGATCTTCATCAATGTCGTCCGAGTCGAGTTCGGATGCGCTGAGTAGTGATCGCAGGCTAGACTGGTGCTCGACAGCCCTCGGTGGTATAACTGCTCTGGACGGGGAAGCGCCTGGCGGATTCCGGCTTGTAGACCGCCTTTCGTCTCGACTCCTGCGCGACTCTCTGCTCCCGTCGCGACTTCTCTCCCGCCTCCTACGTTCTCTCGGCGGCTCTAGATGGCTACTGTTCCCACCCGATATGCCCACCTCCCTCAGACTCAGCTGCTGTACCTCCTCGAGCATTCTCCGGTCAGCCTCATCGCGCTCGTCTCTCCGCCGCAACTTGGGCAGCACATTGTCGCCAGGTCTGAACTTCTCCCTATCAGCCTGCTTCTCTTCCTCGCTCTTGCCTCGCTCTGGGTTCGCCTTTAGGAATATGTCGAGTAGCGTGGTGACGGTCGCATTGGGCTGCGTGATGCGTACTGAGGCGCGACAAGAGGGACAGGTGTATGGGTGTATCGAGGTCGCAGTCGAGGCCTGGAATGCAAACCATTCCTTGAGGCAGGCGCCGCAGAAGGTGTGCAGGCAGTCGAGGAGCGTGAGCGGTTGGTAGAGGAGGTCGGTACAGATCTGAGCATGGCGAGATTAGCGACCATGCTATGCACAACCCATAGTACGCCTGTCAGATAGATACATGTCTAATAGACAGGCTGCCTATCTCTTCACAGCCTCTCTCCCGCGCGCGTGCGAATGCCACCTCCCTTCCTACACACTGCACACCTCCCCGCGCTCCGCAACCCACCAAACTTCAACTTCAACTTACCGAGCACGTCAATTCCTTTTCCAGGTCTCCTTGTACACCACCAGCGCGCTCGGCCTCAGCCATTGTGCCGCATTCAAAGACGCTCTCTCGAAGGTGAGCCAGTTGATGTCGTTACGTAGCTGAACCCACCCGTGCGGCCAGCGACTCGACACATCCACCACCACCATGCATCATGCACTTGGCGATCTGGCCTTGGTGAAGGCGTCCCGATTTGCCAGCGCATCAAGCTATACAAACAACACCGCCCTCTGAGTTGCACCGCATTGTCAGCCTCCTCCGTACATCATAGTCTCCGCCGCTGCATGGTAGAGGGCGGCGGGTATCCGAATTGGCGCGTCACGCGACTTCGTTTCACATGAAGCCGGCGACTCTCAACAGAGCTTGGTCTCGATTCATCGCATTTCCCTCCCTCGTCCACCCTCCCGCTCTCCAATTCTTCCACAGATCATGTTTCGTGTCTCGTTTCGGCATCGGTGCGACGCTGGGGTGCATCCTCCTGATCAAAGCACATTCGAAACATCACCCAACCCACCGGACATCTTAGATCCGAGCCAGATCTTTGGGCCTGAGGTTTCGAAACCTGAGCCCTAAGGCAGATCTTCAAACATTCATGGTTCAGAATGACGCAACAAGGGAGCGAGCAGAATTTCGATAGTATTAGCAAGTTCACGTACGAGATTGAACACACGAGTTCAACGAAAGGCGAAGTTCAAAGCCAGGCTAATACCTAACTAACTATACAGCATGACAGCATCTTCCAATGTTTACCATGTCTCCAATCCTACTCATTACTCGAATATCTACAACAAACGAATGTATTTCATCTTTCACGTCACCCCATTTCCATTCATAAAAGTAAAGGAGTTATCCGTGGCCAGCACATCGCTCCCAGTCCCCCAGCCTTTGACGCCAATGAGCTTACTGAGTATCCTCGTCGTCGTCGTCGTCGGTGGCCGCGGCATTGGGCGACTGGCCATTGGCAACGCCACCAGCTTGCTGTTGCTGCGATCCGGTTTGCGACTGCGGGGCGGGGCTGGCGGGCGATTTCCGGCCACTTTGAGCTGTCTGCTGTCCATTTTGAGCTGTCTGCTGTCCATTTTGAGCGGTCTGCTGTCCATTCTGAGCGGTTTGCTGTCCATTTTGTGCATTTTGCTGTCCATTGGCGCCTAAGAGGAGTTAGGGTCGAAGGAATTGAAATTCAAAGACAGAGAACCTACCGGCAGTTCCCTGAGGCTGCGTGTTTTGTGGTCGGCCTTGCTGAGGAGTCTGAGTGCCTGGCAACGTATTAGCAGGCGAGTGTGAGATTCAGAGAAGGGATATATACCGGTTGTGCCTTGCTGGGGAACCTGAGTGCCTAGGAATGATGTCAGTGAACGAAAACTTGGTGAAGATGCGACAGTCGTACCGGTTTGACCTTGCTGAGGAGTTGTGCCTTGATTTTGGCCTTGTTGTACTGAGGGTTGCTGTCCATTTGTGGGCACAGTTCCAGCTGTAAGAAGTCAGCACAGCGAACTCACGTCACCGGTGGGATGACTAACCGTTTCCTTGAGCCGCGGGCTGTTGTCCGTTCACAGGGGCGGTACCAGCTTCGAAGTGTCAGAACGAGTTTTCTATCTATGAAGGAGAGCCTACCAGTTCCCGTAGTTCCTGCAGGCGTAGCACCATTCTGAACAAGCCCGTTACCAGTCTTAGCAACAAGAGCCTGGGCCGCAGCAAAAGCAGCCGCAGGGCTACCTGCGGGCTGGCCGGGCAGGGTAGCTCCCGTACCCTGAACACCGCCAGCGACACCGGTCTGATCACAGACGGTGGGGCGAACAGCCTGGGAGGAAGAACCAGTGGAGGCCATGTAGGCATCAATGTTAGGGAGGACTGGAACATGTCAGTAGGATTTATGTTGACCTTAGTAGAAGAACATACCATTGACGCAACGGTTCTGGTTGATCAAATCAATGTTGCCTGCAGCGGCTTGTCCCTTGACAGACATCTCCTGTAGCTTATCGACTACATCCTGGAAAGCTCCACCGGTAGCAAGGGTGCTGTTGGCAGCAATGACATTGGGGTCAGCGCTGTTAGCAGCGTCGATGATAGCCTTGTGGTTCAGCTCGTCTACCTCGGCATTGAAGGCAACAGTGGCAGCCTGCTTGAACTGGACGTTGTTCTGGATGTTTGGTCCGGTGTTCAAGAAGTTGGAGACCATAGAGGTATCGGCCATCCAGTTGGAGACGGCAGTGGCGAGGTCATTCGCGGAGGGAGTTTGTCCGTTTGCAATTCCTGCGCCAGTACCTGTCTGCGCCTGAGGCGTCGTGCCTGTCCTCGCCCCGCCAGTTTGAGCTCCATTTTGCTGGCCCTGTCGTTGCGGCTGCTGCGTCTGACCAGTAGCAGTGTTGCCGGCATTAGTATTACCGCCCCGAACCTGAGCGAAAGGAGCGGCATACGCCGCGGAGGAAAGAAGAGAGGCGATGAGAATGTACTTCATGATGAAAGTATGTCGGATCTACCGAATTGAACAGAATTATATAAAAAGATGAGAAGGAATGGTGGAAGATGCTGAAGATGCTTAATAGAAGTTATTAGTATGCTAAAGAGTGAGGAACCTGTCCGATGATGATTGAGTGGGTGCTGGGGGTAGAGGTATTTGTAGTCTCTGAGACCAAGTCGGGTGGTGTTTCGCAAAAGCGTAAAAAGTGTGTGTAGGCACAAACATCCTAACACCTTGTAAATGCGGAGTTGGAACGAAGGAGCATCTGAAATATCTTGGCATATGATCTGGTGTAAGGGAGTGGCTAAATTTGGCGGTCTCCAAGTGTCCCAGGTGGTACATCAGGCGACCCCGTAGTCACTAATGTGCCAGACGAGCGAAGGTGAGGCTGAGCTCCAGACACGAAGACAGTATATCGCTAGGTAGGCCATGCTACACTGTAGGTGAATAACCTAATGTTGTTTTGGGTTCCGGTGTCGATGTTTTGGTGCCGTCTGGGAAATGGTTTCGTCAGTCTTGGCAATTAAAGCTTCCTAGAGATCGTCCCGTCTTGTTGAATCTTAGCTTTAAACCGGTCCGAGCGTGTTGCGGGGTGGCATCGTCTAATGCCGGCTGCGCATCGTTTTAACAGGTGTTGTGCATGTTCTGTAAACTGAGAGGGTAACCCTGATACCCGTAAGCTCTTCCAAATGCGGGCAGGTCTGCGAAATGTAACCTCGGCTCCGGTTTCAATCTTCTCGAACCTTATTTGAAGGCATGTTCCAAGCCGCCACTATAGGTAGCAAACCGACGGTGTGAATTGATTGTGAGTTTGCGTTTGAAGCAATCACGCTGATACTCTGTCCATCCAGGCAAGGAAGGTAGAGCTTGGACACAGCCGATTGCGCCGCAAAGCTAATAGGAACTACCTTTACGAAAAGAACTAGGCTAAAAGGTGTCAGAAGCCTTTGAAGTGCATGTTGGAAATATAAAAAATGTCAGTAATGAGAAGCCCAATTGGTATCACGGTAAGTGTATATAATTGGGTCACTAACAGTGTCATAAAGTCCAGAACTAATGTAGCGCATAAGCGTTTCTTTCGTCTTCATTCCGCCTTCTTCTGGCTAGGATCCATGTCGGTCACGACCTTACGGATGATTCTAGCCGGGTTGCCTGCCACGACCGTAAACTCGGGGACACTCTTTGTAACAACACTTCCCGCACCAACGACACTGCCTCTACCAATGTTGACGCCAGGGAGGATGCTGACGTTGCCGCCAATCCAACAATCCTCTCCAATATGGATCTCTTTGCCGAGTTCAGGTCCCTGGGTGCCGTTGCGGAGTACAGGATCCATCGGATGCGTAGCAGAATAAAACGAAACATTCGGACCCACAAGTGTGCGGGAGCCGACAGTAATCGAGCACGTGTCTAGAAAGACAGAGTTGAAATTAATAAATACGTTCTCGCCGAGACGAACGTTGTAGCCGTAGTCCATAGCTAGCGGTGGCTCTATCCAAGGATCGTTCTCAAATAACTTGTCGTCGTCCTCGGATGTGGAGGCCTGCGGCGGCAGAGGAGTCCTATCCTGAATGATGCTGGGCGAGATATAAGATTTGAAAGTGCAGTCGAAGTCTCAAAAAGTCACACGTACTCTCGAAATAGTGCAGTCAGTTGTCGACGCGGGACCTCGCCAGCATTGTTATAACGTGCGCTGGCGTGTCTGCATCTCGCTCGCTCTGCAATCAATTCGGGCGTGAAGGCATGGTAAAGCTCGCCGCGAGCCATCCGCTGCTTGTTCTCCGATAACGACATGTTGAGTTGATATCGCGATAAGGGAACACAGCAACGCACAAAGGCTTTCCCTTCAGCTGAACATTCATCCTCACATGCTACCATTTACTGGTAGCAAATACTTGGCAGACTAGTGTCGAGTTAGACTAGCGTCGAAATGATCTCACAGACGCGCCGCGGGCGCTCGGGAAACAATGAGAGTACATCCATTCACGCCTTGCTATTGTTCCGTTCCACTACTGCGGACTGCTTGGTTAGTACGCGCTTGTACAGGTGTGCTTCTTTTGTTGCTATATATAATGCCTTGAACGCCCTCGCTCGTCGAATCGTCAGCATTCGCGTATACCTGAACTGTTAGACATCATGGCCTCGAACGGCTCGCTCAAGTCATCGCGCGTCGACATCTCCCTCCCGATAAATCGACCAACAGAGAAGGGCAACTGGACTCCTGAGTTAGATGCGAAGCTGCGAGCTCAAGAAGCCTCCAACATCCAAATAAAGGGCCCAAATGCCCTGGCTCCAGAATTCTTCCCCCATGGCAAACGCTCCCTCTCAGGCATCGCAGTGCGCGCTTTCTGTATGGGTTGGACAGCTTCAATCGGGTTCGTCTTGACTGCACTGCTCGTATACCATGGCAGCCGTCTCTGGCGGCCATGCATGTTCCTCGGAACACTGTCCGTCTTCCACTTCCTCGAATTCTACACAACGGCCGCATACAATACCCCGATCGCCTACGTCGCCTCGTTCCTCCTCACAAATGGCAGCCAGTACAGACAAGCTCATACACTGGCCTTGATCGAGACGTGCATAACCTCGTACTTCTTCCCCGGCTGGCTAGCTCGAGTTCACTCGCCGCTAATAATTTCGTTGGGCATCGTAATGATTGCAGTGGGACAGGGTGTTAGGAGCACAGCTATGGCTCAAGCAGGCACCAACTTCAACCATACGGTGCAGTCACGCAAGAACGATGGACATGAGCTGGTAACCAACGGGTTGTACGCCTATTTCCGCCATCCTTCATACTTTGGCTTCTTCTGGTGGGGAATTGGAACGCAGCTCATGCTCGGAAATACTGTTTGCTTCCTGGGATATGCCGGCATATTATGGTACTTCTTCATGAAGAGAATCTCGCGTAAGTCATATAGCACCTCATGTAGAAGTACATCAGCTAAGCAGAAACAGATGAAGAGAAGCATTTGATTGATTTCTTCGGCGACGACTACAAGGCCTATCGGGCCCGTACACGCATTTGGATACCTTTCATCTGAGGCATATCCGATAACGGCATTCGAGGGGACATTGCATTCGAAATGGGATGCAACATCAGGTGCCGGGAAGGCGAGGGCATATGCGAGTGGACCGCGCTCTAGTTGTCTTGTGTGCTAGAAAGACTTAATTAATATCCAGAAGCTCCGCACTGTAAAGGTCTACCATGCTTATCTTTTATACGTCAATATTCCGCCAAACTACAACCTCATAACTGTAGGCCGAAGAGTGGATGATACGCGCCAGTAGCGGAATCTGCTGTGGGGCTCATATGCTGTCAGGCATCGACTAATCTACATAGTGAGAGCCATTTCGTCGACTCTTGAGTTGTGATACCTCGGCATCTTTCAACTCAGGCAGTTGAGCATCTGTCGACAGTACCACATTTTTGCAAGCACGTTTCGATTATACAGCCCTGAAAATCATCCTAACGGAACACTTGATCTTCCAGCCTGTTTGCGGTGACATCCTTATATCATAAACCGAATTTGCAACCCAGCGTTGCAACATGCACTGAAATACACATACTAATGACTTGGCGGGAGTGTGTGATAACGCTTCTGGGGTTTGTGTCGGATGTGAGAAAGGACCGTTCACGCTAATGGCCACACGGACAGAGTATCTGCAAGCATGAGAAGAGACCTGGTCGTTCTATCACGAGCTACTTCAGGAGCGCATGATCCAGACTTCGCAGATGAGGGGTATAAGAGTGTGAAAGATCGTACTGTTCTGAGCCCAGTCGCCTACACCAAAACGTCCATAAGGCGAGAGCTGGGCCCGTCACGGCAGAATAGCAGGGACTACGATTTGACAATGCCTCATCTCAGGACCGAAATCCCATCCCCGTTAGAGAGCGTAAAGATTCTTGCACCTTTGCAAGTTCTTCGCCGGCAAACTTAGACTACATTGTCATGAGCAGTACAAGTATGTCGCATGAGGTGCCAAACAATACCCTTCAGAAACTACGCAACGCGATTGGACATGTTGTCCTCGATGAGCTACCTGGAATAGGCGGGCTAGTCTTCGAACTAGACTCCAGTAACTCTGGTTACCACCCCGTTACTTTTCGCATGGTGTTTTTCGAGCCAGAGTCGGATCTCGAGGGTTACGAAGCCTGGGCATATTTTAATCATCCAACTACACGTACATTCATGGCGTCGACAGTCCGAATTTTCGTTTGGGAGCCTACTAAAAGGAAGTAGTATCCACGAGGCGCGCGCGTTGATCTGAAAGATGAGTTTGATAGCATCTCATTCGACGATGGACTCAGCGCATGTAAGACCCAAGTTTCAACAACTGCAAAATATCTCTTGCTTTTTGCAGCTGAGGCAAAGGTGGGCGAGGTCTCCACCCATAACATCCCCTATTCCAACTCATCTAAACGAGAGTTGATTACCATCTGTGACATACTTCATGAAGAAAACGAGCAGGAGACTAGGTCCAAGGTCATCCGGCCCGCAAGCTGAGGGAGATGGTGTGCCACTGTCGAAACATTTAGCATTACCTGACCATACAGTACCACAGGAACATGTCGATACCGGGAAGAATTTATAGCAAAGAGACCGTTTCCCGTGTGCAAGCTCAAACCCGGGTACCAAGGCGCAGTACAATGGATCAATTTCACTTCCACGTCAGGTGAACACTCCCCGAACGATCGCCACGTTTTCTTCATCGCAAGATACCTCAACTCTCAATCGGTCTTCCAAACACTCCCCAGGAAACACAACGCCGGTAATGCGGCGCGGAGAAGACCAGGATATCGAAGACAGCGATGACTCCGAAGATGAAATTCCCCACAAACGTCCATCGACGAAAACGATTTCCAGAAGCCATGAACTCAACCCTATCGCATACCCTGAAGAGCCATATTACCTCAAAGAATTGAACAGAGTCAAAGAGAACACCGAAGAAGCTTTGGGACAGCAACGTGGGAATCTACGGAACATTCGGGAATACCAACGGGAGGCATGTGCCCAACTTCGACGCTCGAGGAAGAATAAAGCTAAGCAAACAGAGATTGATAGAGTAAAAGGTTCGATTAGAAGACTAGAAGAGCGGGTTAAGACGGCGAGGAATGCAATTAAAAAGTTCACGGGGCAGGGGAAATTGAACGACGCGAAGCTGAAGTGGGTGGGCGTAGAATGAAGGTACTAGAATGGTGTTGATGTTAGGTTGACTACTAGTGTCTGACAGTATTGATATACATGTTTGAAGACATCGACTTTCATAGACGGGTTCTACACGTGCGTTCTAACCGAAAGACGTGATCAGCACCTGCGCCCTAGTTGAGCTATCACTAGTCTTTAAGGTTGTATTTTGAGTGCGGAGATGTTTGTGATTACCTGGAATCTTCCAAGGTAGGATGCTAATAAGTGCCACGTTTAGCAGGGGGGAGACTGGAAATATGCTAAATGAACACATAAAAATCACTCAAGAACCGACCTACTAGAAACTCCAAGAACAGACATAGTGTGAGTATCACAGGTCAGGTGACATAAATGCTCACATCACTTTCACTTTTATTTTATGGGACTATTTGAGAGCGACTTGATTAAGGGAGCTTAGGAAAGACTAGATATGGAGATTTCCTTCCTGCACAGCTAGTGAGTTTTCTATGCCTGCCCTGAATGAAAGGTAAAAGGTCCTAGCTAAAGGCGTGCGGGATCGGCGCTTTTACATTCATTTCACATTCACTGCGACTTTGCTTGATTTAGTCACACCCGCGACGGGAATCTCTACCACAAATTCAACTCCACCGCAGAGTCCCAAACCACTGTCTGTACTACAGTTTGTGGTCCTTGGCCACCGGCTACTTCCTGATCGAAAGCAGCAAATATGGGCAATGCAGCCAGTACGACCGGTCACGCGCCAGGCAATGAGACCTCCGGGTCGGTGCCACTCGGTTTGGCCTCCTCCCTTCCAGACAACAGTAAGAGATCGCATCGCAACACTTACACTGTTCGTAGCACTGCTCTAGATTATACAATGGACAACGAACACACCGCGTTAGATACTGCCACCCATAGCCCTGAGACAGGGCAGGGAGAGAACGACTTCCAATCTTCACCAAAAAGCACAAACGCACAAGCTCTCGATCCAGCAGACATGCCTGACTCCGGTAGCTCGCATAGAATTACCAGTGGTATCCAGTCCGTACAAGGACCCGAGCATCAACACCCTCACAAGGTGGGTAGCAAAGACGCGCCGAAAGGCCCAGAGGGCGTAGCTGACAGCGAAGACGAAGAACATGTACCAGGAGTGGAAATTTCTGACATTCGGAACCTCCAACTAGCAATCGGTCGCGAACGCGTACCATTTCTTCCGAAACTCTCCGATTTGAAGCTTGATGTGGTCACAGAGAAGGAGGATTATCTGCCAGTCGTTATGCTAGTTGGCACATACATTTCGAGCAATCCGCGTTCGAACCTCAACGGTCTGGAAGTCTGGGCATTCCACACAATTCAAGACGAAGATATATTCCCATACATCGAGCCGCATACTCCTCTAGAGCTCGTGGCTTTTAGTAAAGCTGGAGAACATGTTCCAAACCTTGCAGGCACCAAACCAGACGACACGTGGTTTCAAGTCAAACAATGCGTTCAGTTTCTACCGGAATTCGGTCATCTGCGCAGTTTGGCAGAGCTCTTGTGCCTAGTGCGATACTGCTTGTTACTCGCCGCGGATGAGCAGCTGTTTGGCTTCGACGGCTCCACGATCCCGACAGACATGAGTTTCACGAGGAAGTTGGTCGACATTTGCAATCGCAGGTGGGACGAGCAGCGCTTCAAGACGTATGAAGAGACTGGTGTGATGCCCGAGTTTCATGAGATACAGAAGAATGTGCCAAAGGGCAAGATTACGTCGCGAGAGGCGGTTGAGATGTTCTCGGAGTCTGATGAGTCGTCTGGTGAAGATGAGATTCCAGATACCCGGCCGGAGGGATATGAAGGACACCTGAAGAGAATGAAGAGCATCTAAGTGTAAGCGGTAGAGACTGCACTTAGTAGAGCGATGGCAGTGACTTTTGGAAACACATGTCCGCTCACCCGAGTCTTCTTTTCTTCGTCATATGGCGCAATCGTCTCTAATGTGAGCGTTAAGAGCTGTCAGTATCAAAGCTTGTCTAGATGCATATAACGGAGATATACTATGAAAATCAAAATGCGAGGATACGGTTATGGCAGGCTAAAGTATCGCTGCCTTCCTGATCGCCCTCCGCCTGCCTTAATGTGGGGCCGCTCATAAGCAACGTTTGATATTACCCGACCCCACATCTCATGGAAGACAACGTGTTCGCGAAACCACAGCACCAATGTGAGTATATATAAATATCTATGCCCTTCAATAGTAAGTCCTGAGAGACTGTAACATGAGCATGGCGAACTTCCCACGTCTCCCATCATCCGGCATCAAAGTCATCATCGTAGGCGCTGGCTTTGCAGGAGTCTCAGCAGCCATAGAATGCGACCGCAAAGGCCATTCCGTTGTCTTACTCGAGAAAGCCGCCAACATTGAAGAGATAACGCGTTTTGGCGATATCATATCATTCGATCCGAATGGCGCGCGAAATTTCGAGCGCTGGCCTGGCGTTATCGAAGCAATGCAGAGGGTTGCTCGACAGACGACTTGGCTAGATCTGTATCATTGGAAGGGAGAATTTGTAACAAGACAGAGTTTTGAGGAAGAGAAGACGTGGGGTCCTAGGATCAATGGACATCGTGGTGAGCTGTATAGCATCATTCACCAGCACGCAACTGACCGGGGGCTCGATATGAGAATGGGTCAGAGAGTCACGGATTACTTCGAAGATGAAGAGAAGGCTGGCGTGGTCGTCAACGGTGAAGAGATGTTCGCCGACGTGGTCATCGCAGCGGAAGGCGTGCGATCGCGAGGGCGAAAAATCGTCTTAGGCTTCGATGACAAGCCGAAAAGTTCAGGCTACGCAGTGTACCGATCCTGGTTCTCAGGTGATGCCATCAAAAACAATCCCAAGTTGGCGCACCTCGTGGACGGCGATTCGCACTGTGGCTGGATCGGGCCAGATCTGCACTTCCTCGCTTCATCCCTGAAGAACGGAAAGGAGTTCAACTGGGTGTTCACTCATGTTGACGATGGCAACATCGAAGAGAGTTGGCAGTTTCCGGGGAGGGTAGAAGACTGTCTGAAGTACGTCGAGGGCTGGGCGCCAATCGTACAAGAGATTGTCAGATCAACTCCTAAAGGGGGCCGCCTTATTGATCACAAACTCGTGTTCCGCGATCCATTGCCAACATTCATCTCCCCAAAATGTCGTATCGCTTTGATTGGAGATGCTGCACACCCTTTTCTTCCTACGTCAATCCAAGGAGCCAGTCAGTCGATCGAGGACGGTGTCGTATTAGCCGCTTGTTTAGGGCTGGCAGGCAAGAACAGTACTCCATTGGCAGTGAGGGCCTATGAAAAGATTCGCTATGAGAGAGTGCACAAAGCACAGGCGACGGGCGTAAAGACACGGGAGAAGTGGCATAAAGCCAACTGGGATGAAATTGCGAAGACTCCCGAGGCAATCCACCTCACGAGAGAGGCCTGGCTCCTGAATTTTGATGCTGAGAAGGACTGCTATGAGAGGTTTGAGGAAGTGGCGAGAGAGTTACGGGGCGAGCGTGCTCGATTGTAGAAGCATAGTTGTAGATTTTCAGTAGATTTCTACACATGCAAATATGAGCTACCTGGATATCTTCGTGGAGGCCCTAAGTGAACAAATGCATTCGTATTTACCTAAGACTGGATAGAGTTTGAGCTTGCAACCACTTAGCCAAGTGCGTACGTCAAACTGAAGATGTTAGAACACGGGTGTGATTCGCGAACATGAGCTAATACTGTAACTGGTAAGAGGACTAACGTTCGTTAGCAGGTAACATTAGATCCAAACTCACAATGGACAAATGCTTGCCTGCAAGGCATTCCTAGGGCTTACATATAATAGCGCTTGTTTACTGGCTCGCCTTGCCTCTCCATCCCCCGCTAACAATGCACTCTCCAGGATACATCATCAGCGAACATCTCACAGATATGCAGACCGATGTCATTCGACAAGCACCTGCCGTGTTCGGTGCCTGCCAGAAGATTTACCCGGGACGTTGCGGAAGTCTACTTTAGATCGCTTTTTGCAAATAATAAGACTTTTTCGATCGTCCTTTCTCTAGGTGCTTATCGCTCTCATCCGAATCCAAGGGACTCGAATAGAATTTTAGTTCAAGATGCGCGTTTCTGTTCTCCCCCTGTTCACCAGTGCTATTATTGCCAGGGCAGGCGCTCCTCAGGCCAGCGACACTTCTTGCAACGTCACGTACCAAGGGATCGAGCGTAACGGCATCGAGGTGTTCCTTGGGATTCCATACGCACAGGATACCAGCGGCGAGAATAGGTTCAAGCCACCGCGTCCTCAAGTCCCGCCTCCTGGCTCTACTGTGGATGCGACTAAACCTGGATTCGCCTGTCCGCAGCCGCTGGGCCAAGCCACCTTACCACTGGCACTAGGAAATATCACCCACGTATCGGAGGATTGCTTGAACTTGAACGTCGCAAGGCCGAAGCAGATGAATTTGTACCAGAAATTACCGGTTATGGTGTGGATTCATGGTGGAGGTTTTTGGTCAGGTGCAAATACAGAGCCAACCACAGCACCAGACGGATTGATCCATCAGTCAGTCGAGAATGGCTTGCCGATCATTCATGTTGCCATAAACTACCGCCTAGCATGTGAGTGTGCTGGAAGGATTCTGATCGGACATGACTAACCAAACATATAGTCTTTGGTTTCGCTCAGTCAGACTCGTTAAAGGCTGAAGGCAGCGAAAACGCTGGGCTCCGCGACCAACGCCTTGCCATTGAATGGGTCCGCGACAATATCGAGCATTTTGGCGGTGATCCAGGCAAAATCACTATCTTCGGGCAATCTTCTGGCGGCCTTGCAATTGGACTGCAGATTCTTGCCTACGGCGGAACAAAAGCACTTCCCTTCCAGCAAGGCATCGCTGAGTCCCAAGCACTCGAGCCTGGTATCACTGGAAACTTCACCAAGGATGCCATGACAGCGCTGGTCAATTACGTTGGTTGCAATGCTACCTTGGTGGAATCGCCCGCTACAATCGATTGTCTTCGCCAACTGGACACTGGCACGCTGCTCAATGCGACCATTGCAACGTTCGCTAGCGACATTGCCCACAATGTTGGTGATATCTGGCTCCCCGTTGTAGATGGCGATTTTCTCCCAGCTCCACCTAGCCAGTTAATCGCAGAAGGCCGCTTTGGAAATGCGACTTTCATGTCAGGCTGGACGCAGGATGATCTTAACTACTACACGGATGCTAGTATCGCAAGTGCGGACGACACGTACAAGTTCATGCGCGCATATCTCCCAGGAATGCCGGAAGACTCACTGGAAACATTATTGGATATGTATCCTGTAGAGGAATTTGCGCCGGGCAAGGACTTGTCGTCGGAATTCTATCGAGCGGCGCGTATCTTTAGGGATATTCTCATGGTATGTCCGTCTATTCATCTAGGCGTTGCAGTCCATCAAATACACTCAGCTCCCGTCTTTTTCTACAACTTCAACAGCACCATCCTTGACCCAATCCTGGCAGCTACTTCCAACATCTCTGGGCTTGGTGTTGTGCATACTTCGGAGTTTGCCTATATTCTCGACAACCTGGAGAAGTATAACGTGTCTGGATATCCGTTCAATCCGACAGAAGCAGACTACGAGCTTGCGGTCCGTGCAAGTCGCTCCTGGAGCAATTTTGCCAATGAAGCATCCCCATCGTCTACAAGATTTGACGACTCTTGCTCAACGACGCTGCAGGGCTGGGAAGAGGCGTTCGAGCGCCCCGGTGGGCCGTATTTCATGACGATCGGTGGACCTAACGCAGGCTTGAGTGCGCTAGGCGGAGCGAACGCAACGCGTGTAATACAAAAGCAAAAGTTGGATGACCGTTGCGCTTTCTTGAATAGTCCGGACATCATCAATGCTTTGCAGTATTGAGCCTCGTCAGTGTTGCACTCTTCAAAAGATGATCTAGCCAGGCGATGGAGAGGGGCACTCCAAGATCAGCTCTGACATATAGGACTCGTATTGGATAACGCATTGAGCGAAATAGGCCTCTGGACGAGCCTCCCAGTAGAACTCCAGTTACTCAGTCTTCTTTTCATCAAAACCCCATCCTTTCCTGTCTTATTCTTTTGGTTCTTCTCCTGCCAGCCCTAGTATGAAATCCCACTCCTCTCTCCTCACCCTGGACACGCTCAACCGCGAATTGGTAACCAACTGCATCCCCTCCAGTGAGCCCCCACTCTGCGCATGACTCTTAATTTTATGCAAGTCAACCACATCGTCAAACTTCTTCACAAACTCTACGCCAACGCAGTACCACTTGGGCTTATCCTTGTCCGATTTCGCATCGTAATACGGATCCTTCGGATCGAACGCGCTCTCGTCCACTTTTGCTTCCTCCACCACGCGTAGAATTCCCACCACTCCGCTCGGCTTTGCATTGCTATGATAGAAGAAGCCCAAGTCTCCCTTTCGCATGGCTTGCATGTTGTTTCGTGCTTGCGGGTTTCGTACGCCGCTCCAAGGTTCAGGGACTGTGCATGTGGCAAGGTCGTCGATAGAGAAGGCAACGTTGATCCCGTTTTCGTAGCGGGGGAGGGGTTCGGCCTTCAATAGCCAGAAAACCTCTTGCTCTCCATTGGCGTCGCGATTCGAGTCCGAAGAAGGCGTGGCGGGTGGTGCACTCTTGGTCGGCTTAGAATCAGCTGTCGTAGCTTTCGAGGGCTTTGGCTTCGGTTTTGCAACCCTCTTCGCCGGTGGTGGACTGTCGTCCTTCGCGTCCTGCTCTCCGTCTCCGTCTCCGTCTCGTGCGCGTTTACGGCCCGTCGTCTTCTTCACATTGCGCTTTGATGTTTCGTCTTCAGACGGGGAGCTATCCTCTGTGTATTTCTTGGTCGTAGATGTGGTTTGACGCGTCGACCTTCGTGTTCCAGCCATGATGAGATCTGGAGGTTTGGGGGTGTGATGTAAAAGGTTGACGCTGGTTGCTATGATTAGCGCAATAGCGCGGTTGATGGCGTAAATCCGACTAAGTCCGCCGACCATCGCGGGCTTCACCTTGTTATCACGAATTCATGTCTAAGCATGGGCATTCAGGAAGTGTTGAGTTTTGTATTTATGTGAGCGGCGAAGAAACGATTTCTACCAGTCAGGCCTTCGCAGCTTCATCCTCGCCAAAGCTTCTTGTTGAATTGTGGGTATATATTTCCATGCCCGGTATACAAGGGCTCTGGATGAACAACTCTTGTCGCTCGCATTTGCAATGTCTCACCTAATTCAAATGTGGGCGGAGTATGCCAGTGAATTGCACTATCTAGACAATGCTTGGAGACGGTCATCAAGTTTCGTCTGTTATGATTTCAGGTGATTCGAATGTGCTCAGTGATTTACAGTTGCAAGGGCTGTCCCATGTTAACAGGAGCTATATGTACGTATGTCCCACGAGTCAAATCGCACAGCTACTAGAGCAAGGAGAGTATAAGCAGCATGCAACAAAAGTGGTGACCTCGGGAGCTTCATCGTGATGGGAGCTAGCTTGGCGCCAACGTCAATCAATCTCCCCAGCCGTCAGCATCGCCTACGCAATACGCAACGTGGCGCCGCGCAACAAGAGTCGAACTACTAGGAGAAAAGGTGGAGACTGCAATTTGGTTTGGTCGCGCAGCAGCTACCGCATTGCGCTCTTCGGAGAATATAATCGAGGAACTATTCGTCTGTACCATCGTGGAGCAGGGCGCGGTTGCTGCATGTCGTCCAGGGTAAGCCGCACTGCCTCAAGATTCGCGTCCGTGCCTCACCTCGTTCAACCTCGCACGTCAGCCAAAGTTTGCGAACAGTCGCGATAGCTTACAGCATCGAAGCCATTGACATTCGCTCCCTACCTTCAATTCCGCGACAACCACGAACCCAGCGCCTCTCTCGTAGCTCGCAACTCGAAACGTCGGCTAAGCTACGGAGAGCTGTGTTACTATTTCCAGCGCAGCCTACCCTTCTCCGCAAGACCTCCGTGCCCGCCCACCGCACAGCAACGTCGCTGGAGAGAGGGAAAACAATACATCTGGGCCTTTTGCATGAGCTTGCAAGGCAGCAGCGCTGCGTGGAACGGTGTCCTTGACAACGTTTGGCCGCTATGGCCGGTAGGCCGCCTCCAGGTGGTCCGCCGCATAGCGATAATCTGATCGACTTCGACGACCACCAATCCACTTACTACTCCGGCGCGCCGCCGCCCGCAAACGATAATGAACTCCTACACCGCTACGACATAGACAGCTCGGATGCTGCGCCGCAAGGTCGGCCCTCGGTATCCTATGATGACTTTGTTGGAGGGGGCAGGTCGACAGCAGGCCTACCGGGAGGGCCTGGCGCGCCCCCTGGGCAGCCACCATATCTTCAATCAGGGAACAGGGCCTTCTCCCAGACATCGGGTCTAGACAACTACCAGAGATACTCAGACGCAGAGATACCCGCCGACGATGATCATTCCACACAGGGCTACTACGCCGCCGGAGGGGCCTACGACCAAAATTCACCGGGGATACAGCGCGGGCCATCCAAGAAGGCACACAACAGGAATAGTATTCTGAGTCTTGGAGGTGGTCTGACCGGGCGGGTGAAGAACATGTTGGGGCGAGGGTCGGAATACTCAGAAATGGACCTGCCCTTGACGGAACATGCAGCACAACCGAACCAACCGAGCGCGAGCGCATACGATGATGGAGCCTCTACGAAGAAGAAGAAGCCGAGTCCGGGAACCTTCAAGTTTGGTTTCGGACGAGGCGCGCCAGATCCATCGACACTTGGTCCCAGGATAATACACCTGAACAACCCTCCCGCAAACTCCCTTAACAAATACGTCGACAACCACATCTCGACCGCCAAATACAACGTCTTCACCTTCCTACCCAAGTTCCTGAAAGAGCAATTCTCCAGATACGCCAATCTCTTCTTCCTGTTCACCGCCATCCTGCAACAAATACCCGGTATCTCGCCCACTTCGCGATATACCACCATTGTCCCTCTTTGCATTGTGTTATTGGTCTCAGCTATCAAAGAGTATATTGAAGATTACAGGCGGAAGCAATCGGACTCACAGCTCAACAACTCCAAGGCGCAGGTTCTGAAAGGCTCTACGTTCACGGACACAAAGTGGGTCAATGTGGCAGTCGGAGACATTGTTCGAGTCGAGTCTGAATCGCCGTTCCCAACTGACCTGGTGCTTCTCGCATCGTCAGAACCAGAAGGTCTATGCTACATCGAGACAGCCAACTTGGACGGAGAGACGAATCTGAAGATCAAGCAAGCTATTCCTGAGACGGCAGATTTAGTCAGCCCGCCAGAGTTGGCGCGCCTCGGAGGCAGAATTCGATCAGAGCAGCCTAACAGCAGTCTCTATACCTATGAAGCTACTCTCACAATCGCAGCTGGTGGAGGAGAGAAGGAGCTACCTCTTGCACCTGATCAGTTGCTGTTGCGCGGCGCCACGCTTCGAAACACGCCTTGGATCCATGGCGTTGTTGTCTTTACTGGTCATGAAACGAAGCTCATGAGGAATGCAACAGCGACACCTATCAAAACAACGGCAGTAGAAAGGCTGGTCAATAAGCAGATTCTCATGCTCGTGTTAGTTCTGATATGTTTGAGTATCGTCAGCTCCATTGGCGATGTCATCATTCAATCTACGAAAAGAGATAATCTCGAATACCTCTATCTCGAAAAGTTTAACGGCGCGAAACAATTCTTCCGCGATCTGTTGACTTATTGGGTTCTATACTCCAATCTGGTACCAATTTCACTTTTCGTCACCATTGAGATCGTTAAATACTATACCGGTAGCTTGATTGACTCCGATTTGGACATTTACTACGAGCCGACAGATACTCCTGCCAATTGTCGAACCTCTTCTTTAGTCGAAGAGCTCGGTCAAATTGAGTACATCTTCTCGGACAAAACCGGTACGCTAACTTGCAACATGATGGAGTTCAAGCAGTCATCCATCGCCGGGATTCAATATGCCGACGAAATACCCGAGGATCGAAGAGCTACCACGGAAGATGGTGTTGAAATCGGTATCCATGATTTCAAGCAGCTTGAGCAGAATCGCCAGTCGCACAGTAGCAAGTACATCATCGATCAATTCCTTACGCTATTGGCAACTTGTCACACTGTCATTCCCGAGAGAGGTGGCGACAAGGATGCGATCAAGTATCAGGCTGCCTCTCCCGACGAGGGCGCGCTTGTAGAAGGGGCGGTGACGCTAGGCTACAAATTTGTGGCGAGGAAACCGCGAGCCGTCATCATCGAAGTTGACGGCCGCCAACAGGAGTACGAGCTACTGGCCGTATGTGAATTTAACTCGACTAGGAAGAGGATGTCCACGATCTTCCGCACCCCAGAAGGCAAGATCATCTGTTATTGCAAAGGTGCAGATACTGTCATTCTGGAGCGCCTTGCAAAGGACAATAATCCCCATGTGGAAACAACTCTGGCGCATTTGGAAGAGTACGCTTCCGAGGGCCTTCGTACTCTATGTCTTGCTATGCGCGAGGTCACCGAGAACGAGTTCCAAGTCTGGTGGAAGATTTACAATACGGCACAAACGACAGTCAGCGGAAACCGTGCAGAAGAGCTTGATAAAGCTGCGGAGCTGATTGAGCACGACCTCACACTTCTTGGAGCAACTGCTATCGAAGATAAACTACAGGACGGTGTACCGGATACCATTGCTACTCTACAATCAGCCGGCATCAAAGTCTGGGTCTTGACTGGTGACCGACAGGAAACTGCTATCAACATCGGCATGAGCTGCAAATTGATCAGTGAAGATATGAGTCTGCTCATTGTCAACGAGGAGAACAAGGAAGACACAAGAGATAATATTCGCAAGAAACTCCAAGCCGTCACAAGCCAGAGCCAGGGCGGGGCAGAGATGGACGTGCTTGCTCTAGTCATCGATGGAAAGTCGCTGACCTACGCTCTTGAGCGCGACCTTGAAAAGGAGTTCTTGGATCTCGCCATTAAGTGCAAGGCCGTCATCTGCTGCCGTGTCTCCCCGCTGCAGAAAGCCTTGGTCGTCAAGCTCGTCAAACGCCATCTCAAAGCCATCCTCCTAGCCATTGGCGACGGCGCAAACGACGTCTCCATGATCCAAGCCGCACACGTTGGCGTCGGTATCAGTGGTGTCGAAGGTCTCCAGGCCGCTCGCAGTGCTGATATTTCCATTGGACAGTTCCGATACCTACGTAAGCTGTTGCTTGTGCATGGTGCGTGGAGCTATCATCGTATCAGCAAGGTTATTTTGTACTCTTTCTACAAGAACATCGCCATGTTTATGACGCAGTTCTGGTATTCGTTCCAAAATGGCTTCTCCGGGCAGATCATCTACGAGTCGTGGACTCTTACCATGTATAACGTGTTCTTCACTGCTGCGCCACCTTTCGTCTTGGGTATCTTCGATCAGTTCATTAGTGCGAGGCTGTTGGACCGGTATCCGCAGCTTTACCGCCTTAGTCAGTCAGGGGTGTTCTTCAGGATGCACTCGTTCTGGTCGTGGGTTGGAAATGGCTTCTACCACTCCCTCATCTTGTACTTCGGCTCGCAGTTAATCATCCTGTGGGACTGGCCTCAATGGGACGGTCGAAATGCCGGCCACTGGGTCTGGGGTACCGGAGCCTACACGGCAAATCTGGCCACCGTCTTGCTCAAAGCGTCTCTCATCACGAATATCTGGACAAAGTACACGTTCTTGGCTATCCCAGGCTCGTTCTTACTCTGGTTCATACTGATGCCCATCTACGCCATCGTAGCGCCTAAAGTAAACATCTCCAACGAGTACATTGGGGTTATCGAGCGACTGTTCCCGGATCCACGCTTCTGGGCTATGGTGATAGTGTTGCCGCCGCTCTGCCTGCTAAGAGACTTTGCGTGGAAGTACGCAAAACGAATGTACTTCCCGCAGAGTTATCACCACGTGCAGGAGATTCAAAAGTACAACATTCAGGATTATCGACCGAGGTACGTCATGTTTCAACATTACTCATTTTTTTTTATGATAGACACCCGATTGCTGATGATTGCGAACAGAATGGAGCAGTTCCAAAAAGCTATTCGAAAAGTACGCCAAGTACAACGTATGCGCAAACAGCGCGGCTATGCCTTCTCGCAAACAGACGAGTCGCAGGCGCGTGTCTTACAAGCCTACGACACCACCCAACAGAGAGGGCGATATGGTGAGATGGCGAGTTCGCGCCAGTAGCGAAACTAGGGAAGGTTGTGTACTTAGCTGTGCCTATGCTGAGGGATTCGCCTTGCTAAAAGAGGGAATTGGCCATGGCAGTCTATTCACTTCACTCATGTTTGGGTATTTGTATTGGCGTATGGCATGAAGCGAAATGAACACTTTGTAGTATGACTGGGCTCCAAAAAGGGCAATGTATGGTCTTTTGATAGTGATAGTGTCTTCGATACTAGGTAGCATCACCACATTTATTCTATCCTCATGTCTGAGTTCACCCGGCGAGTGAAACGCTCGTGAAACTAGCAATAAGAGCGAAAATCAAGTCGTACATAAAGTCACATCAATCCTTGCAAGTTCGAATGTCTCCCTAAGCACAAAAGAACGAATGCATGTGCAAAAAACTCCTCATTCCATTTATGAGCCTATAATACACCATGCAGAATACGTATCAGTGGCCTATCCACAAAGACCAATGATCAGGATATTTCAATTGAAAAGTGGCTTTTTTCCATTTTCCAGTCCTCTAGGGCCCGAGGTCCATGCTCAGAGTACAAACGGAACGGACAAGCAGATGACGCAGAAAATGATAAGTCAGGGGTTGTTGGGGACAAAGGTGTGGGGGGATGGAGGCGCTGCTGCAGAGCTCTGCTACTGCAGAGCGCCGGCCATCAAGAAGGTCGTGGTGGGAATCGGAGTAAAGTCCAGGGTAGCCGTTGTTCGAACTGGCTTATGCGGAGAAGCGGCGCATGACCTTGGCGATGACTACGGATGATTAGACGCGTCAACTTGAACAGGTAGGCAGAATGATGCATACCGTGGAGAGCAACAACGCTGAATATGAAGACGACAGACAGCGTCATGACGACGACGGGGTCGACCTTCAGGCCAGGAGACTCATCCGTGTATAGCCCTGTGCATCTCGTTAGCCAAAGTCCCTTCACAAATTGTGCCAATCCCCGTTTTCCCGTAGCAGTTCATGCCCACATCTCTCTCCTATGTTTATTCCCAGCCTTTCGATGCATTCATCTCCTATCCTCATTCCACCTCAAACTAAGATTTACTTACTCAACATGGTGCTTGAGCTTCCTCCGGCACCAGCAGCCCTGGTGCTGCTTGGTCGCTGGTTCGCCGTCTTCTCCGCGCGGTCGGCAGCGGCCTTCCTTCGCATAACGGTCGCTGGGCCACCCGGGGGCTTGGGTGAAGCAGGACGCGCCGTCGTGGAGCCTGACGAGGCCGTGTTTACGGGGGAGGTGGGGCGTTGTGAAGACTGCGCGGGTGATTGTTAGCTATTGCTAGACGAGACATTGCTGGAGAATGTGCGTATGATGGGAGGCCATTGGGTTGCAGCGAGAACGTAGATTGGAGGCGAAGAGCGTTGACTTGGCAATGGTACGTCGATGCGCGAATATCAGGGAATACCCCGTTCATGGCGGTCTCGCTCGCAGTTCCTCGACGAGATGCGCTGGTGTCGCAAGCTCGAGCACCACCAATCTATCCTTCTGCGCCTCCAATGGCACCCGATTCGCTCAAATAGGTTGGTACTCACCATGTTGGTGTGCTGATGGAGTGACCGAGAAGAAGTAGACCGAAGAGTGTGGACGGAGTGTTGTGGAATAGCTGATGATATTCGTGCGTCGAGATCTAAAAGGCCACGCTTCTGGATATGCTGGGGTCGAGATCAGGAGTTAGTCCGTTAGGTCTACGCTAATGCCCGTCACGTGCCCACTTCTTTACGACGGCTGCAATTACCCCGAAATGGCAAGTGCGAATGTGGCCTCACACAACATGGATTGCTATGCATCCATGAGCAGTTTCAGAATGAAAGCTGCAGCCATGTGTCAAGCAAATCCAATAAAGCTTCGAAGGAAGGAATTGCCCCTAAACGACTTTTGCCATTGACCTTGACATGTACCAGGCATTTACATAGCATGCTACAACAAAAAAAATCAGGAGTCGCTCCTTGACGCAGATGCCGCCGATGAGATCCGAAAACTAACAACCCACCGATACTCAGATAGCAAAAAACCCATCAATAACTCCAGCCAGCCCCGGCCCCTATTGGCGATGAAACCGATACCATCCAACTAACAAACACCCGTGTAACCGCCTTGGTAAGGTATAATTATTCTCAGCAGACCCAGAGATGCAGACAAACACGCCATAAGAGCATATGATTTTCGCCGACCCACCACCCATAGCTGCTGCAAGACCGACATGATATGCCCGGGACACCTGTAATGCGAGAACTCCGGATGTGCATCGCAATTTCCCCAATCAAAACTCCGTTTTCTAACCCCAGACAGATGCCTGGACGCCCTGCGTAGGCGTATTACCCCAAGGACCATTGTTCCAAATACCGACACCCTTGTCAGTAGCCGTTGAAGAGGGGTTCAAAGAAGCAGACGTTGTGGCAACATTATTCTGCTGCTCGCTAGCGTTGTAGGACTTGTAGCCCAACGGCGACGGGAGAGGTGAAGTCGCGCGCTTGCTCAGGGGAGCCCCACCTGGCTGTTGTAGGCTCTGGTTCTGGGTTTGGGTCTGGGGGCGAGTGCCAATAGGGGCGACACCAGAGCCATTAGATTTGGGCCCCGAAATGGGAGGAGAGGCGCCAGGAGATGAGTTGGAGGTGCGGCCCGCCTGTTGTGCATCGAACAGGCTAAAGGCCGGGTTGTGGTTGGACGAGGGAGAGGAATTGCTGTTGGCACGGGCCTCCTGAGATGCACCCGCAACATCCTTGTCCCCTCGTGGGGGCATCTGAACGGCCGCATCGCCACCGACATTTTGTGCCTGCATGCCGAAGGGATCAAACGCCAAAGGAGAAGGGCCGCGGCCGGCGGCGGACGTCTGAACGCGGACGTCCTGGCTGGAGGTGGGATTGTTATTGTACAAGGTCGATGTCTCGCCGTACAGGGCACGGTGCTGGCGGGCGATGAGCTCGCGACGCTCGTCTTCATTCATGGCATTGGGGCTCATGGAGCGGTCGGACTTGGAGCCAGAAACGTCTGTATTACCCTAGTCAACCAGCTGTCCTTCCTCTAATTTTGCCCTGATTCCGAGTCCTTACTTCTGTGATATTGCTGCTCTTGATGATAGTTGCGCAGCTCACGCTCGCGTTGAGCCGCCATCCGTCGCTTTGCCTGCGCCATCTGGTCCGCATCGTTTGGTCGGGGCGCATAGCGCTGGTTCTGGTAGAAGCCCTGAGCGTTAGAGGCCGACTGGGAGCGCGATCCGTCGTACTCGCTCACCGAGTGGTGGCGCTGGGAGCCGGGGCCGCCCATGCGTTGTTCTGGTAATCCCATTAGTGTTTTGATTCTTGAGTTGTTTGGCAGGTTACCATACCGTACTCCGGGTATGGACGAGGAGGACCACCGCCACCGCCGCCGCCACCGCCCATCATGGGCATGGACTCGCGACGGCTGGCGCTCACTGGCGTAGGAGGGAATCCAGGACCAAAGGACTTTCCGCTCTTGGCAAGGTTCTCAGTGGCGCGTTCGACTTCTATAATGACATGTAAGCACTCGATCGTAGTAGTGTCGAAACCTGGCACTGCCATGTCTTGTCGCGTTGCGGGATGGAAGGCATTCTGACGGCACCGAGTACCGGGATTGCATGCTGTGACGTACCATCAAACTGGGAGATGAAGGCATTACCTTCATCTCTGCTGACAGTCGAACTGGCGCCTATGTCCATGTGAATTGGCGGTGCACCCCCACCGTTGTAAACACTCTGGCCGGTACCCGAGCGCGAGGGCGGTTGTGGCTGTTCCCACGAGGACTGGCGTCCAGGAGCTGGCGAGGGCCAGGAGGGGTCGTTGTAGTAGGACATGGTCGGGAAGGGAGGCAGTGGCGCGGGTGGGCGAATTGCACGGGTGAATTCGAGGTGGCAGCAAGATGGGAAGAAGAAGAAGAGAATCTCGGAGCAACAGAGCCCGGCTGCAGAGTCGAGTTAGTGACAGAAGGTCAATTGCAGCCAAGGGAGCCAGAGCGGGCAGGCGGAAGTAAGTATGCACGGAATGGGGGTGGGAAATGAGGTCGAGTGGCCAGCGGAAAAGATTTTTGGCGCGCTTCCCTGAGAGGGGAGATGGGGAGAGAAAGGGTGGTGCCGCTTACCGAGAAATGCGACTTCTGCGAGAGTGGAGACGGGGCAAAGGAGCGACAGTTGTTCACGATGCAGGGCGCAAAGTGAAGAGACGGAGAGGGCAGCACAGCTGAGGTGGGAGGAGAGCAAAAGGGAAGGCTCGGGAGAGATGGCGGGCGGGCGGTCGGCAGAGTGAGGATTATGTCGAAAGGGGATGATGGGATCTCAGTATAGCGGCGCTAAGCTGGCCGAAGCAGACAACCCTAACGCTAATTTCATCTCCGCGCCCACGACACGGGCCCCGGAAGATGCACGCAATTAGTTGAGGTGGTGAGGATGTGGTCCCGTCTGTCACCAGCGGCCGACGGCGTGGGCGGTGGGCATCATGGACCCGCTGTGGCCTCGCGCTCGGAGGCCCCATTTCCTGGCTGGGATGCGTTGTATACCTTATTACCTTGTCCCTGGTGGGCGACCATGACGCTGCGCAACCACAACCTGGAGACGGCCAAGCGGACTGAATGCGTGCTGACGTCTGGGGGGGGCGGAGGTGGGTGTCGAGCGTTGCGGGATATGCGATGCAGTGCCGTGCGTGCAGTGCAGAGAGTGCATGCAGTGCAGGTCGCTAGCCAAGTGACGGTTCGGGCTTCCTCACCATCACCAACTACTACATCATCTACCACTACTTACCAAATCACTACCTGGATACTGAATACTGCTACTAATACTACTACTAATACTAATACAGCACGCCGCACGCCTCCTTTTCCCGTTGCCGCACGCACCTGGACCCTGAGCCCCTCTGCGCTGTGTTATATACGCCCAAAGCTCACAGGGCTCACAGGGCTCGCCTGTCTTGTCGCCTCTACCAAGTATATATCATGACTGTGGGCATCCTCCTCTCTGCAGTAGCAAGCAGCAGCAGCAGCAGCAGCGCCTCTGCGAACATGGGCGTTCGCAGCCCCGCGCACACGTAGCAAGAGGAGGATGCATGCCTTGGCCATGCAACCTTGTATGCACACACACCCCACTCGCGACTCTGCTGGGCTATGATGGAAGACGACGCCACCAATTGACATTTTTCACCGACGACTGTGCTTGGGTAGTGCTCATTGGAGGCAAATGCATGCACACTGCTCATTCGCAGCCCCGCACCAGAGTGGACGCGCTTTTCGCGTAGTCTACGACGAGGGAGGGCGAGACTGCATCATGCTGGCAGCTAATGACTGCATTCTCCTGCCGAAGACGGACCATGGTGATGGTGGTGCTGGTGCTGGGCATAGATAGGCCACTAGCTCATGCATAGGAGCAACCACTGCAGACGACGGAGCCGGTTTCTCGCCATGGTCAGGATCGTGAGGGTGAAGGCTGCTGACTATCCACCGTTAGCCCCCTCCCTCTCTCAAGGCCAACCCGCAGCTCTTAGCTGCCGGAAAGCGGCTTTCATTCCCAATGAGGCCATCCGAGAGATGCCACGGCTGTTCTGCGGTTGCAGCGCTTCTGTCGTGGTCTCTTACCGTACCGCCTGCGCCCGCTGCGAACTGCATCCTGACCCAACCCTCAGCAGGCGACGCCATGCACACAGTGCTCCCATTACTCCACGAAGCACACACACACACACACACAGGCTTCGACTCCATAGCCGGTGCAAGATGCCGGATCCCTGAAGAGATCAGCCTCAACTCCCCTAACGGGCCAAGGCACTGCCACAGGCAATCTATGTTGGGCATAAGTCCTGTAGCTTGCCCGTCAGCCTGATGACCACAGCCAAAACGTTGACGCAGCATGCCAAATTCCAAGCGTTGCCCGTGGTGCTCGGTTTTTCCTACCCTGTCACTAAGAACCCTTGCTGTACAACTAATGGGTAGCCCCCTCTGTACACCTGCAATGTTGTGACCTCAGACTTAGTGTAGAATGCAGCCATAAGTAGTCCACGAGTAGGTCCACGAGTAGCTGGAGGGGTGCCATCTCCTAGTCGGCCCTACGGCTCCTTCCATGTTCACTACTTCACCCATCGCATTCCGTCGCACCTCTCACACTCACCTCCAGCCTTTTTCTGTTCGTACGTCACGCGCCGTTGGGAGCCACGAGTCGCAATCAGACCTGAGAATCCAGCAACTGTTTCACTATGGCCCTGTGTCGTCTCTCAAAGCTCACGCAAGCATGTCGGATAAGGCGTCCTCCATCGCCCAGCTCCGCATGAAGCGCTCGTGCAACGGTTTTCTTTGACACAAAACCTGAAACATCACCTTTAATACAGCAGAACAAACTTTATAAAGAGCTTGTGCTTGCGCCGGTCCTGCTTCCGTCGCCTGACTTTGGTCGAATCTCACCGTCTACTTTCAGTCATGGGGAATGTGTCACTGCCTCAAACGTGGTTCACATATCTTAGTAACACCAAAACGATCACAAGCAAACTCAAAGCTACCTGCGATTGAAACCTCACCTACTCCTTAGTGATATACACCGCTGCCAGAACGACAAGCAACCTTTAGGCTTCGCCCATCGACTTGACCGTTAGCCCTCACCTACATGGCGTCATCCACCATATCTCTATTGAACCTCCCTCCCGAGCTCATCCTCGAAATTGGCGACTGCCTTCCTCCCGACGGCATACTGGCCCTGAAGTTCTCCCACCCATTTCTTAACAGAATTCTGCCTCTTGCGCCACGTCTGAGAAACACTACCCTCTCAGATTGCGCCCGCCTCGCCATCCGCACCTACCTATCTCCACCAGATCTGAAGCCTAGTCATCTTCGCTGCATCTTGTGCAAAGCCGTCTATCCCGCCAGCCTCTTCAACTCATCGAGCAGTCCTGCTTGCGTTCCCATCTCGCTTGCCGAAGATGCCCGACAGACAGATGTGGTCGAGTTGCCACAGAGACTGTGTTCGTGGCATGTAGGTAGGTTGGCACGAGTCATACATACTGAGTCGGGCGGCAGGAACGAGTGGATCTCTCACGTGGACAATATGTGTATGCATTGCGGAGCGGTTCAGAGTTGGACGAAATGCGACTGCAACTGCGATAGCTGTTCATTCAGATCAGTAAAGACCTACACTCGGTACTTGAACAACGACAGAGAGTGCAGGACGTTTCTATTTTGGAGGGATACAACAGACGTGATTCAGTGTAACCTAAACGAAGGGGATGACGGCCAGCTTTGGGTTCGGGAAACATGCTGGGACCCTGGTGAGTCTACGATACTGGAATCGTCGAGGAGCTTGGCAATTACAAGTATTTGAACGCTGACTGGGGGCAGATGCTATCATACCAAAGCCTGTCATCAATATGCACATCCGCTTTGACTCGACGCTGGATGGAGAAAACCAGGCAGAGGCGTGTTCAGTGACGAGTCGACCTCAACAACTCACACTCAATGCCAGGCAACCTTGATTGCTCAGGTACTCATTAACACGACCAGATGAAAGCATGCTTGTTTGTACTCTTGGATTTCGTCCTGTTCGTTTCATCGTGAATATCTAGTCTTCTCGCTAATCATCAAGTCATTGTCCGTATGCACAATCCCATCTTTTTCAACATCCGTTCTTGCCCGTCGCCACTGCTGGAGGCGCATCTCCTTGCCCCATTTCCGCACTGTCATCAAAGCCCACCACTGAGCGACCATCAAGATCAGACCGACACAGGCCACAGACAGCTTCACGACGCCAAAACTCTTCGAGCACTTGACAAGCCACTCCTCGTCCCACCCAAATCCAGCATCAATATCGCGGCAGATGGCAGACTCGTCGATTTGCCAGCTCGGAAGTACCGGGTTTAAGAAGCGGAAGTCGAAGGGCAGGATCATGTTCACGAGGGCGATGTTTACGAAAGACAGCGTGATCGTATGCATGACCATGTAAGCTGACACGAGGCTGGGAATCAACTGCAACTGGCGTGTTAGCCTCTCTAGTCTGCCAAAGCTTAAGACACGTCACCGGAGTGCGCGAACAAAATGATCCGGACGAATCCTTCCAAGCTACATCTGACTACAACGGGGCAATCTTGCTTACCTTTACTGCGCCCACCACACCCAGGATGCTTGCGCCTGCTGCGAAAACATTGTAGAGGAACGAGGAGAAAGCGTGATCTGGCGCGGCGCCCGGTAATGCGAAGGAGAGCGCGAGGAGTATATGTGTGCAGAGGGTAAGGCCAGGGAGGACGATGGCTAGAAATCTGCGTAGCATATTGTTAGCCATGTCATCTTTTCGCAAAACCTCAACTCTAAAGCTCCTCAAAGCTCCTCAAATCACCTCGATTTGCTTGTTTGAGTCCCTCTGCGCGGGGCAAGAGCTCGTGTAACGCAACCTACCTTGTTTGCGCCTGCTCTGTTGTCAAGGCCATATTCCCCCAAAACTCAATTCTATACACAATCCTCAGAAACCGGGGTCTTTCAAGGAAACAGGATGGCGAATGCGCAGCGAAGCGTAGCGTAGCGTAGCGTGGTTGTGTGTTTTGATTTGTCCTCCGCGGGGAACAAGTCCAACAAGGCAGAGGTTTGCAGCGTCGTCGTTGTCGTCGGCTGGCCAGCCAAAAAGGTTGTCAGGAGGGGAGGGCGGAAGGAATGGACAGGCCTTTTTGTAAGACGCGAAGACGTCGCGTGAGGTCAGAACCAGCCAACTAGCCCAACTGAAAAAGCCGGATGTTGCCTGGTTTCGCCGGAGCTTGGGGATTCGTTGGTCTCTAAAATCCGGCGATGATGATGATGGGGGCACAAGGGCAAGGGATGGCCAGGGCTTTTTATTAGCTCCGGGACTCCGCGGATAAAGAAGGACAAGGCTTTAATCTATATGTTATGTTTTGGTTTGAGCGATGTGTACAACGTGAGAATTTCCCTCGAATAAGGGATCAGGAGCGTAAAGAGGGATTTTGCAGAAATGCGAACAAGGAAATGTTGGAATTCTTGTAGTAATAAAGTAGAGGCACTCTAGCGGTGTATAAATAACAGCAACATGTGCTGTTTGTCAGACGAGACTATATACCACACGCTGGATGCGGAATAGCGCTCGCCTATAGTGCGGATCTTCAATTGATGCGGCTTTGAGTGGAGCTTCTAGCCGGAGCTTACGGATAGCTCTCGCTCGTCATGGGTCATTCATTGATCTGTCATCAAACTATCCGATTAACGATTACTTTTCTTTGGTTGTGGCGGAATAAAAGTAGGTCTCGCCATGGTATTTGGAATATTTTTGCAGGCTACTAGGTCTACGTGTGATATTTTGGCCGACTTACTTTTCAAGTCAAGCCGTAGTGTTGACGAGTTAAGAATCAAGATGGATGCGACGATAAATACTGTGGCCAATGAGGGTGATTACGCTTATTAATTCCCACTTTCGTCCGAACTTCTTCCCCAACTCGGCTATCTATAACCTGGGAAGAAATAGTTAGACTACTGAGTATCGTTTTTGGGAATATTGGGATTTCAACAGTACAGGTCGGGATGAGTGAGCATGCGAGGGGGGTTTGAAGCGGAGTAACGTAGTTGGTGAGGATAGTGGACATGTGATAGAGTGATGTCGTGGTCGTGTTTGAGCCGTCGGGGGAATATAAATTGCGAACTCGCATTTCACCTCGGGCTAATACAAAGATACTCAGATCAGTACATAACTGAGTAAATACAACTTGACATGTGTTGTGAATGAGGACAACTTAGGAAGGACAGAATCGAGTGTAATGTTGCTATGATTTGGCTACCAGGTATCACATGAGGCGCCAACGCCATGTGTATTCGTAGGAGAGTCCCCTCGGTCTCTATGGGATCATTCTAGATGCGAGCATGCGACTAAGCGAAGACGTAGCAAGCAATGCCGTACTATTATACCATCAGCAAGAACACCTTGTACGAAGAGGAAAGACGAAGGGATACATACGTTGGTAGGAGCGTTGAACTTGAGGTTCTTGTCCAGGTCGGAAATCGCCTGGATCTCGCCGTCCTTCAAATCGAAGCTGGTGACATCCAGGTTCTGCTGCAGACGGTGCTGAGAGTTACTCTTTGGGATGACCGAGATACCCCGCTGCGTGGACCAGCGTAGAAGAACCTGCGCAGGTGTCTTGCCATGTGCTTCGGCGATCTTCGTGACGACCGGGTGATCGAAGAGAAGAGGCGTGTCCGCGGCAATCTTCATGTCGCACTCAATGAACGACTGCGGGCCGAACGACGAGTACGCCGTGACCTTGATGCCATGTTGCTCCGCCAGCTTAATAAGGTATGGCTGAACATAGTACGGATGATGCTCAATCTGCAGTGTCGCGGGCTTGACCTTCGCATACGTGAACAAATCTAGGAGCAGCGCACCGCTGTAGTTGGAAACACCAATGCTCTTCGCTAGGCCATTCTTCTGGATATCCTCAAATGCTCTCCACGTGCTCTCCAAGCTCGCATTGCTGTGCTCAATCTTGCTCTCACCATCATAGTACCAACCCGGCGGGTACCGCGTCTCAGGCGCAACGTACTTTAGCGCGACGGGGAAGTGGATCAGGTATAGGTCGAAGTAATCGACGCCCCAATCCGCGAGCTGTTTCTTAGTAATGGGCTCGACTTGCTCGTAGTCGTGGAAGCTCTGCCAGAGCTTGGAGACGATGAAAAGCTCTTCGCGTTTTACGAGGCCGTCCTTGATAGCGCGGGCGACGCCCTGGCCGGCTTCGACTTCGTTACCATAGTCTGTGGGGTATTGTTAGTGCGTGCTCTTATGGTAATCCGAAAGGAGAATGACGCTAGGAATCCGCCTGCAGGGATGTGAAGCCACCGGTAGATCGGAGTATCGAGCCGTCAACGACGACCGCAACAATACCTTCGAACTATGGTTTGCGGGCCGGTGGAGCGCGTTCATGCAACGAGATGCTCTTGAAATCCATGCCAAGGTGATTCTTCGTCCGACGAAGGGAATGTACGTACCGCAAGCTCCATCGAACAACCTGTATCCTGTCTTGATGGCATTATAGACAGTATCCGCACAGGTATCATTGTCGACTTTCCACAGTCCAAACCCGACCTGAGGCATCTTATTGCCATCGTTCAGCGTGACGTAGGGTGTGTCGATAGCCATAGTTGCGAAGTAGCTACGGTTCGTAAACGTGGTGAACTTCGGGCAAGGTGAGGTTCTTGATATACAAGTGCGATCTGGAGGAAGTAACGAAGGTCTGAATCGAATTGTAGAAGAGCAGGCGCGCACTGTATTAATACTCGCACGGCAATAACGCCCAGCAACCATGTCCTTATTTCAGATCTCCAAAGAATAGATCAGAAAACGCACCAAGGCACCTGCCGTCTATATAAGCCATGCTAGAGGCTAGATGGAACTACACCTGCGTCTTCAACCGGAAGACTGGGTTGACCGCTTGTCCAAGCCTCTATTTGAGGAGCGCTCTTTACCCTGATAGGATATGTATCCGCTGTCATTTAACCTTGTTATACCGCATCCACTGGGACTTTGGCGGTTTGGTCATGTTTCACATCTTATGGTATATGCCATCCGTGGAGGCTTCCATTGAATCTCCACTCGCCCGTCTTGAATGCAGAATAACAATGACTGTTACTCCGAACAACTGCGTTTGGTATCTTTCTTCACTTGGATATATGGTACCTATCTGTATTGCCGTGAGCTAGTATTGAGAGGCGACAAGAATAATCATAGTAATCCTAGTGGGGTCAAAGTTGCCCCTCCACCCATATTTTGGCCCTATGACGGATAAAGTGCGTTGAGGCACCGGATAATAACTTGCACCACCGAGCACTAATCTCTGAAAAAGATTGGATCGGTATGACTGCGGCGTGGATGGCGTGCGTGGGATGTTGACGTTGTGTTCCTTGAGCGTGGTGTCCATATAGTATTGGTTGGCGTTGGAAGCACGTGCGGTATCACGCGGGTGTGCGTGATCACGGGCGAGATGAAGTACAATCAAGACGATAAGCAGACGAAGTAATGGTAAGCTTAATGGTCTATCACATATAGCTGTTCTTGCCTGAGACCTTTTATGAGTGGATTGTTCATGGGTGAGCAAATACCAGAACCTCCTACGACTCTGCAGGGTTCTAATACCCAGCACCGGCGTGTGCGTAATGATGCGTGAAATCCAGAGCCTGTCCGACTGCCAGCTCGGATTTCTTGCCCAGTCTCTTTGGATCCTTCTTTACCAGGCCGAAACAGCCAAAACCTCGAATTGCAAGGTGCACCTTACAGGTATCAGTGATGCCTCGATTGATCTCAACATGGGTACAAGATCAATTTCGCATCCTTCACGTCAGTGTTAGGACGAGAAAGAAGATACGTAGCCGCTTATAGACTGCCGTGAGGCAGAATTTCGAGAGCGGATAGTGATCTGTGGCGAGCGATTGACCGGTGTCCTCAAACCGAATACATCCTATGATCTCCAATGCGTCCTTCAATAGTTGGCCGACTGGGTAATCGTCATAACAGTGTAGCTAAGTACTAGGGGACTGTCATTCGTGCATTGCCATTTCCACGTGCAGTTGAGATGAGGCTAAGGTGATGAATATGAGAGGAAATGAGCCAGACGACTGTATAGTGATCGGCGCCTACTTGATGAATGGGTTTCTAGGAATTGTATTCCTAATCGGTTACATGGTCGTGATGATGGACGTTGAGGCGGCGCTTTACTGGTCGCGACGTTTAATTTGGATGTTGGCCATTGGTTTCGGGGAAGACAATACAAGAGGCTTGTTGTGTTGATGAAGGAGTACAAGGGTGAATGGTCCCGGGATGACATTTGAGAGAAGGAGGATGTGGGGTTGGTTTCTTTACATGGTATTGATATTGATTGAATTGAACCAGATCAGGTATAAAATATAATCTATAAAATATGTTAATAGATGGTAGAAAGATGTTTCCCTTGAACTCCATAAGACTTTGAAACTCCGATCATCTTGAAGCGGGGAGGACGCCGAATTCTATCAACGTATGGCTATGAATCACCATAGTGTTCACCCTCCGTACCTTCTATCAGCCCCTGCGCCATCATTGCCCTCACGATGGGATAAGTGGCGACACCGTAATTACTCGTTCTGGTCAAGATCGTTCTAGGGTTGATATGGCGCTGGTAGTTACCAGTAGCGAAAGCATGGAGCATGTAGGACGCTGAGAAATCCATTTCCCAATCTCTCCTCGCCCGTCGATTCTTAACGATCAAATCGTACATCTCGATAGGATCAGTCGAGTTGCTTTGTAGAGGCTCTGGAGATGGAAGCCCTTCATTTGGGTTAAAGAGAGGATCGGTACTGTCCGCAAACCAATGTGTAGGCGCGAAGGCATGGCGATCAAGGATGAGAACTTGATTTGGTACGCTGACAAGATACTCCGCTGTCTTGGTCATGGCCTTGAGATTTGCCTCCCAAGCGCCGTCGAACCCTGCATGTTGATCCCGTTTGATGATAGTTGCCATTGCGCTCTTGGGCTTCGTTAGGAATGCACCGTTATTGATAGTCCCGTTTATGTTGCCTCCCTCGTCTTTACCACCGTACTGTCTGCCAGCGACGAAAGCGAAACCAGAGTTTAGCAATGGTGTCAACGGTCGCAAAGTGATGACATCGAAATCCATGTAGATTCCTCCAAACTCGGTAATCGTATCCCACCGGATGAAGTCGGACTTGTGCTGCACAGCATCGATGCGGTGATTTTCGTTGGGGCCGGCATAATTAGGAACTTGGACAGAGTTGAAAACTACAAGCTCTGGCCAGCTGTTTATGAGTTTGCGAGTCCATCGGCTGCCTTTCTGAGCGGCACGCTCAATGTCGCTTGTGTTGTAATCGGTGTGGATGTAGACTTTTGTGGGGTTGATGTACAATATCGAGGCGAAGACGGCCAAAAAGGCAGAGAAATTGAAGCTGATAAAGGCGTCTGGGCCGCCTTTGATGTAGACAAAGTGCACAATGCTTGGGATTGGGTCGTTGTCGGCGAGAGGGTGGAGGAGACCATAGTCACGTGCGGTAGTGACGGGGTGAAGTGGTGCGATGATGGCGGCGAGGAACAGAAGGCCGCCGACTGCGATGCCGACCTTGATCGCTGTTCGATATCGAGCAGAGAAGGATATGTTTGGTAGCGCGTTCAGCGGCATATAGTCGTGTGACTTTTTGAAAATGCTGAGCGAGCGAATAGATTCCCACACGGTGGTTAACGAGTGTGGTTTCTCAGAGTCCGACATGCTGAGTGACTGTAAATCAAAGAGACGAGAGGACACACTGGTACGGAGATAACGACAAGGCCTTGCGTGAGATACCGAAGGAATGCCGCTAAGAACGAAAACCGGTGAAGAGGAATGCGGACGCCCAACAGCTAATAAAGCTTTTCGAGAAGGCGTGTGTCCCCTTTTTCCATGGCCTGCCCTACTTCCGAAATAGCTTTGGATCGACCGTGGCCATATGTGGAAATTCACTCGACGCCATAAGCAGTCACTGTCGACGCTATGCCTTGGTATGAAAACCCTTGTTCCACGTGGCTTGGTGACACCTGGATCTACCAATAGAAAAGTATATTCGGATCTGACTGCGCTAAACTGGGATTTCAGCTGTGTCCAGATGCAGCCATCTATGGAACTATACAACATTGGGGGCTCACTAAGCGGTGCTTATTTGTGTGTGGCGCTTATGGCGCTTTATGGCGCAGGGACAGGGACTGGGGGATTGTTGGACGAAGTAAGGCTCGCACCCGCTGTATCGTGGTACTGGCTTGCATACATTGAACGCATTCTGATGTTTGACAAGGCACAATGATCGTATGCGGACAGTCGAATTGATGATCGAAGGGGCACGTAGTTGTGCTGTGGCCCCCGCGCGGACCTAGAACCCCGAACTTTGGCCAGGAACGTCGGTGGGGCCTTGGATTACGCCCCAAAGACAGTGCTTCGTCCTGCACGGGTTGTTGTAAGTGAGATCTTTTCTGGAAGCGAAATCGTGTCGGCGAGATAAGGTGCGCCAAGCCGACCCAGAGTCTTACCCCTGCATGGAAGCGCTGATCGGTCTATTTTGGACGATAAGGCTAGGAGCAGGATGCCCGGGTGTTGGTATTCGCAAAGAAAGAAGAGAAAGGCACAATCTTCGGAGCACGTTGAACAGGTTGCGTTCAGCGATTATTGCGGCTCTACACAAAATAGTACTGCTGAAAATCTTTCCTGAATCACAGCCGCAGAAGGCTTTAGTCGCACCGATACAGGAAACACTACTGCCTTTAAAGGACGGAACACTATTTGGCATGTTTGGAACCTTCGCACCACCCGAGATAAACTTGGACGAACAACCTACCTGAACGAAATAGCCTAGCAACAGCCTGTTTTGGTATAGGTGCTGTCCGGAATCCTTGGCACTGGGTGAGTTCGCAAGATAGGCGAGCAATATTATCTATTGCGTTGAAACCCATTATTTTGTCTGTTAACTCTGTTGACGCAGCTGGCAAGGCTACGAAACTTTTGAATTGTACCTGCGCCCTGATATCTATCGAACTATCTATACATAGCCTTATGCTTCAAGTTATGTGGTTGCGAAGCACGGAGATTGGGCAGTCAGACTGGAGGGCTTCGTATTATCTCGAATCCTCCTCGTATTAATCAATTTTACTTGTGTTATTACGAGCCCTATTGCCCCCACATATGAGAGCTGCGAAGCAACGGAGACCACCCACAACGTAAACCATACAACCTGTGCCCACTCCCAGACTTTTGCTCTTTGTGTAAGACAACCTTTAATTCACGAGAGAAAATTATCTCCTAGTGGTAGTAAATAGCCGAAGCATGGGAGCTTTGCCTATTTCTGAAAGAATCTGTTGCGATGGCCCCTCCTTGCTTCGGAATCAAAGACTGCAGTACAATTTCCACATTTCATCGCCGCAATGGGACAATGCTTCTTCTCGCGATTCAATGACCATCTTAGAAGTTACAGATCTTTTCATTCCTGTTACCCAAAATAATCCTACCATTTCATTATCTCGGTCTCTCGACGCGTTCCTCTATCATTCGATGTACTTCCTCGAGATGATCAAGCACTACAATGCCCGTACCCCGAGGAGGACTTGTCGAAGCACCTACTGGTGATCTCTGTCTTGGTCTCTAGACCAGGAGCAAAACCACTCACATTTACCAATACCCGGTGTTTAGTATAGGGCGTTCATAGCCGCTGCGGGCGTAACTGCGTTCGTCGTCTCGCTGATTCACTCAGTGAGATGGAGGGGACAAATATCTAGTGCTAGTAAGACTGCCACTCTAGATCGAGAGACCGAATTCTCTCCTCATTCATTTTACTAGCCCCTTCTTCAGCCGGGGAATTAAACTTCACTTTTAAGCAAGGTTTCACGCCACAAACGCCACATATTTTATTAGGCATCGCCTTCCCGAGACAGATCGGCGCGCAGGGCTGAACTATGCACTTTCTGGCTGTTGTGTCGTCTGATGAAACGATAGGAGTTGAATCTGATTGGGCTATTAGACCTTACGCATATGTCATCCCTTAGGCTTGCAGATATCTACGCTCGGCCATCTATCTCTAATGACAGGTCCATGAATTCAAGTGTCGAGCAGTTCTCTTTGTTGACTGTATTAATTTAGTTAACTTATGTGACTATTGACGGATACTTCATTACATTCGTGGGCCCAGTGCATGAAAAAAAGCCCTCTGCCTGCAACGACAAGCCCATTCAATTAGTTCCAAAATGTTCGCGCATCTTTTCGCCCTCCTATACCTCGTCTTTACTATACCCTACCAGCTTTCGCATACTTGACCCCAGCGATTAAGCGCCAAACATCCATCAATTACCTCAGAATCGAAGACTTCTGTGTCAACGCCCTCTACATAATCTGCCCGGGTAACGGATACTGCTGTCCAAAAAGGGGCGATGGCCTGGACAGCCAATGCGCGCCTGGCGACCCAACTCGTTGCGTATTGCGAGCGCAAGGATATATAGAGATTGTTTCGGCTATGGACTTTAAGGGTCATATCAAGTTAGTCGCGGCATTGGTCCGTGGAATTAATGCGGCGGTTTCGAGTGAGGCGGGAAGGATTACAGGCGCGAAGACGAGTACAAGGACAACTGCAAGCACAACAGCCCAAGCCTCGAGTATTGCCGCAGGAGCGAGCATTGCGACAAGCGTGAGCGTAGGGGCGGACAGTGCTTCGGAGACGACGCCGACTGCGCGACTTGGGACGTCATCGGCGGCGGCTTCTGCGCAGGCTACCTCGAGCTCAATCGGCGCAGCTAGTCTGCTAACTCGAAATAAGGATATCCTCGTTGGAGGTGTAGCTGCCGTCATGTTTCTGCTTTAAGTCGGATCTTCAATGGTGATTAGCAAGTACATGGTTCTTATGATGCATCCTAGGATCCGTCGTCAATTCATTGAGAAGGCGACATTAGGGTGAAGCGTTAGTAGAGCGGATGATGACTGTTACGAATGGACGCCATCGTGTCTACTGTGAGGGATTCAGGAGAATAGAAAAATTTAAGAGCCATTCATATATTTTGTATATCCTACACTCACTCAACCCTACTGCCCTTGCCTAAGTGCTGATTATGTGGTAGAAGATCGTCTCATATAAGAAGATAGGAAGCCCACAACTGTGCAGCGTGGAATCAAAGGTATCATATAAGCATCTGAACAAAAAGCGAGTTCAACAAGCGCATAACCACAGAAAGAAGCCCTTGAGTGAAACCACCCATTACCGGAGGAGACGCCTAGCTAAACATTCCTCGAATAATACAGTGCGCGCAACTGTGCCCCGTGGAGCGCCCACCGGCGAACCATAGGATGTGAATGTGGACTAAGACAGAGGGTACGCGTATGAAGCGTCGAAGCGCAAAGTGAGATAATTGTAGGTTCGCTCAGCTTCGAGTGCGCCCACTGCGTCGAACAGACCCGGCATGGTTGACAGCAGGGCTCGACGAGGACGTTCCTGCGGTGCCGTTCAACTTCGCTTTGCCCCTTGCCGTACTCTTCTTCGCAGCCTTGGCTAGGGTGGTTTCCTTGACTGGCTCAGCAGCTTTGCGTTTCTGATCGACGTGAACTCCGTTGGGTTTTCGTCCAATTTTACCCTTTGCTACCTTCTTGGCTGGCTCAGGCTCTGGTGATGCCTCCTCATCCGAAAGTTCGGATTCTTGTGCTTCGACTTCAGGGTCCTCCTCGGCTTCACCCTCCGGATCTGCCATTTCAATATCTTCCTTTGGAGCAGGTGTGGGCTTCTCACCCGTATCGGATGCCTCGACGTCCTCTTCAAGGTCCTGCTGAGCGCCAGGTCCAGTATCTTCTTCATCGCTAGATTCCTCCACGTAGCTCTTGTGAACCGTACTATGTCGACCGCTCTTCCTTTGCGGTTCCCTCGAAGGAGCGGCCTGCTCATCAATATCACTCTCAAATTCGTCACCACCCGTCCTCCGCTTCTTCTTCGGTGTCTTCATCGGTCGCTCTGTCTTGACCTTCTTTTCCTTGATTGGTCTATCGGTCTTCGCCTTCTTGCGCGGCTTCTCGACGCCATCTATAACCTTTCGCTTTTTGCTTCGAATGGCTTTGCGAACAAGAGAATCAAGTTCCTCGACGAGGTCCTCATTAATCCATGTCTTCTTTGCAATTTCCTGCGCCCGCTCGTGGCTCTCCAGAGGCCGAAAGATACCAGAAGGCAATTTCATCTTCCCAGGCCATGATTGCATAGTCCAGCCATTTTGTTCTTCCCATGCGCGAATGAGTGCTTGGGCTAGGTCTGACAAGACGTATAGATTTTCATCAGCTTGGCGTGATGGCTCGATACCTTCTGCGACGCCTTTTACGCGTTGGGCGACGTGAAAGATGAGTGACAAGTTTTCCTCGGTAGCCACGCACTTCAGATAGTACAGTATGTATTCCGACATGAGCTTCAAGGTCTCATCTTCCCTGTCAAAGTCGGGATGATGGGCCAGTAGACTAAGTAGCCGCGCAAATACGGTTTCTAGAACGGTCTCCTTCCGTGCTGCGAAAGCAGCGCGCCGCGAGCGAATCCAGGTCATGGTGCTGTTCTTGATGTTCTTCTCCGGTTCGTGTGCGAGGAAGAAGAGAATAGCATAGAAGCGGGCTGGAAGCCGGCCTTGACCGAGGTATTTCATCAGCTTGTCGGCGAAGCCCTTGCGGACCTGCGGGCAGACATCATGCGTAACCAAAGCCAACTGGATGAAGTCTGCGGGTGTCAAGAAGCTGTCCAGGCGTTTGTTGCAAGACAGCTTGAGCAAAGAGTTAGCTGCAAGGAGCCGCTGACGGGATTTGTGTCCTGGAGGAGTGCTGTTATCGTCCGATCCTTCGCCATTGTCCCTGACGAGGCGGTGCAGCAAAGCGTAGGTGTCCTCTACAGCTTCATTCAAAGGCGCCTCAGAGGGTAGGGAGCGCAGGCGGTTCACGAGTATTTTGACCGCCCATGCCCTGCCTTGGATGTCTTGGTCTGGCACTTCCATCCACTGCGCGTCAGCTTCGGCAGTGGCAGTATGTGGCTGCTGAAGGACTTTCTGGATGGCAACTTCGACGATTACATCCATATCATCCTCACACTCTGGCTGAGCTAACAGAACTAGTTGGCTGAGCGCGGCTAGCTTGGTGAGCCAGTGATCACCATTATATGTGAAAGACTTGATACTCTTCGCAAGAATCTCCTTGGCGTGCATCTCCTTCTTGTTGTCACTGTTCATAATAATAGTGATCGCATGCTTCGCGGCTTGTGGCGGCGTGCCATAGAGCGCAAAATCCAGGAAGCTTTGAACCAATTTACGACTGTCCTTTGCGTTCATCGGGATATCTGTTGGAAATTTCTTCGCAAATGCAGCGCATGCCTTGAGGTCGTCCACGGCACCAGGGGGGTTTGGTGATGTTGCTGTGGGTGCCTCATGCTCGAGCGTCCTGCAGAGATCCTTGACGTGGGTAGAGAATACTTTGGGATGCTTTGTGGATATTTCTTTCAAAAGTTCATGCGCAGTAGCGCCTAGACCTTTGTCGTCGGTCCGAGAGAATTCGATGACGGCGGGGACATGGCTTTTGTTATAGCAAAGTAAGCTGGCCCGATACAGGAGTGGGGTCAAGGTTTCGAGCAGAGAAGGGCCGGGCCCACCCTCAAACCGTTTTGTCAATTCTTTCTAAGCTTTGTTAGCGGGTTCACAAGGACAAGGGCAAGTACATCAGGTCTTACAATTGATCTAAACACCCGTCGATAGTCGCTCGTAGGGTCCATACAAAACCGAATTAGTGTATAAGCCCGGCGGTCGTGAGCCTTCGCAAATTTCCAGAGATCATCTATGACACGTGTGGGGTCCGGGAGTAACTTCGCATAGTAGGCAATGAGTCTTTCAAGCTTTGTCTTGACATCTTTCTCGCCCTTGTCAATAACACCACCGTTATAATCTTCACAGTATTTCAGGAAGTGTTCCATGCACATGGCAGCCGGGCCTTGACTGCCCTGTTTCGCGAAGAATACCTTCTTCGCCTTGTCTTCCAGGCCGTTAACGAGCACAAGTTGCCTTTCTACTCGAATCTTGTCCAAGTGTGCCTCCGTGTACCCTTGGTCGCCGTTCGTCTGGCTATCCTTCACTATCTGCGAGTTTCCACTTGCGGCTGCTTTCGCCTTCATTGGTGGATAGCCGAGCGGCAGCAGAGAGGTGTATAGCGCTAGGTCGACCTGAACATTGATTTCTAGATCATTAACATAGCACGCTTCGAAAATGCGTGTCGGTATTGGTCCAAGCAGATTCTTAATGGTGTCGTCCCCTTCTGCAATGGCGCCGGCGGCGACACCCCAAATCTTACCGAGAAGACTCATGGCCGTGGAATGAATAACGTTCCTCTTGTCTTTGACTCTGTCTGCAAGGTTGGAAAGGATTGATCCCGATTCAGACATGCTGCCGTTGCTGCCTAATTTGCTAACAATGTCGTTGAACTCGAAGTGCTCAACGGCTTTGACTGCCGCCAACCGCACTTTGTCGTCACTGTCAATGAGACACTCTGCAAAAGACTTCAGTAGTTTTTGCTCCTCTTCAGGGTCAAGCCCAATCCCGCCGGCCGATGTCATAAGTATGCGGCCTACGCCGGTAGTCCATGAAGCTCGTATGATAGCTGATTTGTCGTTTTTGCGCTGCAGGAAAGCGTGATATGCGACGGGGTATTGAGTAGGAAATGAGTTGATGGAAGCAGGCGTAGTAAGAAAATCGAAAGGTTGCGTAGACTCAAGGCGCGATAAACTTTGTGAAGGATATGCTACTGGGTCCAGCTCAGGCAGCGGGGGCGGGCCAGCCGCACCAATACCGGATATCATATCGCCAAACGTCTCGGTCGCGAGCTGACGAAGCTGCACGCTCTCTGTACCAAGTTCATCCTGCAGATGCGGAATGATCTCTTGGAGGACGCCGGGACAGCATTTCCATAGTTCTCGAAGCAGCCTGTGGGCTTTGTTCGCCTCGTCAATGTCCTCGTCAGAGGGACCTTTGGGACCTTCGTCTTCGTCATCCCGCGCATGTTTTTTAAATGAGCCACCCGAGTTGGTGAAGTCGACGATGACTGAGCTGAAGTAGTTGCCAATTAAGCGCGCCATCTTCTCCGGAAACGCATTGCAGATGTTCTTGGCCATATTGTATGCAGGCGGCGCCTCCTTGCGGCGGAGGGTTGTTTGCTTTGCATCTAGCTGTGCGCTCTTCTTGCCCTTTGCAGAGCCTCCTAGTGTTATCGGATCTGCCCATAGAAATTGGGCAACTACGACATCGACCACATCATGTGTCACTGCCGGCGCTTCGTCGATAATGTTGGACAGAACCTCGGTCATGTTGTGTTCCACGTTCTTGTTCAGCTCCTCGCCACTTTCGCTCTTTGACGGTCCGGACAGCACATCGAAGCACGTAGTGAAAAGGGCGGACGTGAGTTGGTCCGAGCCAGGAATCTCGTTGATGAGAAGGATGCTCTTCCATTCCGAGAGCGATCGAAGCACGTACATGTGCTGGCTGTTGTACGGGTGTGAGGGGTCAGAGAGGAGGGGCATCATCTTGAGAATGATGACTGAGAAGATCTCCTGTTGTGGCTGTTAGTACATTTTCAACGCGCACTGCAGTGTGTGGCATACCTTGAGCTTAGATCCTGGGTATGGCGCATCAGGTGCGAACAGCTTGAGCATGTCGACTATGCAGCAGATTGTCCATGCGCGAACTCCATTATCCTTGTGCTGCAACAGGCTCTGATGCGCCAGTTCCTGCGCGACTGGCATGAGCGAATCCCGATGTGCCTCCTCTTGACTTATGGTCCGTAGCTCATCTAACAGCGCCTTCAATCGCGTCAAGAGATCGCCAACGCCAATCTGCTTTCCCGGCCGTCCCACGAGCGGCTGTTTAAACTTTAGCTTCTTGAAGCCATCCTGCCCTTGTTCTTGCTCCTCCTCTTCCGCAACTTCAGTCGCAGCAGCGGCGCTCCGCCGACTTCGAGGCGCCATATCGCGTGGCTGCGCGTCCAAATCAGTCTATTGCAATCGCAGGTGTATGTAGTTGAGTACCGCGTGAGGTGCGAGCGTAGAGGGACAATCACTGCCTTGGATTGCGGTAGAGTCGAAGGACGACGCGGTGATGATGCGTTGCCTCGAGGGGAAGTTGCAGCTACTTTCCTAACAGTGACGCGCTAGCCAACCATCGGACGCGACTTCCGCATGGCTCGTGCTTCCCTTCCTACTTCATCGCCGGCACCCCCAATCACTCAGCATTCACTAGACCTGCTTCGCCTTGGCTTCACCTTCTACTTTGGGGATATCCATTAGTATCGACCGGTGTCTCACAGCCACCTCCCATGGAAACGTAGCTCGGAAGAAGAGCTTTTCGCCTGTGTTTGAAAAGTATCCACATCTTGCGAACTTCTTCATGTCCGTGACTCCCCTAAAAGGTTTCGGACAGACGAATCCAAGATGGAGAGACAGCAGACCTTTCAGCGAGTACGTAGTTGTGGCCCTACTACTAATCTTCTACTAACACATATATTAGTTGAAACAGCCATGTATCCAGCTGCTGCAGGTTACCGCCAGACTCGCACAGAATCCGGGCGCTAGGAAGGACCTAATTCAGGCGCTTACGAACTTGCTCAGCACCCTCCAGACGATCACTACCACACCAGATCTGCTGGATGCAAAATTGACCGAATATACTTTTGTTCCAATCTCTCAGGTCCTTAGGATCTCACGACAAGTGCCCGTACGTGCACTAGAACTGTGTCTCGAATGTATCTCGGTTCTTCTATGCGCCGGCTGGGGAGGAGGTCTCGACCCTGCTCTGTCTGGCCAGCTCCTCATCCTCTTTACATTCCTGGCAAAACCCTCTTCAGCAGAAAATGGCATCGCTGGGACTTCAGAGGAACTTCAGTCATTGGCCTTCCAATGCATGGCTGAGCTCATGACTGAAGTGTCTCGCACGAATCAGGGCCAACAAGTCATGACTGCTACAGCCAACATACCAGCTCTGGGCGAGGCCGTTCTCATCATGCTTGACGGTCTAACGGACAGCAGTTCCAACAGTGTCAAATTCCGGGCTACTACAGCGCTTAAAGCCCTCAACGCTGCATTAGCAGACGATGACGCTTTAGCAAGCTTTCTTCCCAAGATAGTCTCGTCTCTTACTAAGGTGTTGACCCCAAGTAGTAGTAATCGGCCAGGTTTTCGGGTCGTCGAGCAGAGCTTGGGGCTACTTTCTTCGCTGCTGTTACGCCTACTCAGCGATCGGAAAACCAAGCATCTACCCGAAAAAGCACCTCCAGAGCAGCTCGCGAAAAGTCCTACAGTAACGCGCTCCGCCCCATGGCTGCAAGCGACAGCATCTCAGATGAAGATCGCTCTCGCAAACGTCTTCAAGCTTCGAGATCATGACAAATTAGAGGTTCGACAGGCACTCCTGCGATTGTGTCTTTGCATCATACAGGACTGCCGAAAATCGCTCTCTAACTGTACGAGCATGGCTATTGAAACGATCATCAGCCTTGTTGGCCATGAAGGCTCCCAAGACACAATTGAGAACCAGCTCAAAGTGTTGTTATCCACAGATCATAACCTCGCAGACCTTTTGCGCGAAAGCCTTCATGGCTGGATCATGGCCCTTCCCCGGCTGATGCAGTCGAAAGATGACCGTAGCCGACGTCGAATTATTCATCAAGTTTCGGTCACGCTACGATTATTTGAGCAAGACCCGACCACTCTCGGCGATAGATTGGCTGATAGTCTTCGTGATGGTGTCTCTACGGTTCTATGTGATTCGAAGGGGCTAGAAGAAATCGTCGAAAAGACGTCGGAGACATTGACAGATCGAGCCTTGGTGCTAGACTCAACAATATCCTCGTCCTTCGAACCGCTCAAGCTACGTTTCAAGGGTCAAGACGATGTCATCGCGGAATTCAAGCTTCTATTAAATGAGATCGCGAGATCGGACTCCGCATTGGCGGTGGCACAAGAGCTTACAAAGTCGATCGATGTTGGAACACTGGAATCACAACTAGCCAGTTTTTGGGTTTCCGTCAACCTGATCAGAGATCTCACAACGAACAACCCGTCCTTCGATGACTTTATCGACATGGGAACGCCGAATTTGCGGGAAGAAACATTAGATGCCCTATACTCCCACTCGTTGACGATTCTCAATCAACAAGAGTCGAGTATAGATATGCCCTGGCACTTTTATGCGCTAGCCCTCGAGACAGTAGCATTACAGGCAACGCGGTACAAAGCAGGATTTCGTCCAGAGCTGAGCGAAGTTCTATACCCAGTTTTACATCATCTCGGAAGCTCGAATGTTGCACTTAGGGAGCATGCATTGACCTGCCTAAACATAATCGCAGAGACTTTGGGGTATTCTAACGCTGGCCTGCTCGTTGTTGCCAATGTTGACTATATCGTCAACGCTGTTGGGTTAAAGCTTGCCATTGGAGATGTCTCACCCCAGGCTCCTCAAGTTCTATTGATGATGATGCGACTCTGCGGACCATCTTTGTTGCCGTATCTGGATGATCTTGTGGGAAGCATATTTGACGCGCTAGAGAGATATCATGGGTATCCCAAACTTGCGGAGCTCTTATTCTCCGTTTTGAAAGGTATGGCGGAAGAGGGTGTGAAGGCACCACAGCTGGCTCTAACTGCAGCCAACGAGGATGAGCCAGGCCATGGCCGCAAGAAACTGGTCTCTATGGGGGATGTCGTCGAGGCGTTGAGAAGCATGGAAGCAGACTCACTCAAAAGCACAGAGGAAATGGAGGAGTGGTCCACAGAGCCCTTCCCTGAAAAGCCGTGGAAAGCTGCTACCACTGCAGAGAATGAAGAGCGGAGTGATAGAGTGGCCGAAGAGGAACCTACAACTGATACTCAACCGGCAGAACTTCCGCCTCCCGCCCCAAGAACTTTCGATATCCTGCTCAAGATCTCCGGACTCACACAGCACTACCTGACGACAAACTCGCCAAGCCTTCGAAACTCGCTTCTGTCTCTTCTCAGAACCACGATTCCTGCACTCGCAAAGCATGAGAATTCTTTCCTGCCCCTCATCAACACCCTCTGGCCTGTCTTGCTACCTCGCTTACAGGATCCAGAGGGATACATTGTGTCCAATACGTTGGATATAGTGGCCCTAATGTGCGAGTACGCCGGCGACTTCATGAGGACGCGCGTTGAGGATGCTTGGGACATTATCAGAAAAGTTTATCGACGCACCAAGCACCAAACAGACAGTCGCAGCAAAGGCGGCAGTCTCATCTCTACATCCCTCAGCATTTCAACAATTGAGACTAGCATGACCAAACTCTCCATGGACTCTGCTCCGACTCGTGATCTGTTCCGGCCGGAGTTATACGTTGATGCGCCTACACGCATGGTTTGGAAGAGCTTTGTTGATCTGTTGAGCGCAATTGCTAAACACGTCACGGTCCGAGAAGAGCGGTTTGATGAGTTGCTGGACATGCTGGATCCGGTTCTGGAGAGGAGCGATGTGCGTCAGGCCCTCGAGCAATGCAACGCAGATGCAGTCTGGTTGCGGTTGTACAAGAAGATCAAGCGAAATTCGTTACAAAAGAGCAGTGGCTCTCGCCTTTCGGACGACACGTTCACATCGACTAGAAAAGTGCCTGTTGGTAGGCCTCATTGGCAATTTGTGCGGCTTTGAGTCTACCTCCAGACCTAGCAAGCGCGATCGGTGATGGCGATCACTTTTAGCAAGTGATATCAGCAGTGAAGCCGCTTTCATTGACCAGAAAGAGTCAAAGTGCAGTGAGGTGTCGCGTTGGTATCCTAGCTCGGATACAGGCCTAAACGCCTGCTTTGTCACGCGCACCAACTTCATGTCAACGCATTCTCTCTAAATTACCTACATTTTTCGGCAAATATGAGATCTCTACTGTCAAAGTAATGACTACGAGACACGATGAGGAGACGCGCAAGGCTCTTGTGAGTATCAGCATCGCCATCAGTCTAAACTGGCAAACCCTCCGCCTCCGATAAGCAAGCAGCTGGCTTGAACACGCAACAATCATTCAAGCGGCACATTTGAAGGGAGAGAGAGCCATGCCATTAAGAGGGGCGGAAAGACGACGAGGTTGGGTCGCATTCCCCGACACTTCACATCGCGCTTGGGCTTCCATGATATCGACGCTTTCTGTCTTCAGTGGATCGCACAGACTCGGACTGTTGGCCATTGAGGTACACTCGAGCACACACAATGAAGTGACACAACCACTACTACTCATAACACGGTTCCCAGCTACTTCGTCGCTCCTGTCCCGGAAGCACACTGCCAACATCTTACCATACCATGCCATCTGTTACAGGAGAGTGGCGGGGGTGCATCGGCCTCGTCTGTGCACGCAGGGAACTGAATTCTAAAACCCTCTGGCATGTCCACGTTGAGAGAAGTAATCGTAACTCTGTACATGTTTTAAGCAGCAATCAAGCCTCTAAAATAAGTCTTATCAATCAACTCCAGAAACTTCCGCGCTTATATGCGTGCAAATTATGCTTTTGCCATGTCGAACCCTTTCCACCCCTCTATGTTTCCCTCTTACACACGAAGGTAGTATGCTGATCTAGGTGCTGACGCGATCAATCATCCTTTTTGAGATAATTGACAAGGTCGACCATTTCGGCCTGCGACATCGCGGAGCTCATGGCTTGGTATGCTTCCCACAAGATCCAGACGGGGAAGACGATCCAGAGGCCGTTGAAGAAGACGAGGTAGAGCCAGCTAGTAATTGATCAGTTAGTCAAAAAATCATGCTCTGCTGCAGTTATGAAGGCGATGTGGTTGTGAGGTTGTGAGGTTGTGCGAAGGGTGGAAAGTGAGGCAGAGGTGCCGAACGTGGTCGAGAAATGAGAAGTGGGTCCGCGGGAGATACCCGCCAGCGCATATGCAGGGACAACGCATTCTCGATTCCAGGAACGCCCACAGTCAACAAACGTGTGACGAGTGAGGAGGTAGAGATGCATGGCAGCGCGGAATCCAGGCGCTGCAATTAGCCAACGCGGTTACCGGAACCTAGTGTGGCAAGCACTAGGTAGGAAGACACGTCGACCAGGGAATAGCGTCCAATGAAATAGACCACTTACAGATACATCCAATTCGACGTGTCGAGGTTCGGGCTGCCTGTTACCCATTCAGGGGCGAAAGTCATCCAGCCTATGTAGCGGTGAACGACGTGTCAGCCCTGTACTCGAACAACACAACACAACGCCACTCATAGTAACCACGGACCCACATAACGCCTCACAAACACCTTATACAAGCCTCCACCCCCTCGGCAAACTCCACTTCTTTGTGATAAAGCATTGGAATGACTCACCTCCATATATCTCCGCCGTAGCCAGCACGACCATCCAAAAGTACTTTTTCAATATGCCCTTCCGCTCCTCTTTGGTGAGTTGATAGCAGATCCAGCACGCCAGCGGGCCGGCTACAAACACGGTCAAAATCTCCAGACAGACGACAGTCAGATCGACGCCTCCCCACCGCTTGTCCGCCTTTGCGTATTCCTGCCACAACCTGCTCAGCGGACTCGTCCCATAATTGGCCCCGTACAACAAGTCCTCCCTTCCAAGCCAGTATACATCGGGCGGCGTAAAGAGGGTGATGTGCGGATGTTTCCTGCTCGCGGCCGAGAAGGACGTGGGCAGCGAGTACGTGACGAAGAAGCAGTTCCAGAGGAAGGAGCCTTCGAAGACGAAGTGGATAAGCGCGTCGAACAGGTGCCAGATGAATAAGATGCGTATCTTCAACGATGCCGTGGAGGGCAGGACCTTGAGCGAAGTGGCATACGCGCTGCCAAGGAGTGCAAGCACAGCGAACAGTGAAATCACCGTCGTGGCATCGATTTCGGGGCCTGAGCGAGGGACGGGCGGTGCGAGGTGCGGAGGAACGGCTTTTGCCTTTTCGCTGCCCCAGAAGGACATTGTTGCAAGTGGACGCCGACGCAAGAAATGCGGGGGGTTGGACTAGTCCTCCAAGTCGGCGGAGAAATTGGACCGAGGGATATCGTGAAGGAAGACACACACACAACACACACGCGCTTGTGCGGGATGAAGTTGGAGTTGCAAGACTCAGGGTCCCATGGTCAGGCCAATCATCAGCTGTCCGGCGCTCGGATCCAAGGCTAGCTGTCTGAAAATGGCAGGCGGTCAGCGGTGCAAGGGCAGCTACGACCCCGGCATTGGGCAGAACAGGTCACATGGCCACGAATCTCACGATCCAGACCGCTTCGGCTTCACCATTGGTGCAAATTGGCGGGAGTTTACATGCTCACGAGGTACCTTTTTGGTGGGGCACAATAAAATGAAGGCTGAGGTAGGCCATAATTCTGTTGCATTGCTGGTGGTATATAATAGGGCCTGCTGATGCACCCTCGAGGACGCCTCCCCCATCTCTGACTTGATAACCTCGGACAGCGTCGCATACGAATACACACGATACGGAGCGAACAGAAACAAAACGGCGACCGACGATTAGGAACCACTGGTAACATCAACATGCTCGCATTGCTGCATCTCCTACTACCTATGTACGCAGGGTCCATCGAACGAGCCGTAGAAATGAGGGAAACCGCTACAAAATGCACATGGAAAATCAAACGCTTTTTGCAGACCAACAGCCCGGAAGCGACTGGCAACAAACGCCGGAATCAGAGTGGGACGCTCAAAGGATGGAGCATTACAACCAATCTATGGTCGGTGGAAGAGGATAGGAAGAGACAGAGAGACCGAGGAACTCCGTAATCGAGCTGACAAAAACTCCGGTTGAAAAATAAGACATGCAAGAAGGCCATCCTGGAAAAATGCCGCAAAAGAGCCGTCCTGGAATATGCAGGAAAAGCGATAGTCTTGGAAGAAGACCGCAAGAAAAAAAACTTCAGCTGCTGGGTTCACAACAACGTTTCGTACCGTAATGAAGGAGACTCGTGAGCGCTCAGTCGCCAGAGAACCGGCAACATTCGCTCCACGCATCATGATCAGTCAGGTCGTAAGCGCATCTCGTGTCCAAGAAGATTCGTTACGCGTAAGAAGAATTACCGCCACAAGTGTAGGTAAGACGATATTAGACGCATGCTGTCGGGGTGTGGCTGCGCTCGTAGAACATGCCACCTCCCAGCTTGTATCCATGCTGGTACTGAGAGGTCATATGGTCCTCGGGACCAGTCCCAGTAACGGGGCCGGGTGAGTTTGAGCGGGATAAGAAAGGGGAAGCGCTCCGGGAATACATCATATCGTTGGCGCCATCGACCAAGAGAGGCATGGCAGGGGAAGGGGGGCTGCTAGTGGCAGATGACTGGTTGCTCCCAGAGCTGTTGTTCATCATGTAATCCATGGCTCCGTCGCTTTGCACGTTCGAGGTCGCAGGTGTAGCAGCGAGCGGAGAAATTTTGCCGGTAGGTGTGCCAAACTGGATGCGTATTAGTGTCCGTCTAGGCCATTTTACCGACCGGGTGCTGAGGTTGGGAACGTACAAAACAAAACTTCTGGATTAACTCGTTATACTCGGCAGACTGTAGGCCGGGCTTCTCAAGCGACAGGGAGTCGGGCCGCGTACCAGGGACAGGCGTACCAGCCGTGGTGCGTGCCTTGGGAGCGGGAGCTGGGTGGTCAAAGTAGCCTTTCTTGCCCACGTCTGAGGTGTTGACCTTGAGTCCACTGCGTTCGCCAAGGGTGGTTTGGGCAGTAGACAACGCAGCCGTGAGTGAAGCCCCGAAGTCGTAGCGCGAGGCAAAAGCCTGAGCAACCTGCGAGGTGCGAGGTGCCTGATCCGGGAAAAGGCTTCCACGCTTACTCCTGGGCTTGAGCTTGATCGATGAATTGGGTGAGTCGCCGTGGATAATGCCACGACCGCTGCCAAACTGGAACTTGTTCTCAAACTCATGACCAAAGTCATCGTCGATCGAAGCAGCTGGCATAGAACGCGGCCGGGCTGCAAGAGGTGAGTGTCTGCTGCGGGGAATCGCGCCGAGGCCACTGTTCGAGCGCTTGCTCTCACGCGGCTTGACCTTCTTCAAGAAGTCGACCTGGTAGTTCATTGAGTTGTTGTTATCCCAGAACTCTTGGCCGTTGACTGTATACCGAACGCACAGTAGCAACGTCTTCGATTCCAGGTTGGCTTGGTCAGCCAACTTGATGTTGAAGTTGAAGCGGTCGTAGCCGTCCTCCTTTTGCTTCTTGCGAACATCGTGATTGAACTCGGCAACCACCTCCGACGTGGTCTTCCAGTAGTCGAGCGTGAAGCGAGCTACAACGTACTTGTGGAACGAGATGTTGGCGCACGCAATGTTGCCAACCAACGTCTGGTTATCAGAGGCAAGGAAGATGCGCTCTACGCGGACTGGTGCACTTTGCCGCTCATGCGTATCGGTTGTCGGGAAGTTGGTGAGCTTGATCTCCCACTCGGGTGTCTTTGTGCGGGAGTCCTCACTGAAAGGATACTCGGTCTCACTGTCGTAAGTCTCGACTGGTGACGAGCCTGCACTGACAGCAATCGGTCTGTCAACCATGAGAAAGTGGCGGACCTGTTCGATGTCCTCGTTGAAGTGCACCGCTTTCGAGTAAGTTGGCGTACCAGGCATGCTCGAGGGTCGTCGGCGCGACGGAGGCCTGAGAGCAGGCTTTACCAGCTCACCCGACTTCTTGCGCAGTAGCGGCGGTTTTATCCGCAACTCGTCATCCTCGGCATCGCTGCCATCGGATGAGCTAATGACTGGGTCTGTGATGAGAGGGTGGATCATGTGTTGGGAGAGGGTAATCTCGCTTGACGAGCGCGAGTGGGAAATCTTGCGAGCCTCTGCGGAAAGTGAGCGTGCAGCCGTCATGGGAAGCGTCGTGCTCTTGGGCGTAGAGTTGGCTTCGACTCGTTGCGGCGAAGGCATCCGTTTGACATTGATGTGCTGCAGCGCTTCTTGCAGCTCCTGTAGGTTGCCAATGTTACGGCCACGCTCGTCGTCGTCGGATTCAGGAGGAGTCGTGATCGCACCTGGAGGAATCAGAAGATGGTTCACAGCGAGAGGAGACGGGCGGAGGCTACCATTTTTGGAGTGGCCACGGGCGCGGCTGGTGTCGGCCATCATGAGTACGCTACCGTTTGTCATTTGGCCATTTGCAGCCGTGTTGTTGTCGACACTTGAAAGCGAAGGCGAACGCCGGGACTTGTGCAGATAGGACGTGGACGAGACAGAGCGAGGCAGGGCTGGCCGCTGAGAGGAGGCAGGCGAAAGGGCAGTCTGGTCGATGTAGGAATGGTTGCGACTGAGAATAGGACTGCTGTTCCTCGAGGATGCGGGCGACGGATTTGAGGGCGGAGTGTAAGGCATTCGGTCGGCTTTTTGGTGGAGTTGAAAAAGCGGATCGAATGTGTGGAGTTGAGGTTTTAGGGTGCCGGGAGCATTAGAAGGGTGCTATGATGAAGTGGTGGGTCTGGGGTTGATATTAGCGAGAGTTGGTGCGAGCGAGTGACCAGGCGAGGTGAATTGATGATGCTCAGCAGCGGTGGCAACCAACATTGTGTTGGGCCGACCAAATGACTGATTTGGTGATCCCTAGCAACTTACAGAAATTAGGTGAAAGAAACGGGTGGCTAAGCCTCGTTCTGGGAAAGGGTAGCGGCGGGTTATCACAGCTAGCGAAAGCTGCAACGTTGGGTCGAGGTCGAAGTCGAGGTCTGCAGGTGTGCTGACTTGACTGAATGTGAGCAGCTTTCGAGGTTTCGAGGAACGGGGAGCGCGGTGGCTTCCGTGTGGGTTTTGCTATGCAGAAGAGGCGCTCGTATGATGGGACCCAGGCGGAAGGTACCTTGGTCGTGGTTGGCGAGGGAGCGATTAGACCGCGATGGTCGTGTGTGTGTATTGTCTCTTAACCAGCACCAGGTGGTTCACACTGCGGTCGGCCTAATAAAAGGATCTGCTGGCTGGCAATGGCCGGGAGAAAATGTTGGAGAGGAGAGGATGGGGAGGAGAGATGTGTTGAGGAGCGGTAGCGCAACAAGAGTGCAGGAAGGCGACTATTGGGGGGGAGGTGGACAAACCAGGATGGCTACCAACTACGACCAAAATCGATGGACGCCTGGCCTCGCAAGGATGGCGCACGGGGATACGAGCAGGGCTCTGCAGCACCAATGCACAAGCGAATTAATAGACTGCAGCACGATCCACCCCAACAGACCAGGATGACGACCAAGGATTTGCAGCAACCTCGCTCTCTCGACGGCGGGCGGGAGCGGAGACGAGCGAGAGAGCCTAGAGACTTTTTTTGATTATCGGAGCGGCTACTGCTGCTGCTGCTGCTGCTGGTGACAGTCGACAAGGGCGCCGACGGGCGGAGAGAGAGAGAGAGAGACGTCAAAGAGACTTGTCGGTACTTGCGGCGTGTGCCCACAGTTGGTCAGTGGCGTCAACGGGCCATTATAATTACATGGACTTTTTATCTCTTCTTTATCAGTCGACACTTCAAACAAGCCAAAGAAAGATACCGAGCGCAAGCGAAAAGCGGCCATGTCTGGCACGGCCGCCACTCGAAACGGTCAAACAGGACTCAGCAGCAACAAGCAAGCACGCAAGCAAGCAAGCAAGCAAGCAAAAGCGCCTTCACCCACGTTCCTTGGTTATTACTCTCGCACACCTATTCTCGTCGTCGACGTCTGGTCACGTATGCGTATGCTCGCTGTTCGCTCGGACGGTGCTGCCCGGGGGGCGCTCTCCACTCTTTGCCATTAACCCACATGAGCTGACCATAAAAGCCGGATGGCGCGGGGGTTTTGTCGACCAACAAGTCCCTGGCAATCAGCTCTCACATTGCTGAGGAGCGAGTCGTAAGGGCGCACAGCACAGTCTCCGCAATTTGCGAGCCGTTGCCAGGCGGTGCTTGTTGTGTGGCCACAGCCGCTCAAGCCACGCACGCCCTCGTCTAGGTCTACAGTCTATCTACAGCATGATGTCATTGTCGTTTGTGCCAGCCGTTGGACGCGCGCTGGAAACGGTGGCGTGGCTGACGACGACGTCTCGTCTTGGAGAAGAATGTGCTGGCTGGCCTCTGCCCGTTGCAAAGCACATTCGTGGTACCTGAATGCACTGATCGGGGCGATAAGGCTTTTGCGGCTTCGAGTGAGCTTCGCAGCCGCAGCCGCCCTCCGACGAGAAAAAAATACTTCCCTCTTGCGACCTCAACGAGCCTGGATCGGCGCCACGGCCTGCAGAAAGGCGGTCGGGCCTGGCCCAATCAGATGCCCGTCCTCGAGGCCGCGCTAAGCCGCATCCTAGCAGCAGTTCCGTGGCCCCTGCCCACCCGGGAAAGCGAGCCTCAACACCAGCTGCATGCAACTTCTGGTTCGCCAGCAAGTCTGAAAATTCATCATCGCCATCCATCTCTCTCCACCCAGCTCCAGCTCCACGTTCGTTCCCCGGTCGTGTGTTTGTTGTTGAGGCGGGGCAGCCTCTTGCGACACAATTCAAAAAAAAAAAAAATGTATATGCACACATGAAACTGCAGGCCATATGCTTCCAGTCCGTTCACGGCGCGTCTTGGATGCTGGCCATGATCATCATCTCGAAACACGCTCAATTGGCCATGTGCATGCGAGGCGCTTCATTCACACAAACTTCCCCGCATTCTCAACCGCAACGCCTGCTTCATTGCTGCATGCCGCTAACAGACTCGGACATGGCATCGACGCGTCGTCTACGAGGTGACCCCTCCTCCTGTATCTCTCTCTGTTCCAGAGCTGTTCGGTGCAGACGTCTCTCGTTTTGACAGCATCGTTTCGAGTTGGCCCGTTGCGCGCGCCTACCCGCAGCCGTCTGTCTGTCGTATCCCATCTCCGCCCCATGGCATGCTGAGGGGCGGGCGGGCTGCCTCCACCCGATGAATCCAATCCAACCCGTGGCTGAGTACCAATTTTACTTTCGCAACCTCAGGTGAGCGCGCTGACAGTCGAGACCCACTCACCCTCCCCTACCCACCCCCATCCTTATCACAATGGAGATTGCCATCCACATCTGTTGGGATCCGATAACCGCCAAACTCGGCTTCTCAATGCATTTCGTCTCCGAGAGGGGCATGCACTAACCGCCTCGTACAAGCAAGCTCTCTGCCTCATCCGGCCCTTTTTCAGGTGAGGCCATCTTGAATGATCTACATGCTGAAACACATCTTTTCTGGCCTTGGTTGCGACACGACCTTTTGGCCAGGCCGAGGTACCAAGGCCGGCTATGCCCCATACTCCCCAGCGTCGTGACGTGCCCCACTTCGCGTCCTGCCGTCAGAAAGTTTTTGCCGGCAGAAATCTAAGCGCGCCCTCCACTTGCACTTGGCACACCGACTGGCAATCTCTCACCGCCCGAAACCCCCATGCTGGCCGCCCGTTCTACCATCGATCCCACTCAAGCCGCCGATCCCGGCTACCTAAATCTAGCAGGGGTTCAGCCAGGAAATACGTACCGCTATGCTACATTCCGCCTTGCTCCGGCTATGCCAACTGCGAAACGACGCGGCTCACCAGCAGCATTCCTGATTCCATGGATGAGACTGTGTCAGTGTCAAGCTTGCATATCATAAATGCCGTGGCACGCCAGAGATTAGTAGAAGAGTTGCAAAGGAGCCGTGGACAATCCACTTTCGCTTCCAATCTCGATTTCGATATCGCGGAAAACATCAGTGGCCACGGGCTGGTACATGCGTAGAATAATAATACAGCCGATTGAACTCCCCCTTCCTAATCTGAGAAAAATCGGTCCGCAGCCTGTCAGCTCATCGCGTGATCGAAAATGATGGCAGCATTACGACGACATTTAGCGAGATGCAGTACAAAAGCAGGGAATCCGCGAATGGGATTTTGAAACCTTCATTCCGACGTGGATTCGCGATAACCCCCGTGTGCGCCAGAGTCATGGCAACTGGTCACGATTAACAGAGGCTCCACGCAGGAAAAGTGGTCCTCGCAGACCAACGACCTCTTCCCTCTAGACTTTGGCGTCTCGCCAGCGCACAAAACCAAAGCACGCCCAGTCGCAAGTACCATGGTTCATGGGAAGAAGCCACAGACGGATGCCCGGAACAACCAGCTTAATTGTATAATTACACATGCACGATACGCGTCGCATTCGCATCTCCACACTAATGGCAATTCCCTCCGCTAGCTCCACGGCTACTTGAATATTCCCGCTCCTGCAATCCCATCACGATGCATGATGTCAGCGACCTTTTCTTGATCGCGCGAAAGGATTTTCCTATCCCACTTTTCCATCATATCGAAGCTAGGTCACAAAGGAGGAAAGCCCTGCCAGTACAGTATGGGACACCTATGCTTACCAGCATTCTTTATTACGATACGCACACCGCTCTTTGCCAAAATTAAGGTTTTCTTGAGAGTGGTAACGCCCGAATAGCCAAGGGGTTGCACGAGTACAGACATGGTCAGAAGACTTTGTTCATTCAAGCAAGGATAGAGCCATCACGGCCGCAAATTGAACATGATCCTCCGTCCGTGCTGCCCTAAAGTCACGATCCACGATTTTGGTGAGCCGAAAAAAGCAATGAATCGACGGAGCCAACATCGAAGGACCGATATCATTAACTTTGTTCCCACCTCATCCGGTGCAGAGCTTGAGCAATGTCAACCATGGCAGACTTGGTCCCCGCTAACTCATGTCACGTACTGAGCAAGTTGACGAAGATTCCAGAATGCGAGGTCCTGGCGTACAAAGCCAGCAATGCCTGAGACCAACAACCAAAGACAGTATTTGACGAATACGGGGTCTCTACTGACCTCCACTATTCGGGGTGCGTTCCACCCTTGCCATCTTTCCGTTTACCCACTATCGCGGTCCACAGACTTCATGTTCATACAGATGGCCTTGGGCTTTTGCGTTCAGTTCCAATCAATGGACGTGGATAGATGGCCACTTTGTCCAGATATCCCCGCAATATGCTGCAGTCCATCTACGGAGCAGTGGAGACAGGCTAACATTCCTACCGATCACGTTGCGACCCCCCTCGCAAATGCATCTTCAAGGTCCACCATGTTGTGGTGTTAATGATGCATCGCAACCTAACCCCGACTTCAACTCACAGCCCACACGTACACTGACACACGTCTCACTTTCGGACCGTCTCCGTCAGCATAGCCTATCTGCGGGGGAGTGTCCGGACCAGTCGCAAATATCAAAAGTGGAGAAGCCACCAATTCAATGCCCTGCATATCTACATCCCTAAAGGCAGTCAGTCGGGACCCTGCATGGCAGGATTCTCCGTCTTCGCGGCATGAGTAGCCGTCAATCAGAATCAATGGCATCTTTACATATTCACGCTCGAGGGGGAAACCACTTTCAACACGCGCTCTCGCACATCAGACTGCTCTTCATCAAACGCAGTCTGTGGTCATTCATGCCGTGTAACAACACGCCATTTCGGGTCCGCAGCACTGGGAGATAAGGCTACCATGACAGCACATTGCACCACACCTCGTTTCTTGTAAGCAGCCAGATGATGCCTCCATCACAACGTCTGGGGAACGTCATCTGGATGCGATAATAATTGAATCCAGTCAGCGGCCTGGACCGTTCCGTCTGGGACTACTGAACGGACGAGTCGCTTCAGCACACCATCCTAGCTGTCTCTACGTTTTGGCATGACGGGTTCATCACTTCTTGTTGCCGTGCGAGCCGTGGTGTAATCTTCCAGATGGCTGCAAGGCTCTCTACACTGCATGGCAAAAGCGAAATTCGGCAACCGGCCTGTGTATATCTGCCCACAACGTGCCCAGGCGTTACGCCTGCAGGCACCCATGCTTCTGCGTCCTCAACAAAAGCGCACCCCACCAGTCGGCAGCCCTCCATCCACAAACTCACTCTATTCTACGTCGCCTAATCGGTGAGGTCTGATAACGCGGGGAGGATGCAATGGGTGCCAGGCGTGTTGGTGAAGCTGAGATTGTGTGGTATGCAGAGGGGAGTTTGAAAACGAAGTCGACCATCCGGCCGAAATAGGAAGGAGGGAGTTGCTAATGTGGACAGGGTGGTAACTTTAAGGTTTTGTCCACCTCCACGTATCCAGTTTCCCCAAGACGACTAGGGACATTCTCCAGCGTGAGGCTCAGACGTACGAGCAGTGACCATGACTTGCATGCTGCTGTGAACATCGCTTCGAGGGCCCGAAGCGAACGTTATCGCAACACTTTCCGCGTAGCCGCGCACTTCATCTCCGCTCTCTTCCGAGTAAGACGCGTACCGCGATGATACAGTTTCGCAATGTGAACACGGGCGCCAACTGCGACCACTAAAGACGCTCCGTCAACGATGACCATGCTCGACACTTGGAACAAGAAACGTTTTGACGTCGATGGCTGACTGGTTGGCTGTCGACGGCCTGTTGACTGTGGCGGCTTCACCAGGTAGTGACAAGGCCCCATGGCTGACGCGCCTCCTCGTCGGGATGACCAAGCCAGCCCTCCGACTTCGTGCCGAACTTGCAAAATGAGAAGTTCAGATAAACTTTATTGTTTTCGACTTTTAGTCGGCGGGCTTTCTCCCGTTCGCAGCACTTTATCTGCACACTGCTATATTTCGTTTCCTCTCGGTCTCTACTAGTGCGAGAGCGAGAAGGCCAGTCATTGGCTCCTCGAGTACCCACAACGTCAATCAAGGATTCCAAGTGTAAAAACACCCATGGAGCTGGAAGCGAACATGAGGGGCATTGAGGGGCAAGACAGCCGAGCGGCGCTAGTAGTACGTTGGGCCTAGCGTCCTCATCTGCACGCAGCTACGCGATGTTCTCAGCACATGTTGCAGCAATGCGCAAAATTTGTACTTGGATACGACGGCAGCAGACAAGACGCTGTTGAACCCGTTCTTTCACCACAGTATCCGGAAATGAGACCGGAAATATTCCGAGCACATGCATTCTACATTCGAGATGTGGGGTAAGGAATGCATTGTTGGCATACAGGGGGTTTGACCGTTGTTGACTCGACGTCGTCGTATGTGGCTTCGGGGCGGCGAATCCTCAACAAGCCCATTCTTCGTCCCCATCCAGCCCATGCACGCTCAAAGAAGCATGTGTATGCAGTAGTGGGCTGTCGCCTAGCCGCTTGTACCATGGGCGGCTGCATATCAGGGTCTGTTAACCCGTCCCAAGCCTCATCCAGGCATGCCGCGACTGCCAAGGAAAGAGATGGTGTTGAGGCGAACATTCGTTGGGAAAATGCACAAGGCTAACGAACGGATGGGCTATAGCTGGGCTTATATCGCGGGCCGCAGTACATCAGTCCACGGGAACGAAATGGAGTGTAAAGGGTTTCTGTGTGTCATGCATGGGGCGAAATTGATGGTTTGAAACTGTGGAAGAGAGGGATGATGCAGGTGGATGCTGGGCTTGTCCGCCTTCCCTGCTTAAAGCATGCAGCGATGACATGACTGGGGCCAGATTGCGGAGGTGGATGCTGTGGAGAACCACTTGGTGGGATGTACAACACGCGACAAAAGCTCAACGATCGAATCGACGGGGGACTCGACATCGCTTCATCGTTTGTGGAGTACAAGCCGATGACCTCCAGATACTTGATACCCCTCAGCAGGGTATGCAGTAAGCCGTCATGTTTCACGCGGTCCGCGTACGATAGCCGCTCGAGAATCCCAACGCCATGTCCGTTCTCCACTTCACCAGAGTCTGTACCCAGGCCATGGAGATCAGGGTCTCGACTCGATCCGATGTACCTAAAATCTACCATCCCAAACTCCTATGGAGAACTACAACAAGCTTCCAAGGGGAGTAGTATGTGCTCCATGACATCACCAACTTTCGAGTCTAGACTTCTCCAGTCTCTAGTCTCCACTCCACACTCGCTCGAACCCATCTTTCTCCGCCTCCCTCCCTCCATGTGCTTTGCTCCACTTTACTCCGCGACCCGACGAGAAAGTTTTTCTCTTCTTCTTTCGATCAGCAATGAACATCGTCGCGGCCAAGTCTCGGCACTACTCTGACAGAAAGTCAGCCCCCAAACTGTTGAGAGTGGGTCCTCCTTACTGTACTGTTACCTCCAACCCGCTTTCCCTTCGCACCAAGTAACGTCGTTTCTTCGCCGGTGCGTTTTGGCAATTCCATCTTCCGTTTCCGTGCCGGTGGTACTTCAAGCGCCGGGGTGGCCAGTTTGTAGATGAGCGTTATCGCCGTCCCCTCGGAACGGGGAGAGACAAGAGGTCTGGATCTCCGCTCCCCCCCTCTCTTCTCCACTGTATGTGTCGCGGAAGGGCCCGGTCTGGAACGCTCGAGCAGTGGCTTGTAGGATATCATGTGAGGAGGTGAGACGGGCTTCGTGATGGCGGTGAGCTAGCTACGGCTATTTGCTTTGTGGCTGCAGTAAGTTAGTAAGTAAGTAAGGGAGAGGTGGGGAAGCCCCTCCACGATGTGTGAGCAGTTGGTCGGCATTTGCAAAATGGTATTGGTTGAAGAGACGGTTAGGCTTGCGGGCGGCGCGGTGCAATGTGCGATTGATTTTGTTGCTTACAGCCCATGTTCCAAAGGATATCAATCAATACCATCTCGCCGAATGCAGTATGATATGCTTCGATGACTGAACAGAATAGGGGAGTAAGTCTGCTTTTATCTTCAACATCTCACGTCGTGTTCATATCATGCTTGTGACAACATATCAGAATTCGAGAACAAGAAAGGCACGCAGTATGGGGGGAAGAGAAGAAGAAGAATGCAAAGAGGAATATAGGTGACTCTAATCTATTAATCATCGTCGTGCCTGTTTTTCAAGATTTATTGTTCTAAAGCCTCTCTACAGAGCACCATTTCGCTTCTATCCCAAACACAACCGATCACATCCCACAGCACTCCAACTCCAAGCTTGTATTCAGAAGACCGATCTTGTCCTGTGTCTCTTTTCTTCCCATCCTCCTATATAACAATCGAAACCGGCACCGTAACATTCGAAGTCGGCAAGACCGGCAACGACATGTTGAAAGTCGGTAATGCCGAACCCGACGTCGGGATAAAGGTCGGTGCAATCGTAGTAAGATCGGGGGTTTGTCTCATCTCGCAAGGATGGCGGCCAGTGCGAGGGGTAGGCTTAAAGAGGTCGCCGCACTGTGTGCCATTATTTCAAATGAGTCATGGAAAGAGAGATTGGCGCTGAGCTGGCTGTCTATGGGGGGGGGTAAACTTACGACTCGAGTGGGTGTTGGGCAGCCTCGTGCGGCTTGCATATAGCATCCATAGGAGAAGTTTTCCTCAAAGTTGCACCTCTGTTGCATGTGTTAGGCGTTGAGCTAGTCCTGTTCTTACACATGTGCGATAGTTGTTATTTCCGTCTTCCTCTTCCTCTTGCGCTTGCACACTCTCTCTCCTTCTTCTCGGCTTTGAGGGTTAACTCACTTGCAGCGCGTCCGTAGCCCAGCACGGATACGCAGCCGTTGCCAGATTGCAGAGGCACTCCTTGGTAAAGATGGGAATTGGCTCCGAGTGAGGCCTTCTAGACCGAGTGCGAGTCGGAGTTGCGAATGAGGGTACACTTGTCGACAGGCCGGTGATTGGAATGTTTAGAGATGTTGACAGCGGCAATGGGATTGTGGGCGTTGGGAGTGAGGGTTCTCCCGTTGGGTCTTCTTGCTCTTGTGGATGAGGGAATGCCGCGGCCAGCGCCGCCAGGGCACCAAGCAAGATAGCGACACGCATTTTTTTTCACTGTTGAATATTGGCGATGATGGGGTACGGAGTGTATGAGCTGCGACAACGCTCTGAATTCAATTGCCTATACACTTCATTTTGTTGATTCCATATCCTCTCTTTACCCAAGTGCCGCCGGTTCCTGGTACCTCTGCCTTCGGTTCCAGATATCCATATTGCATTCTACTGTTCCCCAGATGACAAACGCCAGGAACCGTCTAGCAACACTAGAAGGTTGTCCAGTTTTGTAATTTCTCCATCAATCTCAAACCACAACCTAGCTCTTGAATGATCGAGAGCTATTCTTAGTGACCAGAGGTCGTACCCAAAATTACTGTAATAGTTCGCACCTCATCGTACTATGCCATGATTGCGAGTGGCCATGATTGCAGTGCTGATTGGTTATTTTAACGGCTCTTAATCTGAAAGTGATATATCCGACATGGCGGAATATATTACCTAGCCGGAGATCAAGAAACGGAAACCCACGACATCTCCCCACTGTACCTCGCCCATCATGATCGTCCTGGCTCATCCGATTAGCGCGAGCATGTCAACCATGGTGCTCAAGATGATCGACTATCCTTATCGCTAATCCAAGAGCATGTGAGATAGACCAAGAGGCATACGCACGTCATCCGCTGCGATATGATATGAGGTTCTTGCGCCATCGGGTTATTTTCTCATGCGATGGTGCGATGTTACGATGGTGGTGGGGTTGAGCTGATCCCTCCGAACCCTTGCGGCTCTCTTCACCAGCTCGTGGCGCACGCTATATTCGACTGCAGCAGGAGCGCTTAGCCTGGAGACGGGCTGTTTAAGGTGGCGTATAGAGGGGTGCATCAGTTCGATAAGAACCCTTGCCCTCATCATGTGAAAGTGGACTTCAGCCTGCATGTCGCTGATCAGGGTCCTTGGGCGGTCTCGGCCGCAACATTCTTTGGTCAATGACGGGTCCAAGCCTCGTTTCTGGTGGTTGACGTAGCGTAGCACGTATGTAAGGTGAGGTGAGATGAGATGTGCCATGGGACTCTCAACGTCAAAGTGGACCCACTGTGGAGATTGAACCACCATTCGGAGATAGAATGATGTAGAGAGGCATGGCGAGATACGAGTTTACAAATCTTCAAGAAATACGTTTGATAATGGATTTCGCTATCAGTGCGTCCTCTAAGACAGTGTACACGAAGGTACTTGAAGGTACTTCTGTCATTTGGTGGGTGGAGCCCCTCAATTACCCCGGTGGTGGGTTAGCTTGTGGCACTCTAGATTGCACCTTTTTGTGGAGATCGCGACGCTCGTAGTGAATGCTGTGGATTTGTGGCCGTGAGACGTGAGAGACGCCATGCAGCCGGCGTCGTGATCTCGAGGTTAATGAGAGCACGAGATTGTCGTGACAGTACATTAATCATCAAATCATGTGATTAGGCGGTAGAAGCTCGGGCCCATGACGAAGTCGCGATGTGAGATTTCCAATTTGTCAAACGTCAGTCAAAGTCGCGGAAACAACCATTGCCCGTTCGTAAGCTTACACCTCCTGCTATACCTCAGCATGCACCCCGCATTATGTGCTCTTTAACACCGATGATACAGCTCTTCACACTGTCACAATGGCACCCTCACGAGCCCTCCTCCGACGCATTACCTCCGCATCAGTGAGACCATGCGTACGCCCGACAGCGCGTTTTGTTTCTACTTGTGCCATCAGCTCGCAATGCATACGAAGCCGATCAAGCATACACAGCGGCCTCTCGCGACGACTGCGTTTCCCCGCATCATGCGTCCGGTCTTACTCGCAGACAGCCAGTACAGCACCTGAGCCGCCAGAATACCTGAACGAGAAAGAGCTACATGTTTTCAACAAGATCAAAGCGGAATTGGATCCCGTAAAGTTAGAGGTATGCATCACCACACCTCTGGGTTTTGGACATTGGTAGAGACGGAGATAGGCGCACTTGCATAGATGACACCGATTGAGCAATACCGATCACTGTAGGAAGAAGACGCACATGATACAAAAACGCGGGGTCAAAGCAAGTACAAGGATCACCAATTCGCATGTTTGTCATGCGAGTACAGCAATGGTTCTCCGGGATGTCTCGGGATGCCGAAGAGCCAGGAAGTCTTGGGATACCGATGCAAGCGAAGATGTAGAGCTACAGGAGATATACTGACATCTGATTTCTTAGGTACAAGACGTTAGCGGGGGCTGTGGATCGATGTACGCCATAGAGGTTGAGTCGCCCAAGTTCAAGGGATTGACCCCGATAAAACAACACAAGATGGTGAACGAGGTGCTGAAGGAGGAAATTAAAGGCTGGCATGGCGTTCAACTGAGGACCAGGGCTGCATGATGGCCAAAAGATGCGGTTGTTTTATGATCTGTAGCGATGCGTGTGTAAATACTGTAACACCATTGTTGTACCATGAGATTAAAAGATGTTAATGAAAGTATAATAATTTCGAACTCTCGCAATGTCCAGATGTCCATATCCCAGAGCTTTCATGTATGGAATGTCTAGATAACACTCCTTCAAAGCCGACATGCCCTAATTCCTGACATAGCCTGGCGTTCGGCCTACTATCTGCAGCAGGTGAAGTAAAACAGAAGACAAACTAGTCTAGATTATAGTAGACCGTTGGGACATCTGGTTCGTGGGGAAGGCTTTCGAGGTCAACATGTCATAATTCCTCCTCAGCTCCACCTCAATAGCACTCATCATACTCGCAATTCTGCCACCAGATGTTGGACTCGTGAAAAGAAGTTCTCTATATCCTAATAACAAATTCCATCTCGAAATCCTCATTGCAGCAACCGACATCAGGATATAAGCAGATTTGGAATTTGAAAAGAAGTACCTAACTGTTTATGAGATAGCGTTGAGTACTTGAGAGTGGGAAGTGATTAGTAGATCTAAGATAACTATAAGAAATTACTGCGAACGTCGACCCTTCCCTATCTATGAAATGACCGGTAGCTGTCTGAAACTTCATGCGCAAGCGATCATGTCGCGAAGTGAGAAACTAAGGACTGAGGAAAACAAACTCCTAAGCCCAAGGTTCAGGTCTAGGGGTCTACTAGTCGAAGAATCGGATCCCCAAAGAAATTGAAACTAAATCCCTCCTTTACTTCATGTCCTCGTGGCTGGATAGGCGTCAAGATGAGCGGTGTGTCCGGGTGGACCCCTGAGATTGAGACACTCGTACGGCGATGAGACTATAAAGGGATATACGAGCGAGCATATACGTAGATGAGAAGCAAAGGTGAACATGTTGGGATATACGGATGCAGGGAGACACTTCAAATATATTCCAAAGCCACGCGCTGTGCGCTCTAGCCAGGTAGAAAGAAGATCTTGGGTATCAAAAGACTATATGTATATGTTGAAAATCGCAAAATCAAGAAAGAAGATACCAGGCCGTGCAATCCATTCGTAACAAAATGCCGCTCGCGAGGTGTACCAAGTGGACGAATCGAATTGTACGCCCATGGCTCCAAAAGGGAAGGATGGAATATCGCGGCCTGACTGTATGTGCCAAATCTTCTTTGTATCGTACAAGGGCTGAGAATGGAGGACTGAGGCAAGCGGTAACGATGTAAGTTGTATGCCGTAACAACTGTATCGTACAATGGGCGGCTTAGCCGGCATACCAGCCTCCGGATCCAACAGTCGCTTCTTCTTGCTCGCGATGTGGAATCAGGGGTACCCTGATGTCGAAGGCGTCGATGAACATGTGCCACGTGGGGTAGTCGATGCTGAAGACAGCTTGGTGTTTCTGGGCGTGATTTTCTCGTTGATTGGATGCGCCGCGGGGCTCCTCTGGTACTATTCATAGATTAGTGGATGCATCAAGCAGGTGTTACGTTGAACTCACTGAGTAGAGGTAGCCCTTCCGCATCCTTGATGATCTTTGCGTTCCCCTCTCTTACTAGAAAGCTGATGTAGAATAAGTTCTCGACAGTTTGCCCGAAATTGTTGGGATTGATGGCAAAGTCGAGCAAGCCCACGGCTGCTTCTTCAGTAGGAGCCTGAGTCACTCTGAAGCGTCGGAAAGCCGCAGCTTGGTCTTCATCTTGGAGCTCCGATTCTGGAATTTCGGATAGTTCGCCCTCAACGCCGGCTATTCCGCGCTGGAGATGGTCCTCTAGCCGTTTCTTGATAATCTTGACGAGGTCCGACAGATTCGAATTCTCGGACTGCTGGATATCGCCTTCCTTGATCTCTTGTGGTCGGGTCGCTGGTCCCACGGGCTGCCGTTGAGAGCGAGCTTTCCTTTGGGTGGTGCGGACACGCTTCTGAACAGAAAGGGGACCGAGCAAGAAGCTCGATACCGGCGGGCGCTTGTTGCAGGGAAAACATGCTTGTCGACCAAGTAATGCCCAGTTCAGGCCATCACCATCTTCCTCGTCCTCACCATCTGCCACTGGCACGACGGGTGCTTCTTCTCCGCCAGCTACATGACCGCCAGACTTCATAAAGTAGATGCACTTGGACACAAACTGGTCCAGGTCAATACCAACGCCAGCGCTTCCTTGTAGGCTGTTGTTTAGCTTCTTCCCTGCCAGCTCACTGGCATTGACTAAGAAGCGGGAATCCAGCGCCGCGTCAGCTGTTTGCCGCACTTTCCCGAATAAGTTGTTCTGCGTCTTGAGGGCATCGAGAAGCTTGCTGTTAGGCTTCACCATCTCATCGCGGTTTTCTGGGTATGTTAGTGCCTCGTGCAGGGGATGTGGCCTTTTCGTCCGAACTCACCATCTACAGTGCGCTGATGGTCGCGCATGCTTGCGCGTAGTCTTCGCCGTTGGTCAGGATCCTGATTGGGGTTGTAGAAGCGCAAGTTGCCCTCCTCTTCAGGCTCGGGCTGGACTTGCGAAGGCTCCTCAGCGTCCTCGTCTTCCTCATCTTCCTGCTCCTCTGCTTCTAGCTCATCCGTGAAGATTTCGGATTCGGGCATGGTGTAGTTTCCGGTCCGCCGTCGCTTGTTGCCATTGTCACCAGTGGTCGAGCCTGAGTCGGGTGTGGGCATGCGGGCAGACGCGCCTCGCCGACCCCTGACTTTATGTGGTTGTGGGGTATTTTCGCGCGTTTGAGGCAAATCGTTCTCCTTGTCTGAGTTCATGGATCGCGTCGGGCTTAGGACAGAGTAGGACGAGGTGCGCACATTGCTCTCGTTTCGCGGCGCAGCCGAAGGGGCACGGTAGAGCGAATCGATGGTTGAGGAGCGTGTTTGCTGCTGCGGTGTGGCGGAGGGATGGGTGTTGAGACGCGCCATATTGACTCGTCGCGAGGGAACGGAGACGGAGGCAGGGCTCGGCGGCAGTGGTGTTGGCGTTGAAAAGGGCTGTTCTGTTCTGTTCTGTTCCTGGACGCGGCTGCTCCCATACCCAGAGGCCGCCCGATTAGCGCGATTCCGCCTGACACCAAGCCATGGAGCCCCCCCAAGTGCGAACGGCCGTAAGCCAAGCAACACATCACGTGCCGACGCTCCGCCGCGTACCCCTGCAGTTTGCCCTGGCCGTGGTGGAGCGTCTGACCCGCTGTGCGCATCACGTCCCATTCACCCCGCCTGGAATCCGACGTGACTGGATTTTTGTTGTTGGCTACGCAATGCCACTCACTTCAAGCCTCCGCGAGTGCTGCTGAACGCTTCGTATCGTACCCTTTTCGGCTCGACCGTCTTAGATGATGCTCGCCCAAGGCATGCGGTAGTAAACAGCTGGCCCACCGCTCACCATGGAAGCCTTCAACTTTGCGACGTCTCTCGATTTGACGGAGCTGTCGGTACATGTTCGAATGTGAGAAGTCCTGCCATGTCTGGTTAGCTTGTGCTGAGCTTGGAACAGAGATCGTCTTGATGGGAACCAGAAGCCTATCCCCTACTCGGTGTTGCTCAAGCGCCCAGATTTAAGACATAGAGCTTCAAGCAACAAGTGAGTGAAGAAGCTTGTAGTCTGGTGAGAGGAGCGGGAGGCTGACGTGAAACCAAAGCCCCCACTTTGAGCTCTACGTTACCACCCAGATATGGGCCGACAGCAAGCCGCTCACCGTCCCCGTCCAAACCGCGTACAAGTCGTTCAAGAACGCAAGAATATGGAACGAGTGGCTACAACTGCCTGTCACGTACTCGAACCTGCCCGCATCCGCACAGCTCGCCATCACCGTCTGGGATCTGTCGCCTGCCGAGGACAAGGATTCGAACTTGCACGCTGTGCCATTCGGCGGCACTACAATACCGCTGTTCGACAAGGACAACGTATTGCAGAAAGGCAGGCAGCGGTGTAGGATCCATCGTTTCAAGGCGGCCGATGGCTTGACCAACACCACGACGCCGTGGGTCATACCACCGGCGCGGAAGAGCAGGAAAGCCCAGGTGGTGGAAGATACAGTCGATGAGCAAGTCGCAGAGATGCAGAGACTGGAGGAACTTCTGAAGAAGCAGGAAATGGGAGATCTGCCCACCAACAGCTGGCTTGACGCACTCGTCTATAAGAAGATGATGAAGATAAAGAGCGAGGCACTCAAGGCGGAAGCGTCCGCGTTGAACCGTCAAAGCAAGACAAATGGGACGAATGGTTCTGTAGAGGGCGACGAGGAAGAACTCTTCTACCTGGATATTGAGCTCCCGCGCTTCGACCATGCCATTGTATTTACGGACGTCGAGTACCCTCCACCTCCTGTGTCAGACCTAAGACTACCCGCTGAAGCAGACGTAAGGTTGCGACCGCCACCTGAAGTATCGTTCGGGCCCGGCATAGATATAGACGGTGTTGGCTATGGCGATGCTGACGCGGGTCGGTTGATCAAGATCTACGACCCAGAGATCGGAAGAAGGGCCAACCCAGCCGAGGACAAGCATCGTGAATTGATGCGTAGTCAACAAACAGACTCGCTGGACCGGGACAGAAAGCCTAACGTGCACGTCCGAGATAAGCTGAACCTACTACTGTCAAAGGGCCCGCTCGAAGAGATCACATCCCACGAGCGAGACGACATTTGGAAGTTCCGATACTTTCTCCTTCGCGACAAGCGAGCCTTGACCAAGTTTGTCAAGTGCGTCAACTGGAAGAGCCCAAGGGAAGCACGTCAAGCAGCACCCCTTCTCGACAAGTGGGCAGAGATTGATGTTGACGATGCTCTTGAATTGCTCGGACCTCACTTCGATCACCCAGTTGTACGCAGCTACGCCGTCGAGCGCCTAAAAAAAGCGGATGATGAAGAGTTGCAGCTCTACCTCCTGCAGTTAGTACAGGCCCTGAAGTATGAGGCTCCAGGCGAAGGCGATGATTCCTCGTTGGCACTCTTCCTGGTTACGCGCGCAGCCAACAGCTTTACATTGGGTAACTTCCTCCATTGGTACCTAATGGTCGAAATCAGCGATTTCAGCACTGATCAGGAGCCTGAACACCGCGATTTGTTCGCCAAAATCGAGTACGATTTCATGGTCGAGCTCGAAAAGACGCCAGAAGGCGTCGAGACGCGGAACACCTTCCGTCGGCAAGGCGAGCTACTCACCGTTCTGGCAAAGATATCAAAAGATGTTCGCTTTGGCGGTGGGGATAGACCAACGAAACTCGCACGCCTCAAGAAAGCATTAGCAGATCCCAAGAACGAGCTTGCAAACTTCGAACCACTACCGCTACCCCTTGATCCTTCCGTGTATATTACCGGTATCCACACTGACGACTGCAACGTCCTGAAATCCTCCCTTCTCCCCATGGTCCTGAGCTTCAAGACAACAACCGACGCGAAATACCCAATTATTTTCAAAACCGGTGACGATCTTCGTCAAGATCAACTTGTCATCCAAATCATTACGCTAATGGACCGACTCCTCCGGAAAGAGAACCTCGATCTGAAACTGACCCCATACCGCATTCTCGCTACCTCAACCTCCGCAGGCGCATTCCAATTCATACCCTCCATGTCCATTGCAGCAGCAGTACAAAAGCACAAGGGCAGCCTTCTCGCTTACCTTCGGTCCAACAACCCCGATGACGCGGCGCCCTTGGGGGTAAGGAAAGAAGCAATGGATACCTACATCAAGAGCTGTGCGGGGTATTGCGTAATTACGTATCTATTAGGTGTAGGCGATCGCCATCTAGACAACCTCCTCCTCGCCCCCGACGGTTGTTTCTTCCACGTGGACTTTGGCTACATTCTCGGCCGCGACCCCAAACCCTTCGCCCCGCAAATGAAACTCCCCCTCCAACTCATAGAAGGCATGGGCGGGCCCCAACATCCCAACTTCCTCGCCTTCAAAAGTTACGCTTTCACCGCGTGGTCTACCCTCCGCAAATCTTCCAACCTACTCTTGAATCTGTTTGCGCTCATGCAAGGTGCGAATATTCCTGATATCAAAGTAGAGAGGGAGGGCAGTGTGAGGAAGGTGCAGGAGAGGATGTGGTTGGGTAAAGGGGAGAATGAAGCAGGTAGGGAGTTTGAGAGACTTATAGAGGAGAGTATGGGAGATTGGAAGGCGGGTGTCATTGATTGGGCGCATGAGTTTGTGCAGACTTATTGGCGCAAGTAAATGGTGTTGTGCAGATGCTAGACTCCAGAATTGCATTGAGCGAATATAAATGGCTTCGATGTGATGAGATGTATAAAGAAAGACTTGCTGTGGCTATGTGGTGATAGAAATTACACAATCCACGAGACATAGACGTCTAAGGTAGCCAGGTGGACAAGAATTATCAATCTAGAGTCACCTGGTCTTCCTGGGAATCGCACCTATTCGCGATTATCCGAAGGTAATCAATTATAATAGTAGTTGTTGTAGTTAAAAGTCAACAAGCGGGTTAAGTCTTATCACGCGCATCTATCACAGTGAGTGACCATCTACTCTACACGTTTCGTGCTCCATCGCTAGTCCCCTGTCCGTCCACATACCTCGCCTCATACCTTTCAGCAGCTTTAATCTCCCTCTCATGCTTCCTCTTCACTAACCTCAACATGACGGTATTATACAGCAAAAACAGGGCAGCAGCTACGACTGAGCACGCCGATGTAACGATGATGGTGACCATGGCTGTGACGGAGTATTGGCCTGCTTGCCGTTAGTTGATCGTCGACTAATACATTTGCATGCAAACGCTGAAGAACAGTGATATAAAATGATAGACTGAAATCGTGAATAGATCCAAGAAGGACAAAGGGCCAACCTACCGTCCTGCGCAGAATAAATATTCACAATCGTCGACACAAGCCCCGCAATACTATTCAACAGCGCAGGTAAAAAGATCCGATTAATAACCCACACGTAATTCTTGCGGTGTTTCCACCACAGCCACACGCAGCCCAGGACCCCTACTCCACACGCAAAAGCCGCGACGTACAGTAGCGGCACATTGCGTACAGTTCGTAACGCGTGCTGCTCGAGATTCGTCTGCGCTTTGTCCTCTATACTCTTGTCTTTTTGCAGCTTGTTGAAGGTGGCCGGGAAGACGATGTAGCCGGCTAGCAGGACCCAGACGAAGAGCGAGGCGAGGATGTTGTGCAGGGGCGAGACGTGGTCGAGGCCCAGGAGCATATCGATGTAGCGTGTTCGGGCTGTTGTGCGGCTGCGCTCAAGGCCGGGTCTCTGCGGCTTTTCTGCAACATACTTGGAGGTCGCTGGTCGTGTTGAACTACTGCTGTTGCCTTTTATGCCAGGCTTGTGGCTGGCTTGCGAGGATGTGCGTATGGGTTCATGGATTCGCGTTGAGCGTGTGCGTGCTGGAGTGGGCTGAGGTGGAATTGGTGCGGTCGCGGTTAGACTGTCTTTTTGCTTCTCGTCTAGATTCTTTGACGTATATTTATCCCCATACGTCTCTTCCACAGTGGGTAGTAGGCCCGATTCCTTGAACTTCGAGGAGAACGGCATATTGAGTTTCATGATTGCGGAAATGCGCAGTGCTAAGATGAGATGGACAGACAAGTAGAACCATGTGAAAATATGAAGATGTGAATAGTTACCTCAGGTTGCCAGGCGGCGTGTCTGCTGATATCTACGTACTTCTCGGATCTACTCGTTGATCGATAGCCAGGTACAAAACCTGATACTGATCCATTGCCACATGTCGGTGGCTTCGGTGGCTTATCCCAGACTACACTCGCTTCGAAACTTTCAGGGGACGGGGACAGCACTATTTGGTGATAGACGTTGACGAGGCTGTGCTGTGGTGATTGATGGTTGGTCGGTGTTGGAAGCTGGAAGCGTGCAGGGGGTGACAGCCGTTGATCCATACGTCATCACGCAGAACCCTGTTGACAGTAGGTTGAACTTCGGGGGAGAGAACTGCGAACGTCTCGAGAAGATGTCCAAGTCTTGTATGAGAGTAGGTTGCCATATTAGCGTAATGGCAATAGGTCTGTTTCAACAACCCTCTCAAGTTGATGATGCTGAGCTCCGCGCACGCAGGGATCTAGATCACCATGCCTACCAAGCTAGCACATGAAGAAAGTCCAAGACCACTACTATATGCCATCCCATAGCTCATGCCACATGTCCTTGGTCTCTCCTGTGTCCTTCTCGAATGTCCAGCCACAGTGTTCTTTTAATCTATCGCGATCTTAACGCGTCGCTAACGACCCCGGTGGTTAATATGGAAGTCGGAAAAACATCGCGGGAGCGTCTCAAGCTACGTAAAGGACAGAACGCATGAAAGTGCAAGATTGGATACTAGAGGTATATAGGTACCAACTCAGACAGAGGTATACTTTCAAATAAATATATTTTGTTTCTCTTCCTGTGCTTTTTGGTCTTTCGGTGTATTCGCCGTTGTTTGAATAAAAACGAAAAAAAAAACATACAAAGTCAAGATGAAACTACTCAATCTCCTCCCCACAGCACTACTAGCTACAACTGTATACGCCACCGACTCCTCTTCCTCATCGTCTGCCGCCGCCGACTCCTCTCCAGTACCAGAGCCCCCAACAGCCGGCGAAATCTGGGCGGCAAAATGGGACACAGCAAGCCTCCACCCATACACCCAACACTGCAAAAATCGCAACACCTACCACGCTAAGATCTACAAGCTCAACGAGCTATACCCCGATCTCAAAGACGTGGCTCCCCAGCTCAAAGTCTTCTACAACAAGCAGCTATACGCCGGTTCCTGGGGCGGTATCGACGTGCACGGCACCGGGCGCGAACTCATCCAGATGGATATGTTGGACGTGCCGTACAAGGTGCGCGAGTGGTTGAAGCGGGAGAAGACGCAGAAGCACTTTAGTGTGCAGGATGATGTGGTGTTTTTTGCGCCCGGGGCGATATATCCCATTTTGCCGCTGTGGGTGGATGATGCTGATGAGGGGCTGGAGTGTGAGGGTAAGTGGTTTCTTGTTTTATACTTTTGATGATGAAGGGGGTAGCTATGCTGACATTGTGTGCTAGGTGTATTTGATGATCTTGAGAACTATGCAAACGAGCCTAAGGACGGTGGTGTGATTGGCAAGGTGGCGCATACGAATACTGGGGACAAGGAGGTCAAGTTCACGGTCGAGGCGCTGCAGGTCAAGACGAAGACGGCGGCGAAGGATGAGCTGTGATTGTGTTCATCTGTTCCGTTCTTTGACTCTTAACGGTGTTGGGTATCAATAGCATCTCCATAGAACTTTCAGGCCTCTTTTCCTTCAGCTCTCTCCCTCGCAAGCTTTTTCCGTTCGTTCTGCACATTCTTCGCATGACCTATCGCAGTCACCATGTTGAACAAGAAGATCCCCACAAAGAGAATTGTAACCACCGCCAACACAGCGACCACGCTGACCATACTGAAGACGACAAACACATAGCTAGCTTTCAAGAATGCATAGTTGTCCTTCAACTCGTCGAGCCCGGTGCCGACCTGCATCGCCGACAGGACGAGCGAGAAGAATACAAAGACGATGAGTATCCAGCTGAAATTGCGCTGGAAGAACACAACGTAGCGATTGTACCCGTAGAGATAGCCGCGCACGAAATGCGTGGTGAAGAAGAGCGAACGGTATATCGAATTGACACGTCCGAGACGTAGATCGCCGAATTGATAGCGCCTGTTGACTTGATGCAGTGTGTTGATATCCACATTACCGTAGAAGTCTCCCACAAACTCCTTCCACCAATGCCACGTTACAAAGCTCGGGAGCAGCGTGTGGTCATGGGCAAGTTTGAGATCCAGCGGCGTGACCACTAGCCAGACATACGAGAGCAGGAATCCGCATGCGGACTTGTGCAGCTCCTCGCTCGCGCAGAGATGGACGTTCCAGAAGTCGGCGGATAATATCCATTCCGGCAGCGGCTTGATCATGAGCTTGTTAGAGAACTTGAGGAGATGCAAGTCCATCTGCTGGGTAAACAAAACATCGAACCCTTCCATCTTGTATCTGTGCAGTGGCCTGGCGCGCATTGGTCGGCCGGCCATCCAAAGATGTCCATGTATCTTGTTCAGCCGCGATAGATCCAAATCAGCCTTTAGAAACTCGCCAATCGAGTCATTTGCGAGAACGACGGCATTTCCGCGCCCTGTTATCGTAGGCAGCGAGTCCAGCGGCGAGAGCGGGATGTTAGTCGCGGTGTCGAGGACAGGCTGTGGACCGGTGTTGACGCCATTTTGCAGTGATATTTGCGATGCGGAGAGAGGCGCCGTAGGGACTTTGGGGGGAATGGGACGCGCAGCGAAGGGAGGTTTGAGGATGGGGGTCTGGTCATCAACATTAGCACGCGACACTCCTTGCATTGCCATGCGCGCGATTCACATACTACTGTCGCCATTGTCTTCTCAGCCATTAAGGTAAGTGCACACAAATCCGACTTTAGTGATTGTCTTGTATCTGGACCTGAGGCGCAGGTGCGCAACGAAGGCTACAAGTCATGATTTGGATGGCGTACGGCTGGTAGCACGAGGCGCACATGCAACGCCCCATGAGCGGCTACCAGCTCCGCCAGAGAGCGGGAGCTAGAGAAGGAGCCTGGGGCTGAAATGCTGGCTCCTCCTCAGGGCTGAACGCTTCGGCAGGAAAAACAATCTGCCAATACACAAAGCACGGTGATTGGATAAACAAATGGATGGATTGCTATTTATACGTGGAGCCAATATCCTTCACCAAGCCACCACGGGAATTTCAGCCCAAGATGCCATTAGAGAGAATCAAATTGTACGCTGGAATATTGATGAAAGCCATGCGCGTTGTTCATTATCTGAATTAGCCTCCGATAGCACGAAGACCCCCATTTGCCCTAACTCCTTCCTCTAATGCAGTTTTGGATATCATTGAAGGCTGTCCTGATCCCGGCTTGTTGCTGCAATGCTCAACAATTATTTGCAGTAGTTTGCCGGAAAGCTTCCTTTCACCCCATGTACCTCTCCTTCCCACCAGTCCTGTGAGCTCTCCGTCTTCTTCACTACACGGATGCGATCGCCTTCTCTGAACGACAAGTCTCCAGCGGTGTGACTGTCGAAATCATACATGGCCGTAACATATTCGTATTGGAAAGACCCTATCTTCTTTGGTGGCGGCGGAGGTGGAGGCTTCTTTTTCCCTGCTGCTGGGTTGGGCGAGAATCCTGGGGTTGCGCCACCTGTCGTGTGGCCTGTTGGGGGCTTTCCAAAATAGTCACTGTGACCGTTTGTGCCGTTTGAATAGGACGATGTTTGTGACGTTGCTGAGAGGCGCCGTCCATACTGATCCATACCCGGAGTCAAATGCGGCGAGCTGGATGGTATCCGTGGTTTCGAGGCACTGAGAGAGCTATACGAAGGTTTATTCGCCAAGCTAAGCGGAGGACCGTTCTCAGAGGGCGAAGATAAAGTCGCTGATGGTTTCGAGACTCTTCCAGTAATGGTAGGAACACTGTCGTTGCTACTGACTCGCCGGCCGGGCATAACTTTGTTCCTGATACCAAGGCCTGTCAGAGTCTCTCCCTTTTCTGGTAGCCTCATTGGCAAGTGGATTGCCTTGCCCGACTTCAGCAACCCGAGGCTTGTTTCCATCTCCTTGCGCAAAGGTGTGAAGCTCGAGTCCCACAAGGGTATCACCTCTTCCGGTTCTGGGGGCGGATCCGGGTAGCCTTGCTCGTGGGAGTACTGGTGTAACACGGTGTACAGATTACCAATGAGGTTGTTCTGTAGTACGATCTGGTTTGTCAACAGGTGGGGAAGGATAGAAAAGGTCGCTGCGTTCAGCCGGGGCAGCCGGTCTCGAAGATTCTCGTCGGCGAGTTGATATGTGTGTGTAGCGCGCTCGAGATCGACCTCGTGCTTGGATAGAGCACTGTTTTCGCGCTCCGAGCGAGTCCCCTTCTTCTGAAGGGCTTCACAGCGGCTCTTGTAGCGCTCGTAATCGACCTGCGGGAAACAACGTCAGTGACAGTGACATGGCGGCATCGAGCGTGTCCTACCTTGGCGTCATCTCGCTTCTTGATGGCTTTCTCCATGGGCTTCAGCGCGTCTCTGGCAAGCTTCGCTGGTACGATCAACTTTCTGTCAATGTCCTTGACTTCCTCCATCATGTCCGTCTTGAGCTCGCTAAAAGCTTCCTGGAGCCCAGCGACCCGCTCCAAGGTGGCTTGTGGCGTCTCGGCCGCGACATGTGAGCCCGAGCTGTCGCCGCCCAAAGGTTTGAAGATGGTGAGGATGTGCTCGACGGTCGAAAGCTGGTGGTTGAGGATGTTGGTCCACGCGTCACGCCATTGCTTCGCCGACGTTTCGAGCTGAGGCAAGTTAGCTCGGATCCAGGCACAGTTATACACAGCAAGCTGGTATACCGAGAGCCTTAGGTATGCAGGTATTGGTGCGGCCTTGGACGTGCCACGGGTAGGAGCTTAGAATTGTGCACCCAGTTGAAGACCCCCACGAGTTCACATGTCCCCACATTCAAAGAAAGGCACTGAGGAGATGGTAGATAGTAGCAGACGTACCTTTTCCAGCATGGATTTGGAGTCATTAAAGTCGTGCAGCATGGATTCGACATCGGCTTCGTTGGGCGTCCTGGTCAGGAATCGCCCGGTGATTCTTTGCATGCGCTGCATCTTGCAAGGTGGCAGCAATTGTGCGACGTAAGCTTGAGGAGGAAGGAAGACGCAAGACGCAGAGGCAGGACACGAAATATGGAGAAGCGGACGTAAGTAATCCTCGCGCACCCGCTAGCGGTGGCTGTGCCTGACGGAGAGCGGTGATGGTGGTGAGGGCTTGCGAAGGGCCAGGGTGCGGGCAGTCTGGCCCCGCGTTTCATCAGCAACACGACCGAATCGACAGGCGTCCCACCAAGAAGACATGCCATGCATGGGTTGAGGTCGTATAACGAGCGACTGCGGCGTTCCGATAGCCGGATTATCCTGGAGCCCATCCCATCCCATCCGGTGAAAGGTGGCAGCTCCTCCCCTAAGGTGGGTTGGGCAAGCCGTTGCCGTAGTGTGCGACGCTAAGTCACCTGCTCTCGCGCAAAGGCTGTCGCGTCGCCATCAAGCCTCACGTCTCTCAACTCGCACCCTGTAGCGACAGCACTGCCGTCCATGTCGCCCACCGCTCCGAAGACGCGTCCCACTCGAATATCTGCGTCATGACGACCTCACTGCGAGGCACGCCCCGCCCCTCTGCTGTCCCCGCGTCCCAGAACACGGCGCCCGTCGCAGAGTTTCGATGTCTCTTCACGCACGACGTCAGACGGAAGCAGAAGCGCTGGCAGGATGGCTACCTCAAATTCCACACCTTCAACAACCGGGTCATGGTGTACGACCAGGCCAGGAACTTCCTGGGAGACACCTACTACAAAGACAGCAATGAACTGCATGAGGGCGACGAGCTCAACCTCGACAAGGGCGTCATGGTCGAGGTGGCCGAGACCATGGGAGTGACGCAAACAGACTTGACGCCGCTCTTCGAGAAGAAGACGAAGGAGCCGCCCGCTCGCCCAAACGCTGCTTCTCAGACACGACCGTTCCAAAGACCGACATCCGTTGCACCCAGCGTCGCACCGCAAGCAGCTTCACAACTGCGGCACAAGTCGTTGAACACTCTGCTTGGGACGCCAAAAGGCCCTATTGGAAAGGCAGTGCCCATGAAGTCCCCATACGAGGCTCGAAATGAGAACGACAGGGACAAAGAGAACGAGGAGGCGGAGGAAAGGGCAACGAAGAGGCAGAAGACGGTGCACAACGCCGCATCTTGGAGAGCCTCTAGCCCCGTGCACGACGAAAGCCCAGTATCGAAGAAGGACCTACCTGTGTATGCGAGGCCCTCGACGGCGAATAATGTTCGAAAACCTACGAAATTTATACCGCCAGGGGCAAACGTCATCATCTTAGATTCAGAGCCAGAACCTACAACAGCAATTCTGTCAGACGTAACGCTCCCGAGTACACCTCCTAGGATCGTCAGATCAAAGCCGAAGCCTCTCTCGCCAGCTCCACCTGTAGCTAAGCCTCTTAGAGTGCCAGCGAAACCGCCCGTACAGACCCCTAAGGTACCTCGAGGGAAGGTGCCAGTGCCCAAAGTAAAAGCCTTAGAGACACCTAAACAGCCGGAACCTCCATCTTCGCCTCCGGTGAGCGCCTCGAATCGCTTGACCAATATCGAATTCGCAGTGCAGCCTGTCAGAAAGAGACAAAAAGAACTATCACCGCTAGCATCCCCACCTCGAAACCCCAAAGCCAAGTCACTACGTTTGTCGACCGGCGTGAAGCGGGGAACATTACTGTGTCAATCACTTCCACAACAGGCCCCAAGAACTAGCAGTGAACCTAGGGCGTCTGGCACAACAGCCAAGGCTCGAAAAATATCGCAGCTTCCGACCACAGAACCAGCCCTAGCTTTGTCGCATGATGATGAGCCGCATTCACGAGCTTCTTCCATGATCGCGAAGGCAGCTCTTCCTGTTAAAGGCAAACGAAAGGGGTCGAAAACGGGCGAGGGGATGGCTCCGAAAAGAGTGAGAGTCTCTGCATCGCCACCACAAGCGTCATTGGATGTGTTTGATGACCCAGAAATCATCCATGGTATCCTGGATCAACAACTTCTAGTTCTTTCATCGCCATCACATCCGCAAGGATTTCCCTCTTCTCCAGAGTTTAGCAGTCCGAAACCCAAACGTACCATCACTACAAGCATAGCAGGCACGAAAGAGGCTGTTCAGAAGCGCTCCGGCCCCACACCTCATGAGCTGCAGGCTGCGAAGCCGAGATCACCTTCGCCAAAGAGCACAATGCGAAAATCACAACCACGAAAGGCGGCAGTTGAAAGACCCCACTCAATTCGCAATGAGTCTTTACCCCCTGTACCTGTGTTCGAATTCCCAATACCACCCTCTAGGGATGTTTCCCCTGCATATACGGAAGCTTCTGATACTCGATCACGTAATTCGTCGACTTCGCCCAACAAGATAGCTCTGTCGACAGGCGGCTTCCGCAAGAAACCCAAGCGCTCTTCAAGGCAGTCCGGTGCAACTCCCCCAATACCTGAGGTCTCGGCCCCAGTTTCTCGCAACGAGACCGTCCCCTTACCACCTCATCCGCTGAGAGCAGGCAAGACAGGGCCGTTGGTGAGTACAAGCGAACTAGCAGCCCTCTTACAGAAGCCAAAGAAGACCAAACAGGTTGTCGACGATCCAATCGAAGAAGACGTACAGGATACTAACAAATCATTACATCGCAATTTCAGACGCGTGCGAAGCGAAAACGACGCACCGATTCCAAGTACAGCACAAGACTGGGAGAGACGTAATCTACCCAAACCTGCGGGCGATGTAACAGACATCATAGACGAGCCTGCGAATGTAATTACGGCAGTGAGCTTTATGCCCCCAAACAAAAAGAACACCGGTCTCTCAGCGTTGATAAAGAAGACGGATCCAAGGCGGAAGTTGCAGCGCGCAAAAAGCTTGATTGTGGAGACCAATGTGCCGCCTGTGGAGGAGGTGGAGATTCCTAGCCCAGTTGGGGATCAAGATATTGGGCCATGGAGTACTGAGGCATTCGATTTATTTGACTGGAGGCCACCGAACCGCGAGTAGATCTTGGAGGCCCTGGTGAGCGTATGCATTGATTACTGATTGCTGGACATGTCGAGGCAACTTTTGGTCGGAGTTTGGGACAGAGATACCTTGTCAGCTAGCGACGCAGATACGATTGATTGCACAAATAGATTCATTCCTAACGCGTAATCTGCTTGACGCCCTACACACTCCTAGCTCATACACACCGTACGAGAAGTCTAACTGCATCTCGCACCATCCTATCCCGTCCCATCCCATCCCATCCCGCCCTCGCATACCGCACATACCTAGCGCCACGACCACCCCCGGTCCCAATTCCCCATCCTCCCCGCCGCCCAGCCCAAGCACGGGACCCAGCGAGCCAAAAGCTACCCCATCAGGAAACAAAACCAAAGGGGTGTGGAAAACAGACACATTTCGACAGCGGGAAGGCCGTCCTTGATTGGGGGCCAAAATGCGGTTCCCGCTGCGTTGGCTTTGTGTGACGGGACAGGACGCACGCTTGCGGGTGGAGAAGGAGAAGGCGGGTAGGGCGGGAGGAGATCCGTATGGTGCGAGGGCCATGCAGAGACACGGGATGTGCGGGATGGACGGGCTATATGTGCTGTGCGTATTCGTTGATGGGGTCTGCGACCGCGGAAGGTCTTGTAGAAATATGTCAGGTTGTTGTTCATTGTCTGCGTGCATTGCCTTGCCCAAAACTCCCAGAAGCACACGGTACCCCTGCGCATGCCAATGTGGAATATACACGGCGCAGGCCACCTATCCAGACACAGGCCTAGTATCGAATATTGCAAGGAAAGAAAACAAAAAGCAAATCGACCTCGAACACTTCAACGGTCGTTGCTGAACAGATAAAGACACATGTAACACCAAAGTCATACCCCACGCCGCTACTCCAATGTCCGCCATTCACCTCAGCCCCCTATCCTGGTCCGTGTCATTATGTCCGCGTCTGCTTCTTTGCTGTCCCAATATGTGTGTTGTGCACCTTTGTCGCGAACTTGAGACTTGTGACAGTCTCTTGTAGATGCGCTTGCAGTGGGCTAACCATTACAAACATAAGCGTCTTGGAGTTGCCGCCGAGAGAGTATTGGAGTAGGTATGTTAACTGCAAGTCTGTTAGCTTGTTGTTTGCTTATTGTGCCAATGCGTGAACTTACCTTTGAATTCCTGTATGGGACATGTGCACCTTCTTTGGCAGATCCAAGCGCGTTGATGACGTCTCCCAAACAGCTCAAGCTTTTGTTGATGTTTTGCGTCTCTTTCAACCGCGCACCTTCAGCCTTCGAATGCTCGAGCCTCTCCGATCCAGCAAGATCCACTAGGTTCAGCGTACCTTCGCTCTTCTCGCCAGTGATCTCATTCGTACCAACGAGCTTCAGAATGAACACAGAGTGACTTCGACTCGATCGCATGTTCGCCTTTGTGGCAGCTACCGTCCTGTTCTTGCTGGCTGTGTCAAGGATCTCTTCCACCCGATGGGGGCCGTCGAGCATGACACTGACTGCGTTCTCAAGAAGGGTTTGCTTTTTCGCCGTGTCATGTCTGACTTCAACCTTTTTCTTGTCGAGATCCTCCGAGCGGCCGAGAAGATCGTTGTATGTCTCATTGTAAACCTCAATGAAGGAACCCTCCATGCTGTAGCGCCAGCCCTTCTCTTGGAGACGTTGCGCTTCATCCCAGATCTGGGCCGTGGCACGCGGGATCATACCATCGATAGAGGACATGGTATAAGTTTTTCCGGATCCTGTTTGACCGTAGCAGAATATGCAGACGTTGTAGCCATCGAGCGCACTCTGCACCAGCTGGCTGATCTCCTCGAAGACTTCGCCATTTTGGGATGCTGGGCCGAACACACGGTCGAAAGAGTATGAGTAGGCGGCAGTCGTGTCTTTACCCATCGCACTCTGCCTGCTAGGGCCGAGAACGGACACCTCCTTGCTATCCGTATCATTATCAGGGAAGGAGATCTGCGCCGGGTCGGTCTCTGAATCATGAGTAGGTCGCACACGACACATGACTCGAATGTTGCCCTTTAATTCCTGGACTTGGTTGAAAAGCTTCCGCCGGAGTGTTTCCTCTTGACGCAGTTTGTCGTGTGCTCGTTCTGCTGCCTCGATGGCCTCCTGCATCCGTCGGTGGAGGTCATTGAATGCTTGTGACTGTGCCTGGCTGTCAGACTCAAGAAAGTCAATCTTCTCTTTCATCGCCTTGTTCGTGGCGCTCAGTGTGAGATTGGTCGTGGTCGCTTCTGTCAACTGCGTTTGAAGTCCAGTCTTCAGGTTTCTTTCTCGATCAAGTTCTGACTTGACGTTGGTGAGCTCACCCTGAAGCAGCTGAGCCTCACGTTGCTTAACGCCTGCGTCAAGAGCAGCCGTCCGTAGCCTCGAAGCATACTCTACTTCAAGTTCTTGTGTCTCCTTCGTTCGCCTAGTTCGCTCCGCTTCGCTATCAGCATCCAGCTTTTTCCGCAACACCGCCAGCTCTTCACTGTGCTCTTTGAGAAGTTTTTCAATTCGTGTTTCGAGCTCTTTTCGGATCTTGCTCTCCGCTTCTTCGCGCTCTCTTTGCATTCGGTCGGCGTCCTTTCGATGTCGAGATTCCAGATCATCAACTTCGTTACGAAGCTTGCGGCGGAGGTCATCGGCCTCGTATGAATGCTTTTGTTGGTTCATCTCGAGTTCCAACTTCACTGACTTTAGGCAGCTCCTCGTGTCATCGAGCTCCGACTCCAAACCTTTGTTGACGATTTCAAGTCGCGCGCGAATACCTTCCAATTCAGTAACTATATGGTGACAGCGTTAGTCCAGCGTATGAAAGACTTGATGTGGGCAGTAACTCAAACCCCTAGGAAGACTATAAGACTTCCACATACCTCGATTCTGTAGCTGTTGAATAGATTCCTTGTAGTCTGTTGCTTGTCGAACATCACCCTCAATCTGCTCTTTGAACATGCGGAAATCCCGTTCCATCGCCTCCATTCGTTCGTTATAAAAATCTGGACAGCGATCGTTAGTAAATCTATTTAGAAATGGTGCTCGCTTCCTTGGAGAGGAAGAAGGTTGGCGAAAGGGTGTCTGATCGATGAAATGATGCTTGACAGGTGTAGGCGTAGGCGTAGGTTGAGGAAGTTGAGAATGAGACTTTATCGGCTTAAGAAAAGGGTTCGCCTCCTTGCCAGAAGTGATTCCACGTCCGAATCGACTACCACGGTTGTCTGTCTTCGAAGTGCTCAATGTGAGCGCTTCAAGGTCGGCGCAGACGCCCTCGCAATCGATATCGGCAGGCTCTTCCATGACGGGGGTGATCGAACGGAGATTGGAAGGAGATGAGACTGATCGTGAAGTTGACATATAAAAGACTCTTTTGGGGAGTACATTGAAAGAGTTTGGGCGCTTCTTCGGTGCTGGTAACGCATTTTTCGACACAATCAAGCAATTCTCGGGGTCCGTAGAGATATGAAATGGTTGCACACCTTTGCGCTCTGCTTCCTGCTCCTCGTCATCTTCTTCACGATGCCTCATGGCGGTAGCGGGACGCATGCTCGGGTTTTGTGATTTACTCCTAGCATGACCCCCGTATTGACCGTAGGCGGACTTTGGTCTGGTGGTTCCACTTTGAATGCGGGGGCCAGCGCCCACACTACCGCTCAAAGCAGATGCGGAGGGATGTCTAGAGGTGTTCTTCGGGATCGCGCGCGATGTAGGTGCTGCCATACCGCGTGCCATGGTTCCCTTAACACCATTGGTTACTGGACGGGTGATTGGCGGCGCGACGAGCTTTCGGTTGTAAGGTTCGGCGGCTTGCTCTGCGAGAGTCTTTCGTTTGAAGGCCGGCTCGGGTACTGAGAGAGTCAGTGGCCTGTCCGGCTCACTATATATGGCGATGGGGAGTTTACAGCCAGAGGGCTTATGCTTGATTCCAGCCGGCGGCAGCATTGCGCTGCGCGCGTTCATGCCAGCGTCGTGCAATTCGCCAAGCACTCGAGGCGGCGAAGCGATTGAAGAGAAGTTCGACGGTGGTTTTATGCCTGAGCGTTTTGCAATGCCCTTCAATGCGACATGTGGGTTAGTCTTGCGACTGGATCCAGGACTACTGCTCCAATACGTACCGTGTTCTCGTTTGTGGAATCCATAGCGGCGTAAGTCAATCCAAGTTCCAAATAAGAAGAAAATCACCGAATCATGCTATGTCGCAGCCAAAAGCACAAGCGCGTTGTTGTCGATGTTGTGATGGTGTTGCTGGAGTTGGATGTTCGATTGTTTGGATTGAAGCTCGGACGGTAAACACAACCCAAGACCCCTGTTGCCCCATTATCAGTTCGGCTAGTCACATAGCGCACCATCTTCTCCACCCCCACCAGCACATCTTCTATCATATCAGTCATGTCTGTAGATATACAAGACTGCAAAATTGCATCGTTGGGAGAATCTTAGTGACGTAGACGACATGATCTGTGTCGCTGCCACAACCTTATTTCAGCTAGTACCTACCGATGACATAAGGCTCCCAAATACTGTGGCCTATCTGTGCAGTTTCTTCCATCTCAATAACGTCTCATGCACACTCTCTTACTCACACAATTCAAATTTACACGCCTCCAGTTTCTCGCAGTGTTCGGGTATTCCCACGATCTTAAAGGCGCCGTTTTAGACCGACAGTCATGGCTGAAGCCCTTCCAGGTATCACGGGTGCAAGTCTTTGTAACAAATGTTCCGCCCTCCAAATCAACGACCAGGAGCTTGGTGGTTATGAGGCTAAGAACGAGTCTGGGGAATATCTCCTGCAATTTTACGATCATCGAGACAAACAGTTAAGGCTCGACTATTACCATTCTGATTTATTGCCAGATCTACTCTATCTCAAGGCATCCTCAGAAGCAGGCTGTACATTCTGTGGTGCACTGCGCGATGCAACACTGAAGCTTGCCCTGGATAAGCCTGGTCATGTCACATTTATGCTGCACTACGTCTGGGGCTACACATACGCCTTCAGCGAAGGGCTATACATGCTTCGTGCCGACTTGACTGTCAACTTTGACGACGTCGACAGCACCGATGAATCCAATCGCAGGGCACTAATATTTCTCGTGGATGGCGAAGAAGGTGAGATATCAAGTCAAGTTCATGCGGACCGTAATTCACATTAACAGGCGATTGCATGAGATGGTTGCAGATTATGCAGGCTCCGCGAGAACAGACACTATGCGTGGAGAACATCGCTTGGATCAAGGAAGAGCTAGCCTCTTGCAGTCTCAAATGCTGTCCGACACCTACATCCGCTTTCCTACCAACCCGACTTCTTGACTTGGGAACCAGTGACGCAGGGTATAGAACTCGGCTTATACAGACTTCTGATGCACACCTACAGTTACCGGTACGTTACACAGCCCTGAGCTATTGCTGGGGAACACAGGACGACGCGGCATATCAGCTTAAAACGACCTCTTCTACCCTGGAACAGCATCTCGATAACGTCTCGGTTGACGTTATGACCTGTGTTATTCAAGACGCAGTAAAAACAGCACGTGCCCTTTCAATTCGTTACCTCTGGATCGACGCCTTGTGTATCATCCAGGACGACGACAGAGACTGGAGAAAAGAGTCTGAACGAATGGGACTAGTTTATGAAAATGCCTATGTCACGATCTGCGCAATCTCAACTTCTTCGTGCCTCGACGGATTTCTAACTCGTTCCCCTCCCATTAGGATCGCATTCCAGTCTGCCTTGCGACCTGAAATTCGCGGGATATACAACCTTCGTCCTCTGCCTCTGCTAAACAAGCCTCTTAATGATTTCGATCCCTTATCCTTGGACGTAGACTGTGGCGCATGGGTGGACCGCGCTTGGACGTTTCAAGAACTCGATCTCTCTACACGGTTACTCTCGTTCGGTTCCTCGCGCATATATGTATCATGTAGGAAGCGCGACCGGATAGAACCGAACCATAAGAGAGAAACCACATATTTTCCACGCATGTCTTCCTATCTACAGAGTGATAGACACAGCCAAAATCTTAGACAAATATATGACGACTGGAGCTTCAGTATGCACGACTACGCGCATCGCCAAACCACCGATAGAAGAGATAGATTTCCTGCAATTTCCGGCCTGGCAAAGATGGTGGCTGCAGAGACTGGAGATGAGTATATCGCTGGGCTTTGGGCAGGCGACCTTTTACGTGGACTACTATGGAAATCCTTAGACAAAAGTTGGGATCAGGAGGCAATCTTTTGCGGATTCCCACTAGCGCCCTCTGATGCTTATATATGTCCTTCCTGGAGTTGGGCTAAGCACTACGCCATTCAGTACGAACGCTTCACAACAGGCCAGAATAAATCTACGTCCACTGAAGGCGAACTTCGCTCCGAGTGCCGGTCTATAATACCCTGGTGCATCCCTGAGGATCGAGACCTGAATCCTTACGGCCAAATAACCGATGCTGGACTACGAGTCGAAGGGAAACTTGTCAAAGTCAACCGATTTTGTGACCGAATACGCTTCTCACTTTGGGGCTACCAGCAGTGGAAAGCCAAGTTCAATGCTTTTCGCTTTTCCATCTGCGATCTAGATTGGTTGGTGGAGGAAGGAGTGCAACACTTCCATCTCGAGGAAGTGCACATGCTGCTCTTAGCAAGCAGTATCGGAGGCAATTGGGAGAAATACGGACCGATATTGAGAACTTCCGCAGGCGACGTATCAAATGTGCCATCGGGGCAAATTTATGATAACGAGGACAACAAAGAACCTCTCGAAATCCCTGATGCTCCCATGGACACTCAAATGGATGTGGAGATGCAACTTGCGAGTGGAAGCTACGAGGACAACCAACCATCAATCAACTCACCACACGGGCGATTCTCGGAGAATTTAGATTATGACAGTGCGTCTGAGCATGAGAATGCAACGAAGAGAAACGCATGGGGGCTTCTCATCCGACGCTTAGATAAACAAGAAAAGTTCGTTCGAATAGGCCGCTTCCAGATTTTGGCGGAGCTAGGAGGCGTAGATGCCTTTGAATTCTGCCCTTTCGAACTTGTTGAGATAGTATAGGCACTCAAATGTGACAATATGTTTGGTAGTAATCCTTGGTTCCTTAACATACAAACATTGCCGTTACGTCCATCATTCCGCACACTAATGTTTCAATTTTCTCAGGTATAGAAAGGTCAAATACTCAACACTCATCAGAGAGGATTTTTTATCAATACGAGCTTTTCTGGAGCCAGTGGAAAAAAGACGCAGTACATTTATGGGTTGATATTGGTCCTCTTGACTTAGAAGGTCTTGCGTTGCGTTTTCTTTTTCTTATGGATGAGGTTTATGTCCACCAATTTCAGGAAGAAGACTCGCATTGCGGCATCGTTCTACAAGCCAACAGCGATAGCCGATTTCGAAGAATCGGCATTTTTGCCATTATTCAACAAGTTCGAAGCGGCCCTCGTATCGATTTCGCCCGCCATGGATGGAACTTGAAATCAGGACAGATGACTTTGATCTAGATTTGACGTTGGGATTTGGAGATATCTTGGCAAACTTTTGAAGCTCGCACTGCAGCAAGGCTAGGGAACTGTTGCAGCTGTTTGTAATATGGTTTTACCATTTCTCCAGTGCCAAAATTCTGATCTTCATAAGCCCACATTGCAACGCACAAACGACAAACATCACACGCAATGAACAGGTCATGGGATACTAGAATGCATTATCTACTGGGTATCTCTGTCATTAAAAGTATGATCATAAGCTTGTATAGATCAGTTCCTTCTAGATTATGCGCGCCTTTCGCAGCAGGGTTTGTTCGGCTAGGCGTCGTGCTTTCGCTTCTATGCTCTTCCTTGCTTGTATTACAGCACCTTTTTCTTGTTTTAGCTGCCTTTCTTGCTATAATAGGGTGATATTTCAGTTATAGTACCGAAGCACGGCGCCTAGCAGAGCAAAATCTGCTCCAAGAAGGAGAAAACCTGCTCCAAGAAGAACGCATTTCCTACGAAGGAATTGATCTGTACAAGCTCTTAATCATCATCTGCCTGTTGATCATTGCTCTTCTACGAGCGCAAGAGCCTTTGGATCGGCGGGTTTTACAATTCCATGCATGCATGCGTCTCCTAGACTTGTTTGACGAAAGCTAGCAAAGTGTTAGTGTTTGGGTTTTCAATGTCGAGAATCTGGACGTGGGGGCTTACTGGCATCGATTTGCACTACCTGGGGCAAGGCCAAGCGGACTTTGTTGCGGTACAGTGCTGGTTGCGCCCGTTGAAGCGGGTTACCTTCAAAGTAGACCGTCTCCAACTCTTCCTTGTCTCTTAATTCCTTCTCGATCTCGTTGAAGTCGCTGAACTTGCAATTCGACGCCCAGAACTCGGTCAAATGTTTAAGCCCTTTCAGCCCAGTAAGATGCTCGACAGGATTCGCGCTGATGTCGATGACGCGAAGATTGGTGCTATGTTCGAGGCCAGATAGCTCGGTGATGAGGTTGTGCGAGATGTGCAGTTCTTCAAGGTTGCCTAATTTGTCCAGGCCGGTTATCGACCTTAGTCGGTTCGACTGTATGCTTAGGATTTTCAGGTTGGCAAGAGTATCTAGACCCTTGATTTCTGTGATCTTGTTCTTTCCTAGCCACAACTCCTCGAGCCCCGTCAACGTCTCCAGACCCTCAATCTCGCGTACTCTGTTCGCTCCAAGCTCGATCTGCCTCAGATTCGTAAGGCCTTCGAGGTTTTCAATTGTGCTTATCTTGTTCTGCACGAAGTAAAGGTCCTTGAGCTTCTTCAGGTGGTTTAGTCGCTTGATGTGCTTGATCTTGTTGAAGGAGAGGTCGAGCGATGTGAGTTCGGTAAAGGCGTCGAGGCCCTTGATGTGACCTATTAGGTTATCGTAGAGATCGATCTCTGTGAGGGTCGAGGCGGCCGTGTCGGGTATGGAGATGGATTCTATCCGGTTTTGGCGCAGGCAGAGACGCTATGTTTGTCAGCCAAAGTAAGGTACAGATGAGGGAGGGTACCATGGTACCTTCATCTGCTTGAACCTCTCCAATCGCAGCATATCCATGTCTGAAACCTTGCAGTGGACCAGCTCAATTTCGTCTTCATCTTCTGGCGTGTCATCCAACAGGTCTTCGTCTGCTGCAAGCTGTTCTGGTGGTGGTGCTTCGTCTGATATCTCAGGTTCACTCTCCACTTGTACGGTGGGATCTCGTGGACTGTCGCCTATTGCCATTTTATCTAGCCTTAGCTTTCCGTCCCAGCCTTTGCTGTCTCGCGGCTTGTGGTGTTCTCTGTCCTCGTCGCGGGTTTCCTTCGCGTCTGCTGTCGTAGCGGGGTCACGTTCGCTCTGCGGGGTAGGAAGTTGCTCGGTCATGGCGAGCCTGGACTGCGGAAGTGGTAAGGCGAGGACAAGAGGTTATAGCGACTGAAATTTGTTTGACGTGGAAATGTGGGCCAGGCAACAGGTCGAGGAAATGTGAATGATTGTCTAAGCAGCAAGTCACCTCACCGCGAGCTAGCTAAGCTCTAGCCAAGACCAGGGTCCAGTGGGTTGTGACGATCGCCTCCAAACCTTAACAACCTATTAATGACCAACATTTACTTTCGCATTCGATGTTGCGATTGCATCCCGGGGAAATGCTTACCTTCTGTTCGCCCAACAGCATTTCTTAGTCAACGCTTCATATATTGTTATTCAGTCATATTATATCAACTTGTTGTGCATGTATCCTCGCACTTTACACGACGATGATCTAGTATCAAGGACGTACACGGCAATCACTACTTCGTCTTCCTGTACTTGCATCTTGGTCATACTCGCTACTCCAGTCTGCTATGCCAGGCTCGGGGATTGCACTAGTGTGTGGTCAACGTCTCCACCATGATGGAAGCATGCCGCTTTAGGTCATTGCTCTATGGCGTGGAAGACGTTTCTTTTTGGTCTTGTTTGAGATTCGAGAAGTGTTGTACAGCGACTGTTACCTCCAATTTCAGCCGGCCTGGGGTGTGACCTGAAGCTAGTTTTGAGTACAAGACTGATACATTGTTTGTTCTTGTAGGCTTCAACGGTCCACCACCACTGCATTCCTCGTAGTCTCCTTTGGCACAGGCTTGTCGCGGGTGCGTAGATGGTGTCTTCAACTTCTTTTTCCTGTGGCGTTTCACCCCGGCCGTGACTGTTGCGCACCCATCCCATGGCCACGGAGAATTCGGGAGCGTCCCTGGCCTGCACACCCTCAGCCTTGGACGTTGGGCTCGTGACATTCCATACATGAATCCAAGATAGCAAGATCGGCGCGGGATGACCTCGACGTGCGACGGGCCGCACCTGCACAAGCACTCGCTACAGGGTGAAACGCGTCGACATTGGCATGTGATGGTTGGAACAAAGCTACTTGGACGTTCCAGAGCAGCAACCGAGTTGATCATGTACAGTAGTAGAGGTGCGTAGAAGCCTCCGCGACGCTAACAGGACCATGCTGGCTATCTGACCAGCAGCTGTGACGACCAGTGACCAGGATATGGCGGCAGAAGTGGGCGTCGCGGGCTCACGGCTGAATCGCTTCCCCGTACGACGGCGGCTAGCCGTGAGTCCCGTCTGCGAGCTGTGGCTGCACAAACGGCCGCCTGGCCGAAGACATGGCCGCAAAGGACATGTTGGTTTCGACGAGGTGCCCTCATGCAGGGCTCCAAGTGTCTATGAGAGGGACATGAGGCTGGCATGCGCAACGGCAAACCTCAGCAGCCTTGTTTGCTCTTGGATAATGTGTGCCCCTAGGCTTGGCGTATTTCCTCGCCGTTGACGCGCTTGCTCAGCGACGGGCAAGCTGCTTCTATTGGATGGCTGGATGATGGGATGGCAACCCACTCGCCCATGGAGGTGTGCTTGTGCTGTGTGTGGAGAGGTGAATGTCCTTGGGCCTGGCCGCTGCTGGGCGACGACGGGGCTAGGACCGAGTGGTGCTAGGCGTGAATAGACATGGCATTGAACGAGTCGTCCCCCCCATAAAGAGGCCTCCCCTGTCGCGCTCTCGTGTGGCCGCTCTCGCACCGCCCCGGCACAGTTTGGCAGAGTATCGCCAGGTGATAAGTTATAGCTCTTCTCAGAGGCGCATTCGCCGACGTAGACGCGCTGTCATAGCATAGCAGTGCGCGTGAGCGAGATCCCGCGGTTGTCGACATAGGCCGTGGTTAGTCGACTCTTTGGCGCTGATGACGGTAAAGGACGGCAGCTCATTTCCGCCCGCGTCTTAGCGAACCAGCCTCATCCCAAGCACCGATCCAAGCTCCCCCTACACCCACACCTCTCCTCCTCGACCACCCTCGACGATAGCGACTTGTCCATCTGCGCGACACGGCGATCGCTCCTTCCATCTCGCGCGCCCCCAAAGCAATTGCGATCGTGCAGTTGCCATTGTCGAGCAGGAACCAGCGACTAGCGCACCCCGACCACCCTCAGCTACCGCTACCGCTACCGCTACCACTCCTCCTCTTCCCCACGAGGCAACACGACCACGCGACGACGCAAGGAGCCTCCGCCCTCGCACTACCGCCCATCACTACCCCTCGTCCAACACTGCGCGCTGTCTGTCTGAGGGACCCCCAGTGCAGCCATGAGCACCGAGCCGACACCGCTACCTGTGGACGCTACTCGCCCGTCGACCGACAAGCCCGTACCAAACCTACCTTCGTCTGAACGGCCCAACGGCACTGGTATGTCTTAATCTTCGTAATAGCAGCGTTATGCCTACGAACGGCTTGATAGCTATTGTCACTAACATGCCAAAGCAGCCCCACAAGGCACCCTTGCCTCCAGCACAATCGCTCCGCTCCCATCATCGTCGCGAGGGCCATCGGCAGGAGACGCTGGCGAAGGCGACTCGAAGCAGAAACGCTCGCTCTTGAACGTTCCTCGACCTGGCTCGCAGTCCAACGACACGGCCACGCCTACTACCGGCTTGAGTGGAGTCACGGCGGCAGACTCCGAAAGCATCGGACGGGGCTCCAAGCACTCGAAGCGCAGCTTCATGAATAAACGACGGGCAGGGAGCACGGCGAGCAGCAAACGCTCGCAGCAGCGTGCTGCTGCCTCTGAGAAGGCCGAGCAACCGCGCCCGGCGACTGCCACAGCCAATCGCGAGGGCTCAACGAGGAGCAAGTCAAGGAAGTCTGCCGGTGGTTTGCTGTCTTGCCTACCCTGCTTTGCACCCAAGGAATCACGGGCGACGGGAGACGTCACGCCTCCAGAGAATGTCAAGCAAGCCCAGAAGCTTCCAATTGGACGGACTTCGCAATCGACACCTGTAAAGAAGCAGGATCAAAACGTTGCCGAGTCAAGTAACACCGACTCAAAAGACCCGCTGGATGAAAAGGCAGGTGCTGAGACATACGGCCCAGGTGTCTCTGAGAAACCGAACAATGGTGACGGCACAGCTGAGCGACCCTCGAATGAGACCCGACCCCCGATTGTGACAAGAAGCTCGTCCAAGAGGCAGCAACAAACAGAGCAAGCTCTGCCACCCCAGCCTGGCATGCTCCAAACAGCACAGCCCCAAATCAGCATCACAAACCCAACACCTGGCTCCACCCCGGTGCTTCCAAGGCCTTCAGTCGAGCAAGCGCGGATTATAGAAGATCAAACTCCAGAGCAGAAGCAGATCGACACTGACATTGAGATGAAGGATGTCCCGTTGTCGACCGATGATGTCCACCAGGAGGGCGAAGAGGAGGATATTGATGCGCACCCTGAACACCCAAAAATCGATCTTCCGCCTCCCCCGCCACTCGAGCAGAGGAAGGAAGCAGTACAGAATCAGACGACGGACTTGTCAGACGCTTCGGAACCGCAAAAGTATCTCCTTGGCCCGATAGCACCGAGATTTCAAGGGAAAAAGTGCTTGGTCCTTGATTTGGATGAGACGTTGGTTCACAGTAGCTTTAAAGTATGTCGCTGAGCGTATTCCTCACGATTCCTGTTTACTAACGGACGCTAGATACTACACCAGGCCGACTTCACCATTCCTGTTGAAATCGAGGGACAGTACCACAATGTCTATGTCATCAAGCGACCAGGCGTTGACCAGTTTATGAAGAGGGTTGGCGAGCTGTATGAAGTTGTGGTGTTTACAGCATCTGTCTCAAAGGTACGTCAAGGCTTGATCTGGATGCAGAATCACACTAACGAACGAACGCAGTATGGTGACCCACTCCTCGATCAGCTCGACATCCACGGCGTGGTACACCACAGGCTTTTCCGCGAAAGTTGCTACAACCACCAAGGCAACTACGTCAAGGTATGGCTGAACCTCAAGCAACCCATGTCCCTCGACAGTACACTAACGGCCTGCAGGATCTCTCACAAATCGGCCGCGACCTCAAGGATACCATCATCATCGACAACTCGCCCACTTCGTACATCTTCCACCCGCAACACGCCGTTCCCATCAGCAGCTGGTTCTCTGACGCTCATGACAACGAACTGCTCGATCTGATACCCGTGCTCGAGGATCTCGCTGGCAATCAAGTCAGCGACGTTAGTTTGGTGCTTGATGTTGCTTTGTGAGCCTAGTTTGTGACGATAAGAGGATACCCTTGCGCATACTCCGTTTACCGCCCGATATACCTATTCACATGATCGCCTGTTCTCGGGTCTTTAGATCATACCTTTGTAATCAGTTTTGTAATTTGCATCAAGAGGCAGACGGCCTGGGGCGGGGCACTTGTCAGAACCTAGCCGATAGAATGTCACGTTCTTTTGGCCATGTCCTTGATCTTGTTAGCAGGACCCAACGACTCGGTGCCACGAAAAGGAGCTTTGGTGTTCAGGTTGACGGGTCTCGTTTTTTTGGTCTATTGGCCGCAGAAAAGAAAGTCAGAAAGAGTTGTAATATTGGCACATACATACCCCCATATCCCCCATTCCCCTAGTTCGGCATCGCCAGAGCTGAAGTTTTACTATCAATGTCATTTTTCCTTTGTATAGCCCAATTTTTCCTTCTTCTTTCTTGCTATAGCATTGCTGGCGGGTACATTAGCATCGTCTATTCTCATGGCCGCACTGGACGCGTCCTTTGCTCCACCTCCCCCCTTCACATGTAATTTCGTTCTGTTCTGTGGGATATTCTTTTCCGGGATTAGTGGGGATTTAGTGAAGAGGCTGTGTGTGGGGATGTGTTTGAGACTTGTTGATAGTGGTAAGCTTAGTTGGAAGATAGGACATACGAATACATATCAGATTGGCTTCCTACAATCTCTTGCGCTGATGAAGATAGCTGAGGCTTATTTTAAGGTTACTCTATACTTGCTTCGTCCAAACTATGCCTAGAACAACAATATAAAATCAATTCAAGTCCAGTAATACAGCACCTCTAGTTCAGATGTCGTAAACCCACTGCGCTATATCTAGTTTCCCCCAGTACCATGACATGTGCCATGACGTCCGCCTTGCAGCATTGACAGAAATCTTGGCATTCACATGCGATCTATTGAAATTCCGTATGCATGACTCGCACAACCACTCACCTTCCATCCCGCCAAAAGCGACACACGACAAAGCCGGATTGGATTACGTCGGGTTGCCACGACCTGCACCTGTCGACATCAGGAAGTCTGCTACGCTATTGCTGCTTCTGACCTCACAGCTTGTTTTTCTCTCTTTTCTCTCAAACTATACTACGCCCGGCTGCGCAAAGTCTTGTAGCTTTCTGTCTGCATGGCCCGGTGACACAACGGCCTTGGACTCACGCAGCGACAGGAACCTTCGTTATGGAGAAATACAGCCAGTTCCGCGATAAAGGTGTGTAGGCGTTCACGGTTGGGAGTAGGTTCTGGAGATTCAGAGGCTGACTGCTGCATACAACACAGGCACAGCGATAGCGCCTTTCCTGCCTGTTCCTGCCCCGCCGTCAAGCGTTATTTGGGCGCCCTTCCACGCTTTCCTGTTCGTCTTCCGGCTGCCGTTTGTGGTCTCGATCTCGTTTTTCTACTTCTGTATACTGGAATGGATACCCATGGGGTCGGCGGTGAAGTACGGTGTGCTGTGGTTGATGCTGGGCATTCCGGGGGTGTGGTGGGTGGATTTGCAGGTTGACGGTGTGAAGAGAGGGTATGCCAATTTCTTCTTTCTCTTCTCCATTCCCACGTATTGAGTGAAGATGTGGGCACAATTAAGGGCTAATATAAATGTCCAGACAGCTACACTCGGCAAGAGACAACCTGCCCAAAGCCGGCACGATCATTGCGAGCTCGTTCACGTCGCCGCTTGACCCTCTCTACCTCGCCGGTATCTTCCAGCCAATCTTCACACGCTCATACCCCAATACCCGTAGAGTGGAACGCATATCCCTCTTCCGCGCCATTCTGCTCGCTTTCTCAGCCCCAAAGCGCTCCCCACCGTCCTCCGCCAAACTCGTCGCGCTGCAGCACCTCACGACAGAGAACCCACACAAAATAATCTGCGTGTTCCCCGAGACGACGACAACAAATGGCCGCGGCATTCTCCCTCTGGCTCCCAGCCTGCTATCAGCGGGCGGAAACACGAAGATATATCCCGTCAACTTGAGATACACTCCACAGGACATCACGACGCCTGTCCCGGGCGGCTACTTTAGCTGGCTCTGGCGCCTCCTGTCGAAACCGACGCACCAAATGCGCGTCCGCATCGCTACGCGTATCTACAACAGCACGAGTCAAGACTCGCCTTCCAAACAGACTTCCTCAGCGAGAGCTTCGGGGTCGGGCTACGATACCAACATCTTCGATCACCCGGACTTCCGGAACGGAGTAAATGGCAATGACGGACACGATGGTCTGATGGCCGTTGATGTCGGTGATGGTGATGGAGTGAGCGCCGACGAGCAAAAGGTACTGGATAGGGTTGGCGAGGATCTAGCCAGGCTGGGCAGGGTGAAGAGGGTTGGTCTAGGCGTCGAGGAGAAGATTGAGTTTGTCAAAGTTTGGGGAAGTCGGAGGCGGTAAAAAAGGAATGAAAACGGACGAATGTGTTGGAAGGTGCACGGATTAAATCGTGGGAACAAGGATAGGAAGAGGTATATCAATGGAACGAAATTATGCTTTACTTACGCATATGATCTGAAGCGAACATTTTGCACCACTGTGCTGTTGAATACAGTGTAAAAGGCTCTTCATCAGCGGCCCACCATAGCAGAGAGGACAATTCACTCTCGAGGGCAGAAAAAGTGCGAGAGCTTCTCTATCTTCGTTTATTGATACGAGTCTATTCGATGATTTTATAGGTATCATATGCACATGCCAACGTCTCTATGCCGGTAAAGGGCTTCTTTCGTAAACAACTACCAAATTCAGACCAAAGTCCCCAACCCAACCAACTCCGAATCCTCCCCATGGATTGCAGGATTCTTGTCATAATGTATGTTTTCCCCAATCGTGCACCAAATGTTTTTCAACCCCTTTTTAACAAGCTTCAAAAGCTGGCTTCGCCGTTGATCTTTAAACCTCCAACGCCGTTGGCAATGCCTTCAGCCGCAAGACCATTCGCAGCACCGTCCTGGTAGGCACGCGTGATCTCTTCGAGCATACCCGCGCTCGCAGCCACGAAACCGAGATACGGACGGCTGGGATCCAGGACCCTGGACAGGTACTCTGGGTGGAATTGCACGCCGACGAACCAGGGATGGTCTTTGATCTCAACGACTTCCATTCTGACGCCAGCGTCATCCTTGCCGACGAAGCTCAAGCCGCCCTTTTCGAGCGTCTCGATGTACTCGGGGTTAACTTCGTAGCGGTGGCGATGTCGCTCCAGGATCTCGTCCTTGCCTGCGTACAGAGCGCGGAGTTTAGACCACTCACTTCCAGGCTGGAACAGCGTTGGACGCAGGCCAAGACGCATGGACGCGCCCATGGTCGTCTTATCGACTTCAGGCATGAACATGATGAGCTTGTCTGCCGCGTCGCCGTTGAATTCCTCCGAGGTTGCACCCTTGATGCCGCAGACATTGCGGGCATACTCGATGACTGCGATTTGCATGCCTAGGCAGATACCTAGGTAGGGCTTCTTGTGCTCGCGGGCCCACGTTGCGGCTGCGATCATGCCTTCTGTTGCACGCTGGCCAAATCCACCGGGGACGAGGATACCGGAAGCTTTGACGACTTCGTGCCAGGCGTTGTGATACTTGGCGGGATCTGTGGTTTGACACTTGGGTTCTAGATGGTCTGAGTCGACCCAGCGGATATCCAACTTCTTTCGACACCGCATCGTCGCGTGCTCCAAGGACTTGATGACTGAGAGATATGAATCCTGAAGCTCGACGTATTTCCCGACAAGCGCGATTGTAACCGAGTCGAAGTAACGGGTATCGTGGCCTGTAAGCGATTGCCATTGTGTCCAGGTGCGAGTCCCCTTTTGAACCATTGTAGAAGAGATGGTGACTTTATCCAGAGCGAGGAATTCGCGGACCATGGGAATCAGCTTCTGCTGTTCGAGGAGCATAGGCACCTGGTAGATGGATGGCATGTCTTTGACAACCAGAACCTGTTCAGTGTCGACCTGGCAGAAGTGGGCAATCTTTTCGATGGCGGAGACTTCTAGTTCGCGCTCGCAGCGGCAGGCAATCTGGACATGTTAGCTATTTCGATCAGGCCTAGAGGTTGCCTCTGTCCCCGACCAAATCCGAGCGACCTCAATAGAGCAGAGGAACCCATTGTGGAAATAGGAAACATACCAAATCCGGAATGAGACCATTGCTCCGCACAGCCTTGATAGCCTGCTGCGTCGGCTTTGTTTTCTGCTCCCCATGAATGACGGGCACATACGAGACGTGAATCTGCATGAAGTTGTTCTTGCCCGCCCGTCTCCTCAGCTGGCTCATAGCCTCAATAAAGGGCATGCTCTCGATATCGCCAACGGTCCCTCCCAGCTCAATTATGCAGACATCAGGCTCCTCGCCCGAGTCATCGACGGGTATCCGCGCGACCTTCTCGATCCAGTCCTGAATCGCGTCGGTAATGTGTGGGACGACCTGCACGGTTTTACCCAGGTAGTCGCCCTTGCGCTCGCGCTCGATGACGTGCTGATAAATCTTGCCCGTGGTAATGTTGTTGTCCCGCGTGAGGGTAATATTGAGGTAGCGCTCGTAGTTGCCGAGATCGAGGTCGACTTCGCCGCCGTCGGAGAGAACGAATACTTCGCCGTGCCTGTGAGGTGATCAGTGGCCTGTCATGGTCAGGTTGCAAGTTGTTGGCATACTCCTTCGGGTTCATAGTCCCTGCGTCTACATTGAGGTATGGGTCGACCTTGATCGACGAGACGTGCTGGACGGTCAGTATACGCTATGAAGCGTGCCGATCCGCAGCACTTATCTTGAGGCCAATTGTCTTGAGCAGCAAGCCGGTGGAGGAGGCTATGACGCGTGAGGTCAGCTTTAGGCACGCTCTGGACGAAGTTTTCTATTCCTGCGAGGAAACGCCCACTCGAACTCAGGAGGCCCTAAGCCGAGAGACGTGGCACGGCATTCCTGAGCCCATGTGAACTCTTTTTCAATTCGAATTGGCGTTCCTCGCAGGAAAAGAGGCCATTGTGCTCGAAGACTCGACCTTACCTATAATACCCTGTGGCGGATTAGTCTGGGATCAACAAGGGCACGGCTACGGCAGCTCACCTTCCCCACGCCGCTGATAACACCTCCAGACACGAGCACGTATTTCATGATTGCTTTCTGTGCCCGGTGTGCGGATTGGGGAAGGGAAGGAGAGAAGGTCTCGAGTTTTGCGGCGCGTGAAAGAAAATCAGTGGTAGCGCAGTGACCCATAGTGGGGGCTGCAAGTGCGCGCGCCCTATGGTACTGGGCCGAAGCTAGCGCCTCTTCAAGGCTGCGACCGTCATCCTTCCATTGAATCTTAACCTCACCTCACGTTTCAATTTCATAGGCATTGCATACAATTGTTCTCTATTATCTGCAGAGTATAAGCTATCAATTGGTATCGTGCGTTCATGCTTCAGCTAAACTTCAAATGCGCTACACCATGGCCACCACCGCGCGGCGTCTGAATGCTCTGCGTGGATCGCGCACAAATTTTGCGCGAACGCTGTGAAAGGCAACCCCGAGCCGCCAGCCATGGAAACAGAAATGTACGTCGTTCGTAATGTCGTCAAGATGCAAATCGATATCTGCGGAAGATGCTCCAGATAACCGTATATCAATCACGCCGCCCGCCCGCTGTTTGGAGATGATGCTTATGAAAGTCGAATGTCTCGTTCATATAAATGGTTGGGTTAGTCCCTGCGCCGTCTTTTCATTTCCTCGTCCTCTGTGTTGTCGTGCTCTTGGCTCGCAGTCAGCCGTTTGCGAGCCAGCGCTTTTTCATTCCCCTTCTTCACCTGGATGTTGCAGCCCTGCAACTTCAACGCACGAGTGAGGGCACTGCTTGGCCGCATGCCGGGGAAGTCCTTTGCTGTGTAGACAGTAAAGACGTCGCTCAGCACTTCTGTAAGGATTGGTGAGTATCCTCCCACGTGCAAATTCATGGGATCGATACGCATCAGCACGAACCGGAGTCGATATCGGCCGTGGGTACGACATGAAAGGTCCGGGAAGCAGAAGAAGCAGCCCTCGACGTCATGCTCATCCTTTGCGACGGACGGCGAAGCCACCAACTGACCCATCAATCTTCGCGTGGTTCGTCGATCCGGCTGTATGAGTGCCGTTTCCTCATTGGTTCCCTCGGCATTCCAGAGAGTGCAATGGACCACGTTGAGCGAGTAACGCAGCTCTTCCTGTTCTGCGGCACCCGTCTTCGGATCCGTCACCAACAGTTGGATGATTGGTGGAGGGTCGATGACCCTTCGGTCGCGTTCTCCAAACCCACATGCCCGTGCTGCGATGGGTTGTTGTCGCACGCGGAGCTCGTAATTTAGGTTCCTGCAAGGCATCAGTGGGGATTCGATTTCCTCATGCAGGGTGTGAGGTATGCTTACATTTGTTCATTGTACACAGGTTGTGGTATTGACCCTGGTAGTGGAATCGCGCGACTTTGTTTCCGAGGTGGAGCAACAGCCGCAGGCGGTTCGGGGTACGCCACCGACCCCAATGGGGCTGCTATGGAGCCTCGTTGTGAATGTGCATGGGAGCCAACCGAGCCTCGGAATGGAGTGCTGCTTGACGCATAGCTTGGCGTGTAGCCAGGTGAGGGAAGTGGGGCGTACGCTCTTTGCTGCGAGGGCTCTACTGGTGACGCAAGGGACGAATAGGGCATCTCATGATGTTGATAATGTTGAACTGGTCTCGGTTCGTCGTAGGGATAGCGTTGTTCGGTCAGCCTGCGCGGTCCTCTGCTGTCAAACTCGGAACGCGGTGAGATGGAAGGGCCATATTGCTGCGGGGAATAAGGCGGGTCTGATCGAGGCGGGGTGTATGGATTAGTAGGGTGCTGTAGTAACTTGTCGACGGCGGGTGCTGGTCTGGGTGGGAAATGGTCGTGTCGGGGTGGCAGTCCTGAATGGATCGAGGGTAGGTGGTTCACAGGTGAGCGGAATTGGTGGTCTGGCCGTGTTGGTAGTGGTGGTGGTGGTGGCGGTGGTGGTACAGCGTCTGGCGGGATTTCCAACGGTTTGAGCTGCACCGGTGGGGGGAGTCTGCGATAGTCGAGGAAGGCAGGCGGGGAGAAGACGGGAAGCTTCTGAGTTTCTGTCATATCTGAAGCTGGGCGGGAGATGGTTGACAAAGGGAGCGACGGTGGTGGAGGAGGTGGAGGTGGTTGGGACATGCGTGTATTATTATTTGCCCGGACCAGGACACGATGCACGAAGCCGCATTGGGCACACGACTTGTGTTCAGGTCGGAGGCTCTATTCGAATGGGAGGCGGGGCCAGGGAGTAAGCGCAGTGTCGGACAGAAGGTCAGGAATGTGGACACTGCCTAGAGTGTGGCGGCGGAAGAGGTTTATAGTTCAACGTGCCCTTGTAGGCGACCCTGCACGTATCTGGATCGCCAACCGCCAGATCGCCGTCGGATGCTTCAATCCAGCAACGTCGACGTTAGGCGGAGGCGCTCAGACACCTACGACCTGGAACAGCAGGAGGACGCGGACGGGGGTGGGGCCCGCGGTACCCTGTTTTGTTTTACCTACCTAGCAAGCCTCACGCCAACCGTTGAGAGGAGCCGGGTCGGAGCATAAAATAGGACCAGGAGGTGGGATAAGTCTGCGTGGATGCGAATGCTTGGCGGACAGGTGATGATGGCCCACACACAATCTAGATTCTACCATGTACTATATGACGGGCTGGCGGCAAGTCGGTGAATGTGAAGCGGGGGGGAGATGCGCAGCGTGGTGAGCTGAAGCGTGTGGAGGGGGGGAGCTTAGTAGGTGGTAGGTAGGTAGGTAGGTAGGTAAGTAAGTAAGTAAGTAAGTAGGTAGGTAGGTCTCTGGATGGATGGGGCAAAGGCATTGAGGATACCGGGATGATACTGGGGGCTAGTCGCTGCAATGCGTTGCAGCAGCAGTAGCAGCAGCAGCATCCACTCTCTTTTTCACGGGGCGGCGCTGGTCGCGCATGCAGAAGCGGCGTTTTTGCCAGCTTTGATTGCTGCGAAGCAGTCCTCTCGTGGTCCAACGGGCGAGGGAGGCTGTCTCTAGCTCGCTGCCGGGTGCACGCTGGCTTTGGTGTGTTTTTGGTTGGGGCGTCGCCGAATAGGCTCACGAGCGGATAAAACGAGAGAGACAAACAACGGTCGTGGGTTTCGCAGGCCAGGTGTGTTTCGAATCAAGACGGACCAGGGGGTCGCACACGGTAACCCGGCCGCAACCACTATGGAGCAATGAGCCAGATTACCACGTAACTCGGTCGACGGGCAGCGTCAGGCGGAGGTAGCATTGCGAAGCTGCGAGGGCGGCAGGCAGGAGCTTATTCGGTCGTATGTGTGTGTATGTGTGGATGGGTGGGTGGGTGGGATGGGATGGCGCGGTCCTGGACGGGCTTTGATCTGTCAAACCGCCATCTCTGTGCCAATGAAGAGGCAAGCTGGAGCGGCTAAAAAGCGATCATGGCTTGTTCTCCCGCGACAGCTTTTGTCCATGCTCTACGTGCATCCTCGGCATCAAGTGACGAACCTAGTCAAGAGGCTGCCCGTTTCCGGGGTTTTGGTCCTGGTCTGCACGACGCGCAGAAGCGTCTCATGCACCATCAATCAATGACATGATACATGCCTTTTCCACACCTGGATGCCGGACTCACCCTCGACGGACCAAGCCGCCAGGGCTCGTCTGTGGCGTGCGCTTGTCTGTCCTGTGGCCGTCGACGACCAAGAGACACATCGCTTGCACAAAGCCCACATAATCCACTCCATCCACACAGCCATCGACCCTACAAGGCAGGCCTCCCCGCGCCCATGGAACTGATATGAGCCCGCCGTCATGGGGCCTCTCGACGTGATATATTGGCGGCAGTTGCAATAATAGCGACGACAGCTAGTCTTTGCGCTCTCTCTCTCTCTCTCTCTCTTCCAACGCCCTGTGCAACCTACGGTAGTACACCTCTGTGCGTCGTTTAGCAGCCGGACAGTAGTGCCATGGTAGGACCTTGATTGCATTGCCCTGACTGATGAACCAAGTCTGAAAAAGAGCAGCGTTACACTTGCAACCCTACTAGCTAGCAGCGGTCGCCTTAATCCAATGCGCTAGTGCAGCCCTCTATTGAATTCAGTCGTCACTTTGGGCACCTGGCCCAGGTACCTCACCACTCACTGACCCCCCGACGGTAAGTTCGAGGCGGATACGGCGCAGGTACGCAGCACCTTGGACTGGCTCGCTCCCACCGCGTACGACCTGGGAACCGTTGCATTCCCACGACGCTGACCTGCCTGCTGCTGGTCGTATCCTTTTCAATAACGCTGCATCTCTGGGGGCGGTCGTTGAAATTGGGTGTGGTTGCCACTAACCACCTGCTGCTGGCTGGTCGAGCGAGAGAGCACCTGCCGTTTCCAGGGTTTACGCGAGCCACCATTGATTCACCTTCACCCTCTCTCACCGCCCCGTCCCCCATCCCAATCCACATCCCAATCCACATCCTAATTCCAATCCCACCCCATCCCGCTTCCGTTCCCAGACAACCACCGCCGCCCGCTGCTGTCGACGCGACGCATGAATCACCTCGCCCCTCGCCCACCCGCTCCCTCCTCCGCAACTCCTGACAGGCCCACCAAAGCACCTACCCTGATAGCGATCTACACTCCTACTCCAACCCGCCTCCGTTTGTGGCAGCCATGGCGACGAATTGGGGCAACTACACCGGTACGTACGTCGACGCTCAAAAGTGGCCTCATTTATTACTTCTTGGAGCCGACAACGCCCGCCCAGTGCTGCCTCGGTTTGCCTCTGCTGACCTGTGCGCTCCCAGACTATAGTGGCCCCTCAAAACTACCTGGCTCTGCCACACACGTTCTTGACCCCCGCCTAAATCTACTTGCGGCCCTGATCCCAGGCCTTTTCGCCGCCAAGTCCTGTTTGGACATCGGCTGTAATGCAGGAAGCGTATCATGCCAACTGGGTAAGTCCAAGCACCCCCCGGCTATCCCTGCAACCGACTATTACTCCCTCGCGCTGATATTGATGCCTCCACAGCCTTCGACTTCCATGCCGCTGCCGTCCACGGTGTCGACATTGACCCAAAGCTAGCTGCACAAGCAGAGAAGCTCCTAGCACTGCGGGCTTCCCGCCTCCGACCTCCTACAAATGACTCGGAACATGTAGTCGACTATTTCCCCATGTCGGCTGTCCTCACGCATGGCTACCGCATTGAGCCGGAGAGCGAAGCTTCCCGAAGCTCATCTTCTGCGTCTGCCCTTTCCAACTGGCCCCGTGTCAAGTTCTTCTCTGCCGACTGGGTCGTAGCCACCAACCAAAGCATCTCAGGTCCCTACGACGTAATCCTAGCTTTGTCGGTCATCAAGTGGATCCATCTCGAGCATCTCGACCAGGGTCTGCGCATCTTTTTCCACAAATGCTCGTCATCCTTGAAACCGGACGGCTATCTCATCATCGAATTGCAAACCTGGGATTCGTATGAGAAAGCTGTCCGCCCAAGCAAGGGCCCACATTTCAATTCTAATTTGCACCTCTTGAAGTATCGTCCAGAAACATCATTCGACGACCTCTTAGCAGAAGAAGGGCTCTACCTCTGCGCTTCATCGACCGCATTACCGCGACGCATAAGTGTGTATCGCAAAAAAGTAATCTCATAGCACCTGGTCAAATATCAAGGAACGAAAGGTACAGTCGCCGACCATGTTCGCTGCTGAAACTACTTTTTAGCTGGGACTTTGGCACCAGATACGCAACATCTTGAAATTATTTCCTGCACTAGGTTTCTTTCCTCGCATCAAAGCCTAAATTTGACTGGATACCTATGCAGTCATAAACAGCAATTGCGTATACCTGGACTGCATATAGCCTGCTTTGCCACCCGGGCAATCTCTTTTCCAAGGCCTGATAACCCAAGCACACACATGATTTTGCTCTCTCTAGTCGGGACCACCGCAAGATCACAATAGAGTGCACTACATATTCAAATATCCAGATATTTGGGAGCGGTTGCATCGGCTTTCGGCAAGACTAAAGCCGCTTACTCCAGATCCTCGCTTCACCTTGCATAAGCAATCAATCTCTTCTACACTGGATTAGGAGATCTCAAACTAGGAGCTTTTCGGTAGTCGTTCATGACTCTACTCGGCAATGTTGCCTTCGTGACCAGGCACTACCTCCTACGAAACCTTCAAACGTGTATTTTATCACTTTCTCAAAAGATGAATTTTAGTAACATCATCTCAGAAGGCTTGCCACATGCACCAGGCCACGCGATTCAAAAGTGGCTATAGTAATCTCCGATTCATGGAGTCTGTTGGGCGTGCAAGCGTCGAGATGCTCGGGCATATTGACTCTGCTACTTGCCCCTACCAATTGCTTTCAACGGTGGAAACACGAGATTGTGTCGCTCACCCAATCGCTCCGCTCATCTACCTTTCTTAACCCGTCAACCTTACCGCAAACACAGTGCCAAGTGTTTAGTTTTTCATAGCTGGTTCGCACGCCTGCCCTGCATCCTCACGGCTTTTCCTTGATTGCGACTGTTGCCGCCTCATCATCTCCTGTTCATGCAAGAAATGCTATTATGACGCGCACCTGTTCACGAGCGTCCAATGAAGGCTGACGACAGAACGTGGTGTGACGGCAATGCACCACCTCGCAGATATCCACAGTAATCATCGATGTGGAGTTGCATCGTGCGTTATCTCTCGCATTGGTGTGTTACGTTGATGCGGATCTTTCCATTGTGCTTGCGGCCACAAACTCTCGCTTCATGGAGATCTGACTCCTAGCTAAATGATCGTCGCCAGACGAACGTCACATGCTCCGAGCCGCTCTGCTCAAGACTAGACAGGGCTCTGAATGACACCCCCAGTCGGCGATTAATTTGGAGTATTTTCGGTTCTTTCGGGGTACGCGCATTCTTCTCCGCATTTTCTCATGCTGCGCTTCCAGCCCCCTCACACAATATACATTCATTAATTGGGTAGATATTCACACCAGCCTTCGATAGTCGCTATCTAGCCCCCTCTCATTTCTCCAAAGCGGCTCCCTACCTCAGGCTAGATGGCAATACTTTCCTAGTGCACACGCTTGAGAAACAAGCTCACCTTCCCGAGCAGCTGGATGGCCATTTAGTGACGTTAGCGGACTCTGGTGAAGGGCTCGAGCGCAGACTAACTTATCACTCTGATGAGCAGCGTCTGGCTAGATAATGACTCGAAAACTTCGCAAAGCTAGTTTTTGACCTCGGTTGGCAGAGATGGCGCTTTGTTGTCATTTTGAAGAGCTGGCAGGGTAGGTCGAGTCCATGTGAAGCATGTGTAGTAAGGCCTTACGATGTCTAATCTCCTGTCCCACCGCGTGCTGCGCGTGGTAGACTCCAGAAATCCTCGGAAATCCTTTGCTAGCCAGATGGCACGTTACACAGATCAGTGCACGTCTACAGCCCGACATCGGTGTGAGCATTCGCTCTTTCAAGACATGAATACCTATCCTATACATTTTTTATCCACTTGAGCTCTTCAAATGCGCAAGGTAGAGTACATGACACGTAGCTTGACTACGACATGTTTTGGTGCTGATTCTGCTATTGACTGGTACTCCAGATCCCTCGTTCGTGCGAGCAAAGCGGGTAGCTGCATTCGCACGTTGGACAACATCAAACAGGTGAACACACCCCACAACACGGTAATATTGAAAGCCTAGGTAGCAGAGTCTTCAGGAACAGCTTGGATGAGGGCGGACTGCCTAAACTAAAAGTTTGAGATCAATAAACCTAAGGATGCGCTCTCACTGATACCCCAACAGGTAGACGGCAACGTCGAGTGCTTCGCTGGGTAAACGAAGACTCTCGAGATCGAAATGCAGGCACGTACCCGATGACCATAGTACTGGACTTGCATTACATCTCTTCCGACAGATCCCAACGACATGCTTAATCTCGCATTTCACGGCGAACGCTCTATTCCATCTGGTTTCGATATGAACATTCGATCCTGTCGGGTCTCCATACCTTGGGTCTACGTCACAAGGCGCGTAGCTCTACATGAGGATGTGCTACGGATGTTCTATTTGTACTTATTCTGCAGAAGTTTATCAGGCAAAGAGGCCACAAGCGATGTCGCCCCCGTGGAAGCCGACACAGCCTCCATCAGTGGAATGAGCGTGCTGACGCTGTACGCTTCTAGCATGAGCGTAGGAACTATCCAGTGACGGCAAGCCCGATGATGATCGAGCCTATCGGGATCTTGCATATGCGCTTACTCAAAGTTTCACAGCGGCGAACGATGGAACATCTGACCCAAGAATCAAGTTTGCTTCTTGAAGCACATGTTGCTAACTTCTGGAAAGGAAATGTCTATAGCTCCACTAGCTGCCGCAAAGAGAAGCTGTCTCATCCAAGTCCCATTCCGAGCTGGAAGCGTGTAGAGGAGAGATCCTGTACCCACTTGGTTCCACTAGGTTAGAGTTCAGCACACTCTCTTCTAGCTCAATACCAAATCAACACGTCTGTTTGTCTAGCACCACATCTGCCGCATATCAAGTGCAATATGCCAGGATTGTATCATGACAACGCAACGGGAAGCTGCTCGAACACCACGTACAGGTAGGTACCTGAGGAGGATCTGGATAGATTAACAAGTAAGCCGTCCAAGAATATGCGGCATGAAGCTAGCGCTTAATGACCGCAAAGCTGCTGCATGTTGCGCCCATCTCCTCCACGCACGATGGTCACCTTCGATAAGAATTGCTGAGATCGACGTACAACTGTCACAAAGTCTCGGATAAGAAGAGAAAACTGCATGTAGTCAATAGGAAACTGTCCCGTCAGCCACTACCGCGCCCTCACACGTTGTTCCCACAGTTCGCGGCAGACGTGTTCTGATAGTGTCGTCCGTTGGCCTTGCAGACTTCGGAGGACGCGCCCACAGTCGTGCAAATCTTGATGATTACGTAGTAGTCTCCTCCAATGACAGCGACAGTTCACGCAGGATGAAGCACACCCCCCTTGCCTTGCTCGGCATGACATGTTCTGGTCGCACTGATGGACAGCACATAATTCTGGCCACGAACACTTCTCCCCGACGCACAACATCCCGAAATGCCAGCACCAGATGCAACCCGCTCTGCATGCAACTTGAAACGACCATTGCCTGCATTTTTTCTCCTCGAGGATGTCAGTCCAGACCATGGGGCTTTTTCGACGCTCGGAATAGGCGTCCACGTAGCGGCGGCAGGGCGGTGTGTGCAGCGAGGTACACTTCTTTTTGTGTGCCGCTATCCCTCCACCTTGTTAGGCGCATTGGGCATACATCGTCGCTTTCGACAAATACTCTTTCGCCATCCCAAGGCCTCTAGGGCACAATGCTAGGGTCATGATAACCCCGTTCCGCGATGGCGACCCATAGCTGCCGTTTGCTGTCCTGTGGCGGCAGCATTTCAGCTCGAATGGACTGGTCCTCGCAACCGTACAGGAGGCCAAGCATGGCACTGCTGTTCCTGCCCTGACGAATATTTATATCGTGCAGATGCGTCAGCGTAGGTTCGAGTCCGACTATTTACTTTTGCCGCTCGCTCCTTTTCTTTGTCTTGCGACAGCGTCGAGCATCCATAGCTTTGTCCGCCGCATCAAACTCGGGTCAGCTTTCCAGGCCACCCCGTTCCTCCAGTCTCGCCAATACTCAGGTAAGCAGCAGAGCCGCACGTAGAATGAGTGTGTCAGAACGCGTACTAGTCTCGTATACGCCGAGGCATGAAAAGACGGGCCTCGTCAGCGCGCCAGCGCGCTACAGGCGTATATGTTCACACGCATAGCATGCTGACGACTGGCAGATTTAACGGGATCTGCGCGGCCCCTTCACGATCCTTCTGCAGATCTGGTGTGGGTAATTTGACATCTTGTCCGTGTCAGCTTACATGTGGCATCCTTGCTCGAACTGCTCACGCCAAAGCGAATGACCTTCCGAGGTCGCACAACCCCAAGCTAAACAATATACACAACACAACTGGGTAGCTTGCGCGGGGACTCTTGGCCGGCGATACGGAAATCTGCTACATATAGCTACGCGACTGATTGTGAAGCTTGGGAAAGGGCAACAAACGACGACTGCGGCACTACGAGCGCAGCGATTGCACGACTAGAGGAGATGCCGCCCGCGAGCTCCTCCTTCACGCCACTCAATATACCGAACGATGTAGTACCAGAGTGGATGGGGTCGTTTACCCTGGCCGCGCCCCCAAATACCGACCTCTGGAGAAAGCCCCCTTCGCGAGATACATCGACGGCCCCCATCCTCTTTACCGCGCTGCGCAGCCCGTTTATAGCCGCTGAAGTGGCCGTATCCGCAGATTGGGAGCTGGAGTGGGATCAGGGAGGACTTGTTATATTTGCGGGCGCACCGCCAGGGCAGATGGCAACAGCACACCCAGAGGCTCCGAATGTTGTGGACCTCTCCTTGGACGACGACGACGACGACCTCCTAACACCAAGCCCGCCATTCTCTCAGTCGTCGAGTCTCGAGAGTCCCGAGTATACGCCAGCCCAAAGTCCAGCGTTAGAATCAAGTTCCGGACCCCAAAGAGAACGCGGCCCCCCGCCCCCATACGTAGCTCCGGCCCCAGCATCTAAATGGGTAAAAGTTGGCCTCGAGTTTTGCAACAACGCATGCCACGCAACGTCCGTCGTCGCCAATTCTGACGGCGCAGACTGGTCTCTAAGCGCGCTCCCACCCCATCATGCAAGTCGACTCGATCTGCGCGTCAAGATTGAGCGCATCGGATACGCACTATGGGTGTGGTACGAAGATGAAGCGGTGGGTTGGAAAAAGCTTAGAGAAGTAACGTGGTTCTTCTGGGGCGTGGAAGACAAAGCTGTTCGCGTAGGAGTGTACGCGAGTCGACCCGCAAACTTTGGCGTGAGTATGTATGAGAGGAATCACGGTGGAGGACAGAATACTAGGACCAGGAATCTCTGTGTGGATTTCGAGGGGTTGGAGATCTTTTGATCCAAGAATTAGCCTCTCACGCTTGGTTTCCGTTTCTTATCTTGTCAGTTTTTCATTTGCATTTGTCGGCTGTTCATGGTTTCCAGGATGATACCACACATGAACAGCTTCTCTCTATATCCTTTCTCCTATTCTCTATCTTCAACACATAGTTCCTTATGGCTACTTCGCATAGCGATCATCTCTGCATTTCAGCTTGTCCGTCTTCTCTGTATCTATTTAGTATCCCCCGCCACTATACCATCGTGGCTCCTTCGATCCGCCACCTTACACTCTCTCGGGTTTCACCGATCCTCCTCACCCATTTCGCCTTTTGGCAGTGTCTTTTCATGGCGCTTACTTGTCTCAGATGACTGATGACGAGTTATATGGGCCCCTTCTCTCAGCAATATCTTTAAGCACAGGATATCTCGTACATATTTAAATTACACACGTATTTGGTAGCTCACGCGCGTATGCCGCGAGCGCAAAGCAAAATTAACCAGTCGTGCCACCTCTGCAGCATGTGGGGTTTTGTGGAGAAGTAAGCCGGGCCACGTTTCCGTCATCCCTCATGGTGGCGGCTATGTCATCAGGAAGCATTGTGAAGAGGGGAAGAACATGCGGGTCAAGACGCTTCACGGTTGGTTACTCGCTGTGCTTGTCGTTCTTGTGGTTTTCTGGCATTCACGGGCTCGAGGCAGAAGGCGCGATGGGCTTTGAAGTGGAACACGCGCACTAGCAGCTACTTGCAGGCACGAACGAAGCATGCAAACGAACAAGACGTGAATATGGTGCTTCGGCTCAGAGATTTGCTACACCGGAAAGGGAAGGAGCACGATTCACTGGAGTTCAGGAAGTTCTTGCACCCTGTGCTCCATCGCTGACCGCAGGCTTGGATAGTGGATGGCAAATTCGTGCTGACAATATACAGCGACATCGAATCCTATTTGCCTCAATCAAACATCAGCAGTCAAGCTCTTGCCTCTACAGTCCTAGGTCGTCTTTTAACAGGCAACGCGCTATTGGACACGGCTTCACAAGTTCATGATGAAAATCCAACTTACCCTGCTTTTGTGCATAGCACCATGTATAGTAATCGGGCAGAACGAGCCCTTGGCCACCAGAAACTCGGGAAAGTCTTCTGCGCAACCGACGGCTACTACTACTTCGTCTGCTAGAGAGAGAGATGATCGGTTGACTACTTCTGTATCTATCCCTGGACACCCGCAACCTTCTTCATCTGCTATAGAGGACATTACACCATCGTCGATTCCCGCGCCAGGAATAGGTCCAGGAGGTAATCCTCAAGTACCCGCTCCTACATCGACGACATCGCGAGCCACGGAGCTACCAGAACCGACCACAACATCATCGCCAGGGAGTAGCCCGGCTACAGATTTCTGCTGGGCAACACATGCATGCCAGGCCTTTTTTGTAGACATTAAAGAATGCTACGAGGAAAGTGGTATTATAGCAAACCCAAATGAGCAGAACGGCCAGAGCATTCAATACCAGCGCTGCCTCTGCACAGGCCATGACGAAGTATACAAAAGGTAAACCTCTACCTTCTTCAAACTCTACATCTCTTTTCTAACCTCCGACTAGCATCATAACCCAACAGAATACTGCTGGATCAACCTCGCCCGTCCAAGAGTGCATGCAATGCCTCGCCCAAGCCGGCGGCATGTCGCCCACCAATCCCAAAGGCGAGATCCAACTCACGCTCTGGAAAATCCACGACTTCTGCAACACAGCGCACCCCAACCTCTACGATCTGCTTGTCAGACTCCTGGCTTTCATGAAGGCTGCCTCGCAACCCAAGACTTTCAGCGTGATCCCGCCAAGGCTAAGCGCTGTGACGACGTTTGCGAACCGCTTCATGCCAACGCCGGGGATGAATTCGCCGTCGACTGTGCCGGTGGGGTTTACCAGGCCTGGGGGAGGTAGTGGTTCGGGAGAAGGGGCCGCGCTGTCGTGGTGGGAAAGCACGTTAAGCCCAGGTATGCCCGTCCCGACCGAATATCTCGCCCAACTTCCGCCCAACTGGCCGTATACAGCGTACGGCGTAGCCAGACAGTCTGGTATGGTCACCTCGTGGGCTTTGGTCCAGCCGAATGCGTCTTCGTCGCTGCAGAGTACGGTCGCTTGGGTGTATCATTCGGTGCTGTGGAATCCGAGACCGCTGTTTACACCGTCGGATGCTATTGCTGCTGCCTCTGGTAAGCTGTATAATCCGTTGCTGGAGGGCTGGACACATGCTTTCCAGGATGCGCAGACTGCCGCTGTACGCGCTGCTACTACACCCGCACCGCTGACTCAATCGCCTGCTCTTCTTCTCACTTCAGGCGAGACGGGACCGCGGATTGAATCTTCTTCACTTTCAACCATAGTAGATGGAGGTCAAACGTCCTTGTTAGCGCGGGGAATGCGGGCTGCTGTAACAACTACAATTGTGGAGCCGAAGATGACTTCTGCGTCTGTACCTGTTACTACGGTGCGAGAAAGTGTGCCGAGTGCGGTGTGGGAGGAACTACAGAGTATACAGTCGAGATTCGGCCGTTAATATCTTACATAGGTCTTCGTAAGCACTGTATTCCCTCACTCATCCCCTTGAACAGACACTCGCCTCGACACTCTCGTGTGCTGTGGGATATGTGAAATTGATCCTAACAGGAGCAAAGATGATAAGTTTGGATAATTACATTAATTAACTAGTATTCCCTTTCGTCATGAAGGCTGGACTTTTACTACAAACCCCAGAGAAGTCCAACTAAAATGATTTGGCCTATACAAAAAGGAGCCGCTCCTGTGATCTAATAAGCACAGCGAGACGTAGGACTCAACGCATGAGAAGTGAATATATACAGTGCGTCATAATACGCGTGTTTCACATACAAGAGATTCTTTGCTGATTACCGCCTGACCTCCCAAACTAGATACGGCCCAATAACACGCGCAGCCGTCCAGATAATCATCGTGCTCTCGACGATCATCACGTACGGAGCTTGCCAAATTGGCACCTCGCATAGTCGACACCAAATAGCGTACAGCGCCACCGAGAAAAAGTGGTACACCAATGTCCACGGATTCGCTACCAAGCCACTGAGCATACCACACGGCTCCGACACATGTAGGCCACCGAGCTGGAAGTAGCGGAAACAGCCGTTCTTGAGGCTCGTCAGGTAGGGGTTGTTGGCAGCGAAGAGTGAATATAATGCCATGGCGAGGATGTTGATGACGCTGCTGCCGGATTTGCGAGACCAGTGGAATTGGCTGAGGGCCTTGAGCACCGCCTCTGTGTCTTCGAGGTTGGGCACGAGTTCTGGAGAGAGAAGATTGGACATGGTGACGACGTCGTTGAAGGCAACGGTCATGCCGCCGCCCGTGAGCGGGTGGCGCATGTTCATCGCATCGCCCAGCATGATAAGGCCTGGTGTCTTTTGCGACGCGGGCGGAAGGAAAGAATTTGGCATGGAGCGGAGTTTGCCGTCTTCGACGGCGCGCCTGAATGCTGGCTGGGCGCATTCTGGGAGGTTGGGGAGTGCGACGTTGAGCAGGTGGTTCTTTATTCCCCCGGCCTTGACGCTTGCGCTGGGCAGGTTTTCAGGCACGTCAACTAGTACCCTCGTCTCGTGTGTGCCGATTTGGTAAATGAGAATCGGGGGTGCGTCAGACAGAACGACATGGCCGTGGTTCGGCATGGGCAGCTCTGCGTCGATCATCTCGAGAGCGTAGAACTTACTCCGCACTTGTGGTTGGTGTGGTAGGTAGTCCTTCCTGAATTTGGACGCATAGCCGTCTGCTACTAGTGTTACAGCGCCAAAGTAGTAGTCCTGCTTGCCCTCTGTCTGACACGCTACGCCTACGACTTGGCCTGTGTAGTCGCTCTTGACGACCCTGGTTACGGTTGTTTCGACAATGGTGACATTCGGTGTGGCACGGGCTTTCGCCCTCAGTTTGGAAATGAAGCGACCGTGGTGGAAGGAGCGACCTTCTGGGGTTTTTGACGGTGAGGATGTGACAAGGTTGTTGGGATAGGGGATGTGTACGGGTTCTCGGTAGTAGGAGACTTGATAGCCATAGCAGGGAATCGCGTCAATGCCGTCGAGGCAATCTATTTCGCTGTCAGTGCCTCCGGCTTCCAATTGACTATGGGGAAGACGTACCCTTCATGCCCAGCTTCTCCAGCGCATTGACTCCACCAGGCTGCAATAGCTCGCCGACAATCCGATCCGGCTCCTTCAGGCTCTTCTCCAGCAGAATCACGCTCCTGCCTTGCTTGCCAAACGCGACGGCTGCTGCACAGCCAACAACACCCGCACCCACGATGACAATGTCGGCCTCATGGTGTATGTGCCGCCTTTCCTCGCAATAGTCTGATGTCGATGTGGAGTCTGCCTTGGGTGTTGAGGACGACGGGGTGCCTCGCGCTCGCAGTTGCGACGGCGACGACGCTGGATTGACGCCAGGCGGCAGCGCCGTTATCTTCGTGCCAGAAAACATTGTGAGCATGGTAACGAGGAGTGTGGGTCGTTGTTCGGTGTAAATGAATTCGTCGTGTCGAGTCGCATCCGTCAGGAACCGAGAGAAGGCAAAAACCGCGGAAGACAAGGTTGGGAGTGCTGTTAGGGGTCCAATTCCCACTGGCGGTGGCGAGAAGGCGATCTTAAGCAGCCGTCTTGGAAACCAAAATCGACCTCACCGCCTTTATTCTGCCAGGGGCAGCGCTGCCGCGGCTCAGGGTCCAGTGGCGTGAAGGTCATTTCACCCTGGTCATATACCAGTATTTCTACACCTTCTTTATCGAACCACAATCTTTCGTCAAGTGGAGCTTCTGCACCAGACGTCTAATCAGAAGCTGACATGCTATGATTGATGAAGGATTCTATGATTTTATGATTGGCTACTGCAAGTTATGCCTCGATATATACTTTTTTTCTTCACATGCTCGCATGGGAGCCACCAGGCTTCCTCTGAAAGGCCTCATGCTAACGCAGTTCTCCGTTTTTTATATTCGTGGTTAGTAGGAAGTTTGGGCCATGAAGGATGTGCTGAATCGACTTTATGTATTGTACAGCTTCATAAGCTATGTCGCGCACCATTCGGTACGAAAAGTTAATATAAATTACAAAATAAAAGTAAGTACATAAGTATTCCAGGTGAGCGGAAGAAGCGTCTCGTCGTAGTTGTGACCCGTTTTGCGTGCACCATTCGAATCGTCCCTATCCATTGCGCATCCACTTCTCCAAGCCCCACTGCCATCTGTGGATCCACCTCATTTTCAACCAAACCCCACAAAAAATCAGAAAGAAGAAGGACCCAAAGAAACGCCTCGCTATGAACATGCCGCACCTGATCCGTGCGTCGAGATACGATAAGGCTGCTGATGACCATGAATAAGCTCCATCAGCAACATCTGCTAGTGGAGCCTAGCCTATCTTTTGTCGAGCATAACCCAACGTCACTAGAACGCTGCTCCAGGCTGTTGTGTTTTCGGAAAAAGCGGAGACGGCATCGGCGAGTCGACTTCCATGATAGTAGATTTCCTATCTACGATTCGCTTCATCTCAACCGGCTGAGCGGAGACAATTTGCGAGTTGCGATAGTAAGCGTCGTAGAACTCGCTCAGTCGAGAGTCCTGGTTGCTAGACTGGCCGTTTGGCATCAAGCCTGGTGCAAGGAGGGAGCTCGACTGACTAGGTCGTCGTTCGCCATCCTTGTCATTGGGAAGAGCAACTGAGGTGCGACCAGACTCATCCGTTGATGAGAAGTTATAGTTGTACGACTCGGTCGACGCTGCCGAAGCTGAGCGGTCTGCGTCTTTCTGATATGCTTGGTAGGCTTGGTATGTGCTTAGTCGGTTTCCGTTGCTGTAAAGGCTGCTGGCATCGCTCTCATCGCGTTTGTGCGTCGGGGCGTGGGATCGGGGCTGCAGGTGAGGAGCGGAAGAGGATTGCGCAGGCTCATTATCTTGTAAAATGTCAGGAGAAGGCCCCTCATGTCTATTAAGATGCTAAAGATACACAGATCGAACCAAAAAAAGTCTACCTACTCGGCTGGTGAACCCGCACTTGGGGACGATATGACTCGGGCGACGGAGACCGAGATTCTTTCCTCAAGGCGCTCGTAGGGAGGGTAGGTAGTCTTGCTACGGGTGGGTTGCCAGGCGATGGTGGAGTGGGTGACTGACCAGGCGAGTTATTGAAGGAGGCGGTCTGTGATTTGATATTGTTATCGGCTCCAGAATGGTAAGAGACACTGAGAGCGTCAGGCATTGGGATCATCGGTGCTGGTGTGTATTGCTGGGGGTTGAAATCGGCGGTTCGGGGAGACATGGACCGAGGAGACGTGAAGCCGTCGCTATCACTGTCGGATCCGCCAAATGTAGGAGACGCGGGGCCACGCGGGTGACCAGGAGATGGAGGAACCTGGAGAGACATGTCGACAGCGCCATTGTGGTTTCGCCTTCCGCTTAGCTCAGCCTCAGATGGGCGAAGCTTAATGGGCGGGGGCTGTTTTCTTTGCTGTGAGACAGTGTTGTTGCTGTTGCCCAAGTTGAGGCTGAGAACACTATTGTTGGTCGAATGGCCCTTCATCAGAGGCGAGCTAGGGTTTCCGACAAGAGTGCTGGAGCTCATGTTTGGGTGCTCGATAATGGACCCTGCTCTTGATGTTGGGCGCGACTGGGCGACACCAGCATAAAACCCTGCCTCGATGGCGCGAATGCCGAAAAGGTCTCCTTCATCTTTCTCACGTTGGTTGAGCTCAACTGTGTCTTCCTTTGGGCCTGCCTCGAGCTCCGTCTTCTTTGCCTTCTTTAACCTAAATCAAAGTTAGTAGGATCACCATGGTGTTTGAGGACACTACTTACTTTCTACGGTTGAAGAGTACTTTGATGGCTCCACCAATGATAGTCAATATAAGTAAACCCACGAACACAACACTGCTTGAGTCAGTCGACGATGCTAAGAGTGTCATATGGTACTCACATGTACTTATACGCCAACTGCAGGCTCCCGAACCAATTTGATCCCCCCATTATGAAGAGCGTTTGCCGATGTTCTTCTACTCTAAACAAATTTGCGGACTTGCTCAACAGTGATACTGATCTACCGGGTAGGCTCCGCGTGCTGGAGATGCCTAAACTGCAGCTGCCCACAGATACGTCCTGTATAGGCGATGTACAAGTACCCGAGGACTTGGTTCGAAGGTCGAATTGTAATAGAGCGGACCGACTTTTCCAAAGTGGTTGCAGGACTGTAGTCGTTCAGGAAATGAGCGTTCGTTATAGGCAGAAATTACCCAAACGCGGAAAGGCAGAATATGTACGGAGGCCAACGCTGTGCTTGTTCGAAACGAAAGGACGTGTGAGCGAGACACACAGGAAGGAAGGAAGGAATTCAAGCGGGAATAGCTGGGAGCTCGAAGGAAGTGAAAGGCAGATACCGGGGGAGGGGAGTAAAAGAGGATGGCTCATGCAGGCGCGCGCTGCCAGCATATGGCGCTATCCATACCATTGCTCGTGGTCTAAAAGCGGAGGGACGGCCTGGATCTCACGGCTTGCCCGTGAAGCGAGGGGGAAGGCCAATCAAAGTTAGTTGAGCTGTGCACGTTTCCAAAAAAGGAAGACCAATTGTCTTGGCTCGCTCGTTTGGTGAAGGGCAAGGTTTGGGGGCGTGGCCCTATGGCGCGCCCATGCTGAGCCAGCCAGCCTTACGCCTTAGTTGGTGCTCACACTATTTGGAAAAGCTTCTGCTAGATGGCACCAAAGCATAGCGGCCATGTGTCGTGGGGCATTAAGCACGCTTTGCACGAGTTACTGGCAGCCTTGAATGCTCCACCGCGAGCAGGAGGAGAAAGGTACACTATGAGCGCCCTTGACCAATATTGGCAAATGTGTGGCGAGTATCTGGCGGTAGGCCTAAGTCATGTTTACGGCTGAAAAGACATGATTCGCCCCTCGTCCCGTAATCCCCCTGAGCCGCGCGGGGATTCACATAGGAACAGGAAAGGCGGCCACTCAGCCAGCCCAGCAACGCACTTACGTACGCTTGGCAGGGGAAATGTCATCACAGACCAGGCGCGTAGCGAGAGCTGGACAAGCCAAGCGTGGAAAAGGGTCAACGCGTAAGGATCTTTCCGGAGGAACTAAGGCATGGCACGGCACATCGATGTTAGTTGCGATTCCGCTCTTCAGCCCTTCTCCGAGAAGCTGAGATCGTGAAATTAGGCTTCGGGATGAGAGGGATGCGCACGAACATAACAATCGACTTGTTGCGTTGGGATGTTGCAGCCACGAGGTTGACAGTAGGTATAAACCCAGGTGACACAGCGCATGCAGGCCCGGGTACGCTGTATCACATTGACCCTGACAATGCGTGACGGCGCAGCAGATGTCGCACCACGATTGAACGGGTAGACTTCCGCGATAATGAAACAACAAGCTCTTGCCTCTGACTCTGCCGTCAACGGAGCAGAGCATGGTTGCAGTCGATGCGAACAATTTGCCCAGGTGTGCTAAATACGGCGAGACAGGGCTAGAGTTAATGCATCCACGGAGCCTCTCGGAGCGACAAGTCATGATGGTATTTCGATAGATGTGATGTAACTGCTCGAGTGCGTCGTGTAATACCGACAACGGCAAAGTGTGGGTTTTCTCTTGTTTCATGGTCGGTGGCATTGAACATTCTTGGAAATGAGCTCGTACTACCACCTCGGACGGTCATTCTCGACGAACAAGAACTGCGATTTTGCCCGGTGGTTGGATTTCCACGGTTGTTTAGACCGCTTACTTGCGCCGTCGTGCGCCGAGTGTGTTCGAAATGCAGCCTCCAAATTCCAGACGCCCAATGTAAAAAGGAGGCGGCCCGAATCTAACGGCATGACCGCTTTAACATGTCATCGTTGGCGTCTGAGGCTACACATCGTCTGTTGGGTGTTGAGACCGCCAAAGCTTGCTAGACAAGACTATCGATTCTTAAAGCCTCGCCTATGATGTTTTAGTGAAAGGAGGGGCCGTGTCACCGCGAAATAGCGTCTTGCCCATGATTAATACACCCGTCGACCTCGCTCCCGCCCTAATGTTCCGTTTCAGGCTACTCCTATTGCGATCCCCGCTCGCTGTTTGTTGCTGTTCTAGGTGGAAGTGAGGGGTTTGTGTCAACGCTGGGCGGTATCTCTTAGAGCTGAGCTTGGAAAAGCTTATTATTATTTGCATGCAAAACATCGCATGAGATGAGTAGCGCGGGCTTTTTGCAGCCGTTGACTTGTCTTGTGGGCAGCGATGAGGCTCTTGGCGGAAAGGCGCGCCCATGCGTGATGCCAGAACCCGCGATACCCCTCTGCTCTCTCGCACAACATCCCCAACGTCCCCAACGAACCCCGCCTTGAGCTGTGACCTCGTCTTCGTATCACCGCAATCACCATGGCATCCTTCACAAAGGCCTCTGACAAGTCCAAAGTCCTCAAGACGGAGCCGCTGGTTAGTAGCATGCGGCTATTGAGCCAGACAGCGCCCTGACCCCTTTCAGGACTACCAGGATGCCAGATGGGCCACCCTCGTCAAGTACGTAAGCAGCCACTGTTGAATCTAGACCATCACCCACAAGTCCCTCTGATAACTGAACCATGGATCATGGAGCATTGACCGTCCCAGAATCACGTACACCGATCCCGAGGGCGTCGAGCGCACATGGGAATCTGCCGAACGTCTCACCAGGCCCGCCGGGTCTGACATTGACGGTGTTGGCATTGCAGCGATCCTTCAGGATCCAGCAAAGCCGAATGAAGAGCCTCGCATCATACTCCAGAAGCAATGGCGACCGCCAGTCAGTACGTGTCCAAGTATGGAATGCTACTGAGATAATCGCTTACTTGGACTCTTTTTCTTGTAGACGCGACTGTGATTGAGATCCCTGCAGGCTTGATTGACCCCAACGAGTCGCCAGAGACATGCGCCCTGCGTGAGCTGAAGGTGCAACAGTCCCTACCGCGACTATCATCAGACGTTGTTTTGCTAACGAAGCAATAGTACGTGACAAACCTTCTTTCCCATTCTAGGATATCCCTATGCGACTACTTAAGGGATGTCTCATATCCTCCTATAAAGACCAAGCTGATCGTGTCGCTACTCCCAGGGAAGAGACCGGCTATATCGGGGAGGTAGTCAAGGACCGGAGTTTCGATGTTAGCCCGGTAATGTTCAATGGTGAGTACCAGCCCAACACGTCCTTAGTCTCTAATGTTGTCAATCTTTATCTCCTTATCGACTCGTGTCTTCTCGTTTATAGCATCGCCGTTATCTCCCTCGATGATCGAGATTTGCAAGGCTCTTCAAGTGGAGACTATTTTCCGCCCACGAAATCGTTCAAGCCTCCAAATTTGACTGATACCTGGTGTAGATCCAGGCTTCTGTAATACGAATTTGCGCATGATTCACGTCACGGTCGACCTCTCGCGCCCCGAGAACCAGAATCCGAAGCCTGAACTGGAAGATAACGAGTTCATTGAAACGTTCTCTGTTCCACTCAAGGATCTCTGGGCGGAATGCATCAAGTTTGAGGAACAAGGCTATGCTATTGATGCAAGGGTAGGAACTCTCGCCGAGGGCATAGAGTTCGCTAAGCGGTGGAAACTGGGTTGAGCCGAGTTATGGGTTATGCTAATTATTCTCGCTTCATCATGGGATAAAAGGTATGTGCTCATGATGGCGGGGCATTACTCGTTTCTTCCTTCGAGTTCACCAAATGCGCTTCAGTCGATCGACGATCCTTTACACTAAGCTACTGAGCTACTGCCTCCAATTAGATCTACGATTCCGGACTACCGCGCAATTTCCCCAGAAAATTACTTGCCCGCGACCCTGTCCAACCGGATGACCCCGCGCCGTTCTATACCCCGCAAAGGGGTAAGGTCTCTTGCACCACCATGTTTAGCCTGAGCAAGTTCGGAGTGATCCGAGAATCAAAACTTCTGACAAAACCTCATAACCGTGACCCAGGGTGCACTGCTTGATTCCTACATTCGTTCTCCGGAAAGGGTGCGTACGTCTACTGATCTGTCCATTGTTAGGAATGTACTCAGGCTCTGTCGCTTCAACTTGACTCAAATGCATCCAACAGACCTGTAATGGCTGACCCGCACTGCTTCGCAAGCACATAACGGCTATATCATCGTCTCTATACCCACGATCCGCTTTAAACATATGATTGACCACTAACGGCTTGGAATTCCCACTCACTTGCAGTTGATTGCCGTGGCACAGGGTCCGGTATGGTTTCGATTTTTGCAAGCCCAGATGTCGGAATCTTTATCGTAATGCAATAACTCCATTTGTAAACCTTAATCAGACCCCTGCCGCTGCTGGCCTGCACTTGGGCTAGACTTGTTTGGTACATGCGCAGCTTCCGGTATGGTTTCAGTTCACTTATATTCTGCCCTCGGGGCCGAGGATCTTCACCGTTACGTGTACCTTCCTTTTGCGTCAATCCACTCAACATGTCTTCAAACAATGCCACCATGGGAAAGAGTCTTGCCAGTCAAAAAACTTGTGTTGGTGTTGCTACAGCACTTACAGTACTTTCAAGTGAGTGGGATGGTGCTATTAGAGATTTGCTTGAGCTAATAGTATTAGTTGTCGTCGTCGCTCTTCGTGTATATACACGCGCCTTCATAGTGCGAAATCTGGGCAAAGATGATGGGGCAATGCTGGCTGCCTTAGTAGGTCATCACCGCATCTAAAGAACAAACTTGCTAACAAGTGCAGTTGCTCACTGTCGCATATCTCATCACCATTTTTGTGCTGCGAGACAATGGAATGGGCTTCAGCGGCCGAGTCCTAAAGCCTGAGCAGATGGTAAACCAAATTCGAACGACCTTGGCGATTGAGATCATATACTACTTTACTATCAACGCCATCAAGGTGTCTATCCTCTTCTTCTACTTGCGCATCGGTAAGCGTTGAATGTCCTGTGCGAGAACTTCCAGTTGACCACTTTTTAGCTGCAGAAAAGCGTTTCGGGCACTTGTGCAAAGGAACTGTGTACTTCCTGGGCCTTTTCTGCATCGTGTGTGTAATATGTTGCTTGACGCAATGTATACCACTATACAAGATGTGGGATCTCACAGGTATGGTACAAGGGAAATGCATCAATACTACAGCATTGTTTTACAGTAAGACTTGCACACCTTCATTTATCGTACTTAGCTCACACAGTGAAGCCACCAGCTCTGTCAACATCGCAATAGATATCTGGATCCTCGTGCTTCCCATCACGACCCTCCTCAAAGTGCGCCGACCAGGCCGCGAAAAGCTCGCTCTGATTGTGATCTTCAGTCTCGGAATCTTCTCCTGCATCGCCTCAATCGTGCGTCTCCATTCCATCCGAATCTACACCGAATCCAAGGACCCCTTCTACGACAGCGTACCCATCAACCTCTGGTCCATGGTCGAAGTCAATATGGGAATACTTTGTGCATCTATCCCCGCGCTCAAGGCCTTGTTCTCCAAAGCCCAACGAGAACGGAGTCAAAACAACAGCGCATACCAATATCATGGCCGCGAACGAACCGGTGGCATTGGCTCTGGGAAAGGCAGTTCAGGGGCTGGATCAGAGGGAACCATTATCCAGAAAGAATCCTATGACCTCAGAGTAGTGGAGAGTGGCGGCCAGCTTGACACGCGCAAAGGAGCGTATGGAGGCGGGGCGTGGCTGGCTTCTGACTCGGAGAGAGAAGAGCAGCGCACTATTTTTCCTGAAAGCAGAATCTAAGTCGAGTCATCTTCCCTTTTCAACGTCTGCATTACTCATAGCAGTACTGCCTGCACTCGCTTGGAGACTCTCACTGTCCATGGCTTACGGAACTTACCCCCTGAGGGCTGAGGTTTCGGTTCGGAGGCGTTCAAGGCTTTCACCCTAGTAGCACAAATCGAATGATCAGCAAGCGGCGTACCAAAGTCTGGGTATTCGGTCGTGCGATTAACGCACGGAGGCGTTTGCGAGTGTAACGGTTAATGAAAGGCTATGATGTGGAACGGCCATTATGCCAAGCCGGGATGTTAGGATCTTGTCTCATGGCGTTATCGACGGGTCCAGAACCAAAGGCCGGCTAATATCAGCATTGTTATGATGCGACGTTTTACGCGAAGATGGGATGCCTGAACAGACATCGAAAGGTGTCATTCCGTCTGAGACGAACTCCCGTTGCCCGCTGACATCGTTAGCCGAGTATTGTCTCTGCTCGCGTAGCTGATATACGTTAAACGTCTCTTCGAAGTGACATCGGGGTACATGAGATCTACACTGCAGGTACTTTCCCCCGATTTCTGCACCTCAAACTTGTTTATTCTGTTGTCAACGGGCCATTTGCTTCCCCATCGAAACTACCGATGTGCCATCACCTCGCAGCCTGCATTTTTTCCTATAGCCGATATGCACTACGCGGTTTCGAGTCACGCATATGTTAGTCTCGGATGTCTAACGGAACCAGAGTTCGCGCACGGAATGCGCTTGGCATTTTTCGCTTGTTTTTGGCAAGTGGAGAGCTCGGTTACGCACGAAGACGTTGATGCTAGCGTTGAGTGACGAGGCGATGCGACTCTTGATCCACCTTTGCAGCAGGGCTGAAGTGAGCGAGGGAATCTTGCTCGTTTGAGAATGGACCTAAGCTCCCTCAAAGAGAGGTCGCGCGCACCCTGGTTGAAGACTTTTTAGTATACGTTGATTTCGTCATAGCCAGGACTGTAATCGTGTCTGTTTTCCATGCAGGTGTCAAGACCTTGACTCGAGAAAAGCCAGGGTGAAGAGGTGCCGCCTTATCCTAAATGGTAGGCAATATTTCGATCCGCTGTTGACCCATGAACCAGATAACAATCTTGCACCAAAGTACCGAGGCATTGAATATTAGTCTCTAGAACGGTGGATGGATTAAGTATCTGTATAACAACCCAAAGTCGCAATGTGGACATATGTGGTTTAGTACGAACCCGTGCAGCTTCCTACCTCGGAAAGTTCAACCTTCTTATCTTTGCCTCTTCTTACACTATTTAGGCAGGCGAGCGTTACGCAGGGACATGCATGGCCGGGCCAGTTTCGCTACGAGCAGTCAAAAGCAATCAGCAAGACTCTCTGCTAGCCACCAATGGGTTCACGCGCTAATCACATCGACAACACCTAAGCTCCGTCCTAATACCACATGCATACCGAGGGACGTTGACACTGGCTAGTGAAGCGGTCTAATTCCGAGAGTATCAACAAAGCGGTTTTCCATCAAAGCATTTCTTCAACAAAGGAATATGGCATACGCCACAGTGATCCAACCTCTTTGTTCGGATCAAAGGTGCTTGGACTCGATGTATCACGGGCGTTGCTCTCCCAGTGTCTCGAAAATAAGGTTGTTCCACAGCACCTGTTAGCATTACCGCCTTGGTAACACTTCTGCGATAACTTGTATTATGACTGAAGCTGCACCTGCTGAGCCTCTTAGGCTCTGCCATCGGCTCGGGTGGATGCTGCTTTGAGCACAATACCACAGAGTAAATTAAACAAGCTACTTTGAAGGCAGCCTCAAGAAAGCTTTTCAGAACCAAGAGGGAACTCCATTCCATGACACTGATTGATTTAAATCGGTCTGGAAGGCGTCCACGCATTTCAGGAGGCACTCTTTAGGTTCATCCACCTACAGGAAAGAAACTCCATCGGTAGTTATTAGACTGCCTGATTGAATTCGGTAGGTCTACCGCACCCTAAACTGCCGATTTCGCTAGGGCCGGCCCCTTACACAACAGGGCTGGTTATCCTACCAGCATACACGGACATCTCTAGGTAGTGCTGCTGCCTGACTCGAAGGAAGGATGGGAAATGAAAGGAGTCAACCACCAATTGAGAAGAAGGCATACCTGTTCATGGGATTATGACTTGCGTCCTTTGAAGAAACAGGTGTTGGCGATTCAAAGGCGTGTACAGGAGAAACGGTCTAAGGCTACTATCAGCATCCAATGAAATGGTCACTCACTCCAATACTGGCACTACGCATTCATTGTGCCTCAACGTCAGAGGCGGAACAGAAGGGTTGGCATGACACCGAATCCGGCCAGATTGAGAACAAAGATATAAGCAATTCTTGCCGAACAAAGGGCGCGTGCCTGTATTGGACGTGTCAATGTTCGGACCAAGATGGACGAAGTTGTTTAAACCTCTGTTTCGCCTGTATGTAGAGTGACTATAGCACGCATACCAGATATATCTCGAACAATGACAACACCAGCTTTCCCGAACGACAGAATAGCGGACCAGATCTACGATATAAGAGCGCCAGCTGAACAGACATTCTGGATAAGTTTATTGCCTAATGAGCGAACCATTTTCCAATGGTTCGCCATTGGCTTCAAAAGGAACAGCTGGGACAAGGATCAAAGTAAGTGACTTGCATCTTCTTTAGAGATGAGCACTCATATTCTCAATTTAGGAATCCCATCTCAAGATGCTGTTCTCAAAGCATGGCGAGATGCCGATGAAATTGACCGGGAAACGAACATCGTCCTGGCGAAAGAACGCCCAGATCTTCGACTCAATACGAGCCACTTCGAGGTGAAGTCTGAAATATTGTTGGCCTTCGAGGCCTTACTCCCCCGGAATGAGCAGCCTGATTTCGAGTCTCTAGTTCATGGTTTCCAGATATACAATGTTAGAGGTGGGCAGCGTAAGGACCCCATAGTAACAAAAATGAGCGCAAATAACGAGGATACCTGTAGACAATTCCCAGGATATGATCCGTTGTTGGAACCAAAAGAATAAGGCAATGAGGGAAAAGATGATTGCTTACGGAAGGCACCATTATAACCGCTTCCAGAATCACCCTCAAGTACCTGACGTGCGTCCGACAGCTTCCGGTCATCATGGTCACTGGTTCGAAAATCCGAAACCGGATGCCACTATGGGTGACATCAAGCAAGTGAACGTAGCGGACCCAAAGCCACCGGGAGAAAAGAATAGGCCGGCTGGCTCACGATGGGTCTTCGAGAAGACTATTTATCAGAATCCGCATGAAACGTATGATAACAAACTTACGCATCGAATCATCCACCTTTTTGCTCTGGTAACGGAGGACCGCCAAATTTTGAAGGTGGGCTACCTGTTGTCCATATAATACTCTATTGAAAAAATAGTAGCTGACTAGGATGATAGCGACTGGTTGTCAAAATAATTGGTTCTACAGATGTGCTCGGAGTCGTCGGCACCATCATGAGAGAATCCACACATCATGAGGCCCTGTCATTCAAAAACTGCGCGAGCATCCTTGATGCGTATGGCTTCTCTATACGCAAGAGGGCATACGGCCCGCAGCTTGGATATATTTATATGGACTATGCACCATTTGGAGACCTGCTAGACTTAATCAAAAGGCTTCAAGGACAACCAGAGTGGGTAACCTCGAACTGGTGCAGAAGCCTACTGACGTATTCATAGCAAGCAACTTCCTGAGCCATACATATGGTTGATCTTCCGCGCATTGGCCGAGGCCCTCCTTCTGATGGAAACCGGTATGACGGTTGATAAGGACCAGCCAGCACGTGAGGATGGTCACGTCCTGTATAGCCGTAATCGGAAACCGATAGTCAACCCAGACATCAAGCCTATGAACGTCATGCTCGGTGAAGCGCAAGCTGGATTCTATCCTGGATTCAAAACCGCTAAGATGATTGATTTCGGTATGTGCTTCGACGACAATAGGTATGCCACTGGAAAAGTGGGTGTTGGCACTCAGGGTAACACTGCCCCAGTAAGTACTTATATGATTCAGCCTTTCGCTCTTGAGTGGAGCTCACAACGCGATAGGAACACGGTTTTCCGCCTCACCCAAAGTATCGAAACGAGCCAGTCAACATTCAGTCGGAGATATTTATGGTTGGATTAGTGATACTTAGCCTCATGGAAGGCCGTAACAGAAAAATTACCGACGTAGAACTTTTTAACGAAGGCTTCCAACACTGCGAGGGTTATAACAAGTGCTATAGCCATTGGCTAGATGATCTAGTCTTTTTCTGCCTCCAGTTCGCACCTTGGAAGAGACCAAGCTTACACCAGCTCCTCTATAAGACAAGAAGGGGACTTGAAAGGTGGGAGAGGGTATATGGGTCTGTTGATAAACCAGAAGCTGAGTTGCCTGAATTCGCGATCTATCCGCTTGAGCACCTGGAAGAGTTTCGCATTGGGGAAACGGCGCCTGAACATTGGTTAGGAATGAAGAAGAGGAAGGCAGAAGAGGCTAGACTCGCTCCAGCTCGGCCTGCAGTAAAGAAGAGGGCCAAAAATCCCCCACCGCCACGACCCGGACAGATTAGGATGGGTAACGATCGGATTGGACAGCCAGACAAGCCTCCTTTTCGCCCCCCTGGAAAGGGCCCGGGTCCAAAGAATCCACCCGCGCGACCACCCATCGGCCACCCTGCGGCGGGGAGAGGTCAGATGCATCGACCTCCTCCTTTGCCTATGTATCCGCGTATTCCTGCTCAAGGCAACCATGCTGCTCCTACAAACAGAGTGCCCAAAATTGTCCCAGGCCCTCTCAACTACATCACGGGACAGCCCAATGTCCCTCCAGGCCAACCAGCACATGTATCTGGCTCGGCCCGCTATGCTCATCCACCACCAATACAGCCTTTGGGACGACGACGACCGCCAAACGACCGGCCACCACCCCCACGAACACTCGCTGAGCAGCGAAATGCTAACATGAGGCTAATGCAGAACCAAGCTAGGCAGAGCGCCATACCACGACCTGTCAACCATCCTCAGCCACGTGTAGCCCCAAGGCCGGCGCTGCAGCCTGGAATGGACCCAGCCCAGATATATGCTGCTGCAGTGCGAGCGCGCAAGAATGTGGCGCCACCTTGGTTTATGCAGGACCCGGAAAATATTAAGCGGGAAAAAGATGTAGAACCAGATGGTGATTCTGAAGAGGACGATGCGAGTACGTCAGAGGAGAACGGATCACCAGGGGGCAGGCGGAGCAATCCTATTGATTTAAGTAATGCGTAGAGGTAGATGCAGGTAATGGCGTTAGGCGTTATATCAGTTTTGTACTCACCTTCGATCTTTACAACCGACTCCGACTACGCTGACCGTCTACTCATGATCCGTCTCATTGGGAATGTCATCCCACTCGTCCAACAGCGTAATTGTTTCCTCACACTTCCTACGAATGAAAACCGGGCTATCGCTGCCTAGTGCAACTCGAATCGGCACCTCCTTTCCCTCCACAATAGCCGTTTTTTTCAGAATATCAATCAGAACCTTGCAACCCTTGACCACATCCCCAGGTTGATTATTATCCGTCTTATCCAGCAAATCTCTAATCTGCCCCACGGACGTCTCATCGTACTCCTGAATCTTCTTCTGACTCTTAACCTGAGCGCCAGCACTCAGGAACCACGTCCGGAAATACCCAGGCTCGATGACCGTCACGCAGATGCCCAGTGGCGCGAGCTCGTAGTGCATGGCCTCGAAAATGCCTGAGCGGGCCCATTTAGTGCCGGCGTGGAGAGCGAAGCCCGTGCCGCCGCGCTAGGAGGCGATGTAGCCGAAATTTGCGATGGTGCGGTGGCCAGGAGTAGAGCGGATGTAAGGGAGAAAGGCTTTGGAGACTTTGAGCATGTCGAAGACGTTAGTGTTGAAGGTGTCGTAGTCTTCTTTTGGTCTGAATTGCATTAGGCTAGATTCTTATCTCCGAGCATTTACGACTTTTTCTTCTCTCACTTACGACGTCGCCTCCACCGCGCCGACGAGGATATATATACCCTGCGGCATTGACTAGGTGGTTGATGTATCTGTAATTCTCATTCACTTCTTTGGCTACCTTCTCGATCTCGGCTAATAGGGAAGTTACGTCCAGGTGAGCGTCTCAGCGCCTGCCTCCTTTAGGTCGGCAATCCTTGAAGTGTTACGTGCGCTGGCGATGACTTTGTGGCCTCGAAAGAGAGCCTCAAGAGCTATGTATTTGCCGAAGCCGCTGGAGGCTGCGGTGATGAACTACACTGGTGTAGCCATTGTTGATGTTTTCGGTGTTATGATTGAAAGTGAAAAGTTAGTTTATAATGAGCTCGATACAACCTTTATATCGTCACATTGTTTCTCCATTCCTCACGTCATCACTGATCTAGGTGCCCCACATGCTCATTGGTCCATTGCATACTAAGGCTTTGCTTACTTTACACTCTGACATCTCCAGGTAACTATGCCTTGGTATTGGTTCAATAAGATTTAGTGTATGCAGCGTAGCGACATGTAAGTGGATTGTACAGCCAAGGCGAAGAATCGCGGTGTCGACGGAACGATGGTAGAGACACAAAAGCCGGGTTAGCGCTGTAAATCCGGAAGCGCGCTGATGGCCGTCGGAGGTGCCCAACATATTCGGTGAGTAGTTTAGGAGCTCGGCAACGTCTACGTTGCTAACGCGACGGTTTGTATGCCTGTAGTCACCAGCTACGCTTCCAGCTCTGATGCCGTCGCTGCTTGCGCGCTGGCCGACGTCGAACATATCGCGTATATCCAGCACGCCGTGGCTGAACTCTAGGGTCCTCTCGTGGAACGACGTGTACACTGATGTTTACGCGCGGGCATTGATGAAAGCCCGATGAGGCATTATATTGGCTCGTGAGCTGTGCCTTGTGTCGCAGTAGCAGTTGTATCGGTTGCAGTTTGGCAATCCGAGTTTGACAGTAATTTGTGGCGAGTTATCCGCATAGGTGGGTGTTTAGTGCACTCTCCAGAGAAGTCCGGAAGTTCATAAAGAGTCTGTTTGCTGATGGAGACTCATCAGAGGTTTTGGGCTACTCTTTGCCGCGGGTAATCCAGCCAAGGATTCCACTCTGGCCCAAGATAGTTGCCAAGAATGCGCAATATGTACGCTCCTGCGTCTCCAACTTGCCAAAGGTGTCTACCGTAGTGTAGTAAGAGGGCGTAATGCGCTAGTATTACCAAGGCTTCCGGTCGTTTGCTACCTAAGAGCCGCGTGAATCCGGGGGGAACCAACATTGCCCATTCAGAAATCATCTGGTAGGGATTTACCGGCATTTCCTTCGGGTCTTCCTCTAACGCTGCATCGAAGCCAACCTGCAGATACTGGATTGCTAGTCCGCAATCAGCTTTGTCTTCCTCGCTTAGGTGCGGTGCGTTATCCACCAGCTCACTGGCACGTTGGCAATCAATCCCTTTTGGTTCTCGTGAAGTAAATTTGGCACTTAAAGACAAGATAGGCGCAAGTTCCGATTCCATTAGCAATGGCCACGCAGACAAGGTGATGGTATAGACCCCCCTATATGTCTGTGCGCACTGGACGAAGTGAGCGATGAATGCATCCAGTCGGCTCGAATCTCTTTTAGCAAGGGTATCCGCGAGAAAGTGATGCCCGAGAATAGCAGAGAAGAGTATTATGGGAATGCAGTTGGATTGGTCGACATCCATTGGAACGGCAGTGAAGAGCGAGACTGCGCGCGTTTTTAGGGTGGTGGCTTGTCGAAGATAGAATTCAGAACGCCCAGGGTGTAGATAGGCCAGGTGCCGGGCGGAGTAGGCGAGTATCTGGTGCATAAGATATGGGCACTTGAGACTTGTCCTCAGGCCAAGCGCGAGACCAGCGTAGTAATCTCCAACATCCACACCAAGATTAAAAATATCCTTATCAATAGTTACATGGGCGAGAAGTTCCATGTGGTTGAAGTTGATGGGTTCATCAACACCTGGGTCGTTGATTGCCGGAGGTTGCGAGAACTCGGCATTGCAAAAGGAGGAGGGCGTCAAGGGGGAATCGCTAAATATAGGAGTCGTATTTGGCCTGTTGATGTCTCCCGGGCTTACTGAGCGAGACGATGCCCCTGGTGTTGAGAGGGTCGCCTGTGACGCCTGCGCAGTGAAGCTGCATTCGCGGTCGGAGACGGTGCATAGTCGGCAGCTAGGACGGTGTTCGTCGCACTAATAATTTGAAAGGCTCGAGATTAGCCGTGAAACTGAGGAAGCAGCCGAAAGCTCACTTTGATGTGCCGTCGCTTGCTATATGATCAGGTCAGTGGTGACGCTTGAATCAGTCAGGGAGCGCCAGGCTTGAGGCAACATCAGTGCAACTCACCACTCCAAACAACCGCCCCGTGACTTCTTGTGGCTCCGACGAAGCATCTTCGGTAGAATGCCGTCGGATTGGGACTTTACGCGTATTCATTTGTAGGAGAGATTCGCCAATGCTGGCGGTGCTGGGTAAGTGGGTATGGCTACCGAATAGTTGATCGTGTGGAGCAAGACCCACACACTAGCGGCGATCCTGCTTACGTAACACGCGTATCGCTTGAAACGGTAAGCCTCTAGCCCTACCATCCTTCTTAACTGCAATCCCCATTTATATTTCTTGCTGAATTGGCCCTCTCGTCGGCTAGGTTTGCGAGTTGATCGTTTCGCGAGTTTAGGACTCTTGTCATCTCGCAAGCATAACCCCTTTTGGCTAATAAGTCTTCGACACCTTTCTGGGCATGATGCGTGAGACTGGAAGGAACTCAGGTAGTGGAGGACATCGTCGCAACACGCGTATTGAGGTTATAAAGTCTTGGCTGTCAATGAGGCAGAAGCTCCTTGAAACTCAAAGTATAAGTGTATACATGAGCACCACACCATGAACTACTAACTTCTTCACAATACTATAGGTTCCAATTTGGCGGCTAAGGTCTCTTGTAGAAAAACCCCTCGAGACTCTCTCCAGCAGGTACTAGCACCAATTGCAATTCGATTCGTCCCTAGGCCTTCACCTCGTCAAAACATGCCCACTCTCGAAACCTACCATGGAGCCTACTTGTGGAAGTACGTGCCCAATCCTCCAGCGGCCATCACATTCGCTATCCTGTTCCTTTTTTTGACCATAGCCCATACCTGGAAAATGTTGAAGCACCGGACCTGGTACTGCTTGCCTTTCGTCATTGGAGGAATCTGTACGTAAATTTATGGATTCCTAGACACTGCTTAATCTAACCTTATGAATAGGTGAGCCAGTCGGTTACGGCTGTCGAGCACTAGCTACATATCACACGGGATCTTTGGTCCCCTACCTCCTCCAGGCGATCTTCCTTCTACTACCTCCCTGCCTCTTCGCCGGGACACTGTACATGGTGTACTCCCGCGTCGTTCGAGCCGTGCATGGTGAGCGCTTCTCACTCATCTCTCCAAAATGGTGTACGCGATTCTTCGTTGCAGGCGATTTCCTCTGCCTCAACATACAATCGGGCGGGGCAGGATTTCTACCTCATCCGAAGGTGGCCAATTACGGGAACGGCATTATCGTCGCTGGACTGGGGCTCCAGGTCGTGATATTCGGAGGCTTCATGTACTGCTGCATTCTTTTCCATAAGAAGTTTCGAGCCCACCTTGCTCGCTCAGGCGAGATGGTTGATCTTCCATGGGAGTCGATCCTCTGGATGCTTTACGTGAATTCGGTCATTGTTTCGGTGCGCAACATCTTTCGACTGGTTGAGTTTATTACGGGGCATGACAGCTATCTGAACATGAACGAGTGGCCCGTGTACGTCTTTGATGGCGTGTTGATGCTCATCGTCATGATCTGTTTTTACGTCTGGTATCCTCCACAGCTGCAGTCGAGCCAAACGGATTCGATGATCGAGCTTACAAGCGAGGATAATAGCCCGGAAATCGCGCCCCCTCGCGTTGCGAAGTACGAGGACCGTACCTCGTGACGTTTATCGGGTGTTTCGGGAGTGCTAGACTTTTATCTAAACGAAACAACTGAATCGACAGAATAGTAGACATCCATCTGGCGTTCAAAGTTTCGCTGTACTTTATAGACTAGGAGGAGTTCAAGGGCCGGCCTGGGGGAGTTTCTATCTACTAGTACATCCACTATTTCGTTTGTAAACAAACTGTATCATTGAGTCTAATACACGATTCAACATATCGCACCTCTTTCTCTTATAGGCTTAGCTGTGTTATCTTGCTGAGATGGAAGAGGCGCAAGAACAAGGCTCCCTTGCTTGAAGAATGGTCAAACGAATATCAATTCTATGCTAAAACTACAAAAAAAGGAGGCGCTTGACACGCTCTCGAGCCGTCTTAACCCTGATAATACAGGGATGCTGCACTCTCGCAATGCTTGCATACAATATTCAACTCCTGAATGCATGTGCAGATACAACTGCCAAAAGCTTTAAACGCCTAATGGATATGTGCAACCGGGATTATTGCCCCTAGTCGGCATTGTATCCCATCTCATTCCGACACTTGACGTGTACGATCTCCGTCTTGCCGTGCCCGTCTATGACGAGAGCTGTGAGGCGTTCGCCGTTGACACAGCCCGTATCTAATCCATAGGTATACTCCTGAATGTTCAAGCCACGTTTTCTGTTATGGCCGTATATGACCGTCGTTCGCTCACTCTCATGCAATTTCTTCTGTCGATGGTTCCAAAACTTCTCCCAAGGGGTACCGGCATGCTTGGAACTCGGTATTCGAGTTTTGAGATCAATGGTTCGCATGTTCATAACGTGGAAGGGGTCTTGTCGCTTGAGTGGTGTGTCTGGTACAAGACCAGCATGGACAGCGACGAGAGAGCCTAGGTTTGGGACTTGGCCGATACGGAGAATTACCGGACACTGCTGGAGGTAGGAGACCTCAGATTTGGTGAACTGCTTGGCGAGCTTGCGGAGCTTGTTGTCGCCGTGCGAGTTTGACTCGTCGTCGAGGAAGTCGAGCGTAAGCTCGGTAGAGTCGTCTGGCCCCGATGTGGACGCAAGATGTCGTTCTCGCCCTTCTGCGATGGACAAAAGCAGCTTGTCTTCCCAGTTTCCACGTACGCAGGAAGCGCCGAGTTTCTGCGCAAGCTTGATGACGCCAGGTGAGTCGGGGCCCTTCGCTATCATATCGCCAGTCAAAACGAGATGATCATACTTGTGATTGAAGTCAACCTTCTTCAATAGATCCTCCAACTCGTCCTTGCACCCATGGACGTCGCCAACGAAGATTAGCCTGCTATGCTTCTTAGGCAGATGCTGCTGGTCCATATCGCTGACCTGGATCATGCCCTTGAACTCCGGGCGCACATTGTTCCCGTAGCTCAACAGCGGGGAGGCATCCATATCTCTCAAATCCTGCTTGTATCTTGCGTATCGTGGCCCAAGGTATGTCCACCAGCTCACAAGGAAGAGGAATGCGACGGCGAGGTATACAGCCGAGTAGCGTTTTATCCGTCGCGGGATACGGTCTGTAGTTCGTGCGATTGTTGCTTGCCACTCTGGTGAGATCAGCCAGTCGTCATCCTTGCCATAGAAACTGTCTTCCTCGTCGGAGACATCGAGGAGGTCGCGATTGTCAGGTATGAGGTCGATGAGGGGTGGAGGGCGGTTTTGCGCACGCGGATAATCGCGGTACGTCATAGGGGCGGTCGTGGGGCGCGGTGCGTGGGTGGACGAGGAGGTGGGACAAAGCTCGGTGGTTTGCAATGTTTCGGTAGAATGTGTAGACGTAGGTATACAGTAGTGAAGATACTCTGTCTGTTGGGCGCAGCGTGTCGTGCCTGTCCTACTGTCTACGTTGACTGAACGCTGTTTGCATCGTGCTCATGCTGCTATGTGGCCCTTGCTGCCATGGTTCAGAGAAAGGACCTTGTGAGGCAAACTGAGAAGGAGAAAGGGCTAATAACTGTGTTCAACTTATTACGACGTCAATCGCGAAGGCGAGAACCGCGCCTTCAGAGGACTTGCCCCTGTCGTTGGCGCGCGTCGTCTACCATCTAGCCTCGGTCGGAAAACCCTGCGTCGATCGGTAGATGAAGCTTAGCGTGGTTATGGGCCACTATTTTTACGTCTATTCTGTGGGTACTTTTCCGTGACAACTAAGTGGTAAGATGCTAGCAAACATGACAACCGCACTTTATAATACGAAGCCTGCCAACGTGTTGGAGTTCCATGAAAGAGACATGCATAACCTTCCATTTCAAGCTTAGCTCCGTCAGAACACGTGCGGACACATGGCCACCTCAGAATGCCTCGGCGCAACACCTTGATCATCAATGCTCAATAGAATCAAAACTCTCAGTCTCCCACCCTTTCACTTCACCCTCAATTCAAAATGGGCAGGCCGGAAAAGGAGAGTACCGCACAAATCGTCGTCATTGGCGAATCCGGCGTGGGGAAAACATGCTTCACCGACATGGTAATGTCCTCTTCTGATCGCTTCTTTAGCTTTCACGTTTATCTGTCTTTGCTTCCTATACTCATGGTCCACAGTTTCTCGAAGGCAAACCCTTCATCTACTACAGCGCCATAGGCCCCGACATGCGCAGTCGCAACCTGACCATCTCCAATGAAACCTGGTCCTTGCACCTCATGGACCTGAGCTCAACCGTACTGCGCGATCCTGATCCGACTTTCCATTCCCAATTCTTCGAGGATGCGCTAGGTAAAGCGGATGGTATCGTGCTACTCTACGACATTACTTCAGGAGAGAGTTTCGAAAAAGTGACAGATGATGCGTATATCTATACATGGATGTGCCGTCAACTAGAAAAATCTGCTGGTGAGAGATATCTCACAGGGAGGCAGAGGTTCGGGTGCGTCTTGGTTGGTAACAAAGCCGATATCGTGTCGGCTGATCCGGAGAAGAGACAAGTCGGGGCCAAGATGGCAGAACAGTGGGCGCACAGTCAGGGCTTCCGGCACTTTGAAGTAACCTCGAATAAAAGGACAGAGGTAGAAGACTCAGTGGAAGCGCTAGTCAAAAGTATCAAATTAGCTAAGAAACAGGACGCAGATGAGATCGAAGAGAAAAAGATCAGGGACAGGGAAAAAGAGAAAGAATTGAAGAAGACTCAACGCAGTAAAGGATCAATTGGAAATAAGCTCAAACTTGCATTCCGAACCTCAAAAACAGGCTCGTGAGGTTCTCACTCTTCATCGATAGTTCCGTGCGACCTGACCAGAAATCGGAAATCGCGGGCGAGAGTCAGGCGTAATCGAGCGCCATAGACTTATCATCATGGATATGAGTTGGTAACATCGTTATACATTCTGGTTCTATGGGACATCGCTTTCTTTTCTACCTGTCACATGTAGCTGACACTGGACCAACAACACGATGCGATCTGCTCGTGCGAATTTGGGGTAGATACCCCTCACATGTATCCAAGATCCAGAAGTCAGAAACGGAGCTGGTACGTCGAGACGCATTGTTGAAGCGACAGATCACGCTGTACATTGTCATCTGAGACATCCATAAGCGTTGTCATCGTCCACCAGAAGAGAAAATCGGAGTGAGTCGAGCGCCACTCAACGCTGTAAGAGACAACTGGGCTCTTGAAGAAAAGCGCATCATTCTAAGCGCTGATAACTTCCATGAGCACGTTTGAACCACTTCGGACTCAGTCGATGCGAAGTGGTAGATTTGCTTGCAGCCAGACTTGAAGTCCTACTCCTCCGCCTTGTCACGATCCTGCCCAGCTGCAACTTTGGACGCCGCATCTTGAACCGGGTCCTGATGACGTAGGTTCTGTGAAGTCATGGGCATGCCCTGAGAAGGTACGTACCCAGCTAAAGGCTGGAAGTTCGTTGGCTTCTGCTGGCCAACATAGGTGGGGAGACCTTGCTCGCCTTCAGAGAAGATGGGAAACATGAGCGGAGGGAACTGTTGTCGAGACATTGGCTCCAAAGGGTCGCGAACGGATTCGATCCGAGACATGAACGACGGAGACTTTGGGCCCTGTACGGGTCTACGCTGGAGTTGCGTGAGACGGCCAGAATTGGGGACGGCCTGACGAAGATGTGGAAGAGTGGGACCAAAAGTAGGATGATAGTCCTGACGCAGCTGCGCGTTCTGTTGCATAAGCTGCGCATTGCGTGTCTCCAGCTCCGCAATTGCGTTTTGTAGCCGCATCATTGTCATGTTCTGGCGTGAGATGGTAGATGACAGCTCACCCGTGGAATTACGGAGTTCTTTCATCTTGGCCTCACATTGAGTAAACCATTGAGTAGCAGTGTTTCCATCCTGATAAACCAGAGTCTCACCGTTCTTGATGTCGACCTCCTCGCGTGAAATTTGCGAGCCTACAGGAGACGGGACAACGCGACCCTCTCCGCGGTCGTTCGCAACCATCACTGCAATACGTGATCTAGCTTTCATAACGAAGATGGTGTCCATATCTGCGAGTGCCATACCTGGATACTCTTCATCCTTGATGTCGTTTGGGGTCATGTTGTACGTGATGTCTATGTACTTTTCGCGGTTCTTGTCTTTCTTGGTCGGCGCACGGTAGCGGTAGATGAAGACCCAGTCTGCGCCATATTCTTTCTTGCGGTGCTGGCAGTAAGCATCCAGGCGAGGCCCGAACTCCTGGGAGCCTCGGATGAGCAGGATAGAGAAGATAGTATTCCCGTTAGCGTCATAGGTGTTGCTGTGTATCTGGAGCGTGAGCGTTGGTTCGGTGGGATCTGTAGCGGGAGTTCGGGGGCGGTTCTGGGAAGTATCAGTATCAACCTAATTCGGCAGAAGGAAGGGAAACGCACCGGCTTAGTAAGCTCATAGAGTGTGTGCTGCTTTTCGACGCTCTGTGCATCAGCCATGCTCTCAAGGTCCGGTAGACATGGTTGAGCACTCTCTAGCTGTTTAGTAGACGATTGTGAAGATGGCAGTCGAGATCCCGGCGCACTTGCAAGGAATTGAGCACCGCGAGGTTGGTTCATATACCCGTTGGGAACGTCCTCGTGAATATGGAACTTGGCATTTTGAGCCGGGCGAAACCTACCCACGCGAGCATCCGGAGGATGTATATCCTCGAAAGAATGCTGGCCAAGGTCCATTTCTGTCACAGGGTTCCGGATCTGTGGCAGACGATACTTCCCAATGCCAGAACGTTGTTCATACCGAGCCAACATCGTCATATTATGCACGTGCTGTTGTTGACGGAAGAGCGCTCGTTGCATGCTCTGATTCAGATCGGAGCCAGCATATGGCGTGGAAGGATCGAAGGATCCCGAGGCAAACGAGTTTTGATTGGACATGTTAGGGAACATGGCGGGGGTGTCTGAGGTATCTACCCGAGGGAGGCGATTGCGTTGAGCATGCTCGGGTAAGATGCTAGATCTCGATACATGGGCTTCTATGATGTCAGCATCTATTGAGCCTGTGACAAATCTGATATTAGAATATATCTTCTCGTAAACGTACATTCTTGGTAATCGCGGAGCCAACTTTGGACTGCTTCATTCGATGTATGACGGTGGGAACGTTGTGCCCTACCTGGATCGTTATTGTAAGGAATTGCACTGTCACCATGACTCGCGATCCTCCCCTCTTTAACAGCGGCCGCAGGACGCTTGGCGGCGTGCTTCAATGGTGGACTGGTCTCTGGTGATTTGACCGCCTTGCGCTTCTCACGCTTGACTTTCGGACGCGTAGCGGCTGCTGTCTGCTTAGCCCTAAGCTTTCTAGACTGCGTAGGTAGACGCGCCAAAAGCTCTGGAGCACAGTCTGGCACTGCCTCTGTATATTTAGTGCACGACTTGCTTGTCTTCTCACAATTGGTACAGTTTCCGTCCTGTTGGATCGCATCGCATTGTGTGTTTCCGCTCTCGCAGCACTCGTCGCAGATCTTCCAGCACGACTCTTTCACATGGCGCTGATTACAGAGTAAGTATAACCTTAAATGGAAGTGGCGTGCGTAAACGAACCTCAGCAGAGTACTTCTTCCCCATCTGCGCATGGCATCGTGGACAAGTCCACAAGGTTACTTCGCCTACGTCTAGGCGGTTCCTCGCACACCTAGAACTATCGTCCTTTAGATGACGCTATAAGCCGGTCAATGCTTTGTACTGGTGTCTAGTATCGAGTACTACATACCTCGAGGCCCTTGTCGGTAGAGTAAGGTCTGTCGCAATGTTGACACGTGAATGACATGCAAGCTTCGTCATCACTGGAGTCATTCTCAGATGATTCCGCGCGTGCCGAGTCAGGAACATCCACACTACTATTCGCTGGCTCTTGGTGGTCGCCATTGTCGATTTCAACGGGAGTGGCATCTAGAGACGGCGCCAGCTTATCCGGCTGCTCGGAAGGGACGTCGGACAACGGGGAAGACTCATCAGCCGAGTATGGGAAGGTTGAGGCCGGAAAAGTCGCGCTGCAGCGCGCTTTAGCATTTGCCAGGATCCTGTTACGATGAGAACACTTACAAGCTACCTTCCTTGTCACCCTGCATTGTCCTGTTGTCCTAGGATATGATCTTCTCACTGTATACGCTGGTGGTCGAGGAAGTCGATGTCGGTCGCGCTCATGTTGAGAAGTGGAAACAATGTGGGGGGAGAGTCAACCTTGGAAAGTCGTAGCAAAGAGCAATTAGGCTAGCCGAATTCGTATAGTAAACTCCAAACAGCCTGTCTTTCGACGGAGTGAAACGTGAGCAAAGCGGTATATGCACCTTCACGTCGACTAGGAGACAGACCAAGGCTGTTTATGGGAAGGATCGAGCTTTCGGGACGTAAGATTAATGTTCCCATTTTACATGCTAAGATCGCAATGCACGGTGCAGTGGTAGTCGTTTTGCATATCGAGGATAGGAAGCCTGATACACAAGTGTTGGCCGGGATCCAATTTGTGAGTATGAGAACTGACCCAGTGAGGAACACAGCGCAAGACAGAAACATCGGAACTAATGAACGTAGCAAATATACCAAAGCGTGCGACAGTTTGAGATCCGTGACAACGAAGCATGCGGTATAGGAAAGAGACAAGGCTTACCTTGACTACGCATTATATAATGCAAGATAAACTTTGTGTATATTGAAGGCTACCCGGTCGACAATGTCTATGTAAAAGAAATTTACTATTCAGAACCTAGCTGACTACACCCTTTAGTAATGAGCAACCCGGGCGTAACCAAGAAACAGTATAAATAGAACCCATCCGATAGCAGCTAGATCCTTGGCAACTGTACTACCGGTATGCCGCCCGCTGCTTAGCGCGGTTTATAGTGTATCCTGGTATTAGTACAAACTATGCCCCGCTACTGTCCGCACAACATATTTTTTGCAGTCCACTGAAATCTTTACGACCTTCAATTTGTCCGCAACGTCAATAATGGCCTATGAATGGGATGTAGTGGTTAATTTTATCAAGCGTCATTACGAGAGATTGGTGAAAGCAGCCTACTTCGATCCCGCAGAAGTCCGATACCCTCCAGATGAAGGCTGGAACGATGAGCAGCTTACTGTTCATGTTCTCCGTACTTTTGGTCGCTCAGAGGAAGTAGTCGATCTCCTACGACATCTACTTTATATCAAACAGCTAGACGGTGACCACAAAGACGAAGTATACTTTGAGACCCAGCATCTTAGCTATCTGTGCGATAACTTGCCGTTTATATCTTTAATTGTAGAAGAGTGCCAAGAAAAACTACTGTCCGAAAAACTGCTGATGCCTCGTCCTACAGATTGGCCAGCTGGATTCATTTCATTAACACGATACCAACATGCGATATGGTGGATAATCGACACTGCGAAAGGTTGTTACCCATACATATAGACCACCAGAGACCTAACATTTATCCAAGGATCATACATCCGATAGGACAAAGTTACGTAGGGCCACCAAAAGATGAGCCTTAGCTACTAGGGTCTGTTCCACGCGACATTCAAGAATATTTTGACGAAATCTATAATGAAATTGAAGCATTGAAGATGGCCCCTTGTCCGAAGGAGAGAACCCGTGAGATAGGACAATCCAGCCGTACATATGGGACGCCAGAAGTGTACGTTGTGTATTTGCGAGTTTTGACGACGCCCTACTTATGTCTGTGATTTAGGTTGTGAGCCACACATTGCGGAAGCATGGCTGGCCTGATGATGTTGATCGAGATGGGTACCTCCAGGAGCTCAAGAAGGTACATCCAGAAACTTGACCGAGGTCACTGGGATGATATTCGGCCGGAGGCAATACAGTTTCGAAGAGATACACCAATTTCCAGACACAAGCAAGCACCCATACTGACAAGGTTGAGATAGTTATAAGTTTCAATAAAGCATATCTTTAATACATATGATCAGCGAACACTGAGACTAGGGCTTCCCGTACGCTCAGCTATACTTAAGCAGTGTACTCTGAAACTCTTCTTGCAAGTCCTAGATCATCACAGGTGATAACGACAGCACAATTTTTCTTTCAGCCGTTTATCAAAGTCTACCTATGACCTAACCGCTTACCAAACTAGCTCACAGTAATACTGCTAGTTCCGCTCGGCAACAACGTCCCATTGGAAAATCCCTCCGTACAGAGAATCATGTAATCATGGCCACCCAGCCTCATTCCAGCCTTCGACCAAGCATCATAATGCTTGCTCGTGGTGATGGTCCCACCGACGCGCTTTTCCGTCCGCACCGACCAAAACTGGGTGAACGTCCTGGTGCCCTCGATCGACGGCTTGTTGACGCGCTGGCTGGTGTACAGTTCATACGTGCCCTCTTCGAAAGTGAAGTTGCCCTTCTTCGTCCAGGGCTCACCAGGCGCGAGGATATCGTAGGACTCGATGATGTAGTACTCAATGAGTGGGTTGCGGGTCCACCCGTAGAGGGCGAGGTAACCGGGCCCTTTGGCATCGTAGGTGCCTGAGTACTTTACGGCTCTGTCAAAAGTGTCAGTAACTGTCCAAATTTAATTCAAAGATTGATGACTTGCCTTGAGCCTCCAGGCTTGAAACCCGTACCCGCAACGAAACCTCCACCTTTTTGGCCAGACCAGTTGCATGTATACTTCCCACCACCTTGCTGGTTGCAATTGAATGAGCCGCCGCCCTCGGACCAGAAAGAGTAGTAACCGCCCTGGCGGGCCTGGAGCTGCTTTCCTACAGTCTCATGGTTGATGAGTGTCGTGAGACCGTTGGGTGCGGTGAATGCACATGGAACGACCGCCAGCACGGCTGTTGCGAGGACCGAGAAAGAGACCATGGTGCTAATGAAGTCTGTCGCAAAGAAATCGATTCGATGACTATATGACTACCCCTTATAGTGTGGTACGACAGATGAACTGCAAGATCTGAAAAAAAAAAGCCCACGGAAAGGTGGAGCAAGCGCGCGTGACCCGACTATTGTGCTCTCCATTAGCCATGATGCTCATGTGGAGATCAAGTTGTGGGGTGGACGAGGGTTGGATGGATATAGCCAAGCACTGAAATATTACTGTCAAGTCCAAACATGCTATGGCCAAGACTGGGGTACATCATCGTACTAATATGCTTAATGCTACTGCAACGGCTATACAGTACCGAGCAAGGGTATTCTATATCCCGAGCTTTACTTCGAAAGACTGCGATTGGCGTTGACGCGACTGCCGTATTTGCCGGCGGCACTTCTGGCGAAACTGAAAAACATACCCAGATTAACACACAATTGCCGCCAATTGAATCCTTGACGCTCGATCATTGGCATACAAAGAGGAGCTACATTATAATGTGGCGTCAAGTTTCTGCGCGAAAGCAATGTGGGGTACCAGGTGGAACGAGAGACACCACAGTGATCGCCCGATCACGCCGCGGGAAGTTGTGAATGTATCGGTCACGTGTACAACGCTGCACCATTTGTCGTATCATGCCTGAAGAGTATTTTCCCCGGAGTATACTTGTTTCCTGTCGGTGCTCATCGCTGAGGGGCCGCACTTCACGTGATGGCAGATGTTGCTGATTCTAACGCGTGAAGCATTCGAGCGATAGGATGTGTACTCTGTGCTGATCACTCAAAGTACTTTCACAGAACCAGCGATAGCTTAACTAGGGCGTAGGCGCTTTGAAAATCCTCTTACTCTGTGCTGATGTCTTCTTTGCCATATCCAGGGCTTTTCTCAGCGCTATTCTTCGTAATTTCGACTTAGGCCAACGCATAGCTGACGCTTCTCGACTAGCCATGCACAATAACATACGAAATTTTACTGAATACCGGTCAGAGTACTGTCTATGCATTCCGCCCTTCAAATACTATAGTATGCGAGCCGTCGTCCTGCGACTCTGTATGGTGGCGCATGTTAATCACATTTCGTGGGATATAATTGTAGACTGGACGGGTCACAATCGGGACTGCGGGGACGGATCGGACACCGGGTCAGAGGGGAGGTGCTAGGCAACGATGGTAGCCTTAGCGCAATCGCTCCTTGAAGTGGAAATACTGGAGCAGAAGACGAAATGGAGCGAAATCAAGCGGATTAGCTGATTTTAGTTCTGGTGCACCGAATCAGGAATGCGGCTAGATCGCCGCTTGCCCCGCCCTTTTTGCCTCATTGTATGCACTGCGCAACAACACAGTCAGCGATCAGGGATTGCCGAAGACAATGCTGCGAAAATTCCTCTCCCCTCACTTTATAACGACTGTATTCCCACCATAGGTTCACCAATAATATCCACGATCCTCTCTTCGACTGTATTTATGTCGAGACATTTTTCGGCTCCCTTTGCACGTTCACGCCAGCGTCTTCCTTTATCTATTGCGCAATAGGTGTTTCATTATAGATCGCGCACTGGGCATGGCATCGCCGCAGCGCCTCGCAAGGTCATCTCATAAATCGTTGAAATAACTTAGGAAGTTTCAGCTAGATTTTCCGATACGAAAAAATGAAAACATCCTGCGATAGCGGCCGCTTCTTGTCCCCACAGCGAGAGCGGCTCTGCATATGATGGCTGGGTTGAATTGCGCTATCAGGCAGCTAAGTTACAGCAGGAACTAAATATATGGAAACAGAACTAGCTCTCTTCGAGATACTGATACTAGTCAGCAGGGCGAACAGGCAGTCTTTTCCAATGCTATAGTACTGTTGTAACTGTGGCGGTGGGCCCTAAGGCACCTTGAGACCACCATTGTCTTCCCAACCCGAATCCCTTCCTACAACTCCCTTCCGCTTCAATTCTACGCTCAAAACCTCTCGAGTCATAATCTTAACAAAACTTTTGCTTTGTTGCCCAGTCGCACATCACCTTTCCAACACAGCTGCAGCACTTGCAAACCTGTACGTTCCTATTAGTCAGTCCACCCTTGTGTCTCAAACTACGTTTGCACTTTATGCATACGCACCTTCTTTTGTTTGACCGCATTATCTGTTCCATCAATACACGTCAGTGTCTGCGCATTAAACCGAAATTTGTTGTAGCACGCATTGGCGTTGATGACGGCCGCGCAATCGTCGCTTCTCGCGACTTCTTTGGTGCACTCCGGATATGTTTGAGCATACGAAAGGGCACAAAAGAGGGTGAAAAAGTGGAGACAAAGCTTCATGTTGAAAGCGGGATCCGTGCGTTGAAAAAGATGTTTGGTACGAGAAGAGAATATGTCAAAATATGTTATGTTGGAGCCTGCGCGATGTTATCATCGATTACTGACCTGTGTAGGGTCCGGCTTCATATATCCGGACTTAGTGTACTAGCCTTCGAAATGCCAGGTTGACTTCAATGCATCATACCGGGTTCGAAAGAACGTGTCTGTAATGGGCAACATGTCAGTGCTTGGTATCTATTGGTAGGGTCGGCCGAATATCTCCGTGCGTTTGTGACCTCTGCTCTCCTCTCTATCATATCTATACTGTCACGATGGTGACGACTACCGCCAATCAGCACGGCAGCCATATGTTGACTCCACTACTCATGAGGCAAAGTTGGTCAATCATCCTTGGCGAAGCAGCGCGCATTCGCTACGCGATATTAGCTTACATTACCCTAGAATTCGGCTCTTGGTAGCCTCCTCAACACGGACGGCAGTTATCGGGAGCTCGGAATCATTGTCAAAACATCATCATAAGAATGACGATATGTTCAAGTAACGGACAGCTCCACTTCACCACTGGCATAGTCTCTACTCCAACATAGTCACAATGGTGAACTTGAAGACTTTCATCACTGCATTTGGGCTGCTTGCTCGCACAAATGCAGGTCTGTTGCGCTTTGGATGTGCACAATTAACCGTACAGCGTCTGGATCCATTAGTGAACCCCGGCTCTAACCCGTCGCCGCATCTCCACCAGATTATCGGAGGCGTAAGGCTCTAAAGCTTCGAAAGGCTGATTTAATACTTACTTGCACATAGAACTCGTTCAATGTAACTATGGACCCCCAGAAAGGGCATGACCTCGCGAAGCTATCGACTTGCACGACCTGCGAGTTCAGCGAGGATTTCAGTGAGTGAAGTCAAAGGGACTTAAGCATTACGATCCCAGTCCTAACATCTGTGATAGGTAACTATTGGACTGCCGTAGTCTACTTCCGCGCTAAGAATGGCACTTTCAAACGCGTACCACAACGAGCACAGCAAGGCATGGACGGTACGCAAGGCGGCATGGTAAGTCTCCAAATCGGTTCCCAACCTCTTCATCTTCGACTAATCCGATTACTAATATCTTGACTAGGTGGTATACTACATGACAGATGCACTCTTCGACACCGCCCAAGCCTCCAAAGTAACAGCTTTCAAGCCGGGATTCCGCATGCTCATCGGCGACGTCAGCTACCGCAACCGAGAATCCGCTCGCGACTTCCGCCAGCTAACATACATTTGCATGCAAAACGAAGGCACCCGAGAGCCCGAGACACTGGAATTCCCCACTAAGCCCTGCCCGTCCGGTATCATGATCAATCACCGCTTCCCCACATGTTGGGATGGCGTAAATCTCGACTCGCCCAATCACCGCGAACACGTCGCTTACCCCGAGACCGGGACATTTGAAAGCGGCGGTGCATGCCCCTCGACACACCCCGTCCGCCTTCCGCAGATCCTCTTAGAGACGGTGTGGGATACGAAGCAGTTTAATAATAAAGCGGATTGGCCTGCGGATGGCAGTCAGCCGTTCGTCTGGTCCTCTGGAGATAAGACGGGCTTTTCGACGCATGCGGATTATCTGTTTGGGTGGAAGGATGATAGTCTGCAGAAAGCTATGGATGGGCATAATTATGTGAGTGCGCCAACGTTAAAGAAGCAGAATATTGCTACGCAGAATAAATGCAATGTGAAGGATATGGTGGGTGAGCAATTCGATGGATGGCTGACCCAGTTGCCGGGGATTGCCATGGTTGATTAGGATTGGTAATCAGTGACGGCTGAGGTATTTAGAGTAGGCATAATGATAACTGTCATTGTACAAATTCATCCTGCTGCAGATAGGTTTTCTATGTTATAGCAGCCCACAGCGCCACTGCATCTACCGCGATACCATCTCCCCGCGCAACAATAATTGCCATGACCTTCCTAGGACTCAGTGGCTTGAGATCCCATCCCAGACAAACAGGCCGCTGAGGCGTATGCTTCAAAGATACAGCCCAGGACTCCGTGCTACTCTTCTCGAGATACGCTTCCTGTCCGTCAAGATAAATCTGCAACGTAGTCTCCTGAAAGTCGACGGAGATAGTGCCCGAGAAATGTAGGAGCAGAGTACCATCACTTTGCCTCGTGGTAGAGACACCTGCGCAGAGATCTAGGCGTCGACTATCTTTGTGTGGTGTCAATTTTCTTGTGATCACTGTATCTGTGTCCAGAGGAGGAGTCAAAGGCGGGCTGATCCGTCTCTTGGTAGCTTGCTCAAATGCATATGCGTATTCAAGCAACTTTACATCTTCATATGCTTTTCCAGCGAAAGTCAAATTGACTGGCATGCCCTTTTCGGTCATGATACCCATCGGCACGCTCACAGTCGGTACACCTAAGTGTCGAATCGCTCGGTTTCCGTTGGAGTACTTCACGCCATTTTGTAGGCTATGCTGTGTGCTCTTGAGGTTGAATTCTAGATCTGCTACTCCAACGTCACCTTGTGCAGGGAATGCAATGACGTCTAGCTTGAGTGTGTCCATCCAGTCTTCGAGGTCACGTTTACGTTGGCGTTCAAGAGCTTTGAGGGCTTGCGATAGGCCGGGCAGGTCGTATATGGAAATATTCTTCACTTGGGAGAGAAGAGCAGGCAGGCCAGCATAGTCGATCCAATTTCGTACTTCGAGAAAGGTGTCTGGCTTGTAATCTTTGGGCTTGGGAAAAAGCATCCTCGGGTCTTCTATGTCTGCCAATGCTTTGATATCGGCGTCGCCGTTCTGCTCGAGGAAGTCATTCCACGCCTTCGCAATGAGAATTCCGCGCTCTACTTGATGCCAATCCGACGGTGCATCCACGACGTTGTTTGCTTCTCCAGACACGGACTCATTCTCGTACCTCGTTACGAGTGGAAAATCCGTGTATATGATCTCTGCTCCAAGGAATTTCAAGTTCTTTGCTGCTTGCTCCCATAACTGGACGACTTCGAACGAAACATAGGGATGTTTTGCATGCTGATCTGAGTCTTTCAGATTGATGTACATATTCGGTACTCCGATCCTCTTGCCTTCTAGTGCCGATAGCTTCCGCAACGATGTGTAGTCGGTCTGTTGCGGCTTGGGGATCGGAACATGAGGCTGCTCACGCCAGAAGTCTCCTTTGGTCTCTTCATCCGGCGCCGCAATTACAGCCAGGATCTCGAGCATATCGCTCATAGACCGCGCATATGGAACGGGCACGTCACACGTAACGTACAGTGGCCAAAGACCTCGGCAGCTCAATATCCCTCTTGAAGGCGTATAGCAGACCAATGCATTGTTTGACGCTGGACTGCGGCCACTACTCACCGTCTCGCTGCCCATGCCAAAGATCGCCATACTCGATGCTATCGATGTCGCCGCACCATTTGAAGAGCCAGACGAGAAGGCTCCCGTAAGGTACTTTGAGTTGTAGGGAGACTCGGCACGGCCATACAGTCCCCTCTGCATCCCTCCCGCCGCCATGGGTGGCATGTTAGTCTTCCCAATCAGTATCGCCCCCGCATCTCGCAACTTCTTTGCAATCGCTGAATCCTCACTCGACATCAATCCTTCGAGCGCAGGGGAGCCATTCGTAACGCTCAAGCCAGCATATTTGTAGCTATCTTTGATTGTGTAGGGGATACCTTCGAGAGGCCGTGGCGGCAGACCCTGGGCTCGACGTGCATCAGATGATGCCGCTTCCTTGAGCACCTGGCAGTTCAAGACTGTAAGTGCATTGAGGCCAGAGACAGTATCGTAGGCTGCGATGCGGTTTAGGTAGCTGATCGCGAGGGTGACGCTAGTGATTTGGCCAGATCCGAGGGCTTTTCGGTGGTCTTCGATGCTTGCCTCCACGATGCTGAAATTGCCATCGTTCGACTCCTTCAATGTGGCCTAGTACCGAGTTAGTCCTAGATATTGATATACAATGCTCAATGCTCAATGCTTGCCATTGCTTCGTTTACTCTCAGAGATAGATCTATCAAGGCGAATGCCTGGTGGCTTATAATTGACTGTCAATTCTCAGTAACGGTGCAAGATGTTATCGACCAAAGGATTTATAGACCAGACAAAGAGTCTTGTTTGTGAAAAGTGATTGAGGAGGTCGTTGCTTCCCGAGGTCCTTCCTTCAAGCTAGTCAGCCTGCTGTACCTTCCATGAGGGGTTAGTACTCCAATGGTATATCTAATCAGAGCACTTTACTCCACCACATTCGTTGCGGGGAGCTGACACATCATAATACTTGAGCCACTTCACGCCAGGCAGTGGATTTCCTTACGTGCAAGGAAAGTAAATGCAATGCATTTAGAGTATTCTAGTAATTGAAATGATGATGCGTTCGACGACGAGAATGACCAGGGATATTTCGGGTGACTTGCAGATGTATCCTCCCAAAACCATAACCATCAAACGCTATATATGCATATCAAAACTCCAGCTGTGTTGATTTGATCCAAGATCCAGACACTTCCATGTATGCATTTAAGCTTCCATCTACGCTGTCGCAGCCCACAGCGCTTTCGCCCTCGTAGTTCCTGCGACCAAACCACAAGCACCCATCCAGCCTAGATTCCAGCCTGGGATCCCGCCTGTATTGCTACTAAAGTGCAGCGCCATAGGAAACCACGCACTCGCAATCATCAGGTCCGTCCACCACCTCGTATCAAATTTCGCATCCTCGTCGTCCTGGTACGCTGCGATCGCTTTGCCCTCGCTCACCATCAGCCTCCTAGTCGCCCGTCTGCGACTTTCGAGCTGCCACTCTCGCGCGAGACGTAGGAAGTCGCAGGATATGCCGCCAAGCCAGGCACGGTACGCCCAGAGGTATACGCGCGCGGTTTTGGAGTCGCCGCGGTTTATAGCGGAGATGAACGTGGAGGAGACGACGCCTGAATCAGCGAGGAGGGACACATTTTCTAGGGCCTGGTAGGTGAAGTAGCTGCTTGCTTGCAGAATTGCAATTCGGTGCAAGACTACATCCGTACCTGGCTTTGGGCCTGAGACGAGTGTTCGCAGCCATGTATAGAGCGGGAAGAGGCCGAATAGTCTCAGGGTTGTGCGCGCTTTCGAGATGAGGACAGCGAGCGCGGCAATGGGTGGGACGCCGGCATTGCTGATAAGGGTTGTAGCGGGGGGCTTGGTGCCGGCGTAAGAAGGCCGGATGAGGGCGAGAAGCTTCTGCGCAAAGCTGGATATCGCGTGGGACTTGGTCTGTACGTATGCGAGGATGTATAGCGAGTAGTTGAATGTGGAGAGGAATGCGGAGAGACCGCCGGGGGAAGCTAGTAGCCTAAGGTTCCGGATTAGTTGGGGATCCAGACCTCACAGTGAGGCTACTGACTTGTTCAATCGCAAGATGGTCTTGTCAATTTGCTTCAACCCCGAGAGTGCATCGACAGGTGTCAATCCGCCTGGTCCAGCACTTGGTGCGGCGTCCGCAATCTCATCCGCGATAGCCCGAACATCGGGTACACCGGGTTTTGTCGTCTCATCAGAGGACATCGTAGTGAGTTCCTGCTAGAATATATACAATTGACGTATGCAAGAGGCCCAGGAAGTTTGGGTAGAAAGAGGGTAAGGGTGACGCGGGGAGGTTAGCTTCTCCGCATCCACCCCGTGGGTTGGGACATGACTCGGAGCCGAGGTTCAGCGTCAGCGGGCTGGATGGTTCAACTTTCTTTTTAACTTTGACATTCTTGCTCTACTGCATTATTTAGTACTAGTGCCGTTTGTTAGCCATCATTTCGCATATATACACAAATTCTCTTACCTATCGAAGCGAGCTGACGTATGATGCAGCTCACCAATGTGCTACCCAGCGCTTGAGCAGGCATGAAGAAAGAGAAGGATATGCTACCGTCTCAAGTAAGGAAGAGAGAGCACTCAAAGTAGTATGAAGTGCTAGAATATGTCTGGAACCAACGGCGTCAGTTCAAGCGTGAATATCTTCAAGTGTTGGAGACACTTACTGATTTTAAGTAAGCGGTATCTCCTCCAAGACTTCCGAGTAGTGATGCCAAAGAGATAAGGTTATCCCAGACTCGCCCAATTCTCTGTTCATTGCCCTTTCATATGTTGGGGGGGGGGGGGGGGCGCCGTAGAGCAGGTGGCGACAGAGTAATCATCTAATACTTCGAACTACCAGCATGATGAAAATAGCTCCCACACAGGGTTCCAGCACTCTAGATCAACGACTGGTACAGCGCCATCACCGCACTAGATAGTACAGTATCTAGACTGACCTATTGTGGCTGTGTGTTGATTCAAACGACAGCATATGCACAACGCCATTGGAGACAGAGTGAGACAGTGTGAATGTAAAGCAAGGCTCTCTAAACTGTAGCCTTTACAATGCTAGTACAAACAGCCCCAAACATGGTTGGATAAACTCCTAGAATTGATTCAACTCGTAAACTGCCGAAGTAACTCATACTTCACATAGCTAAGTCAACCACGAAACATATTGTGTTGCTACCATGAACCAAGCTCATATACCTCCTAATCCACCGCAACGCGGGATCAAACGCACAACACCTCTGTCGACGAAGTCTACTCACCGAAGCAACTAGCCAACATCAAGCAACCCAAGACAGATTACTTCAAGCCGGCCCAGACTAAGATGGTCTACGACTTCGCGATCCCAGAAGCACTCACACAGCTCCGTGCGAAGATTGACCAGCCCCATAGTATGGGTATGATCATCGGCGTGATGCTATACTACATCGCCCCTCTACTATCAACACATTTAGATAATGCAGCTGCCTTCCAGAACAAAGTGCCCGACGCGTTAAAGTGCATGACGGGATTCGTTACAGCAATCGATCAGCACATTGCTTACCTACGATTTACCTACGGGTGCTCGGAGAGGTTCCCTGACGACACGATGGTTGATCGCAAGGGACGACGCCCACGGAAAAAGTACATGGAGCGATATACGTATCTTGTCGAAGCCACGTATAAGCATTGCATTCGGGAAGGGTTACGCGACATTTTTCAGGCTTGGAGAAAAGAGCAGACGCGGGATTTCAATAAGGGTGTCGATATAGTGCTCTCGGGTATACAGTGGGTCGTGTATCCGGAGAAGAATGTTGTCGTCGAGGTTGGTGAGGGCGACTGGGCTGTTTGGCTCAGAGCACAGTGCGAAGAACTTGGTATGGAGGAGGCGAGGGCGGGCAGAAAGCTGCTTGAAGACATGTAGATGCCTGGGATGTAGATGTAGAGGCTGGGGACGTGGATCGATCGCCCGTCAGCTCCACTAATGGTAGTTGATTCATTGATAGAGAACGAGAACTGGTTTGGCTTGAGATGGGAAGAGCGTGATGGTCTTGTCCTGCTTGTGATTGCCAATCAGTAGCTGTTTCGTGACGTGGAGATGTTGCTGTGCTTCGTATGCGCTGTAGAAACACTGGGGATCCATTCGAGCCAGCTCGCCGCTACGTGTGCGTTCGCATATGTAGTACACGGAGGTTGCCAGGTGGAGTGATTGTTTGGACTAGGAACCGTTGGGCAACGCTGCAGAACCAGGGTTCGCTGCCAAGCCGCTCGCTTGCGACCATGCCTGATGCAGTCGGGCGTCCGTTGAAACACCATCTCGAAACCATTGCACAGCCCTTTCTCCTCAGCGCCTACTCTCAGCAGCTTCTGGACCTTCGAGGCAGTCATTCCTATCTCATCTTCAAGTCAGTTTGCATACAAACCGCAACAATGGCTGGCCGCTTTGTGAGAGCCTCCAAGTATCGTGAGTGGTTTGTACAGCTTCAGCTAAGCTTACGGAACTAACATTCGCAATTTAGGCCACGTCTTTGGTAAGGGCACGAAGAAGGTACAAACAAAATAACTGGCATACAAGGTCCAGTGCTAATAGAGTTCTAGGAGCAATGCTACGACAACCTCCGCATCTCCAAAAATGCCTGGGACACAAACCTGATCAAGGTGCGCACAGCCGCTCACGCGACCTCGAGACACACGCGCTCATACCTCACAGGCCAATCCCGAATACATCTCAGTCAATTGGGAAGCCAGCGGTGGTGGCGCCTTTGCCGTCATCCCCATCAATGAACGTGGGCGCGCGCCCGATCAGCTCCCCCTCTTCCGCGGACATACGGCTGCCGTTCTCGACACCGACTGGTACGGGCGCATACTCGATGAGAGAGCAAGGGACAGCGCTAAATATCTCGCAGGAGTCCCTTCAACGACTCGCTCATCTCGTCTGCCTCGGACGATGGCAAGGTGCGATCCGGCTGTGTACATTAGGTAGAAAGACTCTCACCATGTCTAGGTCTTCATCTGGAAGGTGCCGGAAGGCTTTGCATTACATACGGATGCTGAGGAGCCCGCCGACGTTGCTCCAGTAGCGAGACTCAGTGGGCACATGAGGTACGACCACGCGCTTTCGCATGCAATTGCTTCTAACGTCTGCCCAGGAAAGTTGGCCATGTCCTCTTCAACACCGCCGCCGAGAACGTTCTTGCCAGCGCATCTGGCGACTACACTGTAAAGCTATGGGACGTCGAAGCAGGCGCTGCAAAACTCACGCTCAAGCACAACGATATTGTGCAGTCGCTGTCCTGGAGTCCCGATGGATCGCTACTAGTCACCACAAGCCGAGACAAGAAGCTGCGTCTATGGGACGTGCGACAGGAAAAGCCTGCCCAGGAGGTCGCTGGACACCCAGGCGCGAAGAACAGCCGCGCTGTGTGGATGGGCGAGACGGATCGCATTGCGACGACCGGCTTCTCCCGCATGAGTGACCGTCAGCTGGGTCTCTGGGATCCACGCAACCCGAAAGAACCCATTGGTGGCTTCCAGATCCTCGATTCCATCTCTGGTGTTTGCATGCCTTTCTGGGACGATGGCACGCAGTGTTTGTACCTAGCGGGCAAAGGGTGAGTCCTCCGCGGCGCCTGCCGTAGACGATACTGACTATTACAGTGACGGAAACATCAGATACTACGAATACGAAAATGACAAGTTCGAATACTTGTCCGAGTACAAGTCGGGCGATCCTCAGCGAGGTATCGCCTTCCTTCCCAAGCGCGGCATCAACCTTCATGAGAACGAAGTGCTCCGCTGCTTCAAGACCGTGAACGACAGCTACGTCGAGCCCATCTCCTTCATCGTACCCCGCCGATCCGAGATGTTCCAGAGCGACATCTACCCACCGACAACGGGCCTGAAGGCCGGTACAACATCGTCCGAGTGGTTTGGCGGTAAGACCGCTTTGCCCCCGAAGATCTCCCTAGAGAGCGTGTATGACGGTGAGGCTCCCAAGGAGGTCGCATCCGATTACAAACCTCAACAAGCAGCACCAGCGCCCTCACCGACCAAGTCTGAGCCACCAAAGGCTGCCGCAGAGCCTGCGCCCACACCTGTAGCGTCGCGTGGACCACCACCATCGATGAAGGACAACAAGGACTCGCTAGCAGCTGGAGCATCGAAGTTTGCAGACAAAGACGACGTCTCAGACAACGAGAGCACATCCAGCTTCGAAGAGGTGTCAAAGCCAACTGCGCGCCACACGGTCACTGCCTCGCGGCAAGAAGAGAAGACTAAGGGGCCAGTTATTACCAAGGAGCCAGAGCAGCCCAAGCCTACTGCTGCACCTACCCCTGCGCCTACATCCGCACCTAGTTCTGGTGGCCCTGGTGCGGCCCTTCGAGACGCGCTAGGCGATATCAAGTCGCAGATCGAGCACCAGAACAGAGTCATGTCGGATCAGTCTGATCAGATAGCACTGCTTCTGCGCGAAGTTGGCCAACTCAAGACCAAAGTAGGCTCGCAAGGGCCATCCGATCGCGAAAAGGATGAGCGTATCAGGCAGCTCGAACTAGAGCTCGAGGAGGCGAGGTCCTAAGCTTGCAAATCGACGATTGAAGATTACCTATACCTCTTGATAGACTGGAGGTGAGCTTGTAGTCATGAGCATAGGCTTGAGTTGGTAGCGAAGTTGGATAGACGATTGGACGGCGTAAGCCTTGCCTTTTTTTCACTGTCATTGTTTGTTGAGCAACCATGTGGCTACGGGGAAAAAACCGACGAGGGTTGACGTGTGATGATTGAGAGGTGGCTATTTGTGTATGCGTATTGTACTCTTGCTTTGTGAGCAAGGTGTTTGGGTTAGCGGCATTTTGTAGGAAATCCATTCAGTCATTCATTTTCTGCTGACCTAAATCTTTCGTTGCGAAAGAGCATATCTTTCCTACTTGTCGACGTGCGCAGGTTCGCCTAGGACGCCACAGGCATTTGGGGCTCCGAGACGAGGAGCGCCTTGCCCTCTTAGTACTTTTGCATATAGTTGTTTGCACGCCGTCAGGGCAAATAGCTAACGCAGATCCAAAAGAAACAATCCTTTCTACCCTTAATCTTATAACTACCCTCATCTCTAGTTTAGTCATACTTTTGACTGCCCAGTTCTTGGCTCATGGTCAGTTTCCAACGCAATTCGAACAAACATGGTGTCGGTGATAGACGTACTTTGAGGCGTGCTTGTAACATTGGTGGAAGAGATGAGTTTCCGTGATTGTTGTAACGTCGTCGAGCGTTAATTTTGTTTGATCTGGTTTGATTTCGTCTGGTTCGGTATAATCTGGTTTAGTTTAGTTTCGTTTAGCTTGGTAGTAATTTCTTCTGGTTTGGTCTGGTGTGATCTGGTTTGGTTTAATTTGATTTGTTCTGGTTTCGATACTATGCCGTTTAGTGTGTTGCAACACCACTTTTACAGTTGCAAAGAGCTCTCCGAGCTTTATAAGTTTTTCTTCTCCCTCGGGGCACAATATTAATCTGGGTTGGTTTAGTTTAGTTTAGTTCGGCTTGGTTTGGTTTGATTTGGTTTGTTCAGTTTGTTCAGTTTGTGCTGTGCGATCAGTTACAGCATTCATCTTCAATATATCAATACAGTGTGTGCATCATGGCCATCTTTCACCGCCTCGCCATCCATGATGCCGTGAACATAAGCATCGCCCACCAAGGTCAGCCTGTTCGTCTGATCACCAACATCACCCCGCTCGAACTTGCGCATAAGAAACGGTACCTTCCCCCCGTGGAAAACCCACACTTGATCTCCTGGCAGGGTGTGGGGTGGGCCGATACCTATATAGCCCGACTCGGTGATGAAGAAAGCGTGATTGGGTACCATGCCGCGAAGGGATTCGAGAACAGGATTAGGGACTTCGGGCTTTCCCTGCGCTATTCGGTCCCTGGCTTGCGTGAAGGGCTTCTCATGTGAGTCTTTGGCGCGTTCGATGGGGAACTCGTCCATGATTAGGTCGCCTATCATGGCCCGCCATAGAGCTGAGCTCCACGATCCGCCTCCGGGATACGTTTTCAGGTCTGTTTGAGAAGCCATGAATCGTTGTACTAGTTCTTCGGAGCTGGACATGATGTCCCAAACTCTGCTTCTGAGTAAGGGTTCATCGTCCGCAACTGTGTATACCTCGTTGACATCCAACACCTGATCGACTAGGGCTCCAGTCAGAGCAAGAGTCTTTCCTGCATTTGAGACTGCGAATTGAAGCTCTCGTGTACCGCCGGCCGAGAACTGTCCATAGCGATGGGAGTGGCCCCACCACTTTAGTTGGCGCTTGCCCACGCGATTAGAACATGCAAAGTCAATAGCCCAAGTCGGCAACTGTAACGTTCTATGCGCCATCTCGCTAGCAGCTACCAATGGCCTGAGGCCTCCTTCATATCGAATGAGATCCAGCGTGACCTGTGAAAATAACAAAGGCACAGAGACCAAGTAACTGCAACTCTGCGCATTTGGCAGGATGTTTGCAGGAAGCAGGCCCAATAGAGCGTATACTTTGTCTCGCGGGTCTGTGGCTTGTCGATGACGCCACCGCATGAACAAGTCCAGCGGCTCTTCGCCATTCTGAGAGTGCAGGAATCCGTGTACCGGATATAACAGCCATCGAAGTAATTCATCATGCTGTCTGCGTCGTGCCTGGAACGCGACCGAGAAGGAGGTCAAGTTGCCGCGCGGTCCGTGTTTGAGGCGTCGAGCTACAAGCATCACGTCTTTGCGCGATATTGAAAGGGGCCCCCAGACTAATTCAGCGGAGTCTGGGAGAATGGATTCCTGAATGGTCCAGATTCGCTGCCACCAGGGATTGCCATACATAGCGAAGGCAGCAAAGGCTTTCCGAGCCTTTTCGCCTTGGTGGCCATCTTGTAATAGAGTTGGGAGCTCCTGTTCAGAACGCTCGCGAGGCAGCGCAAGGTCTTTCTCTGCTACTGATGTTATGAAATCGAAAACAGCTTCCGCATCCTCCTGGCCGAAGCCCTGGGTGGCATCGGGGATCTCTCCGAGCCACAATACGCAGTGAGAACAAGCTCTATAGGTATCTCTCATCAACGAAACCTGTATCTCTTTCTCGCTGATATCCCACTGATTAATGCAGAGTTGGTCGATCCATATCGCGCGTTTCCTGTCAGAATATCGGAGGCGTCTGAGGGCAGAATAAAGATTTAGCGTGATGAGGACGCGCTGGCCTGATACTTCAATGCTCTTGGTGTCGGGGGACTCTCCCCAGACGTACGACAAGGCCTCGTAGGCTGCATTTCCGTCAAGACTTACTATTCGAATGTCACATTTCACGACATCGTTCCAGCTGCCTGGCAATAAATCTAAAACGCGGATTTCGCGGCCGGAAGGGCGGGGTGCTTCTACTCATATTAAGCGATGGCTCGAAGAAACGGTGGCTGATAGATACCGGAAGATCCCATCATCGAAGCCTGGGTTCTCTCTGCTACAGAGAACGTTTCGTTAGTAGCGATGCGCTCATCCTCGCAAGTGAAGGTTTTGTGTCGCCGATGGTGACTTGTGGGTTGGCCTCGTCAGCGGCAGGCTGACTACTGGAAATCAGTTCCTTGGCTGCAGCCCCATGTCTACCTACTCAGCTAAGAGTTCTTGTTTGGTCTGAAATTCGCATTCTTTAAATTTTCAAATTTATGATCAACCAAAGCCCCCTTACCAAACTCTTTTTGAAGACATCGAATAGTTTGTGACCACGGTGGAAGCTAACCTCGGCACCTGCGGTTCGTCGTGCGCGGAGCGTCCCCATCGAGCTTAGAAAATACTCTATCCGGATCATCTCTATCGTTGAGGCATCGAAAACATGCCGAATAAAGTTGGAAAAGGCCGCGTTTTGATGCCAAACGGTTTTACTCATGTGGCAAGAGGGGAGGCAGTGCGATAACAGTCATTCCGCTTCTCCGAGCGACCTCCATACCAACTCCACACTTCCAGACATGCTCTCGCAAGCTAATATCGACGCCATGATATCCACGATCATATTGTGAGTTATCCATGATGGGATTCGAAGTGACGCAGCTGATATTATCCGTAGCGGATCTACTAGAGCAGAAGTTTTGCATCGGGTTCACCGGAGTCACGCTCCGTCGCATCGACGCTTGCCGCTCAGTAGCATCTCTACCAGCCATACTGGCGCGAGCTAGAACCTCTCATTTCCGGCCGAAAGCTGATATTACCGGAGGATTTTACGCATCCTTCGTTATGGGATGCCGCGCAGCCGCTGACAACGCGCCCAGCCCTGCAGAAAGCTTACGCAGCTGCTGCACAACGACATCATCCATCATCACTCATCAAATACACCTGTGGCACAGGCAAGGTTGCGGCACCAGTCGGGAAGCTGACCTTGGGTGACCTTGCTGAGACATTCATAGCCAAGCGCTTGACTGGAACTTGGCAAAGCTTGTGCCCCGATTTTGTGAGGCATTTTCTGACGCCACAAAGCTTGGTTACGCTTGGTTAAGCTTAGCCTCGTAACTCCCCCTTGTCAACATGCAGGGCGACCAGGTCTGATGCAGCTGTTTACGAGTGTCACGTCGGGGAGCCAGTCATGTTCCGTGGAGCACACTGCCAGAAGAGCTGAGCCACCATTCCTGTGGTCCTTCGTTTTCAGCTGCGCCTCTTGAGATTGGTGTAGAGGTGTTTTAGAACCGATAGTATGGGGTGTGAGGCGGTGTGGAGGCCAGGCAACCAATGGAACAGATGGCAGTGACCAGGCATCGAAACTTGGACACGCGGACCCTATGTCAAGGTCGGCTGGGTGAGCCTGAGTCCAGTCAACATGCTGGGGCTTACCAACGGCTATGACGATTCTGGAGACGCTCCGGGTCAATAAACACATAGGACCCGTGATTGGTGTGGTGCCAGGCAAAGTATAAAGAGAGGCTACTCTACCCACGAACACACCTCATCTCCTCGTTCATCTTCCAAAACACAGCAACACCTCGATTTCTGAAGTCCTCGTCAACCAGGTACATCGACAAGAAGCTACCCACTTCTTAACCTCCAATCCTACACTAGCCAGTAAGACCCATGTCTTCAGCCTCGTGGTCAAATCAAGACTGACATTCGTAGACCTCACAACACACAATCAACATGCCTGCCAGCATCGCTTCCTCCGTCTCCTCCATCATCAAGCCCCAGCCCGTCCTCTCTTGCGGCGAGTCCTGCGATTGCTGTGGTTGCGACGAGTCCTGCTGGTGTGTCGTCATGTAAACGGTCGACAACCAACACATGTACACGGCGATAATGATTGGATGTGAAGGAGATTTTTAGCGCGGAGGCGGAGTTTGGGCACGTCGATACCTTCATCAATCCATTTTCTTATCAACTGGTCTCCTTGTCGTCACGATGGATTGTCTATCAAATGTATCATGACAACACGAAGTTGTTTCCACATGGCCAATGTGATGCTATCATACGTCGTTGCCGACAAACTGCTTCTAGTGTTTTGAGCTCCTTCTCACATGTGAAGTAAGACATTTTCTCATAAGCACAAGATTACGGCAAAGTGACATGCCAACAGTAAAAATAAACATCATCGAGATCGTATATACCTTCTGGGCTCGAGTACTTAGGTGTCCCCGTTCTTGAAGAATTCAACAAGTATAGGAACACCAAAAGCGTAGTGGATGTGCACAAGTAACCCACTGTCCGACCCAGACCCAGGAGCTTGAAACCACTTGGTACTGCCTTTTGGAAGATACCAGCGGGATCTTATCTCTTACTGCTTTCTCGAAGTGCCGCCAAGCTCTTATCGCCATAACTCCGAAATACATCCTCCTTATAGTAGGCATAGTTAGCGATCTAAGCAATCTGCCTTTCTCACTGGCCATAGCCCGGTTCTTTGCCAGCAGCCCTTCAACCTTTGCATGGATACGTTCATTATCCAACTGCGAGTCCCACGTCGGATTCGGAGGACGATGAACAAGGGACCATCATCGGGATCAATGTCCTTCGCATTGTCTCCGCATCTCTTTGAATTTAGAAGCAGCGCCTTGGTCAAAGTGAAAACTCCGAGAGAAGATATGAGACCTTCCGCAACTTTCAACGAGTCCAGTAATTCTGACCAGGCTTGATGCGTATTTGCCACGAAGAAAACATCTGGTCGTATTGCGTGGGTGGCATTAAACGATCTAAAAGAGGTCTGACTGATTTCACCAGGGTGCTGATTTCAACGACATCCGTGGGTTTTGTGCCAACGCTCTAGAACGTCTTGCCGATTATGCGTTCAGAAGATGGCAACAGGCTCGATATTAGCGTCTCAAAGTACATATGGCATGTGTTAGGTAATGATGTGCTTATGTTGTGCAAAAGTTAGCTAAGATTTTCCAGGTGTCAGAGTATAGAGCTCACTAACTATGCAATTATAGATTATAGGAGCTCGCTAACTATGTTATCAGCATGTAGACCATGCAAGACGTATAACGACTGCTCAAGACAGAGTCGACAACGCCCCCATAACGATCTTCGAACATGCCTTATCGTACTTCTCAGGTTTGGCAAACGTTGCCTTCGGCTTGTTCGCTACGGCGATCTCGATCCAACTGTTCGTGTTGGGGTCATATTGAGGCCACCCGAATTTGGCCAGACCCCTCTTTGGATTATCAGCAAACGCGGCAACCGCTCGCTGGAAGAGTTTAGATGTGTCTTTCTGTGCTTGTGAAGCAGGGAGGCCACTAGCATCCTGTGAGCCACCGAGAATCATGTGCAGTTCAGTGCCGTGGTAGGCACCACTGGTTGGATAGAGCCGGGTGTTATTCCAGTCACCAAAGTAGCGATAGACCCAATTTGGGACCTTGGCTTTGACGCGCTGTCTAGCCTCGTAGGAATGTGGGCACACGAATGACTCCAAGAGGAATTTCGCCGCTTGCTCTTCGGTAACGTTGCGACCTTGTGCAAATGCAGGAATTACGTAGTAGCCTTGTTCGTAATTGTTGTGCCCATGAAAATACGGGATTTTGGCAAAGCTGCCCAATGACGCGAGGGAGAGGTAATCGCCAAAGATGATCTTGTTGTCAATCATGGGGTAAAAAGGCGGCGTTGATCGAACCGGGCTTCCCCCTGGGCTAGGAGAAATCTTGGATACGGCGGATGAAACTGCTTGCCACGGTTGTTCGCGCATGCACTTGAGTGTTTCGTTCTTTGCTACACAACCGAGCAAGGCAGAAAGCTGGTACCAGTTGTCTTTCTGTTTCTGAGGCGTATTCATGGGGAAGCTGAAGGCATTTCCGGAAGTCGACATGAGGCCGTGAGCGATGGGATTTCGCCTGTAAGCATATGACCACCAGTCCACGGCGGCGCCACCGGAAGATTGGCCGGCGATGACAATTTTCTTGGGACTGCCTCCAAAAGCCGCAATATTCTTCTGTAGCCATTCAACAGCATGGCGCTGATCTCGCAATCCAAGATTTGTGTCAGCATCGGGGGCGCCAGGGAATCCAAATACATTCAAGCGATAGTTGACCGTAACAACGATGAGGTCTTCGGAATTGGCAAGGTATTGACCATTTGCGAACGGCGTATTCGTGTTGCCACCAGCGAAACCTGGATAAGTTAGTAAAATATGATGGCAAATAGAGACTGGAAAGTGACTAACGTCCTCCATGAAACAAGACGAAGACAGGCTTGTCTGCCTTTGAAGATCTTGCCCTTTGTTTTGACCAAATGTTCAAAGTCAGACAATCTTCATTTCGTTGTGTTCCAGCAGCACCGGTAAAAGAGCCCAGTACACGAGCTGCTTGAGGGGTAAACCCGGAGGATAATGGTTGAACGGCAGCTTGTTGGGGGCAGTCACTTGCATGGTCAGATCAAAATGACATAGGTTTGCACCTTAGGTACCTACTATCCCTATACTCACTATTAGCCAAATCTTCTTAATATAAATAGAATATGAAGCGTGCGCTTACGAATGTGGTCGCATTGTACGGTGCCTTGGTCTTGTACTTTTGCGGTGCTGCAAATCGCAAGTCTCCCAGCGGTGGCTGCGCGTATGGAATCCCCAGGTACTCCCAGACATTTTTGACATTCGGTGAATGATGACCTGTAATCAATCCATTTTCCGTCTTAACAGTATTGAAGCTTGATCCTGGTGCGCCCAGTGATAGCTTCGAGGCACAAAGCCAGAGCGCGATGCTTACGAACCCGCGCATCTTGTGGTTGCCGTTCGAGAAGTGCTATAGGCGATGAGAAGGAGGGAACAGCTGTGATTGTGGCAAATAAGCCCTGCCAGGGCGGCTTACAAGGTTCTTCCTGAGATTGCGGCGTACGCTACGGCCAAGCAGAGAGGCGGGTTGGCAGCCAATCTTAGTTAAACTGCTGCGGGATACAAGTGTCTTGGGGTATGCCGAGGCTCGCCCCTAATAAGTCTACACATGTTGTTCTACGACATTCAAACATTCAAACATACAAAAGCTGTTACTAAAACAAATTCTGGAATAACGCTGAGTCTTAAATCATATTGATTACTTATTGTACGCAACAGTCGTGCGAACTAAAGGTAGGTGTTCTTGTTTCTTTGCGCTGCTACATACTAATGCGCGTAATTTTGCTTGCCGTCTCCGCGTCTTACTAGACTTTTTGCGTTTAGCGCAAATTCAAGTGTGGTGCACACATGCAAGCCAGCGAGTCCTAGGTAATCATGGCTCCTTACTATGGAAGTATAAAGCAAAGGAATATCACCTTAATCTGTATGAAATACCTCGCCATCTAGTGAGAAGGCTACTACTGTAGCCTAGGAGGAAATAGCCCTCTAGTATACTGTAACACGTACCTGTAGCCGCCTCCTATAGCCGTACTATATTATCTTCAGATGCTAACGCAACTAGCTGTCTATCTAGTAAGAGGGCTACTATTATAGCTTCTAAGGAATAGCCCTCTAGCGTACTACGATATATCCCTGCCGCTGCCTCCTATAGCTATACTATATTATCCTAGGATCCTAACGCGACTAGCTACCTGTCTAAGAGGATTTTCAAAGCGACTACGCCTTAGTTGAGCTATCGCTGGTTCTGTGAAAGTACTTTGAGTGCGGAGATGTTTGTGATTACATTGATTTAGCTACCTGTCTAGCAAGAAGGCACCGCCGTAGATTCTGAGGAATGGCCCTCCAGCGTGCTGCGTGTGCTATAGAGGTGGAGTAGAAAGGGAAACGAGCGTGACGGAAAAGAAATGGAGTATTGATGACGACGCGGAGTTGAATGCTACGGCTGCACATTACTTGGGAAAAACATCCCCGGCCACGGAGAACAGCTCAAAAGTTTCGAAAGCTGCAGGAAGACCGCGTCTTACCATGACTCGCGTCTTGATGGACGGAGATGTCGTTACGAACAACAGTACTGCACCGCCGTCGACAAGGTCGAATTCCCGCAGTATGCATACCTCGAGTCTGCAGTATCAGGGCTCTGCAGCATGGTCACGGGATATACATAGCTCGAATACTTCCACGTTGCCCCCATGGCCAGTCCGGATCTGGACAAGCCTCTGCCGCCGCCGCCACCTCCGCCTTTTCGGTCAGCCCCAAGGAGGCCTCCTCTAGTTGGCTCTCCAAAAACGGCGAGCATCGAGCGCGAAGAGAAATCGCTGTCGCTTCTAGCTCTTGACACGCGAGGTCTGGTGCTTGAATGCCTCGGAAGACTGTCGCCAACTATCGCGAAAACATCAACAAGATTTGATCGACGAGTGTCTTGAGAGGGTGCCTCCAAGCCCAACCACATTCGTGGACATTGTCCATCACGACGGCAGTGATGATGACGACGACGACCGACGACGAAGAAGATGATGATGATGATAGCATACAGCCCTGCCTCGCACCATCCACACATTCTCAGTCTTCATCATCTTCCGAAGACACCCTCCCGCCGTCCCTCCATCCAGGTCTACTGCCATCCCCACCAATCTGCAGAAGTTTCTCTTTTGCACCCCCTCCCAAACCACGCTTCTTCACCTCCAAACGAGATAACCCCTCTCTCAGAATATCGTCACCGCTAACACCACCCTATCACATATCTTCCACGCCAAATCTACCGCCTTTGATCAAGCGCTAACCCGCACCGCCGCGTGGAACAGATTGGCTGCAACAATGGGATCGTCTCCATGCACTGACAGGGACACAGGGGTTTGGACTGAGGAAAGCTGAGAAGAGGGAGGAGCGGAAGAGTAAGCTCAGGGAGATCTTAGGGAGTGCGGACTCTGTTTCAGTGATGCTATTACCTGGTGCTAAAGTGCGTTCAGACCCAGTACCCACGCGATCATTCATGTGGCTACGGCTGTTCTTCGTCCGTCTCTTCCCCTTTATACTTCACACGTTCTCCGTACCTTGCTGCTTTCTGTTTCGACGCGACCACTTAGAGCGCTTGAAAAGAATACTCCAGGCACTGGCGATAGGGCTGCACACAAACATGAGCATAGACATATCCTTCCTATCCAAGATCAAGTCGCTTAGTCTCTGATTGGCGCTTGGGAATGACATATGGCTCCGTTTGGATATTGGCACGACGTTTCATTAGGAATACGCTGTGAGATCACTTTAACCGCGATGATCATGTTGCGGCAGATGAAGCTACCTGTAGTACCGGCATTCCATCCCAGTGGGGAATGCTTATTGCTGATTGTTGGGGTGAGGCTTCTGGGGTGCAGTTGTAGGGTGCCCGTGCACAGGCCGTGATGCTGCTGGACAAGGTAAGCGCTTCAGCGATGACCCGATGTTTAATCTAATTTGTACCGACCCTGACCATTCGGGAAGTAAGAAGGAGAGGTTGGCGCGGGGCGTTGCGGGGCGAAAGCTTGAGCGGTCTTGACTCATGAATCCGGCTTACTACACCTTAGCGAGTAATACCTGACTCAGCGCTAAACTCAACCTCAGCGTGATCTACTAGCATTCCGTCGATAGTTTGCGCATACGCAGCCCGAATGTTTTGACTTGAGAGAAAACGCGTCACTACACAGCGGAGCTAGTAAGCTAAGTGATCGAATTTGGGGTGTTCAGACGAGGATCGTGACCAAAATGGACACGACGGTCTGTTCAGTCAAGCCTGAGGACGACAAACTGCACCTTGTCGAAATGGAAAATGAACCTGCTTCCAGTAGCAAGTGCAGTATTTGTGGGACCAAGGCGCAGCATCAGGCAACGCTGCCGAAAAGTTGGTGATATTGATGATCGGCACCTGTCCTTCAATATCATGCTTGTGCGACTTCAAGGCTGACTCTGATCGTCAAGTCTTGATTGCATAGTGGTAGACGATGGATATGGTGATGTCCGGTGATATTGGTGAACACCGATGATCGGTAATTGTCTTCCGATGTCATGCTTGTGCGATTTTGAGATCGATACAGATCGTCAAGTCTCAATCGGTAGGCGTTGGGTAACGTCTGATGATTTGAGAATGCACTGAGTGATTCCGCCACAGGTCGTGTTGTCCAAAACACTTCTACATTCTGAAGTAGCTCAGCCCGGCATCAATGTCGACATGTCGTGATGTTAAGTTTGCTCTTAGATCATGCCTTTCAGTTCACTGGTTTATTCATTCTGTACACTGTCAGCATAAGTGGGTTTCCACTCGTACGGCATCGACGCGGGTGGATCACCACACTGAATGCAGGGGAATTGACTAACGTCTCCATAATCTCACACCGATTGTTAGATATCTGACTGTACTACTATCGTGTGCACGTATTAGCATGAGGCCCTGAGATGATTCCCATGAATCAGAAGAAGACTGCAAATGAAGCAGTATTGTGCTGACTGTGCCTGCAAGGTAACGATGTGACAACATCTTGCTGCAAATGAGGGGAGTTCTGTGATGGTTGTCGCTGCAGGGTAATGATTTAAGGACAAGTTTGACTCTGTAAGATGTATAAAGCTCTTCGTTTTCCCGTTGTCGCTCAGGTTTTCCACTACGAAGCACAGAATCACTCTGCTGTACACCAGAAGCATTACCATTACACCTACTTTGCTCTCTTCTCACGATCTATAACCCCCAACTGTTACGATGTTGTACTTATCCTGGATCGCATGCGTTACCGCCATCATTCCCTTGGCTACTGCCGTGTGCTGCCAGGGACCGACGACTGGCTCGTGCGGCGATGGCACGAATGGTACACCATGCTGCGCACACGGAAAATGCAACATATTCTGCTGCAACTGTGATGGCGGCTGTCGAGGCCGCTCGATGAAGCGGGACCTTCCACTTGGACTGGCTGAACGTTCAGACTCCATCAAGACATCTTTCATGGAAGCTGATACGGAAGGTGCGGGCAGTATCACTGTGGACCGCTACCTGGAGTATATGGGGGTAACTGGAGACAACGAGGTATGGGTCAAGTGGTTTGAGAAGTAAGTGCTAAAGTTCTTTCTTAACATATTTTCCATTATATGCGGAATGTACTGACGTTGAACAAAATAAAGGCACGACACGAACAAGGATGGCGTCATCACTATCGACGAAGCTGTTTAAGTCTATCAGCGCATGGAAGCGCAATTCTAGCCAGGAATGCTGTTGTGGTAGAGAGAAGATAGCGTAATCGAGAGACGCTCAAATATACGCACCTCGAAAAAGGGAGACGTACGACACTCATTTACACAACCCGAACACTTATATGCACAATACATTCATTCTTGCATCAAGCACACATTCCCTAAGAGGTGTTATACACTCTACTACAATTCCTTTTCGTTTCGTAGTGCTGGCATAGGTAGAGTAGTATCGTAGGCCACTAGATTAATGCCACGTCTACTCCAAATCAATAACCTCAACCGGACCCTTGCTCTTACCGCGTTTCGACTTCCCACCCATCCCCAAAAAAATATCCCTAACCCACCCCAACGCCTCCCTCATCCCCTCCGTCGGCCCCCCCAACTCCCCAATCTCCTTCACCAAGCGCTCAGCCTGGAACCCACCAGTCTTTCGAATCGCCACTTTCGTGCGTCCAAACAGGACGAGCATGCTCTTGACGTTTCGGTAAGGATCGTCCGAGTCAGCAATGGGATTCTCGATGTCGAGCATGAGTTTTGCGAGGAAGAAGGTAAGGAGGTCGGACTGTGCTACGAACTTTATAAAGCTTGTTCGGAGGAGGATTTGGAATGGGGGAGGGTGGGACTGGACGCACGATGCGCTGGTAGTGCTCGATCCACTTTATTCGAGTTTCGAATTTGACGGGTAGTCTCTTGTGTTCGTTCGTGTTGAGCTGTAAGGTCTGTTTGTTGCTCCTTGCGGTCTTGCATTTGGGCTTGAAGCTAGAAAATGTCAGTGAGTATCCTTTTGGCGTTGCAATGGCCTCATTTTTGGCATCACTAGAGCGTAAATCATGGAGGTAGTTGTTTAGCTTCCAAATCTCGTAATAGAGGCGTCTAAACGCTTCCTCTTTGCCTTTTCTATACGTAGGCGCGATGCCCATGTTGCAGATAGCGATAGTCATCGGTTCAGGTATTGCAACGATATTTGCAACCATCTTCCAGTGCGTGCCGCTCGAGCGGCCGTGGAACAAGGCCATCAATGGGACATGCATCGATAGTTCAAAGTTCTGGTTAGCAAACGCGGTGCTAAACATGGCGACAGATGTGGTAGTGTTGGCACTGCCAATCCGCTAAGTTCTCAAGCTGCAGCTAAAGATGCAAGAAAAGATTATGCTATATGGCGTCTTTTTGCTCGGTGGATTGTAAGTTTTCCTGTCTGCCACACCCATCATGACCACCTCTAACCAACTCCCCTAGTGTCACAATAACTTCAATCCTCCGCGTCACCGTCGTTGCCAATAGCGTCCGTAATCAAAAGGACCAAATCTGGAACTTCATCCAGCGCGGAATCTGGAATTTGGTCGAAGCGAACCTAGGAATTATCTGCGCGTGCCTTCCCATGCTAAAGCAATTGGCAAAACTCTTGTTTCTATCCATGTCCAGCGCCTCCAAAGCGAGTCGGTCGACAGGCCATACGAACGGAAGCACAAAGCGAGACCTTCCGATAATCAGAAATCGACAAAAGTTTGACCTCGACGATACGATCAATGACAGAGATATACGCACAGATGTCTACATGCATAGATGCAAGACTGACAGCGATGATGCGTGGGCGTGTGGCAAATTGTATCAGATGAACTCTCTCCCGTATAAAGGTGCATCCCACGATGGGCGTAAAAGCGACGAAACGCACATTATGTCAGCAAAGGGCATGGAAAGCGGTCATAGTCAGGGTAGTGTGGTGAGCGTGGATATATTTATGGCCGGGCCGTTAGATCGGGATCTAGGCATCACGAAGAAGCTTTAAGACGAAGCTACCAGTTAGAGGATTAGGGCCAAGATTCAAATGGGAATTATGCGGTGGTCTGAAAGAAAGTATAACTGTTTGATGGGTCTGGACCACAAAAGGTGGGCTGGGTGACAGCCTGTCGCGCGGCTGATACGATCCGAAATCCTTCTCCTCGTCCTTAGTTGTGTTGTTTTATTACCGCCGTATTTGGGTGGAATTGTGGTGCTGAGCGGTGCGGTTTGCGGGCACCTCAGTACCCCCAGAAAGACATGTCTGTCTAGTCTAGCATATTGTCCGGCTCTTCTTCAGCTATGCGAAAAGGTTAGTACGATGCGCTGACAGCTCCCGGATGTTATAGTCAATTGTAAAGTCATTAATCAATACACCACGTGAGGCCACTTTGTGAAATCGTTGCGAAGTAGACATTCATGGGTATAATAAACAAAAAAGCCTGAAGAGTACGAAATATGTACCCTGAACCATCAGTGGAGACTGAACGCTGCCTTAGAATAGAAGATATGCTAACGACCGCCGATCTGACCCTTGGGCAGAGGCTTGACCCACATGAAAGCCGTGTTGAGGACAATGATTATTATACCTATGATCCAGAAAGCGTGGGCATAGTTGGTCTTGTTGTAGCGGAAGATTATGGCAAAGATGATACCGCCGAGGTTGCCAGCAGCGCCGACGAGACCGGAGAGTATACCTTGAGCAGGGTTAGCAATGAAATTGAGCGAGACGAGAGTGGCAGTGCAGCTTACCATTAGCATGGGGGTGGATATGAGGGACAAGCGCAAAATTGGCGCCATTGCCGGCCTCAAGGAAGATAGCCATAACGGCAATGAGGCCAATCATCTCATGGAGGTTATGAGGATCGAGCTTGCCGATGACGATGAGGAAGATGCCAGACATTACACCAACGAAGTGAATCCAGAACTTCTTTGCCCATAGGTTGTGGTTGGTCCACTTGTAGATCAGGTCGCCGATGAAGCCACCGAGCGGACGAGTAATGACGTTGAGGAGGCCGAACATGGCTGCCCATCGACCGGACGTTGTTTGACCGAGGTGGGGAAAGTTCTTGAGATAGTAGGCGCCGAGGATGGAGTTGATGGCGAGTTCACCACCGAAGGAGCAGACGTATCCAGCGCAGAGCATAAGCGTTTGGAGCGAAAACATGACCTTCAGGGCTTCCTTGGGCGTTGGCTTGACGATGACTTCGTGCTGGAACTCGTCGATGATCTGGACGTCGCCGGAAGCGGTCTCGACATCCGTGGGAGAGCTGGCTCGCTTCTTCTCGTCGTGTGATGAGAGTGACGTAGCAGTTGTGTTTGTAGGCTTATCAGCAAGACCTCCTGAAGTAGAGACGACTGCCGCATGAGAATGGTGACCGACAGGGACGGCAGCAGCGCGGTCCGACCAATGGCCAGTGGGGGTATCGTCGGTAAGAAGGAGCAATCCCGTCGCGACAGCAGTGATGAGGATGAACGGAACGATGAACGAGACCCGCCAGGCGACATGCGAGGTCAAACCTTGATCTTTCTTCAAAGAGTCGTAGATGGCAGGCATGACGAAGCTGCAACCAGTAAGACAGGGGTACAAATAGCAGATAGGCAGAGAAGTACTTACTAGGTAATACCGCCTCCAGAGTTACCCCAACCACCGACTAAGGCATTAGCGGTGCCGACGATATTCTTGTCGTAAAATCCGGTTGTCCAGACCTGGCAGGGAACAAATGTACCACCGAGGATACCGACGAAGAATCGAATAAAGTATAGCCCCATGGCATTCTTTGCAGTGCCAGCCATAGCAGTTGGAATAGCACCCATGAAGAGGAGAGCCGCAAAAGTCTTGCGTGGCCCGAAGTGATCGCACATTGGACCAGCGATGAAGCGAACCAGCAGTGTCGCAGTGAGAGCAATGATGTTGGAGTTGGCAATCTGATTCTGGGAAAGATGCATATCGGCCTTGATGCTCTTGCTTAGCTATAGACGGGTTAGTCGCGATCATGTGAGAGCGGCGTCAAATGCGGGTAGCCATACCAGAGGCGGGAACGCGTACCTGCACAGCGTAAGCAATTGTGGGATGGAGATTATTGTGGAGAACAACTTACCATGACCAGAACGCGATGAAGAAGCCCAGGTACGAGAAGAAGAACACCCGTCCATACTTGTTGACGGGGTTGAAGACGGGGATCGACTTCGCCTTCTTATTGTAAGGGTTGATTTCTGGTGCAGACCAGAGCATGTTGAACGAGAAGCCCATCTTGGAAATCCGGCAGGAGTTGCTGCAGACTTTCTGTAGAATACAAGGGTGTCTTGTAGAGCAGCGCAGCGACAGAGGAGGAGAGATTGGTTGCTGACTATCCGACTGGATACGGAACCAAAGGTTATATAGATTGCTTCACAAAGCCCATAAACGGTACTTCCGCGGTATAGCACAGTGATTCACGACTAGGCTGCGACAAGGATAGACCGCGGGTGGTTCCCCAGACCAAGTGAGATCAGAGTTCTCCGGCCTGGATTGGGCACTGTTGGCGTTTTCGTTATCTATGTTGGCGTGCAGCACATCCCCAGTCAGGGCAGCGGAGAAGGGACTCTACCGACCACAAAAGTAATGCGCCTCCGATCAGCGCCGTGGCGTCGGGCTCGTCTCCACAGGCTGTCGCAGCAAATGGTAGAGCATTATTGTCAGCGTGAGGTGTGAAAGGGGCGGGTCAACATGATGTGGAGGTCGTGGTTCGTCCAAGTGAGGTTTGCCGTGGGGTGGTGGGGACCGGGAAAGGCGTTCTCTTATCTCTTGGCGGGAGCCAGCCGAGACTAGGGACTCTATAGTTATCTCCAACAAGGATTCCTTATCAGACCGTTTGAAGATAATATGAACTGAGCTTTTCCGCGGTCGCGCTGACAGTTCGACTGTGTCGCCAAATCCCAGCTCCTAACGTCCCTACTATTCCTAGTTGCACCGGCAAATGCAGCTTCGTGGCGTCGACCAGACCATCTGAAACGCCATCCAACAGCGTTCGGCAGTCAGAGCGAAGAGTCGGAGATCGATTATAGCTTTTTGCTTTTGTGTTCTGGAGATGAGACTGATGGTCTTGCGACGGTGTTGTCGACGGCGACCACATATGCGCCGTCAGCACTTGTCGATAAGCATAGCACCAGCATGGTAGTACTACCAAACAAACGGTCTCGGCTCGTTGCACAGGTTCCTCACGATCTCAAGGTCTGCCTTGATCGTATTTCGAGTTGTCGATCAATGCCCATCCCAAGGAAGATTACTGGTGAGACGCCCCCAGACCAATCAGGTACGGCGACAGTGCCTTATCTCGCATGACATTGGCAGCTTGCATCCTTGTATATATTCTGGTGCCTTCGCAAATCGATCGTTATGGGAATAAATGTGATTTGAAAAAGTATATCATCTCGCCAATGTCTGGATTTCGCCAGTCGTCATCGATACTCCTGAGAGCTCCGCCATCGAACTTTTTACGCCATGGCTACCTCGAGTTTGGGGTTAACCTAGAGATAGACTTCCAATCTGACAAATGGCTTTACTCCGCGGCGATAGTGTGCGTGGCTGGCACAGATCTCGCTTGTTGCATGTGAGTGAAGGTTGAGTGTCGCGACATCGGACCATTTTCCGGAGAAGCGTACGCAACGATTGGATTTGTGGGTCGTAATGGCATCGGAACATATCTCCGCTGAGATCCTGAAAGCATGATTGCTGTGGAGCTTCTATCGTTCTCGCGTGATGTTGGGAATCGGTCAGTGTCGAGTTTGAAGGAAGGAAGATGTCGTCTAACCAACACTGACACCTTATCTACAAGATGTTGAGCGAGGTTTGAAAAGAAGGCTGGTCAGTCTCCCGTACAGCACGATATATTGGTGTCAAACAGAAGGGAGTAGCGTCGAGGTCCTTGGCGTTTCAAGGTGGAGCAATCCAGGTAGGGCTGCCAATTCACCCACAAAGAGTTTTCCGCAGTCCCGCATCATCTGGAAATCTCAGCAACACAGTGCGCCGCAGCTCAGACGAAAGCAGACGCATGAGCCGAGGACTCGTCCTGGGGATATCGAAACATCGCAGACACCACCTCTCCGGAATCCATGCTGCATAAACCATAGCTCCCAGCAGGTAGCACAGTCTGAGGCCTAGGTAGTATTCAAGCTCGTCCTCTGATCATATTCCCCTAAAACCTATGGCAGAGTACCATGGACTGTGAGCAGCAACGACGAGAGGTGCGCCCATCGAAGAAGCGTCGATGTATCAGTTCGAGACAATCGTGCCAGCCTAGGTATTCTGATCAGTAAGTCGGGAGCATATCAACCTTTCTACATCACTCGCTATGAGCGAGAAGGTGCGACAACTACACGCAATGGTCAGCGACACCCGAACAGCCAGAGAGATATGTCCTACGTGTATGAAAGAGAAGAAACTCTAGTGGAGACGAAGCTATATGAGCAACAACCACATACGTGCTCTAGCGGCACTGTAGCCATTGCAAACAAGAGGTGAGACCCAAGTTATAGCGAGCAACCTCGTTGTAGGTACCTGAATGAACAAGGCGACGGAACGCGAGTGACTCCAAGTTTGATCGCTACATGCTTCCAAAATTAGCTTTTGACTGAAACTCGAAGTTTTTGGATGAAGCTACACGCGTACTCACCTCAATGTTGAAGCAGTACACCCCCTTCGTCTTGAGACTGCATCATACCCTCGGTTCACCACCCATCAACGTCCATCTTACTTCCAGTCCAGACGGGGAGAGAAAGAGATAGATGAGCGCGCAACGCAGTGAACTAACCTAACTCATCCCATCTCATCTCATCAACAAGTTCGTCCACCGCATTGATATGTAACTCAGTCTTCCACTTGCAGATTCACCATCATCTTCAACGGCCTTTCCCCGCAACAGGCTCACAGCCAGGAGACCCTCTTTTCCATCGTACGCACGGCCCCGTATCGACTATTTCCGCGGGCAAGGCACCTCTAGCGTCCAGCTTAAGAGGCTAGCGGCTTGGCCACGTGCGTGCAGTTCCCAGATACCTATATACTTCAACTGTTCCGCGAATCCAACGCAGTGGTTTCCTATGCCAACTTTCCGTTCAATGAAATGAACACCATGAAAACAGTGACATCGCAGCAAATTCTGATGCGACTATAGAGCGCTTGGTCGAAAAATGTCAGAACGGGTAGTTTCATTTCTCGAACGCATGAGGGGTGGAACGCGTCCTGAATTTGTCCCATTGCTCGTCACCTTTATATTTTTCCGTACAACGTCAATCCAGCCATCCATCTATGCTCTAGGCCACGCCAGGCATAGAATTCTTTGTTCGCATCGCAAAGCACTAACGATCAACCCCTCCAGTTCATCCAGCGCGCAGTAACAACATGACGACTTTGGTGCGGAGAACTTGGATTGCAAATACCCAACTCGGATACCGCCCTCGGTACGCTTAACAATGATACCGTATTCAAAAGCAAGTCAAGGACTGCGGGAGTAGGAGTAATAATAGACAAGGAAAAAGGTTACATGGGCGCAATACTGATGGCATGGCCATTGTTGCGTAAATGGAAATGTCAGACGACAAGGAGAGATGTGGGAGGACGGGCGCGGACCTCAACGGGCGCAACGTGATCGACGACGTTGACCGGGATGCCGGGCCTGTTCTCTTTTGAGAAGAGAGGCTTCGAAGGAAAGGGTCGCCTCGGCGATGTATAACATATCTAAAAGTCGGGAAACAGGTGTCCGTGACTGTTCGGACACGTCAGAATATGGTCTACTGTGTAAGGAGGACTCTTCACGCACGGGTCATCGCCTGCCTGACCGTATGCTTCCGTCTCCTCTGGATACTTATCGAACTGGCTGGCGTCGCCAACGCCAGCTCTGACAGGCGGCACGTAGGGCGCGTCAATGTCCTTCTTTTGCAGTCTGTCCCACGTCACTTCTGCGAACCACGGGTGGTTCATGACGTCTTTGCTGCCCCCGTGGAGGTTGCCGAGTCGCTTGGTGAGATCTGGGGTGATGAGCTTTTGCAGCAGATCATGTGCGTCGGGGTGGATGTAAGGCGGATATTTGACCCTGGACTTGAGGATATTCTCGTAAATCTTCATGGGTGAGCCACCATCCCAGAAGGGGGTAAAACCGCAGAGCATTTCAAATATGAGAATGCCAAGAGACCACCTGCAGTTGTGAGTAGAGCTCGTGTGACATTGGTGATTAGACTCACCAATCGACCGACTTGTTGTAGCCCTTGGAAGCGACTACTTCGGGTGCTAGATAATCGGGTGTGCCACAGAGCGTCCATGTGATGTCGGGAACTTCTTTTGCAAAGCCAAAGTCTGTGATCTTCAAATGGCCGTGTCGGTCCAAGAGCAGATTCTCGGGCTTCAGATCGCGGTAGATGATGTTGTGCGAGTGTAGGTAGTCGAGCGCGAGCGTGACTTCGGCGGCGTAGAACTTGGCAACAGGATTGGGAAAGCGCTAGACATGTGAGTACAGCGTGTGACCAAGCTTGTTGAGGTGACGTACCTGGGACTTTCGCAACAGACTAAACAGCTCGCCCCCTTCTACAAAATCCATGACCATGTAGAGATTCTTGGAATCCTGAAAGGTGCCCCAGAGGGTAATGAGGAACGGGTGCTTGACCTGCTGCAGCATGCGGCGCTCATCGTTGGTGTGCTCGACCTGCTTCATCTTGACGACCTGCGCCTTCTTCAGCACCTTGACGGCGTAGAAGCGCTGATTGTGCTTGGACTGGACTAAGTGGACTCGGCCGAAGCTACCCGTGCCCAGCGTGCGCTGGATGGTGAAGTCGGTCAGCGAGTATTTGCCCTTTGTGGTGCGGGTCTGGTTGAGGGGCTGCGTCTGGAAGTTGGCGCCGGCATTATTCTTCGCGGGCGCATTCGTGTTGTGGGGGTGGATCAGGTTCTGTATGCTGGGGGTGTTGTGCGAGGGCTGCGCGGTCGACTGCGGGCTCGCATACTGCTGCTGCGCAAAGGCGGGGTTCATTGAGTCGGACGAGGGCTTCGAGGGCGCGGCCGCGGCCTGGGAGTTTTGGGACGAGTCGTTGGTCTTTGTCCGGTGCAGGTGGAAGGAGCCCGACTTGCGCGACGACGTGGGCGTAATGGGCGACGCCGTGTCCTTGATGGGCGAAGTCGGCGAGTCGAGGTCTCGGGAGCCCGTCGAGTCTTTCGTCCGCTTCTTCTTGAGGAATCCGAGGCTAGGCATAGGAGCGGCGGTGGGAGGAATGCGGCCTGCCCTGGCTGTACCTGGATGCAGCCTGGGGCGACGGCGACACGGAATGCGCGGGGGTTCAATGGAGAGCTAGGCGGGGCGGGCAGCAGCAATTGAGGCGGAGGGGGTGGATGCGCAGGGCATAGGATAGAGATGAGGGAGTGTGTGCGGCGTGGGCGCGGCGGGCGACGACGACGGCGAGTGAGGGGGGAGGTTGGCGCTCAGTCGATGGGTGCAGGCGGGTGGTTGAGGCTCGCGGGGGAGCTGCGCCTGGGAGCTGCGAACTAGATAGAAGGGCGACTCAACGGCCTGGGCTGCTCAAAGGAACCAGAAACCCTGTTTCGTGTTGGCCCGCTGCACCAGCAATTGCGGCAGCATGCTTCCTCTCTGTTTCTATTCCTATGTACAGCAACAGAGCACGTCTACTACTACTATACTAGCAGCGCGTCTTGTTCCTCCTCAGGCCATGCATCATCCATGGCCCCCCGCCGTGTACTGCAGCCGCCGTGGTTGCGTCATGGGCATGTGTGTCCAAGACCAACACCACCACCACCACTACTACAAGCTATCCCAGTCGCAGCATCACAAGAGACCTGGCCGCCTGGCCTGTCTGTCCCGAGTCCAAGGGCGCCCGGTGCTATTCCCAGCCTGCTGTGCGCCAAAATGAACCCTTCTCGCCCGCCTGCCTACCTACCCCGCAGTCTCTCTTCCGTGCTCCCACTCCCGTCTAGACACTATAATACAAAACGCTGCCCTATATCACAAAGACGCCAGAAAGAGGCTCATCATCTCTGCGTCCCAAGTCATAAACAAATAAACAGAAATCATAAACAGAAAGGTTATAAGACTCCAGAATAAACAACCTCTGGCCCCGTTTCACAGCTCCCCAGAAACCGCGCGCATTGCATCAGCGCCATCTGACAGCACTGGCGCCTCGTAGACCTCGAGGTCCAGCCCACACACTTCCATGCGCTGCTGGCGAAATCTCTCGTACAGCTTGCTCCATGCCTCTTCTGCCTGCAGGTTCTGTGGCCGCAGTCGTACTCGGTCTGGGAATGGCATGTCGTACTCTGGCCCTGGCATTGCAGGGTCGGATAAGCGAACAAATGTCGTGGCCTGCTCGAACGCGGTGGCGTTGAAGTCATCCACTGCAAGGCGGAGATCTTGCGCTTCGTACACGACGTTTCCCATGGAGAGCGACCATTCTGACATGAGCGACTCCGGCGCAGAAAATGTGCTCCGCAGTAAATCTAGATCGCTTGTGGGCTTCGACGCTCGTAGCGCCTTCAGCTGCGAAAAGCTCTGTTGTGAGGGGTGAATCATGAGCAGTGATGTTGACAGGTCTCTCCGCTCTGGCGTTGCTGGATACGCCGCCATGGGCTCTGATTTGGAGAAAGCAAGGAGCGAGTCCAGCGCTGATGCATCGAGCAGCACGCCTGGTCCTTGCAGGTACATGATCCGCTCAAAGTCAACGAGAGAATACAGGCTGGCAAGTGAGTAGGATGACGGTAGTGTGTCTGATGCCATTAGCTGTGAACCATCTCTCTTGGCGGGGGGAGCCTCACCATCCGCGCCTTCCACTATGGGCTCCATGGGAATCAACGTGACTCCATATCGCCTCGCTGCCGCCCTCAACAGTCGTCGCGTCGTCGCCATCTCTGGGCTATACTCGCCGTCCTCGGCAATGGCCAGCCACAATTTTGGGAACATCAGAATCCTCTTTGCGGGGCTCTTCATCCTGGCCAGGTCGGACAGCAACATGACTGCGCTGCACAGCTCCACATGTTCCCTGACTACTTGCACGTAGCCCAAGCGACTCCAATCCATTGTCTGCCCTGCAATGTACTGAGAATACGTCTCATCCACTTCTGGCCGCCCGCCCATCGGTCGTGCCCATTTCATGTCTAGTTTTGGCGGTTCGATTGGTTTTTCCGGTTGTAATGGCTTTGGCAAACGCGGTTTTATGACGGCTTGTAGATTTTGTACGTATCGCTGTTGCAGGACATATCCGGAGAGGAAGAGCGCAAGAGTGAAAAGAAAGACTAGCGTCTTGTCAGTACCTGTAAACAAAAGAGTGTGGCACTGACAGACGTTTACCTACCTATGACCGCAGAGAGAATAACAGAGACCTGGCCCGAGGAAAGCAATAGTCTGCCCATAGTGAAGAAGGTAAAGGGGTATCGATATAAAACGCTATAGACGTGAAAGAGGGTTCATGAGGCAGGTAGACACGAGCTCGTGCAGGCAAGCGCATGTCGTGACATGGTTGACGTGCCATGTGGGCCTAGACGCTCATAGGGCTGCAGTGTTGATGCTGGTCGGACGAGCAACTATCGATAAGCCACCCCGGTCACAATTTGTCGCGAGTCTCGCCGCAAGCTTCATCGCGACCTCATCACCAGCCCTTCCTATGCAGTCACCCTGAGGCCGAGATCTGCTACAAGAGGTCGATATATGCAAAAGTGCCAATACACAGACACCTACACGCCATGTCCAAGCCCCAGTTCGACCGCGCAGACGCAGGCGCCCTTCTCGATGACCGTGGCTACAGCGGCGCCCTCATCCGCGGCCAGAACCCCGCTCTGCTCTTCGAAAAGGGCGTGCGGGACCGAATCACTGAGTCGTACTACTGGAAAGAGCAGTGCTTCGGCCTGAACGCTGCGACACTATGCGATCGCGCAGCGGATCTGAAGTTTATTGGTGGCACCACGGGCATCATGGGCAAGCCGACACCGTTTCTTTGCCTGGCGTTCAAGCTATTGCAGCTCGTGCCGGATAAGAGCATCATCTTGGAGTATCTGAACTTCCGGGGGGATGAAGATGAAGAGGAGGAGGCGGGGCAGAATGGCGATGGCGAGGTCAAGAAGGAAGAGAATGGGCATGCGGGGAGCGAAGAGGGAGATGCCGGGAAGAAGGAGCAAGATCTCAATGCAGCAGGCAAGCTGGGCGACTTCAAGTACCTGCGCTGTCTGGCTGCGTTCTATATCCGGCTTGCTTGGGAGCCTGTCGAAATCTACAAGACCCTCGAGCCGCTCCTCACCGACTACCGCAAAATCAAACGCCGACTCAAGGACGCCTTTACCCTGACGCACGTGGATCAGTTCATCGATGACCTCCTTTCCAAAGACCGCATCTGCGCGACGAGTCTGTGGAAACTGCCTTCGAGAGCAAATCTTGAAGACCTGGACATGCTGGACCCGAGAGAAAGTCCGTTGGATGGCGAGGTGGATGCGCTGGATGAGGAAATGGACAAGCAAAGTGAGGGGAGCGTAAGGAGCTATAGAAGTAGGAGCTATGATAGCAGAAGCAGAAGTAGGAGTAGGAGCAGAAGTTACGATAGCCGGAGTCGAAGCAGGAGTCGAAGCTACGACAGCAGAGACCGCCAAAGGAGCCGGAGTAACGACAGCAGAGACAAACAAGGGAGCCGGAGTCATGGGCGACGCAGTCCGCAGAGTACAAGGAGCCGCAGTCGGAGTCGAAGTAGGAGTCGTCCGATAGACTTTAGTGACCACGAGCGCTAAATAGTCTTCATCCTCTCTGGCAGTCGGTCCCAGGGATAATTACGTGAAACATACCTATATCCCAGAGCTAGCTCCATGCGGTGGCAGAAGCCCTGCGCATCAGCCCTACGCTCCCGCTTATGTGCCCCGGGTTTTTTGAACTTCGCAAAGCGCAGCTGCCATTTGGACTCCCAGTAACGTGTCTAGTGACTACTCAAGCTCCTGACATCAGTGCTTGGCCGACTTGATGTGTGTCAATAGCCAACCTCTACATCGGAACAAGGATGCTGATTGGTCAACGACCTGAATTACACACTCACTCAACCTGCATTTCCTCGACTCTTAAATCACACACCTTGCCGCATATGGTTTTTTTTTCGATATCCTCCAAGCTATGGCGCTCAAGGCTACACGCTTGCTTACCGAAGGACATGCGTCAGCCGCCCATCTGTGACAAACGGCAACGCTTCGACTAAAACATCGGCTTCTTTGATGACCAAAGCCTCCAGTTGTGAAGGCTATGTGTCACTTAGATCGAGTGGACCGCTAGTATGCGCGCGGCGCATTCGAAGAACCCTACAATGTGACACTTTCGACCTTCATGCCACTTGACTCCGCTGAGTCACCGCTCAGTTATTATATTTAATATTCTTTATTCTTTATTCAACTCCTCAACTCCTCAACTCCTCAACTCCTCAACTCCTCAACTCCTCAACTCCTCAACTCCTCAACAAAATGGCCGATAACGAAATTGCCGTCGACGAAATAGCTGGGAACGAGACCGCCGCCGTCAACGACCCTCATGCAACTTCGGTTGTCCCTCGGCTCTTGACTATTCCGCGCGAGCTTCGAGACAAAATCTACGCTTACCTTCATCAATCCTTCACTATTTCCTGGGGGTGGACTCACACCCATCCACCTGCACATTTTTCCGTAACCTTTAACCTCGAAATAGAGAATGCGCCTCAGCCAAGTGTCCTACTTACGCATACTCGCCTACATGACGAATACCTAGAAGCCCTGTCCCACAGGAACTTGTCAGCTGCTGTATATGTTCAATCCCGCCCCGCCTACATAGAATCTCTATCCAGATTGGTTAAGCTAAATCCTGAATTAACTATGCACTCAAAGAAAGATGACGAAGCAATGGCTCACCTACGTTACGTTATTATTCTCTTCGATTGCAACAACGCCAACGTGGGAAACTTGGCGCCTGGGTCTACCTTCTGGGGCGAAGACGGGATGCAGGCGTTTGCCACTGCGCTACTTCTCAAAGCGCCTCATTTATCCGCTCTGCACATCGCCCTGCAGTACCAACCGGCTCGTGGCCTCGAAAAAGCCATTCATAGCGACACCACTTTTCGATCGGGATCCTTCTTGCATCCCCCACCGCCCTTCATAGCTGGAATTCCTCTCGTCCAACGCGCCGAGGGCTATCGTCTGTACTACTGCAACAAGGCTTTGAATGGCGCACTCTGGAACTACCAAATTGTCCAAGTCGGCTGCTATACGTATCACCGCGATGTCCATAAAAAGCCAATGGGATGGGCTCCGCGTAATATTCTCGACGCATGGGAACTTACTTCTCATCATGAAGCTATTAACGAGCCTACCATGAACACTTTTAACAACCTGCTGCCTACGATGATGAGAGAGTGGAGGACTAAGGTCGGGCACGAGGCAGCTAAGGCTTGGTTTCCAGCTGGGGCATGCAAATCTGGAATGGAGGATGGTTGGAAGTCATTCGACGGGGAATGGGTTATATAGCGTCTTTGTACACCTACTACAATGCAGGTACTGATACCGTCTCTCACGAGAATAAAACTAGATTCTTACTTATACTACTCGGTTCACCTTCATGAGTCCTCTTTCTATTACATATTTTGTAAATTTTTACCATTAACTACGTGTGGGGTGGTCTACCCAATAGCATCATCCTACTCTTGATATTGTTTATCTCTATATTAGCTCTGTATAGCACTTTAAGCTTTTAGCTCAACTTGGCTAATCCCCGTTAGTCTCTATAGTCCGTTGGTGCAACATTGCGACTACGATTCGCAGAGCTCGATCAGCTTTACAACCTTTCCTCTCTCCCATAGTGAAGACATCTTCAGATCTTTACGTCTTTAGATATTTCAGGGTGTTGATCATACTAAGAGACACATAGAATATGCAGTATAGCTCTACTTGCTCTCGTATGCCAGTTTGAGCGGATAATGTTCCACAGCATCCTCTTTCTGTGTCGACATAATCATTAGGCCATTTTCGGGGTACTGATTGAATGCCGTGAACGCTATAAGAGCGCCTTTGGGCTGAGGACCGATTGAGCAGGATATCGTTGAGAGGTTATCCTTTTCATTTGGCCGGTATGGAGTTTGGATCAGCAATATGAGCATGTATGTAATGAAATGATGGTCCACGTACGTGCTGCCTAGCAAATGTAATATAGAGCCAGGTGCTTGCTGCACCTCCAGCTAAGACCACAAGCTAGTTAGCCTACTAGGCTAGTAGGCTAGGAACAAACTGATTGTGCATCAGGTGGAAATCAACCAATGACCTGGAGCGGTGATGTCAGGAAATGCACTCGTTCGAGTGTTGCACTGCGCTAACCCTAAGATAGCTTAGTCCCAGATTTGCACTTTCGTAATATCGAGGCCCCTGTTCGATTTTGCACACCTCAGCCCCGGCCTTCCACACAAGACCACGATGAGCCCCACGCCCCTCCAGCTACTATAATTGTTACATAGAACTACTTTGATATCGCGAATCTTTCTGCACATACTAATAGGCATTATTGTCCTCCATATGCTAGTTTGAGCGTGGTAGGACAAAGCGGCCCTCCGCTTCCCGGTTCTGATCTACGCTAGATATTGAATGTGCAAATTCACGTTCACTGGGAACTGGGTAATCGTCGATACAGTTCCATTATGACGAAAGACTGGAATGCAGTACAAGAGGAGATTAAGGAGCTGTCGTTCAACCAAAAGAAGTCGCTGGAGGAGGTGAAGGAGTTGATGGAACGCAAGTATAAGTTCAGGGCTTCGTAAGTACATGCAGTGCTGTAGGCATTGACCTTTAATTGGCTCACGATCAAATAGCACAAGAGCTTATCGTATGAAGCTGAAAGAATGGGGCTTCATGAGACACAAGCCTCGGAAGATAACAAAGGACAGTAACGAAGTGAGGGAGAGGAGCCGGTCCAGTCATGGGGAAAGCGATGTGCCTAACCGGGAGTCGAGCGCGACAGTTGATCCGACATCGATTGACACCATCCCTTCCACGGTGTGTGAGAAGCCCCAGAGATGGCAAATCGTTGAAAACGCTGATACGGACGCTGAGCCGACATTCATGAGCTTGCTCGGCCGAGCTAGAGAGTACGCTATCACCCCTTACCATAACAACTTATGATCTGCGAGCTAACTAAGCAATAGTCTCCAGCCATCGTTTGACCCTTGGTCTGAAGCTCGAACAAGGGCATCAGGAATCGTTCTAGACATGCTCAGTGCCATCTTAGATAAGGATTCCGAAAAACTAGAGAAGCTGATCGTCGAGAATGTGAACCATGTAAACGACCCCATCGGCCTGCCGTTCGACTCGCCAAATAGTCGCTTTTTTGGGCATCCAGCACTCAGTCAGATGGTTATCCTCCAGCATTCTGATCAGAAATTGCTAGACATCGCGTGTGGAATGCCTTGTGGACCGATCATTTGGGTGCTGCTATCGCACGGGGCGACCGGCTCTAAACATCCTCTTGGTACGGACCTTGCCCTCCATAATGCGATCAAGAACGGAAGACCGTATACAGTACAGGCGCTGCTTGTCCCAGGTCGGTCAAATGTGAATGGGGTACCCGGAACGTCTTGGAAACCTCTTCTACAAGCAGTATTCTGGAACGTGCCGGAAGTTGTTCGTATACTTCTTACTCGGGGTGCCGACATTGAAGATGCAGGGCCATCGCCTATGAGCACGGGATCCCATACTGCGCTACAACTGTGCTTGGAATATCGTGCGACCAACTACCTCAATCAGACAGCCAAGGAAAGATGCCATCAAATTCTGAAAATGCTCTTAGATGCCGGTGCAAACACTCATGTAGCTCTAGTGGAAGGTGCCACACAGTCTCCATTCGAGGTATTCATAAGACCATGGCAAGGTGTGCCATACTGGACTATGGGACTTACCGAGACAGAGCTGGACTGTTTTCGAATCTTCGTGAGCAAAGGCGCAAATTCACAGGCCCAGTTCGACGGCTATCCGTGCAGATCGCTATCGAGCACAACATTCGAGCATCAAGTTATATGGCATTCCACACCAAGCATCGCTCGACTTCTCATTGATAGCTTTGCTATATGTCCACACAGTAATGGCTCCAGTCTTCTCCACGAACTCCTTGGGTCGTGTTCGGAGGCAAAGCGGCATCCGGTCGACACATTGCGTGACCTTGAAGTACTCCTGCAAAAGGGCGTGGATCCAAACCTCGCAGATATCAATGGAGCAACACCGTTGGAAAAGTGCATCAAGCAGTGTCCAGCTGTCGATCTTGTGGCACGTTTACAGATGCTTTTAGAGCGTGGAGCGGATCCTGAAAGCAAAGGTTACAGCGGTGTTCAACCGTATGTCTCCGCAGCACGAACATTCGAACAGCCTCTTCTCTCCGAAGTTATGGAAGCCCTAGTTCTTAAGATTCGCGGGCGATACATTAGACACGTCGATGGTGTCCCTCATACTTGGGCCAACGGGATTTTCCCAATCTCGGAAACGCAGAGCTATGAGCAGGTGATGTCATGCACACGGAAGACGGGCGATTTCATGCTGAACATGCAATCAATGATCCCAGGAGATGCTCAACAAGTGTTTCAACGAGCGTACTTTACCGTCGTCAGCAAGCACTTCCTCGATACCATGACTAGGGTAGCAAAGATGAAGATGCTAAATACCAACGAGAAGAACGAGATCGTTTGGGTTATCTCCATGCGCAAAGTCGTTGATTGTCCAGAGTATAAGTTTGACCAAGAGCTTGTTGTGGCATTGTTGGACCCCCAACCCTTTCCAAGCATGGCCCTTGATATGAGCGCCGAGGCTACGAGGGCAAGCACACTTCCTCAAGAGTCAACATCAAGTACGATCGCGTCACCCGCTTCGAGCCTTACGATCACCGGGAACGCAACATCTCCTCAAGTACACACGCTGTTCCAGTTCAATTCTAACAGTTCGGCGACATCTGACCAAGCAATATCGACGTCTAAGTCTCCGGTGGAGGCCACCTCGTTGGTTGACGACTATTTCATTCCATCTACCACGCAAATACGTTGGCATGACCCTTGCGCTCAACCGAAACCAGGCGATCTCAATAAAGCAGCAGCCGCTGTTTTGGAATTCTCGTGTAGTGTGTGCGGTGCAGCGACATTATTGACTAAAAATGAACTCGAGAAGCATGGTGTAGAACATGCGCACAGTGAATCATGCACGGAGGTGGGCTGTACGAGACGTTTCTGCGCCGCAAAGCGGATAAACGAAGTTTTATTGTAGAAGATTAATCAATAGATAAATTCGTAAGGTGACGCCGCATTGCAAACCCACAATGACTGAACGACCTTGTGTGACTTTTGAGTTCGCCGTTATTATTAGCACGACACGCTTCTGGCCGGAATTTGAACTATGATACAAAGGCAGACTTCGAGAAATCTCCCTTCTTCCCCTCGATAAATTCAACGTATTCGAATGCTGTGGTTGCTTCCTTCTCCATTCTCCCGTACATCAAACTGGGTTAATGTTATTCGAAATCCCACACAACCTTTCATTCCCCAAGGATACTGCCTCGTCTCAACCACACCTCACACTAGCATATTCATGCTCTTGTCGGGGGGAATATGCTCCCTCACTATCGCGTCGATAGCATTTCGAGTTTATTCACAGCCGTGAACCTGGCTTGTTCAACTCAACTATCACTTGGTTTTGTTCGTCCGCGGTGACATTGGAAACAGCCGACAGTCCGTCTTCATCTTCTTAACAAACACGAAGTATGCCTGGAGCGCTTCGATCTGTGTTGGAAATGTTTTGTTGCGATTCATCCATAGCTTGAGGTACTTGTTGGCGCCGGTATCCTTCAGCGCCGCATACCATTCGCCTTCCGTTGTCTTGCGCAGGGTGATGGCAAGAGTACGGCCTTGCAGTCCGGTGACTACTTTCGCCTGTCCTGTAGTAGTGTAAGTGTGGGATTAACGTAGAAAACGGGCATGCGTACGTAGGCAAGCATCTTTCATATTGATTATTCTCTCGGCCATCTCCTCCTCGGGGGATGCGTGGCCTGCCGATTCATCTTCTGTGGAACTCATCTCGATGATTGATAGCGTGGTTCGGAGTCGATATCGTCTTACTCGAGCGCTCGAAGGCTGGTAACTGTCTTTGTGAATTTCTGATGGGCTGATATCTCACGCTTAGAGGGGAGGCTTTTGAGTGATGTACTACCGAAAATTGGGATATTTGTAAGCTTGCACTCAGAGTCATCACTTCGCGCAACCGCAATGGCCATCATGCAGACGAGCATGCACGCCCGAAATAGGGGGAACGAGCGGGTCGAACTTGTTGGGCTCTTGAAAAGCATCGAAAAGAGTCGACGAGATTGAGATAAGCAGAAGATCTGCTCCTAGATCTCTGTCAAGATGATTGATATATATTTCACCATATGAACCTACATGCTGTTGATTTCAGCCTATTGAGTAGGTGGTCAAATGCAGCAATGCATGCAGTTGACAGGATAAGGCTCGTCAAAATGACTTTTGAGGGTTGGAGAGTGTAATTCTCACAAAGGAACGAGCGCCCGTCCCGTCTTCAAGTTTGGGCAGCATCTGCCTTACGGCTTCGCTGCGCCCATCCTAGGACTGTGCGGAAATTGGAAGTGGGCCGCCTCAACGACACAACAAGGTCCTCCTGGCTGAGAGTAAGTAGATTGCTGTCAACTTCGCGAACTTATCTCAAGCTTTCTGTCAGCATAGTCGATGGTCAATCGCGCTCGAAAGATGTTCCGGGTTGAGATGACGTAGGTCAAAACAACGCGTCGCACCGGTTCCCAATCGAGCTTAGTTCACTCGTGCCACCTGAGCAGCTACACTTCGTCCCCACACTCAATTGCATTATACGCTCAACAACGTTGATTTCTAAGCTACTAAATATATATATTTCGCACACAAAGCATTCTTAATGAATCAAAGCCCCACCCCGTACATCTGCATAGTTGATACAGACGTACTGTACGCCTCAGTTACCTAGGTAACCTTGACCTAACCGTCCAAAAATGCCTTTCCGCCCTTGCATTTCGAGCAAATGAACCCGAACCTCCCATCCACAGCATCAAACAAAATCGTAAACCCAAACAAAAAGTTCCGCCCTGTGTTCACGAACGGGCCGGACCCAATAGAGACTGGCTGCACGTATTTCGGCTGGCTAGGGAATGCCGCATCTCCCACTGCGAAATCATAGCCTGCAACACCGCGTTCAAAGTTCGGGAAAGCGAATGCGAGATGCGTGCCCTTGGTGACGCGTCTGGTGTACTTGGGGGCAGGCGATGGCGCCGGGTTCGGAATGGTGACGTTAGGGAGAGTGCCTATGGGCGCGGACTGCAGGTACATTTGCGGGACTCCGGTGTCGACGAGTGCTGTTCCTTTGAAGTCCCCTGCGCCGTTGACCTTGAAAGACATTCGTACTCCTGCCCAGTCGCGCGGGTTCTCCGTCGCGCCCCTCTCTAGCTTGACCCAATCTGCATTGATAGTATTTTTCTCTGTTAAGCCTAGATACACGCCCTTGGTGGACAGCGTGTATCCCGTACGTAGTCTTGCGGTGCTGTGGCCGTTGATATCGATGACGTTAAGGAAGGGGTTGTGGTCTGGTGTACCGAAGTCAATACCGCTGCCGGCAACATTGCGCCCGAAGCCAACGCCCATGTATGTGATGTGGCTCAAATTTGCAGTCGATTTGACACTCTTTCCTTTAGGACATACACCCTTGCCAGTGGTAGGGTTGTATCCGGGGCATTTGACTACTGACTGGACAACAAGTACCGGTACTTGCGTCACCGCTCGCCGTGCTGATGTCTTGCCATAGAATGTGACGTTCAAAGGCACAAAGCGGCCTGTGTAGAGGAGCGAACTGCTATCCAAGAATTCCCACCCCCGCTGATACTTGGCCTCGTTCTTGGCGTCAAGTTTAACGTTGGGCAGGAGCGGTGCGCCGATGATAAGGCCTGTACTCCCCGTGTCCACTGGAAAGGTGAAAGCCTTGCCATTGATGCTGCCGCGGACGGTGGGCGTATAGGCCGAGGAAAATTTAGAGGCGAATGGGAGGAATATAGTCTGCCCGTGATTTGTAGGAGTAGGAGCAGCAGGAGCGCGCGAAGGGGTTTGGGCAAGAACTGGAGTGAGCAAGAGCAGTATGGTGCTCAACATCATCGGAGGCGCCATTCCAGTCGCTCAGCTTGTCGACGACCTGTGCCGCACGATTTGAGGAAGCTGACTTCCTTTATGGCCACCTTCAAATGCGAGGAGGGAGTACTGGAATGCCGGGGTGACGCGGACGATGCGGATATCAATGGCTGGACAGCGCGCTATGCAAGGTACTAAGCTTCCTCAGGAATGCATCTGACATTCTTGGAATATGAAACACCGGACCGCCATTAAATGTTCACATGATACCAAGACCTAATAGTTTGAACTTTGAGATGCTCATGCAGCGGCACTGACAGGCTTGATGCCAACCTCAGCCATCTTCGCTGCCTCAGGCTCCTCCCTCGGGCTATCCACCTTCTCAACAACATCCGTCAGACCCAAGTACTTCAAGTTGGCCGCCCAGCCTAGATCCTCTCCAAAATATCCCTTCATGACCTCGACACCGTATTTGATGCCACTGTTCGAATCATATGTAAGGCATTGTTTGCCCACTGCAAGCCCGATGACTGCTTCCCAAGCCGGCAGCTCGGTTGTAGGATACTGCTCGGCTGAGGGAGAGAGTTCAGCGTTAAGAACGGCGGCGTAGACGTTCTGTGCGGCGGTTTGGCCCATGACTGTTGCGCTGCCGGCACGCTTGATGCCTGACCAAGCGATTACATCTCCGACACCGAAATGGCTCGATGCGTTTGCGATGGTATCTTTGAATATAAGGCTCTGGTGCACCATGATTTCTTTATCTTCATTTAGGCACTCAGCTGGCAAGACTTGGGTGGTCGGTGTCCCTTTCTTCGTGGAGTCGATGACAAAGTCTGCTGTTATGGTTTCGCCATTTGCGAGTGTGACGGTGAACTGGCCGTTTGGTAGGTTTTCAATGGATGCGCGGCTGCCGAGAATGAGGTCAACGCCTTCCTCTTTCAGAAGAATCTTTGCGCGCTCCTTTACGTCTGATGGGAGCGGCTCGGATGATAAAACTTCGGCGCGTGAGTGGACGAGTGTGACGCTGATTTCAGGGTAGTAGTTCTTGATCTCGCCCGCGAACTCAACGCCCACCGCGCCAGCACCGATGACCACCACTCTCCTCCCCTTATACTTGGCCGGATCACCACCAGTGATCTTCTCGATGAACGCCTTTCCGTCTCTCAGGTACTCTTCGTAGCTGCCTGACTTTGGTACAGCGGGCCAGTGTCTCTTCAGCCCGGTAGCCATGACTAGGTAATCATATGGCTGTTGCTGCGTCTTCCCATTGCGATCAGACCACTCGGCTACCTTGTCCTCGGGGTTAATATTCTTGACACTACCATGCTTGAAATGTAGATTTGGGTGCTTCAATTCATTCAAGTGGCTGAATCGCCTCCACATATAGCCGGTATATTTTGGAGCAACATGCGCCAGAGGAGCGCCGACCGAGTGGACTGCAAGATACTACAGTCAGTACTAGAACTTCAAGCGGTGTACGGAAACAGGTGGGGGTCACGTGGGAGTAGCGCCTCGGTTAATAGTATATCGCTAGGAGGAAGGCGGACTGGGTGACGCACAATATCCATCACGCTCGTCGATAACGGTAATTTCAAGCCCTCTCCTACTCCGTGCGCCTTTGAAATCGGGACCTGGGTAGACGCTTTGTCGTGCTTTGCCCTGGGAGTACTCGAGGAGATTGACGACAGCGGAGATGCCACCGTATGCGCAGCCAACGATGAGAATACGATGCGGATTTGATAACGCCAGGTTACCAAGCGTGTCCGTGATGCCTTGGAGCCTCATCTTGAAAAAAATCAATCTGATAAGGAGAAAATGCGATGTGTGGGAGGGAGCGAACGGGGGAAGGCAGATGATCTGATAAGATTAGGCCGCATATGTGGCGGCACTATGGGTTCTTATTGCCAGCCTACCCACCACGCACTCCCACACCGACATCGGGCGTCAACCCACAACCAGCCGTCTGGCATCCTGAAGCTCCACGCCGTCGTTGCAGACACGTCGTACTAGAGTGCGATTGGAGGGTGTTTAATCCGATCGCTCCGCAAATTCTTATCTGATCCGCTGCTGGAGCGCTTGGCAGCTGTACAGCCCCGCAAGGAATAATGAGCGGTCTGAGCAACACAAGGGAGGGTGCGAACGCTAAGCCGATGGAGGAGAAATCGCCGAAAGTAGAAGGCGAATTCTGTTTTGCAGTCCTCTGCGGGGCAGGCGGAGGAGGATTCCGCTCGTGCAGTAGGCGTCTTGGTACTTAGAACGCGACCTAAGGCGTCCAGTCCTGGCGACGGGTCTCAACATATCATACGTAAACCCGCATAAGAGGTTGGTCTGACGGAGGTCAGTCGTCATCTAGCACGGAAATGGCGATGCAATCGTATGCAATAGTGCTTGACAAACCAGTGGCAAAGATGAGCGAGTACCTGGTACTTAGCTCCGGCCTTATTATATAGCTGGGCTTCCCAAGATCTCAGATGCGTGGTTTTTCTCACGTTCGAGCGCTTGCGAAAGCGATCACGTCTCAAGGCTCTCTGACAATCATTATAGATTGAGTATCTGATTTAGATGTAGGACTCACGATTCCGTTCATTTAAGTGGCATTCGTCCGCTACTCGTCCGGAAGATAGTAAAACCTGTGAGTGTTAGGCACCAACGCAAGCCACAGCACGATATATATAAATATGAAAGGCTGCCGCGATTTCTAAAGGAATTAACTTACTTATCATACTATCTTTTATTATGGTGTCTCTTACTGATGTGCGCAAATCGAATGCGCAGATCCCCACCGCTCTACCGAAGCAACTCGTCGCAGTGTTCGCAGGCGCAACAAGCGGTATTGGCGAATCAACACTCAAAACCTTTGTGAGCTATGCAGTTGAACCACGCATATACCTGTTTGCGCGAACCCCTGCCTCGGCGGAGCGCGTCATAGCCGAATGTCGTCAACTGAATCCTCAGGGGGAGTACATATTCGTCAAGGTGGACCTGGGCCTGATCAAAGAGACGGATCGAGCATGTGAAGAAGTACAGAATAAGGAAAAACTGGTGAACTTGGTGGTGCTGAGCGCCGGGGAGTTGAGCTTCGATCGAAAGCGTAAGCCTTTACTAGCACTGTTCTACTTCAGTTATGCAGAGGCAACTTATATGGAGGACAGTTACATCTGAGGGCCTCAACCACTTCCTCGCAGCGTCGACTTATACACGAGTGCGTATTGTTCAGCAGCTCCTTCCCCTCCTCATCATCGCGTCCCAAACGACATCCCTAGCACGTGTGCTCGACGTCGCAGGCGGCACCAAAGAAGGTGAGGTCAACCTTTCCGACCTCGGAGCCCTGAACATGCCTTTGACGAGCTTACGACCTCATTTGACAAGCATGCACACACTGGCCTTGGAAGTCCTGGCGCAGCAGGCGTCGACAGTAAGCTTCGTTCATGATTTCCCAGGCGCTGTTCACAGCTCGTTGCACAAAAACGTATCGGGGTGGGGAGGCTTGTTTTTTTTTATAGTGATGGAAACGGCGTATTGGCTCCTGGGAAGGTTGTTTTATGTCCCAATCGAAGAGTGTGGAGAGAGGCATGTGTTTTTCGCGACGAGTGAGCAGTACAAGCCGAAAGACGGGCGCGCGAATGGTGTGTCGCTTACCGAGGGGATGATAAGTGGCACTGGAAGTGATGGGCAATCAGGAAGTGGTGTGTACTCTATCGATTGGGATGGAGAGGGGCCTAGTAAAGGAGCGGAAATTGCGTTGAGAGAGATGAGGAGGAACGGCACACGAGAGGTCATCTGGAGACATTTTGAGGAACAATTCGAGAGGGCAAGTCAGAGGGCTACATCTTGAGCTTGTGTTGAGGTAAATGCGCGTACAACTGCGTCAAGGGAGTTTGAACTGTTTCTGACTTCCGAAGGTCACAAGGTAGGAATGAGACTGAAGATGAAGTGAGGGTAAATTTAAATCTTTCGTCTGTAATCAACACTAGCTAAACAGACTACTTTCTACATAGAGTAGTCCTATACTCCCGGAAAGCTTTAGGCCGTGGGTACAAGTGCAGAATAACCTCTTTCCCCTATTAGTATGTAACTCGGAGAGATAATGTACTCAAGGCCATCTTTTGTGGATCTGGTCTAGACTACCATTCGTCCAAAACACTCGATATAGGGCAAATGATCGTAATCGTTTACGACAGTACAGTGGCACATGATCTTTCTTCTCATAGTCCTGACTCGAAGAGCTCTACTTCTGATACTAGAAGTGGGTATCGATCTTGCCTACGTGATCGGCCCGTCTGAGGTATCGTCTTAGTGGATTGCGAGACAGTCGTATGTGGCTGCTAGCACGTCTTTACAAATCTCGTTCATGGTATGATGGCCCTCACGTAATATCTCGCTTCGTACACGCTTGGTCGGCACGGCGGTGGGTCATATCCCGCATGGTGGTTGCTCTTGAAGTCTAAGTCCACACTAGGATTCTGAAGGAAGTTATCAACTTATGGTCGTGTCATTGATCCTTATGCCACCCCCGGTGATATGACCTGGGTTCATTCGGTATGAGTGCCATAGTTGTCTTCCGAGTCACATACCAATTTCCTTTACGGCCAATGCTTCATATATATCGTAGTTGGTAAAGGCTTTGTCGCTGCAGGGTTGAAATGGAGGCTATTTCGACCATAGGATGGCGAGCGCCACCAGGTAGGAGAACATCAAAGTTCAACCTGATGAGAAGATTTGGCGTAAAACTGCAGCAGTGTCGTTATTGTCTTGTACCCTTTCCGCTTCGCCCAATAAAGCGGTGTATGCCCAAATAAATCCCTCACTTCGACGTCAACCTTGCCTGTCCTAAGCAATAGCTCGGCTACCTTGCTGTGGTCATTATCCATTGCTAACCACAAAGGCGTTTGATGGTACATGTCTTGTGCATTAAGATTGACTTTGCCCGTTTGGAGCAACACCTTGACGACAGCATGGTGCCCACCACGTGCAGCCCATGCTAGCGGTCTCCTTTGATCCTCATCTCTCAAGTCAACATCAACCTTGTGAGTGTTGACTAATAGCTGGACTATAGAGTCGAGTCCGTTCTGTGCTGCCCAAAAAAGTATCTCTTGACCAAGTTTGCCATCTAAACCAACGGTAGCTTGGCCTGTCTCTAGCAGTAATTGGACTAAAGCTGCGTGCTTCTGATTTGCCGCCCTCCACAGCGGAGTGTGTCCGTTCGAATCATTTGCGTCCACGGAAACCTTCCCAGTGTCAATCAATTGCTTGACCACATCCTCGTGTCCGTTCTGCACAGCCCACCATAGAGGCGTTCGTCCGGTTTTGTCTTTCGAGTCAATATCAATTTCGCCACACTTAAGCAGAAAGGCTGCTGTAGCCTTGAAACCAAATTCCGCTGAATACGACAGGATGGTCCTAGCTTTCGAGAATCTGAAGTCGCTTCCAATACTGCTTTGGCAGCATTCCTCAATCAGCTTCTGTGCGTTCTCTTCAGGGTACTGAATCACTCCAAAACTTCTCACAAACACCTCAATAGATCCAACGCTCCCGGTCGCCATGGCTGCAAACAGCGGTGGCCCGTAAGTTCCATTCCCTACATCAAGACAAGAGCGGGCACATGGGCGCGCTCGAATAAGGTTGATCATGTTGCGCTCGCCCAACAGATAAAGGAGACTCATGTCTGCCGAGTGCCTGCTTAAGGCCTTATTTTCAAACAGGTTGTCTAACATAATCCAATGGGACAACGGGAAGCCATCAAGAAACTCACTCTGGCTTATGCTACAAGCCGCCGCTGTGTCTGCGTGACGTAGTACGTTACGGACAGCGTACTGCATGAAAGGAAATAACCTAGTAACTGATTTGCGTAGGTTTGTAGCCTTCTGAGTTGACGCTTTAGGCAGAATCCCCGGGATTTTCAGGGAGCAACGAATGTCCACGCTCATATAATCGAAGCAAGATTGCTTTAACTTCTCATGGCTTTGACCCCGGAAATTTTCTGAGAGATCAGGCCAGACTTTGCCAAGACCGTTTTCTTTTAAGAGGAAGTCTCTTATTGATTCATGGATGAACTGGACCGTATGAAGTTTCGACGCCGTGATCTCGGCAAGCCCTTTCGAGGAATCGAGAATGAACCTCTTGATAACATGTATTGTGATTTCAGCATGGTCCCAACTTGATACCAACTTAGGTTCTACTCCGGCAAGGATAGCGAAATACAATTCCTCTGGACTCAACGGCTGCTCTGCAAAGAGTAGCCACTGGATACACAGTACTAGCTCGTCCCTGTTCTGTGCGTCGCGTGTTAGTATATCGCGAAACAGGTCATGTAGGTCGCTAGGAATTTCCTGGAGTCTTCGCTGAAGGGCATGAACTCGGCCGCTGTCGTACTCTTTATTTAAGATGCCAACAACAAGAACGACCCACATGAAAATCCCCGATGCCTTTTCTTGAAGCGCAATTCGAACCTCCTCAGCAATCTTACTCCGACCGATCCTTAGTTCACTCTTCACGTAATTGGTAATATCCTGGCTATGCCCCTCTTGCCCTTCAAGAACTAGTTCGACTCCTTTCCGAATTGTGATGTGCGGGTAGTGCCTGCTGGAAAGACAGACCTTAAAACGTCTGTTAGACGAAACTGCGAGTTCGCCAACACGTTCGAAGAACAAGATCATATCCCGGATTTGTCGTTCTTCGCATTCGTCTAACGCATCGATAAAGCAAACGACGGAGGTTTTCTCTGAACTTTGGATAGCTTGTCCTAGCAGTAATTTGAGTGGATCAACCCTCCACTGGTAATCAGCACTAATGCTCGACGGTGAAACACCAAGCGAGTTGAAGATCTTCTGAAGCCCAGGTCGCTGATCGAGGAGTTGCAAGAGTAGCGACCGATATGCCCCAACTGTAGACTTTTCCATTTCCTGACCTCGTGCATTGAAGAAAAATGAAGTTACGACATCATCTGTTGCTGTCCTGCGAGCATGAGCATGGGCAAACTTCATCAACGTAGATTTTCCAGCTCCTGGCTTCCCTTTGATCCACAGGAAACCGTGATGCTTGCTTAGTTCATCTGGATTGAGCCAGTCGAGGTACTCGGGTCTGTTCAATAGCCAATTACATGTCTCAGGATGAGCATTCTCGATAGTCATTTGGCGCGCATTAATCTGGTCGAATCTTAGTGAGGCCAGCAGTATCCGCTCTTCATCTTTACTCAGCAACCGTGCCTTTGTTTTGGAAATCTTTGCGGTCTGTTCTTCAAGCCGAGCAAACGCGTTCTCCTGTCCTTCGCCATATATAAGCGACATATAGACACCCAAAATGCCTAATAGACAGTACGCTTCATCTTCCTCGCGTTTCGTTTTACGTCTTGCTCCCCACGAGAGTCGTTCATCGATACTATATTGGGACAAGGGATCCCCCCGAAGAGCTCCAATAGCAATTCCTGTAATCTCGTGGATGGTCTGCTCTAACGATCGTTTGTTGCCGAGGTATGTTTCCTCTCTACAGAAGAACTCGGTTGATCCGGGTGCGATGAGTTCCTGAAGGGTCCAGCCGCGTGTAAACCACCTGCTCTGTCTGAAAGCTGGCTTCCATCTTTGGGAAGAGTCACCATCTCCATCAACGTTGCATCTCGAAACGTCGGCCATGTACACGTAACATCTCTCTGCCTTCTGATACCACCGGAACATAGAGTTGATCGCCTCTGAAAGCTCTGCACTGCTTGACTTATCAATGCAGCACGTGTCTACCCAGAAATGCTGCAGGCCATCCTTCTTAGCTTGATTTCCGCAAAATGTAAGCTTGCGAAATCCAATCTTATCGTTTCCTGTACTATGCAACAAGTTTTGGTATGTAACTTCCTCGTTGTCAGACCCCCAAGTATGCGAAAGAATAGCGTAACGCGGAATGTTGTTGCCTAGATATTCGGCAAGGCTGAATTTGCCATCGTCGTGAAGCTGCAAAAGGCGCATGAGGAGGAAGGAAGAGGTATAAGGCGGCTCAGGCGACAAAGGTAGGTAGGATCATGTGGAGAATACTTGTACTATTCAAGCAGTCCTACAAGCTACGCCGGTGTCATGAGTGAAGGAGATCAAAACCAACTCTGGAAGACAAGCTGAAGATAATGGGCGGTGCAGGGTGGCTAAGCATTCGACCTGGCTAGCAAGGGTGGTAGGTTGATTGACATGTGCCGCGGAATTTGCGCCGCGGAATTTGCGCCGCGGAATTTGCGCCGCGGAATTTGCGCCGCCTGTTAGGCAGAGCTCAGAACCTCCTTGCAACACCAAAACCACCACGACCACCTTCACACCCGCGCATCGGTCGGCAATTGGGGCACTACCCGCGGTCTTACTTCTTGTCAATTGTGTGCCGAGCCGGTTGTCGCGCACACGTTGTATTGGAGGCGCACCTTCCCACCATTTCATTATGACGACACGATAAGAGACGCGTTCTTGGGACTTACTTGAGGCCTCGGGCTTCCTCTATGTTGGAAAGGTGAGCATATTCCCATCACTATATATTCAATCACTAAAACGTTCTGTAGGTCTGCGTTGTTATAGACAGTTCCGTAATCAGCTATAACACGTACACACCCTACAACACCACCCATCGAAGATCTACCTCTCGAGCAAACAAGCAATACCGTCGAAGCGCAAGACGCACTCCAAAAACGAGGTGGTATAAGAAAGTCACGTAGCGGCAATGCAACCTACAGGCGCTCAGAAAGACAAACAGACCAGGTCGCGAAGCAGCTGGCACAGGAGCCGACAAGGCTCGATGCGCTGGTATGCAATGGGGCCTTGGGAGTCGGCATCTACGCGAGACTTAGGATGGGCTGGATAGCCACATGCACATGAACGTCTTCTCGCGTGCGCATCTTCACCTCACGCTCATACTCGTTCTGCAGCAGACGTACTACTGTGTCGTCAACCACCGGGCTTCCGATCTGCACCGCGGCGCAAAGAATCCATTGCCGAAATGAATCATGACATCGGTGCCGCATACTGTACAATCGCACCAAACTCGCGTAGATTATCTCTTTTGGTGAACTCTGTACGCATCAAGGTAGGTCAATGTTGGACTGAGACAGGCACCCATGGCTTGCCTTGGATCAATGCAACGCACCCAGGCGGCGTCAACAAGTTCGGGCTGTTAAAGCATATGGTAATTTGGGCAAAATTACTGTTTCTCCTTTCATGAAAGACCAAATTGATCACAGATTCGTCCTGTCTTAGACACTGTCACATCTCCGAACATCGTGAAGGATCCGATACTAAAATAGCATTGTGCCTGATCGCAAGGTACAGGAGCCGTCCAATCAAGCTTTGAACGGCACCCTAGCTCTCAAATTGTGAAGTTGACGAAGGAGGTGTTGGAATCGATGATTGGGGAGTTGCCACACTCGATGAAAATGGATGGACTCAGCTACTTCCAGCCCCTGGGCGGCCCTCGTAGGCCAGGGAGGGCTTGAAATTCGTAAGGACGCGAGCTGCGAGGCGTGCAGGGCGTCAAACTACCCGCGAGTCATGCCCAAGTGATGCAAGACATAGCAAATCGCATCTTGTAGCTATGCGAAAGCACCTTGTTTAGTACATGCACAAAACACATGCCTCTTTCAGGAACTTCATCTTTGATTTGTAATGGCACTTCTCGTGGGAGGTGCATACTATCCTTTCAAATGTAGCCCGTAGGGCGTAGTAGTTTACCCCGCTGCGTCATGGCATGAAGTGGGGCTCCAACGGCAACACACTCAACTATATAGTCTTCAATCGCTAATCGAACAACCAAACCGCTTACCACCCGATCAAGACCAGCACATTCACCTCTCTTCCCATACACAACCAAACACCTGCATGCACGATGTCTAAACTCACAGACTTCAAACTCCTCTCCTTCGACGTCTACGGTACCCTCATCGACTGGGAACGCGGCGCCCTTACTGCCTTTGAGCCCTCCCTCCGCAAATCCGGCAAAACATCCGACGACCCAGACTTCGACGGGAAGCGTATTCTGCAAGTACTGCATGAGATAGAACCGATTGTGGAGAGGGAAAATCCACGCTTGAAGTACTCTGAGGTTCTAAGCATCGTTCACCCTAAACTCTGCAAAGAACTCGGCCTAGAAGAGCCCACGAAAGAGGAGAGCAAGAAATTTGGCAACTCAGTCGGCGATTGGCCTGGATTTTCCGATAGTGTGGAGGCGTTGAAGCGATTAAGTACGATGTACAAACTTGTTGTCCTCTCAAACGTCGACAACGAGTCCTTCAAAGCGGGCAACGCGCATGGTCTGGAAGGATTCAAGTTCGACGCTGTCTACACCGCTGAGGATATTGGGAGCTATAAGCCGGACTTGAGGAACTTTGAGTATATGCTGAAGCAGGTCAAGGAAGACTTTGGGATAGAAAAGCATGAGGTGTTGCAGACTGCCCAGTCGCAATTCCACGACCATCATCCAGCAAAGGATATTGGCATTAAAAGTAGTTGGATATATCGTCCTGGCGCTGTCATGGGAAACCGCAAGGACCCGGTATTCAACTGGAAATTTGACACTCTTAGTGACATGGCGGACGCTGTTGAGAAGGAGTTGGCTGATCAGAAGAAGTAAATGAGTATTTCAAATGGTACAAACTTAGACAAGTTCGCATATTTAGTTAAAACTTCGATTTATGATGAAAATTAAGTTTAGGTCGACGAGTTCCGACTTGACGCGCGAGGACCGGGCCGCCCCTTCGGGGCTGAACAACGCTAGCGCTGTACCTTCAATCTCACCGACATCGAACCATCCACTCTTTCCCCCGTCGTCCTTTTCAAGTACCGATAGCTTTCTTCGTCATCATGCAGTCAATTGCGACTCTAAAGGCCCGATCAGGCTGTCGAAGGCAGCCACTCGCCAAACACTCTTCGTCCTTCGTCGCCCACCCCCTCCTTTGCCTTGTCTCATTTGCCCTGTCTCCTACAAATAGCGCCTAAGAATCGACAACTCTTATACATGATTGGGTATTTGGATGGTCAGATAGCCTGCCCGCTATGGGTTCGCTCGACGCAGATTATGCATAAGGCTAGAAGGGGAGGTTGATCTTCTCACTGGAAGGCGACGCCGAGCCTCAGCTGATCCCTTCATTTGCAGGACTTGTACCTCGAAGTTATGGATCCCTGCAAAACGCGCCCAGGCTGGGCATCTGGGGTGACGAAGGCTTGACAAGGCTTCTCCAATCCTTTATTAGTGGTCCAAATCACCGTGATGATGCGGCACGCGCCGTGCGCGAACTGCCCATACATTTGGGGGCTGAAGGGTATGCTGACAGACCCACAACAACCTACCAATGAGGGTATCATATGCGCAACCTACGTTGCATTCGGATATGTCCCCCAGTGGGGGCTGAAGACTGGCCTACTGGATCGTCGAGCAGCATTCGTCCTTCACGACGTGACAAGGTTAAGCGGGTGCAGGCAACCTTTGGAGGCTCATGGGTCCGGGAGAGCGCGGGCGTGCAGAGCCAGAAATGGTTATAAGATTCGCTATTGAGTCAAAATTGGAATTTGGTCAGCTTTGACATTAGTTACACCGGCATTCACATTACGTGCGCTCTGTATTGATCAAAAAGCTTCGAGTAACAATGAGCTCTCCAGCGAACGACTCCTCTGAACTGAAAGAACGAGGACCGACAAAAAGTGGTGACGAGAACATGGGACGTGAGATCTCAACGCCGCAGTGGAAGTCACACAAACGCCGAGAATACAAGACATATAATTACGATGCATTGCCACGCGGACGTGGTATCATCCGCCTTCTTAACCTATACTCCAGTGAAAATTCGGATGCAGGAATTCTATGCGAGCTGATCACTCCAACAGAGGATGAGAAGAGTTCATATCCCTACGAAGCGCTCTCTTGGTGCTGGGGCACAGCTCCGAAAACGGACTACATTCGCATCCAACGGAATCGGAAAACATACGCCAAGTATGTCAGCCATAACCTTGTCGCAGCACTCAAAGCCCTTCGACACCCCGACAGAAGCCGTTACATTTGGGTTGATATGGTGTGCATAGATCAAGAGAAGTATGTGAGATTGGTTGCCGTAACGCATTTGCTGATATTAATAGCTTGAATGAGAAGAATCACCAAGTTGAGATGATGGACATAATATATGGCAACGCCGAACGTGTCTGTATATGGCTCGGCGAAGCCAACGACTCCAGCCGTACGGCGTTAAGGTTTATCAAGAATGAGGTCTCGCACTTACAAAGCTTTGACACTCTCTGTGATAGTAAAGACGCTAGCAAGAAATGGGTCGCTTTGCTCGATCTTATGCAGCGTCCCTGGTTTTCGCGTCGCTGGGTCGTGCAGGAACTCGCACTCGCGCAGAAAGCAGTCATATATTGTGGTCACGATAGGATCTCGTGGAACAAATTTGCCATCGCTGTTGAACTACTCGTTGAAGTCGAAACCGCCACCCATCGATTGTCAGAAGTCATGAAGAAGGACCGACAGTACCAGTACATTCCAAGTTATTTCGAGTTTGTCTCCGCTTTAGGCGCTAGTCTGCTGGTAGACGCGAACGAGCGTCTTTTTCGAGAGAGTAAAGAAACCAAACCCCCCGAGACTGGGTCCGTCTCCAGACTGGATCCAGACCTGGACTCAGACAGCGATGACTCTCCAGAGGCAATTGACAGCGACGATAGCGAGACGAGTACAGTTCCCCCTCCACGTGCTATGAGACACGCACCTCGAATTCAGCCACTTTTGAGCCTTGAGTATTTAGTGTCTAGCTTGACCATATTCGAGACTAGTATGCCACATGACACAATCTATGCTTTGCTTGCAATAGCTAAGGATACTACCCCGCGTGCTGTCGATCCGCAAGATGCCGGAGGTTCGGGTCGAGCTCATGAAGGACTGGAGATATACACGCAACGGAAAAGCTACAATGTTGACTATAAGCTGCCATACGTTGACGTATGCAAAGAGTTTATCTTGTTCTCAATTGAACGCTCATCTCACACCGACCGGAGCCGAGCACTGGATGTAATATGCCGACCGTGGGCAGTTGAGGAAAGAAAGCTAAGGAAGATTCGAGAGAACAAGCAACAAACAAAAGTGAAGCGAGAAAGGGATGAAAGAAGGGAAAGGGATCGGAAACAGAGACGCACATCCAGATCTCAACATAAAGCTTCGGCTGTGACCCCAACCGACAAGCCTGGAGTACCTGCACCAATCAACACAGATGATAGTGAGAGTTCTACCAACCATAAATATGTCGAAATCGAGGATATGGCCTTGCCCTCGTGGGTTCCACAGCTGTCAGGCGCACCGTACGCGATGACTCACCGGCCGGGACATGCAGGACCGAAAATGAGTCGCATCAATGCTGACCACCTTGTCGGACTTCCGAGCCTCACACAGAGAAACTACTCTGCTGCTGAGACCAAAGGCGTCGACCTAAAAGCCCTCAGGTTTCGCAAGCGGCCAACCCTTGGTCACTACAGCATGTACGTCCGAGGCTTTGTGCTTGACCAGATCCAAGACGTAGAACAAGTGGCTCGAAACGGTGGCATTCCACGAGAATGGGCTGACCTCGAGCACTGGGAAAATGCCAAAGGACACCCACCTGATGCTTTCTGGCGGACGCTTGTTGCCAATCGCGGAAAGGAGGGCAAGAATCCTCCCGTGTACTACTCGCGTGCTTGTGAGGAATCCTTCAAGAAAGGTGGCCTGGAGAGTGGAGCCGTCGATACGACAGCGCTAATCGAGTACGAACGCAACTCCGTAGTGGCTCAGTTTTGTAGGCGCGTACAAGCCGTCACGTGGAATCGAGCATTGGTCAAAACCGAAGGAGGTAGGCTTGGTTTGGTTCGCAAAGATGTCGAGAAGGGCGATCAGGTGTGCATCCTATATGGATGTAGTGTACCCGTAATCTTGCGACAAAGCGACAGGAAGGATGAAAAGGTCTTCACTGAAGAGTTGGAGCAAGAACTGATTTACCTCAAAAACACGATGGTCCAGAGTTTCAAACGGTATTTCAAGCTCAAGAAACGGCATCAGCAGCAGAAAGGTATAGGAAAGAAGCAGCTCTGTAAGCAATGGTTCAAGCAATCGGACTGGATCCGAACAAATGGGTTCACCTCACGTCAGCTCTCCAATGAAGAAACCAGAGAAGAGCTCAAGCGTATCTTGAGAAATGCCGCCCGTGATTTCGATACATGGAGGTTCAAAAAGCGCGCGAAAGTTTGGCCGGAGCAGTTACGTAAGATGGAACAAGAAATGAGAGATGCTAAAACGGTCAGAAGCAGACCAGGGAAAAAGCAGATGGACGAGCTCCTGAAGAAGAGAAAGGCCGAAGAGCAGAAAGCCCAAGACCTTCAGGCACACAGAAAGCGACAAAAGTCTCGAACGGCCTTTGACATAGGATCGCTACCTAAATTCAGCCCAATCGTAGACGGATTATCGAATGGGACTTCGAAAGACCCATCTGCCACTGTTAAAAAGAAGAAGATACCCATCGATTGGTGGGCATTTGAGTATGCATTGGCTGTCGGGAGAAGATGGAGAAAAATCGTCCAACAAAGGAAAGGGGAGCGTGAAGCGTTTGCACTTCGACGGACGGATGTGCACTGGGGCTTAATGCAGCACGATACATACCAGGCCTTCGAGAAGGAAAGGCGAGCCAAAGGAAAGTGGATTGAGTCACCTACCACAACCAGTGGCGGCATTCCAAGCGCAAATGTAGGAGCGGAAGGACAGACAGAGGCCTCAGAACCACGCGTATGTCCTCCGAACGGTGAGCGTGCATTGCCAGGAACTTCCAATTCGGAAATTCGGCCTAGCTGGAAGGCGCGAGTCAATAGGGATGTATTGTCTGAGAAAAAAAAGGAAGAATATAGCGCAAAGGTTCGAACTAACTTGCGTGATAGGCTGGGGGAAGAGGGTTACTTCTCATATCAACTTCTTGGCGAGTGCTACATTCACGGCATGATGGATGGCGAAGCCATGCTTTACCAGAACCAGGGTGACGAAGATGTCATTCCTTCAATGGTCTTTGAGATTCGTTAAACTTTGTTTTTGCGCTGTTGTTTTGCGTTTCAAAGACCCATAATGATCCTATTTCCTTCCGTTAGCAAGTTAGTTTTAATGGACAGTTCCATCGTTTTGCTATCTGCGTTTGTTGATCGCGCTTTGCGGATATTGTAACCCATGACAAGAACCAACTGCTGCCATATCCCATCAACTCTGTAAGGGCAGCCGAGCTAAACCAGAGCTTATAAATATTCCTGCAAGGTCGCATCTTTAGTCGTCACGATCTACTACGTTGCGACAATATTCTTACTTCTCATACGCGCTGCTAGGCGAATGCTACATACACAGCATGATGGACGTAGATGAAGCCATTGGATGTCAGGGCCTGAAAAATATTTTCCTGGTCTTGGGTTCCGATAGATAGGTGATACACTTGTTGGGTGCGCTGATACACCCGCCAGCGAACCGGCTAGGAGGATTGCACGCGCGTTCCTCTGGGGCTTCGCGAGGCCCAGTCGTACAAGATACACGTTGTTAGGACCTAGCCCCAGGTAACGTCTAAACGATCCAAACCTAGCTGGTTGTACACCGGTTAGTGCCCAACGCTCCCTTGATCCCCACTTGTCTCTTTCTTCCTTGCCAGTCAATCTGGGGCGCTCATTCGCCGATAAGAGCGATGCAGCAAGACCAATAAGGTCGGGCACACCTTGTATTCTTTGGATCAAGTATGGATGAGCACAAGCTTTTCAGTATGCGAGATAAGCTCAATCCCATACCTATATTTGTGTGACATCTGGAGATCACTGATCGCGTCTTGATTTGGTAACCAGCTAACGTAAAGCAAGCTAGCTCCGTTCCTGGCGTACGTCATCCACCTTCGCAGCCCAGCCAAACTCTGAACACCACGCCGCGCGAGCAGCACGCCGACAGATTCTGTCCTTGCATCCATTCACCACAGCGCAGCGGGCTGCTAGATATACTGCAAGGCGGTTACACTGTGCACGGTTCTCAGCAGTACCATCGGCGCATGACGGAAATTGCGGCATAATGGCAGGCGTACGCTCTGCAACGCCCGCAGTTGAGGGGAACGGCCTTCAAAAGCGGCCCTTCTCTGCACGCTGGCTCAGGAGGAGGTTGGTGTTGATCATGATGTTCTTCAGTACTACTTTACTCTTGTTCTGGCATTTCGGAGCTTTTGGGCTTGGCCGGCCACAACAACAAAAGCCGTCGAAACATCCCCTTGTTGTTACACTCCCTGGATATGGATCGTTTCGGGGTACGAAGGTTCTTGCCAATGTGAAGAATACTAAGAAACTGAGTAACACGGTGGATGTATGGTTGGGGGTGGAGTACTCTACGCAGCCTGTGGGCAAGAATCGGTTCAAGCCAGTAACATGGCCAGAAGCTTTCGAAGGCACGAAGGATGCGACTTCTTTGGGGCCGGCGTGCTATCAGAACATATATGGCTCGCTCGGGCAATCTGAGGCTTGCCTTACAGTGAGCATATATCGCCCATCGGGTATCCCGATAGCTAAGAAGCTTCCTGTCCTGGTGTTCTTGCATGGCGGCTCATTTGTCATTGGTTCACATCGCAGCTTCGATGGCACGCTGTTCGTGGCAAAAAGTGCGCAGCCTCTCATGGTCATTACAGTACAATATCGACTGGGAGCATTGGGAAGCTTGCCTGGCAAGTTCATGGAAGAGGAGGGTCTGTTGAATCTTGGTATTCGGGACCAAAAGATGGCGTTGGGGTTCCTACAAGAGTATGTTGAGTACTTCGGAGGAAACCCGAAAAAGATCACTCTTGGCGGCCAAAGTGCGGGTGGGCACTCTGTCGGCATTCATCTCTTCCACAACTACGGCCAGGATGCGGGCAAACCATTGTTCCATCAAGCCATACTAGCATCGGGCTCACCAACAGCACGTGCATTTCCAGGCGTCAATTACCCCCTATATGAGCGACAGGTCAGGCATTTGATGGACTACTTCAACTGCCCCACATCACCTAGCTCAACCGCGCTTGAGTGTCTACAATCTGTATTAGTAGAAGACATACAGTTTATCTCTACATCACTGTACAACGCAAACAACCACAACATCACGTGGCCATGGCAGCCAGTCTCGCCGGGGCCACTTTTCGAAAAACGTGGCTCGACTTCTGGCGAGGACGGTACCTTCTTCAAAATTCCTATCCTAATATCCTCCACAACCGACGAAGGCAAAGCCTTCACACCACATGATCTTCAGACCAACAAAGACTATCTGGGATTCTGGAAGACTCTGGTGCCAGACCTCACACCTCAGGATCTGGCCGACCTCGATAGGCTCTACCCCGACCCCCAAACTGGTCAAAGTCCCTACAAACCCAAAGCACAAACCTTCATATCACCACAATACGAGCGTGTATCCGCCGCCTATGGTGATTACTCTTATATCTGTCCTGTACAGGACACTGCATCCCGTCTCTCGTCCGCCAACGCGCCTGTCTACAAAGCTCGGTTCAACACGCCCAACTTTGCGCCTACGTATATGGGTGTCCCGCACGCGAGCGACACCTCATACTTCAATGGTCGTGCTACGGCGCAGTATCCCGCTATATCGGACCTGTATAGCGCTTATTGGGCGAGCTTTATTGTGAGTGGTGATCCAAATACGTTCAAGGAAGAGGGGACAGCGAAGTGGGACAAGTATGAGGTGGGAAAGATGAATGGACGAAGGGAGTTGGTTGTAAGTCCGCCCCATAAGGGAGGCGTACATATGGAAATGGAGGATCAAGGGATCAGGACGCTGCAGTGTGCGTGGTGGAGGGATCAGGATAGGGCAAAGAGGTTGAATAAGTAGGCGCGGGGCCTCTAAAAACATGCTATACATCGGAGTTTAGAAATGGCTTTCTATTAGAGTCAACATTTCATCCTTTTCGTCTTGGATGGAGAGAACAACTTGGGCTCGTCTCCACAACCTCATAATCAAGTCAGTCCTATGCCATGCCGGTTTACCTGGAGCGTTATCAGGCTGAAGCGAGTGAGGTAATCTTGCATGGTATGAGGCATAGACATGATGAGGTTATCGTTCCGAGTTCGTTGTGTCTTGCGACATTTCAGTCTCCAGGTACCTCAAGTTACAATCTTTAGAGGCAATTCCGTGTCAATAAGCGATGCGCGAGAGTGATTTGGGGAATAGTACGCCATGAAGCAATGTGAGAACATTGTAGAGCCACAATACGCCTTGAGGATGACTCCCTGACAAACGCCAGTGCTTACAATCCCTGACAGATTGGAGGGCTCCGTTGAGTGACTTGAAGCAAACTTCATGGTTTCATGGTTTCATTCTGATTGCTCGTCAAATCATATGTTGCTTGTAGACAAAGACGTAATGAGGTATATAACCACAGAGGCGCCAGATATAATGTCGCATTCATTCATCTTTATTACCTAAAGCTTTCTCCGTTATTGAACAATGTATACACTCACCACACACTGTTATGACTATAAAAATGATTTCATTGGCCGTTTCAGACTGGGAAGTGGGAGTTTTGACATGGTTTTCATTTACTGTTCACGCATAGTAACCCTGGTTGAGAAACCGCGCTAGTCTGTTGCGATTCTTCCCTCCTCTATATAAAGAAAGCAACTCCTATTCTAATATTAATTTCCCCACAAACATCTCACCACGATCAACACACGAAAACTCAGCCACTACTACAGATATTACCTTGACAAAACTCCTTGGATCATTATTCCACGCGTACCAACATGTCTACTCAATCATCGAAATTGACATTCGCCCAGAAGATGATGGCCAAGATGGGCCACACTGAGGGCCAGGGCCTCGGCAAGAACGGTAGCGGTATAACGCAACCCATCCAGGATTCTGGCAAGTTCGGTCGTGGAGGTCTCGGTTTCGACCAGGAAGAGATATACCCACGCGCTCGAGCAATAAATTCTCACGAGCGCCCAGACTTCGACATTGAGAGCACTATTGTCCAAATTGCCCTTCTACCACACAATTGCGAGCCCGCATATGTCATGACTCTCTTCAAAGCCGAAACTGCTCAGAACATCGAAGAGCTCTACACACCGGAGTACAACTTGAGTGGAGTGGCTTGGGTGAAGTTTAAGTCAGAGGCAGATGCTGCAGACGCGGTGGTTAACTATGACTCGGTACACTTCGGGCCAAACGGACAAAAGATCAGCATTTCCTTGATATCCGAAGACGCTGCCCCATTTCACAATCCGGAGTCAGATATTGACCTCTTACGCCACTCTGACACTATCCGTCACGATAGCTCAGTAGTCACAACTACCACTGTTTTCGTCACGCATTTACCGTCGAGCGGTCCAATCAGCAACATCTACCAGATGGTGGAGAAGATTGGCTGGGATGAGGGTTATGGTTATGGTGAAGAGGAAGGGGAGGTCCATGGCATCAAGGCTTGCAAAATCGTCGATGACGGCGTCCTCGTTCAGTTCGAGTGTATCAGCGACGCATATCAGTTCCACGGCTGGTATAACGGCGAGTACTGGAAGAACGACACGCTACATGTCGACTTCCGCCTCGATTCAGAAATGGACGAGCTCATGGAGGACGAGCGTGAGCGCAAAGCAGCAGCAAAAGAAAATACAAAGCTGTTCGTTGGCAGCGTGCGTGGTTTGACCGCGGATGATATCAACCAGGCATTTCATCCAATCATTCTCGACGATGTGCAAGTCAACACCGGTGGCTTTGCTTTCATCTTCCTCTCGATGACGGATGCAATTGCCATTCTTGACAAGTTTCCCAACGGCCTTAAGTTACGAAATGGTCGGAAGATTTACCCGAACCCACCGAAGGACAAGAAGGGCGCCGCGTCTCTTGCCGCAGCTCGAGTCAAGATAGCCGCTGAAGCCGCTGCCAAATCATCAACAGATACAAATATGGCCCATTTGGTGTCCAATGCAGCTTCCTTGTCAATTGGACCCAAGCCCGTCCGCGTGAAGCTGAACAATCTTGCCTTTTCGGCGACTGAGCAGGACGTCCGCTCGCTTTTCAACGGCTTCTCGCTTTCAGATCCGGGGGTATCTATAAAGAAGGGCTATGGATTTGTTTGGGTCGCTTCGAATGCTGAGGCTCAACGAGCGGTCGCAACATTGAACAAGCGAACTATCCGCGGCAAGGCCGTGACTGTCAAGATTGCGGGTGAGCAATAGGCGGGTCCACGTAGTAGATTCTTTGAAGAATTGTGTTTTGCAACTGAGTATGGCTTGTCTACAGTAGCTTAAAGTTTTGAAGGCATTTTCCTAAGTAATCGAATTCATAATCTTTTATAACCTAATTTTACCATGGTTGCAGCGTGATGATGTCCTTCGATGTTAGGTCCACACCCCCCGCCGCTTTTGCTTCTTTGAAATCAGCTCACAAATTTAGGTAGACTACCAGAAAAGATTAGTGTAGATAACATGATCTTGCCTAAGCATGGTTTTGTGCATTTTTAAATGATGTGCCCCACCTTTCTGTACCGTTCATTGTTATGATATCTCTTCTCTAATTTGCAGAGAGCATGTACCATTATGCGAGAGCACAGAAACATAGCAGCGCCAGAATAATTAATAAAGGGTTTACAACAGTTATATTAATGCTGTCCCATTCAAATTACATGATTTACAGAATGTGGTTAGAATGTGCCACACCAAGAATATAACCTTCATCGCTTTAGAAGGCGCAGAATTGTGTAGCATCTTTCATATTTCTAGCGTAGTTATGTTAACAAAGGTAGCAGACAAAGCGTTCTCCCAGATCAAGAGTCCGACTTTCACCCGGCTTTGTCTCTCGTAAGAACACACGGGCAAGTTCAACTTTCACTACAGCTCGTGCATATTCCAAACAAGCGAGATTTCAAACTCAAGCAAGAACCAGTCACTCCTCTTCCAGTCCGCCTTTCACCGCTTTGTGCACCCCTGCGAACCTGCCCACAAAGACTTCGAGCGCCAAACCTTCATAACCCTTCTACTTATCATAGCCACCTGCCCCTACATCTTCAACCTCAAGCGAGAAGTCATCCACGACACCGGAATCTACACTAAAACAGATCGAGATGCCCAAACGCAGCCGACCGAGTGCAAAAAGCTCTCAGGAAAAGAAGCGAGTCAAGCTTACCAAAGACATATCGCTCACTGAAGCTGCAGAGCAATCCGCCAACACTAAACCTCCAGTGGAAGTGGCACCCGCAACCATGCCTGAAGATGATTACGATTTTATTGTCACATTGGATGAAACCACTCCAAAGACGCAGGATGCCGTAGTTGACGCTAATGGAGCCGGAGCCACCGCCCAAGATGAGGAAGACCTTTTCGATTATGATTTCGATATATCGCCGGCGGCCACAGGCGACGAGCCTAGAGCCGAGGCTGTGTTTGACGGCAGCGCTGATGATGTCGACAAAGACAAGGAGATTGAACCCACGAAGGAAGCGGGCAAAGAGGAGGAGTTTGACATCGCACTCAACGATGATACAGCAGTGGAAGAGGCGGCCGTACTGAAGGTTCGAGATAATGAAGAGATGGAGAAGAAGAAAAATCCTGCCCAGGCTATTCTTGAAGGTGGCAAGAACTGCATTGTTCAAGGACTTCAGGCTAGTTTCCGTTACGTACCTACACTCCAGTCTTCGCTCGGTTTGAACGATATCGGCGACAGCGTAACCACCAAGTTCAGCACGAACGGTCTTGAATTCGAAATTTCGATAAAGGTCGTAAGTGCTCAGGGGAATGTATCAAATGCTGAGGCACATGAGGAGGAGGCGAACGAGACCAAAGAAGAGGAAATCTTGCCTACTACAGAAGTACAGCAAGACCTAACCATCGACACGACCAAGGCCCAGAACGCGCTCCACAATGCTCCTCCGCTCTCCACCGGCGCACTATCTGCCAATACGCGCGGCAAGACCCCGTGCAGATTCGGTGCAAACTGTACCAAGGGCGAGGACTGCCACTTCGACCACACCAATTCAAGCGCTCCGACGAAGAAGCCTTGTACCTGGGTCAACACGTTCACAGGCTGCATCAAGGGTGACGAATGCTACTTCTCTCACGAGCTCGAGGGCGTCAAGTGCAACAAGTCCAAGATGCGCTCTACATGTCTGAATTCCTACAAGTGCGCATTCAAGCACGATGACGACGAAGTGAAGGCGCCGAAGGGCGCGAAACCAAAAATTTCCAAGGCCGCTGAGATCGCGCAGAAAGCTGCGCTGGCGCGAGCCTCGCGCGAAGCATCAGTTGCCTCGCACTACTCGCAGTCGTACGGTAGTCGACCCGTGAGCCCAGCTCCGCCGCACGATTCTCTAGCTGGCCTAAACAATGCCCTCGGCAAGGGGGCGGGCCAGAAGCGTGGCTACGGTGACGATGGGCAGGATGAGGGTAACAATACCCAGCGCGTCCGCAGCAACGACCAAATTCCACACAACCAGAACCTACAGCAGGACTTCAACCAGTACGATAATTCTGGCCAGGTTGGTGGCCAGCAGCCAAATCGAGGCCGCGGTCGCGGTCGCGGTCGCGCACGTGGACGTGGCACTGGTCGTGGCAATGGCCGAGGCAATTACCGCCAGAACAACGCCGGCGTACAGCAGAATGCAACCAGGGAGATTAAGATCAAGGGGACTGCTGGTCAGAATGACCAGTAGAGAACCCCGGGACAGTCCAAATGTCCTGAAGCACAACATTCTGATCGGGCGTATCAGGGCGAGGGGACAACCTCGCCTTTGAGGAGAAGATGGCGAATGGCGAAGCATATACTACCAAATATTGAGTAATAAAGGGAAGCAGTTGACTAATTTCCTTTGTTCATCTACTTGATGTTAGCTTTCTTTGTTCTTTCCTAGCAAGTGCGCGTCCATACACACAGCGTAAAATATGCAGCACCTAGGATTGATCTATTGTGGAAAACGATAAATAGATCAAGCTAAAAAGATCTAAATAAGAAGATATAGATACTTCAATCTTCCTCTCCTATCCCTCACGTGATATACTGAGTCCACACTACTCACTCCGCAACATAAAATACTCTGATAAAGGAACGACAAGTACTCGGAATTTTGACTGCGCTCTCCAGTTATCTCTGCATTGCTAGATTGCATCGGCTCACTGGGGAAGCACACCGCCCGGCAGCTGGGACATGTATTCGCGCTTTCGACTTCCTTGGCGCCGAACCAGGTGATTAGGCACTCTCGGTGAAACATATGACCGCAATGCGTCTGTGGGATTGTCTCATTACCTACATTCCAGTTGTAGTAGCATATCGGACAGGCGGATCTGTTCGGTGGTGCGGAGACGACGGGGCTGCTCGCAAGGTATTCGCGCTGGGTGGGAGAAGGCGGGATGGCCAGGGTAAGCATTTTGATCGTTTATGGATGCGAGAATTAGATGCGCGGGTTGAGTGTAGTACGCGATACTTTTTGTATCTACCGGTGAGCAAATTCGGTGTCGGAGATGGGATGGGGGTTGCTTAGGAATAAACTGCTCAAGAGGTCCTGATTCAGGCTGCGCCACTGCCTCCTCGCTTGTGGAAACTAGGCTGAGTTACAACAGCCCATCGAATCGATCAGTGTTATATACGCCTTTCGATAACGACTAGTGCCTGGACTACACGCATTGGGATAGAAAATGTGACGGGCCTACTCCGCCACACACGGGTGCTAATTAGCAATGCTGGCAGGACAGACCGACCAGGCTACATCGTGGAGCGTTTCAGCCTGCTCAAGTCAACGTCTGAAGGTGGAGGACTCGTTAGCGACGAGAGGGCTGAGCGGCCTCTACCACGATTATAAGATTGACGAAGTCGCCACGTTAGGTCTTCCATTTCATCAACTCTGAACCAGATCACATGACCAATCTTCCTTTCAGTCATCATGGCAGCAATACAAGCCGTCCAAGGCTTCAGCCAACTCAACAGAGCCCTCATGTACATCAGCGCCATCCTCGCCCCCGCACAAGCCGTATCGGGAATCGGCCACACCGGCCTATCCAACCTCGGTTTTCTCGCATACAACTACTACACGCAAGTTGTCTGGTTCCGCGCCGCATCCAACCAACAACTCTCTGCCTTCGCGCTGGTCGCCGTGCACGCAAACACCACGCTCGCCTTCGCGTACCTAGGCGGCATTTTCTCCGGCAACCGCGTAATGGCTGCGCTGCTTTCTCTCGGGGCGATGGGCGTGCTCTGGCTGAACAATGCGACGGCGTGGATTAGCTGGAAGACAGGCCAGCAGCAGGGGTACGGCGACTGGCAATTTTTCTTTTTTGGGTGGCGCACGCTGAGCCCCGGGTGGCACAAGTTCATTATGGTCTGGCAGATATCGAATTCGTTAGAGACGTTTGGCTTGTCTGTGGGATGCATTATGCTGGCTATCCGCGCGGGAGCACGCAGTAGGGAGGCGAATAAGAGGATGTTCAAATGGTGGCATCGGTTTCCAGCGATTCCGATCGGCGGCGCTATCATGACTTTCGTCTTGTGTCCGTATATTGTTTGGATCGAGCTTATCGTTCGCCGGAACCATGTAGAGTCAGAGACTGACTGGGTCGCTGTGTATGTCTTTATTGGACAGGTTGCGTTGATGTTTCTGCCTGATTTTGGGAAACTCATCAAGCTCGTGAAGAACAATGGAGGGGGTGAAGCGGAAGATGAAGGAAGATACTACTCACTGAGCGATGCTTTTGGTTTTTCAAGCAGATGAACAGCAAGTAATACTACACATAGATTGCGAGAACGCGTGACTCGAGAGGATGGAGTATGCACTATAATATTACATTCGATACTAGTCCTCATAAGTAGACGAGATAAAGATACCCATGGAGTGTTTTGGCCTATGAATCCAGCACGATTAATCTACTGGCTCCATCAATTCTGCCAGTTCTGCCAAAGGCCCGTCGGGCACGTGGTCTAGCTCACTGACACCCTTCATTAAGTGTTCCATATACGCCTGAAGAGGATCAGCGGCCACCCCTTTTTCGGCGCCCTTGTGCTTTCGATTTAACGAACTGACGAACGATTCTAGGAAAATATCGTGCAACTGATTTGCAGGTTTACTCTTCATTTCTTCCCACCGAGGTTTCCAATCCTCCTCCTGCCAATGCTCATATAGATTTGACAGATTTAGAGGCCCCGGAGCTTCCAGCATGGCAGCGGTAGCTCGGTGATACTTGCCCAAGGCAACGAGACAGGTGTCGGGGTCTAGGCTCTCGAAGTGTGAAGGTGGATTCGCATTAAAAGCTAGTCTTATCTTTCCGTAAGCAATTTTCAAGCACCTTGGATACTCTCTGTCACGAGTGAGGATGTCAATAGTAGGCTCTAGGGCAGGCTTCATCACGAATGATGTTGGATCCCAGGTAGGCAGACGTTCCAGGTCGCGGCGCATATCGGCCCATATCTCTCCGCAAGTAAAGCCCATCTCCAACCAGTCGAAGTAGAGGTCAACCATATCCGCTTGCAACCATTGTGCGTAACTTTCGAGTATTGTGCGAGACGTCGCTCGAAGGGATTTTGACTCGCCTTTCGTTGCTCCATTCTGGGCTTGCTCCGAACGTGATATTATCAACTGTCTCGCCAGCCGACCCCAGGGCTGCGCAGTGTTAACAGTGTCCTCAAGGCGTTTCACGAGATCTTCCGCATGAACCGTGCAAACGTTGACCCTTGATTTACTGAACTTGTCGCGTGGTAGATAGACACCGGAGCCGAACATCATTGTATCCCTAAACTCTCGCAGTTTATTTTGGTTGATCTTGAGGCGATGGAGCGGAATGTCGCGCGCAGAGTTGGCGGCAGACGAGCCAGATGCTAAGAAGAGCTTCTTCCGAGCTTCTTCGGTGGTCTTAGGACGTCCCCCCACAAAAAGCCATCCCGGGTCTTGTGCGTAGATGATGAGCTCCATGTCTGGCCAGACCGGGACATGGTCACCAAACTGCAGGCGACCGTTAACGTAGATGTGGGCCATCATGGATATGGCAAGGGACTGATGCTCGAGTTTCATACCTGCCGCCTGCTTCTTCAGATACATTTCATACTTCATCATTCCACAAAGAAGCGGGTGGTGACGCATATAGTAGTTCTTCTCCTTCCGCAGAAGCTTCAACACCGGGTGAGAAGCAACCTGTTTGTTCAGCAACAAGGCTTGCCACTGCTTATCGAACCCATCCTGCGAACTCCACTCTTGAATGTCCAGAACACCCTCTCCAAAGTTATAGAAACAGTCTTGATAAATTTCTTCTGGAAGGAAGGGGCTTTCCCAATCCTCGACCATTTTGTTGTTCTGGCGGATTATCTTCTGGAGATGGTTTTCCAATTCAAAAGACGGGTGGGCACATCTATCGGCCATGATGTCTTGCGAGGCAAGGTGAGTTTGGACTGCGAAGGAGACCCATATAGGGAGCTCGCGGGCCTTGAACATATGCTCAACACCTGACGACACCATGTCCCAGACATTAGGGTGATCAGCGAATATCATGATTAGGATGATTTGCGAGTACTCGATGGCGCGGAGGGTGTAGTCGTGCATTTTTCGGCCCCCAAAGTCTTTGGCAACGGTGGCTGGGAGATTCTTCTTGGGATCCCACTTCATTATCCTGTCGAAGTAGTATTTCAAACCGGAATATGTAGGCCAGAAGGTACTCGGCCCTTGGTCGTCACTACTCTGCGATGCCTCGCTTTCAGAGGGTTTCACAAGAGCGTCTAGCAACTTCCACGCTGGGAACGAGTCGGTAGGATAGCTCTTCGGTCGCTTGACCACGAGATCGAATTCGGCCTCCGCTCTCTGGGCCAGTTTGATCGCCATGTCGGTAGTCATTGCTGCTACGATCAAATCGACTTCATCATTCTTGTATTTCTCCCACTGTGCACATGCTGCATCACGCATGGTTTGCAGTTCTTGGAGCAACAAACCGACAGCGAACTTTAATTCCTCTTCCATTTCGGCCTCGTCTTGCTCAAACACAACATTCGAGACGTCTGGAAGCTTCGATTCTTCAGCACCCTCCTTCTCAGCAATCTCAGCAACATCCTCTACAGTTAGGTTGGCAAAGCGGTTTTGTAAGGGCAGCGCGTCGGACGTAGCACCTGGCTTGCCAGGTCGGTGGGCCTCTGGGCCAAGCGAGATGAATGGTCGCAGCAATCGAAACGCATCTTCTAGTACGGTGATGAAGTAGTGATGGCGCTCATTGCTGTCATTGTTGTCGTCCAAAGTCTTGCTTTTGAACCAGTTGGTCACCTTGCGTCGTGTTTGGATAGCACGATTGAAGAGCTTGCTGAGAGCGACTGGGACCAGTACATTTGCCTCATTGTTGGCGATTGCCTCTGCCATGGGAACAAAATCGGACACCTTGATCAGATACTTTTTGTTGCCGCCGCGGCCGCTCTTGCCTCCATTGCGGTTGTTGTTCTTCCCCTTGTTGCTTCTGCCTTTCGCCTTTGACCGTGGATGACCAGTTTGAGCTTCATGAAGCTGGTGGCCGACAGAGTGAGATGCCTCAGCTAACCATCCTGCGATGTACTTGGTATCTTCCTTGTACTGTGTATAAGTTGCAATGAATGTCTGTGCGTTGTTAAGACGGTCCATGATGTCGAGTAGGTCAAGTCGCAGGGATTGAAAGGAAACTGCGAGGAAGGACGAAGGTAGCGGGGGAATCGGGGGGTTAAAGTAGAATGAGAATGGGGGAGACGTAGTACGGGATGGCCGGGGGTGAGGAGACGAAAAAGCAATGGTTGTGCCTTTCAAGGATGTCCCGCATTTCCGCACGACTCGTACAGTAGCGTGTTTTTATGCACGCCTACGGTATCGATCATCATCTGCACAGGTTGTACAATTATTCTTAGTTGGTATAGTGCAGGCAAAGTATAACCATTTCTTGTTCCTGGCTCATTCATCTTTTCATCTCTCCCACCCTGATAAAGGAGTACTCAAAGCCGATTTTAGAGAGCTCGACTAGTATAAAACAAGTGACGTGGGGAGGGTGATGGAGTCGCTGCTCAAGGAGCTACCACCTACGCGTCATGTACAAGGGATGCCCGGTTTTTTTGGGAAGTAGACGCACGAATCAGATCAGACCGGAGCTCGTCTCGACTTGATGTGATTCGTTCGTCATCTTCTAGATCCCCAATATCTCTCCTGGAAAACGGGTGGCACCGAGGCTAATAGTGATAGCGAGGAATCGCTAACGTCGATGCGACCCTTCACTATTGCATATAATCTTCGAGATGACACGCAGTCAGCAAGACTAGCCGTCTCGCCTCGGCTCAACAACAAGACGCAATGGGTCTACAGACTCCCCAAGACCAGGGCATTCTCCATTGGAGCAATACTAGGCAAAAGCCTGGATGATTGTTTCTGGCTACTTGGTGACATGAAAGTGGTGCTACTCATCACAAAGGAACAGCGGCACAATTAGGGTTACAATCTATGCATAAAAGGTGTCGAGGCAGAGCTACTAACGATAACATTATATTGATGGCGATCAGACACAGGAGCATGCCCTCGATCCCAAAGTAATACATGAAGAGAAACAGTACCAGTGCTATTAGTGAGTTATCAAATATACGAGACCTTGACGCCCATACCAACCGTGCGACGCATCTTGTCCCACCCATTTCGTATGACACGCAATATACGTTCTCGCAAGTCTCGCCGACCAAACGCCAGGGCAAAGGCAAGCAGGAACAGTATGGTTCGGAAGAAAGCCATGGGGTTCGCTGACATTTGGTGTGCGGTATTCGAGACCATCGCCTGGATTGACCCAAAGAGTGTAGAGGCGCGGTTGTAGAAGCCAGGGGGCGGAGTAATCGGTTTCTTTACAGGCTGTCGTGATGTGCGAGATGACTGTGATGGCGGTGTGGGCTGAGGTTGCCGGAAGCGCTCGTCTGAGCCCCTGGGCTGCCTCCTGTTCTCTTCTTCCCGCTTTCGCCGCTCGTCTTCTGCGCGTGATTGCTCCAGTCGGTGGGCCTCGGTCTCTTTGCGGCGCTCTTCCATTTGCTCCTGTTGCTGTTGGCGGAGCTTTTCTTCTCTGGCCTCGGCGTCTTCCTTTTCGTCTTTAAGAGAGTGCAGGGCCAGCAAGAAGGCTTCCTTGCGCTCATCGTCCAGGATTTCTGACATGCTAATAAATTCCCTGGCATAATCCCATTCCTCGTTCCTTGGCAAGACATGGAGGGTGTAGAGTTCGAGGAGCTTGATGCGGGTGTTCAGGTCTCGCGGCGTATCTGTGCCATTGTGGTTGCTGCGCTGGCTCGGTCGGCGCTGCAAGTACGAGGGAGAGGACATGTGCGAGGAAATGTCGAAGGTGGGGGTAGCGGTCGCGGACAGGTACGTCTCGAGCTTCTGCTGGTTCAGGCGTTGGGACGGCGAGTGCGTAAGGAGTAGCGTCGCTCTGTATGGGGGTCAGTCGAATTACCTTCATGAAGCCTCCACTATCAAGAGCTTGCTCACAGATTGACCACGACATCGGCATCCACGTCGCCCTCGACTCCGGCATAGCCGTCTCGCACCACGTCATCCCAGACGCTGCCATCGCGGCACTTGGACACCAATTGCTTCCACCTGGTGCTTCCAAATGCGTGCTTGCCCTCTTCTGCACCCAGCTCCACGACGGAATTGAGGAAGGTGAGATAGAAGCTCCACACCTTCACCCGTGTGCCCCGTGACGCGTTGGCAACGGGAGCATAGCCCACGAGGTCGCCGCTGTAGCCATTGCCATTGGATTCTTCGTGCTGCGGTGGAGTAATGATGGGCTCAATCGTTGAGAGGGCTTCTGGTAGTCGTCGCGTGAGGAACAGCTGGGCTGCCTGGCGATAGGCTTTGGCGATTTGGGAGGACTGCTGCCGGGACGCGGATAGCGACGAGATGGACGAAGAGAGGTAGCGCGAACCGCTCATGTCGTCGTAGGGCATGGCCATGGTTTGCTGTAGATGGCGAGTGCCCTTGGAGAGCAACTACTGCTGCATAGTCGACGAAGCGGTGTCGCCGTCTTGGTGCATTCCTCTCGGGTCTGTCAACATTCGAACCTCGGCTGCGCATGTCCATGTCACTCACCGCCTTGGCACCCCAGCCGTAAATAGACAACCCCAGCGACTCACTTAACAACCATCAAAATATCTCCGCCCCACGACACAGGCGCGCAAGCGTGACAAGCTTCATCGTGTCGAGAGGGTGAGACAGCAACTGGGCAGCGCTTGACAAACGCATGGCCTGTATCAAGCTCTGAGTCAAGAGCTAGACATTGTCGCTTGATCGCTAGACTGACCTCATTACTTAGCTAGAGCAGACCAACAGGCTGCCACACACTTACTCTTTATCCAGCACTCTTATCACGGCCTGGCATCTACAGCAGTACCAAATCCGTATCAATCCATCTTCCTGTCCAGCGACCAACACTCGGGCCAAAGGTGTGAAGACGGACACTAGTACCCGATATGGAAGTCGACGCAGCATCCTTCCCGCATCACCTGCTTGGCCTATTCATCCACATCTCCGAGGCTGACTTCGTGTCATTCGACCTCGAGCTATCTGGCATTCCGTCACGGCTCCCCAACAAGCCTCCTCGCGGTCCTGGGCGCTTCACCCTCGAGGAACGCTATGCTGAGACCAAAGCTGGCGCCGATCGCTACCAGATCCTCCAGGTCGGTATCACATGCGCCAGGTTCGACTATATTGCGAACAAGTATGTTCTGCGGCCCTATAACATCAACATCAGCCCGCTCCTAGATGAGCGACTGGATTTCGAAAGAGAAGTCACCTTCCAAAGCGGTGCTTGCACATTTCTCCTCAATAATGGCTTCGACCTGGGCGCACCATTCGCCAGTGGTGTCCAGTACCTATCCCGGCAAGAGGCAGAACGTGCAAAACAACTGGCTTGGGATAGACTTGACAAGAAAAATCCCGTCGAAGACCTACAGCTAAAGCCCGAGGACGTCGACTCGCTCGACTTTCTCCGTCGCATAAGGGAAGCCATTACCCATTGGAGGACTACCTCCTCCTCATCTCTAGAAGTGACAACGCATACCGGCTTCAAGGAAAAACCTTTAGTCCCAGCCATTACACGCTTCGAAAAGCGACTTGTGCATCAACTAGTACGCGCCGAGTTCCCGGATTTGGTGTCCATGGGCAGAGCAGATTGCATGCGCATCATCGACTTCGACCCTGTGCGGGAGGCGGATAACACACGCAGAATCAAAAACCGCGTCAAAGAGCAGATTATTCGGCAAACAGGCTTCCGCTGGGTATTCGAAGCGCTTGCGCAAGGTGGAGACATCGACCGAGCAGACGCTCTCTACGTCGCTCGTCCGAATAACGGCATGGGCATGACGACCGACACGTACGATATCAAAGATCGATACGACCGTGCAATCGAACGTCTGAATACGAAGAAGCCTGTGCTGGTAGGCCACAATATGTTCACCGATGTGGTCTACTTCTATCGAACTTTCGTCGGCGAATTACCGGTAAGTCTGTTTCCTCAGCGATCAAAATGATTGTATAATAGCCTTTGCCACATCGCAGAGTACTTGCCTACCTCGACTATGCGCCTACATGCTATCCTCCTTTACAAACATGGACGTTGCTAATGCAAAAGTAGGAGACTTTACAGGGCTTTCAAGACGCCATCCACGAGTTGTTCCCCAAGATCATTGATACAAAGTATCTTGCGACACATGCTGAGGGCGATCTCAATGCATCGCCCACCCTCCAGGAGATAGCTGCGGGGCTAAGCAATCAATCACTGCCAAGTATTGTCACCCATGCAGATCACTCCAAGTATCAAGAAACCGAAGCCTTCCACGAAGCCGGCTACGACAGTCTCCTAACTGCCACCATCATGCTCCGGTTAGCTGCCAAGCTCGGCGCAGAGCAAAAGGAGCAGGCACCAGCACCGCGCTCAGGTCCTCCTTCCGAACCCGCCAAGACTTCCGAAGACGTGCAAGACTTCTTACGCGACGGACGAGAAAAGGTCAGGGGTTCAGTGCCGCTACCACCAGTCGAGCAATCTCATCAAATGAGCCCAGATACCACGAAGAACAAGGCAAAGCGGGATGCTAAGGCCAACAGTAAGGATAGCAAGTCCGAGAATGCGGCTGGGCTACGCTTCCATACCAAGAATGTCTTCGACAGCCTACGAGAGCTCACCTTGAGCCCTAATGCAGAGACAACGCCCCCCTCAGCGGACGAAAATTCTACCCGGATGTACACCTCAACACGGAATAAAAAGCAAGAAGAAGCAGCAGGGTCATGGGAGAACGAGGTTTACGTGCAAGATAAGACGGGCTGGGTGCCTATAGACCAATTGCAACGCCGCAAAATGGAGATCATTCCAACTTTTGACTCGGACTTTTGGAAAGAGTTTGGGAACAAGTTACGTGTATTTGGAACGCAGGAAGCGGTGCTCAAGATAGCGGACTGGGAGGGTTGAGATTATCCGCAGCGGTTGGAAAGAGCGAGGTGTATACTGTTGTGAAAGTGCATGAGCTGTTGCTTTATGCGGCTTGTAGGAGGAAAAGTGTGAACATGTGTATATCAACTTGCACATCCTCTCACGTAAGTGCCTAAGTAGCGTTCATCGGGGTTTCACGATCACTCGGTGAGTTAATACACTGTTGAATGCATCGCAGTTGAAAAATCTTACCATTGTCTTGTTGTCGTGTGTCGTTCGGCGGCATGTACTAACTATCTCAGCCGGTTTCGAGCGATGCAGTGATGTCAACGGCACCACCCCACGTCGTGTACCTCGCCGTCATATTTGGAATATTCTTTCATTGTGTAGCATAAGTACTCTGGTTCGAGGCGGGGATTCACTTCCACCAAGCCAATTACTCGAATGTTCCATTTGCTCTCTTGAATATTTCCGGCCGAGCCGCCTCTAACTGAGAAAGGTAGTCAATCGCGTAATATTGCCGAACTCCTCCGCATAAAGCCAGGTCCTCTTGTCCAAAAATCTCGAGTGCCAGCGGTACAGGATGGCGTTTGAGGATGTTTTGCGTGCTACGATGGCGGACTTTTTTTCAGCTGCATTGGTACATGTACATCTCGTATCTGTACAGCACTGGATCATTGTCATCGGATCAACCGCTCCCGGGCGGAGATCTTCGCCGTTGTGCACTGTTGCTAACGGAGACTGCGTTAGTCGGAGATCTAGATGCGGCTGTCTTGGTGTGACGAAGGTGTCTTCATAGCGAGGGAAGAATTCTGGGCGCCGTGGAGTGTTCCACCGATACGTACGAAGGTAACCCATGATACCAAAGGTGGAAGCCTCCTGCTAGGGTAGATAATATATCTTAACCACGCGCGCTGCGTCGCTCTCAACCCCATCGCTTGAGATTGCCTCTTGTTGCCATCCATATCATGGCTCGATTGTCTTTCATTCTCCTCGCTCTTGCTAGGCTTTTTGGCCAGTCAAAGGCACAATGTCCGAATCTTGTCGCTCAGTTTAACCCCAACGCCCGGACGATGTCGTCGAACAATAGTACGTTACAGCTTTTTAAAACTTAGCGGTTTCCGTATCACTGATGTGCATTACAGCTTGGTTCATTCTTCCTGTGCCCAAGACAGCTGTACAAAAGGCAATCGACGAAGCTTACCTAGGCAACGCCATCACCAAGCAACTCAAGCTGCTTGATCCACCAGACGAACTCGTCCTCGGCGACGGAACGCACCCAGTAATCGTTGCAGCTGGTTACAGCTCCGATATTCGGCAATCCATCCTCCAAATCGACGGAACCCTAAACATGCTCGGTGCCCAAATCATAGTCCCCTTTGTCGGAAAAGACGTCAGCAAGACGCCACTCAACGCTCCTCTAGTAATCTACCTCGGCGTCACAGATGCAGCCCTCTTCCGAAGACTCGCAGCCATCATCCCCGCTGCAGTATCTACACTAGTAGGCGGCCTCGCCGTCCGACTAGGTAACTCGCTGCCTAGTAACGCAGCATACCAATCTGACAACGACGGTCTGTTCAGTTCGAACACGAAATGGCAGATCGTGGGTAATCCCTTCAGTGGACTAGGTGTCATTATCGAAGCCCTCGATTTACACTTTACTACTAACCCCACTCCGCCTGCAGCCCCCTCGTTCAAAACATTGAAGAGTGTAATCAATCAGCCGTACCTACTCAAGGGACCTACTGGCAGCGCGACAGGCAAGTGTCAGCGCAATACGTACTTTTTCAATAACGCTACTGCGCAAGTTGTCTTTCGTTCTGGAAGGGTGATATTAGGGCCTGCGGCGAGCGGGGATGGGATCACGTCGGGTGTTGTGTCGGGTACTTTGCAGCAGGCTAGTAAGGACAAAGCGGGCACGTATGATGGTGTGCAGGGCTTTTCGGCCTGTGCGCAGCTTGTTGGGTATGGGGGTGTTATTGCGCAGGGAGAGGATTGCGAGGCGGCGGCTGTCATAATATAAGGGTGATAATCTGTATTCATAAGTTCTATTAAGCTAAACTAGCTGCTAAGTAAATAATATATTTTATTTTAGTATAAACTATTTTTTTTTAATATTTATATAATAGCTGTATTTTTATAAACTAGTAGCTAATATTATTAAACTTAGTACTAAAATTTTTATTTTTTAAATAATTCCGTAAGCGAGGGTAAACAACTTAGTATTTATTATTATATTATAGTAAAAAAAAACTTAAAGAAAAGACTTTAAAAAAAAAAAATTATTAAAAAAAAAAATTACTAAAAAAAAAAAACTACTATGCTTTATTACTTTAAAAGTAAAAAAAAAATTATTTTTTTATTTATATAAAACTTACTTTTATTAAAAAAAATTTTAATAACTGTAGCTAATGCTTTTCTAGCTTTTAAAAGTAATAGTATAAATATACTATTAAATATAAAATTATAAGCTATATATTATATAGTAATAAAATAAGCTTTTATATAATTAAAAATTTTACTAAATATTTATTAGTGCTTATAAAATTAAGCTATTACTAACTATTTTTTAAAAAAAAAGTTTTATATGCAAAAAAAGTAAGCTTTTATATATTATAAAAAAAAAAAAACTTATATTTATATAAGTGCTATTTTAATAAGTAGGCAAAAAAGCAGTTTTCTATTATAATTTATATATAAAAAAAAAATTAAAATAAAAATTTATAAATATAGTATAAAAAGTTTGCAAAGTTATATTAAAAAAAGTAAATAAATAAAATATTTTATAAAAAAAAATTTTAACTTATTTATATTATTGTATTAATTTAGGATGCAATAAAAAGCTGCTAAATTAATTAAAAATTTAGTAAACTTTATTTAAGTAATATTTTATTTTTTAAATTAGTTTATTTACTAAGTTTTTTTAAAGCTTTTATAAAAGTAGTATTTTTATTTAGTAGTATATTATTTAGTTAAATTTTTTTAATTTTGCTTGCAGTATTAGCTTTTTTATTTATTTTATTACAATTTTTTTGCTACTTATTCTTGCTTACTAAAAAAAGTACTTATATAATTATTTTAATTTATTTAGCTGTAAAAAGCTTTTAGTTTAAAGTTTTTATAGTAAAAGCAGTAATTACTAAAATAAAAACTAAATTAATTGCTAATTTTATAGTAAAATTTTTTATAAAAATTTTTACTAAATTTACTATAAAATTTAGTATAAAATATTAAGCTATTAGCTTCTTTTTTTTATTTACTATTTTTTTTTTTAAAATTTAAAGCTTTATAATTAGCATTTTTTTTTTTTGCTAAAATAGTTATTTTTTAATATTTAGTAAAAAGTTTAGAAATTTTAATATACTTAAATATTTTTAGCTTAAACTAAGGCTTAAATATTTTATTTAAATTAAAAGCAATATTTTTGCTTTTACTATTATTATTATAAAAATTTTTATTTTTTTTAAAAATTTTAGTATATTTATTATTACTTATAGTTTTGCGCTTATAGTTTTAAATATTATTTATATTTTAAAGCTTTTTATTTTTTTTTTTTTTTTTAATTTTTATACTTTTTAGAGCTTTAGTAGCTTTTGCTTAATTTTTTTTTTAGTATAATAAAAAAAGCTAAAAAATTATTTTTTAAAAATTTTATTAATTTTTATATATATAGTAGTATACTTAGCTTAATTATTTTTTATACTTTTAATATTATACTTATTTATAATAAGCTAAACTATTTTAAAAGCATTAATAGCGTACTTTTTATTAATTTAGGCAATACGCTATTTATTTAGTAGTATAAAATTTATTTTAATTTTGCTTTTTTTTTTTATATTTTTACTTTTTTTTTGTATTTTTATTTTTTTTCTATTAATTATTATTTTTTTAGTAGTATATTATATAGTTTAGTAGGCAAAATAGCTTATTAACTTATTAAAATTATATATTTAAAAACTTGCATTTATACTTTATAAGTAAACTAAATTGTAAATTTATATAAAATTTTTATTTAGTATAAAATTAGGGTTATTTAAGAACTCTGCTTTAAGCAGTATTTAATATAAATTATTAATTAAAATTTTAAACTTTTATTTTAGCTTTATAGCATTAAAATTATATTTAATTATATATAAAAATTTTTTACTATTAAGTAAGTAGGCTTTTGCAATATTTTTATACTTTATAATATTATTTATAATTTTAATTTACTAGTCCTAGTTATATTATAAAAGTATTTAAATATAAATAGCAAGCAAGTTAATTATTTAATAGTATTTTTAATTTTTTTTTAAAATAAAAAAATTTAAATTTTTTAATTTTTAACTTAGTTATATAATTTAGTAGCTTTGCTTTTTAAGTAAAGTAATTACGCAGTATATATAAAAATTTTTGCTATTTACTTTTAAAAAAAATATAAAATTTATAATAGCTTATACAGTTTTTTATATACTTAAAGTATAAATATTATTTTTAAAATAAGCTTTTATATTAAATAGTTTTTTTTTTTTTTTTTACTAGTTGTATTTTTGCAGAAAATGTTCTATTAATAAGTAAAATTTTTAATTAAAATTTTACTTATTAAAATTATAAAAATTATATTTAGTTAATTTTATTTTAAATTTTATTTTAGTATATATAAAGTCTAATTTTTACTAGCAATTAATAAAATAGTATTTAATTATTTTACTTATTTGCAGGAAGTACTATTATATATTTAAATTTTTTAGTATATTAGTATATTTAAACACTTTTGTAGTAAAAGCAGTAGTAATATTTAATATATTTTAAAATTTTTAAAAATGCTTTTAATTAAAAAGTATTAAAGTTAATTATAAATTTTATTATTAGTTTTTACTTACTTTTATAAGCTTTATTATTGTGTTTTTTTAGTTATACTTTTTGCTAAATTTTTTAAAAATTTTTAAATTTTACTAAAAAAAAGTAATACTTTTATTCTAAAATGCGAGTAGTTTATTTTTTATTTTTTTTATTATTTTTTTAAAGTTACTTATAGTAGTTTAGTTTTACTACTATTTAAAAATTTATTATAAGTAGTTTTTACATTTTCTGCAAAAAAGTATAAAATTAAATTTATAATTAAAATTTATTAATTTTTTTAAATTATATGCATTACTATTATACTATTTTAATAAATTAGTTTTATTAGCAATTTTATTAATTGCTTTATTAGGCTTATTAGCTGCAGTAGTATTTATAAATTATAATTATATATTTTAGTATACTAATTGCGTTTTTAGACAATTAAAATAAATTATTGCAACAGTATTTAGTATTAAAAAAATAAAAATAAAAGTAGAAAGTTATTTATATATTTGCTTTATTAAAAATTAAAGTAAAAAAAGTATAAAGCGTATTTATTTAAAGCTTAATAGTTTTTTTTTACTTTATTAAATACTTAATAAAATTAATAATTGTATAATAGTATAATAAAAGCATTAAGTAAATAAAATAAATAATAATAAAAAAAATATTTAGTATATTTAGCTTGCTAAATATGTACATATATATTTATTATTAAAAATAAAGTAATATACTTTATAATTTACTAGGATATAATATAATATAGTATTTTAATAAAAAATATTTAGTAAAAAGAAGCAGAAACTAACTGCTAAAAAAAAAAAGTAAAAATTAAAAATACTTTATTTATTACTTTTTTCTGCAAATGCAATAGCTTAAAAAGAAAAAAAATATTTAAATATTTTAATTAATAATAAAATTATATATGCTTTTAAGGCTTAAGTTTTAGTATATAATACTTTTTTATAAAAAAGCTTATTACTAAAATAAAAATAAGTAGAATTTTAGCTAATTTTAGTAATAGCAGTTATTTTTAGTAAGTACTGCTAAAATTAAACTATTTTTATTAAAGTTTAGCATTCTATTTATATTATTTATTATTAAAATTATAAATAGTTTTTATATTATAAGTATTAAAGCAGTCTTTAAAGCGTAAATTATATTATTTATATAAAAAAAATAGTATTTTAATATTTAAGTGCTTAGGATTATCTATGTCTAGGTTTAGCAATTTTAGTTTTAGTTTTTGCAATTAATAGTTATAAATTATTTATTTTTAAAATTTGCTTTATATGCGTTGCTACTACTAGGTTTTTTATTTAGTAATTAAAAATTTAGTATTAAAATTTTTTTTTATTTTTTTAGCAGTGCGCATTTGCGCAGTAAATAACTATTAATTATAAATAGTATTTTTATTTTTTTATTTAATAAAGTACTCTAGCTTTCCTATAGTATTATTAATATGCTTTTTAATAATTTATTTAATAAGCTTAAGCTTTTTATTACTATTAATTTTAACTGCTTATAATAGCGTTAAAAAAGGATAATAATAAAAATTCTAATTTAATATATAGCAAAGTTTAAGTTGTATAGTATTAATTATGTTATATATTTTTAAATTTAGCAGTTTTTTAATCTAGTATATATTTTTGCTAATTTTTTTAAAAACTTTTAAAAGTTTATATTATTAGAAACTAATTTTTTTTAAAAAACTATTTTTTAGTTTATAATTATAATAAAAAACTAGTATAGTATAATTACTAAGTTTTAAGTTAAAAAGTTAATAATAATAATTATAGTAGTTTTTTTAAATAACTTTTGCAAAGCAGAAAACTTTTTTTGCTTTTTTTTAATATTAAAGTTTTAAAATTTTGTAGTTTTTTTTTATAAGCGTATTTTTTATATAAAGTAAATTAAAATTTTAATATAAATTAAATTTTATAATATATTTGCAAGGCGTGCATTTAATTAAATAATTTATACTTATATTTAAAAAAAATTAAATATAAAAAAGCACTTTATCTTAATTATAGTTTTAATTAATAGTAATAAAAAAGCAGAGCGTAATACTTACTATTTAATTAGTTTTTTTAAATTAACTATTAGCTTTTAGATAGTAAGCAGCTATAGTATAAAACTTAGTTTTTATTGCTTTATATTACTAGCTAAATATGCTTTTAATAAAAGTAGCTGCTTTATTATTAATAATAATTTATTAATTACTTTAATTTATTAAATAGTTTGTGCAAGTAAGAGCTATAAATTATTTTTTACTTAATTAGTATTTTTTGCTAAGTATAATATTAATAGCTTTAGATATTTAGTATATTTCTGTAAGTATAGTATTAAAACTTTAAAATATTTTTAGCAGATATATAATAATATTAATATAAACTATTTTAAATAATTATATAAAATAATTAATAAGTTTTAATAATTTATATAAGTAATGCTACTAGGTCTAGTTAATTTTATAAAGTAGGTAATATTTAATATAAATTTTTAAGTACTTTAAAAGCTTATAAATAAAAAAAAAAGCTTTTACTTAATTATAAGTTTAGTTATAGCCTTAATAATAAAACCTATTATAAGCTTATTTAAAAAATTTTTTTATTATATTTTTAAGTACGCATAAATGTTTTAATTTATTTTATTTATTTTAATAATAAATTAAATTTTTTTTAAAAAAGAAACGCAGTTCTTGCATTAATTAAGTTAAATTTTTATTATTTTATTATTTGCTAAATATAACTACTATAATATACTGCTATAATATATTATCTTTATATACTTGCTTAAAATAGTTTTTAAAATTTTTATTTATTTTAATAATTAGCGCATAAAATATATAAGTAATATTATTTAGTATATCTATTTTTAAGTCTAACTTTAGTATAATTTTAAATTTTAGCTTTAATAAAGTATTAAGTATTAAGTATAATTTACTAAGTTTATAGTATATATTTAAATTAAATTACTAAAAGTAAACTAAAGCCTTAGCTAGTTAAAAGTTAAAACTTTTTAATAATTTTATTATAGTTAAATAGCATTAGCGTGCAATTGCTATAATTATAATATAATTTATAAAAGTATATATTTTAAATAATATTTTAATTATATGCTTAAGTTTTTTAATTACTTAGTAAAGTCCTGCTATTTTTAATTTTATAAAAAAATACTAGCATTTTAGGCTTAAAAAATATTTTAATAGAAAAATAATAGGCTTAATTAAAAATTTAGTAAAATTAATTAATTACTTAAGCTATATAATTAGTAATAATTTATTATTTTTATATTTTTTTAGTACATTTAAGTTAATTATAACAGGTTTAAAATTTCTTTTTATATAATATGCTATAACTGCTATGCCGTATTCTTTAGACAAATTAATATTAATATATAGTAGTTAAAATTTATTATAGTAAAATAATTAAATATTATTATTTTATAGTAATTAAATATTTTTAAAAATTTTTTTAATTAGGTTTTTTGCTAGGATAGTTGCGCGCATTACTATTACTATTTTTTTTTTTTTTTTTTTAAAAGCAAAGTATAATAGTTTAGTTTTAAGTTTAGTAAAAAGTTTAAAAATTTAGGCTAGGTATAGCATATAATTATTAAAAAAGTTAATTATACTATAATACTTTTTTATATTTTAAGTATAATAAAAAAATTTAATATTTTATAGCACTTTTATTTTTTTTTTTATAAAAGTAATACTAAATATATTTATATAATATTCTAAAAGCTTTACTAAAAAATATTTTAAAAAAGCTTTGTTTAAAGCAAGTAAAATATTTATTTTATAAATTTAATTAAAGAAAAAATTAAAATATTATAAATATTTTTTAAAAGTTTTAAAAAATATAATAAAGTTATTAATATATACTTTAGCAAACTTAGCTATATTTTAAAATATATTATCTTTGTAGTATTATACGTGTGCTACTAAGTTTTTAAAGTTTATAATACAAATATTAAGTATTTTTATTTTATAGTAAGTATTAATTATAAATTTATAGTAATTTTCTAGGCAAATTTTAAACTAGTAAAAAAAACTAAAGCTATTTACTATAGTAATATAGCAAGCTCCCTGCAGTTAGCTAATAATATCTTGCTATATAATTAAAAAGTATATATTTTTAATTATTTACTTATTAATTTTTTATATATTTAAAATAAATTGTTTTTTCTAGTTAATAGTGCTTATACTGTTTATATTTTACTTAATTAATTTTTTCTAAATTATAAAAACTAAAACTAGAAATAGTGCTAGTATTATTATAGGCTTTAGCTTTCTTTGCTCCTAGAGTTTGTTAAAAATATTATTAATATATTTTTAATTATATAGTTTTTTACTATAGATTTTAAAAAAAATATTAGCATTTTACTACTTATTTTTTAAATTAATTTATATTTAGTATTTTAATAAAATATTTATAATAAATCCGCAGTCTATTTATATTAAAAAATATTTTATTGCTTTTTTTTTAAAAAGCTTTGCTACTGCTAAGTTTTTAAAAATTATAATATTATTATTAATTTTAAGTTTATTTTTAAATAACTTTTTAAAATTTAGTAAAGCTGCTAGGCTATACTAGTTACTATTTATTTAATAAACTGTTTTAACTTCTATTAGTATTGCATATTTTACTAGAATATACTATTATAAGTAAATTAAATTGCTAATATTATTATAAATAATAATTTTTAGTAATTTAAACTGTATTATTATTATATAGGCTTAAAAAGCTAGTAGTAGTATATTTAAAAATTTAAAAATATAATTATATTTTAATAAAAAAAGTTAAAATATATAAATACGCACTTTAAGTGCTGTATATACTAAAATAGTTATTATTATTTATATTATAATTTTATACTTTTTTTTAGTAGAATTATTTTTTAATTTAATAATAAAAAGTGTAAGTATGCTTTTGTATATTAGTTGCTTTATAGTTTAATTTTTAATATTAATAACTACTACTTGTAATACTAGAGTATTTATACTAATAAAAATATTTAGTTTAAGTGCTAGAATAATATATATACAAATATACTATAAAGCTTAAATTTATTTATTAAATTTAGTACGCAATAGTATATAAATTATAATATATATTAATTTAAATATTATTATTTTTCCTAGGCCTACGCTAGCATATTTAACTGGCTTTTTTAGCATTTTTTATACTATATTTTAAAAATTTTTTTTAATAAAAAACTTATTTACTAATATAATTACTGCTTTAGTGTTTAAATAAATAGTAAAATTTAGCTATTATTGTTTATTTTTAATTTTAAGCTTTAATTTATACTAGTTTTATACTAATATTGCTTTATTTATTAGTAGCAAAATTTTTAATTTTATAATATAAAATTATTTTAATAGCTTAGATACTTAAGCTGCTAAGTTAAGTAAAGTATATAATAAGCTATTTATTTTTAGTTTTTTTTAAATAATTATAAAAATATTATATAATTTATTATATACTTGTTTAATGTGCGTGTAAAGCTAATTATTAAAAAAAAGTTTATAACTATAAAAGTAATAGTAAATTTAGTAATTTATTAAATATTTTTTTAAAAAAAAAAATTTTTGCACGTATTTAATAAAATAAACTGTTTTATTTTTACTATTTAATTATTTAGTATATAGCTTTTTTGCTATTAAGTTATTAGTTATTAGGCAAGCCTATATATTTAAGTTATAATTATTTAAGTTTTTATTTATTATATAATCTTTTTTTAACGCAGGGTTATTAGAGCTAAATTATAATTTAAAATTATATAATTTTTTTATTTTTTTTTAAATATAGGGAAAATTTTACTATTATGCAAGAGTATATTCTAAAATAAAGTACTAGGCTTATTAAAGTACTATTTTTAATTATAATATATTTTTTAAATTTAGTTATACTATTACTTATTTATGCTAGAATACGCGTTATTTAGCTATTAAATATTTAGCTACTTTAAGTAATTAAAATTCTACTTATTTATATTTTTTTATATAAAAAGTAAAGCAGACTTATTTTATTATTTTTTTTTTTACTTATTATAATAAAGTGCAGTAGCTATATTTGCATTTTGCTATTTTTACTATTATTATATATTAGAATTATTTTTATATTGTTAGAAATTGCTATTGCAGTAGCCTTAGTTCTAAAAATTTAAATTTTTATTTAATTAATAACTGCAATAAGCAGTATTATTATTTATTAAAAAATTTAAGCTTTTATTTCTTTAGTTACTATACTAGTAGTAAAAAAATTATTTATTTTAGTTAAATTTATTTTAAAAAATTTTAACTAATGTGTATTTGCGTTCTTTAAGTATAAATAAAAAATTATTAAATTTTATATTTAATTTTAAGTTTTATAAATATATTTAAATTTACGCATTTAATAAGTTTTACGCATATATAATATACTAATTATTATTATTATAACTGTATTTAGCATTCTAATAAAATTATTTAATTTTTAAAAATTATTTTATTAAAAAGCATTTTTCTATTAAATTTTTAAAAATATATTGCTTTTTTTATAAGCAGTTTAAAGTAATAAATAATTAAATTTAAAAAAATTTTAGCTTTTTTTCTTATTAGTTTATACTTATTTTTTTAATAATTTTTAGTTTGCGTTTTAGTTTTAAGTTTAACTAATACTAAAAAAAAGCTATTTTTTTAAAATATTAGTGCAGGTTGTTATAAATAGTATATTTAGCTATTATTTAAAAAGCAATAATAATTTTTATAGTATTAATAAAAATGCAAATATTCTAATAGTATATTTTATTAAATATATTTGCTATATTATTTAGATAGTTGCGCGCAGATATATCTAGCTAAAAAAAACTAATTTATTTAAAAATAAATTTTAAAGTACTACTTATTACTTTTATTTATATATTATTATTAGCTATTTTAACTTTTTTTAGTATAAAACTTTAGTTACTTTAATTATATTATAGCTGTATTAAAAGGCGAAGGTTTCTGTATAAAGCTTTTAATAAATACTAGTTTTATTATATATAAAAAAAGCTTTTACTATTAGTAAATTTTATTTTTAGAAAAAGTCTAGTCTAGTAGCTAATTAATATATTATTACTAAGCTAATTTAGTTATATAATACATTTGCTATATTGCCCTTATATTTGCTAAAAATTGCTTTTTAATAGTAGTGCTAAACTATTACTTTTAATTATATATATATAGTATTTATTTTTATTAAACTACTATTAAATGCTTTGCACTAAAACTTTGTACTAAGTTAGTAAATTAATAGCTATAGCGAGGGCAAAGAGGCTCTCTAAAGTCAGTTACAAAAAATTAAGCTGCAAAAATTTGGATTTTTACCTAGGTAGGTGACCAAATTTGGCAAAAAAGAAGAAAAATACAGCTTTTATTGTTAGAAACTGCAGGATTTGAACTTAGTTTACTGCATATAATTCAGATATAATTAAGATATAACTCGGGTATAACTCAAGTTTATTCTAATATAATTTAGATTTAATTAGACAATTATTAAACCTAGCTATATAGTTAATTAAATTATTAAGGTTTTTAGAGCCGTAGAAGCTTTTCCTTAATAGGCTACAATATTCGAATTTAACTACAATTGTATAGCTGCAATAGCAGCTCAGGCCTCTATTTTTTTTTTTTTTTTTTAAAAAGTTAGTAATAGTTAAGTATATATATATAATATTTTGCTAATATTATTTTAAAATTTTATAAATATATTTTTAAATTTTTTTTGCGTAATAAATTAACTTTGCTGTAATAAAAATTTTAAAAGTAATTTTTTAGTAATAAACTAATTTTAAGTTAGTTAATAAAAATTATTCTAGTAATTAAGTGCAATAGTTAATAATTTTTAGTAATTTTTTTGCTATTATTTGCCTAATTATAATTTAGTTACTAAAATTAAATTTAAATTATTTAGTAGCTATAGAAACAGCTGCTATATATTATTTAGCTAGCAGTTTTCTAATTTAATTATTTATTTTAATATTGTACAATGCATGCCTAAATTTAAGTTTTTTAAATATATTATAAAAAAAATTTTTTTTTTTTATAAAATAATTATAATAGTATTTATATATTATAGAAAGTTACAAATTAGCAATCTTGCTACTATATACTAAATTACTACTTTTTTCTTATTCTGTTTGTATTTTTGTATAAGCTAAATTTTAATAAAAATTATAAATAGTAAAATTTATTATATATTTGCTACTATAGTAAAAATATATATAATAAATATATAGTTAATTCTGCGTATAGTTAAAAATAAAAAAAGTAATAAAATATTACTACTATTTTTTATTTTTTTAACTTTTTAATAAATTTGCTATATTATTAAATGCGTAAATAAATTTAATAAAGTAAGTAATAATTAAATATAATATTATTTTTATAGCATTATTAAAATTATTATAATAAAAATTTCTATTATTGTATAAAGTTATTTTGCACACTTTTAGTCTATAAAAAATTATAATATAATAAATAATTATATTTATATATTAAAAAAGTTTATTTTATATTTAATATTTTATTTAGCAGCTTATTTTTTTTTTAAATATAATAACTAAGTAAGCAAATATTCTAATTTAGCTTAATTTTTAAAAAAAAGCTATTTAAGTATAGAAGTAGGCTAAGTTCTTTAAATTAAAAAAATAATACTATACTAGAGTTTAGCCTTAAATAGTATAAATATTTTATAAAATTTAAGTATACTAATAGTAACTTTAAATACTTTAATAAGTATAAAAAAATAATATTTTAGTAAATTATTTAAATAGGCTATAAAATTATAAGTATGTATAATAGTATTTTTAATAAATTTTAAAAAAAAGTACTATAATATAAAGCAAAGCTGCCTAATTATTATTTAACTAATTAAACTAATAAAAGCTATAAATTATAAATTATAGTAAAAGCTGTAATATTAGAGCAATTACTATTAATTAATATAGCAGGCTATTCTAATAAAAGAAAAATATAATTAAATTAATACTATGCAGTATATGTCTTTTTAAATAAAAAAAAATAATAAAAAGTAAAAAAAAATAATAATAATAAAAAGCGCTTTAGTAGGATTTAGCAGGCTTACTATTTTTAGTATATTTAATAAAGTACTGCTAAATTTTAATTTTAAATAATAATATTTTAAAAATATTTAGCTTTTATAATAAAAGTATTATTAAATTAGAAATTTTTATAAGTACGTTCTAAAAAGTAAAAAAAAAAAAAATAGCAAAAGTTTTAAGTATAATTATATAATTGCTTAATATTTATTAGTTTTTTTTTTTTACTAAACTATAGTTTTATAAATAATAAAAAAAGTTTATAAATTGCTAAATAAACTAAATATTAGCTTTTATAAAAACTTTTGCTTAACTAATAGTAAATTATAATTATATTAATAAAAGCTAATTAGAATTTAAAGTTATTATATTGCTATTTTTAAATTTTTTTTAAAAAAATACTTACTATACTTAGTAGTTTTTAGTAGCTATACTAGTGCAATATTTATTTATTATAATAAGCTAGTATTTTAATAATAATATTAAATATATTTTTGCAAAAGTATAATTATTATATAAATTATAAAATTTTTATAATACTACTTACTAAATACGCGATAAAATATAATTATATACTTAATTTTAAAATTTAATTTAAAATTAGTTATATTAAAGTATAAAGTTTTTAATAATATAAAGCTAAAATACTATTTTAATTTTAAAGCTGCGCAAATTGCAGTTAGCTATATTAAAATTATAAAAAATATAAAAATTATTAAATACTTTAGCTACTAATTTATTATAATATAAAAGTAATAATTTATATTTATAAGTTTTATTAAGCTAAACTAGCTGCTGGGTAAATAATATATTTTATCCTGGCACAGACTATCCTTCCTTGGCGTTCACGTGACAGCGGCGCGAAATGTTGATCCTGCGGCTTTGTAGGTGTGCGAGTTCTCAAATCTTAAGAGCAGCCGGTGTTTTACTCAGAACCAATCTCAAGTGCGCGAATATGGAGATGTTTTTTCTTGATTGTTCGTTTATTGGGTCTTTGCTTCATCGCGTTTGGAGGCGCGATACACAAACATACTGTTCTAAAATTCGCTACTTCTCATGATCTACCATAATAAAATGGGCTTGATTGTCACTCCGTTATGCATCTCAGCCAAAGCTTTGTCGAAGTCCTCGGCCTTCCACTTGTTAGTTTAATCCTTTCCTCAAGTTTGACTTATGTGCACTTACCGAGTATGTCTTGGACAACTTCTCGATAGGACTATTGAAGCGATGTTTAGTGCAGATCACGGAGAGTTGAACGGTTAACACTTACAACTTTCCTTCACGATACCACTCAATCATCTGGGGTACGAACTGAAATTCAAAATTAGTCCATGTCTCTATTGATGCCTCCGGAGCGTCTACCTTGGATGGCTTCGCATTGCCTTCGAGGCAACCTCTAATTGCAGATCCGTACTGCCGTGAATTAGCGAGGCCTTGTGAGTATAAATCTATGAGACATACGTTCAATAGTAGGCCCAGGTCAAGATCCATGCTCTTCCCATTCACTATACCAATCAAAATCATTTGACCCTTGGAATGCAGGCTTTGCAGACCGCCATCAATTATGGGGACCACACCAGTTGTGTCAAAATTTGCGTTTGTCCCTAGCGGGACGATCTCTCTGATTGCCGTATTGAGGTCAGCTGCTAGAGAGGGAAGATTGGATGTATCAATCACGTGAGTAGCCCCAATCTCTCTCGCCAGGTCCAGACGGGATTGTACTCTATCTACGCCAATGATCGTTTTGGCGCCCCGTATCTTTGCGGCCTGGAATTTCAGATTAATATGTTGCCCGAGCCCGATTGAAAAGCTGAATAGCAGCCAACGTACCATGATTGCGGCCATACCAACGCCACCGAGCCCAAATATCTGTGAAATCTGCGTCAGCTATGAATGCCTAAAATTTCTAGCTTTGGTACCTACAGCGACGGTATCATGCTCTGTCACGTCTGCGAGCTCAGTAACAGCAGCCGCGCCGGTTTGGTACCCACATCCCATTGGAGCGAACAACCTCAGCTCTTCCTCATTCTTTACCAGCTGCGACACATTGAGCGCCGATGTGCCCTTCACCAACGCCAGACTCGAAAAGCTCGACTGGCCAAAGAACAGTCCACTGGCGGGCCCTCCATCCTCAACTTGATACACTTCGGGCACACTAAAGATATTTTTGGCATGAAACTCGCCACAGTACCCAGGAGTCTCCTCTGTGCAGGCGCGACACTCCTTCTTGCCGCAATAATCGAAACTCAACAGTACTTTGTCTCCCTCTTTTACGTGGGTGACTGCACTTCCAACTTGTTCGACAAATCCTGCGCCCTCGTGGCCTAGAATTTTGGGATACGGCGAAGATCCCGGTGCGCCTGGTGGTATCGAAGAAAGGACTAGGTCCGTGTGGCAAATTCCGGAAGCGATGATGCGTACCAGAATCTCGTCTTCACGCGGCGCTCGCAGCTGAACCCTCTGTCTGCGCCATTGGACTTGGCCGTCTTTGGGGACGTCGCTCACGATGGCGGTTGTTGAGATGGGGTATGTCGTCATAGTGAAGGAAGTAGTGATGATTGGTTGCGAGCTTTAACGATGAAGTAGGAGAGCCATGCAAAGAGATTTTATTGTATCGAGGGATAATGGTTTGATGGCCACGCGACGCAGCACGGGGTACATATACAGATCCCCCGCGGGGTACCCCAGATCCATCATGCCTATACAAGATTAGATGTGGGCCATAGGATGTTGAATTCGCCGTTGTAGGACCGGCATCTAGGACTCATGGCAAATTGGTACCGTGGATAGTACATGGCATCTCTGGTTTGAGGCGCCCATGGTAAATCACGAGACTAGTAACCGTTGCCTTCCGAGGTTAGAACTGTGGACCTGACACGACAAGTTCACAAGTGCCGGGCGGAGCGGACGGAGTTGACTCCTGCCGGAGCCTCGTTTCCAAGGGTTGGCATCTTGGCAACCATTCCCAAAATAGGCTATTATGTCAGCGTCAACTTGAAGCGTATCCGCCAACACCAAGCCACTGCCTACGCTCAGTTGAGATATCGCTGGTTCTGTAAAGGTACTTTGATTTGAGTCTCTAAACCTCTCATCTCTCATTTCCAGTGCAGAATTCGTGGCATGCGGCGATAGTAGCAGGTGGAGCTCATTGACAAAAGACACGAAAGCCCGATACTGTTGGAAGAACCCAGCAATATTGAATGAACTTGGCGTACGGCAGCTGGGAAGAAAGAGGCAAATATCCAACACCGACACCAATCTAACGTTAGCAGCTTTCGACTGCTCTAATGCCAAACGTGACAAGGACGAAGTCGAAGTCGAAGCTATTCGGGAGGAAGTGGGAAGTTTGCTTGTCAATTTAAATCACGATCGCCTGACTTGGATGCCGCACTTACATTCCGTAGGGTCGCAAGCAGGTCGCCTGTTGCAAGGCTGAAGACCCGCCTCCTCGCACCAGTTTGACATGTCCTAAGAATTGCAGCGTCTCTAAAGATGCTTGCTCGGACATCGATGCTGACAGGACTCTGGCATGCCGAACTGACAATCTGGTCGAACATGACACACAATACAAGAGCAGACATGACACGCATGACTTCAACACACTTGAAAAATAGTCTCGTCATACCCAAATATCTGTGTTTGGAACCAAAGGTGCCATGCTTAGGTTTGGAAACTAATGACATGGCCTGAGTTCAGCCGCCTATTGGGCAAAGAATGGCGTCGTGAAAGGGTCATACCAATTCTATTCTCGCTGCGAGCGCGGGACTGTCCTGACGGCGCCATCTCAACGTCGAAGATCGATATCACTGCGCTAACACCGATTGCTACCACAATAACGCTAAAAGGTCGCAGAAGTCATGTTGCAGATGCTGATCAAGCAATAGACGCAAGTAATTCCACATTATATCTCTATGTATTATTACTAACAATGGTAGCGTAAAGTCTCTAACTGTGTCATGTCAATGTTCAAGGCTGCCGACAGCAACTTGGAGGTATTTCTAATTCTAGAAATATCAACTTAATAAGATACTGCGATATTGCCAGTAGCGTGTGAGCCCTCAGTCTTCGAACACCGACCATGTGGCGTGGACAGCAAGCGCCTAGTTAAAAGCCAGTGACTCCCCGCCGCATTCCTCTCATTACTGAAACTTCACAGCTAATCACTCGATAAGACCTGTACTTTGCAAGGCCAATAATTTCCTCGTGCCAGGATTAATCAACCGTCATCTTGTTGTGAAAGGTCCTACCCAAGTTTTACGGGCCTTCACCTTAGCGACATTGACACCGTCCCCCCGATGCACTCGATACACTCGATACACTCGATACACTCAATACACTCGATACGGCACATTGACTTCCCACGTACTGCAGCAACACATGTCTTCCACTTTCGGTCAAGCTGGGACAACGTTCAAAACTTCAATCCAGCGGGACAACAAATGGAAGTTCACGGGCAAGATTCGTGAGACCATCAAGGACCGTAAGCACAAGAAATGGGGTCTTTTAGTGTACCGCTGCGACTACGCCTCAAATGATACATGGACAAAGTTCTTAGCAGCTATTAATCAGGAAATGCAAAGGGGACTCGACATAGTCCAAGGAGAGGATCTAAAGGACACGTTGGAGATGACACCAAAGGAAGACAAGAACACGTTGGACGGTGCAACGGTCGACCAAGTCCGCGACATATTCAAGGCATGGGTCGAGAGCGACGAAGCGAAGGCGGAGAACGGCAATGAAACCAACGCGACGCTCAACTACCCGAGGTACACGTACTGTGTGCATGTGGATGCCGATGTACTTGATGCTGTGGTCAATCGCGCGTCTGGTCCGCCATACTCTCAGGCGTGAAAGACGGCATATGTCAACCTTGTGCAGCTTCGATCTGAGGTCGATCCCCAATACATCAAATATACAGAATATTCAACAGAGGAAGAGATCAACGAGGAGGAGGATGAAGAAGAGGACATGGATCATGTGAAGGTACACTTGGACTATATTGGTGCATATTCGTATAATTCGCTGTATGATCCTTTTACTTTCGACAGGTACGCGAGCTATCGCGATGAGAACGACGTGTCGATCGGATGATTGCTGGGGATTGTGGTTACATGTAAAGAAACATAGATGCTGTCATTCAACGTGCCACAACTTCAGTGCGCGTACAAATACTCACCAGAATCTTGCAGTCAATTGAGGTCAACCTCAATATTGGACTGAGTTTGGCCTTTCGTTCGGCATAGTCCTTGGCGCGAGCGCATAGCAATAGCTTCAGCATCCTACGCTTTTCTTCGCTTTACCGAGCGATTTCTTCCACTACAGGCTTCTTGCCAACTTGTCTTGTTCGAACGACGTTGATGTCAAGATGTTGGCTTTGCCATGTGACGACGGTGCACCTGCCGCTTCCAGCCACCTGCTATTTCCCAGCCCCGCTTTGATGCAGCGGAAGAGCGCCGCGGCTCGAGGCGCTCCTCGATGCACGAGACCAGATCGCGACCCAAAGATTTTCCAACCCGCCATAACACTCTGGTTCCAATGCGCTGCCTATGGCCATGACTCTCACCGCTTCTTACGTATTGTTATACTCATTCTAGCCCAGGATACCTTCGGTGGGTAGCACTACGTCACGACGCAGCCGGAGTGGTTTTATCGGATAATACAGCAGCCATTGCCAGCATGGCCACAAACAACGAAGCCAAATTGCCACTGACAAATGAAAGTGTGCAAGCATGGGCTCGCGCAACATTCCCTGGTCCTTTTCGTGCCCTGCCGAGAAGCGCAAGGCTGACATGGATCGAGTTTGACGAATCGAGCTTCAGTATCAGCAGGGCCATTTGGAGATCGCTCGGACGCTCATCGCACAAGCAACTCCTCGTCATCGGAGCATACGCCCCAGGCGCAGAAATTGAAGAACCGACCGATCGCGTTGTAGCACACGTCCACGCCGATGAGGCAGAAGTGAGCTTCTATCGTGTCGCGGAGACCGCCGATGGCGAGGAGTTGCAGTCTGTTACATCAACCAGCGCTGTGGCTTTTCATGCGCCGTTTTGCGACGTGGGAGACGACGCCGGGGGATCGGAGGCTATCCATCGTGTCTCAGCCCTGATCCGCTACTACTTCCTAGCGGCGGGGCACGTGAAAGAGCTGTTGAAATTGAAACTAGACCCCACAATGTTTCCCAGGAACTTCAAGGATGCCTGTTCTTGGATCAAAAACGGAGGAGAGCGCCCCATTGCGCCTCCCTCGAGACGCTCATGGGGCCCTCCCAAGGCTACCTCTCCAGACGGTATCGTAATCCGGCCAAAGCGTTCTTCTACTGTTTGTATGTATATCACCATATCCATCCCCCTGATACGCACAAGACGCTAACAATACCAGCATATATCTCCCAATTGACCGCGGAAGATATTCGTGCTCCTCCTATCAAACGATCAGCAACAGACAGTGTTAGTATCACGGTCAAGCGAGAACGAGACGATGACAGCATGGCCAGGCCGAAGAAGCACCCACGCCGTACGCTTAGTGAGCAGATTTATATTCCGAAAGTGCTAGGTCGTGAACCGATTGCGAGCCCACGAAGTCCTGCACCGGAGCGGGTTAACAGAGCCCTGTCAGATCGGATCCAGCACCTCAAAGTTGAGAATGCGGGCTTGCAGCAGCGCCTAGCGTCGGAAGCACAGAGTCATTGCATTGAAAACGAACGCGCGGAGGAAGCGTTAGCTAGCATGAAGACACGGCTTGCAAACGTCGAAAGCGCATCAGAACAACTCCAAGTTGAGATGCAGTTATTAAGAGAAGGGATTGAACAAGCTAAGCAAGACAGTGCATCAACAAAGGCCGAGCTTTTAGATATTCGCAAAGGCCTACCACGGAAACAAAGAGAAGCTATGAGGAATTAAAGAATTAAAGTACATGCGGATTCTAGGTTATAAATAATAGTAGTTTGCCTTTTAGTATATAGCTGAGTGGGCGGAATATTTATGAATATGCGCTGTAGTAAGGCGGCAGTACGGAGTGGATAGAAGGGAAAGAGGGGATGGGTAGAAGCAGAAGAAGAAGAAGAGGTGGAGGAGGAGGAGAGGATAAAGGAAGAATAGTATGTTAGGTTTTTAACCTACTATATAGGAATATCTCACTGTTGCGATGCAGCTCTCTCAAAGCACACCGCCAAAGACTGGCGATAGCTTAAAACAATAGTCTTGGGACGTGTGCGCCTTTTGGTAATGTTTCTTGTCAGTACACCGCGTACTAAGGATTTGATCACACGTTAACTAGATAGATCCAAACGTTCTGTTCTACAACACCAATATATTATTGATAGTATCAGTCCGGCCCGCCCAAATAGCTACTTATTTAGAAGATTCTATCATAACCTTTACATCTATAGAATCCTTAAGTAACGCTATAGGCTGCTTACTGATTCTCCCACACACCGAAACCACGCACTACTGTCAGGGGTAGATTGGTAACGCATTCGCCGCCCCCATTAACCCAGAAATTCGCAACTAGAGGACCTGACCGAACCTGGACGATCTTTCGATTGTTCGGGGAAGTGTTCCGGAGTCGTAAGACACCTGCCGCGTTACACCCTGGGGGCGCGTACCAAATTTGAGTTAAGGATACACCGGTTGCACAGTCGGTACGTGTAGAGCCAAAGGCATTGCACGCTCCTTGCAATGCGGCTTGGCCCGCGGGTGAAGGCGCCTCTGCGCAAGTAGCCTGCGCGAGGGCTCCGCTGACAGGAACAAGAAGGGCGAGAAAGAAGTTGGCGTGCATTTTCGGTCGTTTGATGAAGATCCTGTGTCGTCAGCTAGGGTATTCTTGTATCTTATCTGTTCGCTGATATTTGCCGTTGTACTGACCGAAATGGGACGAGAAAACGTAAGATGCGTAATAGATGATGGGCGATGTGTGATCCTTGAAGTATGGTAGATTGATAGTAGGAAGGTGAGCCCTTATTAAGAGCGGAAAGACCTCTTTTTATACCCTTTCTTAGTGAGTCAAGTATTACGTAAATTTGTTGATGAGAAAGAGGCCGTTTCCGCAGCGGATCCGGTTTCTACCCAGGAGCTCGTGTTTTCTGAGCGCTCTATTTTGGAACGTACGAGCGCGTGTCTCCTAACAGCTAGACCTAGGCCAAACGAGGAGTCTTAAGTGGTCTGACCCTATCTAATACAGCGCCTTTATACGTATACGCCTTAGTACCCCTTCTAGCGATTGCAACAACGCGTAAGCCCAAGCACTGCACTCTAATCCCAGCCGTGACTATGGCAGATGATTTGGACTCATGGGTGAAAATTGAACTAGCCAACCTGATACGAGATGCACTCGCCCACCGATCCTGACAATGCTTGCATAGGCGCTGAATTGGAAATTACATCGTACACGACACTTAGAGTTGACATCTAGGCCGTGCTCCAGGAAATGGGACAGGTAGACGTAGTCGACTGCACTTTCTGTGCTTGGCGACCGTCTCGACCTATCCTGGAAGCTGATCAAGGACTCTAAATACCCAGGTTCACAGCTCTCAGGGAGAGAAAATTGCCCAAGGACTAATTCAACAAGGTGATAGTGCGAGCGAATGGAAGTCGTCAGCATCGCTGTTACTTCAAGATCAAGAACGCATGCAACGACCACGTACCCCCCATGTAGGAGTATCCACCATCGGGAGTATCCACCATCGGGAGTATCCACCAGCGGGAGTATCCGCTATCCGGAGCAGGGAGCATCCGCTATCCGGACACGCAGATACGGGACGGCTTTTACCACAGAGCAAACCCATTTCCAGGCAAGTCTGCTGCTTCTTTCTGTCTTGTAGACGCTGACCCATTGATCGAAATAATTATGTTATACGCTGCGTTACTTTGAAAAGAACGGGCGACATTCCGGAAATCCCTGGTCGTTACGGCAAACAGGGACTTACCAAAGTTATGATGGCGAAGAGGATCGATGTATCTGGTTTCTAATTCAGCCGTCCCGCTCGTTTCTAACCCTGTTGGAAAATATGCTACACCAAAACTCGCTGCCCCAAAGCCACTCCACTTCAGATCCAATGCTCATTCACCAGATGTGTCTCACTGAGAGGTTGAGCAGCTTTGAAGAGTATGTTCATGCTATACATTCTGATGCAATGCAACTGGTAGGATCGCCATGCCACGCCGTACTCGTGGCAACCTTGCTGAGTAAGACAGAGCTACAAAGCCTGCTTTTCGGTGGTGGGAAGACCAACGAAACACGATTTTGCGGTCACCTTCCAAGATCTCCAAGATCTATATTTGCTTAAGCAGCATTTGTGGAGAGCCGCAACAGCTCTGGAGTCGAACTTGAGCCTCTGTAAGAGACTTCAAGAGCTACCCTGGGAGGGGGCGAGCGGGTCATTCAGTGAGCTGAGAAACTCCAACAACCTCATTGAAGTGCACACACGGAGACTTGCGATGTTGAGGAAGTTTACCAAAGACACAGATGGTCTAGTGAGTCAATGCCGATTTCTTCTCGAGAGCCACGCTAAAAGAAAAGCATGCGCAAGCTCTCCAAAGTGCTCGACGCGCGACGTGACAAGGTCCTATTACAGAGCAATGCCGCGCGATGCAGGAAAACCTAGAGGTCCTGAAGTGAATCGCTTTTGTCAATGTAGAGGAGAACCAGAAACTTTCCAAAATCAGCTCACACACACTCAAGGGCTCGAACACGCTTAAAGCACTCACAACGATCGCGACCATGTATTTGCCTGCCAGTCTGATAGCGGTGAGTGTTGCGAGACCTCGGTAGAAGCCAGCTAAAAACCCTTCTAACGATCTTCAGCTCGAGCCTTGTCCAGTTTCAGCTCAAAGGCCAAGACTCCCACAAGGGCTTCGTCATCGCTACGGAATTTTGGATTTACATTACTGACCGGATGTTTTTTGATACTGATGAGGAAGTCGTTGGAAAACCTGCGTACCCTTTAGCCTACAACTATAGGGGAAATTCCGCCGGGGAGGTGGTGATGCAAACTGGGAAAGGTGATGGTCAATAGTTAGGGGTAATCTAACTCTAAATACCGACCTTATCCAAATCAGCTTAGTGCACCTCGCCCTCCGCCGAGCGAAAACAAGAGGTCCTTTTACACCGTAGTCTGATAAAGATAGCACTACGAGCACTTTCGCGCTTGTAATGTTCCTGGTTTTCCTTAAGATTATATCATGCTCTGTTATAGCGCTTTCTCGGATGTACCCAGCTCAAGGACGAGGCTCACTTGCGGCGGCAGAAGGTTGGTGCGAGAGAAGCTTGCCGACCTCATCACATTCCTGGCAGTAGCTCAAAGCATGTCCTTAGATATGATATTCATGACATGGACAGCCCCAATCGGCTCGATAGACAGAGTTATGGTTCATTGGGTATAAGCGGCACCGCGGAGGTTCGCCAGCGAATTCTCCATCTGCGCAAAAGTCTTGCGTTCAAACGTCCGAAAATCGAATTTGTCTCTAAACAGCCCGGAGTGGTTTCTTTCACAAATTAAGATAAGCGCGAAAGGCGAGATATATTCGACGGGGAGTTCCGAAATCTGATTTTGGAACTACTTCGTGTTGAATGATCGTCTTTGATCCTTACAGGCGGTAGAACGCCTTGACAGAAGCTCGCTAAGGCCGGAGCTTTTAGACGAAATTTCGGAAGCAGTGGTCGATGATGCGTGTGCAAAGTCAGTTTCCGTCGCTTTCTCTAACGAAGATAATTAACTCTTGTATATTCTTATCTTATATAAGTTGATACCTCGCCTGCAACTTGATCCGCGGGTCCAGTAAGATCACTACTAGCCAATAGTGGGGTTTATTACTCAAGCTACTGCCGCTGTTCTGCACCAGACCATCACAGTGATGTATATATACCTTCACGACGACAGACCACAGGTCAAGGTACATCAATAACTGTGACTACGCGCATCAAGTCATTGGAATCCGAAATGACAATACATTGGCAATGCCAACTTCAAGTCTAGACGTTCCGGCACGGCGATATCTGATCCTAATAACACTGAGTCGGTTATTACAGCCTCAGCTCTCTCAGTCTCAATTTCCGAGTTGTTGACGCTGCAGCTTGATGTATTCTCAGGCATTCGTTATAGCTACGGTGGTGGAATGTGGGTTTGTTTTTGTGGCACGAATCGGCATCGTTTGTCCTACATTCCGACAAACCATTTCCTTGCTCAATCCTTCTCATTCAGCAGACCTCTCCAGATTGTTCTACACACGCGACTCACTCAATTTTCATTGGGAGCTTACTGAAAAAACATGAATCTAATAGGCCTCCCTCCAGCTACAGCTCGACTAGCAGTTGAGCTGCAGCTCGCAGATGTCGAAGAGATTATGCACGGAATAGTCGCAGGAGACGAGTACACAGCCCTCGAGGCTACGAGAATAGGTTTTCAAGACATCCTGCTGCTTTTGCAAGATCAAGTCTTAGCTATGGATATTCTCAGGGCAGATCACGACGACCGAGTTGTCTTTGAAAGGCTTGTTCAGGAAGAAAGACAGGCAGAGCAGGATCACGACGTTGCCTGCGGCGTTGACGACATCACTCCAGATCGGACTGAGAACTCAACACCAATACCAAGGGACCCTTCTGAAGGTCAAGAATTTTGGCTGAGCGACGAATGTCCACATTCTTACGCAGCGCTTGCAGCGCTTACAAGCATCATAACGGCGGAACAAATCACCACGACGCTGGACAGGTCTGGGTCTAGCTTCTCAACCTACGGGCAGGTTCATGAAGTTGAGAATAGCGCTGAATCCTCCACCCGAAACAAATCGAAAGGCAAAGGGAAGGCTGAAGGGATCGCCAACGGAGATGTACACGTGACGCACACTTTCTGTTCAGCTTGTATGGAGCAGTTTGCCCGCTTCGATGTACTCGAACTGGGTTGCAAGCGCCAGGACGATGCCCTTTTTCACGCTTATTGCAGGACCTGCCTGGTTGATCTCTTCCAGACCAGTCTCACGGACACAACCCTCTTTCCGCCCCGTTGTTGTGGCAAACGCATCCCAATATCTGCTTGCGTCCAACTCTGTCCGCCAGAGCTGGTGAGACAATATAAAGAAAAGCAGATTGAATTAGCATCGCCAAACCCAGTGTACTGCAGTAATCGGTACTGTGCGGAATTCATCAAGCCCGAAAGCGTCACAGCTGATGTTGCGGTGTGTACGAGCTGCCGGGCAGAAACTTGCACTGTCTGTAAGAATCCAAGACACAAAGGGCTGTGTCCAGAGGACCCAACAGTACAGATGTTAATGGATGTGGCCGGGAAACAGAGGTGGCAAAGATGTCCTAAGTGTAGGACTATGGTCGAATTACTCGTGGGCTGTTACCATATGCGGTGAGTTATGTCAGGCTCGAATAGAGCAAGGCAATAACTACAGTGCTAACAAAGATACAGATGTCGATGCGGTGGGGACTTCTGTTATCTCTGCGCAAAGCCCTGGAAGACATGCTCGTGTTCTCAGTGGGACGAGAATCACCTTCTTTCTGATACTCGGGTTGCCGGCGCTCCAGGAAACCAGATCGCAATGCCGGAAGAAGAAGAGACTCTAGAAGCAGACCCAAGCTTCGATGTCTTAAACGACTTGCAGTTGCGAATTGCAACTGTTGCTGGAGGGTTTGCTATTGTTAACGACGAGGAAGAGTCGAGTAGTACAACTGATCATCTTATTGGTGCCTGTCACCATCATTGGGAACGAGTTTATGGAAAGCAGGGTGAGCTCGAGCTGTGTGGGATTTGCTTTGATCATCTGAGGTTTGTTAATGCGTGCACAACCTGTAGAACGAAGGTCTGTAACCGTTGCTTATATAATAGACTTTAGTTAGAGTATAGCATTCTTAGGTCTAATCTACAGCCAAGACATAGCTAGCTGGTACAGACAGTCTAACACGTATTAACTATAAGGATATCAAACTCCAAGGATTCTATGCGTACTTTGTATTCATTGAATTCCTAATATAACATTAACTACTAAAGGCATTGCGGCGCGCTCGCGCCATTGACTATTCCGAACAAGAGGACTGATTCAGAGTCTCAAAATGGTGTTTCCCGGTTGCAATTAACTTTGTTATCCTTCTTACCTCGTGATTGAAGTATGGTTAGAGCACGTCTGAGCCATAAACTTTTAATTTTTATTTTTGGGGGATACAAATTCAACAACACTACTAGAGTAAACCGCACTTGACCCGCGAACAAAACTCCATTTGCATGAAAAAAGACCCCCGCCTATTCCCAAGTCTATCTGTAGGTATATCTCCAGTCTGTGGAGTTGTACATTGAGCATGAGACTCTACTTGCAAGAAAGTGAAAGAAGGGTAAATATGCCGCCACGAACACCATTCACTGCACCTAAACCGTTCCGATTAGCACCTGTCAATCCTGCAAAATAATACAGAAGTGTGTAAGAGCAACAAGTTACTTAAAAGCAACAGCGTCCAACCCCGCCAGAATCCTCTCACACAAATCCTCCTGGCCTTCTGCTTTTACTTCAATGCTTAGCCCCAGATTTGGGGGTGCAGCATTGCTAACGCTTGGATCCTGGTAGTTAATACTCCAGTACTTGGGCACCTCACAGGTGGTAAAGGACGTTTTTGTCCTCGGGCAGTACTCCAGGGTAGGTTTCAGTGTGTGTGCCGTCGATGCACTTTGCGACAGTGCTAACAGCGGCACCGAGAGTATCAAGGAGCCCATTGCGGATCCAGGTTGGGTCCTCACCGTCAGGACCAATAGTGACAATGAGGTCAGTTACGGTATCGGACGTTAGAAGCTGGATCTTGAGTTCTATATCATTGGTCTCGCATTGTCCTTCTTCATGGCAAATGGGTGATACAGCTTCCATCATCTTCTCGGTGGTAAGGAGGCCGATATTGACTGATTCGCGCGAGACTGAATATTATTAATCGGTGTATGTGGGTGCAGACATGACCAGGGATGAAATGGTGTGAGGACATACATGTGAGCTTGATGTTTCCTGCTTCATCCCAGATTGTTGGGTCGCGTTTGGCGAGTGTGTTGACCTTGTTAATAGCCGGAATGGCTGAGGCTCCAACAGATGCCAGGAACGCAGTGAAAGCAATGGTGGTAAAATGCATATTGAATTGGATTGGTTCGCTGTTGAAGAGATGAATAGGAGGAGCACAGGATATGAAGAAGGTGATTGAGGAGGATGTAAAGACAATTTGTTCAATGAGGTGAAGAATGATAAGTACTTGTGATAGGGAAGTTGCACTCCCTTTGTACACTCAATGAAGGCAGCATGCTTATACACCTTGAAACTAATACTTCCTATCGCGTCACTACCTATGGTAGTACCATGTACTCCGCTCCATCCATGCACTCCGAAAAGGATCCACTAATGTCATTACCTAGGGGCGAATGACTGCGAAAGATTTACTCGGTGTTGGTCACTACTATCATAGTACAACGCTGAGCTACTTGCTTCATTTCTGACAGAAAGAATCTACATTCCTTTGCACCTTGTCGGATAAGGGGTGTGGGCTTGATTACTCCCCCGGCATGCTCAAATACAAAAGATGCAGTGACATGAAATTCAAGAAAATGATACGCGTAAAGTTTTAATGCAACTTTAAGACAATAACTATCGCTGCAAACAACCCGTGGCATTGCCTCGGGAGCAAGTATCGGCCTGGTACGTCGGGGTTCTACGTAAATGCTAAGACATCAAGCAAGGCTGAGCGGGTTAGCCCGTCCCGGACCATGTCCAGTTTGGTCCAAGAGCTGCTAATCATAACCCCCGATCAGCGATTAGTAACATTATTAGAATGGGCCCTGGGACGGGAGTATTAGTAGTTCCGTGTTTGGGTTGGTTTTGGTAATTTGCTTACTGACATGTGACGTATAGTTACACGAGAGAATCCCGATTACATTCAATATACAAGTTCCTAAGATAGAAACCTCTATCTATAATTCTTCTATTCATGCGGACCACATTTCTGTAGAGTAAGACTCTTGGTCTCTTGAGGGACAGGCAGGTGCTCTTGGTTTTGGGGTATATCGAAACATTGAAGCTTTTCTCGAACTTGAAGTGAAGACGGAAGACGCAGGGAAATGCACATGCGAGAAGCTTCTGCAGATCGCTAACACGCGGGTGGCAATACCTTGAAAAAAGCTCGCCATATCCGGTTGTTCGCAGTTGCTACAAGCTTTAAAGATGGAGTTCAGGAAGCTATGGTTTGATGATGCGTGTGCCGGTCAATTTCCGTTGCTGTCTCCTAAAAGGATAATTAACTTCTATATTCTTAACAAGTTATACTGGCTGAATACGCTTAGGAAATCACCGCGCATCTGCGACATAGGTAGGTTAACTTAACTATAAAGGACTACTTTTAGTAACTAGTGGCCGCTATCGTGGGCGGTTACATTATCCTCTGTTGCAGATGCATCTGCCCTTACCTCCGCTTCCGCCATGAACTTCACAACTTCCTTCGTTACAATAGTCATGTGCTTCTGCAGCACTATCCCCCCATAACCACCCACAATGTCATCTCCCAGATCTTCATTTACATGCGGAAAGATACCAGCAACCCTTCCATGCAGACTTTCTTCGGCGCTGAATCGTACGACAGCATCCACGACGCGCTCCATGGGTGCACAGCCCATAACCTGAAGCAGGAAGCCAGCCTCACTTTGAACAAACTCGGGCTTCCGTGTCATAGCCGTATCGACGTACCAAGGAGCAACGAGATTGATGCGAACAGGAGGTACACTTCGACTCGCGCGATCTCGGATCCCGTAAAAGAGTCCTCGAATGCCGAATTTTGACAAGCTATACGTGCTGCTAGAAGGAAAGCCGACGTAGCCGGCGAGAGACGCGACGAACACGATGTTGGGCTTGAACGTGTCCGCTCCATCTCGCCGGAGGCGGAAGTAGTGCATCGCGAGATAGCAAGTGTTGTACACAGCATGCAAGTTCACGTTCGCGCCGGAGAAGCCTGGTTCTGGAGGAGATGGGCTATGCAGGGTTGGCGCTTCTTCTGGAACCATGTCGAACAGATTCTTCTCAGCTACGATGCCAGCACTGGGGATGACGATGTCGATCTTGCCATTGCCGAACTCAACTGCTTTCTGGAACATTTCGACTTGAGCTTGGTATGACGTGACGTCGCATACTACGAACTGGACTTTGTATCCCTTCGACGAGAGATCATGGACCAGTTCGTGCCCGGCCTGCTCTTGCAAGTCGGAAATGGTGACGTATGCACCAGATTCAGCTATCTTGGTTGCGCATGCGAGGCCGATACCTGAAGCGGCTCCTGTAACCAGCACAGAGCGACCCTGGAGATTCGCAGTGTTGGGTGGTTGGTCAAAGGTGATAGGTACCGCCATAGGGGAAATCGAGGAGTCGTCCGGTCGATAATGTGAGGACAAGAAGCTGTACGATTCGACTGTGACTGCAATTATCGGGAACAGTTCTGAGCACAAGGTGGTTTAAATCAGATAGCCTGATACAGTCACAGATAACCGGGGTTTATGTACTACCATTACACGTGGCGTATTGCGATAGGAGGTGCGACCTGTAAGCGCATAGATCAGGGAACTGTGTGAGGTGTCAGAAGCGATAAGGTGGCTCTCGTAGGTGATTTAACAGTTCTTTCCCTTATACAGTCGAGGTTGAGTGCCTAAGGAAGCAACCATTTCTGCCAAGCTCTTTAGTACGGATATTCAATTGATACCTTTCGCAGGCGATTTGACCAAGATATTGCTTAACCGGACGAGGTTACGTGCCTGACAAGCGAAGAGTTCCGCTGAGCGCTTTAGTGGGTGTATTCGGCTGCGAACTAGAAAGGCGGGGAAGTGCCACGAGACCAGAGATCCAAGCCACACCTTCGCAGCAGGCTGACATGAGCCTTGTGGGACGTCTTGATGCTGGTGTCTGGCGATTGACAACGCACATACCGAAATGCACGATCAGCCAAGTGTAAAGGACCACTGCCACTCTCTTAGAACATCCTCCCAATCCCTTCGTTGGCCTCCCTCTAGCTTGGGCCGCCATACCTCTTTCAGCACGTTCTGCACACTGCTGACATTCTCGTATCGATTTCTTTTCTGTATGTCTTCTAACCTCTTGAAACACCTTTCGATGGCGACCTCGTCGTCCAACTCAGCTCCAGCAAGGAAAATAGGGTAAAGCAGGCTCGACTCTGCAGGACTTCCGGGTGGTATTCGAGCAACAAACTCCATGGCGCGTGAGGCGCAACCCGGAATGAGCGACGTGTGCATCGGTGAACTGCGGTACAACTGAATGAGCGCAGCAAGGCGATAAGATTCTGCCAGCGCAATCAAGTCTAGCGCTATTGGAAGATCGACGCCCAGTGCAAACGGGTTATCGTACGTCCATGATTGAATACCATTTTCAATTGAATTGAACGAGGCTTCCGTGACGTAGGGAAACGCAGGATTCGAGGAAGTAATGTACTGAATCCGGGAGATGAGGTCACATAGCTGGTACGAGATGCCCATCAAAGGATCTATGGTGACTGGCATGAGCGTAGAGCTGAGGGGTAACAAGTCTCGGTCAATGGATGATGGCGATGAAGCGTTTGATACTCTCGCCATCAAAGACGCCGACGCAAAGTGGTATGTGAAATGGCGGTGCAGAGAGTCCACTTCTATGCAATCCATGATTCTTTGCTCTGGAGAGAGCTGGCTCAGAATCCGCTGTACGCTTTTTAACTGGGAGATCCACCTAGTAGTCTTGACGCCATTGAGCGCTTCCAGGCCAACTAGAATAAGGATAATCGCAGCGACTTGGTACGTGTCTCGAGGCAGTCCGACAGATGGGGAGATTCGGTCTTTAATGAAAGCATAACATTTCTTCTCGTGTCGAAGTGACACAGCCCTAAGGTGGTGTGCCCGGTCCTTGTCGGAGGCTCGTCGCGCTAGCTGTGCGGAAGAGATGGCAAGAATAGCGTCTAGCATTCCGTCGACGCGAAAAGCCCACGGCATGTACAGCGAAGTGTAGAAACTTGTGGGGGTGGTCGCAACTGAGACACTAGGTACGAAAGCTTCGACATAGTATTGCAGCAGGTGCTTTCTTTCAGAAACCTCATCGCAGGGTAATGCATCCCAGGGGTCGAGTGCCAACCGCGATGGGATGGCGATTCGAAGCTCAGGGCTAGACGAAGTCGACTCTCTCTCGGGCTCGTCCAGGATCCTGCGTGGTGCTTGCCATTCGCATGTGAGATTAAGTCGTGCGCAGTTGGCACACTGAGGCTGCCGGTTATCACATCGCTTCCGCCGTGTTCGGCATGTCAAGCAACCCGTGCGGGAACGTGGGGCAAACCTGCGCTGCCGGGGCTTCGGTTCAGCCATGGCAGCGAGAATCGAAGTACCCTTGACTCGGATAGTCACGGAGATATATCGAAAACGAGCATCTTCACGGGCATGCTGTTGGAGAAGGTTGGTGGTTGAGTCACGGGCAAGACAAGACATGCAACTTAGGTAATCGGCCGACGATGCGCCCTACTCAACAAAAGTGCGCCGTTATTCCGCCGTACGAAGTAGCTCCACTCCTTCCCATATCCAAGGTCAGCCCCGTCGCGCGTTGCACGATGGATCAATTATTCTTGCGATAAGCCGTTAGGGCTCTTGTGGCCTCCAGTAGTCGGGTAGCGAGGGAGCCTCTCGTTCACCGCCGTCGCTCCACGTGTGCGGCAGCGGGTTCCTGAAGCATCCTTGCCCACATGGAAACACAACCATCCAATCTCCGTTCTGTTGGATATTACTTATTACTTACTAGGCACCATGTACACACCGATGGCAATCAAAGCTATAAAGATGGGGAGCCGCACCAAATGTGTTTGTGGTAGTAGAGGCTTTTGGCAACTATGGACCGTATCATCAAGCTCCTTACGGCTTCGCTGGCAATCACAGGCGTCGCGGCTGACAACTTCAACGTTTTACAGCACCTCGGAGGAAATGCGCAATGGTTTCCTGGTATGGATATTGTCCTCTCATAGTGCTCCGCCCTATACTAACCCTCCCAGGCCCAGAAGTAACGGGCATCGCATCTGATGTCCCCTCTGGTTGCAAAGTCGATCTTACCGCCTTCTTCGCGCGCCATGGCAGTCGCTACCCAGACACGGGCGCCTACAAGGAGTGGACCGACTTGCATGCGCGGCTCCAGGCCGGCAAAGGCTTCAAGGTCACTGATGAGAAGCTGGAATTTCTCAACACCTGGAAGCCGGTGCTGTCACATCCAGAGCGCCAGATCGCCCAGATCGACCCAACCGGCTACAAAGAGCTCCACGAGATGGGTGCGACATGGCGTCTTCGCTACCCTGATCTGTATGAGTACAACACTCCCTTCACCATGTGGGCCAATTGGTACAAGTCAAGCCCTCGGGTCCGTGACAGCGCGCGTCTATTCGCTCAGGGCTTCTTGGGGCCGAACGCGACTGAACTCGGGACGATTCTGGCGCTCAACAGCAGCGAACCTGCGTCCTGGATGAACTCGCTCGCGCCCAGCGATCTCTGCAAGGCCTATGAGGACAATGGAGGCGGTGCCTACAAGGATGAGTGGGATGCCATCTACTTGCCGCCGATCCACGCCAGGCTCAATGCCATGATCCACGGTGATTTCAACTTCACCCAGTCGGACGTTTCAATCATCCCTTATCTCTGCGGCTTTGAGACACAGATCACCGGACGTCGAAGCCCATTTTGCGACTTGTTTACCAAGGAAGAGATTCTTCAGTATGAATATGCGCAGGATCTTCGGTACTGGTATGGCACCGGCTTAGGCTCTGACATTGAGAAGTACCAGATGGTTCCTGTTCTCGACAAGCTCGTGCAGCGCTTTGTTGACGGGCCGGATGCGACGTACAAGACCGGTAACTCAACGTTTGTCCCTCCCAAGATCATAGCCGCCTTTTCGAACGACGGCCAGATCAGTCAGCTCCTCGCAGCCCTTGGCGTATTCGATAAGGAAGCTCAACTCCCAGGCAACAAGGCTCGTCCGGCCAGAAAGTTCAGAGCCAGCCGTTTTGTATCCATGCGTGGAACCGTCGCCTTCGAGCGATTGTCTTGTGTTGCTCATGCGTCAAATGCCAGCTACGGAACCGGCAAGAACAACACCACCTCCCAGACGTATATACGCATCCGCCTGAATGACGTCGTCTACCCAGTCGTCAATTGTACCAGCGGACCCGGCTCATCGTGCCCTCTTCTGCAGTATCAAGGTATCATTAAGGGCAAGGTCGCGGCAGCTGGTAGCTCCACGAAACTGTGCAATATGACTGATTCTCCTTTGTCGAGCAAGCCGAGCGCATCGTTCTTCATGGACAACACGCTGCCGTACGCGAAGGTCATTAAGCCCTAAAATGTGTCTTTTCTGAAATCTCGGAACGGCAGTGGTTAATAAAACGGTGAATTAGTCTATACATACCATCGCGCACCGCTTCTCCACTTCCCATTCGCGTGCAGTCTTCACCGACTTGAATACAGACACAGACAGTGGCATCGCGACAAGAAAAAACAAGAATTTGCTCCTGGATGTCGAGTCATCCAAATCACGTCTTTGACATGTGTAGGGCGCAACATTTGCTCACTAATTCTAGCGCTGAACAATGCACCCCCACTCACCGTTCTTTGGGAATGGGGTCCGTGCGCAAGGCGCAAGGTGTACATTGCAAGGCGCGAAAGCCAACTAGCCTGTCAAACTTCGCTTTTCCCGCATTCTTCGAGCCACATTTCAATCGTTGTTTTAGAATTGACCAACCGCAAGCGTTTTCTTTTGATTGCTGCTATTAAATTGACCAATGTCGTGGTTGTAGGTTCGTTAAATTCCTACGCTAGGCTTTCCGACGGGTAATGCAATTGTGCAGCAGCGCCCTCTCCCATCGGGAAAGCCTGGATAGCGCCATCCGTATGCGGTTACTGGTGGCTTGAAGCTCGGCTGTCTGTCGACTTCATTGGTCACTTTGTATTTAGCTGGCATAAACATTGGACATGTGGAGCGGACATTTGACATGAAAGGCGTAAACTTCGTTTCAATGTTCGCATTTGTAAGTGCGAAGAGGTGATAGAGTCATAAGACCTGTGCCGGTGTCGGTGGATATGGAGATGGAGAGAGTATAAAGCAGTCTCACCCCCTGACTGATAGAGATACCAATTCAGCAAACTTCACTTCAAACTATCCAAGAGCAATCCAGAACCAACCCACGAAAGCGACCACAATCTGTGCTTCCAATACTCAGACATCACGCAACGCCAGCATCAACGATTACGAGATCGACAATTGATCAGACACCCCACAGTCACACGAAGCAAAATTCGACCCTGCAGTTCATTCCACCACCTCGCCAAATCACGTCTTCAGTCACAATGTCATACTCAACAGCAACAACACCCAGGACCTCCATTGAGCTCGCCAAGTCGGCCATCACTTCCTCCTCCGCATCTCTCGCCTCTTCATCATCGTCGCTAAAGCAACCGAGCAAAGCGAAGGGTATCTGGGAATCCATCAAGCGACATCACCAGGGCATGAACGAGGCGTATGAGGCGTATTACGGACAAGGAAACATGTCTAGGTCGGGCAAGCAGCAAGAAATTTGGGAGTACAAGAGGGGCGAGTACACCAAGGGCGGTCGGAATTGATTGTGGGCTTGAAGTGCAAGAAAGAATGCCGAATGTTTCAATGGTCAATTGGCTGATTGGGCGTGGTTAATGATGTGCGTTCGGAATATTGCAAGGTGCTTATGGAGTTTTGTTTTCGGGTTATCCCCGATGGGCATTGATTGCGAGCATTGGCTACAAGTATTGCATTTTTGGTCGTAGAGCAAATTCAATTGATACCACACAAACATTTTCCAACACTCTTGTGCTTTATCCTTTTAATCGTGACAGGAGTAATACATCGGCCCGATCCTCGCGACCACGTCTCTAGACATCAGAACGAAGACGGTCCTCCGTTCTGAATCGCAGCGTTGAGAGCGACAGGATAGAATAATTTGCATGTTACTAGACATTACCTCCGCCTTTCTCTTCTCGACTCAAGGCCTCGGGTCCGTAGTGAGGCCTTCCACACCCTTGGAAACACACTCAAGGACATGCTCCATCAGCTCCATTTCAACCGCGCCCTCTCTCCAGGAAAAGTTTACGACCGCATTCCCATCCATGCCTGTCACCACGTTGACGCATATCGGGCAGCTCGTCATATTAGGAGTTTGGCTAAATGTCATTCTGCCAATTTTCCATGGCATCTCCATTTCCGTTTTCGTAACCCTGAACACGCCGATGTTCGAGAGCTCAAGCGTGGGACTGCGCGGTTTGCCGAGCTGCTCCAAGAAGAATCTGGGCATGTCGGATACGTATTTTAAGAGAGCGATCGGATTGTCCCAACCCTCTTTGGCGAGTTCTGTTTGAATTTCGGCCTTGACCGCGCGCGCTTCGTCCCATGAGAAGTATTGCAACACCTCCACTTTCGCTGCTTCGTCTGTGGAAGTTACAGCTAGACGTTGGTGAAGATAACCGTACTGTGTAATCGCGTTCGTTATTTGGTCTTCCGCGACACCATCCAAGAAGCGTCGCATCGACATGGGGCTCGCAATCTTGATCTTTTCGCACTCGGCAGCCGGGACACTAGCGAATAGCGATGCGGCGAGGAGGCATTGAAGGGTGGCTGTTACGCTCGTCTTTTCTTTACGACTGGCCTGCGCCAGCTTGCTTGTTGTCTCTGCCGAGAATACAAGGGTGCGATAGTGAATTGGTTGGGCTAGATCAATTTCAGCAGGGACCGGATTTCCCGTCCAAAGCTTCATGGGTCGTTTGGCGAAGATCGAAGGGAGGATCGTGCCGAGGACGGCTTTGATAAAGAATGGCCATGATATTGACATGGAGTGCAATTCCTCAAGCGGTGGAAATAGGGCTGTATTCAGCGATTTGAAGATTGGATCTGCGTCTGCTTCTGGTGCTGCGGAGTTCAGAGCAGCGAGGAATGACTCATGGAACAAAAATGCGGATGTTCCATCGGCAAGGGCATGATGAAAGAACCACGACACCGAGAACTCGTTTGGTTTCTTCGTCGATGTGAGAATAATAAGACGCCAGAATGGTTTGCTCCCAAGCTCGTCCTTGAAGTCGCGGTTGTGCTGTTCCACCAACAACGCATCCAGCTCTGCATCCGTTTCGCCGTCCCTCGGCAAAGGGTCTTCACGCTGGTGAAATTCGACGCACGTACGGAAATCAATCTCAGGTATTCGTGCAAAGTACACGTCGGGATATGACTTCTCTTCGTTTAGGGGGATGGCGCCCAGAATTGCATGTTTGGCAAGAACCCCGCGCAGCGCCCCGAACACTAGCGTCTCAAGGGAGGTCAAGGTTGCAGCAGAGGAGGTGTAGGTCGCAGTAAGTCCAACATTCTTGTAGATACCCAGATGATGCCTCGCTGTGCTGTATGTCTCCAGGCGACCACATGTGCGTAGCTTCTCGAGGTTCGTAACATCTACCATCTTCTTTTTAATTCCACATCTTCTTCTTCTCTTATTGTCAATTCGTTTAGGTCTGATGCCTTAGATTTGGCGTCCTCGGGACAGCTTTATATGAAAGATGGAGTCGCAAGCTATGCCTAAATGGGGGAAGGGATATGTGGATAACGCCACAGCCAATGAACAGGAGAATGAGATCCGCTAGGACGGAAGCGAGCTCGTTTTCTTCGGATTGTCTCTGCGTCCCTGTTCCCAGGCATCCTTCGCGGCATTTTACTGTGGAAAAGTACGCATGCTATATGAGGCAAGCGGAGCGAAGCTGTACATGACTCTGGTTGTATTTTGCGATGAGACCCATCGCTCTCACAGTTGAGGATTTCGATGCCCCAAATTCAACGATGACAATCGCAGGCAAGGTCGATAAAGCCCAGGTTTCAAGAGCGCCTCGCCCCAGAACTAGCAGTTGAGCTATACCTAGCCTGTGCTTGGAGAGCCGACATTCTTTGTGTTCGGGGTTAGGGTTCGGAGATATTTGTGATTAAGACCGACTAGTGCAGGATAGCTCGAGTCACATTGCCAACATCACATCTTCAGTTCAGCCACTGTATAGTTCGGTAATATAGGTGTTTCATGATCGAACGAGAGATCGGCAACACAGCCGGCCGGGTTGCAAGGTACCTCGCCTTCCACGAACTAGGCGTTAGACGATAAAATTACAATCAAGAAGCAATACGTACCTATCATATACACACATTAAGCCTCGGGTGAGCTCTGCACTCTTCTGCATAATACCCCTGAGTTAATGGTACCTAGGTAGTCCTGAGTGTCGTCTTTTTTTCTCTTCAAGATGCATACAATCTGACTCGCCTTGGCTGTAGCCTCCGAGGCAAGATGGCGGGCATTTAGGGTCGTAAGAGGTAAGCCAGGGTGCGATGTTGATAATCACCTCCATTCAGCTACTACAAGATACTTGAAGATTTCACCTAATGGAAGCTTGCCGCAATCAGAGAACCAACATGGATCGCCGTACAAGTGCACCCTGCAACGTCACTGGGTTCATCCACTTTAGTCAGCACACTTCCCGTGCGAAGCCGCTGATTCCTCCCAGATACTTCGGGACACTGGCTGAGTATCAAGCTAACGCATGGAACCGGCAGCGCAAGTAATGGGTGTCGGTCCGGGGATAGAATAGCTCTTGCCGCCCATATAGGGCTGCCCTGCATTGTCATAAATGCTGACTTGTACGCCGGGGTCGTTCGCCTTGTAAGCACCGGGGAAACTGACAAAATTACTGCCTTTGTTGGTTCCGGAGCCTGTGACGCGAATCTGCGCGCATTCCATGTAGAACTGGGCACCGCCTACATTTGGAGTCAGCCTACATGAGCCCCTTTGGCTGAATGGGAACATGCCTTGATTTTGAGCACCATGTAAAGCGATAAGCTCAGCGCGAAGCAGATATTCACCTGGTGCAACACAAGTTGGCATGGTGAAGTAGTGCCATCCTCCATTTGAGATCATGGTATCGACTGCCCATTTGCCATTGCTCAAGCCATCTTGAGCGACTTTGAACCACTGAAGCCCAGTTGTACTAGCCGTGGCCGCATTGTCGACCTTGGCAAGATAATACTGGATAGGACCTGGAATTTGTTCAGCCCAATACTTCTCGCAGACTGCAAGTACTTTCCATGAAATTGCTCACCTTTATGGCTCTTCGCGATAGGATGATCAGGATCATTCGCTCCCTGTGCGCCGCCTATGACATGGCCCCACCATGCGCCGACTTTGGCTCCGGCAGGGACAGAGATCACATTGTTGTCCTTGTGGGAGATTCCTTTGTTACAAGCAAAGGAACTATCCGTGACACTAGTGATGGGATAATCGGAGTCTGGAGCCCGCACACCCTTGAGTTGCCCTTGATCGACGCCGTTGACGGAGACTTTCTGGAAGATGGTGTGGGCGGAGACACAGCTTGTCACAATGGCGATGAAGGAAAGATAAAGTCGCATGATGGCTTTCGCTATAGGTAGCCGTCGAGGAGTTCCTGCAAAACTGGAGTGAATCGCAATCATTATATACTGAGGCTTTGAAAATAAGAATCGGCATTCGTATATTCGATCTGGTCATTCCCACAAAGCGTGTTATCCTATTGGCAGTTCTTTGCGGAAATTGATAGTATTCGAAGATTGTACTATGACCTGACGAAGGCCTCCTATGACCCATGTCCGGCACTTCCTCAACTGCCCTACCACTTCTCATTCGTAGACCCGTGAATAGATTGGATTATTCTCTAGTAATAGAGCTGTAGATGTTAGTCCGTATCTTCCGTGCCGAAAGCGTCAAGGAAGTACTGGAACGGCTCTCATATAGTAAGCCAAGAGACCCCCACTATACCTTGGGAACGTTATGGCCACCCCGCAAGATTCGTAAATGACACGGAGAGCGCGGAGACATATAAAGGAACAGAGAAAGGAGCATGAACTTTTGGTATCTATCGACCTCGTGCGATTACTTCGGGTCTACCGAAGTAAAAGGACATACATACGCGCCGGATTGAAACGCTTATAGTGCCATAGGCTGCGCCTGTAGAGTTTGCAGCGGAACAGAAACAGAATTCGTACTCCCAAGACTGAAGCCGGGTCTTTTTGTTATTCCCGGATCATTGAGTCCCCAGGCCGTTTGGCTTGCGTCATGTACTGTTGTCCTTCGCAGGTCTCGCCTGTACTTTCCAGCAAATGTACCCCCTCCAGCTCGATGAAGAACGCTCGTATTATCCCAAATGATCAAATCACCAACGTTTTTCCACGCAACGCTAATGCGATACTTCTCCTGCGTTATATGGTCTAGCAGTGTCTCTAAAAGTCGATCGCTTTTCTCCCTTGGTACGCCAACGACATGATGTGCATGCGCTGCGACGTACAGATTCATGCGCTTACTTGGTTCGTGAAGCTGCACGATCTTGTGAACGTGCATGGCCTGGGTTTCCACATCTACATCTTTGAAAAACTCTGGCGCGGCTTTCTTCCTGCTGTGTGCCAAGGAGTGTGCAGCTGCGTAATCATTTTCCAACAGCTCGATCTTCAAGGAATCAGAGAGCTCATCGAACGCGGTTCTCGAGTCCGAAAAATCGGTATTGCCGCCGTGCCCAGGTGGAGGAAGCTCGTGGGCGCGAAGTAGTGAGTAAGAAGCCCGTCGTGGATTGAAAGAACTATCGACATGAAAAAGAGCATTACCCTCGAGTGTCGTGAGTACAGGGTTCTCTTACGTGGCATGGCAACTGTACTCACCTTTTGATATTGTGCTTTAGGGCTGTTCGGATCGATGACATTGCCGTCTTCATCAACATTGCCTGCATCGAACAGTTCGTAATACTTATAACGCATCTTCCTCCCGTTCGTCATATATGGTCGAATGTCATCGAGGTCGCCTAGTTTCCTCGAGAACTCAACGTGCGCTGTGTCATCCATACCTGTGTTCCGGAAGACGCATACTCCGTACTTTGTGCTCACGTTAGCGGCGCACCCGGATTTAGTGTGTCTAACAAGATCGCAGGCATAATCTGAATGAGAATGTGTTTTGGCAAGGCCATGAGCAGCGCCTTTGATGTGCTTCGTTATAGCCTTAACAAGATCGTTCATGAGGTATGAACACTGTTGGGGACTGACTAGGGAGAACTAACGTAAATACCTTTGCCATGGCTCGCAAAACGTCTTCAAACTGCTCATCACTCGGATGCGGGAATTTTACGCCTTCGATCTCGGCACCGAACTTTGGGTGGAGCTTCTCGACATTGAAGGTCTTGAACTTGCCGCCTCCTGTATCGGAACTTCTCTCTGCTTCGTTACTGTCTGCCATTTCGCCCTTGTAATCTGGACAAGGTCTTTGAGCAGTGTTTGGTCGGATGGTGAGGGGTTCCCGTCTAGGTGGTACATTGAAAGAAGCAACGGCGGCCGTAGGATGAGAAGAAGGTGAATGTGCGAAGAAGTGCGGTGGATGTTTCCGCAGGTATACAACTCAAGACCCCGCAACGGTAAATACATGCTGGGCAAATGCCGATACCGCACACTTGGTATCACACGACAAGGCTGTAGGTACTGTGACTGGTGATGGTGTCTAGGATGCTGCCCCGCAAATTGGCGGGGGACCCCACGATAAGTTCTGGGATCCCGGCTACAACGAGCGGAGTCAACCCCAAGAATAGATTCGCCTGCATTAGACTGGCGCCATCCTGGAACAGGTGTATTGTCTTCCTCAAACGATAAGAATAGAGGCACAACGACGTCCCGGAAATATCTGTTAGACGTCGTCTCCCGGACACCGGTGCTGGCCAAGTATCGAATATCTCAGACTCTCCGACGACGACGATGAAATATATGACCAGTCGGTAAAGTAAGACACTCACGAGCGTCGGCCTCGTCGGGGCATTGGTTTTGCCCAGCGACAATGAGACGGTCATCGCGGACTGAGGCGCGGGGCCGGGGCCTTATTTGGCACAGCGTTACAACGGTCGCTTGTGTGACTTTCCTTGAGCAACCATGATTCAGCCGCATCCCAGGTGAGCATTGTGCGACATTCGAGGTTTGTTGGGTTGGCTTCCAGATCTGGAACGTGAGGCTGAATTTGGCGGCGAGAAGATGCGCTTCTGTAAGGCACATGAACGCATTTCGGGCGCTAAGAGATAGCTAGGCAGGGGCGACAAGTCAGTCTATTCCTCGGCTTGATTATATCCCGCGCGAGTGGATGCGGTGTTGTGGTGATGGAACGGGGGCTTGTGTTTGGGTCGCTTCCCTGCGCATTGGCTGACGTAATGCGTCGCATCAACGTTTCTGTACCACTTTCTCCTGGACTTGTTGTCTCCTACCACCTACCACCCGCCAGAAACGTCATATCCATACAGCCTCATGGATAGGACCACGTCCTGGGGCCGTTTCACGCGGTATATCTTACCGCAGATTACTCCCTGGAGACGCCACAGTTGCTAATTCGGGTCGTAGGTACGGAGAGTGATCCTCCTTGCAAATACGCATGCTCATCTGTTTCGCATCTCAACTGCTCATTAGAACAACACTGCGTCGTGAACAAGGAAGATCTACGTGGAAGACTACCTACATTAAAGATAAGCTTGTCGCGATTCGTGGGCCCTGGAGAGGACTCGGTAGTCAACCACTTCGGAACAAGGCCGTGCTCCACATCTTGAAGCTCTCTTTGCGCACTCATTCGCAAAGGGTAGATGTGTCCTCAAAGTCACATTCATGATGCGCCCAAACTTCCCCAAAATCCCTTCAATATCCATTCAAGTGGAAGCCAAGGCATGGTCATTCAACTGTCCTGCCTAGTCACTCTCTGTCTAGTTCGCGTATCGAGAGACCCTAGTTGCGTGGCGCTTCTTGCAGCCTGGTTGCTGGGTCACTAACGGCGGCCGCTGAAGCCGGTTTGGGAAACTGCATGCACATACCGATCTTTACGACTTCGCTGTGCCCCAAGAGAGTTCGTCTACCGGTCTTGGCAACAGAGAACGGTGCTTGTGTTACGTGGGCGTATCCGGAAGTAGATCAGATGCCCGCCTTATGAGTCGATGCACCTGTGCGCCTCGTTGGGTCACATCGATTTGTGCGCCTCTTGAGGCATACGTTGAGCAGCGGTTGCATTTTCGGGTACTAGTATCTATAATCTACTTGGATATGTACCAATTCGGAGACGGCGCACTGACTATACTGACAAACACATCTTCACTAGTGGCTGGATTCGTACGTTTGCGATATTGGACACACATACAAAAGGTAGACTGTTTGGTCATCCTTCATTCTTTAGTTACCGTCAGAGCAAATCACCCCCTCGTCGCTATTCTACACCTCACCTAAGTTTCCCGCTTCTTCTATTTCAAGATTCTTTCACGCTTTTACTTCAATAGTTCGACCCTCGCCCGAGTGTTGGTTTCATATATCAATCCATGCAACTTTTCAACCGACGGTAGCCACTGGTATGACTTCAATGACAGGAAACCATGACGCCTCGCCGATGGAACGAATCACATCAATGAGCAGGTGCGTTAGCAATCGATGTGGTGAACACTATCGCGAGATTAACATTTGCCGCAGCGACACTGAAGGGCCGAAGTCGAGCTGTTCGAGTATGACAGAGGTTGATGTTCTGGACTTGCGGCGTGTTAGAGATAGTGTGCCATGGCGACTGTGGGCTGTGGCTGTCATCGGATTTTGGGAAAGAGCGGCGTTCTGGGGACGTACGTAAAAAGCATGACAGACCTGTATGTGGAACGCTTACTGACTTGTTATTTGCTCTTCTAGTCACCGCACCATGGCGTATGTTACACCACAATCCTTTCTTCGACTCCGGTTTGTCGGGAAAATGATGCTAATTTGGTCGTCGCACAGAGAATTACATGGAGCACCCGCCACACTCCGACAGGAATCACACTCCCGGAGCCCTCGGCCTCGGCCAGGTGAAGGCGACACAGATATACTGCGCCTTCTACATATTTTACTATGTCACCCCGTCCTTCGTCGCACCGCTAGCAGATAGCCGTCTCGGTCAATACCCAACCCTAGTGGCCAGCGTCATGTTGTATTGTGCTGGATGTACCGTCCTGACCATCAGTTCCTTACCAACAAGTCTCACCAAAGACTGGGGTCTGCCTGGGCTGATCCTTGCCATGTTTCTAATTGGATTAGGTGGTGGAGGGTTCAAGGCTATCACGGCACCGTTCATCGCTGACCAATATACGGAAACGAAGCCACGCCTGAAAAGATTGAAATCGGGAGAGCTGGTGGTCACAGACCATCAGCTAACGTTGCAGTACATATACAACCTGTACTTCTGGGTTGGTAACGTCGGGTCGCTTTCGTGGTTTGCTACGGTCTACATTGAAAAGCGATATGGCTTCGCCGGAGCATACGGTCTCACTCTAGGTTTCATGGCCATCGCAATGTTCATGTTGGTCTTTGGAAAGCGCTGGTTCGTCAGAGTTCCGCATAAAGATAATGTCCTCCCTCAGGCTACAAGGATCATTACCTGCGCCATCAGAAACGGCTTCAGGATGAAGCACGCAGATCCGGAATATCAGCTTGAGCATCGCCGCAAAACTGTCGCTTGGAGTAGTACCCTCGTCGACGAACTCACACGAGGCTTACGAGCTTGTCGAGTCCTCCTGGCATTCGTCATGTTTTACATCTGCTTCGACCAGATGCAGAATAATCTGATCTCCCAAGCCGGGCAAATGAAAACAGGCAGCACTCCAAACGACCTACTACCGGCTATGAATCAGGTGGGGTGCATCGTCCTCGGTCCGCTAATACAAGAGGGTCTTTATCCCTTCCTTCACAAGCGGCGAATCTACATGAAACCTATAACACGTATCACCATCGGCTTTGTCTTCATTGCACTCGCAATGCTCTATGCTACTTTCGTGCAGTATGCAATCTACGCATCGCCACCTTGTTACGACCACCCTGAACAATGCGGAAACGGACAACGGACGTCAATGTGGGTGCTTAAAGACAGCAGGCCCAACGTTTGGATACAAGCACCTCTTTATTTTCTCATCGCCATTGGGGAGATCTTCGCATATGTCACTGGCCTAGAGTACGCATACGATAACTCGCCAAAGGATATGAAAGTTCTTGTGCAAGCAATCAGTCTGCTTCTGGGTGGGGTAGGCTCGGCCTGTGCGATGGCACTAGCTCAAGTTGCTCACGATCCGAACCTCATCTGGCTGTACGCCTCGTTGACGGGAGGAATGGCAGCGACTGCACTCATCTTCTGGCTTGTGTTTCGCAAGTATGACACACCGCTGTCAGTTGATAACGTGGAAGACTCGCCAAAGGAGATATCATTCGACCTGGAGAAAGGCAGCAATCAGGACCAGGACAGAGAAGAGAGTTCGCTCCAATCACGTATCAGCAAAGTAGATGTTGATGCCACGGAGGTTTCCATGTGCCCCGAAGCGGGCGATATCTCGATTATGGAGCTGTCTGATCTGCAAATGGGGTCTGAAACTACTTTATGTCTGAGGAACAGCGACGTTGATGGCGAGGGAACAATATCGGACGGCAGTCATTTACATGAACTACCTGCTGAGGTCTCAGTAACGAGCGACAACTGGTTCGAACACAACGCATCAAGAGGAGCAAGGTAACGCTCCGTCAACCAGAGACTGATCCACGCGAGGCACCATTGCACTCCCTGCGGACATCGCATTGTCGTCGTTACCACTTGAGCCGCGCACGACGAGATTACGGCATCCTCGACTCACCCACTATTGCATATTTGATTTGATCCATCATTAGATGCCAAATGATCAGCGAAGAAGAATTGTAGATGCGATCTTTTCAAGCATCTCGCCGAGCAAGGTACATCGCTATGCGGTCATAAGATTCCGCGCAAGCCTTCGTGACACTCAAACCTTCACGCGACCCACGCGCAGTTTATGCGCAGGCCGAATCTTTGGCTTTGTTGTGCATAGACTCAAAAGTTACGGTCTACTACGGCTTTAGTGCTCTTGAGACCAACCGTCTCCCCGCAACTACGATTTGGGGAAAGGGCTGGCTCTGCTTGAGCGCTATGCCATTCATGTATCTAGATTTCTACATTGAATATCACATCGTTACTCCGTTTTTGTACAATATATAACGCATTACATGATGTTGTTTGGGCTATACGCATAGTAATTTATTTCAGATTTTGCGTTCAAAATAATATAAAACCACCAGTTCAACCTGCAGAGGCCTTCAATTTCGCAAAAAATGATGCCCTTTGCCAGAATCGAACTAGCGATCTTATCATAGCATGCAGTACTAGTGATACGCTTTACCACTAAGCCAAAAGGGCAGCTTTGTTCTGATTGGTTGAAATTTTCCTGAAGTTTAAGGGTTATAATCACAACAGTTGAGGTTGCTATCTTAGAGAACGAGTGAAACTTAGGCGTTTCAAGACTACTGACTTGGATGCATGAATCGTGGGATACTCTTGGCCACAAGCGAGCAAATAGTACAGCGGGTGAAGAATTGGGGTGGGGCAGTTGAGCGATCTTGGGTACCTCGGCCCTAACCCCAAGCCTACTTCCTCAGCAAGACATGCAACAATAGGCGACGTCACGCTATTCCAACAGAAGATTTTGGGTACTGTGTAGCGTCCTGGACAGCTAGATGCTTTTTGATGTTAGGGTTACATCTAGTCTAATCTCCACTCCCGGCATAACTGCGTAATCTACTTTCTAGCTACCTCGACCTTTCCCACTCTAATACGAAGGCCGCACTTTGTGCACCAGCTCAGCAGTAATTGCATTTCTCAGCTCTGACAGTCATTCAGGCCAAGCGTGGCTGAGGTGAGATAGAGCGTATAAATAGGGCAACCTAGCGAAGGGCGTACTCTGACCGTGACTCCTTGTGTAGTACCTCGCTGATGACTCGGCTGTACTGGTCCACGAAGCCATGCTCCTGGAAACGGAGGTTATGTTACTAGAGGTAAATATGAATTAGCAGATGATGAACATGGTGGCATTGAAGAGGATTGAGAAGTAGTGCGCTGCGCTGGTAAATAGTGTCGAGCTAGAGATCAAGGGCATTCAGCTCGAAGGGAGGCGCTGAGTAAGAGGGCTTTAATCAAGGTGGGAAGAAGACATAGGGCTATCATGAGTGGATCTTTGCACTATGTTGAAAGATCTTGTTACACGCTAAGTGATTCTATCTCGCTCTATCGTCTTTCTAGATATAAATCTTTTCTACTTCCCTAGGCGTCTAGCATTTTTGGGCAAACCAAATCTTGCCTCAGGCCGATCTTCTTCAAGGACCTAATCTATGATCTAGTCTTTCCGCATATTTTCTCATTTTTGCGAAAAACTCTCCCCAATCTCCAGCAATTATGGCTCGTGCAGTGCGATGTTTCCCGCTGAGACTTTATGTGATGAACTCTGATGGGAGACTTTACGTCTAACCTAGCCTTGAGAGAAGACGAGGTCTTTAGCCTGAGCTTCTTTGGATGGCGTGGCCTCGGCGGGAGGAGGGCCCTCTATCTAAGGATAGTACTTTCTGACGAATGCAACATCTCCCGCGGACGGAACCATGTTCGTATGAATATACGATTGCCCAACCGCATTTCCATTGGCCCTATCAATTGCGACCAGAGTACAGGCAACCAGGTTGTTGACGGTGCCTTGGCATCCGGGGCCGGCGTAAGTATTTGACGGGTATAGCATGATGGATGGGTAGTCGAAATCTCCATCACCCAGAATCGCGAAAGAGACACTCTTATACTTGTCCTGTTTGGTAAATGCTGTTCCGTCGAATGCGAAGCGTTGGGCAAACAGCATGTCTTCGCAAAGATCTTTGCCTGCCATGTCAGCCGAGACTCCAGCAAGTATAGCGTCGCTGAGGGCTCGTTGGTAGCCCAACACGTTGTGGCATCGATACTCGACATGATCGTTGCGGTCATAACGGACCTGCTCGTGCACCATTCCGAGAACATGTCCAATCTTTCACCTGTCAGTATCACGAGCTCAAATTGATATTAAGCGCGAATCATTACCTCATGTGCAACTTGATTCTTTTAAGTATCTCCAGGTAGAATCATTTCATGTCGGCCAGCCCCGTTATTCCAGTCATCGGGCTCGTATCCTACGGATGCCATTGGCGTTGCGCCCTTCTTCCCATGTATAGCGAGAGTGTCCGGATTTACGGCAGGGTTCCACTTCCCCGAAGCGTCGTGATAGTATTTGGGTATAATATCGCGTCATATCGTTGGTACGATCACCGGCTGTTTGCCAGCTAAGCGAATGTCCATTTTCTTTGATAGGTCCTTCAACTTTCAAAGCCCAGGCACCTAGGCCCCCTTGCACACTGCAATGAAGTTCGTTCCTTGTGGCTTCATCGACATAGCAGTAGCGGATTGGTCGTCGATTTCCTACTTGTGGCCAAGGGTGACGGAATTCACCCTTGAGGAAACTTGCAGCCCCCATCTGAGGACCAAACAGATCCGCTTCAACCAGAGTAGCGTTCGAGTCAGTCCCGCAAAATTGTTCGCCGAAGACAAGAGGTAGGTTGGCGGCTACCACGAATAGGAGGACGAAGAAGGATAGTAAGAGTCGCATCGTGGGTGCCAATTATATTGACTTGCAAGGTGATTCTGGGACGTGGATAATGCTGAGTCCTCGGAGATCGGAGCGGTGGACGAAGGAAGGAAGATCCCTAGGCGGGTTACATGGCTATATATAGGGTGGGACTCGGTTCGGGACACGGTGAAGGCAGAAGATATCTGGCTCGAAAGTTCAATCTTTAGCTCGCGTGTTTGCGCTAGGCAAGAGAGACATGTTCCACCATTACTCTTACCTCAGTATAATCGGCTCAGCGACAATATTGAAGCTACGGTGAGGCGGCGTAGGTGTTGTCAGGGGACCTGCTATTCTTGTCTTCTGCGCCCACATGGGAACTCTCACATTGTAAACGACATGGCCACAAGAGAAATCATAGAGTACGTAGAGATCCAGATAGGTAAAATCCCCGCCTAAGGAATCAGAACATTCAGTCAATAGCTTAGAATGACAACCCTCAAAGTGTTAAAACGAGGCCAAGTAGTAAAAAAATGAGGAATGAGTATAGCTGCATGCGTAGAAGAATGCTTAACACAGCAGCGAGGGGGCTGATCAAAACCACGACCTAGCGGAGGCATCATTTTGACTTATACTTCTGCCTGTCTGTAGTTTAGCAAATTTCACGTGTACATATCGATGGTGACGGAAGGAGCGTCCACATCGCGTGAACGACCCGCGTGCAGCCCCAATATCTCGCGTAGGAACCTCAAAAGTTGCCATTCAGGAAAATGTGAATTTCAAATGAGAAGTCGCGCGTGTAAATGTTCTACCAGTATGCCAATTCGTATCTAAGATGTCTAGCGAGTGCTCTCACCAATTTCAAGTAAGTCAATTTCCTACTCCTCATATGCCTTTACTAGTGATGACCAGCTCCCATACGCCGTTCTAAATGCATTGATTCCATGTAAGACAACGAGAGTTGTGGCTAAAGAACGAGGTATCAGTGTTGCGGTAATAAGCCTTAAGATGATGGATAAGGGGAAAGGAAAGTGAGCGAAGAAAATCGTGAAAATGTGCAATGTTTCAAATGGCGTGGGTCTTCTTCTCGCGCAATTCGAGCTCTTTCATGTACTTGACGAAAGACTTCTTGTGGATCTGTTCGAGATGTTAGCTACCGCAGGCTGTATTTGCTGAGCAATGAGGGAACTCACCAAGCCTGCATACTTTCCATCTCTGAGCACACAAATGTATCGCAGTCCTAGCTTGACGAAGCACTCGTAGACGAGATCCATTGGCGAATGCACATCCAGCGAGACAGGCGCCGGATCAATGTATGGCGTGAAGTCGCTCGGATCGTACATAGCTTGCTCTTCTTCTCCGTACGCCTCTCGACCTGCTGCCCAATGTTCCTGGGGCGACATGAGACAGAGCGTGTTCTCCTCGTTCTCAAGCTTGTCGAGTGCAAACTCGAGGTCTGGGGCGGGTATCAAGCCGACGAGGATGCCGTGCTTGATAATAGCTAAACCACCATCAAGTTCACCGAGCATTTGAAGCCCACGTTGCTTGTCGCGGAGCTCAGTTGCGGGTATGAGAGACTCGTCTGAGATGTCGATGATATGAGATTCCCGGATACGCGGTGTGATGTCACCGAGTTCGGATGTAAAGATCGGTCGTACCTTATTGTCTAAGAAAGGGTACGAGTTCATGTCTGTAAGGAGGTCGTAGATGCTGAGCGGTTCAATAGCATCAGCTACCCACTTCGAAACAAGGATGCCGAGAGAGAATGGTAGTACGTGATCCAGGCTTCCTGTGAGCTCGAAGAGTATGACGGCCAAAGTAATAGTTAGGCGAGTGACGCCGGTCATTGTTGCACCGGCAGCCACCATAGCATACACACCAGGGACGACGCACGACCCGGGTGGGCCAGAAGGAGTGCAGTTTCCGAACAAACCGAGATGGCTGAACCGGAGGGCAACTAGCTGAACCGTATGGCCTATGATACGTCCAGCTAACCCACCGACAACCATAGATGGTACATATATGCCAGCTGGTACCTTGATGCCAAAGGTGATGACTGTCAGGCTGGCCTTGATGACAAATGCAATAAATAGCACGCTGAGAACATTTGGGATATGCTCGATTGTCGGACAGAGACCGTCGCCTGAGTCTGTGTAGGTGTCGCATGGGCTAGCCAACTCAAAGAGTAGCTCGGTAACGGGGAGCTTAGTATAACGGTTCCAGAAGCTAACCAGACCGGTAACTAAGGCGACGAGGAATACTTCAAATAGCGGATGTTTCTTTATGATGGGTATGCGGCGGAAGGTTTGGGCCCAAAAGCGAGACGCCTTGATGAAGAGAGCACCTAGGACACCACCGACGGCGCCTGTAAAAGTAAAAGTAGCTAGTTCAAAGAACTTCCAGTCGAGGTGATATCGGACTTCGAACAGGACAATCTTCTTCGTTCCATAAGGGTCTAAAAACTTCAGAGACAACGCAGCTGCCTAGATCCATGTTAGCGTATATGATATATCTACTTTGGAGTACTCACAATGCAGCAAAAGAAGGTCCTGAAGAGGGTTTTCGACGGAAAGTAGTAGCTGACTTCCTCCAAACTAAACAAAACTCCACCGATGGGAGCACCAAAGGCAACAGCTACACCACTGGCAGCACTAGCGCTCAACATCTCTCTGCGCTTTCCATCATTGTTGCTGTACTTGGAGAAGATGCGACACGCGATGTTGCCGATACAGGTCGCAATGTGCACATAAGGGCCCTCTTTCCCGAGACTTAGGCCTGACGCTACGCTGAGAATGAGAGCAACCGTCTTGATAACTAGCGTTCGAAGACCGAGATAGCCATGAAGGACGAATCCACTCAAGATGACCTTGACTTCGGCTACACCACTGCCAGCAGCGGAGTAGTACACCATAGGTGGGCGGAGTTGCGCCTCTTGAAATCGTGACTCTGCACTAGTGGTATGTTTGCCATCTTCGTCTTCGTCCTCCGAAAGCCTTCGCACTTCCGCGCCTAGATTTTCGTCAAGCGTAGCGAGCGAGATGGCTGAGGGGATGACGGTCTTCGTTGTCAGAGTCAAGAGACAGGACGCCATGGATAGCGCAATCACCGAGAAGACGAAGAAGGCATATTGCGTCTGGACCTGGTCCAGCCTGTCACTGCGGACAACCTCGGACCAGTGCACCCAGTTGTCGCAAATTGATGCACCATCGCAGCAGACCTTGCGGCTCTTAGACCAACCACTAGTGCAGTGGCCTTGCTTCCAGTCAAACAGCGTGGTTTCCGTAGTGTTGACCAAGTAGGCACAGACTGCGGTGAGCATTCCGATAAGGGCTACCAGAATCCAGCCCTGAGCACCGTCAAACCAGGCTGCCAATCGTCCTCGAATGTCTTTCCGGCTTCGAAGAGCCTTGACCCGGTATGCGTCGGCAATGTTGTCATGCACCCAGTCAGTCGAGGTGAACTGATCATACCACACGCGGTTGTCCTGCCACAGAGACGCCTTGGCTGATTGCATGCTCTCCTCTAGCCCCACCCGCCGTTCGCCCAAGGCGTTCACGAGCCGTTGGCTGAAGGTGTGATTGAAGGACCCCGCTCTGCTCGGCCGCATTCGCGAGCTTGTGGGAAGCTGGCTGTGTTGCCGCTTCTGCCCAGGGCGTGGAGTACCAGGCGTAGTCGCTGGCAAGCTCATGTACGAACGCTGGCTGTGGCCATGGCCATAGACATTTCCCAGCAGACTCGACCGCTCTGTGAGATTCTCTCTTGACCTTGACAGATCGTGTTCGGAAGAGTGCATCTGCCTCAGTGGGCGGAAATGGGCCGTCGGTGAGGTGGGCGTTGCACTGCTTATGGTATCGCCGCGTTCTCGCTGCTCGGCAGCATAGTCGTCGTCGGCATCGTAGTCGTCGACGCTCCGGTACGAGTGCATGGACTTTGGCATAGCGACGGTGGATGGGCAAGGTGACTAGAGACTGTGGGGTCGCAAGATATTAGTTCGAGGATCACACAAAGACATTGCCTGGATCCAGGCAGCTACAGTGGTCATCTGGAGGGAGGGTGAGGGCGGTGTCTCAGCAGCCATGGCCTCTCCCCACCACCAGGGCTGCCCAAGCTTGGCCGGTCGGGTGTGGTACACGCACCGGGAGAGACGCATCACGATCGGAACGCTGGCAGATCTGTTGTCTATCTGGGTTCAACCCTAAGCCAAAGGTATACGAGCAGTAAAGACTGTATGCAGTGCCAACGAGGGATCTACTTCGGTCCGCCGAGGCTCCAAGGTGGGTCGCAGCGCGTGATGTTATTAGGAGAGCACGCGGATGTGAATGACGATTCAGGGTCCAAGCACATTTCTGAATCGGGTAAGGCGTCGACTTGCGCTATCAGCCAATCGCCCGCAGCATCTTACCCCACAGTCGCCCTCGGAGTGAATTAGTCCGAGGCATCAAACTTCTTCTTGTCTTTCATTAGCTGTCGTTGGTTTGCTTGGAAGTGCCTATTCGAGGTGGCCAAGCTGTGTCTCGCCAGAAGCATAGCTCAAAGTGCCGCAGTTTCGCCGAACAACTAAGACAGTCTCGTGCTACATTTGACGACGCTGGACTAACGTGGGGTTTACTTGGACCAACATGGTAAGAGATAGCTGGGTCTTCCTTCTCTTCTGCAGCATAATGTTAACGAAGACTCTAGCCTTCTCCCTACCCGCAATTCTTCCTTTTCGGAGATAGTATCACACAAAACTCTTTCGATCAGAATCTAGGCTTTGGCTTTTCTGCGGCGCTTCAAGATGGTAAGTCTGAGATTTTCCACCTGCTTGCGTAGAAGACCTGTATGTCCGGGACCATGGGTGTCCAGTGGTGTCGTGGAATGCTCAGAAGAGCGCGCTTTCTGATACCCCGCAGCCTACATAAGAAAACTGGATGTAGTCAACCGCGGATTCAGGTAATGCCATCCTCTTCCGGATAATTTGTTTCGTTCTGATTCCATGGCAGTGGTTACAACACTCGTCAAGCTCTCCAGGTGCTGCCATCCATTGTGCCGTCCCCAGAGCAGGCTACGATTCGCTTCTTGGTAAGGATGGCCTTTGAACGATCAAGGCAAGCCCTCACTGACGGTTAGACCGTATTCTTTGGCGCCAACGACTGCTCACTACCGGATGCTCCCAACAAGCAGCACGTTCCACTTGAAGAGTACCAGGCCAACCTAGAGAAGATTATCACACACCCACTGATACAGGCTCACAATCCGCGCATCCTTTTGATTGCTCCACCTCCAATCAATGAACATCTCTGGTGGCCGAGGGACCAGTCCAATGGATACACGAGCGTGTCGCGAGTGGCCAGTATAACCAAGGACTATGCGGACGCAGCCTGCAAGGTGGGAGCCAAGCTCGAAGTGCCCGTGGTAAATCTCTGGAAAGCGTTCATGGAAAGGGCAAACTTTAAGAGCGATGCTTGGAAGCTCGGAGACCCTCTACCTGGGTCCCTTGATATTCCACAGAACGACGCATTGGTGGCGCTCATGTATGATGGTATGTGCTTCGTCAACGTTGGTCGTACGAATACTGAATGATGATACAGGCCTCCATTTCCAGCCTGAAGGCTACGTCATTCTTTTCCAGGAGGTCATGAAGACGATTGCTGAGCAGTGGCCAGACCAGATGCCGGAGAAGCTATCGACTGTTTTCCCAGGGTGGAATGATGAGGATGAGTGGAAGGTGTGGGAAAGCAATCAGGCGTTGTCGCAATAGATTTCCAAGATTGACAGCGGCCTAGACGGTACATATATAGAGTATTGCAATGTATATGCACGCTCGAATGCTACAGCATCTCATGTTGTGTCGTGCTGTCGTACTGTCATATAGAAGAGGTATGGAGGCTGCGGGGAAGCGGCGAGACGACCGGCGGGCTGCATTAGCTCTTTCCCGAAAGGTGCTTCGAACCTCAGAAGATGCAACATTGAACTGCACGCCCTCCACGAACACCAATTCGTAGTACGATCCCTCAAGTTACCTTCGTTCCGCCCACGATCCATGAGCCTTAAGGCCTTCGCAATACTCTACTTTCAACGCACAACACGGTAATCTCCGAATCCGCCTGCGACCGCAACACCCCACCCTCTCGACCGTCTCAGTTCGACACCGACCCTCACGATAGGACACCCACCATCATCACACACTCAAAGAGCGCTCGCCCAGGGCAGAGCTGTCAAGTTGGCGGCGCTACGGCTCGTCTGGAGTCTGTTGGCAGGGGAGCATACGCGGGAAAAGCAGGGGTCTCTTCACTGAGCACTCCCACCAAGGGATGAGAGACCACGGGCATGGATCCAGAGAGTGTAGCCTTTCAGCCCCGCGACGACCTCTGGCGCTTTCAAAGTGAGATGCTTCGAGTGCAGCAGAACCAAGCCGAGCTTTCCGATCGTGTCTCTCGCCTAGAACGCAAGCAAGAGGACGACTCCCGCCTGAAGAACGTCTGGGGAACATCTTCGCCCTTCCCTTCGGTGTTGGGAGGGACCCCTCAGCAAGGTACGTCGTGCCCACTGCGTACATGTATACCTGGCTAATGGGCAACAGTTCCCCTGGAGGAGCCACCGGCAGAGCATTTCTCCAACTTCGACGACAATTCGAGCAATCTCATCGGCAACCTCCAGCTGGATGCTGACGAGGAGCCTCGGCGCGTAGGGGCCACGTCTCGCGCGAATAGCGTTCGCTTTGATGAGACGGCTAACCACGGTCACTGGGCGCATGCTTCACGGTCGTCGCTGGACCTGATAGCCCGCACTGGGAGTGGCATGGGGGGCCATGTCATGAGCGAACGCAGCTACTCACACAAGTCAGATGGCCGGCAGAGCTCAGCAGGCCACTCGGGACATTCGGTGACATCTGGGCGTGCGAACAGCCTCACTAGCTTCGGTCCGACCACTCCCGTAGACGCCCCAGGGCTGGCACCTGGCTTGTTCATTCTCGGCTCTGTGCCTGCTATAATACGTTGCTGGCTCAACACTAATTTCAAGCACGACACATTGCTATATGCGGCTGTGTGCTCGGGCTCCTACACGTCGTATCTAGATCATCACCTCGTCGAGCACCTCGGCTTCCAGGACCAGATCATCACAACTGACGAGGGCATTCGCAAGATTAAGCTCTCTGTTTACCTTCCAGAGGCGGTGCCAGTCTCAGCATCCTCGCGCTCAAGCAGTCCAACTCCGCAACTTCCCTCGATTGCGGTCGAGTTTACCATCATCAAGGAGCACAATGCAGAGGCGAACCCTAAAGCAATTCAAACTTTCCTCGGCAGTGATATGCTTCGAGCACACAATGCTGACCTGCTATTTTCGTCCAACCAGCTTACGCTTTACGATGACGACCGCGCGAAGCTCCAGATACCTCTCGTGCGTCCTGAAGACGATCGAGCTTTCAAGTCGCTCTTCACATCTAGCGGTCCTCGAGTTTCCACGGATTCACATGATGCAGCGGGTCCAGTCCCTATGCCATCGCGTCCAGGTGTCATGAGTGAGAGCTCTACTGGGCTGGATGCCGGTACGCTACCACCATCGGCTACCCATTCTAACGGCATTCGCACGGCGACTAGCTCAGACGATGGTAGCTCAAGTGGTCGTAGGAGTTTTGAACAGCGTGCATACCTTGGAATGGTCACAGCAAGTCGTCCCGATACCAAGGAGGCGCAAGATGCATACGCTGCCAGCGGACCGCCGCGCTCAGGTGCCCCTTCAGCCATCTGGAGCAACTGGCGGCGTGGCCAGCGTGAGAAGAGTAATAGCAGCTCCTTGGACTGGGCCAACGTGGGTAAAACCTCGAGCGCCGACCTAAGCTCCGAGCGTCGCGATACAGGTATCAAGGTGCTGAAGCCGTCCAAGCCCGTCCGCACGCTGTCGACGTCAAGTCCCTCACCAGGCACAGGCCAGTCACGCTTCTTCGATGATGGAAAGAGACGAAGCGAGGAGGCGAAGACTGTAAAACGAACGGTCTCGGGAGAAAGGGCAAAGGAAAACACGCCGACGGTGACCAAGACTCGCTCGTCGAACCCGGTTGGCGGCGCGTCTGCGTTTGCGTGGCTAAATAGCGGCGGGTCCAAGTAGGACCCCAGGGGGACGGTCGAGGCTGAAATACCTGGCTGCCCTTCACACGTAGACAGTTAACACAAGTCACTTAATGCTACCGTGCCTTTGACACTGCGAGACATTGACCCTGGCTGTGCGGTTGTCTGGTGTTAATTTGTTCATGTGTTGGTACGAGTCTCACAAAATGCCATGGTGTGAAGCGATGTCTGAGTGCAGCCTGTCATCCTGTTTGTGTGAAGGGCGGGCTGTATGCCATGAATGACGGCGGGAATCCATCATTCACATGAGCGCGTGTTCACGGGTGGGCAGTGAATGACCATTTGTGATGGCTGATTGGAGGCTGAGTCAGTGCAACCTGCGAATGCGCCCCTGGCATTAGCCCTAGCGTGTGCTCGACTGCGATGGACCAGGTCAGCGGAACGCGTGTAGCCGTCCCCGGTTTGCATGCAATAGTGGTAGTGGTAGTGGTAGTAGTGGTAGTGGTAGTAGTAGTAGTAGTGGTAGTAGTAGTGGTAGTGGTAGTAGTAGTAGTGGTGGTGGTGGTGGTGGGAGTCCGCGGGGGTCATCGGCTGATTGAGGTATGCCTCGGTCGTGTATAGTGAATCGCTGGCCACGGCGAAAGTAAAGGCTGGAGGGCTTCGGATACTCTTCAGTTTGTCAACCGCTAGGGAAAAAGACACTGAAGACAGACGGGCTACCTGTTCACTCCATAGTGCCCCGGGTTGATCTGCGCGCCAAGGTCGCTTATTTTTGCAAGGCTGGTGGTGGGCAAACCCAGAGCGAGTGACGAGGGTCGCATATGGCACCGCTTGCTCTCTTTTTTCGCGGCCATTGCGCTGACCCCACGTCTCACCGCCCCTCTGTCACAGATTCGGTGAAGAGAGAAGCGCCTTCGCCAGCCACAGCGACGCGTTCCCGCTCCGTCCGTCCTCGTAGCCGCCTGGCTGCTCCTAGTCCTCTTAGTCTACCCTGAGGCTCTTCGCGGGCTTCACGGCAGGCGGCCTCCCCCATCTTCACCACGGCCTCCAACAACAGCAAGAAGCGGAAGATTGTGACGCCTGCGCACCAGTCCCTCCGCCGCGACACCCTACCCCAGGCACCGGATGTAGGTACTGGGGCTGCCTCTCCTCGCTCCTCCCCCCACCCCTCCGCATCGCCGCCGCCGCCGCGATACCTACCACCACATCTGCACCACGAGGTCGGCGACCTGAGCTATACCGGAGCGAGCTCCCCAAGCGAGGCATACGCTAGCCTGACACTCGACGAGACCTCCATGACCGACCAGAGGCCTCCTCTTAGATCGTCGTCGCCTGCAAAGCGGCCTCATTCTGACATGGCCGACGACCCAAAACCTGCTGAAGCCCTCCCGGCTGCAACTTCACGCAGCGCCCGAGCAACGTCTGTGGACATGGCCGACGCTCCCAACCACGCCGATCTGCCTAGTCTCGACGAACAGGTGGCCCGCGTCATGACCATGATGGGAGGCGACCCAAAAGAGGGCCAGGAGGGCTTCATCATATCGGAAAAATGGTTGGAACGCGTCTGGGCCAGGACATCGGAGAACATGACCAGGCCGCAAGACTTTAGCAAGGATGCCACACAGGGCCCTATTGGCGCCGTGGACAACTCTGAGCTCGTGGATACGCTGCAGGACGACCTGGTCGATCAACATGGACAAGACTTCATACCGCTAAACAAGGCGGCGCAAATGGGTCAGGACTTCGAAATCCTGCCCGCCAAAGCATGGGAACTGGTTGTCAGCTGGTACGGGCTCAAGGAAGCGTCTCCTGTCATCCGTCGCCACGCACACAACACGGTGCCGGACAAGAGCAGCGAGAACATCATCTACGAACTATTTCCCCCAATTCTTACTATCCGGAAAGTACGCAAGTCGCCCCAAACGGCTGCTGAGAACGCCAAGCCTGCAGAGAAAATGGTCTTTAGTCGATATGATAGTTTCTCAAGCTTCGTCGACGCTGCGAAAAAGGCTGCTGGCATCGACCTCAATAACAAGGTCCGCGTCTGGAGGATCCTCAAAACTGCTCCATCCGACGAGCCCAAGTCATCGCCATCGCCATCACAGCCATCTGGAATCCTCACGCCAGACGCTTCACCCCGTGACGGCTCGCCTATATCGACTCAACGCTCTCCTCTCATCATGGACGCAGCAAGCTTCAACCTCTTAGCCAATGGCGCTGAACGTGAGCTAGTGACTGGCAAAGATGAAAAGACAAACGAAGACTTCAACGAAACTTTGACGCTGGCGGATGCTGGCCTTACCCAGGATCAAGTCATTGTGCTTGAGGAGCACGATGAAACGGGAGCATACATCTCAGACACAACCCATGTTGCGCCCAAGAACAAAGCTGGCTCTCAAACTAACAAGGGCTTGCAAAGCAACCCCACCAGCGGGCGGAGTACGCCTACATCGGGCGCGCTCACACGGGGAAGGACGCGCACTGGCAAAGTACGCGGCCATGTTGGACTCACAAATCTTGGCAATACCTGCTACATGAACTCTGCCCTTCAGTGTCTGCGTAGCGTCGAAGAGCTGAGCATGTTCTTCCTCAGCAAAAGATGGCAAGAGGACGTTAATACCACCAACCCCATCGGTCACAAGGGAGCAATAGCAAGAGTGTACGCCCAACTCCTCGCCCAAATCTATGATACCGGCAACATGTCATCCTTCTCGCCCAAAAACTTCAAGCAGACGCTTGGTAAGGCGAACAGCCTGTTTTCGGGCTATGGCCAACAGGATTCGCAAGAGTTCGTTAGTTGGCTCGTTGACGCCCTCCACGAGGACCTGAACCGAGTACACGACAAGCCGTATCGAGAGAACCCGGATTCGGATGACAACACATTCCGTAATCCTGAGGCCATAAGGCAGCTAGGTGAGGTCTATAGAGAAAACCATCGCGCTCGAAACAACTCCGTGGCGACGGACCTTTTCAGCGGTAAGTGAGGCCTGATTGCCCTCGGCATATTTTCAAAATTCGTCTGATCTTTCAAAAATACGTCGAGTCACATCTGGCTAACATATGAGCAGGATTCTACAAAAATACTATGGTCTGCCCGGAATGCGAAAAAGTCAGCATAACTTTCGATCCCTATAGCCAGCTGACCTTGCAGCTGCCTATTGAGCAGACTTGGACACATACCATCACCTATGTACCACTGTATGGCAAACCGTATCAGCTAGAGGTCGATATCGACAAGAATGCCTCCATCAAGACTTTGAAGGAGTTCGTCGGCAAACGAGGTGGAGGGGTGCAGGCTAGCCATTTGATGGCTTCAGAGGTCTACAGCCACAAGTTTTACCGCCATCTCGACGATAAAGCAACCATTGCAGAGTCAAACATAACCGCTAGGGATGATATATATTTCTACGAGCTCGACCACGCGCCCAGCAACTGGCCTGCAAAGAAGAAGAAGGGTTCGAGATACAAGACCTACTCTCTGTTACAAGGCTCCTCTGATGAGGAAATACCTGATGCGGTGTCACCCCTCCACGATAGAGTATTAATCCCTGTATTCCACCGCGGTCCTAGCGCGTCGTCTTACAGATCACAATCCTATGCAATGGCATTATGGCCGTTTCATATCGTCCTCACGCGCGAAGAAGCCAAGGATCACGACACAATACTACGCAAAGTCCTCGCCAAGGTTGCGCAATCAACCACCCGACCAATTCTCAGCGAGCTCACTGGGCCACTGGAATCCCGCTCTGGATCTGATGTTGTGCTAACAACCGAAGAAGATGCCTCACCAAACGACCCTCAGGTCAAGGATGGTTCTATCGAGGGCGAAGATATGGTTGAAGTCACAATGACGGATGCGGAGACGCCTGCGGAGACGCCCGCGGAGACGCCCGCGGTGCAAGTAAAAGCAGCTGAGGTGCTCCAGCCAGGCAGCTACATCCATCCTGAGCTTAGACAGCTCTTCGAAATGAAGCATACCCGAAAGAGCAACGAGGTTGTTACCACTGGTTGGAGCACAGTTGACCATTCAAAGACTCTCGAGCCAATTTCTAAACGTATCCGCATACCGCCATCACGGGAGGAATCGGTACAGTCATCGCCCGCTGGTAGTGACGGATCATCGAGCGACGAAGATGAGGATACGACAGATGTGGTTGATCCCGACTCTGCTATAGAGGCGGCCACCGTCAGTAGTGATGAGGACACGCCGCCGATTGAGCCTGGAGGATCGTCATTTTCAAGAGGCGGCCGAGCGGGCAAGAAGAAGTCGAAGAGCCAGCTCAAGCGAGAGCGCAAACAGGAGCGCAAGCACAAAAACAACAAGAACTTCAAAGCGAGAAAAGGCAAGGTACCTGAGCAGCCTAATTACCCCGAGGATCCAGACGACGAAACCGACGAGAGCCTTATACGTATGGGCGAGGCTCTTGTCCTCGAATGGACACCTGACACATACAATGCCCTTTTCGGTGGGAACTCCGTCGATGACCCGCGTGGCATGGAGGCAATGAAGTTTATTGAGACGCTCGAGGATCCAGAAATTCGGGAAAAGAAGGCCAAGCGTATTGCTCGACGGAAACACGGCATTACGCTTGCAGAGTGCTTTACAGAGTCGTCAAAGAGCGAGATATTATCAGAAGACAATGCGTGGTACTGCAACCGATGTAAAGAGCTTCGGCGCGCGACCAAGACGCTTGATATCTGGACCGTACCCGATGTATTGATCATTCATCTCAAGCGCTTCAGTGGGCATCGGTCGTTCCGGGACAAGATTGAAGAGCTCGTCGATTTCCCGGTCGAGGGCCTAGATCTATCTGGCAAAGTTGGCTATCCAGAGGGCAAGGATCTTGTCTACGATTTATTTGCGGTCGATAATCACTACGGTGGGCTCGGGGGAGGTCACTACACAGCCACTGCACAGAACTTCTTCGACAAGCAGTGGTATGATTACAATGGTAAGCACTCATGCTCCATCATACAGGCTAGAGGGCTTCGCGCACTTTTCAGTTGTTGATCGGCAGTATACTGCACTTTGAAGAAATACAGGCTAACCTTAACAGACTCTATTGTGTCCCGCTGCGACTCTGGTCAGAAAGCTGTAACCCGCGCCGCTTACCTACTATTCTACCGCCGCCGCTCGCCTGTCCCTTTAGGCCCTCCCGATCTCCAGGAAATTGTGACCGCCCACAGCAACCCAGACTCTGATGAGGACAACGATGCTGACGAGCAGCGATCCCGCTCACCGGCGGGAAACGGCCTGCGCCTCGGCGATTCGTCCCGCAATGGGTCGTCGAGCGCTGGCGCAGTCGGAGCGGGAGTAGGAGCCCTGCGCGGGGGTGGCTCTCAGCACTCAACAGCCGCGAGCCGTCTAAGGAACGCAGCCGTAGCAGGGGACCTGAGTGATGATGAAATGGATACTCTGCCTCCCGCCTATGACACTTCGGATGAGGGCTTCCATGATGCCGAGACGGATTACGTGAGCGACATGTACGCGCCACTCACTGCGTACAATGATGACCCAGTCTGGAGTTTCGATGGATTGGGCCACTCCCAGGGTCAAGACCGCAACTCAGATGACGCGGCGAGCGATGCGCCTAACCCAGGCTCCGTGGGTGGCAACGAAGACCTGAGCGCCCGCATGCTTGAGGACTTTGGCGACGACGACATTGGTACCAGGCCCGGCGTGTCGACGCCTACAGATGGCGGCCTACAAGTCCCGCTCGATGCAAACGACAGCGACGAAGAGGTGGCTGAAATTCGGCTCAGGGGTGACTAGGACCGCGTAAAGCATGCGCAAAGGCGTACTAGGCGTGTTGGTGTGCTGGCTTACGCTTGTGATTGATTTGGGAGACTTTGCATTGGTATACTGGCATGCAGGATAGTCTTCAAACATGGAATTCTGAGCGAGCTTTGAACTCGGCTTCAGTGATTGCTTCACCATGTCCGTTGTGCTCTGGCCCTAATGTCAAATGCCCAAATTGCCGTGCTGTGTTCTGCTATGCTGTGGAGGTAGACATACCGGGCTTCTCCTATCTAATTCCCTGTGAAAAGTCGCGGAAAGGGATGAGCTGATAACCACGGTTTATAACCCCTACTGTACCGAGCACAAATCCTCATCGTCGATTTTCATTTATTCCAACTCATTTAACTATTCCCTATACATGTAGATTAAGATCTAGGGGCCGACTTCGGGTAGTTGAGTTCCAGTGGTTTAGATTTCACGACCTCTCTACAACTGGCGAACTTTGAAACTTTTTCGTTCTGTTTTATATGGCAGGTGGTATTCCTACTTTTTCTCATCTTTTTTTCCTTGTATGATGAAACCTCACTCATTTATTTGAAATTAGTTTTCTAATGTATATCTAGCTTTCAGTGTTTGGAGTGAATCAGCGCCTTTATTATTCTGTCCATTACAGTTTAGTGGTAACGAGTAATATCATCTCCCTGCTCTGTTACACCCTCTTTGTCAACAACACAATAGACTTAAAGGCTCTATTGAAGCAAGCAAGGTTGCGATAGTGTCGAAGTTGAACAAACTTGAGGGTAAGGATTGTATTAATTACTACTTAAGGAATTAAGCTGAAGAGCTTAGACTATATACTGGAATAGATTACATGCTTAATTATCTGATCTAACTTTATCCTTCTAATTACGTATTCCTGGTTGTCATCGCTTGATCGGATCACACCTCTGCTCCGCAATATCTGCTCCACAACAGATGGTTACTTGACCCTAATCAGTTCCACGACTCACTCTAGGCGGCGAGGTTTTGTGTCGGTTACAAGTACGGTAGTACCATTTGATGTCGTAACATCGCGTCTACGATTCGCAGAGCTTTGGGCAAGCTTTGAAACGCTACTTACCTCCATCCCTCTCGCTATTTAACTGTCAACTGTAGCTTAAAAGGCACTAAGACGAAATGAATGGAAATTAGCCCGGAGAAATAGTGTAAGGGCATATAAACCCTGATTTCGATGGTCATCCAACCGTTACCATTAACCGTGGATCGCAGGCCCAACGAAAGGGGGTGAGTCAACCATCAAAAAAAAAAGCGATGAAGGCCACCTACGATACTTCCCAACTTTCTTCCTTTACTTTAGTCACATTATTACCAGCTCCTCTACGCATCAACCAACATGACTGACGCCATGAACTTGTCACCCATCCTCCGGCTGCCTAACGAGCTTATTTTTGAGTTTTTCAACCGTCTCTTCTCACCCCAAGGATCGTCGTTACGATTTACTAAGTCTAACAACAATGTGCAAGCATCTCCACATGCTTTCCCAACATAGCCTCTTGCTACGACCCTACATTCACATAAAGAAAGCGCGGGAACTCGTGGACGTCTACGCGGCTGACCTGAGCCTTGCAACCAAAGTACGCATCCTGGATATCTTCACGGAAGACCAAGTCTGTAACAAATCCATTCTCGACCCTTTCCACACATACTCGCCTTTACAGGCAAAAGGTAGCCACGAAAAGCAGGACAAAAGTGCCCGCAAAGCGTACGCACGCTCAGTCTACCAGTCTGGATTGTCTGACGGAGACAAAGCGAGCTGGCGGTTGGACATACAGGAGGGAGATTACCGGGCCTTCCTCGCCCTACTGCTACACGCGTTGCCGAATCTATGCACGGTGCTACTCGGCACGAGCAATCTGGACATACTTGGATTGCTGAACGCTATATCTCTAGACGAAACGCACAATGATGACAACATGCCGCGTGGGACAAAAGTAGAAGGGGTGTTAAGAAATTAGCATAGGAGTAGAAGAGCGTACCTGACGCAGCTTTTCTCTCGCCTCAAGCCCAACGTGCGCACGCTGGAGCTTCCTAGACGATGGCGCTGGTCTCACTGGGGCTATGCCTGGGATACGTCCTTGCCCTCCACGTTCATCGTGTGCAATCTCACAGGCTACAGCGCTCTAACGCACCTCGCCGCCCCCTTTAACGGTCTTATTCAACCCTTCAAATACGGAGATCCATCGGCGCCTGTATATGCTCGTTTACCCCAGTCCCTCCGCAAGCTTACTATAGTGTCCGTTGCGAATACCTCGGAACTGGAACATTTAGTGAACTATATTTCCTACACGAAAAGCAGGCCCGGACTGCTCCTGCCTAACCTAGAGGTGCTGGATATCTGTGCAAGTTCCATGTTGATCGATCTTTACCAAACGCGCAGCGAATGTGCAAATCATCGAGTAGTTCAGCTCTTCCAGAAGGTTGAGAACGCGTGCACATTTGTCTCGCTCCGGCATATCTCTCTAGATAGATTGCCGCTGTAACTGGTATTGGTTTATGCGCGATTCACATGTTGGAGATGCGTGGATATGGGCGTTTGGCCGGGATGAGGAAGCGGATGGGAGGGCTGAAAATGAAGTCGTGTAAGAAGGAACGGCGAGGAAAGAACAGGAAATGGGAAACGTGAAAGGCGATAAGAGATGAGATGCAAGAAAAAAGCGGTTTGACACTACTAGTACATCAAAATGAAAGCTAATAGACACAAACTCTTCTTTAGATAATAGAAAGCGCGCAACCTCGATAAAAGCAACGAACGGCGATGCGAAAGGTCGACGGATCTTCCGTGTTGAGATTAACGCGGTGTAAAGCAGTGTTGACCGCTCACTCCGTGACTGCCATTTATCGTCGCATATCCCTTCAATTAGTAGCCACCATGCCTTTAACCTAATGACCAAATCCTGAGTAGGAGATGCGGAACCATCAAGTTCTCATACACAGGACAAGCTACCAAGACGGTCTGTCTCCATCCACCTCATTTCGTTTTTCACTGCTCCTTTTAACAAATCATACCGAGTAATTCGCTTGTTGCATAGCTCCTCTATCACTGCACAAACTGCAAATAATTATAGCCGGCTCGCTATTCTCTCCGAATGTCTCCATCGCTTCTTATATCTCGAGCTGTAAATCACGCTCAAGACCTGCTCTTTCGACAGCAGTCAGGGTCTAGTGTTCACGTTTGCGTTTTGCGGCGCGTGCTCGTGCGTATTGTGGATGGAGAGCGGTGCCGAGCGGTTTTAAGGGGGTGAAGAGTGTTCAGGCGCGATGCTGGAGGAAGGACGCAATGGTTAGGCGGTAGATGGGGAGATTTCCGCCAGCGAGAGGTGTATAGTCTGGAGGGCATATTGCAGTCTGATATTCCATTCCCGTCTAAATTCACTTGCCAGTAGCCGCGGCCTTCGCAGCTGCAGCCTCTTTCTTACGCTGCAGGTATCGTTCTTTGGCACTGCTGATGTCTGTCGCCGTCTTCTGGCTCTTACTCGCATGTAGCAGCTTCGCCTGTTCTTCTGCCTCTTCATCCGCTTTACGCTTGTTGGCCAATTCAATCTGCTCGACCATCATCTGCGTCTGTCGTTCGCGTTGAGCATTACGCCCCGTCTTGGAGCCATGGTAGTTTGTCTGGGAGCCACTTGATTGACTTGATGACGCAGCTAGCGTCGAAGCAGGCTTAGGTTTGGCGAGGATATTTAGACCGGCGGAGAGTAGCTGGCGGTTGTCCGTAACCTGACCATCTTCGTTCGTAATGACAGTCTTGCCCTGCTTGCGTAGCTCTGCGACAAGCTCTGCCTGGGACTTTTCCTTGTTTTCTTCCACCGGCACCTTGATGCCTTCTTTAAGAGCCTGAGCAGCGGCATCCATGGCCTCCTGATGTCTTCGCTCCTGCTCCATCAACATTTGCTTGTGGAACCCTTGCATACCAAGCTTCTTTTTCTTCTGCTCTTCAGCCTCTTGCCGCTTCTCCTCTTCCTCCTCGGCTTTGCGCGCCTCTTCCTGCTGAGCCTTGTAAGCGCCCGTAACAAACTTGTCTTTATCCGCGAACTCATCGCCCTCGGCCTCTCGCTCCCGTTTCAGCAGCTTGTCTCGTGCCCTGAGCTGATCTTTCTTGCGCAGTTCCGCCGACTCGAAGAGGGCGTCCATGTAAGTTGGCTTCCGCTGAAGCGCATCCTCTTGCTCTGCTGCATGTTTGGCAGCACTCTTGGCATGTAGCGCGTCGTATACGGCGTCATAGTCGTAGAGTGTCGCGTCTGCCTCCACAGCTTCCTTTGCCAGCTTCTCCGCTTCCTTCGCGCTGGCAGAGTAGCCGATCATGGAAGGGTCATCTTCCCTGACTTTGGGTTTTCGATTCGGAGGCGCTAGAGGCTGTCCCTTCTTCGGCTTGGTCGGCGCAGTTTTCGAGGATTGTGACTGTGAGGCGAGCGTGTCTTCAAAATTGAATTCGCCAATCTCTTGTGCGCCGTCTGTGGCCTTTGCCTTGCCCTTGACCGGCTCATCGTCATCGTCCAGCAGCGGTTTCTTTTTACCTAGGGGTTGTTTCGCAGCGGGTTTTGCAAGCGAATTCGCTGCTTTATTCTTCACGCTGAAGCCGAACTTGAACGACATGTTGGGTGTTGTTGTGGAGTTGGAGAGGAAGCAGCGATCGCGTCTGGACAGGTCGGACGCCAAGTCCGCGCGCACCAGTGAGATCATCCCAGACCTCCGCAACTCCGCACCTTCACTCTCCATGATTGCGGGAAGCGTACTCGAAAATCATCTTTCTTAAAAACACTCTGGATATCGACTTCCTCATGCACAGCTGGAGATCACTGCACCGGATTCCTCATCATGGAGGAGCAGGCTGGCGATGCAACAGCCGACGGCGTCTACACCAAGGCCAAAGCATCGAAATTTCACTTTAAATCAGGCTCCAAACGTCGCTCCAAACGCCATAACAGCGAGGATATTGCCGAGGATGGGGAAAAGCCACCATCAAAGCGCCATCGATCAGACGGGGATGAGAAGGTTCGGAGCAGCCGTCGAGACTCAAAACGGAAGTACAAGCAGAAGCCCCGAAGCCCTCGCGACGACCGGCACCCTACGTCAACGCGGGATGGCGCTTACTATGACCCGGAATATCGCCATCGCGAGTCATTGTACGACGACGTCAATGACGAGGGCGTAGCTTGCCCCGCAGGTCCTTCTGACGACGCCTTTCGCGAGTCTCTCTTCGATGCACTTGCAGATGACGAAGGCGCCGCCTACTGGGAAGGCGTCTATGGACAGCCTGTGCACGTATATTCCGACACCAAGCCAGGGCCAGACGGGAAACTAGAGCGCATGAATGAAGAAGAGTATGCCGACTATGTGCGAACCAAGATGTGGGAGAAGAGCCACCAGCATATTGTAGAAGAGAGGGAGGCAAAAGAGCGCGCGCGTCAGAGGCGGAAGCACGAGAGGAAACACGTCGACGAGGATGTTGCGCGTGAGGAAGAAGAGCGGGAAACGATACGTCAGCGTATGGAAGAAAGCCTCAGGCGGGGTGAGGAGCGCAAGAGGGCCAGAGAAGCCGAGGCTGCGTGGGACAATTACTTGAAGAGGTGGAATGACCTGAAGAACGCCCAACACATTGCACAAGAGGTGAAACCAAAGGTGCTCGAGCTTATACCGTGGCCAGTTATATCCGGCAAGGCAAAGCACGTCTCAAAGGAGGACATTGAGCGCTTTTTGAGGGGCTCAAGAGCCTGGAGAGAGGACGCCACTGCAATGCTCAAGGTTGAACGTGTGCGGTGGCATCCGGACAAGATGCAGCAGCGCTTTGGACAACACATCGATGTCGAAACGATGAAGTCAGTCACCGCAACCTTCCAGGTTGTGGATCGTTTGTGGAATGAGCGGCGATGATGCAAGCCAGTGGTGAGCATACGCCACCCATCGCAGCGCATTGTGTTTTTTGACGAGCTATCAATTTCTTTTCTCGAGATACCCCATGAATGAACGACAGATTTGCTTAAATCCAACTCCTAGTGCATCTACGCATGGTTCCAGGCGCTGTTCGAATCTCGAATCTCCGCCTGGTAGCTTACCTGGCTTCCTTCTTTCCTGTCAGCAGCCATCGTGTTCAGCCTCTATACCCTTCTCCGCATGATATCGCTCCTGGTCGCAATCAACTGATGACGCAGCAGGTGGGCTAAAGTCATTAACGAATCGTAATGATTAAGAACCGGCTAAATGCTTGGTACCTGGGCGAAATGCTTCTGTCAACTCCATCATCGAGTTTATCCCCTATGATCATCTGAGAGGGTCGGGTGCCGAGGTTTGTATATTGGAGACAAGCTAATGACGAGAAAATAAATTAGCTTGACGCGATGCTTTGCCTACTAGTGCAGCTCTTGTATGGGTTCGATCGGTGCCCTGACCTTGCGCAATATCACGGTAGGCATATTCGAAATCACGAAATACAAAGTAGCAGATAATGCCCGAGACTTCGACGTTGACAGAAAGCGAGCAGTGTTCCTTGCCAAACGAATTTGTTCTGTTTTCTTTATCTGCCGCATGTTTCAAAACGACCTATAGCATGACGAGGTACCTGGAACGCTTTGCAAAATGGAGGCACCAAGTTTCAGGGATTCGAGGGCCAGCGACTGAGAGAAACGCTTGACCTTGGGCATGAATAACCGGTGGTCCCTTCAGCGCACTGGGATCGGCTCCACGTCCACGCCACGCTACGGGTAACGAAGCCATGCACCCCACAAATGTACCGGCAGATTAATACGCCACTCTACATGCCTGTTTTGACGACATGCTCCCCTGACCTTGGAGCCTCCTTCGGACCGGACGACCATCACAGGCCAATCGACTGACGGCGGTATCAATATGCAACACTATCAGAGGATATATAAAAGGCCTGGTGTTGCCCCTCAACGTTGACCACCAAGCAACTCGACACCCACACATCAACATGGTCGCTTTCTCTTCCATTCTTCTTGCTCTCGGTGGCGCTACCGCAGCGCTCGCCTCCCCTCTAAGCCTCATCCTCGAGGCCGAAGCTAGAGACGAGTCTGGCAATCTTTCTGCCAGGGCCACGCCTGCCGGCACCGGCACCCACAACGGCTTCTTTTATTCCTTCTGGACTGATGGCAAGGGCAGTGTGACGTACAACAACCTTGATGCCGGCAAGTACGACGTGCAATGGAGCAATGTCGGCAACTTTGTCGCCGGCAAAGGATGGTAAGCCCATACTCACTTTCCAGCCTTAACATAGATCTCTCCGCTAAACCAATACCTAGGAACCCTGGTGCCGAGCGTGTCGTGACCTACAGCGGCACCTGGAACGCCGGCAACGTCAACTCGTACATTTCACTCTACGGCTGGACTCGCAACCCACTGATTGAATACTACATCGTCGAAGCCTATGGCTCGTACAACCCTTCTTCTGCTGCTCAGAAGAAAGGCAGCGTCACCTCCGACGGTGGCACATACGATATTCTCCAGACGACAAGGACTAACCAGCCTTCCATCGACGGGACCAAGACGTTCCAGCAGTTCTGGTCCGTCAGGACTAGCAAGCGTGTTGGCGGCACCATTACTGTCAAGGTATGATATTCATGGATCTGTGTGTTTGGATTTGTGCTAACTCATGTTGAATAGAACCATTTCGATGCGTGGGCGAAGTTTGGCCAGAAGCTTGGTACGCATAACTACCAGATTCTTGCGACCGAGGGGTACGGAAGTAGCGGATCTGCTAGCATTACTGTTGACGGCCCATAAGCACTATTTTATTGTGAAATAGGGCGCCGATGCTGCTTTGAATACTGAAAAGCTTGAACGAGGGGGCGGTGCGCGAAGTGCTTCCGTATTTCAGATATGACTACAAGTAAATGAAAAGGAAATTCAAGTAGATGCTACGGTCCTTGTCTCTGGAACTGATGCAGAATTAATTGTAACACGAACTGGCATCTAATCTTGCTTAGCAACATTGATATGAATAAATATAGAATTCACCTGATCCGCCTCTATCTATGCTGCTGAGAGTTAGCATGCCGGCTTGTGGAGATATAAATAATGAATACTTCTGCTAAGGTATAAATCAGAAACATGAGGCTGGATAAAGAAGTCTTGAGGTCAGCCTGATTCGAAGTAAGATCAGTATGCATGTATTCGCTGAATCAATGGACTACTGTGCACACTGTTCAGGAGTCATTTCCAAATTATTGGATACTATCCAATGTGTGTATACGTCTCATAGGCATCTTATTTGCCAGATGCGAGAGGCCCTCCAAATGCTCCCCAATACTCAAGTAGGGGAAGTGCTGAAAATGACATGTATCTATCCAATCTTGAGCGACCGGGTAAGACAGGGTCGGACAAGTGAGCAGATACTCCATCTGTCTAACCCAAAAGAAAAGAGAAAGGGGGCTATGTAAGTGCCTTGGGCACATTACCTGCGAGACAAGTATCGCAGTTCAAACCACCATCTTTCTTCATCCATGAACCGTTTGCCAACGCCAAAGCACACCGCGTCTCCCCAACCGAACCTATGATCTAATGATCTTCTTCTTCGACTCTTTCAGCGTCTTAGCATGCTCCTCCGCGTTCATAAGCACCTCTGCAATGCGCTCCTTCCTCTTCTGCAACTCCTTGAACTCTTCGCTATCCTCGCCAAAGCACCGCTTCGCAATGAGTTCGCACCCATTAGCACGACCGAGAATAACTTTCCACAACCCCAGCTTCTTCTCACCGGACAGCGCTTCCGCGATCCTAGGCTGCAGCCGGTCAATGAGCGCGTTGTACCAGCGAATCAGTTCCGGGCCCTCACAGCCGGTAACCTTGAGGTCCTTGATGAGGTCGAGCACGGTTTGCGCGTTGTTTTCGAGTTCTTCCTTGCTTGGCTGGCGCTCTGGACGGATGTGGCTGGATAGACAGAGGTCTTTGAGGACCTTGTCCGAGTCTACGATCTCTAACATGGTGAGGAAATGTCCTAGGAGAGTAGCTCTACCATTCGTGCGGAGGCGTGCATCTTCGTGCTTCTTGAAATTGGCGTGGGAAGAGTCGCAGGCTTCGCACTTGCATGTGATGCCGTATTTTTCCTTGAGTTCGGAAGCGCGGACTGAGGCGGTTTGGTAGTAGATGCCAGCGATGCTGGATAGCGTCAACTCCTCGCCGCACGCGATGGCCCGGGTCGTATGCACCGTCATCCGATCAGTAACGGGGTTGTAGTGGGCATAGCAGTTCGGGACACAAGAGTGTCGCAAACCCGCCGTCTCAACAAACAATCCCGTGATAGGAGTGCCCTCGGGTAACTTATCACGCTCGTTCTCGGGTATGTCGATCATTGAACGGGAGCTTGCATGCCATCGAGCGGCCAAACGCAGAGTCGGAAGCACCTGTTCGAGCACGGTGCCTGACTGCTCAAAGTCCTTTGCTTCTTCTTTAGTCCAATCTTCCTTAGGCTTGCAGATTATCTGGACGGTGCGTTTCAAGATGGGCTCGGTCAGCTGGGCGAGTGTTTCCAACAGTGGCGATGCAGAGAGATCGGATGGGTCCAAGTCCCAGATACGTTCCTGCTCATACTTTGGAAGTTTTGCATAAGCATGCATCAGTTGTCTGATATCGGCACCTGGATAGGGCAGGGTAATCAGCGGCGGTTCGCAAATAATGCGTGTCCCTTGCTTGATATCCTCGGTAGCAAAGACAGCATGTTTCCTTTTATCAACTGTCGAACTGTCTGAAGCTTCGTTCTTCATGTTGGAGGGGATAGCAAGGTACTCATAGTGTGGCATGACAGGCACCCAGACGTTGACGATTCCCTTGCTTTTCTTGTCCGTGTGCTTTGAGGCAGGCAACTCTGACAGCTCTTCAGGTTGGCGAAGCAGAACTGTAGCGACCGTTGGCGCGTCCGACGATGGCGATGATGCGCGAGTGAGAGCCTGATCATCCTGTGTATTCGCCCGCTTCTTGAGTTTTCCACCTCTGCGCTTACTGCCGCGCTTGCTCTTGCGATGGCCCTTCTTGTTGCTAGCTGCGCCAGCTTGCGCCGAGTCTACAGTGCGCTTGAAATCTGCATCGCTGTCTGAACTCAAGTCGATTTCATCCATGTTCTCCGCAAGGTCGACCACACTGGCCGGCTGTTGTGGACTCATGGCCGAGTCGATGGCGCTGATCTGGTTTGTGAAACTTCCGGGGTCTAACTTCTGGAGGACTTGTCAGTAACGTATGCGCAGAGAAATGTCCACAGAAGGACGAGAATGCACGCCGCCTGCAAAGCTGCTAGAGAAGAGGAAGAGATTGTGAGGGGCAGAGAGAAAGTAAATATACGGGTTGAGCGGCCAATCTTAGCGCAAATTTTGCAAACGCGCAGTGAAGTCGAGTTTCTAAACTCTGTCACCTCGAGGACGCGACAAGAATGCGACAGAGAACTTCACCCACAACGTCTGTATAGAAAAAGTATATCTAGTTATTTGAGTACACGTGAAGTCTTTCCAAAAGCGTTTGTATAAGCAGGCTGCTGTATGCTCCATCTTGTAACGTCAATAATAACAGTGAGTTAAACCACTTTGATTCCTACATGCAGCTGTGGCACCGAGTTCAAAACAACGCGTGGTATCTAAAAGAAGACAAAGTATAGAGAGTACAAAAGAGACCTGGGCGGCGGGAGAGAATGGGGGCAACAAGAAGACCTTATAGGAAATGACGTCACAATGTTGGTAACGGAAGGAGCGAGCAATACTCAGCCATGAATGTGCCGTTGTTGGCTATTAGTCATGTATTGTAGTTTGACTTCATACAAGAAACAGGTCCGAGCATAAGTTAGGGCTCCTCAAGACCAGTCAGTTACCATCCATATTTACTGCCAGCCTCCCTCTTATTTCGGTGGCTGGAAGCAAAGTGATCCTCCAGAGCATCTTTCTGCGTTGCCGCTACGTTGATCAGGCTCCTCAGGCTGTTCTTGCCCGTACCGGAGATGGACTTGAGCGGGTTATGCTGTACCTGCTCACCCTGCTGTCGCAACTTCTCGTTGTGGGCATACTCAGTATCTGTGTTGAACTCTACAATCTTAGCTGAGGAGAAGTCTGGACCACCACGTCCCTTGTTTCCGAACAACTGCCGCCGCTCCGCTTTGGAGAGGTTCAGCTCGGATGCAATGTTGGTGAGGTCGTGCGGTGCCGCTGCGTTGGCCTGTGCCGGCACATGTTGCGTGTCCTGTGCAGTAGACTGCGTTGCAAAGGCTTCGTCGGGAACTGGGGCCTCGCCGTCATCGTCTGCGCCATACAATAGTGGCTGACACTGGCCGTCTGATGGACCCTTGACGCGATTGTCTACCTCTTGTGAAACTCCGAAGAGAGATACCTTGGGCTTCCGTGGAGGCTTGGCATCTACATCTGATGGCTGGGCCGCGACAGCTGGTACATTTGTAGTGGTTGTGCCTTGCGTTGATGTGACAGCGGGCCGAGGAGCCAAAGGCTTCTTCTTCTTGCCCTTACCAACCGACATGGGTACGAATCGTGGAGCTGTAGGCTTTGGTGCGGTCTCTGGCTCTGCATTTTGATCATCGGTAGCTGTCTTCGTCCTCGTTTCGGCCTGCGATTCTGTCTTTGGTGACGGCAGGTTCAACATGGCCCTAAAATCATCCTTCCCCAAAGGTTCCTTCTTTATGGGATTGCCGTTCTCGTCATACGCGTCAACTTCTGTCCGGGGTTCTCTTTTGAATGCAGGCTCTGCACCAGTTCTCAAGTTGACACCAGCACCCAGCCCTTTACCGAGCCCTTTCTTCCCAGCTGCTGCACTAGCTGTCGCCGCTGCTGCACTCGCGTTTGGCTTCTTTGGCGCAGGCAACATTGCATTGAATCCGCCAAGACCTCCTCCTCCAAGGCGCGGTTTCTTTGCCGGTGGGGCTCCATCCTGTATGTCGTCCTTCTCCGCTTGGGGTTGCGATGCGCCTGGCAGGTTGACCTTAATACGTCCTGGGTTGGAGCGGTCGACGACTTTTTGGAAGGCAGGCTTCAGCGCTGGTTTCGCTGCTGGTTTGGGAGCGCGCGATGCCTCGCCGTCGGACTCGGAATCTGAATAGGCGGTGAGATTCATGGTGCCGGTGAGTTGGATGTTGGGTATGCGGTCGTGGAGCGTAGACAACGCTGGGATGAGTTCACGATCGCCGTTGCCAAGCGGCGCCTTCGACAGGGTCCAGGTACATTCATCGACCCCACAGGCATTCACTATAACCTCTACCAATGACCTCATGATACCCTTCAGCTGGCCTGAATATGCGAACTAGCAACGAGACTATGATACATTGATGTCCTGGCCATGTCGCTCCTTCAGAACGAAGAGTGAGTCCTGCGTCACCTCCGCGCTCGCCGCAACTAACCTCCGCAGCTTCGTTCTCTACCAGCTACGCACCGCATACCTCTCTTCGATCAAAGACGGTGTCGGCGAACGCCTGATCAATGTCGACTCTGGAGTCTTGAACAACCCTGCCTTTCGCGCGGCAGGATGGGTCCCCAATGCCGCAGACATCAAGCGCACCTACTCGCCGCCAATCCCCACCGCCATCACCTCCGAGTACTTCCAGGCGCCGCGTTCGGCTGGTCTGAAAGCTCCAGAAGGCTTTGGCGACGATGACGATGAAGGCGGTATGGTTACTGGAGGGGGGAGCAATGACACCGTGGGACCGACGTTGCACGCAAAGCGAAGACGCAGAAAGGAGCAGGTGGACGAGGATGACAGCAGTGACCTCAGCGACGAGAGCGATGACGAGGAGGAGGCACACAGGTTGGAATTCACCGCCAAAGCCGTGGGGTTAGACTAACACGAGTTCCTACAGGCCTGCCAATCAACTCAAATTCACCAAGATGCCACTACGAACGCGCTCTGGTTCGTCGCCTATACGCGGATCAGCTCTGCGGAATGAGCTTGATGAAGCCGGAGGGCCCTCGGTCATGATCACTTCTCCATCCAGACCACCAGATAGTAGTTTGGGTCGGGGCTCCTTGGGCGCGATGGACACGGTCAGAGGGCGTCCACGCAGAGACACCATAACCAGCAGCGAGATGTCGTCCGAAAATGAATTTGACAACTCGACGTTTAGAAAACGAAGAGTCAACCCCCGGAAAGCCGCGACTGCGAGCCAGTTGCTGTCCCAACGAATACAGGACGACGAAGGACAAGCGGTGGGGGCGCGCCTCGAAGCCCTACACGAGGGCCATGAATCAGACAGTTCCCTCACATCCGAGTTTTCAGGTTCTGCTGATAGCGGCTCCCTCATAGGCGCCGGTGACACCCTTGGTTCCTCTCCACAGGCCGTGCTTGCCACCATACCAGGGTTAACCTCTTTCAATAGCATGTCACCCAGAAAAAAGAGAGAACCACTCCTTCCTACCCTACAAGCGCTACCTCCGCCGCGACCCATCAGTTTCGTGCTCCCAGTCAGCGCGCTCACACAAGCCCTTCGCGCCAAAGAGCACAAGCCATCGAACCCACTGCAACGCTTCGCTGTGTGGAATGCCGCTAGCGAAGCCCAGCAGAACCCATTATATATCAGACTTTACTGCCCATTTTCATCAAAGCCTTCAAAAGCTGTTGAGCTTCTGATAAGAAAGTTCAATGACAAAGGTGAAGGTCCCACTGTGGCAGAGGCCATCGGATACGCATTGCACCGTTATCAGGAAGAGAAGCTGGAGCCAGCACTGACAACTGAGAAGATGAATGTCAATAGCTGGGTTATGCGCATGTACGATGATGGAGAGGTCGATGACGAGTTCCCACCGTTGACAAGAAACAAGCCCCTGAAAGATTTTGCTTCGAATAACGCTCGTGGAATGCGACCGCGTGCGCGTGAGAAGCCGTGGGATGAGTTCGCGCTTGTTGAGGCGACACAACGAGAAGTTGGTGAGAATGAAAAGGTTACACCAGTTTATACCAAGGAGGCGGCCACTGCAGTTGCTTCGCAGCAGGACGCTTCTGAAGAGGTGGAAGAGAAGGAGCCTCTCAAGGTCTTACCCAACCGCGCAAAAAGCTTTAGGAACCCCATCACCGGCCCGTCCTTTGCACCAACAGCGACCCGCAAAGATACAAGCAACCTTGCCGACGTCCCAAAGGTGCCACAAACCCATGCTGCTAGCCGCATGGGGGCGCCCAGGACAATCACGGTCCACTTCACTGACGAAAACTTCAACACGAAACACATACCAGTATCTTGCACCACGGATACTTATATCGCCGATATATTTGATCAAGTATGTCGCGACCTGCGTCTCGAGAAAGCCCTCTACATCCTCAAAGTAAGCGGCAGCACTACCATCGCACCACCGGACCGCACTGTAGAAGCGTTGGACACACGCATGGATCTTGACCTGCAGCGCCGCCGTTTCATAGGCGATGGCGTCTATGGACTCTTCGGGTCGCCAGGCTCATCATCGCCAAACGCACCGCTCATCATCAGCACCGGCGGCGCACCCAAGAAGACCAAGAAAGGCGAGCGTACCTATGCTGCCGTGTCTGGGCACCAACTCATCGATCCGCTCTCCAAGGGCCACTCGGCCGCCCTGGCTCTCACAACAACGGGCTACTACCGCCGCTACGCTGTCCTGCGCAAGCAGCCCATGTCCTTTGCCTCGAGCACATCTCGCATCCTCGCCCTCGACAACGAATACATACACATTATGCCCGGGGAAACTGGCGCTAAGACTGGTACTAGAACTGGTGGCGGGTGGGCTGAAGCGCAGGGTAAAACCACGACTGTGCACTTTTCCAGTGTCGTGGGCAGCAAGGTCAGCAAGAAGCACCCGAAGATGTTTAGGGTCATTGTGTTTAAAGAGAGGGAGACGAAGAGATATGATTTTGAAGCTAGTACTACGGATGAGGCGGTGGAGATTGTGAGAGAGATTAAGCGGGGGGTTGAGCGGTTTCAAGAGGGCATAGTGTAGGGAAGGACTGGTCGGTTTTTGCATACATGGCGCTTGTTGGCGTTTGCACGTTGGCGCCTGGAGCTGGGCTCAGTTAGTGAGCAGCATTACGAGGAACGGCATTTGGGTTGGAATAGGCTTGAGCTGGACTTTGGCTTTGGCTTTTTTTTTGGTATTGTTGGCCCTACATGCAGATATTCAGCATGTCTTCTCATCTTGATCGTTCGATCAGCACATCTAGTAGCTATCAGTTTACGAATAGAATAAATCACGGCAGTCGAAATGAAAATCTATCAATGATTCTTCCTCTATGAAACAAGTCTATTAGTTTACACCTGGAATGCCACACCCTCCCTCTTAACCATGGCCTGCCCGCCGCCCGCAAACCCCGTCCCCTCACTGCGAATCTCAACAAGACCCGGCTTCAGCCCCTTGTCCTTCTTCTTCTTGGCCCCCTCGTCCCCATTCTGCGTCGCGTCCGATGCAGTGCGCGAGAGATCCGCATCACAAACATAGCAATGTACCGCATCTAGCTCAGCCGGCTCATCATGCGCATGTCGCTGGTGCCGATGTTCCGGGGTGAGAAACCTGTCGACGCAAGGCTTGCACAAGACATGTCCGCACGGAATAGCAAGCATGGCCTTGGTGCCATTCGACAGAGCCTTTTGGCAGCTAGGACACGTGCGGGAGCTCTTCCCCGGTTCCGTGGTAGACTTTTCCTCGTGGAAATTTACGCTCGTGAGGGTTTTCAAGGAGAGGCTGTGCGGGTGTGAGGGGTTGCTGGAGGGACATGTTGGCGTGTGTTTTGCCTTGTCGAGGTGCTTGTGGTGCTGATCTGGGGTTTCGCCTGGGACCCAGAAGCTGGGGAGGTGTCCTTTTGCGGCGGTGCGCTCGGCAGACAAGGTGCGTTTTGCCTTTGATTGTTCTTCAGAGGCGATGCGTTTTAGTTCTTCTTCGTCGATGCGGAATTTGCGCTTCGTGCCTCTGCTTTCGCTGCTGTCTTCCCCGGATTTCGGCGCGTCCTGCTCTACGATGATTTCCCCGTCTTCTCTGCCCACGATACGTGATGCACCGCCTACTTTGACTGATAACCCCATCTGCACGGCTTCAAACTCCTGTACTGAACGTACTCGCGCTGCCTCGTCTTCTCGCTCTTTCTGGTCCACGTCTTCGAGCTTTTGGCGCTCGGCGAGCTTTTCCATTCTCTTCATTTCCTTGCGCTGCGCGAGGAGATTGGTCATGGCGCACTCGCGGCAGAACAGGTCGCCGTGCGGACAGCATACTGGGTCGACGGACGGGAGAAGACATAGCTGGCAGGAGCCGAATGGCAAGAAGGAATCACGCGTTAGACGGGTTGCTTGGGAGCCCCATCGGTCCTTGAGGGCGTTGCGTTCGTGAGATGTGAAGACGGATTTTGGTGGTGGCATGTCGTATTTTATGTAGTGTATGGGCCACAGCACAGTTGCAGCTCAACGATTGATGTTCGTCCTTTTACGGCGCGAGCTCAGGTGATAGATACGTTGGGTGGTGTAGTGTTGGCAGGTGATGTTGGACAGTCGCTTCTGGCCAAACGTTGCCAATTTTGGATGTTGCCAAGGTAGATATCTCAATTCACTTCACACGCAGTGGGTATCCTTTTTGAGCAATCTTGACGCCGAGATGTTGATTGCTGTATGCGTCCCAGAGATATTGTCTTCAATCGACGTCAAGCGGAAGGGCTAGCCACCGCCACACCGTGGGCCCATGCGCTAAGAGTAGAATCCCTGCCGACAAATTTCCGTCCCTGCGGCGAAAGTGACGTTGGTTGGCGCCCGCGGGCATCGCTGGAGATATTCGACCCGATTTCATCCATGTCTCGCGTCCTCCTTCAACACACTCAATGCGACCCGAGGAGCAGCCCGAAGCGCCCAGCGCGCCATGGCGGGCCGCGTCTGCCTTTACCATGGGCGCTGTGGGCCTCTTGTGCAAAGGCTTCTTGACGGGCTTGAGCAGGGTGGAGACGCATGGGATGGAAGGCTTTTTGAAGCTGTTGGATGAGCGTGAGAAGGTGGCGGAGAGAGAGCGGGGGCTGATTACTGGTGAGCGACTGCGACGTTGCGCTGTGTACTATACTAGTATTCTAATAATATGTAGTCTCCAATCACATTTCCGTGTACGTTCGTCGCTCGCATGTAGGCTTTCAAACATGAAGAACGCTGCTCACGGTTGATCAGGATGGATGATCCTATACTCTGGGGTTTACTCCCGCTGAGCTACATGTTCAATCCAGACAACTTGCGCTGGGGCCTGGGGAGCTATGATTTATGCTTTACCAACAAGTAGGTTTCAATCACTCGCTCGCGCATCTCACTACTCACAGCCTGTCAGAGGACTGTCGACCTTCTTCAGCTTTGGACAAGTTCTGCCCACCCATCGAACCGCGTACTCGCAGCATGGCGGCCTCTTCCAGCCCACCGTGACCCAGGCGATCCGCCTCCTCTCCCGTGGGCCTTTCCCTTCTGCGAACGAGTTGCCTGAAAAGGCTGCTACGTCGCTCAAGAGCCCCGATGTCATCGACCCGTTCAGCGGCGGACACCTCACCTTCACCACAGACGGCCACGATACGTTTCCTGCGCCATCGGCATATCTCAGCAGGCGGCATTCGTGGGTGCACATCTTTCCCGAGGGCATGATTCACCAGTCGGAGGACAGGATCATGCGCTACTTCAAGTGGGGAGTGTCGCGGCTGATTCTGGAGAGCGAGCCGATGCCTGACATTGTGCCCATCTTCATTGAAGGATTCGACGACATCATGCACGAGACGCGCACGTTCCCGCGCTTCATACCGCGCCCGTTCAAGAACGTCAGAGTCACGTTTGGCGAGAAGCTGGATGCGGAGCAAGTATTTGGAGATTTGCGCGACCGCTGGAAACAGATTCGCGCCAGAGAGGAGAAGAAGGGAGGGCCGCTGGAGGTGGGGGTCGTGAACGACACACTGAAGTACTCTGAGGAGGCTGTCAGCCTGCGCAAAGAGTGCACCAAGAGAATGCGGCAGGCGGTGCTCGACGTCCGGCGGCAGCGCGGGTACCCCGAGGACGACCCGAAGAACAGTCTCGCATCGACATGGCTGCGAGAAGGGGGCGGGGACAGAGAAGGGCAGAAAGCGGACGGGAGCATCACCAAGGACACGTGAGGGTGCGTGAGGGTGCTCGAGGTGGTAACGTGTATATTATGCTATACCTATGTACAACTCGGAGAGAGAAAGGGACGCCTCATCAACAACAGCGCGCGGGCAGCATTTTGTGCGTGTCAGATTAGATCAAGTAATTCACCATCAGCGACAGCCTGTCCGTCCGTCCTCTTCTGCTGCGACCGATCAACCGCAACCGCAGGCAACGCACCAAGGCGCGACCAGGGGCGGGTTTCGTCGTTGCCAACAGCAGAGCAAGGACGGGTATGGTGTGTGTGTCTCTGGCGTGCTCGTGTCGTCATCCACTGCTGCACCGCGCGCATCTACTGGTTTCTTCCCCCTAGAGAGAGATAAACCGGCAAATGCGACGAGGCTGTCGAAGGCCATCATCCATGGCTGCTCGCGTCCGGCGAAGTGTTTTTTTTTTTTTGCTGCGAAACGCTTGGCGCGGGCGGGCCTCTGCGAGATAAATGCGCTGCATGCCCCCGCCCGCCCGCCGCCCGCCAGTTCCGACCTTATGCCACCGAGTCGTCACCGCCCGCATCACACCAAGCATTTTCCAGCAAGACTGCAGTGCATTACCAGCCCTCGTCGCTTAGACGCCCAATTACATAGCATCGCTGGGCCCAGAGTCCCGTGTCGGTGTTCAAGCTCCCTGTCGTCCCCAAGCAGCAAAGATTCAAAAGTCCCCGTACCAGCCCCAGCCAATGGACAGCACCTGGGCTCCACAAAGCCCCGACCTCTCTTCCTCTTCCTACTACCACGCCGAGCCTGAAGTCCCCATCCATCCCCAGCACCAGGGCTACAGAGGCTCCGTTTCCCAAGTCCCGCCCTTTACGCCCCCCACGTCGAGTCCCACGCTGCAGACGAAGCCCCTGCCCCTCCCAGCCTACATGCCTCGCGGTGTACCCAAGCAGGAGAGCATGCACGATGCCGACTACATGCCAGACGCCCTGCTGCCCTCGATAGCACCACATGTGGGCAATGGAGCCAGTGGGGCCTCCGCCTTGTCGCCAGATACAGACCACATCAACATCAGGAACCACTTCCCCGTCGCTAGGATAAAGCGTATTATGCAGGCCGACGACGACGTGGGCAAGGTCGCACAGGTTACGCCCGTTGTTGTCTGTACGTACCACTTCTCACTCCTTCTATACTTCTGTACTTTTTTTTTTTACAGTCCTAACACCACGACAGCAAAAGCACTCGAGCTCTTCATGATCTCCCTCGTCACCAAAGCCGCTGCCGAAGCAAAGTCGCGCAACTCGAAACGCGTCGGCGCCGTCCATCTCAAGCAAGCCATCACCAAGAACGAGCAGTTCGACTTCCTCAACGACATCGTCTCCAAGGTGGCTGACGCGCCCGAGAAGAGCGAGCACGATGCCATGGACGTGGACGGGAAGAAGAAGAAGGCTCCGAGCCGGAGAAAGAAGAAGACGGACGACGATGACGATTTTTGAGCGAGCAGGGCTAGGCTTAGCAGAGATTCAGGATTTATTGTAAAGTTGAAGCCTTGCCGGGCTCTTGATATTTAGGCTCTGGTCGCGGTCGAGGCCAACGTGCAAATTGCGGTGGAGTTCACGTTCATAATCCAGGACCAAGCTCCAGTCGCCCCCAGACGCCTGTGAACCCAGGTCTAGCCTTGCGGACGTCCTGTAACGTGTCCGCATAGTCGCTTGCATTGGGAACGCACAAAAGTTTCGGCACGACCTTCCATGCTGTGGATTGACCTAGCCCAGGCCTCGCGACCAGATCCCTTCCTAGATGGACAGTGTATGAGCAGGTGTGCATTGTCCACATACCCCAGTAGACATCTTCCTAAGTTACATTTAGGTTATCACTGAATAGCGAGCATGACGATCTGGACGGTTGATGCGACGACGATACCAATGAATACAAATATTTTCTTCACAGCGAGGCGAGGACCACTGTGAGGTTTGCCCATTCTAACTAGCTATTGAAGGGCAAATCGTGCAAAATAAGACCTGTGTAGACAAGTCAAGGCCAAGCTCTTTTTACCCGCATAGTCTAGACTACTGCGTAGCGCACATCGAGCCTCATCACGTCATGACCACGACAGTTTACGCGGTCTGAGCCGATGGGTAAACGATGTCGCAAGGGACAGCGCGCCCACCAACCAGGTTAAATGGTGTAGTGCAATTTATCCGTTCATATCCGCAGATCCCTCTGAGATCTTCCTATTTTCGTTCTTGTCTTTCCTCGGCTGTATTTGTTCCTAGGGCCGCAATTTCGGTCCGCGACCACGATGGGTACTTAACGTGCGTTTTCCCGACATCGAACAACCGCGGTGATCGACATCTCCAGATCAAGCGAGGAGCAACCCGCGCAAGATGTTCTTCTCAAGATTGGTGATACTGCTTGTCGGCGCGACAGTGGCTGTTCAAGGTGATGCAAACAAGAAGAGTGTCGTGAAGCGTGCGATTCGACCAAATCCGTCCAATGGCCACTGGATCGATGCATGGGCAACCATGCCGCAACTTACAGAACCGGCGAACTTACCTCCTGCTCCCTTCGTATGTACATCCTCTATACCATGTCCAACTACGGCTGATTTCAAGTTAGAACCAAACAGGTGCCGTCTTCGCAAACTCCACCATCCGCCAAACCCTCTACGTGACTGCGGCAGCCTCGCAGATACGGTTCAAAATCTCCAATGTCTTTGGCGGCTCTAACCTCCCCATCACGGCGGTCACAGTCGCCCTGCCAGCAAACAATACAGCAGGCATCCACCAAATCCAGCCGAAGACGCTGCAGAAAGTAACCTTCTCTGGCAAAGACAGCATCAGCATTCCCAATGGCGCCCTGGCAGTCTCGGATCCGCTCAACTTCCCCATCAAGGCTCAGCAAGTTATTACCGTCACGATATATCTAGCAACAGGCCAGATCACGAACAGTATCACGAGCCACCCCGGCTCGAGGACAACGAGCTGGTGGCAATTCGGTAACGCCGTGAATGCCGCCAGTCTAGCTGTAACCGACGCAAGCACCCAGTCCGCAGCACACTGGTACTTCCTCTCGAGCATCGAAGCCTGGGTGCCGCCTACACAAGGCTCGCTCCTCATCGTCGGCGACTCAATCACAGATGGACGGGGGTCCACGACCAACGCCAACAACCGCTGGCCCGACCTCCTCTTAGCACGACTCCAGAAAAGCCCAGCGACAAAGCACATCTCCATCGGCAACCTCGCAGCAGGCGGCAACAGGATCCTAGCCGATGGACTGGGCCCGAATGCATTCGGACGCATTGACCGCGACGTGCTCGCCCACCCTGGCGTCCAATACGCCCTGCTCTTCGAAGGCGTAAACGACATTGGCAATTCAGCTCCAACGCCTACCGCGCAGTCGGCTCTCTACGACAATCTCACGCAGGCGTACACGCAAATCGTGCAACTCGTCCACGCCCACGGCATCCCCGTCTTCGGCGCAACCATCACGCCCTTTAGCGCGCCTGCAAATTCCACTGTCCAGCCCTACTCACACCCGGAGCGCGAAGTAACGAGGCAGAAGATTAACAGGTTTATTCGTGAGAGCGGGACGTTTGATGCTGTTGTTGATTTTGATAGCGTCCTGGCGGACCCGAAAGTGCCGAGTCAACTTGATCCCAAGTTCGACTCGGGGGATTATTTACATCCTAATGTGGTCGGGTATCAGCGGTTGGCGGAGAAGTTTCCTGTCGAGGTTTTTGGGCGCTGGGATCAGGGCGCGGATGAGTTTTCTTGGGGTTGGTGAAGATGATTAAATAACAAACGAGCCTTGATTATGCTACTATATATATATACCCGGAAACTTTTCCGAGGCCCACCGGAAATAACGCTGAGCGATGAATGCTTCAAACTGCATCAGGTTAGCGCCATGCTTAGTCAATGTGATTCTACGTCACATTAATCCGTCTCCACAATGGCGATTGACGGCAAAAGGTCTTGTACATGACTGTTCGCTGTTTTTTTGTGCCTTGCTTACGACGTTTGACGGATTGGACGGGTTTTAAGAGCGCGATAACGCCGTTGTCTGTTTTTGTTTGCATATAATGACCTGGAGGGGCGGATAAACCTGAGGTTAAAAAGATATATAAGAGAAAGGAAACGAGCTAGGAAATCTAAATTATATTCCAATTGGAAAATATACAGCTTGCTCAACTGGGATTTCGATATCGACATCATGCCGGAAACATCACACAACATCGCCTCAGGACCAGCGAATAATCTACACAACCCACCAATCGACGTCGAGAAAGGAAGACGCCCAAGACCACGACGAAGAAGCTCAGCATCAACATCCTCGTCTACAGACCTCCATGAAGAAGAGGAGAAAGCCTCCCTCGACGGCCACCGTCCTACGAATAGAGAACTCCACGATAGCATTAGTAGATCGCGGAGTCGAGGGAGGAGTCAGCATGGTCGAGCAGCGACAACCAGTGGTATGGACCAACTACGCCCAACACTCTCGCGGAGAGATACAGTTTTGTCAAGGATACGTACCCGGCCAAACATGGCGCCATTCTCGCACCCGCTAGCGCACCAACCCACTACTGCAGATGTGCTCGTAGACTTTGAAGGCGACGACGACCCCTACCGGCCCATGAACTGGCCGACCAAAAAGAAAGTCACTACCACGCTCATGTACGGTTTGACTACTATGAGCGCAACGTGGGCTTCCTCCGCCTACTCAGCCGGCACAACCCAGGTAGCCCACGAATTCCACGTCGGACAGCAAGTCGCCGTACTCGGGACAACGCTCTTTCTCTTTGGCTTCGGACTGGGCCCTTTACTCTGGGCGCCGCTGTCGGAAGTCTATGGTCGGCGCGTGGCGGTGCTCACGCCCATGTTCGTGGCCATGTGCTTTAGTTTTGGCAGCGCGGCGGCCAAGGACTTCCAGACGCTGATGATTACGCGGTTTTTTGGGGCGTTTTTTGCTAGTGCGCCTGTGACGAATACGGGGGGTGTGCTGGGGGATTTGTTTAGTCCGGCGTGGAGGGCGATGGCGATGGCGGGGTACGCATTGGCTGTTGTTGGCGGACCATGTTTGGGTATGTCATTCTCTTGCCCTTTGCGCATACATGGCTGACTTGAAGATGCAGGCCCCATCGTCTCAGCAGCCTTCGTGGCGAATCCATCTCTCGGCTGGCGCTGGACCGAGTACTTCACCGGCATCCTGCAAGCGGTCATTCTTCTCATCGACATCGTCTTCATCGACGAGTGCTATCCGCCCAAGCTCCTCGTCTACAAAGCGCGCCGCCTGCGCCACGAGACTGGCAACTGGGCCCTGCACACCAAATTCGAAGAATGGGACGTCAGTATCAAAGAGCTGTCTAAGAAATTCCTCATCCGACCCATTCAACTGCTCTTCACGCCAATCTGCTTCCTCATAGCTTTATACGCCTCTTTTTGTTATGGTATATTATACATGCAACTAGGCGGCATACCCATCATCTTCCATGAGCAGCGGGGCTGGCCCGTAGTCTCCTCGACACTGCCCTTCCTCGCCATCCTCGTCGGCGCAGTCTTCGGCTGCGCTATAAATGCCTACAATCAACTCCTCTACAACAAAGTCTACTACCGGGCAGGAAACCGCGCCGTCCCCGAGGCACGTCTGCCCCCCATGATGCTCGGCTCTGTACTCTTCTCTGCCGGCCAGTTCGTCACGGGATGGACGGCGGATCCGCGTTTCCACTGGATTGCGCCTGTGATTGGACTTGTCATGCTGGGCACTGGATTTTTTACCATCTTCCAGGCTGCGCTGAATTACCTGGTTGACACGTTTACACTCTATGCTGCCAGTGCCGTCGCTGCTAATACGTTTCTGCGCAGTTGTTTTGCTGGCGCGTTTCCCCTTGTCGTTGGGCCGTTGTATCATAATATCGGGGTTGGGCCTGCGAGTAGTATTACTGGTGGTTTTGCCGCGCTGCTGATTCCTGTGCCGTTTGTGTTTTATGTGTTTGGGAAGAGGGTGCGGCGGGCGAGCAAGTGGAGTCGGGGGAGTGTGTTTGATTAGAGTGCATGCAACGAAATCTAAGAAAACCAGGGACGATAGCAATACTGCGTAGACCCTGATACGATCAATGTGGTTTCGATTTCGATTTGCACAGAGGGTATAGATCTATCTCGCGCGACACATGCGGCCGTCGCTTCGGACCGTCCAAGCCTCACTGCCAACGCCCACCGTGGCATAGAATAGACTGGAGGGATCCCATTTCCTCTTGATGCTCAGTAATTTGTTATAGTTCGAGCCCCAGAAGGTCGTCTGAAAGTTCGGTTGACGCCAGTCAGCCTCATTCACGTACGAACCACTGCCCGGTGTTGCAGCCTCGACAAGCGGCTGGATGACGTTAGTCATCTTCTCTTGTGTGGCAATCACCTCCGACCACGGCGCTGTGAAATTCCACGGAAGCGTGAGGGTTGCGTGCACGATGGCATTGCGCCAGGCTGGATGAACCGAAGTCGTTTTCTCCGAGCCAAAAGACTTTACGTTTGTTCCAACGCCGATCCAGGTCACGCCCTTCTCCACGATGGCTTTCCAGGTTTCTGTGATGTTCCCCACGACGCTTCGCGGGATCAGGCGCGCTCCATATTGGGCGATGCCTACTTGGATGTTTCCGAGGGGTAGGGGGCCAAAGTACTTGTCATAGTGCTTGTAATATGTGTCAAACTCGCTGTAGTTGACGGTGTAGTTTACACTTTTGGCGTCGAGTTTGGCGATGAATGGCGCAAGGATGGTCTTGACCTCGGCCGCGGTTTTGTTGTACGCGTTGAGCGGAGCGATCATGAAGAACGAGGAAGTGAAGTAGTGAACCACCATGGTTCCTGCATCGACCATCGCGGGTAGCTCCTCATGGAATGCTTCGATCGCGTCATAGAAGACATCCTGGGCGTTGTTCGTGGTAAAGAATGACAAGGAAGCGCCACCAAATACAGCTTCCTTGTGTGCCTTCACGGTCATGGACACCACAACACCATATGTGCTACCGCCTCCACCGTTCAAAGCCCAGTACAAATCGGGGTTCTGGTCCTTGTTGGCGTTCACGAGTTTGCCACTAGCCGTAACAACTTCCCAGCTTAACACGTTATCAGCAGCAAGACCGAAGCTGGTGCTGATCGCTGAATGGCCTCCGCCTTGGGTGTACCCGCCAGCGATACCAACGGTAGGGCACTCACCCCCTACAACCACCAAGCCCTTGTCGCGGGCAGCGGCCATGATCTCAAAACCCTGGACACCAGCGCCGAGCTTGAATGCTGCGCCACTGTATCCCGAGCCCTTGTACGCCGTAATATGAGAAATGTCCTTCAGGTGGTGCGTCCATACCGCCAACGAGCCAGCACCTGTGGAGCGACCACGATAGTCATGTCCCGTATTGCGAATAACAAGACGAATATCCTTTGAGGACGCAAATGCGATCGCTCGCTGGATGTCTGAGGATTTAGAGGCATTAACGGCATATCTAACGTAGTTACCAAGCTCACACGGGCTGTCTCGAGGTTGGAAGGGATCACAGCTTTGATTGGCGAAGAACGGTGCCATCACCGAAGAGGAGGACTCATAGCTTGTAGGATGTAAGTCTTCTATATCTATCCAAGACAGGTCGCCGTACTTACTGAATTTTCTCATACTGCCATTGGCTTTTCAGGCTTTCACAGGTAGCGTTGTCGAAGCTCGCACCGTGGCATGGGGTTCCAAGAGGCACCGTTGCCACCAGCTGTCCGCCTACTGTCCTGTTGAAGTTGTTCCACTCTGCCTTCGACGGCCATGCCTTGTCCCCGGGAAACGTTTTGCACCGGCTTGAGGGTTGGACGTTGGCAAGAACGGCACCGAAGAGCGTGAGTGCAGTCACGATAAAACGCATGCTGATGGCCTACTGGTACTGTATTACACTGCAATATCCGCGCGACTCCAGCCTGGTACATATAAGAGAATCCTTTCACGTCCCTGGCCTGCGCATGGCGACCGGGCTAGTATCGACCTAGGACGAATCAATCTCCGGTCGTTATGAGATTGTGCATCTGGTCCGACGTACTGGTATTTGAGCGTTGTGGCTTGCCGCTCACGCCCCGCTTGGAAATCCAACCGTAACTTGAAGGGACGCCCAGTTGTAACCCGGGTCACAGTATTAATTCTACCAATTGATCATATTACCACTCCAGAGTGCAAGAGGCACCTGCAACAAACAAAAATCGTTCTCAGCACCCGGCTCCAGGCTGTCTCTATCTGGAAGGTACTCCGGAGGACCAGGGACGGCCCGGCTTAACATCTCGTTTAGACCAGTACCTGCACAGACCAGCAGGTCTGGAAGAATTACGCCACACGGCACGGCACAGCTGTTGCTGTTCCGCCTTGTACAATACGGGTAGCGTTGCACCTCAAACCCTTCCTCAGCGCTGGCCTTCCACGCAACAAACCACGTTAACCAAAGTTCCGACCGTTGATGAGCAATTCACTCAAAAACTGTGGGACCCAAGCTGCAGTATCAGCTACCTTATTATTTTTCTGTGTCCCTAGAGACTGGAGCCTGCGGTTGCTTCGCATCTGGTTGAAACCCGACCTTTTTTTGAGTTGGTAAACCATGCATGGGCGCCAATCAGTCGAATAAGCAAAATATGCCTCAAAATTCGCGAACAAGATCCCGTCCCGACTCTCAACAGGGTCTATGGCCAGCATATGTGATCATACAGGGTGTCGCACTCAAAGTACTTTCACAGAACCAGCGATAGGTCAACTAGGGCGTAGGCGCTTTGAAAATCCTCTTAGGTGTCAGCTCGCATTCCCATGTGTAAAGGGCAAATTAGAGTTTCAAGCTATCAAACTATCTAGGCCCTCTGGTGGGAGGGAAAGCTACAAGGATACGAGCTGACGTTCAAACGCCCGGTAGGTGGTCAACAGCAGTTCTTGTTCCCTGTTTTGGAAAACGGCTCGCCAGCGATCTTGCGTACCTCGAGCAAATGTACCCCCAGTGAGCTTACTATAGCGCCATGGGTTGGAATTATAATACACGGACCATGTTGCAAATGCTGGGCCGCATATCTCAGCGGTGGCAATCGTATTCACTGCGTTATCCCTTGTGGTTTTATTGCTGCGCTTCTACATTAGTGGCTGGATGCTCAAGGCGATCGGAGCTGGTATGTATCTCTCGAGTCGAACTTTTCTCGTACACGGCGAATAACCTACATCTCACAGATGACCACGTCCTAATCTTTACCTGGGTGAGCAAGCACTGCGAGAGTTCACGAGGTATTGCGACTGATACTGGCAAAGGATAGCGGCTTGCGGCTTCACTGCTGTTTCCGTCGTCCGTAAGTTAATCCCACCTGTTGCTAAATGCCAAAAGCCATCTCATGTTTTAAGAAACCAAATGGGGTCTTGGCTTGAAGCACTTAGTGGATATGCCGAAAGAGAATGTCTACAACTTTGGACTGGTAAGAGTGACTCCTGAATGTCTTGTGCGAGAGATCCACTAAGAAAAATTAGGTTCAGTATAAGGGTGCACCGTTGTGAGTTGAGGTTTCTCAGCACGGTGGATTGAACTGCAGCTACTAATCTCCACAGCTACACTTCAAGTATTCTTGGCTTCAAGATCAGTCTACTATTGATGTACCTTCGATTCATGACCAAAGGCGCTGCACGCACTACTACGATAGCATTCATCATCGCTTGCGTGTTGTTCCATCTTTCATTTCTCCTCGTTCAGAGCAACTTATGTCAACCGGCAAGTCGTGACTCGAAACTTTGGACATCAGCCGCTAATGCGACAAAAGGCTGTAAAGCAATGGGACCCTAGGATCACTTGGGGTAGATGCCTGCCTGCTGTCCCGTTTTACACCAGCATGGCATCCCTTATGATCCTGTTCGATATCACGGTGTAAGTGACCCATCCGCCGTCTAAGACATGAGCTCATACTCTCAGTATGCTTCTACCGTTCCCGGTGCTGCTCCGCAGTCATGATCAAAAGCGAAAGAAGGTTGCTTTGCTGGGTCTTCTAGCCCTAGGTACATTCATCACAATCATCCATGTCATTCGCATTCGAACGGTCAAGAATCTCGCCAACTACCTCGACTCGGCGAACCTGATCTTGTGGTCAACGGTCGAGACCAATCTTGGCATAATCGTGGCTTCCATACCTACACTTGGACCTCTTCTCAAGTACTACGCTGAGAAGACACCAAAGGGCTATACAGCGAACTCTAACAGTCATCCACGGTCATTATACGCGCTGAAGCCAAGATACGGAACAAGAGAAGGTTCTTTCCCGCTCGGTAGCGGTGTCCACTAAGCCGCGCATATTCGTGGCCCCTCTGAGGGAGCAGGAAGCGAAGAGTTCATCCTTTGTGATGTTGCTACAATAACAAATAGGACAGAGGTTACAATTTCAACTTGTGCCAAAGAAGGGCCGCATTCGGTCATGTGTTAGCTTAGGTACCAAAAGGCATTATGCATTATGAACAGTTCACACTTGTTCGACGTATTTTTTTGAATGGATCTATTTTTGACTGAGTAAGATTGTACAATTGTGAACGTGAGGAATTTCGTCAACCTCGCTGTTTCTCACGTGCCTCCCGTTGCTTCGCCAAGATTATAGGTATTTATTGCGGCACAGCAGGCCTACATATATTTACGTCACGGTTGCTTCATTGCCACATCATGCAAGCCAGCCATACGAAAACAATTCCTATAGGTTAATGCTCCAACAATGGGCGCTTTCACTATCAAATCAGTGTAGCAAGTATAAGGTCTCCTTCGTACCTACTGTAAGCTTGTTGCATCGTATGACGTGTTGCTGTGCCTCCCTGGGAATGTCTTGATTTACGCCTGACGCCGCAAGCCTTGAGTGGCAAAGAGTCCGGTCGATGATGTCTGCCTTGATGTATGCCTTGATGTATGCCTTGAACTAGGTGTTTCACTTCGAGGGAGCCAGCCTTGAGGAGCTCTTGGGCCTACCGTTGAGTTTTATGGTACAGCCGTCTTCTTATTCGGGCCCTTGCGGGTGTTCTGTAAAACCCAGACTCGTTGGCTGTGAGGAGATTAGCTTTTTCTGCATAGAAATTATGGATCTATTTGCTTGTAGGATGTTGGTGTGGCTGCAGTTCTATTTCGGGATGGGCGATGTTGAATGCGGGGCAAGCTAGTGGTGAGGGTGTTGCCACATCAGTGTCGTCGTGTTTTAACGTTTCTCTTCGCGCTTTCTTCTGCTTATGCAACTTCTTTTCGGTAGAATCATCTCTCGATTGTCCACAGGTTCATATCTATCACGGTGGAAACCTCATGATGGCTACGGGTATACCCACTATACACTCATCTCAATCTCCATCAACCCTTCCATCGATCTCCATTTGCATCTCGACTCCCATCCCCACATTCGACCTATCCCTCGACACGCCTTTCCCGATAACCGTCATTCTGAAGCTGCATTACCACCAACCCATTACGTTCCGAAGACGCGAAGAACACTTTTTTGTTACTCCTCTCGGTGACCCTGGCTTAGTGTTCACAAACATTCGCACCGGGGAGAAGCAAATTGGATCGAGAGTCTTTGTACATTACATGAGCACAAATGAAGATGGTCTACCAACGGAAAGGAACAAAGAGGGTTGGCTTACACTACATCCGGGTCAACCTCACACTCTAGATGCTACAATCGAACCCATAAGTGGCGAAGGTCGAATGAGGACTATTGCTGAGATGGAGAGTGGATCAAATGAGCGGTTCGCGACGCTTAAATGGCCGTTGGTTCATGCGCTTTTAGATGGAGAGGTGTACGAGATTAGCGTTAGTAAGGAGGCGCGCATAAAAAAGTGGATGGTGGGGGACCTGGGAGAGATACTAGATTTGAGGAGGTCAAATTTAATGCCAATTATCAAGGATGAGGTGATCGACTTTGAGTTGAAGGAGACAAGTAGATTTGAGGTGAAGAGGCCGGATCGCGATGGTAGTCTGAACTGGCCATGAAGAGAGAACATCCGGAGTGGAGGAGTGTCGTTGGTCTTTGCTATAACGTTTTAGCGCAAATTGGGATATACATTTCAGCTCAAGTAAGAACATTAACGAGTAAACAACGCCCAAGCACCCACATGCTTCAACACTTGTCCCATTTATCCCATGGCATCATGTCCGACTATGTGATGACACGCTTAGGTAGAGCCTTTATAAAGCAAAGTTCAGGATTTCTGAAGGACCGCGCTGTTTCTACCCAGATGTGGAGTCCCTGCAAGACCCACGTTCTGAGTAGCATGAGTTCAACGCAAAATAGGCGTAATTACAATGCAAGACTGCGATGCACCTATGTCAAAAAAGCTGTGACCACTGGTTGCTCCGCGTGGAGGTATAGACTGCGCCACCCAACGACGCATGGGGCAAACATGAAACAGCCATCTTTGGCACAGGATAGGCAGCTATTCTCCTTGGATTCCATACACTCCTACGCCGCATGAGATGCCAAGGATATTTTGTAGCTCGAGGTCCTTGGCGCCCTGCCTGCGCCCTGCGGCGTTGGGGGCCAGAAGACGCGGCGTAGTAGGCATCGAGCCGGTTGAAACATACGAAGAGAGTTCGTGGGAATCAGTAGTCTGATCTATCGATGACCTCGTTGTGACATTGATATAGCACAACAACCCAGTGGCCTGGGCTAAGAACATTGGGTTTTGGGCAGTCTTTGCTGTAATTTTTGCCACCACGAGAGCATTATAGGTTAACAGCAACGTGTGGTGGCAGGAAATATCAGTTTTCGGGATGTCAGGGGCTGTTTACAAGTACTCTAAACCAGACTGCTGGAGTTGCAAGGTATATGCTCCCTCTACCAACGCCGTATGCAGTTGGTGGAGGGAACGCATGACGAAGGTTAGAGATCGGGGCCTGCGCCATCCTGAGGAATTGAAACAGTTGGAGCTGGACGTAGTGTATATGCGCCGAGATTGGATTCTGATGTATTCATGGAGATGGCACAGACCATTCTCAGTTCCTATATGAAGACGTCGGCCACCATTTGTTGAAGCATCGAACACTGGTCGATGAACATCGATCAGCTCTTTAACACCTGGAATTCAATCAACACCATCTCTCCAACAGCTCTTTGGATCAATATCCCACCTTCAGCATTAGCCTCCTTAGTCTGTCATGTATTCTCGAATCTTGCAGTACGCCGCCGTAGCGGCCGTTACCTTCGCTGGGTGGTCGGCTGCACTGCCAACCGTGGAGCGCGGAGTCCAAACACCACCTTTGTAAGCCTGCTCTCTTCTTTCAATCTCATGTTTTCTCCATTGTTCTTCCTGGATAGCTGAATGCAAATGATTGAACGGTTAGATTGTTGAGGCGGTAGCGGAAATAGTGTTGTTATATGCTGAAATAGCCGATCAGAGGTAGCATGCGAGCGCGGGAAGTTTAAGATCGTCTGAGCAAGTCCTAACAGAGTCAGAATTAAGAGAGCGGCACCTGCCTTCGAGTGGGATTACAGTCTCCCCAACGCACAGGAGCAGCGCGAAAAAGCCGGGGAGGCGTGGGTAGGCATGATACTCCTAGCAAACATGGTGTACCACAAAAACATCGACCCAAACAGATGGCCACGAATCTTCAAGCATTACTTCAACGATGAAGACCAGGGGAAAGTCGACAAGATCTTCAGCATGCTCGTGGGCGAAGGCGAAAAAGAAGACCCAAACGGCGGAGCAGCGTTCATGTCAGATATCATCATTACTAACAGGCCCGTACCAAAACATGAAGCAAAATGCGATGAATATGGAACAGTAGCCTTTACAGCCAAAATCAACATCACCCCACCTAAGTTCGTTATCAGGCTCTGCGATGCGGCATACATCTACCCTCTGTACACAAAGACGGGTTGTGATAAACTGGGCGATACAGCAAGCGGCTGGATGGCAACTTTAGACGGTGTCATATTACACGAGATGATGTAAATTATCTTTCCCCAAACAAAACTCTTTCTCTTCTAAATTTCTTCAAGGCACGTTGAAACACTATGCATACCCGCCACAGGCAAATATATACAAGACTACGGCTTAGCCGGTTACGGGCCAAAGAACACGCGCAGCTTCAAGGACAATCCAGCAAACGAACCGACAAACAATGCTGACCAGTACCGTTGGTACGCGCAGGAACTTTTCTGGACAGAGCTGTGCGATAAAGAATTTAAAGACGCGACAATGAACGATGATTATCCTGAATTAGAACCCCCACCAAAAAGTTCGCCGCCTCCACCTCCACCGGCTGTTGTGAAGACCAACGCGCTCTCCATCATTTTCCAGAAGTCCCTTGACGAAATAGGCGAGGGATACGACTGGCTCTTCTTTCCCGGAAAAAAGGGCGAGGCCATGCTATGCCATGATCAGAAAGACAGTTGGCATTTCACCTCGCAGGTGGGTATGAACAAGGATGGCATTCCTCCGTGGCCCACAGGGACGTTCCACTTCGATAACCTGTTTGGGCGCGTTTGCGATTACAAGAACGACGGAACAGACAATCCCGGTATGCTTTGGTGCAAGGATAAGGATGGTCAGAATCTTAAGGATGTTGGTATCCAATGTTATTCAGACAACATGAGAACGACGAAGACGACGAAACAGTGTACGAAGTCGGGATTGATACCATCAATAGATCATGTTGCGGTGGCATACTGCGAGTGGTGAAGAGGATCAAGGTGCAAGAGTTGCACTTAGCTGGTCTAAGACTGTTTTCTTAGGCGTTATTTCCTTCTTTCTTACGCTATTGCTATTTATTGGGGTAGAGCCAAGGAGGGATTGTTGCCAGTGCTATATCCTAGAGTCTCATAGGTATCGTACCGTACATTTAGGCCAATACAAATTGTACGCCTTTGTCTTCCTTCCAGTCAAGTTTTCTATAACTCCACGCTCCTATCTAGACTTTTAAGATATCAGATTCAAGGTATCCAGATAAAGCTCAATATCAAAGATGGAGAGGAATCGCGAAAGTAACTCCTTGAGTTATTCAGAAGGGGAGCTTATCAGAGTTGCTATCCTCGGCAAGGGAGCTTTTCAGGGCGCGTTGGCAGCCTTCCGAGAATCTGGTAAGCGATAGAAGAACTGCACGCGGTATACCTGTGTGATGCAGCAAAAAATAGTTCTAAAAATAATTGCGGGGGTGATGTTCTTTATCTTCCGCATTCAGTTTTTCCTGCCTTTGGGCGCAGCTGATAGCAAATGGTAGCATGTGGATATTTCACGACAATTGGTTGGCTGAAACGACGCCAGTTGATAAAACCCCGCAGCCTTAGCTGAGATAAAAATTTCCTGAAATCAAGCCCAGAGTTCATCAAGTAGCCCCTTTCACGTTAGCTTTCCGACATATATCAATACTTGGCACTTACCTGGAAAATGTATCTGCAACTGAACCCCTCTCTTAGAGAAATACGCCTACTATGTCTGCATCCAGGTGAATGGAACGATGCCATCGAGTGCCATTTACAGACAGTATCATTGGATAAGCGACCCAGGTTCAAGGCTATCTCATATGTATGGGGCGATTCCCGACAAAAGAGACCTATCACGGTCAACGACCAATCGTTTGCAACAACAAAGAACCTATTCGCGGGCCTCCAACGAATGCGCGATTCAGGAGAAACACGGGCTGTATGGGCAGATGCTGCGTGTATCAACCAGGCTGATCTCAACGAGCGATGCCAGCAAGTGCAACTCATGGGAGACATATACAGCTCCGCGGAAGAGGTGCTCATTTGGCTTGGTTATGGTGGAGAATCCCAAGCTCCTAGTGAACAGCCTAGAATATATCAGTGGACTGGAGATGATACGGATGTGGAACTTGTGAACGCCTATTTCGAATGGTATCAAAATCAGAGGGAGGAGAAGAACTATGGAGAAGATATACTTGGAGCATTCGTTTTCATACGACTCCGCGCTGGTGACAAGCATCTCAATGAGATGCCTTTCTTCGATGTTGAAGGGAAAAGGTTGCAGGCCCGGAAACCTTGGCCGGCGGTTGTCCGCGCTTTGGAGACACTTAACTCCGTCCCTTGGTGGACGAGGGTTTGGGTCCTTCAGGAAACAGCCCTTGCTCGCAAGGCAACGGTTATATACAATCATACCACCGCTCCTTGGGATATGCTTGCGCGGGCAACCATAAGCTCGCAAACACATGACCAGTTCTGCTGCGAGGACTTGCTCAACACACGGCCACTTGTAGAGGAAAAGATAATCACCAAGTTAAGAAGGGTAGTTTACGATGACATAGAGCTCCTGAGGGGTTTGAGGGCACAGAATAAGCGAATTTCCTTGTCACAAGTCGTATCTCAAACTCTTCAACGAGACGCAACAGACATTCGCGATAAGGTGTATGGACTACTTGGGCTTACTACGAATTGGTACATGAGAGACCCTTTACTCCCTGACTACACTCTAGGACCAAGAGAAGTATTCATGCGCGCGAGCCTCAGCGAACTTAAAGGTTCTCTTTCCTTGCAAGGGTTGATGGGAACTACAAGAACGGATGTACCCGATGTACCATCTTGGGTTGTTCGAAGTAGCAGCTCAGAGCGATGGTATGCAAGTCAAGAAAGCAGGATCAATCGCACGAGTTTATTCTGTGCGTCACTTCATACTGTTGCTAATGTTGAGCGAAAAGGAGATGTTTTGGTTGTCGATGGATTCATACCAGTTGATACAGTCGCTTGCATCGGGCCGGCCATGTTTGAGGCAACGGATACCTGGGTGGATATCATCACCGTTGTTAACGTATGGCGCCAAATGGCTGAGTTGGGGAATAAAACGGACCGCATCTATACTAGGAAGCAGTCCTGGGAGGAGGCATTCTGGAGAACGACCGTCAACGACTGTATTGGGTTCCACCCTTCTGAAAAGTCCAAGCAGCAGAAGCTTGATCCCAATATTGTCGGAACAGTTTTCAGAAGGCTTAGAGACTCTGATGTTCCAAGTCTGCCAGAAGACTGGTGGAGTTGGCTTCAGCTTCAACCGCCCAAAAGCAAGAAGGGACACAATGATGAGAACGATTACAATAATTCTCCCAAATCCAATCCGGATGATATCAGGTTATTTCACCAATCCTTTCTCGGGGCGACGGCTCTTAGGAGGTTTTTTATTACAACGGGTGGCCGTATGGGACTAGGCCCGTCGTCCATACTTCCTGGTGACGCCATGGTCATACTGTTAGGAGGAGACACACCATTTTCAATAAGACTCAATCCAGGTGGAACTAGTAATCATAGTACGCTTATAGGGGAATCTTACGTCCATGGATTGATGGACGGAGAAGGGGTTCCAGCCAACTGGAAGCAAAAGGTCATCCACATATCCCTGAAATAGCTAGGAATTGAAATTCCATACGATTTTGGTGCAAGGATAGGCCTGATCTCCACGCGCAAATATGGACTTGGTTGTGAGTTCCAACACATATAGTAAGAGTCTTCTTGAAATCTCATTCTAATTATTTCGGTGCACTATTCCATTAATATTTGTGTTAATCTCTTCGTGTGCAATCTAGCGCACTTATAGGTGTCATTAGAAGCATCTCTTCAGGTGCGACTAGTATACCAATTGCGACTAAAGAATTGATCATGAAATTAGTTCCTATTAGGATGGGCGAAACTCCCTAGCGACGACGCCACAACATGGCTTGATGAGATGCATCCTCCCCAGTCCATCTACTCAAGTCTCTTGCGACGCTGTTTGCGCACCACGAATCTCTCTTTTGCTCAATATCTGAATGATGTACCCAGAACCGTACCGATTATCAAAGAGCTGCGCGAACGGTTCGGTGTATATACTTGCGAGCAATGAAGCACCTGGTCCTGGATTGCAAGTGCGTATCCTATCTTCAAAATCGAAGACGGCTTCGCGGAACAAGATGAGCAGTGGCAACCCAACTGGAGAGAGACGTTCGAGGAGCACGTTGCCCGGAGTACGGAACTCCTAGACAATATATTTACTAATGATGAAAGCGAGTTCGTCGCTCTAACAGCAAATTCAGGTGCAATTATGGCGCTTTTTGCTGCTGCGGGGTGGATGAAGATACCAATTGCAGCGGGCGCCATGTATCCTTTGTTAGTATGCGGTATAGGGTGCAGATAAGGTAAAGTAAAGTATAGGTATCGCAGTACGTTTCTTCCAAACCCTTCCAAAAGGGCTAGAATCGAAAACTTCGAAAGGCCCGTTATCCTTAGCCGTCTGCCAGCAAACCGGTTTGACAGCCGGCAAAGGCGGGTGGGCCACTCCCGGGGATGAGCCAATGACGTGCTGAGAGACGGGAATAAGCTTTGCTGAGCATTACCAAGCCTCGACAAGCCTCGACAAGCTTTACGAACGGCGCAGGGGTTGCACCCAAATTAGGTCGTATAAACGTCATTGCGCTTCCGTTCCAACCGATTCAGACAAAGGCTGGCCATGGAGTGTGCGGAGAAGTAGTGGTGTTGCGAGTCTCGCCGGCTTGGTGGCAGAACGCGTCATGACTAGCGGCTGCTAGAACCTTGGAACTGGTCGGCTTCGAAGCCCGCAACGCGTATGCAGGACTTGTCAGCCATATTTCCACAACTCGGCCGCGACAATGAGCTCGACAGCCTACCTCATCACCATCTCCGTCACAATCCTTCTCGTCTCCCTCTTTTACCTCTGGCACCTGCAACCGTGGGTTCACCGCAGAACGATGCCACCCAGAATTTCCCCCAAGGTCTACAGTCTCTGCACCTCGCCAAAGTCTATTGCATCTGAATATGCCCTGGCACAAACCACCGCACCTGGAAAGATTGCTGCAAAGCTCTATGGTACAGAAGGCGTCTCTGTTTCCTCTCCCAAACCATCCCGCGAGCGCATTGCCCCAACTAGCGAAGATCTTCAGCGCGCCTACGAATGTGGAAACTTTGGGCCTCAACGCCCGAGCGACCTCTTTCTCCAATGCTATCACGACGCTCTCTTAAGCCTCGAGCACGACCCGCTGAACGGCTGCGTTTCACCCAGCCTGATGGGCAGCAACGGCGTAATACCCCTGACCATCATTGGCAGCATCGTCGACATATGCCGTCATATGTCGAATCTCATTGCACGTGCCGAACGTGAAGTTTTCCTGGCGACCAATTTCTGGATGAATAGCGACAGCTCCCTCCTCATCACTGACGCCATCCGCGAGCTGTCGCGACGCGTAGGCAGAAAGGGGACAGGCGAGAAGGCGGTGGTGAAGATAATGTATGACCGTGGACACATTAAGCAGGTCGTCGACAATCATACCGTTGTGCTAGAAGACGAGTACACCGGAAAAGCAGTGAACCTGCCGCATCCTCTGGAAATTCCGCATGTGGATCTCCAGGTCATGAACTACCACCGGCCCATGCTGGGCACATTTCATTGCAAGTTCATGGTTGTGGATCGGCGGATTGCAATCATCAACTCGAATAATATCCAAAGTAATGACAACTGCGAGATGGCCACGCAGTTGGAAGGCAAAATCGTGGATTCCTTCTATGACTTGTGTTTGCTGAGCTGGGACAAGGCGTTGGTGCCACCATTGCCGTTGGCTGGTAACCTGGCCGCCGAGAAAGACTTCCCAACGTTTACAGATGCGAGGTTTTCTGCCTTGTTTGATGCGGAAGGGCGGCTGAAGATGCCAGTTTTGCATGATGGGATGGTTCCAGGAGAGGTGAACGGGGCGCACGAGACGAACGGGGAACATGATGCCATGGGACGACAGTCACAGCACACGGGTCAGGATCCACATTTTGATGTAGACATTGCAACGGAAATTGCAAGGATGCAATCAACATTGACGCCCCGCCGTGACGAGAGGAGGATGGATCGCGTTGCCAAGCATCTCAGTGAGCACCATTTTATCTGGAAATATCTCCATTATCAAGCTAACAGGATGTGTAGACGAGGCAACTCATATCGATATCAAACCCACTGCCCCGGAATGTGCTCCAGAAGACGACTATGCACCTTTTATTCCCCACGCCCCGCATCAAGAGTTTCCCATAGCCCTAGTTAACCGCAAGCCTTGGGGCGCGCCCAATCACTCTTGTGTGAACACTCCTCAGAATGAAGCCTGGTTATCAGCCATCCGGTATGCACAGAAAACCATCTTCATCCAAACACCCAACCTGAATGCTGAAGCGCTACTACCGGAACTTTTGGGCGCCATAAGACGAGGTATCAAGGTAACATACTACGTCTGCCTCGGTTACAACGATGCCGGCGAAATGCTGCCCTTCCAAGGGGGAACAAACGAAATGATTTCACACAAGCTGTATTGCGATCTATCAGAGCACGATCGGCAATTCCTGCATGTGCACTTTTACGTAGGGAAAGACCAGATACAGCCCATTCACAATAAGTTCAAGAAGCGAAGCTGTCATAGTAAGCGCTTTTTCCCTCCCTATTGGGATACTCCTTTGAAGCTAATATTGAATCCCAGTCAAATTAATGATCGTGGACTCTCACCTTGGCATTCAAGGCAATGGTAACCAAGACACGCAATCCTGGTACCATTCGCAGGAAACAAACGTCATGATCGACTCTCCCCTCATCTGTAATGCTTGGCTCAATGGAATAAGAAGGAATCAGAATACTCATCTGTATGGGAAGGTATCGCAAGTGGATGGAGTATGGAGAGACGTTGATGGAAAGGAGGCCAAGGGTGCAATTGGGAAGGATCCTGGGTCTTTCGCTTGGGCCAAGGGAATCAAGGGAGCTATTCAGAGGGTTAGAGGAGCCGGGGGCTTCTAGTGGTTCATGGTCTAGAGCAGTGGAGTTGTGGCGTTTTGGAACAATTCCAGGGCCGAATACGAGGATATTAGGGACCACAGTCAGTTGTCATTTTAGGTATCAAAACTGTTATTATTGTCAAGTTTATTGTGATACAGAGCTCATAAACAGCCTACCGTGGTTTTAAGTCAAGAAAAGTACTCAAGCTCCGATCACATGCATGCCTGCAATTCCAACCCCGCGAGAAATAAGTCACCCTTTACAGTCCAATGCAAAACCACGACGCGCCGATTCTAAGGGAGCTTCTAAAATAATGGCTGTGTTTCGATGTCGCGGTGACGTGGGCGAGGAACGATTTGCCTACGGTAGGGAGTAAGAGGACCATGGAGCGGGGAGAGCGCATCCCTAAAACTCTCGTATTGATTTGTTTGCGGAAAATGTGGGTGCATGACCAGCAGAGTGATACTGTGGAGAATTATCAATTTGAAGAGTTCAGTGCAGATCAGTCAAGTGACGCCTGGAAGAATTTACCTCGGTATTGCGACAAAGAGTAAGTGTGGGGGTTCAACACGAAGAGAAGGCTTCTATAGGAGCTGCAAGGCTTAAATCATGCTCATGTCAATCAAACATGACATTCTATTTTGCTGGTTCCGTACGAACCAATTGCGATGATCATACTTAATATAGGGTGGCATGCAATACAGGGGCTAATTGCGGGGAATAGAGCCGGTATATTGGGTGCTGTCGGCATTTGCGATGATATCACCCATGGCTCAACGTCAGATAGAGTAACGCGCTTGTCAACTTTTCATCTTTTGCCGTACCTCTAATAACCTATCGTAATTTCAAGCCCTTCGGCATTGTAAACGTTATTTTAACCCGCTAGCTTTAGTGGCTACTATAACCTATCGCAACCACGGGCATGAACTAGCCATTGCCTGAGATCTCTCGCTTGTAGCTCGACCCCGTATACTATAACCATGTCTAGTGGGAGTCAAATATAGCCGGGTTATAGAAGGTTCACGTGGAGTTCATTCATATTCTAAATGAGCACTGGAAGAATAGCAATGATGTATTCAAATTAGAAAGCAGTGTGAGCTATGACCCCGTGGGCGGAGGAACGGATGTAGCCCTTATATGTTGCGCCCTGCTCTTCCGTAGGAAATCTTGATTTTGATTCATCTTCCAAACCGACCGTACACGGGCATTTGACAGAATGCAGTTTCTGACACTCTCGGCGCTTGCGGCGCTTGCCACTCTTGGTCATGCCCAGCTCAAACAGGTCACCGACTTCAAAAGCAGTCCCACGGCGGTGAAAATGTACTCCTACGTACCAAAGACTCTCACGAAGCCGGCACCCATCATCGTGGCAGTACACCACTGCCAAGGTTCTGCCTCGGGATACTCCAGCGAGTCACAATTGATGCCGCAGGCCGATAAGCACGGTATCATTTTAATCTATCCTAATTCGAAATCCGGAGGTGGCTGCTTTGATGTGGCTTCACAAGCGAGTAGGTCGCCTTCTACCTTAACCCCTAGAATGCAGAGTGCGAGGTTAATGTGGAGCATTGCTGATGAAAATCTATTGCAGCTCTGAAGCACGACGGCGGCGGCGACAGTCAAACAATTGCGAACATGGTCAAATATGCGGTAGACAACTACGGTGGTGATGCGAACAGGACTTATGTTGTTGGAACCAGCTCAGGTGCCATGTGAGTTTCTCTTCACTATCATCTCCATCAGGTATAATAGCTAATTCCCGGCGCCAAAAGGATGGCCAACGTGTTAGCTGGTGCCTACCCAGATGTGTTCAAGGCAGCTTCCGTGTACTCCGGGGTTCCAGATGGGTGCTTCGCCGTCTCAGGCTCGACCGCCACCCAGGACCCGCCAGGCTGGTCCAACTCGTGCGCAAATGGGCAGCTCACACATACCGCGAAAGAGTGGGGTGATTTGGTACGCGGATACTACCCGGGATATACCGGCTCTCGAACCAGGATGCAGATGTGCGTTTTATTCCCCATTATGCCACAATGGTGCCTGTCAAGCTAATACTGCCTGATGTAGTTTCCACGGAACTTCCGATAACACACTGCGATACCCCAACTGTAAGTTCTTTCACAAATATCTTATTCAGTAATAACATATCTGTATGATGCTGACTTGATTAAAATAGATGCGGAGCAGCTGAAACAGTGGTCGGATGTGTTGGCTCTTACTGCAAAGGTGGACAAGACCAATACCCCCCAGAGCGGGTATACGCAGACTATCTATGGCGATGGCACTACAACAACAGCACAGCTAGTAGGATACAGCGCTCAAGGTGTTGGCCATACTGTACCTCAGCACCCAGACATGGATATTGCTTTCTTCGGCATCTAGAATATAGAAATCGGTACATAACTACAAATGGCCATACTCGGGTGAGGTTGATGATGACGGGAGGAATAAGCCTACTGCAGCCACTTCTTATCCGGCGCCCCGTTTAGCTTGAAATATCCTGGCTGCAGTCTCTGAAACACCTCAGTAGGGTCATACTGCCTCGCTACGTGCCTCAGCCTGTGAGAATCCTCGCCATAGCTGCCAATCACATCCTGGAACTGGGATGCATAGTTCATATACAAGAAATCGTTCACCATGTTCCTTCTCTTCGCCTCATCTAGCATCTTCTGCACTATGTTCGCATTCGCCCTCAACACGCGTGCATCATCCTCTTTTTTGTCCCATCTTGTACTCAGATTTATGAGAAAAACAGGCCCATCTGAAGGTGTGAGGCCTAAGGTGTTCCCCCCGTTCTTTTGCATTTGCTTAAGTGTTGGGACGGAGATTATTTGCAAGGTGTTTGCGGGAATAATGCCAGCAACGTCGCGTAGCTTTGCGAATTCGTCAAACGAGGCGTTGAAGACGAATTCGACCATCTCTCTGTCGAGCTTGGATGATGCGGTCCAGAAAGTTTCACGGTAGCCCTTGGGATTACTGTTGTTGAGTTGCTGAGTGAAGTAGGCCAAGGTATCAAGTTTGGTGGTGTCAGCAAACGCGGGAATATTCCTGTACTCTTCAAATATGGGTGCGTCAAGGACAGGATCTGCATATTCGAGTTCTGCGATGGCGACTTTTGTTCCCGATGCTGCGTTCATGGTAATTGCAAGAAATTGCGCAGCTTTAGGGTCGTCCGCTGCATTGACGCCAAGGTTGACGAACGCATTAATGGCAGCAGGGAAGGAGGCGTTGAAGAACCGACGCTGGCCACCGAACATTTGCGGGCCGTGGGCGAAGGTTCTTAGATTAAAGTTTGTCACAATACCCAAGTTATTGCCACCACCTCTGAGGGCCCAGTAGAGATCTGGGTGAGAAGATGGGGACGCGTTAACAATGAGGCCAGATGCGGTAACGATGTCGAAAGAAGCGACGTTGTCGCATGCCCACCCGTACTGATTTGTGAAGTAGGAGATGCCACCGCCCGTTGTCAGGCCTCCAATGCCTATACCGGAGACGCGACCTCCTACTACGGCAAGGTGGTCTTTATCCAGCGTGGTGTATATATCGAACCAGAGGTTTCCAGGTTCGATAGAAGCGACCTTTTTGTCCTCGGAGAGACTAATCTGCTTCATCTTTTCAAAGCTGACGGTGATACCGCCATCAGCACTCGAAGCACCGGCGAATGCAGCATGGCCTCCACTTCTTACGGCGAAACGACATTGTGTGAGACGAGAGAGTAGTACTACTATAGAGACGTCGGCTGCTTTTTCAGGCTTGAAGACGCAGTGTGGTTTTGGCTCTTGTTGTTGCGACGACCAGAAGTACCTGATCACGGCGTCATATGCGGGATCTCCTTGGTATTCGACTTTGGTGTTCCCGAACGTGAGATTGAGCGACTTGCACTGGAGTGGGTTAGCGCTGGGGCGGAACAAAGTAACATGGCCATGGATGGGGTAGTATCTGCGACAGACACACGTCAGACTTACAGCAAGAGAACAACCACTAGAAAGAGACCGTCCCGCTAATCCCGCGACGTCAGGTATGACTGAGACATTCACTCCATGGTCTAACAAAGCCTGGGTGACATTGAAGTTCGGCGGCTCGAAGACATCCTGTGCCCAAATGCCTGCTGGTGTGAAGCCAAGCGTAGCAATTGGAGAGATGCGCATATTGTATGGCCCCAATAATACTTAATGTGAGGGTTGATTTCAATATTGGTAGACTGGATCACACGGGAGAGCACCGTGGTCGTACTGTAGGCCTGTGTATAGAAGCAAAACAGGCGGGAATTACCGGGCCCGTAGGAAAATAAAGATGACACTCCCTTGCTGACTGCTGGGCAGGACGGGGTATTGTACTGTTAAATTTCTCCGTGAATGGGTAGCCGCTCACCGGGACACGAAATTGGCATGTGTGCTGCATTGGAGGATGCGGGGCGGGAAATTTCCAGGTTTAGTGCGTGTGGCTGCACCTGCAAATTGTGCTACCGGTACAAGGTTGCGGCCAAGGAGATGCCAGCCTATGTGAGGAACAGGCCGTATTTCTGCCGCCTTTGGGCCGCCTTTTGGGTCAGTCCTTTGCGCGACTTTGATAAGCTGTGGTGGCATTACAAGGTAGCATCCGCTGCTGAGTACGCAAAGGAACAGCCCTGTTTCCACTTTCCGCCCCGTGGATAGGAAAGGATATTGCCGAGTAATTGCGGGGTGCTCGAATGGAGCCGGACATTTCGACTTATACGGAACATGTAATAAGGATATCGAACTCATTGTGAAGTCTCTTATACGCTATGGGCGATTTGCGCTGCATAATAGAGATGGGTCGAGTTATAAAGAGGTCGAAGTAAAGTTTGTCCCACAACCACAAAAAGCGGAGCATGGAGTTGGGGTGGATCCGTTGAACTATGTAAGCAGAATTGGGGGGGCAAGGGTAAGACTCTGGCCGCGCCTCCTCGCGCTTACTAGTAAAAAGCTAGTCCTAAATAAGTACTAGCGTGCTGCATAATTTCTAAAAGTAAATTACTTTTTTATTATATAGTTTTATATTAAGAATTTTAAAAATAATAAAAATGCAAAAGTAAATAAAAGTATTTATTTTATAATTTAAAATAAATAACAATTTTTAGAAAAAGGCTTAATGTATATAAAGTATATTAAAAACAAAAATAGTTAAAATTATAATTATTTTTTTATATACTTTTTAAGTACTGCGCATTCTTAAAAACTAAAATTTAAATTTTAATATAAATAAGCCTGCATTTTTTCTTAAAACTTTTTAAAAAAACTAAAAAAGCTAGTAAAGTTTTTTAAAAATATTAAGTATTTTAAAAACAATTGCCTATACCCCTAATTCTTGTATTATTTGCTATTAGAGTAATTCTTTATAGCTATTTTATATTTATTATAAAAAATATATTGCAGTTTCTATATCTAAAAATTAGAAAGATTAAAAATATAGCCTTAAATACTTATTTTTACTTTAGCTTAAAAAATATAAGCAGCATATATACAAGCCTTACCTGCTACTAGTTTTAAATATTAAATTTATATTAGCAAATATTATGCTATTTTTTGTAGTACCTAAAATATTAAAATAAAAAAAATAGTACTTATTTCTATTATTAATATAAAAGAGATAAAATATAATACTAAAATAGCATTAATATTTTAAAAGCAAAAGCTTAAAAGTACTAATATCCCCTGCTTATATAACAAAAAAATTTATACATTTAATTAAAAAAAAGCAAAATAAGTAAAAATAAGTTTCTTATTAGCTTTTATAAATAATATGCTTAAAAATTCTAATATATAAATAAATAGCTAAATTATAGTTATAGTCTGCAAGTGCACTAACTTCTATATTTCTAGTTTAAACTATTTTTTAGCATTATTAATGTCTAGTAAAAAAAGTCTTAAAGTGTCTAAAATTTTCTAAAAAAATAGTAATAACTTTAGTAGCTACTCTAATAACAAAAAGGCAAATATATAAATATAGTAAAATTAAGTCTAATTTTTTTATATTTATTTTAATAGGCAGCAAATAATATTTAAATATTTTTAATATAAATTAAGGAAGCTTATAAGTACTAAAGTTCTAAAAAAATAGAATACTTAGTTAAAAAAAATAAATAAAAAAAAAGCAATATTATAAAATAAATTAGTATATTTAAAAATATATACAGCAAACGCCTATAAATACAAAAAATGCATATATTAGATTTATTTTTATATATACTAGGCTAAGGCATACTAGCTAAAGCTTAAAAAAAACAGAATTGCTTAAAAAAAAAATCTAAACTTATAATACTCTAAAGCTAATTAATTGTTTAGTATAATTATAAAAGTATAAAAAGCAAATATACAAAAGAATAAGTTAAAAATATTAAAAAATAATTTTTTT